CTGCCGTCGATCTCGAGAGTGACCCGAACTTGATGGGTGGCGCGAGCGGCGGCGGCCCCGTTGAAATCACTAAGTACTAGCGGTTTAGGCAAGAGTTCCATCTTTGCCCCGACCTTATCAACGAGCTTCTTGGCCATCTTCGGGGTCATAGAAAGGGAAATATCGGCTCCAGTATCACAAAGAGCGTGAGTCTTAAGACCAATGCCATCGACTAACAGGTTGACCCGTTTGGTGAATGTATTTGATTTTGGTGATCTGCCGACTTTAGCTAATTGTGGTATATGGGCTATCGAGGAGACTTCCGATAGCCGAACTAGTTTTCCGACTCTAACGATCCTGAAGATTCCGACGAAGTGTCGGCAACAGCGGTCCCGTCAAGGTCAGAGCTTCCTTCATGATCGAAGCTGGCGAGGAGACTGGCCATAACCTTGCGATCAGGACATTTGCGAGCTTGGTGTCCTGGCTTCTTGCACACAAAGCAGAGGTCGGCTGCCTTCAGGGTTTCCACCTCCTTCTCTAACAACCGAGGGTTGGCTGGAGTTGCCGAGACCTCCTTCTTATATTCCCTCGAGCGGCGGCGAGGTTGGCGGTTCTCCGTTAAGGGTCGCTCCTTTGAGGGTCTCTCCTTCGACTCCTTGAAGGTCTTGCTTTGCTCGTAGGCTCTCTTCTTGGCCAGGGCTGAGTTGGCTACCTTGACCACAAACGATTCGTAGGAGATATCAGGGCTCTCGGAGGCGTCGAAAAGTTCAACGTTCAGGTTGGCCGGGATATGCTCGTACAACGTGGTCTTTCGGTCCGCCTTTGCGATATTTGCCTTATCGGCCAGGCTATTGATCTTACCGATGAACTGGTGAATGTCCATCTGTTTATCGCGGGGGTCGTACATCAGGTTACGTAGCTCCTCCCGAGCTTTCGATCCCTGGTTACGGTCGTGGTAGACTGCCTGTAGGCTAGCGACCATCTCGGCCACACTAGCGAATGGGTATTCGGTTGATTGGTATCGGCTAGAGAGGAGGTCGTTGGCGGGTCCTCTGGTTGCGGCGTGGAGGACGGCCATACGGCTACGTTCGGTCTTGAAGGTAGTATTGTCTTCCTCGAACTTGTCTGCTAGGGTGATGACCCAATGGTCGAATTCGTCCTTGTTACCCTGGAAAATACCGGGGTCGACTCCGACTTTGCGGGACTTTGGGTTGTAATCAGGGTTCGGGGCTCTCTGATCGGTGCCGTAGGCTTTGAACGCAGGGTACGCGGCGAACCCGGTTGGGGTGAAACGCTCGCCTCCGAAGGCGCTATTGGCAGAGGTCACTTCGCGAGCGGCGCTGGATTGGCGAATGGGTGTAGAGGAGCGGGCATTGAGCTCGGCTTGGAGCCGGGCAATGGTGGCTTGAAGTTCTGTAGTGGTAGGCGTGGGGGAGGCCATGTCTGCGGTTGTTGATTGTGGGGTGGGTGTACCTGTGGCGATCATCTCGTCGTCTGTTGGTGCGGGGCGGAGGTTGTAATGGGTTAATTGTCGGTTGACTTCCGATTGTTCGGTGAGGATGCTGGAGTTCGTTATCTCGACTTCGACAGAGGCGAGAGATGTATCTTGATCAGGGTCTCGCGTGGTAACAGCGGGCGATCTGCTTTCGGTGTTGCTGTTGGTAGTGACAGGTACTTTTGACTCGGGGTCACTGGGGTCTTCGGCGGGCTTCTTTAGCTCTGGGCTCGAGGGTGTATCGAGGACGGTGTCGTCTGGCACTTTGGCTGTGATACTCGATTCTCCTGTTGGGGTCCGGTCGCTGCTATCTTTTTTAGAGAGTCGATCGGATTTGCGTGTCGGTGGGCCGTAATCTTTCTTCGGCGGCATTGACTGCGCGGGGTTTCTGTGCCTTAGTTTTGCGTCGTGTACAGCCGACGTAGGGGTTGCAAATGAATGCGGGAATGAGGGAGATATATTTTACTTGCTTCGCCAGCAAGGAAGAGAAGAGTTTAGAATTGTGTCACGACCAGGGCAAGGCATTGAGGTGAACTCAGTCCATTGGGTACTATCGACGAAGATTCTAAACTGAGGAGGGAAAGAAGGAAAAGTCCGACAACGCGTCGCGTGCTCGCGAATAAGTTTGCATCTATCAGTGGGGTAGGTGGGGCCTCGAGGAGGCTTCTGATAGGCCCGTGGGTTCTGGGCGGCTCTGGCTGCTTCAGGGCCAGTTTGGTGGACGGGTCCTCACAGACGCTAAGAGTAGGCCCGTGGAATGGATGGACATGGAATGGAAATACGTGGACGCTAGCTATAAAGGGACGATACACGTGATCCTCCCCCCTGTTGCCTCCCGGGCTTCCGCAAAGCTCAACTCAGCCAACAGACCAGTCCCTGGCGCCTTGGCTTCTTCAAGAAGCTTCTCTGTACTCTCGATATATCCCCCACGAAGCCATGATCTCACTGTCTGTGTCATCCCGATCGTACTAGCGTCCAGCCTAGCTCGTTCGTCTCGAACCATTCGCCCGCATGTTGAGAACAGTCTCTCGACATCAGCAGACATAGGAAGGACAGAAAGCACATCGAGAGCCATTTGCGACAGACGTGGATACTCTTCCCGCCTCTCATACCAATAGCTAATAGGATCTAGGACATTCTGGTCAGACTTATGGACGTCGCGGAACCAATCGCTGTATTCGTCGCCAACAGAATGAGCTGAACCGCCGCCCACGTCCTCAGCTTGTAACAAGGGAGTCGTCGATGAAGGTAGCTGTAATAGAGTCGGGGCAAGACGGGATTCTTCACGATACTCATCAAAAGGATTCCGATATATGCGCCGCTTCTTCATGACTGGCTCGCCGCGGTCTCGATCCCGCGAGATAGTTCGCCACTCGTAGTGAGACCGGTATAGTCCCTCTACAACGGATTTTGCAGTCTGGATCCAGTCCGGGCGATCCGCCCAGACGTCCTCGAAATATCCCCAACGGTACGCCGGGTGAAGTGTAATGGCGGCGTAATAGACCGGTGTCACGGCACGGCGGTAGGAGCTGAAGCCCTACGGGTGCGTGACCATATTATAACCCACTATAGAATTGCAGCCTGACGGCTTGTAATTCTGGCATCCTTTTGGGGGTTCTGGTGCAGCGGTAGTGGGTGCTGTAGCTAGCGCCGTCACAACCGGCGTCTCGTCAAGCCGCGAGTAGTACCTGTCAAGCTTCTTCCAACAGAGGTTAATATTAACCTTGAAGTGTTCAGGATCGGGATATCGATGAGCGGTAGCCTTGTATATCTCCATTTTACCAAGGAGGTATTCGTAGCCAAGCAGGATATCCCATGGACACCCATACGCTTCGATGTATCCTTCTTTCCGCTTGCGCTGCTGACCATCGCCTTCGAGAGTAATCAGGACGTGCTCGAAGTGTTGCAGGACCTCGTTAAATAAGGAGATAATAGCCCAGTCTTTCTCTCCAAGTTTGTTCTCGTCCCTGAGGCAAAGTGGCACGTCGCTGTTTGACTTCTTTCCCCTCAATACCAGCCCCTCCCACTCGCTTTTCTGTTCGTACCAAAGATCCTGGAGGAAGTCCTTTAAGAGAAGGGCACGCCGAATCATATAAAGAGTGGATAGCCAACGGGTGACCACATCGGTGATAACATCCAGAGGTTTCTTCGCTCGAGTCGCCGGATCATCAGACTTGCTATACGCGGTAAGCTGAAGAAATCGAAGGTGACTGGTCAGAGTGTCTGAACGGTGGATCCAGAAGACGAGGTTATGGAGTTTCCCAACCGGTCCTTTTCGTCTCCATAGCTCGTGGAGTTTCGCGTCAGGTGCCTCGTTCCCTTGAATATCGTCCTCGAAAGCCTCGGAATCATGGCCAAAGAGAAGTGCTTTGACGGCAAGATTGAGGATGTGGCCAAAGCAGCGTAATCGCCGAGTTTTACCCTCAAAACCAAGCGCCTTCCCAATTTCTTCCATCGCCGTATCGTTATTCTTAGCGTTGTCGAGTGTGAAATATCCCACCTTATGAGCTATGTCGTAGCTTCGAAGGACCTCGACAACATGGGCGGCGATATTGTCGCCAGAATGGCGGTCGACCAGCTCAGGAAGGCCGAGCACGAGTTTTCCCGGCTGGCCAAGGGTGTTGAGAAAATAGCAACAGATTCCATACAAAGCGTGGCGATTATTGGACCTCCAGCCATCGAATGCAATATGAATTGACCCCGGGGCTGCCGCTAATACTCGCTTGATCTCCGCCTTGTTTTCCCCGTACACCTGAAGAATCCGCCTGCGGACTGTATCGTGCGTAATATGCGCTTCGGTTGTCCTTACGAGTGGATTGAGATACTCGAAAGCGGCACGGAGGTATGGATCTTCAGTTTGTCGGAAAGAAGAGTTGCTGTTGATGATCCATGAGACAACCAAACGCTGGAACACTAGCCGATCAAAGCGGCCAATGATCTGGTTTGCGATCTGCTGCTCTCGCACATCATGAGTATCCAGCTTCATCATCTCGGCTATATTCCTCGATGGTGTCTTCTCCTTTGCTTTGCTGGGCGGTCTCCGCTTTCCGGAAGGGTCATAGACCTTGTGGTCATTCCAGAGATGGATCTCCGCGTTCTGCGTACCGCTTGAGGCTGTCGAATGAGGGTTGGGCTTGCGACTGTCAACACAGACCTTGCAAACCCATCGCCGTTTTGTATCATCGTCGCTCTTCTCAATATCGTAGCCGAATTGCCATATCCATGATGATGTGGACGCGCAGCGTTGAGATTGCGTGTATCCGGGAAAATCTTTCCAAGGGAAGAGGTCCCACGAGTCCTTCCGACTCTCCTGATCTGGCGACTTGAGAGCCATAGAGCTGATAACCGGCGTCTTAGCCATTCTACGCGGTACTCATCGAGAATGGACTTGTCTGGACGCGTTCGACGCGACACCTTTGACGCGAAATGTCCAAGACCCATGGCTGTTCTATTCTGTTTAAAGATACCTTTATTTGTATATGGAAATGACCGTATTATAGGTACCTGAGATCTCGGCCAACCATGACCAAGCTTGTTTCCACCTGAATTGCAGGGGTATTGAGGGGCCAGACCAGGACCACCCCTACCCTTTCACACCCCTGCTTCCATTTCCACGCATCCACTCCACGGAGCCCTCGCGTGGATGGATGGATTATGTAACGGGCAGGCCCGTGGAATGGATGGAAATGGATGCACGGACCATCCATTTCCACGGCGTGGACGCGTGGACCGTGGACGTGGAATGGATCGCCAGCCTGGTGCTACCAGCGGCTACACAGGCTGCTAATTATGAAACCATGGATCCGCAGACGCCACTGCCTCCTCAAGAAAACCATCAATCTCGGCTGTCTAGGCTGCTATTCCTTGCATGGCCTCCCTCGATCACTGGTAAGCAATGCTGACGATATTTTTGGAAAGCTCCTTTACCTCCGGCTGCTCGAGGAATACAAGTCTGTTAAGCCGTACCTGATCACGTTCGACGTCAATGAGTTCGGCTAAGATGTCGAACAAACCAACCTCGGACTTGAGCCGGGGCTGACCCGCTTTTGCGATGTCAAAATCTCTGGCCAAAGCTTGGACCTGGGTGTGACGGGTTCGAAGTTGCGCACTTCCCGTCTTCTATCGCGCCGGAGAAGTGCGAAGACGACGATTATGTCCGTGAGAACTATTACCCTGAAGCCACTCGGTTTCTCCGGGCGAAATTTGCCCCAAAGCTTGAGGGTTGCACGTTTTGAACCACAAGGCGCGTTACCCATCGGCCGCATCTTCTGTGGCCCCTGACCCCTGATTCTATAGAGTTTGTCACCGCTTGTAGCTAGCGTTCTACGGCTTCAAGCTCTGAAGGCGCAGCCCTCAGTTCCTAACGCTGGTTCTTCAAGATATCAAACCCTACAGCTAGTCACCCTACAGCTAGTCATCCTACAGCTAGTCAACAAAGCACATGCCGGTATTTGCCTTGCCCACATAGGACGATCCATCTTGCCAAGTCACCTAGCACTTACCATCTTGGCTAATATTAGTCACCTAGCACTTACCGTCTTGGTCAATATTAGTCACTTACCATCTCGGTCAATATTTAGACTATTCGCCTAGCAGGGCACAGACAACAATGCAGGACTTGGTGGATCGAAACCCGCACCTCAAAGGTCTTCCATACAAGGTCATCAAGTATGCAAACACTCGCGGCGTCTAATCTCCCGGCATACCTACTAAAGCCGGTGTTTCTCTGAGAATGAAGCATTTGGAGAGTTTTGCACGGCCTAGCCACGACTGGCCGCTTGCTCTGTGTGACTGCACGACAATTGACCTCAAAGACATTGAATTCATGGGCTACGTCGGACGTGAAGGTGTCACTGAGGGACTGGAGGTTTACCACAACCCGGATCAGATCTGGTATTTTGCGGACAAGCAACTTCCCGAGGGGGTTATTGTGTTCTGCAACACCGATAGCCAATCGTTGGAAGTTCCTTGCAAGTTTCAATATGTCCAATTACCTCCCGCACTAGCCTAGACCTGACGAATTGCTAGTATCTCCCCACGCGGCATTCGACTACCGGCAGACGAGTCCGTTAGGCGTCCAAGGGAGAGCTTGAATCCGCGTAGCATGCTTCTTTCAGCATTCTGTCTAGTTCACTTGATACCTAGCTGGAATAGCACTGCTAGCTACGGATTTTCTGCCGCATTGACTTTCCGCTGTTTTTAAGAGTCTCGCGCATGCAATCAATAAGTCAAGGTGGATTGCCATATGCCGGAGTGTTTCCTCTCCTGTCTCTTTTCTGTGGCTTTCCCTCCCTCTTTGCCAACGGCGTGGCTCCCTCGCGCTCAGTGCCGTCCATGGTGCCTGACAGGGGTTGAGGAAATCCTGGACGAAGATCCGGGGCCAGGATCCATTCAGTCGCAGGCTCCTCATTAGTATGTCTACCGATAGCTAGAAGGGGCAGGTAGGAATCGAGCTTCAATACAAGTGTAGGTTGTTATATAGTATGTGTACGGATCGGTAAATGGCAACTTTAGCCGAGGTGGCCAGAGACGCGGCACGGGGGCTGTGCAATACACACACCAGGCTCACCACACCTAAGCCCTATGTTCCATGACCACAGTCACCACACCTAAGCCCTGTGTTCCATGACCACAGTCACCACACCTCAGTCCTGTGTTCCATGTCCACAGTCACCACACCTAAATCTCTCCCATGTCGTGCAGCTTCCTGCGGTCGCGGTCTTTGGCCTTCTCCGAGACATGAGGGTTGTTGATGGCCGCCTTGTAGCCGCCGGCACTGCACAGAACAATCTCGTCAGCACTGGTCCACTCAAGGCCGTTCGAAATACCGCAAGCAGATGGACAAAACTCACACATTGCCAGGGTTCTTGCTATAGTCAAGCTCACCCGCAGCCTCAGCCTCATCCTTGGCCTCAGCCATGGCCCTCGAATAGGCACTGCTGTGGCTCATGGTCGACGGGTCTTGCGCGGGCGCGGTAGAGTGGCTCGTCTTCTTCATGGGTCTGGTAGGCGTAGCATGGAGCGTAGTCGCCGGTGCCTGGACCGTGGCGGCGGGCGCTGACTCGCCGCTCGCACTGCCCGAGTCGTGGCTGCGCGTCGACCTGCTCATGCCGTACGTCTGGTGCGCGCCTCCGGAGGACTGGGCCGGCGCTTCGTGCGCCATTCCCGATGCCGACGGCTTGTGCATGCCTGATGATGACGACGACAGCGAGGCCCTGCCCATGTCCGAGGCGCTCTTCTCGATGACAGGGCGTGTAGCGGGCGTTACTTTCGCTGGGGTTTCGACTTCGATGTCCCCGGCGTATTGCTCAGTCGACGACGCGTTCGATCCTCCCATGTCGACACCAAACTCGTTCTCCAGGATCTCGCGGTCACGCTGCTTGGCCTCTTCCGAAACCCGCGGGTTTTTGATGGCCGCCTTGAGGCCTCGCTCGCGGTGTCCCGGGTCGGCCATGGCTAGAGTAGGGCGAGAAGTGTATGTGTGTTTGGAACGGCCGAGTGAGTTTCGAGGACCAAGGTTAGCTGCAGGAGTTCTCTCTTCCCTGTGTGCATTAACCATGGTGGCTTCTATATACTGAGCCTGGCTTTCCCCCCCTTCCACGCTGTGATCAACATCTGACGTGACTTCTCTGTCGTGCTAAAAGGACCTCGAGTCCGCAAAGCAATAACTTAAAACTTGGAGTGCATCATTAAGTGGAAACCGCAAACTCAGACTCGGAAGATGACGTCTGCTTTTGTAATTTTCAGTCCCCAACAAGGAGAAATCCTCCAAGTCCGTCATCGAGTCGCGCATAGGTATAGAGATGCCATGTTACCTTGATTGCATCCCAAACGGCCAAGTCTCGTCAAACTCGAGCGCCGCATGCGGCTGGTGAACCCCGAGCGCGCCGACATGGCTAGCCTCGTCCCACCACACGAGGCCATCAAACTGCTCCGGCAGAACCGCATACGAGTAGTGCGACTGCCGCTCAGTCTGCGGGGAATAGATAACGTCGATGAGCCTCTCGAGCCGCTTGTTCATCAGCGTCTGCCTCAACTCATCCTTGCACCGGCCCGCCCTGAGATCCAGCTCGAAGTCCTGGACGGCAGTCGCGTGCACGAGCTGCTCGTAGCTGTTGGGCAGCCCGGGCTTCACCTTCATCACTTACTGCTATTGTGCGCCCAGACGATGGCCTTGGACTCGAAGTGCTGGCTTCGGTATTTGAGGACGCACGCGAGCGTGTCGAACATGTTCGTGCCGCGGAGGTTCCACGACTCGTCGCGCGCATAGTGCATTGCCCTGTAGTAGTGCTCGGCATCTGTTGTTGCACGGTACATTAGTCTCTCTTCTCCACGCCGGGGGTTGACTTACCTCTGACGAGTCGCGAATTGCTCGGCGCTGTGGAACTTATCACCGCCCTAGTTCGCTGCTGCATACTCGAGTCTCTTCGCCAGCAAGTCTTGGGGTCGCGCCCCGTGTTCGCGCCCCGTGTTCGCGCCCCGTGTTCCAAGCCCGCAGCCACTCGGGGAAGTGCTGCACCTCGGCGTTGCGCCACATCCACGTCGGGAAGCGCAGAAAGGCGGGCTCGCGGCCGGCTGCTTTTGCTTTTACTTGTGCCTGGCTCGACGCTCATTCGAGGTCCCGGGCCGTGCCGTAGGCGCACGTATCGGTCGACGGCCTCGGCATCGGGCCAGTCCGCCTCGACCGCCTCGGCATCGGGCCAGTCCGCCTCGACCGCCTCGACCGCCACGATGTTTAACCCGTGGTGCTCGATCATGTGCTGCGTAAGAGGTGTCGTGCGAAGCGTCGCCGATGAGCAGGATCCTAGTGGGTGCGGCACTGAAGCTGTCGAAACACCGCCCGAAGGTATCGCCCGTGTCGTCGCGCCCGAAGGCATCGCCTAGTCGTCGATTGATGTGAATGGGGTCACATTGGTTTGGAGGAGGCTGATGGCGGGGTTGAACGCGTGTCTACTATCATTCGACGTGTTCGGTTTTGATGCCGATTCCTTGTGTGTGCAAGCGTCTGTGGATGCTATCGTGGGCAATTCTGTACGTGCCTTGGTGAAAGTCTCGTGATGCATGCGCTGGTTTCTGTACAAGGTACTCTTTGTGCACGACATGGGTGTGCAGTGTCTGCATAACAAAAAAATCGATAATGGGGCTGGCAAGATGTTTTTGATCGGCACTCTTGGGAGACGAGTGGTGGTAGAACACTCCAGAGTTCCAGGCGACTTCTCCGCCCGAGTTACAGGACTCCGTATCCTACACATAATAATCATAGACTACCCGCTCATGCCGACATAATTCAGGGCGGAACAGGGATCATAGACTACTCGCTCATACCGACATAATTCAGGGCGGAACAGGGATCATAGACTACTCGCTCATACCGACCTAATTCAGGGCGGAACAGGGTTATTTTGTATGAAATAATCATACACAAGCTACGGATAATCTAGGCTATGACTCGCTTTAATTATGCAGTTGGCTGCTTTTGCTTTGATGTCTTCCAAGATAATCTCGACGATGGCCGCGACATGATCCAAGTACCTGAGGTAAATGTAGATCGATGGCTAGGCCTAGGTATTGACGTGGTATTTACACCTGGTAATTTTGTAATGGTTTGTTAATATGGAAAATCTGTCAACCAAGAGGTGGGGATTTATTTCACGTATGGGTGCCAACACATGCTGTATTTGGATTAAGGGTGAAATTAACTTGCTCGACCAACGATGCCGGGAAACCCCACAAAAACAGCGGTCGCCAGTGTGCAAAACTGTCCTACCAAGGCATACGTTGCCCTCTCCGTCCTGGAATTAATCACTTCCAAAAATTCTCCTTAGCAGCTGCCATCTGGCATGTCATGGGATAACATGGTGCTTGTCGTCGGGCTAATGTTTCTTTTGACTGATGTTAAGCTTCATGTCAGCTTAGTTAAAACTTGGAAATTAATTATCTGGACCATTTACTTTGATACACTGACGATCAAGCTATGCGGCTAGAGCTCGCGCTACAGCTTTGTCGTCTACTCGCCTACAGCACGCACACCCAGGATTTGTTCGACACGACCATCGACCATCGACCTTCGAAAATGGGCTGAGGCTCTAGAATGCGCCAAGTGCGCAGTGAATCAGTGTAATTACGTACAGTATCCCTATACAGGCGCGGCCTTGCTGCCTTGATATCCAACTCACCAGATGCCTGGCTTTCGCGGACAGAGTATCGAGACGCTCGTTCTGTGCGTCGTTCTCATTTCTCATTCTTTTCATAAGATCCTTTTGGATACCGACTGCTTAGTGATAGCTAGGCAGCCCAGAATTCAGCAGCTGTAAAAGTAATAGGCGTTTGTAAAGCCTATTGGAAACCCCGTATTATTTACCATCAATTTCATCCCGTCCTGTTTCTTATGACGGCACAAATTTTTTCAGTCGGGCACGATTGGTGAAAAGAAAAATCTACGTCTTCCCTCGTTTTCCTTTCCCTTTGATTTTTCAGGCCCTTCATCCCCGAACTTTCTCGTCTTCACCACACCTCAATTCCACCCACCCAAACCTACAACACAAGAATACGACACCATATTGCACGATGAAGCCAGCCCAGGATAAACTCAACGGCCCCAAGATTGTCCGGATACGGGGTTACCTGCAGCGCGTGCTGTGGGAGCGCAAGGACGACTTGGCTCGCAAGCCAGCGCTACGGGCGCAGTATGAGAGATGTTTGCGCTTCGTAAATGAGCGCCTGAAGCGCAATATTGAGGAGAGATGGGTACGCATCGCCGGTTTTATTTCTACACATTGCTTCCAAACACTCCTACCAACAATGCCGAGCGAGGAGTACTGCTCGAGGGTTGGCTGTGAATCAAACAGCTTAGGGAGTTACCTCACCTATACATCTATCTTCCTCTATCACCAACATCTTTCCACCCCGTCTCTCGCCACCCGCCCACCGCTCAATTCCCACTCCCGGCAACTAGCTTCGCTCGCGTTACCATTCCCCAGAGCATCGGCGGGAGTCGACTACGCTTGAATACAGAGCATCGACGGGAGTCAACTACGCTTGAATATGCGAGAGTACCTTAGTGACCTGCAAATTTTACGTAGGTGAGACTAGAGGCAATCGTGGGAAAGCCCCGGCCCGTGCTGTTCGCCGAACAGGCGGCGGAGAGAGCTGCTGCGCCGGAGGGCCAGGCGGCGGCCAAACCCGAGGACGGCCAGCAAACAGCTGAGCCCGAGGGTGGGGTCGCGGCTGAGCCTGAGGGCCAGAAAGGTGACGACGCAGAGGGGCCGGCCCTGGCCGCAAACTAGGCGGCCAAGAAGAAGAAGCACCGAGCTGGAATGGTAGAGAGACGAAGGTACGTACCATGATTCATGTCATGTCGAGGACGGAAACGTCTGCGTCCGTCCGCATGCTTATAATTACATGCTTTGACTGACAGATAGTTTCAAAGGTGCGCGATTAGGATTTTCCCTCTCCCCCCCGGCACTTTTCTCATCACCATCTTCTCTCATTTCGGTGGTCGGGCTGGGCAGACTTGTTCTGGCTCTGGCGATTTTCCAATCAAGTCTCGCTTGCTTAGCAACAACAACAAGGTGCCAACACAATACGGCTTTACCTTTTAATTCCGGCGGAACAGATACCGACTGAGTACAGCCCTAATGACTGTCAATCCGGCGGTCGATGTGAAGCTTCGTATACTATGCTCCTGAGTCAACACAAGCAGGCGATGGCTTGATGAAAGACTGTGGGCGACATCAGTAATGGTAGGCAAGTAGATCTTTCCCAGCTACGATCTCCTCGATAAGTGTGCTAACCGTCATATAGAGGGGAGGTATATGAGATAGGCTGTCTAACTCCGCCAATGCATCGAGATTCCGAAACAAGATGCCGCGAAATCTCCACGGATATAGTCCGACATGGTACGATCGGGTGTGCAATTATCTAGATTTGGGCGTTGGGCACTGGGGCGGGATGTTATTTCATGCTAGTTTTCAAAAAGCTGCGAGGCCCGCGGTGATGGATTCTCGAAGTTTTCTTTTGCAAGGAGCTGCACCATGTCAAGTAAAAGAGCTTCGAAGGATTACTGTTCGTGGTATTCCAACCACGTAGGTGTTCCAACGGGTCAAAAAGTGGTAGTACTACCGGGGGGGGGGGGGGGGGGGGTGTAAAGTTGTTCTGATTCTTTCTCTCTCTGGAACTAAGGTAGGTTCTGCTTGCGACCGGGGTTTTTGTGTGTGTGTGTGTGAGGTCCGCGCGCCGCACGTGCCTACTTGCACGTGCGTACTCGCGCGATCTCTGCTTCCTCCCTGCTAGTGTGCGGTCACCAGTATCGCTATTCCAACAATTACACTTGTGTTTTGTGGAGCTCCTTTTCCAGTTGTATTTATTCCCATAATCCCGACACAGTATCATGACCTAACCCAGTCCTGGCCACACATCCATGGAATTTGACCCCGCAGAACGGCCGGTACGACAGGCCGACTGGGGCACCAGCCACCGCCAACGCATCTGGGCAGGCCGGCGGCCGGCCCGAAACGACTGGAAAGAAGGAGACATCGCCTTCCTCAAACCCGCCTCCGCCTTCACCGAGCAGGAGTGGGACATGTTGATGAAGCCCACAGCGGGGCGGCGGCGGCGGGACACAATCCCGGAAAAGGCCACGGACCACCCCGTCATCATCCTACGGCAGCTCTCAGAGAAGTCAACCTACGTCATGGTGACCACCGTCTCGGCGTACGGATGTAGCGATGCCACCGGCTACATGCCGCCCTGGAAGCAGGAGTTCCACCACCACAAGCTGCCCGAGGACTTCCGCTCCCTCTACGGGTGCGAGCGTTCTAGCACGAGCCCCTACATCTCCAGTACGGCTGCCACATGCCCAAGCCCCGGGCTTCGTGGGTGTACATCCAGAGCATCTGGGCCGTGCCACTGACCGTCATCAGCGGCTTCGACAAGGCGCGGCACCTGCTGCGGATGGAGCTGGCGAGCCTCGAGGGCCTGCAGGAGCACATGAACCCCAAGTGCACCCGGTGAAGGAAGTGCGTCAAGGAACTCTATGATCTGGAGCCCCGCGGCTCCGCGGTTCAAAGCTGGAGAGGACTCAGAACTAGCAGTGCCATCACCCGAAGCCCATCGGCCAGACTCCCACTCGCCGCCAGGGGGACGTGGCGGCCAACTACAGCACCTCTGCTAGCAGCAGAATCAGCAAAAACAACAATAACACCGCCACCATCGCCGCCATCGTCGCTAAAGACGACCGCCGCAAAGTCTCTTCGGAAGAGCTGCGGTGCCACCGCCGCCGCCTCGCTCACCACCGGAGCTGGCGCTATCCAACGCCGCCCTGGTTTTGTCTGAAGCTTTTAGGCAATCACAAGCCTGGTCCTAGGGCTGGAATAGAACGGCAAGCTTCAGAGTTCCTGAAACGCGCGGCCTTGGGGGATTTGGCTTTTGCTTGTGCCGATAAAGTTTTGATTTTTGGATAATTAATGTACCTAGACGGCTTACAGAGCCAATGCGAGAGGAGGTGCCGTTTCAAGTTGGTGTTTAGGTTCAATATGGTGACGTCCTTCCGGAGGAGGGCTGGAGATAACATCAACTGTCTGGGATGAGAGTTTCTTACTTGACATTCTTGACGATTTACCGCACCTCCCCAACGGCTAGCACCTACCCAACGGCTGCGGCAAACCAAGATGCTTGTCAAACGGCGGCACTCACTTTCCACGGGCCCGGACCCCAAATAAAGGGAAAGCGGCCTACTGATGCTTTTCAAAGAAAATTAATTATTGGTATCATGGCTTCCCGCTGCGCACTGAAAGAAACTTGGACTATATCAACAGACTGGATGATTACTGTTGTGTCATACCATAGCAGCACCCTCTGGGGGTCCTCCACCAGTTTCAGGATGGCAGTGGGAAGTCTCGAGGCAACTATTAAAGTTTGACCGCAACGGCTGTGCAGAGAATTGAGATTGGTGTAACATATAAACTACAGCAGTGGAAACAAGTGGTGCTGCCGCTGGTGTTAACAACAATCAATCAGTTAAGGCTTCTCGGCGTCGCTTTCCACCCTGTTCCTTTTCTTTCACGATCTATTTATGTCACGACAATAGGGATTAGTAGGCAAAGCAGGACCTAGAAGCTGCCACTTGATTGTTCGCCACTAGATTTTGCCACTATTCATAACTATAAGGAGAGACTTTTGGCCCTTCCAAAGGAAACAAAAAGACAGACCTTTTGAGACAATTCAAGCTTTAACTCCTGTATCAAATGCTCCATTTCTGTTGCCATGTCTTGTACGTGATCGAATTTGACAGCGCATTGAGTTGTCCGGCCAAATAGATCTAAAAGTACAGAAAAGAACGCTTTATACTCGCTGGGAGAAGGCTGGGGAAGTGTTGTAATCAGCCCGAAATGAGGGCATTCCAAATGAAATGAGAGCATTCCGAGGCTAAGAATGAAGTACAGAGGCATGCTAACCAGGGCCTTGAAAAGAACGGTATGGAATGGGTTGTTCTTGTCACGGCCACTGTCACGGTCGCCACTAGGCACATGACAAGTTAGATTCTATTAGCCGTATTGTATTTAGAGTGGTCTGTACGCGTCGCCACCCACGTGCTCGGCACCACCACCCACTTCCCCGCGCCCTGCGCGGTCCCTGCGATAGATTCTTTCTTTTCCCTCCTTGGCTTTAAATCCACATTCGTTACTGCATTAGATCTTTGACTTCCTATTCGGGCCGTCACAGTGCCTATAGGTGTCTGCTGTAAGGAAAGGACACCCCAAACACCAGCCGCGCGCACAGGGTGCGCGCTCACCACCTGTTACCAACTGGCCGGAACACTGTCAGTTGGCACAAGCCACTACGCCACGCCATGGCGCCCCGGGCCTGAGCCCCTGAGCACGTATATAAACAGTGGCCCTCGCCCACCTTCCTTTGCGAGGGCCAGGTTGAATTCTCACACCAATACTACTCATTGCTCGCCCACCTTCTTACCTGCATTGTGGCCACCTTGATCCGGCGTACCTGCCTTCTCTTACAGTAGATATATCGAGCACCTTCTTTTTTATCTAATTACGCGGATATACTCTTCGAGTAGATGTATCAAGTACCTTCTTTTTATCTAATTACGTGGCGGTTTCTTTGGGTAGAATATTGAGTACGTTTCTTTTTTATCGGGATTACGCCGATATAGCCTCTCGGCGCGACGACGACTTCAATAACCTTTCGGGGCGACGTGATAATTAATACCTTTCAAGGCGACGAAAGAATATATTAATATCTTTTCGGGCCGCCACTATAATCTGATACCTTTCGGGCGACGGAATACCTTTATTTAATAGCCTTTACGGGCGACGACGGAACGCCCTAGTTCTTTATTTAACGACTTCCCTTACTTATTATAATAAGTAGACGACTTAATACTCTATTTTAGTTTAACTGCTCAATCACATCCAACAGAAGCCGAGTCTGTCCAAGACCGTGTCGCCCCAAGTCCCGGCCGTCGACTTGACCTTTTCGTTGGTAGCCGATTGGTAGAATACCTGTACCCGCACTGTCACGAGCCTTGGCAGGGCAAACCATAATGGCCCGTGCGCTCTCGGCACCCCACTATACCCCCGCACCCTCGATCGTACCTCTGTAGACTTTCTTTCTTTCTTTCTTTACTTTTAGAATCTTACGACAATGGTATAGCCATACTAGCGACTCTTCTTCCTAGATGCTGTTGACCGCCGTCACACGCACGGCATTGGCAGGATTTGGTAAGTCAATGTGGTTGAATGCAGATAGGGTCTTCGGGTCTACACTGAATGGATCTGTGGAGGGGTTGCACCACACGTGATGAATCACATGCGCACTAGCCTCGCCTTGAGTATCTAGACTAGAGTTAGCTAGCTAATGCACACATTTTCCAACAGGCTATGAAGCCCTCCTTTCGCTTCCATTGGAGCTATTCTATTACAAACCACTCGACTGTTAGGGTCGTCTGTCTGTAAGGGAGCACGGGCTCCACAGGATGCTGGGGTTGGTAATTATGAAGATAGAACAAAGGGCAAGCTCCTATCGCACGGGTAATACAGTCAAATCAGAATGCCACTCAAAGTGTATGAGTGCAGTGAATGTGTATTGCTTGCTTGAAGAACCAAGCAAGAACTATCTAAGACCGTGGCTACGGCCGTCGTATATATCAATCTAAGGTGGGCCAATCAGAGTCCTCCCTTTACATGCTCAGCCGTGCTCACTTGCACTCAGGGTGCCTTTGAGCACTCAGCTCCGCCGTGCTTGGTCGCGCTCAGTGTGTCTTGGAGCCGGCCCCACTGAGCACTCCCTAATTGGATGCACCTGGGCAAGAAGGTGGGTCCAACCCCACTCCTTGCTGGCCAACCACGCAAGAGCCCGTGACGCATCCTGCACAGAGGGCCAGGATCGTAACATTCGCAACTGCTTTCTGGTGCATTCGAGAGCGCATTGAGCGATTAGTCAATTAACAACCTGAACGCGTAGTCTACGCTTTCTGCGCGCGCAAGGCACAACTGCCCTGCAACCGCGTTCTGAGATCGTAGTCGAGCGACTGCGAGCTAATTTGACGGCATTTCCGATCGCCAATTCCTTTCTACTTTGATGGCATTTCCGATCGTCAATTCCTTTCTACTTTGACGGCATTTCCGATTGTCAATTCCTTTCTACTTTGACGGCATTTCCGATCGTCAATTTCTTTCTACCTTGGCGGCATTCCCGATCGTCAAGCGGAACATTTCAACAAGCGCTGAAGCCTATCGACAACACCAGTTAAACCAATTCCTGACTACGGAGTCATCCCAGGATGAAGTCAACTGACGCCCGCGGTAGCCTCAAGATTGAGGCTATCGCCCTACAAGGCGAAAAGAATATTAGCCAGTGGAACAACTCCCTCCTCAGCGTCCTCGAGGTCCAGGGACTAGAGAAATACATCGAGGAAGATATCGCCGAGCCTGTGGCGCCTCAGGGTGCAACCCAGGCAGTCATCGATGCTGTCGCTCTCCTTGAACTTGTCCGAGTCGATGAAGGAGCCCTTGCCAGACCCGCCGATCGTGCCATATTTTATCGATAAGCTCCCAGAGACATTCATATCGTCCGTGACCTCACTTAAGCGGCATTAATTCTATACCAAGACTTAAAGAGATAGAGGAGCAGACGAAGGTATATGATACGTACCTGATCTTGTTCATAAAGCGGGAACTGTACGAAACAATCTGGCTCGGGCCTCGCTGAGAGAGCTCGTGCTTGGCACTATTTGGATTTGTGCCTTTCATACCCATCCCAGTCGCTTTGAGACGATCAAGTCGCATCCGCTGCTTCTCAAGGAGCAAAGCGTCCTCCCTCGTTTGGTCGCTATTTGGGTCAACTGCATTTTCAATGTCAGACGCAGAGAGATCTCAACGCAAACAGCTTCAATCGAACAACGGTAACATCTTGCACTCACACCAGCCCATTTCGATGGACAAAGTCCACATATGCTCCATTATCGATTTTCCCCAAACATCAAAGCATGAACCTGAGGCTGTGAGGTGGTTGGCCAATGCACATGTCGGCGGTTGCATGCACCGGTACGCACCTGTCCGCGCACATCCTGCTAGTCTGGATTTCAGCCTGGATTGAACAATACTTGGGGAAATGCATGATAAAGAGATAGGGGTACTGGCTAGATAGGCAATAGACTAGGCGCGGTGGCTGCAGGCCAGGCTGCAGACAATCAATCTCAATACACTCAGACCAGCTCGGAATCAAATCGTGTGGTCAATCAGAGCTCCCATAGGAAGAGATACGGGGGCGGAATGTTGGGGAAGCAGGGGCAGAAGTTCAACGACACATCCCCCTACACCAGCCCTAATTCCAAAAAAAAAAAGGCGAGAAAACGAGGCCAAATGGTCTCGCTATATTTAGGATGAAGATAGAACCAAAACTAGCAGATGGCAGACCGTCCAATCTGAGAGCCCATGCGAAATGAGGCATCTAAATATGACGCTTTGCATAATCTAACTAGAGAGAAAACACGGCCAGGCCCACACGTATGTTCCTGTCCTCGGCATTTGGCCTTCCGTGCATCCACATAATTATCCGTTGTTACAAAGTTGACGGCAGCTATATATCTTATGTAGATTCCTACCTATCCAGGACATATTGTAGTTGAGGTTACGGTCATATAGCTGCTGTTGCCCAGAGTAGCAGGTAACAGTTATCTGTTTTGCGCCTGCTGGCGTAACGGCACACTGTTACAGGACATGAGTGCACTAGCTAATGAAGAGGCAAGGATGTTGCAGATTATGGCGGCGTGGGAGGCCACCTTTACTAAGAGTGTCAAACCTCTTCCGCTGCTGGTAGAGCAATGATCAGGTAGGGGCGGCGATATTATCGAGGAACTTGTGGGCACAGCATAATATAAGGGGCTTATTTATATAACAAGAAAAGCTCAAAGGGGCAATATTGTGTGCCTATCAACAACACATTCCGTGGCAGGGTCAAGGCGCTCGCTCACACACGCAAAGTCAGACCAATAAATCGTGGCACTTCCATAACATGAGCAGAAACCTTTGCAAATACGGGCGAACCGAAGTAGGGTGGGCGGGTAGCACAGCCCGTATTATTCCCCAACACTTCCACCAACGTCGCGCGCCTTGTACCGAATAAAGATTGGTACCTTAGGCTTGTCCAGACGATACCCATTCCGGTCCGGCCCCGGGAAAGGAACTTGCACCTTTGAGCCACTGCGATCCGAGGGCTCCAGGTCGAAGTTGGCAAGGAGTCGCGACACGACCATGGTGGTCTCCCACTTAGCAAGTCTCATGCCCGCTAATTAATCACAGTGATGCCCGAAGGGGACGCCGTATGGTTAGTTTCCCTGGTATTCAATACTAACGTGCAAGAAAAAAACGAAGGGGTAGAGGGAGGGGGAGGAGAGAGGGAGGGGGAGGAGAGAGGGAGGGGGAGGGAGAGGGGGAGGGGGATATCTGAAACTCACGGCAAAGATGGCGGCCCGATCCCCAGCCGACGTAGGTATGCGGCTCCTCTTGCTTCAGGTTTAAGTCGTCGTAGCTGCCGCCAACCTCGCGCGAGAGATAGCGGCCGGGGTTGAATGCTGCAGGGTCCGGATAGAGCGCGCTGTCCATGTGCACATTGTCGAGGTGGAACGAGGCGTAGGAGCCGTCGGGCACGACCTCGCCCGTGTCGCCGATGGGGATGGCGGTGCCGCTGGCGTTCTTGCGGAACATGGCGCCAGGCATGGCGAGGCGGATCGTCTCGCGGAACGAGGCGATGGTGACGGGAAACTCAGACTCCCACGTCTGCAGCGACAGGCCCTCGAGCACGTCGTCGGCTGACTGGCTCGGGTTGGCTCGGTGTTTTGCAACGACGGCGTCTACCTCGGCACGGCACAGCGCCTGCCACGCTGGGCTGTGCGCCAGAAAGACAGTCAGCCAGGAGGCTGTGCACCCTTGGGTCGTGATGCCGGACATGAGCACGCTGAAGAGGAACTGATACTCAGGGTTAGAATAAGACAGTAGATAATTTCTCTGAGAAAAAAGCTAACCCTGACGACATCCTTGTCCTGATCGAGCAGGAACTGGAGGGCGTCGTCTCGCCGTTTGCCGGCCTTGCGCTGCTTGACGACCTTTTCGATGGCCATGTACAAGATGGCGCCAAAGAACAGCTTCTTAGCGTGCGTGAGGGTGACGAGAGAGGGGAAGACGATACGGGTCCGGCTGCAATTGCTCTCAAAGCCGCAAAACGCCCAGAGAGCACGGTCCAGCGCCTTTGCGTCCTCGAGCCATTCCGACACGCCGACGACGCGCAGAATCAGCTTGAACATGAGCGGGTACACCGTCTCGAATGGGTTTATCACCCGCCATTGTGGACTGGGAGAGTGAGCAGAATTAGGTACAGGTCAGAGGAGTTATGTTCAGGGGAGTTATGTTCAGGGGTAGTTATGTTCAGGGGAGTTGTGTTCAGGGGTAGTTATGTTCAGGGGTAGTTATGTTCAGGGGCAGTTATGTGTGTACAAGGCTCGCGCAATGCGTAATCTTATCGTTGAGGGAGGTGAGCAAGGAAAGTGCTTACTTGGCCGGTGACGCAGGTGCTAGACTGAGACGCTGGCGAAAGTCGTGTATGTCGTCTGTGAGCACGGGCAGCTTACGAGCGAGTATCTCAGGTCGCGTAAGGGTCAAGAAGGATTTGATGAAGTCCTGGGCACCGTAGTCCTCGCGGTCATCATTGGTAGAGACTAGGCCTGCGAGGAGCTCGATAGCACTAATCAGGGAACGAATTACATGTTAGAAACACAGCTGCCCGCCCACGTAGAGATTGAAGACAAGATGGCCGGCTTACCCCTGTGACACGCTGAGGTTCTTGCTCTCAAAGAACGTCTTCCGGCCGTCTAAACCGCCCAAGCTGACAATGTGCTTTCTGCCGACGAAGAAGCTAAAGTTTCCGGTGGCAGAGTAGCCTCGGCCCTCCATGAACATGCCGCGCCGCCTCTGGAAGAAAGGCAGAGCAGAGCCAAGCAGGGGGAGATAGCCCGGGCTCCAGTGCGCCGGGGAGCCCTTAGAAAGAGAAGGCAGCTTCTGTGCGCCAGAATAGAGGGTGACAGAGCTTACTGCCAGGGGCACCAAGACAAATAGAAGCAACATAATAGCCACCAAGGGCCATGCGTATGGTCTAACAAGACCTCGCACAACATCAAACTGGTTCACGATTGTTGCCATGTCTCTGAAGGACAACAACACCTGTTTGTCTGTGGCTCTTAGGGGATCGAAAGAGACGAGATAACACGAGGGAAACAATGGAAGTTGGGAACATGAAAGAGACGGAAACACGGACAGACAAGCACGCGTCATGCCATTACTACTTACGAGTCATAACATGGAGATAGCTTCAACCCCCCCCCCCCGGCAATCAGACGTAGAACGGCACAGTATAGCCTCACCTCCGGGTTCATGTCTGTCGCGAGCATTGAGTGGGACTGACGGCTGGGGACGCCACTGGGTTGCATCTTAGACCGATTTTGCTACCTGCCAATTCATGAAAGCGATGATCCTCCTCGGCAATTGTTCTTCCGCGTCTGCTTGGTCTGAATTAGATATCCTTTCTAGTTGACTGCGCCTCTCTGCATACGGTAGTGGCACCAACCTTGGCTGCCCGACAGCTCGAGGGATTCCGTGATTGATTAGCTGATTGATTAGCTGAGAGTGATATCAGGAGAGGCTTGCAGTTGGTTCTGAGATGGCGTAAACGGGCACCCACCCTAGGAAAAGGGGCCGTGTTTCATGCACTGTACTGTACCGAGGTGTCATCGGCCAAAGATTTAGAAGGCTGGTAGCAGCCGATGCCGTACCTCGCCAAGGCGTTCCAAGGGATCGACAAGGCATCTACATATCTAGGTATTTACCTGCAGATGCACTTACAAAGCCCCGCGCCGCCATCACACAGCAGGGCCGGTGACGCGAAGGCAATAGCAGAAAATATATTCGCATCAGAAACTGGTGTAGGCACAGAAACTGGTGTAGGCACAGAAACTGGTGTAGGCACAGAAACTGGTTTAGGCACAGAATCTAGTGGTAGGCACGGCCGTTAGTGCTACGTATCTTACGGTACCTATACTCCAGAACTACGGTGCTGATTCTAAAGATCCGTGCAGTGCTGTGCCGTCCAGGTGCTCGGGACAGCGCACTGCCGATCCAACCAGCCACCCTGCCTGTTCCCCGCAGGCCTTCAGCTTTCTTGTGTTCTTGTGAGGTGCCAGGCCCTCCTGCACCGACGAAGGAGTGGAAGTTGCCGACGATCCCCATATGAAGCATATGTCCAATAATACCAATAATTTGATCTCCCTCTGCACCGACTTATATTCAAGTTTGACCCAATATGCCCTGGCATTACCATCATCGCACAGCACATGCATCGATTCAATTCACTCGGGCTTATAATTACCCCAAATATGAGATTATGGACACCTCACTGATCTGGAATACGAACGGTAAATTGTAGGTAATTCCCTTAATGTAATTCCCTTACTGTATTTCCGTTACTGTAATTCCCTTACTGTAATTCCCTTACCATAATTCCCTTACTCGTTGCTGGCCACCTTCCCTTCCTACCTTGGCCACATTCATGTTCCACCGGGGAAGCATCCGGTCATGAGTCACCAGCAATAACCATATTCTTGTGTCGACAGATATCGATGGCTATATGCATCAATGAGGCGTGAAACAAAACTCTCCCTCCAACCGAGTCGGACGCGGCATTCTCAGCGGCGCAGAAACGCCCCATCGAGTAGCAGTGAATTCGGTACAACGCGGCATGGCGAGCCGAATCAAAGGGCCGCCGCCATCGACGCCTCACACCGGCATTAGGCACATTCGGTAGCCAAGGGAGTGCCGGTGCCAAGGGTGGGGCAACCAAAACTAGAGGCTGCCATGATACGGGCCTGCGCCGTCCCTCTGCCGTTTCTCAACCGGACGTTGGAACTGCCTCGCCCGTAGTCCGGCCTCTTCTCGGCATCATTTATCCACCGCGCAACACCTAGGGGATATCAAATGGACATCGTCAGGTTGGGAAATAGTTGGCACTGGCGCTCGCTCGGTAAAAGTGACTTGAAACGGGTTGTATCTCGGCCAATGACATTCCATTCTCGTGGCATTCCGACGGCTACTACAGAAGCCCCTGCCAATCTTCAAGGCCCAGGGGGGAACTCTAGGTGCCATGGCTGGCCCCCAACCGGCGCCACCACGACGTCGATGTCCCTGTCTGGCTCGACAAAGCCGGTCGCAATACCCAGCCCGAACGACTTGCTCACCGTGACCCCGGCCCAGGCCGCCTCACCGTCCACCGGCCGGATGTCGGCACGGAGGGCAAGCATGGCGGCAAACATGAGCAAGTTGCCGCCGGCAAAGTGTCGGCCGGGACAGCGCGCCGTGCCGCCGCCAAAGATGCGCAGCGCCGAAGAACTCACCGATTTGATATCGTTGCCTCCTCCAGCAGCACTACCACCCCTCAGAAAACGCCGATGGTCGAAGCGGTCGCAGTCAGGTCCCCAGAGGGCCGGCGCAAAGTGCGGCAGGCTGTTGGGGGCAAAGACCAGGCCGCCCTTTTTGAGCAGATGCCGGCCGTCGAGCACGTCGTCCCGGACCACGACCCTCACCATGCCCGTGCCGATGCCGCGGAAGCGGTACACCTCGCACACGGTCGACTGCAGCAGCGGGCATGCGGTGCGCACGCGCTCGACGTCGAGCACGCAGCAAGACTCGTCCTCTTGGTCTGCTGCTGCCGTGTCAGGTAATACCGACGATGCCCGCCGCTGCCGCCGCACCGTCACCGCCGTGGCCATGAGCTCGGCGCGCACGTCGGCCAGCACGGCGGGGTCGGAGAAGATGTGGTACACGACCCAGAACATGCCGGGGATGGTGTTGTTGAGCAGCGCCATGCACGCGCCCACCTCGCCGCGCGCCGAGTCGGCAAACGGCATGCCCGCCGCGGCGTTGTGCCGCAGCCGCGCCAGCACCGCGCCCGAGCTGCCGCCAGACGCGAGATGGCTACCCTCGCCCAGATAGCGCGCGAATCGCGAGACGAGAAACTCGCGCGCCGCGAAGCTGCGCCGCGCGAATATGTGCGGGTAGAAGCCGCTGACGAAGAGCGGGAGGCCCGAGACGAATGTCCTGCTCTCCTTGTTTCAGTTCTTCATCACGCTCGCAAGTAGATAGATGACTAGTAATGATGACTCACTGCCATGCCTGATACACGTCTGGCTCGCTAAACGGGTTCGCCTCGCCGTACTCGGCCGTCGTGCCGGCCAGCGTGATCTCGCGGCCGGTCCACGCCAGCAGCTTCGTCGTCACGCCGGCGCGTCCTCCCCCAAACTGCACGTCCAGTGACCGGGACATGGTGGTAAAGGACCGCATGAACATGGCGGCTAGGAACGGGCCGGGCGCCAGTACCGGCCTCACCGTCTTGCGGAACACGGCAAAGTGGTTGTCCGGGCTGGCCGGGTCGGCGGCCATGATGCGGTTGGTGGCGTCGCTCGTCCCCAGCACGGCCGCCGTCGCCGCCGACTCGACGGGCGCAAACGACAGCGTGGCCGTCTGGCGCTCGATGAGCGGGATCAGCCGCGGAGCGTTGACCACGTACATGCGCACGCCGGGGAAGCGGAGCGTGTAGATCGCGTGGCTGTGTTTGTCTCTAATGCAACAACAGTTATCAGGAGAGAGTTTCTGATTCTTAAGCTCGACGGGCAACCATACGTGTGTGTTTGTCATGGCGGGTGGACCTACCGAGCGTGCGGAAAGAACTTGTATCGTTTCCTGAGGAGAGCAAACACAGGGCTCAGGAAAGGCAGCGAGTCAAAGATCAAGGGCGGCTCCTTTGGGTCCTGGGTCAGATGTACATGTGCCCGTAACAGGGCGTAGACCACGGCGAGGACCATGGCGGGAATGACCAACAAAGGAGACATGAGCGTGGACAACATTGGCAGCAACATGACGATGCCCGACTATGAGATGAGGCTTTGGTTGGGAAGACGTTGCGAGAAGGAAGCATGAAGCGAAAGCTAAGCTGGGAAGACGTTGCGAGAGGGAAGCATGAAGCGGAAGCTAAGCTGGGAAGAAGCGTATGGAGTGCACGTAGCAGGAAGTCTGCGAAGTTCTTCTTTCAGAGTGAATCGAAAGGGCTGAACACCTCAGGAGGTAAGGTGATAAAGTAGTAATTAATGAGGTAGGTGAACATCATGATGGGGCCTCCGAGACTAGAGTTGGGCGGCAAAGCCTAAACCTGGCACCGTCTTCCCCGGGGCAATAGAGGGTCCTTTCCCAAATGCAAAGGCTTGAGCGGGTATCTTCCGTGAGGTGCTTCGTCTCGCGTTGCCGGCCGTCTCATCTTCGACAGTCCGCCATAGTCAAGCAGCTCGTCTATCTGATTTCCCTTTGGCTGCCTACGCTCAAACACCATGTCCGTCGGCACTTGGGAGCAAGGGGTCGATGGCCAGCGCCGGCAGGCCACCTCGATCATGGTGCCATCTGAGGTAGTCTGTGCCCTTTTGGGCTGATTCCAAGTGACGACTGACGATTGATGTCGTCCCATGATGGGCCATCACTTGGAAGATGCACAGTGCCCACATTTTGGAGCAGGGAGAAAGAAGCATTGCCGAGCACAGTGGGGCCCAGAAGTCCGGATAGGGGTAATGGATGTACTAGTACGTCCCAGTACATTCGGTGTTTCGTAAGGTGCCTAGGTAATTATATATATATATATATATATATATATTTCCCCGCAGGAACTGCCCGGCGTAGGTACAGTATCGCGGTCTATGAACCATAGGGGTAGAGTGAAATACAATAATCTGAGCAGTAATGAACTGCTTACCTCAAACAACCTACAAACAACCTACCTACACACAACCTTGCATACCTTTTATCCTGCATGACCTGTATTGGTGCTTACCTACAACAACCTTGCATACCTTTCATTTTGCATGACCTTTATTGGTGCTTACCTGCAAACAACCTTGCATGCCTTTTGTTTTGCATGACCGGTATTGGTGCTTACCCACAACAACCTTGCATACTTTTATTTTGCATGCCTGTATTGGTGCTTACCTACAACAACCTTGCATACCTTTTATTTTGCATGACCTGTATTGGTGCATGTACCGTGGAGAAGAATACGTCTCTGCCCATCTACCGTGAATAACGACCCGGCAACGCTGCGGCGAAGGCCAATACTTCTACGTTGCTCTACTGAACTCACCACACATCAACATAGCCGAGGCAAGGTCGGGTACGAGAGGGAGGACGTGCCGTGAAACCTCGTCAATCTGGTTCGTGGTCCCCTTGATGCAATTATGCAACCCAGCAACAATACCCCGCTCCGTGGCTGCGGCGTAGATGTTTTGGGGGCCCTCCGGGAGTTGAAATGGGCCAATCCTCGATCGATTCCACCCCTCGCTTCTTATCTCTTAGATAATTGCCCTCTCCAGTTCAGAAGCCTTCAGCTCTTGTCGCTCTCCTGTCTCGGCTATGCCTACCCAAAAACACAACAGGTTAGCTGCCAGGTAATTGGACTGCGCCGCACATTGCCACCCATCCTGATATGACGGCACAACCCACCCTTAATCGCCCCTAATGCTATGCAACTACAGTCGTTCAGAGATGGCGAGCAGGACGGGCCGGAACCATACGTTCTAAAAAGTTGGCCCCCAATCCCACCAGCCACCACTTTTGGCCTCAGTCTTCCCTTCTTTTAGTTCCCTCTTTTAGTCCCCTCTTTTCGCATATTATAATCCCGCCTTGCCACGTGGGAACGGCTGACGAGAGCCTTTCTTTGGCCAGTTTTATTCTTGTCTCTGCTCCGATTCCTTGTTTCTTGTGTCTGACCCAACTTGTTTTCTCGTGTCTGACCCAACTTGCTTCACACATCTGGAGAGAGACAGAGAGAGAGAGGAGCAAGTCCGAGTCCAACTCTCACTTATCGCTTTATTTTCTGCAGTCAGTGGCGCTTTCAGCCGAGAAGCCACAGCGACCATGGCTTCCGACCTTCCGCCCGGCATCGACATATGGAAGATTCCGCTGCTGCCGCCCCCGCCGGGCGTCATCCCCAACTTTGTCGACCCGCCGTCTCAGGCACACATGCTTCGCAGCGGCATGGGATCTATCCTCGGCATCATGCTCGTCTTTGTAGTCCTTCGCCTCTGGACTCGCATTCGCCTCACTCGGTCCCTCGGGTGGGACGACTGTACGTGTTGGCCAGCGAGCAGCTCAGACTCTCTTCTTCCGAGCGCATTGGAGCTAATGCCTTCCCAACTACCTGCCTATAGACCTCTGCATTCTCGCCACGGTTCGTAGAACCCGGTAACCCGGTATTGCCCACAGAGTACTCCGGCTAAACTGCGCTTCAGGCATGCGTCTTTGCATATTCAGGGCTGGTCCTATCCTGTGAGTCGTCGCCTTCGACCTGGCTGTGTAGACGCCTCCTTACCCGTAGCGCTCGAGGCTAACTCGCTATCCTTTGTCCAGTCATTGGTAACCCCGAAGGCAAACATGGCTGGGACATTCCGCTCGGCGAGGTCCTTACCAACCACTACTGGCTCGAGGTACGCACCTAGTTCGCTGATTAGTGTGGGACGAGAAGACACGGCCAGACCATTGATGACACCGACGATGCTGACGGGTAATCGATCACGACAGGCCACAATGGCCTCCGTCTGGGTCTATTGTTGGGCGACTCTGTTTGTCAAGCTGACGCTGCTCGTGCTCTACCTGCGCATCTTCCGGCCGAGCGCGTGGGGTCGTTGGCCAATCTTGATCACCATCGGTCTCATCTCGGGTTTCTACGTCGCCACCTTTGCCGGCTACGTGGGGATATGCGCCAAGGCCGGGTCGCCGCTCTGGCAGACGATCCAGGACTTGAAGTGCGCCAACAACAGCCTGAAGATATCCAAGGCCCAAGGCTGGTTCGGCCTCTTCTCAGACTTGGCCGTCCTGATCATTCCGCTGCCCCTCGTATGGCAGTTGTCCTTGACGAGCAAGCGCAAGATCGGTGTCATGGCAGTCTTCCTGACAGGTTTAGCGTGAGTTTCTGCTCCTCTCTTCTTGCTCACTATTTACTACCCATACTACCAATTGACACCGGGGCTAACGTGACACGAAACTCCCCTCAGGGCTTGCATTGTCTCCGCCGTAGCCTTGGCCAAACGCTACAGTCTTGTCGAGGAGGGAGCCGACAGGACTTGGGAGAACTCGGTGCTGTTCCTCTATTGGTACGACCTCTTTTGTTCTGTCTCCGTCGCCCTCCGCCAAGGCCTATTGTTGCTGAGAAACTGACTTGCATTCTCTCGGCAGCACACTTGAGCTCAGCATCGGAATTATCTGCAGCTGCATGCCCGTCATGGCCGTCGTTCTCAAAGGCTTCATGGCAGGCTTGAACCAGACGTAAGCACCCGCCGCCCGCCACATAGAAAAAAACCACCAAGACGGGACAGGACTAGAGCTAACGTGTTCGCTCCTTGTTTAGTTGGAACTCGGTCAGAAACCTCGGCACCAGACTGCTCACGGGCAACAGGTCTCCCCCAGTCTCGGGGCAGGTGTCCAAGATCCCCAGCCAGACGGGATCCCACGAACAAGAACAAGAGCTGCCCGACGACATGATCCCTAGCGGGAACGTGACCGGGCTCCGGAGCTTCATCCGCCGGCTCGGCCGCACCAACAACGACAAGACGGTCGCGAGCGACCACATTGCCACCGTCGACACGGTCAACGGAACCGACGAGACGTACCACGTGCAGCTGAAGAAGATGTACGACGTTGACAGCACGCCGCCGAGCCGCGGCGGCCAGAGCAGTCGGGGCACTGGCAAGAATACGTCCGTGGCTTGAGCATCGCTCGGTCTGCCGCACGCTGGTTCCTGTTCTGCTTGCGAGCTGCCCCTTTGCTGCAGGGTGGGAGGGAAATGGGAGTACTCCGGGGGGCACTCCGAAGGTACCTTTTCTAGGCCGGTGCGGAATCTTCCGGTGCGGAATCTTGAGAACGCGGCATATGTTTCTTTAAATTTGTTACGTGCCAATCAATGACCAATGACCCTTCCATTTCTGCTACCCTGTGAACACCCGTGACACACTACGTGAGGGGGCCTAACTAGAGCGACGCCAGCCTCCATTGCATTTTGAAATATGGCATAAAATATGGCATTTTGTCCATCGAGGTAATCGTAGTTGGTTACCTTGGGTATTGTCGATCATTTCCGCTTCTTGTCCACCATCCTGTCCATCCTAATGAGAGGAAATAATACGGCATGTGGGCGGCCCGAACCCAACTCGAGACGTGACCACAGTCACTTACAATGTGAGGAACTTTCTGCCTGGGCAGTTTTGGGTTGCACAGCATTAATGTATCTGGCTGGATCCAACTTAATATTATATGCATCAAATCCTTCAGTGGACGAGTAGCCCGCGGGTTGATAAGCTGTTGGGTGGCCAAGCACCACCCGCAATTAGTTCCCGCGGCTTGATACGCTGGGCTCGTAGGGCTGTGCCGCACACAGGCATCGCGGGCCCGGTGTCCCGCCTCGTCTCGTCCCGTCTCTGGGCACGGGTATGGCACGAAGGCACGACGGGACAGCAGAGAAGGAGATGCTGTGATATTGCCCGCCTCTGCACACAACAAGGTCTCGATGCAAGCCAAGCTGCGCATCGATGCCCCAGCAGCTGTCGATCAAACTTCCCTTTTGGCACTTCGTTGGTCCCTCCACTGACGAGATAGATTCCTCCCGCCTCCCTTCGTCCACGTCCTGCGGGGGCTTCGCCTAAAACAGCTTGCCACCTACTCGGTCCGTATTGTCTCGCAGCATCATGACTACAAGGCGGCGCAAAACCGAGATATCGAGGTCCCCGACTGCAACCCAAGTGAGGAGGGTAATTAACCGAGGTCCCTGACTGCAGACCCAAGTGAGTAAGGGTAATTAATCGAGGTCCCTGACTGTAGACCCAAGTGAGGGAGGGTAATTAATGTGACTGGCGTACATGGCGCTGTGACTAATTCACGGCCGGCCACGGCTGCGCCGTCCTCCAACCAGTGTCGGCACTCAAGACCAAACACCTGTGTCCCAAGGTGTACACACATACCTAGGTGCGCTGCGTACCTGGTGGGCTGCGTACCTGGTGGGCTGCGTACCTTGTCGGCTAGTCTGGTCTAGCACACCAAACGGGCCGCTCCTCGCAAGATACCACAGTATGTAAAACACTGTACTGCACGGCAGTAGATTGTTCGATCCCCTTGCTTCAATCTTGGAATCGCCTCACGTCATTCGGTGGACAGGGACAAAGGGAAAGCCCCATCTCTGCACCTCTGTCAAGGTTGGTTGTAGTCTGGTAAAGTACAAGGACAGCCACCGTTGAACCCCAAACATGTTGACAGCTAACGTTAATACCCGTAATTTTACAGCGGAGCAACGTTGCAGGTACATGTACATCGTATATCATAATTATTATGCCGATTTCAACACTGGTGTGCTAAATTCTCTCGCCTCTCCCACGAGGGCCGCGATTAATATCGTTGTGTTCAGACGACAAGCGGAAGGGGACCACGCTTCTCTCCAAACTAATACAGCCAGCGCAAGTCATGTTTGACATGGCCTCCCCCCCAATGTTGCAGGCCACGGAGAACCTGCTGAGCACATGCGCGCAGTGGATTCACGTCCCCCATGCTGCCAGCGTCGCCGTCGTCTTGGCCACCTTGGGCATCCTTGCCACAACCTACTGGACGACACATGTCCAAAGCGTCCGAGACCTCTCCAGAGGCCTCGAGGGCGAGCAGACAGAGCCCCCGCACGTGCCGTACGCGGTGCCGTGGCTTCGCAACACATTGTCCTTTGTCTGGGACACGGAGGGCTTTGTGGTCAAGATGCAGTTGAGTTTTTTTGCCCGTCCCCTCTCGCCTTCCCTGCTCTTCACAAACAACCAAAGGTGCTGCGTACTGCCGGGTCGTCTTCCATGTCCATTATCTATCAACTGTAACTGACTCATCAAAAGGAAACGCTTCGGTATGACAACCCCCTTCCGCATGGGCGTCGCCGGCGAGTCGTACGTGTACGTGCCAGCCGGCAGCGAATTCCTGGGTGCGTTGATGCGGAAGAGCATCCGCGACGTCAACAACAAGAAGGCCGTGATGCGGGCGCTGCGCGACCAGTTCGGCGTGCCCGCCGGCGACCTGCCGATCTGGGCCCTGGACGAGTCCGGGTTCGGTGCCAAGCCCGCGCCGGGGTTCGAGGGCTGGCCGCCCGAGCGCCGGCCGTACCATTCCCAGCACCGCGACTTCCAGGCCTTTTTGGCCGGCGGCGCCGCGCTGGATGCCATGACGGCAAAGTTTGTCGAGTGCTACACGCGCCAGCTCCTCCTCCCCCCCCTCGGGCAGGTTCGAAATGGTGGAGGCGAAAACGACAACGACAAGCACGGCACGGACTGGATCGAGGTCCCCGACCTGTACGCGTTTTGGCGGAGGCACATGTTCCACGCCGCCGTGTATGCGCTCTGCGGGTCGCACATCTTTGACGTGTGCCCGGACTTTGCCGACCAGTTCTGGGCCTACGACGAGGCGCTCAGTGTGCTGCTCAAACGCGTGCCGCCGTGGTTGGCGCCGGCCCGGTACGCGGCGCGCACCAAAGCCGTCGAGTCGGTGCGGCGCTGGCAGGCGTCGGCGCGCGCCAAGTTTGACTGGCATGACCAGGCGGCAGTGGAAGCCGACTGGGAGCCCATCTACGGCGCCCGCATCATGCGCGCGCGCCAGGTCATGTGGAGGCAGATTGGCCAGTCCGAGACGGGAAGCGCGGCGACGGACTTGGGCATGATATGGGCGTGAGTCTCTTCCTTTCCTCCCCTTTTCCTCTTCCTTTTTTCCCCCCTTTTCCTCTTCCTTTTTCCCCCCTTTCCTCTTCCTTTTTTCCCCCCCTTTTCCTCTTCCTTCCCCCCCCTTTTTCCCCTTCCTTTTTCCCCCTTTTTCCTATTATTTTCATATTACGCATCACATATTTGAGAAAAGAAAAAAGATTCTGATGCCCGGGATGCATGGATAACTAGCGCAAACTCCAACATCATCCCTGCCTCCTTCTGGGCTCTCCTGCACGTGGCGCTCTCGCCCAACGTCACGGCGCGCGTGCGCGCAGAGGTCGAGGCCAGCATTTCTGCCGCCGATGCCAACTCCCTCGACATCGGCCTGCTCTGCTCCAAGCCCCTGCTCAACTCGGTCTACCTCGAGGCTCTGCGGTACAGCGTCGCGTCCACGGTGGGACGCAACGCCGCCAGCCCCGACAGGCCGGTGCGCCTGGGCCCAGGCGGGAACTGGGCCATGGCCACGGGCACCAGCGCCACGCTCATCGCCTTCTCCTGGTTCGGCGGCCACGACGCGACGTTCTGGAACGCCGGCCCCGGCGGCCGCTATCCCGTCGACGCCTTCTGGGCCGAGCGGTTCCTCGCGTACCCGGACGACCCGTCCAGCGGGCCCCTCCTCGCCGCCACCACCGCCACCACCACCACCACGGGAAGTGAGGGAGGAGAAGATGAAAATAATATCAAGGGGCGCGGCGAGAGGACAGTCGAAGACGACAGGGCGGCGACAGTGGTCACGGCCGGCACGCAGGGACATTGGTACCCATACGGCGGAGGCAGCACGCACTGTCCCGGCCGGTTCTTTGCCAAGCAGGAGCTGATCGCGGCGCTGGCCGTGCTGCTGATGAATTTCGATGTCGAGATTACCGATGTTGGCGCGGCGATGGCGGCGCGGTGTGACAGGCGCTATTTTCCCCTGGGCGCGATGCCGCCTGATGGGAAGATTCCGGCGCGGATACGGAGACGGGCTGCTGCCATCTTGAAGTAAAGGAGGGGCTGGAATCAGGATACAGATAGTTCGTCAAGGGGATTTAGGAGTCGTGTGGCAATAAATCAATCAGAGCGTTAACAGCACGACATATCAGTAAACGTGAGATAACTTTTTCATCTTAGCATAGAAATATAACCCTTGCTCCATCCCCAGATTCATTGTGAAGCATTTCCACATTCGACTGATAACTTCACATTCGACTAACAACTTTACATTCGACGGATAACCTCACATTCGACCGATAACTTCTTTTCTTTTACTCATGGCCTTCAGCGGCTTGACCATATTTACAACCAACAAGGCTCCCTAGGTAATTAGCAGACCCACACACAGCCCCCTCCCCCTACCTAAGGTACATTTCTTTTCTTCATCATCCAACTGTTCCCTACGCAAATGCAGCAGCGTCCTTTCTCCTGCGCATCCGAAACGGCACCAGGCCGGTAGGCCTAGCAATAGCCATGGGTGCCTTGAAGTTGAGGTCCATGGCCGCCTCATCGGCGAGCAGCTCAAAGTCAAAGTTGGCGACGAGCATAGCGACCGAGATGAGGATGACACGCTTTGCGAGCAGCCGTCCTGGACAGGCGTGCAGGCCGCCTGATTAGTTAATTAGTTAGCAAACATCTTTGGTGTTAATATAGCAAATTCCCCTCCCTCAAACGGGCCTGGGGGCACGAATAATCACCATGGTGCGAGAAGCGTTTTGATTACCTACCTCCATAGGGAATCCATGCCCCATCAAGCCCGTCCAGCGAGAAGTGGACACCCCCTTTGGCCCGCTGTGCCGCCGACATGGCGACCTCCTCGTCGTCGACTGTGGACAGCTCTCCTCCAGAAACCGTCGTTTTGCGGGTGGCGGCGGCGACAGCCGGCCCGCTTGACGGGTCGCGCGGATCGACAAGGAACCGCCGCGCCCAGAAGGAGTCGACCGGGTGCGCGCCGCCCTTGGTATCCCAGACGAGCTCGTCGCCGTGCGCGTCCCACATGTTAGCCGCCATGAGCGTGCCCCTCGGGACCACCACGGCGCCCACTCGGGGACGGCGAGGGGGGCTGGGGAAGGCGACGTCGGCGTAGGGCGCCGTCCGCGGCACGTCGATGCGCATGCCGTACCGCAGCGTCTCGGCGTACATGGACGCTAGCAGCGGGATCGACTCTAGGTCTCTGATGGTTGGTCGGCCGTGGCGGCCGCCCCGTTGTTGCTGCTGCTGCTGCTGCTGCTGCTGTTGTTGTTGTTGTTGTTGTTGTTGTTGTTGTTGTTGTTGTTGTTGTTGCTGCTGCTGCTGCTGCTGCTGCTGCTGCTGCTGGAGAGAGGAGAGAGATGCGTGCAGCGACGGGAGGAGATCCTCTTTAGAGCGTAGGATGTGCAGAAGGAGGGTCATGGCGGCCGGGACAGCGTTGGTCATGGTTCTAATTAGTTCGAATTTTTGTTAGACCGCAGCGGAGGCAAAAGGGAGAGCAGTGGGAGAAGGTGATTGATTGCTTACCCCCAGATCAGAGACAGATCGTACGCCGCCATAGACTCTTCGTCCTGCCCTCTGGTCGGCATGAGCTCCCGGTACCGCTCCCTCATCATGCCGGTGCCCCAGTGCGGATCGCTATCGGCGTCACGAGTATAATGGTCGTCACCACCTCCAGCGCCCGCCGCCAGCGCCAGCGCATGCCACGTCTTGACGGTGTCCAGCAGCTCCTCGCGGAGCTTGTACGTCTGCGGAATGCAAAACCGCGGGAGCTGCGCCAGGAGGCCCAGCATGCCGCGGTCGAGCTCCCACATGTCGCGCACAAAGGTCGGCCGCAGCTCCAGCAGCTTGTCGCCAAACAAGGCGCGGAACAAGGACGTGGCGACATGGTCGCGGAAGAAATCTTCGAGGTCGGCCACGTGCTGCCACCCCCGCACCTGAACCTCCTCGGGGGTGGAGGAGGACGAGGGCGAGGACGAGGACGAGGGCGAGGGCGAGGACGAGGACGAGGACGAGGATGAGTCTCCCTCGAGAAGAAGCGACTCCGCCAAGTACCTCTCGAACCGGGCGGTAGCGGGTGCCAGGCCGCCCTGCAGCAAGCCGGCCACGAGGCGCTGGTGGCCGATGAACATGAAGCGGTCTCTGGCCGGGGTCGAGCTGCCGATGATGGGCTTGGGTCGGGCGCCCGAGTTGTCCGACAGGTAGGCGTCGGCGGCCGACAGCGGCAGCCCCAAGCCGTGGTGCAGGGTGTAAGCTTGCACCTTGTTGACAGTGGCCTGGGTGTTGTGGAAGAAGTCGGCCACGTTTTTTGGACCCCGGATGCGATACATGGGACGGCCGAGGATAGGCAGTCCCAGCTTTGCTCTGTGTGAAAGTTAGTCGGTTGGTTGACCGACATTCGTGAGTGGGCAGTGAGACGCACAGAGCAGCTTGCAAGAACATGAACGTCTCAAACACAGTGGCGAGAATCGACGAAGACCGGGGCTTTGTTCCCGAGCCACTTCGAACCCTCACCACCGCCCAACAACCCAGCGCGCAGAGGAAGACGGCGCCCATGGCAGATGGGGCCAAGTGGGAGTCCATCTTGATAGAATCAACAATCTCGATCAGTAACTAGATACGTAGTCCGAGAGAGCTGTCGAAGCGTTTGTGGTGATGGCATATGATGCAGATGATGCGGCTGATGCAGATCAGGCGAGGATACGCGCAACGACAGTCCAGCCCAGTCTATGACAAGGCAGTCTTCTGTTTTGAGGGTTTGAAATAACTACAACGTATATGCCAGGTTAAGGAACTGGCTCGAGACTTGACCAGCTTTGATTACCGCAGCGGGATTTCTTGGACAAGAATAGGCAAGGGGCGATTTGTCGTCAAGCCGAGCAAATAAACGACTTAGAGCTCCCTGTCTGTCTTCGGCCCAAGTTGCAGGCGGCCATATACGTACATCCCAATATGCGTACATCCCAATATGCGTACATCCCAATATGCGTACATCGCAATATGCGTACATCCGAGTGCATGCCTACCTAAGATACCTATTCAGCTGCATATACACGTACTTTATACCGAGGTTGGTACCAGCTGGGAATAAGTTTGGTTGGGTTTACAGTACGCGGCCCTAGTCCACGCACTGTAGCGGCGCCGCGTTTGCTGCGGCTTGCATAACGGCTCGAGACGCGAGTTTCCGTCCCCCCCCTTTTTTTTTGGTGAGTCGAGGATTGAAGATTGTGCGGGCGTGCGGCAAGGATTGCCAGGCCAGCAAGATCACCCACAAAATGCTTAGCATCAGAAACGTTAGATGAATAAGGACTCAAATCCATGTCAGGCACTCACTCTACTTTGGGCGAGATTAGGACGTGAGTAGGTGGTTGTTGAACAAGTATGCCCGCCAAAGCATGCCTCGCCAAAGGTACCAACCAATGTAGACGCCCCCTGCCACTTGCATATCTAGGTACCTAATTATCCGTACGTAGTCATCCGTAGGTAATTACTGTCCGATAACTTAATCTACTCTGATATCTTTCTCGTGCCATCGTGGTACAATGTACAATGTACCTTCTATTTTAGACTACATAATAGGGTCATCGTCCGTTTCATGCGTCGTAGCGGAAAGAAAGCTCGTAATTGCCGATCATCCGAACCGATGCCAGATAATACGTGTAAACGTATTGTATGTATGTATTGCGACGTACATGTACATGTACACACTCGGGCACACGCCATGTGCATGGTAGGGTAGGCCGTAGGGAAACCGGCCTGTATTTGCCATTTAAAACTGACCGTCCCTGCAATCTGCCCCGCATCACGTCCCTTGCTGCGCCGTCTCGCTACGTCAATTCCGACGGGGCCAACACAACCCCGTCCCCGCCCCGTCCCCGTCCCCGTCCCCGTCCCCGTGCACCTGACCACTCCTCCCAAAGGTCACCCGTCCGTGGACAGCCAAAGCGAGCAAGCAGCTTTTCTGGGCCTCATTCACGCTTGGCACCTTGATTTGCCGAAGCAGGCGTGTCGGCGACCATTGGCAACGCCTGATGATTTCCTAGAATTGGAACACGATAACGTCAAATTCACACACCAGTGATCACCAGCCACCAGTGATCACCAGCCCGCAGTCGACATCACATCCATCAGTAATCACCGACATCACATCCATCAGTATTCACCGAAATCACATCCATCAGCAATCACCGACATCACATCCATCAGCAATCACCGCCCATCGACGCCATGCTGCTGCCTCTGCTCGCAGCAGCCGCCGTGCTGCTGCTCTCGCTAGGCTACAGCAAGCTGCGATACATTCGATTCCGCCAGCATGCCAACCTCAAACAACATCCCTCCACGCTGCTCCTCGGCCACGTGAAGCTCTTTGGCGACTACATCAAGCGCAACAAGCCCAGGGCGCACCCCGACATGGCCATCGTGGCCCTGCATCGCGATCTCGGCCGTCCTCCGCTCATGTATCTCGACATGCGCCCCGTCGGCGACGCCATGGTCGTGGTCGGGAACAGCGACATCGCCGACCAGATCACCAGGTCGTCCGACGCCTTCCCGACGAGTCCGCCCAAGTCGTCCCGTTCCCTGACGCGGCTGCTGTACGTGACGGGCCGGACATCGATCCTCGCCCAGCATGTACGTCGGTCCGCGTCCTGCTCATTGTCCAGATTGGCTGACGCTTCCATCCTAGGGCGACGAGTGGAGACAGCTGCGCAAGCGATTCAATCTCGGCTTCGCACCGCAGTACATCTCCACCTTCACGCCCGAGATCCTGGACAAGGGCCTCATATTTCTCGACCGGCTCGACTCCCTCTGCAGCAGCGGCGACGCCTTTTCGCTCCTGGACCTGACGACGCGCCTCACCTTTGACATCATCGGCAAGGTGGTCATGGAGGCCGACCTCGACGCGCAGCCCACCGGCAAGAACAAGAACAGCCAGGGCGAGCTCATCGCGCTGTACGAGTCTCTGCTCAGCGCCTACAACGGCGACACGCTCAACCTGCCCTGGTGGCTCACCCTCGGCCGCGTGCGCAGGCGCGCCGCGCTGGCCGCCAAGATCACCAGCCTGCTCCAGTCCATCGTGCGCCGCAAGCATGCCGAGCTGCATGCCAGCCCCCCCAGCAATGACGAAGAGGAAAAGAAAACGACAGCCGCCGCCCGCAGCGTCTTGTCGCTCAGCCTGCAAGACGTGCCCACGCTCACGCCGCGCATCGTCGACGAGACGTGCGACCAGCTGCGCACGTTCCTGTTCGCCGGCCACGACACGACCAGCATCTTGCTGTCGTGGGCATTCTACGAGCTCTCTCGCACGCCGCGCGCGCTGTCTGCCGTGCGCGCCGAACTTGACGCCGTGTTCGGGCCGCTGGCCCCGTCTTCTCCGTCGTCGTCGTCATCATCGTCATCATCGTCATCTCCTTCCGACGACACTCGAACAATGCGCGCGCGCCTCCTGTCGCCAGAGAAGAAAGACGCGCTCGCCCAGCTGCCCTATCTCGACGCCGTCATCAAGGAGACGCTGCGCGTGCACCCGCCGGGCGGCACGGCGCGCGCCATCCCGCGCGGGTCCAACTTCTCGGTCCGCCTGCCTGACAGCGGGGAGAGCGTGCTGCTAGACGGGCTGCTGGCGTACAACTGCCAGAGCATCATCCACGGCGACACGGCGGCGTTTGGCGCCGACGCCGACGCGTTCGTGCCCGAGCGCTGGCTGCCCGCCGACGACGCCCGGCGGCTATCGGCCACGAAGCTGGACGCGAAACCGCCGCCGCCGTCGTCGCCGGGCGCGTGGCGGCCGTTTGAGCGCGGGCCTCGCAACTGCATCGGCCAGGAGCTGGCCTATATCGAGGCGCGCGTCATCATCGCGCTGGCAGCGAGGCGCTATGACTTTGTCAAGGTCGGCTTGGGTGCTGTGCTGGTTGGGGATGATGTTAACCACGACGGCGAGAAGAAGCCCGTGGTGGATGAGGCGAAGGGGCAGCTTCGGGTTGGTGAGGAGGTGTATCCGGTAAGTTACACTTTTTTTTCTCCCTTTTTCCCCTACCCTCTAAAGAAGCGATTGTGATTTTGACTAACGGATCGGGTGTTGCAGACAAGACAGGTGACGTCGAAGCCGGTCGACGGGATGATGATGAGGATCAAGCGAGCCGTCTCCTGAAACTCGGGCTGGTCGAATAAATAGAGTAATACTGACGTACTTGATAACCCAGCTGCTTTTCTCGGACCACGGCAGGTATCTCTGGGGTAGTCTAAAATGACCACTTCCTAGGAAGCAAGGGCGGGAGGGATGGCTGAGCGTAAAGCCTAAGGTGGGGGGGATTCTCCGGCTTCAGGCACGCAACCTGTCGAGGACGTGGAGGATTGGGATGAGGGTAAGGATGGAGAAATTTGTGGGAGCAGGAGTAATATCTTAGATCAATTGGAATAGGCCCTGACGCCGGGATCCGGAAGCCAGGGGGTAGACAGTCCTTACGGGAGTTCACAGTATCAGCGGGTTGCAATGATCAAGGATTAAAGATTCACAGCTGTTCCTATTTCTTTAATAAAACGCACAGAGCAAGATCAGCTTGACATGTTCAGAGAAGGGATAGTTTAGTCGTATCAGTAAAGCGTTCCATTCCACAGTAATTAGCATGTAACCCTGACCTCAAAGGCTACCTAGTTCAAAACTGGGCCTTCACACTTTAACATGAGCATGTTAGTAAAGAAAGTAGCTTTGCATGACGGAAATTGAAGCAAATGCGTGAGCAACAAACCCATCGCGCGTTCAGCCCTGTCACTTCAGCCCTCACGCCGCCGCATTCCAATCCAGCAAGGCATCCTCGCCGAGCTTGTCCTTGACAAGGCGCTCGCTCAGCTTCCACAGCGCGTCGCCCAGCGCGGGACCCACGCCTTGGCCGTCTCCTTGCCAGGGGTGTCGGGTCGCTGAAGTAGTAGCCGTTCAGGTTCTTGTCCTCGATCCTGGGTGACGTCAGCGCCCACAGCGCGCTGTACGAGCCCCAGGGTTGGCGCCAACTCAATTTTATCCAATTCAATCGGTCTAATATAGCCATTTAGAGCAATCAATTATACGATTTCGAGGTCAAATTCAACCAATTCGTAGGGCCAAAATAATTGGCGGATTGTCAATTACTTCCCATTGGCCAGGCCATTTTTAGGGCGGATTTTTTCGATTTTCCTGGGTCCAGGGCGCTCCCGACCAAGGCCAACATTGTATTTTCCTGGGCCCGGGAAAATCTCTGACTACCGGGCAGGCGCAGGTCGCTGCAATTCACCGTTGAAGCTGCAATGCAACCATCACGACGTAAATAAACAGCCGAATCCTTCCTTTCCACCGAATCCTTCCATTCCTACAACGATTTCCTTGCGCCTGAACTACCGATAATATGCCTGCCTCGACCGTTAATACCGCGACCCTCTCCACAGGCCAAAAGCGATCATTTAAGGCCCTAAGGAAGCCATCGCGAATCTCTATACAATACGAGGAGTTGGTCAAATTTGACATTAAAGAGCTTGGGAATATGGAGGTGAAGGACTGGCTCAAAATAAAAACAACACGAGCGCTATACATAGCGGAATACTGGGCGGGCAAGAAGAATACGAGGTCATCGTGGATTACTTCGTACGGCTGCTGGCTTGCCCAGGTCGTCAATAACGTCATAAAAGAGGGAGCATACTTCTGGGCACGCCACTATTACGAGAAGGTCTTTAAGGCCGTGAGCATAAGCTCGGCGGCAGGCCATTTGCAAAAGGAGTACCATACCTCACTCCCCAACGGATCACCCTTTTACACCAAACACTCCCTTTTTGAACAACAATAACATAGTCAATTGTGAAGCTTTTCGCAAGTAGAAAGTTGAGCTAGTCATGCAATGGAATGTAGTTTAATCTTAGTATGGAAGAATGGATTTGTCAGCCCAATAGCCCTACTTTTCCGCTACATCGACGCAAAGTAACTCCAAATTAACTCCAAATTAGCTTCCTGACATTCTTCTCTCCCTACCTTTGAGTATGAATTACGTCTTGTACTACCACAATATCTAAACAAAGTAACGATAATTGTCACGGCATGGCCTGGACAGGCTCCTGTTTAGAGTGTGGTCTGTGCCTGACGTATCACGTGGCCCACAACTACCCATTTCCCCGCGCCCTGCGCGGTCCCCGTCATAGCTTCCTTCTTCATCTTTAGATTCTACGAATTCAGCGATGATTACTGCAGCCCTGTCTCTTTACGTTGACTGAGCCGTGATAATCTAAAGATCGTTTCTACGGCCTTCCTTACCGAAGCCTGGATCCTATTCTCCTTCTTCTTCAATCGACCGAAAGAACCCGCGTTTTCTTTGTGGCTCGCACGACCACGGTCGCGCGTAGCGGAATCCGCCGCTTTTTTCCACCTCCACCTTCGACCTAACGCCCTGAGTGCCAAGGTTACTGGTAATGACCGAAATCTTCCCTGCTACACCTTTGGGGAGCTTCTAGCTACGTGTGTTCAAGGCAGCGGCAAGAGAGTAGAATCCAAGGCCAGGCAGCGGACCGCCGGACCCTCTATTCGACATCCTTTTCCTTCCTAGCAATCGGACCTTTCTTCAAAGCCAGCCGATTACCCTGATCCTCACGATGGCCGTGACCCCGGCTGATCAGATCGCTCAATTGCAACACATCGTCAACGGTCACAACGCGACCCTCGAGAACCTCACGACCAGACTGACGACTCTGGAGACCAACATCACGATGCTTACAGAGATTCTATCGGGCCGGAACAGTCGCCCGAAGCCTAGCATTCCTGATACCGAAAAGTTCTCTGGCTCCGATACCAACTGGGACACTTGGTTCCCGTCAATCAAAGCAAAGCTTCGTATCGATGGAGCAGCAATTGGCAACAATGAGGCTCAATTCTTTTACGTCTACGGTCGTCTTGACACCAAGGTCCAGGCTCTCGTAATGCCTCAGCTTACCGAAGCTGAAGACAACGATGATTACGATCCCCAGACCTTGATCGATCAGCTCAAGCGACTCCATGACGATCCCAACAAAGTCCAGAACGCAGAGGACAAGTTCCATAGCTGCCGACAGCAAGACAATGAAGGCGTCGCGGCATTCCTTATGCGCTTCGAACGCTTGATGTACAAGGCCAAAGCCAACACGTGGCCTGACAACACAAAGATCTCCCTACTACGCAAGGGACTCAACAAGGTCACACGTACCCGGCTTGATACCCAGGTCATTGTCCCCAAGAACTACGATGACTTCGTCAAGTTACTTCAGAAGCTTGGAAACCCTGGCTCAGGCTCGTACAACAGCCATTCCAACGGTGGTCAATCGAACAACCATGCAACCCCGATGGATATCGGCGAACTTGCTTCTCTCGACCTTGCAGTCAAGCCTATTGACGGCATTGCCAAGCCAGTTCCTGGTCGCGAATACCTTACTTTAGCTGAATTACGCGAGCTGAAGGACCGTATGGATCGCGAATTCATCAACGACCTATCTGAGTAATCAGATATCGGTCCTGTCACAACACCCTGTCAGGCCACTACGCGCTCTGACAGCTCTGTACAATAACAACACATGCAGTCTATGCAGGACTGTCAGCCTCCCTTGACAGCCCTGGCCAACTGACTGTCTTCAACTACGGAATAGATTGATGGATCATGAAAATTACGTAAGCTTCGGGGCGAAGCTTTTCCGCCGGGGGGGTAGTGTCACGGCATGGCCTGGACAGGCTCCTGTTTAGAGTGTGGTCTGTGCCTGACGTATCACGTGGCCCACAACTACCCATTTCCCCGCGCCCTGCGCGGTCCCCGTCATAGCTTCCTTCTTCATCTTTAGATTCTACGAATTCAGCGATGATTACTGCAGCCCTGTCTCTTTACGTTGACTGAGCCGTGATAATAATATAGTCAATGCGTACCTAGACATCATAGACAATAAGCTTTCTATTTTTCAATCGGCTTAAAAGCATGGAGTTCCTTATACAATGTTGAACCGACGACTCAACGTAGTCCCCTAAAAAACAGATCCTCCAAACGCAACGCAGGCTCATAGAGCTTCAAGAAAAGCGGCTCATTGAGTAGATCGTCAAGTAGGAAAGACTCGGCTTTGCTCCGAGTTACTCAACAGTGTCTAGCATTACTATAAGACTCTATAAAGAAGCAGGGCAAAAAGACCCTGTAGGGAAAAACTGGATTTCTAGCTTCAAAGCTAGAAACCCCGATATTCGAGCCAAAGTAAGTAAGAGAATGGAAGCCGCTCGTTTTAACGGGTTTACTCCCAAAGCCGTCAACTGGTGCTTTAATATAAGGGAGAAAGAATACGACTGGACCAGGCCTGAGCTTACCTTCAACGCCGGTAAGGCCGGCATTATGGCGGGCTTTGGTGTGAGGACCCGTCCACCAAACTGGCCCTCAAGCAGCCAGAGCCGCCCAGAACCCCCGGGCCTATCAGAAGCCTCCTCGAGGCCCCACCTACCCCACTGATAGATGAAAACTTATTCGCGAGCACGCGACGCGTTGTTGGACTTTTCCTTCTTTCCCTCCTCAGTTTAGAATCTTCGTCGATAGCACCCAATGGACTGAGTTCACCTCAATGCCTTGCCCTGGTCGTGACATTTGGTAAGTAAATAATACCTAGTTATATTATATATTTCTTATACTATATAAGGCTTGATTCATTGGTCCTAGGGATATCAGAGACGAAGAAAGCCTACCTAAAAAGCGACCAAGGTCAAGCCTGGTCTACTATTATCGAATGCATCAGTGTTATGCTTACATAAACAGATGGCTCCCACTACGTTAACTAAGCGAATTTCAGGCTCATGTAAGCGCACAGACCTGTGCGCCTAATGGGAGCCTAAACAGATATTATGATTACATAAGCACATATGTGGGTCCGCTATTTAGCTTACCTAAGTACGCACCACAACCTTTGCTTAGCAGAATCATCTTTCTTCCACTTCTTCATTCCAGAGGCACCTTCAGTACATCACAATAGTAGCTGCGATCTCTTCGATCGTAGCGGTCTGATACCATACAATCCAGATCATATTGGCGCCGGTATTCAATTCCGTGAGCCAGATTTGAACTCTTTTCCAAGTCTTCCGCACGCGCACGCATTTCTGCACGCATTTCTGTATTACGGCTTTCGTTAGAATACCGTGTCTTCCTTTCTCAAACTTCCATCGTTTTTTCCGTCAATCGGACTACACTTTCATCAATCGGATCGACGTCAATTGTTATTTCAACTACCTATCTGTCTTTTTCGACTACCTACTCGCTTTTACGACCGTTGAATGCATTTTCTTTTCTGCCTTCTACACCATTTGGTCATTTTCGCACCCAACTGCCATTCTAGGACCCCATTCATTTCGGGAAGATTCCTAGGACCCCTCAATTGACCCCGTACCCAACGGAAATACTAGTTCTTCCTAGCGCAGATCACTACAGGTTACCCTGTCCTTGTACCTACATTAGCAAGGTCAATTTTTGGCCTGTTATTCTTGTGCAAATTAAGGTCCTTTTCTTCCACAAGTTACTTGGCCGGCCCGTTCGCCATTTTCGGTTGAGCAGACTGGCCATTTGCCGGTTAAGTTCGATTTCTGTTGCTACTTTCGGCTCTCGTTCTGTCCCATGGATCGTCAGCCCCGCGAGCACCTTCTAGCAGCCCAGATTTTGAACTACGTCGCCGTTCAGCCCAACACCCTCGACAAAAATTCCATCGAAGTCATCGAGGATTACTTGGAGCACATACCCCAGGCAGTCCTTGACAAAATCGCCCAGCAGAACGAACAGCAACTCGGCACCAGACGTCGGAATCAAGGTCGAACCCTCACCTTCAATCCCAATTAGACCCTCCAGCCAGAAGTCGTCAAGAACGAGCTAGTAGCGGTAGTCAAATTCATTAGAACTCAAACGGTCTGCCCCGTAGGATCGTCGATATTAACTCAACCACTCGCTAATAATACCGTTCCCTGAAGCTATCCAGACGCCTCCCCCGGACTATCACAGGCTCTGATTCCAGTACCGCCACCGATTAACCTCAATCGGTTTGCGACTTCTCTCCAACTCTCCCACAACGTACTACCTGCCCCGCGAGGTAATAGGACAAAGGGGCTCAAGAAAGCGGTCGAACCCATTACCCTCGACTATAATCGCCCCCGTACGGCAGTCGAGAACAACCTCGTTGCCATTGAGCTCTACGACTTGGGACTTCGTTAGTACTAGGAGTAATTAGCAGCTCTTAATCTCGGGGACAACCGAGCACAAACCCTCGAACCAGAGTCCCAAGCTCAAACCGTCGAACCAGAGACACCGACATCCCCCCCAGCGAACGAGTCGAGAGCCTCAAGCCCTTTCTTCGAAGACCCTCAAAACATGGCTCCAATAAGCGAGGGAGATCCACCTCCCCTACCCCCACCACCCCAGAACACCAATACCGATATAGCTATATAGGTATTCTTTAATAGGCTGTCTATAAGACTAGAAAGACCTGCCCTAAATAATATTAATATGGGAGTCGGTGTAGGTTGGAAGATCACGGCAGCGGGATTCTTCAACCCCGAGGAGGAAGTCGCTGATAACGAGGGCTCCGCCCTCGTCGGAAATAACATCCACTATAAGGATATCAATATATTTCTCTAACTCCGTCATAGAGTACGCTACCAACCCAGCCCGTCGTGAAGTCTTGAGACGCGATCTGGGTTAACTGCTGAAGGGCTCCGCCTAATAGTAGTATATCGGTATACTATTAGATATTGAGCGAGCTCAAATGAAAGAGAATATCAATTAAGTCAGGTGGTCTGCTTATGGAACACCCCTGGATTTGGAACAAGGTTTGTCATCAAGGACTTGCCGCTCGCCACCCAACTCACCTATTTCAATCGCTTGCAACTCAACCAATTCTGCTTCAATACTTATCTTCTTTTCTCCATTCAATTGAGAAATGAAAGATGAAGCGATATACTTAGTTGGATTTGCAGAATGCGCTGGCAGAGTATGCAGAAACCGGCTTACTCCGTAGCTCTGCTGAAAATCACGGCATCCCCCCTACTACTCTCTTTAATCGGGTTCGTGGTTCCGAGCCAGCCTCCAAGGCCCAAATTATTAATCAAAAGCTTTCTCCGGCTATGGAAGAACGCTTAACCGAATGGATTCTATTCCAAGGGTCGCTCGGTCACCCTCCAACCCACGCCCAAATTCGGAAACTAGCTAGAAGAATGCTCGAAGATAACGAGACCCTCGGAAAACGCTGGACTAGCCGGTTTTTGGCTAGAAATCCATCTATTTCTACAATTAGGCCTCGGAGAATCCATGCAAACCGTGCTGATCGAGCCTGTGAGGCCGTTATCCGGCCTTGGTTTGACGATTTGAAGCCTCCAGGCGTGGAGGCTATTCCAGCCAAGCATAGGTATAATATGGATGAAACTGGCATTGCTTCTGGCATTGGAGATAACGGCCTGGTTGTTGGATCTAAGGAAAGAAAGAAATTCCAGAAAAAGAAGAAAGGAGACCGAATTTGGACCTCGATTATCGAATGTATTTCCGCTGACGGCCGGTATTTGAACCCAGTCGTCATTTTCAAAGGTGGAAGCCTTCAACAACAATGGTATCCACGCGATTTACAGCCATTTAAGGGCTGGAAGTGGAAACCCACTGAAAACGGCTGGTCTGACGATGATACTACCGTCGCATGGCTCCGCAATATCTTTCTTCCAGAGACTCGGCCAGCTACCCAGGGTGGGCGACGATATATTCGTACAGGGGTGACGAATATTCGCGAATATGATGCGCTGAAATCGACAGAAGATTCTAGTGGGGCAAACGTTAAAATCTAGCGAGATGAGCACTATAAATTAGCGAGCTGTCGCTAAGCTACAGCAGGTATTTTATTTTGCTTTTTACTGTCAGTTTCGCCCCCCTATGGCGCGCCGCAACGGCAGTCCTCACCTCGCTAAATTTTAGCGCACGATCTTTAACGATATTCGTACAGGGGTGCCGAATATATTTCCGCCCACCCTGCAGCTACCCCCTCGGAGAAGCGCCTCCTTATTTTAGATGGCCACGGTAGTCATACCACCGAAGAATTCATGTGGCTAGCCTTTTCTAATAACGTACAATTGTTATTTCTACCAGCCCACACCTCCCACGTTCTCCAGCCCCTGGATTTATCGGTTTTCGGCCCTCTAAAAGCCCGGTACAGAGCCAAGCATAACGAGGTTGTTTCCGGCTTCGACGAAGGCACTGTTGCTGAAAAGAGGGCCTTCCTAGAATGCTACCGGCAAGCCAGGGTCTATGGAATGACTGAATCTAATATCAAAGCCGGCTGGAAAGCTACAGGCCTCTGGCCGGTCAGCCTCAGGAAGCCCCTAAGCAACGGCCTTGTTATTAAGAATTCTAACGGCGACGTTGGTCAACTGACCTCTACGGTTTCTATAGACCTTCAAGAGGTCCATAACCCCATTCTAAATAAGAATTCGGAGGGCCGGCCTATATGGTTTACCCCTAAAAAGCCGAAGGATTTCCGTATTCAGGGGCAGGTTTTTCTAGCCGGCCAGAAACGGACTGCCAACGACCGACTTTTCATACGCAAGGCCGCAAAAGCCTTCGATTACGTGGTTTTCCAACTAGCCAATACGGCGCATCAATTGGAGGCTGCAGAAAAAAGCCTAGAACGCACAAGAGGCCGAAAGAGAAGGAAGGTCCAAGTCGACCCTAATACGCAGTTCCCTGGAATTGAGGAGGTTCGTGCCTCACAGAGAGAGGCTGGCAGAGATGACCTTAGTTATTCTGAAAGAGAAGAATCAGGAGAATCCGATACTAAAGACTTCATCATTGTAGCTAATTAATTGACAAAGTTGTTGGCAATTGAAGTTTGTGGTGTTGTGCGGGGTCCGATTCAGGGGCTGTTCCATAGGCAGGGGTGTTCCAAAAGTCCCCCACCTGACTTACTGGAAGACGGCGTTAATCAAAAAATACGGTTTGACCAAGACGGAGGCAGGAGACCAACTGATCAAGTACGTATATACAAAAGAGGACTATAGGACGGGAGTCAAATTCAGATCATACGCCGCAAATAAGATTCACCTCTATAGAGTAATAGGCCTTAACGACACGCATAGCATCATGTCCTTCATTTATACCGGAATCGATCCCACTATTTAGGAGCTCATTTACGAGCCTGGTTCTTCCACGATACTGGATACGTACCTCACCGCCGTTGAAGAGAAAACCAATGCTCGATATCGGGTCCTTAATAGCCTGTTGATCAACCCACCGGCTATCAATCGAGATCCACAGATGGTTAAGGATCGATATATCCCAGTGACCCCAGCCTATTACGGCCAAGACTCGGACTCGGCATACTACTACAATGATGTAAGAGAAGGTAGGTACGCCTGATCAATGTGGTCACAATGCAGGCAAGAAGGTAGGGGAGCAATGACTTGTATTAGTGTAAGACTTCAACCTGGCCCTCGCAAAGGAAGATGGGCGAGGGCCATTGTTTATATACCTGCTCAGGGGTTCGGCCCGGGCATCAGTCTGCGGTCGTGGCGCCACGGCGTAGCGTATGCCAGCTGGCAGTGTTCTAGCCAGTTGGTGACAAGTGGTGGGCGCGCACCCTGTGCGCGCAGTTGGTGTTTGGGGTGTCCTTTTCCTTACAACTTGACGGACCACCCCGCCGGTACGGTAATCGAGGATACGACCGAGGACGCGAGAACTAGAGCCCAAAACGCGACTGAGATCAATCACGCCCTAGCAGACCATATTCCCCATACCCCAGGGGCGGGCGTGATAGTAATCGGGACCGCGGAGACCGTCAAGATCAAGGTCGTGATCGTGAGCGAGACCGCGGCCGCGACCGCTACCCTAATGACTACAGACCGGGTCAGGATCGTCGAGACGGAGGTTGGTCATATCGAGGTCATTAGGAGAAGAATGGAATGGGTTTTCGTCGCTATACTCATCCCTACCAGCGACGTTACCGTCGATGGGTACGTCCCAATCGCAAGGGACCAGCTTTTTGGCAGATGAAGTCAAAGTCGAGCAGAAGGACGGATACGAGAACGAGGAGGAGCTGATGGAGTACGGATATCATTTGATGGAAGAGCTAGAGGTGTCGGACTTGGAGTTATGCTATGACCCTACCGGCGACGAGGAGAATATAACTGAGTCTATCTACTTTTCGTCCCGCCCTACCCCAAGTAAACGCGGACCTCGATCCCCACCTCGTTAGAGAGCAAAAACTCCAGCTCCACGTCCAATCCCACGCCACTCAGATAATGACCGTCAGTGCCGGGGGCCTCGCACTCGACCCGGGCATTATTTTTGAAGGAAAAGACCTTCAAACATGGTGGTTTGAAGAGGAAATGCAGAAAATCTACAACTGGCGCTTCGTTACTATAGAAAAGGGCTGGACTAAAAATCAAATAGCGATCAGCTGGCTTAAGGATATTTTCATTCCACAAGCCGATAGGCTCCTGGACTACGAAAATGAGGCTCGGCTGCTTATTCTTGATGGCCACGTGCTACATAACTGTAAGAGATAAGTCGCGTACGCTTTTTCATCCAGTAATCTCACTATATATATATATATATATATATATATAGGACGACTTCTTAACGATATACGGCCTGAATAATATAGAGAGAGTTTCTTTCCACGTTAAATCGTCGCCATGCACTGTAGTCCTCCATACATAACCCTAACCCTGGCCATCAACCCCGCCCTCCAGTACATCCAAGATTCTGCCGCGTAGTAATTTACTACTTTTTACCACAACGTAACCGAACTTTACACCTTCCACTGCAACCCACCTTCAACAGTCACCAAAACATCGTCGTCGCCGCGTTCAATCGATGCATCGGTATGGCTTCATTCTGTCGTTGTTTACACAGAGCTTCAACCTGGTGCAGGGCATGAGAGAAGCCTATAATGAGGAGACTCATGCGCAAAAGAACCGCATTCACTTTGACTACATAGGAAAAGAGTGGCTTGGTGAGGCTCCCTACAACATCTGTTATAACGCGCAGCTTGCCCGCCGCCGCACCGTCAACAACCTCGATTCGGCACGCCGTGGTAACCGGGGCACAGGCACCCGGGGAGGTAGGGCAAGCACCTGGGGTTCAGGGAGCAGGGGAGGCCGGGGCGGTACAACAACATCGCGAGCTTCAACACGCCCTGCAGCCTCTGCAGCGTCTGCAGGGCGTGTTGAAAAGCCTACACGCAGTGAAAGGGTTCCTCACCCGACTGCCCGAGCCTTAGAAGGCATGGATCAGTAAGGCTATCAGTTGCATGCAGGCAGTTGTGAGTAGTGTAAGCAGGCCTGCAGTTTTTTATTGCATTTTTGGCCCTGTTACGTAAGCGAATTTAACGAAGCCAGCTTCGCTTTTTACTACAGATTTGAACGATTTGAGCGAATCTACGGTCCTGAGGTAAAATTACCGCATTTGGAAGTATATTGACGTCGGCGACGGCGGCGAGGTGCAATTGCGGTGCAACTTCGTTGCCAGCGCTTGGAGTGGAGCAGCCAGCGAATGTGGTAATTTTGGCTGTAAAACGTGGTATTTTCATAGGCGGTGAGCTGTAACGCTTGGGCGCCTAAGTACCTACAGTGCACGGCGACGATTGAACAGTGGATAGAAAATCTCTCATAATATATACCTTTGCTTTCTGCCAGCCCACACCTCTCACGGCTTACAGCCACTTGATAACGGGCCTTTCAATCCTATCAAAGCTCTCTATAGACGTGAGCTAGCCAAGTTGGCTAGTCTAACCGACGCAGCACCTATTAACAAGATCAACTTCATTCGCTGCTACAAGGTAGCCAGGGAGGAAGCATTGATAGGAAGAACCATCAAATAATCATTCCGGACGACCGGAAATTGGCCTGTTCACAGGCAAAAAGCCCTAAGCCAACCCCAGATCCAGCAAGACAGGGCGAAGACCCCTGAACCCCCTGTCCTCTCTAGAGTCCCTAGTACACCGACTACAGGGCGTCAGATTAGGGAAAGGAAGCAGTCCCCAGACTGGATGGAAGTTCCAGAAAGCCGCGGCAGCCGTTGAGAAGCTTCAGACCGAATTGGTACTCAAGCAACACCGCATTGAAGCCCTGGAGGCTCAACTGGAGCGTATTAGGCCCTGTCAGAAGTACTGCACTGCATGTGATATGGGGAGAAAACGATGTAGATTGATTGATGTTCTATCTTTTGTGGCATGCCAGACACCTTATTCTTATACTTGTTGTTTAGTGTCACCGAGGTGGCCGTAATGGTCGCCGAGGCGGCCGTCGATGGTCACCGAGACGGCCGTCGATGGTGACCGAAATGGCCTTCTTTCTAACAGGCCCCAAAAACGAAGGAAAAACCTCAATTCTAACAAGCGGTTCATGGACCTAGGGACTATACTACTGGGCGGCGAGGTTCTCTCAGAGCCTCAAGCAGAGCCTCAAATTGAAAAGGTGGGTGATGAAGATGAGGCTGAAGAAGAGGCTGAAGAAGAAGGGTTGCTTGCAAGACTGAAAAGATCCGGACTTGCACTTCGTCTTCCAGCACAATATATGAGTCAAGCAGTCAATTAGCTACATTTTGCTATATTTAGCTTGCAAATAGCTTCACAATTGAGGGCGCTGTTGTTGTTCAAAGATGTAGTGTTTGGTGTAAAAGGGTGATCCACTGCTAGGGTGATCCGTTGGGGGGTGGGGCATGGTGTGCCGAAAAGCTTCACGGCGAGGAAGACGGCGTTGAGGCGCCAAGAAAGAAGCAAGAGACCTTAGAAGTAACTTTGAATATCAAGGAAAGGTCTTTTTTTTTGCCTTAGAAGCTTATATCGAAGGAAAGGCTTATTAATATAATCATTCGCTTGAATCTTCTATATAATATCGTCGAATATGAGGCTTTCGTGATTTCTATATAACCCAAATACCGATAAGACAGCTGCCCTGATTCCGTCCTCGTACAATACGGTTCGAGAGTATAGTAAGGATAGCTTCAATTCGTACCAGCAGGGCCTGCGCGCGCGCTTAAGGGCATCGCCATTTATGAAGCATCTTTCCTTCGATATATGGACTTCCGTATCGACCGTTTCTTTCCTCGCAATCTTCGTACATTACGCCGGTACTGACGGCGACGTATATCGCGAGTTATTAGCTATACTATATATCGAAGGCTCTCACAACGGCGAGAACCGGGCCACATACATCGTGAAGGAAGTCAAAGAATACGGCTTTGAGGACCAAATCGGGTATTTCCAGTATAAGAACGTTGATTCAAATACCTAGGTCGTAAAGCATTCGTCATAGTCCTTGGTGCCTGATATATACGATTTTGACCGCGATACATTAGCTGGAAACCGTCGAATTCATTGCTTTGGCCACATCCTCAACTTGGCGGCGCGCGCCTTCATTCTAGGTAACTCAACAGAGCTAGAAAGAACCTTTGACGATAACTTCATCGGCCAGTTACCTAACGCACAAGAAGAAGCCTTATTAAAGGAGTGGCGAAAGCGAGGCCCGGTCAGGAAGCTGCAAAACATCATACACTTCATTTGGAGGTCGCCACAACGCCGGGATTCCTTCCTTCAAATCACGCGCAACCAACATAACGAAGACGGCGCCGCAGTCCTTGACAGGACCCTCGAGGATCTACACCTATGTAGCGATAATTCAACGAGGTGGAATTCTATTTACTTCATGATCCAACGCGCAGTACGTTTACGGACCCAGGTGGATTTTTGGTGCCACCAAAATCAGGCTAAGGAACCTGATAGGCGTATGCCCGCCGCCGACTTGTTACAACCAAGCGACTGACACGTGCTTTCCGTTGTTTTATCTATTCTTAAACCTTTCAAGAAGATTACTAGATTGTTCGAGGGCAAGACAGTTACCTTCCCTGAGGTCATCGGAACGCAGGAATGGCTCATAGACTTACTTGAAGACACCCTACGCACCTTACATCCTAACCTTGAACCGTCACGGAATTTACCGGTGGCCCGGTACATACCCATCCAGAGATCTCGGTCGCTAAACAAATTGAAGATGACGACGACGACGACGACGACGACGACGACGATGACGATATCAATAACGTTGAGTCTTCCTTACCGAGTCAAGTCACTTCGCAACGGCCGCGGCGTAATATACGTTTACCTATCTACCTGGCCGACTCGGTAAATCGACCTACCACAGCGCCTCCCGACCAGGCAGATTAGACCCCGTTCTCTAGACGTCGCCGCCGACTTACCCGACAACTCCCTACCCTCGAATACTAAGCCACAGCAAGATCATGTATTCTTCCTTCGAACAAGCATGGGCCTAGCCATTCAGAAGCTAAGAAAATACGCTACATTGATAGAGGAGAGCCCAGCTTACTGGGCAGCGATGATACTTCACCCTAGGCACAAGAGGAAGTGGGTTGACAAGTTCCTGGGAGAGGAGCGGGCCAGGAAGGCATACAGGGCATGCCGCGATCTTTACCAAGCTGAGTATTCCGGCCTCGCTATCCCGGCGCCGGCACAACCGGCTCAGGCGCCGCCTATAGGTCTAGGGACTGTTCTTAGTGGTCATGACTACTATGATCCGCCTGAAGACCCTAGCCAGAAGTATGAACTCGCTGAATACCTTGCAGAGGGAGTCAGGCCACTAGATGACATAAAATCTTGGTGGTTTAGTCGTCAGGAACGTTGGCCCCGGCTGTCAAAAATAGCCCTAGATTTAATGTCTATTCCGTCCATGTCAGCGGACCCGGAGAGGGCATTCAGTAACGGTAAGCTGGTCTTCGGCACACAGAGACATGGAATGGGCGACGATAGCTTCAACAAAATCATGTGTTTAAAGGATTGGGTACGTTGAAGAGCTTTTCCGGGCTTCGCAGCATTTTTTTTTTTACTATTTTGGACCTCTTTGACGGCTTTTTACATCTTTTTTGGTGGAGCGGAAGATGCCGTCAAATATCATCAATTATTGCCATATCAATCAATTCTAGCCTCGACCCTATCAAATATCCGTGTTAGCGGCTCAATTCAACTAAATATAGCCTTAAGATTGAGTTGTTTGAGCTATTGTCAACGCTGACGAGCCCTGCTCAGGATCGCGGCCAAACGCCAGCATTGCCCCCGTCAGCAGCTTGCCTGTGATGCCAGGGTACGCGTCCTTCCACTGCTGCTGTATGGCTGCGTTGACCTGTCTGTCTGTAGTGGTGATCGAAGACGATTGTGGTGCACATCATAACAACATGCGCGAGGCAGTTTAAGCTTACCCGGATGAACCGACACGGCATAGACACGGTCGCTGTTGGTCTTATGACCTTGTCGGTGAGGCCATACTTGGCGAGCAATATTGTAGCTCACTTGGTGCGGCCGTAGAGCTCGGTGGGCCCCAGGTTCGGGTTGTTGATCTCGTCGAGGTTCTGGAAGCGGACGTTGCTGGGGGCGGCGCGGTGCATCTCGGACGCGAGAAAAACAAGGCGGGGCGCGGTCGTCGACGCCGTACTGGTTGTGTTGATGCCGGCTGATAGGGGTCACTAAAGGCCCCTAATTCCTAGCGTCCTTTCTAGGCACGCTCCATGGAGAACTGCCACTGCCAGCACGAGTTTCGGTACTACACCGCAGATTAAAAGCCAAAGTAAGTCAAGTCCATTCAGCTTTGGTTACACATTTCGAAGTTGTAGTGCACTGGCGGAAATATGTCGAACCGCGCCAATGTCGACGGTTCAAGGGAGATCTGCATTGGCGCAGGGTCGGAGTGTCGGGGTAGTGCCATGACATCATAGACGATAGGCGCGGGGCTTCTCTTTGACAGCAGCACCCACGCCCCAATCTCCATTCTCCATGCGTACAGTTCACACCAAAGACCATTGTAGAGGGCCAAATTGCGGAAAATCCAGCAAGACGAAGTACAACAAATAGCAATGCCGTCAGTAGCAAGCCTAGCGCTGCGGGTGCTCCTCGCTTTCGGGTGCCTCGGAGCAGCCTTGCCGGGCCAGAATGTCCTGGGCCCGAGCCAAGGGGTCTCTGTTGACGTCTCAAAAACCGCGGATCAGATCAAAGACGAGTAGGTCGTCCGGCAATGGCGATGCCATCTCTTTTCTGACCATCGCAGGCTGAAGAAGGCAGAGATCATCCCCACTGGTAATTGGGCCCATGCCATTTGTGCATCAAGACAAAGCTGACAACACCCCAGTCGTCGACGACTTTGAGCCGTCGCTGCTCCTTTTCGCAAACTGGTCGACAACGCAACACGCAGCACTAGGCAACACGATCAAGCCCAAGGAGCTGCAGGACGCGCCGACCATCGCCCTGCACGACCCCTCTGCGCCGTCGTCCAGCTTACTGTGCCACTCCGGCATGACATACACCATCACCCTGACCGACCCAGACGCCCCGTCGCGCGACGACCCCAAGTGGTCCGAGATGTGCCACTGGATCGCGGCCGGCGTCTCGGCCTCGCCAGCCGGGCAAGGCGCGGCCTGCTCGACGGCGACGCTGGCCCTTGTCGAACTGGACGAGATCATGCCATACAAGGCGCCCGGGCCGCCCGAGAAGACGGGCAAGCACCGCTATGTTCTTCTCGCGTTTGCGCCGCAGAGCGGCACGACGGAGCAGTTGCACCTCTCGAAGCCCAGCGACAGGCAGCACTGGGGCTACGAACCAGACGACGGCGAGACGAGGGGCGTGCGTGACTGGGCGAAGGAGAATGGGCTTGTTCCCGTCGGTAAGTGCCTGCTTGCTGCTGATTCTGTGTGGGGGTAGGTGGGCCTGATATGCTGATGCGTGTATCGTTCCTGCAGCGGCAAATTTTATTTATTCCAAGCACAAGAATCAGTGACGGCGGTGCGTTGTGTTGCTGGTCGGATTGACGTGGCCGCCACGTTTGGTGGTTACGGTAATACGACCATGTATTTATTGAAACGAGAATTCCCCGCATAACGCAGTTTTATCTTGTAGCTGCCGAGTGTTCAGGTTGTCGTTGTGTTAGCACCTTCCCCGTCAAAGTTTGGTACCCAGCTTAACTATTCGAAGTCGTTCTTTCCGCACAATCATGTTGCGTTGTTGACCAGTTTGCGAAAGACGCTCCTTCCTCTAACTAGCTCTCGCCCAGATCTGTCTCCCTTGCAAAACGGCTGCCAGTTCTCTGCATCGGTTGTCAGTCAGTCTAGTCAACATGCAGAACTACAGTGCTTCTTCAGCATCCAATATTCAGCACATTAGCACAACCCCGCCCGTTTTGTCGTCCTACGAAGAACAAGCCCACCGCATTGCATCACGATGGCCGAATCTCTCGACAAGAGCGCCGGTCTCGAGAACGGCACTGTTGTCGACTCGTGCAAATCTAGCGAATCCGCCGCAGATACGAAGCTTCCCCTTACTTATGGTGCCTTATTCCAGATTTTGGTGGCATTTCTCGCCGTCATCGTCCCGGTTTTCGATTACCGACATACTATACGCGGAATTCTGTGTGCCTGGTGTGCATTTGTCTTTAGATGGCCTACACTGCAACTGCCGTTGTCGCTTTGGGGATGTTTGACATAAATGGCTCCGTGTGGGCTGAGATAAATGCGGCAATGAACGGCCTGCTCGCTAGGCAAATAATCGCGGGCTTCCTGATGGTTTTTGCTTTACTCGCCGACATTTAAGTCGACGCCCTATCAATGGTCAGTCGGGTGGTCCGTGCGGTACCTTCAACTTTCTAGCCAGCTCCCCCGCTAAAGTAAGCCACTTTCCTCTTCAACCTGTAATACAACCAACTTCAGTCAATCGCCGTACGATTTGTCGCTTTCTAGCTATAAACAGACACGCCGAATACTTTACGGTTATTACCCTATTAATCTCTGCTAATATATTACCAGGAACGCGTGTTTTTCGAGCCGCCGCGATGGCTACGGTGGGGTTCCTTAACCGCAGCCCCCACGGCCCGATGCGCCAAATCAAGGCGCCAAATCCAGGCGCGGTGGCCAGCCTCCCGACGGCCCGATCCTACCTAAAGAGACCCCGAACGACCGGATTCCTCCTGATAACCAGCACTTTATGAGGGCTCCTAAAATGCCTCGGCCACCCATTCCTTCGAGCGAAGCGAGGGCAGCCCGGCGCAGGCGCCGCCGGAGGCAAAAACAAGAAAAAAGGAGGCTCATTCAGCTGACCCCTTCCTGATTAGTCAGGTAACCTATTTTACATTTTACATTTGACTCTGGGCCTTCTTTTTCCGCGCATTGGTATTTTTTGCTCTTACTTCTCGGGGCAGACTGGCTGTTGGCTAAGGGGATATTGTTGGGGGCGTACATGTGTTTAAATTGCGTGTACGCTCGGTCTAGCACTGTTAGACGTTGATCGTTCATATCCAACTTCAGTAGGCTTTGCTCGACTTGATAATAATACCTTCCCTGGCCTCCCGCTTGAAACCGTTGCTAGACTCAATGATCAAGGCGTCCTTGACGAGGTTGCCAAGCTTTGTTTTGCTATCACACCTGTCAGCACTGGGGCGGGCTCACAATTAGGTTCAGAAGACCAATTTACCGCCTCACGCTTCACCTTAGCGTCATCTCGTAGCCGTTGCCCGACTTGACGCCGTGCCGGAGTAGAACATCTACGGGCCGTGCGGTAGCGCGATGCGCGGTTGAATGCCCTAGCGAGATCCCACTGCTGTTGGGTTGATCCGCCGTTGTCTTATCCTGGGTCTGGATCTGGACCTGGATCTGAACCTAGGTAGATGAGGGTATGGGAAAGGAGATTTGGATCTGGTTGGCGGTGGTTAGGATCACGTCGAGGTGGGTCACTCAGGCCTTTCCGCGGCTGAGATTTAAGCTGAGGCCGTGAGTAGGAAAGTATTGCATTATTTTACCTATTAGACCTATATTTAAACAACATCCTCCTGCCCCTGATCCCAATGCATGTATGTCACCTCTCACCTGGAAACACGCCTTGAAAACACCCGACAAAAAGGAAATAGACGGGAGGTAAAGGAATAAACGCCCCCTCCTCCTTCATGTTCACACCGTAAATATTTCGCATCACACACCACCCTTTACACCCGAACTCCAGATGCCGAACCGCACATTATTGTCCCCATCAGCCCACCAGCCCATGTTATATCGTTTCTCACCGACACCCTCCCCTGGACCCCCCTGATCCTCCCACAGCGGCGAGCCTCCAAGCCGGCCACCTCCGCTAGCACCAGAACCAGCACCAGCACCAGCACCAACACCAGCACCATCCCCTCCCTTGCCCCGTCCATCAGCACCAACAGCGCCCCCATCGGCAACCAGCGCCGCCACACCCGCAATCGACACAGGTTCGTGCGGGAGCACGTCGCGCACGCACAGCAGGACACGCATAGCGACGGCGCCGACGACCATGGCGGCGAGGAGAACCTGCAGCCCGATCTTGGGGCCGGCGTTCTGCTGCAGGCGGCTGGCGACGCGCGCGCTGCCGCCTGTCAACGTCGTTGTTGGGGTGGCGGTGTCGGAGGGAGAAGAATCGGCGCGCCGCCCGATGCGGCCGGCTGTGGGAAATATGCCGCCTAGGCCTACCAAGAAGTCGAAGGGGTTGTTGTTGTTGCTTGGCGTGGGCGCTGCGCCGCCGCCGCCGCCGCCGAAGTTGCCGCCGAAGTTAGGGCTGGGATCTGGGTCTGTGCCTGTGTCTAGTGGCGGGGTGGAGGCCCTGGGGAGGGAGTTGGAGGTTGGGTTGGGCGCGTTTGGGAAGGTGTTGCTCGGGACCGGGTTGGGTGGGAACGATTGTGATGCGTCGGGCGTCGTGGTGTCTGAGGAGAAGGGCGGGGTGGAAGAGGTGGAGTGTGAAGTTGGCGGGGCGGTTGTCAACGACGACGACGACGACGACGACGACGAAGAGGTCGTGGCGGGCTTGGTGGTGTTCGTGCTGCCCCCTCCCGCAGTGCTCACGCGCATGGCCTGCGAGATGGCCTGCGCCATGTACCGACCGTAGACGCGCTGCGCGGCCGCGTGCAGCCTGTCGAAGTTGGCCTTGCCCGTGATCTCGTCGAGCGGCACGCCGCCCTTGCCCCACACCATGGCTTTGATGAACTCGTTTGTCGGGTTCATGTCGTAGTAGCTGCTGGCGGTGGCGTCGTTGGTGCTGTCGTCGGTGCTGTTATTGCTGGCACTGAGATACTTTATCATGTTGTTCACGGGATACTCGAAGATGTTCCCCGGGCCCTTCTCCGCAGCGTTGGGAAGCAGTCGTGCGCTTGCCTCATCCACTACTGGCGCCGCGCCTGGCGAATCTGAAATGCGGAGTCCAGGGTACGTGATGGTCAGGTTCGTCGTCACCTCCTGGACCTGCTGCCAGCATATCATGGTGTCCACGTCGGCCGTCGCTTCCCAGACGGCACTATTCTTCTGCTTGGCCGTGTAAACTGACGCCGTCCCGAGGGTTACTGCAAATGTAGGACAGCCCCAGTTGTTGATCTCGAAATCGGGATATGCGGTCGACGATGTGTAGTCGTCGGTAACGCCGTCGCCTTGGACTTGCCCATAGACGGGGCTGCCTGAGTCTTCGTAGCCGTTGATCCAGAGAAGATACGTCCCTTTGCCAATCGTGATGGATGCGTTTCTGCCGGCAGGCATATAGTACTGCTGCGTCCACAGAGCCTCGGCACTGCTGTTGGGGAGTTTGGGCGGGTGCTCGCACAGCGACCAGGGCAGGGACGTGCTCAGCGTCGCGACGCCCCTGTCGGGGAAGCCGAACACCTGGGAGCCGGCAGCGGTGTATTTGAGAGGTATCGACGTGCAATTGAGAACGGCACGGGTGGCGTTTGCGCGCAGCGACAGCAGCCCCTGCTCGCCGTCGACAAATAATGCGGCGTCGGCGTCCGAAATGTTGAGCTGCGGGAACGCGAGCTCCCCGTACGTCCAGTCCGGGTACGACAGGTTCTTGTACGTGATGAGATTGTTGATGTTACCGGCCGAGCAGTCGTTGTTGAGGATGTCCGACTTGGTCAGGTCGAAGCTGTCGAGCTGCCTCAGGGAAATAGGGGCCACATACGGCACCTCGACGACGTGATAGAGGCCGGAAATGACAACGGTGAGGAACGAGGATATGAAATTGGCGGCAATGATTGCCGAGAGCGCGAAATGCTTGTTCGTGAGCGACGCCATCCACACCTGCGGCCCCGACCTCGTGAGGTAATTCGCCGAGACCGACGCGGACGCCTTGGCGTTGCCTTGCCGCAGCGAAGCAAAGGGCGAAAGTACTGCCGTCTTTGACTCCATGGCGCCGTAAATTGCCGAAGAAAAAACTGCAATGCCAGCGGGAATATAGTTGGCGAGCACCAGGGCCGGGCTGCTCGGATCAACGTCAAACAGTCCGTTTCTCTGGTTTGACAGTTGCTGGAGACCCTCGAGGATGCCGATGTATATAAGCGGCAGCGCGATGGCTACCCCAAACAGCCAGTCGCTGCTGGCCAGCGGCCTCCACCACTGGATGGGACGACTGCCTCCGCCCTCCGGGGTTTTGGTGGACATCTCGTACCCAACTATGGGCTCGATGATGAGGCAGTCGGGGTTTTTGTTGAAGCGGCTGACAAAAGACACATGCTCGAGAGCTCCATTGATCTGACTGTTCGAGCTGGCGCCGAATCCGGCCAGAACGTTTCGGAGCTCGGGATTTGTGGACAACAACTCGGCCATGGCGAGAACAGAGCCGGGCTCGTGGAGGACAACGTCGTACGGCCGAACTAGCAGCACGAGGATGCTAGCTAGGGCGAGTAGGGAAAACCCGACGCAAAGGACGATGGTCGAAAGTATCTTCACGTGCAGGCGATTCTCGGTGTAGGTGACCGAACCCGTGACCTGGGCGTCGTCGCTGAGTGGCGCCATGGCCCGTTCTTGAATCAGCTGGGCTCCTATCCCGTTGAATATCTTGGCGCTGCTAGAACTCAGCATTCCGGGGTCCATGAAGGTGTCAAGCGCGGCGTTGCCGTGCAGCTTCGAGATCATCTGGAAGAAGGTCGGGACTTGTCTGTCGAGGAGATACTCCGACCCGCCGGTTCCGAGATACAGCTGGCCGGCCGAGAGAACGACAGACCGCGCCAGGTCACCCTGAGAGAAACCCGGAATCGCATCCGTCGTGTTCTCCACGGCACTGAGCCGCATTGGCCGCCCGGCGGCATATCCCCCGGGATAGACGACGTTGTACCTCTGGACCAGGTACGTCGGCTTGCAGAGGATGGCGGTGATATTCTGGGCCCAGACATCCCACTTCCCCCCCTGCGACGTCTGGCTCGTCGACGTGTCCCGCAGGTCGGTGAGCGTGATCAGGACCCGGTGCTCGGCGGTTCTGTTCTCCACGGCGGCCTGGGGCGGGCCGGCAGAGGCATTCTTGACGCCGCTGTAGTCGTATCCGCTGTTGCAGACGTAGTCTTGGATGAATCCCTGGAAGTTCTGGGTCGTGTCCAGATCCGTCGCGTAGTCGCCCTGCGACTGCGCCTGGCCGACGAGCGCGTTGATGATTTTGCATTCGGGGTGCGTAACGTTGACGATAAAGTGTTTGGCATTCAGGCTGACCCCTGTCCCTGGGACGGTAATCGACTTGGGCGTGTCGAGGGCGAGGCTGTCACACTCAAAGTCCGTCCGCACTCCAGACACCATAGCGGAGGCTGTCGAGGCCTGGAGCAGCTTATTGCGCTGAATTACGTCGTCTGTGGGCGAGAACACCGGAACAACCGATTCCGAGTTGGTACCCGGCGGGTAGGGCAGGTTCTCGAAACTAACCGCATAGAAGACGCTGGCCGGGGTCAGACCCACGCTTCCGGCGCCCGAGAAATTCCTTCCGTCCAGAACCGATGCCCTGAGGGAAACGCCGTCCATCGTGATCTCAGTAGGCTCCACAACCAAGAGACCACTGGAGAAGACGATAATGAGCGTCATCAGAATGCATCCGCCCGTGGTGACCAGGACGGGCCAGTGTCTGTTTCTGAAGGCCACCCAGAGGCTCCCTGGCATGATCGGAGATAGGTAGTCGAGAAGGACGGTGCGGCGGGCGTCTGCGGGACCCTGGCGCAGCTCATGCCACGGCATCAAGGACTTGACCGCCAAGTCCACCAGCCTCCAGAGACTGCATAGCAGCACCAGCACTGCGAATCAGTGTTAGAAGGGCCATGCAGATGGAAAATCGTTGATTTTTTATGTGAGACTCTCAACTCACCGGCGGTTGGCCCATACTTCCACGAGTAGTTGTATGCGGCGTTTTGCTGGCTCAGGCCGTGATTCGCCAGCGAGAAATGGTACAGCAGCCCCGTGGCCAGGGCCAGACCAGAGAAGACGGCGGCAAACGCGAGCAGGGTCGCCGTGTGCAACCACACCGGGTTCCACATTGGGCGCCTTGTCCCACGGCGGTGCGACCTCGCGCCCTTCTCGGACATGGGAGGAGACGGGGGGCTTTGGCTGCCCTCTCCCCAGACCGGCACTGCTGCGACGTGCACCAGTTCTCTCTTGTTCGGATCATCCTGTTGATCGGGATGCTGCCATCGCTGCCGCCATGTGGCCAGCGGTGGTGAATTTTGATGGTCTTCTTCGAGCTGTGGCTCGTCGCCGCCAGGCGCAACAACAGGAACGCTAACATATTGCGGTTCCTGTGGCTCGTCGCCGCCGGGCGCAACAACAGGAACGCTAACATATTGCGGTTCCTGTGGCGCTTGGCTCCTCGACCGTGTTATTGGACTATGCATGGTCGACACGGTGAATCGTGCTGGATTGGTGGGGAACTCGGACACGGCGCTGACATCGCCATTGTTGCTCGCCGTGGGACCGGCCGCCGCCGCTAAGATAAGGGGGGCCGGGGCGAGGGCCGAAGCCGAGGCCGAGGCAGGGGCCTCAAGATGTTGTATTCTCGCTGCCTCTTCGAGTTCCAGCTCTTGCTCCATCATCCAGGCCACGGCGGCAGACGTTTCGTCGTTGACGGCGAGGGACATGCCGGCGGTCGACCTGCTGAGTCGGCTGTGCCGGCTGTGCCGGCTAACGCTATCGCTGCCACCTCGTTGGGGAAGGCGTAGAAAGGAAGACCTTTCTACTGTTGGTTGACGTCGCCATCGACTCGGAGGGTTGCCGACGTTGTTGTTGCTGTCGCTTGTGCTGCTGTTGTTGTTGCTGCTGCTGTTGCTGCTGTTGCTGCTGTTGCTGCTGTTGCTGCCGTTGCTGCCGTTGCTGCCGTTGCTGCTGTCCTGTCCGTTTCGATCCGGCGAGATTCTCGCGTAGGCGCCCATTGGCAGCGCTTTTCTTCTGACCAGCTCCATCGTCTGGTGTCGTCGAGTCCCATGTCAAGTTCCGAGGTTGCGGCGTCGAGAGGAATGGCCGCGGCCCGTTTCTGGGGAGAAACCAGCTGAAAGTCCAGGTCATGGGAAGCTGAAAGGGCCAAAGGACCCGAAACGCGGGGCCTGTGGGTTGTTTTTTGCATTGAAGTCGCACGGTGGCCGCTGCTGTGTAATAATACGACCCAGACAGCCACTTTTAGCGTGTCTAGGTGGGCGAAGCATTTTGTACAGTACCCGACGCTGGGGGCTCGAGCGAGCCACGGTCGATCCCATGCACTGCCGTTGGAGCAGCGGAACCGGATCATCCATGCATCTTGATCGATCGCGAATCCCACCCACACCGACACGCATGACAGGCCCCAGCAGCGTGCTGACGACGGGGGCTGTTCTAAATCTGGATCGGGCTTGGCTCTCTATTGGCCCGTCGGTCTGCCCAGCGTGGCTCAGTACGGGGCGTGCCGCAAGCTGCACCCGCCATGCATGTTTTCTCACGCCAATCCCACCCGACAGATTTGCGCCACCCAACGTGCATCCACTCAGCGCCGTTGCAATTGGGGAAGCCTAGCAGGGCTGGGAGCCTGTGGCAGCCAGTGGACAGCAGTGGGTCGGTGCCTGCAGGCTCGCTTACCGTTCTCGGGGACTAGCCAAGAATCCTTCGAGACCGACCAGAGTCCGAGCTATCAACTCAGGGCCTCGGACTTCACGGCGGGTCAGCACCCGTCCACCTCGAGACCAGGACTCTTCTTCCCAGTGGATGATTGGCGAGTAAGACCATCGGCGGCCCCTCAATTTGTGCGGTTCTTGATTTCTTCCTTCGGCTTCGGTTTCTGTGGTTTCCCGATGACCCCGGAACAACCTGACAGGGGCTCCAAGTGTAGTGAGCACGAACATTTCGAACTCTGACATCTCTCCACCCGTACCACGAATGTGTCTGACAGTCTGACCGCAAATACAAATGCAAACCTAATACAAAAGCAGGATTCATGCCGGATTACTCAAATATTTTTTGAACAATTCTCAGTTCAGTAATCTCGCTCGTGCGCCTTGCAGTTGTGGGCCTTGTGGCCCTCCTCCAATATGGCTCGGGGCCTGGCCCTGACCCTGGCTCGCCTGCCACCTCCTCAGCTCTTCCAGATTGACTTGGCCTATGATGTTTCCTCGTTGCGTCGTCAACTCCGTCATGTGCATCTGGTGTCTCTGGTGGCCATGCAGCTTCTCGCGCATTTGCCTCTCCGCTGCCATCCGGTCCTCCTCATACATCAGCTCACGTTTCAATTGGTTCTTCCCCCGCGCATGTGCAAAGTCTTGCCCCTGTCGCCGCCCTTCAAATGCCAACTGCTGCCTATTGAGGTCCTCTTTCTCGGCCCACCGCTGGCGGTGCGAGCCTTGTCTGTGCTGCATGGTTTGGTGGTGACGGTGGTCACGAATTACATGCGCCAGCCGCTCACTCTCGGCAACCTCGGCGACATTCTGCTGATACGCGCGCTGCCTGAACTCCATGTCTGCGGCCCTCTTCTCCGACGTCATTGACAGGTCATCGTTGTGCCGCAGCCACCGAACACCGGAATCAACATCTGCTTCACTGATCTTGATGTGAGCGTTGTTGTAATGCTTCTCCATATCCATCGTGATGAGCTGTTTGTGCTCAAGCCCCCGATGCCTCAGCTGCTGTTGTGTGAGTTCTTCCCTGATGTGGCCCACATTCTGGGCCTTCTCCATCTCGCGGCGAAGCTCGTTCGTATGTTCCTCCTCCTGTTGCTTAATCTGCCGATCGCGAGCCCGGCGTTCGCGCTCAAACTCGAGGATCTCCTCTGGGAGTCCGACAGCATCTGGCGGCTGTGTCTCCTCCAGGCTGGCGTAAAACCGATCCTCCGCTCCGTGGTCCCGGAGGACCTGAACTAGGTCCCTGGACTGTGGCCCTAGCAAAATTCCTTTGCAGACGTACATGGTGGGGGAGAACCAGTAGACTCCCTGCTGGAAAATGTTTTCTTGGCTGTTGAGCGTTCTGTAGAGAACACGATCCAGCAACATTCGCGTCATGGGCTCGTTATTCTGGTTATCCAAGGCGAGAAAAATGACCGTTTTTCCGTGGACCGTGAGCAGGGGGCTGGCATCTGCAGCACAGAGTATGTCAAGGGCCTCTTCCGCGACGGTAATGTCGTCGATGGTGGCCATACGAGCCATCTCGCCAAGGGCTGTCCGGCCCTCGTGCTTGGTCGACCTGTAATTAGGATCGTGGCCACTCTCTATCAGGAGTCTCATTGCCTGTAGATAAAAGCCGCGAGATGCTTCGTGGAGGCTCCCGTCGTTTGCGCACGCCTTGCTCTTGATCAAAAGGGCAACAAGGTCCGCATCTCCGCGTCCTGCAGCAAAGAACAATGCCGACCGTCCCAGAGCGTCTCTGGCGGAGATTTTGGCACCGGATTGTAGGAGACTCTGAACAACCTCGAGACGACCGGACCGAGTGGCCAGCAGTAGTGGCGTGACCCGGGACACCGGTGTCGTATACGACACGTTTGCTATACAAATCATGCGTGTTAGCAATTGCATATCACTTTCTGAGAAGGATGTAAACTTGCCTCCATGGCGTATCAATGCATCGATAACTCTGGAGCTGATTATGTTATTTGGCTGCAGCAAAGCCCAGACAAGAACAGACACCGGTTCCATTTCTAGGTCGGCGGCTCCACCCTCTCCCCCCGAAACGATCTCGCGGGAGTATACAAGGGACGGAATTGTTGACTCCAAGTGACATCCTACCGAAATGAGCTTTTCCACCAAGGATGCCGAGTCGCAATATGACTTGAGACAGAGGAACATTGGCGGCGGCATGCCGGGGAGTGACAGGGTAAGGTCCGGCAGTGTGTGTCGTATGTCCACAAACGCGCCCAATATCTGCATTAGCCTCGACTCGTCATGGCCTGAAGTTATCGCGATAGACAGAGCGGCTGCGGCAGTCATGGTGGTTGCGCCAAGATTTAATATGCGGGAAAGAAGGGGCGGATCGCCACGTCCTGCTGCTATCATTGCGCATTTCCCATTCTCGTGGTTGACATCAGCACCGCCATCGACAAACATGTTGAGAAGCGTATCCGCTAAATCCGTATCAGGCTCGTGACATGCAAGGTGTTCAACGACTTCAAGAAGCGCTTTGTCAACGGCGGGGCCAGATGCTCCGTATCGAAGGAGAAGTCGGATAGTCTCGACATGTCCAAAAGCAATCCATTGTCTGTCACGGCCAATGATGCCCGCAAGTGCTTCCGAAAAAATGACTTCATTTGGTCCCAAGTTCTCGGAAAGAGTGTCTAAAAGGCTCCGGTTCAGGTCGTAGGCAGCCTTCTTGATGCAGACCCCGTCTTCGTATATCGGGTCTGCCCCTGCGCCAAGAAGGACACTGATCAGACCCAGGTCCGTATCAGGCTCCAGAACAACGTGCTTCAGAGCATTGTTGAGATGATCAGGCTGCAGCTGACGCAAGATTTCGCCGAAGACGATCTTCCGGACTGGCCTGGGTGACTGTAAGGCTTCCAGAACCACCGTGAACAAGGTCGTGTACTCGAGCGCATGGCCGAGAAGAAGTCGAAAATGTGCCAGCTCAAATCTTCGAATTGCAAAGGCAAACACCTCTCCATTGTTGTAATTCACAGAGGCCCTTTTGAGGACGAGTTCAATGATGTTTCTGATTTGCTAGTGCATTAGTAAAAGTGTGAAGGAGGTGCCGTGTTGGTCACATATCCGCGCCACGATTAGACTTACAGATCTCGACTTTCGCTCTGGAACAATTCAACCAAGGCCTTCCCCGAGGCCTCATCGCTGATTTGGTCCTGGATGAGCAGGCCAACTAAGAATCTCCGTTTGTTCTCGTCTGGGATTTTCAGTGCCCGGGGTAACGCGGCGCCAAGAGAAGCAGGAGAAGGATTCTTGGAGACAATCAGTTCCGCGAGCTCGGTGCACGAAGCACCAGCAACAAGCTGGAGCGCTTCGCCTTGCCCGTGGTCTACGTCGGCTCTTCCTTTGTCGAGAAGGAGATTAAATAGTTTAGTGTCTGCGTCTTCACCTCGGATCACCTTGTCCTCATGCGACGTGTCGGAGATGATCCGTTTAGTGACCTTGATCAGGGCCTGAGAGGTGCAGGGTCCTTGCGCACCGGCTTCAATGAGGAGCCGCGCTAGCTCGTGACGAAGGTGGGTGTCTTTGACCTTGATGGTCTCGGAGATGGCAATGGTCAGGCTGGTTTGGGACGGCGCGGAGCCTAGAAGCTTCATGAATATGTCGATCTTTTCGCCACGAATTGCCTCAAGGAGAGCGACAGCCTCATAATGTCCTGGTGGTTTTCTGAAACGCAAAAGGGCGTCGACCAACTGGGCGCGGCCGTGCTTCACGGCATCCACCATTCCTTCTGTCGAAAGACGTGTTGTCTCTGGTCCGGCCGCACCTGCTGATAAGCACAACTCTAGGACCTCCTGAGCTGGTCCAGGATCCTCCGAGTTTATTGCATCGCGGAGCCTTCCCACGGCGATATCGAGGGACCGGGGGGATGGCCGGACTGGGCCGGAGATGAGAGCCTTGACCAGGACAGGGTCACAAGACTCGACTCCTCCCAGTAGCGCAATGGCGTCATCGTGGTTGACGTCTGCCCAGTATTTGAGGAGCAGCTCGGTGACATCCAAGGACCTGTTTGCCACAGCGAGTCGCAGTCCGGAGGAGCGGCAGGCAAGGCAAGGCAGCCGGTGGCCAGAGAGAAGAGCTTGGACAATGTCCAACTGGTTTTGTAGCACCGCGTTCTGGAAATCTGAATGGAGCTGGGCGGGGTTAGCTCCATGGTCGAGCAATGTCTTGAGCACGGCGAGATCCCCTCGTACAATGGCGGTGTGGAGGACACTGTCGAGACTTTCTTGGTCTGCACGGCCTGCTAGCAGGTTGACAATATCCGGTCGACACTTGCTGGTAGCCTTGAGCAGAACATCGCTGCGGTGGCCATCGTGGTGTCTTCCAATAATCTTGCTCCAAACGCCCGACGTGCTCCGTTGGGAAAAGTTGACATCAGCACCGAGGGCCAGGAGGGCTTTGAAGAGGCCAAGGGACTCGTCTCGGTCGACAGCCTGGTTCAAGACCTGGTTGACCTCTTGATACGTGAACGAGTCGTCAGATTTGGAGTGAAAGGGGGAGCAGAGACAGGCGAGAGGTTGGTCCCCGTTTTGGAGGGCCCGCTGGGCAAGCAGCAGCCGCTTCGCCTTTGCGGTTTCGAGGTCCATCTTGTCTTGTCTGGGTTGAAGCTCGAAAGCACGGAGGCTAGTCCGACCTAAGCGCGTCGAGGCGCGATGAGGCGCTGGAATGGGGACGGGAGATGCATGTCAGAGTAAAAAGGCCGGAGGATATCCTGTCATTTTGAAATCGAAACACGGGTGTTTGCCAGATGCCCACCTCAACCATGACCCCCAATCGGGTAGTGCCGATTGTAGCAAAATCGACATGGAGAAGGTGTTGTCGGGTGGCTCTGGCAAGTTTCAGGATGGCCTCCGAAGAAGCCCAAATTGCAGACACCAGTCAAAAAGGCACACACCAGTCAAAAAGGCACAAACGGCCAGGGGTCTTGGGAATTCGGGAAGAGACAAGGGGGGGGAGTAACGTGTGAGCAAGGAATAATTGGCCGAGTTGAAAGCTCGCCCAGGCTTCCGGAACAAAGGATGCAGTCCTGAGAGACGATTTGCTGGGGTTGGCCACATGCTGAGACAATGCTGGCGACTCGTTGGTTGCTCCTCGCGTCATTAGCCGCCGGGGCTGCAGACTGCAGAGCCTCTCAGCACCACCAGAATTTCATGCAATCCTGGGCCGCATGGCGGCAAATAGCCCAGTGCTGAAGCGAGCGTAAGCGCCGAACACAATATGCAACCCTTGAGGCAGGCATACCACATTCGGCCTGATGCCCAAACCCATGCGCAGTATGGTCGCCGGGTCGGCAACTAGACATCAAGCCAACTCCGGTCGCCTGGTCGCCACCACGTCGGCCACGGATGTCGTCAGCCACGAATGTGCCCAGAATGACGGCAATTCATTTCCCTAGGCTGACTTTCAATCAATTACCTGAGAGAAAGATGGTGGAACCGATTATTGTGGACGTAAACTTGTCGACTCAGTTTCTTGGCCGTTGGTTTCCTGGCCGTCTGGTCCGGGCGGGGCAGGATTCCGGCGTTCGCTTGGGTAGCATTGGACGAATCCTCCAAAGACACCGCTACATTTGATGTCATTGGATTGGATACCATCAGGTTGTGCCCGGTCCGACGTCAAGAGGGGTTTCTGCCACAAAGCACAGAAGCGGGTGCAGTCCTGCGTCGTTCCTTCCTGTTCCGCAGAAAATCTCATCTCATGTGCTTGCTGGAACTGCCTGCCGGAACTGCCTGCCGGAACTGCCTGCTAGAACTGCCTGCTGGAACTGCCTGCCGGGCCTGCCTGCCGCAACTACTTGCCGGGCCTGCCCTGGGAAGGTATCAGTCGGGTACGACTTCCTAAAGCGAAGTCAACCCAACCTATCGAACCAGGCCAGACAGTGGAGCCTTGCCATGGTTTGCGGCAGCTTTCGATGCTCGCTAAAAAATCACTTAATTTATGATTTCAGGTTTGTAGGAGTGCGTTGAAGGATTTGCGTATTTCACCTCTCGTGTCGCACAGAATACTGCGTCACACCGTCACTTCGAGCAAATACTGGATTCCACACCCTCAAAGTCCAGTAAACTAGTTTTTACTGCATGCCTAACCATTCATGGACCATTGATCGATGCACCTCGGATCAGTCCATGGTCCTCATTCCCTCTCCAAACATCTATTCCACTGGCTGCACTTTCACTTCGTGTGCTGGCCCCGGGCCGAAGAAATCCTCGTCCTCCAAAGTTCCTCACAGACGCGGGGACAGACGCGGGGGTTAGTCGCCTGCGCGAAGCTCACTCAGTTAGTGCTGCGTAAACCCCTGCCATTGGCGAAGAGGGCAGCGCATACTGCTGCGGCTGCAACAGCAGTCGACGTGGTGAAGGAGTAGCGGAGTCCGTCGTAGTAAACAAGTCGCGCTTGAAGCTGCACGTCAGGCGGGAGCGTCTTGATTGCGGATACCGAGTGTCTGATGTCGTCGACAATCTAAGGTAGGAGTTCATGTCAGTGTCATTTGATCTCCCACTCGTTGTCTTCTGTCCGCTTCTCTCCCACTCGTTTCCTTCTGTCCGTCTTCTCTCCCACTCGTTTTCTTCTGTCCATCTTCCATCTTCCACCTTTCCACCTCACTCGCGCACCAGAAGAAAGGGCCGTACTCTCCATTTGTCTGGTATGTGGCCCAGAGCATCAGGCAGTCGGAGGCTGAGCGTGGTTTGCACAATTGCAGACGTGACGGCGACCCCGTATACTGTGCCCAACGATCGAATCAGGTAGACAGTCGACGCCGAAACCGCATGATCTGCATCGATGAGTCAGTAACCAACCAGTGCCAGCCGGGCAGTTCTGCGTCTATCGGCGCCTACCTGCATGCTCAAAGGTTGCAAGCGAGGTGAATAGGATGGCCGGGTACACAATCCCCTGGCCCAGGTTTGCAGGGAATATGTACACAAAGTACTTCCACGTCGAGTCCTCAAATCCCACCGAAGTCACCAAGGCATTACCAAATGCCATGAGCAGAGCTCCTGCACGCACCAATGGAATCAACTTCCCCCACCGCGACATGACTATGCCAGCGACGAGTCCACCGATTGGCGTCGCCAGAGATGGAATGGCCAACCGGGCACCTGCAGTCGACGCAGAGTCCAGCAAGACCACTTGGAAGAACAGCGGAAGGTTGAAGAGATACTGTTGCCCAAATTTAGCGCGCATCAGTCTAGCAGGCCAACACGATCCTGCTAGCAACAGTATGCAGATATCTAGTCACTCACCGCATACGCAGCCACGCCGGCGCAAATGTTTGCAAACTGGACGGACAGTGGAAGGCGTCCACGTAGCAGACGGAGTGGGATGACTGGAATGGCGCTTGTCTGCGCCTCAACCACCAAAAAGAGAGCGAACAAGACAAGGCTCCCCAGCAGGGAACTGATTACCCACGGGCTGCTCCACGGAAGCTCGTTGCCTCCGAGACTCAGGCCGACAAGCTGGATGCAGATGGCGGTCACGAGCAGCAAGGCTCCCGTGAAGTCAACCTTGGCCCAAACGTCCCGAAAGCCGCGACCCAGGTCGAACCCTCCCTCGGGATTCTTGATTACCAAGGCTCCCACGACAAGTGCAAGGGCCGAGACGGGGACCTGGGACAGGAAACACCACCGCCACCCAATGCCATCGGCGATGGAGCCCCCAAATGAAGCACCGCACACAGCACCGAATCCAAACATGCCATTCTGCAACGCCTGGTACATTCCGCGCTTCCGAAATGGTATCATGTCTGAATTAACGATTGTGGCTTTTCCCTTTGTTAGCCAGATATCAGCACGGCGCTCACAGCCCGACCACACAGAGAGTCTAACAGTCCGAGACAAAGTCTAGGAACGAAAAATACATACCCATCGTCATTAGCCCTCCACCGCCGAATCCCGTCAGCGCACGCATGCAATTAAGGAGAAAGATGTCTCCAGCGGCGCCGCAGCCAAGACAACCGAGCGCAAACGTGATAGTCGAGACGAGGAAGCACACGCGGCGGCCGAAGATGTCCGAGATCCTCCCGTACAGCGGCTGGAACGCGGTACTGGTGAGCAGGTACGACGTCGTCAGCCACGACGCCGTGTTGGCGGCGTCGAACTCGGAGCTGATGACGGCATACGTGGCGGCCGTGATGGTCCCGTCGAAGCCGTACAGGAACACGTTGGACATGATGGCCACCTGGATCCAAACGAAGCCCCGCGGCGGCTGCCACGATGCCTCTTCGGGAGCCCGCAAAAGGGGCTGGTCCTCTCGGGGAGAGCCCCCGAGCTGGCCAGCGGAATGGCCGTTTTGATGACTTAGTGGACTGCCGCTCTCTTCATCGGGGCCTGCAACGCTCTCTTCATCGGGGCCTGCAATTGAGGCAGTCATGGTCAACTTGTCTTGTCCGACAATCTGCGCTTGGTCGGAACAAGATCCAAACTATCGACGGTCCGGGTCGAGTCAAGACGATGATTCCTCGACCAACGAATCTTTGTTTAGCTACGAATTGACATTCCCGGCAGGACCCGGTTCTGGTCGACAAAAATTTCTCCTCCCTTGGTCGGCGAAAGACTCATCTTTTCCTCTTTTGGGATGGCTGCAGCCTCTAAATGCATACCCCGGATACAACGATATCCCCTAGCCCCTGAAGCGGGTGATGCGAGGACGGCCCGCCCACCGGGCGAAACCGAGGCCGGTTCTCGCACCTGTCGACTTTCCATGGCCACCATAATCTTCCAATGAGCCTTGTATGTCCAGGACTCTGTTCCGTGACCGGACTAACCCCCACAAAGTCACAGCGTCGCCCCGAATCGACGAGGAATCCACGTCCCACGCGCTCGGCAGACGCTCTGCATAAGAGCTGCCACAACTGACCAACAAAAAGTTGACACGACGCCGTTGACGCCATCGTGGTGCTGATGGTGTGTCGTAGCGTACCGAGCTCTGCTTAGCTGTGTCAGGGCTATTGGCTAACGCACGAAGCCCCCATTGGCTCTACGTACAGGGAGGTCGGGAACCAAGCATCGTTATCTTGGGGGTGAGGACTCTCCAGCCAGTCATGGCACTCTAGCAGCTCCTTGGCCTGCAAGTCACGCCTGCCGTTGAGGGGGAAACGCAGTAGTGTCAGATACATGCAACGGGGAGTCTGAATTCGCGACTCTGATGGGCCGGCAGTAGTGATGATGTCTTTGAACCGCATAATAACGAAAAGGTGGGATAGACAAAGAAAGCATGGATTCTATAGCATTATATGGGGGTTTTATCGCGTCATACCTTCTTTGTCTACCCATACATTCCTTGTGGGCCTCGCACTTTCTGATAATTTTGACGGGGTTTGGTTTGAAGTCTCGGAACTCAAGTCTCACAATTCAAAACCTTTGCTCAAAGCCCAAGTTCACAAATCTTAGGTTCACTCACTCCTTGGCGACTTAGAAAGCTTTGTTCGTCAGACTTGATTCTTACAGGTTGGCACGACGACGTGGAGGATTTACAACAGCCGACTTAAGAGCGTTGACTTGCCAAAGGTGAATGTACCTAGCATCCGACGTGATGGAAACGCCAGCATCTGACACCTCTAGCCTACCTGACCGGCCACTGCTGTTGCCGCCATGAAGCTCGGAGTCCTGGCAGCGGCATACACGCTGCTTCGCATTGCATCGGCGGACTGGCAGTTCCGTTCTCGCTCTGACCTGGCGCCCCCGCGACTGAACATCACCATCCCGGCGACCAAGGACGCCGCCCCAGGCTACCTCTTCGTGGCCCCCTTCGCCGGGTTCCCTGACACGCCGACCGCGCAGCACGGCCCGCGGCAGGCAGGGCCGTACATCTTCCGCGACAACGGCGATCTCGTGTGGTCAGGCTACGGCCTGTACAGCATCTGGTCGACCAACTTCCAGGCGGGCCGGTGGCGGGGCGAGGAGGTGCTCTTCAGCTTCGAGGGCGACCACAACGCAGGCTACGGTCATGGCCATGGTCATGTCACCTTCATGAACCAGCACTACGAGACGATCCGTGAGCTGCGCGCCGGCAACCACAAGCTCGTTGACAAGCACGAGTTCCATATTGTCAACGAGGAGACGGGCCTGATCCAGATCTACCAGCCTGTCCCGAGGAACCTGACGGCCTGGGGCGCAAAGCCCGAGCAGCAGTGGATTGTCAATGCAATCATTCAGGGTGAGTGATGCCGGTAGCTGTCTGGAGTCGCAGCTAACTGCTGTTCGTGATGGCAGAACTCGACATCGCCACTGGGAAGCTCCTCTTTGAGTGGGCCAGTCTGGACCATGTGTCTCCCGATGGTGAATAAAATCCCCCAAGGCAGTCTATATCGACTGTGGATGGTAGATCAGACTTTCTGACAGCCCGCACAGAAGCCATCCTGCCGATCAACCCCGGCCAGGCCGGGTCTGGCTATAACAGCTCGGACGCATGGGATTACTTCCACATCAACAGCGTGGACAAAGACGCGGCGGGCAACTACCTCATCTCGGCGCGCGACGCGTGCGCCGTGCACAAGATCAACGGGACCGACGGGACGATCATCTGGCGGCTGCACGGTACGAAGAGCGACTTCGCTGTGGCCAAAGACGCGCAGTTCTGCTTCCAGCACCACGCGCGGTGGCTGGCGCACGACGAAGGGGCCGACATCGAGGTCATCAGCCTGTACGACAACTCGGCGCACGGCAGCGAGCACGGGGAAGGCCGCGAGGTGCACACGGCCGCGGCGAGCAGCGGCAAGATCCTGCGGCTAAACACGACGGCCTGGACCGCCGAGCTGGTGCAGGGCTACTACCCGCCGGCCGGGCTATCGCTGCTGTCCAAGTCGCAGGGCTCGACGCAGGTCATGCCCGGAGGCAACGTGCTCGTCAACTGGGGCTCCGAGGGCGCCGTGACCGAGTACACGACCGACGGCCGGCCCGTGTTTCACGCCTTCATGGACAGCGGCGCGCAGCTCGCCGCCGGCGTCGAGAACTACCGCGCCTTCCGCTACGACTGGACCGGGCTGCCGGCCGAGGACCCGGCGATCGTGGGCCTCGCCGCCGCCGACGGCTCCGGCACCGCCGTCTACGTCAGCTGGAACGGCGACACCGAGACGGCCCGCTGGCGCTTTTTCGCCGTGGCTGGAGTTGACGCGGGCGGATCGTCGTCTCGCCGCGTCTTCCTCGGCGAGGCGAAGCGGACGGGTTTTGAGACTGCGCTGTTTGTGCCGCGCAGCAGCACCGGCGGCGGTCTGCTGCTGGAGCCCGCCCGTGGAGGCACGGCTCCTAGAGTCGCGGCCGAGGCGGTTGATGCCAGCGGGAACGTCCTACGCGTCACGGGCGAGGCGCGCGTGGAGGCCGAGGTCCTTCCTCCCGGCAGCCCGGCCAGCGGAGTTGCAGCCTTGGGCCCCTCTGGGGTCTGTGGAGGCGGGAATGAGCGGCAGAAGACGCTACTTGGCAGTAAAGAGCATGCAGGCGGCACCAGCCGCTGGAAGGAGCACGGCATCTTGAGATTCTTCCGCCTTGGGGAGAAGGATCTGTAAGACCGCCGGGATTTGCTTGGCGGTGGTGAGACCTCCGGCAAACGTATCGGATGCAGTCGAGCAGTTGACTGTGGGCAGTTGACTGTGGGGAGTTGACTGTGGGCAGTTGACTGTGGGCAGTTGACTGTAGGCAGTTGACTATGGGCAATTGACTATGGGCAGTTTGAGGTGATTCCTTCTTTGGATGTGACTAACCGGCAGCGTGTGGTGATGACTGGCTGTCGACGGGCGCATATGTCTCTGCTTCCTGGTTTTTTTTATTTGCCCCACACACCCGTTTGTTCTTTGATGATCCTGTCCAGTCGGCTGCTTTGCCCTTCTGCGCTTTCACTTCTTCCCCTCTTTTCGATCCATTTGTTCTCCTTTGGACTTGAAACGTTCACATATACGACTGCATGTTACGGCTGCAAGTGAGATTCCGGCTCGGAGAAATTGTGGTAACCATTTGGTAGGAATTGGCCAATATAAAACTATATACGCGAACAATTACAACATGAGTACAGGGGCAACATAAGCTCAAGAGATAATAGCAACATGATTAAAGGCGCTTCGGTCTATGTAAGAGCTGACGTTCTTCCTTCAGGGAGGCGGGCGTCAACTACCAAAAAGTAAGGTAACCAAAAACATACAACGCCAGGGATTCGCTGGTGGTCAGCCACCTAACTACTAGTCTAGCCCTCACAATGGCTTATCTATGGCAGAGCGGGCGGGACCACGAGCTTTCCAGTGGGTATGGTCGTATTTGGAAGGGTAGTCAACAAATGGCGTGATCAAGGATACGTGGAAGAAGTATGCTGGCGTTCTTATTTAATTTGATCTATTTCGCAGTCTATCATAGAATGGAATACAGTGTACTATAGAATGGAGTATATTGCATTATGGAATAGAGTATAGTGTATTATAGAATGGAGTATGGTATATTATAGAATAGAGTATGGTACATTATAGAATGGATTATTGAAGGGTGATCGTCACCTAGATCACGGAATGCGGTAGGCTATTCGTGAAAAGGTAGGTAAATTGATGATGCTAAAAAGGAAGGTCGGCTCGAGAGAGCCGCCTGGGCGCAGGCACCTAAGTGCCCTGCGGGGTGGCTGACTAACTAGCAGACTAATCTATGACTAATACGGGGGGGTCCTAAGACCAGCCGGTCCGGCCGTTCAGGCATCAAGTATAGTATATTATAGAATGGAGTATAGTACATTAATCCGGTACTTAAAAACAGCAGCAGCAGCATAAAAAAGTCGCGCTACATCAGCAGGCTCAGAAAATGCCACACTCACACATCATTACTCTACTCTCTCGCTACTCAACGCAAACAAGCGGACACAACCGCAGTCAGCACCTCCCAACCACACTGCTCAGGAAAGCAGCGTCTGGAGCACCAAAAGGAGCGTCACAACGAGCGCCACAGCCACGACTTTGCCGGGGGCGGGCTCCTCAGAGGCGGCCGAGTTGAAGCCCGGCGGGAAGCTGTTTCCAGGAGCAAAGATAGGCGGTTCGGGCTCGGTCTTTGCGCCGCTGTCGCCAGAGCCAGAGGATTCTGGGGCAAAAATCAGCGATCCGCAGCCATCTTGCGACGTGGGAGAGGAAGAAGAGGAGGAAGAGCCAGACCCGGAGCCGGGCGTGAAGACCAGCGCCCCGCAGTTTCCTCCTAAAGGTACCTTGGAGCCTACGCCCGAGCCCGAGCCAGATGCGGGCGTATCAGGGGGCGGGGACGCACCTGAAGGGGAAGGGGGGGCCGCACCTGATCCGGGAGATTTGGGGGGAGCAGCCACAACAGTGCCGCAGGAGGCCCCGATGGGCGGCTTGGCGGTGCTGGTGTCGCCGGTGACGTCCGGGCCGGGGTCCGGGTACAGGACGTTTGCCGAGTCGAGTGTCGTGCAACCGTTGCCGACGTCAGCGACGAAGACAGCGGGGCGGCTGTCGAAGGCGACGCCGCTGGAGCCACCAGAGCCACCAGCAATGTCAACGATAGCGCAGTTCATGTACATCTCGCGGTTACCTAGGTTGTTGTTCCAGGTCCAAGCAAAAATCCCAGCCTTGGAAGCAGGCACGTCCGCAGGCAGCTGGAAGGCGAAGGACGACGAGGCGCCGCTGGGGCAGCCGCCAACGTACGAGTGGACCACACGAAACGTCTTGCCACCGTCGACCGACACGGACGCCTGGCACGAGCCGCCGCCGTGCACAGCGCCGCCGACGATGGTCATGTTGTGGCTCTCGCCAGCCGTCCACGACGCCACTGGCGCTCCGGTGGGCGTGCCGAGCAGGCTCAGGTAGCCCTTGCACGGGTAGTCGCTTCCATCAGCGTGCAGCGGCGACGTCATGCTGTAGTCGACGTTGCTGCCGCTGCTGGGGTTGAATTTGCTCTTGAGCGGCGGGGGGTAGGACATCTCCATGTGCGCCGAGGCGACTGAGGCCAGCGCCACGGCGAAGGATGCGTAGCAAGTGGTCTTCATTGTGGGTGGCCTTTGTGAGAGTGTCTTTGATGGTAAATGGGAGAGTGCTGCTGCTGTAGTGTAGAGGCCGAATTATTCTAGTATTTATATCTATTCTGTAGCCTGGGGGCGTGTGTAATTCTGTTGAGGGTCGACAGGGTCGAGCAAGGCTACGTCTAGAATCTGACACACAGACAAAGAAACCGAACCGAACAATAGTCAGGGACGCCTATATGAGACCATGGCCTTGTCTCGTACGAGTTCTTTGGTCAGACAAAGGTGAGTGCAAAGTCAAGTACTCTGATTCAACGGCCGGTGAGGAAATTGAGAGTCAATGAGTCAGGGTGAGGGTAACAGATAGAAAGTCACTTGTGAGCGGGTTGCTGGACAAATCCAGGCGGCACTGGTAATAGCTGGCTGGAGACGGGATTAATGTTATCTACTTGTGCGTGGCTGTTGTGCGTGGCTGTGGCAGAAAAGAAATAGATGAGAAAACATCATCCCAGAGAAGTGGACGTTCGAAAATAAATCCTCGCCAAAAATAAATCCTCTCCAAAAATAAATCTTCTCCAAAAATAAATCCTCTCAGCTCTGAACCAAAGTTATCGTCGCAACATATTCATCTTTGTAGATGTTGGAATGACAAGGTCATTCGTTCCATAGTCACTGCAGTAACCGATGCGAATGGGGTGGCTGTGGTGGCTGTATTTTGGTCTTTCTCTATCTTAAAAGGGTCACGAACTACGGGGATAGGATGCGCGTTGGAATTGGCGATGCCGGAGGTCACGTGAAGGATGCGCCTTGCGCACGTGCCGCATAGCGGCCCGCGCGCTGGTCAGTCACTGGGGCTGTGCAGCCTGTTGACCAATCACGTGCGACTGCATCCTCTGATTGACTGGTAGTTCCCACAGTAGACTCGTCCGAAGTTTCCAAAAAGCAAATTCCAACGTTCCTCAAGTCGACAAAGGCAAAAGAAACCGCCATGAAGCAAACAAAAGTATAAACAGGATTTCGAGATTCGGATACCGGGAATCTGGGGCTAGTGAGTGAGAGTCACTGATGTTACCGTTACACCATACCCGATGGCTGTCGCCTGAGAGGCTTTGTTGAAGGTGTGGGATGCTCGGTGGGTTCAAGTAAGGAAGGGGGCTTGAGTTTCTGTCCAAACCCACTTTCTAGACAAGATTGAAGCTCTGGAGACATTTTTAAGTGATCCACAGCGCATGTGGAGCATTATTGGCAGGGATGCTGTGATGGTGAACTTGGAGATTGGTTTGCATTTGACCGTTTCATGTCCATGTAGAGGATAAGCGCAATGCACGGTGAGACGGATACCAAAGTGATTTGTTCGGTTGTGAGAGTGCGTGTAGACTCATGTGTACTAGATCTCTGTTATCCCAACGCCATGTGCAATTTCGCCTGGCCTAGCCCTGCCTCTGGCATTAATATTCGTGGAATTTGATGTCAAAGTGGTCCTTCGAAAGGTGATCCATAAATTTGTGACAGTCCGACTGGATAGCGTCGAGAGCGGTGCCATCGAGCACTCCAGGAAATAGCCCAGGGCGGTCAAAACAAATGATGCAGTGGAAAGTGCCATTTTTCTGATGCGATCTCGTGAAGAAGCGAATGAAGCCTTCCCTCACGCGAGCTTCGTCGTCTATTGTCGACCAAATAATGGCTTGACAACGACGGCACTTCCAGGTCCGTCGCCAGAATCCGCTATCAAGCTGAACCAACTCGGAAGGCTTCATGGATGGGTTTGACTTGAGTTTGCTGGCATTTTCGCACGGGCCGTAGGCGGCAAGAGCCGCCTCGAAATCACACGAGCTTTCCGCAGGTGCCGGTTGTGGAGTTGTCGACTGCGAATTCCCCATGGTAATTAACAGCTGTATTGAATGAGTTAGTTCAGCCGCGTCACGAACCAAAAAAATTATATATCGCAGATTCCTGAATCTCTTACGCAGGATGTATGGAATTAGGAGAGGGGTTGTTATAGGATTAATGGCAACCTTGGCCGTGAAGGTCAGAAGTGAGAAGTAGTGAGAGCACAGGTCTCAAACGAGGCTGAAGAGTGAAGAGCAGGTGCCAAGTGGAAAATCTGGGAGCGAAAGAATTGGGCTGCGGAGAGAGAGCATTTAGCTGCGCCCACGAATCTCTGTTCTCCAAAGCCCTCCGTGCCTATTGGACTTCAATCAGACTCAGCTCGACCCCAACGCTATCGTTGATGGGGGACAGCAGCCTCCAATGGATGGGCTGGCTGACGAACGCCTTGATATCTGCGGGAGAACTGAGCCCGGGTCCAGAACCCCCGAGGCTTTGCGCACGGACCGCCTACCCACACTCCCGCAGGCTGCAGCGGGGGCCCAGATTTTGGCAGCGCACCCGGCTCCGTCATCAGCGAATGAGGTCGAGCTGTGCGAAACTCCTAACCCCGGAAAATCGCCAAATCGCAACGTTGGCTTCCGTCTCATCATCTGTCCCCGCATGCGTCTGTCTGCAACTGCACCTGCACCTCACCCACCATCGCGCATGAACTCATCCTGCCCGGCCATCATGTCAGACCACGAGACGCCGACGGCGAACACGTCGTCGACGCCGAGGGCGGGCGACGCGGGCGGCGGGGCCCTCGCTGCTGCCCAGGCCCAGCAGGCACAGATCGCCCAGCTCAAGAAAGTCAAGAAGCAAAAGGTGCTGCTGATGGGCAAGAGCGGCTCCGGAAAGTCGAGCATGCGCAGCATCATTTTCAGCAACTACCTGGCCCGAGACACCCGGAGACTGTGAGTTCTTTTTCTCTCCTCGCTTCACACGCGACGCCCCAGCGGCGCAACCCGGCGACGAAGGGAGGGGTGGAGGTACAGGTACAGAGTGGAGAGCTGAAGGCATCAAGCTTGTCACTGCTGCGTGGCTGCCATTCGGCCCCGGCGTGCCATTCGGCCTCGGCGTGCCATTCGGCCTCGGCGTGCCATTCGGCCTCGGCGTGGGCTACGACATCGAGACGGAGCTGACTGAAACAAACCCAACCCCCCAGAGGCGCCACCATCGACATCGACTTGTCGCACGTCAAGTTCCTGGGCAATCTCACGCTCAACCTCTGGGACTGTGGCGGCCAGGAGGCCTTCATGGAGAACTACCTGTCGCAGCAGCGAGCGCACGTCTTTAGCAACGTCGGCGTGCTCATCTACGTCTTCGACATAGAGAGCCGGGACGTCGAGCGCGACCTGGCCACCTACGTCAACATCATCAGCGCCCTCGTGCAGTACTCGCGCGAGGCAAAGGTTTTTGTGCTGATCCACAAAATGGACCTGATCCAGCCCATGACGCGCGAGGACGTCTTCGACCACCGCGTCGGCGTCATCCGCCGCAAGACGGCCGAGGCCGTTGCCATTGTGCGCAAGCACAAGCCCGAGCACCAGCTGCAGCAGCACCCGCAGTACTACCAACAACAACACCATCATCAACAGCAGCAGCAGCAATTCCCGCCCGGCGGCCCCGGCGGCACGATCCCCGACATCGACATGGACATGCAGCTCTTCGCCACGTCCATCTGGGACCAGTCGCTGTACAAGGCGTGGGCCAGCATCATCCACGACCTCGTGCCTAATCTGAGCGTGATCGAGATGCAACTAGCGAGCCTAGGCGTGGCCATCGACGCGGACGAGATCTTGCTGTTCGAGCGCACGAGCTTCCTGGTCGTGTCTAAGTGGACGAGCCGCGAGGGCGAGCGCAACCCGTACGGCGACCGCTTCGAGCGCATGAGCAACATCCTCAAGAGCTGGAAGCACACGTGCGCCAAGTTCACGGGCACCCCGCGCAACGCCGAGCAGTTCTCCGACTTCGAGTACAAGATGGGCGCCAACTTCAGCATCTTCGTCACAAAGTTCACCACAAACACGTATATCCTGGTCTGCATGCCCCCCGGCGAGGCCCGCTTCAACAGCGCCAAGCTCAACGTCGGGGCCGCCCGCCCGTGGTTCAAGTTCCTCGACGGGCCCGCCGTGCCCGGCCCCGCCTCGTCGCAGATGGGCGTGGGCGGCGCCGGCGGCTATGGCGAGTCCGGCGCCGGCCCGTGAGCGATGGCCGATACGTTGTCTTCCTTTCATATTTCGCTTCTTGGCGGGACCAACTTGTCCAGGGGCTGGTTGGTATCCATTTAAGGCAGCAAGCCGGCATTTGCTTTGTACTTGTACAGCATGATAAAATAGGTACTGCGCGGGGGTTGTGATACCCATAATTCGGCGTCGGGGCGTTTTTAGATCAGCCGACATTAGGCATTTTCCCCTCAGGTATTTGGGGTGCGTGCCCGGATGCCTATGTTCGTTTGCTAGGGAGGAAAGCTATAGTTCCGAGTGTCAACACGGCTCGGGAGGGCTTGTCATTCTCTAATTCGTGTCATTTCACTTGTAGCAGGGCATGTGGAATCATTGCATGTGAAAAGAGGGCAAGAGCCTTTAGCCGAGATAGCACTTGAAGATGGAAAGTTCTCGCTGCTTGTGTCTAGCATTAAGCCGATTATGTGTAATCATGATAAAGACAAAACATGACCCCTTTTGAGAGCCTCGTCCCGTCCGGTCTATCAACGACACTCCGCAAACCACGACAACGCCCATGTGCAAGAGGACCGAAAAAGGCAACGCTGTCTAAAGGGGGCACCCATGTTTCCCAGATTTAGGGCTCCTGCTCCAACCTAGGTCCACTTGACTACAGCTGTGCCACCGCGCTTGAACTCGGCCATCTCACCAAGGACCAATTCCTTGTCGGTGTGGTCCTTGTTCGGAAACGTGGTCGAAAGGACCCAGGGGCGGTCCGAGGTAGCAGGCGCAGCACTATAGACGAAAGCGTAGACATCGCCAACAGTGTGCGTGGTATTGAAGCGGGCAGGGACGCGACGGCCGTCTGGAAGCTGGATGCGGAGCGCCAAAACCGGCCGAGACTCGTCGACGCTTGTCGAGGCGGCTTGGCTCGGCCCACTCTGCGTGGTCGTAGCAGCGGTCGTGGTCGCTGCGGTGACCTGTGGTGCAGGCGTCGAGCCATCGCCCGGGACTGGGCTTCCCAGGCGTCTCCCCTCGCCTCCAAACGGACGATAGATTCTGGGCAGAGGATGATAATTCTCGGGATGCTGCTGAAGCTTCACGTCCACTCGCTGATCGTATCTGATATTCATCAGATGGAGCGGGGCTCTACCTTGACGTATCATTTGAATGTCGGCTTGGTTCTGGGGGTCATCAAATCGGTGAAGCTCGCCATCATCAATGCTGAACCCGTCAGCCCAGATATGGAGCATCCGCTCTTGGGGGGGCTCGCTAGCGACCGTCGGAATGGCGCTGCCGCGAGGGTTTGGAATCGTGCGGCTCTCGACGCCGTCACCGCCAAGCGTCTGACCTGATCCACGGAAGGTAGGTCTCGAAGGTCCGGCGGCGGCGGCTTCGTCGGGGGACTCGGGCCGCTTAGCGTTCCTGTAGTGGAGCGAGCAGCGTCAGACAAGTACACCTTTCAATGAATGGGGGGGGGGATAGGGTTTCGGATCCCACAACATACGCTTTTGCTTTCGCTATAATATCGTTGATAAGTTTCTTCGAGTCCGAGGATCGATTGTTAGGGTCCTGAACTGCCAATCCCGACTTCTCTCCGCCGGCGAACAGATCTCTAGGACGGTGCGCTTCGTCCTCGGAATCGTCGTCAGAATCGTGGCTGTGGCCATGGCTATCCCCGCCACCAAGCGAGCTCAGGGTGGCAACGCCGGTTCGTCTTTGCGGCTTCTTGCCCGCCGACGTGGACGGTATGCTGGCAGAATGGGGCGCGTGGCGGCCATCCAAGGTTCTCGGACCAGTGTATGCGGGCTCTGCGACGGCGGCCGCAGGGGCCGCAGGGGCCGCGGGGTCGTTTGGCACAGGAGATGCCGCCGCCTCGTCCGCATCGGCCAGGTAGGCCTGGACGGCGCTATCTAATTCCCAGCCGCATTCGGAGAGATATTCCTTAGCCTAGAATCGGTAAGAGAGAGAACGTTCAAAGAACCCTTTGGGCCGTCTGGAGCGCGGGGCCATTGTGTACCTGTTCCTCTGAAGCACCTGTTATGTCGGTGAAAGTGTTGAGGATTTCGACACGGTCCGACATGTTAGGCTAATCAATGGCGTCGTTTCGATGTGTCGGCTAGGCTGGAGCTGTGAAATCGTCGATATTCGGTCGGAGGAGAAAAGAGCTGTCAAAGTTTGAAGCTTCAGCTTGTTGGAGGGTGATCAGGCAGCTCTGGCGACGTGCTTGCACTTGCCCCGCGGCGACTTTCAGCAAGCGGCCAGCCCCGCTTCGCTTGGGGTGACTAACCAATCTTAGTTAAGCAGTATTCTCCTAGCGTCAGACCCCACGTCTTGTTGCCTGCACGCCTGTGTGTGCCAAACAGCGGGATGGAGGGTACGAACACTGGTTCTCGAAAAGAGGAAAAGGAGAGAAAATGATCTACCTTAAGCACCAAAGCAAGAACAAGGTGAGCTGCACCCTATCTATATAAGAAATTGGCTCGATCTATACCGCACAATTCAATAACCCAACTATACGATCGAACAGCCGCCTAGCTGAAATTTTATGACGGATCATAGCTCGACAGAAATCCGACGGGGCTTGGCTGCGAGTCAGGTGTGGGGCACGGGCGCGCTGTGGAAGACAGGCTAGCTTCGGCAAGCTCCAGGGTTCCCCAGCCGCTGCGCAGAGGTGTGACCAGGAATTTGCGACGGCCCTCCTCGATTCGCGACACCGGAGTGCAACATCGACGTCGCCTCTCGCAACAGCCTCTTCTCAAAAAGCTTACATCATGGCCTCCGACGAGGTACCAAACCCCATGGCCGAGTCCGGCGTCACAATTCCGTCCGACAGCGAGCAGTACTCGGGCGCCGAAGACGTGTCCACTTCACCGCCCTCGTCGTCATCCCCCGCCGTCATTCTCTACCAGCCGCCGACTATATGGTCAATCCTCCGCGGCGCCACGATCAACCTGTTTCTACCCTTCATTAATGGCATGATGCTAGGTTTTGGGGAGCTCTTTGCACACGAGGCTGCGTTCAGGCTAGGGTGGAGTGGCACAAGAGTAAGTTCCGCTCTCGTCCTTCTCCCTCCCGTCTCGGAAACAGCAAGCTCACATGCAATAGGTATTTCCGGAAACAAGAAAGCGCTCGCACCCCATCGGACCTGGCATCGAGGTCGTCGACAAACCAAGGCGGAGAAATATGCTGGAGGATCTCGCCAGCCTCGAGTGATGCGCGGCCGGCAAAGCCACCTCGGCGCGGACAAACACCAGCAAGGGAGAACTCACAAGGCACCTCGGTATCATGAGCCACCAGGTCTATGGCACCGGTAGCCAGGCAGCAAAGATGCAGCCGGGCGGCTGGAGGGATAGCAGATGATGGAATCGGTGTAAAATACAGGTCGGCGAACTAGGGAACTTTGGAAGGACACGAGTTCTGCCTCCCGGCAGCCTGTGGTCTTTGCGGCTGTAAATAAGGTAGTTACCTAGCTATGGGAGCCCAGCATATATAATGCAGGCAACAAAATACACAGGGCGAGGCATAGACAACCGGGGCTCTCGAAATTCACAACTTTACTCACTATTCGTCTGCCGAGAGGGGAATTCGATGTGACGGGGCCTTGGCAGACGCGTCGTACAGTCGGTGCCAGCTGCCATCTCAGATGTGGAGACGGATTCTGCGGCCGCTGCCAGCCGCCAGCCGATGGCCAGAGCTTAGCGGCAGAATCGGGCCAGAAAATCCAATCCACCTACCGCAAGGCCGGAGCTCGATAGGAAATTTCTGGCCAGGAAGCTTCAGGTCTGGGGCAGTCTGGCACGGAATTCGAGCACAATGCTTCCCAGCAGAGGACTTCTCCGGGCGGGCCCTTCGTCGGGGCTCGCCAGAGCTGTATGTGCTACGAGTGCAAGTGCTGCCGATTGCGCGGCTCGCTAACGTCGCGTAGACATTCCAGCTTCCTTCTACACGCGCTTTATCGAGGCGATTCGGCACCGCTCTGCGCACCAACAACGTGACAACGCCGAGCCACACATTTCGCCCCAGTACCAGCGTGCTCGGCTCCCGACGGATAGGCGGATCCGTTGCGATCACGGCGGCCCCTCAACAAGTTATCTTCTACCTCGGACAAGCCCGCTATGCCTCGACGCAACCTGCCGCAGCCGCCATCTCCGGTGCGCTGCCGGCTGCACCCAGTCCCGCCCAAGATCTCTCTGAGCTCGCCCACATCTCGTCAACGCCAATTGACCTGACAGGCAGCGACCTCCTGAATATTCCCGAGCAGATTGGCTTCCTCAAGACCCTGGGCCTGGATTACGGCTGGGGACCGACCGCCGTGATGGAGTGGGCCCTCGAACACATCTACGTCGTCGGCGGCCTTCCTTGGTGGGCGTCGCTCGCAGCTTTGGCCGTTGCCATGAGGGTCTTCATCTTTAAGCCGTCGCTGACGGCTGCCGTCCATTCCCAGAGGATGCAGGACCTCCGCAAGACCCCAGCCTACGACAAGGCAATGAAGGAGATGCAGGAGTCCATGTTCAAGGGCGGAGACAAAACAGCGGCAATGGAGGCGAGGAATAAGATGCGCCTCATGAACAAGGCCGCTGGGTTCAAGCAGTGGAAGACGTTCTTCCCCTTAGTCAACATTCCGCTGGGATACGGCATGTTCCGGCTCTTTCGCGGTATGGCGGCCCTCCCGGTCCCGTCGCTAGAGACCGGGGGTACTCTGTGGTTCCCGGACCTCACGATAGCGGACCCCTACTTCGTCTTACCGCTGTTGACGGCCTTCTTTTTCGTGCAGGGGTTCAGGGTATGTGGATCATCCCATGAACACGCGCCTGCACGCGCGCGTCGTGTTCCGAGTTCCTGGTGGTACCTCTTTAGATAAGTCGCTGATGGCCACAAAAACAGATACCGCTTCCTTACATGGCTCCCGCGCAGCAAAAGACCATGAGGATCATGGGAGTTGTCATGCTGCCGCTTTCCCTAGTCTTCACTCTATTCCTGCCATCCGGAATACAGTTTTATTTCCTGTGTACCGGTTCTCTGCAGTTCCTCCAGACCTGGCTCTTTTACCAATCCTGGTTCCGGCGCTGGACTGGCCTGGGACCCCTTCCCTCCATCACTGGGCCGACCGAGCCCGTCAAGATGAAGCCAGGCCAGTGGCAAGCCCCGAGGACAATCGATGCCACTGCCAGAGCCGTCGGCGTGGCACCAAAGAAGGAGAATTTTTACGAATCCATCAAAGGGGGCGTAGGTGCTGTGAAGGAAAAGTTCAACGACTATAGCGCGAACAGTGACAAGAAGGTCGATCACAAGAAGTCGAAGGAATACCAAGAACGCAGGGTTCTCGAGGAGAGGGAGAAGGTGGCAGCCCGGCGCGCGGAGAAATCGTTGAGGAAACGCCAACGGGACACTTGAACAGCCGACCTGGCCGCCCGCCGACCTAGTCTATACCACCTGTACTAATACGCCGCAGCACGGAAAGGCCGAAGGCCTGACTGGTAAGGCAGCGCGACGCAGCGGTGACCCCTACCTGTTTTGTACCATATTAGAAATTCACGGGGATTTCCCTTTTGTTCAAGAGTCCGTCATGTCACCGCACCCGGCCGCGTCGGTTCCGGCCATCTGACTTCCCCGCCCCCGCGCGAGCGTCTGAGGAGACCAAGCGCCGCAGCCTTTGTCTTTTGTCATGGCAGCCATCCCAAAATGACCAAATCTCGTCGATCTCCAGCATGGCGGGATGTCGTGGCTGTCTGATGCAATGCCCCTCGGTATCACTTGGGGCTGATTGGTTCTTGAAGAGCACGCCATCCAGTTCATTGGGCTGCTTATCCCAAAGCAGACGGTAGATCGAACGCCAAGCGCACGATTTTAGTTTTCGGGAGTCTTGAAAGTGCACGCCCACAAGAGAAGAAGTTGGAGAGAGGAGTGCAGGAGGCACCGCTTCCATCTATTTAACGCACAACAACCCCAAAACAGGCTCTCTAACCCTGGCCTGCCTGCTTAGCCCCCCGCATGCTCATACCCTTGCCACAGCGCATACCATTCTCCGACCGGTTCCCGTTCCTGGATACCCGTCACTGAAACTCGGTCGCCGTCTCCTCGAGCCGCTTGGAACCGACCCCCTTGCGTGAATAACCCCCAGCGGGCAAGACAAGACAAGGCGCCAACGTCAGCTGGAGTTTTCAACATATTGCTATTGCCTTGGCGTGGAGATAAATAAAGAGATCGTGTCTCGCCACTCCCGAATTGACCTGCATCATTTCATCAGTTTAGCTCCAACCGAAGCCGCTCCTCTGGCATTCCTCAGCCTCATCTACTCTTTGTCGCTGTGGCCTGCCACCTTATTCCCACATCATCTCTAATAATACTCGAGTAAACAACCCTCACAGCCATATCATGTCTGCCATTCAGAAGAACGTCGAGGCTTCCTCTGAGAAGTACTCCACTTCCTTCACCAAAGGCGGTCTTGCCCTCCCCCCGCCAAGAAGTACCTCGTTCTCACCTGCATGGACGCCCGCATCGACCCGGCCGCCGCCTTTGGCATTGAGCTCGGCGATGCCCACGTCATCCGCAATGTCAGTACTTTGAGCGCCTCGTTTCCACCGCCGCCCGGGAGCGAGGACAGCTCGTTTTGTGCTAACAATTACTTTTGCAGGCCGGTGCTTCTGCCGTGGACGCCCTTCGGTCAATCGTGATTAGTGAACAGCTGCTGGGCACCACCGAGGTCGTGCTGGTCAAGCACACCGGCTGCGGCATGCTTACGTTCAAGAACGAGGACGCGTACGCTGTTGTTGAGAAGAGTCTTGGGTATGTTTTATTCCTTTCGTTTTCTGCCATTTTCCTCCTCATTTACCTGGTCATCCCCCTTCTTTTCTCCCATCCCAACGTGACAAACCATCACCTCCCGCAAAAAACTGACTTTCATCAGCGCCGAGGCTGTCCAGGAGCTCCACGCCAAGCACTTGGACTTCTTGCCCTTCCCGCAGCTCGAGAAGGCTGTTGAGGACGATGTCGAGTTCCTGAAGGCGTCCAAGCTCGTGCCAGACTCGGTCACCATCAGTGGGTGGGTCTACGAGGTTGAGACGGGCAAGACCCGTCGTGTAGTTTAATTTCTTCCGCCGGGCGACATGTTTAAGGGGCTCCGCTGTTCTGAACAGCGGCCGCCATCCTGCGTTCTGTTATATTTTGCGTCATCTCGCTGGGCGGAACGTGAATCCGGGGTAATCTTAGCATCTTGTTGATTGTATTGTATCTTTAGTGAACATACCCTGGTGCCCAAGCATGATGTGTTCTCTCTCACGACTTGCTTCGTATGAACTCCTCGGGCTCAATCCTGTAGGGCTGTTATTCTCGAGTCTTTGATTATGAAGCCGTCAACAATCCTAAGTTGACACGAGGATTCTTTAGCAATTAACCTTTTCATCAGACACCTGTGCTGTCATTTCACTCGTCAACTCAGCACTTGCAACTCAGCACTCGTTGCACATCATGTTTAGTTTTCAACGTCGAACATGGCAGCGGTTCGGATGTAGCTTCCTTCAAGAGATGATTAAGGAATGAGAATCTGCTTTCACTGTTTGCAAGCGTATTTAAAGAAAGGTGTCACTAGCTCCCAGCTGTTTTCTCACATACCTGAATATGAACCACAGGCATTACCTCATATGCCCGAGCTAACGCCCTTCGGGTAACCACAGCACGTACCCCCCGTCCGCGCCCGTACCCCCCGTCCGCGCCCGTACCCCCCGTCCGCGCCCCTTTCTACATTCCATCTTCGCTCCTCCGTCACCAAAGCTACCACCAATTCACGTCCTTTGACTATTGTAGCGATTATGCCGATTGGACGGAAGCACAAGCTTTATATACCTGGGTAGGTAAATGTGGATGGGAATAATGGCGTCTCTTGTTCGCCGTCACGACGACGGCGATAGCGACGGTGTTAGCGACGGAGATAACAACAACGGCGATAGTGAGGTGTCAGAAATATAATTACTAACGCAAAGTTGGGTGTTCTGACATACGGAATATAGTCCGAGCAGGCGCTGGCGATAATTATTAATCATGTCCCAATGCCGCGTAGCCCCGGTTTTGGAGTGGCAGCATTTGTGGACAGGAGGGGCAAGCACGATACACGTCGCCATTCCCATTCCCAAAGGCGTAATTTCAGGCAATCATTAGCTGCCTGCAACTCTCCCCGCATGGCTGTGAAGGGCCAGGATTGTATATATATATGTATATATACAGTGTCCGTGTTTACTTTTTTGGTGTCAGGATTTTGATTTGTTAATTATACACTTGAGTCTTGACAATCTTCCTGACAATCTTCTTGACCTTGTCAATCATAAACACCACAAGATGGGCAAATTTGCAGAGAAGCTCGCGGGCCAAAAGATAGCCGTCATTGGCGGCTCCTCGGGGTAAGCACCCAACATCATATCCAGTCCTCCTTCACCTCCTTTTCCCCCAATCTGACAACAAACACCAACTAACACGAAAAATCGCAGCATCGGCTTCGGCGCGGCCGAGATCCTGCTCGACGCGGGCGTGCACGTGACGGTCATCTCGTCGTCGCAAGACCGCGTCGACGACGCCGTCAAGCGGCTCGGCGGCGGCGCCAACGTTCAAGGCCGCGTCGGTGACGTGCGCGACGAGGCCGCCTTCACGCAGCTGCTCGTCGGCCTGGCCCCGCTCGACCACGTCGTCTTCTCGAGCGTCGACAAGATCATCCGCGGCGCGCTCGCCGATGCGGACCTTGATGATGCGAGGCACTTGTTTGGCGTCAAGTTCTGGGGGAGCTTTGTCGTCGGGAAAGGTATTTTGTCTGATTGAGATTGTCATCAGAGACCGGGACCAAGAGTCTGTGCTCACTAACCTGCATCTCGTCCAGCGCTGGCCAAGCACGACATCGTCAAGCCAGGCGGGTCGCTAACGCTAACGTCAGGCGGCATGGCGCTGCGGCCCAAGAAGGGGGCGGCCATCGGAGCAGCGCTCAACGGCGGCGTCATCTCGGCCACGGCGGCGCTGGCCGACGAGCTGGCCGCCAAGCGCATCCGCGTCAACACCGTCGTGCCCGGCCTCGTCGTCACCGAGCTCTGGGACAAGCAGGGCGTCTCCAAGGAGCAGCAGAAGGCGCTATTCGACAAGGGCTCCCGCGACCTGCATGTCGGCTTTGTCGCCACCCCCGACCACATTGCCGAGGCGTATCTGTATGCCGTGCGCGCCGACTATGCTACCGGGACTACGATTGTCATTGGTGAGTTCGTTCGGGGCCTTTTGAGACGAGGTGAAATGTGTTGACGTGCTGTGTTTCTTAGATGGCGGCGGTACTTTGTAAAGGGGTCTTGCGGGATGGGTAATTACCCCCTGCCTGGCACATTGAGTCTTGACAGATAATTAGACCGATAGCTATGTCAAACCCGTATTTATTCACTCGAATCCCGTACATGCCCCTTTCATACCCGACCCACATTCTGCAGCGCACTTGACCAGCCCCGTCTCCTACCTACTTGCCTCCCTCCCTGTCCCTCTCGTCGCGCCACATCTGCCTCTCCGTGTCAACCACACCAGGGCCCTTATACACACCACCGTACAGCCCACTCGCCCAATCCTCACCAGGACCCTTCGGATCCACCCTGCGCCGGTACCAGCGCCCGTACACGAGCAAGTAATACAGACGAAAACAGCGCAGCGCCCAGGGATCTCTCTCCAGATCAGCCGGATACTCGGCGCCGAGATCAACCGCAGCGGCGACGCCGCTCAGCACGGCGACCTCGTGGGCGTTGACGACGGTCCACGACCCGGCGAAGCGCGTGCGCCTCCGCCGCTGCAGCAGCCACAACCACGGCACCACCAGCACGTAGTGCGTCCACACGTGGCACAGCTGGTGCCACCAGTCGCGGCGGATCACCTTGGAGGCGTCGATCTCGCCGTCCGTCCACAGCTTCTCCGTCGCGTCGCGCGCCGCGTTGAGGAAGATGGTCTGGAACACGTGACTGTCCAGCGTCTCGACCTGCGGCGGGAACTGCGCCTGGTAGTGCGTGCAGTCGAAGCACATCTCGAGCCGCGCGGCGTTGCCCACGTACGGCTTGATCAAGTACATGGGCCGGAACCCGCCGGGCGCTGCAGCGCGGCCGACGCGGTCAGTGTGGTCAGCGCCATCGGGGGTGAGGTGCGTGACGGCCTGCGTGCTGTTGAAGGCCACCTCGTAGTGTTTTGTTATGTACCCGCTGTCGTGGTGCGTGATGGTCAGGTCGTCGCTGAACTTGGCGGCGCCGAGGATGTGCCGCTCGCGGAAGGTTGCCGTGTCGCCCAGGAGGCGCTTCGCTGTGTCGGCGCTGCATGGGGGTCAGCCTGCGGCTGTGTTGCTCTTCGTGGGTATGTGGTATGTTGCTTATCAGCGGTGGTTAGTCTCGGGGAGAACTCACAGGCAGCAGAGCACGAGCTCGTCGTAGTGCTCAGTCGTCTCTTGGGTGCCGGCATCGGCATTGGTGGCCGCGCCCTTGGTGGCCGCGTCCTCGGCAGCCCACGCGCTCGACGGGCTGTGGCCGTCTGGAGCCGGCGCGCGCTTGATAGTCTTGACGGTGACGCCCGTCTTGTCGCGGCTGACAACCCGCGTCAGCTCGGTCGAGAGGCGCACGCGGACGCCCCTCTTGAGCAGGTCGCGGCGCCAGTCGTCGTAGAAGCGGCTAAAGTTAGGAAATACGACCATGGGCGGCTGGTTGGACGCGACGCTCTCGCGGTCCGGCGGGTACCACATCCCGTACGTCGGGCTCGTGCACAGGCGCTCGAGCATGACGGCCGGGACGTCGGGCGTGTAGTTGCCGGTGCCGAGGAACAGGGCCACCATGGGCAGGGCGACTGTGGTGGCAAACTCGCGGCTGAAGCAGAACAGCCTCATGAGCACCTTGATGGGGACGAGGGCGAAGACGAGCTCGAACCAGCGCAGAAAGGCCAGCATTCGCACGAAGCGGCGCACCTCGGCCTGGTGCTTCGCGAGGAGCTTGGTCGGGTACATGTTGGTCCAGAAATGGTCGTCCTTGCCGAACGAGACCTGCAGCTCGACGGGGTTGGCGGCGTGGCCCTGGCGCGCAAACATGGTCATGGTGTGGTGGAAGATGTACGACCCGCCCTGCACGCCCTGGTTGAGCCACGACGCGCCGTGCTTGCGCTTGTCGATGGGGATGGAGAAGGCCTGCCCGCCGCAGTAGTCGGCCGCCTCGACCACCGTGACGTCGAACTTGCCGGGGTGCTCGGCCAGATGGTGCGCGCAAGACATGCCTGGTGATTAGTGTTAGCCGTCCATGTCCGGGTGGTCTGGTCGGGAGGCCGGCATACCAGCAGCGCCCGCCCCCACGATGAGCACTCGCTTCTTGGTGTTCGCGTTCGCATTCGCGTTCGCGTTCTCGTTCGCGTTCGCGTTAGCGTTCGCGTTCTCGTTCGCGTCTCGGGCCATGGCGATCGGCAGCAACGGGCTTGGAGGTTTAGTCTGGTTCATTGGCAGTTGCCAGCAATCTGCTACAACTGCGCATTCAATGTTGGTTTAGAAAAAGGGTGCATCTTGCTTTCATATGCGACCATGAGAAGGAAGGGTCATGGGGGCTTGTGGCGGCGCCGGCTTTGAATGGTGTGCGTCATGACCAAGGGCGAACATCGGGTGCCTGCCACATCACAAAATTCACTAGCACTGAATTGTAAGCACAGAAGACTAGTCTGAATCTTTGTGGCATTTAAAATTGTTGTGGCTTTATGATTGGGTGTCCGACGAGATCTGTTGGGCGGGGAGTCTTCACGAGGATCGAAAAGGGGCACGCGAGACTCGGTCAGCCAATATTTGGCGTGGTCTTACCACACATTAAGCACCGATCACTAAAAATAAAAAGTACGGGAGGAATTTCTGACATATAATTAGCCCCGATCCTGGTTCGCATCTACCCGCATCCCGGGGAAAGAGCAATCAGTATCTGCCCGTAGTGGATATGTCGAGACTCTTGCATGGATGCGTCAGCATGCCCATGGATGCATTAGCATGCCCAACGGTCGTCCTTGCAGTTTTCCACATCAGACAGCCAAATCTTGAGTGGAACAAAGAAAGTGCTCAAAAGTCGCCCTCGCTGACGACGAAGGACGCTGACGACGAAGGACGCTACGCTGTGGCTGACTAGCAGGGCATAAAGGGGGTCTCCGCCACAACGCTCACAACGGGGTGTCCGCGAATCACAGCATCGACATGGCAATGTCTTCACACCATGTTCCCTGCTCGCGCGACTCCAATCACAACCCTTCCCGACGCACATCGCAGCGCCGACACTGCGGGGTCGGGCAGATTGACGTCATGGCATTCATCACCAGCAATTGGGCCAGCGTCATGGCTCGTGTAAGTCGCGGATATATATCCTGGAAACGCCTTTTCCCTCTTTCGCACTCGCTTCGTCCGAACCAAGTTCGGATTGACATTGATATCGATATTAAAAACCTCGAACCAACTCGTGCATGACAGTCCAAACCGCTATAAAATGCCTTCCGACACTAAAGCTAAGCCGGCGCAGGGGCATACCCACGCCCAGTCTCGCGAGCGCTCTCACGGACACTCACACAGCCGTTCACACCAGCATGCCTCCGTTCCAGGTAAGTCGGCACACTCGTTCCAGCTGGCTGAAAGTCACTAACTCAGTCTCCCTCTCTCACAATAGCATCAACCTCGAAGCCCCGGCCCGAAGTTGCCAAGCCCAAAGAAGCCTCTATGAAGCCTTCATCGTCGTCCAGAACCAAGCCGAGCTCCAGCCACCCCAAGACGGCGACGGCGACGACAACGAAGCAAGCCTCCCGCAGTCATGGCCACGGCCACGGCTACATCCACGTCTCCACCTCGCAGACCACGCCCAGGGACACGACCAAGTACGCCACATCCAAGGCCCCGGCCAAGCCCGTCGCCCCAGCCGTCAAGCGCGCGCCCGCCACCCTAGCAGCCCCCGCGACGCAGTCATCACCCAAGCCCAACTTCCGGCCGGCCACCGCCACCGCGCACACCAAGCGCGCGATCCAAAAGTCGGCCGCCATGAACCCGCCCGCCGCGGCCTCGCCCTCGCACTCGCACTCGCACTCGCGCTCGCAGCCGACATCCCGCGCACCACCCGCGGCCGCCCTCCCGTCACGGCCGCGCGTGCACGCCTCGGCAGCACGGGCTCCTCCTCCTGCGGCACAGCAGCCGAAACAAAAGCAGACACCCCGCCGCGAAGATCTAGCGCCCGTGTCCATGGATATGATCGCACCGTCGCCCAAGCCAGCAGCAGAAGCGCCGAAGAGACAGAAGAAGTACGCGGCCGACGCGCTGGTGCCGACGGCGTCGCTCGCCGTCCAGAAGGCTGCCGGCGGCGTGCAGGATGCCGTTGGCGGCGCGGCACGTGGTGTCGGCCGCACTGTTGGTGGTGCGGTGGGCGGCGTCGGTCGCACCGTCGAGGGAGCTGCCGGCGGCGTCCAGAACACGGTTGGTGGCGCGGTTGGCGGCGTCGGTCGCACTGTTGGCGATACCTCGGCTACGCTCGGCCGCGGTGATTTGCGCGGCACTGTTGGTGGACTTACTGGCGGGGTGGGGAAGACGGTTGGGGGCGTTGGGAGGGGGTTGGTGAGTACATTTCTTTTCTTTTCTTCTTCTGTCGCTCCCCTTCTGGTGTTTATGTGTGTTGTGTTTGTTGGTTATCCCTCTTGGTGTGTTGGTTATCCCTCTCATGCCTCTTCGTCGCCATTGTGACAGCCCCTTTGTGGCAGCCCCTTTTTCTCTTCTATTGTTTATCCTCCCTTTATTTCCCGCCGTTCTGGGGCCTGCGAGTGCTATCTAATACTCCGACCTGCACGCACGCACTCATTTCCACCGCCCTCCCGCCAATCACCGCCACGCGAACCAGAGCAAAGCCATGCCGTGCCGTGCTATCGTTTCCCCCTTCCCTATTTTTCACATCAGTCCAACGTTCTGATCGGTGCTCCGAACCCTTCACACACCACACAGCGCACGAACCCACGCATATGGACGTGGCTGCGAACCTGCTCTGATTAGATACACTCTGACCGCAACCTATATAGGGCGACACAGTCGGCGGCACTCTCGGCGGCATCGGCGACACGGTGGGCGGGCCTGTAGGTGGCCTCGTCGGAGGGGTCGGCCGCGGTGTCGGCGGCGCCGTGTCGGGCGTCACGGGCGGCCTAGGGGACGGCCTCGGCAAGGTCGGGCAGGGCGACGTGCTCGGCGCCGTCGGGTCGATTGTCGGCGGCGTCACGCAGGGCGGCGGCGGTCTGCTTGGCGGCGTGCTTGGCGGTGGCGAGGAGGGCGGAGGGCTGCTTGGTGGTGGTGGCGGTGGCGGTAGAGGCGGCGGTAGAGGCGGAGGCGGGCTGCTTGGTGGCGGTGGGCTGCTCTGATCGAGTTTGGTTGAGTGATGATATTTTCTTTTCAACTTTTTGCCGTTTTGCTTGCATGTTTGTTGTTTGGTTTTCCTTTCCCTTGAAGACGGGGCAGAGAAAAAATATGAAGGTCTGTCTCGCCTTGTGGTTCGTGTACGAGTCCAAATTTGCGAATTTGCCCTCAAAAATACTCGTCTAGTTACGAGGAACCCATAGTTTGACGATTGAGAGCTTAGCAGGAAGAAACAAGAAACGCAGCACCAGTAAAACACTCAGTTCTCTTTCCCACCATCATCATAGTCCTTACACAATTGTCGTAAAGAAAAAATAACCATAACGTTGCTGGGGAGGTGAAGTTTGTAGAGCACTTCCCTGCTTGGGAGTACTTCCCTGCTTGGGAGCACTTCCTGCTTAGACGGAACACGACCAGTCTCGGAAATAGGCTGCAGACAAAAATCAAGGAGCCAAAAAGCAAGCCCTGACCTCTCAGGGCTCGTTGGATAATGCGGCTAAAGTGGATCGAACACTTGACCTTCAGATAGACAAGGAAGTTGACTTCAGTCTGACGCTCTCCCAGCTGAGCTATACCCGCTTTATTCCAGATGTTGCTGGGTAAGCTTTGGAAATGGATGCTATGGGGTCAACGTGTTATGCAGTTGTGGGTCGTGGAGCCGGTCCCCGCTCTTTATGTTTTGTCTTCTGATGCGGAGTATCGGCATCCGACTTGATCGGCATCCGACTTGATCGGAATCCGACTTGATCGGGATCCGACTTGATTGGCGTCGGTAAGATATGTACGGGGCACGCCTATGTTAGTCAATTCTTGGCAACCTCATGAACTATAATGCACCCAGTGCTGTCGATGTGTCACACACGCGGGAGGGGTGAATAGGTCGGCTTAGGGAGGCAATTTGGTGGTCTGTACTTCAAGTCATACAGTGGATCAAGGTTAGGGTGTATGTAGTTCTGCAATAGCTCGATGATCCATGCTAATCCTACCGCGATTTCGATGGACTACCTGGATCTCCTAGAACTGCTCCCCTCGAACCCGACGCCGACTCAACTTTGCTGAGTTTTGCTGTTCCAGCTACCCGAATTGTTAGCCTAGGCTCCCCATAGGCAGGAATAGGGACCTCGCATAACTTACAGATCGAGAAAGACCCTCCACAGTATCGTAAACAGGAGGCTCTGCAGCCCGTTGCACAGGATCCGGGTCTGCAGGCCTCGGCCAAGGAGTCCAGAGATGCCCTCGCTGCGGACGATTACCGTTGCTGCTTCGGCTGCAGAATGTTTCAGCTGGAGTCATCGCATCGCCACACCAGACGGGGAACTCACAGTACGAGATCTTTGTGTCGTTGACCTGCCGGTACGTCTTTACGACCCTAAGGGAGTTGGAGACGGAGTCGGAGATGGCGGACGCGACGAATCCAATGACGGCGTAGCGGATCAGCCAGACGATCAGAGGGTGCTTCGGCGGCTCGGGCCACGCATCGTTGAGGACGTTGTACTGTTTGGAGGACACAAGTAAGCATTTCGTAGTCAAAAGTCGGAAGGGCGACCTCACAGTTGCCCACCACGGATAGTTTCCAACAAAGGTGGCAGCGGCAGTGGCCAGTGCACCCCAGTACAGGCTTCCCAGCCCGTGCTCCTTGATGCGCTGGCGGAGGAGCGCCGTCCCGCGCGCACCTTGCGCTTGGAGGGTGGTTTTCAGGGTATCAATCGGCGTGAGGAGGATGCGGAACCCAGCGACGGAGAGAGAAACAAAGACGGTCTGGAGGGCTAGAGGCAGCTTGCTCAAGTGCCGGTTGGTGGCGAGCAGGGCTAGTATTCCCACGTTGGCTGCTGCGTCGCCGAACCGGGAGACGGGACCTGGCAGGGCACGGTTAGTTTCTGGTGGGCTCAATTGGAAGTAAAGACTGCGAGTGAGTGCACCCACCCTGGACAAGCGCAGGACCGAGGCCTTGGTAATACCGCCCGTATCCCCCGTCCTGGTAGAGAGTCCGGCTCGCGCCCCAGAACGCGCCACCGAAGCGGTACTGGTAGTTCATGATGGTTCGAAGCGGCTGCCACGATTGTCAGATGACCGACGGACGGACATGGAGAAGGCAGACGGACATGGAGAAGGCAGACGGACATGGAGAAGGCAGACGGACATGGAGAAGGCAGACGGACATGGAAAAGGACGAATGCATACCATCAGTAGCAAGACCTGTAGAACCATGGCGGCGGCACCGCTGAGACCGCCGCCGAGTGCCTTCCATAGCGCCTGTCCGAGGTCGAACTGCAAGAGGCAGTCATGGTCAGCACGGCCGGTGATCGGACGCCACGGGTATTCAGATTCGCAATTCACGATGCAGCGGTGGCTCACGTGAATATCGTCCCCTCCCGCCGTCCAGCCCGTTACTACCAGGGCGACAACCAGTGCCGCAAGAATAAGCCACGACACGGTCCAGAGATGGCGCCAGGCAGTCTTTTTCTCTTCGATGGCCACGGCCGTGTCGGGGTCGGCTTCGACATCGACGACCTCTGCTTCATTGACATTCGGATCCGCCGGCTGCTGGCTCGCCTGCCCGCCGCTCAGCAGCGGCGTCTCTTCGCTGACGGGCGTTTGGTTTTCTGCATCGGGGTCGCGAGCCATGACGGCTCTTTGTCGTTTTGGCCGTCGATGGATCATAAAAAACTCAGGTGCTGTGATGGGTCGCGAAAACGTTAATTTGAGCTGCCGTGCGCATTTTATCCCCGCGACGCATTACTAATGTTGCCGGGGGGTAATTGGATGGCGTGCTCTTTCGTCTTCAAGGGGCTGCGGGCCCACGTGTGCGTCTAGTGGGAGCCCCAATGAAATAGGCGCTTATCTAAGACAAAACACCACTTGAAAGTCGGCACCAGGAAGAGAGAGGAAATTAGGGCCCAAGGTGACCTACATAGTAGTTCAAAACGAGAAAGTCCGGAATCACTTGTCTCACCAATCTTACTAGAACAGCCGCCACGGCCCTCGGGGCATTAACCCTAAGCCCAGGATAAGCAGCCGGCGAGGATTCCAGTCTTCGAGTTCGAGGAGCTGTTGGGTGGACGCAGCCGTGGCAGCAACAGGGGCCTGGGATATTCTGCTCGAGCCGCGAAGCAGCGTGTCTTTTGTTGCACGCGATCACTAGAGGACCGACGGGTCGAAATGCTTAGAATACAAGGCGCGGTAGGTCGGGGGTAGGTCGGGGAGAAGAAGTCTACAGCCCTAACCCTATTTGCCTTGCCTTTCTTTCCTTCCAAACCAAACTCTAAAACCCGGCGCACAGGAAGAGAGCTGCACAAGTCGGCACGAATTCTACACATCCACCTTCACGAACAAGCAGTTTTTTTCGCCCGACGCAAACCGCGCTAAATTGCGATGTTTCACCTTGCGCTGTCGACGGACCAGACACCGTCCTAGTGTAAGTGCACCCCTTTCCTCTACACACCATGCTGCCGGCGTGGGAAGGCATTAGGCTGATCAGCGAATGAAAGCACAGACTACACACTCACACTTAAACTCGCACTCACACTCACACTCACACTCATACTCACACTCACACTCACACTCACTCACACTCGCACTCACACTCGCACTCACACTTACACTCACACTCGCTCACACTCGCACTCACACTCGCACTCACACACAAACACACTACCCGGCGCGACACGATGAACAACCAGCAGCCCATCGCGCCCAGAAACAAAGCCCTGGCGATCCAGGCACAAATCGCCATCGATAGCGAGCGGGCTGGCGACGGCGGCGGTCACAGCAGCTAGGGTGGGGCGCTCGAGCCCGAGCTCTTCAAGCGGTTGGCGGCGGCGTGGCTGGCCGAGCAGGAGGTGACCATCACCTCGGGTCCGGCCTTCCGCCGGCTGGTGGCCCTGGGCAGGCGCGTGGTGCCCCACGCGATGCTAGCCTACTGCCGCCAGCCTGACGGCTTATGGCACGAGCTACTGTTCGAGGTGGTCACGGGGCGGCGCAGCAGCAGCTCCGCCATCAACGAGGCTCTGCTCGGCGAGTGGGGCGCCTGATTCTTTGCCGGCGGCGAGGATGACGCCCCTGGGGCTTGATTCTTTTTTCGGTCTGGAGGGGAAGGGGGTCGGGCTTTCTTTTGGGAGGGATGCGAGGCCGTTCAGCTTCTTTTTCTTTCTCCCATTCTTTCTTTCTCCCTTTCTTTCTTTCTCTCTTTCTTTCTTTCTCCCTTTCTTTCTTTCTTTTACTCATTTTTTAAAGAGTTAAACAGTTCGAGCAAAATTCAAATTTGTTTATTTCTGCCTATTTCTATCTCTAGGGCAGTTCCCCGCCGCGAACTATAATGTGACAAAGGAAACAGTCTTCAGACTAGTATTGACAAAAAAAATAAACCAAATTCGCAACATCCATCTCGCATGCCTATTCCCGGGTGTTGAAAACTCCGCAGAAAAAAAATCAAAACCCCGCTCCCTCTTAGTCCCAAAGTCCCGCCCTGGCCCCCATTTCCATAAAATTTCTACAAATACAAGTTATCGCACCTATTCTTTTTTCTTCTTGTTGATTTTCGTTGTTAGTTGGCCCGCGGCGTCAGCACTACCTTGACGTCCTCGCGGCACACGGCCGTCGACCGCCACGACCACTGGCGCGGCGCCGCCGCATCGACGAGCTCGATGTCGTAGTTGGCGATGACGTTGGCCACAATCGACTTGATGGTCGCCGTGGCAAGGAACCGCCCGGGGCTGGCAGCGCCAGACCAAAAAAAGCAGTAAGCGCTCTGTCCGAAAAGAAACTGACAAGAGACTGACAAGTGGAAAGAAAAAAAGAGAGAGACACGTACCAAGACAGCTTGCCCGTGCCAAACAGCAGCCACGAGGGGTCGACGTCGACGATCTTGGACGCCTTGGGCATGCGCGTTCCCTCGGAAACGGTGCCGTCGGCAGCCAGCGACGCGACGAGCTCGCGCGGCGCGAAGCGGAACCCGTCGAACTTGGTCGGCTCGGGGAAGTAGGCCGCGTCGAGCCCGATGCTCGCCGCCGGCGTGCACAGCCAGTCGCCCTTGTGCAGGCGCGTGCCGTCGGCCAGCGCGAACGGCGCCATGACCTCGCGGCGCGTGCTCACTGGGAATGTAATGTCAGTAGAGTCCTCCTGCTCGGAGAGGATGAGAGGAAAAGGGGCGTACGGTAGTCCACCGGCGTCACGCGCGCAGACTCCTTGAGAAAGCTGTCCATCAGCGGCAGGCCCTGCGTGGGGTTGCGCTCGAACTCGGCGTAGCCCCCTCGTGCCAGCTCGGCGCGCAGCGGCGCGAGGTACTCGGGGTGCAGGCACAGATCGTAGATGGCGGTTGTGGCGATCTTTGGAGCGTCAGCACCAAGCTCAAGAGAGAAAGAGACAGAGACAGGAGCTCACAAAGGCCGTCGAGTGGATCGACCCGAACCACACCGCCATGACCTCCTGCACGATGCGCTGCGACGTCCACTCGACGTCGGCCGGCGCCGTCTCGAGGATCCACGAGATCATGTCGGCCTGGTGTCTGAGGTCAGCAACAAAACAGAAAACGGGTTGGGAGTGAGCGAGCGGGTGATTGTTTACATGTTTCGGAACCTCCTCGCCCAGGCTGGCCCGCTCGCGCTCGCGCTCGCGCAGCCGCTCCTCGGCTATGGGGTACAGCAGGTTGAATAGGATCTCGGGCGTCTTAATCTTGTGCGTGACGAAGCGGCCCATGATTCTAGGGAGTGGTGTGTTAGCTAGATATCCCCCCTAGGAAGGATGCTGTCACTGACGGCTCGAGCCACTTGGGCGACAGGCGGACCATCTCGGCGCCCATGACCACCGACTCGATGTAGTTGAAGGCGTCCTTCATGAACGCGGCGTTGCTCGCTAGTTGACAAACAAGCGTGAGTTGACTTTCGGTGAACAAAAGGGGTACAGGCTGACTCACCTAGCTCCTTGCCGAAAATAGACGTGCCGGTCGACAAGCTCGTGAGCTGCAGGAACATGGGGTACAGGTCCGTCTGCTTGACACCTGGACAGAAAGCTCTGATCAGCGAGGCCCGTGCTAGGTCTGGAACTCGGTAGTCACGTACCGTCAACAACGTGGCCCTCGGCCCGGATCTCGGCGATGCGGGTACGGATCGCGTCGCCCAGGTACGGCAGCACGCGCGGCAGGTTGTTGGTCAGCAGCACGCGGACGGCGCGGGAGAAGCCGGCGCCCGCGGCACCACGGCTGTCCTGGATGTGCAGTCCGTGCATGGTATACTTGGGCATGAGGATCTGTCGACAAAGGGGGGCGTGTGTTAGCCCCTTTGGTCCAGTGTGTCATCAAGCTACGAGACTGATCAAGTTACCTTTCTCGACGCCGCGTACAGCGACAGCGCCGTCTCGGGTTGCGACTCGAGCTCCTTGACGGCCTTGTGGCCAGACACAAAGACGATGCGCTCGCCCGGCGTGATCACGTCGAACGTCTTGCCGTTGGCCTGTAAGCAAAGAATTGTGAGTATTCATCACTGATTCTCTTGTCCATGAGTGAGTTGGGCAGTGAAACCACAAACCTTTTTGTATCCGTCATGAATCATGGCAGGGCCGTCGAGGAGATAGGACCACGCCTTGATGCGTCTCTGGATGGGCTTGAGGAGCTGGTGTTTGATTTCGATTAGCTCGCTTTCATGTCGAGGCTAAAGTTGCTGCCGCTGATTGGATGCTAGTTCAAGATGCAAAAGGGACTCACCAGTGAGTTCTTGCCAGACACGAGCACGTTGGCAAGGAAGACCACCGCAGCGATGCCGATGACCGAGTTTGATATACTGCGCCAGCTGGGCGGCTCTGGCCCCCAGCTGACTTCGCCTTCGACATAGCCCGGAGTGGTCGTGTTGCTCGGCTGCCACGGGCCGTTGATCATTGGGCTGGCCATGTCGAATATGGGCAAGGCTCTAGTCGTGAGTTGTTGGTGCTGTGCACAGCGTGGTCACCAAGCACAACGTGGTCACCAAGAAGGCGTTAAGAGAGATGTGTCAGAGGAAAAAGAAGAGAAACGCAGAATGCTCTGCTGATTTGAGGTCAGCGCTGCTTTCTGCCATGTAAACCTCAATAGCCAAAGTGTCTTGGCCTACCCACAAGTGCCAAGAATATTGGATGCTACGGTGATGGTCGGTCTGGGGTTGTCCTCCTTGGTTACGCGGAAAGGACTATGCTGTTGGTGTTGACTCTCGTTGTATCTCCACCAAGTGCCAGGAGGCGCTGCCCTCGTATAAGCCCTAGAACTTTTTCGGTGTAGCTCGACGCCTTTGGACACGCCCACGGTTGCCGGGAATGCTAGATGTGACGTTGTGATTGTAGGTCTGGAAGCTGTTGTTGCTGGTGATTCTCTGGATATTTCAACTACATGACGGCGGGAAAGACGCCGATATTTATGTTGGCCTTGACAGCATGAGATAATCACTAGCGAGAGAGTCGATGGCGAGAGAGGCATGTTTCTTCTTCCTGAATCCCGCCCTACGGACGGAGTCGCCCAAGTAGAGGGGCTTCTGCCCTGCCGCTGCACATCGGCATGTTTTGCTCTCTTGCGAATGATCACCGCTCGGAAACTCTTCGGGCCCCTCGAGGAGATGCCCGGTTCCTGCCGCTTTCGGCCACCGCGGTCTCTCGCGTCCAATCACAGAGGGGCCCCGTGGGCAGCTGGCTCTCGCTGTCAAGTCTCTGGGGTTCTGATGTGACACGGCAAGACGTTTGGTGAGACCGCTGGGAACTCAGTAGCTGTACTGATCTCCAGGGAGCGGTTCTGGGCAATGTTACGCGTTTTGTGTCACTGGGTGCCAGTGAGCGGAAAGCGTAGCGAATCTGAGCAAACGTTTCTGGGGCCGTTTCAGGGGTATGGGCAGGCAGCTCCTCTCCTACACATAGCTACCCGGAGCATCGGATATCCAGAACGGGCAACCAATGTCGGCACAGTTGCGGGATTTCCGCCTTGACAGGACCACGCGTGGCAAGTGTTTGCTGCCAGGCAAGCTTCGCTGATCGGTGGAAGTTTCTAAAGCCCTAGATGATATGCTTCTTCGGCCCATCATATGGCCACCCAGACATGACTTACGACCCGAATTGCGGCCCTAGCTCGTTCACTAATTTAGACTCGTCCCATCGCTCCTCGTACGGCATATTCTATCCACCGCCTCGGGTTCCCTCTTTCAAAAATTAAGCTGCTCTCTGGCCGGTGCGCTGAGCCGAGCTAGAGGGTGTGCGGAAGGATTCGGGGGCTTGCACCTGTCACCTCGATTAAGGAGGCCGCGCCCCAGCCTCGCATACCAGGAATCGCGGCGGCAGCGTAAAACAACCACACAGAGCGGGAGAAACGGGGAAACGGGGGTGGCCCGGTGTGTGGAACAAGAGGGACCCGAGGCCCGCGGGAATTGTGAAATCGGGATTGGGGGCGGGGGACCTGCACGATACAATCACCGTCGAGGACAAGCGTAAGGGCGCTCCCGGGCAAGATTAGCCCTGCCAACCACTGCTCCTGCATGGTCACCTGCCTACCCGGGTGTGTCTTTTGTACCTCCGGGGTGGAAGAGAGCGGAGAGTGCTCAGTGTAAACAAGCACCCTGATCCTGGCCGGGCTCGGCACGGGCCCCGGCATTCTTACACAACCTAGGGATATTACACAACCTAGGGATCTGAACAGACGCCGCCGGGGGGGGCCGCGGCCCTGGATAATAGACGTCAAATTAAGAAACAGGAGCTACTGCGAACAGGGGCCTGCCATCCTGGCCGCGTGGTCGTCCGTCGTGGCCAGCCAGGGCAGGAAGGAGAGAGTAGGGCCAGCCAGAGCCGGAAGGAGAGAGTAGAGCACCACCCGCTGTCGACCTTGTTAAACTCCATGACACAGATGGGATGAACCAACGGGCTGACATGACATGAAGCCGCCCTGATCGACAGGACGCCCTAATCGACAGGAACCCCCCTGCGGCAATCCTCGGGCGAGCCGCCGTCAATCCGCCGTCAATCTCGTAGGTGCGAGGCGCGAATCGCGAATCGGGGGCGGGATGTGCTTGCGAGTCCGTCGGGTTTTCTATGAATGGTTTTTTTGTGACTGTCGCCCCCACACTATCTGTTACCGTTTTCGTCTTTGTGAAACAAACACCTGCCGCTCTGGGGGTTCCAGCGGATTGGCATCGCCACCCGCGATTGGCTGGTGATCGTGCGCCACGCCGTCGGTGATTACTGATTGCGTGCCGCAGCCGATGTCAACCAGAGAGGATTCACTGCGCCTAGCCCGGCCAGGAGGAACAGACCTAGAGGATGCGCCGTCGAACAAGAAGCTCAAACAAGAGGGTGTGCAGGTGTATGAAAGCCCAGCCCGCCCACGCACTCTCTTTCCGTCTCTCTCTTTCCGTCTCTCTCTTTCTTGCTAATCAGCCATACTAATTCTTATTCTGGAATCTGCACCCCCCACTGATTGCTTTGCATGCATGCACTCCCGAGGTTCAAGATCAACGCTGCGGAATATCTCTAGACCATTTGGGCATTTGTGCTACCACTTCCCGTCAAAACGGGACCAGTAGAATTCGCCAAGTGCGTCGCACAACTAACCGCAACTGACAACAACCAGTGTCAACCAGGCAGTTTGGTCCGATACTCGTAGACACCCTTCCCACGTTCCAGCGCTCGGTGACGGCTTCCGACAAAACGGAGGGGCACAATCACATGCGTCTCACAAGTGAGTGAGTGTGTGTGTGTGTGTGTGTGTACAAGTATGTGCGTGTGTGTGTACAAGTGTGTGTGGGTACAAGTGTGTGTGCCAGTGGCCGGACAGCCCAGCACAGCACAACATCTCCTAAATTCCCCCTTAATCAAGTAGGCTCTAAACCAGATGGCGATGCCAACGATGCCGTCACGGCTTGCGGGCTGGGATGCTTGCGGGCTGGGATGCTGCGAACTAACTCCTAGAGAAGGGGCCAAGGGGGCTGTCGAGAGTGTTGACGTGATACCGACTCGTCACTCACTTGAGGAGAAACGCCATCGACTTCGGGTTCGCGGAACCCTTCCCCCTTCTGCCCCCTTTCCTTCCTTCCTCCCGCCCCCCCCCCCCCCTCTCCCATTCCACGGTTGGGGGCCGTGCCTCTTTCCAGCCGGCCGACGAATCCGAATGCCTGAGCGGTGTTGGGCGCGCTCGTGGCTGGCTGCCACACGCGCGTCCTCGCGGTGGTCTGCGAAGTGGTTACTCGGGTGATTATTTCGCGTGTTGGCTGACCTGATTTCTGATTACTTGAGAATCACTCGAGGAACCTGTTATCCCACACGGCCTCGTGAAGCAGCGTGACACCATCACCAAGCCGCGCGTTGACGTCCGCGCCGTACTCGACGAGCAAGGACACGAGGCGGAGATTCTGCAGCCAAATCGCCCAGTACAACGGTGTGCACCCGGCCCCGTCCCGCAGGCTGGGGTCAGCGCCCCGCGCGCAGCAGCGCGTCGCAGAACGGGAGATATCTAACGTCGCAGACCTCGTTGAGGCACGGCGTGCCGCGGACCGGCAGTCGCAGGTCCGGGTTGGCGCCGTGCTCGAGCAGGAACCGGAACACGTCCATGTTGTTCGTGGCCAGCGTCAGCGGGCTGTGCTCGTGGCTGCAGTCGCGCAGCGCGGTGAGCTGCTTGATGTAGCCCCCGCGCGGCGCCTCGAGCGCGCCGGCCGACACGTGGCGGTTGATGTCGGCGCCGTGCGCGACCAACGCCGCGAGCACCGCCATGTCGCCTGCCATCGCCGCCAGGTGCACTGCGGCCATGCCGCGGCCGCTGCTGTTGGCGTCGAAGCCCTCGTCGAGGAGTGCGCACAGGTGCAAGGCTGTCGACCCTTCCGAGATCCTGCTCTCCGAGGTCCTTCTCGAGAGGCTAGCGCCGGCTTTCACGAGGGCTGACACGGCGGCAGTGTTCCCGGCTGTGATGGCCTGGAGAAGCGCCTGGCCCGCCCCGGCAGGTCGCGGATGTCCTGAAAGGCCACGATGGGCGGCGGCTTGTTGAGGGCGCTTGCGTATTCAAACTGGCCCCAGTATTTGCCGACCACGGTCCCGCCGTCGGTCTGGTCGTCGCCGCCGGCGAGTTGCAGGCGAGGCTCGTCAGCTACGGTGCTGATGCAGTCTTCGATCCCGCGCCTCGTGCTCTGCTCGGCTGCCGTGTCTAGAGACTCGTGGGCGACGCGGGCGACGCGGTCGAAGAGGGCTTTGATGTCTACTAGGAACTCTTTCTATTCTTTTCCTATTTTTTTCCTACGAGGTAGCTAGGTGTAGGGAGGGAAGTCAGCAGAGGCCTCAGCAAGCTACTTTTTGGGGCTGGCTAGTACGCCCCGTTTAGAATGTTGAAGGCTAGTATCAGATCCAGCCGCTTGCCCTTGAGTACCGCCTTCTGCATTTTGATGGAGCTTTTGTATTTGGGCCAGACCGTGAAGGCGCACACGGTATTTGTGATTCTTGTCCGCTTGAGGCTGCTCCTGTCTTTTAGCAGCAGCAGCAGCAGCGGCTTGATGTGCTTTGGAGCTTCTCCATTGCGTATTAGCAGTCGCGGACGGACTGCTTGACCTTCCTGATGGCGGTGGCGTGTGCTGGGTGCAGCTTGTGGGGCGAGATTAGGTCCCGGGTTAGATCGACGATGGAATCGAGCCCGTCCAGCTCGAGGATAGAATCGAGCCCGTCCAGCTCGAGGGAAATGTCTTCTACCAACTCGGGGGTATCATTTATGTCGGAGATGAGCTTTCTCGGGCCGTTGGTTGTTGCTGCTGCAAAACCGACGACGCCAGCAATGCCGGTAATGATGGAGAGGGGGTCCATAGCGAGAAGACGGGAAATTAGAACCTAATCAACCCTTGCATCAACAAGGGAATGTCATGTCCGGTTCGAGGCGTTACGATGGAAAGTTGGCAGTTCTCGCTCAACTGAACCTTGTTCGGACTTTCCAGCTCGTTGCAAAATATGCTCATACTCGGTCCGAGACCCACTATCTGCGTGCACACAGCCTACAGAGTCCGCAACAAAGTCCGCAGCGCTTGGAGGGCGTTGGCGCAGTGAGAGGCAGGCAGCTAACAGCCAGGCTTCGCGGGTGCCTGACCCGAGCCTAACAACCAGGCATTAGCGAGTAGACCAACCTTATTCCATCTAGACAACATATATCGTAGTTTGGGCTGCTGTTTTTCACGGGCGCAAGGCATCAAGTTTTGGGGGCTGTCTCGGCGGCCTCAACACTCAAGTACCCTACCTACCTAGGTACGTAAGTAAATCTCAGCAGGCCACGTCCTCTCAGCGTTAAACCGTATCTACACGCTACTAAAAACCCCGGCCAAAGCACAAGTACTATACACCTCTAGTTCTTAGTAGGTTAGCGAGAAGCTGTATTTGTAGCTTATATATCTTATAGTAATTTAATCTTGTCACGATACAGGCTACAAACCCGGTAGGAGTTGTGACGGCGGGGCTCAGCACCTACTACCGCTACACCACATCTTCCAAACGGATGCCAGAATTGCAAGCTGCTAAGCTGCAATCTGTAGTAGGTTATAGTATGGTCACGCACCCGTAGGCCTGCCCACAGCGCCTACGGTACCGTGCCGTGACAGGAGTTCTGCCCTCAAGTCGAGGCTTCTATTAGTCCAGAAACTCTTTCGTCCACCTTGAACCCCAGGAAGACTATCCAAGTCCTCAGAATCAGTTGCGACTTTGTCTAGTATCCAAAACAGACGGCTCGGGAGCTGGTCTAAGAAAATACCGCAGTGGTAGGTCAATCCCATATTGTTCTGCATTGCCTTCGCTATGCCCTCGACGGCGATTAAGCGATCTGTCTTTACTACAAGTTTCATGCTACTATATACCTAGACGATGGCACCCCAGTCATTGTCACGGCGCGCAACAGCCGTAGCACACTATAACCCACTACAGGTTGCAAGTCGACGACTTGCAATTCTGGCATCCTTTTGGGGGTTCTAGCGCAGTGGTAGTGGGTGCTGTGAGCTGGCGCCGTCACAGTCATACGGCTCTGAGTAGTCGAACTTGGCGTGCCTCTCGTTAAGACATCTATCCCGTATACTTTGCACGTCCAGCTTGGTCCTCCTGGCATGAGATAGATTGCTCTCCGAGCAAGAAACCGTTCTTGAAATGCCCATCCCCGTTTTTGGAGGGGCCCCTACTATGGGTTTGTTTCGAGGTAAGAATAGACTAATACCCGGACGAAACCTAGACTGTACCTACGTATAAATAAAGCGAAGAAGTCCATTACATATGTTACAGAGATCCATGATCTAAACCCTGAAGGCGAAGAGGTGGTCACTGGCCGCCCAGAATTAAATTGCGCATTTTTTCTTTTTAATTTTATCACCAGCCAATAGAAATCCATTATCTAAACCCTGAAAGGCAAAGAGGTGGTCACTGGCCGCCCAGAATTACATTACGCTTTTTTTTTTTTAATTTTATCGCCAGCCAACAGTGAAAAGTGCACGTGGTATCAAGACGGCAGAAGCTGGCATACGGTAAAGTACCAACCTACTTTAGTTACGAAGTAGTGAACGTTGGAACCGTTTTCCGACCCCGCACCAGCGTCCGGCTGGGGGGTCCCTAGGTAGTCCAGATAGAACTTGTAACTTGGAACTGACCAAGGCCGTTCTTTTCTCCGATTCTGCCTCAAACTATGACTAGTGAGGTCACATGTTGGCTAACATGTGTAGGTAAGTAAGTACACACACCTTTTTACGCCCTGGATAGGCACGCTCCCTGTTGAAGGCTGGTACATACTGAGGCTCGCCGGTCGAGGTCCTAGGTACTGTACAACACAGGATACCTAGACTACCAGCTCGAGCGCGGGGTGTGATTGGCCGACCTTGGTGCATCACACAGGGAGCAACGGAGCGAGGAAATATCCTCCGGGGCCTGAAGATTCAACGGCCAGGAGCCCTGACCTGCTGTTTATTGAAATTTAAGCCGAGTGAAGTATGGCTCCATAGGCATGTATGGAGCTGGGATGGTGTGATGGCGAGTCGCCGCCTGCAGGTCGTTGGCGGATATTGCATGGCTCCAACGAGTTTGGGGATTTGCTTGACGCCCCAACCAACAGCTCGACACAGCCTTCGATAGCTGAAGAGGTATCAGTTCTAAATCGATTTATTACTCTTATCCTTGTATGTCTTGCTCTAGACTTTATCTTTGGTCGAAGGTCATACGCGTCAGTGGCGGTTCTTATCGTGTTTATCCTTGCCGTGGTTATCTGAACCCCGGTTCAAAAGACCAACAAAAAAAGCTGAAGCCCCGAAACTGGATAGCATCGCAGACATGTGGCCAGCTGATAGCCTGTCCAAAGGGCCGAGATAACCATAGACTCCGCAGCAAGATTGGCTAAAGGCATGGCGGCGACGTATTGGGAAAGGCTTGCGGGGGATCGCCGGATGATGCCCCCCAAAAACTGCTTGGCGCAATATGCACAGGGCAGATAGCTTCAGCACAAGGCCAAATTGGGTATAGCAGTCTCTGTCTCGCGAATTCCATGATATCGATTATGGTAGCCGAAACAGAATACAAAAGGAGGGCTTTTGCCCGTGTCTCCCATGTCTTGGACGGAATCATCAAACAAATCGCCTCCTTTCTCAGTCCAACCTCTTCCCTCATAAACACGCACACAGTTACGCTTATAAGCCCGCCATGGCTTCGGTTCTCGCCCAGTACGCCTTCCTGTCACAGAGTTATCGTACCTTGTGTATAATATTGACATGAAATGCAGAAAGCCCGCAGTCCCTGGCATCAGTCCGCATAAGCTGGTGACCAAGGAGAAGCTGGCCAGCCTGCGGCAACACCTTCTCGACGAGGACGCAGACCACGCCGTCCTCCCCGAGACTCCGGCCAGCGATAACCGGGTGCTGGCCGAGCTCCTCGGCGTCGAGGCCGAGACAGTGCCAAGCTTTGTGTGCCGCTTCGCGAAGGGTGGCGAGAGCTGCGCCAACTGCGGCCGCGCCTTCAGCATCCTCGACATGGCCAAGTCGGGCCTCAAGGTCCACAGCAAGGAGTTCATCAAGGCCACCATCTTTGGTCAGCACGGCTATGTCTTCAACAACGTCCCGCAGCTCCACGAGTGCTACGATTGTGGAGAAAAGGCGACGTCCAGCATGGACTACGGCTGCCCCATGTACATGTGTGGCAGCCCTCTGGAGACGGTCTGAATCTTGTCTCGTGGCTTTTAGGAATCTTGTCTCGTGGCTTTGAGGATGGGCATGTAGTGGTGGGGAAGCTAGATCTAACCGTCTAGCCAATGACAAGTACCTCTCGTTGCTCCCGTGATAAGATATGTTGGAGGAGCTCATCTCGGTTGTGACCCAACATTCCATCCTCCATCACATGGCTTGGTCCTGAAGATCCGAGGCTCTCGAGTTTCATCTGTGTTATACTCGGCACACGTGTACTTTCCGCTGCCGACCCTAGGAGCGCGGACCGATCCCACCCCTATATCTTCCCTCATCTCGGGCCCTGCCCCTTTCTTCCTCCTGTTGTTCCTGTTCCGTAATCCACATTGACCATTTGCAATTGCTTGCGCCGTCCGTATCTTCGATCCAAGGATTATCACAATGGAGGACGCATCGCCCACGGCGAGCGTCCCTTCGACCGGCCCGCACTCCGGCCCAGACATCGGCGTGGCGTGCAGACAGATCACAGCGATCGTTGAGGAGCAAGCTGCAGAGTTCCTCATAACGGTCGACGACTTAGAGAAGAATTGGCGCGTCCAGACGGCTAGCTGAGCCAATCTAACCCGCTTTCCAGCTCGAAAGCCTTAGCCGTCGGCCCGGAGCGGGATGCCCTTGTCAGGATGGGACCCAATATCTTGCCGCAGGTCGTCAACAAGCTCAGAGACAGATGGAACCAGTTCGGGTGCCAGCTTGTGAGCCACCCCCTCCCCCTCTCCCTTTTCCAATCCTGCCGGGTAGTTTGAAAGGATGTGAATTCTCATTGACGACATGCGCCCAGACAACAAACTCCAAACCGACACCACCAGGAAGGTCGACCCCAAGAACATCGAGATCGAGCAGTACTATGTCCTGAAGCTGCACGCCGAGGCGGCGCGCCACGTGTCGCACTCGGACGCCTTCACGTCGGGCCCGGCGTACGCCGAGCTGGTTAAGCTCGGCCAGCCCGCCGTACCGCTTGCAATGCTCGCCTACGCGCGCGGCCAGAGCGGCTGGTGGCACGAGCTGCTCTTCGAGATCGTCCACGGCCGCAGAAGCGGCCAGCACTGCTTCAACAAGCCGATGCTGTACAGGGAGTGGGTCGACTGGTTCTAGCGCGCTGAGAGTAGCGCGGCGGCGGCGCCCTCGGCTGCTTGATTGGGGTTTTCTTTCTCTGGGTGTGGGGCGGTGGCATGGTTCTCTGTTATCGCGCTGTCTTTGAGCGGTGGAAAGTCAGACGTGGAGGACAAAGTGTGCTTTCTCTGCCTCCTTGAGCAGTAATTAGTGCCCCGCCGCAATCAGATCAATCCCCCCTTCTTTCTGCTTCTGTGGCTTATCTCGAGTGCTTACCAGAGAACCTGACTAGGACACCGGTTCTCTTCTGGGTGTGTAGCAATTCGAGGACGTAGAGACCACGAGCGGGCTTGGCGACAGGTTTGAGACTCGGTTTTATGTTCTGTATGTTGATGGCAGTGCTCTTTTGAGGCTCGCTGATTCCAAATTGTGGACTTCGATATTGGAGTCGTGCTCTAGCTTGAAACAGGGTTGGCTGTTTGATTCAAAAACGAAAGGGCTTGAAGGTCTGGCATCTGGTGCTTCCGTCACAGTCTGTGTTGCTGGGCAATCGATGTCGCTTCCAACGGGCAAGTTTGGCCTCGCTTCCGACGGGCAAGTTCGGCCTCGGGGATCGCGTTATGGCCTAGTGGCCGAGGGGAGCCTGAAAGGGAGTCAGCGGAAGATATATAATGACTATGACATGTAAAGAGTGCCCTTGGTTGAGGACCCAATGCAGGCGTTTGATGCACGTAGAAGGAGTGCTAGTGCGAGTAGGAGACCAAAGGCAAGTGCTATAACTAGTTCCAGCCCAGGCCATATAGAGCCCTATAAGACAGGGAGATAACCACCAATTTTCAACTTAGGCACTGCCCCGCGTATGCAAGCATTTCAACAATGTAATTCCGTACTCGGAACCCGAAATTCGCAGTATATTGGCACGTCTTTGCGTATAACTCACTTTGCTTCCCCCCCCAATGATATCTCCCCCTCCCGGCCGTAGTCAAAATTCCTAATTCTGGAACTGGGATGCTCGACTTCTATTCTGCTAGTTACAGTCATATCTCCCCTCCCTCTCGTCACCTTTTTCTTTTCTTATTTCCTTTTTTCAGTGTTATGGGGATATATTCGTACAAAGGTACGTTACCCAAGGCCGCAGCTTCGATTTAATCTGCACAGAATCTTTCAGGTACTCTTCCTCCCCACATCAGCACGGCCCCAATATCAGCAGGATACGTCGATGACCTCAGATAAACGGCCGGGAGGGGCACGATTTGCAGAGCCCATTGTGTTTTAGATAGGCGTGAACGACGAGCAGAGGACCACCCGGTCGTTCAGGTTTTTTCTGATAAGGAAACTGGGAAATTTTTGAAGCTGCCCGGTCTGCGTATGAAATTTCGTTTTCCCTCCCGGCCTCTGAATTTTCCTTTCCTGATCTTTGCGCACCGAAGCCAGTTTTCAGACGAAGCCAGTTTTCAGAGACCAGGTACGCATCATGACCCCGATGCCCACCACCCTTCGCGAGACACAGAGTAGTAAGACATGTAGGCTAATATTTCTTTTCTAATATAGAAATTGGAATTTTCATTCCGTTTGTTTCTCTCGCCCGCTCCGTTCTTTTCGTCCTCGGCTTCCCCCTCCCCCCCACCCCCTTGGTTTTTCTCGCGCTCGCTCGCTCGCTCGCTCGTTCGCCTTGTTAAAGGCAGAAAAAAAGGTCGCATCACAGTAAGTTGTACAAGTTTTGTTGATTCTAGGATCCGTTTTATTCATTCTCCTGCTTGACGTGGGCAATCTCCTCACCTACCTTGATCACAAAATCCTTTCCCTCTCTTTTTCCTTCATTCTTTCTCGTGATTAGATGAATACCGACCAGGAGGCCCGTGCCGTCGTTCGTGGGCCTGCCAGAGGCCGTGGAAGTAAGTCCCTGTCCGCATGGTGAACAAAAGATGTGTTTGCAGCAATGAGAATGAACGAAAACACCGCCCTCGCCTCAAGGGCTACGTGATCATATTCCACTTCGACTCGAGCAACGGCTTCTTCGGGGGTTCGTGGCATCGTGGTGGAAGAATGGGACAAACGAAACAAGGCGCCGAGTAGAAAGAAAAGAAAAAGAGGGAGAATCGGAACATCTTAGTAGTTGATGCTAACTTTTTGGACTTGACAGGCTCACCGTGCGCCGTTTTGGCGCAGAGAGGCACGCCCGCCGAGCGCCTCCTCAGCTTCCTCTCTGCCGGCGCCTCGTCATGGGCGGCGTCCGGGTCCGCACGGCCTGGAACCACCACCTGGCCGCCCCCTTTGCCGGCGACTCCTGCATCTCGCGCATCCTCGTTGTCTCGGGCTCTCCGGTCGTCGTCGACCGCGCCGCCATCGAGGCCGTCGTGAGCGCTGTTAGCGCCTTAACGCTGTGAGTTTTGTTCCGAGGGCCATCTACACACACACACACACACACACACACACACACACATACACACCATATTAACAGACAGATACTAATCATTCGTTCAATATCACAGGCAGGACGTGATCGTGGCCGACAACTCGCCCGCCAACCGCACACTCGTGTTCCAGTCTAGGTCGTTCCGTGTCGCCTAGATAGAAGCCACTTTAAGCCACATCTGAACCACATCCGAGTTGAATCTTAAGAAGGCCCTCTATGATGGTCACTTCTTACTCTATGACGCTCACTTCCGGCTAGTACAACTGGATTTCCTTTGTTTACTTTTTGGGTATAAAAGGGCCTTCTGGTATGTCTAGCCTTTTTAGACAACTAATTCAATGCGCTATCAACTTCAACCACGTGCAACATTCCGTGCGCAGGCCAAGTACGCCATCGCAGTCATCATGCCCACGTGGCTAGAGGTGCGCGTGCGCTTCGGCGTCGACCCGCTGTCCGTCGCCGCCGCTGCAGTAGCAGCACAGCCCACGGGCTTCATACTCGCGTCCGGAATCTGGGCGTCTCCTCCTAGCGGCCTAGCTGGCACGACTGCTGCGCAAGCCGCGTGGTGCTGCCGCTGCCCCCCGTTCTGGCCGTCGCGACGCGTTCGGCTTCTTGAACAAAGCCGACGGCACGATTCGGCGCGGTTAGAATAGGCCCCAGGCCTACGCTTGCATCGCCTACGCTTGCATCGCCTACGCCAGATTCGACACGCCTGAACACTTCAGGTCTTCTCAAAATTCGGGTTTGCTTGCAATTTGCGTAGGATGGGTTTGGGAGCTGGTAGAAGATGGCGTGACTCTGGTTTGCACGGTTTGGCGTCTTCGATTTGCCTGCATGGCATGACGTCGGCTGGCTTTGATCGTATCAATCCGTAGCCCGCATACGGACACGAACTTTGACCGAGTTTGACATATATCCAACTCTCCGTTGAGATAAATCGAATCCTTGAATGTTTATTGGCGGGAGATCTTCCAAGATTCCAAGGGCCTCAATAACTCATAGCTCGCCTCGAAGGATTTTTGCCCAGGGATGCAATAGCTTGATGAACCCCAGGTATGGAATCGTCAAGGCCTTTCTCTCTCCTATTAATTCCTCTACATTAAAGGCTTCCCTGAGCCGGTGTATTTGCTCCGTATTCTTCTCAAAGTATCTAGGTACCTCCCTGAACTCATCAAAGCCCCTATCAATGCCATCTATTACATACGTTGACAAGTCCTTTCAGACTTGTCAACGATTCGGACTACACTGCTCGAAACTAACATTTTCTTTCAAGAGATCTCATCTACCTTACGTTATCCACAAGTCCGGGGTAATGTATACCCTGTACATCCAAGCTAACACGCCATCTGATCCACCTATACAGTCCCGTAGATGCTCACCAAGCCACCATACCTACATATGCGCAAAAGACTTGACCGCCGGCTCAAGGACACCTTTCAGACTTTGCAGATCCTGTTCACCAAGAGACCAAATAACACTATAACAATACGTTCAGGGGAATACTGTAAGCGACTTTTGAAGATGAGGTTCAGACTATTTATATCAAGAGCCGGTATAACGATGGCGGATACTATAAGGCCTAGTTATGAAATATACAACCTTACCCCAACCTCCGTCTCACGCTGTGCAGCTTTCTCCTACCGCCACAGCACCAGCCCCTCAGCGCCGGCGCAGGCCGATCTCGAGGCCGAGCGGCTTGCGCAGGAAGCCCTCGCGGGTGTGCATGTAGTCCTGGCGGAGTTCGACGTGGTACCTGCGGGCCCACGAGGCGACGATGAGCTTCATCTCCATCTCGGCGACGTTGCGGCCGACACAAGAGCGCGGGCCGTAGCTGAAGGGGATGAAAGCGTTCTTCTGGCGGGGCGTCAGCGCGTCCCAGCGGCCGGGGCGGAACTCGCCGGCGTCGGGGCCCCAGATGTCGGCTGAGTGGTGGACCGAGTACGTCGGCACGCTGAGCACGGTGCCGGGCGGGAAGAAGTGGCCGCGGATGGTGACGCCGGGCGAGTCGGGCGGGACGAGCCGCGGCAGCCCGATGCCCGACGTCGAGTGGAAGCGCAGCGTCTCGTTGACGACGTTTTGTAGGTATGGCAGGTCGCGCACCATGTCGAAGGTCGGCACGTCGATGTAGCTGGGCACCGCGGCGTCGAGCTCGGCCTGCAGCGCGGCCAGCACGCCAGGCGTGCGGGCGACGTGGAAGAGTAGGGCGCACGACGAGTTGGACGTCGTGTCGCTGCCGGCGATGAGCTGCGTCAGGGCCTCGGCCGTCAGCTCCTCGCGGCCCAGCGGCTCGCCCTTGTCGTCGCGGCCCTCCATCAGCCGCTCGAGCAGGTCTTTGCGCGAGACGGGCGGCGGGTTGTCGAGGCGCGTCTTGACGGCCGCGATGGCGATGCCCGCGAGGCTCTCGACCGCCTGCAGGCCCTGCGAGAAGAATGGGTCGGGTAGCCACTTGGCGTAGGGCTTGAGCTGCGGGAGGATGCCCAGCGTGGCCGAGACCTCGCCGCGGCGGTTGAGGATCTCGATGGCCGGCGCGTAGGTGGGCGGGCTGTCGGGCGAGGTGCGGATCTCGGCGAGGTCGGCGCCCGACGAGAGCATGCCGAACGGCGCGCCAAAGGCCAGGTCCCCTATCACATCAAAGGCGAGGAAGTTGAACCACTGCAGGCAATCGACGTGGGCAGCGCCGTCCGGGTTGGTAGACCTAGCAATGAGCGTGTCCCATTGCTTGACAAAGAGCTCCAGGTTGCTGTGGATGTAGGGCTCGAACTGGCTGACCGACTTGGCCGAGAAGGTGTGTGAGACGATCTTACGCTTGCGGCTGTGCTCGGCGCGGTTCCGCGTGTTGAAGAGGCCCCTCCTGATGCTGACGAAGGCATCGTAAAAGGACCTGTGCAGCGCGGTAAGATGCAGTCAGCGAAGAAAAGACCAGTGTGGAATGTCCGTCTACGCTTCAGCGAGCACTCACGCTTTTAGGAAGCCATTCCCGTGGCCGTAGATGGCCTGGATGGCCTCGTCGTCGTTGATGCTGACGTGGTTAGGCTGGATGCGGACAACCGGGCCTAGCCTCTTGTGGACCTGGTCGACCGTCTCGTACCGATTGCCCCGGCGCACAACTGCCAACAGCCAGAGGTTGGAGAGCTGGGCAGGAAATGGAGCCGGGATGTGCCTCAGATGCTTGTATGTGACGAGATACGAGAACAGATAGGAGGCCGCAAAGCCGACGAGTGCCGCGACTGGCGCCCAGGGCGAACATAGCAGGTTAGAGACAGCCATCCTACTTGGGTATGGAGATGGCGGATGCTAAGAGCAAGACCGGGATCAGAACGGCTGAGACGTTGAGAACGAGACGAGGGGATCACGGCATGGTATCAGCAACGAGCCCCCGTTTATGTATAGGCAGGCAGGCAGGCAGGCAGGCAGGCAGTGAGTGCATTGCATGGCGGGCTAGCCTCGGGCTAGCCGCTTGCAGGTCGGCACCCCTGTTCCCGCCGACACGCCCTAGCCCTGACGGCTTCGTCCGTCTCCACCGCCCTCGCTCAAGCCACAAACCCCGTGTTGGGCCGAATGATGGAGATGGTGGGGAAACTAGGGGGCTTGTGCCAAGGCCGGGGATGGCGTCGTGACGACACATGCTAGGAAACGCCAGTCACGAGCAAGCCGAACCGTCTCCCGAAGACCAAGTTTGCCCCGTTGCTCCGGGGCATGTGGCGCGCAACGTTTTCCCCAACTCTAGCGGTTGCCCTACGATTTCTTGGCCGCGCCATGGGGCCGAGAAACTGTGGAGGCCAGGAAACTGTGGAGGCCAAGAAACTGGAGGCCAAGAAACTGTGGGGGAGCTCCGCCAGCAGCACTCGGCAGCCTAGGACGGCACTCACCCGGTGCGGAGACATCTCCAGCGCGGGTGTAGCTAACCCGTCGCAGCCAGTCGCTCTTTGGCGCGATTCCGAGCTTGCCGCCACGGCTCACCAAGAGCGCTTTGGAGTTGCCCGACATATCCATTCGAATGCGAAAGGCAGATGCCAACGGCTAAGAGTGCCACTCTCAAGACGCCCGGATAACGCCCGGATGTCCTGTTGTTGATAAGAAGCGTGGGAGCCAATCCCAACTGCGACCCTCCAGTGTCGACTCGTTCCCCGACATTTCCACGGCAGAGTCTAACAGGCTGACAATGAACGCAAAGTCCTGACAAATAACATGACCTATGCATTTCTACCAGCTAGCCGTAGCAGCATGCAGACGATGTACCTATTGTACAGTACATACAGGCGCCGAGCCACGCCTTACACTGAACCAACGCCGATACCATGCAGCCCCAAAACAAATACATGAATCGACTCCCCTTCTAGCAAACGTAGACGCTAAATTTATTGTGCACAGGAGGGCGTGAACCCCCGTTTCGAACAGATTGTGTGTCAGAGAACGTGCCAGAGACTTTGACACAGTGTTACGAGGCGGTGGCTCAGCGTAGCATATAGGAAAGGTCAGGAAGGCTGGCGATAATTTCCCCGACTATATCGCTATCGTCGTAGTGTTGAGATCCAAGTGCGTAGTCAGCGCCCACAGAGTCTGACACGACAAGAGGGGACGAAATCGGGAGGGGCGTTGAGGGAATGAAGTCCTGGTTAGATACCGATTCCCTAGACGATCCACTTAACGCTAACCTGGAATCAGATGTGGCGGACAATGAGGCCGAATGTGTTGCTGAGAGTAGTGCAGGCGATATCGTAGGGAGAGGTGTGGCTGGGGTAAGAGGGGGTATTAATAACGTTGTCGGTGGTTCGGGCAAGAACGCGGGGGCTTTGGGTTCTGCTGGCGTTGCTTTTGCTTTTGGAACCGGTTCAAACAGCGACAAGTCGACGGCCGCCCAGGGATTGTTTGCTGTTGGCATTGACATTGCCGCTGGTATTGCCGCTGGTATTGCCGCTGGTATTGCCGCAGGCTTGCTGTCGACCCCAACTTCGCCCTGCGCTTTTGGCTTGACCGGTGTGTGATCAATGGCAGTTGGCACAACGGTAGAGTGGTAAGTTTGAGATGGAAAAGCATCGTCAAGACTCTGGAACCCATTCGCTACAGGTTCCGACTCCAAGGGCGACGATACCATTTCACCCCAATCGTCATCGTCGTCCTGGGGTTGCGGTAGCGATTTGGTTACAACCGACGACTTCGCAGTCGAGATCGAAAGGGGCGGCTGAATCAAAACTGGTGTACCCAGTGCCGGTGACGATTGCATTGGCGGCTCAAGAGGCGCTACAACAGGTCTTGAAGGCTGTAAAGATAGCTTAGGTGGCAGCGTTTGCGTTTGCGTTTGTTGGGCCGGCGAGCCTGTGCTCCAACCGAATGAGGCCACGGGGGCTTCTGTGATGCTGGATTTTCGTCGGTTCGGGCTGCGTAGGGGGCCAGAGACCTTTCTCGCCGGGACTTCTATCCCTTGCGCGGAATTGCCGGCAGTCTGTAAAGCCTGGAGCGAGGACTTTCTCGAGTGTGCCTTCTTTTTCCTGTAAACTGCATCCAGTCCGATGGGCTTGGCAGACGAATCCCAACCAAACATGTTCTTCTGATTCTTGGACACGCCGCCACCAAGCGTTACTCGCCCTGCTATCGAGTCTTCTTCCATCCACCGGCGAACCACTTTGAGCGTATCTTGGTGTATGGACGAAGTGGGCCAAACAACGCGTCTGTAGCTGTCTTCATCTCCGGCATTGTGCTTCCGTGAGGATCCCAGGCGAGATATTCGATACCACGTCTTGCGTTCTGAAATCTCGGTGAAGCTGTCGGTTATGATTTGATCCGAGACATCACCATCGACGCCAAGGACGCCATCAGTGCTGTCCGCTCCCGCAAGCCCGAACAGCCTCTCCACGTTGGCCAGATCGGCTTTAAACTCTGGAGGGCTCGGTCTGCCAGCCACCTGCTCAGCCTGCTCGGCCTGCCCCGCCTGCCCCACTTGCTCCAACTCAACGGGATGTTCAGCAGACACGGGTGTCGACTCTGCTGTCGAAAGATCATCGGATTCAGGTACAGGTTCAGCTGCTTGTGGTTTTGGCGTCATTGCCGTGTCACTGTACAGCGCAGGCGGCTGTCCACCCTCGTCCGCGTCCTCAAAGTCCCCAAAGTCGCCGCCGTCATCCGATGAATAGTTCCTATCCAAATTCGAGGGACATGTACTGTGGCTGCGACTAACCGGGCGAGGCTCTTGGCTTGCCGCTCGGGCAAGCCCGTCAAACTTCTCGACCAGTTGTTGCACCTTCTCTGAGAGCTTCCGGGAAACTTGCTGACGTGCCCTGGAGTCTTCGTCGATTGACGTGATCGGCGAGTCCTGCCGCTCGTCTTCGTGGTCTGTTTCGTTTCCAGACGGCGAGGAGGAGCGCGACCCATGGCTTTCGGCCGCCGACTCGACGCTGACGCGTGCAGGGACATACTCGGACGCCTTGTTCTCTGTCGATTCTTCGAATGTAGCATCCTTACTCGTGGGAAGAAACGTAGGACGTGTTTCTTCGTTCGCGCCCCTAGCTCCATCGAGGCCGCTCTCTTCATCGGCGTGCCATGCCGGATTGCATGCCGGATCAGTTCCCCGGCCTCGTTCCTTGGGCTTCTCGTCCGGCGCGTCTGCACGCTGCGGAGCGTCAATCACCAAGCGAGGCGTGGACAGCCCATCGTTCGAAGACCTTTGCGTAGAGAAGTCGACGGACCACGGATCGGGCGAGAGCTGTCGAAGCGCGGCGCCATTTGCAGGCTTCGGAAGCGCGATGTTCCCGGGCCAGGCGATCGGGCTTGTCTTGGCAAAATCATCGCGCGCCGGCAAGACCAGGTTCGGACTTAGTGCTCCGCCGCCCCATCCGCCGCCCCATCCGGATTGTGTCGGTAAGGGCGCGTCAGGGGCCGCCCAGTCGCCAAACCCGTCGGCATCATCGGCCCATGGCGACTCACCCGAGACGGCCGGGATCCGGGGAGAGGAGGAGGCGGAGAAGAACGCGCGCGGGGGAGGCTCGAGGTCGGATTTAGAGGGCGAGGGGGGACGTTTCTGGTCCTTGTCGGCTGTCGCTGTTGTCCATGGAGAGCCCCATGGATCGTCCATCCTATATAGAAACGACAAGTGTCATGTTGCGCGTCCAGACAGGCCCCTTTATCGGCGACCAAGCATGTCGGATCGATGCAGGAGTCGCACAGCTGTTGCGCGCGTGTGCTTCGCGTGTGCTTCGACCGTCACGCAGTCTTGCGGTCTAATAATAACTAGGCACGAAGATACTGCTGCTGGGTAATTATGGGGCTTCGTAGAGAGCTCGGTACTCTGAAGCAATCGTATGAGAAAATATTTGGAGCAAATGTGGTGGCAAAGCGGATACCGAGCAAAGCAGCAGCGAAGGAATGCAACTTGAAATGTGGCAGTTTCGATGTCAAACAAGCATTGGTTGGTGGTTTTTTTTTTAGGGGGGCCGGGCCAAGAGCTTCAGGTTGCGGAAACCGGGCTGCCTGGCTGCGTCAGATCGGCGCCCCACCCCCCGATAGGCTTGAACCTCGAGTTCATATTTTTAGGTTGCCAACCGGATTGTTTCGGCAATGGCATAACCAATATCAACATCAATGACTCTAGTGCATCATATGATATAAGGGCTCATGATATAAGGGCTCTTGTGATATAAGGGCTTGCTACCAGGTAGATACAGCGGGATCGAGTCGCAAGCGCAAGGCGCGCTCCAGTGTACTAAACACCTTCCCATAGCACCCTAAGATATCAGTTGGCCTGTGCCCTGGGATTAGGTGCAAGTTTCTCATACTAAATCGCAGTCTTCGGATGGAATAAACGTGTCGGTGGTTTTTCCCCAGGAAGTATAGTGTATTACAATCCATACGGCATACGGAGTTCATACGTACCCGGTAGGCTGTTCGCTACAGCGCATCCACTTCGTACGTTGTTTCAGATTCGATCGTCATCATCGACCTTGGGCCTTCCCGCAGCAAACACTGCACAGCTTGTGATTGGAGACCTGTTTGGAAGGTCAGCACGTCTGTTGTGTCGAGTTTCAGGGCTTTGTGTGGCGCCTGCACTCGGTCCCAAGGTCCAAGTGTGGATGCACTGACGGAATACTCCGACGGGCACTTGAGACCCCCGCGCTACTGCGGGGTTTTTATTCTGCTTTCGTGCGGCGTGATCCGTAATCCACAAAGTCTCTCGCCTGCTGATAAAGCTGGCGGGGCCGATACAGGCCGATGAAGGGGCCGACACCTGTCTGGAGCAATGAACCCGAAAATCGCTCCTCGACAAATGCACCCGACGAAATACACCCGATGAAATGCACCCTACGAAATGGCATCTTTCCAGCCGCCCTGAGTGACCAGATATAGGGTTGTGTTTATTAATCGCGGTTTCCAATTCACACGCGCTTTTCACACGCGCTTTCCAATTCACACGCGCTATTATTTTGCTCGTCCGCTCCACAGGGGCCATGTCTCTGTCAAAAATCAAGCACATCGTCCTGGTTCGCATGCCTTCTAGCGCCCCAGTGGCCTCTGGCCACCGGCCATGGCCACCACAACCGACTAACAAGACTCCTTCAGGTCCTCTCTGGGAAGGGCGGTGTCGGCAAATCGTCCGTGACGACGCAACTTGCCCTGTCGCTCTCCCTGGCCGGCCACTCGGTAGGCGTGCTCGATGTCGACCTCACTGGCCCCTCGATCCCGCGCATGTTTGCGATTGAAGATGCCAAGGTGACCCAAGCGCCCGGCGGGTGGCTGCCCATCACTGTCCACGAAGCCGACCCGTCCGACGGAATCGGATCCCTTCGCGTCATGAGTCTCGGCTTTCTCCTGCCCCGTCGCGGCGATGCTGTTGTTTGGCGCGGGCCGAAAAAGACGGCCATGGTACGCCAGTTCCTGTCAGACGTGTTTTGGGACGAACTCGACTACCTCCTGATCGACACGCCGCCTGGAACAAGCGACGAGCACATTTCGCTGGCCGAGACGCTGCTGCAAAGAGCGCGACCGGAGCAGTTTGCGGGCGCTGTCGTCGTGACGACACCGCAGGCCGTTGCGACAGCGGATGTCAGGAAGGAGCTCAACTTCTGCTCCAAGACGGGCATCCAGGTGCTGGGTGTTGTGGAGAACATGAGTGGCTTTGTGTGTCCGAACTGCAGCGAATGCACCAACATCTTCATGAACGGCGGGGGGGAGGTGATGGCGAACGACTTTGGTGTTCCATTCCTCGGAAGAGTTCCCATCGACCCCCAGTTCCTAGTTCTTATAGAGGCAGGGACGAGGCCGACGTATCCCGTGGGGACCGAGGTTAACGGGCGGGATATCTCCACGCCAATTGCCACAGTAAAGAGTCAGGACGACACCCCGGATACCGCTCCTCTGGTGCAAAAGTACCGCGACTGCTCTCTTGCCCCCATATTTCACACGATCACGGCGGATGTCATTATTGCGGCAGATATCGCAAACCAGAAATAGAGCCCCTTGAGGCCGGCTGCCGGCTGCCGGCTGCCGACTCGATCCCCGGGTAACTCTTGTGCTCGTCGGCCCTTGATCCAAATAGCGAGCGTCATAACTTGTGCCCGACGGCCATGCCTATATCTGCCCTTGTGGTGATGGTAAGCCGCGTTCAAGGATAGACAACGGCGCGATGCAGCTAGGTTGTCCTCCGAGATCGGATTAGTGGCGCATGATTCGTCTATCATCAACGCGATAGTTGTTGCTGAACATGCTGTCTCTTACTCTCATAGCAGACAGACGCCCTTGGTCCCGTGAAAATCGGTGCGCAAACTCTCGAGCGCTTCGTGGCACGAACAGGCAACTCATCAATCACTCGAGGGAGGAACTCTGGGCTGGGCCAGTGAAACTGGCATCGCGAGTCGGTATTTCTGTGCCTGGTGGTACGTAGAGCCAGGTGAAAAATGATACACAACCTGACACCGAGTCTCAAATTTCGCCGTCCTTGTGAAAGGGGCATTCCTCAAATTTGATCTCTAATGAATTAACGAATTGCATTGGCTCATGGCCGCTTTGTTTCGTTTGGAGGTGGAGGCGATCACATCTTTCCATGCTATCTTGCCTAGGTAACCATGTCGTTTCTTGGAGTCGCCAGTGGTTTTGCCCAGGCGCCAAGGCCGGGGAGGTGCATCATGGAATAAATACACTACGGATACCACACTTCACTACCGGGTCTCCAGACTCCGTACTTCGAGCCGTATCTACGGTATGGGCCATGCTCCAGAATGACTGGTGGCTGCTGCTGCCACTAAGATCGGACAGTTTCGGCTGGCTCCGCATCCATACCCTCTCACCCACGTTGCAGGGTGTCCACCAATTAATTCTCCATGGAGTTAGGTCAGGCGCGTGCCCTTGCAGCGAACCTTAACAGCGGGGTTTCAACAGTGTCCATGTGAGGCCGGCGCTTGGAGGGGTTTAGCAGGGGCGTCTGCTCCACCGCAAGCTCGCTGGCAGCCATCCCAACTTTGGACATCAGAAAATTAAAATATAAAAATCTCTCACCGACCTCAGTCAAACTCTTTTTCTCAACACCTCCAACTAAACCGGCCAAAGCGCCCTACCGAGGCAAAAAAAAAAAATTTGGGCTGCAGCTTGTCAATTGCCGATCTCCCGGTCAAGACAAGTACCCTGCAACCTTTCCAAGCCCGTCGGCCACGGCTAGCCAAAGTAAAGCTTCCCGAAGCTCGCCCGCAACCTCGCTCGCGCCATCCCCACAAGACCGCTGCAACCGCAATGCGCATATCGGCCTGAGAGATATTCTTCTCGAAACGCTCTAGCCGTTGTTGTACTTCAGCACTAAAGGTAACAACGATTACTCTTTCTGGCCGCTTCCGGCCCCTGGATTAGGTCGAATTCCGTCCTTGTCCAGGCCGGCTCTTTGCGCCTTGCCGCATCCCAAATCCCACATCCTTCAGTTCCTTCACTAACCAGTCGGCCTTTTGATCCCGATAGTATCAGTTCCGGCCGCTGTTGTTCCATCCACCTCGAGGAATACACGTCAGGCTACTTGTGCCGCATTGCCTGCCCACCTCCCGATACTTAACCCCGGGTATCGGCCAAGTCGCGATCACGGCTCACTCCAAGAGAAAGCCCAACATTCCGCTCTCAAAGCTCTACCACCTCCCCCTCCGCGCCCGCCCTCCCTAACGTCCCCTTGGCGAGACGTTTAAAAACTACATCCGCAGACTGCAGCTGGCTCCGCCAGCGTCTAAGAAAACACCCCGCTCCTGTGGGCCTACTCTCTCAAGCGAACGCCGCAAGGTTCGTTTGAGCGGCAGCTAGTGTCCCGCGGATATTGCTTTTCGAAGAACACGCGCCAGCCCGTGTCGGGTCGAGATGACCAATCTCGATGTCTCCAGTGGCCATGTCCTCTCGACTTCCCCGGGCACGCCTCATCTGACTATCAATCACGATATTGCCGCCGACCTGGACTCTACCAATGCCTTTGAGGGCCCTGAGAAGCTTCTCGAAGTTTGGTTCTCCCCGAGCGCAAAGTCGCTTCCAGCCGGCGCCAAGGAGAATGGTCTGAAGGCGGTCTCCCCGACAGTCTGGGAAGGCATGTTGGATCTCGTCAACTGCAAGGTCCTATCCATCGTCAAGTCGGAGCACGTCGACGCCTACCTTCTCTCCGAGTCCAGCATGTTTGTCTTCCCGCACAAGATCATTCTCAAAACGTGCGGAACTACAACTCTGTTGCTGGGACTCCGCCGCCTCCTGCGCATTGCCGCCATCGACGCCGGGTTCCCTTTCCACAATGCCACTTCGCTGGAGGACGTCCGTGCTGCCGCCACCCCCCATCGCGTCTTCTACAGCCGCAAGAACTTTCTGTTCCCCGATAGGCAGCACGGCCCTCACCGGGATTGGAAGGAGGAGGTCGCTTTTTTGGACGACATGTTTGAGAACGGAAGCGCCTACATGGTCGGCAGAATGAATAGCGACCACTGGTACCTCTACCTGACGTCTCTCGCAGACACTTTGACGCCTCCGCGGACCCCGAGTTCGAGCAACAACGGCAGCCCCACGCGCACTACAAAGATTCCGACAGGCATCACCTTGCCGTTCTCTACGGCCGCCGAGTCCAGCCCTGACGAAACGCTGGAGATTTTGATGACGGACCTTGATCCCGAGCTTTCCAAGCAGTTCTACCTGCCGCAAGCGAGTGCGGTCGCCAGTGCGCAGATTCTTGCCCAAGCCAAGGAGAAGGGTCCAGTTGGCGATTCAGACTCGACTTTCGATGTCTTCAGCAACGGTGGAGAGTCCGATCTTCCAGGAAGCAGCACGAATCCCGGACGCTTGGTGGTGGTCGAGGCTCCAACTACTGAGGGCCACGCACTTGGCACCGTTGTTTCAGATACCTGCGGCCTCTCCGAAGTTTATCCCGTCTCCAGCTACCCGGAGGCCCGTATCGATGCCTACTTGTTCTCGCCCTGCGGCTTCTCGGCCAACGGCGTGATTCCAGCCCCGCATCAGACGGACGATAGCGCCAGTAAGGCTGCGCACTACTTCACCGTCCATGTTACGCCGGAACCACACTGCTCGTTTGCCTCGTTTGAAACGAATGTTCCAGGCGGGCAGAATGGACGCCAGACTTCGGATGTCATTGAACATGTTGTCAACATCTTCCGACCTGGACGCTTCAGTGTGACCCTTTTCGAAATGAAGGGAAGATCTGCTAGTGACGTGCTTGATGGCGATATCCCGCGCGCCACCGGGCTATCATCTACCAAGCAGCGTCTTGAGCGCATCAAGGGCTACCGCCGTACCGATCGTATTGTTCATGAGTTTGAGGATTACGATCTCGTTTTCCGATTCTTCGAGCGTGATGGATGGGTCGGCGATGGAGGAGCCAGAGTCGGAGAGGACCTCTAGTTTGTTCCTTTGTGTTCTTTACACTTCTCTTGGCCGGACCTCTAATGACATTGGGGTATGAAACTCGCCGCCTGCCGGACACCGACCCTGGTGCAATTTGTTGCCCCTAGCAAGCTTTTTTTTGTAGCTAGTTATTCAGCAATTTGATTTATTTCCAAAGATCCATGTTGATTCATGTACTTGATCGGCTTACTCGTCTCAAGGCGGCAAAGGCGTAGGGACTAACGGACTAAGCCCCTTGGTTCTCGGAGTGGGTGGGAGGCGTTTTGGTAGCCCTGACGAGGGTTTTTCTCTCTCCCCCTTTCCTAAACACAACCCCGTATTTCATCTGTTGTCTCTATTTGTTTCTAGAGTCTCGCGGACTCAGCTCTCTGCGTCCAGCAGCCCACCTTGTGTCAACACTTGTTTTCATCCGCACCGAAAAGGGGTTGCAGTCCTCGTGGTTCAATGGTTTCTCAATTGTCGCATACAACACATTCTGAAGCATCTCTCGGACAGTTTGCCTGGCACATGGGTAGCTCATGGGTACCTCATGCTCATGGAGCTCCTAGAGTCCCATGGCCAAGCCGTGCATCCCGGCTCTCGTTTATAAAACGGTCGATGTTAGACTCTGCCCGGACTATTCGTCTTCTACCAACATTCTGCCATTGGCTTTCACGCTCATAGATATCTCGGTCGCCAATAACTACATTTCCCATCACCAACCCTCTGCTCCTGGCGCAACACCCAGGTCAGCCCAGTACAGATTCGGACGCGGCCCTCGTTTCAACCGCGCGCGCATTTTCAAAATGGGCAAAAGCCCAAAGCGCGTAAGGAAAAGGAAATTCCGCCTCGCGTTTACCGGCATCCTCATTCTCCTGCACATTATCGCCGCAGGCGGCGGAGCCACAGTATCGGCTTTGGTTTTCACCAGCCCCGACGACCTCAGTGTGCCTTTGCAGGCGCTCGCCCATGCCCTGATCTTGCAAGGCGTAAGTCACTGCATTGTCTTCCCGCTCGCTTCTGTTATAATGCCCTAGCGAAAATTTCGGCCCTGTCAGCTAACACAGTGCACCGTGGATGATTGCATATTTACCTAGTCTTTTCTCTCCACTGTCTACGTCCTCGTTCATATTGCGGCTTCTCTCAAACGCCTTAAACTTTATAGAGAGTATCATGACGAATATGACGAGGATGACAATGTTATAGGCAACCCTATACCAGAGCATTTCAGACACAAGTACTATTCCTGGGCAAGAATCATTTGCATGTTGCTGATGGCGACCTGGCTTGGCGCCATCGGGGCTATTGCCGCCGCCGTCCTCCGTTCCGGAAACCAGGCGTACACGTACCACACCCACCTGGGCGCCGTCGTCTGCGGTATCGGCTTCGTGGCCACCCTCCCCACCCTGGTTCTCTTGCACATCACCAACCGCCCATTTGAGTTGCCCATGATGAGGTCCAAAGACTCTGTGAGCGGCTCCAGTGACTCCGATGACGACGGGTACGTAATACTGACACTAATATCCCTAGGGTTAATTAAGTATGATGAAGAGCAATGTGACTTACGAACGTTGCAAAACCAAGATCTTCCGAGGGTGGCGAGTTCACGGAGGGAGGAGTAGTCCAACCCCAAGGATTCGTGCACAATGTACAACATGCCCCGGTGCAGCAGGCCTCTCCAATGGCCCGAGTCCCTTCAGGCCAGGGTTCCGGCCAGTTTCCACTACAGCCTCAGGGACCACCACCTGCTCACCTGCAAAACTTCCAGCAGGGCGGTTTTCCATCAGGCCCGGGAGGTGTCCATGCCCCGCCGATGTACTAGTTACCTCCGACTAGCTTCGAGATAAATCTATCTGGGGAGGTGATTCGAAACTTCCCCCCCTCCTCCCATGTTGCTGGCTACCTAATTAACTACCAAACTGGGGCGAAACGTAATTCTCTTTTTCTTCTGGGTGATCTCTTTCACAAAAGCACGAGGGTGCAGAACTTGGCCGACACGACCGCAGCAGCAGCATTCTGGCGTTTCTCATGGGCGTTTCTTATACTTACTTATTTGGGGGTCTCTTTGCATACCTGGTCCATCCACAGCATTATCTCTTGTTGACGTCACTTCACCGTTCATTTCCTATAGGCAGAGGTTTCTTTATGGTCATTGGTTGGTTAGTCAGTCGGTGATATGGGGCACTGAAATACATATAGAGTTTCTGCGTCCCCTACTTACAATTCACTGACAGACTATTGAACTTGCGTCTCACTTCACATCCCAATTGGGAGCGCTTTTGTGTTTTGCATGCATGCATTATTACATGCTTGAGTAACACGGTGTCGAGGACAGCGGAAAACGCCGTGCATGGTGTCAACAGTAGCCCCTTTTTCGCCAGAAGCGGCTCAACCTAATTACCAGTCTGCCTTCGCTTGACGGGCGCCGTCGGCTACGAGAGTACACACCACAATCATACAGCGGGGGACGAGCAACGTAATCTATCCTGCTGGACTCGTCGCATACTTGATATCATATCGCAACCGAGGGTTGTCAAAGAATCCTTCGCAGCTCGGCAGTTGCAACGTTTGTCCGACTCCAAAGCTCCCCCCCTTCCCCCTGTGAAAGATCTGGGGTCACCTGCGCGGGAGCAAGCCGCAGGGCAATTAATTGATATTGCGGCGCAGCAGCAAGCAGCAGCACCAAGATTCATCGTCGGCTGGCTTTCGTCTTCAACATGGGGAGATCTTCCCTTTAGGGGAACGTGCTGTTACTTTCTGTTCATTTGAGAGGCTCATCAATGGACGTCAGCGGACACGGCATTCTGATAAGGCTTTGTATGCCTAAAACTAATGATTCGCCGGGGTGCGCGAAGGATTATGCGGGGGTTGCATTTGAAGGGATACAAGGAGGATTGACCCCGCCAGTTCTTAGTCTGGATGGCTATGGTAATATCAGCCGCAAATTGTCACGCTGGGGTGCCCGACGGCACGCAGGATTACTTGTGAAGCACTGAAATGGCGATCTGATGTTTGAACCCAGCCAGTGTTATGATACATGATTAGTAATTATATCCGGACTTTTCAGCGCGTCATCCTGGCCTGACGCCGCTGAAGACGATGTCGACGTCGACGCTTCCCCCGAAGTTGACGCGGCTCTGCTCGGCTTGCCGCTCGTTACACCGTCCGCTATCTCATCGTACTGGCCGCTGCTGATGCCGGACTCGGCGTCGATCCGCCGCCTCCGGGTCGGGGATATGTGGACGAACGAGATGTTGGTCTCGTATCGGGTGAGCAGGATGCCGAACTTGCGGAGCAGCTTCTGGATGGGGCCCTTGAGGGACGGGCTGCAGGCCGCCAGCAGGGCGAGGAATTGCTCGCCAATGGTGTAGGTTGAGATGGATACGGCCAGCGCCCAGGGATCCTCGACATTCCTGTCTCCCCACGACATGATCAAGACGGCCTTAAGTATCGAGACGAGGCTCGCAAAGAGGCCCATGCCCGTCAGGATGCAGACGAGGACGCGCTCGCGCAGGGGCCGTCGCACGTTCCAGAGAGTGATCATAGGCGCCAGCGACAATAGCACGTCGGTGGTGATGTTGACGGCAGTAGCTATGCTGGACACTATCACATCGGTATGTGGGTCGGTGCATTGCGGATTCACGACGGTAAAGTCCCAGCTGGCCTGTAGGGGTCGACATTTGGTGAAGATGTAGACCGTGTCGCCGACAAGATAGACGACAAGAACAGCTAGGATAACCCGGAGGGATATAATCCACACGCGATCCAGCGGAAGCCGCAGCAGCGTGAGGGCGACCGACGCCTTGATGCACGTCATGGCGAGCCCCCATACGGGGATGGCGATGTAGGCAAGCATGGTGGCATTGGTTGCTCTAGACACAGTGATGAGCTGAGGCGATGTGAACATCTCGCCCAAGACTAAAACCCAATCGGTGATGGCCAATGCCTAGGATTCGCGTACAAATGTTAGCAGCAGATTCCCATGGGGCAACCGGCGACTCCGCCCAAGAAGGGGGCAAACAAGAGACAAAGCTTACCAGGCCGGCCACAATGAGGGCATCATCCCATCCGAACCTCCATATCGGCCAAGCGCGGATGTACAACCGGGCGGAGAAGGGCACAAGGCAGAGAGCGAGAAGAGGTATGGTGGTGCCGATGTGGACACGTGCTAAATAGGCGGCTCGATCCGTAATGGGGATCAGGAAGGGCTGCTCGTCCATGTGGCGACAGGGCCTCGTTCGTAAAAGAGGGGGGGGGGAGGTCGGAGGAGGCGTACAAGGGGAAAGAGGCTTCAAGAGGGAGCGGAAGCTAGAGGTAGGCGAGACGCATCCATACCTAAAAGTATGGAGGACAATGGCTCGCTGGCGCGGTGCTGTCTCTTTCGGCGTGGGCAGCGATGGATGGACAACGACAATGGCGACAAGTGTCGGCGACAGAGAAGAGGCAAAGACGCGTAGAAGAGACGACAGGTAGCAACAAGACAGCAGCGTAACAGCGTGCGTGACAGCGAGGTTACTAGGGAACCATGGGTTTTATTTCATACACAGCACTGGGTATGCTCGTGTCAGGTCGCCTCGTCCCGTCCGCCTTCCCCAGCCATTCGAGATGGAGGGAGGGCACACACACACAGCACTCTTGGTTGGTGGCTGCTGACTTGCTGCACCACTCTGCAGCAGCTGGCAGACAAATGCATGCACGGATGTCGGTCTGGGGCCGAGCGGCGGCAGACAGTCGATGGCATCCACTGACACGACTAGGAATCCGAAAAACCCCATTGTTAGCGCAAGCCAGTTCCAGACATTGAGAGCTTCGTCCGCGCTAGCATCGGTGAGGCAGTGGGCCCTGAAGCGAAATTGGTGGCGCGGGAAGGGCTCGGCCAATTAAATCGCGCCCGTTCCGTTGTGGCAGGCGTCCCCGGGCGCCGGTGGTCGGTTGACAAAAAACCTGGGGATTTCTGGGGCCCTGGAAGGAGCGGAGGGAGGAGGGAGACGGGCCAGACGGGCCCCCTAGAGACAGGCCAAGCAATGCCAGAAATACGTGGAAAAGCCCTTTCGTAGCTGCCCTCTGAACTTTGAAGATGGTCAATCTGACATTTCAATACTTATCCATCCATCCATTGGCAGAACAGGCCCAGGAAGGCACTCTAGGGCTGTTCCTTCCCAGCGACGAAGGGCAATGGGCCGCCGTCTGTGCTGTGTGCGGCAGGAGCCATGGAGCTATGGAGCCAGCCATTTGCCATTTGCTGGTTTGATGCAAGGTGTCCCGGGGTCTTGGGCCGCTCCTGCTTCGGCCTCTTGGCAATTTTGAGCTCGGCCGCAGTCCCAAACGAGAAAACTTGCCAGCGATGAGGATCGCCTGACACGCATGGGATTTCTGCTCCCCTAGCGGGAGTTCTTCCGCCTAAGGAGAACGGATCCGTAGATCTTGCTGAGTACGGATTATTGTCCGCTGGGGCTCGCCTATGTAGTTGTAATATTTCTCCGCGTAAATTCAGAGCAAGCAAGGGACGGGCAGCAAAGTTCCCCACGGCGAAGTGCCGGCCAGAGCTGCCGCAAAAGCTGCCGCAAAAGCTGCCCCGAATTCCCCGAGGGAGAAGAGCTCTGACCAAGAGTTGGCATCGCATCTTGGAGACTCCGCAGTCGATTGACGGGGACGATCGACCCAGCAGGATTTCAAAGTCAAACGAGTGTGGGGTGTGCATTGCAGGTGACACATCGGGCCCGGCTACGTACCTCACCTACAGTTACAGTGTCAAGCGGTTGCCAAAAAAAAAAACCAGCACACCAGACCCCGCACAGTACTTCCACTGCCATAGAAATTCCTACCTACAAGCAAGTCACCACAGGGCCTTCTACCACCCAGTCATCTGACCCTGGCCGGCTAACACATCTTCCATCCGCACTACCATAGAATCCACCATCTTATTGATGCTCTCCTGTTACGATCCTGGTTCAAAGGTGCAGAGGGCGTTGCCCGCCTCCTGTGGATTGGCTGGAACAGCATTTAAGGTGGGGGGCTCTCGCTTAAAGATGCACCCAATGAGGGAGTGCTCAGTGGGGCCATTGCCGAGAGCCACTGAGCGCACTAAGCGGGGAGCTCAGTAGGCTCAGTGCCGGAGACCCACTGAGCGCACTGAGCGGGGAGCTCAGTAGGGATCAGTGCGTCTAGGAACTGAGCACGACTGAGCATGTGAGTCAGGAACTCTGATTGGTCCTTCTTAAATAGATATATACGACGACCGTAGCCACGGTCCTAGATAGTTCTTGCTTGGTTCTTCAAGCAAGCAATACACATTCACTGCACTCATACACTTTGAGTGGCATTCCGATTTGACTGTATTACCCGTGCGGAAGGAGCTTGCCCTTTGTTCTATCTTCATAATTACCAACCCCAGCATTCTGTGGAGCCCGTGCTCCCTTACAGACAGACGACCCTAACAGTCGAGTGGTTTGTAATATCTCCTGACTTGCACGCTCCCAGCCTTCCAAAATCAGTGCCTTCAATTCAGCTCCTATAGTATAGTGTGCACGTACGAATTGTTTTACTGCACGCCAACAGTTTTCTATGAGCGAAAGGTCTGGTGAGCCAGGCGTATTAAAATAGTGCTTGAGCTGGTGTTCTTCCTTCCACTGTCTTACAATATTAGGCTTCTTTCCTCCACCATAGCCAGAATCCCCATCTTCCAGAACAAAAGAATCCCCACGTGCCAGCCAAGGACCTACCACTTCTTCCAAGATATCGCGATATACAGCTAAGGACATCTTTCCGTTGGTGCTGGTAGGAACACTATAGAAGTGAAGTGGTGACTTGAAGTTCCAGCCAACAGCAGCCCAAACATGGTATCGTTCAATACCTTTAGAAGGTTCTTCAGCATGATGGATGCAGTCAAGGCAGTAACGCTCTCCAGGCTTCCGTATAATCTGGACCTTCCCTTCAGGGCATATACCAAAGTGAGATTCATCTGACCATCTTATATCGCGCCAGTTCTCAGGCAAAGGGCGATAGGAAAGTGAAAGCTTGGCTGCTTCTATCCTTCGCTTGGCGTGCGCTGGCGAGACAAAACCCTTCTCGCAAGCAATACACTTCCGGTAGTCTAGTGTACCCATTGCCCTCTCGATCGTGCGTGTAGAAACTGGCGTCAAGATGCCGGCGGGTTTGGCAAGGCCTTGCCAGCTTAGTGCCCGGGCTTGGAAACCGTATTGCCAGATAATGCTTTCCATTGCTAGCAAATTGGCTGGCGTAAGGACCGGCTTCCGGCCCCTGGATTCCACCTCTGGGTGCCGCCGTTCGCGCGCGTTGTGCAGGATCTGCCAGCCTGACCGGCGGCTTACACCAAAAGAGCTGAAAACATCGTTCTTATAGTGTGGAATCTTATGGCCTTCCAGAAAGCGAATGGCGCCAAGAACTTGTGCCTTGATAGGCGTAGTAATATGCGTATCACCAAGAGCCATGGAAGTGGTGGAAGTGGTAGAAGTGGTGGAAATGGTAGAACTGGCGGTGTGGTGCGTGGTGTGATGGAGAAGTGTAGAATTGTTAGGGGGCTTGTTAGTGCAGTGGGTCACGTGGCAGGCTTTGGTGTGCGGATTTTTCTGGCAACCGGTTGAGTGTACAATAGTCCAAAAATCAAGGTTTGGCGTCATCGGACATCCACCTTTGCTCCCCAACGTCATGGTTTGTGAGAAGTCCCCAACCATGGTTTGAGAAGTCATTTCTGGGCGCGGGCAAGCGCGGAATTGGATGAGACAATCTTCAACCCCAATTCCAGTGTCCACCATCCCCTGTAACGTCACAGGCTAACAGATCAACTCCGCCAAACCGATACCATGCCGGACTCTTTGACAATCCAGCTCGTCAACCAGACCACGTCGTCCAATGTCTACGCCTACATCACCGGCCTCGCACTGCAGCGCGACTGCGCGCGCGTGCTGCTCAAGGCCGACGGCAAGGGGCTGCACTACCCTGCGTCGCCCGCTGGCGGCAAGATCCTGCAGCCGCTGGCCGAAGACTGCGCGATCGCGCTGGGCGCTCCGGGCAACACGGCGACGGTGACGATCCCGCAGATTGCCGGCGGGCGCATCTGGTTCAGCGCCGGCGAGCGCAAGCTGACCTTCCTGCTCAACCCAGGCGGCCCCGGCGGCGGCGCCGCCCTGGTCGAGCCGTCGGTGCTCAACCCTAGCGACCCCAACGCCGGCGTCGACTTTTGCTTCTGCGAGTTCACCCTCAACAGCGACCAGCTCTTCGCCAACATCAGCTACGTCGACTTCGTCGCCCGCCTGCCCATCGCCCTGACGCTGCGCACCCGCACCGGCGCCGTCCAGCACGTCAGCGGCATGCCCGCCGACGGGCTCACCCGCGTGTGCGACGGCCTGTGCGCCCAGGCCGCCCGCGACGGCAGGCCATGGGACAAGCTGATCGTCTCGCGCGACGGACAGCCGCTGCGCGTGCTGAGCCCGACGCACGGCGAAGCTGTCGGCGCGAGCTTTACCGGCTACTTTGAGCCGCTGGTCGACGCGGCGTGGCAGCGGTACCGCGAGCAGCAGCAGGCTGAAGCCCGGGGGCGGGCGCAGGGCGAGCCTCAAAAGCACGGCCCGAACCTGCTCGCCCGCCTCGAGGCGAAAGCCCAAGGCCAAGGCCCAGACCAGCAGCAAGCACAGCAATCACAGCAACCCAGCGCCGGCTGCGCGCTCCTGCGCATCAACACGCAGGCGGCGGCGGGCATCGTAACGGGGTCAGTAGCCGCGCAGTCAGACGAGCTCATACTGGCAGGCGAGTCATTCAAGCGGCCGACGACGGCCGACATACTGGGGTGCAACAGCGGGCCGTTCACAACAGGTCCGTCGGCGACGCGCAACGCCATCATCCCGCGGCTGGCAGCAGCATTCCAGCGCAGCGCCATCGCGGCCGACGGCGTCGACGAGCACCCGTCGCAACCGGACACGTTCTACCGCTGCGAGCCCACCAACCACTACTCGCGCGTCGTGCACGCTGCCAACCTCGACGGCAAGGGCTACTCGTTTGCCTACGACGACGTGCAGCCCGACGGCGGCGCCGACCAGTCCGGCAAGGTCAACGCCGGCGACCCCGACGTCTTTGTCGTCGCCGTCGGCGGCGGGGGCGCGTATGTCGGGGACAGGATGCCCTGAGGAGATGTTAATGGGAACTTGACCACATGGGGGCGTGGTTTGACGTTCGGTTGATCCTGTGAGCGCTCAGGTAGAGAACAGCGATTACCAATTGCTATTCATCACAAATGTATATACCAGCTACGTATGGTTCCTTAGCCGGATAGTGTGACAACAATTCTAGGAATACTAAGACGCTGTTGAAAAAGAACCCCCTTGATCCTATAGACCACAGCGGCAAACTCAAAGCACGGAAAGAGATTACTGACAAAAGAAAGGGAAAAATTGAAGCGCCAATCATATAGGTGCCTTATACAGGAAGTTGTCTTACTACCAAGCTTTCCTCTAATATTCTCTTGACGGAATTATTCTCTTAACGGAATTATTCTCGAGACGTAGAGTCTGGTGAGCTTTATATTGCAATTAACCTGTATCTAGTGCATCTTTGCATGTATTCATATGGTGCTAGGTAGTTTGGGTTGCCTATGGGGAAACTCTTGAGGGCTGTTCTATTTGTCGGGATGCTAATTACTCAGGGACGGCGTATCTAGTTGTTTGATGCTAATTAGATGTGTATCTCATCTATATGGCAAATTACTACCCGAATGATCAAGAACTTTCTGATGTCTGCAAAAGCTCTAGATTTGGGCGCGAATCACTTACGAGAAGAAATCTGGTTTGGAACAGCGAAGCTAGACACTGGAGGACGTGGTCTTATTGCAGTTTCTTTTGTGTACCTAATTAAGTCTCCACAGAGTATAGTGGTCTAAGAGATGATCCCACGTACCAAGCGCCTTGATTCAAAACTTAAGTCAGGTGGTCTGCTTATGGAACACCCCTGGATTTGGAACAAGGTTTGTCATCAAGGACTTGCCGCTCGCCACCCAACTCACCTATTTCAATCGCTTGCAACTCGACCAATTCTGCTTCAATACTTATCTTCTTTTCTCCATTCAATTGAGAAATGAAAGATGAAGCGATATACTTAGTTGGATTTGCAGAATGCGCTGGCAGAGTATGCAGAAATCGGCTTACTCCGTAGCTCTGCTGAAAATCACGGCATCCCCCCTACTACTCTCTTTAATCGGGTTCGTGGTTCTGAGCTAGCCTCCAAGGCCCAAATTCTTAATCAAAAGCTTTCTCCGGCTATGGAAGAACGCTTAACCGAATGGATTCTATTCCAAGGGTCGCTCGGTCACCCTCCAACCCACGCCCAAATTCGGAAACTAGCTAGAAGAATGCTCGAAGATAACGAGACCCTCGGAAAACGCTGGACTAGCCGGTTTTTGGCTAGAAATCCATCTATTTCTACAATTAGGCCTCGGAGAATCCATGCAAACCGTGCTGATCGAGCCTGTGAGGCCGTTATCCGGCCTTGGTTTGACTATTTGAAGCCTCCAGGCGTGGAGGCTATTCCAGCCAAGCATAGGTATAATATGGATGAAACTGGCATTGCTTCTGGCATTGGAGATAACGGCCTGGTTGTTGGATCTAAGGAAAGAAAGAAATTCCAGAAAAAGAAGAAAGGAGACCGAATTTGGACCTCGATTATCGAATGTATTTCCGCTGACGGCCGGTATTTGAACCCAGTCGTCATTTTCAAAGGTGGAAGCCTTCAACAACAATGGTATCCACGCGATTTACAGCCATTTAAGGGCTGGAAGTGGAAACCCACTGAAAACGGCTGGTCTGACGATGATACTGCCGTCGCATGGCTCCGCAATATCTTTCTTCCAGAGACTCGGCCAGCTACCCCCTCGGAGAAGCGCCTCCTTATTTTAGATGGCCACGGTAGTCATACCACCGAAGAATTCATGTGACTAGCCTTTTCTAATAACGTACAATTGTTATTTCTACCAGCCCACACCTCCCACGTTCTCCAGCCCCTGGATTTATCGGTTTTCGGCCCTCTAAAAGCCCGGTACAGAGCCAAGCATAACGAGGTTGTTTCCGGCTTCGACGAAGGCACTGTTGCTGAAAAGAGGGCCTTCCTAGAATGCTACCGGCAAGCCAGGGTCTATGGAATGACTGAATCTAATATCAAAGCCGGCTGGAAAGCTACAGGCCTCTGGCTGGTCAGCCTCAGGAAGCCCCTAAGCAACGGCCTTGTTATTAAGAATTCTAACGGCGACGTTGGTCAACTGACCTCTACGGTTTCTATAGACCTTCAAGAGGTCCATAACCCCATTCTAAATAAGAATTTGGAGGGCCGGCCTATATGGTTTACCCCTAAAAAGCCGAAGGATTTCCGTATTCAGGGGCAGGTTTTTCTAGCCGGCCAGAAACGGACTGCCAACGACCGACTTTTCATACGCAAGGCCGCAAAAGCCTTCGATTACGTGGTTTTCCAACTAGCCAATACGGCGCATCAATTGGAGGCTGCAAAAAAAAGCCTAGAACGCACAAGAGGCCGAAAGAGAAGGAAGGTCCAAGTCGACCCTAATACGCAGTTCGCTGGAATTGAGGAGGTTCGTGCCTCACAGAGAGAGGCTGGCAGAGATGACCTTAGTTATTCTGAAAGAGAAGAATCAGGAGAATCCGATACTGAAGACTTCATCATTGTAGCTAATTAATTGACAAAGTTGTTGGCAATTGAAGTTTGTGGTGTTGTGCGGGGTCCGGTTCAGGGGCTGTTCCATAGGCAGGGGTGTTCCAAAAGTCCCCCACCCGACTTAGGGCTCCAAGTTCAGTCCCAGGCCTCAAGTTAGAACCTTAATGCCTTGAGTAAAGAAATCAAGACTATTTCCGTTGATTAATTAGGCGCTCCAAGTTTATCTCAGGGCTCAAGTTAAAACCCTCAAGCCTCAAGCAACATTTCCTCATCGCTGTCACTGCCGTCGGCGTCGTCGTCGGAATTGACGCCGTCGTGGCCGTTGCCGACAGCTGGGCGAAGGGATGTCAGCTAATGTAAATGTCTCGATCTCCTAAGACTAGCAAGTGCCAACTTACTATTACGGTTTGATTTGGCGGCAGCGGCAATCGGGCCAGGCCACTTGGTGCCCCGTCCCATTTCCTCCAGGGCCGCGGCGACGAGCTCGGCCGTCAAGCTTGTTTTGAAGACTCGGTCCCGGGCTTTCATCTGTGACGATTCGAAGAAGACTGGAATCACAGGCATCCTGGTCTGCGTGCACTGGTCGACCACGCTCATCTGTAGCTTGCGGAGGTTGGCGCCGTCCAGGCTAGCCAGGCCTTCTAGAAAGGCGGTCCAGGGGCTGACCTCGTCCGGTTTGTTGTTTGAGGTCCTGCCGATCAGCGTCACCCGACGAAAGCTCAGGCCCGTCAGCGACGATACAAACTTGGCTACGAGCTTGAGGACGGCGTCAGCGGTAGTCTGCAGCGATCCCAGGTCGATAACCTCGAGGAATTCGAGTTTGATTGGCGGGCAGGTCGCGATGGATCCATTGGATGCCGTGATCTCTCCAGAGGTGTTAGGAGACGCCGAGGATCCAAGCCAGTCAAGGAACCCGACAGCTCTCTCGTTCTTGTGCTGGAAGTTGAGGCGAAGCCATGTGAGGTTCGGGGTCAGCGTCAGGAACCGCTGTAGTAGGTACGACGTAGCCGAGTGCCCGTCGAACGTTGGGCACAGGTGCAAAACCGACAGGCCGGCCAGGACTGGTTTGAGCGAGGGTTCGATATACGGCGAGATGTAGAAGGCAGTATTGTCGAGACCCCACTCGGTCCATCTGAGCAGTGTCTCGATGGCTCTGGGTCGAGCTTTAGCAGCTGCCAAGGCGGCGAGGGTGGCTATGAAGATTTGTGAAGGGTAGTCTTGGTGACGGCAAGGCTCATCTGTGTGATGCATCATGGGCCTTGTCATGGCTGCCTCGATGGTAACGGAGCCGTAGCTTCGCCAGAAGGCGCCACTGCCGTCGCGAGTGCGGGTAGGAGAGTTGAAATCGCGAATGTCGACTTTATCTAAGTTTGGGAGGTTTCGGAAGGCGTCGGCGAGCATGTCTTTAAGGAGGCCTGTGGATATGAGGGCATAGTGGCCGGCCAGAGCATCCTCTAGGAAGCGGCCCGTCTCGCCACCGCGCACCGACATGGGAACGGAGTCCCTCAGGCGGTCCGTGGCAATGATGACATGGCTGAGGACGGACGAAAGTTGGGGGTGCTTGGAGATGTCAACCAAGGCCTGGAGACTGGCGGGAAAGACCATGAACTGCTTCTTGCGGAAGAACTCGAGCGAGAAGAAGTTCCACAAAGACCTCTCGACGGCCTTGCACGACAGGCGCAGGTTGCCGAGGTCCGTCGTGGAGACGTGGCGTGTCACTCGCACAAGCACCTCTAGAGGTATGCGAACGAGCGGGGAGGCAGATTGAGGGTCGATGGGAAGCGAAGGCGAATCATCATCGAGGCCTATGTCAATGATGTCCTGCGGCGTCGGGGCGTTTTCGGAATCCATGATGGCAATCAGTGAGGGCTGGAAAGAGCGCACAAGCGGCCTCTAATTCCACCAGCAACTTCTGAAGGTTTCTAGGAGAGAACTTGCTGCTGCAGTCTCTCTGCATCAAGAAGATGGAAGTGAACAAGGAGAGGGGAGCGCAGTCAGGGCAGCATTTAAAACACGAGGTTGGCAGGAACGCGTGCGCGCCGGAAGGTGTGGTTTTAGTTGCTGCTGCTGCCTGCAAATGACGAAGTGCGTGAATGAAACTAAAAGGCGATCGAATGGGAGTCGCGCTGTCACGTGGGGGTCTTAGGCAGCATCTATCTAATAAGTGTGCGGGATGGCTACTAGATAACGGCTACAAGTGGGTCCTGGCCTTCCAAGCATGCCGGGGCCTTGTCTGATGGAGGGGAGAGGTCGATTTAGAGACTCATGGATGCAAGTGGTGCGAATCCTACAAGATTGCTCCAAATCAAGTTTTGATATGATCGGAAAATATACATTTTGTTTACATAAAAATGAGCCGCAGTAGGCAGGTAAGGTCACACGGCATTGCCTTCTGCCAGTGCCAGTCAATCAATCAAAATGGCCGGTTGCATAATAAATTATCTGACGCAGCCGGGTTTGCAAACCTAGCGAGGCGCACAACCCGGAAGCCCAGCCAGGAAGGTATGGTAGATCACAAGGCAGTTGGGCTTTGAACGAGTACGGTTGGGTCTTTTTGCAAAGAACCGAGTATTAATTAACAACTAGACCTCGGAAGGCAAGGTCTTGACCCTGAACTGGTGATAATTGTTCTAGTCATGTAGGCCACCATCCTGTGATGCTCTTGGCTTTTTGCCTGCACTGCTGGTTTGTGCTGAAGAGTTAAAGACCACGTTCAAATTCGACATGAGGAGACGTGCAATGGATTGGCCCAGGTATTAAACCAGCAACCCAAGCCTGAGGGTTGAAGTAACGTCTCGGCGAAGCACTGAGCTCCCAGGCAGTGAATTATTGCAAAGCAGCTTCATCTATGGTTTGATACGGCCTAAACCCTAGCTTTCAGTCCGTGTTGGCAATGGCTCAAACAACTGGATCTTGTAAAAAGTCATCAAAGAATTCCAAAATAGTTTTTTTATTAAAAAAAAAGCCCTAAAACCTGGAAAAGCTCGTCAACGTACCCAATCCTTCAAACACATGTTATTGAAGCTATCGTCGCCTATTCTATGTCTCTATGTGCCGAAGACCATATGCCGTGTAAGCCACAAACGCTACGATATCCTTCGCGTAGGTTATATTTCCAAGTACACATAATGTCGCCCAGAGTTGAGCCGCTTTGAGCCACTCTTCAAGCCATAGTCAGCTTATTCCGTCATCTTACGTTTGACCTTTGTTTGAGGATGTGTGTTGGTTGAACCAACAAGACAATAAGCGGCGGAGGCGGCGGTAGGAGGCACAGGGCTACAGGTTCTATACAAGGAAGCCTACGGCTTCGTCCTTTGAACCTTTCTTCGAGCCTAGACAGACAAGTCAATGCGTTGTCAACTTCGATCATGTGTAACACATAAATTCTTCAATTCTTTTCCAAATTCCTTCATTTCTTGCGCCGGACCGCTTCATTGAACGGTAGTAATTTGTTTGAGTGTCTCTAGCTTACACAGGCGAGAAAAGCGCCACCAGCATGCTCCACAGCCAGCGTGTTCCGCTTTTAGCCTAGTTGACTTAGACCTCAACGCCGTCTTCCTCGCCGTGAAGCTTTCGGCATGCTCCTTTTGCAAATGGCCTGCCGCCGAGCTTGTGCTCACGGCCGTGAAGACCTTCTCGCAATAGTGGCGTGCCTGGAAGTATGCTCCCTCTTTTATGACGTTGTTGACGACATGGGCAAGCCAGCAGCCGTGCGAAGTAATCCACCATGACCTCGTATTCTTCTTGCCCGCCACGTATTCCGGTACGTATTGTGCCCGTGTTGTTGTCATTTTGGGCCAGTCCTTCACCTCCATATTCCCAAGCTCTTTGATATCAAATTTGACCCGCTCCTCGTATTATGTAGAGATTCGCGACGGCTTCCTTAGGGCATCAAATGCTCGCTTTTGGCCTATGGGGAGGGTCGCGGCATTGAGGGTCGCGGTAGGCATCTTGTCGGTAGTTTGGGCGCAAGGAAATCGCTGTAGGAATGGAAGGATTCGGCGGAAAGGTCGGATTCGGCTGTTTATTCACGTCGTGATGGTTGCATTGCAGCTTCAACGGTGCATTGCAGCGGCCAGCGGCCTGCCCGGCAGTTAGAGATTTGACCTCAAAATCGTACAATTGATTGCTCTAAGAGGGTGATCTTTTTCGTGGAATCGAGGCTCGGAAGCTTCAGGGCCCAATGGGGTCCTGAGAACGCCCTGAATTGCCACATGTGGCCAAACACGTGAAATTGAGGGGTCTTTGGCCATTGCACACAACACTGGAGGCTTCAACTGCTGTACGTAGTGGTACAGAGACTGCCCTGCTTGTTGACATCAGCATGCCTCGCAACGCCTTACAAAGTCCTCGCTGTACCTCGGGATCCCTACCAGCCAGTCAATCTCAATGCCTTGAAGGGACAGCTCGCTACGAATGAGCTGTTGTACGGCTATGCAGGTCGGTTATCCAGCCTCATTCGTATGCGCGCAACGACCTTCTTCGCCTTGGTTGCTTGGCTGAAGCACAACACAGAGTTGAGGGTATCACGGCACCTGACCCTCGAAGAAAAGGTCCAAACAGGAGGGCACAGCACCAATAATTACATCACGACTGTATAACAAATGCAGCCAAAAGGCATCATTTCGGCCACTCGCATCGAGCCTGTCGTTCGGACGGATCAAATATGACAGGAAGGGGCGTTTGCAGTGCAAATTTGCACCAAAACCAGCCCCTTGCTATACTGACGACACTGCAGGCTTGATGCCCCGCGCTAAGGAAGAAAAATGCGGCCCGGATCAACCTTCGTTTTCTAGGCTTTGGGAGAAAAGACCAACGGTCGGAAAAGTCTTCCTGGACAAACTGACTAATCTCGAATTCAGGGCGGAATTTGCCCTACGGAAGGGCCTATGCTGTTCTCCGTAATAGCATTTCCGAAGGTGGCTTTCCGCGTGCCATTTCCGAGAAAAAGATCGCCCTCTAACTGGCTATGTTTGATCGGTTGAACTGGACAAAATTGAGTTGATGCCGGCGCTGTTTCAGTCACGGCTTGTTGGCCCTCTTCGCGAGAATTCGTTCGGAGACTTGGGCCGTGGCGTCGACTATCAGGTCGTGCTCGTTTGAGTGTATTCTCTCCTCGAGCTGGTGCAAGTCCTCGCCCTCGCGGCACTCGATCTCGCGAGTCAGGATAGGCTCTCCCCGGTCGACCTTGTCAATGACGAAATGCACCATGATGCCTGTCCTGTTGTTCTCGAGCTTGCCGGCCTTGAAGTCCTCAAAGGCGCGCTCGATGGCATTTGCGCCGTCGTATTTTCCTTGCAGAGCCGTCAGCTTACTTCACGCCCTTTCTCGTGTCCCCCAGGCGCGTTGAGGGTTCCTTACCAGGTAGCGCTGGATGCAGGTTGATGATCTGGATGCCGGCCGCCTCGAGGGGGTCGAGGAACGGCTTGCCGAAGACATGCATCCAGCCGGCCAAGACGACAAGGTCCGGCCTGAAACTGCCACTCAGCAGCTTCTCGGCCAGCGCAGCATCATAGGCATCCCTTGCCTGCTGAACCTTGAGCTGATCCTTCTCGCCCTTTGCCTGGAAGCCGTTCGATATGAGGTTGAAGTACTCCCAGGGGATGCCGGCCTTATCGGCGCGCGTGGTGGCATAGGCTTTGCCACGGTTCACAATCAGACGGATGATCTTGGATTCGGGTATGCGGCCCGAGGCAACGGCATCGATGATTGCCTGAAAGTTTGAGCCGTTTCCGCTGGCCATGACGACGATGCGGCATGGGTCGGTGGCGGCCATGGCGGGGTCCGAGCCGCCGCCGCAAGACTGGAGAGCGGCGGGCAATGCGACAGAAAGCCCCTAACTGATGGTCGAATGATGACCGATACTGTTCTCAAGGCTCTTTTCTACCGCTTTGATGACGTTTGCCAGCGGGCCGGGTCTGTCGCTTCCAGCCAATCGAAAAATCCCCGCGAGCTAATTTGCGGGTCCCTGTAGCACCTGCAAGATCCCCAATTGCCCGCGCAGGTGAACGAACATTCGGCCAAACGGCAAGGTAGAGATGATTGTCCGTGGCGCTCTAGTCAATACCACTGATGGGCTGCCTAGAAAGGGGTGATGGTAGTACTGCCAAAGGTTGGGGTAAAGTGGTTCTGATTCATATGCTATATGGAGAGCTAGGAAGGAATTGTGGCCGCACAATTCCCAGTTTCATGCTTGTGTGCGCGGGGTCCGTGCGACCACGTGTTTGTCCCGCAACACGTGGGCTGGCACGTGACCTACGCTACCTCTCTCCATCGCCGTGGAGTACGGTCCGATGTCGCCATTCCAACAATGATCAAGGATTAAATGCGCGGAGAATGATTTGCATCTTATGAAAGACCTGAAATATGCCGACATCAGGACCATGTGGTATTGCCCTGCCCTGTCGATATTGAAGATGCAGGAGACGACCCTGCAGTTGGGCAACTTCTGTCACATACAACGCTGCATCAATTGAGGGCCAAAAAGTGCTTGTATTCGGAAGGTTCAGAAAGGTGGGCATAACCTGAATACCATAGTGATGCGGCATTCGGCTGACACAGTCTAGGCTGTAAACGGTCTAGCATGTGCGCCACCTGCGCCTATATGTGGCTTAGATGCGGCTCCTTCCGACAACTTCTGGGCGAAGTAGTCGTGTATGTTGTCCCGCTCCAGGGACCACGCCTCGTAGGCGATGGCTGTGATAGGCCCGATGACGATTTTGACCGGGTCTTCGTTGGGCACAGCCTGCCGGCTGGGGCAGTGGTAGTCGAAATCGGGGTATGGGGGACGAGGGATAAGCCGAGCTGGCTGCTCAAGTAGACTGATTTCGTCAGTCTCCGACGCCGAGGGGATGCTGTGTAGCCGTTCATGATGAAGCCGTGCAGGGGTGAACGATGAAGGTGATTTGGCGAGGTGTGATTGGAAGAGATGGATGACTTGTCAAAGAGTAGACTTGTATGAGAGAGACTGAGGACTGTGTGTGAGCCTGAGGACTGTGTGTGAGCCTAGGGACTGTGTGTGAGCCTGAGGACTGTGTGTGAGCCTGGACTGGTGATTAGAACTGAGGCTTGATTGAAGGGTGGGCGCTGGAGACGCGTGACTGTGAAAGTGTGGGAGGTTGTAGGAGGGCAGATTTTGGAGGCAGGACGGGAGAAGGTGGGAAATTTTGTAGGCAGAGGTGGCAGGTGGTGTGGGGCGGCGAGGAATCAAAAGACCACGCATGCAGACACAGTAGAAGGAAGGCGCTACTCTCTATGTTCGCAAGGGCAGGGGTGGCAGTCGGGATGAGTACGCAACACTTCACATGCACGTAGACACAACAGCAGGAAGGCACAGATCCTTAGGCAGCAGAGACCGGGTAGTCCTGGGAAACGAAAGACGGCACATGTAGACAAAGGAGGAAGGCACTGCTTCCTAGCTCGGCGAGGAAAAGGGGAGCTTATCAGAAGCTGAGAGACCCCGGGAGCAGACACAATAGGGAAACTTGGAAGGCGTTGTCCTAGGTCAGCCGGCAGGGAGGAGAGAAGACGGCACACGCGGACACTTGTGTGCAAGGCGTTGTGTCTTGGACCAGAAAGGGCCGGAGAGCGGGCTTGGATATGGGAGACGAGACATGCTAGCACGAGAGTCGGAAGGTACTGTGAAACGCCAAAACACGTCAAAACCGTCCTAATGAAGAACGCTGTATCCACTGCTACTCGAATTTGCGTCTAGACAGCACAATAGCAATGATAGTGTAACTGATTTTCTGTGCTGTTCCCAATGCCTCTTTTATAATCCTTCATAGTTCTACGGTGAGGTTCTGATGGGTGAGGTTCTGATGGGTGAGGTGCTTGGCACACCGCAGCCCTTGGTGCTGCCACCTCGAAGTCAGGCCAGCTCCCAACAGCCCCTTCCTTGTCTGGCATGTAATCCACTTGAAGCAACGCCCACACCGCTGGCTTCTTCTAGCATACTCACTAGGCCCCTGCAGACCTCCAAGAACGAAGGATCAGGTCGGGTCTGAATTTCCTTGGCCATCTCCACCCCAATTGACCGATTGCACCACGTGGCTGGATTTCCCTGCCATCTTCTCGAGCTATCAGTTGATAACCATGAAAGCCACGGTGGGAAGGTCGTCATCTAGACCAAGGTCCAGTCATGGCTCGGACTACGAATCCCGAGCTGTTGGTCGTATGAAATGGGGCCTCAGCAAGTGGTAACCTAACTGTGACCGTCTGTTGCACAGCATTGGAAGAATGTGGATAAGGACTTGAGCAACGTCACAACCAGTACGATGGTTAGCACAGTCCGCCCCATAGCAACACCGCTCCGAGACCTTATCCCTGCCTGCCTTGTGGACTTGTATTTGGCGCTTATTGCAGCGTTCTACCTCCGTCAAATGTTCTGCATGGAAACCCTTAGAGCGCTGTTACTGTTCATTGAGGCTACCTAATTGAATTCAACACTGGTGGTTAGCAGCTGCCTCAGCTATGACCGCTATAGCTCCACGGTTTGGTTTCCATCCAATGATCCAACCAATTTTCATGTGCTGAGACAGATACTGAAATTCCAGCGCTGGGGCAGAAGTGCCAGCAAAATCCGAAACATAGTACACCTTGTATAGGTAGTCTCTGAATTACTCGGGCATAATTCAAATAGTTGATTATTTCTAATTATCCATCCCCAAAGTGCTGCTGGCAATGATTGGCGAATGTGTTCCAGCCCCAAGAATTGCTCTTGGCCACGTGATCCCTTGCGTCTTCTGCACAGTCTCTAGGGGTCTCAAAACTAGCCTAGGCTCTATCTAGCTAATGGACGACTTATCTATTCTCTGCGGCCTGCCTGACAGGCGCTACGCAAGTCAAACCCCCGCCTAAAACCGTCAACTTCCCTCCACACAGTAACGACAGTGGCTACATCGGCTTAAGAGATCGGCATCTTTCGTCCTCGGCTGAGACTCCCGCTGCGCTGCCTGGCCATGGTCACCTTCAGCCAAGACGCGGCCGAGAAAGACAGGCCCTCGGGCTAGAAGCGACTTTCCAGACGATTACGACTAAGCCATACCGAGAAGCGAGACATGGCAAAAGTGGTGCGACCAATCTCGGGTGTCGTCTCTTTCCCCGCCAGCAGCAGCAGCCTCGCAGATTCAAACCATGGTCCATCAGCAGCCTCGCAGATTCAAACCACGGTCCATCGGCGGCTTACCAACTTGCGCCCTCTGTCCCGTCATTCTGGGACCGTGCATACGACAAACTTCGAGACGACGATCCGAAGCTGGTAGGCGAGTATGATGTGTTGCTCGCCGAGGAATCGAAGTAGACGAGTATGAAGTGTTGATCGCCGAGGAATCGAAGGCGACGGGTGCGTGCAACTGGTTAGCTTTCGCGGATACTACGTCTGCTGATACAGGACAGGGTTTGCGTCAGATGATCGCCATCCTCCCGAGCTTGTGCGCCGAGCCCAACTAGACTTGGTCATCAAGCAAGGTTTACAACGGTTGGACGATAAGAAGATCAAATACGCCATCGCCGGCTACGAGTTTGTTTCGAGGGATCAGGTTTCACAGGCCGCCGGGCTGGTGGTGTGGGCGAAAGACTGGATCGGAAAAGCTGTCGAAGCTTCGCCCGGAGCTTCTATTGTATGGGCGGGCGTTTCCAGGGCCCTCCCGCTGCTCACGAATTCCAAGATCGACGATGAAGCCAACCGCGATGGCTTCACCTCTGTGGCCACGAGCATGCGATACTACACGGCACTTGAGACGCTGCTGCTGCGCATTGAAACGAACCCCGGCGTCGACAGTGGGTTGATGATTCAGGCCACCGACGGCATCGTGTCGCTCTATCAGCAAATCCTCGACTTTCAACTACGAAGCGTGCTTCGTCCTTACCGAAACTAGTCCAAGACGTTTGCGAAGGATGCAGTCATGAATGACAACCGGGAGAAAATGCGCCAGCAAATCCAGCATCTTGAGACTACCGTGAATAGAGACCTGAGTCTGATCAGTGCATTCACATCCAGGCAGGAGCTGGAGGATCTCAACACAAAGAGCGCGCAATCTCTCAATACCATGCGACAGCTTCTATCCGTCGCCAAAGACCATCTACGGGTTGCACAAGAGCACTGGGTTGTCGGAAAGGAACAACCAAAGGTTCGACAAACAACACTCAGTCAGATCCTATCTGAAAAAGAGGAGGGTGCCACTAATCATTCCGTCTTACGACTGGCAATAACGGCGCTACGTACGAGTAGTACAAAAACCGCGTGGCTGACCGGATACAAGGCACTTGCGGGTGGTTCTTGAAGCACGACAACTTCAAACAGTGGCTGGAGTAAGATTCTGGACCGCTTCTGGTATCAGCCGACCCCGGGTGCGGTAAGTCAGTCTTGTCAAAGTGCTTGGTTGATCACGGTCTTCCGCGAACAGCGACCATATGCTATTTCTTCTTCAAGGACCAGGACCAAAACACTGTCAGCCAAGCCCTTTGCGCATTGCTGCACCATCTCTTTTCCCACCACCTGTTTCCGATCCGCCATGCGATGCCGGAATACTCCAAGGATGGACCCAATCTAATACACGCCGCGGCATCGCTCTGGGACATCTTAGAAAAGCCGTCCGAGACCCACAGACAGGGCCAATGATTCTTATCTAACTCTTGTCAGATTACCGGGCCCAAGACAGCAAAATTAAATGTCTCCTGACAAGCCGCCCGTACGAGAAGATTCTTAGCAGACCCAACAACGATACAATGGTCCGGAGAGCACTCAGCACCGTCTTGGCAGCGACGCGGCCACTTGAGCTTGAGGAAATGAACATCGCCATGAACGTGGACGCCTTGTTGCAGGGCATAGAAGAACTCGACCTTGAAGAAGAGGAGGACTTTGAAACGAGGCTCAGATCCCTGTGCGGACTGTTCATCTCGATTGACCACGGCAAGATATACTTTTTACACCAGACCGCCCGAGAATTCCTCGCATACCCCGAATCAGTATCGCCGCCCGCAACGCCCGTTTTTCCGCCAGATCCTAGGCGTCGGTACCCTTCCATTACGATACAACAAGCCCACGCAGTTCTTGTCGAAATCTCGGTCATGTATCTGGACCTGTTCAGTTCCGATTCTCGCGCGCCAAAGGAAGAAAGAGAGAAGAATCGAAAGAGAGAAGAATCGAAAGAGAGAAGAATCGAAAGAGAGAAGAATCGAAAGAGAGAAGAATCGAAAGAGAGAAGAATCGATACACCGGGAAGAACCGATTCAGACTTTATTCTACTATGGAAACGAGCATCTACCTTCAGGCCCGTATTAGTAGAAATGTGGCATAGTATCTCTTCTGATTGAAACTTTGTGACACGGTTCCAATGCCTTTCGAAAGTCTTCTCGATACTTGGGCAATTGGAGCAGAGCCCGGACACCCGTTGATTCCATCATAGTGGCATCCTACATTGGGCATGTGGCTCCAATACAGTGGCTTCTCGCCCGGGGCGCCAATGTCAATGCGAGGATAACAGCTGGTGTAGGACACCACTTCGCTGGGCGGCGTCTAGGAAGCATCAACTCGCCATGCAGTTCCTTCTCAACCAAGGCGCTGAAGTCGGATCGAAGGACCCGGCGGGTAAGACGTCGCTTAGCTTGGCAGCATTTGGAGGGCATCAATTTGCCACGAAGCTTCTTCTCAGCCATGGCGCCGACATCGAAACGAAAGACGATGCTTCTGATCTTCCGACGCCCTTAAGCTGGGCAGCGATGGGTGGGCATCAATCCGCTGTGGAGTTACTTATCAACTACGGGGCTATTGTCGATGCGGATACAATGACCACATTTTGTCCTCTCAAAATGGCAATCGGGGGCCAGTGCGCAACCGTTGTACAGGGTCTTCTCGCTGCGGGTGCTAAAGCCGAAAGAACCACTTAGTTTGAGTGTGGGCCAGACACTTGGCTTAAGTGTACGCCACTAACAATCGCGGTCCGTACGGCGGACGAAGCAACTTTCTAGGTTGTCCTTGCTAATGGTGCCAACGTGGAAAAGAAGAGTAACAATAACTTGATGCCGCTGTCAGAAAGAAGGCCATTTCGGTGACCATCGACGGCCGCCTCGGTGACCATCGACGGCCACTTCGGTGACCATCGACGGCCGCTTCGGTGACCATTGACGGCCGCCTCGGCGACCATTACAGCCACCACCTCGGTGACACTAAACAACAAGTATAAGAATAAGGTGTCTACCATGCCACAAAAGACAGAACATCAATCAATCTAGGGAGTATGAGCAAACTATGGCTACTGTGTTGTGGCATGATTTGCTTCTTCTCGACTGGGGTGGCAATATCGATACAAGGAATGAGGATTTCCAGGCGCCACTAATCTGGGCGGCTAAGAAAGCGGAGATTGATATCGTCAAATACCTTCTCGAGCACGGTGCTGACGTTGATGCCAAGGATGTTCAGGTTCGACGCCGCTAATTTGGGTGGCTAGCATTGCGTATGACGACCTTCCACAGCCTCTACTTGATCACGGTGCCGATGTCAACGTCAGGGACAACACGGGTCGGACGCCGCTAAGCTGGGCGGTTGGCGGACTTGGCAACGCCGTACATATTGGTCTCGCCTGCGGTCCTGATGTAGATGCCAAGGATGATGTGCGTCGGACGCCGTTAAGCTAGGCTACCCAGTCCGGATATGAAGATAGTACCTGGGCTACCCAGTCTGGATATGGAGATAGCACCCGGGCTACCCAGTCCGGATATGGAGATAGTACCCGGGCTGTTCTCGCCCATGGTGCCGATATCGAAGCGAAAGACAATACAGACCGAACACCGCTGAGCTGGGCGGCCATGGTTGGACGCGCAGAGAACGTAGAGCTTCTCGCCCGTGGCACCAATACTGAAGCGAAGGATAATACGGGTCATACGCCGCTAAGCTGGGCGGCTGAAAGGAGAAAGAATTCGCCATTCTTATGGAAGTCTGAGCAGGAACGTCAAGCCAATATCCGGGTTCTTCTCGATCATAGTGCCGATATCGAAGTAAAGGATAATACAGCTCGGGCACGGCCGGGTTGGGCGGGATAGGGCTGGGCGAGATACGACGATGTTGTTCAATATCTCCTCTAGAAGGGTGCTAAAGTCGATGCGGATGACGGGAATAATTAGGTTATTTAGACGCCACAAGGATGAAGCCATTGATTATGCAGGTTAACTACTATCTTTAATGGTGCTAGAAATGGTGCTAGAGCTAGAGTATATAAGTAGGAATGCCCTGGAGGATCTAGTCGGTGTTTCGAAGCTTGGAGAAGAAGATAGATTTGTCTAATTCATTCTCAACCACGGCGTTGATGGATGTCGACGCGCAAGAAGCCGCCCAGAGTAGCAGCTCTTGGACACTGCCTCGAGACACAAACACGCACCAATACTTCCGTCGCTTTCCGATGAAACACAAAGCATCTACTAAGACAGGCTTCTATGTCCTGAGATACCAACACCAACTATCACGATAGTCTGGAAATCAGCATATGAAACTGAAAATCGGTTGAGGTTTTTTCATATTCCTACCAAATTTTCAGCGTCTTCCTTTTATGTCTAGGGAGAGTACAAATCAACTCGCGGTTCTACCTAGCAGCAATAACAGTCAATTTTCCAAAAGAGTTGGTTGCTCAGTCAGACGCCTTCACACTAAGAAGCAACTTTGCGATGCCTTTGGAGACTGGAATTGGGAGAGTTGAGAAGACAGGGGGAATGCAGCCCTAACGCCCGTGAATACAATTTCCAGCCAGCTCCTCCATATTTGTCCGTGAACCATGGCGAAACAGTTCTGTCATGGGCTTAATGGCAGAACCTGAGAGATATGGCCTGTTTATTTATTTCGGTTGCGAGAAAGAAACGGCGACAAAATCTAGTAAATCCAAGACCTAGACCCACTTTCATCCTCCTAGTCCTAACAGCGGGGGATTCCGCAGGCTGCAGGTAGCAACATTAGCTACTACTCGAGTCTTGCAATTCTAGTGCAACGTCCGAGGATAAAGTCCGACGCTACGGAACTACTATCCTAATTGAAACATGTCTCCGAGACGAGCAGAACGACAAGCTCCTGAATGTCAACCAAAGCTTGCGGGACCTCCACTATGGACTTGGCATGTAGGCCTTTACGTCGTTATGGAAATCGATCGCCTTACCGAGGCCAAAAGAGCCCACAACGAATGCGGTTGTGCAATTGCGCAGCTTCAGAAGAGTGCGCTGTCGAACCAACCTGGCTCCCGTTTATTATGGAACCAAACCGCAAGCGAAAGAGGAACGATCGACCGTGTCGCGACTCTGGCCCACTGAGGCTGAGCTGCATGCCCCATAGCAGCCCCGTCCGTCTATTGGACCGAAGGCTCTCTCTGCAGCTTGGATCTGAGCCGAACCTGGAAGCCAATGCAGCGTAGGGCAGCCAGTCGTTAGCCCGTTGGAGGTCGATGAGGTCAATGAGCTGGCCAGGACGATGGCAAAAGCATTTAGATGTCTCGAATAGTCCCAACACCTCGAGCAGCAAGACGACTCTGAACGAAATAACAGAGTTCGGCCCCTAATTATCCCGTCTTGGCCTGTAATCTTTGCTGTGCCCCTTTTGCACTAGAATTGAGCTATCCCCTCGCTCACCCCCTCGCTCTCGGCAACAGAGCCCAGCCTCGTTAAAGTTAAGTGCTCACCTTTTAGCCCCCCCAAACGGCGATTAGGAACCGGGGCGCCCCCCTCTCCCCCAATGGCCCATGCCATGCATGGCCCCCTCACCGTTCGTTTTCCTGATGCCCACGGCGCGGGCGGCTTGGCCAATTGACAGGCACCACCCGCACCCACCCGACGACGGCTGGGCTGTAGTGCTGTGGAACCCCATCCCATCCTCGCGTTTTTGGCGGTTTCCATCCGCTTCTCGTCGGTCGTCCCAACCCTGTGCCTCGACTTTTCCACACCATCAGTCTGGGCAATTAACTTTTCGCCGCGCCAGTTCCACCCTCCCCTCTCCCCTACCCTACCCCCGACGCATGCACCTTTTTTTTCGGCAGAACTTCAATCGCGTGCGGCAATACTGAATTAATTTGGCATATCTGTTTTGGCGCGACCCGACCTGCTGGTCTCTTGTCTGAGACCAGGGATTTTTATTGATTAAAAAATCTGCCATTTAATCTAAACTGCGTTTTACGATCGACCCGCGACAGCTGCGAACCCCGCCCGCGGCGCCAGCCCAGCCTCGCCTCGCGCCACAGAAAGAGAGAGAGAGAGAGGGAGAGAGAGAGCGAGACGGAGAGACACACGGACAGAGGTCCCGGCCATGCGGGCCACCACCACACTGCTGCTTGCGGCGTCGGGCTGCCTGGCGAGCGCGCACTGGGTCAAATGGCGCGGCGGTGCAGCAGCAGATGACCGAGTACAGCCGTGGGCCCCGAAGCAGACGGGCGCATCGCAACCCGACGACGTCCGCGGCTGGACCCCGAAACCCACCGCCGCGCCCGGCGCGCGACTGCCGCCAAACGAAGCAGTCTTGGGCTATCTCAAGGGCGGACTAGCCCGGAGGCAGACGACGACGGGAAACGCCTTCATCCTACCTTCGACGTGCGGGTACTACGCGGGCGTGTCATGTAAGTCTGCAGCGCGCTTAGGAGGCTCGACCCGACCCATGCTCGCATTCGTCCGTGCCGAGACTCTTGGACTGTGCAGATGCTGACCAGACGTCTTTGGCGAACAACAGCTGAGCCCTTTACCTGCGAGCAGGGCGCCACCTGCACGACGAGCCTGTCTAGATCGGCGGGCGAGGTAGGCGGCGTGGTGGGATGCGCGTCTGGGTCTGAGCAGCCCTTCTTCACGGTCTGCTTGGACCGCCAGGCTTACCTTCAGGGCGCCTGCGATGCGCAGGGTAGCAAGACGGGCTGCTGGTAAGTTGCGAGTTCGCCGTGCTGTGGCGAGAAAACATGATCAAGAATGCGCACAGAAACTGACCCGCGACAACGCCTCTCCAGCACGGCAACGGATTTCGGCGCATGCGGCACCTTCCTGTGGGGCGGCAGCACGACGCGGTCCATGTACCGGTGTGTGTCGAAGCCGGAGCTCGTCTCGCTTTTAGACGTGCCGCAGTACGTGCTCGACGCGAGGACTTCGTCGCGCAGCTCCTCGTCGTCGTCCAGCTCCCTGTCCTCGACGTCTTCATCCTCGTCAAGTTTAACCTCGTCTCCAACAACATCCAAGTCGACGACATCTACCGCAACCAACCCGGCGGACAACACAGGGACGGCCGACAGCAGCACCAACAACAGCGGCGGCAGCTCATCAGGCGGCGGCAGCAACATCGGTGCCATCGTGGGCGGGGCTGTGGGCGGCGTGGCGGCGCTGGGCCTGATCGCCGCGGCGATTGCGTTTGTCGTGCTGCGCAACCGGAACAAGACCAAGGGCGGCAGTGTCGTCCCCTATAGTGCAGTGGCGCCGACCGATACATCATACCCTGGTGGAGGGCCCGGCGGGGCCGGAGGAGGAGGCGGAGGCGGAGGCGGCTATCAACAGTCCGCGTCGTCGCCGCAGATGTTACAGGACGGAACCCCGTTCTACCCGTCGGGCGCCTCGCTGGCGTCGACAGCAGCATACAACAACAACAACAACCCGAGCAATAATCCCAACCTCACCCCGTACCTCGCGGCCGGCGCCTTCGACCAGCGCCAGTCGGCGTACGCCGCCCCCTACTACGACCCCAACAAGCCCGACAACGCCGTCTACGCGCCATACCCCCCGCCGCACATGCAGCAGCAGCAGCAGCCGTACGTCATGTCGGAGCTCGACTCGCATACCGTCGCAGCCGGCCGGCCAGGCAACCCCGCCGAGATGGCCGCTATCCCGTCAGAGCGCGCCGAGATGCCCGGCACGGGCCCCGGGAGCAGGTAGCCCCGTCGCTCGCCCTCCGTGGAGGAAAGAGCCTGCACGGCCTAATAGGCACTGGGGGCATTTACGGATGGAACGGGTTGCATGGAACGGGTTGTATGAAACGGGTTGCATGGGGTTTCAAAAGCCTACAGCAGACCCAGTAATCCTGGAAATTGCTGCAAAGGGGGCGGCGGTTTTATAATGTAAATAATCTTTTTTTCTTTCTTTCTTTCGTCGCTGCAGAACTCTCCACACATGCACGGTGTTGGGGCCGGCATGGAGAGGGAGGGGGAGTACGTAGCCGAGACGTGGGAGTTGTTCTCCATCTTTACAACGTCAATGTCTTATGATGTATGTCTTGCGTTTCGGGGTTTCTAATTAAATAGCAGGTGGTAGATAGCAAAGGGAAGGAAGGAAGGGATGGGATGGGCGAATCCAGGGGGTACAAATACAAAGTACGTCGTGCTTCTAATACCCGAGACTACCTTACATCTGCGTCTAAACGCGTGCATGTGATGTGATGTGACGTGAACGTCTTTATCACCCTACGCACTCCTCGGCCTGTTTTTGTCTTTCTCCAAACTTGGGTGCCTATAACCATGTATCCTGATAATCATGACGTCGGTATTTATTCCCATCAGAGACGCGCTGCTCTCGCCCCGTACTCCTCGCTAAACAGGCAAACACGCACCCCATGGACCCCCTCCCTCCCGTCAAACCAGCGCGACACTCTCACGCCGCGCCCGAGGGCAGGAAATGCAGGTTGACGGGGGTGATGGCCGGCCTGCCGTGCAGCACGGCGAGGATGTTGCGCATGCTGAGCTCCTCGAAGCCGACGTGGGTCTCGACGGTGCCGCCGGCGTTGTGGCACGTCAGCATGACGCGGCCGGGGGTGGGGGAGTCGAGGCCGGCGAGGCGCACGAGGCGCGGGTTGACGCGAGGCTCTTCGGCGTGCACGTCGAGCGCGGCGGAGCCGAGGCGGCCCGACTCGAGCGCGTCGGCTAGCGCGTCCTCGTCGACGAGCGAGCCGCGCGCGATGTTGACGAAGCGCGTGCCGGGACGCGCGGCGGCGAGCAGCTCGCGCGTGACGAGCGGGCGCCCGTCGGTCGACGCCGGCGTGCACAGCACGGCGCAGTCAGATGCTGTGAGCAGCTCCTCCGGCGTGGGATAGAAAGTCGCGCCCAGCGCGGCCTCGACGCCCGCCGGCTTGCGGATCACGTCGAAGTAGGCAATCTTCATGCCGAAGGCCGCGTGGCCCAGCTTGGCCGCGATCTGCTGCCCGATGTTGCCGAAGCCGATCAGCCCCAGCACGTGGTCGCGCGGGTTGTGGCTCACGGCCGTCGCCTGCGCGTGGCACAGCTGGAAGATGCGGCGCGCCTCGGCTTCTGTCGCGGCGGCGGCATTGTCTGACGAGCTCGGTGCCGCGAGCAGCGGGAGTGTCGCGGCGCCAATGCACCACGGCAGGTGGCGGAACGTCGATATCACCATGGCCACGGCAAAGTCGGCGACGGCTTCGGCGGCTGCGAGCCCGGAGTTGCAGTAGATGATCCCTGTTGCGCCGCCCAAGTCAGCCCGTCAGCGGCCATACCGCCACGTCGACTTGTTGTAGGAAACCAGACTCACCCTTCTCGCCCAGCAGTCGGGTGTCGGCCCAGTCAAACCCGGCGCCGGCGCTGGCGAAGATCCTCACCGAGTCCGGCAGGAGGGCAATGAGCTCGGCGTCCCAGCGGCCCATCTCGCCGCCGGTGCCCCAGAAGGGCCGGAAGATTGCGCCGAAGTCGCCCCAGCGGCGCTCCTTGAGGGCGCGCACGAACTCGGCGCGCTCGCGTTCGGCGGCGGCGGGGCGCACCACGTCGAAGGCCTGGCTGAACTCGGCGTACGTGGCAGGGTTGTACTTGATGGGGTCGCCGATGTGGAGCACGACGGGCCGTTTTATCGGTGCAGCCGCCGAGCCGCCGCCGCTGCCGCCGCCACCGCCGCCGTCCAGCGACTTACGATGCAGCGGGATCGTCGTCATGGTCGCGTTCGGCGTGAGGCTCGGCACGGGCGGCGCAGGCGACCCTGATCGCGGGGTCGTCGCCGACACCGGCGTGCTGGGCGGCATGGGGGTGTTTACCGGTTCCGCCATGGTTCTGCACGGCTTCAATGCGCTGCACGGCTTCGATGCGCTGCACGGCTTCAATGCGCTGCACGGCTTCAATACGCTGCGGGTGGGGGGGGGAAGGGGTATGTGGATGTGGCGGCTGTGTAGCAGGGTGACCGAGGCAATGCGGAGCAAAGAGCCTCTGGGGGTTTATAGCAACGTCGTCGTCAGCGCTGCCCCCCTTTGAGCAAGGTGTTGACAGGCACGGTACGGGGTATGCAAGTGAGATTTTGCCGCGACTCCAGCGCCAACGGCAACAGACAGGGACCGGATTGCCAGAGAGCTCAACAGTTGAGGATACGACCCACCTCGTCTATCTCGAAGAACGGTAGATATCACGGGCGGAAGGGCGGGCGGGCAGGTCCAAGGCGATACCCGGCGCGGGTCAACGCTGCAATGCGAGAATCCCAGCGGGACGATGCGATAAGAGGCAGCAGCGGCAGCAGCGGCAGCAGCGGCAGCAGCAGCAGCAGCAGCATCGGATGAGGGACGTGGACGGGTACGGGTAGCGGGCGGAGCAATTAGCGGCCTGTTTCAAGGCTCGCCATGGCTGCTTGGCTGCCCAGACGTGGCAGCTGCAGGAGAGCCTCGCTCTATAAGTAGTAGTGGAGGCGCCTCGAGTTGTAAAAGGCAGGACGCCGTTCGTGGCATGACGAAGGAATGGCTTCCATTGGGCATCGGAAAGAGCAGTCACGAAAGGCCCTAGCGGTCGGTTCGGGAGCGCGCTCCTTCGCGTCGCATTCCGAGGGGGCAGCGAGAGGCAATGGTTCGTTCCATGGGATGGATGTTGCACGTACCTTGGGTTGGTAGGTTTTCAGGCTCAGGTTTTCGCACAGCGAGCGAGCGTCGACCTGTCAGGCGTCCGTCCGGTGATCATGCGCCCCTTTAACCCCACGTGGAGCCCCAACCTTTGGTGTGGCCTGTGTGGCCTGAGCCTAGCTTGCTCCATACTCCCCCCACGCTCTTCTGAAAGCTCCAGTGCGGGGTAGTGACCTCCAACTTTAGGGAGAACCGAGTGGTTCGTGGGGGATCATGTCACGGCTTTAAATTCCGAAACATCGAGGTACCTGTCTCGGAGAGTGGGTGAGACTTGGGGCCTGCCCTGTAGATTTGTGTTTTAATTTTAATTGTCTCTCAAAACCCGCCAATCAGGTGTTGTAACCAGTTCTCCAGGCCTCTGGTCGCTGGGCTGGAACCGAAAAAGGATTCCGTGTGCATGTACATGTAGTAAATGTACATGTAGTAAATGTACACAAATCTGTAAAGCAAAGCTCCGTATCAGCCATCCGTCCTACGATTTTGGTATCCATATCTAAACACAGACAAAACTTCACCATCAATAAGTCCAACCTCCCAGACTCCCTCGCTCACAGCCCCTTCTCCTTTGCACCCTGCAACCTCGCACCGTCCTCCTGCTGCTGCTCTCTCAACAGCCTCGCACAGTACAGCGACCCCAGACCAAAGAACAGATTCCCAGCAAAATCCATCCACATCAGGCCCGAAATAACACCAGCAGCAGGGCCAACAGCGCTAAACCAAAAGTTCCAGCCGACGTAGGGTATCATAGCCAAGCCAAAAGCGGTAAAGCTGAGTGGCGTCATAGTGCTGGTGCCTAGCACGAGCCCGCACGTCATGGCCTGCGCGCCGAAGCAGCGCATCAGCAGCGCCGTCGTCGTGTTGCACAGCGCCGCGTACGCCGGCGTGAACCCCAGCGCCATCACCGACGACGGGTGGACGAGGCACCTTGAGAGACTTGTTAGCTAATTGTGTCTAGAGGGGATGCGCTGTGTTAGCAGACGGTGAACGAGGCAGTTAAGACATACCACGCGCCCATGGCGCTGTAGGACGTCGCCATGGCCAGCTGCAGGCGCCGTACCGTCTCGAGTCGTTGCGGAGTCGCCATTTTCGCGTGAAGAACAGCGTATTGGTGGCTTTGATACAATCGCGAAGACAGGTAAAAGTGGAAGAAAGGGTTGAACTCTTTATAGGGAATTTCTTCGTCGCTCAATGCTTGGTGCTGCTCGCGTTATTTATATCGGCCCTAAAGCGCCGGAATGGGTCCGTTGCCGGCGTGGTGGCAGTGCTCTGGCTAGCGCCTTGGTGTAATTACATCCCTAAGAATCCCGACTCTCGGGTCCCACAAGCGGCATCTCCCGCTCCTTGACGCTGCGATTCAAGGTTGCCGGTTGACTCGTTCGGAAGAGGTTGAGTAAAAGGTGAATAATTCTGGCAGCATCACTACAAAGTATAAATCGAATCAGTCCCGCGCCTTGCCAGACTTTGTAGTCTAATTAAACAGTTTGCCTATAACTAGCAAAAACGTACAGTAAACTACACTATCTCGTTCATCAACGTAAGGGAATGAGGACGAGTAAGAATACTATCTAGTCCTAGCAGGCGAGACCTTATAAGTTAGGTATAGGTCTATAGACTTAGAAGCCTATCTTACACTCGGCTAGACTGGCAGTGGACTCCCTGGCAGTGGCCAGGTGACTAGATGAGGGTGTTTCTTCTCGGCGCAGCTTTGCGCAATGCCGTTCCTTCCGTTCAGGAGGATCTTGACAATGAAATCAGACCCGTGCTGCAAGGCCGTGTCGGCCGCGCATAGGTATTTGCCAGCAGGTGCTCGCCCGTCGGCGCCGTAGAAGAGCAAGAACTCAACAAGTTCGTAGTTGTTGGATGCGCAAGCTTGGTGCAGCCCGGCATTGACATCTTCCTCCGTCACAATTGCCGATATTCGTGCTAATGTTCCTGCCCTGTCGTCGTTGCGCCTTCGGAGCAGAAACCTCAAGATGCGCAATTGGCCCTTGCCGATAGGATACGATAGCGGCCCGAGGAAGTCTTCAAAGCCAACTAGAGTGCCACTCCAGGTCCCCACCAGGTTCAAGAGCCGGACGGCGTCTTTGGAGGAGAATATCTGCCGCATCATGTTCTCCAATGGCTCTGGCCGCTGCTTCTCGTAGGTCATGCCCTCGACCAGGCGAAGGCCGTGCTTGGCCGAACATTCCGCCAGGGGGAAAGCCCTTAGAATCTCGTCCTTGTCCACCAGATCCCTCACCTCGCCGGCAGCGTGGAGAAAGTAACGGAGACAGGCGACTATAAACCCTTGTTTCGTGCCGGCCTTGTCCATGGCAAAGTCTTGGGCTTCCTTGGGGCCCGGCCTCTTGATCAACTCGGATTCGATGAAGTCTAGAAAAGAGCCGTGGCCGATCTGCACCTGCTGCAGGTTGTCGTTGTTGTTACCGTCTGAGCTTGAGCTCGACGGGGAGGCAGGAGAAGGCGGCGATCTGACGAACAAGATGCCCGGAAGCATGTCGACGGTGGCGAGGGGATCCGGAAACGGCTCTCCAAGCTCGAAGTCTCCAAGCTTGAACTCTCCAAGTTTATCAAGAGGCTCCAGCGGAACCCGGAGAGCCTCCCCGAACTCGCCAAGGCTCATCTTCTGGAAGGTAAATCGTTGCCAAACCAGAGCACGGCGAACCGTCTCGCGGTGCATCTCCGGTACACGAAGCAGCGTCCGCATGTACAGCCCGGGCACATCTTCTGGCAGTTCCTCGAGGAACGCATCCAGCCAATCTTCTGTAGCTGGGACTTTCCTAACGATTATTGCGAGGGCGACCCGGGCATAGAGCATACTATAGCGACGAATCTGGTCAGCATCCTCTGCGTCTAGTCATGACTCCAGGATCTCGATTGGCTACTTACTCTCCGTTCGCTTTCTCGAGCAAGTCGTGCTTGAAAAGATTTGCGAGGTTCTCGTTCCCTCTCAGACAACTGGCATCCAATAAATTTGCCCTGAGCGTACCGTCGATAAGGTCTCCGATGGCAAGGTCGGCCTCAGCGCGAGCTTTCTGGAGCCTTTCCGACAAGTGCATCATCTTTTTCAACTGCTCCTGATGTGGGGCCAGACTGCTGTTTTCTGTGGACTGGGGGCTATCTGGTGGTGGTGGACGATTCAATTGATTGACGGTTGGTGGGTTGGTGAGGGCAGGTTTTTCAAATTCTCTTTTTTTTTCATAAGGACAAGAAGTACGGCTGGGTGGTGAGGCATCATAAACAGCGGGAGGGGGCACTATTTCGATCGATATCCACTTTCCTTTCCAGTAAATTTCATCCCAACTCCATGTGCTCGATGCGTTTGCCTCATAGTACGTGCCCCCTGAAGCCTCGCCCCAGGCGCCCGCCCTGTACAGGGCTTTGCAGAAGCACCTACGAACTGGAAATGGGAATGTAATTAATTACGTCACTGTACGGTTGGCTATACAATGGCGGCTGCTTCTTTCGTAGTATCATTGCCTAGTTACCTAGGTACCTAAGTGGGCTGTGTGACTGTGATTTGCGAATCTCGTTTTTCATGATCTCAAATAATCTCAAAGCTCATCCTTCCCCACTGCGGCGCCCTCTCTCTGCTTGTTTGTCGGCTCTCTCTCATTGTTGACACGCCCCCCGCCAAGGCGAACCCTTCCCAATCTTCCTAACCATCCAGGCAATTTCCTGCCAGAACCCGTAAGTCTGCTTCGTGTTCTGCTGGTCCGAGACGAAGCAAGCCAAAGGACATGTCGTGCACCTGCAGCACGTTGCCCAGCCGGTCTCCAGGTATGACGACGGGCTAGTGGATGGAACCGGTGGACGCGGTGCTAGGGTTTCCCGAGACGACGTAGGCCGGAGTGAACGACGCCGTCTCGTCGGATACGTGCGAGATGAGCGCTCTAGTGATACCGCACCGGTATCGCCCTGGCGGCAGATAAGTAAGTATAGTTTCCTTGCATATTTACGGGAACCCTTTAACCTTTTCATGCTCAAGTGATAGAGGAAGAAGAGAATGAGAGCGAACTGTCCTAACACTTGTGACAGGAATCACAGGAATGTTCTGGATCCATTTACCGTCGACCGAAGGCCCAACAGGGAAGAGGCCAGTCTGATGCACGACATCGAAAAGCTTCTGGTTGGCGCTCGCAAGATCCTCGACCCTCGCGCCACGCAGGCACTCAATCTCATAGCGGAAGCCGCACTTTGCATGGCCAGAGAAGTCCCTGTATATGGTGTCCAGCGTCCCGTCCGAGCTATTATCCCACGACCACTCGAACGCGGGGCTCTGTGCTAGGAAGGTCTTGAAGCCCGGGTTCACCGTGCCGCCCTCGCGGACGAGATGGTGCAGGATCGAGCCGGCGCTGGCGGACTCGCCCCACGCGCTGACCTGGCTGGCATCGCCGCCCGCCTGGCCGACGTACTTCTGGACCCAGTCCAACAGCAGCGCCTGGTCGTACAGCCCAGGGTTGGGCTGCTCCAGGCCATTGCGAGGAGCCTTGATGCTGTGTGAGCCGCCTGGAGGGTTGCTGAGGGCCTTTGGCTGGATCTGGTAGCATGCCGGCCCGTAGGTGGGATCTTGGATGGAAGAGTCTAGGTTAGTTGGGTATCTAGGTGCTGCAAACCGGACGGGCTTGGCTCCGAAGCGGATGTTTTTGAAAACGTATAGCTGTGGTTGTCGAGTTGAGCTGTTAGTTACGAGTCCTTTGAACCGGCCGGTAGAGGGAATACTTGCCTTGGGGTCATGCGCGCAAGGCGCCGCTTGCCATTTGACCCATGGCACAGTCACATTGGGCCCATGGCAGAGTCAAATTGGGGAGCTTTGAGCCACGCCGGTGCGTAGAAGTGCAAGAAACAGAACGGTGAGCTTGAAGCCGATCATGATAAGACGTCAAAGGTGGGCTTCTTGACCAACTCCAAAGCAAATAAGGAGGTGCAACGTATTGAATGCAAACCCAGACCCGGTTTGGGCCTCTCATCTCGCAGCGTGACAAATGGCATATAGCTCCCGGCTCTTTACGTGTTCACCTCTAGCCTTTGAGGTGGCTAATTAAACTCGTCGAACTTTTGCAGCTTGGCAACCAGCTCATCCCTCGACGAGCCTCATCGACGTCCGGTCTCGTAAAAGCTGACGCTTGAGCGTTGAATATGAATCCTGAAATTTGGCAGTAATAGAACACCCTGAGGGCTCCAGACCAAAATCGTTTTAGTAAAAGCTCCGCTGTTTCTTTGACTGTTATCTTGAGCTTGGCCCCCAAGGTTGGGAATTGGGAGCGTGATAATGAATGGGCCGGGCCCAACTCATTGTCCGCGTCATTGTAAACAGCTCTGGTGGAAAGGAGAGAATGTCACCGCTTTGTTTTGAGGAGTTGCTACATTGGGTAGTTGTCCTAGTTACGAACAATACAAGAATTCCGGCCGGAATTATGCGATTTACAAGTACAACCCCCAAAAACCCCCCTTTGCATCACGGTGCGGACTTGATCCTGGAAAGGAAACTCCTGAGCGCGGCCGAGCCGGATTAGACGGCGGGCCGCCGTCGCGATGGCCTCCGAAGTCCTTGGCAAGAAAAAAAAGACACTCCCCCGGATCTCGAGGAATCTCTCTCACACACAACCCAAGTCCTCGCTCGTAAATAACTCATCACTTTACCAGGGCAAGCGCACCACGTCCGTCTGTCTCCTCCCTTTTACGGCACTCTGTCCGCCTGCCGGACGGGATATTAACTGGGGTGTCACCGGATGCGGGGGTGCCAGGACCGCACGACACGCTCTCAGCTTAGTGCGGTCGGGTAAATAGAGCAGAGGGTGTTTGGTCGCCCTCTCGGGGTGCAGCTTATTTATTAAATCCGACCGCAAAACCCCGACGCAATTTGGAAGCGAGCTGACGCGGATGTTCTGGAATACGACTGTAGTTGGTCCCTGTGGTGGACAAAGTCTCCCGTCACAATTACATCTGCCCTGGCAGAGCGGTTACGCCTGGATCGGTTCGCAACGTAGACGTTGGGCATTGGCCATGAGATCCGGCAGCGACGGCCTCGTAAACCCAACAGAGTTTGCTTGCAATAGTCAAAAGACACCAAGAAGTCAAGAAGCCACCTTGCAGGGCAGACGCGGACCCGGGAACCCCGCCGTTCCAAGGACCCGGGCACCGGGCACGCCCGACATCAAGCAATTAGACAGATGCCCTTCCATCCCGGGAAGGACCAGCAGGTCGGTTATTAGCCGCCAAGAGGCCAGACCGCAAAATACAGGAATTAGTTCGGCCATTTTTTGCATCCAGCCAGGCCCTTGCAAGGCGATATATTAAGAGTCCACACCATCCTCACTCCCCTTTCCCCCGTCTAGCCCCCTTGTCTCTATCCACGCTTTCCCCTTGGCGACGTCATATCCCAGAAGCGTGCTGTCACTGCTCCTAGCGCACTTAGCACCCCTGAACAGCAGAGACGCCATCTCGCTCCCACGTCAATCGAGCCCAGTCTAGACCCTCGATCCCTCGCCCTCGACAATGGTCGTTACGCTGAAAGCAGTCCTGGGCCTCGCGATGGCCGGACTCGCGGCAGCCGCCGTCGAGTACGTCGGCTTCAACGGCACGGGGCAGATCCGCACCGTGTGGGGTTACGGCGACCAGTACCGGGCGGACCTGGGGTGCCTGACAGCGGCGGGGCTGTGGACGGCCGACGATTCGCGCTGCGACATCTTCGATGCCGTGCGCTTCAACGCCTCCACCTTCACGCTGGCCAGCTCCGCGGGCCCGTGCCGCGTGCTCGGCGCCGAGTTCACCTGCGCCAAGGGGAACGAGGGCTACTACTTCGGGGTGCGTTTGCCAACGTCTTTTCTTCATCCGTGGCGCAGAAGGCTGCAGTGCTGACAGCTTCCAGCTTTGGCCGTGGGGCAACTCCATCGCCGGCGTCGAGTGTCTACGCTGGGGACAGTACGGGCTCATGGCGAGCTCGGGGAGGAACCCGCCCCTGGCGACGGACCCACCGCAGGAGATCCACCTCACCTCCTATATCGAGGAGGGAAAGTACGTCTGGTTGGCGTTTGGCAAGGTCGAGGGCGTGTCGAACCACTGATGCTGCGCGTGGTGCACGGTTCTGTCTGTATGCATGTGCTCTGGGAGAAAAGGGGGGCTCTTTCCTGACAGTGAAGTCCCCCATCAGAGAACCATGAGGGTTGGGGTATGGTTGCTTCTCAAGATGAATGCTTGATCTTATCAGTATCTATCATGTAAATTACCTGCGAGGCTTTTGACCTAATTTTCTTCGTTTTGTTTCGTGCCGTGACGCCAGGTGTCTATTTTGTAGGCAGCGCCGACCGGCCCAGTTTTGTTGCCGGTAAACCATTGACACTCAGGAATTCAGACTTCAGCTTCAGCGGAGAAATCCGTACTGAAGGCATAAGTTGACGTCAAATGAGCAATGAAAGGGATAGTAAATGTTAATTAGTTCGTCTGACTCTACGATTCCGAGTCACGGCTGTTGTTGGGACTTCGCCGCAAATTGGCTGCCAAACTGGCGACCATCTACTCAAGAACGGCAGGCGACAGCACCTGGCTGCCCCGCAGTGAGTTACCCGCGGAAAGCTTGTCGGCTCCAAATTTGTTCCTGCCCGAACCAGGCTTCCCTGGCACGGACCAACAGGCTCGCCTACATAAACGGCGCCCGCGGCCCTTCTCCCTCTCTTTTGATTTTTCTCTTCTTTATACTTACCTTCATTGGGTGCGGGGAGATCAAGAAACCCTCGCACCATGGTGGAAAGCCTGCATTGCACATCGCGGAGCAGTCTGCCATGAATTGTCCCTCTGGGGCCGTTCCGGTGGCAATTTTTGATAACCAACCTCATCCTTTTTCGCTGTGATTGCCGCCTGCGGGTGGTGCCATGGAGAAGAATGATGGTGTCTGTCTGCTGCTCCCTGCTGTTGGGAGGTAGGAACCCAAGATCCGCCGGGTGGTGCAGTCCAATTCGGCAGGCATGCTGTATGTTTCTGCCGCTTCCTGCCCTATTAGGTATTCCGAGGATTGAGCGGGCGTGTTGTGCCAATTGCCCAGCAGGCCTGAGCAGGTGGGTGGTTGCCTTCGCAGTCGGACCCGCGCGTATCCGTCAACCTGCATTGCGCCAATGTCGCGTCTTTCTGAACTTGATTGAAGCGGTCCTTCCATTTCTTTTGCAGTCTCATTGCTCACCATATTTGAGTCTGCTCAAGGTCTGCCTTGCGTGAGGGCTCCCGCCCCGACCGGAAGCCTGCTCTAGCCCCAGGCCCTCCCCAACGCCCTGTATTTTAGCGGTCTAGCTCCTAGATGTGGAGCCCGGCGCGGGCAGCGAGGTGAATCTCCACCAACCTAGTGTCCGGACTTGTTTGCTTCGCCTCAGGGCGTCTATACGCGATACGGAATACGCAATACGAGCGGGGCCAAGACGGAAACATATTTTGCGTTTGCCGGGCGGTCTGAACTATGCCGCGCCCAGCGCAAACGGACAGCACCAGCTCGGCACCGCCAAATCTCTTTTGACGCCTTTTCGAGGCCCCGTTATTTCCAAGGAACATCACCAATTATCTTGGCTTTCTACCAACCTTCTTCGGTGATTATCGGATCAGACTCATTTTGAGTACCAAAGTCTCATTTATTCTAGGGACGGCGCCGAGCTGGCATTGAAGGGGAAAACTCCAACCGCTTATCAAGCATGCATGAGCACACCGTCAAAGTCCGCAATACCACCCAGTCGTGTCTTCATCGCCTTTCCAGACAACATCCGGAAGCCCCGATACTACCAGGTCGCATGGTGTATATATAATGAAGCGGCCGGCTGCGCCAGCTCGAGCCAGTCAAGCCCTTCTCCCTGACAAGTTACTACCCTAGGCTACATGTACCCTTGGCTACATGATACTTAATTAGCTTGTCCCTTTGCTTTTCGTCTCGTTCCCAGACGGCAGTCCCGAAGAGCCCGTCTCTAAGTCAGTAATTACGGCCCCGAAAGAAATGGCACCATCCACCACGAATATCGGCGGCGAATGCTGCCTCCGAGCGTTTGAGTGGGACGGCACACCCGCCGGGACCGTCTCGACGATCCCGGGGACGAACCACGCGGCCTACGTGACCGGGAACAACCCGTCAGCTGCAGTGCTCTACCTGCACGACATTCTCGGCTGGACCTTTCCCAACGCCCGGCTGCTGGCTGACCACTACGCCCGCGAGGCCAACGTGACCGTCTACGTTCCCGACCTATTCGACGGCTGGGTCGTCTCGCGCGAGGCCGTCTTCGCCAAGCGCTACGAAGACATCGACATGGCGGGCTTCCTGGCCCGGAACAACCGCGAGAAGCGCGAGCCCGAGATCATCGCGGCCGCCCGCGCCCTGCGCGCAAAGTACGCGCGCGTCGGCGTCGTCGGCTTCTGCTACGGCGGCTGGGCGTCGGCGCGCCTCGGCGCCAAGGACCTCCTGGGCGTCGTCGACTGCGTCAGCATCGGCCACCCGGGCTTGATGACCAAGGCCGACGTCGACGCCCTCGCCGTGCCCACGCAGCTTCTGGCCCCCGAGATCGACGAGCACTACCCGCCCGAGCTCAAGACGCACACGTTCCAGACCCTCCAGGCCCTCGGCCTGCCGTTCGAGTACCACCACTTCCCCGGCGTCGAGCACGGCTGCCTCACGCGTGGCGACGAAGCCGCCAAGGGCTCGAGGGACGCCATGGTGCGCGGCAAAAACGCCGCCGTCGCTTGGTTCAAGCAGTGGCTGCAGGTTGTCGAGTGAGAAGCGCGAAGAGCTGGAAAGCGTCATGATTCTGGTCAACCAGATCGGCACACGTATTGTATCTCCATACTAAGTTCCTCGAGTTCGGTTCATAGCACATCTCATCTCAGTAGAGCGACTCTCTTGTTCCGTGATACCCAGAACCCTGCAGTGATTACAGCCATCTGATTAACCAGCCGCAGCTCTCGTGCCGTACAGCTCGTCCGCCGCCTGCTTGCTAACAGGCTTGTTCCTGACCGCCTCCTGCGTGTCGCTGCCACCCAGCTCCTTTATGACGCGCTCGCTGTTCTCTTTGGCCGCCTCGCCTGTGTCTTGAAGACGGGCACCAAAAGCAATGGTTATCAGACTTTGCGCGTGCGGAAATAGATACTCGACTGTGCCAGAAGAGCTTGGGTTTTACTTACTCGGGTTGGAAATGGCGGCCTTGTGGCCGCGGATGGTGTTGGACGTCTCCTCCTTGCCCTCGTGGAGCTCCTTCATGTCGTTGGACATGACCGACTTTGCGCCCGCCGAGTCCATGGTGCGATGTTTCTGTTTCGGGACTAACGTTTGCGGTATATGCGTGATCGGAAAAGTTGGTTGGCACGTGTAAATCGTGCAGGTGTGTACCTAGTTGGTTCGACGTTTGGGTCTTTGGATGCAAAAGTCATTTAGGATACATATGAGCGGGTCGGTAGATTTACTGTAGACATTTAATACCATGTAGCCCAGTGGCAACAAGGGGCGAGAAAGTTTGGCGGGAGAGTCAGGCGGGCTGGCTATGACGTCTCGTCCAAGTCGTTTCCTGCTTCTTCTTGTCCCCTGCTTCTCCTCGTCCCCCACGTGCCATTCGTTGTTGGCAATGGCGCGTTCCAGTCTGCGTCATCGTTCTTGGCGGCCCATTCACGTGCAAGAACTCCAAGATGGCCGTTGAAACCACTTTGTCCAACCATACGAGAGCAGTGATTGGAGATGTAATTGTACAATAAATATGTGGAGTCAAAGGAAAACAATAAGTAAAAAGGCTGCGAAAAAAAACACAACATGGATCTACCGAGCACACACCATATCACGGTCCGTCAAAAATGTCCTGTTATGGAGTGTTAGAGAAAGGGACTTCAACAGAAATATTTCAACAGAGATCGAATACAGCTGCCGCCCTCCCTGAGAGATCACAATAGACAGTGTGGATGGGCGGTAAAACTATCTCATGAACTTGCTATTACATTGCATACGCCGCTATAAAAATTATCTCACTCAACCATATCATTTTTACCTGCGTCATATATATGCACAGAGGAAAATGGGCATAGACATACCAAACCAAAGCTACCACGCAGTTTATCTCAGTCTCTCCAGATCAATCGAGGCCACGCTCTAACGGATCCAGCAGAATTACTGCGCTGTGGTAAAAAGTGGTAAATTACCCAGTGGTAGAATTCTCGAAATTTATCATTCCTGTGCTTGGCGACCAACTGCTACAATACGGACCCCGCGATGTAGTAATAGTGGCTCTTTGTGGCTGAGTGTTATGCCCGCCACACAACTTTCGTCGCTGGAGTCACACTCGCCAGTAAACTTTCTCCATGCACCGTCATCGCTTACTGCTCTACCTTTACCGCCATTAAAAGGCCATCCAGACGCCGCCTCCGCCCATGTTTCGGTATTACCCGTAAGAGGAGAAACCGGCGACTAGAAATAATGAACTCGCTAGATAACTGCATTCCTATTGCCCAATCCCGATATTAGTGGTCATAAACGGCGACAAGTCACAACATCAGCTCAATATGTGTTCGCTGGCAAGCATATGGATAGAATGGGACCGGAAAAGCGGAAAATTCTTAGGCAATTACCAATCAAGATCCTCATTCTACTAGGAGCGTTCGTCAGTGCGCAGAAAATTCGCGATGCCAAATTGAAACAAGTGGAAGCGCTCTGCGAAGCAGCTAAAGTCCGCCTTGGCCCGCTCATGCGGAGCTCCCGTGACGAGAATTTTCAACGCTTGTACGGGGAGATTAATGGCCGTAAGTACAAAAACTACCTAGAGTAACTATAGTGCTAAATAATATAGTTCGTGAGTCCATCCCCGCCCAAATATCAGGCAATCTAACGGCCACGACGAGCTCCGCCGTGCTCGAGAATAGTGAGACGCACTCTTGCCTACTCCCACGTCGATTCATTATAGGACGAGCATCGCTGAAAATTCGCTCGGCTACCAGGTACCAATCTCTCGTAGCACCCGAAGGCCATTGCTACCGCGACCCCAACAGCCTCGACGGATGCCTCTCCGTCAACGCCAGTTGTTTCCTTTAGTCGTCTGTTCCCTTCGCCGAGTATCTTTCAGGATCCATGTCTTGGGGAGAGTCTCTGTCGTGCCATTGCGGCAAGCTAATATTGGCGATCCGACTCGACTTACTTATATATTGACGTACCCCACCTACCTAGAGATTTCTCTCTCCAAATGTGGATTGGGTTTCAAGAGGTGCTGGATCTAATGGAATTCTCAGCATTAGAGGTAGATGGAGTTCTTCTACACGCACGCGATCATACACTCACGATATTTGGCCCGGGCCTTGGTGAAGCATTCAAGACCAGTAACCGCTGGAAAGACGAGGAAAGTAAAGGACAGAGATTCACCAAATGTGCCATCATTAAGACTAGTTGCTATACAAGTAATGACGTTCGTTTGGAACTATATATTGGGTTTCTAGAAGGCGTGGGAATTATTTCACGGTATTGTGGAACCTTGAATTATACTCCCTAATAAATTCTTTAGATAATCAAAATAAACTATCATCCTTAACTCTTGTCCATTATATTATATATATTTTAGCCACCCGTCGAGAATATATACTAAATGTTCCGCTGGAACTAGTTTACTACCTTCAATATCCCTTTCTATCCACAAAGTGACTGGTCTCCCTAATACCAATTTAAAGTATGAAATAGGTAATTCACATCCCCGCTATTCAACAGTACTCGTTATGCCAACTGAAACTACCATCGATATGGGACTTCTCCCCACTAGCCTGTCAGAGCTATCTCTCCCTACGATCTTTTTATTAGGACGCAGAAACTAGTGAATATTCCAAAAGTTAACCTACAGGCATGAATAGGTTGATCGCTAACGAAAAACGAACCAGCTTAAAGATGACTCGGAGTTATCAGACGTCACGCGCTCTCTTTGGGCTCTTGTCGGTCGGCTTACGCCTTTAGTTGCGATATGTGCAATAAAATCCTTGTCGACCCATCTCTGGCGGGGTATTACGACCATCGGAACCTCGGTTCTCGGACACGGATTATTGTCGGATAAAATGATCGAGGTTTATTAGGTAACGTTACGTGCCCGGGAGTGCCCGATGCGCGGGTGCAAACGGGTCATGGCGAAGATTGCTTGCGGTTGGTATTGGAGAGACAGAAGTGGGGTGAGAGGACTCAGATAAAGCCCTCCTCTTATCGGGGGAGGTGGGAAACGCCCTCCTTTTATCCAGAGGGATGAAGCTCCTGCAACAAGTGCTATAAGTAACTTGCTGTTAGTAAGGTAGACGGTGCAGCGCTGGGCCGTTCGACGTACCTCCTGCCTCGTCGGCCGCCACCGCAAGGATCTCGTTCAACATCGAGCCATCGCCGCCACCGCCACCGCATTGGGATATCCTCTCGAGGTAAGCCCGCTTAATGGAAATAGGAGCCCTGGTTCATCCTTTTCACCCATATTTGTATGAGGGATTATCCCGAATGGCAACGTATCTGTCGTCGGCAAGCAGCTGTTGATGGGCCCGCTCATAAGGCTGAGGGCATTCTCTCAGGAGCCGGATCCTGCCCGCCGTCCTGATCGATGTTGAAAGCGCTGTTACGATTCTTCCCGGCTCCCTGGCTCTTCCGCTGATGCCGGCGGTTTGCCGTGTTGGAGTCTTCTGGACGGTGGAGGCAGCTTAAGCCAGCGCCAACATTAAGTTAGGTGAAGCTGCTAGATAAGAGACATTTACTTACGCTCGACGCTCTTTGTACGGGATGCTGCCTACTATTTGCTATTATAAATCGGAGAGGAGACGAGCGAGGTAGCGAAGGCGTAGAGGACGCAGCGAAAGAGAGGACCTTGGCCTTTCCTCGAATTCCTGAGCTGATTAGCCTTTGCCTCAAAACGTCTGGGAGCCCTACCTTCACAGATGCGAAGAACTGTGTAACCGCAGCTTCGCCACCGAGCTGGTCCACCTCGCCTTCCTCCACTCTAGCTTTGACGAGCATCGCCACAGCACGGACATATTTCGGCGCGCTCCGCTTATATCTTCGTTAGTAATGGCCGAGTTCTTTATCTAAGCAAATACGACTTGTATCCAGCGCCTAATGTCTGACCACTGAATAACGTGGCCACCAAGCGCCAACGTCTGATGCTCGCGCACCCGGAACACAAAGTGAATCGTTCCCGGCATGAAGAAAACAGACTGGCCAGGCTTCAGGATAATATATCTCCAGCGGCCACCTGTATAGTAGTGGGGGTCGGCTATCCACGAATTTCGCTCCTCCTCCGTCGGACAAGACATCCAGCCGAACCCAACAGACCCTTCCTGGGGAGTGATCCACGTAGCAAAGCCGTGACTGTCCATGTGCGGCGCCGTGTTGTGGCCCCCTTCCGACAATAGGACCCACTCGAGAACGTTCTTCCACTCGTTCCACTCCTACGTTGATGCTACCAGCCTCTCGGCGCTATCCTCCATCAGCACCGCATTGCGGACTTGAGGAAGGCTGGAGATGCGAGCGGCAGAGTTGTGAGAGGAAAGGAGAGAGTTGCTCCGCCGCCTCTGCACCGAACATAGACGGGTTGCCCAGGGCTAACAGGAGTATTAATGTGACCTCAGCCGGACAGCATCGAGGAGCCTCTGGAGTCGTTGCGGCTGTGTCATCCGCTAAACAGGTACTAGATTGGTCGTGGCTGATGGGTGTTGTAGTATCAGCAAAGAAGGCATCAATGACCTCAGCCACAATGTCGCCCGTATTTGAATCCGTATGACTGGGTTGCGATGCCGCGAGTGCGAGCATGTTTAGTGCCGTAGTATTTTGCTGCCCTGGTGCTCTGGGGCCGATGCTTGGAGCTCTGCTGCTTGTGTTTTTGTGTCTGTTGCTGCCGTTGGGTGTTGTGGGAGACGGAGCGGTGCCGGCGAGAGGATATCCGGTCGAGCTGTGCTGCGAGGCTACTGCTCGCTGCGGTCTGCGTGTCGGTGGCGTCGTCGCCTGCTAGCTCGGCGACGTTGGGCCGCGGGGGCGCGCTGTTGCTGCTGTCGGGTAGCTCGGCTATAGGTGGTGGTCCGTGGCTGGGAGGCGGCGTGCTTGCTGCGCTCGATCGCGCCTACCTAACTGCGTTAGGGTCGTAAATTTTAATGCGCAAAAGCTAATCTACGAGATACCCGTTCAAGTTGCAACCTGGAAAGTCTGGAGCAAGTGGAAATCGAGTCCTTACAGAAGAAGCCCAAGGCGGCGCCCACTCGCTCAACGAGCCGTGCCGCGGGCAGGGGACGAAGCCGAGGACCTTCCCGACCGGGGAGCCGTGAACCGAGCCGCCTACAGAGCCGCACGCGCCAACTCAGTCGTTTCTTGCACCTGCGGCGGGGGAATTTTTGTGTGGGCTGGAGACCAATAAGTCCCGATCATAGGCTATGGTCACAACACGCACGGTATCGGGCCGCTGTGTGGGCGCGGAAGGGCAGCGTGTCCGTGATGCTCTGTGTACTCGATGATATAAATGAATGGATTCCGATTCCATAGAGCGGCGCAACAGGTCGAAACGGGCTAGAAGGAGGCTGGATGGTATTGGTGCGCGATGAGGTGAGAAGAATTTAGAACGGGAATAGAGAAGGACTTGTCCGGCCAGTTGTAGCTCCACTAAGCTCGGCACCTTGCACCCGTGTCCAGCACTCGTCTTCCCCGCCAGTCCCACGCTTCAAGTGTTCCCTTATTGCAAACTGCGCAGTCGTGTCGTTAGTTAGGAACACGTCTCCGTTTTCTTCTTGCTGCTGCCCCTGTACATCAACACCTAAGGTCCAGGAGAAAAACAGTTGGCGGGGAAAGGGGGGGGGGAGGGGGTAAAGGGGATCACTATATTTTCTACTTGCTTTGTACATGCCCCTGAAAGCCGCTGTACCTACTAAATCCGTTGATCTGCACTTACGAAAACCTCTGACCTCGCTTCTGCCAAGCCCCAAGATGTTAACAAATCAGCCGCTGCCCTGCTGCGTCCTCGGCAAATGGCGTGCCGAGGGCGATACCGGGGGACGTGATATGAGTTGAGCCGGTCCACGATGCTTCGACGGAGCGGCTGCGCTCGTCTGTTTCCTCTCGTGTCACGCAGGCTCGCCTAGCGTGCCTATTCGCCACCTCACAGCCGCGAGAGCGAGGCAAGTTCACGATCATCAAAGGGAGGTCGAGAGCGAAGTCGAAGAGGTTGAGTCGTTGAAGGTGGCGTTGTTGTGGGTCTTACCCTACCTTTCTTCGCTAATGCACCGCCGCTGCCTGGTGGTTCCCGGTGGCGCCCACCTGCTGGCCTTCGGGCAGTTGATTCACCGCTCGCGCATCACTCCTACGCATCGTACAACGAAGTCAGCCTCATCGACCGCCGAGACCAAAATCGTCCTTCGTACCGGGGCAGCAGCGACCGAGCCAGACGTGGAGCTCCCGTCGCGTCTCGGCTTCAGGGCGTTAGCGCGGGGCTAGAACCTAGAAAGCAGGCGCGGCACCTTACCATTAATCTTCCCTTCGATCCGATCCAGGATCCGCCGTATCTCGACGTGCAACGTGTGATCTACTCCGTATCCCAGGGCACCAAGTCATGTAGTCCCTGCACCAGCTTCTCGAAGAGCTCGACCTGTTCCGTGCGTCTCGCTGGTCTGGAACCTGGAGAACCAATAAGGTAGTTCCCGTGCCATTCGTCAGGGCTCATCACCCAAAGTTGGAGCTGCAATAGGGCGTAGCACGTACCCCGCGTGCCTTTTGAGTCGAGCTATTCAACTATTACACTATAGCTGCCCAAGCCATTGTAGATTCCCAAGTCCGATATACCTTACGGTCTAAGACAGAGTAATGCCAATTAATCCTAACGCTAAGTAATAAAACGCGGCGTGCGCAAATACGATAATGGCAGTGACATATAACTCGGCCTGTTAGAGTTGTTACTACATCTGTACATCGCACTTCTCAAGCTGACAACGGCGCTCGCTTTCCAGTAGAGACTTCCTTCAGAATCTCTCATCTCGCCGCCAGTCAGACGGCCAGCCCTGTCCACATTATGCACTGGCTGGTTCGTTGCCGCCGCCTCGAGCCTTGGCGCCGAGGTGAATTGAATCCCGCCTTAGCACCGGCTCGAACACGAAGTCGAAGCTGCACACAGAAGCTGCACACACCGTGTGGGCAAGGCACAGCTGGCGTACAAGAGCATGGTTGCAAAAAGGCTCGGCAGCATATCACCCGAGACCCACCCCAGTGTCCCGAGCTCAAATGCCGGCCGGGTTGCAATGGGATGCTGGGCGGCTCTCGTATCTGCCGCGCTGCGCCGCCTGCGAGTGCCGCGCTGCGCCGCATTGTCTCGGGTGTTGGATCTCGGTTCTGGATCTCGGTTCTGGATCTCGGTTCTGGTTCTCGGGAGGATGATATGAGAGTGGCGTTTGCGGCAGAGCGCGAGGCGAGTGAGACAAGACAAGACAAGAAGACATTTGGATCCGTCTGATCTTCCTCCTCCCCTCCCGCCACCTTGGCACTTATCTAAAGTTATCTGTGGACCCTGGTTCTGAGAGTCCGATTTCGGTCCTGGGGTTTCAAACTGACATCATAGGACCGGCCCGCAGATAAGGGTTCAGACAAGCAAGCCACTGTTTCGTTTCTCGAAAGGAGGCGTGTGCAGGGAGTGTAGTCGAGTGATGGGAGACTTGTTGTCATCTGCCGCCTGGAATTGACCCACATTACATGCCCAGGTCAACCCCACTTCAAATGCCTATTTTTCCTCCCTTTCTTACACCCGGAATGCCCTCTAATCGCGGCATTCCTTGAGCAGACAATTCAATGCTCAGTTAACCGAAATCACGTGCAACACCATCCCAACTCGCGAACCTAATCACACTCATCCCCGCTTTGCAGGCCAAAGATAAGGCCCAGATTGATAAGTTGTCTTGAGGCGCAGAACTGTCTATCAATTAGAAATCACGGAGATTAAGACTTAATTTTTGACTGTTGTGCCTGGCATTTGGTGAAAGGAAGGAATCGCGAATGTGAAGCAGCTCGCCGCCAACAGCCGATCCTCAGCCAGCTCTCACGGCCCACTCAAATCCTGCTCGGGATGGCCGAGGTTAAGGTGCCATCCCATGGGCCAAAGGTCTTGGCCGCCAAGGTTCTGGAAGGAAAACCACGCCATCGGATCGCGCTCGTAAGCCAATCCGTCGACAGCTAGGGAAGCTAGATCTTCAGGGCCAAGGGGCCCATGTTTAGAGTGCTGACCACGCTGAATCCTGGATGGCGACAGTAGGACGGGGGCGCAGCTAGCTTAGGTTTTGCGTGGCACGGTTTTGCGTATCACGCAAGGGTGCAAGATGCCGCCAACGCCCGATCGCCAAGGGATTTGAACTTCATTCCAGATCCAAGAGATCGGGATCACAAGAAACGAAGAGAAAGGGCAGATCCAAGATCTTATATATTAATTAAATTAGTAATGAAAGCGGCAAATGCCAAAGGTATCATTGACAGATGAAGATTATTTCTTTAGATAGTATCTACTCCAAAGCGCTCCACCGTGACCATCGTATTCCGTGTCATCGTGAGATTAAACGGCCTTCTCGGGATCAGCGCCCTTGAGGCTAGTCGCATCTCCAGAGCTGCCAGGAGTGGCGAGAGTAACGATATCGTTGACGTGACGGCTAAGCTCCACGTAGTCGTAGGCAAATTCTCCGAGCTGGGCATCGTCGAGACCAAGCTCCTCCTCCTCGGCCGACACGCGCAGAGATAGGCCCGGGACGAGGTTCAGGAGGAAAAGAATGACACAGGTCATGACGAACGAGTAGGAGAAGCCCGCAACGCTGTCGGCGAGCTGGAAGCCGAGCTGGATGTAGTTCTGGTTGACCCAGCCACCCGCAATCACAGTCGCTCCATCGAGATGGGCAATGTAGTTACTGTCGTATACGTTAGCAAGACGTCACAATAAGAGGCAAAGGTTCCACATACGCAGCGAAGAGACCGGTGAGCAGGTTGCCAATGATGCCACCAACACCGTGCTCAGCGAAGATATCGATAGCATCGTCAACCCCGATAATGAACTTGAGCTTGGTTGCAAAATTGCATCCGGCGCCGCCGACAATGCCGAAGATGACAGCCGACCAAGGCGGGACAAAGCCGGAGGCCGGGGTGATGGCAACGAGACCAGAAATGACGCCCGAGCAGAAACCGACAGTGCTCCACTTCTTCTCCAGACGGTAATCAAGCAGGCACCAGGTGAATCCACCAACACAAGCAGCGATCTGGGAAACCAGGCAGGCCATGACAGCGCGCAGGTTGCCAGCGAGAGCACTGCCACCGTTGAAGCCGAACCAACCGACCCAGAGGAAGACCGTGCCGAGGACGACGTGGGTGACGTTGTGGGGGCGGTACGGCAGACCGTTGACTTTGTTATAGCCAGTCCGCTTTCCAAGCATCAGCGAGTAGGCGAGCGCGGCAGCACCGGAGCTGATGTGAACGGGCGTGCCACCAGCGAAGTCGAGGCCACCCATGATGAACGACCATCCCTTAGGGTTCCATGTCCAGTAGGCAATCGGGTCGTAGACAATGGTCGTCCAGATGAAGATGAAGACGAGGCAGGGGAGCATGCGACCACGATCGGCAGCGGCGCCAATGGCGAGTGCGGGGCTAATGCATGTCAGAACTGTGCAACTCGAGGTTTTTTTTTTTTTTTTTTTTTTTAGCCGGGATGCACGTACGTAATGGCCGCGAACATGCCCTGGTAAAGGCAGAACAGAACGTCAGGGACACGCGAGCCACCGACACTGGGCTGGGCGAGCACATCCTTGAGGCCGAAGTTGGAAAGATCGCCGATGTAAGGGTTGTTGCTGCTGTGGGAGAAAGCCAGCGAGTAGCCCCAGAAGAACCACTGGAAAAACACGACTGCGATTGACATCAAAGACAGCCAAATGAGTGCGAGGGCCGACTTGCGGCGCGCCAATCCACTGTAGAAGAAGCCGACACCGGGCACCATGAGCAGCACGAGGGCCGACGAGGTCATGATCCACGCCAAATCTCCAGCCTATCAGGACACGCAAGTTAGTTTGCGACAAGATGCGATGCGCTCTGGCGCGCTGAAGGAAGGGCGGGCGGGCCAGCGCGTACCGCGTAGTAGATGTTGAGGTCCTCGTTGAGCGAGTCACCACCGGCGTCGGCGACGCCAGCGGTGCCCTCGTAGACGACGGGAGTACCAGTCGACATGGTCAAGGCAGGTTCGCGCAGCGATCTGGACAGGATTCGGTGTCGTGTTGCGTGCCTCGGCGTGAGACAAGAAATGGCTGAACCAAGGTTGACAAGGTAAACGAAAAAGAAAAACAGGTCCGTTTGATGGGGGATCGGCACGGTAAAATACCTTGGGCCTGCAGTTCCCGAGAGCTTCGAGCCGGTCTGCAACGCTGCATACGGAATAGCATTGGCAGCAGCCGATAACACAACTCTGCTATCACCAAGGTGTGGAGGCGACTCTCTGCCCTTTCGGGCCCCCTTCGCAAGCCTGCCAAGACCTCATGTCAAGGGAATTGTGGACCCCCCGAGATAAGGGATCCCTGGGCGCTCAGGGAAGCGGTGGGGGTGCAGGCGTGGGTCATCAACCCGCTTTGATCCGGGCACCAGAAATGCCAGACGAAACCCCTCCCCCCAGGCTCTCCCCAACTTGGCGCCTTGGCGAACTGCGGCCGGCCTGCCTGCCTGCTATCGACTTGTTGGAATTATGGAGCCGTCGGGTGGGGAGCACGGCTATGCGCCAGCAAGGCGCTGCGTCCCAGATCGCCCGCCCGATGGTTGATGATTCTGCTGTCGTCTGGGTTGGATCACAAACTCTGAACCTCCGAGAGGCGGAGTCGTGTTGGAGTCGGTCGCACAGAAGGCAGAAGGGTCAAGAGGAGACAGACGGACAGCCAGGCCAGGCACTTGCAGCCAGGTGCAGCTGATGTGGGGAAATGAGACAGGCGGCCAATGATGGTACGAGCGCAATCCGCAGCCTCAGGACTTTGGCTCCACGGCCCCGAAAGCTCACAGCACCAGCCGTCAAGTCAACGGCATCAGACGCGCCTAGGGAGTCGACGGGCTGCGATTAGAAAGAAAAACTCGAAATCCATCTCCCCTCTCTGGCCCTAATAGAAATCCGACCAGACACTAAGCTTTTTTGCGCCGTCCTGTCCCGCCTGCAGTGGCAGTCGACCCAGACGATGGGGTCCTGCAGGGTTGCCTGCAGTCCCCATTTGTCTCTGCGGGTTCGCCGACGAAATTAATTAATATTCCAATTGTTAAGTTCCCCGCGAACTTGGGCTTGGGCTTTGGCAAGAATGATCCGGGACTGCGGCAGTGTGACCACCACTTCAGAGCACCTTCCAGTGCGACCTGACTCTGGCCCGATGCTTCCCAAACTGGCTGCAAGGGGGGGCACCTGCACCGCGGTTGCTTTGCCTTGCCAGTACCGAGACGGGCAAGGTCGGCCTGCACGAAGAAAACACATCATGTTGCCCGGAGGGCCGGAGGGACAAATTGTTTCACTCTGCAGACACCATCGAATTTCTTGAGCTTGGCTGCGTCTCGCCCGATCTGCCTCGCGCCCGTCGCCCAAAAGGGGAAACCTCACTATGGAATAATCGGACAACACCTGATCGAGTCTCGTGAATACGGTTGGCTCGCGGGTATCTAAACTCCAGAGCCTCGCAGGCCGGCTGCCGCAATCGGCTCGTACTTCGTAAACCAGAAGCTTCGTGCAAGCCACAAACGCAGGCCAAGGTCCGCAGGCTCAGCTCAACCGCTCCCTGTGGTGAAATGCGTTAGCGCCCGGAATCCCTAGAAAAGCCCGTATTATTATATTCCCCTCTTGCTTGTTCGGTAATTCCTGATCCCAACCCTGATTGTAGACAGCAAATAGTTGGGCTCCAATGGGTGCGAAATCGGCCTCAGCGCAAAAGGCAATGCGCTTCCTCGACATTACGAGATTCCATCTTGTGTTGCTCTTATCGGGTCCACAGCACCATTCAGTGGAGTGTGGCCATAGCGTTCCTGACGCGTCCGCTAAAGGCTAGTGAGAGTTTGCTGTGGTGCCCCACCATTTAACATTGGAACATGGAATCTTTGCGACACCAACCGCGCAGCGCGTCTCGAGATCAGGTGCCAGATTGTGCACCTCGTCGTATAGGGTAGTGCTACACTGATGCGACAGCCCCTCGCTAACGGAGGGCGCAGAGTGGTCAAAAACTGCAATTAATTGAACCAGCAACCTCCCCAAACTTCAACGACGGCAAGCAGGAAGGCATGACAGTTCGATGTCTGTCGCAGCTCTGGGCCATCATTGGTGCTTACATCTTCTTATCTCTGGGCAAAGTGGAGAATACCCTTGGCGAACGTCTTGGCGCCGCTAACATTGAGCCACCGGATCGGGTTACGGATACTCCACTTTCTCTTTGAACAAAACTGGGAAGACAGAAAGACAAAGCTCGCGTGTAAAAAGTGCAACTTTCGGCTTCATTGAGAGCCCATCAGAGCGTGTGCGGTTCACATGTCGTTGAACTTGAAGATCAGATAACCCCGCGACCCCTTTTAGAAGGAGAGGCTGGTTAGGCGACGTCGCTGAAAGCAAGGCGTTGTCGAGGCAAACGGACAGCAAGGGCCCCTCATCTTCAGCCCCGCATCAGGCAACCCATCGGAACGAAGCTCTTCCCTTTTGTTGCGCGCGCACACACGCACACACACTACACACGCGCAGACGCCGTGATACGCAACCATCAGGTAAAATCGAAATCAGGCGAGGGTATATTGTAGAGCGTGTAATACGCTACACTCCATCTTGGACGCCACTACCATCTCCGTGCATGCCGCACCCAATGAGGCCGCCCAATCGAGCTCAGCGTCGAAGAGCTGAAACCTGAGCTAGCGGACGCTCCAGCTCTTCTTACTGGTTGGACCGCCGCCATCCCGCCATTCCCTTGGTCAAACATCTTGGTCTTGCCTTGTTCCGCAGAGCGGAAGCAGGGCGACGATTCGCTCACCCTTATCTGTCGAACCAAGTCATCCAAGTCCATACCGAAAATCACAGCACCCCCAGCGGGCTCCCCACCCTTCGATCTTCTAGAAGAATTCCACGCACGAACATGCAGACGCCGTGAGCGCGCGTTAGCGCCTTTGCCCTGGGGTCCCGCCTTGGCGCCAGCTTGGCCAATGCTTGTTTCTCGTGTGCTCATCTTAGCGATAAGGAAGAGGGAAAAAAGACGCAAAGTTCCAGTCTGTGTCTGTTTTATTGGCAATCAAGCAGGGGCTGGCGATCGCCGTGAGCGCGCCCCGCAGAGGCGAGTTGTTGTCTTTCCCCCAGTCCCGTTATTTTCCCTTTTTTACACATCCCTCCGTGGGTAAGGGCGACGATCAGGGTCTCGTGCTCTATCTCATGGGTCAGGTCGGGTCAACTCCCCCCTATTCACGGCGCAGTGCAGCCTGGGAACCCGGCCACGGAGGGGCCGCCAGGTTTCTGGATCCGAACGTGGGGGAAAATACGCGACGTGCAGGCTCCGTGTCGATCCGTGGCCTTGTCAGGCCTCGCCCCGAATCCGGCCGCCTGGTGGCGTGCTGCGCCGTTCCAGGCCCCGGGTTTAGCAGAGCCTAGGCCACACCTACAGCCACATCTGCCACACTCACTCACCCTCACGCCCACACTCTTTCTCACATGCTTGAAAGTGGGCACACCACACTAGTACCGTCTTCTGTATGCTGCAAAGTTAACAACTATCACGCATAATTGCACCCGTTTGTGCTTTGGCGGATAAAATCCCCGATTGGGTAAGCCTGAGCCACAAAATACGACAGCTTGTGCTTCCGAGTTGTAGACTGCGTTATTGTTGGCCTGGACTCTTTGAGTCAAAGACGCGTCTCGGTCTAGACCAGCAGTTACGCCAAAGAACAAGAAAATCCAGCATCCATGGTAGCCCGACTCTGGTGTCGATTCCAAGACAATTGTGCTTCGTCTTTGTTCTCTCCACGATCCAGACATCCTCTTTGCTTGACATGCGACATGTGTCACAATACCATTCTGAGTATTGTTTTAGACACGTAGCCAATTAATTATTACCCTTCTTAACTAACTGTAATTAGACCTAACATTTAGCCTTGGTATTCCCAAACTCGTCGTCAATGTTGTGGTGAATGACGATAGACCGCACCTTTGCGGTCCAGTTGAGCGGTCCAGTTGAGCGGTCCAGTTGAGCGAGGTCTGTACGCTGGGAAAGGTGTGCATGCCATCTCGGATATATATATATATATATAGCAATCGGCATATAAGGCTGGATAAAATGACAGCTCAGCTCGCCACAGGTAATTACAAGTGCTAGCCGGGTCATGTTGTGGAACGCATCTCTGGCAACGTAGCATCTCGTGGCGTCGTCCCCCCAAGCTGAAGTTTTCCCCTCTTTTGTGCAATTTACCATCGTTTTATTAGAGGCCATAAAGACCATGAGAAATTGAGTTGAGTCGGTCGTCGGTCAAACCTGAGCTCTTCAAAGAGTGGTTCTACTGTGCCTCCGGATAGCCCAGCCATTAGGTATGGTCCCTACCACTACTTCTCAAACGTAATTATACTCCATTATCGCGCACCCGCATTCAAAATAATGGACGATCCCGTCTTCAACATCCCAGACCTCACTGCGTCAGGCCGCATCAGGCAGCTGTTTGCGAACGCAAATCTCGATGCTGCAGATTTACACCACGGAGCTCTCCCGGCCGACATCCGGGCAGCGCCAAACGTGGTCGAAGACGGGTGAATACAAGTCTATTTACTCGTTTACTTAACCCGTTACCCGACTCAGTGACCATCTTGGTGACAAATAGATGCTGATGGTGTGAAAAGAACATTGATCTTCAAGCTCATCCAGCAGAACAAGGACCTTTACAATAAGTTCCTCAACAATCGTTTCTGCAAGGGAATGGCCTACGGCACGCTTCCATCGTCCACGTACGACGAGTTTGCCAAGGTGCATTTCTAGAGCACTAGGAACTAACCCTTGATAAACGCGCAAAAACACTGACAGACCACCCCCTGTCAACAGCAAGACTACCTGTACCTGCTAGACGACGTCAAGTTCAAGGCGCTGCGCTTCTCCAAGCTCAACTCGCGCACGTCGTTCAGCTTCCTGCAGGTGCAGGCCGACAAGATTGCCAGCGCGGTCAAGTACGCGGGCGAGTGGAAGCAGACGTGCATCGACGACCTCGGCATCCCGCCGGCCGCCATGGGGGACATCGAGCCCAGCGCGGCAGAGATCGGCTACGCCAGCTTCCTGCGCAGCGAGACGGCGCTCGACGACTACCTGAGCCTCTACATCATCACCATTCCGTGCGTCTACGTGAGTGGCGGCTCCTTTGGCTGCATTGTTACGGGGATATTCTTTGCTAAGTCGTTGCTTCTCAGGGTTGGGGGCAAATCGCCAAGATGCTGGACCAAGACCCAAAGACAGACAAGAGTTCGTGACTTCATTTCATACTAATAATCACGACTCCTTTGCCGATTTCACGTGACGTGACCAATTTTTACGACAACAGGCTCGTCCTTCTACAAGACGTGGATCCAGCCCAACCTCGACGAGCAGTACGGAAAGCAGCTCTCTCGTAAGTCCTGGCTCCGTTTCCAACAACGGCAACAGCTAACAATTGCAAACCAAAACAAGAATTCATCGAAGCCAACCGGCCGCTCTACGCCTCGACCGTCAACGACGTCGAGTGGAACGACCTGTTCCGTACCGCGCTCAAGTTCGAGATTGGTCTCTTTGACAGCGTGCTCGCGCAAGCTCCGGGGTCGTGATTTCCCTCTTTCCCGTTTCTTACTTCTCACTTCCTCCCCTGGGCAGGTAACCAGGCAACTTTCTAGCCGTCCAAGGCCAGGCTGCAGCAATATCCGAAGACTTTATGAATACTACACAGCCAACGTTGAAAGAGTCTTTTGCTCCATAGTCCGCCACTGAATCAACTCTTTAATTACCGTACCTACTTACATGGGTATCCGTAGGTAACCAGAAAAAGACATTGCCTCCACTAAAAAAACATCCAATCGCGTCCCGTCGTCAGTACAGAGAGAGCGGAATGACCAGCTGAAACACCCCCACCCACCATCCCCAATGATGCATCTTCATATTCGAATTCCAGGCCTTTGCGTGCGTGAAAATGGAAAAGGCGTGCACAACATACATACACTCTCCATAATAGCACTGGGTAGTAAGAAGTATGGATGCATGCGCTGTACTCCGTACGCTGTCTGCATTGGCCAGCGGAGAACCCGGTCGAATTAACCCTTGCGCAAACAAGACGAGACCTGAGCTGAGTTGGCTGCGTATTTTCCCCAGGGGGGGAGGGGGAGGGGGGCTAGTGCGGTATTTCCGAACAAGCCGACCTGTAATCAGCCTTGTTTGCTTTAGGTGTCTAATTACCTTGGTTCTACAGAGGGCGTAGCGCGTAATTCAGGACGTGGTGGTGGTGGGGGACAGCCATGCCGGAAGTCGGCATGGGCTGACTGAGACGTGGGGGTCTTTCTTTCTCTCGTCGGCGTCAGAGGCCCGTCTCCTGCAAAAGGGGGTTGACTTGGCAGATTCGAATTATCGATTCGGGGTCAACTAGAGGCGCCATTATTCGCTGCATCTGCACTCCTGCAGGCAATGTTGGCTGCCGGCTAGCAAGGTCGCGAATCCTGTCAAGCTGCACAGCTCCCTAGTCCCTACCGGGGATGCCGAGGCGGCCCGTTGATAGGACAAAACAATAATCAGTCTTATTGCTACCTGGTCACTAAGTATGTAATCAATCCATGGTTCCCGCATCCTTCTCCTTTTCCGTCTTTCTCCGGACTCCTGACCTTGTTTCCCTCGCCAACTCCTGAATCAAGATGGCGACGATATCGAAGCTCCGTCTACGCAGGACTCTTTGCGCTCTTGTCTAGGCAAACTCACTGCCCGTGTTTGTTAGCCAGAAGTGCACAGAGAGGTGAAGGAAACTCCCTTTGTTGTGTGCCAGCGTGTGTCAAGGGCGGGTACACTCACGATGTCGATCCACCGCGCCATCCATTTTTCCACGGTCGATTTGGCTTCGTCTACTAGCCCGAGTTCTCAACCTGCTGTCAGCAAGAGCCGTAGCTCGCTCGACTAGTCGTTCGGACTCACCGAGCAGAAGCTGAACGCTACCCCGGATGCCAGATTCGAGCGCTGACGCGATCTACGCGTGTGTCAGGCTCGTATGCTCGCCGACAAAGATCATCTTCCCACCATGTCAGCAAGACTCCGACGGCTTCCTCATCCATGACAACTAGACTCAGGGGGACGCACATTGTTGTGGGTTTTAAAGTACTCGGGCAGGTATATCTGGTGCTGTCGGACAGTTGGGTCTGCCCAGCTTGCGCCCTCCAGAGGGTCCAGACAGCCGCAGACACGACTGAACTTCCCTGTATATTGTCGCCTTGCCACGTCGCCGTGGATCTTGATCATGGCGTCCAGCACGTACTGGACGTGATCGCGTTCGCTGACTGATGCCCATTTGTCGCCCCAGCCGGGCTCAGAGATGTACGAGGCCAAGAGCGCGCCGCGCCCCGTGCCGTTCAAGTTATAAGAAGGGTAGCAGATGTTGCCAATCCCGGGGAACATTTCGCGGCCGGCAGCACGGCAAGTTCCGTAGATTGGCTCGGAGAGGTGCTCCCAGAACCGAGTTTCGAACTCGAGGGCGACCTTGCAGGCAGAGGCATATGGCAGACGCGTGATCGCGTCCTGCATTGTCGTACTGAGGCCGGATATGCTCCAGTTCTTCATGGCCGAGAAGGGCACAGCCAACATGACATAGTCGTGGGTCGAGTTGATCCAAGGGTCCGCGTCTGCGCCCGGGAACTGGAGAGTGACCTTGTTTGAGTCTGGGGAGTACTAGGCCCTCTCAACGCGGCGGTTCAATGTCGTCGCCTTGTCGACGAGAGGCCCAAAGGAAAGCGGGAGCCGGTCTAACCCTGCGCAGTCACCACTGATTAACTAAATGTTCAGGCTGAAGGGGTAGGAGGTGATCGTCATACCGCCATCCACGGTCCTCCACGTTGTGGCGTTTGCGTACATGCCCTCGTAGAGCTAGCCATTGATTCAAGATCAGACACGGTCCGATGCCAGACGGGGAGGAAGACCTTCAGACGGTGCACTGACCTTGTCCCAAAATGAAGAGGCCCCTTTTCCGACGAACTCGGGGTTTGTGCTGTTTGACCTCGCCGTGATATAGTTCGCCATGAAGGCATATTCGCTAGACGGAAGCGTCCTGTTAGTCTGCCTGTTTGTCATGTTCGACTAATGCCCCCACCACTAACCTCCACTGTTGTATATCCCCCAGACCGTTGTCTACACACACGACGTGCGCAAGGGCGGTCAGCAATCGGCGCTCCAAGTTGGGCTTCTCGGCCAGGGGGGCTCAGCCTTCGCGCTAGTGTCCGTTTTAACTCACCGAGCCACTTGCGATGCGCCCTGAACATATTTCTGGCCATCTCCACGCAAAAGTCTTTACACGGAAGCGCCTTGTTCACCTTGTTGAAGAGCTCTCTTGTCGACGGATCGGGGAGCCTGTGCGACTGCAGAAAGGGCCTCACGCTACCATTGCCTCCAGTCCGGAGGCTCCCTTCGCTGGGGTACCACCCGTCGTCCCTGTCGCTCGAATCGTACCAGGGGATGAAGTCCACGCTGAGATTTCTGTCGTGGTTGTTGATTCTATTCATCTCGTCGGCAAGCTGGAAGACGAGCTGGTGGTCTGACACGTTGTGGGTTTCGTTGTTGACCGTAAGCGTCGTGGGGAAACGCATGGGGCCCATCTCCTGGTAGCTGTAGTCGAACGGCCCGCCGCTCAGGTACACTGTCTGCACGCGGCCACCCAGGCGGCTCCCGGCTTCGATGATGCTCACGTTTGTCATTCCTTGCTGTGTCAGACAGAGAAAGGCCATGAGCCCAGACATTCCGGCGCCAACGATGGCAATGTTCTTGCGCTTGGCGGCTGCAGCGTCCACGGAGACCGTCTCTGAATTTTTCAGCAACTCGACGCCTTCAAACCAGGGGCCCCAAACATCGACACCCGTAGAATTGTCCATGTAGATGTTGTGGGGGCTGTCGTCACGCTTAGGAAGCCTGGACCTCCGCCTCGAGTGGCGCCGCCGGTCCATCGTTTGCAAGTCCACGTGCTGTTCTCGACTGCGACCGAGCAGAAGGCCGGTCGAACTGCCCCATGCCGAGATGCAGCCTCCAGAGTATGCATCTTCGGGAATTACCCAGACGACTCGATCATGCGACGAGCTGATCGTCTGGCCTATGGCGTGGTGGGAGCCGCTGGCTCGTGCTAGAGAATCGCAGGAGCCGTATATGAGGTCGATAGATTCACGGATGGGCGTGAGGAAATCGAGGTGGACGTTGGATAGGCGAGAATCGAGAGATGTTCTTGTTTGGATTTTCAAGGGCGGCGACGGCGAACCCTGGGCAGTCGACGCTAGCAAGGCCATACCAGCTGCTGGGAGCACCTTCATGGCCGGCGGAAATTGGGAGGAAGAGGTTGTGTTTGACTGAGAGTAGGCTTGGAGCTTAACGAGCGCCTTCGGCGGCGACGGCGATGGCGACAGCGATGGCGACGACAACAAGGATGGAAGATGATGATTGCAAGTGCTGGTTATTTATGCGTGGTAATGATGTGGCCTTGGGCTCTGCTGCGTCGAGCAACCGCGGAACCGTGCATCGAGTGTGGGAGAGTGGCGCGACAGTTGCAAGACCATGATGCTGCATTAGGATTTGGCTCGGGATTTCTGGCCAGTGCATCGTGGCGAGGTCAGTCGACAGTGGTGTGTCTTCAAGCGTCAGTTCTTTCCGCTCCCAGAGCCCCAGAGCAGAATGGGCGGTTTCAACGTGCAGTTTGATTGCTCCTTCCGGACTCCGAAGTGCTCTGGCTCGGGTGCAGGTGGTTTGCTTAGGCAGTGCCTTCTTCGAGCCCCGGGTAGGTCAAACCCACCAAACAATTACGCAGCTGTCCTCCGCTTGAAAAGTTGATTACCTGCTTCGTTTGCGGTATCAGCAGCGCGATACGTGCAGTGGAGACGAGGGTATCGACACTACTCTGTATCAGCTATTCCCCATCAAATGTTACATCGCCTCATTGGGGATCCATACCTAACTGCAAGACTGCAAATTCCACAGCACCAATGTCTCCACGGCACCAATGTCTCCGCTATTGCACAGCCTCCCGTTCATGATGAGCCATCCAAATCGGGGCTAAAAGTGCGCTTATCTCAACTTCTCTTCCGTTCTCCACCGCGAGCTGTCTGTCGATATCATACATGGATGACATCATACCGTGAGCGGGGACTTCTGCTAGAATCACATCGTTAACAACTAATCGATATGGGCAAAAGCCTACCGGCTGGTCTGCTCAGCTGCGTGTGCTGGGCTGTGGGGCGAGGTGACTCCAATTAACCCCCTGTTGACACGGAAAAGGGCACCATCAACATGGGTAGCAAGTAAACACCGACCTGGGTCGCGCAGAGCTGTACGGGTTTGCGCACGATGGTAAATAGCTGCGCAATACTACTGATCCAGTTGTTCCGGGCTCGGATTTGATTAGTTACGACGAAAAAAAGACGGACAGCAAGAGAATCCGCCCGGTCGGTTTCTGGCCCAGTTTGGTGGACGGTGTGTTTGATTACGCCTTGATCGAGATAGATATTTGGCAATTTACTCAAGAGAGAAAAAGAGAAAGAGAGTGTGCTAAATTGAGCATTAGGCTACGCATTATTTGGTGATTCTCCCAACATAGCCAGCCCAATGCCCTGGCGAGTGGCTTCGTTGAAACTACTGTTGATCATCGGGCACGATGCACACTGAAGGTTCTGGGCACATAACACGATCCACCCTCTTTCTGGAGTTTATTAGACAAGCGACAAGAGACCGCTTGGTACATTCTATTGACTTGCGAAATGGTAGTCTTTGAGAGACGGAAGGTTATGAGTCTTTCTTATGTAATTACGGAAGGTTATGAGTCTTTCTTATGTGATTACGGAAGGTTATGAGTCTTTCTTATGTGATTACGGAAGGTTATGAGTCTTTCTTATGTGATTACGGAAGTTTATGAGTCTTTCTTATGTGATTAATATAACGTCTTTGGCCGTTTGAACTGTTGATATATTGCCACTCCGCTTTAGTAACCAGCCGTTAGATCAATCGTTTACTATAAATCAACCCCGGCGTCTGTGCATGTCTTGTTACCCATTGAAGTCTTCCTCCGTCTCGCTTCACACGCCGACCTGCACGACTCTCGAGACCCGAGGCTCTAGCGTGGGAGCAGTCTGCTTCTTGGCCCAGCTCAGCCGTCGGTGGCCACTGCCAGACCATGGTTGCGATTGATTCGCAGCCGCCAAGGGCGCCGTCTCCACAATATCCTATCAGGCTCTGAACATGCACTTGTGCTCCGCCACGTCCGAAACGCCCACCAGAACCCGTATGCATGTATATAATTATGGGGTTGTTGCCCCTCATTGCTGCCGGGGTCCGAGAAAGCCTGTCCGGGTCTCCTTGGCTGTCGGTGTTTGAGAGGAGCAGACAATTTGTTGTCGTGCGGAGAATATCCGGATCCGGCGTGTCAGACTGATAATCGCTCACCTATTAGTTCTAGTCCGGCAGCAATATCCGTGTGCTACCTAATCGTATAAACCAGGCGGTTCTGGAAAGCCCATGGAAGGGCGTGCGTGCTGTGGTCCCAAGTGCATCAGGCTTCCGTTATGCCTAGTTGCATCCTTGTTCGCTCTTGACTCATGTGCATCGAGTGCTCCGAGCAGGGGGGTGCGCGACTCTGAACGCACTGTCAGTTGGATGGGGAGTCTGCCATGATGTGTACCAGACAAAAGGGGCAGCAGATATCGTAAAACCAAAGACGATCTGAACTGGCTGACTAGTGCCGCCTTGCCTCCCTCTTGTTGCTTGTTTATTATTGTTTTGTTTTGATTCCGAACTCTCCCAGAATCCTTGCCAGGCTGGCAGCGGTCCTTGACTCCGTTGACGGCGCGCCGAGCTTGATGCGGACGGATTGGTGGGTGCAAGGCAGACACGGCAAACACACACACACCCACGGCCAATGGCGGCCCATGAGTGGTCCAAAACGGCGCGGGTGCTTTGGAGGGGGGTAACGCATGCACGCCGCAGCTTGCGTCGGGGTTTGGCAAGCGCCGATTCGGTTACTCAAGCGGGCCACCAGCGAGCGAGGCTTGTTTGGTTGTTGCACAAGAGACGAGAGACAGAAGGGGAGCGAGAGGGGGTGCTATACCGGCCACACCACATCGTGCGCGCGTGAGCGTGCTGCTTCGCAATCAGTCGATCAGCCAGTCGGGCACACCCTCCGCCGCCCACCAATAGCCAAGGTAGTCTTGTGCCTCGTGCAGCAGGTGCAGGACTCTGCAGGCAGGCAGACAGGCCTGCAGCTAAGGACTGAAGCATCGTGGTAAGGCGTGCTTCCGGCGGAGGTCGGCCAAGGAGCCTCATTTAGAACGTCGCCCCAAACATGCAACCGCACGCCGTCGTCTGCTCTCATCCGACGCCGTCTCCGCCCCCAGCCTCAACGGGCTCCGGCGCCGAATTCTAAACTCGCTCCCCGCCTCGTTCCCTTCTGTCTCTGGCCGCTGTCTCTTGCCGTTGCCGCGTGGTCTTATCGTGCATCCATCGTGCGCCGAGCCGTCCGTCGCTGCCGGCTCTTGTCTTATCGTCCGCCCGCCCGTTCCCCGACTTCCGAGGCCGGGGTGCGGCCCTCCCGTCACCGTGTTGCCGTCGCGCAGCCGTCCGTCTTCGGTCGCAGTCGCTTTGATTGTCTGCGCCTCCTGTCAACGTCGACGCGCGCTTGTCGTGCACACGCCGCGACCGAGGGCGAGGAAGCCGGAGCTAGCAGGAGAGGAAGCGGGAATCTCTCGGGTCGTTGGTTGCACATGGAACGCCTTTGCACAATACTGGTGGCGTCACAGCCAGCAGAAGAGCGGCACATCTAAGGTTTGGCGACGAGGCATTTACCGCGGCGAAAAGCGAGCACTCGGCGAGTCCACCGGCAAGGTACAACGAAGTTATTAATCAAAGCGAAAAGCTTATATTGGGGCTTGCTCTGCTGCTTTATCTTTGTGTGCTGCTTCGGTGGGTCTGGAGCCCAGGCTGGACGGTCAATTTCCTCTTCTTGTTGAACGGTCGACTTCCCTCTGCTTGTTGGACAGCAAACGGCGGTCGGTATCGGCAACAGTTTTATTTGGGAACTCGAGCGGGTACCGGAGTGCACCGAACGACATAAACAAAGGGCAGTGAGTGATGAAAGGTACGTGTGTCCATCCACATGCTGCTTCTAGGGATTGCATCCTCAGTCCGATGCAAGGGGCCGACGAGGGCAAGAGATGGCGATGTTGGGTGGTTGCATCGCTGGCTGCTGAAGGATTCTAGTCGGGTCTGCTGTTAGGTTTGGTGCTTAAGCATGCTTGCCCTGGTTGCTTCTCGAAGCAAGCATTGGAAGCATGGAACCGGAATTGGAGGGACGTCTGGGCCTTCCATTCCTGGCCTGGCCTGACCTGAACTGACCTTGCCTTACCTTAATTCCTTCCTCTCCCGCCGCTGACGCACCACTACTTTCTCTTAGACATAAATCAAGAACCAGCAACAGACTCTGCTTCCTTTCAGGCCGACCGCAGGAGGCCCATTACCAGGATGGCGCCCCTGATGGCCAAGTTCGAGGAGATGCTGCACAAGTTGAATGTCAAGCTGCGGCACTCGAAGGGCTCGAAGTCAGGCCTAGGAAGTCCAGGTCCAGGTCCAGGCCTAGACGGCACAGGCGGAAGCCAGCAATCTCTGCAGACTAGTACGGCCGCTTCTACTTCGATTTACAGGACCCACCCTTTCATCTCTCCAACCTCTAGTCAACCGAACTTTTCCACGTCCACCCTTTCAAGCCCGCCTCCACTCCCTCTCCAAACCCTAACTGCGCAACTAGACCCCTCAGAACCTCCAGACCCTCCCGAACTCTCGCAACCTGCACATCTCCAGGTCGCACAGCAGGCCTTTAGGGTTCGATTCGGTCTTTCCCTCCCTTCCAGGAAATCCAAAGCCAGAAAGAGGAAGTCGTCGCCGCATCTCGTCGTTTTGACAACTTCCACGGTGACCCAAGCGTCCATTTCGAGTAGCGCCAGCGCAGGCAACCTGCAGCCCTCTCCCGGGGACAGCGGTAATAATCTCGGAAGTCAAAACCTTGCTGCCGGTGTGTTAATCAGTTATCTTTTCCACCCCTCTGCCCTCTTTGCTCTCCATCCCTCCACCCCTCCACACGCTATCGGCAAGCCGCAAGCCACCGGCGTCTCGTTTTCCCTCACACCGTTCAGTCTCGACCCTCGCCAAAAAAAAAATGAAAAAAAATTGAATGAAAAAAAAACATGAAGGCAGCTGCATGTGCGCAAGCGCTAACGGCCGTCTCCCCTAGATCTCGCGGATACGTGCGGCTCATCGACTTTGACCCAAGGTCACACCCCGGCAACCTCGCCGCTCTCTCTCGCGCCAGCCGAGCCAATGGAGCCAAACCTGGCTACGGGTCTGCCCAAAGGGAGCGCCCGGGGCTCAAAGGCGAGCTGCTTCACTGGGCAGCCATTGAGCGCCATCTGGAATCCCGAATCGGGCAAGCCGCTGCCTTTGGGCACCGATACCGACCTTGAGGCCTATAGCCACTTTCTCGCCGGTGCGGCCTGCAGCAAGTGCGATGCCGATGTCTCCCCACAGGTGCGAGATTTTGTTGGCCGTACCAAGGTCATGATGAGGGATGGTAAGCCGACTTTATTTCCGACGATACCTTGTTCTTGTTTTTCGTGCTTTTCCTCATCCTCTGCCTCCTTCCATTTCAGCAGAAGGCAGCGCCCCTCGTTCACCTTTCACACGACCTTTCTGTTCACTCTCACCACACACCGCAGCATATTACTCTTGTCTGCGTTTCTTGTCCATACCCAGGGTTTCCGTCTTGCACTCTCGTCCACCTGTTCTAGCTCTGCGAGACTCTCCTTCATCATGACGATCGGAAATTGAATATATCCGCTTCATTATGATCATTATGTCATCGCAATTCTCCCTGTCTCGTTTGAAATATTCATCAGCACTTTTCGTTCTACCCCTGGTTCGGACAGATTCCGTGATGCGGTTTCTTTGCTTCCATCACCTTCGTCTCGGGCACTGCTAACACACCCTCGCCCTATAGGCATTGTTAGTCCATGGGTCCGGTGCTCCAGCTGCAAGTTTATGTGCTGCATCAGCTGCGGCGCCGGCGATAAGACGATCCGCAGTCTTGGTTGCTCGGCGTCTGCAAATTCGACGCACAAGATCACCTGGTGCTGCGATGACGGCCGCCTGTTCCTCGTCTGGACTCTCCTATGCGGCACAACCGAAATTAAGAAGCCTGGCCTGGCCTTGGAAGTTGATCCAAGCTCGTCGAGTAAGCCATCAACCTCAGTCAAGGACAGGCTGCGATCTCGTACCGGGGTGGCCAAGGTTAACGGCTCGGACAACAACCCCATCCCCAGCTCCCCAAAAGTGCTCAAGATGCCGACGCTGCCAATGATTCCAACGAACTTGGGAGCCGACGGTAATCTACTCCCTCTGTCACCAGGAACCGGGTATGGCGGTAACAGCGACATTCTCCCTCCGTTAACGATTGGGGTTCTACCATCAGCCAAGAGCTTACTGGCAACATCATCCAAGGAGGATCCCAAGCTGAGCGACGAGATGAAGGTCTTGCGAGACTATATGACGTGCCTCTGTCATGTCCTGCCGAGAGATGAGCGAGTCCAACGCAGGGCCTGGGAATTTGACGACCACCATCACCCCCTCGTCTCGGCCATGATTGTGCGGAGCCCACTCCTGCCTAAGATGTGCGAGCTGTTGCGCAACGACTCGATTGAAGAAATCGGGAAGCAGCCCGATGTGTACAGCGCCATGATCGGCTTGATTGATGTCGTGGGGTCTCATCCTTCCACAGCTCCCCTCCTGTATCAAGACCGTTTCTTCTACTCGCCGGAAAAGCAACTCGGCCCTGTCACCATCTGGCCTACGCCGACCCGCCGCTTCCTCCGCAGCCATGCCGCAGCTGGCAAGGATAACACTGGCCAGCCCATCATCACCATCCTGGAAAAGCTGGCCATACCGTGCCGCTTTTTCAGGGACACGGCCGCAGTGAACATGAAAGAATTCAACGCCCAGCAAGACCAGCGCCTCATCAAGGTAACGGCGCGCGTCTGCGCCGTGGCCGAGTCCCAGGCTCTCGCGCGGCCGACCTATGCGCCGGCGGTGGAGAAGGCGCTGCCACTGCCATCGGCACAGCGCCAAGCACAGGACGAGATCGAGCGCTTCCACCGGTCGCATTGTGTTGGCGAGATAGCCGACGAGAAGATTGTTGGATGCAGCCACTTCTACCACGAGGCCAACAAGATGGACCCGGGCAAGATGCCCAAGGGCCGCATGAAGAAGCTGGTCGCCCAGCTGGCCTCGCTGCAGACGGACCTGCCTAAGGGTATCTACGTCCGCCACGGCAGCTCGCGGCTCGACGTCATGCGTATCATTGTCACGGGCCCGGCCGACACCCCATACGAGCTCGGCCTCTTTGAGTTTGATTTGTTCTGCAACCAGAACTTCCCCGTACACCCCCCCAAGATGCACTTTCGGACGACTGGGCGCGGGAGAGTCGCGTTTAATCCAAACCTCTATACGAATGGCAAAGGTATGTCTTTCTCCGTGGTGTCAAGTTCCTATCTGACCGAACCGTGTCTAATGCTAATACTACTCGCAGTTTGTTTCTCACTTCTGGGCACGTGGAACGGCCCGACATGGCAGCCAGAACGCTCCACCTTATTGCAGCTCTTGGTGTCCATACAGGGTAAGTCTCGGTTTATTCCCCCACAATCCTCTCCCGCCCGTGCATTCACAAGACCAGAAAACTAACACTGCATCGTCACAGCCATGATATTCACCGCAGAACCGTGGTACAACGAGCCTGGCCGCGAGAAGCTGATGGACAAGGTCAGCTCCGATACCTACAACCGCCTCATCGAGAAGAACACGGCCGAGTACGCCATGACGGCCTGGCTGGACAACCGCCTGACCCCTCTCGACCCCATCACACCCGCCGCGCCGACCACAGGCCCAGACCCGGGCGAAGGCGAACAGAGCATCCCCTCCAACACCGAGCCTGATTCGCACGTCACGATCAGCCACGGGGCGAAGCTCGGACTCAACGCCCACCACCAGCTGCTAGCCTCTGAGCCATCGGGGTCGACCCCGTGGGGTGTCATGCCGAAAGCCGTCGCGGCCAAGAAGACGGAGGAGAAGCGTAAGGTGCAGAAGCAAATGCAGAAGTACCCCATGGACAAGGAGCCTGAGCCGCGGTCCGAGGAACTGCGCAGCCGCTGCCTGCGCGAACAATCGGGCGACGACGAGATCTGGGGCTCCGTCATTCGCCACCACTTCTGGGTCCACGCGCCCCATATCATGGCCCTGCTCTCCGCGCGTGCCTCCCTGTCCCGAGTGGACGAGAGGCTCCGCGCCGGCATGGACCTCATCCTCACGGGGCGTGGTTTCTTGCCCCCTCCCGCACCGGTGGCCCTTGCCTCGGGAGGACACAATAGCTACTGATAGAGAGCATTAGGTAGTCGGTAGGTGGTTGCGCCTTGGGAAGTGTTTGGGCTGGGGATGGTTTTTCTTTTTCTTTTTTTGTTGTGGCCTTTATTAATCGGGAAAGCGGTCATGTTCAGGGGGGGGATAGCCAATCCCCCCTTTTACGTCTCTCGCTCGTTGCTTGCGCCAGCACTTTGCCGCATTCGCCTTACCGCCTCTGAGGCTTATTTCAATTCTTTGATTTTTTTAATATTTTGTGCTAGCTGTAGAATTCAACCAGCCCCAGCGTTGCTAAACTTGTTCCAATGGTGACTCGTGAATTTGGAACCAAAATGCCTCATTGTTTGTGTGCGAGGCCTCGGCGTTAATTGAGTAGGTCTTAGACTTTTAATAAAATGCCTTCACTATTCTATAGGCGGTCCTACATATTTACTATTAGTTAAAAGCCTTGTATCTTTTAGCAAGGCTTTGAATTTTCAAGAAGCCTTAGCTTTCAAGAGGATTAATTACCTAGCTTAGCTGGTATCGTGTTTTCTTACTTGAACATAACATTGTAAAGCATAAACTGAAAGACGTCTAAAGGCTGACCCACAATTAATTCTAGTGTAGTAGGAAATTTGGTGTATTTAAGGTAGGTAGGTCCCTGACCAGTGCACCAATCCTCGGCCGCCAGAGGCGGCAACCACGAGCTGGACACCAACCATCTCATTTTCCACCGACTCTCGATTCTGGTCACTCGCTTCACCTCGTCGATTGAATCTCTCCGCCTAGGCCCCAAAAGGAATCCCCGCCCAAAAGAAATCACCCACCTAAAAGAAATCACCCGCCCAAAAGGAATCGCCCGCCCCAAGACCGACCCAACAACGACAACAAAAGTTACCGCCCTAAAAATCGGGCTGACTATCGTCCGACGAAGAGGGTCGAAATCGGGGCTCCTGAGGAGCCTAAGACCTTGAGAAGCGTCTTACTGAGCACAAAGCAAAATCACCCTTACCAGCGTCGCCCTTACCAACGTCGCCCTTACCAAAGCCGCTACAGCGGATGGAGGAATCCCAACCGAAGGGGACTTCGGTCACCGCTGACCAAGATGTGAGTCCGCTTTCCTTTCTAACAACTAAAGATAGCCCACTCCTCAAAGAAAAACGAGCCCCGACGCTGTCCTTGCCCTAATTACTGACAGCAACCAAACCGAACAAGCCGACCGACACAAGCTCAACATTCGACAGCTTTCATTCAAACGACGCAAACTCGAGCCTCTTGTCGCCGTGCTGGCAGAAGTTCCCACCTCGCCTCGACCCCTTCCGCGGCTGGGCCTGGCCCGTCAAATACTGGCGGGACTCGTCTATACCTTCAAGCCGTCGGCCAAAAAAGGCTCGAAAACTGCAGGCCCCGCCAACCAGCGTGCAGAGTCTTTTGCCGGCGGAGCAAATACTACTGACAATGGAAACCGGCAACGCCAGCGACTGGCTGAACATGTCGACGGTCAAAGAGCGAGTTGGCCCTCGCGGGATCCACAACGTCCCGTCTGCCCCCAGATGAGGACCCAGCAGCCCAAGGGCGTGGATTTTGTCAACGGAGGAACCAATGGACTCGGCAATACCTAATCGGAGGACTCGGATGATACGGACGCATGGCGCGGTCCCTTGCCGTGGTAGAGACTACGGGTTGGAGGTCTTTGCATAGCAAGAATATAGAGGCTTACACTTGAGAGAGGATTTAGAAGACAGCTGAGAACGGAATACATAAGCTCTGATTCGTCCCCCCTCCCCCCCCTCTCTCCTCTACGGTGACCCCCATACGACTCTGTATCATCAGCAATCAGTCGCTGCCGCAGTGGCTAGACCGGACCAGAAAGGAACATGGGTAGTATTCGTTCCTTTAGACCACTCCCGTAGCCTCAAGTCAAAGCTTGTCAAGGTTCGTGTGAGTCTCAGCAGCAACCGCAATGAAGGAAGAGCAGGACAATATTTGCCGTTCTTTCAGGCAGGGTAAGCCGAGGCGTTTCAGCAAACCAAGTAGACGGAGACGTCGAACCGCCTTAAAAGATCATAGATGACCGTTTGCATGATGGATTGTTAGGGGGTTAGAACCGACAACTCGGGAAGGTAGGTAACTAGGCACAGTGGATGTGAACTCTGTGCGAGGACTGCTCTAGACTGAGGAGAGTATTGGGGAAATTCCCCTAAAGTGTCCTAGCCAAATACCAATGTAGGTTACTCGGAAATGACACAAACGTGTCAGACGCTTGAGTTCTGTTCAAGTTTGGGCTTACTCTCGAGCAGGATGTTAAGGATATATATAAGCACCGTATATATAGATGCCAGAGAGCCTTTACTACTAGGGCTACATGTCACGATTCTGCCTAGTCAACGAGTTGGTCGACGTGCGATAAGCTCGGGGTCCTAGGCAAGGTCCTCGGAGCTCAAGACTCCGATTTCGCTGTTCCTGATATGGCACAGAAGAAAAGACCAGGGTGGAAGATTTTGTACCTTGCCGATTTTGCTAGAACCGAGATCGTCGCAGGAAGTAGGCACGAAACTGTACCGCCAGGATACGACTCTTTATACTATTAGTGGTCAAGTGTTACTTACTAGACGTAAGAGAGGTGGTGATAACTTTGGTGAAGGATGGCGAAGATGGTGCGAAAAGAAGTAGTTGATCGTTGAGAGGTGAGGAAATGAAGACGCCGGGAGGGGCAGGTAGAGAAATAATCAATGACAAGATTCTTGACGTGACAATTACACAATTTCGGCTGAAGCACTGCACTACCAGAGAGCTCGACCGTAAGGTAGATTAGGGGAGAGTACCGACCGATGTCTTCAACATCTCTGTGAGGTGTCGGTCACGACGTCGTGTCAAGCTACACTATGCCATTTGAAGTTATCAGCCCTCTTCTTGCGCAGCCCGCAAATCAAGGTTTTACGCAATGCGTGTGGGAAAAGCCACACTGCCTGCCCATTGGCCAAAAAAACACGCATGTGCTGAAGCGCAGGCACAGTTAAAACCCCGCTTTTTCGGGGTTATTAAACACAGCCCCCAGCCGAGAGGCCGCGGGATTTTGAGTTGCTTCTTCTTTTATTTTTCTGCTTCTACATATGCAATACGACCCGGCTGGAGGGATATCCGACTACCTTACCTTTCCTCAAGCATTCCCACCAATTATCAGCCTTCGGAAAAGTGAACACCGACAGGCCGAAAACCCATCTTCTTATATGCTACCTACCTCCCCAATTAATTATCGCGATTAAAAGAAATGGCCAGCGAGCCTTTCGATTGGAAGTGGTTTTACAACCCTGATCCGGACGAGTGGATGAAGAAACGGTTCCGGGCCATGCTAAATTTAGAGCAAGTGCAAACATATCTAAGGTCAAAGTCGTTGCTCATAGGGCCCGATAGAGACGCACCTCAAAAGGTATAATTACCAGGGCAAACCAAGAAAAAAACCTTTGCGCTGATACGTGTCTAGAATGGGGAAACACAATGCCTTGTTTGTGACAAGCTCCTGTGCGTGTTAACAAGTGCGTCGCCGTTCTGGTTTGAGCTCGGTTCCCCGTCTAATCTACTTCGGTCGTCGTGCCGATTCCACACACCAATCATCCTACACTCCATCGCCGCAGGTGTGAACCGAACGCACGTTGAATCCTTGAAACCGCCCAACCCGTGTGTGGATTCTCCTGTGCATGCCTCGAGGCACCACTCGCCCGGGTCTCTTTTGGTGTTCCAGGACGGCCTCGTTCACACATCCTATCACTCGGTCCGAAAAGATGTGCAACTCCAAGGCCACGGGAAGCTTATTAATCGTGAATGGATTGATACGGGGCTTCTCCGCTCCTGGAAGCGGTCTTGTCTCGAGGACCACGGCGACCGCTGCGATTTCGCCCTGCCAAAGGCAGCGTCAGAACTCCTCACCCAGCGACCCCAGCTTCTCATCGACACGTGGCGAATGTGCCTCACGGACGCGTCTGGAGACCAATCCTACATCGCCCTCAGCTACGTCTGGGGAAACTGCAACACTTTCAGAACCTCGACTAAGAATCTCACCGAGTTGAAAAGGGACCATGCGCTCTCGCATGCCATTCGAGATTCTTCGATTCCAAACACCATTGTGCACGCCATGCATTTTGTCGGTATCCTGGAGGAGCGCTACCTATGGGTTGACGCCCTCTGTATCGTCCAAGACGACGACGCATCAAAACACCAGCAATTGCGCAGCATGGCATCTATCTATGCGAACTCGGTCCTGACCATCATCGCTGCCGAAGGCCATGATGCGAACCACGGCATATGCGGACTGCGGAATGTGTCCGAGCCCAGGAACTGCCAACAACACGTCTTCCAACTTCCCGGGGATACTGACATAATACACGTCCCGTGGCCCGAGATGTACGACAAGACTTGGTTCAGCCGGGGCTGGACCTTTCAAGAGTGGCTCTTCTCCTCGCGGCGACTGATGTTTGGCGACGCGAGAGTCCGATGGCAGTGTCCCTGCAGTAACTGGCAGGAAGATGTCGACCACCTTTCCGGTCTCGACGTGGCCCCTTTTCCAATCGGCCCCGACGACGATCGCGTTCTGACCAGAGCCCTCTCGAGCACATGGCCAAACATTGAAACGTATGCAAGCATTGTGCAATATTACAACACGCGCAAGTTCTCGCTAGAGGAAGATGTTCTGCCCGCCTTCTCCGGAATCACGTCGCTACTGGTATCCACATTCGACGGAGGCTTCCTCTACGGCCTGCCGGAAATGTTCTTCGACGATGCCTTGCTCTGGTTGCCCTTTCCCCGTGTCACAAGACGCATTGCAACAGACACCAGTGCTCCGTTCTTACGAGGCTCCCTCCTCCCAAGCTGGTCCTGGATGGGCTGGTGTGGCGAGATCGACGGCTTGAGCTGGTTGGGCGGTCAGAGCAATATAGTAATGTCCCAAGAGGGGGGCGTGCGGATACTGGAGTCGGTGGAGTGGTCGACGGGCTTCCCGTCGGCATCTGCCCAACAGAGAAGAAGAATTGTCCCGTCGGGACGCAAGTACTCGGAGATATCTGACAACGATCCCGTCCCGCCCGGATGGACTCGCCATCAACAAGAAGATGGGTCTACTGTCTACACGCATCCGAAAAACCCAAATGCCCTCTACAGCTATCCAATCCCCATGTCAAGCACGCTGAACGAACTCCCCGGCTCGCAGCCGACGCACCCACAGACCCCGCTCTTGTTCTTCACCACAACAAGAGCCTGGCTGCACGGAATACGTTACAAGGGGAACCATCGTCCAGGCGTCACCCTGAGATGCGAAGACGGGTCGTGGGCCGGATTCCTGAACCTGCACAACTACCAGACGGCCCGGAAGTTCCCAGTCACAGGCCGTGGGGAAATGGTTGAGCTACTCGCCATATCCACGGGAGCCGTAACACACGACGGCTACGCCCCCCAGCTCGACGAGATGAAGATGGCAGAACGGCCTCGGGACGGGGGTGAGTACCGTTTCGTCAATGTTCTCTTCGTTACCTGGGACGATGGCGTCGCGTACCGGCAAGGACTTGGGCGTGTGCTGGCCTCCGTCTGGGAGTCGGCAGAGCGTGAGTCGGTTGATGTCACTCTCGGGTGACCGACGCACAGCTATCTGTCCATCTGAATAATTACAGCGAAGTGCGGTGGCATAATCATCACATCCAGAACAGATTGCAGGCCGTGGGATCGACCATCCCGAAAGAGCTGCGGCCCATGGGAGCACCCCGCCGTATCCGTAAAGTGGACAGCCGAGATCTACCTATGTAAGACCTTATTTGGAATCATTTGGAGACGCTGTGGAGAACCGAACAGAACTCGTGCTGACTGACGTTGTAGTTCGAATCCTCCGGGGTTAACAGATCGGCCCACATCGGATTTCGACGGGCAAGCCCGGATATACTAGGCTCGGGCATAATAAGCCTGCGCCGCAAGCCAATAGCAGCGCTGCAATCCTTGCCTCTGGTGAGCAGTACAACGGCGTTAACAAGCTCACCCTGATCCCATTGGCTGTGGCGACCGAAGTACCGGAACGGGATGTAATGTAACCTCTTGGCTGGCCCAGTCCGAGTTGATGTCTATATGACAAGTCCGAGCAGCCATTCTCCAGTATAAATAAAACCTCCAACGTCTCACACCCACAAGATTCCAGTCTTGCACTCTAATTAGCAAAGCAAGAAACCATCATCTCCATCACATCCAACAAGCAAGCAACAACTAGAAACACCTCGTCCACCCTCACACACTCTCTCCCGACCAACCCAATAAGAAACTCACACAACACCCCAAAAATGGCGACAGCACAAGAAGCCACGCAGGGCAAGAGCGCCAGCGGCGCGCCGCACCTGTCGCAGGCGCACGGCATCCCGTTCCCTAAGTACTTCGCAGCACTAGCAGCGACGTACAACGCTCAGACGGGCGACACGACGCGCAGCTTGTTCGCAGCCGCGCTGGACGACATCACCGCCCAGGTGCCGCTCACATCAACGTCGCGGGTGCACGACAACGCGGCGGGCCCGGGCACGGCGGCGTCGGTGCTGGTCGACCGGCTTACCCCGGATTCTCTGCCCAATATCCTCGTGACGGACCGGGTGGCGGCCATGGTCTCGGCTGCGCGCGAGTCGTTCGCGCACGTGCCTTCGGTAACCGCGGCCGAGATGGACAGCCTCGCGCTGAGCGGGGTCGTGGATAGCTCGGTGACGCACAGCATCCTCAACTTCAGCATCTTCGCGATATCGGACCCGCTGCGGTGCGTGCGCGAGGTGCGGCGGACGCTGGCGGGCGGCGGCGGCGGCGTCGCGGCGCTGCTGACCTGGCGCCGCTTTGGTGCGGGCGAGATCGTGCGCGCAGCGCAGGCGCTCGTGCGGCCGGACTTGCCGCCGATGGCGTATCCGCATCCAGAGTTCTGGCAGCCCGGCGTTCTGGCGGCGCTGGCGGTCGAGGCCGGGTTCGACGAGGCGAACGTCACGGTGCTGGAGAAGAGCGTCGTGGTCGGGCCCGGGCCGCAGCTGGACGGCCTACGCGGGTTCTGGGCGAGCGACTTTGTCAAGCCCGCCAGGGTCGGCTGGACTGATGAGGAAGTGGCCCGGTGGCCGGCGGCCGTCGAGCAGGCCGTCCAGGCCGAGATTGACGCTCGCGGCGGTGTCTTGTTTCAGGCGTATGTGGTGTTGGCGAGGACGTAAACGAGACGGCATCTCATACGGGAAACGAAGAGGACGGTAATTAGACAGTAGATTAGACTATTGGGTTTAGCTAGGAATTGAACATACTTTCATCCTTCATCCCTTAAGCCGCCAAATCACCGCTAACGGCTTACGCACACGAATGCCTTTAAGAACCGCACTTTTATCTCTTTGTACCAGTGGCTTGAATCCGTATTATGGACTTTCCTTTCGCAATATTTTCCTATCTTTCTCGTGCGAAACCAAGCACTTGGTCCCATATAATCACCCTAAATTTTATAGCGAAATCAAGTCTAGACTAGACCAAAATGCATATTTGGGTAGTAAAGTAAAGAACAAGGTAATACACCAAAGAAAGAATAAAGAAAAAATACAAATATACAACTATCAACGCGGGGGTATTTACAACAATAACAATACTACGATACTCATGAAATAAAGGGGTAGTCTAGTAAATAAAGCCCATGACCGAAATACACATACTAAAAATATCGTCAAATATTGACCTAATGAATAGTTAAAGTTCCAAGACTTGGAGTGATGATACTACTTGGAGTGACGATACTCCTTGGAGTAATGATACCACTTGGAGTGATGATACCAATACGGACAGGAGAAATAATTATGCCACATGCATTCTATATACGCGGCCGTGATAAACGCCTCGACCAAAGTTCCGCATCATATCGTAAACTTTTTCTTGCCCACGTGCTGCCCCACTCTAAAACATCGTAGCCCCCTGAAAAGGCAATTCGCCCTATAAACGCCAGCCATCAATAATATACGTACCTATACAATATGCAAATGACGTGCGAATATGCTATCGTCCGTCCCTTGCCGTGCCTCAATCCGACGACCTTGCCGTACCTGCTTAGTCTTAGGCCGACGACTTTGCCTTACACCCGCGCCTACGCCGCACCCCTTCCACCCGATCTGCGTCACCCCTCCCAAAATCACAGGGGTCCTCCAAACGGGTCGTCGAGACCCTTGGCGACCTTTCGTCTCTTAGCGTCTCGGGCCGCTTCGCCAAACACGGCGGCGTCGTCGTCGACCGTCCCTCCGCGGTCTTCCGGATCTCCGTCGTCGGAGTCTCCCTTCTTGAGGGCCTCTTCGCGCCGTGCTCTTTGCAGCGCAACAAGGTTCGAGCGGTCCGGATCGCGACACTTTTTGAGCTTCTTCTTGATGGGAAGAATCAGGTCTTGGTACATGTCTTTCTGTGGCAATTGTCAGAGACGGGTCTGAGAAGTACGAGTGAGGCAGGGGTAGTAAGGTTAGCTTACGCTCTGCCAGTGTTCTTTGCTTCGTTCCGGCATTTCATGCGCCATCATCTCCCTACACGCTTCGATGGTCCCGAGTACCTTGTCCCGGATCTGCTGCCCTATGATGGCTTCTTTGTTTTGGCCCTTGGGCTGATGACTATCATTCGGTGCACCATCGCCGCCATTTGTAGGCGTGCCTTTGTTAGCTGGCGGGGTGATATGGTGGAAGGTTTCATGTATAAGTCGTTCGGCCAGCTCGCGATCGGCAAGCGATAACGCGGCCAGCATGATCTGGCTCGGTGTGTAGTGGAAGTAGGCGTCGGTGACCAACGAGCTGAATCTCAGTATCGACTTGGCACGCTCCTCGGCAGCTCGGATACGTTCCTCCTGTCGATGAGAAATATCAGCAACTAGGCTAAACAATGGTATAGATTTATGGGCACGGAGCGGAAGTAATTTGACCCACCTTGATATCGCCGAGCCTTCGGAGCTCCATCCCAGCGCCTATAAGCGGGCGAAAAGGGTGCCTAACATCAAAGGCAAAGCGGATGCCTTGACAAAACAGAAATTCGCCGGCGAGGATGTCCTCGGGTTGCTTTTTTAGACTTCGAAAAGAGCCCATTTTGAGAAAGCTAGGTGGCAACACTCTTGGTCAGCAGTCTATTCGGTGATTCTTCCCGGGCTACCCTTCGAAATCCCTCTCCAACCCCTCTGCCCATGGCAGAACTCGCAGTCGAGAGAGTGGCTGAGACGGAAGCGGAAGGGGGCCTGACTCACTCGGTAACCCTCGTAAACCACCCTTCTGCCTTGCAGGCAAAAAAGAGCGCGACAATCATCATGTCCTGCGGGGAGTATGTCATGATGCTGTTGGTGATGTAGAACCTGCGGAAGAAGGCGGCGGCCGTGGCGCAGATTTCGTCTGACAACCCCGTGGCGCTGCCGGCGCCCAGCAGCTGCGTCGTGTAGAAGGTAGTCATTAGGGACTCGTCGGCGACCGTCAGGAACTCGGGTAGGCGGAAAGACGCGCCGTCCGGGTCGGGCGTGTTCGCATTCGACGTTGAGGCGGACCGGTCATTATTGTTCTTCTCCGACGAAGACGACGCCCGGGAGAGGCGCTCCGAGATGCTCGCCCGCGCCAGGGAGTTGGACTTCTCGCGCAGCGATGCTAGCTCCGCGCGAGAGAAGGACCATAGTCGGTATTGTGACGAGAGCCGGTATCGCGCATCTTCGGTGGCCATGGCTGGCGGGGGTGACGGCCCCGCGGGTTGGGTGGAGGGGTGCGCAGGCGAATGGATCGTAGCTCGGAGCGATGGAAGGGAGGGCTAAAGTGGAATTTGGGCGGTGGAATTTGATCGCATTTCGGGTCAATCGAACAGAATTGTTCAACGAAATAAGGCGCAGGGAGAGTCTGGCCTGTCTTCCGCTACCGTCGCAGTAAGCTCGACCCTTTTTTCTGGACGTCGAGGTAGCTGTTTTTTTGGGTTGCTGCACTGCGATGGAGGGGAAGCTTGACGACTTCCCGGCCTCGAAGAGTGGATGAACAAAGAAAACCCCGAAGTGGGGCTCCTGTTAGACGCAATAAAAGTCTGTGCGCTGTAATCATAGGCTGTCAACGGCTCAGAGAGCGGAGAGAAGACCGAAATTCACACAACAAGGGGACGAGAGTTATTTATGTAAGTGATACTTTCGTTCATAATCTACGTAGTTGGGGTTAACAGGATTACCACTTAAAAGTCCAAAGGTCCAAAAAGCTTGAGGATAAACGCCTTCCCACCAGGTCGCGGATCCAGTCCATCCAGTCCCACTGAGGCTAATCAACATGGCAACCACCTCACCAACAACCGAGCGCCGCCCATAATTAACACGCTAGCACTAATAATCACAACTCCCTTCTCTGTTAATATAATCCTCCTCCTTAAAGAGTCAAATGACAAGGCATGAGAGCAAAGGGATACTCTTTGCCTGCCGTCGAGTCTAGCTCACCCCGCGTAAAGCCCCATTCTGTCCGGGATGTTGCCAAACATGTCCAGGACAGACAGCGAACTTAATGCATCGACCGATATGCACTGGCAGCTCCATGCTAGGCGCCGTGGCGGCACATCTAGTATCCGAGTTCTCGTCTTGCCGGAACAGGAGGCGCGGGCTTCTTGGAACGGCTTGGCGGGGGCGGGGGCGGCGCCTTGCGTGATCCTAAACCGCCGTTGCCGCTCACCCCGACATGACTGGAAGTGCGACTCAAGCTGCCGACACTTGTGGCCGGGCTCTCGCTGCGGTTGGCCCAGTCTGGACTCCCGCTGTCGCTGGTAGTGTCGTCGTCGCGGTCGCGATCCCCAAAGACGTCATCTCTCGTCGTCACGATCCTGGTGACAGGACGCAGCTGATTGCGCAGGGTTCCGACGTTGGGGCCGACGTTCTGGTTGACCACCGCGTAGTTCGAGGTGGGTGTGTTTGCACCAGAGATGCGCCCACCGATGCGTTCACGGTCCAGGCTTGCTCCGCCCTGGAAGGTGTTCGCTTTGCTAATAGTTGGGCGGATTGGGGCATCTTGGTGCTGCTGGTTCTGCGGCTGCACAGAGAGGCCCACCCGAGATGTGTTGCCGCGAATAGGCATGCGGACGGGTGGCGCGACGTCAAGCTCCATCTCGTCGGCTTCGTAGATGTTGCGGCTGTTGGTCCGCGAAAGTCGCTCCGTGTAACTGCGCGCCGTGTTTGATCGGCTTCTGCCTGTGGGGCGACGTTCAACGGCGCTGCCATAGCTGCTGGATACACCGGCCATTGCTGTTCCGGCCCAGTTGTTGCGCACGCGTCTGAGCTCCTCAGCGCACCTCTCATGGTAGTCGAGCTCGGCATCCATAAACTGCGTCAAGTCCCGCACGCTGTCGACTTCGGCGTCCCTGATGTCCTGCATGCGGCGCAGGACGTCTTCCGAGGACTCCTCGTATTTGGCCTTGGCAGTGCGGAGCTCTTCCTCGAGGCGGAAATCATCCCGCTTCGATTTCTGCATCTTGGTTATGCTCGCGTCGTAGGCTAGACGGCGACTCTCGAGCTTCTTGCGTGAGGCCTGGGCGGTCTGTCAGCGACATAGTTGTGGTGACTGCGGAGGTGTGTGGGCACTAACTTGGTACTCTTTCATCATGGCCAGAGACCTCTCCAGGGACTCGAGCCATGTAGCGGTTGCTTCGTTGACAAACGACTCCTGGATACCAGATACCCGCTCGTTGGCGCGGCCCATTGCTATTAAACAGTTGCCGAATTCCGAATCTGACTGAAACTCCTCGCCGTGGGCCATCATGGTGCGGCCCAAGTAGCTAGCTGGGAGACCCTTCTCTTTGTCGTCGGCGAGCTCTCCGCGGCGGCCAAGCCATTTGACATACATGTTCATCGACTTTTGCATGCGCTCCATGCCTGTGCAGATGAACCGGGTTAGCAAGGGACGCATGCTATTGCAGCGACAGACCCTCGTGCAGGCTTACCGTCAAATCTGAGCGCCATTTCGGTTTCGAGTTGCTTGAAGTCTTCTGGCATCGTGGTCTTGGCTTCGGAGCCCATCTTCTCGCCCGCCCATTGGAAGGCGCGGTCAAACTTTTTGGTGATATTCATGGTGGGTGGCGGTGTTCGATAGCAACGAGGAGTCTTGACTGTTGTGTGTAGACTGCAGGACGGACGGCTGTGTAGAGAAGAATCGAGGGATAACGGCGACTGTTGCAAATCCGGACGCTAATTGTATATTTTGTGGTGGCCGGCACTGGAGATGGCAGCCGAAAAGGTTGGGCTTTCCAACCTCCGAGAATACGTCAGGGGTGGTTGGTGTGATGCTGTAATGAGTGCGACGGCTTCTGGGATTGCAATGTAGCACCCACGTATTGCGTCTCGGTCCAAAGCAGCCTGGCCCAAATTCCTGCAGGTAACCAAAGTGAAGTGGCAGACACAAGATCAAAAAGAGAGACCAAGAAGCGTACAAAGGGGGTAGGTGGGAGAAAGGCTTGATATGTACCGATAGCAGAGCAAAGGAGTGGAAATGGTGCGGTGGCAATACCTGGAAGATGTACTGTGGTATCTTTTTTCTTGCGACACCGCAAAAACGGGTGAATTGAGATCCCCAGTTTAAGCCAGTCTTATCGCTGCAACCAGGGGCGGGGGCAGGCGGGCCAGTGATTTCCCACGATTCCCACGATTGCCCACTCAGTACTTGCAGAGCGCTAAGGCACACTTGCACCTACTGCAGGGGTCAGTCAACGTCAATGCCACTAACACGGCCGTAGAGCGGGGCAAAGGCCCAGGTCTTAATGGATGCGCACACCATGACAACAATACCCCATCCCGGGAAATCCAACCGAAGTGGGAAAATAATTTAATCCTCCAAGTGCGATTCTATTTCCTGGGTGCGCAGCTGCCCAGAAAGCCGGAGTGTGGAAGGTGCGATGCGCGAACTCACACATCCACACTGGTAGCATCCACTGCACCATTTCATTGCTATGGCGATACCGTTACAGTATCGTCCCATGGACCATGTTCATTAATACACCGCTTAAGGGGACAGATACTGTATGAATGTATGTACACACACACATACTGCACCACGCAATACTCCTTCGGTGACGGACTGGCCGAGGGGGCCAGTGAACCAACGTGCAGCACCCGGCGCCGGCCGCCGGCCCAACCTGCCCATTTAAACGCGCAATTTTCCATTTGTCGCAGTCGCTCTGGCGAATAATGATGGCGACTGGCGGACCACGGCGCCGGCGCGCTCTGCACTTTGGGCACCTTCTCGATTGACAGTGGTCCGAATTAGGGACGTCTCAGCTCTCAGATACGGATGAGGAAGGCGCGCGAGTCCACAAGGGCCCCAGCCTTGGCTATCCTATTTGCCTGATCGAAACGCTCAGTGGGACGGTTTCTGCGTTGTATGGCAAGCGGCGGCCGTCTTTGCGACCATTTGCCTGCCGTTGCATCAGAGTCGCTGGTTCCTGGACCCCGGAAAATAGCAGCATGACAGGGTCGTTCTGGGTCTCCCCAGCCAAGCGGTTCCCGATTTTGAGGAGGCGCAGCATCTCCGCCCCCACAAGTCTAGTCTATTGCCTCTAGCTAGCGTGTCATCTCAACAGACACGTTTCTCGGCGTGTTTCAATGGGACGATGCGATGGGCCTGCGGATGCGCTTCAAAGAAAATTCCCACACAAGCTCAAGGATCGGAGCTGGCTGGGCATCGCTCGGGAAAGGACGCCCACCAACTGGAGATTAGTGGCCACCGTCATGCGCTTGTCGTTGCAATCTCGTCTCGGCCGCGATTTGTCTTCGGGCCGCCAAATGTCTCCCCCACCCACATGTTCGCGGTGCAATAGCCTAAAAGAGCTACCGTATCCCCCTCTCGCCATGACTGCCATGGCTACACATCACGACATGCACCTTCTTCAAAGAGGACTCTGGGCGCTGGAATTCCGGCCCGAAAAGAACGCAAGTGGTGTGCGACTAATCCCCTGCCATCTCCTGCGATGCCGTAATACTATTCCATTGATCAGAGACTCTCGGACTTTGGCGCCGACGGATTCGCGCTTAGTATTCCGTATGCCAGTCCAGCGGCATCGAATGACCGGGGGCCCAAGCAGGGGGAAAGAGCTGCCCTGAGCTTTTGACGCCAAGGTGTAAAAATGGAAACCAGAAAAAGCCACCATCTCACAACATCTTCACCGGGCCCGGCGCTCAGACTAAACGCTGCAGAGCCGCCAAACCCATGTGCCTCTCCTTGGTCGCCAATCGTGTGGCCAGGCCATGGCAAGTCCCGAAACGCATTCTCCCTTTTGCGTCACGCTGAGCCAGACCTTGCGATTTTAAGCTGTGGTCAAACCGCCCCGGAAAGTGGGCTCTGGCTTGGGTGCATGTTTCAGCCTCAACGGGGTACCTCCAATCGTCGCGTTCCCGCCAGCTGGGCCGGCTTGTGTCGGCGAGCCGCTAATCCAATCGACGGGGAACATTTTCTGCCGCCAGCTCCTTTTTTTTTTTTTTTTCTTAATCGCTGTTCGGATCCGATGATTTGTTTGTCTTTGGCTGGAAAAGACGCGGCGACCGACTAGCCTCGGTGTGGTTACCCAACAGGCAAACAACCTAAAACATCGTCACACGTTGCAGCAGAGAAAGCCTTGTCTGTCTCTGGTGTCGGCCGGAACAAACCGTCGCCCAAATTGCGACTTCTAGAACGTAGGCGTTGTTGCTAGCGCCTCGTCACCGTCTCGTTCTCGTGGGGCCCTCGTTGCAGGGCTGATCTCTTATGCGCGCGGTGATCTATCTTTGGATGCCAAGACTGCCAAATGCCGTGTTCCTGCATGCTATCCCTCTGTCCCTCAGGTCGAGAATCACATCCGCTCAGATCCGCGCGCTGATCTAGTTGGTAATTATTCGTCCTCGCTCCGGGGATGCTTCCGAGAATGCCTGTCTGTCTGGGCTCGTCGTCAACGATCCACCACGCGCCCGCCATTCGCAGCCCCGAACTGCTTGGTTTTGCAATGTCTCCAGACTCAATGCGGCGGCGTCTGGATAGACCTTGAATGCATGGGATACCTGTCCAGTTCATGAAACACCAAGGTGGGGTCCCATATCTGTGCATTAAAGTTGATGCCGGGGCGTTCCGACCACGGCCTCGCTGCACTAGATTCCCATATCCGGACACGCAGCTCAATGACGACAAGGAAGGGGAGAGTACAGATAACTAGCCCGGCACTGTAGTTCATCCTGCTGTGTCTTGCCCAACAGTGATCAAGCTTACGGACTTGACCTCCCGCTATGGATCTTTGCTTCTCTGGATCCTGAATATCTGTCAATACAGATGTCAACAAAGCTTGTACGAATATTTCGTACATGCATCCTAGTACTAGTCAAGACTCTGCAGAAACACTAGATCTTAACACCAGTACTTCGTACTCCGTCTGTCCAAAAGTTTAAGGTGCCGCCATTGACAAAGGACCTAATGATGCTATACTGTTACAAACGCCCCGGTGGAGGATGGCCCTGCCTTGGCAAAGGCGCCCCTCCAAATACATGCTCGTCGGCAAGCACAGAAAAACGCGGACGAGTGTTGACCACGGGTCTCACGCCAGGTTGTCTCGCCTCAGGCTCCCCACAATTATCAATGTCACATCTCATACGCCGTAAAAATAAAAAGCCCGTAGTTCCGTTTTCTCCTCTGTCCGCCGTACTTCTGCCGGCTTCCCGAACTAACACCTCTCAGACGGTCCCGCTGATGCTCAGTTCTCTTATCTCCTGCAGCACCTGCTCGACCCTGCTGTCCAGTTGGCCCTGGGCGTACTGCTCCCGCGTGTCGGCGTCGAGGTATTGCTGCACCTGCGCCATCCTGCTGTACGCCTCGGCGCAGAAGCGCAGCTGGATCTTGACGAGCGCCTCGAACGACGGGTCGAGGTAGGGTACGCGGAGGTCAATGAGCTGCGGCAGCTCCGTGCACAATTGTTCGTTGAGCTGTTCGTACGCTGCCTTGGCCATGTCCATATCCTTCTCAGCCCGCGGGAGCTTGGTCACGTCCTTGTCGGGCTTCTCGACGAGCTTCTTGACCTTGGCGCGCAGGGCGTCGTAGTCGAGCAGTTTATGACTGCGTTTCTTGATACCTGTCTCCGGGGGTGGATCATGTTAGAGGACGCATGCGGTGCTGAAGGGAAAAGACGAAAGAAGTGTTTTTAAAATCCAGCGAAACTGCGGGCGTGGGCCACGTACACTCATTCACGTCAGGAAAGTAGGCACAGAAGCGCGTAATGGGCTCCAGCACCGTCGTCCGGTACGGCCCGTCCAAGGCCTTGATCGTTTCCGCGTCGAGGTCTTCGACGGCCTGCTTGTAGCTCCTGCTGACGCCGTCCTTAGCCCCGGCGTCGCCGTAGAAAGCGTCAATCGTCTCGGCAATCCGCATTTGTGAGGCCGTCATCGCTACGCGCAAGGTTAGCTGGCGCCATCTCTTGTGACCCTGCCTCCCCTCCTGCTTGCTGGCTGTTTACCTCGTAGAGAATCGAGGTATCCCTTCGCCTCCTTCTGCAGCCGCAGTGACGCCGCCTCCATGGTCCTGAACCGCCTATCCAAAAGTTTAGCTCTTGGCCGTCACCCAACCCCCTCGGAAGATATCGTACCTCTCCTCAACCTCGTAGTCGCGGTCGTTCGTTTTCTCGACATGACCTATCGGAACCTCGGGTTAGCCACCTTCAGAGGTGAGGGGTCGACATACAAAACAAGAGAGGGTGACGAACCTGTCTTCATCATCACCTGCGTCGTCGCACGGTTGACATTTTTCTTGAAGCCTGCAAACAGGGAAGGCAATACATGTTAGACACATTTATTGGTGGTTGCGGCCGTGGCGGGGCGTGCATACCTGCCCACGACATGATGGGCAAACTGCGGGTTCTCGGGTCGAGGGCGACGTGGAAATATGGCCGAAAATAAAATCAGGAATGCTGAGTATTGCCGTGGAGCTCGTGCGCTCCAGGAGGTTGTCGATGTAGCTGTCGTCTGCTGGTGTTGAGAGGGCCGGGCCGAAAAAGCAAACCGCAAGAATGATGACTGCCGGCAAGTTCGCGGATCCTTGTCGTGCCTGGCTTGGGAAGGGGACAGCGGGTTTGCGGAGGGGTGACGACGTTGAGTGTGGCGGTGCCGTCCGCTGATTCCAGATTCCCCCGCCCAAACAATTTCCTCGACCCCAATTCCAGCGAGACATCAAGTGTGGCACAGGCAACAGCGACGTCAGCGCGACCATTGCAAAGCCACCCCTCGGCAAGGCGGGTCAAACCAGAACAGTAAGCACTGGGCGCAAGAGGGCCAGTGCGCGGCAGCTCCACTTCTAGGGTTTTCGACAGGATTTCCAATTCTCGGGGGTGGCACTTTAGTAGCAACAACACTGATTACCGAGCAAGTCGTGGGATATTCTGTCTTTAATGTCTCCGCACGCACCCTCCCGCGACTTCAACTTGCAATCTGCGAAAACCGAGATCGATATCCGCCGGGAGACAAGCACGACGACAACCAAGCTCGCGAGCCCGCGATTCCCGCCGGCTTGAACAATCGCAAAATGACGAGCATCAAGCGCATCGTCATTACCAGCCTCGGGAATCCGGGCCAATACCGAGACACGTACCATTCTATAGGCCACATTGCGCTCGAGGCGTTACAAAAATCATTAACACACGACCAACCGCCCTTCACGCCCGAGAAGATCGGCAGCCAGTACACCCTCGCGTCGGTCGGTCCGCGAATCACACTATGGCAGAGCCCGTCGGTCATGAACTACTCGGGCAAGTGGCTCAACAGAGCGTTTACAAGCTACGTCAAAGATAACGATCTCCAGCTCACCGATACGGCGCTGATTGTCGTGCACGACGAGCTGGAGGCCGAGCTGGGCGCGATCAAGACACGGGCCTGGGGGCAGAGCCCGCGCGGCCACAACGGCGTCAAGAGCTTGCACGAGTCCATGAGGTGCCGCAACTACCCGTGGGCGCGCCTTGCCGTCGGCACGGGGCGGCCGTCTTCGCGCGCGAACCACGCCGTGTCCGAGTTCGTGCTCAGTAAGGTTACGAACCGCTGCCGCTCCGTAATCGAGGAAACGGCGCCCCACGGCATCTTCCAGGCCGTGACCGCGCTGGTCGAGGGCTGGGAGCAAGAACCCGCGCCGAAGCTGGAAGTGCCCAACTATCCACGGAGAAAACCAACTGTAAGGGAGCTCTTAGGAAAGAGGTGGCCCCGGCGGATACCTGTGTATCGACTGGATTACGACGCTAAGGTGATGGATTTAGACAGAGGCTACGGGTACAAGAAAGAGTTCTCACTAGAGCCTGATGGTACGAGAACGGATCCGGGACGCTTCTAGGGTGACTTGCCGCTGGGCTGCTTGTCTGCAGTTATCTCGGTAGTATTACACGCTAAATGTCCGCATCCTTGGGCAAACGATCAATAGAATCGTTGACTAGGGTCGACATGGAACCCTGGCAATTCTGTTGAATATATCAACAAGAACTATATTAATGGTTCTATCAACAACTATATTAATGGAATACTAGCCATCTTCTCTCTTCAGCTCCCGTTCCGAAATTTGTATATGTCCCCTGGTATGTAGCCGGCTTGCAATGCTGGGAGTCCATCTCCGCGCCGGACCTCAGATCTTGGAACCCCTAGCCTTGCCTCCGCTCCCCCGGCTAGCCCTAGGCCCATTGTCGTGGTCGGCGGGGTCCGCGCCGGCGGTCTTCTCGGCCTTGAGGCTCGTCGCGTCGCCCTCGAGGCTCTTGCTCGGCGGCAGGGCCCGGCCCTCGCGGATCTCCTCCGTCATCATGCCGCGCACGTGGTGGCCCCCGCGAAGCTTCTTCTCTTCGTGCGACCCGCCCGACGACGACGGCGGCGTCCGCACCGTCTCCGGGAACCCCGCGTCGTCACCGGCGCCGCCCGTCTCCGCCAGCGACGTTAAGTCGCTCGTCTCGGCTTTCATGCTGATGGGGTCGCCCAGCTGGCTCGGGTTCGCGCCCTTGCCGTGCAGCTTCTCGGCGGCCAGCTGGCGGAGTGGCTTGTTGGATGGCGACATTTTTAGTGTGTGTATGTGTCTTGTCGGGGCGGGATATAGGGGACGTGTCGGTGGTTGAGTCAAGCTGTGGTGTACGTCGTTGGTTGAGTCAAGGACTGGTGTATATGTTTCGCAATGTCAAAGACGGCGGTAGAGAGGAAGTTTATAGTACATTTGTCGGTGTTGCTGGATACAAATCCTATATGATATAATGATCAAAAACGACTGTGTCAAGCAATGACGTCGACGACCGAGTAAGTTTGCGCTACCGGAGCCCGGTATCCTATAGCGGCCTGGAGGGACCGCCAACTGGTGCTAGTCCCGGAGCCAGAGAGAGGCTGGTGCGTGCGTTAGACGGTGTTTCGTACAGTAGTCACACCTTATGCTACGGAGCTGGGAGCTTTGTCGCCGAGGCAAATGCTGCGCGGTTCGTGGCCTTGCTAATTAGAGAACCTTTGAGCGGCGCCGTTCGTTGGGAAACAGTGCTAATATTTGCTACAGGCGCCATGACGCCATAAAGCATAGTTAGCAGAGACACCAAAGGATACTTGGTGGGTGCTCTTTGCAAGATTTGAGGACCATTCACGTTTGCTATGTTCTATCTGTTTTACGTCCCATGTTACGGGAGGTATATTTTAAAGTACATTTCGAAACGAGCTTTCTTCTCGTGGGGGAACTAGCCGTCAGACCTACGAAACCTTCTTGAGCAGGGGGTATAAGGGGCTTGAGTCCTTAGTCGTGGTGTTTTGGTAACCGTTGTGAGCTATGTGATACAGTCGGGAACTCTTGTCTTTACTTATCTCTATCCGGAAACAGGAATGTACGTAACACCAGTGGCTATATTCACACCTGCAGTAGCTTTCAAGCGACCTGCACCTGCATATAGCTTTCTTTGTGTTCTTAATACCTATGGAAAGGGGATACTACTCTTCACGGTTTACTGGGCCGGATTTGTAGGTCTGAGACTCAGAAAGGACGAAGCGACCACGTTTTCTCTTGATGAATCTTGAAAGGAGAAGATCAGGCATTTCCAAGATCATGACGAGGACCGACAGACATTAAAGGTAGAGCTGCAATAACTATTGCTGTACCCAGGTCTTATTCATGATCGCAATGAGTGGTATAGTCGCCGATGCAGAGGCACTAACTCGGAATCTTGGCGAGAGATAACACGGATGTTTGATAGAGCAAACCGGGGCCTTCAATATAGCATCCTGTGCCTGTCTAGAAAGGGCCACTAGAAGAGCCCATGGAAGCTTCCAAGCTTTATCATCCTTTGGACATACAGAGGCCACCAAGGCCTGCCCAGGCCGGTTGAGGCTGATTTGCCAATCCGGGAAAGCTAGCGGCATCCCACTGATATTGATCTAATAAACGTCTCTCTGACTTGTGGTGTTTGTGGTCGAGCACGGCACAGCGCCATGCATAATAAAGGCTGTATATATCCCCCCAAACTTGCCACCAGCCAATGAGGGACGGTTCGGATCCGACGTGAGCAAAGTTTCTGCTAGGTGCGGGGTCTCGATCGGCGGGAAAATAGGATTGATGGCTGTTGAGTAAATAAATTCCAGATTACCCCCTTTTGGCCGGCAAATCGTCTCCAAAACAACACGGCAGCCCGCACATGGAGCCTTTGGCGTCCCGACGCCACGCTTCTATCGTCGATTGATCCAAATTTGCATGCAGAGCCACGCTCAACCGGGATCCACTGCGTGGGAATTGCTGGTCGAGAGAGTGTCTTCTTGCTTTCCGTGCCAAGAGCCGAAGTTGATAGGAAAGATGTCAGGGGTAATCGTGACCCGAACCAAAGATCCGCGGATAAAGGCCCGGGCTGTCCATAGAACCCATGAAATGCGCCTGGGTGTCATGCGGATTTTGCCCTGTCCTCGTGCAAGTCTTCCTACCAACGTCTGCACTTGATCGGGCTGATATCCGAGGCCCCGACCGGCCGCTCTCAAGCACGGCATCACAACATCAATCCGTGGACGACACAACCGCAATGCATTGGACGTCACTCGCTGCCCTCGGGCTCGCGGCGCCCACCTCGGCGCTGCTTCGTTTTGGGTGCTCGCAGATTGTCATTGAGCGCCTCGACCCCTTGGTCAACCCCGGTCAAAACCCGTCGCCTCATCTGCACCAGATCATCGGCGGCGTGAGTGTGTCCTGGGTCCACGCCGGCTACGGGGAAGCAGCTAACAATAGACGTGCAGAATGCGTTCAACGTCACGATGGATCCGACCAAGGACATCTCCAAGGAGGCCACCTGCACGTCGTGCCAGTTCTCAGAGGACTTCTCCAACTACTGGACGGCAGTGCTATTCTTCCAAGCCAAGAACGGGAGCGTGCACCGGGTGCCCATCATCCCCAACGTGGGGTTCGAGGGCGCCAGCGGCGGCATGACGGTGTACTACATGCAGGACGGGCTGGCGAACTACGCGCAGACGTCCAAGGTGACGGCGTTCAAGCCGGGCTTCCGCATGCTCATCGGCGAGGCGTCGTACCGGAGCAAGAACCAGGCGGCGCGCTTCCGCCAGATCACGTACACGTGTCTGCAAACGCCAGGCACGCGCTACCCCGAGTCGGTCAACTTCCCGACCAGCCCGTGCCCGGCCGGTATTATGGCCAACGTGCGCTTCCCCACCTGCTGGGACGGCAAGAACCTCGACTCGCCCGACCACATGTCGCACATGTCGTACCCCGAGACGGGAACTTTTGAGAGCGGCGGCCCCTGCCCGGACTCGCACCCCGTCCGCGTGCCCCAGCTCATGTACGAGACGGTGTGGAACACGAGCCGGTTCAACAACAAGGCGGACTGGCCCGAGACCGGCCAGCCGTTTGTCTGGGCCATGGGAGACCAGTAAGTGTTCGTGCTTAGCTTCAGGCCGGAGTAGGCCTGGCCGAAAAAGACAGAGGTCCAGATGCAAGATTGAAGGAGGGGGGGATTCTCCTCTGGTTTAATCCGCTGACAAGAGCTCCCGCATAGCACCGGCTTCGGCTCACACGGCGACTACGTGTTCGGCTGGAAGGACGACGCGCTGCAGCGGGCCATGGACTCGACCTGCTACGTCAACTGCCCGACCCTCAAGACGCAGGGCATCTCGGACATGAACAAGTGCACTGTGCCCGTGACCGTGGACGAGAATGTCGACGGCTGTAAGTGTCTCCCCCGCACGACTTACTCCCCTGACCCGCATGGGGAAAACATGCTGACTCGCGGCCGCGATCGATTTAGGGCTCCCTAGTCTCCCGGGAAGCCCCAGCGAGATGTAAATTGTGGCTACGCGGGTAGTGAATGCTAGATTACGTGGATAGAAAGGGCGAGACGGAGCAAGGTAAACCCGGATTTGCTTGTATACTCTTCGTGATACGCAATAATATCCAAAGTCGTTGCATAGATCCACTGGCTGTCACTGAACCTCGCCTGCGAGTAGAGCGTCGTTGAGTTTGTTAAACGAGGTGGTGGCAGTTCTGGCAGAACCCGGACACATTTCTTTCGAGTGATCTCATTCCTCCTTGCCGAGGCACACATCGTTATTCAGAGCCACATACAGCGACACACGGTCGTACCTGCACGAGGTTTGCCAACTCCCAGCCTCTGCCGTACGCCGTGGCACGGAGGGTGGGATGCAGTCACCGCCTGGCCAGGACAACTACCGAGGTCTTCTAGAAATGTGCGAGGCACAAGACGGGCACTCCCAAGCCTGACAACCGACATTCATTCCGCGGCGGGTGCTACCTGGTTCGTGGTCAGCATGGACTCAAGAAATGGCACGACACAAACTGGAGGAGTAGAGAACATTCAGGGGAGGCATGAAGACGAAAAATAAGGATCTGTCTTCAGACTAGGACTACTGAGACAGAAAGACAGAAACAACCAGAACATTAATTATCAATGTTAATATACGCTAATATGTATCTTGGCCAAAAGAAGAATTTCCTCCAAGGTTTCACAACACAATACCACATGGACCTGAAGAGTTGTACTGTAAACGCTGAGTTGTACTGTAAACGCTACGTCAGCCACGCCGTGGTCCTCCTATTGATCTTGCATGACTCCACCCGGCCATGGCTGATTGGTGGCCTCCCAGCGGCGCCGCAATTACAACGCATTAACAGGCTGGGGAACGATGACGTCGCGCAGGGCTGCAGTGGCACGGTGGAAAATACGCATCCTAGCTCTAGGGTCCTAGCTCTAGGGATACGAGAAGGGGAGAAAAAAACATAATTACGGGGCCACGTTCAACTCCACACCGACATCTTGACAAGGCACGAGAAAAAAAAGGCCAGAATCCGCAGCTCTAATAATAGCTATTGAATGGGGCCCGGCAAGGCAAGGGGGCAACGCTCTCGTACTCGCACTTCGCATTTTAGCCGGACTTTTTTGGGCGGCGACCGCCGTCCGTCTCGCTTGCTCCAAAACCTGGGGTAGCACGGGCACCTCGGACCTAGGAAAACACACGGAAGCCAAGAAAAGAGGGAGCTGAAATGCAGGAACCCAATCGCCAAAATCCCAATTAATTAGCAGCTTTATGGGAGAGGGAGCCAAAGGGATCGTTGATGTACCATATCGGGAAGTACATATATAAAAGCCCGGGGAGTCCCCAGGTTTTATGCCTGCGAGCGCTAATCATGGACCCATAGCCGATCGCCGGATCGTCATCGTCATCTCCAGTCTCCACGTCACATGCCCAGGCAGACGGATTGATTAGCGAGCAGAACCTTTTCTCGTTCTTCATTCCATGCACGAGAGCCGTCGCGTGTCGAATTAATTATACTTTATCTGCCTCACTTGTCGCCTCGAACGCAATATTCTTATATATACAAGAAACCTCCCCAATACCACCGCCACGACAATGCATTCCACCACCCCTCGCACCCTCCTGGCAGCCCTTCTCGCCCTGCCGCTAATAGCACCAGCGACGGCCTCGCCAGTGGCAACAATAGCTACAGAAGAAACAGCAGCATCTGAGGGCGGCTGCACGGCGGCGTCGTTCGGGGCGTTCGCGTGGGGCGTGCGCGGGTTCGACTTCCACGCGTCGTACGTCTTCACGACGCCCGCGCACCAGAACTCGTGGGGATATGCCAGCTTCAACCTGTCCAACCTGGCCGACGGGTCCGTGGCCGCGTGCGCCGCCGCCAGCAGCCAGCTCAGCGACTTCTTTTATGGCAACCTGGCCTACGCCTGCACGTACCCTGCCGGGTCTGAGAGCGGCGGCAGCGCGTCGTTCGACTTTAACCGCGCGACGGGTGCGCTGCGCGTTAATCAGTCGTGGACGTGTCGCGACGAGGATCCGCAGTATCCGTGAGTCTTCTTTTTCTGCTTTTGTTTGTTCCTGATTGGGTTATTGGCCAGGGAGCCCCGGCTGACGCGAGGCGACCAGGACTACTTTTACGGGTTATGGAGCTGTCAACTTGAAGCTCGACTGCACAGACACGCAGTACACCAACCCCAACTGGACCATGGGCCAGATCTACTCGGATCGCGAGATCAAGTGCAGCCTCGTTGATGTTGACGTTACGCCGTACGAGCTGACGGCCCTTGCGTGATGCGGGTGTCGAGCTGTTAAATTCCTCTGTTAATTGACTCGGAGAATCTGAAAGCATTGAAAATTGGCGTTAATTGATGTTTGGGTCGTCTTTCCCGGTATTTGGATGTGTAGGCACTCATTGGGCATCTTGGATGTGGCCGTGGAGTGAGCGAGCCGGTATGGTGTAGCCTTAGCGAATAATGGGTAATGATGGGGATATAATGACGGGATGGGACGAAAACGAGCTTCAGTTGCTTGCAGAGTTAACAATTGACATATAAAATAAAATAGAAACCGTCTTGAGCATCTCTTTCTTTGTATAAATGAGACAGACGATGTTGTCATGTTTGTCAGCAGACAAATCAACTCATAGCTGCCGATTTCGGCTTCTCCGTCCTGACGATCAGTCCCGAGAAAATTTACCTGTTTTTTATGAGAAAAGAGAAACGAAATAGATAGATACGAGTTAAATCGTCCTTGACTCAAAAATTCCAACGCTTAGCATTTGCAAATAGCTTATCGTGGGCTTCACGAGCTGCGGTGTTGACTTTCACACCTGGTCTCAGCAACCCTAACCCTGTGCTTATCGCGCTTGCATTTAGTACTTATTCCCGGCAAAAATGCCGAATTTGTCATTATCAGATTACTAATAGGCTCTCAACGGTCGAGGTGGGTTGGAAGGCGCTAAGACGGCTCCAAAGTTCCGGATCCACCTCCTCATCAAGCCAAGTGTGTGCGGGGCTGCGTTTGTGCGCCATCGACGAGCAAGCACGCAATCAGCGCGATTGATATCGCCATGGCACGGACGGAAGCTGCCCCCGACAAAGAAGGTTACGGGCCAATGGAGGCGACCAACCACACGGCCGATGGCTTCCAATTCGGGAATCACGCCATTCCGTCTCGGCCAGCGGCCCGTCCGGCTGCTACTGTCCAACGTCAATCGCCTCGTCACTGTCCACCGTTACGTCGCCGATGATGACCCCGACCGACTTTGCTAGGTAGCTATATAGGCAATTGTCTTGCACCACCACACCGATCCGTCACTATCAATCAATCAATCAATCACCTGCTTGCGACTCGAGCCTGGAGCTGATACAAAGACCAACAATCCTCCCTAATCCTCTTTATTCCTAATCAAATCCTCTTTATTCTTCATCAAATCCAACTCCAACGACAAGAATCGTCACACAACCGCAGCACTACCCCTCCCCGACAATGGCGCCCGGAATCCTCGTCGACGAGCTCCAATACCGCCCAACAGATGCAGGCCGCACATCACAGCCAAAGGAGGACACAGCCCCACGAGACATCTTCCCCGACGGCATCCGCACCTCGGGCCAGCACCCCCCTCTCTACGACGTGCTCCGGCCGTACTCGGACTTCCCCAAGGAGATCACGGGCCCGACGGTGTGGAAGCGCGATGACTACGTCAACAACCCCGAGCGCTGGGTGCACCCCTTCACCGACGACGAGGCGCAGGAGCTCAGCGACACGGCCGACGCCTTCATCGCCAGTGGCACGCCCCTCACCGGCATCTCGCAGGCCAACTTCCCGCTGCCCCGGCTGGGCAAGGTGCTGACGGTGCTGCGCCAAGACCTGCTCAACGGCAAGGGCTTCATCCTCTTCAAGCGCTTCCCCGCCGACGTCTGGGGCCCCAAGAAGAACGCGGTGGCCTACATGGGCCTCGGCACCTACCTGGGCTACTTTGTGTCGCAGAACGGCCGCGGCCACGTGCTGGGCCACGTCAAGGACGTCGGCGACGACCCCACCCAGATTCACAAGGTGCGCATCTACCGCACCACGGCCCGCCAGTTCTTCCACGCCGACGACGGCGACATAGTCGGCCTGCTGTGTGTCCACCGCGCCGCCGAGGGCGGCGAGAGCGACATTGTCAGCGTTCACAACGTCTGGAACACGCTGCAGCGCGAGCACCCCGACGTGGCCGAGTTGCTGACCCAGCCCGTCTGGTACTTTGATCGCAAGGGCGAGGTCTCGGAGGGCCAGGAGCAGTGGATCCGCCAGCCCGTCATCTACCTCGAGAACGGCGGCAAGGGCCGCCTCTACTGCAAGTGGGACCCCTACTACGTCCGCTCCCTGACCCGCTTCTCCGACGCGGGCCTGGTCCCGCCCCTTAGCGACGCCCAGAAGCACGCCATGGCCGTGCTGGAGGAGACGTGCAACCGCCTCGCCCTGCACATGGTCCTCGAGGTCGGCGACATGCAGTTCGTCAGCAACGCGCACCTCCTGCACGCCCGGACGGAATACAAGGGTAGGCGGCCCAAGTTCTCGTCGTCGCCATGTGTGTCTGTGTGATCTTTTGCTGACATTGCTGCGTGCAGACTTCCCTGCGCCCGCGCCGAGGCGGCATCTCCTGCGCCTGTGGCTAGCCACGCCCGAGGGCGAGGGCGGCTGGGCACTGCCCATGCCCGACAGCCACGAGAAGAAGCGCGGCGGCGTCCAGGTCAACAACACGGCGCCGAGGGCGCCATTGGATGCCGAGTGAGGACGATGCTATCTAATTATATTTTCTGGCTTTTGTTTTCGGCGGGCGTGCTCGTGTTCCCAGTCATAGCAGCATGACCCGACGAGGTTTTGGAAATTCTATTAGATCCTGGGGGGTGTTTCTCTTAGAGCGGGGCCGGTGTACATAGTTGCGAGAGCAGATGCCCCCATCAGAGAAGATGACGCTTTGTTTCCGGATTGGGGCCCTTTGATGCGAGAAATGTGATGCGTGGTCCGTGGAGCGGCCGGGCGCGACTTGATGTTCCAGGGTGGCTCCGAAGCTAGCTTCTTAGACGGTGCTGGAGCGAGATCAATCTCGCTCTAAGATCTAAACACTGGTCACTAGTTGCGACGGCCTGTTGGTGGTGTGGTGGGCAGCCCGAGGTGGCCGCACCTCGCATTTCCTGCGGGGGGCGGGGGCCATTGGGCGGCCATAGTCCGAGGTGGCCGGCCGGCTGGGCCACCTCTCGCATTTCTTACCGGGGCGGGGGCGGCCGAAAGTCCGGCCAAAACGTTCTAGATGGCCTTGGGGATTCTGAGGCCCTGGGCTTACTAACGTAAGCTGAGGCCTAGTCTCAGTAATTAGTCTGGACTCTGGCTGTGAGGCAACCAAAACCCGAGAAAACAAGCCTGCCTGGCTCTTATCTTTTCCTCTTCATTCTTTTGGTTAATTCCTCCCGCTAACACGGCGCGTCACTAAAATCAAGGCCTGCTCGATTTCGCCTCCGACCTTGAGAAGCACTTAAAAGATAGCAGGCTTAAACAGCTGGCTGCAGTTTCAAATAATTAGACGAGAAGCGCGGGCTATTTCTTCAGCCGCAGGCGGGCGAGTGCCGTATCGCGTTGAACTTTCTCTCCAAGAACAGCGCAGGCGCAACGCTGATAAAGTGCATATGGCCCAGCCCAGGGACGGGTATATGGCACAGCGATGCGCTAGTACACCTGGGCATTTGATTTTGGCCTCGCCCTGGCGCTGTAAGGTGGCTGGAGCAGTCTGTGTAGGGTGGTCATGGAATTCTAGACGGTATAATTGCTGCGGGATTTGCTCGGTTCAGTGGGAATTTGGACACTGGAAATGCAAGTATTATTGGAGTGTTTCCTCTATTAGGTCAGGTATTCTGTCCTTTATAATAGCTCCGAGAATCAGCTTCGCAGTCGCTCCTTTAATGTAGAGTCTCAATAAACGAGTACCCGAGCCTCTGCCACAGCTGTGCAGTAACTAAAACTCTAAAGCGGGTTGAAACGGGCCGCCAAGGCCCTCGACCAGCCCGTGGAGAAACATGGTCTCGATTAGCGGCTTCAACCTCATTAGCGCGTTGTTTAGTCCGAACCTGCGGGTCCGGCTCTCCGAAATGGACTGAATCCTTCTCGGACTTCCTAAATCTTCATGGCCCTAGCCTGCCAGAACATTGGAGTTGGCTAGATGAGGCCTAAGGTATCAGGCCTGGCTCCAAACGACGAAGCCTACGTCGCCAAATTTCTCTGAAACGCTTGCGAAGCTGGTCTAGTACTCCAGCTGGGCCGTAAACTGTCGGACCGGCCTAGTTGGCTGTGGCGTAAATGGACCAGGAATTATTAATGCTTTGCCTTGCTTTTTTTTCTTTTCCTTTTTGCCTCCTCGTTTCTTCGTTTTTTGCCTTTTCAAGCTTTTACCGAGACGCTAAACCCACTGGGACCAAGTCATCATGCCAATCCAAAGCCATAACAGGGAGGATGACGCTAACTCCGTGTTAGAATCGTTGGCGAATCAGTCACTGAATGACGCATTGAAAGATACTCTGGAACTCGGCAAGGTTAAAGATGTCAAACTCGACGAACTCAGAACCAACGCGGATCTAGACCTCGCACGAATTCAACAGCTTGTGAAAGATACTCGTGCCCTCGTGGCCGGCGAAAGGAAGGGGCAAGTCAAGGATGACGAAGGCAGGATTCTTGACGAGGTGAAATCGAAGAGCAATCCACCTAGAGTGCTACTAGGCGTTAAGCAAAGGTACAAGGTTACGGACGCAACTGTCGATTTTGACGTCCTTATCCACCGCTTCGAGACCAATTACGGTGCCGAAGGATACTTCGAGCACCTCCTGAGGGAAGACAAATCTGATCTGAGCAAGTGGAACAACAGGCCAATGCTTGGTTCGAACCCTCCAGCTCTTGCTCTCGGGCATCTTGCGCTGGTAAAAGGGTACGACATAATCATGTGGTGCCACAATAACTTTCTTTTCAAGCTCGACTATGGCAAAAAAAATGGTAGAAGAGATGGTAAGCCCCTTTCTAGTACCTCGTCTTGTCGCAAAAGAAGAAACTAATCTTTACCCTCTTTTGCTCTACGCTAAAAGCCGATGAGGCCGAGTTGAAACGTAAGAATCCAGCTCTGTTTGTGCACCCCGATTAAAAGAGTGTGGTTCCGCTGGTGAGTCACCTCCATAAGAGCTCAAGCTAATTCAACGCTCATTCAAGGCCTGCTCCAATTTGCCTCGAAGATCGAAAGGCATTTGAAAGAGGGTACGGTTCCCGGTCATGTCGAAGGGCCGAAGCCGGAGGTTAAGGTCTTTACGCCTGGGAGTACGGCTGTGCCCTTTATTAACCTAGGGCCCGGGAGATATATGACTGCTTTGGAGATGAATAACTCTAAAAAAATTCATGTAAAAGTAGACGACCCCAAAGACGGCAAGTATTACGTGGCACTCAAGCCTCTGGATAACGCCAAAAATTTTGTACTGGCCGAACCGCCGTATCCGCAATTACGAGAGTCCGTCGCACTTGAACTCCAGAGCAAAGGCATGTGCAGCTTTCAGGTTTACGTCGCGGATAAGAAAACACTTGTTATCCTGGATCGGTACACCGTGGATTTCAGAATTTTAACGCCAATTTCCGCAGCCGGCTAGGACTAGGCTGCTATACGATTCTAGATGCCCATCAGCTGTGGCATTTCCTTTTTCTTCTCGTCATCGTCCACATCATCAGACATGCTAGATAGCCGTACGGGTTCTACATATTACAATGCTACCCACTCGAAATAGGCTATTAAGGCAAATTTGTGATCCGAAGCAGTGAATCGACGCCGCATCAAGGAGGTTGCAAAACACTCGACCAAGCTTGGAGAAGAAATGCAACAGAGCACAATCAACTGAAACCAACAGAGCCTGGGGTGATTGGCGGACCAAGGCGGCTTTTAATGTGGTGCCACGGCGACCTGTGGGTCAAGATCCACTGGGAGCTCCCCATCGACAACGTTTCCCACCGTTACAGGGAGTTCAAGGCCCGATAACATAAAAAAGGTCGAAGAATAACAGGCGAAGAATCAGGCGGCGTGGGCATGGACGCTGGCCGACGAGGGTTATAAACTCGGCACGGCCCTGGACAAATACTTGGGCAGCCCTAGAGGGCAAGTGCGTAGAAAGTTGCTGTACGCTTACGATCCAAGCGAGAGGCTGGTGCTAGTTGTGGGCTGGCCTCCAGTCAAGCACGATTTGTCGACATCCAAAGCCAATCCGTGGGCTGTGGACGTCAACGTAGATAAAAACCACCACTCAATAGAACCACAGAACAATCAGACGTTTTGGCATGCGCTTATCGAGCCCGTGGCCAACGCCGGGGATTTCATGGAACTCCAGCCACCAACACCCGGGAGTAAGCGAATACAACCCATTGCTAAGAAAAAGGGGGAGGGAATGTTCAAACTGTACCGGGCACAAAAGAAGAACCTTCTCGTCGGCTGCGTCGATTTTTATTTCGGGGTTGTGTAAGGTTGGAGAGAGCAACGGAGTCGCTTGCTTCCGGAATGTTCATTCAGCTGAACGGAGCTACCGTAGGCGAGCTTGCGAGCCGGAGGTGGCGTAGAGAGACTGTATTCTATATTACCGTGAGGGTGCCGAAAGTTTCCCGCACAGCGATCGGCCAGTTTTCGTCCGTGTCGAAATGGACTCGAGGGACTGGTCGATCGGATGAAGCTCGGACAGGTTAAGCCGTGAAATGCCGCTTTGCTGTGTTGTGGTTGTGTCAGGAAGGAGCAATTTCCCAATTAGTAGATATAACGCGTAAGCTGTATGAAGGAAAGCGCCGCAGACCAAGATCGCCGTAGGCACTAGGGGTCCTAGGGGGCTTGCCCCCTAGAAATCCAACATTAGACCATGAACATCGAAACATTAAATTATGACGAGAATTTGTTTTGGTGTTGAGGGGCTATCGCCGCGGGCTCCCTTTGTTCTGCTTGTCAAGATGGACAAGTATGACGTTACAAGTGCCTTGCGTGCGGCGGATTACCAGCGCCGTGTTGACACCGGCGAAGTGTTGGTTCCGGGTGTAGCCTAGATAGCAGAATCGACTTTTTCTGCCTCAACCATGCTGTTTACTTTGTGATGACTCTCCTGTGTTTTTTACTTTTAACACAGTTGACACAGTTGACACAGTTGAGTCAACCTTTGGCTGCGAGTTATGGCACAAAGCGGGGTTGTCCTTACTAATTTAGTAAAATTGCCCAGCCGCCCATTCCCTCGAGCGAAGCGAGGACAGGCCGCGGCAGGCGCCGCCGGAGGCATCCGTTCAGCTGACCCCTTCCTGACTGGTCAGGTAGCTTATTTTACTTTGGCAAACCGCCTGGTAGGAGCAGAGACTGTAGCATCGCCGCGTGCGGCGGGTCTGATCTTTTCTGAGGTTAATTACCTAAGAAATTATAAGTACCACGCATATTCCTTCGTTTCGGTCGTAAACTAGTAGTCGGAGATTCGAAGCGCCAATCTTGGCGGTTGGGATTGTGGGGAGAGGAAAGAAAACGGGGGACCTCGCAACGAGCGAATGAACGAACTCCACTAATGGCGTTCTCCACCTTTCTCACTGGCCTGCTCCTTTAATTGGCCGAGTCGATTAGAGACATCCTCCTGGGCATTAGGAGCGAGATTGCATCTTGCATGCACAGAGAATCAGAGACTGAGCCAAACTCTGCTGGACCAGACAGCCCGAGTCCTAGTTGGGACTTTTTGAAGACTCTTTCTGGCCGACCATGATGTGAAACGGTGCGCGTGGGTTTTGTGGGGTGTTTGGGTCAGAACCTGGCTGCCTGAGGCTCTGGGTGACGGCCGTTCCTTCCGCTAGCTCCTTCTCGCAATTCCTGACGGCGGCGAGGACCAACAGACACGAGAGGCCCGGACGGCCCCATCCCCCGTAACATCCAAACCCACCAACTGACGCCTAGAATCTAGCTAGGAAACCGAACCCGAAACCAGCTGCGCCGCCTAGGTGTGGATTTGAGCCAACCTCTCGCCTTGTGCACCTTGGTTATGTACCCCGGGCCCGGCCGCCGCCAAAGAGTAGTGGCCACGGGGAATGAAAAGGCCCTGCGGTATTCCATTAGTTCGGAGGCTGCACCACTAATTATTTCCAAGCTAATTATAAAGTAAAGCATTGCGGTCATTTTTCCAAAGAAAATGTTGGCTTTGGTAGCCTCAGTGCCAAATTACCCACGTATTCATCCCGTGTCCAATAATTTCCATTCAAAACTATTATCCGCGACGTACCGATTCAAGAAGCTGTTTAACCAGTCCAGCCAACCTCAATTCTGTTGCCAGTTATGCCGAAAGAGCCCCCTGCACCCCGTACCAACACCGAGGCCAGAACTCCGACTACACGGACCGGACCCCAACCATCCGGTATCAAAACTGAGGACCAATCAATGGCATTGGACTCTACCTCTCATATCCGAGCTCAGACCCTCCCTATCAAGTCCGAGGACAACGAGGACCAGACACCGACGTTGGCCTCTATCCCCTATGATACAAATGAGGCTCACCTTATCAAGACTGAGAACCAACATGACCAGGTGGGAGTTCCGATGGCAGCGTATTTGGGAGCTTTGGCGAGTCAGATTGACACACTCTCCCGGACCGGAAGACCCGACTCTGGGGGAATGAGCACAGCAGCATTGGAAGTGGTGGAGATTATCGGGTTCGCAAAGATGTCCTTCAAGAAGGGCCGCGGCGAAAATGCCGTCGAAATCGAACACTCGCCCGTCGATGCGCTGCAGGGGAAGGTGCTCGTCCACCGCTTCGTCGTGGGCGCGTTCCGCGAGGTGCGGTTCAAGACGCCCAAAAAGGACAGTATCAGCGTCGAAATTCTCCACTTCACCACACAGAGATGGGCCAAAGGGTGCTTCTTTTACCGTGTGCTCAAGGCCGCGCATCCCTCCGAGTGGGAAAAGTCGGCGGAAAATCTGGGCCAGTTTGCTCTCATGAAGGATAGAAGGGTCATCGTCTGGTGCCACAGTGCAGTCGTTATTGAGATTAGTCTGTTGAGACCCCCGGGTAAGATCGCAAGCCGTGCTCCTGGTTTGTCTTGTCGCTTTCGTTGACACAATCTCCTCGGCCTCATAGCCAGCGACGTGGTATTTCAAGGTGAGAGGTTCTTCTTGCAGCTATTAACCAATACCCTAGTGACTTCGCGGGCCATGCAAACGCCTCCTAAAGTTCAGTTCTATTCCCGCTGACATTGTCTCCCGCCATAATTTAGAGATGCTCGTCTTTGCCCGTATCATTGACGGCAAGATTCGGGAAAGTATCAAAGACATCGACGCCGCGTCCACGTTGACGTATATCCTGCCTCAGGTGGAGCTTGGTCTGCCCAGGGCAGGCGGCACCCACCCCAGGCTTTTGAAATGCGTTATAGGGGTGCCACAGGAGATCACGATATTACATATCTGGAGAGGAATCTCGTTTACTGTGGTCGAACTAGACACAAGTGGCAATGTTACTGGCATTACTAGCGATGTCAGTCGCCATGTTAGGTGGGCAATTGTAGGACAAAATTTGAGAATTGAACCCCACACCCGAGGCACAGGCAAACTGAGGATTATAACAGTGGAACCACATAGTCTCCTTTCCCGCTCCTTGGAATATGGTTTTGAGATAGCAGCTACATAGGCAGCGACAAAGGAACCTGTAGGGGGACGAAGAAGATAGCAGTTTCACCCTCCTTTCATCGCCATCCGATGCCGCCTTGTCCACCACCACTTGGTCCACCTTGAACTCTGGCGTACGCCGGCTAAGGACTCCCTTGAAGGTCTCATGGTTCCACGTGGCAACTCCGATGACCTGCTCGGTAACCTCGAGCTGACCGCGGTAGTAATTGAGAAAAAAGTAAAACCTTCTATCCTGCCGTGATAACTGCTGCCTCGGTGATCCTCAGAGAGTCACCGCACCGATCAAAGAGCAACTTCATCCGAGTTGGCAGCCCTGACCATAGCCCCTTCTCCAATCCAACCAAAGTCTTTCTTTTGCCTAGAATAGCGGCAATGATCCGGGTATTGTGCCTCCTCTTTCCACCCAAGACGCAATGAAACTTATCCGCGGCATCTAGCGCGAGCAGGAGGTCGGCGTTCTCAGGGCGCAGTCCTGGGGTTAAGTGGTCTGCGGCTTTCTGGAATTGCTCGTACGGGTCCTCTTGAAGTCCGAAATCTGCCTTAATTAATGACATGTCAAAAAGCGAGCTACTCGACTAGGACATCTCGGCACTAGACCCCTCGGCGTGTTCCTCCAGCAGTCGCTGACGAGCCAAAGCTTGGTAAGATTCGGGCGGCTCTGGCCTTGGCTTAACCCAGCCAAAGACTCGCTGATGGTTAATCACGTATTTGTAGAAGCTCGATTTGGCATTTTCGTTCAGACATGTTGGTAAAGGCCAACTGCAATGTTGGATGACCAGATATTGAATGTGCGTACTGCGCTCGGGGTGTTGTTGACATACAATATCGGCCCCGCCGTCGTGTCAGCTTTAACTTTAGTTTCACCAAGTTGCTTTAAAATTGGCCGTGCGAGCCCGACAAAGACATTTTCGTCTAATATTGCCGTGTTCTTACTCCGAGAAAACGGGATGCCGGTCCGGGAGGCTCCAACAATCCGCGCCTTCAAATCTTCCTTGGTGATTCCTACTACGCAGCCTGCTACGCGAGGGTGATGGTCAGTGTCGGTAACTGCGGGGGGTAAGTTTTCCATATTTAATAAATGTTAAAGTATGGCTAGCTACTACAGTTATAGGCCCTAAAGTGTAGGGCACTATAGTGGTTGTGTTGGTGTGATTGGTGTTGTGGGCGCTATACCCAAATTGTTAGCCAGACCCCACAGCACCTACTCGAACCCCCTACGAGCCCACTAGAAGACTGTCGAATACAGGGCCACTTACGGCTTCTAGAACCTTCTAGAAGACCTATCCTTTCCCTTAGATAGATTTCCTTTCAAGTAAGCAAGCATTACACTCACCACTCTTTGTACTATAATCCTTCTATAATACAACTCCTCTCAGTCTTCTTCAGCACTTCTGTTGCCCCCCCAAGACCCTGTCTACAGGGCAGAGTCCCCTGTAGCCTACGAGGTAGACTGCTGAGCAGAGTCCTCGCAGTCTGTCTGATTCCCTCAGTGCCTCACACAGGGCACTGTTGTACTGGACCGTAGGGCACAGTTTCCTACGATCTACCCTGCACTTAGCTCCCCACCTACGCTACCGCTTCCGCTCCGCCTGGCTACAACACGCAGTTCAACAATAAATAATATATATATTTATGGGTGAGGGTACGAGTTGTTAGCCGGATAATCACGGAAAGTGTTGGGATAAAGACATTACAAAAACGGTGATAAGGCGTATGTACTCTGGTTAGGTACGAAAGCCATGAATTTGCGAGAATGGCTAAAACGGCGCCTTCTGTAGTGATGCACGCCCCAGATTAAATATACCCGAGTGTTTCTCTTCTTCCTCCCCCTCTTTGGCCGCGGCCGGGCCGGGGGTGCAACGAGTCGAGTTTCACTCAAATGCGCACCCAGGTGGCGCAACCTCGGGTCCGAGTTTCCGAGGCAGATGCTAGGCGACAATTGGTGGGCTCGGATCTCGCGGAGGCCAAAGTCCTTCAGAACTCTGTAGTCGGTTGGTTCTTGCCGCCGTCAGGAAATGCGAGAAGGCCGCGCCACGATATCGCTAACAGGCAGCCGGTTTTGCACTCGCCAAAACCCGGCGCGCGCCGTTTCATGCCATTTTCGACCAAGACAGGCCCGGGCTCCAGAAAGTCCTGGCTGAGATCTGACCCGGGCTGTCTAGTCTCGTCGAGTGACCCGGGCTGTCTAGTCTAGTCGAGTAGTCTAGTCGAGTTAGCAAAATCCAGTCTCGCCCTCTCTCCGTCGACTAGCTACTTTGCTTCCCTGACATCTAGTCGCGTGTGGGCCTTTTGCCTAGGTTCTGTCGTTTTTATTGCCATTCCTTGACTGTTGAATGCACAGGCAGTTATGTTAGGTAGCCCCGCGGCCGAAGCCCCGCAAAGGCCAAGTGGCCCTAACAGAAACTACTGACAGGGTCGAAGTCAGTGGTTAACAGACAAATTCGTATGCATAGCACTATCTAAGAAGCAAATAAAGCAGAGAGGACTTGATGAGGGGCAAATGCCCACTCGTTTCAAAAAACTGCACGAGCTTCAGAAATCGGGATATGACGGAAGTAAGCCACATATTCAGAGAGAAGTAAAAACAATAAAGATATCACGTTGGTCGTGGTCGTGGAAAGTGGTTGGGTGGGCGCAGAAGTGGGAGTAGGACCTAGGGGTGCGGCAGCTTTGCTTAGTCGAGGCCCGAACCGACGCCTCCTCGCTCGCACTCCCGGATAGTCCGAGAACGGGACCGGGCGGCGGGCCCCAACAACCAACCGACCAACCGAGGCCGGTCAGAGTTTTGAGCGAGTTTCCGCAATGCTGCGGCCCCGGAACGGACGGATCTACCAACAAGGCCTAAAGCAGCTAACATGGCTACCTAGCATTCTTCGCCATGGCGCTAGACGGCCGAGAAACTCGCAGACACGAAACGGTTGGCTGTTGCATATCCGGCCGGACCCCGGCGCAGAGGCTAATATCTTATTCTAGTCTGCACCCGGATGGGATGACATCTCTCTCGCCCTCCGTGGTTTATGATTCTCACTATTAAAACACTCTCAACCCCGATCGAAGCAACACGCTTTCTCCAAAGCAAGGTTTGCGGTTTTCACGATTCAAATCAAGCCAAATTCTACACGCTCCCAACTAGGACTACTCGTCTAGGCAACAGACAGCTGCTCAAGGAAACGCCAGCATCCAGTCAAGCATTCCCGATGGCTACGATCTCCCATGGCTCTGGGGCCAGTCTAACGCCAGAGCAGTTAGCGATGGACTTGGCCAGGACTGGGATACCAATCGACCGAAACAAGAGCGCCGTGGCGCCAGATCAATCCTCCATCTTCCATGTTGCAGAAATGGCCTTACGCCGTAAACTACCACCGGATGCTGTCACATGGGTCCCAAATCTCGACATAGTAACTTCCTTCGAGAACTTCAAGGGTCTACAGGCCAGTCTACAAGTTAAAGACCGAAACAAAGCTAATTTCAGTCTTGAGTTGTACCACACCTCCACACCCGAGGTGGCCCAGGCCTTGTTCCACCATAAACTATCTCTTGATGGCCAACCAAAGTTTTGGCGCAGGCCGCCCGAGCTCAAATTTGGCCAACTTCTGCTAGTTAAGGAAGCGATACAGCAAATCATCATGTGGTGCCACAATGACATCTTGATAGTCATCAACAGTAAACTCGAGGCTAGTAAGAAGCCCCTTGCGCGCCGTTGGTCCAGTCTCTATAACCTCTGCTAATGGTTTATCTAATTAGCGAGCGGAACACAGGCAGGTAAGCATTGCGCGGCTAACTATGATCATAGACGCTCAAAGGTGTCTATGATAATTAACAACAATTGAAACAGCCCCCCCCCCCGGCCGCCATATCGTCTTACTAACTTGGCTAATAATTATATCACAGTCCTCTACAACTTTACAAACGCAATGGATGCCTACCTATGGGGATCATAATGAACCCTACACAGAGGGCTGTATACGGGCAACTCGTCTCTATCTGTTTGATAATATAATTAGATTCGGACAGGAAAGGAGCATGGGAAGTAAAACTGGAAGACGATTCCCCGGGAGGGAGGGAATGGAAAATAAGATTGGACGAGACTCGGAAGTTGTGCGATAGGATATTGGTTATCCCCACAAAACATATGACGCCAACGGCAGTCTTTCCACCTGTTCCAGCAATGTCCTGGTGCTCGTAGGTCCCCAGAACAGAACCGCTTCGGTAGAGGATCTTGTCACGTACAAGGCCGTGAAAAGGGGCTCGGATTGGTACGATTTTGTCGCAGTTAATAAGTCGCCTCTCGTTTGAAGCTCCTCGACGCTTTATTTGGAGGTCTTTCAGCGACAAGCAGGCGGCTAATTAAGTGGGAAGCTGTTCTGGTGTAATATATCAGCAAAAGATAGTCTGTTCAAAAAGTAGAAACCGCCGTCCCCTGCCCGCTCAATTCGCTCATTTGTGGCCTTTGCTAGATTGCTCGAAGTCCCAAAGAAAGGAGCAACCATTCTGGCGCGCGGCCTCGCGGGTTTTCAGTTGCTACTCAGAGCCATCGAACGAGCACTCAAGAATCAGTTGCTGAATCAAGTAGTTCCACGCGGCAAAGCAAAGATAACTAATTACCGGCCGGCAATGGAACGAACATTACCTACGCATCCGGAAGATACGGTTCAAAACCTGGTAAAGGGGTTATTGAGGAATGACTTAGGTCATAGCGAGATAATTAACAGCTTGTCCTGGGATGGACTTTTCAGCAGCCTACTATGGCGAGATGACCATTTCTTACAAGATCTCGGCACGGCAGAACCTGGGGTACTATCTTAACGGTCCAGTGCCAGTCACCCTCAACCTTGAAAGGCGAGTGGTGAGCAGGGCCGGCGTCTAAAAAGTGTATAGCTGCAAAGGCGTGTGCGGTCCTGGTTCCGGTTATTTCGAACGGCTTGCTGGTTATTTTGAACGTGGCGCAGGTGCCCACGAGACGGTAGCTGGACTTGCCCGCTAGGAAGTCGAACGTGCCACTGACGTTGAGCAGAATATCCTGGGCTTCGTATAGAAAGATCAAAGCCTAGACGCGCGGGAACTAGTGACGGTTCTTTTATTCTTTGAAAGACAAAAATAAAAACAGTAGCAGCAACCACGTAAGCTGCGTATAGGGGGGTCATTTTTTTTCTTGTTGCCATGGCTTAGGGGGGAAGGCTATGGTGTGCGCGCTGGCCCATGTACTCTGGCTTTCGCCTCCTGGATCTTTGAAATATTCTTGCCATGCTGGGAATGGAAGATTGGGTAGTTGATTAGGTAGCGCACAAGAAGACTATGTGGGACCCGAAAGCGACGCGGGGCGTTGCAATTTTAAAACGAAACAAGCATAGTAAACCAGCTTTGATGTGCCCAAGGCGAAAACTTCGATCTTGCATGGCCGTGTTAAGGTTCGTGAGCCGGTCGGTATGACTCTGTCGGTGCCGTTCAATTGTTTGACTTTTTGGTGCATCGCGGCAAATGCCTATGTTCCCTTTTAGTGTGCGTGATAGACACAAGGCATTTCACTTTCGTGATAAATCTAACTGCAACAGTCCCTCCTTGAGTAGAGCAGTCTGCTAGTTGGTTGATTATGCCAAGGAAAAAGAGGGGTACTTTGACTCCCTAGTTAATTTGGTACGAGGTCAAGTCCCTTTGCGAATCCACCGACTCGTGGAGAGTGGATAGGCCTAGGCGTTGTGCCCGGGGGGCAACTTAGCGTAGGATGCGGGAGGAATATGGCCCGGGTTCATGGGGCGAGGGTTTTGGTACGAGTCGACTCCTTCTCGCATTCGAGAATCCTAAAAGGATCAACCAGCGACCACCTCAGGCCAAAGTCTTAAGCGAGTTTCTGCAATGGCTGCGGCCCCAGAGCGAATGGGCCCGCTAAATGAAGCCTAATGAGACACACCAGAACCGTTGACCGTGGTCGTGGGAAGTTCGGTTGTTGGGTACGGGCGCAGAAGCGCGAGCAGGGCCTTTCTTGGGGGTGCGGCTGGTAATCTTAAAGCTGCTGACCTTGGTTGGTCCGAACCAGGGCCTCCTCGCACTCCCAGATAATGAGTCCGAGAACGAGACCAGGCGGCGGGACCCAGCGGGTCCCAACTAGTTCCGTCCACCAGGCGACCAGCCGAGGCCGGTGAGAGTTTTGAAGCGAGTTTCCGCAAAGTCTGCAGCCGAAGGCAGCCGACGTGGCTGGTAATTATCCCACGGCATGTTGCAGGGATAGCCAAGCCGAAATCTCCGCCGCAGACACACGAAACCGTTGGCGGCGGTCGGAGGAAGCGGACTACCATGTCAAAGGGGGGGAGGGGTGTGTGCAGGGGGTGGCAAGCAGACACCCCCCAAAATCGAACAAAGGGCGGCTCAGGGGTAGTGCCATACTGTATTATTCCGAGCTATACGCCGTGTGGCACTATAATTCGGCCTGGCCCGACCCTATCAGGTCCTAGAATCCGAGCTCCGTTTTGGTTTGCATCATGTCATGTTTTACCTTCACGCTCGGTCGCGCTACTCGATTATCCCGGGCTAATTAGGGACCTACAGTAGGCACCTACCTGAGATTTGCCTGCGGAAGGTAAGGCATGGGCCTTACCTTTCCTATAAATTGGCCTCCGGCCACTTACTTACTAAATAATCCTACGTTTTCCTGAGAGCTCTCAACCAAGTATGAGGCTACCTACGTTGTCGATATCAATTCCTCGGTAATACCCAGCAAGGCATTTATCTTCTTTTAGGAAGTTTAATAATCATTCTTATCCTTTCCGCACACATTGCAAATCATGCCAGTATCGGGTTCAGCCACCATACCGCCCCCGCCCCAGGAGACACTGGATTTCCTCTCGTCAAAAGATCGGGTTTCATTCGAGCCGGTTACTGCCGCTAGATGGGAGAACAAACTGCCTAAGATTGATGGAGAGGTCCCAATGGCGAGCACAGCCTTCATTCATAGCAACGGTATTCGTCAATTCATGAAGAAAAAACTCACTGGGTGGTTCAGTAGGCCGTTTGAGGTATCAGAAGACAATATACAGCCAATAACTCTCGATAGTCTCGTTCACGGCATACATAACAAGGTGCATATTCAGTTCCGAGACACTTCGTTCTACCTACAAATCTACCACACTTCGACAGCCGATTTTGCCGAGAGACTCCACAATAAAACATTTTCTCCTACCGCGAAAGATTGGCAACCAGTAAACCTGGAAAAGTTCGCCAATACTGGTCTGGCCAGGGGACAAACCGTCCTTATATGGTACTGCAATACCATTTTTGTCAAGATCGAGCTCGTTTCGGAGAAATCACCTCGCTGTTGGAGTAAGGAATCTCTTCTCCCACTCTACCTGAAGATATCTCTACGATTATTGCCAAAACTAATTACTATGTATAATCTTCTCCTGCTAACGCGGCCCTGCCGAAAGATGTTATCTCCAATTTCGCCGCCGAGTTTAATGAGTACCTCGCGAAATACTATGTTCAGAGAGATGAGAACCCGCACGCGCTTCTAAAACCAGTAACATTGGAAAATGGTGACCGAGTTTCTATAAGTCTGTGTACTTTCAAGAAAAAACAACTGGAGTCGAAACAGAATCTTGAATACCCCGTTGTGATGCTAACCGATGACAACTACGACATGAAAACCATCGATTGCAGGCCTTGCACGACCTACGCACCCGACGGCAAGGTTATCAATCGCGCGACTAATTTCGTGGCTATCAAAGGCCTCAGTCGCACCGAAGCCAACGCAGGCGTTCAGCTCTTATTGGAGCCGCTGGAAGTAGGTACCAGCTGGGTTCAGGTGGTCGTCTTCGACAATCGTAGTCTCTACAGCCGCACCACCGTACTGAAAATCATCGTCACAAAGTAAAAGAGCTAGTTGAGGAATAAAATACGCTAGAAGGCACCAACTATCAAGTTTGCCTCTCTCCCCCCGGGGGGGTGAGTTTTCTGGAGCCTAGAATGGCGAGACGAGCGTTCCGTTCTTGGAAGAGTTCAAGCAAGCACGGTGGCATTGGACGACTGCGTGCTTTGGGATTGTCTTTGTGAGTACGTCATCTAGGTACATACGTCCATGTTTTCTTTTTCCTTACTGCAGCTTTGTGTTGCGTTGGAGGAGCTTGTATTTTAGAAAACGACTACCTGCGTCTTTTAAAGTTCTGTAATTAGTTGGTTGGAGCACGGCTCCTTCATTGCGCAGCCTAGGTAGTCAGCCACCAGCCTTGTCTACCTACGTTTATTGACACCATATCCCTCTTCGTGTCAAACTAAGAAAGAGGGCGCCCTGGTATCGTTACGCTCACTGCGAAACCGAAGAAATTGAGAAGAAGTCCCTCTGTTGCTCAAGTAAGGATTCCCTCTTCTTGCCTTGGAAGTTATACCCACTGTACCCACACCAGGCCCCCTGCGTGTCGTCGGGTGTAGATGATTGAAGGCGTGATGATTGGCCGACAGGTAGGTCTAGGCGGCCCAGTATTGCAAGGCTATAGGTCGATTTCAAGAATCAGTTAATTAGCTGTTTGCGTCAGAAAGGGGAAATAAATAAATGAAACAACCAAACATACGGTAATGCTGCTTTTCCATAGCGCGAACCTTTGCAGCATCGGCCCCATCGTCGGCCGAGTTCAAGTAGCTGCTCACCGTTAGCTGGCTGGCATACATGACGGGGTCTCCATTGGCGGCGATGCCGGCGCGGCACACGTCGACGGCGCGCAGCGTGTCGTCGCGGCTCGACCGAAACCCCAAGATGCAGCGAAACTTGAACATGGTCCGATCCGGGTCATGCTGGCCGACGAGCTGCTTGGCGTCCTTGCTCCCCACGTGGCCGGCGACCCAGTCGTAGCGGCCAATCCAGTAAACGTTGTTGCAAGGTACCCCCTCGTATCCGAACAGGTAGCACCTTGTGATGTAGCCCCACGGGAACTGGGCAACTAACCTCAAATCTTTCACTATGGCGGGCTGTCGCGCTTCCACAGTCTCGAGTCAATGAACCGGGTCTCCTGCAAGGCAAGAGTCGGCGGAGGGAGGGTAGAGGGCATTACTTACCGCAGTATTGCTACTGGGAGCTGTTCTTCCAAGGGAGTGGAGCGCTGCCATGGTCAGGCCGTTGATGTCGACGCAGTTAACCGTGCTAGTGGTCTTTTTGAGAATCGAGTGCAAGTCGAGAGTACCGAGTTGCATGTGAGAATCTCGGCCGCCGCCGTGGTATCGGGAGTCGTAGCGCAAGTCCTCGCCTCCCAGCTTCCAGAGCGATGTGACGACCTTGAGGACCAATCTCCTCTGCGTTGGCCCACCTCATCTGGGCCACAGAGTCATGGTCGGGGAAGGCAAGACGGACAAGCTCCAGGAAGTAAACACCGCCGTTCATGCCGTTTTCAAACATGGTTGCGTCGTTGCCGTGGGCAAAGTACGGCTCCAGACGGGTATTGGCATCTCCAGACCCAGTGACACGCTTGGGGTGGTCGTCTAACAAGGTCCACTTCCTTCGCCATGGGCTTTGAACGGAGACTCAGTCAGTTTAGCTGCCGAATCACGAAAGTCAGCAGCTATGAAATGTTGCCCGTTCACCTGAAGAGGTCCACTGACGATGTTGAAGCGCCCCAGGGTTCCCATCAGGTAATGGTGTCCCGTGCTCCCAAACTTGTATGTCCTGGTGACTTTCAACGCAAGTTGAGGGTAAAGGAACATTGCCGGGCGGCTGATTGCTGGCTCCCCAGTTTCGTACGTCCAAATGACCCCACTCGGGGGGAGAGTCAGCGTCCATGTATATTGACTGTAGCCTGGCCTCAGATCCAAGTCGTATACGCCGTTGACCCTTTCGATGGATTTAATTGTGAGGGGCTGAGCTTGATTGGCGATGGCTCTAGGAAGGGGGACAAAGAATATAGGCTGTTCTAGAAAGGGGGACAAAGAATATAGGTTGATCGAGATTGAGTGAAGTTGAAAGATCAACAGATGATCTGGCGAATGACTTGAGAAAGGAAATCGAGAACGGTCTTGAGGAGAGGCCTACTTATATTTCCTCGTCAGGCAGGGGATGAAACGTAGGTCAAGTGCATCTTGCAGAGCGGCTGTTGGATCAGATGTTACTGGTATTCCCGGCATGTTGAAACACTGGCATTGCTATTCCTGCAATGTTGGTCAGAGTGGACGGCAAGGGTTTGCTTATGAGAGCCTCGTGTGTCTATATTCGGCGTTCATGTGTGCCACCAATAACACTCCAGGGGCTAACGAGTTTGGCGGGGATTCCCAAAATAGCATCCGGCCAATTGTCACAGTGAGTTAGATTACCTAGTTCAGTGCTGGGAGTGAGACTGGCTGGGACTTAGTGAGATTGCTCCTGGGCACTGCCACGCTGCTTTAGTTTCACTCGGCCGCTCACCCCCTCGATCAACCAACCGTCAAAAATATTGGTAATTAATGGTATTTTTAGAAGACAGGGAAAGCGAATCAGTTCAATACTCGTATCCATTCTTGTGGCTCGCCTCGACTACAAAATCTCTCGAGACTTGGAGTATATATTGTGGTGTGCCGGATTGAGTTCTGCTGTCCTTCCAGCCGCATTCACCAGCCGTTCACATTCTGAGCCCCCCTCCAAAAGTATTCGCCATCGCAACCGTTCGCCATCCGCAACCGTTCGCCATCCGCAACCATTCGCCATCCGCAACCATTCGCCATCCGCAACATTCGCCATCCGCAACCATGGCTCATCTCACCGACGACATCTTCAACAAGGTACTAGCAAGCGCGGAGACCGGGAGAACCCCCGACGGGAAGAAGAGCAACGCGACTTTGGGCAAGAACACCATTCTCGGTCTTGCAAAGGAGATTTTTGGGATCAACACTACGATTGTAACACCATCAGACGACGATGCCACGCTCAAGCCCGAACGTCAAGCTGGGAAGGGCGCGAGCATGGCGGTCTCCTAAGTCAGGTGGTCTGCTTATGGAACACCCCTGGATTTGGAACAAGGTTTGTCATCAAGGACTTGCCGCTCGCCACCCAACTCACCTATTTCAATCGCTTGCAACTCGACCAATTCTGCTTCAATACTTATCTTCTTTTCTCCATTCAATTGAGAAATGAAAGATGAAGCGATATACTTAGTTGGATTTGCAGAATGCGCTGGCAGAGTATGCAGAAACCGGCTTACTCCGTAGCTCTGCTGAAAATCACGGCATCCCCCCTACTACTCTCTTTAATCGGGTTCGTGGTTCCGAGCCAGCCTCCAAGGCCCAAATTCTTAATCAAAAGCTTTCTCCGGCTATGGAAGAACGCTTAACCGAATGGATTCTATTCCAAGGGTCGCTCGGTCACCCTCCAACCCACGCCCAAATTTGGAAACTAGCTAGAAGAATGCTCGAAGATAACGAGACCCTCGGAAAACGCTGGACTAGCCGGTTTTTGGCTAGAAATCCATCTATTTCTACAATTAGGCCTCGGAGAATCCATGCAAACCGTGCTGATCGAGCCTGTGAGGCCGTTATCCGGCCTTGGTTTGACTATTTGAAGCCTCCAGGCGTGGAGGCTATTCCAGCCAAGCATAGGTATAATATGGATGAAACTGGCATTGCTTCTGGCATTGGAGATAACGGTCTGGTTGTTGGATCTAAGGAAAGAAAGAAATTCCAGAAAAAGAAGAAAGGAGACCGAATTTGGACCTCGATTATCGAATGTATTTCCGCTGGCGGCCGGTATTTGAACCCAGTCGTCATTTTCAAAGGTGGAAGCCTTCAACAACAATGGTATCCACGCGATTTACAGCCATTTAAGGGCTGGAAGTGGAAACCCATTGAAAACGGCTGGTCTGACGATGATACTGCCGTCGCATGGCTCCGCAATATCTTTCTTCCAGAGACTCGGCCAGCTACCCCCTCGGAGAAGCGCCTCCTTATTTTAGATGGCCACGGTAGTCATACCACCGAAGAATTCATGTGGCTAGCCTTTTCTAATAACGTACAATTGTTATTTCTACCAGCCCACACCTCCCACGTTCTCCAGCCCCTGGATTTATCGGTTTTCGGCCCTCTAAAAGCCCGGTATAGAGCCAAGCATAACGAGGTTGTTTCCGGCTTCGACGAAGGCACTGTTGCTGAAAAGAGAGCCTTCCTAGAATGCTACCGGCAAGCCAGGGTCTATGGAATGACTGAATCTAATACCAAAGCCGGCTGGAAAGCTACAGGCTTCTGGCCGGTCAGCCTCAGGAAGCCCCTAAGCAACGGCCTTGTTATTAAGAATTCTAACGGCGACGTTGGTCAACTGACCTCTAAGGTTTCTATAGACCTTCAAGAGGTCCATAACCCCATTCTAAATAAGAATTCGGAGGGCCGGCCTATATGGTTTACCCCTAAAAAGCCGAAGGATTTCCGTATTCAGGGGCAGGTTTTTCTAGCCGGCCAGAAACGGACTTCCAACGACCGACTTTTCATACGCAAGGCCGCAAAAGCCTTCGATTACGTGGTTTTCCAACTAGCCAATACGGCGCATCAATTGGAGGCTGCAGAAAAAAGCCTAGAACGCACAAGAGGCCGAAAGAGAAGGAAGGTCCAAGTCGACCCTAATACGCAGTTCGCTGGAATTGAGGAGGTTCGTGCCTCACAGAGAGAGGCTGGCAGAGAGGACCTTAGTTATTCTGAAAGAGAAGAATCAGGAGAATCCGATACTGAAGACTTCATTATTGTAGCTAATTAATTGACAAAGTTGTTGGCAATTGAAGTTTGTGGTGTTGTGCGGGGTCCGATTCAGGGGCTGTTCCATAGGCAGGGGTGTTCCAAAAGTCCCCCACCTGACTTATTTGATTCATGATGGACCCGCCAGGGACTTCGCCATCGACATCGTCCACAGCACCACCGCTGGAGGTGCCAAAGACGCCTTTGACAACACTGTGAAGACGTCCGCGGTCGACATGACGTCATGGGTGCGGCCACTCAACGTCCAGCTCGGCTACCGCATGCTGCAGCGTGACGGCCAGGTCGTCATATGGTGCAACAACAACGTCCATGTCAAAATCCACGAGCGGGCCAAAAAGTCGGCGACGTCACAGCGTGAGTCATCTTTAACCCGTCACCCCACAACTGAAAAAAGATAGCAAGTAGTCTGGCTAACGTTTGACTTTCCACCGCCGGGTCCAAGACGGGAGCCGCAGCCGCAGCCGCAGCGGCGGCCCCTAGCGGCGGTGGCAGTGGCACCAGCAAGCAAGTTCCGGGATCCAGCAGCCAGGGGGCAACCAGAAAGGGCATTTTTGACCTCGCTGTCGCCATCGACCAGCTCCTCAACCAGGGTATGAAAGACACCTACGTCGGCCTGCTCAAGATGGAACTCGAAACAGCGCCGCCGGCAGGTGGCTTCGAGTGGACGGTTCAAAAAACTCCGTTTCCCACCATCAAAGTGAAGACGAACACAAGGCTGCACAGGCTGATGACCATGGTGCCCAGCCTGGGCGAACAAGGCCGTGAGTTAGTGAGACAGTCAGGGGCGCTCGCGAACGTGGAGGGAGCGGTTATAAAACCCATGTATCCCGGAAAGGGGCAGATCAAGATCTATGGTGCAGACAAGGAAACGCTTGCCGGCGTGACGATGATAGTTGAATTTAATAATGTCGTGGCTTGAGAGCCCGGGATCGGGCATCTGTCGGTGATGGATAAGCGGCGCGGCGATAAAAGGCGGATCGGTATTGTGCTGGCACGTGTTTCTAGCTCTAGAAGTCGGCTAATTAATTATTGCCATGCTAGAAATGGTCAATGGAACAACAAGCAGTTAGAACTAGCTAGCTAGTTGCCCAGCTTACCTCAAGTACCTTGCCTAGTTACAATTAAATGCGCGTGCATAGCCGCCTTTCACGGAACCTTTGCGTTGCCCACCTCACTAGGTAAAAACTAATAGCGATAACGTTCATGATATGCGAGTTAGCCATGATAAGCGAGTTGGCCACCTTAACGAGATTTGGTGGGGCACAAGCAAAAAGATGTTAGTAAATTGTTAGTGATCTTATCAATTTCTTATCGCATTTGGCTGCGCACGCTACCCGGTCTCGTTAAGGTGGCTAACTTGCTTATCATGGCTAACTCGCGTATCAAATACGTTAATGAAGGAGGCCAAAGTGAGAAAAGAAAAAAAGAAAAGAAGAAAAGAAAAAGAACAGACCTCTCAGCAAGATACCGAGAGGAAGAACAACAGGAACGTGCGTTACTTCCATGGCGCTCGGGTTTTAACATTGCTGGTTGAGATTTCTCGTTATCATCGTTAACGGTGATGTCAAGGGGGATAAGAAGTCTCAGGAAATTATCGAAATGAAGCCGGAGGTGAAGTCGGGGCTTACCAAGGAATTTAGTAAGCAAGACGAGCGAGCTTGTCAGCTGACCCAACTGCAAGTGTGGCTGACTGCTCTCTCAGCTGACAGCGGCCAGGCTGCCAGGTGGAGGCCGGTGGGAACTACGAACCAACCAACGTCGGTTTGAATCTTTCGAGTCGAACGCCTCTCTGCCCTGAACACCAAATCTCGAGTTCGTGCAGCCACCACGCCAGAATTCAAGTGCCTGATTTGCTGCCGCGCCGTCGCCAATTAATTAGCAACCACTTAATAATGTCGTCAGATGCTGATGCGAGGCGGGACTATTTTCTATTTTACTTTATTTTATTTTAGGCTAATAATTACTTGTCCCTGTGCCCTGCTGCCTGGCCCTGTCGCCCAACGCTTGCATCAATAGGTAATTTGTTGCACGCGATCGAAGTTGACAGCGCATTGAATTGTCTGCTCAATAGGTCTAAAAGTACAGAAAAGAACGCTTCCTTATACTCATGGAGAGAGGGCAAGGGAGGCGTTGTAATCAGCCCGAAAGAGGGCATTCCGAATGAAATGAGGACATTCCGAGTCAAGAATGAAGGAAATAACAAAGAATGAAGGAAGCTCAGAGGCATGTCAACCAGAGCCTGTCCAATTCCATGAAAAGTGGGTCAATTCCAGACGACATAATTACATTACAGAGCGCAGATCCGCAATGCGCGTCGTCTCGTTCGCATCGTCGCGCCAGGACGTGGAGAGAGCCCTCGCCGCCGCCGTGACGGACGATCTCGACAGCATCACCACCAGGAGCAACGCCCCACTAGACCCCCAGACAATCGCCGCCTCGCAACAGGCCCCGTCGCCTCGAACCCCGTCGTGAGTAAAACCACCGAAAGCGCCACGCCCGAGTGGTTTCGCGTGCAGTACAGAGTCGCCAGCGCCGCCTTATGCCCCGTCGAGATCAGCATCTCCCACCACGCTACCCCCTAGGCGTTCAGGGCAGCATGCGCATGCGGTGGGAGACGTCCACCCACGAAGTCGACGTCGTCACCACAAAAACAGCCATCCCCCTGGGCCAGGCTTCCCTGCAGACCGGCCTTCTATCCCCAGCCCGCACGTCACACTCAGAGCCCCGCCCTCCCTCCCCCTCCACGCCGCCACCCAGGACCCCAACCCCGCCGTCGAACCCAACAACCGACGTCCACCGCCATCCGCTGGCCTTCCGGACGACGCGGATCCTCGAGGCGCTGCTCCTGCCCCTCGCGCAAGCCCTTGACGCACAACTCGCCGCGCACGCCGTGCTCCCCCCGATCACATCACAGCAAACACGGCTATGCAAACCACGTCCTACCGCGGCGTGGAGGGCAAGGGCAAGGAACTGGCGTTCAAGCTGGCCGACACGTCCGGGCTCAGCGCCGTCCAGTCCGTCACGCCTGTTGCTTCTGAGGCTGGCGCCCGCAGCAACATCATCTTCGCGCTAGCGCCGTCGCTGCGCGCCCGCGGCGGCCCCGCCGCCGTCCCCGGCGAGTACCGCGTTCTCCCGCACCGCACCGGCAAGGGCTTGTTTAGGTTGTTGGTCTACAGGACTGATACGCTTGCTGTTGGCACGGCGGTGGTTGAAGTTGAGATTTTAGGGAGGGAGAATGCCGCGAGCCGTGACGAGTGATTAGATGGGTGCGGCTTTTCTTTTCTTGGGTAGCTGTTACCACGAAAATAAGGGTTATAATCAGCCTCAAAAGTGCAAGTTAGCCCAGTTCCTACTGTCACATACGTGGAAGGGCAATTGATTCGATCTTATCGAGCATACAAGGCTGGTTCCTGTTATGAGCGGATTATTGTTTAATACAAAGCTCAAATTTGCCACGGCTCCTTATCCGGGTTGAACGGGTGGGCTACTTTGGGTGAAACTTTCCATCTGGGATATGTTCTCTACTCGAACCCTCAAAACCCGGGCTGGACCACGGGCGCTGATTACTGTGGCAAGGGGCGTTTCATGGTGCAAAAGAGTCTGGCATTGTCATTTTTGGGGGCTTTCGGTTCAGGAACCGAGGTATATCTCCTAAACCACCACAGTACCGGCGAGAAATCTCCGGTACCTGTAACTTAGGTTACAGTTACAAGCGCCTTGAATCCCTCCAGATGAGTTGCCAGAGCAACGTACCAACGCCTACGCAAGTCGTATGCCCGTGAGTGTCCACGCTAAAGCTGGGTGCAGTAACTGCCCATCGAACTGGCGTATTGGGAGGTGCTGTCCGCAATGCCGCTGGGATAGGAAGTGTCACCGCTGGACTGCGGGTACAAGGAAACGGTTGCCGACGACGACGCGGACAGGGCGCTCTCGGTTCCAGGGGTCGCAGAGCCAGTGGTGGAAGCGGAAATATCCGTGCCGGTGCTGATGTTGGTATCTGAGGAGACCACCGGGATGGCCGAGGGAGAAGAGGATGAATTGGCCTGCGTGCTTGAAGCTGAAGGCGTGGAGCTTCCCACGGAGATGGAACTCGGGCTCGTGGGTACCTCGGTGCTGCTGGATTCCACCGAGCTGCTGGATTTCACCGAGCTGCTGGATTCCACCGAGCTGCTGGATCCCACAGAACTGCTAGATTCCAGAGAGCTGCTCGGAATGCTGACAAGACCGCTGCCGGTGGACTCCGAGGCCGTACTGGAAACAGAAATGGCAGGCGTTTCTATGGAACTGATAGTTTCAGAAGAACCGACGGTTTCAGAAGAAATGACAGTTTCCGAAGAACTGGCGGTCGTGCTCGGAATGGTAAGACTTAACACCGTCTCAGAGGATGCCGTGCCGAGAATGGAAGTCGAAGAAATGCCAAGGTCCGGGGTACTGTTGCACGAGCCCTCGATAACCGTGACAGTCGACACCAGGGTCTTGGTGACAGTAACGGAGACGGCGGAGTCATATCCAGGACCGTATTCGTGCTGGGGAAGGCCTCGCTCCGGCGGTGGGATAGCGAGGGCGAAGGCGAGCCTGGGGGTGTGTTAGTCTCGTTTCTATGAAATCGACCGACATGGGCTATTGCTTACCCTAAGATCAGGACCAACAAGCCGGGAGTGGCTGTCGACAGCATGATGGTTGTGAAAGAATAGATGTTCTTATTAGATTCTGCTGTCCACTCTTTTGACGGAGCCGTGCTAGAACTATAGGTGCAGAATAGCAAAGTTGTGGAGAGAAACTGAATGAAGCCAAGTGAAGTGTTCCTAGCCACTTTATATCTTCGAAGCCAAGAAAGAATAGAAGGCAACTAGAGCGCTGCCATTTGGTCAGATAGGCGGGAGAGTGTGTAAATTTGGTGGGACAAATCCAGGAGCGTATCCCAATCAAGCCTATCTCACTTAGCTTACCTTGAACCTGCATGTTCTTGCTGGTATTGACTGGGATGGAGAACTTGTTTTCACGGGTACCTGATGTGTGATACCGGCACTCAGCTTGATCAGGGCCTAGGGAAAGCCATCTGACAGCCCCATGGGAAGGTTTCATTGACGATATGCATTGAGATAGAGATTTTTCGATACAAATACACTCTATGATTTAAATCTCTCTCACCACCGCCTCGTGAAGAACAAGTGTTTCGTTGCATGCATGAATGAAGTCAGCTATATTACCCTCAGATCCCGGCTTTATTTCTTGTTTTTGAGTACATTATGAAGATAGAGCCTAACACAATCACAACATCGTTCACACACGCAACACCGAGTGAGACACTGATCCAGGCACTTATGGAACTTGATGAATTCCAGAAGCATGGTGAAGACCAGAAGCATGGTGGAGACCAGAAGCATGGTGGAGACTTAAGGCATCCTTGTTCCCGGCTATGTTCAAAAAATATCGCGTGTGCTACAGGGAATGGCGGTGAAGATAGCATCAAATCTGTTGTCTATATTTCTACAAGCAGCTTCCTGTTTCACCTATATCGACATTTTAGAATCAGTGGCAAGCCGAGGCCAAGTTACCTGGGACTAGATGCCGTGAGATATTCCGTACCATCTCTCAGAATCCTTCCCGGAGTCTCACATATCCCTCCATCTCAATTTTGGGAGCTTCTTCAATGTGTCGGAGAAAACTCCACGCCATCCGTCAGAAGTATTCACACCTGTGCTTCACACCCGTGCTTCACACCCGTGCTTCAATGCTCGTCAGGCTGCCTAGGGGGCTCAAGATTCTCAGCAAGACATAGTTAAGAGTCAATCCCGCTTCGGAAGGCTTCTCCCTGACGAGTCGCATGACTTAGCCAAGCTCGGGCATATGAAAATGGCAGGTTCCTTGAGACAGCAATACAAACGCACAACGGCTATCGGGAGGGCAGCATGACGCTTGTTTTAGTCCGTGCGATGGTAGGGTTGCAAGGAACAAAGCGGTGAGCGGCTGTCTCAAAAGTTGTGAGCATCTCAATGACCTTCAAAGGCGCCTTTTCTAGTTAGCAGGTGCTGTGTTTCCAGACATGATCTTGCATTTTCTGCCGCCACTACGTTATGCAACGGCTCTCTTAAATGAACAAGCTATGCAGGTACCCCTCAAGCTGAGGACTGCAGGCATTTCCATTTTCTCATCTGCGCCCCGTTTTTGGTCGCAGCCCCGAAGTCAATCGCATCACGGACATGGGTAAGAACGAATACCCTCGAGGTGATGCAAGACAAAGTCTCAGAATGGCACCATCTCGGATTTCATTGCGCAAATACGTACCCTAGAGTGAGCTGAAACAGAGGTACTTCTGGTGAGATGTGTCCAAAAAATGCCCGCCACAATAAACCAAGCACTTCAGATATCCAAGCACTTCAGATATCCAAGCACTTCAGATATCCAAGCACTTCAGATATCCAAGCACTTCAGATATCCTAGGTCTAGAAACGCACGAATCCAGTGCGCCCCATCTGCTGCGTCAAAGCCTACGAGCAAGTGAACCAGTTACCCAGGTCAAGGTTAAATGGATGCCCTCAGCGCCTTGAAGGCGTCGTCGCGGTTGCCCAAAAAGCGCTCCTCGGCCGTCTTCCAGTTGATGACTTTCCAGATGTTCTCGACATATGCAGCCTTCCCGTTCAGGTACTGTGCGCAAGCGGGCCGCCAGGGTGGGCCTGTGTCAGCACTCTCTGTGTGAGGATAGGGATGCATGCACACACGCTTAACATGGCAGAGAGACACGCGTAACATGGCAGAGAGACACGCGTAACATGGCAGAGAGACACGCGTAACATGGCAGAGACACGGAGACATGGCAGAGACACGGAGACATGGAGCCACACGGAAACGAACCACGCGAGGGGAGGGGGGCACGAAAGGGGTGTTGAGAGGGGCACACACCTGGAGATAGTAGGCGTGTTCCCACATGTCGACGCCAAAGACAGGCACCTCTCCGCCGACGACGGGGTCTTGATCCTTGGTGGTAACGATGCGCAAGCCGCGGGCGGGGCCGTCCTCACGCACCAGCCAGCCCCAGCCGCTGCCCTGGATGGCGAGCAGGGCGGCAGCGAAGGCCTTCTCGAAGGCGTCGAGACTGCCCCACGTCTTGTCGATCTCGGCGACGAGCGTGCGGGCCGAGTCGGGGTTGGCTTCGGCGCTGGCGGTGGGCGCCAGGTTCAGCCAGAACAGCGAGTGGTTGATGTGGCCGCCGCCGTTGAAGCGGATGACGGGCTGCAGGGCGATCTGCGTGGCGATGTCGCCGGCCGTCGTGGCGGCCACGTGCGACTGCAGCGCCTTGTTGAGGTTGGCCACGTACGCCTGGTGGTGCTTGCTGTGGTGCAGCTCCATGATCTGCCCCGAGATGGCCGGCTCCAGGGCCTACTTGCGGGTTCCGCAACGTTAGCAGCTAGTCAACCCCGCCTCGTCTACCGCGAGACTTCTCCAGTTCTGATGCATGGAGGCGCCGTCACCGGTAGTACGTCACAAGGGGATCACGACATAGCCAACTCAATTAAACGCATGCAAGCGGAGGAGGCTGGGGCAGTGACGATGACGATGGCCACGACAACGGCGATGACGAGAGGCTTACATCGTAGGCATAGGGCAGCTTGGGCAGTGAGTACGTGGTGGCGGCCATCTTGGTAGCGTTGAGTTGGTCCCCCGAGAGCGGCTGCAGAGGCGACTGCACGGCAAGATATTGCCAGAGACTCGAAATGTTGACCATTGTCGGCAGCGTTCGGCGCCCGGCAACAGCGGGCGCGGTAAGCTTTGGTGTGGTGGGTGCGATTGCGACGTTGAAACGGGCCTGTGAACTTGGGCCTCCTCACGCAGCAGTAATGTGCTCAAAAATTGCATCAACGACTAGGTGCAGCTGCAATTGAGTCGTGCAAGGTGCGTCTGTTGACTACTCCAGTAAGCTTTTTGCGGCACGTCAATGGTCTTTACCCGCTCAAACGTGCTCAAAGTGGCCACGGGGCATGGCCCCCTGTCGCTGACCAGCAGCTAGCCGGTGAGAGCCAGCTGCCAAGGGCCGCCAGAGAGTGAGGGCCAGCTGCCAAGGGCCGCCAGGGAGCGAAAGAGGCAGTTTGAGTCCGATTCGACACGCTGTGATTGGCTTGCAGAGGCCTGTCGGTCTCGGCCGCTAGGGGCTTCTAAACACGGGCCTAAAACGCGACTCCTGATCAGGCTGCCCGTCCATTTTGCCTGACCGCGTGCTCAACACGGCCACTACGAAACCCATGCATGCATGCAAAATTGCTCAAAAGCTCGACAATGGAGAGCCATTATATATCCGATGCATCGGGAGGAAAGACCGCCAATTCCCTAACTCCTCGCTTGTCCAAGTTGCGAAACATTAAACCCGGTTGAAGTCTCTCCGGCCTAGCTCATCGTCTTAGCCAACAACAGCCTCATACCCAAGCCAAGCTCGCTCAGCGCAGATCGGCAGACTCCCCACCACGACATTACCAAAAAAAAATGTGCGGAGAAGAGCACACGCCGTCTTCGGCGCCGCGGATCGGCGCGCGGGTTGATTTCTTCGCGCAGGGGCGGGGGCCAGTGGGGAACCTGCTCTTCCTGGACCCGTCGGTTCCCGGCAGCTCGCGGGCCACGCACATAAGGTTCAGCCCGCGGGCGGGCGTGGCCTTGGACGACGGCGTGCTGGTGTCGATACAGTGAGTGGGCTGCTCGAGCCTCGAGCCCCCTGCAGTTAGATTTCTTTGCTAACAACTCATCAGCCTGATAGGCGACCTGACCAAGCCCGTCGAGGACTCGGGGCTGTTCCAACGGTTCGCGCTCCCCCAGGCGGCAAGCCTCCAGCGGGGCGACAGCCGCCCGCTGGAGATGGCCTTGGACGAGTCGCTGTCGTTGGATGTGGGACGGACGGGCATTATTGGCCGCCGTGTCTCGATGACGAGAAAGGGCGTGCTGCTGGCCGACGGCATCGTGGGCTTCAACACGGCGTCGGCTGTCTCTGCGTCGCTTTGATCTTTACTGCATTTGGGTGGCGTTTGGGGTGATGTTTACGTGTTCTCTAATTGGGCGTTTGGGGTGATGTTTACGTGTTCTCTAATTCGGTTGAATTGGGCGTGATTAAAACATAACTTGGGGGTTGGGGTTGGGTTGGACTAGGGAGTCGTATTTATATTTTATTGACCGAGGGTTATTCCGGGTGACGGCTTATGGTTTTCATTAAACATTCACATAAATAGTTACCCATATATACGAACTTGAAAGATGGTAATGGACGTGAATGCCAGTGCAGGACGCCGGGTAACGATATACTCCTAATGATAACGGGGGAATAAACAAACTTATATCACCATGAATATAACAGATATCCGAATAATGCTGTCATTCATACCATCGTTCATTGAAGACTAAATGCTAAATATCTTGGACCAGACATTCCAAACCCATCAAATGACTAGCTAAATTACTAGTAAATGACTAGCTAAATGACTAGCTAATACCGAGCACGAGGTTGCGCTCCAAAGTGCCTTCCCAGACGTCCTCATGTTCGTCGTGATTCGTAAATGCATGCTATATACTCAAAAGATTTGCCACTCCGTGACCCCAAATAACTAGCTCGTGACACGTCCCGTCATCCCTGAGCCTCGTCCCAGTCGGACCACCTCCGCACCACCTCGTCCACCTCGGCAACCCCCTGCCGGGTAGCGTCGACCTCGAACCACTCGCGATGTTCCCTGCCGCACGTGGCGCACTTGTCCTGGTCCGCGACGCGCATGCCGCGGCCGGCGAGCTCGAGATGCACGAGCCGCTCGACCTTGTGGCTGTGGGGGATCTTGCGCGGCACCGCGGCGGCAGCCGGGCTGGAGGACGAGACGTACGGGTAGTACCGGATCAGGGATAGATTGTATCCGCACTGGCGCTGCCACTCGTTAAGCCGGCGGTGCACGTTGGTGGCCCGGCCGATCTTTAGCAGGATCTTCTTGCCGCCCGGTGCGGCGCCCGCGTCGCCCGCGTCGCCAGGGCCACGGGTCGCGCCGGCTTCGGTGTCGTCGTCCTCGGATGACGCGGCAAACGAGCGGAGCACGTCGCTGGGCCGCCGCGCGTTGCCGCGGCCGGGGCGCGTCGGCGTGCTCGGCCCGAGTAGAGACGATGCTGCCTCGGCCGGAGGCGTGGCAGGCTGTGTCTCGGGCGTGAGCCAGAAGATGTAGATGTACCCCGCGTCGTCTTGTTGAGAGACAGGCTTGGCGAGCTCAGCCAGCAGCAACGAGGCCGTCTGGGGCGAGGCGCTCTGGGGGATCAGCGACATGTATTCGGCGGTTTGCGAGGCGGTCGAGGACCGGTGCGAGCGGCGCCCACCGGGTGACTGGCCCGGCGAGGCCGGCCAGGGGCGCGACGGAGACTGCGACGGAGCAAGGTGTTGGTTCGGGGGCCTCTTCCAGCTCGCCCGGGGCGGTGTCGACACTGGAGTCTGCAAGGGGTGTGGTCTTGGGCGCGGCGGAGGCGAGGCTTCTTCGGTTGGGATGCGGAAGCAGAAGCAGAAGGCAATCTCCTCCTTCTTGGGCTTTGGGCGAGCCATCTTCGGCGGGCGTTGCTGTTGCTTCCCGCCGGCGCTTGCGCTGGGCCGCGATCCTCCGCCGTTCTGGCGTCTCGGCGGTTTCCCCGACCGTGTCTGCGTTTTCTCCGACCGTGTCTGCGTCGGGGTAATCAAGCCCAGACGATCGGCCAGCGTATCCAAACTTGTTCGCTCCTCCAAGATGGGCGTGCTGGACATCCTCGGGCCCGGGCTCGATCTTGTCGACAGACTGGCCTGCTCTTTGTGCTGCCAGCAATACAAATTCTCGTCTCTCGGGTCGTCAACGCGCAGCTTCGATGATTTGGAGCGCGAGGCAGGCATGGGCGGCAAGTCTAAGGCGGCAATCGGGCGCCTACAGGGCCGGCCGCTTGCGGTGATGCCTCTGCATGTTGTCGAGGGGTTTTTGGAGTCGGACCGGCCGAGCAAGGCCTCGGGAGTATTGGCGTAGAAGGGCATGGCCGGCGAGTCGCTCTCGAAGAGCCGTGGTTTTGTGCTAAATGGGACAGAAAAAATGCAAAGACAAAAAATTGGAGTCCAGGTTCACGCGAGACGGCGAGCCTGTGACCTCGCAGCTTGACTGGCACTGGCAGGCCGCCATCGCGGTCGGCGCGTCTGAAACGGCGCAACGACTCGATGACAGTAATCTCTTGGAAATGGAGGGGCTGGGCGGCCCTCTGAAACTAGGCTGCAGCGTGGCTGGCGGTGAGGCTTTGGACGCACCGCCACAGTGCGTCTCCCCTGCACAGACCATCCGACTGAGATGAGCTAATCCGTAAGCTGGCACAAAACAGGGCATGACGTCATCTCGAGCCTGGGGATTTTAACAATTCAGACAAATTGAAAGCCATGAGACACGATTGTCCTAGTATACCAATTTAAAAAATGTATTGAGGTCAATTAATTGACGTCAATCTCGAATGCCTAATAGGAGAGCGAATGGGTTATCCGGACTGCGTTCACGATTGTCGCAGGTCGCTGGGCGGCACAGATGCCACCAATGGCTCCACTTAGAGCAAACAAAGTAAACAATCGGCCCCTTTGTTGCCCAAGCTGCGTAAATATAGAAATAGGGGTAACGGTGGCTCCTAGAACACTATGAAATTATGATTCATGACACACACGTATTGGCGCCCCATTTTCTGGTCAAGACCAAACATCTCATGTCCCGCAATCCAGCTCATCATGAACCAAACACGCCCGATTTGAGAAACAGGTCTACTGCGCTAGAGGCAAAATGGTCATTTTTGGCATGGTCGCACACAACTGCAGTCGGCCCTAAGAGAAGTTTGGAGACATTATGAAAGGCTGACAAACAACACTACAAAACATAACGCTCGCTGTTATTGCCGTGTTTGGGAGGGCGCAAAGTCGGCCAATAACCCGCCGCAGGGCTCGCCCTAGCAAAGCTAATGCCCCTGTTAGTCAGTTCGTATTCGTGGGTTTTATCCTATTTTATACCCATGATCTTACTTAGCCGAGTCAGCTTTGTTTCGCAGCCTACAGCTGCACACCCCGGCTGTGCTGTCAGGCCCCTGATTATTGACTACTTGCTGAGCCTGAGGGTTGTTTTTGGGTGCGGGGAAGATATTATTGCCGCATTGTTATGCTGGATGATATTATTGCCGCATTGTTGTGCTGGATGATAATGTTGATGCCAGCTCCTAGTCGCCGAAGAGGTCCATATAACTGAGAGACCCGTCACCCAGAAACACAGTCATGCCCTTCTTCAAGCGCAGCGACCAGATCTCCATCTGGTACCGTGACGATGGCCTGGCCGACGCCCAGGCCGTGACGCAGCCCGACCTTTTTCGCGCGAGTGCCGATGCCGACCCCATCTATGGCGCTGACAACGCCGCCCGCGACGCCACGGCCGACTTCTTCGACGTGCCGCCGCCGATTGTCCCTAAGATGGTGGGATACTTTGAGGTCACATACCCGGCTGACACCCCTCCGTGGTAAATCCTAGGTAAGTCCTTTTTCTGTCTTCTTCAACGCACAGAAAGCCTCACAAATACTCAACACACCCCTGAAATCACATGTAGAAGGCATGGCACCTGCGCCGGCTGCGGCAGCTGGACGAGGCCGTGGCGTACGCCGTGGCGTGGGGCGGGTGGGGAGACCCGCACAGCCTCGACCGCAGAGGGAACGCGCTGACGGCGTTCCGCGGCAAGCGCCAGTGCCAGCGGCTGACGGTTGGATCGAGCGAGGCGGCCGTCGAGCTGGACCGCGGCGACCTCGTGCGGGACGAGCGAGACGAGTTTGCCGTCATCGAGAGCAAGAGCCACTGGTTCCACCAGATCGAGATCGGCTCGTTCAACGAGGCGCTGAAGGCGTGGCTGTGTAAGATCGGGGCGCTGCCTTCTTCCAGGGCGTGATGATTTTTGGGGGGGTTTGGTTTAGAGACCGCTGGTAAGAGGGAAGTCTCGGTTACTCCGAAATCATGTTGGTTGTGGGTTCGGCAACTTTGGTGGGAGAAAAGCAGTTGTCACATGCTCTTCTCGCAGAATTCCAGTTATATGAAACGCGAGCTAAAACACGCGTAGCATGACCCATCTCCTCTTGGCACCACCCCCGGTCCCATGGCTAGGGGTTTCTCGTGTGATCCTGTTATCAATAAGTTTCGGTAGGCTAAACTCTATCCTGACGACCTCGTCTGACATGTTGTCGAAGTCTCCCAAGCTGCTAGACAGGGGTCTTATCTATCAATCCATCTCCTTTGTAATCCATCCCCTTTGTAATCCATCTCCATTGTAGCCACTATAGCAGCCGGGAAAACGTACAAGAGCCGAAAGCGATACTCCAATTAGAACTATATCTTCTATAACGTAGAAGAAACGGAATATAATTCTCGTCGATCAGCAAGACAATAAATGCCAATCTAGCCACTCACCCTGTTTTCCCTCTCGGTCAACGCCCTCAATAGCCGGCATCCCACGCACACGAGCTTTCCCTAAATACTCTGGAACCGCGGAGTGAGCCGGACGTGCATGAACCCCTCGTACCACTTTCGGGGATACGTCGTGAGGTACGGGAACTCGCTCCCGCCTTTCTTGCTCTCGCCCTCGCCCTCGCCCTCGCCCTCCTCGCACAGCGAGAAGTTGAAGTTGTACACCAGGCCGGCGAGGGTTTTGCGCAGGACCTGCCGGGCGATGCTGTGTTGCGGGAGGTTTGTTAGCCGTTGCGTTATTCCTGTTCGTCTTGGCTGCAGAAACAAAGACTTACAATTGCCCTAGACATGTCCTCGTGCCGGTGCCGAACGTGACGGAGCTGGCCATAGCCTTCTGCGACTGCGCGTCGTTGCTCAACCACCTGTCGGACTTAAAGCTATTGGGCTCCGGGTACAGCAGCGGGTCGTGCTCGAGCATGTGCAGCGTGAACCTCATGCTCGTCTGGTTACCCGTGCGTTAGACATTTCTCATTTGTTTCAATTTTAGTTTTGTTTGAAGACAGTGCCATACCATCGGGGGGATCACGGTGCCCTTGTAGTCCACCGGCTCGGCCGTCTGTCGCGGCTGGCGGTGCCACCCGGGGGAGCTCAGGCGAGTCGATTCCCTGCAAAGAGTGTCCTATAACCATGAACATTGTGTGACTGGACGTCGACCAAGCGAGCGTTTACAGGTTGACCTACCAAGTATAGCAGGCGCAGGACTTTGAAGTCCCGCCAGATGCGATGGCCGTACATGCTGACGTCGAGGTTGTCGAGCTCGGCGCGCAGCTTGGCGATGCACCCGGGGTTCTTCATCATGTTGTGGAGCAAAAATGTGAGATTGCTGAGCAGCGATTCGTTGCCGATGAAAAGAGCCTGGGCAGCCTCTTGCGCCACAATCTGCGCGTCCTGGCCGAGCTGGGTCCAGAGCCGGGCCAGCACGCTTTGCCGGTCCTTCTCGTGGTGGGCTTCGGGGTCTTTGTAGCTCTTCATCATTGGTTTAAGGTTTTCGAGAACCAGCTGGTGCAGCATCGCCATGTTAACGGAAACACCGAGATTTGTCTCGCTACTAGGTGGCTTAAACTAGGTGGCTTAATAGAATGTTCAATGTACTCACATTATCTAGCCATGCCAACGGAGAGTATTGGCGCAGCGCCGGGAAGACTTCAATTGCCTTCTTGGCTATGGGCATCGTCCGTAGCACAGTGGCCAGCTCGATGGCGCTGAAGGCGCGCAGCTCGTCGTGGACCACCTGCAGATCTCTTCCAAGGTAACCCTTGTCCTCGCCCACGAGATACGAGACCATGATGTCGTTGGTGTAAGCCCAGAGATAATGCGTGGCATTGACGGGACCGGACACGGCCCTGCTGGCATCAGTCAGACGGTTATGAAGCGAGTCGAGAATCGAGTTCATGGTTGTTGCGGAGAACTGCGAGAGCGTGGCTCCGCTGAACAGCGGCTGCATGATCGACTTGCGCTCCGTGTGGCGATGGGGACTGGCCAGGCCGCCCAGCAGGGTATCTAGCAGTCCGTAGTAATTGGTGCACTTGCCTAGGTCTGGACGTCTATGGTGTGCGAGGCAAAATTCGTGGTCGTTGAAGTGTAGCTCGTTGGGGCCAATGCGTACAACAGGGCCTGGGGATGAGTTAATGCGGACCGTCTCCCATCTCAGGACCTTGATTAATAATTACCATAGCGTCTATGGAGAGCTTCGAGATTATCCAGCCAGTCGTTTCTGACTAGAATATGGTATGCCTCGTAGAGTTTTGTAATGGCGGCAAATGGGGGCCGGGAAACTTGGAAAGGGGGCTGAGGAACCGCCTGTAGATGGACTTGACGACAAGGTAGACAAGTACCAGGATGAGAGCGAGGAACGCCTTGAGTGCTGGTGACATGGCGGTGTTTGCAGAGGTCGAAGGCGAGATAGGCTAGTAATTCAGAGAGCAAGCATCATGGCCGGACGCAACTGCGATGTCCAGCCGTTTTATACCTGCGACTCCGTCTCAAACCAGTCACCTTGCTTTGCTTTGTTTATTAACAGCATGAGCCATGTAGGCTGCACCGCACTGCCTGTTCGCACATTTAGGGACCGCCTGCTCGCCTGCTCGCCTGCATGTCCTCCCAGGGACGCACAGTCATAGGCCAGTATCCGGACATGTAGCTGGCCATCATCAATGTAGCCGCGTGGTGACTGGGAGTGGGGTTTACGGCGGGGCCCATGCCGGCTTGCTTGGCCCGCACTTACAATTGGCCTAGTTGCGATAGGTATGGAAGTCGTACAACCAGAAAGGGCAACAGCCTGGCGACAAAAAAGCCTCCAGAAACAGGGAGACTATACGAAGGTGCGCCAGGGCTACCAAGGATGCCTTGTAAGCTCGGCGTGTGGGGCTCGAGTTCTTGGTTGACGGTAGAGACGGGGAGACTCTAGTGTGCATTGTAGTCTTCTGACCTGCAGGGCAGTGGCGCTAGGTCGTGATTTGCCGAACTTCGCAGGTAGGGTAGTGGCTAGATTCTTTCGTTTCCAGTGAGGCGTGGTCCAGTACCGGGCACTCCGTTCTCCGAGTCCTCCAGCCCGGAATCGTTTTGTCAGCATTCACTCGAGAGAGAGGGAAGCTTCGTTTGCCGGGCCCTAGGGCGTACAGACGTGACAGAGAGTCGGCCCAAACAGTGTTTGGTGGAGACTCGGATACTTCCTTCCCAGCTCGCCGTACGGGTCTGATTCTAGTGTCATCATCTATACGCGAAAGCCAGGTGTTTTACGAAGTTTTTGTCGAATACGCGTTGCGCGCCCGGGAGGATACGGTTTGTCTCAGTCTAAGGAAATGTAATACAGGGGAAATCAGTCAATGGTGATCATGTCTGCTCGCATTCATGTGCTGACCCGGATGGACCGAACTAGCCACGCAAGGGATGACTTGTAAGATGGTTGCATTCGAGGAATCAATACCTGATTGGGCGCCACAAGCGGGCCAATTCGTTCGCTCCGGTTTGGCTGTTAGAACTTGTGAGTCGATCAGTCTAGCTTCAGGCTGCTTCAGGCTGCTCAGCCCATGGCGCCTTTGAGTGGCCCTTGGGGCTGCTAGTTTTGGCTGCTCCCAAACTTAGTTCTAGACCAGTCACTCCTAACGGCCGAGTACCATTAGAACAACCAAAGATCTCACCGAGGCTCAAGCGGTGTAACACGCCTCACGCTTGGACTCGCAACTGGCGCAGGTCAGTTTGTAAGGTACGGAGCTCTGTAATTAAGCCACAGGAGATCGATATGCACCATCTGGATTGATCGAGTGCACAGGCTGGCCCGTGTGATTCACAGACAGATTTGCCGACGCCGGTAGCTTCCAAGGTACCATCCCCACCTCCCACTGCCCTGCAGTTACACCGCATCATCTGGCATATGTCGTTGGCTTCTGTGTTTCATATGACAAGCAGTACCTAATGTAGGTATGCTGTCGTCTTAGAGGAAGGAGCCAGAAGCTAGTCGTCAGTCGATGCAGCCAAGTCTAGGGCGCTTAGGAAACAGACGTGGCCAGACAGTCGCGGACTTTAACCCAATGTGGAAGTCTAAGACGGAATGGAAGTGGTCTCGGTCCCAGCGCTGGCATCAATCCAAATAAATGCCAAATAAATTTGACCTCCAAATAACCGTATTTGCAGGCAGATAAGTCATTTTGGAGGTCAAATTCAGGCCAAATTGAGGGTCAGGTTAACGTTAATTGGCATATTTGTAAATACTTCCCGTTGGTTGAGCCATTTTTGGGCCCAATTTTCCGGGGCTTCCTGGCACCAGGGCAGTCCCTGACCAAGGCCAACCCTACATTTTCTAGTCCCAGGAAACTCCTCGAATGCCCTGAATTCGAGTGCCACCGTGCTACTGCAATGCAACAATCGCCAACCGCTATAAAAACTACCGAATCCTACCTTCCTGCAGCGATTTCCCTACTTCCTTGGCTCCCGAGTCCTCGACAACATACCTCCACCGTTGATGTCACGACCCTCTCGACAAGCCTCCCTACCGCTGAAAATCGTCCTCCTTCCCTCCGTCCGAAGCTATCACGAGTAGCTAGACAGCTCGATGCGCTCCTTGAAGAGGGAGTAGATCTCAAAGATGTAGCAGGAATTGAAGTCAAGGATTGGCCGAGGATAAAAATACCGAGAGGGGAGGGTCCTTCATACCGGAAAAGTGGTCAGGAAAAACACCAAAAAGGACATCGTGGATTCGTGATCACGGCTACTAGGTCGCCCAGGTCATCAACGACGCGTCATAGAATACTACTAGAAATGCCACTATTGCGAGAAGCTGTTCAAGGCAGAGTCAACAAGCTCGGCGACTATACATTTGGAAAAAGACGACAAATTATACCTACCCAATTCCCAGTCTGATGTTGAGAGGCCAGGAAAAAGGCAACGCACGCTTGAAGTGGTCAACACGAAGCGCGCGAGCCATATTTTACTACCTCACGAGCTCTCTATGGAAGAGAAGCTCGTCGATCTAGTCGTCGGCTCGAACCTACCTTTCAGCATCGTTGAGCACAAGGGATTTCGTGATTTTTGCATGGACCTGAATGCCGAGAAGACAGCCGCCCTGATTCCTTCGTCGCAAAACACCATACGAGAGCACATTCGAAAGAGGTTTGAGGCTGAAGAACAGGCCCTACGTGAGAGGTTGGACGCATCGCCATACAAGAAGCATCTCTCGTTCGATATTTGGACTTCCAACGCGACAGTTTCCTACCTAGCGGTCTTCGTGCATTACACCGATGTTGGCAGCGCCGTACAACAAGACCTGCTTGGAATGCCGCACCTTCGAGGCTCTCACAGCGGGGAGAACCGGGCTCTCTACATCTCTCGGCTAGTCAACGACTACGGCTTCGCTAATAACGTTGGTTATTTTCAGTGTGACAACGTGGATTCGAACGACTGGGCAGTAAAACCTACCTTGGAGTCGTTAATTCCTGGCCTTGGCCGGTTTTCCCGGGATTCCTTAGCCACAAAGCGTCGTGTGCGTTGCTTCGGCCACATCCTCAACCTAGCAGCGCAGGCCTTCATTCTCAGCAAGTCGACTGGCCTCGAAAGAACCTTTGACGATGATTTCATCGGCCAGTTACCGCCCGAGCAGAAAGACGAGCAGGAAGAAGCGTTGTTGAAGATGTGGCGAAAGAGAGGGCCGGTTGGAAAGCTTCACAATGTCGTCCACTTTATTCGGAGGCCACCACAACGCCGGGATTCCTTCCTACAGGTCGCGCCTAATCAGCTTGGCGATGAAGATATACAGGAATTCGGCACGGCTATATTTGACGGGTCAGTCGAAGGTTTACAGCTTTGTGGCGATAATTCTACGCGTTGGAGTTCTGTTTTCTTCGTGATCGAACGCGCGGTGCAATTACAGAGCCAAGTGGATTACTGGTGCCATAAGAATCAGAGCGAGAAGGACCCTCGGAAGCGTATGCCCGCCGCCGATCTGCTACAACCGAGTGACTGGCACCTACTTTCCCTTGTTTTGTCTATTCTTGAACCTTTCAAGAAGATCACGAAGTGGTTTGAAGGGCGCGCGGCTACCTTTCCTGAAGTCCTCGCTACGCAGGAGTGGCTAATCGATCTGCTTAAGGATCGCCTTTGAACTCTGCACCCGAACCTTGAAGCCGTCACCAATTTTACCGGCGGCCCGGTACACACCCACCCAGAGATCACAGTCGCAAGCCAACAGCCTCTATCATTCGGCATAGACAACGACGATAACAACGGCGTGTTGTTTACTAGGGAAGCATCACAACGTTCGCAGCGTAACCGTCGTCTTCCTAGTCTTCCTGCCCGGTTCGAAGACTCGGCCATCGACCTACCCCAGCGCCTGCCGACCGGCCAGATCAGGCCGCCCTCCCTCGACCTTGTTGCCGACCTACAAAACAACCCTCCACCCTCCCCGCCGCCCTCAACACCTGATCTTGACGATGATCATCTATCCTTTCTTCGAACAAGCATTGGCCTAGCCATTCAGAAGCTCAGAGAATACGTTGGATTGATGGAGGAGAGCCCAGCATACTGGTCGGCTATGATACTACACCCAGGGCATAAGGAGAAGTGGGTAACCCAGTTCCTGGGCGGTGGGCGGTGGGCGGGCCGAAGAAGCGATGAGGGCATTCCGGGATCTCTACCAGGCCGAGTACGCCGTCATCCCTCTGCCGGTGCCGGTTCGTACGCCTCACAAAGGTCGAGAGATTCATCTTATTACTCACGACTACCATAATGACCCTGATGACCCCAACCAGAAGGATGAACTAGCTGAATACCTTCACGAAAGCGTCAGGCGGGTGGATGATATACTGGCTTGGTGGAAGGAAAGAAGAGAGCGTTGGGCCTGGTTGTCAAAGATGGCTTTTGACTTGTTGTCAATACCGTCCATGTCAACAGGTCAACAGAGTGCGAGAGGGAATTCAGCCAGGGAAAACTGGTCCTTGGCACACAGAGACATAGTATGGTCGACGAAACCCTGAATTACCTCATGTGCACGAAGAATTGGGCCAGTAAATGAGGATCCTGAAGGTCAAGGGCTTTTTTCCGGTCTCGGGGTGCCATTCGGGGCTCGATTTCTTTGTTTTGGTGGAGCGGCAAATTCCGTCAATTAAGTCAAATAAAACCCACCCAATCAGAGAGAGCCTCTTACACAGATAAATACACCATTTTGGGCCTCAAATACAGTCAAATAAGGCTTCATATTTGGCCTGATTGAATTGATGCCAGCGCTGTTCGATCCAGGTTGGGTGCGAATAGTTCCAACTTAATGGCCGTCGGGGGGCGTGAGTCTCCCCCACGAAATCCCACCCAGGCTGCCTTACCTAGTTAGCTAACGCCTAACTCACGGAACCGAACCCTGAGTGTGTCCCTGTAAGAGCGATAAAGTTCAGCCTTATTTAGTTCTGTTAGGTATTTTAGCGCGTACAACTTTAGATCTGTTAGACTCTTAAGTAACCGCAAGTTTAAATAAGATAGCTCACGCTGGCGTTTAGTTGTAAATACTTGAGATTGTAGAAATTGGATGTTTTCTTGGTAGACTTACTCTGTGATCGCTTCCTGCAATTAAATGTCGAAAGTCCGGGACTGTGAGTGCGAGTGAGTCGGCGCCAAGCTTGGCTATCGCCTGATTCGCTTCCCCCTGTAACCAAACTACAGCTCGAAAGGTATTAGCTCCAACGCAACGGATCAATAAAGACCCCGCCCACCAATTGAAGCGCGCGGTTGGTTCTTAGTGCCGAGCAGCGAGTTGCGCTGCTGCACGGGCGCGTCGTCCCTTTTCCTCCCGAGTCTGGTCTGTCCCGCCTGCAGCATCGTCCGATAAGGCTTCGATAGCTCCGTGAATGTTCTGCATTGCTGCGTACATTCACCGAACCGCATCAAAGCACCACCCCCGGCGCCTTCCACGTTGATCCAGGTCAAGATCCTGTTCTCCCTCTTTTGACGCGAATCGAGGCCCCTTCCCTGAAGGTGGGTAGGGTATCTGTTCCGCCGTCGCTGATTCGCGCCTGCCGTCAATCGACATTTTCCCGAAACTGTCAAAAGGGCCAAGCCGAAGCAAGAAAGAGCCACTTACAGCTCTCTGGAGCTGCCACCAGTCACCGCTCACCAGTGCCCTGAAGGTATTTATCAACCTAACTGGCGGAGAGCGCAGCTGAGAAGCTGCTACGGGCCCACCAACCAACCGCCCAATGGCCGAAGCACGCAAGCTGCGCATCGTCACGGCCGCGACCTTCGTGCCTGCCCTCCCCCTCTGCATCGCATCTGGCGTGCTCTCCAGCGAGCCGCTTCCCGCCGTCGGCTTGGTGCCACTAGCATTCTCTGCAGCGGCAGGCGTTTTTCTCACCCTGCAAAAGCAGACACGACGATCGCGCCACCGTCGACATGGCTCCGACCGCGACGTCGAACGCGCCGCTTCTGTCTATTCGTCATCTTCGTCAGAAGCGGGTCACGAATCGCTAGTTCCAGACCGCCAAGAATTGGCGCGAGGGGCACAGGCACCCCCAGAGCCCGAGTACACGCTCCTCACGCACCCCATCGTCGTCTTCCTCGCCGATGCGGTTCTTGCCGCCGCCATCATGGCCGTCCTGGTCTGCACATGGATCAGCGTCCCGGATTACAGCAGACAGCGGCCCCAGCTGGCCATCCTCGGGACATATGCCACTTTTCCGCTGCTAACCAACTTGTAAGTCGGCTTGCTTTTGTCTTGTCTCTTTCTGTGTCTTTTCCCTTCACTCTCGCCCTCAAATACTATGTGCTAGTCCTACAATGCCAACCCAGAACTCACGCCATGTTTCTGTCGCACATTTCGCTCGTCCCGCATACTGTTGGTTGGACCTTGTTGATTCATGCTTTGCCTGCCGCGCTGTCCATCAATCATCGATGCCTCGTGTGACCGCCAAGAACTCGCGTGAAAACCGCCAAGATTCAATATTGCCAACCATGTCATCCACTTACCAGTTGTGGCCCATAGCATTATCCATTTGTATCTGGCCCTGAGCGAGCTGGCCGCAGGACTAGCTCTGAAAGCTCTAGTGCAGCGTGCGGCATGGCAGGCGGTGCCGCCGAATTGTCCGCATTGCGGCGAGCGTGTGCGGCCAGACCGGTTGCCAACAATCCCTTGGGCTGAGTCTGTGTCGGCTCCGACGCTGCCACCCTTCCCGAACATTAGCGTTCCGCGCCTGTCAATCACCTCCGTCAAATTGCCCGCCGGTCCTAGCTTCAACTTCAAGGGTCCGTCGGAGTGGACCATGCCCGCGTGGTTGACCGGCCAGAAACAGGATCAAGGCTACGCGCCCCTGCTGGTAAGCCAGGATGCCGCCGATCCCGATGACGATGTCGACCACGGTGCCTACAGAGCCAGTGCTACCAGCACCGCCGGCCCGTCGTACGGGGCGATAGATGCCGGGCCAGCAGAGTCCGCCTCTCCAGTTGTTGAGGCAGTCGTTGTTGGCAAAAACAAGAAGGGCAAGTCAACCTCGAGCCTTGCTCTCATCGGAGACGAGTAGGCTGTCGTGATGAAGGAAGAGACAACGTGCCTCTCGAGTTGCGGGCGGCGATGGAATGGACGTTGCAGTGACGTCAGACAGCACGTGGAGTGATTTGATTCTTTACAGCGATGGTGGACCTGGCTGCTCTGGAGTTTCGCCCCTTTATTGGGCGTCTTTATTGGGCGTCTTTATTGGATACCCTTCACAGTTGGTTGTTTCAATCTTTGTTTCTTGGTCCATTTACAGTCGTGCGGACCATCCTTGGTTGATGAATGCTTGTATTGCGTATCTTCTTCGACAGACAGTTGACTTTTATCCAGACGACAGTTGACTTATCATGGTTCTATGAGATCGAAGGGAATTTTACTCACCACTTGTCTCAACTTGGCAGAACCAAAGTTGCTAACCGAATATCTAGGTAGTTGTGTCATTACCAGAAAGAGACGCGCGTTGAATTCATGGCTGATATTAAGACGTCGGAACGTCGTCATTATAGTTGCACATTGAAAAAGGAAAGCATCAAATAATGACAAGCGTCTGACTCCTGAGACCATATTTCCGTGCCACACCGGCAAGACTGGTCAGCACACTGAATCTGGCCTCCTCGATGACTCGGTAGGCCCCGTCATCTCTGGACCAGTGCAGCACAACCGGATTACGGGCGCCAACCAGAGCCCAGAACTCGTCACCTTCGGACCGGAGCTTGCCACCACACGCGTTCAAAATCTCTACATCATGGAACACAACACGGAGATCCCACTGGTCAGGAACAGCGCCGATGTAGTACCCCTCAACATGTAGAGCCAGTCTGCTGCTACTATTATCCCCAGCACCGACGCTGGCGTAATTCGTGACGGAAATGGCTGGTACGTCACCCGCTGTCTGCTCCGCTGTCTGCTCCTCTATCGTCCGCGATCTAATCTCTCTGCAGCTGGTGCAAGTCCAGTCCGGCGCCCACGACGGGAGGCGGCCGGACAGCGGCCCGCGCGCCTCGCACGCATACGATAGAATATCCAGCTGCTGGTCGCGGCAGACGATCTTGCTGGCCATGTCGGCCAGCAGCGAGGCCATGGTGTTGTTCGGCGAGTAGTCGGGCACGATGCCGTAGTCGCACCGCACGAGGCCCAGGAAGGCATAGACGCGGTCACGGCAGTCGGTGCTACGCAGGTGCCGCGACCGCGCCAGCAGATCCATCAGCTCGTACGGCCCCGCCCGGTCGAACCGCAGCTTGCTGCGGATGAAGAAGTCCACTACGGCCGCCATCGTTTCGCGCACCTCGGGCTCCGCTCCGCGCGCGTCCAGCGCCGCCGACAGCCGCCGCCCACCGCCCCGCACTCCCCCGTCGTCCGGGAACCGGTACTGGTAACCGAGTGTGCCGACCTTGTACTTGCGCAGCGTCGGCAGCACCTCGGCCACGTGCCGCCACGCTATCGACGCGCCCCCGTACAGCACGTGCGCCTCCGCCGACGAGATAAACTCCTGGTACACCCACGTGCGCGTCCACCACGGGCTGGTGAAGATGTCGTACAAGGCCAGCCAGTCGGCGGCGAACCGCCCACCGCCCCGGCTCCCGCTCCCGCTCCCGCTCCCGCCGTCCGCCGCCTCGGCGTCATCCGAGTCGGATTCCGAGTCGGATTTTAACACGGCAGCAGAAGCGGCAGCCAGCTTGGTGCGCAGGTGGTACTCCAGCGCATAGTAGTAATGATAAAAGTCGCCGTCCGGGTCGACACTGGCGTGCAGGGCGGCCAGCCACTCGACGCCGTGCGTGTCGACGGCGCGCGTCGTCGAGATGCAGATCAGCGTGCGCGCCGCCGACGCGTAGATGCTGCGCATGAAGCCCACCTGGTGCGACCGCTCCGCCAGGTCGAACTGGTTGATGCTGATCTGGTCCGCCCAGAGGATGCACTCGTTCTCTGTCGTGCTGTTGGAATTCGGGGGAAACGACTTGTGCCAAAAGTCGCGCGCCACGTCGAGCACGTGCGCCAGGTTCGCAAACACGGTGAACGGGATCCCGTTGACCAGCACCGTTTTAGTCGTGCCCGGATCGCCCGCGCAGTACGACACGGCCGTGTACTTCCCCTGCACGCTCGCCAGTGGTACTGGTGGGAGGAGGTCGCAGCGGATGGGGGCGTCATCATCGTCGTCGACGTAGAGCCTGATCAGCCGGATCTCCTGCTGCGCTGGGTCGAGGGCCTGGTACACGCCGTGCTCGAGAAACGCGTCGTTGTTTGGGGTGGGGAAGACTTCGTGCGTTGTGAGGTTCTGTGGCATGGTTTCTTGCTCCATTGCTTCTGTCGTCACATCGTGGATGGGCATGGAGGTCCGCTGCGGATGGTCATCACTGACGCAATGTGGGGGGTCTGCACGCGGTAGTTAAAGAGGTCCTCGGTTAAAGAGGTCTTCGGTAGCCGGTGGTATCTGGAGCTAACCTGGGGTAGATTATACTCTGCATTCAGCTCGCAAGGCTGTAGGCAGACTGCTCCAGAATGTGCCACACCAGATAAGACATCCGGCCAATTAGGCGCCGGTTCTTGATCAAGACTATGCGACATGTGATCGCTGCATACGGAGCAATCGGCTGATTGGTCAATATTTGGCCGCTTCTTCCACTCTGCGCCCGAAATACTGCATTCGTTGCAGAGGGAGACGGTGGCGGATGGCCCGGGACTCTGGTGGTCAAAGCTGACTCACAAGCCCATTTCCCGCTTTCGTGGCCAGGCCGGAACTGGACGGGCTGGAAGATGGCAACGGAAATGGACCTGCGCAGTGGCGGTCTCTTCTTCCGTATGTCAGCACATGTCATTAATCTCCAAACATCTGACATCCCTAGCTCTCCCAACCTGCCGCGACACCGCTTCTTGACGCTCTCCATGTCGATGTTGTCTGTCCACGCTCTCCCGACAAATCGGGTGGCAAGACGCTGGTGCCTGCTCGTTGGGGCGACGCAACTCAGACAAGAGTGCCAGGTCGAGGAAGTTGTCTACCGCGCAACTAGCAATAGGCCTCACGAGCATGCTGGACATGTCAAGTAGCCTGCCGCATTTTTCGTTCCGGGCGGGGTGATACGTATTGTACTCTCTTGTAGTGTTAATGCCTCCATGTGTGAGGGAGGTCGTACCATCGTGCCTCTTTCCTAGGACGGGTGGCCGATTTTCAGTTATGGCGGAACGCGGGAGGTGCGGCGTGAGCAGATTGTCCTCGGACCGAATTTGACATGGCGACGGGCAGACGGTGTCGGTGCCGAGGGGATTCCAGCTCCGAACCACTCTGGACTTGGTGCTCGGGGTCTGGAGTGGCTTGTGAAGCATTGGTATGTAAAGCTGTTTGCTCCTAGAAACCTCACCACGTGCATGCTTTCGAGGTCCAATGTGATCTTCCGATACTTGGAGATCCCTCTAACATGGCCCGCGCCTGCTCCTGGGCCACGGAGTGCCGGTAATTGCGACTCAGGGAGCCAGGGAGATAGAAAGCCTTAGTTACACAGCTAGTTGGTCCCATGTAAAGACGAAAAGGCCGTTCAGCTGCTCAATCACCCAAGGAGCTTAGCGCCGCCAACTGGTCACCGAATCTGGAGTGGCGACAGCATATCCGTTGCTAGTTGTCCCGCTTGTTCCTGGCCAGCCGAATATTTAGCTGCTATCTCAAGACGGGGCTAATTTACCGGAAACCATGAACCTGTGACCTGCCATGGGATGAAGGCCCTATTTGGTTGCCCAAAAGAGCTCGTCATCCCTTCCTCCGGCTTCCAACTGTAGTGGAAACAGCGGCAGTAGAGGGTTAGTGGGTCCCCAACTCTCGCCAGGGGTAGCAGTGGTGCGGCTGGTGGCAACATTTTGCGACACCCCGTAATTGTCAACCTAGTCAAGGCGCGCATGCTCAACACTCCAGACGCGCGACGAACAAGGGTACCACCGCCAAAGAAAAAGGAAGACTTAATTAGACCGAAGTATTTGCTTCTGGTCGGGATTAAACTAGACATCGAGGCCTTGCCCCTCTGTGACTGCTCATCTAATTACCGGCGCTCTTCGGAATATACGCCTCCTTTTTCTTTTTCTTTTTCTTTTTCTTTTTCTTTTTCTTTTTCTTTTTCTCTTTCTTTACTTTATATAACAATTAGCCTGGCAATTCTCAGATTAATCTTTCGACAACTAGGGCCCTTTTCTTTCCGTGTCCACGTTGATATGATACGCAAGGTAAGTACTTCCTGTTTTCTGCTCTTCGGGTTGCAGCCGTATCGCCATTTGGGTTGGCAGATAAACAGAGACTTGTTGCCTGGCACTCTGCGCCCGATCGATGAATTCGGTACCCAGGTAGACGGTGATCATTTATTGGATAGACTAGATTTATCCACGCCGTTAATTAGAATCCTTATTATGCTTCAAATGAGACCGTTTGCCACTATGGAATTTGGTTGGATTCAGTTCGATTTATTTGTAATTTCGTCTTACCTGCAATGTTTCAGGTCTTGGTCTGGCGACTACCGTCAGCCAGCACGAACAGCCAATTCCAAAGTATCAGTCCCCTGTGGTGCTGTTTTAGGCAAAGACGTCTGAGAAACGGGTCTTGGTTTCCGCGGCTGTTCGCTCACACCCCGTCACCACGTGCATGCTTTCGAGACCCAGGAGGTCAGATCTATGAGTTCATGGTGGTTTAGAATCTCTGCAACATGGTCTACGCCTACGGGACAGACCGGGAATGTTGTTACAGACTGCTGATGCCGTCAGGTGGGCAGGTCACCTTGGCCGTTACTGAGGTGCGAAGCAGGTAGCCATCTTACGATAGGGTTCAAACAGCTACCCCCCTGCTCAATGTCAAGGGCGCCATCTCGTAACTGCAGACGCTTAGCTGTAACACAGCGGCAATCTCATGACAGCGACCTACCGCAGTCAGCTAAACCGCCCTATCCAAGGTCAGCTGTGCCTGGTCATTCTCCGCCAGTTGAAACTTGAGCTGTTTTTCCCAAAGCGGCACACGATCCATGGACAATCAGTGACCTCTTGTAGTCGGTTTCACAAGTAGAGAAAGACTTCCAGCGGCAGTCGAGAACTCCACATCTGGAGGTTGCCCGAGCTTCCGCTGTCCAGTATAAAGAGGGCGCTCCTCTCTCTCCTTTCTCACTCCGGCATCATCATCAAGCCAGCAAGTCTTCGTCTTCACCCGTCCCTCTCCTTTACAACTCGCGAATAATCAATACAGCGCCCAAAGCCCTACTCGGCCATAATGCCCAAAAAAAATAACCCAAGAAAAATGTACCCGAGAAACAAGAACCCGGGAATCAAGGCCCCTACACGTGCGAGCACTGCAGAGCTTCTACCATTAGATACCCGAAATCAGACGGGGAAAATAAAATCCAATGTCCGAACAAGCATTGCGAGGAGGACCATTGGAACTGGATACTGTGGGAACTTTTTTTCGTGGTCCTAATGCGCCGCGTTCTGGAAACCCTCCAACAACAAAAACCCGAAACCGTTCTGAACTATTTCCTAATAAAAACACGAACCCGTTTTAAGCGGGCCCTGGGAAGGAGGAAACATCACAAAATTGAGGAAAGCAGTCCTAACCGGGTTATAGATGGTAAGACGTGCCACCCCCATCCCCCTCCTAACCCGCCACTTCCTCTGATCACATTATCACAATATTTATCATTGATGTCTACTAACCTGGCATGTGCTCTCTCTCTCGATAAGACCTAAGCAGGTACGGAGTCAAGGTTGTCGTTCGACATAACCCTCCTCGAAAGCCTAGTGGAGAAAAATGCAATGATAGTCTGATAACAACGGGCTGGGTGGCCACCCAGCGCCAGAAGTCAGACATGGAGAAAAATTTGAAGGATCCAAAAAAATGTCATCAGCCGACTTCGATAACTTGATAACCACATATTACGGGGCTGACACCTCCAGCCTGTTTATAAGTGTAGGTAAGTAAGAATCTAATGCAATAATACTCCACGAAGTTCCCATCCTGTTAGGTCGTCGATTACTAATTTTATTAGACCGCGCCGAGATCCTCTTGTCGCTCCTGCTGTCAATAGGCAAGTTGCCAGAGAACCTGAATGACCTAGATATTGTACGTACTCCAACAGCCTCCAACAGCCTCCAACAGCTCCTGCGAGCCGGCCCTCCGCAACGTTCGAGCATCAGCAAAGGCGCCAGGAGCTAAAGGCCCAAAGCACTTTAAATGGCTACGCTAACCATCCATAGTCTCAAAGGGAAGTGATTGCCCAGGTCCATAAGGCTCTGGACAAGTTTCTGCTCCACGGGCCACAGCAGCAGCAGCAGAATACGCAAGGACTGCCTCCTCCCGCTCCGCCCAGCCGTCAGACTCCTGATCATGCCGATACCCGGCACTCACCTGATGCCGGGGACCTCACAGAGGCTCAGCTGGATGCTGCGGCTGAGCGAGATGCCATGGATGAGGATGGACACTTTCCAGGTCGACACCGTCCAGCTCGACACCGAAGCGGACAACCAAGTGGGCATGGCGCGCGTGGCAGTCCAGCTGAGGGCGTTCCAGAGCCCAGTACTATAAGTGCCACGCAGCCGTTTCAATTACGCCCGTCACCCAGTGTCATTGCAAGTCGCAGTCAAAGTTGCAGCCCTAGCCAAGCTTCGTCAGGCCGCAATGCTCAGGCAGCTTTGGCACCCGAAACCATCAACACGCAGTATGGCGCTGATGCCTATGACACGCGCTCGTACTTCAACGACCCCCCTTATCTGAATGAAACCAACACTAGCAGCCCCTATCCTGGCGCCCTCAATTCTCCCGATCCCCGAAGTCTTCCCAATTTTCTACAAGACTCTCCGCGAGACCACAGTTCTCAGCCCGCTTCGGCACCCGCAACTCAGCCCGCTTCGGAACCCGAAATCCCAGGCACAGGTTCTGGACAGGGTGGTACGCATGACTGGTATGAGGCTGCTTACGACAGCAACTATGCAAATCAAAGCGTCAACTACCCCCCTCTGAACGCCTTCAGGTCTCCCAGCCCCCTTTGGCCCGCTTCAAAGAGGCCCCGTGGTACCCCATCGTCCGACAGCCGTTCCCACTCCAGGCAAATCAGTGGCAATGGATCCGGCAACTCTCCATCTCCTCCCCGGAGTGGCGGCCCGTCCGGCAGCACGAGCACGTGGGCACCTCAACTCCCTGAACTCCCTCAACCCCTTGCGGTTGATCCATCTGCTAAGCCGTCCAAAAAGGGCAAGTCAACTGGCGACACTACTCAGCCGCCAAAAGACACGAGCAAGGCGGCAGGCTCCAAGGGTGGTACGCAAACGAAGAAGCCTAGGACGAAGAAATAGTAGTCTTTACTGTGATTTTTGTTCCCAATTCTGGTATACGCACTGGTTCCCTGGTATATGCCGCTGGTTGAGGATCAACCTAGATCTCTAGGGATTACCACTTCACGGCTACCTCTATAACTCTTCATTCCTTTTCGGAGTTCTTTTTACTAGCAAGGCGTTTCAGATTCACAACTCTCACGGCTTATCCCCCCTTTCTTTCTCTTTTCATATTCCCTTTCTAGTTTCTTACTACTAGCAGTTGGCGCGGCACTGTCAGATTGGTTGCTTTTGCCGCTTCCTCCCCTCTCTTTCTTTCTTCTCAAGAATTCTCCTTTGCCCCATTATATTTAGCACGCTCCCTATAATATCACATCCCCACTCAATAGCACTCGGGTTCTTTTCCCGCTCGGATAGCACTAGCTCGAGCAACTAATACCGTCATCGATTTATTATCACCACCTAGATTGTACAGAGTATTAGTGTGTTGGCTGCCGGGATTAAAGAAGCAAAGGTAACTAATAGTATTTTGACGTGTCGGTTCTGCACAAAACTAAAAACAGCCAGTCTTCTCGGTGCAGACACAGCCTTCTCTCAACTTGGTGCTGGAAAGCCTTTTCCTCAACTTGATCCCCGAAGGCGTAGCAGACTTCTTCCTAACCCTGCTGATGAACCCGACTGAGATGGTCGCGCACACGGCCAGTCTAACAACGCCCGTTGCTACCCCAAACTAGCAAACACCTGTTGGGTGCCATCTGTAACTCCCATAACCTGCTGCGAAAACAATATTGCGATACAATAATACATAAAGCCCCCAACCCAAAGCCCAGCCCAAAGGAACATGAAACAATTACGGCAGACCATATGAATGGAGAGCCAGCCTTTGGTCCTCCAAGTGGCGGGTGTTTCAAAGAGTTATATTCTCATCTTCCCCGACAACCGGCCTAGGGGCAGAGCCTAAAGCAGCGTTTGCTGCAGCGGATCGCGCGGCGACTTTCCGAGCTCGCCTTGCGGCGGCCACAGCCGCGCCGCGAGAAGCGAGGTCCCTCGATGGATTCTCCTCGGGGCCATATCGGTACAAGAACGTCGTCTCCAGCAGGCTGTCGTACTTGTCGCCAAGCATCTCCTTCAGGAACGGCTCGCCAAGCCCGACAAACTCCGCCCAGTGCTCTTCCCTGTGCTTTTTCCAGGCTACGTGATGCGCTGCTCAACATGGGCAGACCCAGGCTCTGACTCTCGACCGGCGAAATCGTCGAGATCTTCGAATCCTGTAGGCGTGTAGCGGCTGGTTACGTCTTTGGCGCGTTGGCTGGATACTTTGCATTCCCTGGGGCCAGCCCAGGTGCCTCTGAAACAGGCGAAGAAGAGGTGGGATTGGGTGGCGTGAGCAGCGCGGACCAACATTGCGACGCGTCTCGCATCCTCGGGGCCAAGATCGGCCATGCTTCCTATCCCTTTTCCATCATCGTTGTGGAGGGCAGAGAGCCGGTAGTAGTTCATGTCGTCGAGGAGAGCAACCATGCTGTCCTCGCGCAGTATCCTCATGGACCATATCATCAATTTTTCATTTTCCTCCTCCCAGCCGCGCAGGAAGCTGGCTTCGAATTCGTTTGGAATGTCGGCTCCCCCTCGGGATCAACATAAAGCGAGGACGCCATTGTCACTACCGGGCAGGCACGGGTTGGGAAAGTGCTGAATGAGGATGTTGGGGCAGGGCCTGAGTTGGAGGAATGTCAATGAGCAGCCGTCGTCGAAAAAAGGTGTTGCAATTGAAAAGAATGCAAGGAACGCGACTCCGCGTGACCTAAGCGTAACTAGGGCCTGGCAGGGGTTTGATTGGTAGGCGTGGGCCAGCTCTTCACGTAGTGTGTACAAGCGTTGTTTCGGCGCGGCGTTGGCGTTGGATTAAATCCAACTTTGTTTGGCCTAGGGCTCGCCCTTAGGCTCACCCTAGGGCTTACACTAGGGCTTACACTAGGGCTTACACTAGGGCTTGCAGATACGTACCTACACTATAGCCTCGACAACGGATCTTGCCGCCATATCTCACGGACTCACAGTGCCGTATCTCCGAGTGCGCGAAGTGGCTCCAGCTTGTACCCATCCCGTGGGACGGAAGGGACCTCGAATCTGGCCCCAGGAGGCCAGGTCTGAACTCTGAAGATACAGCCAGAAACGATACAGCCAGGGGCGCTCTGGGGATTGCCGGGGGCTTTCAATGTCAATCACATCAGCTACGGCCGCAAAGGCAAGACAAGCCGAAGGTAATTACTGAATACTAGCCGGCTAATTACCGAGTTGTGCTCGACTAGACTATAAAAACCCAACCACCTCCAGCACATCCCCTGAAATATCTCATACCCAGCTTCTCAAGTCGTCAGATCGACCATCGGTGCCGGCTCCATGCTCAATTTTATACTCAATTTGCATCGCCTCGACACGCGTGGTCATCGAGTCCCCCTTTTGTTGTTCAAGATCATTAAAATGGCGAAATCCACCGATTCCCAAGCATCATCAACAGCCCGCCGGCTTCCAGCCCCTATCGTCAACAGGTAGGAGGGTTTTACCAGCAACGCTCACCGACCGTGGCGGTGCCGCAAGTCTGGCTGCAGGAAACAACGTGATCTGCGCTGGAAGTAACTAGACACGATTTATAAATTGTGCTTACACGAGTTTCCTTTTCTGCACCGCCTTCCCAATTCGGCCCCCCACAGCTCTGCGCGCTGACTTGTTGGTTATTACAGGCCAAAGAGCCACGGACGGCGATCAGCGGCGCAGAAGTTTCATCTCCTATCGACAGACACGTTGCGATTTGCCGGACAGACAAAAAAGTATCTCGTATAACGCCGCCAAGGCCTGGCACTTTTATTGCCATCGCAGAACATTCTCACTTCGCCAAGACGCCAGAAACAACTCATTGATGCTGGATATCTGAGCAGTCAATAAACGCCAAAACCCAGCCCCGCCTGCCAAGCAATGCGCCGATCGCTCCGCTTGCTAACGTGACGTCCCAAACTTCATGATGCACTAGTATAATGCTATTGGCGGTTGACTCTGCTATCGCACCCCCAGAAAGAAGAAAAAGCTCAGCTAGCTAGCTGAGCACACGCCACTCTAGGTAGCGGGCGCTAATCATCATCCACCATCCCTTCACAGCCCCGAGGGCTCCGGCCGCCACTCCAGGCAGCGGGCGCTAATCATCATCCACCATCCCTTCACGGCCCCGAGGGCTCCGGCCGCCACTCCATAGCAGGAAAACTCAAGTGCTCAGCCTCGTCAGGCACCTGGACGACGACGGGCGTGCCGACCTCGGCGAAGCCCAGGCGGGGGTAGACGGCGCGACCTATGGGGCTGGAGAACAGCGTCAGCGGGACGGCCGGCAGCTTGCGGCGCGCGGCCTCCTTGCCCCACTCGAGCATCGTGGTGGCGGCGCCGCGGCGGCGGTAGGCTGGGTGCGTGGCCAGCAGCAGCAGGTGCAGGTGCTCGCCGCCGTGCCTGGTAGTGGCGTCGAAGCGCTCGGCGCGGGCGGCGCCCAGCGCGTGCCGGAACGCCTGCATGCGCTTCGGGTTCGCGTCGGGACGGTTCGGGTGGTCCGTCGCGCCCCTGGGCGACGCCGCGCCGCGCGGCCGCCAGCTGACCGGCAGGTCCCACATGCTCAGCGCGACAATTTGCTTGGTGCTGCTGGTGCTGGTGCTGGTGCTGGTGCCGGCGGTCTGGCTGCTAGCGCCGGCGGTCTGGCTGCTGGTGCCGGCGGTCTGGCTGCTGCTGCCGCTGCTGCCTCGGCTGCCGCTGCTGGTGCTGCTGACGACTCTGGCTGTGGTGGTGGCGGCCTCGACGACCATGCACTGGTACACGCCGGTTCTGACGTTCTCGAGGTACTCGGCGATGCGGATGCCAGTGTACTTCTTGTGCTCGGCCGGGAACTGGCTGGCGAGGGGGAAGCGATAGGGCCAGACGGGGTCGTTGGGGAGCGCGGCCAGCGCCAGCTCCGTGATGGCGTCGACGTCGGCGGCCGTTGCGGCGCGCAGCCGCATCTTGTCCTTGGCCTTCTTGGCCTTCTTGGCGTGGGAGGAGGAGGGCATGGTGTAGTTGGAGATGGAGACTGTCTGATGCCGCGCAGTGCCGATATGGTCGTGGAGAGGATATACAAGGCGGTGCTTTGGACCTGTTTAAATACGTGGAGACTCTTTGAAAGTGATTATCAATCCCGTTCTTAGACCACCATCACACGCCGCAACGGGTCAGGTATGGCGAATCATGAATTGCATCCACGCTGTCGATATCTTTCGTCTTAGACCACACAAAGAGCCCCTGTGTTGCTGACACTATCATGTATCAACCCCGTGATGTGTGAAAAAAGTCCGCCCTAACCTCAGTTTCACTCGTGAGCACCTAGTCTTGGTCTGGTGAGACTAACCTCCCGTCCTTAAGAGGGCGCCCGATTAAGTCAGACTCGTTTCGAATTCGTCAAAGAACAAGTCACTCGCAGCGGGATCCTCAAAGGCGATGCCCGAAACGAATTCCTCCCATACGCCCCACGACTGGCCGTCCAGCTCGCCGTTCGCTGAGACGTCGATTCCATTTGCCGCCTGATGCCTAGGCTCGGACAACCAGGGCTGCGTCTCAAGTACCAGTGGTGCAGCGGCTGCTGATGTTGAGACCGACATCGGTGCTGGTGCCGGGCTCGGCGCATGCCGCCCCCGTAGGTCAAACAGGCCATGATGTAGACCCACCACAGGATCGCCTCCCCCGGCCGCGCGCCTCGCCAGCACGGGCTGGACCTTCTTGCGCGTGCGCTCGACGAGCCTGGCGAGGGGGCCGCGCAGCTTGCCGCCGCCGCCGCCGCCGCCGATGCCACCTTCGGCGAGCATGGCAGAGGCGGCCTCGACGACGGGCCACGCGGCACGCACGGCGTCCACCATTCCATCAGCATCGGTGTCCCCATCAGTCCCTAGGACGATGTTGTCGGCGCACACGAAGCACTCGGCGGCGGCGATGGCCACCATGTGCCACTGCACGGTGACGTACCAACGGAAGCCCTCGCCGCGCGGGTCTGTGTGCACGAGTAGAGCCTTCTGTAGGACCAGCACGCTGAGGCGCAGCAGCTCGGTGCTGTTCTGGCTCGGCGGTGGCGGCGGCGGGCCGCGCTGCAGTGGCCGTAGTAGGCACGCCCGCGCGCCCGGCACGAAGCACTGCGCGCTGTGCAGGGTGAACCACGCGTAGGCAGACGCCTCGGGGTCGCACAGCCAAAGCAGCCGCAGCACGTCGTGCTCAAAGCGGTCGATGTGTGCTCTTTGCTGCTGCGGGGTCTCGCGGGCGGGGCCGGCGGGCGCGGCGGCGAAGTTGGTCAGCCGGCCCATGAGCTGCAGCTTGTACGTGACCATGGCCAGGGTGGTATCGGTGAGGCCCTCGCGGTCGGGGATCGCGGGGTGGGTGGCGGGGCCGAAGTCGGCGTCGTTGATGTGCGCGGGCATGCTGGCGCACGAGGCGACGACCTCGTCGAGCGCGATGAGCGGCTGCGACGTCTGGCCAAAGGATGCCTGCAGGTCGATTAGGCAGATGGTCAGCCACAGGCGCTTGCGCATCTGCCGCGCGAAGAAGGTCTCGCGGCGGCGCCGGCCGGGGCCTGCCGCTCCCAGTTCGTCCGGGTCGAGGTTCAGCGACATGCCCTTGGCGATGCGCACGGCCGTGGCCAGCAGCGTCCATACGGCCCGGCTGCGCTCCTCGGACCGCCGGGCGACGAGGTACAGGAGGAAGGCCTGCAGGACGGTCATGTCGCTCGTGGTTAGTAAGCCAGACGCGTTGAGAGCAATCTCGCAGGCCCGCCGGCAGTCGGCCACGAGACTGGCTTTGGGGGTTCGGAAGGTAGCCCGGCATTGGTTTTCCGTCATGCTGCTTGCGGCGGCATAGCTCACTGCGGCGCTCAGGACGCGTGGCGAGGCGTGCCCTTCGGGATACGCCAGGTAGTTTTGACCCCGGACCAGGAACTTGTGGATTGACGGTCGATGCAGGATCTTGATGCAGGGATCGACCTGTTGGAGATAGATGTGGCATAGCTGGCTGGCCAGGGCACGGCCTTGCGGCATTGGAGTGTCTGGATCCCGGACTGGCGCGGCGGACAGGCCGAGGATGCCGATGCCGCGGTGGAGAAGACGGCATTCGTCTGTCTCGGCCTGGCTGCATTCCTCGTCTTCGTCGTCTGGTGAGGTAGATTCTATAGCGTTGCGAAGGCCGTGAATCTGGAGCGCACCCCAAGGTTAGCAGGGAAATAATTAACAATTAAATAATAATTATGGGATGGGGAATTATGGGATGGGGTATTGAAAGGAAACTACCTCGTCAGCCAGGTCGGCCCAGAAGTGGCTCGGCTCCTGCAACACCAAGGGTGCTCGTATTTGTGGCCCGGCATTCGCATCGTGATTGTGATTGCGGACTGCCAGGTCGAGGTCTGGGTCTATGTCTAGACCTCGAGACTGAGGCTGGGACTGGGACTGAGACCGAGGCTGGAACTGGGACTGAGACTGAGGCTGGGACTGGGATTGAGACTGGGGCTGGGACTGGGACTGAGTCTGAGTCTGAGATATCGCAATTGGGGCCGTCCTGTCCGAGACGAGGGCTTCGAGGCGGCGGATGCGCGTCTCGAGGTCGTCGTCGACAGCCCCTGAGCGGCGAGCATGGCGTCCTCGCGGCAGGCGCAGTCGCCGGACCGGCACGCAGACGACGCCAGCTGACGCACAGGTGGTGCAGGGGGTCAGCTTGTCGCATTTGACCTTGCGCTCGCGGCAGAGCTCGCAGCTCAGCTGTGGCACCTTCTCCATCAAAACCCGACGAAATGTGCTGGTAGAGCAGCCGGAACGGAATTGGGGGCGTGTTGTGGTGCATTTGTGGAGAAATTCTTCGGCTTCGTTTCGTGCGGGTGAGCGCTGCTCTTGGAGTCTGTCGTCTCAAAACCCGACGGCCAATTGACATGCACAAAGCCCGCCAAAAGCCGAATGGCGCGTCTGATTGGCTGCTGCACTTGGACGCTTTCCTTTATCAGTACTAGTGTCTCCGTCTTTCACGTATTTCGGTATGATAGAAAATGGAAATTGCCTGATATTTTATTTCTTTCATTTAAACAAAAAAAGATGGATAAAGTCTACTTGCAACTCAACTCCTTGCTATGGCTCCGCTGAATATCCTCATTGTAGGCTGCGGCATTGCCGGCCCCACGCTCGCCGCCTTCCTCCTTCTCTCACCCGTGCCCGCCTCTGAAAAACCACGAATAACCATTCTCGAGAGGTCTTCGGCCATCCGTTCCCAGGGGCGGAATATCGATATCCGCGGCGTTGGTGTGGCCGTTATCCGCAAGCTCGGGCTCGAGTCAGCCATTCGGGCCGCAACAACGGGCGAAGAAGGCGTCCAGTGGGTTACCAAGGAGAACCATGTCTGGGCGTCGGTCCCCGCCAGTGGCGGCGCTGGATTCCATTCCCCTACCAGCGACATCGAGATCATGAGGGGCAGACTGGCCGAAATCTGCTGGAAGCGGAGCAAAGCACTCAGCGACGACGTCCAGCGAAAGGGCGGGGCCGGGATCGACTTTATCTTTGGAGACCACCTCGGCGACCTGCGGCAGGAAAGGGCCAAGGTCTGTGTGCAGTTTGCCGAGAGCGGAGACACAAAAACATACGACCTTGTCGTTGGTGCCGACGGGCTGCACAGCGAGACACGGAAAATGGTATGGGGGGCCGACGGAGAGGAGGAACGGGTGAAGCAGCTCGGTATGTATGGAGCCTTTTTCAGCATCCCGCCGGCAGACACAGACACAAAGTGGCGGCGCTGCTTTCACACCGCCGGCCGCCGGGTCATGATGTTGAGGCCGGATAATCAGAGCGGCCGGACGACCGTCTTTCTCAACATCGTCAACGAGAAAGACTCGCGCTTGCACGATGCGGCCAGAAACGGGCATGGTAGTGTGCAAGCCCAGAAGGAACTGATCAAGGAATATTTCCACGACGCTGGCTGGGAGAGCGACAGGGTTCTCGGGGAGATGATGGAGACCAAGGACTTTTACTATGAGACTGCGGCTCAGGTCAAGATGGAAACATGGAGCAAGGAGAGGGTGGTTCTCTTGGGCGACGCTGAGTGAGTGCTTCCTTCCATCTTGACATGCCTCAAGACAAACCCGACGCTGACCGAACGAAAAGGTACTGCCCGTCGCCCATGTCGGGCATGGGGACGACGTTGGCCATGTACGGTGCCTACACCCTGGCCGGGGCTCTCGTTCAGCATCCCCAGGATATCTCGGCGGCACTCGCCAAGCACGAACAGACAATGCGGCCGTCGGTTGACGACGCGCAGAGGCTGATGCCAGGCATGCTTCGGCTCATGAATCCCGAAACACCCTGGGGAGTGTGCATGGTCGATACCGGCATCAAGTTTCTCATCTGGACTCGACTGATACGCGTCTTGATGATGCTGAAGGGGTCAAAGACTGCCACAAAGCCGGTCGACGACTATGGTTTCGAGCGGCTGCCGGATTGGAGAGAGTAAGCTGGTGTGGTGTGCCCATTAAATAAGGAATCCCTCAATTAAATAGATGAACAAACTCTGCTCAAATTGTTACCTAGTCTTATAGCCTTGCATGCGAATAGCCTTGCATGCAAATATAATTGTATCAATGCTGAGGCTGAAATCTGAAAAGGCTAACTAATGCTCGGTACAAAGTATCGGAATTGGATCTCAGCTGTTGGTGCCTTAATTACTTATTCCCACCTATAGTTGAACGATTACCTCTACCCCAGGTATTAGGTTACATTTAGAGCTGGAACTAGCGACTCTTAGGAGCAGGGTCCATCGTCCAGGCACAGCTCCTGCCCTCGTTGGGCATTCGGATTACCTGATTGGTGCCCCAATCCCGAAGCTCCTGGCTGCTACTTCGACCCCGCAGCGCCCTCCAACGTGGAATCGCTCGGTGACGGATTCTGAACCTTCTTTTCTAGCTGACCATTGGCATTCTCCAATCACAGCTTCGGTCTGGGCCACATGTGCGCGTGTTGCGCAACTTCCATCGCCAAAGTCGCACCACAGCTCTGATTTCCCCAAAAACATCGGCACGCACCCCACGTGCCCTACGACCATTGACCTGCAGCGATGCCACCGCGATCCCACCACGATGCCACCACAATGCCGCAGCGGGATGCCACTGACCAGCAAGGCCGGACAAGGTCGCAGTGATGTCCTCCGGCCCTGCCAAGCCTCCCTCTGGGTCGGGGGTGCGAATCCAAGAGAGCTTTCGTCCTGGTGCTGCAGGCCGGACTGCGTCATTATTGATTAGAATTGATTAATCTAATGCAGGCATTGGTTATTAAGACGCTCGTCTTCCCCGGCCTCATCCCGGCTCGTCTCTTGTCGTTAGTCTCGTTGAGCCGTCGAGTCAATTACACAGGCCACTTCCCAGGCCACCACGCAGCCGCCAGCATGGTTCAACTTGGCTTCACGCTCTGCCTCACGGCCGTGGCGTACGCTTCGGCCGCTCTCGCCAAGTGCGTCCCGGTCCCGCCTGCTAGCCCGCCCGTCGATTGCAATGGCAAGACATACACGTACAACTCGCTCGCTGGCTTCGGGGCCATCCCCAGCGATGCCCGTGACCAGTTCGGCGACACAATCAGCACCGGCTCTTCGCTGTCCATCAAGAACTGGAAGAAGGACGGCAAGAAGTACACGGGCACCATGTACGGTCTACCCGACAGAGGCTGGAACACCAAGGGAACCCAGAACACCATTCCCCGAGTCCACATCTACGACATCACTTTCACGCCCTCTCCCGCCGCTTCAGTCGCCAAGCCGTCTGGGCCCAACATTAAATTCGCCTACAAGAAGACCATCCTGCTGACCGACCCTCGTGGGACCCCGCTGACCGGTCTCGATCCCGACTTTACCGCCAGTGGAGGCCTTACCTTCCCTGGCTTCCCCGTCATGCCCACCTCCACCTATCCTGGAGACGGCTTTGGCGGTGCCGGTCCCGGCGGTAAGCGCATTTGTCTTGACGCGGAAGCCATCTTCCTCGCCGACGATGGCGCTTTCTGGATTAGTGACGAGTACGGCCCGTTTGTGTACAAGTTCGACAAGGACGGCAAAATGTTGGCCGCTATCCAGCCCCCCGACGCTCTCCTGCCCGTCCGGAAAGGAGCCGTGAGGTAACTATCCTTCCATTCGTTCGGTGCTTACCATGGCTCGAATGAAACATCTGACCCCGTTTTGAACAGCTACAACTCCAACACGCCGCCCATCTACAACGCCACCCAGATTCCCGTGCCTGGCGACCCGGACCACGGCCGCCAAAACAACCAGGGCTTCGAGGGCCTGACGGTCAGCCCGGACGGCAAGACACTCTTTGTAATGCTCCAGTCGGCGGCGCGGCAGGAAGGCGGCGCCAGTTCATCCAAGCGCCGCAATACGCGGTTCCTCAAGTACTCAATCACGAAGGACTCCAAGCCCAGGATTACGTACGAGGCCGAGTGGGTAATCCCTCTGCCGACCTTCAAAAACGCGGCCGGGAACACGCGAGTCGCGGCTCAGTCCGAAATCCACTACGTCTCCGACACGCAGTTCCTGGTGCTGCCGCGTGACTCGAGCGCCGGCCGCGGCCAAGCCGACCCCCTGTCGCGGTACCGCCACGTCGACGTGGTCGACGTTTCGGCCGCCACCAACATCAAGGGCGCCAAGTTCGACGACATCAAGAACGGCAACATTACCAGCGGTGGGATTGAAAACCCTTGTAGGTCTAGGCATCCATGCCACTTGCATCCCCTCTCATTTTCCCTCGCGCTAATCGTCGGGCAGCCGACACTCTCGTCAGCGGAATCACGCCCGCGGTGCTATGTCCGTTCCTGGACTACAATCTCAACGAGCAGCTGAACAAGTTCACGGCGTCCGACGGAACCGCCGTTCGCAACGGGCCCCTGGCGAGCGACCCCACCAACCACGGCTTGGGCCTGCTGAACGAGAAGTGGGAGGCGCTTGCGCTCGTGCCCGTCAACGACGTCGTCAGGGGCGCCGACTCCAAGGACGAGTACTATCTGTTCACGCTGTCTGACAATGACTTTATCACAAACAAAGGCATGCGCACGAGCCCCTATGCTTGTTTATTGTCTATTTTCTGGGTTGGAGCGTGTGCTGACAAATCGCAGGCTTCATCAACTTTGGCAGGCTCCCTTACACGGATGACACGGCCACGGTGCCGTTTCTCGAGAACCAGGCTTTAGTGTTTAAGATCACGCTCCCAAAGGGCAGCAAGCCGTTGGTTGCGTGATAGGATACTTTGAAATGTTTAAGCGGGTCTGTTCGGGGCCTCTGTAGCCAAAAAAAAAAGTGGCTAAGAGAGTTCAGAATATCCGCCACACTACCTAGTTCCCAACAATCAAATCCGGTCTTTGTTATGGCCCGTTTATGGCTACGTTCGTGTATCCCGGTTTGGCCATTTCCGTCTGAACTCGGGATTGCGGGAGGTGTGTCAGCGCTCGCAACAATGCAAATAAATATGCCCGGCACCCGTATTTGTATTTAATTTGCAAAGTGAGGCCATATTTGAGCTTTTCCAACATGTACTTGAATTAATTGTTTTATTTGCAAATATTTGACCAGCGCTGAAAAACAATATTCCGGCCCGGGTAAGCCCCGGCATAGAAAAAACCTGCCAGCCGAGACACCGAAAGCCAGTCAAAGCCATGCCGAAGGTTCAAAACAGGCCATATCGCCGCCAATTTAACAGGGACAATAGCTTGTTAATGGTATCGCTACTGAGCCCGTGTCTCTGCAGTCCAACGATCAATTTGGCCATACTGAATAGCCTTTCGCAGTCCGAAGACATGGCCGGGATCGAAAGAAGGTCAAAGGCCATTCGTGATAACCGTGGAAAGCCGTCTTTATTGTCGGTCCACCAAGCTAGAATGTCATCAACGGGCTTAGTACTTCACAATCCACTTGTCCTTATGCCCAGGGTGCAGAATCATCGAGACCCAGTAAACCGGTGTGATTTCCAACTTCTTGATGTATTTCTCGAGCTTTGCAATTGAGCGGTCAAGGCTTTGAGCCAGGAAGGCCTCACTTTCGCCAGCCAAAGGAAGCTCGGGCGCGGCGCAGGCTCGGGGTGTAGCAGGCGAATATTAACGGCGAGCCGGGGGAGTTCGGAGGACTGTCGGAAATGGAAAAGGGACTTCCGGGAGGGCTCTTCATTGTGTTAACAGGTCGGAATAACTTCAGTTGCGGTAGAAATGTGGGTTTTCGTAAGTATGGTGGTGTTCAGAAAGTTGTTCAGAGCCTGCCAGGCAAATGCAGGATTTCGCCTGGAAAATCTACTTTTTCCTGGGCCGGTAACCCACTGTTGGCACCCCGAGCCCAAGAAGATGGGCCATATAAAATGGCCCCACATATGTCAAATATATTTACGGATCTACGACTTCATATTTGTGTTTAATTTGGTCTTTTTGGCCTATTTGTATTTGCGTATATTTGTATTTGCTTTGTTTGCAATACCGTATTTGCATTGTTGCGAGCGCTGAGGTGTGTTGCAAAGGCCCGGGTACGAGTTGAGAGTGGTGTTTTCATCAAGCCGGATTTACTATTTTGGTTCCGTCCTGAAACTAAATTTCTCAACCATCCCTGCCTAAGAACAACACAATCCCCTACCTACCTACCCAATTACGACAATCGCCTTCACTCCTCCTCATATAGCTAGATCCAATTATGATCGCCCTTCTTTGAATCTCACATGGTAAAATGCTCACTTCAGCGGCGCGCTCCCTCAAATAAGGAGCTCATCTCTCTCGCCACAACTGACACCTCTGGCTGCAGATGCAATGGGACACATAAATGAGAACTGGAAATCTCTTCTCCGAGAAACAGTTCCACCAGGTACCCGCATAAGGCCTCGACTGGTCATCTACCGTGACGCGCCATCGTCACATCGGGGCTGCTGGGGGCCCACACTCGTCATCCACGACAGGGAGATGCAGCAGCGGCCCAATCAAACCACACCTTCGCAAAAGTCTGATTCGATGAACCCCCACAATTTTAATCTTATCAGATCATCTGATAACGTAAGGATCACATCTTGGCATCAACCGGCATCTCCTATTTGAGAAGCCTTTACGTGGTGTATGCCTGCCATTGGTGGATAAAGGCAGGCAACATGTTGAGGCCCCATTAAAGACCCCTTGTCTCCCAGCCACCGCGAGAAAAACCAGGGAATGAAGACGAGAAGGATGTCCGAGATCGCAGGTCAAACATGAAAATGTGGTAGGCGCGTGGATGTAAAAACAGCAATAAAGTGCTAGCCAATTTACGTGAAACCTCCTCACTTTAGTTCTTTCTGTCTTCCACTGCTTTACTGGCTCCACTGCTTTACTGGCTCCACTGCTTTACTGGCTCCTTTCTATTTCATAGGCAGCCACTGAGCAAAAACGTACTCTCACCGCATCGGCAACAAACCGCAAGCATGTCTCTCACACCAGAGAAGGCCGCTCCGGCCGGTCATGACGTGCAGTACGTTGGCAAGGAGTCCATGACGGGCCAGGAGCAGCTCAAGAACGACATCGAGGCCGATTCCGACTACAAGCAGCATGGCGTCAAGAAGGTCGAGGCCGTCACAACGGTCTGGTCAAGCAAGATGCTCTGGATAGTCTTTGCGCTGTGAGTGTTTGTGCTGGGAATTGGCAACGGCACGGGTGCTAATGCAATGGGTCAGCCTATATCTGGTCAGCTTCGTCGACGTGCTTCTGCAGTCGGTTCAGGGCAACCTCGTCTCCTACATTACGTCCGAGTTCAGCCAGCACGGCCTGTTGGCAATCACCAGCATCGTCTCCAGCATCCTGGGCGGTGCTATCACGCCCACCATTGCCAAGATCACCGACATCCGCGGCCGTACCGAGGGCTTTCTCTACATGCTCCTGCTCATCGTCGTCGGCATGATCATGAAGGCGACCTGCCAGAATGTCGAGACCTACGCCGCCGCCCAGACCTTCTACTGGGTCGGCCACCTCGGGCTGCTTTATATCATCACTATCATCCTCTCCGACATGACGTCCCTGCGCAACCGCATGATCATGATCTCCGTCAACGGCACCCCTCTCATCGCCTCGACCTTCGCCGGCCCCAAGATCGCCGAGTTGTTCTACCTCAACCTCAACTTCCGCTGGGCCTTCGGCGCCTTCACCATCATCCTGCTGGCCTTCTGCCTACCTGTGGCCCTGATTCTGCTCCTCAGCGAGGCAAAGGCCAAGAAGCAAGGCCTCATCCCGCTGCGGATGAAGACGCGCAGCCTGGCCGCATCGTTCAAGTACTACTTCGTCGAGTTTGACGTCGTGGGATTGCTTCTGCTCACCGCCGGATGGTCCCTGCTCCTCCTGCCCTTCAGTCTCGTCTCGAGCGCCCTACACGGGTGGCAGAGCGCTACGGTGATCTGCATGATCGTCTTTGGCATTGTCTCGCTGGGGCTGTTCGTTGTCTGGGAGAAGTTCTTTGCCGCCGTCTCCCTATTTCCGTACAAGTTCCTCAAGGATCGCACTGTGCTGGGCGCGTCGTTTGCGTACGGGATCATGTTCCTGTCCATCTTGTTAGTTCAACTACCCCGGCCCTATCCTTCTGATGCGCAGCTAACGTCTGACTTTTTGTCGCACAGTGTCTGGGACACGTACTATTACTCCTACCTGCAGGTCGCCCACTTCCAGGACATCGCCAGCGCCGGCTACATTCTCAATACCTTCTCCCTCACGTCGGCGATCATCTCGCCCCTTATCAGCGTGTTAGTGTGCCCAATAACCTTCCAATCATCTCCCCTCCCCCCCAGCTGACATGAAACAACAGGTTCATCCGCTATACAGGCCAATTCAAATGGCCGACCATCATCGTGGGGATCCCCTTCGTGCTGCTCGGCACCGGCCTGCTCATCCACTTCCGCACGCCAAGCACATCGGTCGGCTTCCTAGTCATGTGTCAATTCTTCAACGGCCTCGGCACCTCCTTCATTGCGACCTGTGGGCAGCTAGCCGTGATGGCCGCGGTGACGCACCAGGAGGTCGCCATCGCGCTCGCATTTTTCAACCTGTGCGGCTCCATCGGCGCAGCCATCGGCATGGCCATCGCTGGCGGGCTGTGGACGAACTTGCTGCGCAACTCCATCTACGACAACCTGCCGGCGGCGAGCAAGGAGCTGACGGATGCAATCTACGCAGACATGCGGCTGCAGCTGTCCTACGAGAGGGGCGATCCGATCCGTGACGCTATCATCGAGGCGTATGGTGATGTGCAGCGCAAGATGGTCATTGCTGGCGCGGCGTTTGTGCCGCTGCTGCTGGGTGCTGTGCTGATATGGCGGGATATCAATGTCAAAGAGAAGAGGCAGACTGTGGGGAATGTGTGGTGATCAGTTGTTTTGTTGTGTGACGGGCGGTAGGTGCTTAGCTTGTTACTGTACATATCTACCTAGTACCGATTTATTACAGTGATGGAATAAATCGGAAACATACTTGCCTATAAAAAACACTGCAGTTCAGTGTAGAAATGCGCTCGTTCTTAGACAAGATGTCTACTTGATGTTATGATGGGCTACAGCTAGGTCTTCTTCGGACCGAAGATGTTAACAAACCTCTAATCCCTGTGTCACACTCGACTAAAACTAACAATATAGACCCCTATTATGGCGGGTAGAGTACATACGGCCATAGATAGTGTAGAACTGCGTATGGTAGGCGGGCGGAGTGGAAGCGGTTTAGCGTAGGCTTGAGAGCCAAGTGCAGGGTGGATCGCAGGAACTGTGCCTTACGGTCTCGTACAACAGTACCTTGTGAGAGGCACTGAGGGAAGCAGCCTGACTGCTACAGGTCTGCAGAACTCTGCTGCAGATCTGCCACCTAGACTGTGAGAACTCTGCTCAACAGTCTACCTCGTGGGCTGCAGGGGACTCTGCCCTGCGACCAGGGTTTTCTTGGGCGGGGAGATATTACAAACCACTCGACTGTTAGGGTCGTCTGTCTGTAAGGAAGCACGGGCTCCCCAGGATGCTGGGGTTGGTAATTATGAAGATAGAACAAAGGGCAAGCTCCTATCGCACGGGTAATACAGTCAAATCGGAATGCCACTCAAAGTGTATGAGTGCAGTGAATGTGTATTGCTTGCTTGAAGAACCAAGCAAGAACTATCTAAGACCGTAGCTACGGTCGTCGTATATATCTATCTAAGGCGGACCAATCAGAGCGTTGGTCCTAGGTGATCAGTGCGGTCAGTGTGCTCAGTGCGATCAGTTCTCACTGATCGCCCTGACCATACTGATCGTACTGACCGCCTCGTTATTGGCTGCACTCGAGGGAAGCGGGGAACTACCCTACTTCCTTGCGTCAGCTAATAGCGGGGAGCTCCGTGCAGCCTCCTGTGCGCCTGAGCCAGGATCGTAACAAGTAGTAAGCGTTTTTTTTAATAAAAAAAAACGGTATTCTATCCGCTAAACTCGACATGGAATCCGTTTTAATTACGGTAAGAGATAAGATGCCGCCATTTTAGACTCCTGTATACCCTCATTTTCGGCCGCTTTGAGTCCCAGAGACAAGGCTTCTGACCGCCAGATTAGTAGTTGGGTCGGTGGCGACCAGCGAATCCCTGGTGTTGTATGTTCTTTTTGCCCCTGATTACCTATTTTTGTCTCGCGGTCCGCTGTAACCTCCGCCCTACGCTTTATGCACACAAACCCCTTGCATACCCCCTGCCCTACCCTCCATCCCCTAGCAATCATTTCTTGATCTGGAACCCTTGGTCGAACCAGAAACCCAGCTCAATTCCTTCCACGTAATCCCAACGCCTCTCTAACCCAAAATCGACAATATTCTCTACACCTCCACCCTTGTCGACTTGTCTCAGACGCCGTCAGCGTCAAGCCTTGTCTCCCTCTTTCTCGGGCCTGGGCCGTTGCTTTAATTGACGGTCGGTCCATTGCTGCCGATCGGCGATTTGGCACGCGCGCGAGTCGTATATCCCGGCTCCTATTGCCAGGGTAGAGACGGTATTGCAACGAAGCCGCGTTAGACTTGGGGGATCGCGTTGATAACGGCACGCGATAAAATACCTACCTAGGTGGGCAACCGGGAAGTGGTGGTCAAAATATGCACTGCAACCCGCTACGGGACCAGGATCGTGGCACCAGGATCATGGCGTTGGGAGCTAAATGCACATGATTCGACCATTTCGGCTGAGCTGGCTCGGAAGTTACGTATATACCGCCTGCTAGCTCCGGGAATTCGGCAGCACCCGAAGGCTTTCCAATTTTCAGGCCATGTCGTTGGTTGTGGCGCAGCACCAGAGGGAAGATGACGCCGTCGTGGTAAGCTGTCAAGGTTCTTTACAAGCAGCGCCACAGAGTTTGTTGGCAGCTGGGCCGCAGCAGCCATCGCTTCGTATATGCCAGTCACACAAACCCAGGTTTTGTCTGGTGCAATTCTAGTACATGTCAAACATCAGGAAAATAAGCGCTAGGGGTACCATGGAAAGGCTGCCAAGCTTGAACAGTTTGTCAAGAATGAACAATAAAGGCTCTGCAAGTCTTAAACGAGCTGATTACTATTGCACTAGCAGACAAACTAACACCTGCTACCTAGTGGACAGCTAGGGCTGCATGCTGCAGCCACCCGGGCACACAATAGATTCGGTCAAGTATCTACCTAGTCCTAGTACTGGGCGGCCAAACCTGAAACCAACCCAACAGGGTTCAGGGTAGCATTTGGTGTTGGCTGTTCAATGATTGCCGTTTGCAGGGAGGCACTTCAAGTCTTGGGAGAACCTCGCCATTCTCAGCTGCCGTGTCGAGCCATAGACTCGATGATGGGTCAACAAACCGGTAGTATTTGCTCAGTCTCAAAAACATCGTGCCCCACACGCCTCTTCGCCTCGATGTGCACGCGTTACATTAGTACATATTCACAAAGACACAGGCCATGTCTGTTCATTTCGGAGGTCTCGAACGGGAACTAGAAACAGCAACATGTTCTTCACAGGGAATCTGGTCAAGACTTGACCAGATTAGTCTTGACCAGATTCCAGGTCAAGTACCGTCGTCCCTCGTCCCTCGTCCCCGCCACATCCACCATCCTTCGACACTCTAGCATCAGCACAACCAACAAAAAGGAAGCATTACTCTTTGTCCCAACCTTGTTCCCCAGAGCAACCCTAACCCACACACTCCACAACAAAGGGGGAAACGCAGTAGAATAGGCCCCATCCCCCCGTCCCCGCCTGTGGAGCGTTCCGGTTCCACCCAACACACAAAAAGGTTACCAAAAAAGATTTACCGAGCGAGCAGTTTCTGCTCGGGGTGGAATGGGACCAGTGAGGATCGAACTCACGACCTCAGGATGGCTCTGGCGTTTAACCAGATCATATGCGGAGATATGAGACCTGCGCGCTAACCAGCTGCGCCATGGTCCCTTATTGTTTGATGAGTATTGGTCGGATAAAATTTCACCACTTGTTCCACGTTCACGGAGCACACTTTCCACACTACACTGTAATCAACCTTCACGATCTATGCAATGTCAGTTGAGATAAACTATGGAATGAAATTGTTGCTTTTTTAATTTTTATTTGTCAATCCGGGCGTTGCCGACGCGCCGTGCACTCGGCTCCTTCTATTATTTTGTATTATATTGTATTATTTTTGTTGCTGTTCTTGTGAGAGAATTCCTCGCTCCCACGCAATGCACCGAGGCTGATATAGTGTTACCCCTCCAATGCAATCTATCCGGAGGACCCCCGCAAGTACAATGTGTTATACTTTCTCTTCATGGCATGATTATGACTTCCACACCTTCTTCACCAAAGACACCAACCAGCATACATCTTTTGAGGTAATCTCCACTCCCTTTTCCTGCAGGCTCCAACTCTTTTGGTCGACAAGATGACGTCTACTCGTGAGCGGCTCCATCGAAACGGGTTTGCAGCGGATGAAGGCTTCACGGTCTGGTAGACCGCTGAAGTGGTTTTGACTGCGTGTGTCGAGGTCGTCGTAGATATCATCGTTCTGGTATCCGTCAAGACTGTTGTGGATGTCACCGCTGCGGTAGACTTGATGAATGATGTGGTTGTCGTTGAAAAAAGCCGTGGTCGATGTCACCGTCGTGGTACCTGTCAAAACTGTCGTGGTTGTTAACGTTGCGATGAATCGAAACATTACCCCTTGCTGACAGCAACGACTCTGGGGTGAAGTAATTCCTAATATGTGACGGGTGAATAATCCTTCGAGAGAGCAATGAGATAGTCAAAGCTTCAAATTATAGCCTTTGCTCACCGTCCAAGTAGTACTAATACGAGAGGGGAAAAAAAAACAGAGAAGCGGGGTGTAACGCTTGTAATTATGGGGCTGCTTCGGACAATGCTAACTCGACCTATCTCCTCCAGACGCTGACCACACAAGCCCGGCGACTGTTCGGAACCAGCCAGCCGCATACAACTTGGAAAGCACAGACTCTTCTTTCCCGGACTTCTGCGCCTCTTGGATGAAATGAGAGAACGTCTCGTGTACGCCATTGCCCGTCTTAGCCGAGCATTCTGTAAAAGTAAAGCCTCGGTCCGTCGCCAACTTTAACGCCTCCGCACCTGACACAGCCCGTTCCTCGTCGTGAGCATCCGAGTGAAGCCCCACGACCATGACGGGGCAAGGCGGACCGCCTGAGCCGCAGTCGTGTAAGACAGCGTCACAAAGTCGAGGGACCTGTAGGAAAGACTCGTAGGATCGTACGTCGTACGCCGCAATGACTCCATAATAATCGAAGCGTTCGACAAGGCCGGCATAAGAAAAAATGTTGTCGCTAGCGAAGAGGACATGTACGTCGTAAATGCGCCCGTCGCAGTAGAAGTGTGCATTCTCGTCTGCCTGGTCGAACAGCGCTTGTTCCATTTTCAAGCCGCCGTCCATGTCATCATAGAGCAGCTGAAATGAGTGCATTAATCAGCTTCGATCATTAGGTGTGGTCACCCAAGAGTTGTGTGTTTTAGGGGGGGAGGGGCGGTGGACGGACCCTTCTGAGTAGCGACTTCTTTCCGATGCCCTGTGCTCCCACGATGAGAACTGCAACTGTGACTGGATAGTGAACCGTAGGGCTGAAAGCGCCTCTAGCCTTTAGTTCATCCCATCGGCTTTCGTGGACAGCCTCGCTACGTAAGAGTGGTGCTTCCGGGGGTTGTGCCGGCGTCTCGTTTCTAGTCGCTTGAACTTGGGCAGGTTGTGCGCTGTGCTCTCGATGGTCTTGATGGCCGACCTATTGTTTAAACCGTTTCATTAAAACGAGAAGTGATCCAAGAAAATTAGCTATTCGATATGTGTTCTCTATTCGACAGTGTGTTCCACCCGTTATAAGCCTACGGCTTGCACTGAGTGCCACTAGGCCCAGAGTGGATGAATATAGTATCGAGAGGAGTGGCCGATGACATGCTGATGTTCGGTTCTCCTGGTGTTGTGCATGCTGCCAAGACGAGCACATTCCTTTAATACGAGTAAGGGGATAGATAGTACCTGTTTGTTGCGGCGCGCGTTCGCTTACCGGCCAGTAGTTAGCTTATTAACTTACTAGCGCAAATCCGAGATCCAGGCAGTTGCAGCTACTGCGTAAATACCCAAGCATGCGGATATCACCGTGAACGCCCGCGCGAACCGTGCCGGCCCCTCCAGCCAGGGCATCTCTTATTTTTAGCTTGCGATGATTAACTAACTCAGCTTTATTGGCGACGCCTAGGTAGGGGGCCGAAATTAGCCAACCGGTCTCGAGGGCTCCGTTTCGAGCTACATTTTCAGAGGATTCGCTAAAGCTTACTGCTTATCTTTCCATAGGTCGGGAGATGGAAATCTTGGTGAACACCGATTGCGCGCGGCCGTTACAGGAGCGCTAGCGAGGCTCTGCGATGGTGGTGGCGATCGTACTCAATCGCCGTTAATCGCAAGGAAAAGCTGATATATAAAGTGGGGCCAAGGCGGTAAGCGCTGGCAGAATTCATTTCGGAAGCGGCCCATCTAGATCTCTCTCCCGGTGTGGGCCCATGTCTGTTCTAGCAAGGTCTAGTAGTTGGGTGGGTGACCACCAGCGAATCCCTGGTGCTGTATGTTTTTTTTAACTTTTTTTTATTGTGTAGTAGAACTCAATACTACTTACTCTACTTAATATTTCCTTTTTCTATGTTTTTATTGTTAGAGATGTGGCGCTGGTTAGTGGCTCTTCATATTATGCGCGCGGCAACCCCCATGTAAGAGAAGGTAGGTACGCCTGATCAAGGTGGTCACAATGCAGGCAAGAAGGTAGGGGAGCAATGACTTGTATTGGTGTAAGACTTCAACCTGGCCCTCGCAAAGGAAGATGGGCGAGGGCCATTGTTTATATACCTGCTCAGGGGTTCGGCCCGGGCATCAGTCTGCGGTCGTGGCGCCACGGCGTAGCGTATGCCAGCTGGCAGTGTTCTAGCCAGTTGGTGACAAGTGGTGGGCGCGCACCCTGTGCGCGCAGTTGGTGTTTGGGGTGTCCTTTTCCTTACACCCCATATTACAAACCACTCGACTGTTAGGGTCGTCTGTCTGTAAGGGAGCACGGGCTCCACAGAATGCTGGGCTTGGTAATTATGAAGATGGAACAAAGGGCAAGCTCCTATCGCACGGGTAATACAGTCAAATCGGAATGTCACTCAAAATGTATGAGTGCAGCGAATGTGTATTGCTTGCTTGAAGAACCAAGCAAGAACTATCTAAGACCGTGGACACTGTCACGACCAGGGCAAGGCATTGAGGTTAACTCAGTCCATTGGGTGCTATCGACGAAGATTCTAAACTGAAGAGGGAAAGAAGGAAAGGTCCGACAACGCGTCGCGTGCTCGCGAATAAGTTTTCATCTATCAGTGGGGTAGGTGGGGCCTCGAGGAGGCTTCTGATAGGCCCGGGGGTTCTGGGCGGCTCTGGCTGCTTGAGGGCCAGTTTGGTGGACGGGTCCTCACAGACACGGTCATCGTATTTATTTAATTATGGCGGGCCAGTAAGAGCGCAGCTCTTACTTGCCTGGCAGGAAGGAGCTGCCTGGCGCCGGGCACTGCTAGCGTGCCGGGCCATTTGCCTGGTGCCAAGACCCTTCTTGGCACCGGACCACCTCTGATTGGCCGTCCTTCCGTTTGCCTGGTGCCAAGAGCCCTCTTGGCACCGGGCACCGTCTGATTGGCTCTCGACGAGCGGGGCCCCCAGTCTTGCCTGAGGCGCCTACCTTCTGCAGCTGGTCCAGTACGAACCAGGTTCGTCACAATAACGCTTGGGACATAAAGACTACTTCCCCGCGTGAGGAGCTAGGAATGGGCTTCTGATGCCTGATCGAGCGAGGGAGCGCCAAGACAGGGTCATATGACCGGCACGTGTAGTTTAAGTACATAGGTACATAGGGAAGCGGGGCTTAGCCCGACGCGGTTGGACCGCGTCTGCCCCACCAAAGGACCACATTAAGGTCCTCGGCAGGGCAGTGCTCCCGAGCTTCCTCCCTCGATCATCAATTTACCTACCTTTTCACAAATAGCCTACCGCATTCCGTGATCTAGGTGACGATCACCCTTCAGCTTCCATATCCAATATTGTACTAGAGTTTTTGCTTCTTTTAACACAATAGGCTATAGTTACGCGTAAAATTACTCGCAAGATACGGGCGAAAGATTCTAGAGTTCTATCAAAGAGCCTGTTATATAGGTATCTGTTTGAAGATTCGAACGCCATATGTAAGAGAAGGCAGGTACGCCTAATCAAGGTAGTCACGATGGAGGGACCAAGAGGGCGAGCAATGACTAGCATTGGTAAAAGACTTCAACCTGGCCCTCGCAAAGGAAGGTGGGCGAGGGCCACTATTTATATACATAGTTGGGTGGCTCAATCTGGAGGATGCCGGGGCCGGGTGTTTGGGGCCAGCTGGTGGCGCCTGGGCCGGGCCGGGCGTTTGGGGTGCTCTTTCCTTACACATAGCGAATCTGTAAGCCACCTTCTTCTCTTATTACCCCGACCGTACTCATCTATTTGCTCGTGAAAGCTGCCAAGTTTTGAAGTGGTGGCGCTCGTAGTAAGGAGGGTTGGATTGTATATTACAATATATCATTATATTGTAACGGCTGGCGTCAGGATCACAAAAAGGGAAAATGCTAGAAGGAGCGGGCGGAATAAAGGAAAGTGTTGAAAAGATGCCATCTCCTTCTCTATAACATTCCTTAGCTACCGAACAGTTGATGTTATTATCGTTGCTATCGTTGTTGTCGCCAATAACTACATGGCTATTCGTCCGTTATTTGTGAGAGATCGATCGACGTTATTCTAGGAGATCTAATACCGCCAAGTTCAGATCTGATCTCTCCACACTCATTTACCAGCTCCTTCACGTCTTTGTCGATCGACATTAACCTACCATGTCGGCCCCAGACGGAGCGGCGCCGCTTCCAACCTACTGCGTATCCGCCTAATAGCGTGCCGAGGCGATACCGAGGACGTGATATGAGCTGAGCCGCTCGTCGTCCCGGTCCGTGATGCTGTGGGAGAGGGGTTCGCGTACGGCTCGCTTCGAGACCCTGTTCTTGTCCCTTTTACCAAATTTTGATCCCCAAAGATATGGTTTCATGTACGGCGCGCCTAGGGGTGCCCAAGGCCCGCTCGACGACAGCATTCGGCCTCTTCATCGTTGCAGCCTGTCACGGTCGCCACAGGGCTCATGTGACAGGATTGATTCTATTGGCTGCATTGTGTGTGGCCTGTGCGCACTGAGCACCACTACCTATTTCTCCGCGCCCTGCGCGGACCCCGCGATAGATTCCTTTCTCTTCCTTAGCTTTAAATCCACATTCGTTGCTGCCTTCAACCATTGACATCCCTACTGCGTAAGGCGGGCCGTCACACTGCCCCAGTCTAATGACAGGGCGTACGCGGGGATCGAGCGGTATGTTATTATATATAAGAACTCAAAGCGGTAGATATTTTGCCGGCGAAGGAAAGGAGTTGGCTACGTCTAATTGTCACGGCATGGCGCATAGCGGGTTCCTTATCGGGTCCCTTATCGCTAGCCGTATGACATCAATTCTAGACTAAGCCCGAATAAGCTTAGTTCCCCGCGCCACGTGCACCGAGCCCCGCGCCCACAAACCCTCAATCGCAGCCTTCGCGATTCTTTCCCTTTTTCCTTTCCCTTTTTCTTCTTTAGCTTAGTTTTACACTTAATCAATACGGTATTTTTTTGGCATAGTCCTTCATTTCCTATCATCCGTGACACTAATCTAATGTGTGTGGGGACGAAGAGGACGATATATTTTAGGAGGAGCTGGAGAGAAATATATAGCTGAGTCCGACACGCTGGGTCCCACGGTCTGATTTCGTTCGGTTATTAGAAAAAGTGTATTTTTTTAGCTTTCTTTATAGCCGAGTTGCCTCGGCTTAGCGGTACGGACGGTACCCTATCGGATTTAGAGTTTGGGTTCTGTCTACATAATAACCCTCGAACTTCAAATTTCGAACTTCAACCTTTCACCTTTCCGAAAAAAAAACCCACATCGCCCCGGCCACGCTCTTCTCATTCATCATGTCAGGCCCCGCTCCCATCATCCCCGAGCGGCGCTCGTCTCTTGATCACCCGACGTTCTCGGTCGCGGGCTCCCCTGCTAGCGTCCCAGAGATCCTAAAGCGCTCGAGCAGTAAGAAAAAGACTCTCTACACTCAACACAGCGAGCTAGTTGACAAGATCAAGAAAACCCGGAAGAAGCTCAACCCCTCGTCGTCATTTGATTCCACCTTCTGGTCCAGCAGTTCAGATCTCCTTACCATGGACGCGGAGAGAGTTGGGCTATATAGCTCACTCCAATTCCGTGAATATCAAGAAGGCGGCGGAACCTTGTCGAGAGAGCGCTGGGAAGAGATGGACGAGAAAGGAAGAGAGTGCCTGCTTGAGTCTATTGCACTCGCACGACAAGCATCGATTGCGAGGGAGCAGTCCGAAAAGCTGAAGTCTCCTTCTCCCTTTTTAGATCGTTGCAACGGGTTCCTCAAGCTCTTCAACTCTTCCAAGCTGGGGTTCGACCTCCCGGATACTGGATCCAAGGGCCGGCGCGAAACAAGTGACCAGTCAATGATGAGAGACTTGATGAGGCAGGCCTATTGCCCTGGCTCTGCTAACATTTGGGAGCCGGTGCTTGGGACTTGGGTCGATGGGACCCTCGCCATCGCCGCACATCTCTTCCTTGGCGTTCAGCGGACCTCATGGACTCCATCTTCGGGACTGGCGCCCGCGACGAACTCTTCTCGCCCGTCAACGGCATCTTTCTCTATCCGCTTATAGAACGGGCTTTTGATAGGGGCTTCTTGGTCATCGTCCCTAATACCAATTTGGAAGCAAAGGATTCGGCAGCTCCGTGGAAGGATAAAGACGAACGGCGCCAGCCCTCAAGGATTGGGAGACGATTACTTCCAGAGAGTACCGTATCATAGTCTTGGACGCAACGCCTTCGACTATGTAGCAGGTAGTATTCTCAAAGGAGCTTTACAATCTCGAGTTCAACAACTTGGCCGGCCTACACGGAGGCGGGTTACAGTTCCTGAACGAGTCGCGGCCCAGGGCTCGATATGTCTGGTGGACGTTTCTCAACGCCATTACGCAGCTAACCTGGAAGGGGTCGCTCAAATCCTCCCAGTCATTGATACAGAATAGTCCTCAAGGGGACAAGGTACTGGGGTACTCACGGAAGATACGTGAAGAAGAATATGCTCCTTGGCTTCGTCAAAGAAATTGGACACGACGTCAGCAGTATCGCTGAGTCAATCATGGAGCACGCTATTGAGGAGGAGGAGGGAGGACCTGCCGATCAGGGGCCTGATAAGTTGGGGCTGGCGGTCGTTACGGACCGAGTCGTCCGCCGGGCACAGAAACATGACGGCTTTGACTATGAGTTTGAGCTGGAGGATGAGCTGGAGGATAAGGGTGAAAGCGAGGAGGATGACTAAGGGGGGAGTGTTCACATCTAGTACGGAGGCTGGGGCAAAGAGAAAGGGCCACCCTTCACAGTTGCCAAATTTTGAACTCCCATAGGACCTACAGGAATTATGGCCAAGATAGATAGAGCGTACAGAGCTGGTACGGCTGCTCTCAATGCAATCCCTCGCCTTTATTTCTTCTCCTTCTCCTTCTCCTTCTCCTTCCTCTCCGTCCTGCTGCAGCTGCTCTGGTAGTGACCGTGGCTCGTTAGGGGGGCAGTGTCGTGCTCGTCAGGAGGGCAGGTCGTGCTCGTCAGGGAGGGCAGTGTCGTGCTCGTCAGGAGGGCAGTGTCGTGCTCGTGAGGGATGGGAGTTTCGTGTGCATTACTTAGTCTTGCGGCTAGTGCGGGGCATACAAATCTAACACTCACTAGGGCTTAACAGGGTGTTTGCTAGTTTGCGCAACAAAGGTCTCGTATTGGGGCGCTGACAAGTCTTCTAAAGATGAAGCTGCCTCGCCCACATTTTGGTAGACTTCCTTCCAGAGACTCGTAAAAAGCAATAATGCTGCCAACAACTAAACCACCCACTAATTACGATTCCTAACGGTACCAGACCTATTAATGTTGAATTCACCATATGGAATCTTCTAGTGGATGATAAATACTAGATTATTCAGCTGATGTGAGCCAAAATTGCCACACAGCTCGCCACCACTCATATGTATAAAACCTGCACCTCTGGCATAGCCAGAGGAGGGGAGAAATTGAAGAGAACACAACACTTCATTTTTTTTCGGTCTGAATGTAAAATCCAACAATTAACTAATTGCGTTTCCCACCGCCTTAATTGCAAACGCAAGGACGAAGGCGACCTCCCGCTTCCACGAAAACCGCCCCGATGCCCCGCTACGATGGCCCCGCCGTCATCATGTATATGGAAAGGTGGCTCTGGGGGCATTACGGAGCACCTGAGGCAACCAAGGCAGAGAGATCAATATACGCTAAGCTCAAAGGGGTATAGGGCCAAATTAAGGCCCGTGGTCAATGTACTCATAACCCTAGCCCAGCAGATTTCCAATAAACGGCATGCACGGGCCAACTCTTAAAAAGTAGGTTACGCTCCCATTTCACATCACCCACATCCAGGGTGGGCGGCGATATATTCGACACCCCTGTACGAATATTTGGCGAACATGATACGCTGAAATCGACAGAAGTTCTAGTGGGGTAAACGGTAAAAATTAGTGAGATAAATACTGTAACTTAGCGGGCTGGCGCTAAGCTATAGCGGGTATTTTCCCTTTACGTTTTGCTGCCAGCTTTGCCCCCTATGGTGCCCGTAATAGCATCCCTCATCTCGCTAAGTTTTAGTGTATCACATTCGCCGAATATTTGTACAGGGGTATCGAATATATCGCCGCCCACCCTGCCAACATCCCGACCTTTGCCGCTTCTGCATCTTTTTCAACATCCCCAAGGCAGATTGTGCACGCCACCGCCTATCACCATGAGTAACCCCAGATATTTTGCGACTTTGTTTTTAGAACGCCTAGAAGCCTCACAGATTCTTCTTGTCGAGTGGGAGACTACTCTCCTGATACGTTTCGGCTATCCTCTTGCGCCAAATGGAGTGAGTCGGCACAAGTGCTTCTCTTAATCACGACATTTGATCTAACAACCGATAGAGCCGATTTTTTCTTGTCCCTGACAGCCAGCTACAGAAAGTCGGCGAAATTGCTGCGGAATTAAGGCTATCTCCTGTGGATGAGAATACTTTACGCTCAGTCTACCGTGCGAGATGGCGGAGATGACACTTCGCTACCTCATCGACGACACGGCTTCTAGCCAAGGTCCGCCGCGACGTAGGCTCGTTTTTCTGCCTATATCTTGGACAGGAATTAGCTGCGACGAGCTTGTACCGATTATGGTTGATAATGGCCTTCAGCCCACACTACCCAATACTGTCCGGACAGTGCCTCTCCCGGTCGCATGCGCCGCTTTCGTCCGAATGGCTGCTCGCGAAAAACGCGCAAGTCGACTCCGCACTCGGATATTTGAGCAGCTTTCTAGCGTGATCACGCATAGCCTCTTTGACATGAGCTACGAGGGAGATTACATGGAGTTTCCGCCGAATGACTAGCCACTTTCAGACAAGGAGAAGTTGGAGATTGAAAACGCCGTGACGGAAATTAATGGATGGGCTTTCAGGGAGGATGAAGAATGGATCAGAATCATATTGGTGGAAATCATCACTGGGAAGAAAACGCATGAGGATTTGCCTTACTGATGTGCCAAGATATAGTTATATTTCCTGACGTCGGCCTGTTTATGTATATGCTCGGCAAGGTCGAGAACCAGGCCAATATCGACCTTGAAGTGGTGGTTCGCTGCTGAGCTTTATCCTGTATTGGACATTCAGCACCTCGTCGGTCACAAACCTCTCATGGCTAAGCGTGGTGTCGCACGGACCTGCACGGAAGTACGGAGCATGCCTGCCCTCCCTTCCTCCGGGAAAACACGGCTATAACCGTCAATCCCTTACTCCGGCCAAAGGCATGCCGAGCTCCCTTGCATGTCTCGCGATTTCTTCATTTACTCCTTGAATTCGGACCTCTGATGGGGCTAGGCGGCCTCGGAACGAGGCCAGGTTCCTAGCTACAAGTAGAAGAAACAGATCCTTCATTTTGGTCCCGATTCCTCAGATAATTCAAGACCTTCTTTTTCTGACAATACTGTTAGAATAGCGATGTTGGTGACCGTACTCTACTCTGGAAGGGAGGCGGTGCGATGCACGTGCTAGCGCACGTGCTTGCAGGCACGGGCGCCGCACGGCCCTCGCACGGCCATGTACAAAGCCAAAGACCCCCACCATAGATTTCTAGAGCAGAACATGAATCAGAACAACTTTACACCCCCCCCCCCGGTAGTACTACCACTTTTTGACCCGTTGGAACACCTACGTGGTTGGAATACCACGAACACTGATCAGTGAGTGGTAACACTCACAGATAAGCTACGTGAAGAGACGAAATCGTACTATCGGCGCGATCGCACTGAACTTTCGAGGGAAGTGCGACCCGCGTGCGAGAATCTCTCGTACTATCGCCTAGACGACTGTTTCCTACGAACTTTCGAGGGAGTAAGGAAGCTTCATCTAGAAGAATTAAGGAACCAATCGTACTAAACGCGAATGTTGACGACCGCTGGAAATCGGGAAGGCGATCGTAAGCATCACGGCTTGGTACAAGAGGAACCCGAATTGCGCGCCACAGTGCATTAACCCCGCTATAACCCCACTCAATACCAAAAACCCCGGTCGTACGGCAGCGACCAATCACCAACACACTTATCGACAGTCATCGATAACTTGAAGACGATGGCGTTAGATAGTGAGGAGGAATCCTACGAGGAGATCTGGGAGAATAGCGGCATCCCCGCGACGGTTTGGAAGAGCAATGTTGACTTCAACCTGTGGGATTCTGAAACGCCACCAAACCTCACGAACCCATTTCGGGAGAAGGAGGCAACAACGTACTTCGCACAGAGTATGATAGAGTTTATCTAGTTCAATACGAGCCCAGATAGAATCCGCGCGGCTTTCCGCGAAGATTTCAAAGGCTGGACAGTCGCACAATTCAACGAAGTCAATCGTACGTTCAAGAAGCGAATGCTTACCATCTTGGAGCAGAAGAACGTACAAGTCCCGGAAGGAACGGCCTCAGAGAAGTTCGCCAATCTCGTGACGACCGCACAGCCAATAGAGATGTCGCACAACACCCATCAACCATCTCCGACACCCACCCTACAGCTCAAGACAGGAGGAATACCACTCCTAACGAACCCACCGGGTACGACGACTTCTCCATCTCCAAATTCGTACCAGAACCCGAACCCGCTGTACGGAACCCCCTACATCCAGTACCAGAATATCCCACCGACGCGGATCATATATAACGGCCCAGTCGATAGCAGGAAAGTATCGGCGTTTGTGAAGGCATGGAAGCCCGCACGGAACTACACAGGACGTCCGTACGACATCTTGTACGATAAGGTCAAGCACTTCGTTAGTATTTGCCGGAGGCACGAGATCCCGGAGGATATGTATCACGCAGTATTCCCCGAGATCCTGTCTGACCGTGCGGAGACGTACTATATGAACCATATTGGGCCTGATAAGAGGTGGGACGAGATCTATCAACTGCTGGACTCGTACTTCAATACTACGGTGAACCACGCCGAGTATTACTCGGACTGGACTACCCTCAGCTTCGCACGATTGCGTAGGGAGAGCCCAGAGGCACCAGCGAAGGAGATGCTCGAGAAGATGCTCGACAAGCTCCAGCTCGTGCAGCGTGCCCTAGGCGAGGGATACCAGGGCGAGATCGCACTACACACCGCAGTCACGCGAGCCTGCACGGGAGTCGCAGAGTTTGAACCAGCACTACTGGGCCAGAGGACATCGTGCGAGTCACTATTTGACAAGCTGAGAACAGCCCTGAAGATTGCAGAGGACCGCAAGGTTTCGCGACAGTTCCATACCCAGACGCACGACCCAGCTCCACAGCGATTCAAGTTCACGATCAAGGACGAGTGCGAATTCAACTATGAGGTCGTCATCGATATCGTACAGCTCAAGGGAAGGAAGGCGCTACACGTTATCGATGTGGCGACATCATTTCAGGCAGTAACGTTCCTACGATCAATGTCAGCGAACGATGCATGGGACGCACTATGTCGCTGTTGGATCTTTGTATACCAAGGGCCCCCAGATGTGATATCGCACGACCCAGGAACGAACTTCGCATCTGAGGAGTTCAGGAACAACGCCAAGATTATGGGAGTCTCGTGCAAAGAGATGCCGATTGAGGCACACTGGGCTATCGGTAAGGTAGAGAGAGCACACCGCCCATTAGAACGGGCGTACGATATCCTCCACCAGGAGTTGAGTCATCGCACAGACGACGAGACGATCCTCCAGATGGCAGTTAAGGCTCTTAACAATACGGCTGGCCCAGACGGGCTCGTACCAACACTCTTGGTATTTGGAGCGTACCCCAGGATCAATCACGACTCGCCACCGTCACCCGAGATTAGAGAGAGAGCGCGAGCAGTGCAGAAAGCAATGAAGATGTTGCGCGAGATCCGCGCACAAGTTAGCGTTAATCGTGCGCTCAATACTCGGAACGGACCAACGACAAATGGAGTCCTCGCACTACCCTTGAGGAGCGAGGTGCTTGTCTGGCGAGAAGGGAAGGACAAGAGGTGGGAAGGACCATACCCCATTATCGCCAAGGACTACGCCAATGTTACCGTCGAAATGCAGAGCGGCCCAAAGACGTTCAGAATAACCCAGGTCAAGCCGTACTATCAAGATAAAGATAGGGAAGAGCAGGGACAAGGAGAAATCATCTCGCACGAGAAAGACCAGGTATTGAAAGAACCTGTTCCCATCGTGCAAAAGAGGGGACGGGGACGACCAAGAGAGAACCCAATCCCAGCTCAAGGCACGACTCTTGTTACTCAGAAGGAAGTCGACGCACTCGCACTGGCTATCCAACTCCGCGAAGAAGGAAAGATCACTATACCCGGGCTACCATTTGAGGAATCGGACGCCCAGGAGATTGATGGACTGCTAGTCTCACACGTTATTGAGGTCATCCGCTTTAATGAGAAGAAGCATGGCAAGCTAAGACTCTGGAAGACCCGACTCGTGCGAGAGATAAAGGGAAAGGATTCTATCCCCTATGAGAAGTCCAGGTTGATCGTGCAAGGCCATAGCGACGAGGATAAAAAGGAGATCTTGACCCAGGCTCCGACGATCCAGAGAATGAGCCAGAGACTGATCCTCGCACTAGGCCCATCGCTAGAAGAGCGAATTGGTGCAAAGACTGAACTGAGAGATATTACGCAAGCCTATATCCAATCGACAGATCCTCTTCATCGCACAATCATCGCACAGCTCCCGAAGGAACTCAAGGACAAGTATCCGAAAGGTACGGTCCTATGGATCAAGAAGCCCCTATATGGACTCGCAGAGGCCGGAGTCCATTGGTTCAAGACGTACAACAAGCACCATATCGAGGCATTGGAGATGCAAACTTCAACGTACGACCCTTGTCTGTTAGTTACCAAAAACGGACAAGAGACCTTCGGAATCACAGGCATGCAGACAGACGATACGCTCACACTAGCCACCCCCCAATTTTCGGAAAAAGAGGAGGTCAAGCTCAAAGAAGCAGGACTGATGGCGAAGCCAAAGAAGTTCCTGACGCACGACTCTCCTATCGAGTTCAACGGATGTCGCCTCCAACTCCAGGGAAAAGACATCTTAATCGCACAGAAAGGGCAGGCCAAGCAACTCAACCTAATCGACCAGGAAAAAGAAGATGCACCCCAACAATATGTATCTCAACGTGCGAGAGGTGCATATATCGCAAGCATTTGCCAGCCAGAGGCAGCGTACGACCTATCTATCGCAGTCCAAGTGAAGGAACCAGAGAAGGGAGACCACGACAGCCTGAATAAGAGGATCCAGTGGCAGATCGATAACCCGGAGCGAGGACTTTGCTATCAACCACTGGACCTTGATCGCGCGAAGCTATTCATCTTTACTGATGAATCTTTCGCGAATAACAAGGACATGTCATCACAGCTCGGATTCCTAATCGTACTAGGAACGGAGGACGAACGTATGGATAAGTCATTCCAGCTCTGCGGCAATATCGTACACTGGTCCTCAACCAAGTGCAAGAGGATTACCAGGAGCGTGCTGGCGAGCGAGCTCTACGGCATGGTGAACGGATTCGATAGCGGAATTGCCATTAGTACGACACTCACCAAGATTACCAGCGTCCTCGGAATCGCACGAATCCCAGTGGTAATCTGTACAGACTCGAGGTCACTGTACGATTGCATGGTGAAGCTGGGAACCGCGAGTGAGAAGAGACTAATGATAGACATTATGTCCCTCCGCAAAGCGTACGAGCGCCGGGAGATCTCAGAAATCCGTTGGATTGATGGACAAGACAACCCAGCCGATGCACTTACTAAGAAGAACCCCAACCAAGCATTGACAAAGCTGGTAAATAACGGAAAGGTCATCGTACGAATCGAGGCATTCGTCGATAGACTGGAGAAGAAGGACTGAGGAGGAGTGGAAAGGCCCTTATGTATTATCACCGCACGATCACTCCATTCATATCCCTAGGAAACCCATTTCATTAAAAAAAAAAAAAAAAAAAACTCAACGCACCATCCCCCCAACCCCAAAAGATATTTAAACCCCAGAAAAACACCCCAACCCCAAGTACAAAAGAGATCCCTCAACCGTACGAAGGGCCCAGGCGCGAACCCAGCCAACGGAGGGAGAGAAGCTACTCCTCAAGCAGAAAAGGGTTCAGGCGCGAGCCCGAACTGGAGGGAGGAAGAGCACGTTGGCTAAGACCAGCGCGAGGAGAACCACCAGCTGAACTACCGCCCGAGTCCCAGGCGGACATTGAGCCCTCGTTGGAATGAGAGCAGCGAGATCCGTGCGACTGCCAGACGCACTCGGCACAGGCGCCACCCTGGAATGAGGGGATGCGTACGCAATGCCGGAACTTGGGAGACGCGTTTGGATTGCCGCACTTCTCCGGGCACGGGCGCACGCGTGTACCGCGCGATTGAACAAGGAGCGCACGAAAGTACGACTCCCGGCGGATGATGCGGGCAAAGAGAAAATGGACCGACGCACGATCGGCAGCCGGAACGCGGATCTCAACGTCAACCGAGGGCATGGCAACGACGCGGCGCTCATCGTCCTGAGAATAATCAGCCACTCGTACAACAAAAAGAAAGACTCTCGAGGGTACTTACGTTGATACAGAGGCTCGCAAGGAGACGGCGGTTATCCTCAGAACCAGTCGGAATAAGCAGGAAGAGATCGCCAGTACTATTCGTACGAGAGCTAATGGTACCAAGAGGGGTAGGCGGCAGGCCGCCGCCGCCAGGCACGAGAGACATTGTGCCTGTATGTGCGTGTGAAGAGCGTACGAAGAAGAAGAAGAAGGGAAGAAGGAGGGCGAGAAGGCCAGATTTATGCCTAGAACTGGGTGCCTCGAAAGCGCACTCTTCGGACCCTCCGCTCCTTCCGCACGATCCCCGGTCCCGGGCACATCGTCGTACGAGACCCCGGATCGGCACTGGCAGGCAAACAAGTTATCAGACAAACGTACGAGGAGGTCGGGACTCATTGCACGATACTAGCAAACAGCATATTCAGACGAGGTGGTACGACGATCTGATCATCCAACCACGTGGGGAGCCACAACAAGCAAGAACTTGAGATAAAGAGTTCACGAGAAGGCAGGATAGGGAGAGGGATCGTACGGTCACAAAAGAAGAGTTGCCAGTGTTGGAATAGCGATGTTGGTGACCGTACTCTACTCTGGAAGGGAGGCGGTGCGATGCACGTGCGCCGCACGGCCCTCGCACGGCCATGTACAAAGCCAAAGACCCCCACCATAGATTTCTAGAGCAGAACATGAATCAGAACAACTTTACACCCCCCCCGGTAGTACTACCACTTTTTGACCCGTTGGAACACCTACGTGGTTGGAATACCACGAACAAATACAAACACCTCATTGTATTTGATGCCCCATCTTCTGTTACCCTGTGAATGCGTATGACATATGGATATAAGTGTTACCTGGTATCGACGACCCCGCTGACTGCAGATGATCCGCGCTGACGGCGCTATTGACCCACCATATCTGTGTATCACCCAATCCGGCCATACTAGTTAGAAGGCGATATTCGCTCGCCGGCTTGTCTTATTGCCGGCGTCGATGATTCCGCCGCCGGATCGAGCCTAGCAGGCCACCACAGCCCTACCGCACAGGGGGCCTCGGCCGCAATAGTGCTAGCCTGGATGACTGGGCCTCTGATTTCCACGCTTTAGAATGCGGTCTCCGGCCCTCGCGCGTCTTCCGCTTCTGCCCTCGCGCGCGCGTCTTCCACTTTTGCCCTCCTGCCCTCCCGCCACCTATACCGTATACAGCCATGGCCCGTATATCGAAACGGAAGAAGGCATAAGCACAAAGCTCAGTCACGGTGGCCACCAACGACTTCTAGGCTGCCTACGAGAGCGTATAGGACGCTAAGCAGACTACTACGAATAATGTAGAGCTCCGTACCAACAAAAGGAATATACACTCGTTAATCCAGCAAGAGAGGCTAAAAAATACCGTTACTATATACGAGCCAAAGAAGCGGGAGTTTCAGCAATTCTGTCACGGCAAGTGCAGACAACTAGCTAGATTAGTGGGTCCCGCCCTGGCCCCACCTGGCCACACTGGATTTAAGCGGTGGTCTGTGCACACCACAACCACGCGGCCCACAACACAACTTACTTCCCCCGCGCCCTGCCCGGGCCTTGGAAGCTTCTTTCCTTTTTTCCTTCTTTAGCTTTAGATTCTACGAATACAGCGACTACATTGCAGCCTTGCCTCATAACATTTGACTGTGCGGTGTTACGATCCCGGTTCAGAGGTGCAGAGGGCGTTGTCCCCCCCGCTGCAGATTGGCTGGAGCGGCATTCAGGGCAGGGCTCTCGGCAGGAAGGATGCGGCCAATCAGGAAGTGCTCTGTGCGGTTAGTTGCCAAGACCTGGGAGAGCGCACGGAGCAGGGCGATTAGTGGGGCCCATGGCGATCTGTTCGCAGATCGCCCCGGGGTCCACAGAGCGCAGGGAAGGGACCCTGATTGGTTGCTCATAGTTCTATATAGGAGCTGGCAGAACGCGCTCTCTCTGGGAGAACGGTTCTGCAGCTATCAATGCATCTGGTTAAGCATACATTGGTTGTATGTTGAAAGCCTGTCTTTCGCAATCTGTGCACGATACTCCTTGTCTCCTGTCATCTCCTACCTACCGTCCAGACCCCCACAATCCTAGGCCGGGCCTAGCTCCGTGGACCTGTTTATTACGATCCTGGTCCAAGACTGCAGGAGGCGCTGGAAGCCAATTGCCAATTGGGCCGCACAAGTGGGCGGGGTCGGGCCCCGCAAGTGTTCGACACAGCCAATCAGGAGGCGCTCGGTGCGACTGGTCTGCCAAGACCAGGCGAGCGCACCGAGCAGGACGCTCGGTAGTCTCTGAGACGCTCGGTGTACCAAGCGTTAGGAGGAGCACTGAGCACGCAAAGGAAGAGTCCTGATTGGTTACCTGAATTAGATATATACGATGACCGTAGCCACGGTCTTAGATAGTTCTTGCTTGGTTCTTCAAGCAAGCAATACACATTCACTGCACTCATACACTTTGAGTGGCATTCCGATTTGACTGTATTACCCGTGCGATAGGAGCTTGCCCTTTGTTCTATCTTCATAATTACCAACCCCAACATTCTGTGGAGCCCGTGCTCCCTTACAGACAGACGACCCTAACAGTCGAGTGGTTTGTAATACTGTTGTCCAGATTGTAACATGCGGTGACAAATTCTTTACTTCTAAATAGTATTACGATCGTGATACTATAATACAAGATAAGCTTCTTGTCACCGCACAGTCAACTAGATGAGGCAAAGCTGCATTAAGGTCGCTGTGTTCGTAGAATCTAAAGCTAAGGAAAAGGAAAAGGAAGGAAGTTCCAAATTCTGTGCGGTGCTCGAAGAAGTAGGGTTGGTCTGTGGGTCACGTCCGCACGGGCCAGTACCCCACCCCGCACCTCGATCACCAGCCGGTTGTCTTGGCACTTGCCAGCCAGCTGCCTTAGCACTTACCAGCCAGCTGTCTTGATACTTGCCGTGACACTCCTCCTTTTCCTCGTTAAGTATATTATAGCGGCCACTTCGAGGTAAGTGTCACGGCGGGTGCCGTGGTGGCAATGACGCACTACGTGGTCCTGATTGGTCGCATCTTTTTTAGAGTGTGATCAATGCGCAAAGCCTTATCTTACGTAAGGCTGCATCATATCTTCCGCTCCTAGGACCCCGCGGTCCCTGAGATAGCTTCCTTTCTTTCCTTACCTTTGGATTTCACAATACAGGTTAGGTTCTACTGTGCTTTGGCCGGTCAATATCTCTCCCTCGTGACAGGGTCTGCCAAGACGAGTAGAGGTTCTGGAAGATGCTGTGGAGCTCAGTCAACAATCCGGAAGCAGGCTGATCAACAGCACTAATCACACCAACACGACCACTATAGTGTCCTACACTTCAGAGCCTTATAGCAATAGTAACCAGCCATACTTTAACAGCTCCCAAATTCTATCACTACTCTCAAATGGCCTCACAATCCATATCAAGGCAACCGACACAGGCCCAGATGGCGCTATGGGAGTTGCTATTACAACTACCACAGGCCCGGCTGGCCCAGGCACTGCAGGCCCGGCTGGCCCAGCCACCGCAGGTCTGGCTGCAACAGCCCACCTCGCGTAGATTCATGATGCATCACTCCACGACAGGTCCTCGGTTCATTTCCCAGCTTCCTGGCCTCCTCGACGCACCGTAGAACAGACCCGAGTCTTAACATGCGCAGGCCATTTTTTCAAGGAGCACAATTATGATGTACATGCCAAGAGGCCCACTTCCAAGTTATGCTTTGCCATAATTTGCTGCCCGACACTCAGCCTGCATGCATTGCATATGCGTGGGTTGACACCATCGATTTTGCTATCAAAGCAGAAAGTCTAGTATGCCGCTTGCCAAATCCCGTCTAATTATCCTAAAGAAACCCCGCATGAAGAGAAAAAGACAAGGACAAGAACTCCAAGCGCCGTGCCAAGATTCACAAACACCATCCTCCATCTTCCCCGCCATCAGACCACCCTAAAAAAAAAGAACGATGCAACAGTGAATCCAAACGCTCCTCCAGGGACATCCGTGCCAATCTGCCACCACCACCACACCCTCCCTTTCGCAAATTAAAGCGCACCGTCTCTAACTGCCCTTGCAAGAAGGCTCGCACGAGGGCGGGCCCGTTTTAGAGGCGCACGGCGGCATGTAGGTCTGACTGGGGTCTGCCCCGGGGCAGGTGATGGTCCAGCCCCGGATCATGCCCTCGGGGGACCAGCAGCCGGGGCCGGAGACGGTGCCAGGGTCGGAGCAGTCGGCCGTGGTGTGCACGGTGATGACGCACTGGGCGCCGGCGATGGGCCCGTGCACGTCGATCGACTGCATGGCGGCGAAGGGGCTGCCAAAGAAGTTGTTGCACTGCCCGCAGTCGTTGCCGTACGTCAGCTGCGTCGTGATGGCGTCGCTGCCCATGGGGCACCCACGCGTCGGCGACATGGAGAAGCTCCCGATCAGCGGGATGCGCTTCGCGTTGCTGCTGCCGAGCGCCGCGGCATCCGCTGTTGACAACATGCCGAGCACGGCCACCATCGCGGCGAGTGCAGTTCCTTTGGAGAGCATTTTTGCGGCGGGCAGAGGACGGTTTTGATTCCCGTGTGTTTCTTTTTCGGTGACTGGGAAGTGGGAAGGTGTGTTGTGTGATCGCTCACTGAGTGTAGGTCCAAGACTCTAAGAGAGAAGCAAATGACAAAATGAAACAGTGAAACCAATGAAACAGGGAAACCAAGAAAGAGAAGGAAACCCCAAACTCAAGGAAATGTGTGCATGGTGATTTGATGTGGAAATTGATGATTGAGATGAAGGACTTGACCGATGGGGTTGGCATGCCCATTATATGCTCGTCGCATTTCCAACCTCGTCGTCGGCCGAATCTATTTTGAGTGCAACGATCTGACTCAGTGCCAGGCTCGCGCGTGCGCAGCATCTCGATAACGCACACGCGATCGACTTTGGTGGTGGCAGGGCTTGGGTGCCGGCTAGCCGATCGGGGCAATTAAGCTGGCAATTGGCGAAAGCCCGGGGTGACGTCCGATCGATGGATAGGGCTGAACGCCAAGCCCCGCCCCAACGACCGCCACACAGCGAAGCTCGCCGTTCCGATGGAACGAGCCCCGCGATACTGCCCCGCTCGGCGGGGGCTGTGCAAGGGATGGATGCAAGGGTGATGCTGACGGCCAAATTATCGGACCGGAGGTGCTCGGATGACACGTGAGTTTATCAGCTTATCGCGGGGCGCCCTTATCGCTTCCATCCGGTCGGCACGTGATAATGCGCTTGGCCTTTGTGGGTCTCGACCACTTTAGGCAGCCCAAAAACTTGCCTCGATGCCAAGCTCCAACTGTCCTCGGCCCGCTCACAAAGTGCGACAAACAAGGCAGGTCACCAAGTGAACCGATGCGCCAAGTAACTCTAACACGGCGCGTCGCGACATTGCAATTTCTGCAAGGCAAAAAACATTTGTTATCTGAACCCGCTGGCCAACCAGCCATCCGCGTGCGTTCCTACCCCTGGGCACCGCATCGCCGTGCAATCGCATACCGAGGGGAAATGTAGCGAACCGGCGACGATCAGCACGTGGCAGTGACGGACGGACAAGATAGATAGATGGTGAGCATTTCAAATAAAATGACGGGTGCGCCCGAGTCCGAGGTGTCGTCGCCGCCCAGACCTCCATTTCTCAAGATTCTCTCCTTGCAACCTCTTAATTTAGGTTGCAGCTCGCGCCTCTTTGGGTGAGAGTTTCGGCACAATTGTTACGACAAAGAGTGGTCATGATGAAGCTGCTCCTCTCCGCCTCGTGCCTCGTGGCCGCGTGCTCGGGCGCCATCGCCACGGCCAGCGACACCCCCTTTGTCGGTGACCATCTCATCAGCGAGCGCAAGCTGTCTAGGCGCTTCATCGACAGCGACGGCAACTACAACATCTCCTTCTACCACATCAACGACGTGCACGCGCACCTCGACCAGTTCTCGTCTTCTGGCACCGACTGCACCAATCCGTCGCGCGGGTGCTATGGCGGCTACTCGCGCGTGCGGACGGTTCTGAAGGAGACGCGGCCCGAACACCCAGACTCGCTGCTGCTCAACGTCGGCGACGAGTTCCAGGGCACCATGTACTTCAGCTACTACGGCGGCGAGAAGATTGCCGACACGCTGAACCAGCTGGGCTTCGACGCCATGACGCTAGGCAACCACGAGTTCGACCGCGGCTCCGAGTACCTGGGCCAGTTCCTCGATAACCTGACGTTCCCCATCGTCAGCGCCAACATCTTCTCCAGCAACGAGAAGCTCAACCGCACCATCAAGCCCTTCTACGTCTTTGAGAAGTACCAGCTGGCCGTCATTGGCGTCACCACGGAGACGACGCCCGGCATCTCGTCGCCCGGCCCCGAGACCACCTTCACGGACCCCGTGCGCGCCGTCCAGGACACGGTCGACCTGATCCGGGCGACCACCAACATCACGCGCATCGCCGCCATCACGCACATCGGGTACGAGGAGGACCAGCGGCTAGCGAGCGAGACGACGGGCCTGCACCTGATCATGGGCGGGCACAGCCACACGCCGCTGGGCGACTTCCCGGGCGCCGTCGGCCCGTACCCGACCATCGTCAAGAACAAGGACGGCGACGAGGTCTTCATCGTCACGGCGTACCGCTGGGGCGAGTACCTTGGGTACATTGACGTGACGTACGACGCGGCCGGCAAGATCCTCGAGTACCACGGCGCGCCGATCCACCTGACCAATGCGACGGCGCAGGACCCCGAGCTGCAGGCCGAGGTCGACGCTTGGCGCGTCCCGTTCCAAGAGTTCAGCTCCCAGGTGATTGGGTTCAGCGATGTGGTCCTGGACCAGTCGACCTGCCAGATGCAGGAGTGCACGCTGGGCGACTTCATTTCAGAGTGAGTAGTATTCGCCCCGGCGAGTGAAAGCGCCATGGTGCTCTCTCGTCGCAGACCCTATCTGTCACGTGCCAGGCACCGAACTAATTCCACTCGGCCTCTCCACAGCGCCATGCTCGACTACCGCCTCAACGGCAGCACTCCCGCAACAGCGCCCGCGTTCGCAATCACCAACGCCGGCGGCATCCGCGCGACCATCGACCAGGGCAACGTGACACGGGGCGAGGTGCTGACGGCGTTCCCGTTCGGCAACGCCGTGGTGGAGGTGACCATGGCAGGGGAGTTCCTGTGGACGGCGCTCGAGGGCATCGTGTCGCGCGTGAGCCAGGTCAACGGGCGGGCCGTGACGTCGTTCCTGCAGGTGAGCCGGGGGATCCGCATCTCGTTCAGCCCGACGGCGGCGGCCGGCAGCCGGCTCAAGGCGGTGAGCATCGGCGGCGCGCCGCTCGACCGCCAGGCCGAGTACCGTGTGGTCACGATTGATTTCGTGGCCAACGGCGGCGACAACTTCTTCGACCCGCCGCGCAAAGATTTTGTCATCCTCGACACCCTCGACGAGGTCCTCGTCAACTACATCAAGGCCAAGTCGCCTGTTAATATTGCGCTCGACGGCCGCATCAAGGCCGTCAGCACCAGCTGCAAGAACAGACGGCGGGCCGAGGCTGGTTCGAAAAGGGGGGTGTAATTCAGGTAACGGAACTAGGAAGGGGGCAGGTTTCAACTTTGCGCAAAACAGCAGCGGCAGATCCAATTTGAGGAAATAAAGCATGCGAGTAATATTGTAACCCGAGTGTGTAAAATACTGGTGACGCAAATCGGAAACTTGGAGCGTAAAATACTGATGACACAAATCGGAAACTTGGAATGGAATCAAGTTGAAATAAGAGCGCATGGAACGCGGAGTCCCTTTGCTATCAACCAGTCTAGGGCGGCACTAACTAGGGCCAAAAGCTAGACTAGCGGCTTGCTTCATGCAGTCTGCCGCCGCCAGCTCCATGCAATGAGCCGTTGACTCCACTCTTGAATTGCCGATTCCGTCCGAACTCAACGACTGCCGGAGCCCCACTGGAGGACCTGCCCGGCCCTTCCCGGCCCGGCCCGGCCCGACCCCATGGCCGTCCAAGCCAGTGACCGACCGGGGCGACCGAGGTGGTCTGTTGGCCCCAGCCCTGACCGACCAGAAGCGCCTCAGGAGCGCCCAGCGCACACTCCGCCTTTAATCCCTGTGCCGACGACAAAGCGCTTGTCGGTTTGCTTTCGACGCCTGGTTTCTGAATTGACGGATATCTCGTTCACAACGCCGACAAGGCAAAGAAAGCGCTTGCTCGCTCCAGGGATGGCGCGCTGGCCTCTGAACGGCAAACACAGGCCCTGGTCCGCGATTCGGAAAAAGCAAACATGGGGCCGGCGCTCTATGGTCAAGCCTCGTCAACAGCCACAACCCAGCACGCTAGGGAGGGAGATAGCGGGCCTTTCGGCGCGGGGCCCTTGGCAACGAGAAAGTGACAGCCTGTCGGTCGGGACGCCGACAAGAATGGGTCGGCTGCGGCCACGGTCTACAGAAGCCCAATCCTGCGCCCAAAGCTGGCCCGACTTGTCTCACTTGCTCACTAGCTCGCATAGTAGAGCTTCGGGAGCCGGGCCGTCGAGGTATATGCTTTTCCCCGCGCTTGACCGACGCCAGTAAGCAGCGTCATTCTTCGGCGAAGAGAGGCTACCTAGTCGGCCAATCACACCCGCACATTTGTCTTTTGCGTGTGTCGCCGCGTGTGTCGCCACCTCGTGACGCAACGTCGCCGTAGCCGGCTGCCCGTCGTCCGCCCTTGCGCCTCGTCGCCGCCATATGGGTGTCTCCGACAACACCGTTGTCGCATTGAACTTTGTGTGATGGCCGGGGTCTGCGGGAGAATGGCATTGTTGTTTATCATCGCACAGTTCGTAGCTAGCTGGCAAGGAACTTGAACTTTCGATAGCCGGGATGTCCATGGAAGTGTGAGACGTAAGGGAGTTTGAGGACGCCCGCGATCCCGCGCCACATTGGAGTATCCATCGCGTAGCCCCCGCCGGCGACCTCCGAGATAATTATCCTGCGGAACCGCGCGTGGCCAGGACAGGGCATAGCAACCCACGTTCTTCTTTTAGCCACCGAGGCAGGCACTCTCTGCTTCCTGGGCGATCGACGAGTTCGACGAGGTGTCGGTGCACCGCATGGTCCGAAGAGCTCTTTGTGATCGCAAGCGACGTGGTGCGCTGCTCACTTGAGCGCTTGCACTCCCTCCACTAGAGAGAGTCTGAGAGACGGGATCAGGAGAAATGACGGGAACTGTAGGGAGAGGGAAAAACACAAGCGCCTCCTGTTCCGGAGATGTTGGTGGACTGGCACTGTTCAACCCCGCCTTGCCCGCAAAGCAACGAAGCTTCTCAGACTATCTAGCTCGCCGTCGCGGTATTCAATTGTTTCGCGCATACCACGCGTTAACATTGGCCACGGTATCGAAAGCGCAGCGACGGCTGTGATGCAACCGACAGGTACTGGGGATGGAACAATCGGAACCGTTGGGGGAAGAGTATTTCTCTAGCAGCCTGGACCAGTTGTGTCCGGGTTGGGCCTCGGCGGCGGTGCCATGTATTTACCTGCTGTCGGAGAGAGGGCAGGGCCTGTCTCGCATCCGACGATGGATTCACGTACTATCACGGCCGAGACGGACAAGAGCGCGTCTCTTCGAAGGCGATGCCGGCGTGTGTCGCTCTTGTTTTGGCGACAGCCGCGCACAAAGCTCGGATGGAAGACGACGCGTCGACCGGGATGACCGAAAGGGGGCAGGGGGCGGGACAGCACGCCTCGAATTCAGTGGAGGATCCCCGGTCGCCGGCAGGCGCGGAGTGGGAGGTCAGAGATCGAGATCAGTGAGAGAACAGGGAGGGGAGATTGTGAATCGAGGCTCGGGGGGCGACGGCTAGGCCGGGACGCGTGAGAAGCAGGTACTGACTGCTCCAGCTAGATCGCGTTCTTGCACAACCACGAATGGCCTAGAAACCGTCAGCTTGCGGGCTTCGAAGTCTTCTCGAGGCAAGCTGTGATGCACAGCGCATCTTCCGGGGTGGTAAACAGCGAGGCGAGGAACAATACCCGCGTCGGTCCGCGCGCGGCGGCGGCGAAACGGCAACCACAGGAGTCTTTGAGTTGTCTTAGGTAGGTAGAGAGGCCAGTGCAACGCTTGTAGGGTTGGATTTGAGTTGAGTGTCTTGGACTTGAGTTGAGTGTCTTGGATTTGAGTTGAGTGCCTTGGATTGGGAGATGGAAACGAGTTTTCTAGGTAGGTGGGTAGCTGTTGAGTCCTGGGTCGCGAGATGGCTTTGATGAAAAATAAGCGCCGGAAAAAAATCGCCTTGCTGTCCAAGGCTGAGTGAGTGGTAGCGCAATAGGCAGCAATCCTTCCCAGAATCGCGCATCAAAGCCGACCACATGCACGCCGTGCTATGCAGAATAACACCTCTTGGGCTTTCTCGGGTTTAGCACGCACGCCGCAGGTTCCGGGTTTCTTTTCGAAGACCAAGTCTTCCGTTTGCTGTTCTTTTTTTGCATTCTTCAGTATTTCAAGGCATCTAATTTACCGGCCCAGTGCACACCATCCGAGGCGGCTAGCTACCATGGAGGCGGTGTATATTACATATCCCCAATGTAGAACGGATAGGCGCCCCATTCATTCTGCCACCTGGCCCGGAGTCGTCTCCAAAAGTTGAGGGTTGCAGGAGCTACGAACTGGAGAGCAGAAACCCTGGGAGGGCGAGCCCAGAAGGGGGCCCGAGAGGCCGTGGGCGTGGGCGTGGGCGTGAGCGTCCATCCCCCCTTTCTCCAACTGTGACCCGAGGAGTCGGTAACATCAATTTCCCATTCTCGCGCAGCCCCCTACAGATAATGCAGGCCAAATTTGACCCAAGGTAGGTAGGTAAGGTAGGCATTCCCACGGCCCCCCAATTGGCAATTCGGGGTTCCGTAGATGATTTTTTTCTTAGTGTCGGGAGCGCCAACCACCGTTTTCCGTCACCACCTCGCCACCTCGGTCAAGACTAGCGTGGGAAAGACACATGCGCAACTCTTGCATGATTGCAGTGTCGTTTGTTCAGCCCTCTGCGAGCGTGAGTGCCCCCGCTCCCACGCCTGCAGTTGCAGCTGGATGCTGCGCAGAAAAAATGCGGCCGCGGCGTGGGCGGCCGTCTTTGCCGACCACGCGCATCTCTTGAAACCCGCCCGCTTCTTCTTGGTTCCCTCAGCGCTTAAGCAGCGAGTTTTGCTGTGTATTTAACTAGTACCAACGTCGTGCATGGCGTTTCGTTTGTTGGCAAGACGACTTGCTGCAGACGGACGCCATTTGACGTGGCTAGTGTGGGTGGTCAGTCGGTCTTGCGAGTCGCTCACTCGCTGCGAGGCGGATTGGATTCGGAAGTACCAATCGCTTCGTCTCCTTCAGAATGGAATACGCCTGTGAAGTGCCCTCACTGAGTGCGTGTAACTCGCCAGGCAGACGTGACGTGACGCACAGAGCACGGCACAAAGCACAGAGCACAGAACGCCAACCCTTTGCGCCGCTACCCCCTTTTGGCCGCCTCCCTGCTGAGTGAAAATTCTTCTTCTCGTCCATCCATCCATCATGATAATCCTGCCTGCCGGATGCCCCATGCCCACCGTACCTGGACTCTCATCCTTGGATGCTCCAGGGTCGAGTCTTGGCTCCCATCCCGACATTTCGACGGGTTGGATTTTCGAGCACTTGACAAGCGACTTCCAATCCGAGATTGGAGAGTGCAGCATGCCTTCGATACGCGTCTGTGTTACAGGTCGGAATTCTCCCCTTGGGCCGTCCTCTTCTTGAAGTTCTTAGCGGAATTGGGAGGCCCCATTCGATCGATTGCCCGGTTCACATGGCATGGCCAACTAACCCCATGGAACCCCCCTCCACTCACACACTCTCTCCAGTTCTCTCCTCTCCCCACACACTCTCTCCAGTTCTCTCCTCCCCCCACACACTCTCTCCAGTTCTCTCCTCCCCCCACACACCGCCGGCCCGTTCCCCGTTTCCCGTTCCTTCTATGGCGTTCCATGAGATGGGATCTACAGGGCTCACAGCTTGGGTGTCTTCCGCCGAACCTTGCCAGTTAGCCACCTGGCCGGTACCTTACCAGTTTAATCTAGCCGTACCGTCGTTGCTTCCCGTCGGATTGCCCTAAGATCGGCATACACTTGGCTCTAACCACCCAGACCGCCTCTCTTCGGTACCATGCTGCCGTACCTAGCCCGTTCGTCGAAGACTCTGATTCGTGTGATTCGAGTTATCACAAACCTCCACAAGCCCTCCGGGTGCCCTTTTTGTCATCCGGATGGTTTCCGGCTCGAGCTCATTTCTTCCTCTTGTTCTTCTTGCTTTTTCCTGTCCGAACCCGTGGACAAACGCATTTCGGGAGAGCCAACATCTCCCCCGGCTGGCCGGCCGGCGCTAGCGAATGCAGAGGCAGGAGCCCGGGGACAAACACAATGGCGATAGTCTCGCCTGTCTGCCGATCTAGATTATAGTCGGGAATAAATATAAATATTCCAGAATAGCCGCTCAGGTTCGGGCAGAGGAATTTGGCAACGCCCATCTGCACCGACCTCTTCTTCTGCCACAATGCCGAAAACCAAGACCCGCAAACACACAACTACGGAGCTAGTGGAGTCGGCGGTTGCCATGTGTATGTTGCTCGCCTGCACCTGCTGCACCTGCTGCCCCTGCACTTGCTTCGGCTTGGAACTGTCTAACATCCCGAAGCTCGCCCGGCCCAGCGCGGCCCCATCGACGAGCTGCTGGTCTTTATCGGGGCCTGGGCCGAGACTCCAGTCAGGGTACCTGACACTGACAGCGGAGATGGTAAGCAGCTTATCCAGAGCCCAGAGCCCTGCGGTCGCTGGGTGGCGGGTGCATTGATCAACGCTAATCTCCGAAGATCTGGTCCTGGGAGTCGGGACCGAAAAACCGCCCCTGGGCCTGAAGGAGTGGCTAGCCTGCCCTACCAGCTGCCAGGGCGCACACGGCCCAGTGTTTTGCCCCGAGTCCCTCCCGTGGACACATCTTCGAGTCCTGGGGGGGACTCAGGAGAGGTTCTGTGGCTGGCGGTGGATTAGGGGGGGAGGGGGGGAGGACGCGTGGACGGCGCTGACTGACAGGCACTGCCAGCCTGTTTCAGGGCAATCTTTCTTGGTTCTAAGTGATTAACAAAGGCCCGGATCACATCGGTATCGATACATAGCGGCTTTCTCCCGACAATGGAATTCTTTGGCGTGAAATTCTGTCCTGGCCAGGCCTCGGTGACTCACCAGCACGCGCTGAAGTACGAGGTGCATCATCAGTGGCCGTTCTCTGCTGATAGGCGTGCTCTGCCCAATAGCAGGTGCAGGCTCCCACACACCCAACACACCCTTTTCCCCCCCTCCTCTCCCAAAATGCTGGCTGAGCTACCTCGAGCTGCAGATGGGACAGACCTGTCATTCGTCAAGCGCGGTTTTGTCCATCCCGTCTGACCCGGCGCGTCAGCCCCCGCGCCGTGGCAGTAAAATTTCCATTCGCGTCGTCGCTCGCGTATTCACGTGCGAGGCGTTACGCTTCTACCTGGGCAGGGGGGGTGTCAAGACCTCGCCCGTGTCGAGCGGGCCCACGGCCCTGTGTAAGATGGTTTGGAGGGGAATACCATGTTGACGATTGCTTTTGACGATTGCTTTTGACGGTAGCTTTTGACGGTAGCTTTTGACGGTAGCTTTTGACGGTAGCTTATCTGCTTGGCTGCAGCAACGAGGACGGCCGTGTCCGTAAAACGACCTGTCGGGGAACTGGATGCCAGACCCGTCTGCGGTCAACTGCTAAAGCGACACTTGGTGCATCCGTCAGCCAAGGCCAAAGTCTGTCCTGAGCTCAGCCATCCCCCAACCAGTCGGTCACGCGTGGACTCGGAAACCAGCCCCGGGAATTAAGTGCTGCGTAGTAGTAGTAGGAGACCAAGCAAACACACCCGGACAGAGCAGTGTGTCTCACTGGTGTGGGTGCCGGCCTCGAGTTCTGCCTGGGTCCTGTACAATCCCTGTAATCATGTCTCAGTCCAACACAAGGTTCGTTTGTCAACCGGGCAACTTCACTTCCGCTGTGACTTACAGCAGTGCTAGGCTTTGGAGCGCACATCGGTATGAACCGAGCCCCCCAGCAAACAGTATGACGACCAGCCACCGTGCTTCAGGTACCTCTCCGAGAACCCGCCAGGACATTCCGGACCCACAGCACTCGGCCTCGGGCCGGCGCCGCACCCATAACAGCCAACCAGGCGTCTCCCTGTCCGCTCTGACCGCCCCTCATTGTCGCGTCAGCGTAAGCAGTGCAAGCCGTGGCGGTGACGCCACTGCTCTATTAGCGCGGCGTGATGGGGGCAGGAAGTACAAGGCGGGTCATCTGGATGCCCTCCATAGCGGCAGCCCACGCCACCGGAAGCAAGCCGGTCAGCTCGATAAATTCCCAATAATCCCGCTATCTTCTCCCCCTCTAACGCCACTGCAAACTCATGATAACTGCGGCTGGCCGAACCAACCCTGCCTCATCTGAGTAGAGGGGACATGTAGTACCACACCGAGCCAGCCGCTGCACGCCCTTCCGAACGCAGACCACCCAAATCAACACGCAAACACACAGACCCTCAATATGGAAAACAAGAAAAAGCAGACAGAATTTAACTGACACGACTGGAGCTGATCTCGACGTGTCCATGCATTGTTGCATCGGAGTTGACCGTCTCCGTGGCGGAAACAGATAGCTCAGCTTTCTCTTCCATCTTTTGTTGAGCGAGGCGCTCCCGCCCGAGATCCAGATCCATCCACCGTCTCCGCAAGAAAGGCTTGTTTGTCTGCATGATGCCATACCGGGACTCCTTCCGGCGAGAAGCCGGAGCCACTCACATTTTGAACGAGACAGAATTTTTGGTCAGGTGGTGTGGGAGGTGTCCTGCTCTGCGTGGACGACATTGCCGATCTTTTGAGACATCAAACCGCGTCGTTGTGGCCAGTCCGGACCCGAATGTGGCGGGCAGGACCGCCTGAAGCAGGGTGTGGGGGGGGGTGAAAGCGGTCAGCCTGAGTAAAGGGATGGCAGAGGTGCCAACACACCCGCCGCACCTTTCGGGGGCTAGATACAGCACCCGCCATGCGGCTAACAGTGAAATGTACTGGGACATAATGAAGAGCCATCCTGTGCAGCCAGACCATCCTGTGCAGCCAGACCATCCTGTGCAGCCAGACCATCCTATGCAGCCAGACATTCGGTGCGCTTTATGTGCCCTGGGCGAAAACTTTGATCTTGCATGGCCGTGGTAAGGTTCGTGAGCGGGCCGGTCTGACTCTGTCGGTGCCGTTCAATTGTTTTGACTTTTTGCTGTACCGCAGCAAATGCCTCTGTGGAAGTCCCTCCTTAAGGCAGCAAGTCTTGACGAAATAATACATGCATACGGGGACATCCTTTCACTGTCTCTTCGGCATGGCCTGCTATTCATTACCGGGGAAAGAATGAGAAAGTTCCCCCTAATTCCAGAGAAAATATGTCTTGGGGGCCAGCAGAGGGGCAGCAACAAGGACAGCAGTGCCCGAACCAACGACAGAGGCCCCTGGAGTCTGGGGGCAGCCGCCTCATACTGGCACAAGTTGTCCAGGTCCGTGTCCACTAGACTGAGCCTAGCAGAAGGACCGACAGGGAGAACTAGAGGCCGCCCTGATAGTGACAAGTGAAGAAAAGAAGCCAGAAACAAGAGCAAAGAGACCAGGATAGCCCACGGGCGTGTGTTGATCATCCTCTAATGATAAGAAGACTCTGTATTGGACAGAAAGTGTCGTATTTCAGCGGATGGGTAGGTGCTGAGCGTTGGCGGTTAGGGAGAGGGGCGGGCGGCCAATCAACTGCGCGCCCCCTATTCCGCAGTCAGCCCCCAGGCCTCACGCCCCCTACGCCGCGCGAGACTCCCTTACACGATATCAACGACAGGTAAACACCGTTCGTTGACGACTACAGGCCACATCGACCGTCCCTCTTGACTTTGGCCTCGACACAATCGATAACAAAAGCGGCAACATACGCCCCATGAACCACCCATAAAGACAGACAGAGACCACAGCGAGAAACGGGACAGGCTCTCCAACATCACTAATAGCAAAAAGCCCGGCGCTAAGACGTTCGACCAAAGACGTCGCATGCCCCTCAGCCAGGCGACCCCCAGGGCTTGCCGAGAACGCAACGGAGACAAGACCACAGCGGCACGCGCCGACCTAGCAGCACAGCTCCCGGCTAGCCCACCTGCCTGCCCTACTAGTACCCGCAGACCGATAGCGCCTAGGATAAAGGGGGCCGGAGAAACGATTTGGGGGATTTTGCGAACCCACCGGCAGCGAAGGGTTCCGAGCTGTGTTTCCGTCGGGTCTGGACAGGACAGGACAGGACAGGACAGGACAAGGCAGGACAGGACAAGACAGGACAGGACAAGACAAGACAGAAACAAGCAATACCATCGCAACTCACAGGCCTCGTGTCAGCGGTAAGCAGCTGTGCTGAAGTGCTCAGGGCCCTGACCGGCAGTTAAAATGCCCAGGTACAAAAGTGCCCAGGTGGCGGCGATCACGCCAGATCCGGCCGCAACATCCGACGAGCAAGGCCAACAAATAACCTCGAGCCCGTCTCGACATGGCATCCGCGTCCCCGAGCAGCGCCTATCTCCTAAAGCCTCTTCCGATCAGACGAACGAGATAGAACGAACGCCGCGGCCCTCGCATCCACCGACGCGCACGACATCATCTGCCCCGACACAGCACCCATTCATCCTGCTCAGTTCTGTTTTGTTGCCGCCCACTCCTCGCCTTGACACCAGCCAGGACCAACAAGAACACGGTAGCTAACGAGGACTTGCTGCTTCCGTCTATCTGTCTCTGTCTATCTGTCTCTGTCTATCTGTCTGTCTATCTGTCTCTGTCTCCGCAGATGAAGCCAGCCAGCCAGACAGACAGACACAGCCAGAGTCCAAGGGACCATCTTTTCCCTCCCCTCTGAAGAGTGAAACATTCCCCCTTTTTGGCCCAGGCATCTCACGAAATTTCATACTAGCGCAGTAATAACGGCACAATGCAAACAACACTTTTCTGCCACCGACAGCTGCCAGCCACCGGCTACGATATTACCGCAGCCTCCTCCCGATTCTCGCATACCGACCTACCTATACAACAAACGGGTCAGTGAAGATAACTCTCACGGGGCAATGGGGCAGAGGGGCCAGTACGAAAAGGGGCAAAAGCAAAAGGGGGTAAAGGGGGTAAAAGGGGTCGCTATTTCGCAGAACCATTCCTCACGAACAAGCGCCCGTCTCCGCACCTCATCAAACGACGCGCCAATCAAAGACTATAGAAGTCTTTATTGAAGCCAAAAGGTTCAGTTTCTCCAATATAAATAAATGCTTTCTACGGAATACTTGCGGATAAAACCCTTATAACATAGCACACATTCTTTGCCGGCTTCATGCGTCACCTACGGCAACCTGCAAGCATGTCACAAAAAGGGGCTGTGTTACGACTAGTCTTGGCAATGAAACCCCGCAGAGAAAAATTGCTGCCTTCTCTAAGGTTGAGCGTGGGCAGGGACAAGTACCCCTTACACCTTGCAGTTAACCTGACAAAAAAGTCAAAATATCAAGCCATATATAATGATCCCCGCCTGTTTCCCTTGTCACGACGCTTAAAATACTGCACAGGTCGTGCCGCCCGCCATGCTTCCCGCGATGGTTTCCTGCCGGCAACGAGAATCTTAATCAATCCAAGAGAGGGGAGGACCCTCCTCTCTAAAACGCCAGCACGCCCAAAAACCGAAGTTGAGAAATATTTCGAATACCCCGCAAAATATCTTTGGACGTTATGTCGAGTGCTGGTCGCTCGACTGCTGTCCCATAAAAATCCATACCGGTCCAAAACTCTTCCAAGCTGTCGCATCATCTCCGATAGCCCAGCGGCGGAAGCAACCATCGGACTAGCCGCCGAGGCAATTTCGTCTGTTATAAAGCAAGCATGCCAAAGCATTAAAACAGGCGGAATGGGCAGCAAAAGCAATAGGGTAAAATTATGGAACCCAAAAGCCGTGGCAAGGAGCAAAACTTCTCTTTCTCCAAAGTAGGGATAGAACTTCTGCACTCTGGGGACCTCCACGTCTCAACACATAAGGAGACACAAGTCACCTGACATTAGACCTCCGCTCGTTTCCGATGTTAGCGCATCCTTTGCGAGGTGACCCGGGATGTCTAGGTGGGATCGACGGGACCTCGGTGCGATGAAATCTTCTGCTTAGCAAGGACCAGAGTATCTGAACCATCTGGCGGCAAGCCTGCAGCTTTGGTAAACATGAGGAGCCCAAGAGTATGCGACGGCATTGATATGCGAAGGCGTGCCCCAAACAATTGTCGAACGAGGGCAATACGAACAAGCGCTTAAAAGTCTGTTTTCCCTTAGCCGCTCGCCCTTTCCACGCCTCACGGGCTTCCGGAATGGGGGCTTGGGGTCCCATTGAGGCGATCCCCATAGTCATCTTCGTCGCCCAGCGTAGTCGAAATATCTGCCATTGTCGCAGTCGACCGTCCATGGATAGGAGCAAAGCTGGCGCCGATGCCTAAATTGTGCCCAGCACTGGAAGCGTGCCGACTCCCAGCCGGATGCGCCCGAGAACTTGGGCTGCTCAGACCCGCCGTAGCCGCGGTACTGGCGATGGGAGTCCCGATACCAGCCAGACTGGTGCCAATGTCGCTACCCCGAGGGTCCCCATTCATGCTATCTTGCCCCGGAGAGAGAGCCTGGGAAAAGGCATGGATAAAGGCAGTTGGTTCATCCTGGAATCGAACCGGCTGCGGCACATAAGGTGGATGGCCGCCGACATAACCAAATGGGTTGCTGATTGAAGGTTGAATCTGCGATGGCAGGGTAGGTATTGGCGGCGGTATCGGAATGGCTCTTGGGGCGCCTGGTGGGATACCAAGGCCAGCGGTGTGAGGGTTAAGCAAAGGTTGTGTGTCTATTACCATCTCGCTTCCATCCTCAAGGCCATCATCGTCATCCACACCATCGACTTCTCCGTCATCAAACCCATTGTCCACGTTATGAAGATGGGGAGGAACAGGAGGCGGATTGACTGCGCCGGCGAAGTTTTGATGGTTTCGGGGATGGCCGGCCGGCTCGCCAGGCAGTGGAGCATGAAGTTCTGCGAATGATCGCTCCTGGTTCAGGTATTTGCGAAGGTTGACAACACCTAGACCCGAAAAGACACAGAAAACCTGTCGCTGGTGGTCCGTAAACTCTGAAGAAGCGTTAGTAAGAGAACCTATGCTAGTGTATTGGAATGACCGTCTAGCTCACCAGGTGGAGCATCGCGGCAAAATGCTTCAAGATCGTCCCTCAAGAATGCCTGGACTCCTGTCAAGCTGAGATGGGTAAGACGAGGGCAGGAGTTGAGAAGCCGCAGGATGCTCTGTACAGTTTTGTTAGCATACCTACGACCAAATGATAGGAACTTGTTCTTACCCGGAGAGTCAGGTTCGTGCAGTAGCTAAGGTGAACTCGCTCAAGACTACTATGGCTGCTGCTGTAGTGCTCCCCAGGAATAATATTGCCGTCGGCATCTCTGCGAGGCCGGGCGCGTTGGTTCGCCTTGGCAAGAGCATACACGCTTTCGTCGGTGATACTGGCGCACTTCACCAGCCCGATCCTCTTCAGCTTCGGCAGAGTCGCAAGTCGGGTGACAGACTCATCGGTCAAATGGAGGCAGCAACCTAGGTCAATATACCGAATTCTGTTGCACGATTGAACAAGGCGCTTCACTGCATCGTCCGTAATGTTCCCACAATGTCCGAGGTGGACGTAATGGAGGTTCTTGCCAAGCTTAGCGATCGCGTAGACAGCGGTGTCTGTAATGTTGCGGCACTTGGCCAATACGAGGTTGCGCAACCGTGGGGCGACATCGATGATCTTCTCAACCGCCCGATCTGTCAACCTCGCGCAGGAAGTGAGATCAAGAATGCGGAGATGTTCATAAGTCTTGTTCATCGGAAGCATGAGGAAAGCCGAATCGTCAATCAGTTCGCAGTTCGCGAGACGAAGTTCGCGAAGGGATTGTCCCTTGGACACGAGTGCTGTAATTGGTTCATTTCCCACGAGCCGGCATTGGTGAAGATCAATCTCGAGAAGGTTGGGGCAATGCTCGGCAAAGGCCATGACGGAGTTATCGTAAAGTTGACTGCAGTCGTTCAGCTTGAGCTGTTTCGTAAGGCATGTCAGTATGCATCGTCAAAGTGGCCAGACCAGGTTTTAAAGCCGGAAACCGGGCAATAGTACAGGCCGAGTAGGAACACCGCAGAATGGTAAAATGGCAGGGGAAAGCAGAAGGAGAAAATGATGCGACATACCCTCTTGATGAACCTGCAACTCCTGGCAAGCCTAATCATGCTCTCGTTGGAAACTCTGTTGCAGCCCGAGACGTTCAGACCCTGTAGCCTCCTGCAATTTTCGGCGATCGCATTGATAGAAGCTTCTGTGATTTGCTCGTCAAGCGACATGTCAAGAGCGAGAAGGTGGGTGTTGTTCTGCACAAGGGCTATTAAACCAGAATCGGTGAGGCCTCTGCACCCAGTCAAAGTCAGGCGCTCGACGCGAGTGCAAACGGCAAGAGGCATCACGCTCCCGTCGTTGACATTCTCGGCCAGAGATGCCAGGTTGAGCCGCTTGATGAAGTCGCGGTAGGAGAAGTAGGGGCTCTCCACGCCAAGGGTCTGGCAGATGGAGGCGTGCTTGTCCCATGTTGTGCAGGCTGGGCGGTGCCATAGGATATCCACCGCATTTCGAGCCCACCGCTTGCAGGTCAGCATCACATGTAGGATATCCGAAGAGGCGTTGAGCTTGGCGAACACGGCGATCAGGATTTCGTTAGGCAGGCGATTGACTGGAGGCAGGCACTCGTCGTCGCTGACTTGCATGTCTTGGAGGTTGGGTACGCCAAGCGAGGACTGCGAGTCGTTGGCGCCGAGAAAGAAGTCGGACTCTTCGTTGTCGGGAGGGGCAGGAGAGCTCGTCGAGGACGTCGATCGCGAATCCTCCTGAACCTGGACGGCCGTGTCGACGTCGACGTCGGCGTCGACATCGGCGTCAGCGCTGACGCTGGCATCGTCCCGAACTGCAGGTACGCCCCGGTCATCGGCGATAATGTCCAAAGAAGCGCGTTGTCTCATTGTTGCCGCAGAGTCTCCGTCTCCCGCGGCAAAGATGCGATGGGTGCAGGGGGATAGGTTGGACGGAGGAAGGGTGTTGATGAGGGGAGGAGGCTGTTGGAGTGGAGCGGGTGTTGGCGCCGAAATCCGTCGATTGTCATTAGCAGGGGTCAGCGGGCGGGCAGGCTGAGAGTGGTCCGAGCCCAAAATAGCCTTAAGGTGGATGGCGGGCGAGCGAGGGCTGGGACAGGGAAGGTGGGCAGCAATGGATGCTAAGCCAAGAGCCTGGCCGCTGGAGGCACGCCAACCGCCAAAACTAAGATGGCAGCCGCACGTCTAAGATGAGCAGTCGGCGGATGGAAAATAGTATGCGGAAAAGGCGACGGCTGTCCTAGCAGCTTGTGTTGTTGTTTTGCGAAAGGTTCTTAGGTTAGGTTTGTCAGGGCCGACTTGCGACAGCTTGGCCAGGCATGGGGGGATTTAGGAAGATGCAGTGGCCGAAACCTGGCTGGGGACAGGGCGAGACTGGGCTAGTGCGGCAACGCAACGGAGCCCACTGTTGAGTTGACTGAGGCGGTCGCACTCGTGGGTCACTTTGCTCGACCTTCCCCAGAGGCACCGTCAAATTTACTGATAGTGTGATATTGAAAGCCAGGCTGATTCTGACTGAGATTGTGTTCATCAAATCGGATCTGTGATAAATCCCTAACAGAATTATTCAGAATTATCTTTTCAACGGCCAGGAGCAGCCAACAGCCCCGCCAAACAATTGCATTCAGAGCCAGAGGCCCTCTGATCAGCTTGGGCAGGCAGGTGCTCAACTCTCCTTCCGAAATGTACTAAAACTCGAGCTTGTCACGAGCTTCCGCCGTAGCCCAAAAGCACGGGTCTCAACGGCTCCCGCATCTGCCGCCAACTTTGGCGCTAAATATTTTGTATTTGCAAAACTTTCTAGCCTCCCTTGCACAGGTTGACCCGTTGGCTAGGTGCTCAGGCTAGCAGAAGAAGAGCAGACCGAGATCGTCCTTATGGGTTTTGCTCTCAGGCCGACAATTAAGCTTGATCTGACGGCCAGCTTTGTGACAGACGTATGTACATAGGATGAGGCTGCCTGCACCACGAGGGCGAGCGATGCTTAAGGGCCAGCCTCGTGGCCATAATAATTTAAAGCATTAGATCAGAGGTAACATCAACAAAGGTCGGTAACATCAACACACAGTCCAAGATATCGCCCAAGGTATCGCTTTCCGTGCCGCTGGCCGCATTTCCTGTGCATGCGTACTGCGTAGTCTCCATCCCTGCCTAGGTCTATCCCATGACATGAACACTGTCATCCCGGTGATCCCGTGGCCATGGTCGCTATTGAAACGGATTGACTTTCTGCATTACAAGCCCGCGCTTTACGCTTCTAGTCTCAAGAATAACATAGTTCAGCTAGCGGGCACGAAATACGGACGTATGTCATCGACGTTCGCTGGTATAAAGGACCTTGGGTACTCCGCAGTCTACGGGAGACGATTTGACCCATGACTCTGTCTGAGTGTGCAGTCGATGGCGGATCCATTTGCATGCACGCTGTGGCGGCTTGCGGGTATTGCGCTTGTCACACTGCGGGCACCGTTTGAATCACGGCGCAGAACAGTGGCGACGTGAGAATTTACCTGCGGTCCGGCTGTCACTCTTGTGTCTTCACAGCAGGCACACATGTACGGAGTAGACGCCTCTTCCAATTCGACGAGCCCAAACTCCAAGAGTACAGCACCCGCAGGACAGCTTGTATGCAAGGCTATTCGTTCATGACGTGTGCGCTTCGGCGCTTAAGCGAATGTCTCTGCAGCCAGTGAGCATCGGAGCCTTGGTATGAACCCCGTGCCCCTCATCTGACCCTTTTTGGGAACATGGGACGCCACACCACCGGGTTCCTCACGGTGGAACGTGACCTCGTTGCTCTGTAGGAGCTTGATAATCAACAGAACAACAATGCAGATTAGTAGTGTCTGTTTCGATTACTGCTTCACATTATTAGAGGAGAATCGCTATGGGCAGGAAGTATAGAATAATGATTTCGAGTCTTATTAGTAACTAAACGAATCCTCCCCGGAACCGTGAATTCTTATTACGTAAGCAGTGACACCAGCCCAGCAGCGGGGTATCCAGATCGCAATTGAAATCGCATTTCCGAACTGCGGGTCGGTAGATTGTCGGCAATCGTTGGCAATGGAAAGCTGATGACGAATTTAGCACCCCGGCGGAGTGCCAGTGGCATGATGTAAACTCAACAATCGGCAAGAACAAGTCACCCGAAACCAGGCCGGATTGGCTTTCTTCGACAGAAGTGGGGAATCATTTGAGACTGCTGCATACCACAAGGTCAAGAAGGTCATGAGCAGCGGCGATAGTTAATCAGATAAACACCAATTATTCCGGTCGCTAGACAACGAACGCCGCCATGCTCCGACAACCAGCTCTCCGGCAGCTTCGCTTACCGAAAGCGTGCGAAACAATTCGAGCCCCTGTGCAGCGCCGAACGTTCCTCTCGCGTCGTCCCAACCAGTCCTCCGGCCGGGCCGTCGAGAACCTTGACCTGCGGCGGTTGTCCCAAAGTGCACATGACCATCATCGCAACCGTCGCCTTTTCTTGTGGTCAGGGACAATAGCAGGCATCGCTTCCTTTTGCTACACGGCCTACAAGATCAAGGAGGAGCTGAACAAGCCCGCCAACCTCGACTCCGGCCTGCCGTCCACAGATCCGCTCGTAAGGCCGGACGCGGCTGATCGCAAGGTAGTGTTGCACGACGAGGAAGGCCGCGAGATCGTGCCTACGGGCAACAGTACCGTTCCGTCGTTTCCGCGCACGATCTATTTGCCCTCTTATGCATCTCCCACCACAACAGCCGGCTTGTCTGCTTCGACGGTCGACACCGAGTATACCCTTGTCGGACTCGGCCTCCGCACCGTCACATTCATTGGAATCCAGGTCTATGTTGTTGGCTACTATGTCGCCACGCCCGACATCGCTGCTCTGCAGAGCGCGCTGACAAAGAAGGTCAACCCTATCGCTACGACGCTGGTACCCGGCGAGCGCGACGAGCTGCGCACCGCCCTCCTCGACCCAGCTGGGAGCGAGCAGGCCTGGGGCGAGTTGTTAGCCAATGGAGTACCGGCGCGGTCTGCGTTCCGGGTTGTGCCAGTCCGTGATACGGACTTTCACCACCTAAGGGACGGCTTCGTGCGTGCCATCCAAGCCAGAACCCAGTCACTCCCTGGGCAGGCGGCGCAGGACGAGGGATTCGGGGAGGCGATGCGGCAATTCCGCGCCGTCTTCAACCGCGGCAGCGTTCCTAAGCGCAAAGAACTCATTCTCCTCCGCGACGAGAACGGGAAGCTTAGCATCGCGTACGACGGCGGCGGGAGCAAGAAGGAGGGACGTCCGACTAGCAGCCGCCTGATTGGCGTCGTTGATGACGAGCGGCTATCGCGCGCGCTATGGCTCAACTACCTCGCAGGCAGCAAAGTCGCGAGCGAACCCGCGCGCCGGAGCATAGTGGAAGGCCTCATTGAGTTTGTGGAGAGGCCCGTCGGGACGGTTACCTCGCAAGTTGTGTAGAAAGTAGGTAAAGAGTTGTACTGATAAGAGTTGACTATGTAAAGCGCCTTTGACAGTTGTAACAGATAGATGTACATGAAGACCACGAAAGAAAAACGATAGACGCGGGTGAAGAGCACAACGTGTAAAAGTTGAGCACCCAAATGCTTTGCAAGCTAGGTGCACTGAATTGTGATTTGCGCGTGGCCAGTCGGGTATCCTCAAAGCTTTCTCGCCTCCACGCCGAAGAAAAAAAAACCCTCACTCCTCGTCCGAGCCGCTGCTGGCGCCCAGCTCGAAAGCGCCAGCCGCCCGGAGCAGCTCCTTAATGCTCTTTCCACCCTTGCCGTTGCGCACCACGGTCTCTAGGTCGGAGTTGCCGCCGATGTGTTGCTGGCCGATGAAGACGTTGGGAACGGTGCGCTGGCCGGTCAACTTGACGAGCGCGGCCTGGATCTCGTCGCCGTCGCTCTCCTCATTCAGTTCCAGGAGGCCGTACTTGGCGTCCAGGCCGTCGAGCACCCGCTTCGTGTTGGCGCAGTACGGGCAATATGACTTGCTAAATACCACTATTGCAGACAAAGGCGCTTTGCGTTAGCTTTATGTTCTTCCTCTTTCTTTTTTTGAGGGGGGAGTGGAGGGAAAGGGTGGGGCTTGGCGGCGGTCGTGGTGGAGGATGGTAGGAAAATGTGTTTACACACTGACGGCATTGTCGTCAATGAGCTGCTGAGCTTTCTTCTGTGCGGCGTCCATAGTAGCTGGTGTGGTTGATGAGAAGAGTCTGCGAAAGAAGAATGACATGGGGAAGGTGGTGACGTTGTGATACAGAGGAGGGAGTTGGAGGGGCAGGCGCCTTTTAAAGTTTGAAGCCGCACGGCAAACCGGTCGAGTGGCGTGGATGAAATGGAAGAGCCAGGATTGCGACATCAAGAGATTTGTCAACAAAAAGCCTCCTCTCTGGGGCCGGGCGGGTCCAGCCTGCCGCGGAAACGCAAAGACGGACACGGGTTACGCCCCGATGATTACTATATGAGTGCAGCACGCAGTGCAATAATGCAAATACGTGGGATGTTAATAGGCCTGGCGATTACTCAGAAGACTGTTCAAACCTGCTGAAGCAACCGGGATTTCCAATCCAAACTCGGTTTCTCGGTGTCTCGATACCTCGGCAGTCGACGAAAGCGGTAGATACCTTATGCCGCTTTGAGTTTGTGCGTATTAAAGATTGGAGATCCCAAACTTCGGGCTTTTGCAGCTCTAAATAGCGTCTTCGACATGATAGGCCAGAAGCACCAATGACGCAAAGATCCGACTGTGCCTTACAAATCCTTGCCAAGTGCGCCGAGGTAAAAGTTTATTTCCGTTCCTTGTCCGCATCGCGACCAACAGATATCGCGATGCCGAGGACGCGACTCAGTGAAGTCATAGCATTGCTTTAAATTGAAGAAAACTACCTCGGTCGATGGAAAGCGGTTTACGGGAATATGTTGCTGAAAGTCCAAACGGAACTGCTTTTGCTCATCCGATTTACAAATGGTTTACTGGATTTTACTGTAATTCCCGGTAATTCTCTTGCGCGATTTATGTTATTAACAACCTACTGGCTCCTTGTTTCGGGTCGAAATAGAACTTGGAACCCGGAGTAAGAACTCTCGGCATACAGTCTCAGGAAACCCCAAAGGATCGCGTGTTGCAACAGGAAATACTTGAATGTTCGATCTCTGAATGGTAGAAACAATGAGGGCCGATCTCAACCCAACTCGGAACTTATGCACTCTGGGAGGCTGTGCTGTCCGCCATCAAACCCAGCATGAGGTTATTCCAACTTCTCTCTGTTTGTAGGTAAATACTCCGTCCTATCCCCCAATAGCTTCGCAACCTAAAGCCTGCTATGGCTATCCGTTTGCCTCCCGTGGGGTTTTGAACCACCTTCAATTAAGCCAACAAAAAGATCGCCGCCATATGAATCCGTGGTACAACCTCAGCCAGTCGGTGAACTGAGTGGCCGAACCGCTAAACAAAATACGGCGATCTACGTTGGGCGTGGTGATTGAGCTCGTTCAAATGTGGTATGGATTGATCAAGGCGACACACAATCCAACATCAAAGACACAAACCCAAGTGCTGGTGAGGCTGTCGATGGTACCGAACTATCGCCTTATCTGATCCACGGGGTTTGGGTAGTTCAGGTCCCGCGGCTAGTTGCATCGATGGCAAAAATAAAACTTGAATGCCGCCAAACGATGTCGCGCTGGGTGTTTTCGCGGGCTGCCGCAGGTCCTCCAGTCCAGAAATGCCTGAAAAGATCCAGAGGTGGGGTAAGCGCAGGCATGGAGCCAGTCAGCGCTGCGTGCAGGGTTATCGGGCTAGGCCTTATAGAGTTCTCCTCCAGCGAACGTCCCAAGGGCTTTCATGGTTGCCATTTCGGAACCCTTGCAGGCCGGTTGCTGGAGCGCCACCCCAAAGCTACCATCCACACGGAATCGGGGACAGATATGGGCACCTCAGCAGCCTGAAGGACCCTTGAATTCTCCAAGGCGGTGATCGTCGTCAAATCACCATTTTTTTGATAAGCTGTGTCATATGGATGGGAAGAACAACTCGCCTGCGGCATCCACTGAGCGACGATACCCGCCTCGGTCAAACCATTGGCTTAGCAAACGTGTTCCCCGCCGACCAGCAGCAAGCCTGAATCTGCCACCGCCTTTGCATCGCTCCAGCAATCGCGGTCAATGATATAGCCCCGACCCCGAAGCCTTGCTCATCCTCTTTCTTTCCCTCTCGACAGGTCGACGACATTTTGTCGTAGGACCACCCCAAACGTCAAGGTGGCTTCCGGTTCGGGTTTTGGGGCATCGTCTGGTGCCTCGTTTGCGAATCTCACCGCATCGATCCTCAGGCTCCCGGCGACTCTGCAGCCCTTCTTGGACAGCGCCGTCGAACATCTGTCTGGTGCGACCGAGTATCTTCAGTCGGCGACCGGCGTCTCCCCGACCGTGCTCTACACCACAGCTGCCGGCGCACTGTTACTTCTCGGGGCCATTCCCGCCGTCACGGCACGAAACTCCCAAAAGAAGACCAAGAACACGCCAGGGAAGGGAGAAAAGATGTCTCGATATGGCTGGTCGACCCGCGCGGGTGGCCTATCGCCTTTCAACTCGGCCCTTGGTCAAGGAGACATTCCCGCTGTAACGGACGAAGATTACAGCTATATCACGTCAGAGGATCTCCAGAATCATGGCGTCGACAACCCCCCTTCCTACGAAAGCCATTATGCGCCCTCGTCCGACCGCTACGCTGGCCATGCCCATCCCCCAACGGCACCGCGTTATCAACCCGAGGACGACGTCATGTTGATCAAGCACAGAGGCATCACGTTTCCAGAGCATTTTCCAGCCTACTCGATTGGCGACGGAAAACTCTTGGTGGGCGATGTAAAGGTACGGGCCAAAATAATCTTGGATGTCCCCGACAGCCAGGCCAAAGGAATGCGCCTACTTTACAAGGGCCAGTTGCTTAGTGATCCAGACGCTCCCATCCGGGACTATGGCGTCAAGGATAACAGCGAAGTCGTGGTTGTTCTTGGGGAGGGCGGAACTGACAGTAGCGGTGAGAGCTCTCACAGCGAGGAGGTCGTCGTGGTAGGGCGGGATGGACGGGAAGACCACGGCGCCAGAAAGCCCGGAAAGAAGCGAAGAGGGCGACAGCCTGTCAACCATAGCCCCCGAGAGAGTGGGCCGAGTTTTAGCCTGGAGGTGCCGCGAGATGATGGGAGGAGACGCGCTCTGTCGAGAGTCCGAACGCAGTCCCCGAAACCAGCACCGGCACCGGAGCCACTGCCGGCGCCAGAGCCCGCCGTTGCGAGGTCCAGCGGAATCACCATCCCCGCCCCACCGGGAAGCGCAATGGACAAACTAAACCAGATCGCAAGCCGTTTCGACAAGGAACTACTCCCGCTTTGCAAGGAATTTATCGCAAACCCGCCCTCAGATCCAAAGAAACGAACAATGGAGCATCGGAAGCTGGCAGAAGTAATCATGCAGCAAGTCCTCCTAAAGCTTGACGAGGTCGAGACGGCAGGAGAGGAAGGAGCACGTCAAAGAAGAAAGGATCTAGTCAAGGAGGTTCAGGCCGACTTGAAGAGCATCGACGACGTTTCCAAAGCTTGAGCGGTTTCGGATGCCCTTCGTCCAACCCCTTCAAATTCGCTACCTGGTGACGGTCAAGGATGATTAAGTCAAAATCATCGCACATTTTCGCGTATTTGTAGGACCTAGGAATTTTCTCTTGATTCTGACTTGCATAGCAACTATTGGAGGCACGCACTGGGTTTCGCGGGAAGTTTCTTCGTTGTTTTCGGCCCAGCATTGGCGCGCATACATATATCATCGAGCACGCTGTGGTCACGGTAGGCGTGGACGGCTATTTGGTTGCATTGCCAGTTGGAGAGCCAGGAGTCAAAGAGTTTCCTCGTAACGATGGGATACGATTTGGAGTATGGGGTCTTGCATAGTGCATTAGTCGTCGTATATGCGCGCTGCGAGTGTAAGCATATACCTATAAGTAGGTAGAGAGCTTAGATAATGAGGTTTCTGATGGAGGATCTGGAGTACCTCAGTCTTCTCCCCGAACCTTGCGCATTTGATTGGGCAGCCCATTTTGTTCCAATTCGCAAGCGTGTCGAGGAAACACTCGCGCAAAGGCAAATTCCGCTCCAGGGCGGGCAGATTTTCTATCTAGTGGCATGGTTGTTCTACAAGGTCAACTTCACTGTCACAAGGGCAACAGCCAAACGAATTGCATTGCACTGACCCTATGCCAGCCAACGTCAGGTGCGGGCAGCGACTCGGAGTGACGGAAATGCCAAGCAAACGAGCATTGGTCAGTCAGCTGACCCCACCAATTGTAGGTCTAACCCTACCCCAAACCTGAGGCAGCAGGACCGCTCGCTTGCGGGCCTTCCCATCTCCCAGAACGGGCTAGTGCAATTCTCAGGACCTCGAGCACAAGGCCAATTTTCAGCACACACAAAAAAGTCGAGCCCGACCATCAACCATCGCGAGGGTAAGGAGCAGCCAACTTCGCTGCTAATCGATCAGCCGGAGTTCGACTGACTGATTCAACATTTTCCTCCTTTTCCTCCCCCTTCCTTTTCCCAGTTTACTCTGCCGAAAAGATGTCATCCTTTGAGTCAGTGGTACGTCTGCATCCCACACTTCTCTATCCCTAACGCCTCGCGCAATCGCGAGATCATGCACATTCGCGAATGACGACTATTGGGCGAAATCGACAATCGACTTCGCGATAGCACAATCGAAGACCGGGTCTGGAGAGCTGGGGAGCTAACATCTACTCGCAACAGGTCGTCATCGATGGCAAGGGCCATCTCCTCGGCCGCCTGGCCAGTATTGTCGCCAAGCAGCTCCTCAACGGCCAGAAGATCGTCGTCGTCCGCTGCGAGGCCCTGAACATCTCCGGCGAATTCTTCCGCGCGAAGCGTACGTTGCATCCTCAATTTATTCACCGACGACCTCGATATTTGTGTGCGCGTCCAAGGCAGGAGCCTGAATCCAGTGGAGGGATTAGAGGGGCGACTGTCTTTTTAGACCCCAGACAAATGCTGCGACGACGACTCGGAGGGGATTAGTGCGAGAACGATTTAGCTGACACTATGGTACAGTCAAGTATCATGCCTATCTGCGCAAGATGACCCGGTACAACCCGACCCGCGGTGGTGAGTCCGATATCCGACGATCTCCGATGCTGGTTAGTCAATGCTGACTGCCGCAGGCCCCTTCCACTTCCGCGCCCCGTCCCGGATTTTCTACAAGACCGTCCGCGGCATGATCCCCCACAAGACCGCTCGTGGCGCCGCTGCCCTTGAGAGACTCAAGGTCTTCGAGGGTGTCCCTCCCCCGTACGACAAGAAGAAGAAGATGGTGGTCCCCCAGGCTCTGCGTGTCCTGAGACTCCAGCCTGGTCGCAAGTACTGCACAGTTGGCCGGTTGAGCCACGAGGTTGGCTGGAAGTACCAGGATGTTGTTGCGAGGTACGTTTATTCGGGCTGCTCAATGTGTGGTGGGGACGAATTAAACGGCGTTGGAATACTAACTGTCTGGCAGACTAGAGGAGCGCCGCAAGGCGAAGGGCGCCGCATACTACGAGCGCAAGAAGCTCGCCGCGAGACAGCTCTCGGAGGCCAAGAAGAGTGCCAAGGTCGGCAAGAAGACTGTGCAGGCCCTCGAGGCCTTCGGCTACTAAAGAGGGTGGCCACCACACGACCCTCTGTCCTTTTTTGCGTTTTCACTCTAGATTGGCGCGGTTGTTCAGGGCATCATCAACTTCATTTGCGTGGAAGGCGGGGATAGGCAATGGCTATCTGACACACTTCGTGTCCCGGGCTCGGGACCTCATAAAATAAATGAGATCACAACCAATGGAGATGAGCAACGAAAGAAGGACAAAATACCCATTTGTCGGTCAAGCTTTGTGACAGTGCTGCGAGGTCTCTGTCATGATACAGGTATCCTGACATGCATGCCCATGCCTCGTCCATCTTATACCCTCGCCGTCTCATCCTATTACGATGAATTGAACGGCCATAATCACCCTACTTCTACCTTTCAGTCTTTTGTGATGATGATGGGCACCTCGCGTGGTACATGCTTCCTGCTCTGCATCTTGACCGCGACCGTGTCCTCCCGCGTTCCATCGTCGTATTTCCCTCTCGCCAACCCTTAACTGCCTGACCCGAGTTACACCTCGGTAACCTTTTCGCTGGGCCATATTTGCGTATTGCTTAATGGGGTCCAGTTGCGTCGCGTCATCTCCATGTCGTCACTCCGCACATAAGCAACCCCACCCATCCCAAATCGAGCCCAACATTGAGAAAATGCGTAGTGGATATTTACAGTACCCACGTGAGCGTCTTCCACTTGTCACAGAGGCAAAGTGGGTGGGTAACGAAGGGTACCTTCATCAGCCTATATGCATACCGTACAATCTCTTGAATAAGGACGATATCGGTGGGGCAAAATATTGGAAAACATCTTGATTAACCAATAGTGAGCAGCGCAGCCATAACCTTAAAGCACTCGGTGGCTTCTCGTTTGCGGCACTCTCTGTTGCCATTGGGTACTCGGGCAGTATTTTGCCCCACCGATATCTTCCTTATTCAAGAGATTATTCGGTAATCACGACCACCGACTTTTATGTGGAGAAAAGATCAAAACAAGCCCGAGGGAGAGAGAGAGAGAAGTCTTGAATTGCTGTTTCCAGACTAGAAATCTGATAGCGAAGTAGAAGATTATACCGTTAATTCGAGAATTAGAAAACACATCGCTTCATTGGTCAGAGAGCAGTGTTATGCAGCCATGGTCATGACACCGTCGACGATATAACTTTTTTTTTCCCTCCATCTATTTCAGAGCCTTGATATCTTGGTGAACATACAAGAGGATATTATGGTACCCAACATTTGCGTATACCTTGCGCTCATAAAGGACTTGCCAGCTATGCAAGTGGTCATTTTTTACCACTAATATTTCTCTTCAGATGGAATCTGCGACATCGCTTTAGCAAGAAAGGTTTAGGCACTGTGCTGGCGTACTGTCAAACAAGGCCTTCTACGGTCACGATCGACAGGCAACAACTCAAATAGAGTCTAATCACGCTAGTGTGACAGAGGTAGGTTCATCCGGTATTACATGCGCGTTCGATCCGGATGAATTGCATCTGCATTGCAACGACTGGGTTGTTGAGTCTTTTCATTCCTTGTATCCCAAAATACATTATGCCATAACTATTCGAAGTTAGAGAGTAAGCTTTTGAGAAAGAACTAGATTGTCAGTGGTTCTGCTAAAAGAATTTGACCACAAACTGATGAGACACATTTGGTGTGGTAACTACCCAAGCAAATAGTAGGCAATTAAGTCAACGCCTGGTTCCGATATTCGTCTCCAGTGAGTAAAGTTGGAATAAACAGGATCTAAAATTGTGAATAATGTTTACCCACTAGGTCTAAATCTAGTTGCTGGAGGTATCTAGCTACTATTTTCCTTCAACCTTGAACAAAACATGAGGAGCAAGCAACGCTGGGCTCTCGTCCTCTCGAGATAGTGACCATGACGAAAAAGTAACTTGTCCGGGGTGGGCATAGGGGTGCGGAAAGCCCAAGATCTAGCCCGGTAGCCAGAGAGCCGGATGGTTAGTGTCTCTACCAGGAGTCGAAGACATCAAATAGCTGGCTGCTGGCCACACCACAGAGTGAGATGAAACTGGATGTAAATGACGTGCAAGGTTGCAGGGAAGGGAACGGCGGATGAAGAAGCGGAGAAGAAGAAAGAGGGGGGTGGGGGTTTATACGATGTCAAGGTGTAGAGACTCTAAGGCCGACGAGGAAGGTGCGGTATCTGCCTCGATGTCATGTGGCGTGTTTTCTAGATCGGCGGCGGCTCTCAGCGGAAGGCGCGATTCAAATGCATCAACCGCACGTTTGAAGCGTCTAGGTGAGGGAGGCGATGCAACCACTGGCCCATCCCTAGTCGCGGCGCTTTGGATGCCCCTTCCAAGACAAGAGAACGACAGGAGTGGTGTAGAAAGGATGGAAGAGTGTGGGTAATTAAAAGGCGGCCGTCTTGTGCGGTCTCCCAAGGAGTCTTTATAGCGAGCTTAGCCGTACAGCGTCGGTCGTGCTCGCTTTGGTGGAGCCCCCCTCGCCTTGCCTCGCCTCACTCACTTCACAAATTCATGGAAGACACTTTTCCCATCTGCTCGCCCTGGCCACCACGATGTTTGAGAACACCGCGGCGCGGTGGACGGATGGTGTGGTTGACGACTGATATAACATGGATTTGCTGGCGATGATGCTGGAGATAACGAAACTGACGCAAGGGATCTACTCGGGTAGAGGTGCTCCATAGGGAAATTGCACCTCTTACGGGGCCGTAAAACGACTCCAACACCTTGCCCTTGACCCACCACAGCCTTCTCTGAGAGTTCTGTCGACTGTGGCGGTCCAGGGGACGGCCGTCAGCCAGAAGCTGATGGGCAAAGCTGCTTTAGGTAAGGTGCCTACCTTGGGTAGTTAGGGTTTTAAACGACGTCTGGTCATCTCCGGGGAATCCGAAGAACATGAACATCTCTGCGTCCATGCCACACCTAGGCCCCACTACTGAGCCGGGTGCCACCCCCTGGCGGAGCGCAGGCAAAGGGCGGCCGCCGTCCATCGTGGTGGTCCCGTCTGCCTAGGCTCTAGGTAGGCTGCTGTTGGACACGACTGGAAAGTGCCTAACTGCGAATTAATTAGGTCCAACACAAGGAGGATCGGGAATAGACTTTGCATGATGCGGGCTGTTTCACACACATCGCCAAGGTTCTTACCGCATTTACCTTCCGTGGGTGGTGGTTCCGGGCGGGTGCAAACATTAATCCGCTTTAGCTTTGGAGCTAAGCACGGCCCTGCTAGGCGACGGGAGGCAATCAATTCCGCATACCTAGGTGCCTCAGGTACTCACCTGTTCTTAGCGAGATCTCTGGATTGAATGAATGAAAGCCTAAATGTGGGGGGCTTAGGTGCTGACTGATTAACGCCCTTTTAGTCAAACCGTGGTTACGAGGCCGGAGGTAAGACGTTTATCGCTCTTAATTCTTACCGAGGAGGCGGCGCGGTATAACGTGAGCCTCGAAGTGCGTGGCGGGGCTATCGGCTGAGCCTCTATCGTGGGCGTAAGCGCGCCGCTGACTAAATCGAAAAATGCAGCCAGTGTAACCATTCGTATAATTAGTCTCGTAAACAGAGGCTGCCTGGGTGTATTTGATACCCAACCCGTAGTAAGAATAGCAGCCCATCAGCCGTGTGAAACAAGTACTGAATAAGGTGACGCGAGAGGCGACCTCAACCTAGCGCTCGCTCTGCTAAAATGAATACCCTCTCAGATAATTACGAGAGGAATGATTTGCAAAATCTGTAACGGCCCATTGCGGCTGCGCTCGGCTGCAACTGAAGGCTTGGCACCTAAAACGAGACTGAGATGATTGCGCCATCTTCACAAGCCTGCAGAGGTCTGACTGCTGAGACGAGACCAAGGTGGGTACTGGGTATACCGTCTTCCTAGGCGCCGGACAGACGTTTCCAGGGCCGCACAAAAGGTCTTTGGGTTTTATCCCCTGCTTCCCCTTAGACCTCGTCTCCTGGATTCCACCGCCCTGAGACTGAATTGGAATCATTTGGCATGAAGGTCCTGCCACGGAGTCGTGTCATGATGGGCGGTGGTGGGTTGGGCCCTTCGGGGCCTGGTGCTCCAAAGCAGTCAAGAATGTGGCCGCACTTAGGTAATTACTTCCTATATAAATATAAATTTGGCGCATCTTCCTGGGCATAATTTAGTTGAGACTTGTTGATCAAGCCACCAAAGCCTCCCTGTGCATCGGTCTCGCTCTTGGAACCTTGATATACCTACAGCCTGTCTGAGCCGGCACTCGACGGAACAATTGCTCGTGCCTTCTTCTTTCCCAAAGACGCTCGGGTTTAACATAATTAAAAATGGCGAGCCGTTGGCAACCTGCTCCTGTTATTCCCAACATTACGTCATCGTCGAGGTCGCGAGATCCACCTCCTTTCATTCCGCCAGAGGTGAGCTCTGCACTGAGATGAACTCTTACACTCGCCATCGAACCCACTCCTTGATCTAGGGCTGATTAGGTTGCTACGACAGTTGTTTCCCAAGGTTGTCGGAATAGATCTCGAGTGAGTTGGCTCACCTTTTTTATCTCCTGCACCCACCTCTGGTTACCTGTGTACCTGTCTACCTTGCTGACCGGGCACCAAAAGCGGCACTTTTTGGACCAATTGGCTCAACAAGGACGAGGTTGGAATCAGGGGGCAGGTTACGCAGGAACAGAGAGACAACCTTGAGCATTACATAACCCCAGACGGGGCAACACAGCAAGTTCGGGACAAAACGTAAGTCCCTACCTACATACCCATACAAGAACAGCACTGTGGCAGTTAATAACTAGGTTTGCTGGCATGCACGACGAACAGGAATCCGAAACGCATGTTTGTCAACATGTCGTACCACATGCCTCAAATCATCAGGGACCTCAAAAACAACGGGGTGAAAATCGCTATTGTGTCGAAAAACACAAGCAAGGACCTGTGAGTAGCTTGCTGTGTTAGAACCTAGGTACTGCTCGCGTTTCTAGCAGAGTGGTTAACTTACGTAACTACCTAGAACCGACCGAGCATTGTACTACTTCAATATGGCCGACCCATCGCACATTCAGCCACTGAGAGAGCAAGAGGCGAGAAACATAAAGATGATTAGCCAGGTTGACTACAACGAAGTCTATGACGGTAAGCGATGTCATTGTTTAGAACTGCAAGTTAAGATGCTAATATTGGCAGTTACCAGAATCAAAGCAGGTCCATTTTGCGAAGATTAAAGGCTGGAGCGGAGCCAGCTACGACCAGATGGTAATGACGCTCCCTTATTTTAATGAATTAAAACATTAGCCAAGAAGATTGGAGATGAGACGTCACCTTACTAACCTAACTGTAAATTATCCTCAACATTAGCTTTTCTTCGACGACCAACCTGTCAACATGGATGTCGAGCTATGGCAGGGTAACTATATGCCCCGTCGTCCCTCGTCAGACGCAACGCGTCTGGGCCAAAAAGACATTAATACTGACCTGTAGTGTTGCGTGATCAATAGGCGTCACGTTCTTCAAGGTTTCTGATCCAACCCATGGCTTGTCGTATATCGACTATCTGCAAGGACTCGAGCTCTGGCGCCGAAACAGGGACATCAGGCACAAGATACCGATGATGCTTGGTCAAGACTCTAATGTCGGCCACGTTGGCTATGTTGGCTCCGACGCGGCCACTAAGGACCGCTACGCCGCTGGAAAGCGCCGCCTGAAGAGCGGCCGCCCATCGCGATGGGGGCATGCGCTGTATGTTGCCGACGACCCAGACACGTAAGGTTCCCCCTTTCCGTCGTTTCCGCAGACGCTCTCTGCGACGATGGCAGCAGCTTACTACAGATGTAAACAGTGCCTGCGTCTTTTCCATGTGGGGGCGTGAAAGCGATCCAAAGACGAATCACTGGATCTCGGCTGTTTTTGTTCGAGATCGGAAGGCATGGTTGGATTTGCCAAAGGTAATTAAGCAGTCTCTTCCGGACCTAATCATTTTGGCTATCAATACTCGGGTGCTAACGCCGCCTGTTCGAACCTGTCTAGGTCTGGGTGCCGGAATTCAAATCCGTCAAGCAGACGCCAACCAACACGCTGCCGACCGAAGAGGAGGCTGCCAACATCCAGCAGGCCCGCGACGAATTCATCACCAAGACGTACGGTGTCAAAAAGCCCTACGTCCTGTTTTCCAGGCACCACTACATGGACGTATTTAAGGATACCCGGATACCTCAAGGCTCGAGGTTCAACGAGCTGGTGGTGTATCCGCAGATTCAAGACGCACTGTTCTTCTGCGTGCCCATACAAAATCATGCCGGAGACCTCCTCCACGGCCCAACTAGGACCCTCGGCCATCTTAACTACAACAGCAGGTTTCATGATTGGGGAATCAAGAAGAATTCAGAAACCGAAAGAGACTTTTGGGAAAAGGGGGAAGCTTGGGCGTGAATGCAAGCCTGAGTGGGGCTGAAGCCGGGATGCGCCCACCCTGACTAGGCCTGTAGTCGTTGTACATACCCGTATTATCATCATCAGAGGCACTGGCTGGCCCAGTCCCTGCGCCGATAATGTGTATCATAATAAGCTAAGCATAGGCACTGGCTGGTCCAATTGCCGTCAGAGATAACGGAGCAGGTCCTCAGTTTCTTATTTGGTTATGGGAGTGATGGAAAAAAAAAGTGTAAAAAATACACTGGATGCGGGACGCCCAGGATAACGAGCTGTTTTGCATGAGTGACCGTGTGACGGATTGTACCGATAAGAACACATAAGAACATAGGGGCAAACTTGAACCCCTCTTCAAGCACGAATCAGCTTTGGAGACTCGGGATAATAAGCCTACAACTGATTCGAAAGACCTGTCTCGAGCCACAAAAGCCAGACGGCAAGGAAGCTAGCCACAAGCCCGGGTTGATGATGCAGGTTGGAAAGAATTGAAGGGATGGTCTGCGCTAAGCTGACCTAATGTTAGCGCGTGCATGCATAGGCCGTTGCTCCACTGTTGCGCGTGCCGCAGACAGCAAAACGTGGCCAGCCAGAATTCCCACGTGACCCAGCACCTGTTCGGTTGCGGAAGAACTCGGCCTCCTGATGCCCAGGAACTGACTGGGTAAGGAAAAATTGGACCAATGAGCAGCGACAGACCTGCCGTCTGTCGAAGCCGGTTGTCTTGTTGGCCAGAGGTTGGAGACATTTTCGAGCAGGGAAGCTGCTCTTACTGTTTTGAAGAACATCCGTTGACGCAGCACAGCACCCGACACCGAGCAGCGATTCCCATCTACTCGACATTGGCGAGCTGCATCGCTTGTTCCTCTCTTTCTCTCTCCCTCTAGCCATTTTTTGCGCCCCAGTCGTCTGCATCCGTCAGCCATTGACACGCAGCACCGAAGCGACAATGCAGGCAATCTCCAGACAAACCCGGCCTGCGGGCGCCCTTTTGACGCAGCTTTCGCGGAGAGCCTACACCACGTCGTCGCCCTATTCCCTCACCATCCCCAACCTCCGCATCAATGGCGATACCAAGGTTCTCTTCCAGGGCTTCACTGGCAAGCAGGGAAGGTAAGTCGCTCTACTGCCCGGCGTCGGCCCTTGCGCCCGCTTATCGCACGTTTTGTGACTCGGCGCGATGCATCCGGGCGTTCGGATCTAACGCGATATACTGACACTGTTTTGCCTACAGCTTTCACGCGCAGCAGGCGATTGACTACGGTAAATCCAATTCTACCCCATCACCCATGACAATACACACCGAGGCGCTGTGGTCGAGGGAGGATTGGCTCTGACGCATTCGTTGTCTAGGAACCAAGGTTGTTGGAGGCACAAATCCCAAGAAGGCCGGCTCAACGCATCTCGGCCTTCCCGTCTTCGCCAATGTCACCGAGGCCGTGAAGGCGACCGGCGCAACCGCAACTGCCATCTTCGTCCCGTAAGCTCTGCCCCCCCTGAAATCTGACCCATTAGCCGATGTGCGCTAACGAAATCCCGACCCGTAGTCCCCCAGTGGCCGCTGCCGGTATCGAAGAGGCCATCGCCGCCGAAATCCCCCTCGTTGTGTGTATCACAGAAGGAATCCCCCAGCATGGTTAGTGTTTGGCATATACAGTGCTGCGGTGGATTACACCGTGCGGGAGGGAGCAGCCCCTTTTCTGACAAGATATGCAGACATGGTCCGCATCACATCGATTCTCAAGTCGCAGTCCAAGACGCGCCTCGTAGGCCCTAACTGCCCGGGAATCATCGCCCCCGGCCTGTGCAAGATTGGCATCATGCCCGGCTTCATCCACAAGCGCGGCCGCATTGGCATCGTCAGCAGATCAGGCACCCTCACCTACGAGGCTGTCAACCAGACCACCCAGGCCGGCCTCGGCCAGTCCTTGGTCGTCGGCATTGGTGGCGACCCTTTCAGCGGCACCAACTTCATCGACTGCCTCAAGGTGTTCCTGGAGGATGAGGAGACGGACGGTATCATCATGATTGGCGAGATTGGCGGCTCCGCCGAGGAGGAGGCGGCCGACTTCCTCAAGACCTACAACACCGTCAATGGCGGCAAGCCCGTTGTGTCCTTCATCGCCGGCATCTCCGCCCCCCCCGGCCGCCGCATGGGCCACGCTGGCGCCATCGTCTCGGGCGGCAAGGGCGACGCCAACTCCAAGATCAAGGCTCTCGAATCTGCTGGTGTCGTTGTTGAGCGGTCACCCGCCAGCCTGGGCAAGGCTCTGCGTGACGAGTTCGTCAGGCGGGATCTTCTCTAAGCCGACGCAATATTTTGTCACGGCTGAATAATAGGTTTCGGGCGGCAGCTTCTGTACATGTCCTTTGATGTTTTCTGCTTCCCTTGTAGCGTGTATATGGGGTGCGGGCCGAGACGTTTGTGTGTCTGTAGGAGGGAGAGAGAGAGAGAGAGAGCGCGAACTTTAGACCATTTTCCGGGAGGGGCACGGCGAACTCGAGGATGCTGGACAGGCCAACCTTGGTGACCCCTGACTGTTTGTTCATTATCATCATACTGCGGGGAATCTCGATAGACTGGAGGGAAATCGGCGGTCTGGCAAAATACGTCGTGTGCATTGCGACCCCCCTTTTCTTTGTTTTATACTTGACCTTGCATATTCCTGTCCTAATTGAAGCGGTGAAGGGGGGTTCGCCCCTTTGGCTACTTTGACATTTACAATTTCTCTTTTCTTGGGCCATAAAAGTGTCCAGCGATGAGTGAACAAGTAAGCTTATGTAGGGTGTATTACAAGTGGGCGGGCTGCTTTCCTAGCCCCTGAGATAGCTCAAGCATAGGAGTCAGCACCCAATTCTGAGCTAACAGATACATGGTGTCACGAATTTTTACAAGTTTCGGAATGAAGAAAATACTACAATTCGTAGATTCTGCTAGGCCGATGGGCCTCAGCAACTCGGAAAGGAAGACCAGTAGAGAACTCCATCCATGCCAATATAGAAAGACATGCTATCTCCTGCCCCGGGCTGTGGTTGTTCGGAACAACAAGAGGGTCAGAGGTAAAAAATGAGGAGAAGAAATTTTAGTTTGGGGGTTTGAGGTTTGGTCTGGACCAGCGAATTAAAAAGCGCTTATGTTGTATGAAAAATTTGGCCTCCCACTTATTTTTCTGAAAGAAAAGCAAAAATGAAGAAACACATACAAACCGATCCTCCACGCCGGGAAGATGTATTAGCCGTCCTGCTCCGTTTCCGTCACGCCGAGAAACGAGAAATGAAAAAAAAAAAAAAACAAGTTGCGGAAAAGAGCTCGCAATCTAGAGACTTGCAAAGTAGCAAAGTTGACGGATGGGGGAAAAAGAAAAAACCAGAAAGAAAATAAGAGAAGAAAAAAAACCCTCCTTATAGGTACGACCATGTATTCTCCCGTAAACTCCTTTCCCGATGCGTGCTATTCCTTCGGATGGGAGAGTAGAGGGGGACAGAGGAGTCCCAACCGTGGTCGGCCCTCCCTGTTCTTTCGCTTCTCGCTCACCTCCGCTGCCCCACCCACCCCGTGGGCTCATCCTCACTTCATCTTGACAAGAGAAAGCCGCCAGGTTATTCTATCCTTATACTTCATCTCTTAGCATGGTGAAACAGTTGGGTATGGTTTTCTTGCCGCGTATTTGAGAAAGATTTCGTAGAACAAAAGTCGTGTGTGGAAAACCGCAGCTACACTTTGCTCTTACCGCCTTCCCGGCCGCGTTCAGAGGTCGATTGTTCTACTGTTCGCCGAGTAGCCGGGCGGTGATATCACCCATGTATGCCTCTTCGAGATCGTAGTCTTCTCCACCGTTGCGGTCTATGCCGACAAAGTTGAACGCTTCGACGACTTGGTCGACATCGAATCCCATGCCGACAAAACGGTCGACCAGAACCCGGCTATACCCTTGGTACCTATACAGCATGGAGAATCAGGCGTCAACGAAGCTCAGCCATAGTCTAGCAGACTGGCAGCGGCAGCCTAGTCGGAGGGAGGAGGAGCCGAGCCGTCTACGTACCTCGAAGGGTCGTCCTTCTTCTCCTCGGCAGCCTTCTGCTTCTCGAACGTCTCGGCGGCGATGTCGCGCCTCGGCGCGCCCGCGTACTTGACAGACCAGTCGTGTGCCTTTTGAGCGAACTGGGCCGGGCTATCCATCAGCATTTTCGCCACCTCGGCGTCTTGAGGGTCCTTGGGGTTCGGCGACTCTAGGAGCATGCGCAGCGAGATCAGTGCCATCTTGATGGTGCCTACGGGCGACCAGCCGGCGCCAAGCGTGTCGAGGCAGATAGCTCCCTAGTTGAGCAAGGACGGTAGTTAGCAACAGAACAGTCTAGTGAAGAGATCGGGTTTTGGAGGTGGGCAGAAAAGGGGGGAGGGGAGCGAGGGGCTGCCGCCGTATCGGGCTGGGCCCGGCTGGAGAGGTCGTCTGCTTACCGTAACACTGCTGACGTTGGGGTGCCAGATCTTGGTGTCGAACTTCATGACGGGCGACTTGAAGGGGTACATCTCCGGAATGACGATGTCGACCTGGAAAGTGCCTCCGGCGTAGGGTGAGTCGGGGGGACCGGGAAATGTGCCCTTGAGATGGGTCAGATTGGCGGGGTCGACAGGGTGCGCGACGACGCCCGAGTTATCCTTGTCATTGTGAATGTCGGCAAGCTCCTTCGCTATCCGACGTTCGCGCGTAGAGGCCATGGTTGCTGACAGCCTTGGGGGAGAAAAAAAGGATGTGGTGGTGGCTTCGTAGTTTCGCTGCTTCGTGAGTCGGTTTGAGACTGGGCTGCGGAAGGAATAGGAGGGCCCGCTAAAGTATGGAGGGGGAGAATTCCGCAGCACACGTAGGTTGGTACGTACCTGATAGGTAAGTTGGTAAGGTAGCTGTGCGGGAGGGGTGGGCCGGGCAACAGCGGAGAACTGGATATTTGGAGAGGGAACAACCTAACCTAATAACACTCTAGGCTGACTTCTGATGCAAGATTTTGGGCAACAGCCTGGGTTGACAATCTAATGGAAAGCCTATCGAAACGGCGGGCCCGACTGGGATGAAACCAGGGCAAGGCAAAACTCAAGTCAAGGTTCCGCCTTTAGGTAAGGTAAGTAAGGCAGTCGGGGCCCAAAGCCTGCAAACCTTAAAGACCGTTTCGCTGACGCTGCCTGAAGATGCAATGTGGTGCCGGGCGGGGAGAAGTCATTCGCAAAAAATGGAAAGGCGGCCGGGATGGAAATGAAACCGCAACAGGTGCTCCGTTCTCGCGGGCGGGAGGGAGGTGCTGGACTACCAACGGCACCGGACTAAATACGGATACGTATGACACACGTACAGGGCTGGGCGGCCTGAGATGGATGGGGTTTACCAACGGGTAGGCTGCCATACAATATGGCGATTGGCGTGAGGCGTTCCGAATTCGAATCTGCTTTTGTTAATGGTACTGTACTGTGCATACCTCTGGTAGGCAATAGGTAGAAGATGGAAGCTCAGCCTTTTCCGACTCTGCCATGCAGCAAGCTGCGTAATCGGCGGTAATTTCTACCATATTATGAGCATTTGGCTGAGACCCGAGAAACGTCCACGTCCACGGCGGTTCTCATGCTCATGCACAAAAGTAGCCGTGCGAAAGGCTTCTTGCCGTCGGCTCCTTCGTCCCGGAGCTGTTTGACGCTGAGCTTTGGAGCGAGCGAGCCGAGCTGCCCGGTATCTCGGCTTGTTATTGGCTGGCGACAAAATGAAGAGCAAGATTCCGGATTCGTGGTAACACTTGCCCGATCTTATTTACATTTCTGGCACTCACTGACTCGGCAGGTTGCGTGAAAGTACGGAATCCAAGGTTCGGGATACCGTAAGATAGGTACCTACCTCTGGCAGTGCCCGAAATCTAAGTCCTTCTAGGTTGGCCCGTCCCTGAGCTTTGGCTTAGGTAATATTTCGTGGTCCGTGCACGGTCGCGCGTCTCGCTGCCGCCTGACGGTGCTGAGCAAAGCGCAGGGCCAACGAAGCTACCAGCTCCTTGCATCTCTGCATCACCCTTCGACTGTGACTGCCATTCATCGCCGATTTCTGCGCGCCATTTGTAGGCGCGGAAAAACAAACCTAGCGTTTGTCATTCGAGCATCGCATATATCCCAGGCGAACAATCGATCGTTTCTCTTAATTTCCGACCGGCGGCTGAGCAGCTAAGATGGTTAGTTGATCAGGCTGAGATCCCACGCCGACATGCTCTAACTTGAACTGCAGGGTCAGAGTCAATCTGGTATGGGCGGAGGAGGCCAAGATGGCCGAGACGAGAAAGACAAAAAGGTTCGTTCTTTCCGAGATGAATGCGCGATACCGATTGAAGCCTGTCGTTGTTGGCTACGGCTTGTGGATTGAACGTCGTCATGCTGACCTCCGCCTGCGATTACAGAAGGACAAGCCCAAGTACGAGCCGCCCCCAAGACCGACGACCCGCATTGGGCGCAAGAAGAAGAAGGCTGGTGGCACCAGCGCTGCTGCGAAGCTGCCGCCCGTCTACCCGACGAGCCGATGCAAGCTCCGGCTGCTGCGCATGCAGCGCATCCACGACCACCTGCTTCTGGAGGAGGAATACGTCGAGAATCAGGAACGCCTGCGCAAAGCCAAGGCGGTCAAGGATAACTCGGCTCCCGCTTCGGAGCTTGAGTCGTCGGATAGAATGGCCGACGAGCGAGGCCGTGTCGATGACATGCGTGGTAGCCCCATGGGAGTCGGCACCCTCGAGGAGATGATCGACGACGACCACGCTATTGTCTCTAGCACAACTGGCCCCGAGTACTACGTCAGCATCATGAGCTTTGTTGACAAGGATCTACTTGAGCCCGGCGCCAGCATCCTGCTTCACCACAAGAGCGTCAGCATTGTCGGCGTTCTTACAGACGACACGGACCCGCTGGTCAGCGTCATGAAGCTAGACAAGGCGCCTACAGAGTCGTACGCCGATATTGGTGGTCTCGAACAACAGATCCAAGAAGTTCGGGAGTCGGTCGAGCTGCCCCTGCTCCACCCGGAGCTCTACGAGGAGATGGGCATCAAGCCGCCAAAGGGTGTCATTCTCTATGGCGCCCCCGGTACCGGAAAGACTCTGCTGGCCAAGGCGGTGGCGAACCAGACCTCGGCGACCTTCCTGCGCATTGTAGGCAGTGAGTTGATCCAGAAGTATCTGGGTGACGGACCGCGGTTGGTTCGCCAGCTGTTCCAGGTAAGCAAGCCTCTTACGGTGACCTGACCGGAAGGGAGTCTGACAGATTACAGGTTGCCGCAGAGAACGCGCCCTCTATTGTGTTTATCGACGAGATCGATGCTATTGGCACGAAGCGTTACGACTCGACCTCTGGCGGCGAGCGTGAAGTGCAGCGAACTATGCTGGAGCTGCTCAACCAGCTGGACGGCTTCGATGACCGTGGAGACGTCAAGGTCATCATGGCGACGAACAAGATCGAAACTCTCGATCCTGCTTTGATCCGCCCCGGCCGTATCGACCGAAAGATTCTGTTCGAAAACCCCGACCAGAACACGAAGCGAAAGATCTTTACGCTCCACACGAGCAAGATGTCGCTCAACGAGGACGTGGATCTCGAGGAGTTCATTGCCCAGAAGGACGACTTGTCGGGTGCCGACATCAAGGCAATCTGTTCCGAGGCCGGTCTGATGGCGCTCCGGGAGCGCAGAATGCGTGTACAGATGGCCGACTTCCGGTCTGCGCGGGAGAGAGTGCTCCGTACCAAGCAGGAAGGCGAGCCTGAGGGCTTGTACTTGTAGTGTACATGTATGACCACGTGTAATAGCTGTTGGGAGGCCAGTTGGGCAGAGGGGTGAGACTGTCGAATAGACAAGGACTTAGCGTCCAGCATTAACTTTGGGACAAGTCCTGTGATGTTTGTGTGATTTTAGTGATTTGTAACTACCCAAACATGTCGCATAGCTAGTAAGAGCACGGCCTTCTGAATACAGCGTCCTAAGCCGAGCAAAATAAAGCCTAATTTCTCAAGGAAAGCAAGTTACATGTTACATCATCAGTCATGGCTCGTCGTGGCTCCAGCTTTCCATGTCCAGCTTGATCTTCCAGCGTCCTCTGTGCACCCTCTTAGTATCTCCCCCTTGTGTATGGAGGCGGCGGGTCGAGTTCGTTTTCACCGTCCCTAGTCCGCACATCTCCTGGCCTTGGCCCTCTGCTCGGCTCGCGTGCAGCACTGCCATCCGCATCACGACGGCCGTCGGCTGCGTTCAGGGCTCTCATCAGCTGCCTAGCGCCCGACGGCCACATGCCCGGCGGGCCCTGCGCGGGCACATCGCCCCTGAGGATCTCGTCGACCGTGACACCCTTTCTGCCGTAAAAGGCGGCGTTGGCGTCGGGGCGCGCCACCACAACGGTGCCGTCGGCCTGCACCCCAGCATAGAAGCCACGGCTCTTCATGTAGCTCCACACGGGCTTAGCCGTGTCGTCGCCGGCGCTGCCGCCCAGCGCAGACTCGAACGACGCGCCCGCCCCGACCGGGCCCGCCGCCAGCCCGATCTCGCCCCCCAGCGACAGCCGCGGCCGCGCGCTGAACGCCCGCACCGCGTCCCGCGTCCGCAGCACGCACACGCAGTCGTAGATGTCTACCCCTGCCATGAACCCCGCCCCCAGCGTGTGCACCACGAACCCCGACGGCGGCGACCACCCCCCGTTCGGCAGCCGCGAGACTACAACCCCTGACCCCCCTGCCCCGGACACGTGCAGCCCCGTCCGGAACGTGGTGAAGATGGCGAGCCCGGCGGCCGTCTGGATCGCCCGTGGCGGGATCTTGACGAGGGCCTTTTGGGACGGCTTCTTGCTGCTGCTGCTGCTGTTGCTGCTGCTACTTCCCTGGGTGGTGTTGGAAGTGTAGAAGCCATCTTCTGTTTCCACGGGCAGTCAGAATCAGCATCTATCTCTTTGCTAGGGGAGGCAAGGGCGACAGATAGGGGGTACTTGCTGCAGAAGGACTGCAGAATGCGCGCCGCCTTGTCGCACTCTAGGTCCATGCTCGACGGCCAGAACGCCTCGGACCCCAGCTTGTTGGCCATCTTGTTGATGGGCGCGCCCGCCTTGACGCTCCACTGGTGCAGGCGCTCGCCGAACGTGGGCTTGTCGGACGGCGACGTGCCTGGCGACGTGCCTGGCGACGGCGATGGCGACCCGCCTGGGGACGGTAACAGGCCGCCTGGAGAACCGCCTAGCGAGGCATGAGACGAGACGGGCCGCGGGGGCTTGGGCGGCGGTATGTCCCCGTGGTCGTAGTCTTCGATGATGCCGAGCTGGGGCGACGGGAGAGACTGGGGAGGCGGCGGGGGGTAGTACGCTTGCCCTGAGCCGGATCCCGTTGGAGATGGGTATGCTGGCTGCTGGGAATACGGTGCGGCGCCGCCCGGCGGACTGAGGTACTGCTGCTGCTGGTAATACGGTGCGGCGCCGCCCGGCGGACTGAGGTACTGCTGCTGCTGCTGCTGTTGGGGCCGATGAGGGTGAGAGTAAGAATGCGAGCGAGAATGCCTCCCCGGTCGCCCCGGACCCGACGAGGCGTCGTGGCCCATGATACTTGCCGTCTCTGCATAGTAATCGGGGTTGGTGCCCCCCAGCGCGGGGATGCGCCCATGTCCGGAAGTCATCTGGGATTCGGAGACGGGCGGATGATCACGGATTAAAATGCGTTGGCCAGATCACAAAGCGCTGTTCGTATGTGGGTATTCTCAAAGGCTCGGAAATGTCGATCATGAAGAAACTGGGAGGGAATATACGGATACTACGGCGTGTTGAAGCACAGCCTCACGAGACGAGGCCACGAAACATGGGGGCAAATATGCTTGTTAGCTGACGCCCCAGGCTGCCAAGCACGGCGTCAAGGAAGGTTCGTGAACCGAGAATAATCATGAGGATTATTTATTTACCTAATAATTGAAGCACGCCGATAAAAGGGTTATGGATAGCACTTATGCTTCGAGAACACTACAAACCCTGGAATTCGTATTGCTAACCATCGAGTTTGCTCCGTATATCTGCTAAAGAATAAATGATGCTGTTGGAAGCAGCACCGCGGGGCAGTGCGCTGATGTCATTGCCGTCTGCGCCGCAGGAAAGTGGGTCCTGGCTTATGTGCCGCAATTCCGAACAATATTTTCATCAGCGACAGGGACCATGGCGCAGCTGGTTAGCGCGCAGGTCTCATATTCTCACATATGATCTGGTTGAACACTAGAGCAATCCTGAGGTCGTGAGTTCGATCCTCACTGGTCCCAATCTTCTTTTTTTGCTTTTCTCCCCCGGACAAAAGGGTGATGTGAATTAATTTTACTCTAGATCAATATCGGATTGCTGTTGGTACCGTAGTAGCTCACGGCTGTAACCCGATTGCTCTCTTTTTGCCTCTTTCCGTAGTCTTGAGAACGTGGGAATTCGCTCTCGCCGGGATGGTACTAAGGCTCTGAGATCGGCGCTATTCGGCCCACTAACCGCCCCACTGACCGCCCCGCCCCACCAACGCACGGCCTCGGGCAAGTCCCACCACGTTAACTTTGCAATTTCTGCCCCACCCGGCAAGCTCAAAACCGAGTCACGACCTTGACGGTTCGCAGTTGATGCGGCTTTGCAGCCAGCGCAACAGCTCACAGTTCAAGATGGCGACAATGACGGTAACCGCGACGACGACAACGACGACGACTCGCAAGAAGGACGCATCCAACCTTCCGCCCGAGAACGAGCGATTCCTGCGATGCTGCGCCGACATCGCCAGCGCCCTGATCGAAGACCATGAAGCCGCCAAAGACCCGACCCATCCCCAGAAGGACATCAACCTCAACACGCTGCGGTCCAAGCTCGCAAAGAAGCACAGGATCGCCAGCGTGCCGCCCCTGACCGCCATCATCGCCGCTGTGCCTGAGCACTACAAGAAGTACATCCTGCCGAGGCTCATTGCGAAGCCCATCCGGACTTCCTCGGGTATCGCCGTCGTCGCCGTCATGTGCAAGCCTCACCGATGCCCCCATATCGCCTACACCGGCAACATCTGCGTGTACTGCCCTGGAGGACCCGACTCGGACTTTGAATACAGTACCCAGTCTTATACCGGTTACGAACCAACATCGATGCGTGCTATCCGTGCCCGATACGACGCCTTCGAGCAGGCCCGCGGCCGCGTCGATCAGCTCAAGGCTCTTGGACACTCGGTGGACAAGGTGGAATATATTGTGATGGGGGGAACCTTCATGTCGCTCCCCGAGTCGTACAGGGACGAGTTCATCTCTCAGCTGCACAACGCGCTGAGTGGGTACGGGACGCTGGACGTGGACGAGGCCGTCCGCGGTGGCGAACAGAGCAACATCAAGTGCGTGGGCATCACCATAGAGACGCGGCCGGACTACTGCCTTCAACCCCATCTGTCGAGCATGCTGCGGTACGGGTGCACCCGCCTCGAGATCGGCGTCCAGTCGCTGTATGAGGATGTTGCACGCGATACCAACCGCGGGCACACGGTTGCCTCGGTCGCCGAGACGTTCTGCCTCGCAAAGGACGCCGGCTTCAAGGTTGTCAGCCACATGATGCCGGATCTGCCCAACGTCGGCATGGAGCGCGACCTGGACCAGTTCCGCGAGTATTTTGAGAACCCGGCCTTCCGGACCGACGGTCTCAAGATCTACCCCACGCTAGTTATCCGCGGGACTGGTCTCTACGAGCTCTGGCGGACGGGGCGGTACCAGAACTATACGCCCAACGCGCTCGTAGACCTGGTGGCGCGGATCCTGGCGCTTGTGCCGCCGTGGACTCGAATCTACCGCGTGCAGCGCGACATCCCCATGCCGCTGGTGACGTCGGGCGTCGAGAACGGCAACCTCCGCGAGCTCTCGCTAGCGCGCATGAAGGACTTTGGCACGACGTGCCGCGACGTGCGCACGCGCGAGGTCGGCGTCAACGAGGTCAAGCACAAGATCCGGCCGAACCAGATCGAGCTGGTTCGGCGCGACTACGCGGCCAACGGCGGCTGGGAGACGTTCCTGGCGTACGAGGACCCCAAGCAGGACATTCTGGTCGCACTGCTCCGCCTCCGCAAGTGCTCCGAGAAGTACACGTTCCGCGAGGAGCTCAAGGGCCAGCCCACCAGCCTCGTGCGTGAGCTGCACGTCTACGGCATGGCTGTTCCCGTCCACGCCAGAGACCCCCGCAAGTTCCAGCACCAGGGCTTCGGCACCCTCCTCATGGAGGAGGCCGAGCGCATCGCCCGCGACGAGCACGGCAGCGAAAAGATCAGCGTCATCTCGGGCGTCGGAGTCCGCAGCTACTACAGGAAGCTCGGCTACTGGCTCGACGGCCCTTACATGTCCAAGCATTTGGACGGGAGGCCCGGACCCGAAGAGTGACCTATCATGGGGTGGCGGGGTGGGCACTGATGCATGCATGTCGAGGCGTTTTTATGGTTTGCATCCAGGGATTGCTTGGTATCGGGGGAATTCACTGGATCAGAAAATTCGCTTTTTGGAAGGGCGGCGTTGGCGGGGGTTGCATGCTCGTTATATACATGGACACACGCACATGGATCTGTCGTATCTAGAAAGGAAAGAAACACGGATGTCTAAAGAATCACGGATGTCTAAAGAATCACGGATGTCTTGGCAATAAAGACGCAGTGTATGTTTTGTTTCCGCGCCAGCTGTTGGCTGTGTTGACATGTTGTGTGTGCACACATCTCGCGTGGACGTCCTCCATGTCTGCAGGGTCGGGATATCGTGCCCTACGGTTCCAAGACGGGAAAAGGGGCGGGGCGGGGGGGGGGGGGGCAATGTGGTCCGAAGTTGTCCTGCCGCTTTCTCTCCCCCTAACCCCCTAGCCCCCTTTACCCTGTGCGGCCAGAAATTTGTGCGCTTTATATGTCCTGGGCGAAAACTTTGATCTTGTGGTGGTGGTAAAGTTCGTGAGTCTGCAGTTTTCAATCTGTCGGGCCGTTCAATTGTTTGACTTTTTGCTATACCGCGGTAAATGCGTGATATATTCGCTTTAATATGTGCGCGGTGATAGATCTAATGTGGAAGCCACCCCATAAGTAGACGAGCCACGAAGCTAAATATGACTAGACCGAATCGAATTAGAAAATGAGCTAATCTCTTTGTAAACTTCACCCTGTAGTATCTCGTCCTCACTTTACCATTGCTGATACTTGATAACGACATAATTGTTTATATAAATCCATGATCCACATCCGACGCCCATAAACGGCTGCCGAACTACTATGATATTCCAAACACAAAGTAATTACTCAGAAGCCGATGAGAGTGGTAGCGTCTGGAATTTGCCTCATCTTCAGGGCTCAGCGTGGCCTCGAAGCATGGCCGTCATTAAGGAGATATTAGATACCATCGTAAATTCATTATGTCGTAAGGGACCCGTCTAGTCCATTCAGCGCTGTCGTAACTAGGTAGGACTGCCTATCCAAGAACACACATAGTTGAGCCTTATCTTCTCTAGCAGGTTTAACTCAAGAAATTTGGCCATCTCACTTCCGGCCGTCCGATGAGGTAGATACCATTTAGCATTTAGGCAAGAGATCCATGAGTGCGGTAGCAAGTAACATGCATACTTCTTTTGAGGGGAAAATCAAGGATCAGTGCGCCCAGATTTCATCACAACAAACAAAACGGGCTGACTTTGGAGGAAGCCCAAGAAATACGAGAGGGAAAATACAAGAGATGTCAGGGACGGAAACAGCGCGGGCTATTGCACTATTATTAAAAGACAGTTTTCACTTGGATGACGACCCCGTTTCGAACTATCAACTTTTTTTGAGCTATCAACTCTTACCACGAGGGGCGAATAGGAAAATGCCTTCAGCAGGCGCACATTGACGCGGCTCAGGTCCCCGGAACCGAAAGAAGAAGGCAAAGGGGAAAGTAAGAGGGAAGAAGAGAGGGAAGCGGTGAGGGAAGATGGCATGTGAATACTACTCCCAAATCATCGAGTTGACCTTCTCCACCCACACTCCATCCAATGCGTGGGCGGGGCGAGGCGAGGAAAGGATGGATGCGATGAGATGAGATGAGATGAATGCCATGATAAGAGTCGTCCAATTACTCTCGGGCTCTCTCACCTCGGTGGCATCTAGGCCAGAAACTGCATCCCGCCAACTACGATATAAAATCGCTCATGTTATATTTTCATGATTCAAGCTGGGGGGGTCGGTTTAATGGGCCTGGGAGCTAGTTGGTGGGAGGCCTCTGTCTTGACACAAGAACCCACACAAATCGTCGAGATTAATTAGATAAAAGAAACCGGCGATTGGATGGTGGATGGGCCACCATCGAATCCTCGATGCAGTCGGTTGCTTGCTTACTGCTCGCATGTCACGTCTAGGGAAAGCTGCAATGCAGAGCCAGGACGCAGGTTTTTTTCCTTCTGTTGGCCCGGGCTGCCGTTCTGGGAAACCCACCCAAGAGAGCAATACGCTGGGGTGGGAAGCACAAGACCCAAAGAAATACGTGCTAGTAACAATGACCGCAGTTGTCACGGTCCTTACCGTAGTGCATTTCCGAGCAGGTAGCGCCATGGCGGATAGCGCACAGTCGAGGTGGTAGTGCTCGTTGGTGCCGGCAGGGGTTATTGCGAGGCAATCATTCACTCCTTTCTTTTGTAATTAGGTCAAGGGTAGGGGAAGTCTAATTCTCTTTCACCTCATGTACTATTGAGTGAGGTATGCGTGGAGCACCAGCGAGTCTCTCAGTCCTAATGCTAGACACGCAAAGCGCCGGTCAACAGGGGTTGGATGGGAGGCCGCCGTTTGTGGCTTTGCCCCACCCGTGGAGCCGGGACACGCGACAGGGGCCACGGAGCTTGGATTGAATGTGGGGACGAGAAAAATACCGGCTTTTGAAGAGGGGGGTGGATAGGGAGGAGACGAAGGCACATGTCATGGCAGGGAGGCTCGATTCGACTTGCAGCTACGAGCTTCAGATACCCCTCGGAGCTGCGAAAAGAAGAGCTCCATGGGAGAGAAAGTGGGCAAAGCTGTGGTATCCGTACCTAGGTGCAGTAACTACGACTTTGGGCCTAGTGATGTAGGCAAGCGGCTCAGCCGAGCCTAGGGCGAGAATGTGACGAGACCAAGAATGGGATCTAGGGTGCGCGCCATCCAAAACAAAGGAAGAAAGAAAGAGGGTGGACGGCCGGCTTGCGCTAGGAGGGTTACGTACGAGGTTGGGAGAGCGCGTTTGGTGTGGCCGCTCCTGCAGCCTCCAACAGGAAATTTCCGGGGGTCCAAGCTCCCTGCATGCATTCATCGCTGGGGGCGCAGGAGCTAGCCCAAGCCCTAGCCAAACCTTAATATGACCATATTCTTGGTAGCAGCTAGCAGCGAGACCTCGTCTCCCTGTGGCTCCTCCCATAAGCCAATTATGAGAGATTTACCAGTCTCTGTTACTGCTGTACCGACCATTGCCACGTGCGTGGGCTGCATCGGCCAAGCGCCGGGCATTGGGAAGCTCGACGCCTCCCCAGAGGGCCCAGACAACCAACTGAACTGCCACTCCAGCCAGCGGATCAAGCTTCCAACGCCCCTTCCCGACCGAACAAGTTGTCGGTTTGTTCGCCATCTTGGTCTTCTTTCAGTTTGTGATCTACTGTTTTAAGCAGGCCACCTTGGTTTATTCTCGGTTTGATGCGGCATTTTCGCTCTATTGTCTCCCCTTGGAGAAAAAAAAGACTTGGTCGACTGCCGCGCGAGTCGCAAGTCCGGACCAAAGCCGTTTCATTGTTACATTCCACCCGGTTACCAACAAGTCGCAACAAGCTGGAAGTGACGATGGGACATGACATGGAACATGTGATCCCCACAGCCGCACTCTGTTCCATTCCCCTCCAACGACCTAATTACGGGCCACACCCACACCTGGCGGCTGTTGACTTTCGGGGCAAGAATAATATGGATACTGCAACAGTTCGCTAAAACCGGGGCATCCCTCGGGCCTTTTGACCTAATCTAGAACAAGGTAATGTATTGTACGTAGTAGGTTGCCGCAAGTTCCCGTCCCTGGCCGCCTTGGTCGAGCAGAGCATTATCAGGGGATTACTTATCGGCCTCTGCGGGGTTTCTTTGGTTCGAGCGGTCCAGTATCGTCAAGAACCTTTGAGCCCCCCCTCGGTCGCTTCTCTCTGCGGCCTGAGTCCGGATGCTGGACTAGTAGTGCCACCCGACTTGGAGCGACCCTTTGCCGAGTCTAGTCAACAGACCAAGGTAGTCGGTCCTGTATCACACCGCTCCCATCAAGTATAAGAATAGCGGGAGACGGCAGATCCTCCTTCACAACAACAGACACAGCTCTCTCCATTTCTCGCGGTTGTCATCTTGCTTGTCCATTTCCCGTCTCCACCGCCGACCCTCGTCTCGGGCCCATCGCCTCCCCAATTTGCGCGAGCGCCGTCAGGATGGGGGAGCCAGGGGATAAACCCCCAGTACCTCCTTCTCGCTCCCACCGCGGCCCCGACCGGGTTCGCTGGCGGGACGACGAGGTGGACGTAGAAGGCTGTCGCCCAGATGATCCCACCGGCGGCCCGGGCCTGCGTCGCAATCACTCGCAGAGCTCACTCTCGATTCGCAGCGTCCGCTCCAACACCGGACCCGTGAGTCCGTCAACTGCTCTGCCGATTCAGTACCGGACAATGTAAGCCATACTGTGCGAGGGCAGCCACAGTAGATGGATGGCGATTCAAGACAGCCCCGCTAACATCTCTTGTCTCCCAGTTCTATCGACATTGACGACTACAACCGCAAAGGCGAGGTCGCAAAGAAAGCCCAGAAATCCGCCACTACTGGTAATGCATTTTTTCGATTTGCTCCAGTGACTCATCTTCTACACAAGAGACACGCGACTGCAAGAGACACGCGACTGACAGCGACGGCTTGAATCGCAGATCTTGCCGATCTCGAATGGCATACTGTGTCAGTGGACGAGGCGGTCCGGCGCCTGTCCACGTCCGTAGACCAAGGGTTGTCCAGCGAGCAGGTCGAACGAAGGACGGTCAAGTACGGGAAAAACACGCCGTCCTCGCCCGAGAGCCACCGAATCCAGCAGACCGTGGGATACTTTTTCAAGGGGTTCGGATCCGTGCTTCTCGTCGGCTCAATCCTCGTCTTCGTCGCCTGGAAGCCGCTGGGGCAGCCGCCCGCCACGGCCAACCTCGCTCTGGCCATCGTGTTGCTTGCAGTATTCTTCATCCAAGCCGCGTTCAACATGTGGCAAGACTGGTCTTCGTCACGCGTCATGGCGTCAATCAAGACCATGATCCCGAACGAGTGCCTGGTTACTCGGGACAGCGCCCTGGTCTCGGCCATGGCGGCCGACCTTGTCCCCGGCGACGTCATCGTCATAAAGGCCGGCAACAAGTTGCCAGCTGATGTGAGATTCGTTCAGGTGTCATCTGATGCAAAGTTTGATCGCTCCGTTCTTACAGGCAAGGCAGCCCCCGAATCCGTTGCGCTCCTTGCCAACCTCCCGCTAATTAGCCGCACCGTCTCAATAGGTGAATCTGTCCCATTGGTGGCAACCGTCGAGGGCACAGACCAAAACTACCTTGAAACGAAGAACATTGGCCTCCAAGGCACCCACTGCGCCTCGGGCACTTGCACCGGCGTCGTGGTCGCAACGGGAAACCGCACCGTCTTTGGTCGCATCGCCACGCTGACAAACGAGCCCAAGACTGAAATGACACCCTTGGAACGCGAAGTGCTCAACTTTGTCCTCGTCATCTGCTCCATTATGTTCTCCATGATACTCTTGGTCATCATCCTTTGGTGAGGAAGCCTAGCCAGCAGCTGCATGATGCTCGTATTCTGTAACTGATCAGGCACTGACTAATATTGTTTTTTCAAGGGCGGCCTGGTTGAGAAGAAGCTACCCCAACTGGATCAATGTTCCGACTCTGATAGTCTCGCTCGTGTCGGTTGCCGTGGCTTTCATCCCCGAAGGCCTTCCGGTCGCCTTGACTGCCAGTCTCACGATCAGTGCCAATATGATGCGCAAGAACAAGGTCCTCTGCAAATCTCTGAAGACGGTCGAGACTCTGGGTTGTGTGTCTGTCATCTGCTCCGACAAGACTGGGACGCTCACAGAGGTTGGTCTATGCTAGCTGTCCTTTTCACAGCCAGCGTTGAAAGCTAAAATTGACCGCAGAACAAAATGCTTGTCACAGACTGCGCGATTGGAGGCCGGCAGATGAGTGCGGACGAAGCCCGTGACACCCTCGTAGCCGATCGTACGGCTGAGGGAGGCATGGCAAGCAACGCGCTCGACCAGCTCCGGAGTGTCTCTGGGCTGTGCAACGCGGGCGAGTTTGATGCTACCACTAAGCATTTGCCGCTCGCCCACCGCAAGATCCACGGCGATGCCACGGACCAAGCCATCCTTCGCTTTTCGGAGAGCCTCGGCCCAGTCTCGCAGTTGAAGAACTGCTGGGCCACAAAGTTCGACCTGGCGTTCAACAGCAAGAACAAGTTCATGATCAGAGTTCTCGGCTATACCAGCCCCGACGGGCTGAGCCTCGCTGTCCCCAATGCCACTGCGGCCATCTTTGAGCCTGGCGACATGTAAGTCGACCATCTGCAGTTGAGGCTGACCGGGCTCGTTGACTGACTGACTGACTGACTGACACTCGACGGGAATGTAGGCTTCTCACCATCAAGGGGGCCCCAGAGATCTTGCTTGACCGATGCACCAACTACACAGACACTTCGGGCGTGGCGTTGAGCTTGACGGCCGCGGCGCGACAGACCATGGACAAGATCAAGAACGAGTGGTCTGCCCAAGGACGCCGGGTTCTGCTTCTTGCCCACAAGACAATCTCAAAGTCGTCGATTACGTGTTCGCCGTCGTCAGCTGCCTTTGAGGACTGCATGCTGGAGCAAGCAAGGGGTGGGCTGACCCTCGTCGGCATGGTGGCGATTGCCGACCCACCGCGCCAGGAGATTCCGGAGGTCATCAGGACGCTGCGCAGAGCCGGAATCCGCATTTTCATGGTCAGTGGCGGAATGAACGAACGAGTACTGAAAGTCCCTATCCCACTGCTGACTCTTTTGGTCTTTTGTTTTAGGTTACGGGGGATTTCGCCCTCACGGCCCAGGCCATCGCCAGAGACTGCGGCATCATCACCCACCCAAACAGCGCCGTCGACAGCGTGGCGGCGCTATCCAGGGAGCCGATGGCAAAAGAGCGGAAAAAGGGCCACCACACGCCCGAAGAGGAAGAGTCGACCGGGTCAACGTCCATCGTGCTGACCGGGTCCGACCTCATGTCGATGAACGACGCGCAGTGGGACTGGCTGGTGGCGGCGTACACGGAGGTGGTGTTTGCGCGCACGACACCGGAGCAGAAGCTGCGCATCGTGCGCGAGCTGCAGGCGCGCGGCCACGTGGTCGGCATGACGGGCGACGGCGTTAACGACGCGCCGGCGCTGCGGGCCGCCGACATCGGCATCGGGGTGGGCAGCGGCAGCGACATCGCCGTCGAGGCCGCCGACATGGTCCTGCTCGACTCGTTTTCGAGCATGGTCGAGGCCCTGCGCTTCGGCCGCATGATGTTTGACAACCTCAAGAAGACCATCGCCTACCTGCTCCCCGCCGGCAGCTTCAGCGAGTTCTGGCCCGTGCTGACCAACGTCGTGTTCGGCGTGCCCCAGATCCTGAGCAGCTTTCTCATGATCATCATCTGGTCAGTTAGTCAACTGTGATGTGACATCGCCCACGCTACCGCCCCCCCCCCCCCCCCCCCCCCCCCCCCCCCCCTATCGGATTGGGGAGGATGATTATTTACGGACTGACGTGTGTGCACAGTTGCTTTACCGATTGCCTGGCGGCGACGGCGCTGGCGTACGAAACGCCCGAGGCCGACGTGCTCCTGCGGCCGCCGCGCAAGATTGGCGTCGACCGGCTTGTGGACTGGAAGCTTATCGTGCAGAGCTACGGCGTGGTGGGCGTGCTCGAGACGGTGGCGTCATTCGCCATGGCGTACTGGTACCTCGAGCGCAACGGCATCGCCTTCAGCGACATCTGGTTCTCGTTTGGCAACCTGCCCGACACCATCGACCCGGACTATTACGCCCAGAAGCTGAACGAGGCCAGCTCCGTCTACTTTGTGACGCTCGTGGTGATGTATGTTGCGCTTGTCCCCCCGTGCAATAATCTTGGGTGTCGGTCCTCTTGCTGATTGGCGTGAAAACAGGCAATGGTTCAATCTCTTGGCCGTGCGCACCCGCCGCCTGTCCATCTTCCAGCACCCGCCGCTGTTCAAGGAGACGAGAAACTACTACCTGTTCCCGGCCATCCTGTTCGCGCTCGGCATGGCCTTCTTCTGGCTGTACATCCCGGCGCTGCAGACGGTGCTGGGCACAGCGCCCGTGCCGGTCGAGCACTGGTTCCTGCCCATGGCGTTCGGCCTGGGCCTCCTCGTGCTGGACGAGGGCCGCAAGTTCCTTGTCAGAACCCGGCCAAAGGGCTTCTTTGCCCGGGTGGCCTGGTGAGGAAGCTGGCTTGGTGAGGAAGCTGGCTCGGGAAAAGGCGCCTGGCACGGCAAAGAGTCTGGACTAGCGGCGAGGCTGACAGGCTCTGAGACGGGGCCGACGGGGTCGCTACTCAGTATGCTTGCTTGGCTATACGCTGGCTAGGATTTCTTTGTCTTTGCTGCTAGGCATGCCATTTGAGAACTCGAGGGATGGTGTCCAGAATGATAACTATCTAACAATCTAACAACCACCATTCTAGTCTACTTTTCTCATCCGATCTCTATCCATATTGCCAGAATAGTAATAAACCCCCTTTCTAGTTCTATTGCTCGCGGTAGGTACAAGATACAGGAAGCAGTTTAGCCACTCTGATTGCTCGGCGGCGGCTGGTAAAAGCTGAGATACTTCGTATGGCTCCCCGACGCGACGACGGGGCCCTTTGCACCACTGGCCTTTGCACCACTGCCGGCAGGGACGACCTTGCGGATCTCGAACGCCGTGAAGCCGAGGCTCTTGCCGGCGCGCGTGACCCAGGCCTCGATCTCGAGGGTGTCGCCCTCGCGGGCGGGCGACACGAAGGACACGTGCATGTCGGTGCTGACACCGGTGCGGTCGGCGCCCGTGCTCGCGATGGCCATGCCGCCCGCCCAGTCGCACAGCGTGCCGCTGACCGCCCCGTGCAGGATGCGCTTGCTGTTGAGGTGCACGGGCGCCAGGTCTAGCAGGGCCACCACGCGGCCCCGCGCCGCTGACACTAGCCGGATCTCGGAGAGTAGGATCCCGTAGATGGCCGAGTCCGGCCGGATCCGGTCCCACACCCCCTGCACGTGCGCCAGGATTGACGGGTCGGATGGCGAGCCGGCGGGCGCGAGGATGAGAGGGGGGGTCGGTGTGGGCGCGGGCGCGGGTTCTGCCATGTTCCCGACCTCTTTTTTCTCCCTTGTTTTCTTTTGTATTTTTTCACACACTCTCTTTGTTTTATTTTTTATTCTTTCACACTCTTGTGTAGTCGGCCTAGTCGTTGTGTGGTTTTTGATGAGTTTTAGCGACAGGTCAACTGGATGTGGTGGGCTGGAAATGACTCGGTTCGTACTGCACAGTCGGGACTACCCTCGAGATCTAATCTATACGGCGAGCTCCCTGTAGGTCGATGTTGAAAGAAATGGGGCGAGTGGTCCCAAGGCGCCGTCGAGAATGGTTGGCATGTGAACTTGAGTGCGCGCCGAAGCCATCGGAGTCGGAGTGAGATCGGAAGCTTGCGTGAGGGGCGGCGTTTCTTCAGGTGCAGGGTTTAAGAGCCGGCAGCTGGTGTCGGGCCGGCGGCACAGTGAAAGTCGTCGCCCGCTAACATGTGTCTCTTTTACGTACTTCCTTAACGCTTGCGGCAAGACGCAGGCAAATTCGTGAATAGCTCCTGCCCGTTCAGTAGTGTCTGAATCAGCCACAGGCCAATCACCCGATCAGCACCGCGCACCCTGATTGCTGGATTTTTGACCTTGGAAGGCCACGTTGCCATTTTGGCGCTCGCAGTGGAACTCTCGATTGACCAACCCATCACTTACTTGCCAGGGTGGGCAGTTCCACTATTACACGCTCTCGTGCAATTGCATGCAAGGTCGACAATGTTCACTGGCATTGCATATGTCATCTACAACACCCTCACCTGAGGCAGCCGTCATGTTCGCCTCCTCATCTCTCGCGTCAAGTCCACGCTGGCGACACCATGTTGGCCAAAGACGACGCCGACCCCCGTCGTGACGGCGGCGGCGGCGAATCACATTCCCAAGATGAGACTGAGCCTGCGAGACCGAACCCTTCATGGATGGGCCTTGCCCTTCTCCAAGCCATGGCGGCCGTCGACGTGGCAACCAGTACGCCGGCACCCTCCTGTTCAACCTAGGCGCCTTCATGCTGCCCGCTCGTTACGGCACGTTCGTCAAGCTCTGGGTAGCCAGCGTTGACTCTTTATCATCAGCACGGCAGATTTTGCCATCAACATCGTCCTAACATGCTGAAGGGGGATGCGCATAGCTTGCGGGCTGACAGCTGGTACCGGGCCGGCAGCACATGGCGGCTGTCTGGTCAGCAAAAAGGGGTCTCGTCCGAGGAAAACAAAGAAAAATAAAGCCCGCGATCTGTGTTGCTCTGAAACGGGTGAATATTATTTCCGCATAGCTTCTATTTTTCGATGCGAGGTCTTCTTTTACATCCACGTTTCGGCTCATCGTCGGAGTCTGCTCATCGTCGGAGTCTGCTCATCGTCGGAGTCTGCTCATCGTCGGAGCCTGCTCATCGTCGGAGCCTGCTCATCGTCGGAGCCTGCTTGAGAAGCTGGTTCGTCTTGGTAGCTGCCAGCTGGCCTGGTCGCGGCGAGTTAAGCCAAACTGAATGGGCAGTCACTCATCTGCCTAGCAGGCGTTTTTCAAGGTTCAGCCCTTCGGCCGCGAGCCTGTGAACGGCGCTGCGTGGCGACCCAAGCCTCAAGGCCGCGGCATCTGGAGATCCTGTCGACCTGGCTCCTGACCCTCCCCCTGTGCATCTGGAGCGCCCCCCATCTCAACATTCCTGAGCACGGTAAAGGCGGGAAGCAGCTGTGGAGGAAGACACGCTGGCTTATTGTCGGCCTTGTGGCGCTCGAAATTGTATGCCATCGTCATCGCTACAGCCCCGACACAAATCAATCATCTGAGGGGTGGTGACTGACCCAAGACCAGGCAGATCGCCTTCATAGCCTTGTTGCAGAGGTCCGAACAAAAGAAACCCTGCGCAAGCATGGTGAACGGATCGGACGCAGAGACAGAGCTATGGTCACCTGTGGCAAAGCCTAGCATGTGGAGACTTTTGGTCCTGCTGAGCATCAACCCACCAGGTGTTGAGGATGACCCGTCAGACAGGTCACGGTCGATCGAACTCGAAAGGGCCAGCTCCCACAAATTCGCCCCTCGAGGGGGGCGGGCTGCTGGAGACGGGTCACAGTCGGTCGAACCGGAAAGGGCCAACTCCGCCGGCTCCGCTCCTCGAGGGCCCTGCCCCGACTGGATAGTACGGTTCACGACTACAACAAATGGAGCCCGACAGAGTCCTTGTATCAAATCGATTATCTCGCCGAGACGTTACCCACCTAAACATGGATAACACTCGGAGCACCTCTCTGCAGAACAATCCACCCCACCCCCTCAAAAGATGGCAACGGCGTTCGGCGGCGACGCAACCAGGCCCGGGTGGTTTAGGGGCGCCGAGGTTAGCAGGAAGCTGTAGCGGCCCGTCTTGCGGCAGTACTCGCCCAGCGCCTTGAGGTCCCAGAGCTCGCCAATCGGCGTGCCGAACATGTTGAGCAGGTACGGGTGTAGGACTAGCGGGTTTCCGGCCGGCGCGTCGCCCAGCGACCCGTCGGCATTGACGGAGGGCAGGGCCTCGAACCCGTGCGCGTCGCCCGCGACGGCTGCGAACCGGCGGTTCCAGATCCATCGCGCCGTAGCCTCGACGCCGTGCAGCCCCGACAGCGTCGCCGCCGCGAACTTTGCAAAGTCCTGCGCCGTCGGCGCCTCGAGCACCTCCGTGTACCCGGTGCGGATAATGAGGATGTCGCCCGGCTTGAACTCGACGCCCTGGTGGCGGGCTACCTTCTCCACGTCATCGACGGTGATGCGGTAGCCGTCCAGCGGGTGGAATGGGGACGCGCTGTCGTCGGGCGGCGGGGTCTCGTCGGCGTAGCGCTTGAAGTCGACGAGCACGCCGCGACCGACGACGCAGCCGCGCGCGTGCCAGTGGTCGATGGTCGGGAGCGCGTTGTCGGCGGTCAACCGGGCACTGGCCAGGCCTTCCTTGGTCGGCCGGGCCCCGTTATAGGTGAGGCGCTCGTCGCCGTGCACGACGTGGCACAGCCCGTCCCACTGGCTGCTGAACTGGGTGTTGAAGTCGATCGAGTCGTCGAAGCCCTCAATCTCCATCCCCCGCTCGCGCAGCGTCGTGACGGTGTGCGTGGGCGACTTGCGGAAAGGGAACGGGAACTTGATGGCGTCCAGGGGCCAGCTGTGCGACCGAGGCTGCATGGTCAGCTGTGGTTGGGGGAGCACAGGACAGGACAGAGCAGCAGCAAGACAGCACGGCGCACTTGAGCGAGATGGACACGCCATCCTTGACCTCGGCCGCGGCAGCTGCAACGATGGCCGGCGTCAGGAAGTTGAGGGTGCCGAACACGTCCTTCTTCCCGCCATTTTTGGCATCGAAGACGCCCCAGGCACACCCTTGCGGCTGCCCAGCCACCTTGGGGAGGTCGTCAAAGTCGGGCACCGAGCCTGGGTCCATGGCGACTGATATAACGGCCAGTTAGCAACGACTGCTGCTGCGTGGCTGCGGCGATTTTTGGGAAAGTTATTGCGGGGTCACTTTGTCACAGCTGCGAGGACACTTTGTCACAGCTGCGAGGACACTTTGTACGAGACCACCCGCATGCAAGGACACTTTGTCAGAGATGTGAAGACACTTTGTATGAAACTGCCAAAAATGCGAGGGCACTTTGTATTTATGTATGTTCGAGCAAGGACACTTTGTATATTACTGCCCACCTTAGGCAAAGACTAGCAGGGAACAAGCCCGGCTCGGCGTCCGCGGGTCCGTCCGCGGCATTAAAAGCCCACGCTAGGCATTATCCAGATCTTCATCCGCGATACGATACGACCTACCTACCGTATAATATTCGCCCCTAGTTGGCTGCTGCATGAGATGTGGGGCATCGCGGATTCGTGGTGGAGTGAGACATCAAGCAACGGAAAATCACGAACGGTAAAGGGCGAAAAATTCAAGAGGCAGCAATTACAATTACTGATTATTGCTTGTTGGTTAATGCGGCTCTGAAGCTCGTAGCAGAAGGGTTAATGTTGGATTAATGTGCACAGGGGCTTATGATTTGGGAACACAAGTCGTTATGTCTTCCTATAATTGCACCGGGGGCGACAGCCACGAAAATCAAGATCGATCGACAAAACGGTCAGCGTTGGACAAAGGCGAGTCACTGGGGACTCCTAGGCAAGCAAGCCTGCGGCGTCAGGGAATGGTAATTGTGGGAGTAAGTATGCTATAATTAGATTCACGGTCCAGCTCTCACGGTCAAAGTCCGAGTCTGTCTCTGGAAATACTGGCTCCTTACCCAGGTTCAGAAACCTGGACCTGTTACAACGGACAAACTCCATCGCAACAGGCAAGGCAGGAAACCCAGCTGCACAGAAATACGGAGAAAGTTCACTGCCTAGTCTTGGAATACGAAATTGCGCCAACTAACTCAAGTGTAGCAATATTATGGTACATTACATGCTAGAATATGCTATTCGATCTTGGCTGCACGGCGGAGGAAAAGAAATCCTACCCTAACAAGACGTGCATGCCTAAGATTTTGCCTGGATTCTCCGGCACCATCTGTTTTGCCTGGATTCTCTGGCACCATCTGTTTTGCCTGGATTCTCTGGCACCATCTGGTTTGCCTGGATTCTCTGGCACCATCTGTTTTGCCTGGATTCTCTGGCACCATCTGTTTTGCCTGGATTCTCTGGCACCATCTGTTTTGCCTGGATTCTCCGGCACCATCTGTCCACGCATCCACGGATGCACGTACGCCTCGCCCACGAGCCCAAAGACCCCCCGACCAGCCTTGTCCAGCCCGACTAGGCGTATAACCTGGAGCACTTCCGAGCCGAGGCTCCGACGGTGTTGTAGCTCGGCGTTGGTGAGGTTCCAGAACACGTCAAGCTCGGTGGTTTCCGGCGCGTACGAGATGCGCGCCAGGGCCCCGACGGCGTGCTCGACAGTGCGGGCAAGGCCGACGAGCGCGCAGACCTTATCGCGCGGGTCGCTAGCCTTGAAGGCGCGGAACCTTTTGACAATGTCATACATGGTCTACCCCGACTGATCAGACATTACGGGCGGGGGGCGGACTGCTGCCGCCGCTTCTCCTGTCATTGTTCCTATCCCTGATTCTAGTTGTGCTGTTTCCGGTCTCTCGACTGTGCTGAGAGCTGTGTTGGCGGTTATGGTAATGGGAATTTCCGGGCTGCTCTGCTGCCCATCCAGAGAGTAGTGCAGTGCGCCGTCAAGGCAGGCCAATTTGTGATTGTGAAGCTCCTGCTCGACAACGGCGCGGATACCGACGAGGAAGACTCTGCGCAGGGCCTACCGCTTGCTCTCGCGGTTCCGGGAGCCCAGAAGGCCCTTGCGAGCCTGCTCATCGAAGCCGGTGCCGACCTCAACAAGGCCACCGGGCAAGACAAGAACACGATGCTCTCTCCCGCCATTTCCAACAAGAACGAGTCCATGGTGCGATTTCTCATCTAGTGCGGCGCTAAAGTCACCCCTGATTGGCCCAGCCCTGGTTCCTCGACACTGCTAGCCTTGGCTGTAGCTCAGGGGAACGAGGCTATTGTCCACCTGCTCCTGGAGGCCGGTGTAGAAGGCCAGATCCACACGCCTGCTAGGCCCTCGTCGAACGAGTCCCTCCCTCTCGCAGCTGCCATCGAGGCTCGGAACGTGGGAATATCTCGTGCCCTGCTGCAGTTCGGCGCCGATACTGGGATGCGGTGCGGCCAGACCGAGGAGCCGGACTAGGAGGGTGATTTGAGACAGGCTAGATAAAGGGGTTGACCAGGAGTGGTAGTCGTCTTCCGTGTCGTGCTGTGGCGGCTGATGAGTTCGGAGGTTTGAGCAGTGGGTGACACCGTCGGCAAACAGCTCTTGCGGGGGAATATGATCCGCCGCGGAAATTGGCAGCCTGAGCGAGGTGCCGACCACCTGTCCTGATGACGTTTTCTGACCAGACTCGATGAGAATCACGGTATCTGATACTGATCACGGTGTGTGATACTGAAGGGGTATCTGGGGAGGGAGGGGCTACATCGATCTTCGAATGGTCTCGGATGGGTGGATATCTTCCTCGAGTCTTATCGTGCCAAGGGGTGAATTCGTGGCCGAAATCTGGCAGAACCGTGGGTAAAAAGACTGTCACCGAGTTGAGAGACGCCCGGCCGCCAAGTGGCGATTTGTGCGTGGTGCGCTTCAACTTGCTCTGGAGAATCAGGGGGCCTGAAAACCGCCCTCGGTGCAGAGTACATGTGGCCCGTTGCTATTCATGCATGTTTTGCCACATAGAGCCAAGCAGCGTAATCTGTTTGGGCGGGAGAACTCGAATACCACGTTGAAATGGCTCGCTTGTGATAAACGCTGCAGTCCGAACTGGCCGGGAACACGAATACGACCCGCTTGTCCATCAAACTTGCATTTTCGCGTTGCATTCTCGCTTTCGGGAAACCGAGTAACACTGGCCAGCCACCCCCTCCTCGCACGATCCGGTGGGCCTAAACCTAGAAGGATCTCCAATCTGGCGGCTTTGCTTGCTTCGCAAACGCATTCAAGCCTCCTACTTGAGTCATTTCTCGAAATTCCTAGCAGTATTGCCACTCCAGCACGTGGCATTATGGCCTCAGACGAGAGCAAGGAGAGCAAGACGACCGGAGGAGAGAGCCAGGACGACGGAACCAACCTCAGGCTGCAGCGGAAGTATGCCGAAGAAGCCGCAAAGCGTTTTCGGTCGGATGGCGTTGCACAGTTTGTCGACCTCAAGGATGCCTCTTCCGACCGAGTTCGGGCATTGAAGGACGACTCGTGGGCCGACCATAGTGCTCTGAACGCAAAGCTAGCGGTCAAGGGCGGGGCAAGATACAAGTTCATCATCCTTGGCGCCGGGTACGGCGGCCTCATCTATGCGGCAAATCTCGTCAAATCCGGCGTCGCGAGCGGGGGAGGCGGCGTCCTGTTTCTCGACGCCGCGGGCGGATTTGGTGGAACTTGGTATTGGAACCGGTACCCCGGCTTGCACTGCGACATCGAGAGCTACAGCTACATGCCGCTGCTCGAAGAGACGGGGTACATACCCAAGAACAAGTATGCGGATGGCCCGGAACTTCTCGATCACGCAAATCGGATCGCGAAGCATTTTGGTCTCGACGACAAGGCGCTTTTCCGCACGACTGTCCAGAGTGCTCGTTGGAATGACGAGTCAAAGGTGTGGCATATCAGCATTACCGAAGACCGGGGGCCCGAAGAAGAGAGCCGGCGCCTGGAGCTCGAAGCGCAGTACTTTTTCATCGCCTCAGGGGTCCTGACCGTGCCACACGCACCCAAGATCCCCTCCCTTGAGACCTTCTCTGGGCCCATGTTCCACACCTCGCGCTGGGATTATTCCGTCAGCGGAGGCAAGCCGGACGATTGGAATCTGACCGGCTTGCAAGGCAAGCGGGTGGGAATCATCGGCACCGGCGCAACGGCCATCCAGGTAGTGCCCCACCTGGCCAAATCGGCAAAGGAGGTATACGTGTTCCAACGGACGCCGTCTTCCGTCTCGTGGCGTGGGCAGCGGCCGACTGATCCCGAGGAGTGGTAAGTTGACGGACGTTTGACCCTACAACTTCGTTGACAAGGACGGCAACTCACCAAAGCAATCTAGGAAAACAAAGATCGCGGCCACGAAGGGCTGGCAAACCGCGAGGATGAAAAACATGGACAGGTTCCTCACCGACGCTGCCCGAGAAGGGGAGGAGAACCTGGTGGCAGACAGCTGGAGCCACGTGACAGCCTACTCAGCCCTTGTCGGGTCCCCGAGATGGGGAATCGTCGAACCGACGCCCGAGAAGATTGGCGAGCACGTTGCGAGGCTGTACAGGCTTGACCAGCCGTACACGGAGCAGGTGCGAGCGCGGACGGCAGCGATTGTCAAGGACCCGGACACGGCAGCCAGGCTCACAGCATGGTATCCGAGCTGGTGCAAGAGGGTGACATTTAGTGACGAGTATCTACAGGCTTTCAACCTGCCCCACGTCCATCTCGTTGACACAGATGGCAAAGGGGTCGACTCGGCGACCAAGGACGGGCTGGTCGTCGCCGGCAAAGAGTACCCGCTCGACATTATTGTGCTGGGCACAGGCTTCCGCACGCCGGGCCACGGCGGCGGCAACCCGGCGGAGCGGGCGGACATCCGCGTCTTTGGGCGCGAGGGCAAGTCGCTGCACAACAAGTGGGACGAGCAGGGCGCATCGACACTCCACGGACTGTATACCGGCGGCTTCCCCAACCTGTTCTTCTCGGCCGTGGCGCAGACGGGCCAGGCCGCCAATTTCGTCTTCACGGTGACGGTCTGGGCCGAGCACATGGCGCAGGTCATCGCCGATGCCGAGCGAGCAGCTGGTCCGCGTGCCGTCGTCGAGGTTAAGAAGGAGGCCGAGGAGGCGTGGGCTGTCGAAATCGTGAAGCGCGCTGCGTGGTACACGAGCATCTCGGGCTGCACGCCGGGCTACATCACGTCTGAGGGGCAGGCGTCGCAGACGCCCGAAGACGCGGCCGAGATGGTGAAGAAGGCGAGAAGTTCGGGCTGGAGCGAGGGTATGGAGTCGTTCATCCGGCTGCTGGAGAAGTACCGAGCTGAAGGGTCGCTCAGGGCTTTTGAAGTTGGGTCGGCGGCGGCATCGGCGGCGGCGGCGGCGGCGTCGTCGTAGGTTGGAACGCGCTAACTGAAGAAGTTGGCTGCTGGCCATGGCCCATATGCGTCTCAAAATACCGGGCTGACTGTTGTTTACTTTAGCCCCGCGACGGCAAAAAGGGCTGCGCGACAGAACCGTTGGAAGCCAACGGCCAACGTGTGATTGAATGTGGCCCTCAAAAGAAAGCCGATCCGGGCTTTAATATGACATAGAGACGTTATAGAGTTCTGCGGGCCGTTGGATTGTTCTCTGGTCCTTCACATGTCCGCCTTATGCAGCGCCGCCAGGGGCTGCACAGGGTTCAATATAGCCTCTTTTATTGACCTTTAATCTGCTACCCCGGTCTTGGCACGGGTGCTTAATTAGCCAGCCGCGCACTCGGCTGGGACGAGAGGGGGGCAGCCCGGCACATGATGGCGGCGGGCCAGATCCGAGAGTCTCGTCATGACTAGATAATCTCTTGAAAAAAAAGATAACCCCCTTCACCCGCGCCCCCTTCACCCGCGCCCCCTTCACCCGCGCCCCCTCGCGCGGTGAGAACTCTCCAGCACCTTTTCCGGTGGTCAAACGTCCAGCCACCCCAGACACGCAACCGCCCACCCCCCAGACACGCAACCGCCCAGCATGGCCAGCCACCTCGAGTCGGTGGCGCGCACGCACCTGTGGACGGAGCGGCGCATCGTGTCCATCTGCCTGGTCATCGCGCTGGGGCAGTTCCAGTACGGGTACGACGGGGCAGCGATTGCGGGGTTCCAGAGCATGCCGGGGTTCCTGGCCGTGTTCGGGTACGCAGACCCGAAAAACCCGATCGGGTACAACATCAGCACCGACGTGCAGCGGCTGATCCAGTCGCTGATGAACGTGGGCGGCTTCGTGGCGTCGGTGGCCATCTACAGCTTCGGGTCGCGCCTGTCGCGCCGTGTCGGCCTGTGGCTGGGCTGCTTCTTCGGCGCCCTCTCCGTGTCCGTCATGATCGGCGTCACCACGCTCGGCGGCCTGTACGCGGGGCGCCTGCTGCTGGGCATGTCCAACGGCTTCTTCGTGCCCTACAGCATCATGTACATGTCTGAGTCGGCACCCGCCCTGCTGCGCGGGTCCGTCGTCGGCATGATCACCTTCCAGACCTCGCTGGGCGCCCTGTTCGGCATCCTCGTCGACAACTACACCGTCGGCCGCGGCGGCAACGCCTCGTGGCAGATTCCGCTGGGCGTCATGTACGCCGTGCCCGTGGTGCTCGGCACCTTCCTCTTCTTCGTCCCCGACACCCCGCGCTACTACGTCACGCGCGGCGAGGATGAGAAGGCGCTGTGGGCCATCCGCCGCCTGCGCGGCATCGAGGACGACGCGCTGCTGCGCGCCGAGGTCGACGACATTCGCGCCACGTACCTGCTCGAGAAGGAGCTGCACGCCGGCGTGCACCTGCGCGACATGTTCCGCGGCACCGACCTGCGCCGCACCATGCTCTCGTACGGTGCCACGCTCGGCGGCACCGCCACCGGCGTCAGCTTCATGGCTGGCTTTTCCGTGTACCTGTTCGTGCAGGCCCGCGTCGGCTCCGCCTTTGTGTGGGTCATGATTTCGCTGGCCATTGCTCTGTCGGGCAACATGTTAGCGTTCCCGGCCATGCGCTGGTTCGGCCGCCGCGAGCTGCTCGTCGCTTCGTCCGTTGTGTCGTCGGCCATGTGGTTCGGGATGGCGATCGGATACAGCGTGGCGCCGGGGTCGCCGGCCGCGGCCAAGGCGCTGGTGGCGCTGAGCATCGTATTCACATGGGTGTACGGCGTCGGGCAGGGCCCTGTCATGTGGGCGCTCTCGGTCGAGATCCCGTCGCAGCGGCTGCGGTCGCAGACGGTCGGCACGGCCACAGGCATCAACTTTATTGTCGGCTGGATGGTCGCCTTCTTCTCGCCCTACTTCATCAACCCGGACAAGCTCAACTGGGGGCCTAGGTACGGGTACATCTGGGGCGCCAGCAACCTGGTGCTGGCCCTCTGGGCGTTTCTGTGCGTGCCTGAGACCAAGGGCCGCAGTCTGGAGCAGCTCGACGAGCTGTTCGAGAAACAGGTCAGCGCGAGGCAGTTTTCGTCTTTTGCCGTGGAGCGGAGGCTCGTCGAAGAGCTGAACGTCGGGGGGGCATTTCGGGAAGGGGAGGACGTGAAGAGTGCTGCTGTGCAGGTGGATGATCCTGAAAAACAGGGACATGGAGAGGCTAGCTAGACGCTGTTTGACGCACCATGTTCCTATTAAAAAGCGAAACATCAGCCTAGCCAGGCTAAATCAGAGGGGCCTGTCGCCTAGTCTAGTCTATAGAAGGAAACTGGCCCACAACCGCACCCATGATAACCAACAAGAGTGCGGTGTACTTATGGGTAAACTTATAAAGAGCCACAGAGGCTGTCGAAGAAACTAGCGAGGAAGGAACTGTGTCCGGGCGACAATGGTCAGCGGCTTTAATCCAAAAGCGACAAGGGAAGATTCATGCTGACCTTGTTTCGAACCAGTTTTTCCAACAACTCGTGCCCGGCAATTGTAAACAAGAAACATGGGAAGAACATGCCCAGGGTAATGACAACAGCCCCTGCAAACGCGTTGCCGAGCGAGCCGTCCAGGTATGCGCCCTAGAAACCGACAAATGTCGCGAAGATGACAAGCGGTGCCGGGAGGATGTTCCCAATGGCGATTCCATAGATGAAGACGCCATGCGGGAGCCATGCCCCCAGTAGGACGGCCTCGGTCTGCACGAACGGGATAGCCGTGTAGGCGCCGCCGACGGAAAGCGTGCCGGCAACCGATCCCAACACGAAGAGGTTGACCAGGGAGGGCGTTTTGGCCATGCCAAGGGCCAGTGCCACAGGCGAGGGCACGCCGCGGAAGACGACATGGAATGCGTATCCGACGTATTGCAGCACGAAGAGCGCAGCCGCGGGGATCCAAAGACGCCGGGCAACAAAGGTGTATATCACGCCGTAGAGGCCGAGAGAGATGGAGGCCGAGAGAGATGAAGCTACAAAGACTATCTCATTAACTTGATTTCATCCGCTCTGGAGCCGGTCCCCGCCTAGGAAAATGAGGAGATTGACATGTTTACGCGAAGTGCCGTGTTGATGGCCGTACAAATGGCCGCAATTGCCAGAAACGGGTCCGTTTTTTTCGTGTCATGCTTCTTCACCGAGTGCTCGGCTATCTTGCGAGTTGCTCGCCGAATCTGGGGCGCGGTTTTCGTGGAGAAGAATGAAGATGTCCGTTTCGATAGATGGTGGAGCTCCTAATTACCATTGCCGTCACGATGGGCTGCAAAGCGCGAAACGAAGCATTGGAGTACTTGTTCTCGAACCCAGCAAGCGAATACAGACAGCTGGCAAGGAGATCATGACGAACCCCGGCAGAGCGAATGCTACGCCAGCAACAATCCCGCCTGTCCTGCCGGCGGACAGGCAGCCGAAGAACATGCACAACCCGGCAGCTTCAAGCCCAGGGAGGATCTGATAGACTGAAAAGGCGGGCTGGGAGCGTGCGAGGGTAATCCACTTGTCCTGGACCACGAGCTTGTCCTTGATCAGGGCAATCTATGCAACAGGACCACCGCAGGCGAAGAGGCCAAAGCTGTAAAAGAAGAACTAGAAGAGCCGCAGGCAGGACGTCTTGGGGACGTTGGAATTGTCGCTCAATCCCAAGTCATCATCTGGAGAAGGCGAGTCGGAGATCGGCATCCCGGAATCGGGTTTGGCGAGGTCGGCATTCTGTGACTCGACATCTGCTTTCTTCTCGTGCACCGCCACCAGAGTTGGTTCTGAGGGTGTCGGTCCGGTCGCCATGACGGGGGATGCTAGCAGGGAAGTTTGACGGTTGTTGTGATAATCAATAGAGAACTCATAACTAATATGACAGGAGCTCAAACTCCCGTCTCTTTATGTTGGATGGCAGTCGACAAATCCCCAGCAAGGGTGAAGACCGATGGACGGACAGAAGGGTCATGATTGGCCAATTTACAGAAGGGGACTGATGGACAACAGGAGGACAATGATTGGCTAATTTAAATAATGGGCGCCAACTCTGCAATGTCTGGCCAATCGCCATCTGGCCTGTCTCCACAGTGGCTTTTGGCTCGGGGCTCAGGTCGGGGTTGGGAAAGGGGGAAAGGAAGAATTCATCTTCGCTTGGGTACGTACAGTAGTAAAGCCATCTGTTGGAATGACAAGGTCATTCGTTCCATAGTCACTGCAGTAACCGATGCGAATGGGGTGGTTGTGGTGGTTGTATTCTGGTCTTCTCTATCTCTAAAAGGTCACGAACTACGGGGACAGGATGCACGTTGGAATTGGCGATGCCGGAGGTCACGTGAGGGGTGCGCCTCGCGCACGTGCCGCATAGCGGCCTGCGCGCTGGTCAGCCACTTAGGCTGTGCAGCCTGTTAACCAATCACGTGCGACTGCATCCTCTGATTGACTGGTAGTTCCCACACCATCCGTAACTATGTGTTAATTGTTGAGATATGTCCTTCACTACCCACATTACCTCTTCAAAAAAAAAAAAAAAAAAAAAAAAAAGACGCAGCTTTACGTCCACCGTCAGCTAATTATATCTCGCTGGACAGTGACAGTCTCAGAGGTTGGTTGATCGATGGATCGAACTGTGAAAGAGGACGGTGTCACGGTGAACTTTGGCTAGAGTAAAGTGGCATCCTGTCCGCGAGCCGCATGAACAGAGAGGCAGATACACGCCAAAAACAATCATGACGATAGGCCACGGAAACTGTAAAATAGGTTACCTGACGGGTCGGGAAGGGGTCAGCTGAATGGAGCCTCTTTTTTTCTTGTTTTCTGCCTCCGGCGAGCTGTCCTCGCTTCGCTTGAGGGAATGGGTAGCTGAGGTATTTTAGCAGCCCGTATAAAGTGCTAGTTATGTTTGACCAAGTTATAATCACAGCATCTCTTGTATTCGGGAGGGATCTGGTTCGGGGTCTCCTTGATCGGGCGGTGGGGGCTGCGGTTGAAGGACCCCGACTGTAGCCATCGCGGCGCCTCGAAAAACACGCGTTCCTAGTGATATATTGGAGGGATTAATAGCGTCATACTGGTAAAGTATTTGGCGTGCCTATCCATAGCTGGGAAGCGATAAATCGTACGTGCGATTGACTGAGGTTGAATTGCGAGATTGAGGAAGAAAGCAGTTTATTTTGGGGGGAGGGGGGGGGGGGGGGGGGGGCTGGCTAGAAAGGAAAAAAATTCTCGTGTTAATTCCATATTTCGATGTTCATGGTCTAATTGTGAGATTTCTAGGGGGCTTGCCCCCTAGGTCCCCCAGTGCCTGCGGCGCTTCTGCCCTGCGGCGCGCTCCTGCAGCTTACAAAGCTGCAATTGGAATGAGCTTTGATCTACGCACCCTACTAAAAAATCACCGCACCCTAGGGGGGGTAGTTGGCAGCTGCTGGCAACTGAGATACTCAGAGCCTAATTTAGGCCGGTAAAATCCTGAAATACGATCCAACCGCCCATGCGCCTGCCATGCAGCCCGGCGGCCCGGGTCAACGGCGTTGAAGCCGTCAAAACCTTCAAAAGCCCCCAAAACGCGTTTGCAGTGGTGTTTTCCATTTTGACGATTTCTTCGTTACTGAGTCAGCCCCGGAATTAAGGCAACTTGCAAATGGCAACTCTGAGGCCCGGATTTGTACGTAAAATAGCCAAAAATCATGGTAGTCACCCAACTATCTGGATATCTGTTGACATAGTGGATTTGTTGATATGGTGATGCGATTCCTTGGTGTTGAGTCTATCAATCTAGCAACCTAGTAAACATAGTCCGGGTCATCGTCGTCATCGCCCTCTTCTTCGTCCCTTTTCTTACGAGGAAAAGGGTCATCTTCATCCCCGGAATCGAAGTCCTCATTCTCTTCTTTAGTATGAGCTGCATTCTCCCAAGCTTGACGGCGTTGAACCCTGCGGGCCTGCCACTCCGCTACATCCATAATGTGAGGATCAGGGCCTGGGGTCTTAGCCTGGCTCGCCCGGGTGATATGCCGGGTCACCCGTGCAGGCCGGCTCACAGTCTTCGTAGTCTTCGCAGTCTTCGTTGTCTTTCTTTTCTTTCCTTTACCTCTCTGTTGTGTTGTTGCCTTCCTCTTTCGACCTCTCTTTGGACTTGGCACTGCAGTGACGACGATGCAGTCCGAGTCAACCTCCAGCTCTTCTTCATCTTGTTCATCTTGTTCATCTTGTTCATCTTGTTCATCTTGTTCATCTTGTTCATCCTGCTCTTCAAGACTCGGCCCGGCGAGTTCAAACTGCGAATAGTAACGCCGCGCGTCCCGAGAAATCGTGCCGCTCCGGGCTGTAGTCTTTGTCTTCGGCGCCGGCGGCTCAACAGGTGGTAGGATGTCTTCATTCCCGAACGGACCGCCCTGGTTGGTCGGGCGGCCTTTGGCGACCGCCTTGTCAGGTTGTTGAAGTCGTAGATACCGATTTTCCGCATCCTGCAGGCATATTAGTATAGAAAGAAGAGTTAACTAGGTTTTGGTGACCTACTCGGTGTTTCTTGAGATGCCAGGTGCGGTCGCAGTCAATAGGATTAACCAACACGCCGTCTTCGTGATCTTCTTCAAACCTTTCTAGCAACATGTGCGCGCAAGGTAGGCCATACTGACTACTGAACTGCTCAGTACAGGGAGGAAGTGGTCGGCCGGGGGTCTTCGCAGTCGGGAAAGTAATCCTTCGGTGTTGTTCGACAAGGAGATCAGTCGCCCAGCGAGTTATCTGCATACGGCAGTTACCAAGCCACTTCTTCTTGAGGTATTCCTTTCGTACCGTACTTGAGGACTTCGCCGTCGACTCTGTTCGGGTGCGAGGACATCGTAGTAGGAAGTAGGAGATCCCGAGGACTGGGGAGTCGGCGAGGAAGGCGGATAAGGGGTCTCCAAGTCACAGATCGAGGGCACGGGACTGCGGGTAACTAGTCGAGAAGACAGGAGCGGTGACGGCGACAGCGGGGGTACGGGCGACGGCCTGAATGACGGCGAGGGCGGCGGCCAGGCCGGCGACAGGGAGCGTGCCGGCGAGGGCGACGGCCATGCCGGCGAGAGGGAGCGAGCCGGCGAGGGCGACGGCGAGGAAGCCGATGAGCTTGAGTCCGAGGAAATCTCGATGTATGTTGTTGACATTGTTAAGACTGTCTGTCAGGTCGGCGTTGTTCGATTTGACAATGTGTAGCGTGCAGGTTTGCAGTAAAAATGCTCACAAAGGACTGGAAAGGCCAGTTGGCCTTTCCAAGACTTAAAACACCAGCCGCGCGGCACAACGGTATGCATGTGATGTGTGAATAGTGGCATTTTAACTTTACCGGGCTTCAGTAAGCTTCCTTAGTGCCCGGTAGGCCGTTGGATGGCTGCCAGGAAATACGGCATTTTACCATACAAAAAGCGGTCCCTGCATTGGCAGTTGCCAGGGACCCCACCTAGGGTGCGGTGATTTTTTGGTAGGGTGCGTAGATCAAAGCTCATTGGAATCCCCCCCCAAGGCGATCCTTCCTATAACGGCCTCACGACAGCAAAGCGGCATTTAACGGCTTAACACGTCCGAGGATTATCCGATCGACTAGTCCCCTGAGTCCCATTTCGACACGGACGAAAACTAGCCAATCCCCGGGCGAAAAACTTTCAGCACCTTCACGGTAAAGTAGAAAAGGCAGCCTCTCTACGCCACCTCCGGCTCGCAAGCTCGCCTACGGTAGCTCCATTCAGCTGAACTACATGGAGAATAATATAATAGAGGCGTAAGAGAACGTTCGGATGTGGCCTCACAGCTAAACCCTAACCCCATGCCCCTTCTAAGCGAAAAAAGCCGGGCGGGCACACTGATTTGAGGCTTTAAGCACCTAAGACAAGCTATCAGCTGAACTCTTTGCTTCATGATCTCATCTGAACCCGTCCACCTTGACTCGAGCTTCAATCAATCAAGCTTAAGCAAACCACATGAAATAGTAGGTGTCCTAGATCTAGTTTCGTATGGACTACGATCTTCTAGTCCGGCACCGAGAACATGGCTCTTGAGCTGAGCTCAAGCGCCCGAAGTCATCTGACTCATTTCTGATACCTCTGACATGCAGCAGAACCAAACCCCATCCCCGTCTCTGTCGTCGGATGGCGCCGCCAAAATGGCGCGACTGAGCGAGAACAAGCGCCGCTACCGGGCGCGCCGGAAGGAATACGTGTCAGATATCGAACGAAAGCCTACTGCTGCCCGTCAACAAGAGACAGTGCGGAAGGCGAGGCAATGGGCAACAGCACTTGCAGCTAGCCGCAACTTGGGGCTGACATTGGAGCCGTGGAGAAGCTAGGAGCGTCCTCCTTCAACTTCAGTGACAGCATGACGAGTGAGAATCAACAGTCCACCCATCCGTCTGAGAGCATTTCCACATGTCTCACGGCGCCGAGACGCCGCTCGGGGGCCACTTACACTCGGAATCTTTCACCCCGCCCCCATCCCCAACCCCAACCATTCCGAACACAAAAATATGGTCATGGCGATATATCCGGCGAGGCCGACTAGCAACGACACACCAGCTATAAGGCCAAACAGTCCAAGTCTTCCAACGCATAACGAGACCTGCACCCGCCTCAAAGTCAAACAAACGCCCCCATGCAAACTCCCGACACGCCTCGAGGAAAGCTCTGGCGCAGATATCACCCAAGTTGCGGTCACTTCCTGTTCGGATGACCCCGCTCAGACCTCGTGTCGTGAAGTCGGCGTTGAGTGTGGGAAGGCATATGAAATGCTCATGCCGTACGCAACATCTGAAGAAAAGATGGACTGTGTTGCTCGGGCTTTGGAAAGCGGCTGCACTACGAATGGGAAGGGCGGATGTGCCGTCAAGTCTAAAGTCGTCTGGCAAACCCTCGGGAACATGTGCGGATGATTGAATTTCTCAGTGACAATAAATGTAGGACTATAGCTCGTTTGAGTATTATGGCTAGGATGTCTCCAAAGTGGCCCAACTAGTGAGCGCTTCCAAGTACGTGTAAGCATATTTGGTCGGGTTGATGACGCACAAACATGATGGCCTAGTCGAAGTTGACTGCATATTGCATAAAATCTGGGTTCTCGCGGGGTTGTGTGTGAAGACAAGTATTAATCAGGAATTCTTCCGGCCTGGCAGCTCAAAATTCAACGTTCTGGGCGCGTCGTGTTTGGTTGTGCAACTGGGGATCTTGAATTGGCGATCTACCGGGGTTTTCGCCTGGCTTCAAGTCCATATCTTTGCCATATACTCCAAGAACAGCCCGCAATGCCTTAAATCAGAAACCGAGAGCAAACCGTTCTCCAACTCCCAAGGCTACAGAAAAACAGCAGGGTGATGTTTCAGGCATCTACAGATAAGGACGCCCGGCCTCAGACATCACAGGCGGTGTTGTCATCTGGAAATCCACTAGCGAATGGCGTCAAAATACGATTTGGGGAGGAGGGGGGGTGTACTGGTTTGGGGAAGGAATCTTTCATTACTAGACCAGCCAGAAAGCGAAGAAGAGGACAACATTGTAAACAGTGGGTATGATTAGAACCACTGGGTGAAATAAACGCCCACTTAATTAAAGCACTAGGTTGAGTAGGAGGGGTGAGAGTGAACTGATTAGAATGGTACGTTATTCAATAATAGGGAAAGCATCTGAAGTTCGTAGCTTTTTTTCCAATAATAATCGCAAGAGATTTTGAGAATGGGGTTAATTCGTTTTGGGGGGTTTAGCTTGCTAGACCGCGTATATATTCTCCCTACCTCACGTCCCGCATCTCCTTTTTCTCTTTTCTTTCCTCGGCCGGATCGTTATTTTCTCTACTCATCGAGTAGATCACCGCAGACCGACGCCTCCTTTGCGAAAGGTAGGATAGTTTCCTTTACTCTCATTTATCTCTAGTCATCACGCACTAAATCATCGTCGCCGTCGGCGTTTCCTCCAGTCATACTGCCTGCTTTTGCAGAGCCTTTCCTCTCGAATCACTGCCCTCATCCGACCGTCACTAAACTCATCCGACCGTCACTAAAGTTCCGCACTGCCCTGCCACAAATATTCACGCCCCATTTCACGATGACTGGATCAGCAAATTCCCTTCCCCACCCTATACCTCTGGATCACGCAAAGCCCCTGCCCAACGTTCCACAGGAATGAGTGGTCGCGCTCGATTCTTTGCCCGGAATCGACTGCGAAACTAGTCACAAACACAAAGAAAGATACACGCCATACAGTCCGAGTCCCCCACCACAGTCTGCCCCTTCTATATGGAGCCAAAGAGTCGCCGGTTCCGCTATCGTGGCAACAAATATGTTGATTCAACTGGCTGGCATATCTCGGGTCACAATAAACACCTATCGGATATGCCTGGGATCTTTCGCCTACTCGTCTAAAATGTCCCAGACAACACACGCATTTCACCCTCGAAGTTTCCCCCTCACAGAGAACGCACTTATTGTGCCATACAGAAATTAATATCCCGCTTTCTTTCGTCTTCCTTTTCTCCTTCTAATCCGCAGAATAATCGCTAATGTTGCCTTCGTCTTACCAGCAGCTTCGATCTAGCATTTCCTTCCCTACAGGGAAGGTAAGACGACTCCTAGCCTATTGCTGGGATGGACCAACCCGGGGCAGCCCCCCTGCCGGCAACGGCCGGCACAGCCAACGCGGGCTTTCAGCTCATCGCCGCCGCCGCCGCTCCGCCGCCGCCTTCCCGCCGAGATGCGGCCCACAAGATCGTGGGCTGAGAGTGTGGCGCCTGCCTCACCAGAAACACGGTGCCGGCAGCCGGCCTGGCCAAGGCGGCTAAACACACACGACTGGGCACCATCGCCTAGGGTCGGCCCTGGCCGGCTGGATGTGCTGCGTCGATAGGGGGGTCCACCTCGTCCCCGGCCCTAATAGTCTTGATGAGCTCGACCTCGCGTATCTGCGATTCCTGGCTAAAACACTGAACAAACCTTCCCAAGGATATCGCCTTGTCGATATGAGCTTTTATGCCGCCTGAGTAAAGACCTCGATCCGAATGACATCCAGATCCTGTTCGAATATCAGAGTAAACGACTAGCCGACGACCAAAGCTCAGGTCCTGATGTGTCCTCCCACCAAACGCCGACCAAGAACGCTTTTTTATCCTATTTACCACCCCAACCAGTCGAAATTGCTAGGTTGTGAAACATAAACCCCCGCTCCTTGCATTGCTTTACCCGATCTTAGTTTTCAGTCTAGTCGTCCCTGTGCCATTGCTATCCCAAAGAGTCAGAGTTCCCGTTTATCTTGCCAGCCATATTGACCACAGAGGTCCATACGCTTCAGCAGGCCGAGCATCAAGCCCGCTAGGTGCGGGGGAAGCAGGGGCACCAACAGCGTGAGGCTGACGACGAGCAGCACAAGTAGCAAGAGGAGGCTAACCTTCAAGAGGTCGTCATGGAGCCTACCACTCCGACGAAGTCACCGGGCAAAGGCTCGCCCATCGCCCAGCGTCAATACCGACTGACCGGAGCCAAGAAGACACTACGGACATTCTCCATTGCCTCGCCCAAGATAAAGACCCGGTGGGGTGGTCACTCGCCACTTCACCCATTCCCCAGCACAACCTCTAGTCTGCCTAATTCATTCTTTCGCCCCGAGAGGTATTTTACGGTGCTCTTCCCTCGGATTTCCGCAATTCGAACATGAACAATTCAAGCCCTTCAGCGCCCGTCGCCGCTCGTCTTCGGATCAATCCCCAGCCAGGAATTTGGCAGTTCCGGCGAGAGCACCAGAAATACCCCCGATTCACGCTAACGTTTCCTCTCGGCTCAACCAACCCCCCCTCCTAGGACTGAAAACAGAACGCAGCCCATGCTGACCTCTAATCTCACCGGTCTGCTGTTCTAGCGTGTGAACTTTCGTCATCCTGGCGGCCGGCTCCTCCTTGGGCGTGGCGGGTTGTAGTCGATGTCTTTCTGGCTCATGTGCCGCGCCGCCTTCTCCTGAAATCTAAACTCCTAGTAAAAAGGGAATGGAAAAATACTGCTGTAGAACCCCTATCACATGTCTCAATCTACATAGTATCTATTATGCTATTGGATAAACATTCTCTCCGTGATTTTTAGGTTGAGACAGAACTCAAGATATGCGTCTTCCAGAGGATTTCCTACAAGTTCAGATTCGGCTGTCGTCGTCCGTGTATTATGAGACAATATGTTCAAATGTCTCCCAATAAGTCATGAGTGGCTCTAATCTAATTGTTACACTTAATCGAAGTTGAGAGCCCTCTTGAGAAGGGATTCTGCTGCGGGTATGAAAGGCTGCAATTTCATCTTTGGCCGGGACTTGCTGCTGGGTTGCTGTGACTTGCTGCTGGCTCTCCGCCACAGCCTGCTTTCAGAGTAGTAGTTGGGCCGTTCGTCGTGGTGACCATAGGATCCGCGAGAGGAAGGGCGGCCTAGATCGCGACTGTCGCTTGCTGTTGCTGACTTGCTGCTGGCTTGTTGCTGACCTGCTGCTGACCTGCTGCTGACCTGCTGCTGACTTGCTGCTGACTTGCTGCTGACTTGTAGTAGTCCGTGTCTCAGCTGCTGCATCAAACCCGAGGGGCGGTCTAGATCGCGACCATGACGCCTTCAATTCCAAGAGTTCAAGACGCACGATCGAGTCGGGGTGGCATGTACACCAGGTTATGTATGGCATGGCATCTTGCTATTCCTGTCGCTAATAACTTCCTGCTGCGGCATGAACGTGGCGATGCCAGGCCATACAACTGCCCATTCTGTCGCAAAGTAGACCCCATCGCCCTGCCCTGGGTGACCACCCGGACACAGTCTTCAGGCCTTCAAAGGCATATATAGACCCGGCAGTCTCCAGTATAGACTGCAGACAACAACACGGGCATCTTCCATCTACATCTTCATCTCCCCGGACCTTCTTCGTAAACGCAATCCCGAATTAGGCACTGATTCTGCGTCGAGGGTAGCGGTACCCGTAGCGGCGTCCCGGACTGACGAAAGAGAATAGGTGCCTTCTCCAATCTCGGTTTCTCATCTCGCAGAGGGTCGTTCAAGAGTGTGTACGTACTGGGGTACCTAGGACCCCCAGGCCAGGGTTGAACGTCTGTTCTCCTTATAGACTAGACGAAAAATCGTAGGCGACCCGGCACGGCTAGACCTGTGATGGTGTGAGTTTCACGGAGGGGATGGAATCGGAAAAGCCATTGTTTTGACGAACCTTGTCTCTGGACTCTGGAGACTCTAGACCCAGAATTAGATGCCCTGTAGGCGGCTAGTCGGGTCTGAGAACCCTCCATGCCGGATTTGAACTGCATTGTTGTGTTGCTTTGCAGATGTGATCAGATACCCGAGCGTCCTGTCCAGATCGGCGTACATGTGCGACACTTCACGCATGGCGACAGTGTTATTCTTGAAGCCCTGGCGTTGCTGATCGGTATCAGAGGATGAGGCATGATCGTGATAGCCGTCGTGGCAAGCTCTGCGGTGATGGTATTTATTTGTTCCCTCCGGATTGGGAAAAGGAGGTAAAGGTCGCGTCAATCGCCGCAGAGATTGCTGCTGCCACGACAACTACCATGACCGCCGCCGTAGAACGATGGTGACGATGGGGTGGTAGCGACACTAATCTGAAATCAAAGCTTCGACAAAGCGTTCGGTAGGTGGAGGGGCCGCCTTAGTAAACCGAGAAAAGAACAGTAAAGATTTCTTAGGCGGGGTCCTGGGCAAGGAAGCCTAGGGAAAATTACAGAGAGCACCGCAGAATACTGACGGAAGAATAATTAATACGGTGACCGGTTACGGATCCTACAGAGGGCAGAATCTTGGTGATTCTAGGGTTAGGGGTAATTACGTGTAGCATGTAGACCAGCTTACATTTAGACCAGCTTACACGTTACGGTCTTGACCTAGTTCTGAGGAGCAGAATAAAGGAATGAAATCAAGAACTTTACGCGGCATTACACCGCATTGTGTATTATGCCATCTATTTTCTTCTACTCGTCCCCTTCTTACTCATTAATAAGAGAGAAAACCTGGCCGGGAAATTATATTCCCGTCAAGGTTGAGGAAGTCCGATTTCCATGGCGTTGTAAAGTTGGGGATGACCAACCAACCCCGCTCTAGGCTTGGCGACCTTGCGATTACTAAGTACCAGACTACCTTAGGTACCAAGTACCAGACTACCCCAGGTACCTATTACACCTACGGCAAGCTCAATTACTCATTGGCTTCTTCATTTTCCATCTTTTCAACGTCACCTTTACGCCCAAGACTTTCTCATTATTGTTTTCTTCGTGCGCGCAGGGCAGGAGCACGAAAGACACACCCAGACAAAGCGACAGACAGAGACAGACACCAGAGACAGACACCAGAGAGACGATGGCTGCGAGCGTGAGCACTGCGGACAAGTCCAAGCCCTGCATTCCGCACGCCGGTCTCGCCAGAGACGGCTGGTCCGACGAAGACAAGGCCACGGCGACCTGCTACTGTGGCGCCGTGCAGCTCGTCTTTGTGAGTCGACTCAAATATGCTCTAGCGCGATCGAGCGTGCCTGGCCGAGCTGACGCAACGTGGCTGAGCTGACGCAACGTGAATAACCAGTCGCTCGACGGCGTCGTCAACACCTTCGTGTGCAACTGCGTCGACTGCCGCAAGATCACGGCGTCCATGTTCGCGAGCAACTTCACCGTCAAGGACACGCACTTTGAGCACGCGCGCGGGAGAGACCGCCTCAAGACGTTCAGCCAGGCGCAGACGATCGGCTCGCGCAAGGCTATGACCAACCACTTCTGCGAGAACTGCGGCTCCCTCATGTACCGCGTCGGCGAGCGCCTGCCGGGCCTGAGCATCCTGCGCATCGGCACCGTCGACGACTTCTCCCTGCACGAGACCAAGCTCCGCCCGCGCCAGGAGCACTGGACCAAGGACCGCGTCTGCTGGTTCGCGGGCGTCCAGGGCGTCGAGGAGACCTTTGGGGGCCAGGGCTGAGCAGCAAGTCCCCATTCGCCGCTTCGCGTGCAATGCTCTGATACGACTTCGGGGAGTCGGGGAGCTCGCGGAGAGACTTGCTACCCTGACTGTTCGTGAGTCCTCTGTTAGGACCTCATACGTTTATAGTGTAGCTCAGGAAATAGAGACCCTGGCTGATGTTGTATCACATTTCTCCTAACGCCCCCGACAGAACGACTTGAGAGTGTTACATGACTTGAGAGTGTTACATGACTCGAGAGTGTTACATGACTCGAGAGTGTTGCATATTGTAAGGCTATCCTTGGGGTAGCCCATTTCGCACTCTGCATTTTTCCACAGAGTACATCTGTTGGCGTATACAGCTCAAAAGCCCCGCCAAGGAAACCTGCAGTCAAGAGCGGCAAATATTTGAGAAACTTGGGTATTTATAAAATAAATGTATATCTTGCTATATTCTTACGAGGCACCCTGCGAGGGCAGCCTGTCAATGGCAAGGGGCTTTGTCTCTTGCTTCCACTTTCTGCCCCATGCTGTGCGCCTGCTCGGACCGCCAACGACAATCCTAGTGGCAATGGTTTCCAACAGAATCATATTGGGCCCTCTCTAAGGGGCTATTAGCAGAGGGAGGCACGAACACTGAAACCGTGGAAACCCCGCCTTCCGCAACAGAACAACAGAACACAAGTAAGGTGGGCGCAGGCAAGTCTTAAACGTGGGGAAAAGTCATGCGAAGTAATTAGTCAATATATCGAAGAACGGCACAGGCTCGTACCCAAGGGTGACTGACTGGCCCGGCCGAGACGGAAAACTTGGGCAAAATCCTACCACTTGTTCTTTCCAGCCTCAAGCTCGTTGTTGGCTTTAATCTTCTTGTGCTTGCGAGGCTTGTCCTCGCCATTATCACAAGTCTTGGTCGACTCTCGTGTCTGAGGATACTTTTCCGCGGCCGCACTGATGATGATGCCGTTGGTGGTGCCGGCGTTCAAGATGGCGGCTGAGGGCACTGGGGATTGATTCATGCCGTCTGTATTGGCGCTGGAGCCACCAACAATCATAACGGGTGCTGAAGGGTTTGGATCATTCGTGTTTGAGTTTCGGAAATCCGAGGGAAGAGCACTGTAAAATTTTGCTCGGAAGTGCCGTCCGCCTTGCGCTTCTGTGCGACTGGGTGGCTATCCGGGTAGCCAAAAACCAAACATGGAGGCAAATGATCCAAAAGCAGCCCACACTGCTGCCAGTCCTATCGTCAAGGTATGACCTATGGATCCTTTTCAATATTAAGAAACGGCTCCATAAGTCGTACTTTGACGACGGGGCCGGCAGTGGCGTGGGCTGCTATTGAACCATTTGCCTCTGTGTTTGACTATTGGCCACCCGGACAACCAAAGTATCCATTTCGCCCAGCTTGGTGACAGGCCGGAGCCCGCCCACCCGCTTCTTGGTGTTGAGAACGTCACCTGCGCTACGCGATCGGCGAGGGCCTTCCCTGGCCCGACTCGTCCATGATGTTGACGATGTCTTGCTGCTGCTCGGAAAGAGGAGTATCAAGGAGAAGAGAGCACGCTGAGAGGAAGCCGTGCATGGGGGTCCGGATCTCGTGCCGGTTCTGGGGCTGGGCGAGACGCTGGAGCTGTTCTGCGACCTGGACGGGCCAAATACTGGCTCCTCGCTATTTTGAACTGGCCTGTGCCTAGGATCTCCAGGAGCCCGGCAACAGGTGTATCCCAACCATTCAACGCTTATCCCATGGGCATTGGGGGGAGCACTGCCTCATTTTTCTCAGCTTCGTTTCTCGGGAGAAAGGAAATATTCCCGTAAACAGGGTCCGCACCGCCAAAAAAAGGGGAACGTCTGGATGACCAAGTCGTTGGCCCCGTAGTCATTGATCTGCTTAATGCCGCCCCCAAAAGTCTCAAGTCTCGACAGTGCCGATTTCGTGTTCAATACCGTCCTTTTCCCTTCAGAGTAGAAGGTAATGCCGGTGATATAGATGCCGGTGATATAGATATGCCAAGGTATAGAGACCTGAGGGGAAGAAGGGATCAACGGAGTGAGCAGGCGAACACCGGTCGATTGGTCGTCGGATGTGTGGTTCCGGGATCTCAAGGGTTGGTCGAGCGGGCGTCAAAGAGATTTAGAATATTGCTCCACGGCATCGTCGAAGCTCTTAACAAATCATCGGCGATATCCAGAGCCGGCTGACTTGGAAATCAGAGAGAAGGGCCGTTTCCGGGTGCGTAAGACGCGCGAAAGCAAAACCCGGGCTCGTTCTGGACGAGGTAGTTGAGCATCAAGCTTGTTTGCTCTCTCCACCACTCAAAGTGAAGAAATCCAACCCAGCGCTAGCAAGCAGCACGATTACAAACATGCCACTGGAGCCTGTCAAGTCGGGAATCTTGTTTGTTGTTGACGCTAGAGTATTAGTAGCGAACTCGGCCGGCCAGGATACCCTCAGGTTGGACAAAATTGAAGGAGAAAACAAGTAGCTGGTTGTGCGTTCCTCAATTGAAGCTTATTCTCTGGTTCTAGCTTCTCATGTGAGCTTTGTCGCAATCATTGACAACTGTGTTGCCGACCCGTGGGCGTCTTGAGCTGCCGAGAACAACAAGAACAAAGCTGGAAAATGACTTGGATATGATGACGCTGACGCAACTGCTGTATTGATTCTTAGTTCGCTCTGTCGGCTAAGCCTTGGTGGCTGCTTGTTCTGTCAAATGCACCAGTTCCAAGACGGTTCCAAGACTCTGTTGGCGTCAAAGCCAGATGGGAGTTTCTGGCTCTGTGATAAGGAAGGATGCCCGCTGTGGCGACGTGGTCCAGATCGTCCGTCGAGAAGCGGGTTGAATTGAAGGCAGTTGCGGGCGTGGTGAGCTCAGGCTGGTAACGATCGGCCCATATAATAGTAGTTGCTGGTTCTGAAGCTATAGAAAAAGGGAAGCTTTCTGCTGGCTGCTCGCTGGCATGGCGGGACTCTATGATAATGGGCTGATGTGCTTGCAGCGCGAGTATGAAAGGTAGTTTGGGACCTCAGTATCGGAGGTTGACATTGTGTATAAGGAGGAGATAAGGAGGAGATGATGCAGCTGCAATCTTCCTGCGGCTTTGATTCTTAGGTGTGGCCCTGAAGAGCTAAGAGACACGGGGAGAGGGGAAGGGAGTTCTAGTTCTGGAGTGGCTCACGGGCTGAATTTGAAGAGCGATGCATGTCGATATCTCGGGATACGAGAGGTAGCCGTAAAAATGAAATGGCAGGGGAAAGGGGCGAAATGTGTTCGAGTAATTATGAGGAAATGGGGTTTGTGCGGCGACCAAAACGAGGTGCAAAAAGGTTCAAGGAGCAAAGCAAGGTACCGGGTGCCTGCAGTAAAACGGAAAATTTAGGAGGATCGCGGAGAACAACGACCTAGAGGTGGTGGATACCCTAATGCTCGGGAATAAAAGAGAGCAGGTAACCTGATAGGGGCCAGCATCCAAGATTAGTGATGCCGCGTTCCCTTTCAGTTTCCGGGTTCAGCTTTCAGGTCCAATAGCAGGTTGTAAAATTCTTTACAGGGAGCTTTCCTACTATAACTACATTGAATTCTAGTGGCTGGGCGGTAGGTACTGAACGTTACATAGCGCATTCCATTGTGACCCGTACCAAATTAAAGAGGAGGAACTGAAAGCCCGCCCAGGTAATTCACCTTACATTGGAAGTACGTCAGATAGGTCAGGCAGGTCAGGCAAGTCAGGCAGGTCAGGCAGGTCAGGCAGGTCAGGCAGGTCAGGCAGGTCAGGCAGGTCAGGCAGGTCAGGCAGGTCAGGCAGGTCAGGCAGGTCAGGCAGGTCAGGCAGGTCAGGCAGGTCAGGCAGGTCAGGCAGGTCAGGCAGGTCAGGCAGGTCAGGCAGGTCAGGCAGGTCAGGCAGGTCAGGCAGGTCAGGCAGGTCAGGCAGGTATGGAAGGAAATGCTCGTACACCATTTTACCAACTCGAATCAGGAGAGTTCTGCGCTCTCACGGCTTGAATTTTACCGATTCTTGCTCCAATCAGATCCAAGTAGAGATGGCTGGGAGACGAGCGGGATCCGTTTATTGCCAATATCGACAGCACCGTCGATTCTCCAAGCCCATTTAGCCACAGCTGCCTACGACCGGCTAGTGCTACTCTACGGAAATGTAGCTCTATAAATGGGTAAGATTTCTAAGATTGGGGATCGAATAAGTTGACTCCACCTCGCTGCACTCGCTGCCCTCGACGTCAGACACGGCGGTCCACGACTGTCAAATCATAACACATCGCCCTGTCGAATCATATCACATCGCCCTGTCGAACATAACACATCGCCGCTATGCAGCTGCCAACTCCCCGGCGTCTCGGCATGGCCCCATGGCTGTGCTCCTTCGCTATCCTACTTCCCGTGCTGCAATTCGTACTCGGCTCCCAGGATTCCTGGCCGATCCTCGGCAACGGCCTCCAACAGACGATCCAATGGGACCATTACAGCCTCATCATCAACGGCGAGCGCATCTTCCTGTTCGGCGGCGAAATGCACCCGTTTCGCGTGCCGGTACCCGAAGTGTGGGAGGATGTTCTGCAAAATATCAAAGCGACGGGAATGAGGATGGTTTCAATCTACACGCACTGGGGGTTCCACGCTCCGACGCCTGGCAAGGTCGATTTCGACACGGGCGCGCACAACCTCACCCGCTTTCTCGAGATAGCCAGAGACGTCGGCTTGTACGTGCTAATGTGACCTAGCCCGTACATCAACGGAGAGCTCAACGCGGGCGGCATGGCGCTCTGGGCCACCACGGGCGCCTACGGGGACGTCCGGTCCAACGAGACAGCATACACGGAGGCGTGGACGCCGTACCAGGACGGCATGGCGCGGCTGGTCAAGCCCTTCCAGATCACCGAAAACGGTACCGTCATCATGTACCAAATCGAGAACGAGTATGCTAACCAGTGGCGCGACGTCGGCGCAAAGACGCCCAACCCCGAGGCCGTGTCGTACATGGAGAAGCTGGAGGAGAACGCGCGACGGAACGGGATCGTCGTGCCCATGATACACAATACACCCGGCCAAGGCGGCAGGTCGTGGTCTAGAGACTACGATACAGTCCGGGCACGAGGGGATGTGGATATCTACGGGCTGGACAGCTACGTGAGCTTGAGCCCCTCCCGTGAGCGGCGTGGTTGTGGCTTTGACTAAACGCGCCCGCAAAGCCGCAATGCTGGTCGTGCGTCACCCAAGACTGCGGCACCATCAAGGACTTTGCCATCGCCGACTACTGGGACCATTTCCAGCAGGTCTCGCCAAGGCAGCCGCCCATGATGCCCGAGTTCCAGGGGGGTGCGATGAACCCGTGGGACGGCCCAGCGGGCGGTTGCAAGGAGAGGACCGGCCCCGAGTTCGTCAACCTCTACTACCGCGACGCCATCGCCCAAAAGGTCACGACGCTGAACCTATACATGATGTACGGCGGCACGAACTGGGGGTGGCTGGCCGCGCCGTTCATCGGCACCAGCTACGACTACTCGGCCGCCATAGCCGAAGACCGGAGCATCGACGCCAAGTACTACAAGATCAAAAACCTCGGGCTCTTCACCCGCGTGGCAAACGAGCTGGCCTTAACCGAGCGTGTGGGCAACGGAACAGCATACACGAACAACACGGCCATATTCGTAACCGAGCTCAGAAACACGGACACGGGGGCTGCCTTCTACGTCCTCCGGCATGACATCACGTCTTCGGCGTCTGCGGAATACTTTATGCTCCGCGTCAACACGAGCGCTGGGAATTTCACGGTGCCTCAGATTCAAGGTGCCACAGTGCTGAGCGGCCACGAATCCAGGATCACGGTTGTCGACTTCAATTTTGGGAACAACACGCTGACATACTCGACGGCAGAGGTTTTGACGTACGCCATTATCGACGGACGCGCTACGTTCGTGCTCTGGGTTCCCACCGGCCTCTCGGCCGAATTCTATCTGCAGGGCGTGGCCAACGTGACCGTCTCTGCACATGCCGGAGCGCAGGGAATCACGTTTGACAAGAGGGACGAGGGCGTGGTCGCCGGCTTCACGCAGCCCGAGGGCATGTCTGTTCTGGACTTTGACACTGGCGTGAGGGTCATGGTTGTCGACAGAATGACGGCCTACAAGTTCTAGGCGCCTGCCTTGACAAGGGACCCTGGAGTCCCCGTCAACCAAACAGGTGAGCCACACGATATCTGCGTCTCTCGTGTCGACAAGTTCCAGCTAACACACATTCGTCAACCAGCCTTAGTCATAGGGCCGTATCTAGTCCGCTCAGCCAGCCTAGAGTCCGACACAATTCGCATATTCGGCGATTCCAACGGCACAACCCCTATCGAGGTATTCACCACGGCGGCCACGTCCAAGATCCAATGGAACGGCAAAGACCTGGCCACGACCCGCACAGGGCACGGCACACTACAGGCCACCATCCCACCGCCGGCCGCCTTCGCTCTCCCCAAGCTCGGGCCGTGGAAGTCCCAGGACGGCCTGCCCGAGCGACGGCCCGACTACTCCGACTCCAGCCTCGCATGGGTCCACGCCAACCACACGACAACGCACAGCGCCACCAAGGGCACCACGCCGTACCTCTACGCCGACGAATACGGCTTCCACACGGGGGTGCGGCTGTGGCGGGGGTATTTCGCCAGCACCGCCGCGAGCAACGTGACGGGCGCCTTCGTCAGCGTGCAGGGCGGCACGGCGCACGCCTGGTCGGCGTTTCTCAACGGGCAGCCCGTGGCGTCGTTCCTCGGCGACGCCAGCATGCCGATAGGGAACATGACGATTTCGTTCCCCAGCGGCGCGCTGCATGACGGCGACGAAGACGGCAGGGAGAACGTGTTGCTGGTCATGCACGACGACACGGGGCACGACGAGCTCAAGGCGGCGCTCAACCCCCGCGGAATCCTCAACGCCACGCTCCTCGGCAGCGACAGTGGCGGCGCTCGGCCGCAGTTCGGCCGGTGGAAGGTCGCGGGCACGGCGGGGGGCGCCGCGCTCGACCCCGTGCGCACACTCTACAACGAGGGCGGGCTCGCGGCGGAGCGGCTGGGCTGGCACCTTCCGGGGTTCGACGACTCGCGGTGGCCGGCGGGGTCGCCGCGCGAGCATAGTGGTGACGTCGGTGTGCGCTTCTACCGCACCGTGCTGGAGCTTGCGGTCCCCGACGGCCTCGACGTGTCGCTGGCCTTCCGGTTCGTCGCGCCGCCCTCGAACTTCACGGCGTATCGCGCGTACCTGTACGTCAACGGCTACCAGTTCGGCCGCTTCTATCCGGCCGTCGCCTCCGAGGACACGTTCCCAGTGCCGCCGGGAGTGCTAGACTACAGCGGCGACAACGTGGTCGCCGTGGCCGTGTGGGCGCAGACGAAGCTGGGCGCGGCCGTCGACGTCGAGCTCGTGCTGCGTTACGCCGTCGGCTCGTCCTTCTCTACCAAGTTTGACGGCGCGTACCTCCGTCCGAGCTGGAGGCCTGAGAGGCTGCTTTACGCTTGATTCCTTGGAGACATAGTCACGCAGGCATTGGTGGGAACGAACCAATACTGGGCCGGGGTTCAGAAACCATGTGTTAAATATCTATGTCAATGAAGTTCCGACGTCTTGGGAATACACATTTGCCGGTCAAATGTTGACTACAAATTCGCCGGTCAAATTTTGCGACCAAATGCCATCCCCGTTTCGATCATGTCCATCTACCACTGGCGCCGTTCGCGGTCTAGCAGGTGAAGACGCTGGGGCCGGGAATCGTGTAGCTGGTCAAGGGGGGCCAGTAGATGCTGATCTTGATTCCGGGATCGGTGCCCTGCAAGCGTCGCAGCCGAGTCAGCATTTCTCCGAGAAGTCACATCCAATCACGAAGGGAAGACACCCAATCACAAAGGGGAAGACATCCAATCACGAAGGGGAAGACAGCAACATACCGAGTAGGCGCCGGGGAAGCTGACGGTGGCGGGCGTCTTGGCGCCGGTGCCGCCAACCACATTGATCTGGGCGCACTCCATGTAGAACTGGGCGCCGGGGTAGTTGCCAGCGCCGTGGAGGGCAATCATCTCGGCGCGCAGCAGGTACTGGCCGGGGGCGATGCAGGCAGGGATGCGGATGTCGTGGCGGCCCTGGCCGGTGACGACACGCTCGGTGCCCCACACGCCGTTGCTGGCCAGCCCGTCCTGCTGGATCTTGAACCAGCCGCCGCCGGGGCCGGCATCGGCCGCCGCGTCGGACACCTTCTTGAGGTAGGCGAGCGTCGGGCCCTTGTGGGTGATGTCCATGACGTCGTTGGGCGCGCTGCCCGTCGTGCCGATCATGTACCGCCAGATGGCCGTCACGTTTGAGCCGGCTTGCACCGTGATCACCTTGCTGGTCGGTGACGTCGGGTTCGGCGCCCCGTTGCACGCCAGCGAGTTTGAGGCCACGTCCTCGATCGGCCCGTTGTACGACGGCACCCGCACTCCCTGCCCGACGCCCTGGTTGACGCCGCCGACTTCGAGCGAGGAGAAGATTGTGTGCGCGCTGGCCAGCCCGGCGGCGGCGAGGAGCGGAGCGACGACTTTCATGATTTCGATTCAGGGGTAAGGTCGAGTGGGAGATGGCTGGAAGGGTCGAGTAATTGCTCTGGGATACTGATACTGACTGATCAGAATACTGATACTGACTGATCAAAGACGACAAAGAGGATGTTATCGCGGGCTTCATATATGCGCGGTAGACGGCTCGCAAAATCTTGGAGGCACGCGGTTCCTGGAAGTCCATCGCCGCCGCCGCCTTGGCTGGCCTTGGCCGCGAAAAAATGCAACACCAAGGCGGCGAAATGGCCAGCAAAGCCAGGCTGTGCCGGTGCGACCCCGGCCACACAGAAGACTGGGGTGCAACGTCTCGGCGCGCGCACGCCCCGAGAACGGCGGCCGGCGCTGCAACCTCCTGCATTGGGTGGCCTCCGGAGCGAGCGCGGAACGTCGCGCTCCGGCCCAGGGGTCGCCATCTCTGGGGCAGGATTTCGGCTGCGCAACCGAAACAGCCGCACGGCCGGGCCAGCCAAGCCTCTGGGAGCCTGGCTCTAGCTGTCAGGCGGCCCTGCAATTTCCCCCGTGTCCTAGTCAAGGCTGTGTCCTAGTTTCCTAGTCAAGGCTAGTGTCCTGGTTTCCTGGCTTTGCTAGCGCAGAGCGCGCGTCAGCGGCGTGCTTAGCGCGCAGAACCGGGGCAGCGCTGGCGGCTCGCATAGCCTGATCATCTCCCTGGTGACTTAGGCGGACGGAGAGAGCAGCCCCGTTCCGTGACGTGTGTCTTTCAGACGCCGTGGCTAGCCGCATGTCATCAAGCAAGATGCATATGGCTGCGGTTGCAACTTGCGCCTTGGGGTCCCACAACACCCGTCAGCATGAACGGTGAATATCGGCATCAAGGGGGCAGATTGACACACCAAGAGAGCAAAAATGAATGCTTCGATGGAGCTGGGACTCGAACCCAGAGCCTTTACCAACAGAGAGATATCTTGTCGCCGGAAAGTAACGCGCTACCATTGCGCCACCAGACCGATGGTGCTTATGTTTGATGGGGATATGGTATGGTTCAGGATTGGCTCTTTTCTGTGGGATGGCATGCATGGCGTGACTTGCTCCCAGGGCGTGACTTGCTCCCAGCCCTGGAGTGGGCGGTGGACTCTGTTCCTCGCAAGGTTTTCTCTGCAGGGCGGCTCCGCTTTGTGGGTTGCTCGTCCATCCAGGGTTATGGACCGTGGCGGTAGTGTTATGGTATGAGGATGCGATAGGGAAGGATGAGGTGAGTGGCTGTTCCTGGGAAAACAGCTGGCATTTATTCATGAGAACTAACTACTAATTGTTGATGTGAAAGGTTGAACAGCTGCAAAGGCTTGGGTCCCAAGGTTATAAGCCACACACCAGGGGGAACTCTTCACAGTAATTCTCAGCCTAGTGTTCGGTGAAGACGGCTAGGCTTCCTTGTCTTCCAGAGGCGAGGTACGTACAGCTGCATCCACACACACATGATGTTTCTTTGTCTTTACCCCCGAGTACAGGTAACTTCGATGGTCTTTGTCAGTCAACACAATAGCATTGTTCTCCGGTGATCCTACCACTCTAGCGCATGGGAAGGCGCCGAGTTAGGGATGGGAACACGACTTCTTTTAACAATTTCGGAATATAAAAACGAACGCCGTCTACCATCTCGGTCGAGTAATCTGTCTACCATCACCATCCTCCATCACCATCCTCCAAGGAAACAGAAATCACTGCATCTTCCTTTCCATCCACTTTCGCACGCCACTCCACACACGCAACTGCAGGACTTTACACAGTCAGAAAAAAATCAGCTAATATGTGCATAGTATACACGGTTGACATTTGGTGCAGGGTGCCGAACCACCAGCCTCAGACGATCGCTGACCACTGCGAGGTACTCAACGGATGCAACCTCGAGGACGACCACGAGATAGAGGTGAAGCTGCCCACCCGGGTCTAGGAGGAGCGGCGTCTTACGTGCCCTGTTTGCAGAGCGCTCGCTGCCATGGCTGGGCAGGACGTCGACGACTCTGGATCGTCTTCGGGCGAGGATGACGACGACTATCCTGAGCAGTACGCTCTCACTCCGGAGCCGAGCGAGTCTGGAGACGAGATGGCCATTGGCGGCATTGTTGGAACTGCCAACATTGTCGGCACGCCGGCTCATTACAACTCTGATGATGACATGGTGGACGTTGACATGCATATGCAGCAGCTTGCTGTCTCGTCCCGGGAGGCTCTTGACCAGATCTACGCTAGGCCAGTCTTTAACGACTCCGACAGCGAGCACTAAGTGGTGGGTCTGGTAAGTTTATATTCCCTTCCCTGCTTTGTTTTCTTTATTTGCATTTGGCTTCAAGGCATTTGGCTTCATGAACGCGTACTTGCGCGCTAACTCGGTAGCCGGGGCCTTGCCCTGCCTACTGGATCAACTAACTACCGCGGCAGCGCAGGCCGTTTCTGTTAGCAAGATAGATCATCGAACAAATATACAACAAGATAGATCTTCGAATAAATATACGATCGTTTCCGATGACTAAATTCCCCCCTGAAAATACTGAACGTGAAAAACCTTGCTCATTACCCAAAACTTGCGTGTTCATCTGTTGTCTTTTAATTTGGGGGCGTCTCCGGCTACTTAAAATCGTCCCCGTCCACTGTATTCCTCCGTACATAAGTCAGGTGGGGGACTTTTGGAACACCCCTGCCTATGGAACAGCCCCTGAATCGGACCCCGCACAACACCACAAACTTCAATTGCCAACAACTTTGTCAATTAATTAGCTACAATGATGAAGTCTTCAGTATCGGATTCTCCTGATTCTTCTCTTTCAGAATAACTAAGGTCCTCTCTGCCAGCCTCTCTCTGTGAGGCACGAACCTCCTCAATTCCAGCGAACTGCGTATTAGGGTCGACTTAGACCTTCCTTCTCTTTCGGCCTCTTGTGCGTTCTAGGCTTTTTTCTGCAGCCTCCAATTGATGCGCCGTATTGGCTAGTTGGAAAACCACGTAATCGAAGGCTTTTGCGGCCTTGCGTATGAAAAGTCGGTCGTTGGCAGTCCGTTTCTGGCCGGCTAGAAAAACCTGCCCCTGAATACGGAAATCCTTCGGCTTTTTAGGGGTAAACCATATAGGCCGGCCCTCCGAATTCTTATGTAGAATGGGGTTATGGACCTCTTGAAGGTCTATAGAAACCGTAGAGGTCAGTTGACCAACGTCGCCGTTAGAATTCTTAATAACAAGGCCGTTGCTTAGGGGCTTCCTGAGGCTGACCAGCCAGAGGCCTGTAGCTTTCCAGCCGGCTTTGATATTAGATTCAGTCATTCCATAGACCCTGGCTTGCCGGTAGCATTCTAGGAAGGCCCTCTTTTCAGCAACAGTGCCTTCGTCGAAGCCGGAAACAACCTCGTTATGCTTGGCTCTGTACCGGGCTTTTAGAGGGCCGAAAACCGATAAATCCAGGGGCTGGAGAACGTGGGAGGTGTGGGCTGGTAGAAATAACAATTGTACGTTATTAGAAAAGGCTAGCCACATGAATTCTTTGGTGGTATGACTACCGTGGCCATCTAAAATAAGGAGGCGCTTCTCCGAGGGGGTAGCTGGCCGAGTCTCTGGAAGAAAGATATTGCGGAGCCATGCGACGGCAGTATCATCGTCAGACCAGCCGTTTTCAGTGGGTTTCCACTTCCAGCCCTTAAATGGCTGTAAATCGCGTGGATACCATTGTTGTTGAAGGCTTCCACCTTTGAAAATGACGACTGGGTTTAAATACCGGCCGTCAGCGGAAATACATTCGATAATCGAGGTCCAAATTCGGTCTCCTTTCTTCTTTTTCTGGAATTTCTTTCTTTCCTTAGATCCAACAACCAGGCCGTTATCTCCAATGCCAGAAGCAATGCCAGTTTCATCCATATTATACCTATGCTTGGCTGGAATAGCCTCCACGCCTGGAGGCTTCAAATAGTCAAACCAAGGCCGGATAACGGCCTCACAGGCTCGATCAGCACGGTTTGTATGGATTCTCCGAGGCCTAATTGTAGAAATAGATGGATTTCTAGCCAAAAACCGGCTAGTCCAGCGTTTTCCGAGGGTCTCGTTATCTTCGAGCATTCTTCTAGCTAGTTTCCGAATTTGGGCGTGGGTTGGAGGGTGACCGAGCGACCCTTGGAATAGAATCCATTCGGTTAAGCGTTCTTCCATAGCCGGAGAAAGCTTTTGATTAAGAATTTGGGCCTTGGAGGCTGGCTCGGAACCACGAACCCGATTAAAGAGAGTAGTAGGGGGGATGCCGTGATTTTCAGCAGAGCTACGGAGTAAGCCGGTTTCTGCATACTCTGCCAGCGCATTCTGCAAATCCAACTAGGTATATCGCTTCATCTTTCATTTCTCAATTGAATGGAGAAAAGAAGATAAGTATTGAAGCAGAATTGGTCGAGTTGCAAGCGATTGAAATAGGCGAGTTGGGTGGCGAGCGGCAAGTCCTTGATGACAAACCTTGTTCCAAATCCAGGGGTGTTCCATAAGCACCACCTGACTTAACCCTAACCGTATTAAACATCTAAATTCTGCCGCTACGTAATTTACCACTTTTTACCAGAACGCAACCTAATTCCGCTGCAACCTTCGTATTCTCTGGCCCGTGATCAAAGTTGACAGTGGTTTAAAGGGTCTTGAATTGTCTGTCCCCTCCTCCCATCTAATAATACAGGAAAGAAGGCCTTTTATGCTTCCAAGAAAAGGACAAAGGGAACCTGGTTCAGCAGTCTGTTCAGTCGTGCTACGTAAGGGACTCGGCCGTAGCAAGGGAGAAAAAAGAGGGCATTCGGAAGTCCGGGAGCCCGGAAAAGGGATCAGGGCTGAAAGTCACGAATGAAGGGATATGCAGTGTTTGGAGGGATATGGAGGGATATGCAGGTATGTGGTTTGACAATGTGGCTTAAAAGTGGCTCAAAAGTGGGCAACATATTCCACTGCAACCTTCCTTGTCAACCAAACCAACACTAAATCATCGCCAACAATTTTAATTAATCGATGCATCAGTAAAGCTTCATTTTCTTCATTGTTTATCATCGCGGCTGTGCTAACTTTGCTTCAGAAATGCCCGATCTTGAAGACTTCAGCGATTCGAGCGATTCCGGCGATTCCCAGCGATGCGCCCAGTAACGAACCTATATGCTACTTATTAAAGAGTAGGCAACTTGCTATACCAATAACTCCTCAACTTCGGTCAATGCACTACATTACTAGTTGAGTCAGTCAATAAGCTTCTCAAGTCTTTATTATTACCGGTAATAGCAATACCTTCCAGACCGTACAATAGTCACTCAATATGGTGGATGTTACGATCCCGGTGCAGGGTACAGGAGGCGCCGTAATGCCTCCCTTGGATTGAGCAAATGCACCTAGGAAGGCGGGGCCTCCTTCGGCCGGTGCCCAATCCGAAAGCGCTCAGTGCGGGTGTGAGTGCTCAGTGTGACTGAGCACCAAGTGGAGCACTGAGCACCTAAGGGAAGGAATCTGATTGGCTATTCATAGTTATTCAGCTGAACGGAGCCACCGTAGGCGAGCTTGCGAGCCGGAGGTGGCGTAGAGAGGCTGTATTCTATATTACCATGAGGGTGCCGAAGTTTCTCGTATCGGGATTGGCCAGTTTACGTCCGTGTCGAAATGGACAACGGGGACTGGTCGATCGGATAATCCTCGGACGTATTAAGCACAAAGAATGAGGAAGGTAGTCGCCATTGTGTTGGGTAGTACTATTTTTCAAATGCGGGCCTGCCGACTTAGACTCAGTAAGAAATAGATCAGGCTACCAACCGCAAGGGCATGAGACATTCCTATAATCAACTCCGACGGATTGATTTCAAGCTCCTTGATCTTATTCGCGTGAAGCTTGAAGTTACGAAGGGTAAAGAAATGTCCACCGGTCCCGTATTTGACACGGCCTAGACAAGGACGGACAAGACAGTCTTTATTGGAGTCACTGTCCTTGATGGTTTGCCGTGCTTTCTGAGGACAGAATTTATCCACCAGTGCATGTCGAATCGGTCGCGGAAGGGGGAAAATCCGCTCCATGCAAAGAGCGTGGCGAGCAAGTCGAGGATAGTGAGGCAAGTCTGGAAAACGCTCGAGATTATCGCTCCAGAAGGATTCAGTATCTGGAGTTGCGTACCAAAAGCAACGCGGAATCTCGACCTGATCTGGTATATACGGCAAAGACTTGAAGCTGTGGTAGACACGTAGATGCTTCGTATAGTTGTTCCACAGCTTCTCGGGCTGTCCAGACACCGGAAGTTTGTAGGCAAAAATAGTCCCAGGATGCCCAAAGATCTTGCCAATCGATCCGGTCCCAATCCCTCGAAATATCGCGTCCGTTCCAATTGCGGCTTGCTGCTTCTGCGCAAAAGAGGAGCTGGTGGTCACGGCAGACTTTATTGATAGCATTCGCTTGAGAAGGGACTCAGGCGACTCAGCCTCGGCTTCTGCCTCTAGATGCTCTCCCAATGTCAAATTTTCCATGATTGCCTCCTTCAATGAAACATCCATGGACGAAGCTGTCGATTGGTCAGTTGTGGCGCCGAGACGACGCGATAATCTTCCGATATCAGAGCTCATTATGGGCTCCGCAATCATGTGTCCATCACTCCGTGGTAGCTTGGACGACTCTGGCTCATCGCCTTTACTGGCAATAACCACCACGGGTGGTTGTTTGGGTTTGTCAGACATTGAAGTTTGATTCTCTTTCGGATCTTGGTTGAGTTTGGATGTATTGATTAGATGGCAGTGAGGTACCTTGAGTCGCGATCTGTAACAAGAAACAATCGGAAAGGAGAATTTAAGAAACGTGCGAAGTATTTCCCACTGCCAGCTTTTGGTAAACTAATTTCATTTTTATCCTTATTTCAGACGATTTAGAACAACTCAATCGGCGATTCCAAAGATAGAAGGAACATCTTCATCCAGCAAGTATTTTGTCCACCAATTACAACGGTTAGCGAGATCCCCACTAGGGTCCTGAAACCTTTTCAGCTAATAAAATACACATGCTCAGATAGGGGTGGGTCTATTACGTTACTGTTCCGACTTAGCTCAACTTTAGAGTTCTTAAAGAGCTTTGATGTACGCACCACCATTTGTTTTTCGCACCTCCCTGGGGATCTTGGCAGTTGCTAGCAGTTGAGATTCGCAGAGCCTTGAGATACGCAGAGCCTATTTTAGGCTGGCAAAGTTGTGAAATACCATCTTCCCGCTCATGCGCTTCCTAAGTTAGGTGGGGGGGTAAGCGAACACTACTGATTTAGAACATTCTGTATAAGCAGGAGTCCCAACTAACCCTCCAACAAAAGAAAGGGTGATCTTTTTATTTACAAAACTTCAATACAATCTTTGATATCCTCTGAATCATCCGCTTCTTCCGCATCTTCTAAAACCTCTGCTGCACGCCCTACAGCTCTCTGGGCCTCACGAATAGTCTGAATATTCGCAAAGGTGGTATTTGGATCTTCTTTAACCTTCTTCTTCTTTCTGGCTCTTATTGATTCGAGAGTGTGTTCTAGACCTTCAATCTTTCGCTTCCTAATAGCCAGTTCAAAGGCCTGTTCATCCAAAGCCTTACCAATCTTTCTGAGGAAGAGCTTATCCGCTGGCATTGCTTTGATGATGCGTGCGAACTTCTTTGCCTGCTCAACGTAATCACGTGCCTTTCTAGGAGTCCTCCACTGCACCCGATCGTCTCCATAATCCTCCAGGATTGGCATACGGAGTGTGCGAACCTCTGGGGTAACTATAGTAGTTCTTAAGGGGCGTGAAGTATTAGAATTCTTGAGGAGGAGTGGGCTTCTTAGCGGTTTGTTGACATTCAAGGGCCAAAGGCCTGATGCCTTCCATCCTGACTTAGCATTACTCTTAGTAATTGCCTCTGTGCGTGAAATCTGGTAGCATTCCAGAAACGCACGTTTTCCGGCTACAGAAGAGTCGTCAAAGGCGTTAGCAAGAAGGTCCTCAAGCCGTCTGCGATAAAGTCGTTTTAGGGGGCCAAATATGGCCAAATCTAGGGGTTGGAGGACATGGGAAGTATGGGGAGGCAGATAAATAATGTGAATATTGTTTTTGAATGCCTCCCACATATAATCGGCAGTTGTGTGGCTGCCATGGCCATCAATAATAAGCAGTCGTTTCTCAGAGGAGTTTGCTGGCTTGGTGAGAGGAATGAACACATTTTTTAACCATTTGAGGCTTGTCTCATCGGTAGTCCATCCTTTCTCAGTTGCTGTAAAGAACCAATCCTGAAATGGCTTCATATCCAAAGGAAACCATTGTTGTTGAACGCTTTTCCCCTTAAAAATGACCAAAGGAGGAATGCAACGGCCAGCTGCTGAGATGCATTCGACAAAAGTGGTCCAAGTGCGGGTTCCAGGCTGTTTTTTTTGAAGCGCCTTAAAGGCACGGCTTCCAATGACAAGGCCGTTAGTTCCTCTGCCTTCCATAATACCAGATTCGTCCTTGTTCCAGCGATTCTCTGGCTTAATCGCCCTGATAGCTGGTGTTTGGAAATGGTTGAACCAAGGTCGAATTGTTGACTCTGTAGCGCAGTTGACGCGGACCGAATCGACTCTCTTGGCCCTCTGAGTCTTCAAAATTCGATTGCGGTTAAGAAAGGCACGGCACCACCCCTTTCCAAGTGGTAAGGAGTCCCCCCTTTCAGCTAGAATACGGCGTGCAAGCTCCCTGATCTGTGCATGTGTAGGGGGCAATCCTAAATCTTGTTAAAGAAGAATCCATTCGACTAAACGATCCTCTTGGGTCTGTGTAAGCCTTTGCTCATCTTGATGAGCAACATTTCGAGGTAGGGAGCCATGTAGACGGCCATAAAGGGTGGAGGGTGGAACGTTCCATTTTCGCGCGACTTTGCGTAATTGATGTGTTCTGACGGCTTCCTCGCAAGCCTTGCGGAGGTCTTCTTCTGTATATGAAACCATTGTCAAGAGAAGAATAAAACGAATTGAAGATGAAGAGAATTGGAAAAGAATTGGTTGAGTTATGGGCTTTTTATATAAGAGGGTTGGTTGTGTTCCTCGCTTATCTAGAATGTTCTGGATCAGTGGCGTTCGCTTACTCCCCCACCTAACTTATGTGCCGCCCGGGTCAACAGTGTCGAAGCTATCAAAACTTTCAAAAGCCCCGACAAGCCGAAGCCGGCCACAAGCTGCAACAGGGGGGCTAACCTGCACATCCCATTTTGGAGGGTAGTTGACGAGCTTACTTTAGTTTTATTTGCGGGCGTTTATTACCTTATGTAGTCTGGAAGTACTAGAAACCACTTTTGTTAGTGTACTCGAATTCTGTCAGATGGAACATGCTGGAATGTGGGCTGTGAAGGAGCTAGGCAAAGGATTCGCGGCCTACTTCGCCACTCATTTTGCCACCTATTTTGCCACCACAATAGTAGTATAAGAAGGAGGCTTTCTGGCACTGCCAGAAAGCCAGGAAGATAGAGAAGACAATCAATTGAAGCCAGTAAAAAATCCTGAAGTGCAGTAATCCAACAAATTCTTATTCGTTAACGAAAAAATTGACACATTCCGCAGCTGAAGAGATTTAGACTTAAGGTGCCTGTTTTTGCCGAAGCCACCAAATAAAATTTTCAACGACTGGCTGGAACCGACTGGACAACATATAAATGGGGGCGGGCGATTCCGTCTCTTCTTTTCTTCATCACACTTGACACCTAATAATTACCCTCCTACTCTTTGCACGGAACTTATCGAATTCGCAACACTACACTAACTTACATTCAATATGGGCAGCCATATTGAGCAGATCACGTCTGCAAGACATACATCTCAACTTGAGAGAATCGGCTATGGCTCCTGCGAGACTGTCTAGTCCGATGCGTTCAAAGATGCCGACATAGACTCGCAATACTCAGCCATCGTGTTGAAGCGAGGAGACGGCCTTCCAGATCGATCCATCTCCAATGAACGCCGTATTCATCGGCAGATTCTATCGGCAGTCCAGATGCACGGTAACAACCCGTTATTCTTCCGCGTCAATATTCCGTCGGCCATCGACCATTTACCTCCCCAATCCGACAAATGGAAGACGATTCTTCCGCGGCTTCTAACAGAATTTGTGGCGTGTGAAGCACTCGTTAGCGAACGGATCTTACCAATGCCTCGCGAAACCCGTCGTCTCCTGGTACAAAGATTTTGGAATGGAGATATTGACTCGGTAGTCAACGATAAACGAAACGAGCACTGCCTCGTGCGCCCGTACCTTGGCCGTCGTCGGCAAGGGGCACGACAGAGTCGCCTACAATCCATCAGCCTTCGTAACTATCCCCTTTACGCCGACCAGATCGAAGAGCTTGGGCTCCCGATTGACGAGTAGGCAATGGCAGACACATTGGCATTTCTCCTCTGGGGCGTGAGAATAGATGCCAACGATGTCGAGTTTGTTCTCGCCCGCCCCCTAACCTCGGTAATAGCAACCACCGAGTCGCATTCGCAGAACACAATGCCAGCGTCGGATCCGAGCATTGGAACGACAGAGCTCACTACGGGCATTCTCGGTTCTCATGCTATGTGGCTCCTCGATTTCGACTATTGTAAGGAACTCGATATGAACGAGACCGGCGTCAAGGTCGCTGTCCAGCGGTTTTGGCGGAACGATCCGTTCTATCCAAACCCGAACTGCAAGTGTCCCGAGGACGAAAGACTATGGGCATTGTTTAAGGACAGGTTTCTCGGATCTAGTAGAGCGATTCTGGAAGGAGAGTGTGAAGCAATTCGGGAGCTGCCAGAACTATTGATGGCGAGGATTGTGGAGACGATAGGTGTTTATTATAAAGGTAGTTAGACTAGATAGATGGTGAATACGGAATAAATATTTGTAATTGATAAATCATCAAGATAATTACTTCGTGAGCCCGCGTTCCGTGGACATGTGCTGAAGGAGAGGGCTCTTGCGCAGGACAGTTAGAGAAGCCAGAAAAACCAACAAGCTTATTGACACATAATTACTCAAAAATAATTCAAGGAAAAGAATGGATTCGCCAGCGCCATATAGCAAGAAACGAGTCTATATAGCGGAGGGTACCATAAGAAGCACAACCGACACCGCGCCTCTTCCCTGAGCAAGCAAACAACCCCTAACCTTATACTAATCACAAATCTCGCCGACCCGAGCCATCACTCTCTATTCCATAACCGTGACTGTGGTTCCTAGATCTAGGCCGTGCGGACCATACGCGCGGCTAGTAGCTACCCCGACTAATGTCCCAGATCGTAGAGCTATTTCTGTAAGACGGCCGTTCGTACGACTCTCTATCTCCAAAGGGCTATATAGCTACGAAGCAGACCTCGTTATAATCGTAGAGGGGATACTATTTCTACCGCGTCTATTGGAGGCGATCTACTAACTCCTATATAATCTTTACGGTAGCTAAAAGCGAAGCCGCGTCTGTGTCCGGATCTACTACGACGAGCTTCCGGGCGGAGAATAGCGCCGAGCAGATGCTCGACGTGACGTATTCTATCCTAACGAGGATTAGGCGGTCCTCTGGTGTTTGTGGAATAAGAAGGGCGGTGTCGTGTTTCGTATACCGTTCGAGTTCGACCTTTCCGATGTCTTTCTTACTACCCGGTGGATAGTCGATATGGAGGTTTAGGAGCTGGTTAACGGCGCCCCGCACGGCGTCTAGAGACTTGATCTTGTCCACTATGCTTTTTAGCCTATCTGCGTACTGTCACGGTCGCCACAGGGCTCATGTGACAGGATTAATTCTATTGGCTGCATTGTGCTTAGGGTGTGGCCTGTGCGCACTGAGCACCACTACCTATTTCTCCGCGCCCTGCGCGGTGTGAGGACCCGTCCACCAAACTGGCCCTCAAGCAGCCAGAGCCGCCCAGAACCCCGGGCCTATCAGAAGCCGCCTAGAGGCCCCACCTACCCCACTGATAGATGAAAACTTATTCGCGAGCACGCGACGCGTTGTTAGACTTTTTGTCACGGCCGGCTTGGAATGAGGGCGGAACTCCTCTATTGGGCGCTATAGACGAAGATTCTAAACTAAAGGGAAAAGGGAAAAGAAGCTCAAAAGCCTCCCGTCGCGAGATTCTTCCAGGGCGTCTCAAGGTGGGGCTCTGGCTGGTTGGGTGGATTCACCCAACTGGCGTCTGATTAGTCAGAGCGTCTGGGAGGCCTGGAGGACCAGGCCCTCACACTACCCCCCTCCAAGCCGCGACTGCCGTGACGGTGGTCGTGGCTTTGAAGAGCGGATTTAAGCGTGCCTTCTAGTATACTTCCTCTTTTGCCTTGCCTTGTACCCTTTGTGCTCTGCCTTGTTATCCTCTTCGTGGTCCTCCGGATATTCGTCTTCTGCTGCTGCCTTTATCCAATCACGCAGCCTCACTGGAGGTCCTGCGGCTTCGGGGTATTCTCGATGAAAACTATCCAGCGCCATAGCTGCATTCTTGAGATTCTCTGCCTTATACCAAGTATCGTCGGGGTCGTGCCCCTTCCAGGCAACTTGGTATTGTAGGGTCTCTCGTTGGCCAAACAGTCGAGAGGCATTAATCCTCTCAACTTCCCACTCTGGCTCCCCGTTGATCTCCTCAGGTGGTTCCGGTAAGCTGGTCTGTTGGGGTAGGGGACTGTCATCAGCCTTACGTAGCCGATCTGCATGGAAGAGGTTCGTGCCTTTGACATAGGGCGGAGTATCCAGCACAAAGCTATGTCCTCGTTCCTCCACGATCTTCCATGGTCCTGCCCACTGTGAATCCAACTTGGTACTCGGGGCCTCTGTCCTCATACCCTTCTTGCTCACGTATACCAAGTCTCCAATGGTGAAGTCGACGGGACGTCGCTTCTTGTTCGCTTGGACGGCTTGGGCCGCTTGAGCTTCTAAGGCATTCTTCCTTGCCAGGTCTTGTACCGCTTTGGTCTGGGTGACGAGCTGTAATGCTTTCTTTTGCGGGTCGGTCGAGGTATTGAGGTCTAGGATATCAATAGAGAGGGGGTTCCGTGGGGTGGCTCCCAACGCGACTTTTAACGGGGCCATGCCGATGCTCGAATGCCAGGACACATTATGGGCGAAGTCGAGTGCCGGTAGGTACTCGCTCCAGGTGTCTTGGTACTTGGTGAGGTAAGGCCTCATTCGTTGGTCTAGATCCGCGTTGGTGATCTCCACGGCGCCTTGCGTCTGTGGGTGGCGAGAGCTGCCGTGACGGTGTTTGGTCCCGGTCAGCTTATTAATTGTTTCCAGAAATTCCGAGATAAACGGTCCTGCATTATCGCTAATCCAGACAGCCGGGATACCAAAGAAACGGTATACCTTGTGGAAGTAGCGCTCTGCCAGATCCGGTGCGGTATCGTTCTTGTGTCCAGGGAGCGTAGCCATTATCTTGCTGAACTTGCAAATAAAGGCCCAAACGTAGTCGTAGCCGTGACGATCCTTCGGCATATCTTTTCCGTCGACGACTACCTGGCTCCAGACTTCATTCGGCACCTCCAGAGGGTGTAAGAGGCCCGGGGTCTTGTCATGACGGGTCTTGTTCCTCTGGCAGCTTCGGCAGTTCTTGATGTACCTCTTGACATCCTGTCGGAGGGTACTCCACCAAAAGTCTTTCTTGAGGAACGCGATAGTCTTGTTTTGGCCTGGGTGTGCGAAGATAGGCGGCTCGTGGGCTTCTCGGATTAGGGCCGTCCGTAGATATACCGCTCCGTCGGACGTGACTTCCGGTACCACGAGACGACCGTTATCTACGCCCAGACTCTGCTTCTCGTTTTCCTCTTGGATCAGGTCTACCAGGTCAGCGCCGCGAGGCATATCCGGATTCACTACCGCTCGGGAGATAGGCGCTAGGACTGGTTGGATGCGTTCCACTGGTATCAAAGGGAACGTACGATCTTCCTCCTCTCGTGCCTTAACCGTAGGTGAGTCGACGGTCTTACGTGATAGAGCGTCGGCAACCACGTTTTCTTGTCCCGGGCGGTACTGGAAGGTGATATCAAACTGGCCTAGGAAATCGGACCATCGGACCTGACGGGTTGACAGCAACCGCTTAGTAGACCAGTAGATCAAGGCTTTATGATCCGTGACCACGAAGAACTCCTGGCCGAGAAGAGAAGGTTCGTTATCCTTGAGACAGTTGACCACGGCGAGCAACTCTTGATCCTGGATCGGATACGCACGTTCGGCCGGAGTCATGTTCTTCGACGAGTAGCCCACGGGTCTCCAGACTCCGTCGGGCTGTTGTTGCATGATCACGCCTCCAGTGGCGTTGCGTGAAGAATCCGTTTCCACTCGCGTCGGGCGGCCGGGGACGAAGAAGGCGAGGACTGGGGCCTCGGTGGCCAGCTTCTTCAGTTTCTCAAAGGCCGCTTGTTGCTCGGGTCCCATTACAAATTCACTACCTTTCCTCAATAGCTTGGACAGGGGCTCGGCGGCATCGCTAGAGTGGTGGCAGGAGACTCGGACATAGTTGCACAAGCCCAAAAAGGACTTGACGGCGCGTATCGAACGTAGGTCCTCAAACTTCCAACTCTGGATGGCCTTGATCTTCTCTGGGTCGATACGTACGCCTTTCCCAGCTTCGAGAACTAACCCTAGGTAGTCAATGACTTCCACGTCAAAGCTAGACTTCTTGATGTCTCCCTGTAGACCAGCCTTATACAAACGATAGATGGCCTCCTCCACGTGTGCGAAGTGTGGCTCGTTCTTCTGAGTATAGATGAGAACGTCGTCGGCGTAGGCGCTGGCAAAGTTGTCTAGGAGCTCGTTCAGCTGAGCGTTGATGAAGGCTTGCCACCAAGCAGGGCCGACCTTGAGTCCAAAGGGTAGGACTTTCCACTGGAAGGTTCCTTGACGGGTCTTGAAGGCCGTCAAGAATCTTGAGTCGGGGTGGACTAGTAGACGATTAAAAGCTCGGATAATATCGATCTTGGTCAGGCGGCGGGCGTTACGGCAGTTGGAAAGCGTTCCTTGGATATCGGGTGCGAGGAACTGGCGTCCTTTCAGGAACTGGTTGACCCATCGGTAATCCACACAGAAACGTTTCTCCTCGGTACCCTTCTTTGGTACAAATAGCGTCGAAGCGGCTGTCTCCTCCATACAGGGTTCCACGAATCCAATCCGTAGAAGCTCGTCTACCGTCTCTTTTTCCAGAGGGAGAAGGTGACCGGGTGTATAGAACCTCTTGGGCTTCCCTTCCAAAGGTCGCTCCAAGTCTAGGGTCACGTCGAACCCTTCACGGCTCGGCGGCAGCTCGGTCGAAGCTTTCTTGGAGAAGAAGCCTTCGAGATGGGCGAGCTCCTTTGGGAGTTTATCGCGAACTCTCTTGACGTGTTCGGGATCTTCGCCGGCAGGGAAAGGAATTGGCTGTCCGTCGTGGGTCTGCCAGTTTAGACGAGACGCAACGACGTTCAAAGAAATAGGTGTATCCGGCATGTTCTGTCGAGCCCATCTAGGTTGCCGGGGGTCATTTTCCACATGCCTACAGAGAGCTGCAATATTGACCACGAGGGGCTTGTCCTGGTCTCTGGGGCTAGAAAGGGCGATGGGCGCTAAAACTGGGTTTATCGTTCTCAAAGGGCGCTGGATAATCTTGGTGACCCTCGCTTGCCTTTCGTCCTCAGCTATCAGGCGGTCGCGACGCACCGCGTCTGCCTGAGCCTGTATGTCGAGCAAACCAGTCTGGCATGGAATAGTAATGGTGGGCGAATACTTGGCGAGCGCTGGTAGATCTTGAGGCCAGATCATGGTTCGCGTGGCGGGGAAAAGGCCAACGCGATACTTAATGAACCATTCTTGTCCGATAATAACATCGTCGGCAGTGGGGATAATGAGGAACTTCTGTCGTGGAAATCTCCGTCCGTCGAGTTCCAGGGAGAGGCGGATCTGGTGGGTGGCTTTGGCGGCGAGCACCCCATTAAAGTCATTAAGGCAGATAGGCTTAGATAGCTGTTCTCGAACGGCGCCTAGTAGCTTCACGGCCTTATTGGCCATCTTCGGGGTCATTGACAAATAGATATCTGCTCCGGTATCACAAAGAGCTTTGGTTTTGAGGCTAATTCCTTCCAATTGGAGTTGAATAGGGAATAGGAAGGTTTTTGATCCAGACGATCTGCTCACTTTAGCTAGTCGTGGTATACGGACTGTCGTGGAGACTTCCGACAGTCCTAGCAGTTTTCCGATTCGTTAGACGACGAGGATGACTGCTCCGGGGAGGTAGGAGGATCCTGGTCGAGGTCTAGCATCATCTTGGCCATAGCCTTCCGCTCGGGGCAGTCACGGGCGAAGTGACCTTCCTTACGGCAGATGAAACAAGTATCGTCTTTCCCTCCATCCTTCTTAGCCTCGGGAACTTTGGTTGCAGCTGGCTGGGAAGTTGGCTTCTCAAACCGAGACTCCCTAACATGGGTCCGTTCGCTGTGAGTGGTTGGCGAACGTGTCCGGCGATCCCTCTTCTCTTGTTTGCGCTCTCTGTTCTCCTCCCAAGCGCGCTGGTGGGCTAGAGCAGCATCCGCGACGCTGCCAGCAAAAGCTTCGTAGGAGATTGTCGGGTTCTTTGAGTCTCCCAAGAGTCGGGTGTCAAGCCGGGCGGGAATATGCTCATAGAGTAGGGTCTTGCGCTCAGACTTGGCAATATTAGCCTTATCAGCCAAGCTATTGACTAATCCAATGTATGAATGGATAGTCACGTCCTTATTCGCCGGATCATACTTGAGCTTGGCTAGCTCGGCCCTGGCTTTCGTGGCCTGGTTGTCATCATGGTAGACAGTCGACAACGTAGCCACCATCTCGGCGACGTTGCGGAAGGGCATCTCCTGAGAGCTGTACCGACTCTCCAGCAGGTTGTTCGGGGATCCCTCCGTAAGAGAGTTCAGAACCGCCATGCGGCTACGTTCTGTCTTGAAAGTGGCATCGTCTTCTACAAACTTGTCGGCCACCTTGATGATCCACTTATCGAAGGTTCCGTCAACACCCTTGAAAACTCCAGGGTCGACACCGGCCTTGCGAGCCTTCCGGTCGAAGGTTTGGTTGGCGGCGTGCTGGTCCTGACCGTAGGGCTTGAAAGCGGGAAGGGCGGCGAAGCCAATGGGTGTGAAGCTGTCCCCACTGAAAGCGCTCTCAGCGGGGGTGACAGTTCGGGCCCGGCGATTGACGCCGTCGGCGGTGCGGGCGGCTGCCTCCGCCCTGAGTTCTGCCACTTGGGCAAGCAGAACTCGGTAATCCTCGGCGCTCGGGGCGCCATCGTCACCCGGTACGCTACGGGTTTCGTTTCCCGGCATGTTGTCTATCGGGGCGTCGACTTCTATACTGTTGACTGGCTCGTTTGGCTCTGTGTCGCGTTGCTGTGGAGCGGGCTTAGCAAGCTCTGTGCTCGAGGGGGTTGCTATGACTTCTTCGTCGGACTCTTGGGTCTTCAAGTTCGCTTCCTCCTGGGTCCGTTCGCTTAGCTCTTTTGGCTGAGAGAGGCGTTCGGATTGGCGCATCGGTGGTCCGTAATCTTTCTTCTTGGGCATCGACGCTGTGGTGTTTGGGGGTTTCTGTGGCCTGGTTTATCGTCGTGCACAGCCGACGTAGTGGGTTGTTTGTGGGGTTTGACGTATTTATTGATCGCTAGCCAGCGATGAGAATTGAGAGTTTAGAATTGTGTCACGGCCGGCTTGGAATGAGGGCGGAACTCCTCTATTGGGCGCTATAGACGAAGATTCTAAACTAAAGGGAAAAGGGAAAAGAAGCTCAAAAGCCTCCCGTCGCGAGATTCTTCCAGGGCGTCTCAAGGTGGGGCTCTGGCTGGTTGGGTGGATTCACCCAACTGGCGTCTGATTAGTCAGAGCGTCTGGGAGGCCTGGAGGACCAGGCCCTCACACTTTTCCTTCTTTCCTTCCTCAGTTTAGAATCTTCGTCGATAGCACCCAATGGACTGAGTTCACCTCAATGCCTTGCCCTGGTCGTGACACGCGGACCCGGCGATAGATTCCTTTCTCTTCCTTAGCTTTAAATCCACATTCGTTACTGCCTTCAACCATTGACATCCCTACTGCGTAAGGCGGGCCGTCACATGTACCAAGCGACAATTATGTCCGCGACTCCCTACTAGTCAATGGAGCTCGCGGGAGTGTCGCGGCCACGCGCCTTAACGACCTCCGCAACCCGCAGCCTGATTACCTGTAATTGATTTTCCGTAGCGCCCGCCAAGCGCAGTAGATCCGGGCGTTCGGGATCCGGGTTGGTGAGGGTAACGGGGTAGAATAGAGCCGAGACTATAGACGAGAAGTCTAGTACGGCGCGGCCCGACCCGATGCCGTGGTAGCGCTATGAGACAGCTCGTATATACTCGAGGCCGGAGACTCCAAAGTAGTCCTTGGATCCCGGGTCGGCGAGTGCGGGCCGCTGGCGTACAGAGACGAGTTCGATACTATCGGAGAAGTTGCATTTGATTATCTCAAAGCCGGCCTCTATCCGGAGCACGCCCTACAGCCCCCAGGCGACGGCAATGTCGCACAGGTCCTTGCCGCGCTCGTAGTCTCGCATCGGATGGTCGGACCGGCTATTGCGGAGGATAAAGTCCTACGTGTCCAGCGTGCCGAGGGTGGTCTTGCCGGCGCCCATGCCGTCGACGTAGAGGACACGCAGGGGCTTTGTTACTCGGTAGATTTGGAGATAGCCGGGGTACTCGTAAGGCTCTTCGTCACCGTCGTCGTATGCGGATCTGGCCTGGCCGTCCTATGCATGCTGGTCGAGGAGGCTTTGTAGGGGATTGAGCGTGCGCGGAGATCTCCTCGGGCGTGTAAACATCTCGGCGTGCTCAATCTCAAAGGCTAGCTATTCGAAGCCGGGCGGCTGATCTGGCACGTTATCGCCGTGATAGAGGAGGACATCGTTGGGCACCGTGGCTAGGAATAGTGAGAGGCCGTTGTAGTTTAGCGAAGACCCCCTTGGGATTGTCAATACTTGTTTTAAAAAGTCTAATTAAAAATTGGAGTTGCTGGTAATGTCTTACACTGACGCAGCGCCGAGTGCACGGCGTTAAAGATGTGGAAGCCGTTGTGGCGGGCCGCTTCCTCGCTCGACCCGAAGTCTGAGTCAAAGTCTGGGGCAGGGTCCACGGGGACGTTAACGGCTAACGCGGCCGCGGCGCCCCAAAAGATTAGGAACGTGGCCGCCGCCAAGCCCGCCGCAAAATGCCGCAGGACCAGGCGGTTTTTCATAGCAAAAAAAGCAAAAGCTGGCCAAGTTTAAGGTGAGAGGCTTTGTAAGTAAGGCGATCCTGGGTATTAGGTATCGAGCAAAGAGAAGGAAAGAGCGGTCGCCCTATTCCAATATTACGGCAGGATTTGGGGGTTTCGCTAGGTTAAATCACTAGCTCTACACCCACCTTCACCGCACCTGCTAACTTCGGACGGCCATCGGGAATGGGCAATTTAGAGAAGCCAGCAGGAAGCGAATGCGCTTATCTGCCATCCTATTCACCACCTAGAAAGCGGGGTTTCTTTTCGCGGGCCTTTGGAGCACTTGAAAATTAGATGCATTGGCAGCCAGAGACAGTTTGGGTCTCTCTATCGAAACTAGGTTAGCTGGTAGTGAAAGTGACGTGCAGCTAAAGCGGCCCACAGCGCGTGCCTGCCGCTAAAGCATTCACAGCCGGCGCACGAGCTATTTTCGTCTCAGCACTTTCGTCTCAGATTCAGTGGGTTCCCTTCTGAGCCTCCGGCAACCCACCACTCCACTGGGAATTTCCCTGGCAGCGCTCAATGCGGTCCCGTCCTGCCGGGCGGCGCGAAGCTGTTATAGAGAATGAGGGACAGCCGCTGCGCGTCTTTCAAGCTAACCTGAAGCAACGATGCATTAATAGGCATTTAAATCAGCCCTATTCCCGCATCTCTTTGGGTAAGAAAAAAAGATAAAGAGGAGAAACAAAAAAAACAAACAACACCAGGGATTCGCTAGTCGTCACCAACCCAACTACTAGTCTGGCGATTAGAAACCTTGTCTCTGGGAGTCGAAACAGCCGAAAATGAGGGTATATAGGAGCTGAAAACGGGGCTCCAGAAGTGCACCGAATAAAAATGCGGCATCTTATCTCTTATCCGAATTCAAATGGATTCCGCATTGGGTTTAGCGTAATAAATACCGTCTTCAGAAACGCCTGCTACTCCGTCTCGGAAAGCCCGTAAAATAGAATGCACCCAATTAAATACAGTGGAGACCGAAACCAGTGTCCAGAAACTCAATGTTCAATCTTTCTCCGCACGGGCCAGTACCCCACTTGTTGTGGACCACACAGTGCGTCGCAGCCCGCTTTGTACAGCTACCGTCAACTTCAAAAACTGGCTGCAGCTGGGATCAGCCGCTCTTGGTGTAAAAAGTGCTTATCAAAAGTAGCGACCTAATAACTACATAAATATACACTCTGTCAATCTGACAAAAGAAATAAACCGGGTTGGACTATGTAAGCGAAACGCGAAACACATTCTAGCTCCTCCACTTGGCAACGGTAGCCAAAGACGATTGCGTGTCGGGATGCTTCTGGCCAAGAACTCGGCGTCGAGCTTGGGCACAGTCCTCCATCAGAGCCAAAGCATTGGCATGTCGACTTTGACATTTCCAAGTAAAAGCGGTGTTGGCCATGCTCGTCAGCGTATCTGGGTGATCGGCTCCGAGCTTGGTCTTGCTCGTCTCCATCACCTGCACAAACAGCTTCTCGGCCTCCTCCCACCGGCCCTGGTTCCAAAATGTCGACGCAAGGTTGGCTATGCTCGTTAGCGTATCTGGGTGATCGGCCCCGAGCTTGGTCTTGCTCGTCTCCATCACCTGCACAAACAGCTTCTCGGCCTCCTCCCACCGGCCCTGGTTCCAAAATGTCGACGCAAGGTTGGCCATGCTCGTTAGCGTAGAAGGGTGATCGGCCCCGAGCTTGGTCTTGCTCGTCTCCATCACCTGCACCTCCAGCTTCTCGGCCTCCTCCCAACGGCCCTGGTTCCTGTATGTCGACGCAAGGTTGGCCATGCTCGTTAGCGTAGAAGGGTGATCGGCCCCGAGCTTGGTCTTGCTCGTCTCCATCACCTGCACAAACAGCTTCTCGGCCTCCTCCCACCGGCCCTGGTTCCTGTATGTCGACGCAAGGTTGGCCATGCTCGTTAGCGTATCTGGGTGATCGGCCCCGAGCTTGGTCTTGCTCGTCTCCATCACCTGCACCTCCAGCTTCTCGGCCTCCTCCCACCGGCCCTGGTTCCTGTATGTCGACGCAAGGTTGGCCATGCTCGTTAGCGTAGAAGGGTGATCGGCCCCGAGCTTGGTCTTGCGAGTCTCCATCACCTGCACCTCCAGCTTCTCGGCCTCCTCCCAACGGCCCTGGTTCCTGTATGTCGACGCAAGGTTGGCCATGCTCGTTAGCGTAGAAGGGTGATCGGCCCCGAGCTTGGTCTTGCGAGTCTCCATCACCTGCACAAACAGCTTCTCGGCCTCCTCCCACCGGCCCTGGTTCCAAAATGTCGACGCAAGGTTGGCTATGCTCGTTAGCGTAGAAGGGTGATCGGCCCCGAGCTTGGTCTTGCTCGTCTCCATCACCTGCACAAACAGCTTCTCGGCCTCCTCCCACCGGCCCTGGTTCCTGTATGTCGACGCAAGGTTGGCCATGCTCGTTAGCGTATCTGGGTGATCGGCCCCGAGCTTGGTCTTGCTCGTCTCCATCACCTGCACCTCCAGCTTCTCGGCCTCCTCCCACCGGCCCTGGTTCCTGTATGTCGACGCAAGGTTGGCCATGCTCGTTAGCGTATCTGGGTGATCGGCCCCGAGCTTGGTCTTGCTCGTCTCCATCACCTGCACCTCCAGCTTCTCGGCCTCCTCCCACCGGCCCTGGTTCCTGTATGTCGACGCAAGGTTGGCCATGCTCGTTAGCGTAGAAGGGTGATCGGCCCCGAGCTTGGTCTTGCTCGTCTCCATCACCTGCACAAACAGCTTCTCGGCCTCCTCCCACCGGCCCTGGTTCCTGTATGTCGACGCAAGGTTGGCCATGCTCGTTAGCGTAGAAGGGTGATCGGCCCCGAGCTTGGTCTTGCTTGTCTCCATCACCTGCACAAACAGCTTCTCGGCCTCCTCCCACCGGCCCTGGTTCCTGTATGTCGACGCAAGGTTGGCCATGCTCGTTAGCGTATCTGGGTGATCGGCCCCGAGCTTGGCCTTGCGAGTCTCCATCACCTGCACAAACAGCTTCTCGGCCTCCTCCCACCGGCCCTGGTTCCAAAATGTCGACGCAAGGTTGGCCATGCTCGTTAGCGTATCTGGGTGATCGGCCCCGAGCTTGGTCTTGCTTGTCTCCATCACCTGCGCAAACAGCTTCTCGGCCTCCTCCCACCGGCCCTGGTTCCTGTATGTCGACGCAAGGTTGGCCATGCTCGTTAGCGTAGAAGGGTGATCGGCCCCGAGCTTGGTCTTGCTCGTCTCCATCACCTGCACAAACAGCTTCTCGGCCTCCTCCCACCGTCCTTCGTCGTAATATACGCGACCAAGCCTAAATCCCACAAAATCCCCATATCTTCTCCGGTCCCTATCTTCAGCATTGATTTTGCTTATATCCGGAAGATGTACCATCAGATGTCGGCGGAACTCAGGCTGCTCCTTTCCTCCTGTCATTTGATAGCACGCCGCTAGAATAAACGTTATATACCACCAGCGCCACAATCGATCTGGCTCGTTCTGTTTCTGCATTGCTCGCCATTGCACAAGACTGTGCATGGTCACTCCAGGCCACTGCCCCTCCGCTCGATGCAGCAGGCTGTAGCGGACCAGTACATCGCGGCTCTGCCGGTACCGGAAACTATCCCATTCACCCTTGTAAAGTGATAGAAACTGCCGGAGACCGACCGGCATGACTTCGTCAGCTTCACCGTCTAGCTGAGCGTCGACCGTTGTTATGCCAAGACACGCCAGACGGAACAATTCGTCCTGCACAATGCTGCCTTTGAACTGCGCTAGGAAAGTCAGCAGTAGCTCGGGCTGCAGACGCGAATGCTCTCTCTTAATCTTCTCGAGGGTGGTATCCCACACTGTCCACACCGTCAACTGTGTTGGCAACAGCCCCCGGAAGCCGTCCATTTGTAGGAGCTCATCGCGGTGTCTGTCGTAATCTGCAAGATACTGCGACAAGGCATGCTCAGGTGCGGAGTCGTTGCTAATGTAGGCACCCGCAAGGTCGATGGCAAGCGCCAGATATCCAAGTCGTTGCGCTATCTTGCCGCAGTCGCGTCGGATCCCCTCCGAAGCCGACTCTACGCTGGGCTGCAGGTGTTGGAGGAGAAGCGCCACTCCTTCCACCGGTAACATAACGCCAACGTGCACCGGTTCGCAGGCCCCTGGGACGAGCCTCACGCTTCTGTCGTCGCGGCTGGTTACGACGACGCTTCCCCGGTTCCCCTTTGGCATGATCTTCTGGATCCCCCAGCTGACATCGTCTGCATTGTCAACAATCACCAGCCATTCGTTGTCTGTCTCTGTTCTGTCGCGAAGCCACCGGAGCACTGCTTGTACGACTCCGTCTGTCAGAACGGACTCTTGCTTCTCCGCACGCTCCTCTGGAAGCCTAAGCTCGGCGGCACATCGTCTGAAGCTAGATCGCACTGCCTCCTCGTCTGTCGCGTCGATCCAGAAGATGGGGTTGTATCGATCTTTATGCTTCTCGGCGTAGGCTAGCGCCAGCTGGGATTTGCCAGTCCCACCTAATCCGTAAAGAGCAACCGCGTATGGAACGCTTGCTTTCTCGTGCCGTATCTGGAGCTTCTGCTCGAGTTTCGCCGACAGCTCGGCTCGCTCCGTATAGGTATGCACCGTCTCAAGCGGGACAGCGTAGTAACGCTTCACCGTCTGAGTGCAGGACTTTGTTACTTCCATCAACTTCGAAAGTATTGTCATGTAGCTTTCGTTTTTTGATGTAAACTTATTGAGCCCATAGTGGTCAACAGATAGCCCGATGTTTCGAACGTTTCGGTACTCATAGGTGGCGGACTGCTCGCGGACACACTGGATCTGGCATTAGCATTCGCACCGTCTAGGCTGACATCCCACGGTAATTACAAATTGCTGCCATTGAACGAACCATGTCCGGAGAATTTGCGTCGGTCTCTTCTCAAAGAAGTTAAAAACACGTAAGTCGTCTGGTGCAGCCGCTACAAAGTCCTTATGTAGGTCGAGCAACGAAGTTGAATCATATCCCAAATTAGCCAGCAGCAGTGGATTCGACCCAAGCGGCTGAAGAGCTTGTGCCGCTAACCAGCCCCATGTGCCGAAGCTGGTCCCGCGATGCGGCGCACCTAGGAAGAGAATCGCCTTAGTATGGTCAACGATGTGGCCAAAGTCTCGCCTCGCTCGGGCTTGAACAAGTGCCTACTACAGTCAGTATACGCCGTTATCTAGAGCGGCTTGTCGGCTTACCCGTTTGACAACCAGACCACCAAAGCTGTACGCCACGAAGATCAAGTTCCGGCTTTTCTCCTAGGGCCGGAGCGCGTCAGCAATATTCCAAAGCCGAGCCTAATCTTCAATACTCACCATCTCGGACGCACGGATCCCCCCATTGATGTGCTCAAGGAGCTCATTTCCGAGGTTTGTCAACCGTGTATGCACCGCATCCCTCTTCCAGTATGAGTCGTAGTTGTAAAAGAATATGCGAATGTCGGTGCTGCCCGTCGGAAGAATGTCGCAGGGGAGAAAGTCGCTGACCCAGTTCACGAACTCGCTATCCGGCGCCGCTTCCCCAGGTATGTTGCCCCCGGTTATAGGTTTCGTCGCTCGCCACGTCGTATCGGGGTTAGATCCTAGGCCGTGGACGAAGACAATACTACCTCTGTTAGAAATCTCGCGTTGCAGCAGCAGCCTCGGTTGCACGTACTCAAATCCGTCTGCCTGCCTGGGCAAACCGTTGGCGCCCGCTGGGACGAGTTCGAATCTCGCCTTCGGGGCTTGGTTAGAGTCTAGCCGGCTGGGTACTCTCTTTGCGGCTTGGCCGTAGAGAAACGCGATCGAGAGGAGAAAGATGAGGAGGTATGCTGCCGTCGTCAAGTCCATGGCGGCTCGGCTGCTTCCGTAGTGGGGTCGACCCCGCTCCTTCAGATGATCGGGTCTGTGCAGTTTCTCGTCGCAGCCGATGTCACCTCCCGGCTTATCAACGGACCTAGGGTTTGGTGTGTGTAGGTGTTTTTGCTTTGCGTGGTAGCTTTGACGTTTGTAGCTGGGTCGCTAGATAGTACTGTAGAAAGCGGTATTGGACTCTGCACAGAACGAAAAGCGTTGGAATATTTCAGCCCACCGTAAGCGAGTTGTTGTTGCCTGAGGTTGGAAGCGTCCGCCCTGCGGGGTGGGGTGCCCGCTCCATCGTCAGCGATCGACGTCCAATTACGACGAGGCGGCCAGCTAAGCCCCTCATGAGGCACTTTTCATCATGACTGTCTGCCTGATGGCCAACAAATTACCTCCAACTCGCCATCTAAATACAACAGATGTCTACTTTAATCCATTCTCAAATTCCTTTTCCACCATCCTGTGCTCCGAATACAGACCGTCTCAGCCCTTACGATGGCGTAAGCATTCAAAATGGCTCATCCGAACCAGAAAACGCGGCAGGATCTATAACGCACGTACCAGGAGATCCCTCTATCAGTCTTCTCCCCGACAACGTCTATAATCATCTCTCTCATCACCTGGAAACTGTGCTCCTGGACGAGCTTTACGAGAAGCTCTGGATTGTCGCGAAGAAGTCCAGCCGAAACATTGACCCGCTCCATACGCAAAAGGTCAAAGGCCGAAGCATTGTCCCTACTGAGGATCCCAGACTCCATCTCACTTGGCACCCGGACAGAATCTACATAAAGCCCATTCCTGTATTCCTACTCAACTACGAATTTTGGACAACATATCTACAGCCTTCGACACAGAATTCATCTTCAGGCTTCGACAGCTCGATTGCAGTTGGATTCTTGCGGTCATATGCTTTACTCGTGCCGCATCGTCTGGATTTCATGTTGGCGAAAGAGGCCTACCTGATTCCTGACGATGTAAGTGACTGGCTTCAATGGTCAAAATTCATCACCCACTTCCGCCATCTCTCTGATGAGAGCGTCGCGAGGCGATATCATTACGGGCAGTTGCGCATCTCGCGGCTGAACTGGGCCGTCCGAATATTCCGCCCGCGACACGCGAGGACGATGTGGTTCTACGAGATCCCCCATTGGTCTATCACCAGCTTTGTATCGAGGGCGACTATACCTCTGTTGTTTATCTTTGCCGGTATATCCCTTGTTCTATCATCCATGCAAGTTGCACTCTCAGTGCCGACAGATGACCCTTGGTTTGATGGGCTGAGCGAATCTGGACTACAAGATATAGGTCGAGGATTTTGGGTGTTCTCTATCGCTATGATACTGGGTTGGGTAGCTCTCTGGGCCCTCTTTCTCAGCATCCCAATTGTTACCCTGGTATGGCAAGTTTCATGGGGATTTGCGAGAGAGAAGAAACGACGTGCGAGGGTTTTTGCTGCTTGAAATGAGGAACAGGCTGAGGTTGCCAACAGCCGGGTGGCGTTTTGGTAGGAACCGGCTTCTCGGTTAAGTGGAAGTCCTAGCCGCAGATTCGGTCTCTCTTTCGAGGAGCAAGGTCGAATGTCGGTACTCGAAACAGTTCAGGCGAGTGTTGGCGGGGATGGTTGATGGTAGCCAGGAGCGGCGGCCGGCCTGTCAGCATTCAATACAGATGGAAGTGTTGTCAACCCGGGCCGCTACCCCTATATACTAGACTTAATATATAGTGGCCCGTTCTCGTGACGCGCGCTCGGGTGAATATATTTGACCGTCTCCCGTAGTGGTCTATATTACAAACCACTCGACTGTTAGGGTCGTCTGTCTGTAAGGGAGCACGGGCTCCACAGAATGCTGGGGTTGGTAATTATGAAGATAGAACAAAGGGCAAGCTCCTATCGCACATGTAATACAGTCAAATCGGAATGCCACTCAAAGTGTATGAGTGCAGTGAATTTTTATTGCTTGCTTGAAGAACCAAGCAAGAACTATCTAAGACCGTGGACACGGTCATCGTATTTATTTAATTATGGCGGGCCAGTAAGAGCTGCGCTCTTACTTGCCCGGCAGGAAGGAGCTGCCTGGCGCCGGGCACTGCTAGCGTGCCGGGCCATTTGCCTAGTGCCAAGACCCTTCTTGGCACCGGGCCACCTCTGATTAGCCGTCCTTCCGTTTGCCTGGTGCCAAGAGCCCTCTTGGCACCGGGCACCGTCTGATTGGCTATCGACGAGCGGGGCCCCCAGTCTTGCCTGAGGCGCCTGCCTTCTGCAGTTGGTCCAGTACGAACAGGTTCGTCACAGTAATGAAGAGGCGGAAATGTCATTTATAAAGTATGTACCTCGGATTTAAAGGTGGGTATAAGATGGACATGGCTCTAAGACGGAAGTCGGATTGACAGAGCTCTAGTACGTATTACAAACCACTCGACTGTTAGGGTCGTCTGTCTGTAAGGGAGCACGGGCTCTACAGAATGCTGGGGTTGGTAATTATGAAGATAGAACAAAGGGCAAGCTCCTATCGCACGGGTAATACAGCCAAATCGGAATGCCACTCAAAGTGTATGAGTGCAGTGAATGTGTATTGCTTGCTTGAAGAACCAAGCAAGAACTATCTAAGACCGTGGCTACGGTCGTCGTATATATCTATCTAAGGCGGACCAATCAGAGCGTTGGTCCTAGGTGATCAGTGCGGTCAGTGTGCTCAGTGCGGTCAGTTCTCTCACTGATCGCCCTGACCATACTGATCGTACTGACCGCCTCGTTACTGGCTGCACTCGAGGGAAGCGGGGAACTACCCCACTTCCTAGCGTCAGCCAATAACGGGAGGCTCCGTGCAGCCTCCTGCGAGCCTGAACCAGGATCGTAACAGTACGGGATCTATGGTCTCCTTTCTAGGACAAAGCATACCGTATTATATATATTACCGTATTATAGATATGCGCGGCTAATTACCAGGCGGCGCGCGATTTTGGCGATACACAGAGCGCAATCACTCCTCGAGACGCTTTGCTGGCTGGAGGACGGGGTACGCGAAATGAGCTGCCACTAGTCACGAAGCTCGATCCGCGATACCTCGTCCAGCGGCGGCAGAAGACCGAAGGGATGCTGACCCGCCCGAGAAGATGACCGACAGCATGCTGAACGGCCATCTCTTTGGTAGATCTACCAACCGGGGCCGGCGGACGGGCGCGAAGCTGTATTGTCACGCGCATTCACAGGGCAGGGCATCTGGTACTGGGAGGTTTAAAGTATCTAAAATTGTCTTGTCTTCTACCTCTTTTAGTAGGGTCAAAGGCCTCTCTTTTATAGTTGTGAATGGTGGTAAGATTGAGTGGTAAAGTAGGTGGCGGGAGCTGACCAATCAGGTTGTGGTAGCTTCCAGGTTCTTCCTTTGCTATTAATCCATATTTTGTAATACTGTGAAATGCCGCTTTGCTATGTCGTGGTTGTGTCAGGAAGGAGCGCCGCAGGCACTGGGGGTCCTACGGGGCTTGCCCGCTAGAAACCCAACAATTAGACCATGAACATCGAAATATAGAATTATCACGAGAATTTGTTTTGGTGGTAGGATAGCTGTCAATCCGTTCTGGGTGGTCCGTACGGTACCTTCAACTTTCTAGCTAGCTCCCCCGTTAAAATAAGCCACTTTCCTCTCAACCTCGTAATACAACCAACTTCAGTCAACCGCACGCACGATTTATCGCTTTCTAGCTATAAATAGATATGCCGAATACTTTACGATTATTACCCTATTAATCTCTACTAATATATTACCAGGAACGCCTGTTTTTCGAGGCGCCGCGATGGCTACGGTGGGGTCTCTCAACCGCAGCCCCCACGGCCCGATGCGCCAAATCCAGGCGGCCGTGGCCAGCCTCCCGACGGCCCGATCCTACCTAAAGAGACCCCGAACGACCGGATTCCTCCTAATAACCAGCACTTTATGATGGCTCCTAAAATGCCTCAGCCACCCATTCCTTCGAGCGAAGCGAGGGCAGGCCGCCGCAGGCGCCGCCGGAAGCTCCGTTTAGCTGACCCCTTCCTGATTAGTCAGGTAACCTATTTTATATAGGAAGCTGGAGGAACACTCTCTGGGAGTTGGTTTCTCAGCTATCAATTCGTATGGTTTATCATTCATTGCTTAACTGATTGAGAGACTCTCGCAATCTATGCACTATTGTTTGCTCCTTATGCTTCGTATTACTGTCACGGCGCGCAACGGCCGTAGCACACTATAACCCACTACAGGTTGCAAGTCGTCGACTTGCAATTCTGGCATCCTTTTGGGGGTTCTAGCGCAGCGGTAGTGGGTGCTGTGAGCTGGCGCCGTCACAATTACCTGTGTGGTTCGCCGCACTATAGCTTACCCACCCCCACCCTCACAGTCCTAGACCGGGTCTAGGTCTGTGGAACTCTCGGTGTTCCAGATTGTAAAAGTGGAAGGTATAAAGGAAGCCTACGATAAGTTAACTACGAAGTAAAAAGAGTATATTTACTTCGACTACCTAGGTCGATAGTGGCTTGGCAATGCTCGCTATAATGTGGGTTATGATGCCCTCGATCGTGTTGTAAAGCAACACAAAAAGACGGAATCTGCTCTCGGGGACCGCGCCCGGTCCCTGAAGCCCTGCACCGGTCGGTTCCGGGCGCAGTATGGCATTCCTTACGTTCATGAGCTCCTTCAGCGTTACCGAAAAGATACTTTGCAGCTTTAAAAGGTCGATTTCCATCCATATTAGTACCAGCTTCACAACACCAAGGCACACAACGCGGTGGCCGGGGCGGCACAACATCACGAGCTTCACGTGGCCCTGCAGCCTCTGCAGTGGCTAAAGGTCGTGTTGCAAAGCCTACACGTATTGGAAAGGTCCCGCGACCTACTGCCCGTGCATTGGAAGGCATGGATTAGTAGGGCAGCCAGTTGTGGGAAGTTGAGAGCAGTTGTGAGCAGTTGAGAGCAGTTGAAAGCAGTTGAGAGCAGTTGAGAGCAGTTGAGAGCAGTTGAGAGTAGTTGAGAGTAGTTGGGAGTAGTTGTAAGCAGGTATGCAGTTTTTAATTGCATTTTGGCCCTATTACGTAAGCGAATTCAACCAAGTCAGCTTCGCTTTTTATTGCAGGTTTAAAAGATTTAAGCGAATCTACGGTCGGGAGGTTCAATTACCGTATTTGGAAATATGTTGACGTTGGCAACGGCGGCGAGGTGCAATGGCGGTACAATTACGATGCCAGCGCTTAGGGCAGGGCAGCCAGCGAATGTGGTAGTTTTGGCTGTAAAATTTATATTTTCCTGGGCGGTGAGTTGTAATACTTGGGGGCCTATGTCCTACAGTAGATGGAGACGATTTTACAGTAGCCGGAGACGCCCCCTTTAATTTACCTAAACACAGCGATAACGAGACGACCACTGACCGATAGCAGTACATCTGCAGAGCCGGCAGAGTCCGATAAGGATTCGCAGGCTCGTATTGTGCGTTGCTAATCCAGCAGCTGCTGATAGACGAAAGGCGACGAGCTTCCCGGTTCGGACAAGGGGCCTGCATGCCGGCGCGGGAGCGGGGGGGTGCTGGAGCGCTGATTCGCTGCCGCCAGACAAGCTTCGTTTCCCAGGTCGGTCGATCTGAAATGCCGGCGCCAAGGACAGGGGTCTCTTCGTCTCTGTGCAGGTATAGCGACTCTCCAATCAGTCCCAGCCAACGCTCCCCCGTGTGCGCCCCTGTTCGTCAGTCCAGCCAACACTCCCCCGTGTGCGCCCCTGTTCGTCAATCCCACCAGTGCCGTGCCGTGCCGTGCCGGCGTGTATACTCGATTGCCTGCGGGAATTGTTCTCTCCCCTTCTCCCCCCCCTCCCCCTCCCCCTCCGCCTCCCCCACACCCCAGAGCCTCCCCACGTCAAGCCATCGGTCAGGACAACGGTTTAGCCTAGTGGAAGGGTTCTAGAACGATCAACCAGACGTCTGAGGGTGTGGCCATTTTTATGTCTAATAGGGGTTGGAGATGCCGTGTAACCAGAGGGCGGGCGTGCTGCGTGGGACGGGGTGGCAGGCCCAACCAGGCTTCTCGAGCGACACCTCTTTGCAAGGGGTCCAGACGGACCGCCCACAGGATGCAACCCTCGAGGTGTGGGCACGACTCCCGGCCAAGACATCTCAGTGGCTCCTTGGGTATGGCTCTAGCTAGTGTGCCTCGTGCACCGAACCTTCCGTTCTAGGGCATGCCTCCGTCGAACTAGCAGCCAGCCAGCCTGGAATTGAGTAACACTTGGCTCTGCGGTATGGCCTGGCTCGCTTGCTAGCATCGATGTTTGTGCTAGCATCGATGTCTGGCTTCTCGGGGGGGGAGCTCGCTGAGCGGATAGCTATATAAGTCCGGACCGCGTTGAAGAAGAGTCAGGTAGACTGAGACTCGACGTGCTGCAACCCAGACACCTTACCCTTACCCGACCGCCACCGGATACAGTCCCTGCCTTCAAAATGGCCAGAGTGAGAACCCCGGCCCCCACTCCGGGTGCACCATATGGCTGACCGTGCCTGCCAGCTCCTCTCAGCCGTTCTCGCGCTCATCTCGGCCGTCGCCGTGTCGGCCGCGGCGATCCCGGTAGACGGGACCGGCCACGCAGCAGCCGGCCTCGAGACGCGCGCCACATGCGTTTACACGTGCGGAACAATTTGCTATTGGCAGAGCGACATCACGGCGGCCAAGAACAAGGGCTACTCGCTGCACAATTCGGGCTCGACGCTGGGTATGTCCACTCTCCAAACCAACAATCCACGCGCTGTGGTTATGACAAAACAATCCACGCGCCGTGCTTATGACAGAAAACAGGAGGCTATCCCCACGTGTACAACAACTACGAGGGTTTCAGCTTCCCGACGGCCTCGCCATGGTACGAGTTTCCCATCCTCAGCTCGTTCAACGTCTACACGGGCGGCTCGCCCGGGCCGGACCGCGTCATCTTCGACAACAACGGCGCCGTCGACTCGCTCATCACGCACACGGGCGCCAGCGGGAACAACTTTGTGGGCTGCAAGAAGAACTGAGGCGGAGTGTGCTAGGCACAGGCCAAGCCTAGCCTAGCCGGGACCACCTGCACCACTAGCCTATCCCCCTAAGCCTATCCCCCCACCAAGATTTCTCGCCTGCGGGCAGATGGCTTAGATTCCTTGGGCGAACCACCACGTTTTTCCTGCATGTGAGCTCCTCATAAGTGCACGGGGGGTCGCTCAGTGGCGAGGTTTTTGTTCTTTATTACTGCAGCATCTATCATACACTCCACGCGTTATGACTGAGACGCACTGGGATGTCGTTTACATTGAGACCAATCGCAAAACGTGATTACTGTACCATGCCCCACCCCCAACGGGTCACCCTAGCAGTGCATCACCCTTTTACACCAAAACACTCCCTTTTTAAACAACAATAACGTAGTTAATTATGAAGATATTCGCAAGTAGTCAATTGAGCTAGTTATATAATTGCATGTAGTTTAGTCTTCATATGGACTTGTTAGCCCAAAGCCCTGCTTTTTTCACTACATCGTCGCAAAGTAACTCTAAATTAACTCTAAATTAGCTTCCTGACATTCTTCTCCCCCTACTTTTGAGTGTGAATTGCGTCTTGTACTACCACAACGTCTGAACAAAGTGACGATAATATGGTCAATGCGTACCTAGACGTCACAGACAATAAGATTTCTATTCGTCAATAGGCTCAAAAGCATAGAGTTCCTTATACAACGTTGAACCGACGACTCAACGGAGTCCCCTCCCAAAGACGAGGTCCTCCAAACACGACGCATGCTCACAGAGCCCCAAGAAAAGCGGCTGATTGGGTGCATCGTCAAGCAGGAAAGACTCGGCTTTGCTCCGAGTTACTCAACAGTATCTAGCATTGCTTCAAGACTCTGTAAAGAAGCAGGGCAAAAAGACCCTGTAGGGAAAAACTGGATTTCTAGCTTCAAAGCTAGAAACCCCGAAATTTGAGCCAAAGCAGACAAGAGAATGAAAGCCGCTAGTTTTAACGGGTTTACTGCCAAAGACGTCAACCGGTACTTCAATATAAAGGGAAAAAGAATATCGCAGCACCTGTTGACAAGGTCAACTTCATTCGCTGCTACAAGGTAGCTAGGGAGGAAGCATTCACAAGAAGAACTGCCAAATCATGATTCCGCACAACGGGAGATTGACCTGTTAATAGGCAAAAAGCCCTAAACCACCCAGAGATTCAGCAAGACACGGCAAAGATGTAAGGAAAGGACACCCCAAACACCAGCCGCGCGCACAGGGTGCGCGCTCACCACCTGTTACCAACTGGCCGGAACACTGCCAGTTGGCACAAGCCACTACGCCACGCCATGGCGCCCCGGGCCTGAGCCCCTGAGCACGTATATAAACAGTGGCCCTCGCCCACCTTCCTTTGCGAGGGCCAGGTTGAAGTCTCACACCAATACTACTCATTGCTCGCCCACCTTCTTACCTGCATTGTGGCCACCTTGATCCGGCGTACCTGCCTTCTCTTACAAAAGACCCCTGAACCCCCTATCCTCTCTGGAGTCCCTAGTACACTAACTACAGGGCGTCAGATCAGGGAATTTTAGCAATGGAAGCAGTCACCGGACTAGATGGAAGTTCCAGAAAGCCACAGCGGCCGTTGAGAAGCTTCAGACCGAATTAGTACTCAAGCAGCACCGTATTGAAGCCCTGGAGGCTCAACTGGAACGTATTAGGCCCCGAAAACGAAGGAAAATTCCCAATCCTAACAAGCGGTTCATAGACCTAGGGACTATACTACTAGGCAGCGAGATTCCCGCAGAGCCTCAAGCAGAGCCTCAAATTGAAGAGGTGGATGATGAAGATGAGGCTGAAGAAGAGGCTGAAGAAGAAGAGTTGCTCGCAAGACTGACAAGATCTGGCCGTGCACGTCGTGTGTCAGCACAATATATGGGTTAAAATGTCAATTAGCTACATTTTTCTATATTTGGCTTGTAAATAGCTTCACAATTGAGTGCGCTGTTGTTGTTCAAAGATGTAGTGTTTTGATGTAAAAGGGTGATCCACTGCTAAGGTGATCCGTTGGGGGGTGGGGCATGGTATAGCCAACCAGCACATCACCCAGTGAACGCGGAGATGTTTTTATTGACTTTTGAACCCCCTACCCACCACCATAAATCCCAGCCACTCCATTTTCCATGCCTGCCAAAGCCGGTCCGTCTAGACTAATTATCAAATCTAAACAGCTCGTCGCCACGCAAATGGAATAGGAAGCGAAACAGAAAAGGGAAAAGAAGCCGGAAGCACCGAAGACAGAAACGCCCACACATCCCACCGCCTGACATTCCACCGCCTAACATCCCACCTCGCAACAACAACCTCCCTTTCCCTCTCCTTCACCTCCATATCCCCATCCTTACCACCCCCATCCTCACCACCCCTATTCTCGCCACCCCCATCCTCGCCACCCCCATCCTCACCACCCCTATCCTCACCACCCCCATCCTCACCACCCCCATCCTCACCACCCCCATCCTCACCACCCCCATCCTCACCACCCCCATCCTCATTTTCAAGCGAGAGAGCATGCCTCCACTTGATCCGGCCGACAAACGGCTCGGCGGCGCAGCGCACAAAGCGCAGCACCGGCGCCTGCGCCACGTTGCGCGACATGCGCGTGTTGAGCACCAGCTCGTCGTGGAACGGGATCGCCGGGAACACGTGCCGGTCCAGCGCCCGGTCGGCCCACGTGTGCCAGCTCGACGCGCGCGTCAGCGCGACGGATGCCGCGTAGTCGCGCGCCAGCAGCTCGCTGCGTGACGATTGGTAGCGGTCGAACACGCCTGTCAGGGTGGTCAGGGGTAGGGGTGTTTTTGGCATTGATGATGTGGTGGTGGTGGCGTGATGGTCGCGCAGCGCGCCGTGCAGCTCGTTGAGCAGCACGGCGATGTCCTGGATGCCGTTGTTGTAGCCGAGCCCCTGGTTGGGCGTCATATTATGGCAGGCGTCGCCGGCGAGGACTACGCGGCCGAAGCTCCAGTGCTCGACGACGCCCTCCTCGAGATCCGACATGCCGCCCGAGCAGCGCAGCGGCAGCACGTCGCGCACTCTCAGCGTCTCGCTTACGGCGTGGTCGCCGTTGCGCATCGCTAGCGCGTCAATATCCGCCGCCGTGTAGCTCACGCGGGTGCCGCGTGGCGGTGGTGCCGCGAGCCGCTCGTAGATGAACAGCCACGACCGGTCGGCGCCGTTGAGGCACTGCAGCGAGCTGTCTTTCCCGTGAACCTCGACGGCGTCGCCCGCCGCGAGGTCGCAGCCCACCGGCCGCAGAAACGTGCACCAGAACAGCCGGTACTCGCACGCGTACGGGTGCTCGTCGTTGACCTTTGGGGACGCGGCGCTGAGCGCCAGATGGCGCATCCGCTGCCGGACTAGGCTGTGCACGCCGTCGGCGCCGACCACCATCGACCCGCGGTGCGCGCTGCCGTCCTTGCAGTGCACCACGACGCCGTCGGCGCCGCTCTCGATGTCGACAACCTGTTTGCCCGTGAGCACGCGCGCCTTGTCGGCTGCGCTCAGCGTGTCGTACAGCACCTGGATGAGCTGCGCGCGGTGGAAGACGTGCTAGCGAATGCCGTGGCTGGGGCGAGATTCAGTTCGTGAGGCATCTCATGATGTCAGCCCAGAGTGCTCGCTCACTTCTTTTTCATAGCCTCGGTCGCCCACGACGTCTTGTACTTGTGCCCGCCCAGCTCGAGGCTCCGCGTGCACCCCAGCTCGACGCCGAGGGCCGTCAGGGGCTCGAGGATGCCCAGCTGCGTCAAGATGCGAAATCCCTGCGGCCACACGACCAAGCTGGCGCCGACGTCGATGACGACCTCCCGCCGGTGCTCGAGCAAGACATAGTCGATGCCAGCCTTGGCTAAGGCGTGGGCCGCGGTCAGGCCGACGGGGCCGCCGCCGACTACTATGACCTTGAATTCCGAGTCAGGTACCATTTTTGGGATTTTGAGGAAGGGTTGTGATTTTGAGGAAGGGTTGGGAAGTTGGACGTGCAACTATTTCAGTACCCACAGGGGAAGAGAATTTTGCCCGTTCCCTAGCAATAGGAATGGTGTTGCCTGACTGGTGCAGTCTCTGCTCGTGGCCTAGCCGGGTTCTCCCTGGCAATGGCGACTATTACTGTGGGTTTTGCTGGTTTTGCTGGTTTTGCTTGCGGAGCCCACCGAGGCGTAGTGGACGCCGGAGCCCTGCCGACTTGGCGACTTGGCAGAGGATTCTGTGCGGCGTACAGGATCGCGAGGGCCAGAGTTTTGACCAAGAATTTGCTTAGCTGCCTAACCAATATCGTTATACAAACTAAAACTGTGTTCTAAGTAATTCGGACTGCATCTAAGGTAGGTAATTATGCAATAACAACAAGACTGACACACGTTGCGAAACCCCCTATCCCGAGTTTACCCTAATCATAAGGTTCCCAGGCGGTGTCATCGTCGTCGTCCTCGTCCTCGTCCTCTTCGTCACTCTCGTCCTCGTCCTCTTCCTCGCTCCCGCCCTCTTCCTCATTCTAGCACTTAATGACATCCTCGGGAAGAAGAGCCTCGCCAGTGTACCAGTCGATGGCGTTCGGGATTAGTCTGTCCCTGATCTCCTCGCCTAGCTCGAAGTCGCACACATAGGCGGGACGTGTCTCGATGTCGACGTCCTCGGAGCCATTAGAGTAGTCAGGGGTGTAGCAACGGCCGAGTCCTTCAACGCTGCTGTCATTGCTGCCGTCGTCGTCGTCGTCGTCGTCGTCGTCGTCGTCGTCGCCCTCCTCGTCTGATTCGTCATCATCGGAGTCCTCGTCATCTGATTCCTCATCGCTGTCGTCGTCATCTGATTCCTCGTCATCTGATTCCTCATCGCTGTCGTCGTCGTCGCCCTCCTCCTCGTCTGATTCCTCATCGCTGTCGCCGTATTTGCCCTTGCAACTGGTGTCGTTGAAAAGGCCAAAAAACGACTCGCAGCGGACATTGTCTAATCGTCCATACAATGTACGGAATTGATGAGCTCCGTTTGGGTTGTAGAGCAAAGGCAGGAGGACACTTACACGGATCATTCGCCGGAGCCATGGTCAGGTCCATTCCGGTATTCCAGTCGATGCTGCACCCGGGAGCGTCGTCGTAGGCGAGCCCGACATGGATGTTGTCATCGACGCTCTTGCGTCGGTAGTAGAAGTCCTTTGTCAGGCTACTGTTCCGGAAGATCGGGTTGCTGTCAAACTCGAAGACGAGCCTGAAGGCGGACGCGACGGGCCCGGCGTCGTCCCCTCTGATGGGCTTGACGCTAATGTTTCTCAGGTACTTGAGCGCCTGCTCGTCGCGCGCTGTCACCCACTGCGCCACCTCGGGGTTGTTCTTCATCGCCTGCAGCCAGAACCCCGGAATTCCCTTCTCCTCTCCTCGGATTCGCTCGAGACTTGGCTGGACCCTGTGCGGGCCGCGGTAGAGCTGCAAGACTGTGCGCCCGTCACTGTCGCGGTAAACGAGCCTGCCCTCTCCGCCGATAATGTGCTTGCGTTGTTGGAATAGGTAGTGGCACTGGTCGTAGTGCTGCCGATCCAGCTGCCGCTTGCCGTCCTCGAGGTCCTGCTTGAAGACGCGGTATTGCCGCTGGAGATCGAGGAGCGCCCGGACGTGTAGCTCGCGGTCCGAGTTGTGCTCGAGGAAGTCGTCCTGGTACGGGGTGCGGTGAGGTTGTGGGAAGCCATTTGACGCCATGGTGCCTGTCAAGCACGAGATGTCCAATGTCGAGACCACACCTGAGTGTCTAGATACACGCTGCAACAGTACCTAGTGGTAAGGGGAGAAATGCCACCCGTCGAGCTAGGCCGCGTGGAAACGGTTTGTGCTTGAGCAACCGGGGCCCAGGAACAGGGCCCAAGGTGCCAACGGGTTTTTTATGGCATACACCGAGCACCTTAGAGCATACGTTGCCTGTACGTGTACATGGTTGCGGATTGCCGAGGCCCTAAGGGAAAAAGTCAAACAATTGCGTGCTCTCCGGCACAGGGCCTGTTATCACAAATTCATACCCCAGTTGAGGTATTCTTGTAAGGTAGCCTAAAGGCTGTTGATTGAGCTAAAGGCTGTCGATTGAGCTCCTCCTTGTGGAAGTTAAACCGTTAGAGAAACCGAACCGGCCCGATACATGTGACTTCCTTCCTGTCAGAAAGACCTACCTGAATCAGGTACGGTGCAGGGCAGGGCCTGCACGGGCTACTGTAATTAAACCACCTTTTCCACGAGGTCAACACGGGAATCCCGACCTGCAGGCGCAGAATTTTTCTTCTGCACACATCAATCAATACAAACTGCGAATACCCTCATTCTTGACGGTCTTGCATGCTATTTGGCTTCTGAGACTTCCCCTTACCAGCTCAGCCCCTTGCCCTAGTTTTATTCAACAAACACATACAAAGACTTGCCACAAGGTTCTTAGGAACGGGGCTTGCCATGCTCCGCAGCCGCAGCCGCGGCCTCAGCCTCAGTAAAGGGCACCAGGCGGCCCTTGATGACATGACAACCAAGGGCGCACTCGGGCGGCGCCAGCTCAACGTTGGACCAGCAGGGGCCGTTGGTGCCGCAGCTGTTGTCGCAGTCGCGGGCGTCGCAGTCGGCGTGGTTGTCGCACGGCACGCCGGTACAGCCGTCGCGCTTAGCGAAGATGTCGCGGATCGTGTCCGTGTTGCGCGAGACCCGGGTTGGGTTAGCTTTTAAGTTGTGGATTTCGGGAGAGGTACGGTGGGTATCAATGGCTGGCGTGCCGTTTCGTCTGCAGCGATCAGGGTGCGGCCAAGCTGGCGAAGAGCGAGAGGCTGGCGAAGAGCGAGAGGCTGGCGAAGAGCGAGAGGCTGGCGAAGAGGTGAGCGAGCTACATTTTTGCGGTTGGCGATGGGGATAGACTCGTTTGGGGAACGAAAATAGTACAAGTGAAAATGCAGATGAGGAAGTCCTGAGATTATGTTTGACTCTCTGGTGTGCTGGAGAGAGAAGCTAGACTGAAGGTGGATAATTATTGCTCCGATTTGCAGCTTGCTGGTGATGCCGGTGATGCTGGTCATTGAAGGTAGATAATTATTGCTCTGATTTGCAGCTTGCTGGTGATGCTGGTGATGATGAAGAACACCCAACAGATATTCGAGGGAGAGAGGTTTTATACATTCTTAGTATCTTTCTTCCCCCATCCTTATTCCTTCAGACTTAGATTTCTTTAGACAGTCGCTAACTGATCCTCGCTCGTTCCCGAATATACCCATGCATTGCGAGGCACAACACCTGAGCCCAAGGATAAGGCCCAGAATCCCCTGCGCTCAGTGCGCAAGTCTCATGCGAGCCGGCTTGGCCGACGCACGCAATTTTACGGACCAGACAGGGGGCGAAGGTGGTCGCGAGTGGCGGGCTGTAAGGCTGCCCGAACCTGTGCCACACACCTAGGAGGACAATTTAGTTCCAAGCCACCGATCTTTACACGACATCACAACCATCACCAATCTAAAGCGGGCCAGTCAGTAGGTGAGGAAGGCGCAGGACGGGTTTGATTCTGCGCTGCTACCACAAGACCCAAGAATAAGATCTTTCAGAGGGCCCCTCAGTTTCTGCTCTAGCCCTAGGCCCGCTCAATCAATCCTTGGGTCCCACGCCGTACTGTCCGGTCTCGTAAAAGTTCCTAGCAGGGAAGCCGAGGTTCTCGGCAATCAAGCCGATCATTTGCTGTCCGTAGTCTTTCATATCGTTGTACTCCTTGAGCAGCTTGACGTGGGATTGGATAGTGACTTCTGCCGGTTGGCTAGTTGCGCAATGGTTACATGTCAGAAATTGCAGCACAGTGAGCAAAGGGGCGGCAGCACAAGCGAATCACCGATTCCGGTCTCACCTCAGGCTCGCTCTCTCTGCTTCAAAGGCTACTACGGCTTCGACGAGTGCAGCTATTTCCTTTTCTGCCCGTTCGAAGGCGTTGCACTGTGATAGAGGAGAGTTGAGCCATTGGGCACTACTCTGCGAGGCGACACGGGACGCAAACTTACCACCTTTTCCATGTATCCAAGGAACTGGCCCGAGACGAGAAGAGCACAGCGAGGACGTGAGGTTAGCAGTGTGTAGAAACAAATAATTAGGGATCCTTAACCTACGCCCGCGATGAAATCAGCTTCGGCTTCGTCATGCGGCATGATGCTGACACCAGGAAAAAGGCAGGTGGGGGCCCTCATGATTTCTATCCTGCCATCCTCTTTAGTGTCGACTTTGAATCCCCATTGGTTGGCGTTCTTTAAGAGCGACGCGGTCATGCTGCTCGGGGCGCGCTCGGCCTCGACTAGGTCCTTCTTGTACGCGCTAAGCCGGCGCTTGACCCATGTGGGCATGTTGCCGTAGTCGCGCCCGGCCTCGAGGTGGTGGTCAAGCCATCGGTCAAAGGATGCGATGAGAGACAGCTGCGTCTGCACTGCCGACGACAGCACCGCCGACGACAGTAGGCGAGGAGTGGGAGGTGGCTTGATCTCGTCCATCGTCCCCTTGCCGTTCAGCGGCCCTGGTTTTGAAACTAGAGGCGGCCGAGAAAAAAGTTTGCGGCACAACTTTACCGAACGTATTATGTGAAATACCAGAGCTTGAAAGCAATGGAAACGAGAGAAAGTCATCAGGGCAGGCACAGTGCACACAACCACTGTACCAGAGATTCGCACCGTGCCGCCGGGCCTTTGGCAACCCTTTTGGAGCTTGTAGGATACCCTTTTGGAGCCTGTAGGATAGAAGAAAGCTGCCCACTATCCCCCAAGGCCCTCCAAACGTCGGTAGATACTTGCAAGGCACTTTGGGCTAATAGCTGCATATTTGCGTGAAAGGCAAAAACTACCGACTTCTTTGCCGCAGCGCTGCCACAGTCTCTAACTCTCCTACTATGTGCAAGCGCAAGCCCCTTCCGCCCGGGCCCATCATCCGTCCCCGTTCCTCCGCCCAAACAGGTCTGTCATGCTCAGCCGCGTCCCCACCACCAAATTACTGCTACCAGGAGTATCTGCGCCAGACTCTGAGACGGCTGCGCCGTGATTTCTGTCTCCCAAGCGCTCGTTTGCCAAGTGCTCGGCGGCGGCGGCGGCCTCGAGGAACGAGTCGAGGGCCAGGCGGGCCTGCTGCCAGGCGCCGCGGATGATGGTGTTGTTGGCCTCGCGGGTGTCGTCCTCGTCGGCGTGGATCCAGATGCCAATGACGCGCTTCTCGGCGGATCCGCCGCCTTCTTCGGAGCTGCCAGAGCTGCCAGAGCTGTCGTTGTCCTCGAGCCGGAAGATGAGCAGCTCGCCGACCACCTCGCAGTCGCTGACACGCATGAGATCGACGACCACGTTGTCCATGCCGCGCCGATTGAGCACAAACACGGACACCTGCGGCAGCCCCTGCCCGTTGGACGCCACGAACGGGTCCTGCTCACACACAAACATTGTTCCCTCGACGCCGTGCTTGTCCCAGCCCTGTGTCGCCTCCGAGAAGACGTACACCACCGCGTTGGCCGCGATAGACAGGATCCCGCGTATGCCGGGCAGGTAGCGTCCCAACACGCTCAGGTTGAGGTCCGTGTTGGAGCGCGTCGGGACGTGGAGGGTGCGGGGCAGCTCGCGCGCCTCCATGTAGTGTGCCGCATCGGAGTCGTAGTCGGACGCCGGAATCTGGCGGGGGCCGCTGTTGCTGTGCTGGTTCCGGTGCCGCGGCTTGCGTGGCGTGGATTTGCTCATTGTGGAATTGTTGGGTGGAGAGGAAGGCAGGCCGCCGCGAGCTGCACAGCGGCGATGGCCTGAGCTGTCGGGTGGCCGTTCGCTGGCAGGCGACGCTGTGCGCGGTCGGAATCGGTCGTGTGTGCTTGCAAGCTAAGCGCATGCACCAAAGTGGCCGATGTGCATGTTTTGTACTTGGGGTAAGGCGGCGCGCGCTTGCTGGAGCCGCTAGCGGTCGGTGTTGAAGTGGGATTGCGGTTGTGATTGCTGTCTCGATGGAAACAAAATTGTCTGGCTCTGGCGCTGGTGTGGCTCTTGGTAACTGTAAGGGGGCGGTGGTAAGGCGGGCGGTGGTAAGGGCGGGCGGTGGTGGGGCCGAGCTGACTGAGGGGCATCGGTACGAGCCAATGGCCATTCGCCCATAGATAAGAACTGTGCCAAGCTAGCTGCGATAAGGACCCGTCGACCCGTCGCTTGGCAATCTGCCACCAAGCGTCATCGCGTGGCTCCAACTGCATCTGGTGCCTGGAACCTGGTGCGGATCCATGTGGTTGCCAACCGTGCCGTTCCCAATAAGTTTCAACCTCTTCATCCGGTCCTGCTCGCGCCATCGCCCAGGCCCAGCTCATGACTCTCTAATTCGACTCCTGTTCTCCTTTCTTCCTCACAGACCTTCTGCTACTCTCCTGGCTTTTTGCCTGCTGTATTATTTGCTTGTGATCTGCTCTTTTTTGTCGGCGATACTCGATATATAGTGCTCTGCTCCGAGTCCTCCCAACCAGACCACCTATTCGTTCCTGCTGCTCGGACTACCCAAACCCTCAATACCCTGTTCCAATTCGATGGCCATGGTTCGCTTGCGGCAGTGGCTTGGCTTTCCTTGATACTATCTGAACAACGCCCACCAAACCCTAGCCGAATTCTAGCCGTCGAAGCCGACCTCGAACTGCTGCCCTCCCACGCCATGGAGTCATCACAGCAACCCCCTCCCCCGGGGTCGACTACGAGCGAGCCTGTCGATCTCGCCACGACAAACCCCTATTCTCTGCATCAGGCAGTCTACGCTCGGCGCGCCGAGTATGTCCGCCCCCACCGTATCCGCGTCAAGATTGGAACATGGAATGTTGCGGCCTGCCCTGGCACGGATAAGGACCTGGCTGGTTGGTTCGTTTCTGGAAGGGGCCTCGATGCAGCTCTGACATCGCTGGACCTGTCCGACAATCCGGTAGTGGAAAAAGACGGCCCGGTCTCTCCCTCGACCGACGCTGTAGGCGAGCATGCCGTCCACCTGGTGGGCGGAGACAAGGTCGGGCTCTACGTGCTGGGCTTGCAAGAGGTTGTCGACCTAAACACGCCTGCATACATGGCCCGGGTCTATGCGGCGGATCACGGGCCCGTAGGTAAGTGGAGAGATGCTCTGGATTCGGCCCTGCCCCCGGGCTACCAGCTCATCGTCGCCGAGCAAATGTCGGGAATCTTGCTCTTCGTATACGCATCTCCAGATGTGGTCCCGACTATCAGCAACGTCAGTAGCACAAGCGTGGGGACCGGCGTGCTCGGATATCTGGGGAACAAGGGTGCTGTTGTTACCCGCCTGATCCTGGGCGACTCTACAAGAATGCTCTTTGTCAACTGCCATCTGGCGAGCGGCAACGAGGCTTCGTACGTCGAACGGCGCATCTGGGACGTCGGGACCATCCTGAGTCGCGCCCAGTTCAAGCCAGCCTCCATTGCCGGTGTCTCTGAGGATGACCCGGAGAAGATCGGCGACGAGGACTTCGCCTTTTGGCTAGGCGACTTGAACTTTCGCCTGGACGGCATCCCCAGCGATGACATTCGCCACCTGCTAATGCTGCATTCGCGAGGAGAGTACGACTTATCCAAGAGAGGTCTCCCGCGCGAAGACTCCCTGGAGGGCGAAGGCGTAGTCGTGTCATCTGAGGGTAGCGAGGAGACGACGGACAGAGAGCCGACTGCGTCCAGCTCCCGTGCCCGTGCACAAGACGACGACGACTCTGAGTTCTTGCCCGACCCAGATGACTTCGTGCCAGATCCCCACGAGGATCCCGCCTCGCTTCAAGCCACGTTGGACTCTCTGCTGCCGCACGATCAGCTGAAGCGCGTTATTAGGCAGCGGAAGATCTTCCACGACGGCTGGCGGGAAGGGCCCATTACCTTTTTGCCAACGTATAAGTACGACGTTGGTACAGTAGGCCTCTTTGACTCGAGCGAGAAGCGGCGTGCTCCGAGTTGGTGCGACCGGATCTTATATCGGAGCCGCAAGGACAAGGAAGACTTTGAGAAGAAGATCAAGGAGGAAGAAGACGCCCGAAAGAAGGACGAAGAGATGAGAGCGCGTGGGATAGACCACGCCGCCGAGGAAGACGAGGTGTTGTTCGACTACGGCCCCGATCCAGACGACGATAACCAGCCGCAGGAGTCACCGGGGTTAGACTACGACGAGTATGACGACGGCGAAGAGGGCAACGTGGACCAGATCGTGACCAAGGAGGGGTTCAACGACAAGATACATCTCGATATATACACATCGCATCAACGCATTACGTCCTCAGACCACAAACCCATTAGTTCCGTATTTACGCTCGATTACGACGCCGTTGTCCCTGAACTCAAGGCAAAGGTCCACGCCGAGGTTGCACGGGAGCTTGACCGTGCCGAAAACGAAGGCCGACCTGGGATTACCGTTGTGGTAGATCACCCCAACCCGCACAGCTCAGAACAATCCGACCGCCATGGGGACCCTCCAGAGCACCTGGTTGACTTTGGTGAAGTACGCTTCATGAAAAAAGAGACATCGACCCTAACCTTGGCCAACACCGGCCGCGTGCCAGCAACTTTCTTGTTTGTCGAGAAGCCCACGACCGGGGATCCCGACAACTCCACTCTGCTGCAGTGGCTGACGGCGTCGTTCATTCGCCCGGAGCCCTCTGGTGACGAACCAGAGTCTTTTGAACTCGGCAAGGAGGTTACACTAGAACCCGGCGAAACCGTGCAAGCTCTCCTAGAGGCCTCTGTCAGTGAGATATCACATGCGCGGATGCTCAACGACGGCGAAGCGAGCCTGGAGGAAGTCCTTGTTCTCCGCGTCACGGACGGCCGAGACCACTTCATCCCGATCCGAGGAACGTGGGCTCCAACGTGCATCGGCCGCTCCATCGATGAGCTTATTCGGATTCCCGAAGGGGGTATTAGAAAGCTCGCCAAAGCTCTCTTGGAGAAGAAGGTCAGGGCAGGACCGATCCCATATGACCTTGACGTTCATAGCGCCGCCCCCAGAGAACTCTTCCGGTTCACGGAAGCTATCGAGACGCTAACTGAGCGTGCTCTAGCGGACGAGCAAATGGTTGAAGACTGCAGGATACCAAAGGACGCCGGCTGGCCTTTTGAAGAGAGCACCTGGAAGTCGAGCGATGGGGATTCCAGAGCATCGCTTGTCGTCGACATCATCGACGCCCTCGATCACGACAGACCAATTTCGGATGCATTTGCGCCCGAGACTTCTTGCATACAGCGCCTCGAGGCTGTCGGGGAGGCACTCCTTCTCTTCCTACGAGGCCTGACAGACGGGGTCATCACGACGTCGATATGGGATCGCATTGAGCAGGCAGCCCTACCCTCTCTTAGTCCGTCTGCCGCGGCTTCAAGGCCTCCTCCGGGCGCCGACTTTGAGGCCGACAAGACCACCATCTTGGATATTTTGTCCACTACGCCCAACCACAATATATGTTTTGTATTCCTGACCGCGACCCTGGCTAAGATCGTGGCCGAACTCTCGCCCCTGAGCAGAGCCGAACTAGAGGCCCTGAAAGCTGACTCTGGCTCTCGAGTCATGGGTGTTCTCGGCCGGAGATCACTCAGCTTCCGCCGAGGCGGGACGTCGCCGGCTGCCGAGGCCGCGGCTGCTTTTGAGAGGAGGCAGACTCGGGAGCGGCGGTTCGCAGAGGTATTTGGTCGAGCGATCTGTCGGGCCCCTGTTCCGGAAAGGGAGAGGGACAAGAAGCTTGTCGAGGATCGGGAGCGTGCCATCGTCGAGCTCTTTCTCCGCCGCCGCGGGGATAGCTAAGATAACTTGTACGCGACATTTAAGAGAGCAGCCCCTAGATCACAGATGTAGTGGAATATGACAAAGTTTTGTATGGTTATGTTCTGCCGTTGTGAGTTTTGGTGTTCGGTGGACTTTGGACCTTGACTCTTTGGGTGCCGTGTTCGGCACTCGACGGCGTGCGTCTAGAAGCACAACGCTGCGTCTAGAAGCACAACGCTACGTCTAGAAGCACAACGTGGTTTCTCATCTCCATGCTTGATGTTTGCAATCAGCCTGCGATTAAGTTAGCTTACCCAGATTTGGCCAGGCCCCACTTTTGGCCCGGGCGCCGCCCGCACTTACACAACGCAACGCATGACATTTGAAGCTATAGAAAAAGGTCAAATCAACTAATTACAATGCAACTTTCGTCTTCTTCTTCATCTTCCGAGCCCTCTGGTTCGTCTGAACTGTCAATATCGCGCCCAGCTGCCCTCTGTGCCTTGCGAATGTCCTCAATCGTAGCAAACTTGGAATTCGGGCTCAATTGGACCTTCTTCTTCTTGCTGCCTTTCTTGTTCTCAATTTCGGCCTTGAGAGCTTCATTCTCACGTCGTAGCTTAGCCAATTCGAAGTCCTTGATGTTGAATGCCTTTTCGATCTTCCTGAATAGCGTACGGCGAGTGCGGCGAGCCGCCGAATGTATGTTCAATTTCGCCAGGGAGACCGTGAGCTCCGTGACCTTTTGAGGAGTCTTCTAGACGCCGTATTTATCATATACCTGTTGCTGCAGGTAAGCTAATGACCTGGCTTCCTCCAGGGCCTGTGAAGCTGTATTTGTGGTGCCTTGGTTCCTGTTTTCTAGCAACAACTTGCTTCGCAGGGGCTTTTGCTTGTTGACAGGCCACAACCCGGCGGCATGCCAACCTACCTTGCAGTTGCTGGGCTGAAATGCGGTTTTCCGGGCTTTTAAATAACAAAGCAACATAAGCCGGCGCCCTAGAACCGTGCTGTGCGATAACGTCGGCCTGCTATTGAGCTCCTTCCTGTATGCCCTCTTCAGGACTGAGAAGACAGTCAAATCGAGAGGTTGAAGAACATGAGAAGCGTGTGGAGGTAAATAAAGAAGGTAGATGTTGTTTTGGAAGCATGACCACATATAATCATCGGTGGTATGACTGCCGTGGCCGTCAATAATAAGTAGTCGTTTTTCTCCGTTGGCTGGCCGGGTCCTAGGAATGAAGACCTTCTGAAGCCATTCCAATGCCCTTGCATCGTCAATCCAGCCTTTTTCCTGGCTTGTGAAGTGCCAACCAACAAAGCATTTGAGCTTTTCTGGGTAGTGTTGTTGTTGAACGGTCTTTCCTTTCATAATGACCGCAGGAGGTAGGGACTGGCCAGTCGCAGAGATACATTCCACGAAGGTAGTCCAGCTGCGAGATCCGGGTTGTTCCTTCATCAACACCTTGTTTTCTGAGCTTCCTATGACCTGGCCGTTGGAACCCTGGCCTTCAAGAATGCCTGTCTCATCTTTATTCCAACGGTGCTCGGGCTTGATGCCCCGAATAACCGGGAGGGCCAGGTATTCGAACCAGGCCGTCACGGCTGCCTTCGTAGCTCCGTTGAGGCGCACCGAGTCGATCCGCTGTGCTCTCTGGGTCCTAATGGTCGGGTTCCGGGTCATGAAATGCCGCACCCACTTCACCCCGATCTCGTCAGGCTTCCCGAGCTCCCGGGCCAGCCGGCGGGCGAATTCCCTAACCTGCGCATGCGTAGGAGGCAGGCCGAGGGCACCCTGCATGACGATCCACTCGGTCAAACGCTCTTCCACAGGCTTATCTAGAGTCTGAATGTGTTCAAACGCAATGCAACGGGCTTTTGTGCCGGCCAGCCGGTGCCGAAGTGTACTCCTCGGCACACAATATTTTGCTGCCGCCTGACGCACACTGCTGCCGTCTCGCACAAACTTCATCGCGGTCAGCATCTCCAATTCGTCGTATTCAGGCATGGTAAATAGAGGATTGATTGAGCTCTCGATTAACCAAGAAATGGAAGAATTTGGTCTTGTTTTGAGGAAGTTGCGGTGTGATGAAGAAAAATCGGTCAATCACCCTTGGTGTAAGTGCATGGTGGCTTGCGCATGGGCCAAATGTAGGGCCTGGCCAAATCTGGGTTAATTAACTTAGGCTTTACTTTTCGAACGATTTCCCTTGACCGGGGGGGCGATCGATGCAAGTCACGATACCGATACCGGGCCAGAGCCTGATTTGCTGGCCAGTTCCTCTCCCGAACCAAGCCAGCAATCCAACGGACCTCTCTCTCCTCGGACGCAGTTCCGATCTGCCCTGCGATTGGTCCGAGAGGTCATTGGCGAGGAGCGTCGGCTCACTCAGGAATGTATCCGGTCTTTCGAAAGAGTATGCGCCTGGCGTGAGAAATGGGGTTGGTCGCCGACTGGTTCCGATACACTCGACAGCCCTCCACCGTATTCGCCACCTCGCTCGCCACCTCGCTCGCCTAGAGCCGATCCAGCCAGCAGTACATCTCCGAACCCAAGCTCGACTTCTGCCCTCTCTGCCTCGCCGGCTCCGCCTTCGATCCCCAACCCACCTATCCCAGGTAACTCTGCACCTTCAGCGGAGGTTCTCTTTGGCTTGGTCAATATATTTGCCAAAGCTAATGGCTTTGGCATTGTTCGGCGACAAGGATATTCATATATGGGTCGGAGGATCCGATACTCGTTCCAATGCGATCGGTTTGGAGAGCCAAAACCCTCTCGCGGTGCAGGACTACGGGAGCGAAAGAGCAGGAAGTGTGGCTGTCAGTGGATGCGAGGCCCAGGCGCTGAGTATTTAGGCAATCTGTCAGGAGTGATATCGTCGAAAGCGCTAGGGTTAATTACTAAACAGTATCGGCTGGCGCGGAAGGCAATACCGACGGGGAGGGTTCCTCGCCCGGCCCCGCTAGGTGATTGTACGGATGATTGCTCGGTCTCGACGGAACTTGGGATCCCTTGCCCGCACACGATCTACGCCAAGCTTACAGACGCCGGCGCATTCACCAAGTGGGAGGTTCACCCACGATGGCACTTGCAACAGTCCACATCTCGCAATCCTTACCGGCGAATCCTCGACCCAAGGATTGCAACCAACCTCCGTGGCAAGCCTAAGAATACTAAGGAGGCAATTCCGTTGCAGCTTACAGTCCGGGCGCTAGATCAATCGAGGTCCCAGCCCGCTAGCCAGGCCAGTCAAAGTCGACGGGGTCGGCCGCGAGGGAGCCGGAACAAGTCGACGCTGGCTCGGCTGGCGCTGGAGGAGGGCCAGGAAGAGAGTAGCCAGGCGAGCATGCCATCCCCGCGCAGGACACGAAGCCAGTCGGCCTTACTAGGGGCTGGGAACACGACAGGCGCCCGCGCCAGCGGTCGTAGGTTACAACCCAGCATTCGCAGGCGACGGAGCCGGTGGGAGATATTGAGTGATGATGTATAGAGGTGACGGCTGTAAATTATAACTTCGGGTCGCTCTTTCCTTAGTATTATAACTTATATACGTAACCGAAAAACCTACTAATTTACTTCACGGGCTTGAGCCGGAGTTTCAGTCTTTAAAGTTGCCTCCCTCGATGCCGACCGTTTTTAAAGTCTGCAAGTCGGGCTCGAGCCCGACTTGCGTACCCAAAACTGCTTTAGGCATGTTAAGCGAACTGGCTTCACCGCTTTTGGTGGGGGAGTCCTGCACTAATAATAAAAATTGGGCCTATCAACGACCGGGATTTTCATGCCTCCCTAAGAGTCATGCCTCCCTATCAATTGCCATTTTTTTTTCTCTTTTATTTTTTATTTTTTATTTTTTCGACTCTTCTTCTTCTCCCGTGCGTGTTTTTAAACTTGTTTTATCAACTCGTTTTTAAAACGTTTTAAATTCCAATCGTTTCGTCCTCCGGCACTTATGTCCTGTTAATGATTTGTGAACCTGTGTGATGGCCATAAATTGCAATGTTGCGAGATATCTACTATATCTACTGTCGCATACCTAAGTGTACGATAAGTGACACGCAGGCGCTTACTATCTGCTCACGGCACTGCAAGACACCTACCCCATGGATCGCCGAATCTGGAACGCCGTGTTGAGAAAGATGAGCTGAAGTAGGGAGGCTCCATGCAGCTCCTCTTTGCGAAAGCCCAAAATGAGAAGCATCTCAACCTGGCACAAGTCTAGAAGACTGACAAGAAGAACGATAAGTCAAAGAACACCAGAAATCGGCTCATAATCTATCGTAATTGTCGAACCGCATTATTGTCTTTTACAAGCTGCTAGTTAGTCGGTTCTGCTGTTTTTTGACTTCCATCCTCGGCCTTCGTTACCTCCATAGTTACCGTCGATCAAGAGCCGTCCAACTCGCCGGCTTATGAGACAACACCTTTGGCACAGCCTTGAGACGTTTCCCATCCATCTGAGATTCCGACCCACAGCTTCACCCTGATGAGGTTACAGAAGGATAAACCGTAACCTAAACTGCGATAGCCACGACCTGAAAGTATGCCCCTATATGAACCTCGGTGGCAGCCGCGTTTATGACACGGGGTTTAGAGCTTGAGGGGTAACCCACCTTAATATTGGAGGGTGTCAGTCGGGGTTCGAGCTTTATAGTATTAAGGTTGCCCCCTCTCGCGTATACGGGAGGTTCCGGCCAGCAGTAGTATTGGTTACGTGGTGTGTAGGTTTGGAAGGTCTTGCTACGTGGTGTGTAGCTTTGGAAGGTCTTGCTACGTGGTGTGTAGCTTTGGAAGGTCTCGCTTGTTTAATGTGTTGATTAATACGCCTAAACCGGGATCCATAGAGGCCAACTCACACGAATAGGGATGTGGAAACGTTGCTGCCATGGATAAACATAATAGATACGGAGGAAAAGATCCACGACGTGGGCTGCTACATGACAGTTGCAACACTTGGAAGGCAAGTATAACAACGGCGGGGCGAATGCTCAGGGCGGATTCTCCTGGGCAAACATGATGCGTTCGTTGCAGAGCTCCTACGATAACGTGGCCTCGGCTGAATTGCATGCGTCTGTCAACGAAGATATTGATTAAACAAGCAGAAACGATGACCAGATCTAGGGGAGAAACAAGTCCGGTCTTCGACACTTGCCTGGGCGAATGCCATATGGAGCGGTGACAATGGCGATGCCAAAAATAGCCCCCGCGGCGCACCTCTGACCTGTTCCCCCACTCTCGTGTGCCCGAGGGATATTATTCGAGATGCAAGGCCCCGAGAACTCTTCTTTCGGAGAAGTGGACCACTAATATCTAGCAGATTAATTATTCCGCCTCAAGCTATCTGGCAGGACTGCAACTCTACCAAGGGGGTGCTGTTTAGCCTATGTCCAGCCTGTTTCTGGCTGGGCCGCTGCAGCGAACCCGGGTCGTATAAATGTCTGGGAACCAGAAGCCCGGTTCGCCTGCACTCTGCAGAGGGCTCGGGGCGGATGAATGGTTCGCGCGTCGTGGAATGGCCGTGCATGTTGATCCATCAGGATTGCATTTGGCGAGTTGGTGTGGATCTGCAACGTGTGGTTGACCACCACCACACAAACGCCGTGGCTCATTGCAACGCCGTGGCTCATTGCAACGCCGTGGCTCATTGCATTGGTATTGGGCGCGGCTCCAATCGGGCAGAAGCTGCCCGCCTAGTCTCCTTCGAGCCGGCGGCATGGCCCTTCCTATCAAGGCATATGGCTCGAAGCCTGGGCCCCGCGAGGCGCGCGGGCTGGACGAGCTAGCCACGAGCGGACTGCAACCCGGTCCATCATCTACGGGCCGGCCTGCAGTGGGATTTGCTTGGTTGCCAGTGCCAAGTATTTTTGCAGCCTGGGACGCTGTCGCTATTAACCACTGCTCTTCCCACGGTCCAGAACCCCGCCAGTTCCAGCCGTGTTTGTCTTGCCTGGCCGCCGTGTATAGTACGTCTTCTTGTTCGGTTGCCTGGGTTGTAATTTTTCCGTCTTTGAATTTCCCATCCCGACTGCGTGGTGTTTCTTCAGTGGCTTCCCGTCAGGTGAATTGGGTGCGTAATAGGGGTCGGGATCCTAAAGCAGCAGCTACGCCCGGCTGGCAACAGCGGACAAAAGGTGCTTGACCGGACCCAGGTGTTGGAAGTGCAAAGTCTTGGCACAATGTGGACGCAGCTCCTCCTGTTTTTTGCTGGCCTCGATCTCCGACTCGTGGCAGCAAAATCAAACTGCCCGCTGTATGGCCCGCTCCTCCCGAAACCGCAAAACCTCCTAAACGACGCCGGGATCAAGAGCGCGGCAAAGGCGCTCGACGACATCTTCGTCAAATACATCGACAACGACAATAGCACGGGGTCGGACCACTTCTCGTATTCCGTCGAGGTCTTTTCGGGGAGCGAAGACAAGGCGCTGTGGTCGCACTACTGGACCGCCCCGAACCTCGGAGGGCTCAACTCGAGTGGCGTCAAAAGCGTCGACGCCGACACCGTCTATCGGATCGGTAGCATCACCAAGGTCTTTACCGTATTGACCTTCTTAGCCACCATCGGCGACGGGATCTGGAACGATCCCATCACCAAGTACATCCCCGAGATTGCTGCTCTCGTCAAGAGCACCGCCGACGAATCCATATTCTCCACCGACTGGGAGGCAATAACCGTAGGCTCTCTGGCCAGCCAAACGTCTGGTTTGATCCGAGACTGTGAGTGATCTGCAGTGTCGCGCTGTCCCCGACATCTGTACCCCAGACAGGAGTTCGACGCTGATCAATGACGCTCGTGACACGTGGCAGATGCCCTGCTCGGAGAGGTTACCTACCAACTTTCTCTCGATACCTTGTACGGCCTGGGGTTTCCACCTGTACCCACCGCCGATATACCGCCGTGTGGCGTGAATCCGACATGCAATAGAGAGCAGCTCTTCGCGGGACTCGGCAAGCTGCCACCGTCGTTTCCACCGTCTGCGACCCCTGCCTACTCGGATCTCGGCTTCACTCTCCTATCGTACGTGGCTGAGCACATCACAAGCAAGGACTTCAAGACGCTGGTGCGCGATGCCGTGCTGAAGCCTCTGGGTCTCTCCCACACCTTCATCTCGGTCCCCAACGACGCTCTCGGCATCATCCCCGGAAACAGATACAGCACGTCTTGGGCGTTTGACCTGGCCGAGGAGGCGGCGTGAGTAATCTGCTCTTCATTCAGCATTGCCACCTACATACAAGGTGGGTGTTTGCGGGTGGCTGACCTGTTATTCTTTCTAAATAGGACCGGGAACATGTATTCGTCGGCAGGCGACCTGTCATCCCTCGGCCGGGCAGTCATGCGGTCGACGCTGCTGAAGCCGGCCATGACGCGGCGGTGGCTGAAGCCTGCCGCGTTCACTTCAGATCCCGTGGCTGCGGTGGGGATGCCGTGGGGAATTCGACAACTGGGTCTCAGTAAAGGTCGGTGAACACACATGATTATCTATCCATCACGGTTACCGCAGACCTGTCTAACCTTGCCGACGTGCTCTGGACAGATCAGCCGTACCAGTTCGTGCACACCTTCAACAAGGCCGGCAGCTTGGGCGCCTACAGCTCGCTGCTCGCCATCATCCCGGAGCTCGACATTGGCTTCACAATCATGGCGGCTGGCGACCCACCGCCAGGGCTGGCCATGGACATCGCGGACACGCTGACCAGAACCTACCTGCCGACCATGGCGTACGTGGCGCGGACCCAAGCCAAGGCCACGTTTGGTGGGCGTTACCGGCACACGGGGCCAGCCACGGCGAGCAACTACACGGGGCCAGCCACGGCGAGCAACTACACGGGGCTAGCCACGACGAGCAACTCAACAAGCGGCTTCGGCAACGCTACGGGGCCCTACGCTAACTCATCTGCACCGCTCAACTCGTCGCTCACCATCACGGTCGACGCGGACCGGCCGGGCCTCGGCGTGCTGGACTGGTTCTCCAACGGCACCGACATGGCATTTGTGGCGACGGCCATCGGGTCCAACGTGACGAGCGAGTACTTTGACAAGATGAAGCCCAGCGTGCGGCTGTACCCGACGGGGCTCGAGCAGCCGGCAAGCTCGAATGCGGGGGGCAAGCGCGTCGCCTTCAAGGCCGTCTTTGAGGATCTCAGCTTGCCCGCGCGCAATGCCAGCTTCTCGACCGACTGCGCGACCTGGGTCACTGCCACGGCCGTCGTCTATGCCAAACGCCCGCTGGATCTCTTCATCTTTGATTTCGACCGCGATGGCAAGGTCACGGCGGTGGAGAATGCGGCGCTGAGGATCAGGCTAGACAAGGTTTCATGAGGGCGATAGTTGTCGATATTCTGCATGGGCGGCAAAGTTTTATGAGGGGCGATAGCTGTCGATATTCTGCATGGCGGCAAGGTTTCATGAGGGGCGATAGTTGTCGATATTCTGCATGGGCGGCAAGGCTTCATGAGGGGCGATAGTTGTCGATATTCTGCACGGGCAGCGATATGGGCGGAGAGGTGCATATATGCGGGACTGGGTAAGTAATATGGAGCATGACGGGGTGGTTGCGCTGAGTTATAATTAATGGTTGTGCATAAACTATCAAACACAAGGCTGCAACTATTTTCTTTCATTCCGTGTCTCCAGATAACAAATAAATATCTCGTGTCTTTGATGCCACGTTTGGCATCCGTTTCTTCTTTTTCTTTGGGCGAAACCTCCATCCTGTGAACACACCGAGAAGCCAGCCCCTGAAGCCAGCCCCTGAGACCGCCAAGTGCTATTTGGCCCGTGCGTAACTTTTGTTGGGAAATAAGGGTCGAGCGCCAAGGCAGGCCCCGAGGCTGTCGGCTTCCAGTTCGGTCCCTGGAAAGCTTGCGTAATCCCGCACGGTTAGCTTTCTTAGTGGCCACCAAGAACTTCTAGCTCGGTTTCCAGTGTTCTCGTGGCGCTGGCTCTACTAACTGCTATTTTCAATAGAAAACCATGCCTCGAACTCCCGTTCTTGGATTTCTCTTGCCACCTGGCCATCAGCGTAACCAACCGGCCTCTCGTTCTTCGATTTCTCTTGCCTCTCGGCCATCAGCGTAACTAACCGACCTACCGTTTTCCCTCCAGCCGAGAAGTTGTGGCAAATACCGCGGACATCCACCCGGTAGCGGTTTAAACTTTGAACCAGAGGACCCTGCCTCGTGCAGGAACACACTCGGCGCCACCTACGTTTCCGAGTCTGCGCGTCCGCTTATGAGTCTCTCGTTTTCTGCACACGCACGCACGCCCAGCATGACTCTCCTGCACCTCGGACTCGATATATATCAGGTGCCTCCGGTGCTACTGGCTTGGGTGAGGGGGAGTACTGGCTTGGGTGAGGGGGAGTACTGGCTCGGGTGAGGAGGAGAACTGGCTTGGGTGAGGGGGAGAGCGGTGGTCTAAGAACAAGGCAACCTCTGCATCGTCCGACCTGCTGCATCTTGCGGCCCAATACTATGCAGAAAACAATCTACTTTTCTCTAGATCCCAAGGTGCGGATCCCAAGGTGCGGCTCCGCCGCTATTGGTCCTCTTCCCCTTTCAACCGCCTCCAATGTACGCTGCAGGACATGTTAGGGCTACTGCAGGGCCTGCTTGGAGACCTGATACACGGGGCACAGAAGAGACGCAGTTGCCACGAGGGCCGGCTCTTCATTCCCCTGGGGACACTTCATTCCCTGGGGACACTTCATTCTCCTGGGGACACTTCATTCCCTGGGGACACAATGCACAGCAGCAGGGATTGAATGCATGTACATATCATTTCCTGGGGACACTCCATTCCCCTTGGGACACAATGCACAGCAGCAGGGATCGAATGCATGCACATAGAAACAATAAAGCAGATAACTTGGCACATACTTCAGGGCCTAGGCTGCAGGCTTCTTGACGTCAACATGGTTCACGGAATCTTGTGACTCTACTGGCTCATGTTTTCTTCAGATCTTCTCAGCGCTCGCCGTTTTCCGACCCTTCTATTCTCTCATCTCCGAATACACTGTGTCATCTCCGAATCCACTGTGAAGATCACACCCCTCCCTTCCTCGTCGCCCGAACAACAAACACAAACGTCCGGGACCATGCTGTCGCGGCATCTACTCCCACTGGCCGCTGCCGCTGTCGGCATCTCGGCGACGACGCTAGACGCAGTGCTCGACTCACAGAACGCGACGCTGTCGATCCTCAACAACTACCTAACGAGCCAGCAGGAGCTCTTCAACACGCTCATCAACACGCCCAACCTCACCATCCTGGCGCCCAGCAACGACGCCATCAACGGGCTGCTGGCGAGCGAGGCCTTCTCCGCGCAGCTGCAGGCCGACCCCGGGATCCTGACCGCCATCCTCAAGTACCACATCTTCAACGGCACCTACTACACTTCCAACTTCACAGGCGCTGCCGCCCCCGTCTTTGTCCGCACCCTGATGGACAATGCCACCTACTCCAACGTCACGGGGGGGCAGCGGGTCGAGGCCCGGGCGCAGGACGGGGGAGTCGCGTTCACCTCGGGGTTGCGCGAAGAGGCGGCTGTAAGGACGTCGGTATGTAAAGCTCCGTTCCACAAAGCACATCTCTCAGCATACTCGGAGCCGAAAAAAAAGAAAAGAAAAAAAGAAAAAAAAGAAAAAAAAAAGTCTAACCTTTGGGAAAAACGCAGAACTTCAACTACACCGGCGGCACGGTGCACGTGATCGACAGCGTGCTCGCGATCCCGGCGAACCTCACGGCAACGCTGCAAGCGGCCAACCTGACGGCAGCGATCGGAGCGCTGCGACGAGCAGGCGTGGCCGATAGCTTGGGGAGTGGCAGCGAGCAGCTGACCGTGTTCGCGCCCAGCAACGGCGGGTTCAACGCCGTCGGCAGCCTCGTCGCGCAGATGACGGCCGCGGACCTGGAGCGCGTGCTCGGCTACCACGTCGTCCGCGGCCGGGTAATGTATAGTGATCTCATCGCGGCGGCGAATGGGTCGCGCCAGGCGATGCAGCGGGGCGGCGATGTCGAGTTTCGTGCCGTGAGCGATGGGGAGGTGGCGCTGTTTGTGAATAGTGCCCGCGTCGTCGGCCGGGATTTGCTGTTTGACAATGGTGTTATTCAGGTGCTGGATAAGTGCGTGCTGGGATTTCTCTCTGGAATTTCTCCCCCCTTTACTTTCTTCACTTCAAAACCACACCCTTCTCGATGATCTATTTGCTGATGCTAACCGCCAGTGTCCTCAATCCCGCCAACACATCCGCCGCACCGAACCCTGCGGCCGCAACACAGGCACCCGCGTTCAGCGGCGCCAACACTTCGGCAGGCGGCGTCCCGTTCACGTCGGGGGTTCCCGGCCCGAGCGCGACAGGTGCCGGTGGCGCTGCTCCCACAGCTACCGTCACGGTGGGCGGACCGGGCGCCGCTCAGGCTGCTGCGCCTGCCAGGACGGCGGCGTTGGGCGTCGTGGCTCTGGTCGGTGGCGCTGCCGTGTTGGTGAATTTGTAGACGAGGAGGAGGGAGGAGGGAGGAAGGGAGGAGGGAGGAAGGGAGGAAGGGAGGGAGGGAGGGAGGAAGGGAGGAAGGGAGGAAGGGAGGAAGGGAGGAAGGGAGGAAGGGAGGAAGGGAGGAAGGGAGGAAGGGAGGAAGGGAGGAAGGGAGGAAGGGAGGAAGGGAGGAAGGGAGGAAGGGAGGAAGGGAGGAGGGAGGAAGGGAGGAGGGAGGAGGGAGGAGGGAGGAGGGAGGAGGGAGGAGGGGAGGAAGGAATGGAAAGGGGTTGGTCATGTGTTTAATGGGGTGGGAGCTGCAAGGGGGCAGCGCGGCGTGCACGCCTCGTTTGTCGCTCCTTTCAGTGACTTGATCCCGTTTATATTTTCAATAATTCTTAGTGTATGGTGACCTCGTTTGTCAAAGGCGTCGTTCCTCTCTCTCTCGGAACTCGGTAGTCGGCATCTGGACCGCATTCACTCTGGCATACGTTCACTGAGCTGCGCCTTCTGAATGCTGGAGCTCTGGAAACCTCGCCCTCTAGAAAGGAACTGGCAACTAGTTAGGGGTTTATTTATGGGCACCTGCCACCCCGAGCCCCGTGCGCGCGGCTCGCTTGTGTGTGATTTTAATCTTTGCTCCAGGCCCTCATCCTTCTCTTGAAGTTTTTCTTCCTCATTCACCTCTTGACCAGCAAGCAGTTGACCGATCCCTGCACGCCTTGTTTTTGTTGGCGTCAGAACGCGGTCAAATCGGCGGTCCGTTTCGCGCTCGGTGATTCTGCTGGCCGCGGAGAGAACTCCAACCGAATCACGAGCGCGAGACGGACTATCAGAAGCGCCAGTTTGACCGCGTTCTGATGACCGCGTTCTGACGCCCACGCGGGCCGATCCTTTTGCCGCCAACCGCCAGTCCGGTGCCGCTGGGAATTGTAACGGTGTGCCGTTGCGCCAGCAGACAAAACAGATACCTGTTGCCTGGATCTATGGCAGCAGCAGCTATAACACCCACCACAGATGTGGTCTGCAGACCGAGTACCTAGTGTGGACCAGGGCAGGGCGATGAGGGTCTACTTTATTCCACCTGGGGACAACGTCACTTCATGCTACAGAGAGTGAGCAAGATTGTGGAGATGCGGGCGCTCGAGACTAAACAGAATCTTCACGGCAAAGCAGTCTCTCTGCAGCAACCAAGCGAGCTCTTCGGGCCCACTACCCTAAGAGGTTTCTAAGTAAGTCGAGAATGCATGCTACATCTTTCCACTCTACCACCACTGATAGGAGTAACAGCTCCTCACTACCCAGGGCAGAAGAACACCTAGCTCGTACAACAACCATCGCCTTCAAACACTCGGCCGGAACCGGCAGAGACGGCTTCCACGTCACGCCTCCATCATCCACTGTGAGCGTTGTTCAATCTAGTGACAGTTCTTCAGCAATGTTTCCCAGGCCAAGCCCGCCCCTTCTTATCTGTTACCCCTGTGAGAGCACCGCAGCACCGCCTCAACAATCCGAATTTGATCCATCGGAAATTCGAGAAGACCATCGCCAGCGTAAGACAAGAACACAAAATCAATCACCTTGGCGGTATCGACGATCGAGGGCCTGATCCACACCTCTCAATCGATCCGCTACCTACTCTTCCTTTATTGGCCTTACAGTCATCATCTCTCAAGCTTCAGCTCCCATGTGCATCAAGAAGTCACCGCGTAAAAGCTACCCTGCAGATACTCGGCACCGTGTTCAGTTCTAGCCCAAAGGGTCCGCAAAGTCGATGAGCTCGTCTCCAAGGCGATTTCTCTCCCTTTGTGGTGCCAATGACGTTACCAATGACAGAAACCCAACAGGCTGGAACAGGGGGTGTGATCAGAAGGGAGCGGTGACAGATGGTCGGAGCCAGGAGGTCCTTGCAAGAGTTGGTGAAGCAGGGGATGGGAACTGGAAGAAGACAAGGGAAGTATGGAACCGAACCTCGAGCGTCGAGTTTATGCTATGCCAGCTCAAATTTAATAAACCCTGACAAGAGTACCTCGAGCGGTTCACACAAGAGTCACCTAGAAGTTCCCGGGCTGTAGCTTAACAAGACGCTGCCTGACTATGAAGTGCTTCGAAAGCTCAGAGAAGAAGTAATCGTGATTCGTCCGACATTCTTCTAACCAATCGTTACCCACCAGGGGGCGAGGCGTCTGATCCCAAAGCTGTTTCTAGACAGCAGCTACTAGATAAGGAGAAACAGGGCATGTGACGCTGGCTGTCGGCATGCTTGAGATGGAGCGGCATTCCGAGCGACCTATCGGTCATGATCCTGACGGAGAATGGCGGCAGAAGAGGCATCGTGGGAAGCACGAGCAGTAGCACTGACGGGCTGAATCCTGAGCATTTGAGGGTAGTACGACGAACACAACTTGGACGCTGGGAATATCGAACTTATGAACTTATGACATCGCAGAATCAAACACCGTACGTAGCCTACCTCGCTCCAAGTAATTCGCAGATCCAAAGTGTCGTGAACCTTGATGCTACCCTATATCCATACATCCTCCCCGGCCACCCAGACCCGGGATTAACTAATCACGAGAGGAACAGCTGTGTCGTGCCATGAAAAGGAAGGTGTATTTCAAGCAATTAGAAGCCGTCTATCGCTTAATTAGGGTAGGTATTGCCAAACTGCTGTGGCATGAAACCAGCTCCGGCCTTGTCCATCCATCCATCCATGCGATCCATCCATCCATGCTGCTCGGCAGGGAAGGTGATAGCCGGGGTGCCTGTTGAAACCTGACGCGATAGCCCATCTAGTCACCAGTGCGTCCGTAAACTTGTGACCGCCCGCCTCATCTAGCCAAAACAGTGCGAGCGACTCCAAAAAGGAAACAAAAACCACTTCATAGCCACAACACCGCCAGCCACAACACCGCCAGTCCCTCATGCCGGCCGCAGCCGTCGCAGCGGGTGGGCCTCGGTATTGAAAACGAACTCGTCGAGACTGACCACACCCGGATCGCTAAAGACAAGATAAAAGTACTTCAGCGTCTCGCCGAGCCAGAAGCTCTCCATCGAGTCCGACTGGGGCGGGGACGTGTCCGCATCGACCGTCACGTCGTCAAGAGCCGCGTTGGCCAGGTCCGTGCGCGTCGCCTTGTCGATGGCCTGCCACATGGCCCAGGCGTCATCCAACAACGCGCGCCGCCCCGTTACGCGGTACAGCACGAACACGCTCTCGATGGCCTCGGGCCGCAGGATGTAGCGCGCGTCGCCGATGGCGGTGAAGCCCTTAGGCAGGCGGGCCGCGGCAACCACGGCGTCGGCTTCGGCCAGCTCGGCCGCCGTCTCGGCGCGCATGCCCGCGCGCTGCAGCACGGCGCGCTTCCACGCGTCCTCGTCCCACGGGCAGTGTTCCGAGCCTTGCGAGGAGGGGCACGGCAGCATGTGGAACGTCTCGGGCATGATGCCGTGCGGCATGGCGCGGTACGCCCACACGCAGCCGTCGGCGAGCTTGGCGCCGGCGTCGACGTGGGTCTGGTTCTCGACGAGCCGGCCGCCGAGCGCCAGCATCCCGCCGGCGAAGCACACGAGGTGCTGGCCCTCGGGCTTGACGGTGACGGCTGCGCGGTGGCCGCCGCTGTCCACGTTGGCCATGGCCATGCCGGCCAGCAGCACGTCGGCGCGGTCGGGCAGCATGGGGCGGAAGATGGCGTGGCGCAGCGCCGTGTCCATGGCGGCCTCGTACATGTCGCGGTACATGGGCAGCAGGCCGCCGACCAGGGCGTGCGTCTTGGGCAGGTACTCATAGGCCGAGTCGGACATGGCGCCCAGCGTGTGCTCGAGGTGCTGGTTGAAGTGCTGCTTCTTGGCGCTGACCACGACAGGCCACATGCCCGGCAGCCGCGACATCATCTGCTGCGCGTGCAGCGGCTCCGTGATGCGCTGCACCGCGTCGAACCACTTGGCGTCGCCCGTCAGCAGCGAGAGCCGGACGAACTCGAGCGAGAAGGACGCTAGTTCGGCCAGCAGCACGTTCTCGCCCGCCTCCTGCGGGGTCCCGCGGGCGGCGTCGTGCAGGCGCCAGCGGGTCAGGGGCATGCGGTTGGGGGTGTCGAAGGCCGCGTAGATGAGGTCGCCGACCTCGACGGCCTTGGCGAGCAGCCGCTTGTCGCCGCTGAGGTCGTAGGCAGCGAGGAAGCCGCCCAGGTAGCGGATGTTGGTCTCGAAGATGTTGACGTCTGTGCGCGAGGTGGTGGCGAAGCTGATGTTGGCGGCGGCGGCGTCGACGGCGTCGGCGAACTCGGCCTTCATGCCCATGATCCACAGGGTATCGAGGCTATCGACGAGGGTGGCGCCCCACCCGCCAAAGGTCTCGCGGCCGCCGCCGGACAGCGGCGTCAGCTCATCGCTCATCCAAGCCTTTTCGCGGTACGAGGACCAACAGCGCTTGAAGGCCTGCTTGACGGCGGCCTTGCGCTCGAGCCGCTTCTTGCGGTCGTCGGCCGTCTCGGTGGGGAAGGTGTTCTGGATCCGGGGAAGGGCCAGCGGAGTGCCGGTGGGCAGCGGGCGCATCGACCGGACGGGGTACCGCTGCGGAAAGCTGGCCCACGGGGAGTGGAACTTGTTGGAGGCGCCGTTGCCGTTGCCGTTGCCGTTGCCATTGCCATTTCCGTGATCATGTGCTTCAGCCTCAGCAAACGGACTTCTGGCAGGATTGAGACGCAGATTGCGGCGCAGCGTCAGAATTAGCAGGAAAAACACTGCGACAAAGACATAGCCCGTCATCCGTCTCCTCGACAAGCCCATTATGCTGGTAGATGCAGCCGTGCGCTGCTATGAAGTCGGCGCGGGCTCGGGCTCGGCCTGGGCTGGGCTGCGGCGAGTTTTCAGGTGCGCAAGTTCGACGGGACGAGACCACGTCGACCTCCGCGTCGCGTCGACCCGCTGCGAGCTTTGTAATATTGGACCCAGTGGAATGTGGTTTAGGTTCATTGGCGCCTGTATGGAATGGGTAAGCGGCACCCTCCAGCCCATCAGCGGGGCTGCTCGCCCCTGCACAGCAGCTGAAAGTCGTACTGCGAAACTGTATTTACAGCCATCATGCAAGGGAGAGTCACGCCCAGCCACCAACCAATTGCAATCACCAGGCGCAATTCTCAAGCCACAGCCAAGGCTAAAAATCCGCGTGTGAAGTCTTCAAGGACCCGCAACGCCGACGCTGACATCCGTCAATCGCCATTTTCAAGCCACAGCCAAGGCTAAAAATCCGAGCGTAAAGTCTTCAAGAACCCGCAACGCCGACGCCTGACATCCGCCAATCGCCATTTTCAGAGTATTGGAGCTATCTGCACTTGAAGCAAGGGCGCGCCGACCGCCGCATTTCGTCCTTTGACAAGCCCCTGAAGTTTTGAACAAGTGCACAGGCCAGCCTACATGCTTGACAACAAAAAGGGTGCATGGTCACAGACAGAGCTTTACAACAAAAAGGGGCATGGTCACAGACAAAGCTTTACAACAAAAAGGGGCATGGTCACAGACAGAGCTTTACAACAAATAGGTTATGGTCACAGACAGAGCTTTACAACAAAAAGGTTATGGTCACAGACAGAGCTTTACAACAAAAAGGTTATGGTCACAGACAGAGCTTTACAACAAAAAGGGGCATGGTCACAGAGACAGAGCTTTACAACAAAAAGGGTGCATGGTCACAGAGACAGAATGCACGGTCACAGAGACAGAATGCACTGCTGAAGAACCGAATCGTGCTTGGACACTTCGCCTCTTTTCCGGGTTATTATGCCTCTCTGCACAAAACCCTTCTCTGTCTCTACCTCCCTAGAACAAAACTAGGCCGACACGACGCCGTAGCGCACCAGGCCCAGCACGGCGCCCGTGACGATGGCCGAGGGCGCGTTGACGCCAAACCACCTGCCGCCGACGTAGCTGGTCGCCGTGACGGCCACCCACCAGGGGTCGTCGCCCAGGCTGCGGCCGAACTGGGATCCCTCGTCCAGGAATCCCACGTTCCAGATGCGGTAGACGGCCGTGTAGATGAGGCCGACGGCGCCGGCGTTGATGCCGCGCAGCACCGACTTGACCCAGCGCCGGCTGCGCGCCGCCGTCCAGATGCCCATGGTGCCGTGAACGAGAATGAGGCCGGGCGCGAAGATGGCGATCCACGCCACCAGCGCGCCGGCAACAGAGCTCTGCCCGCCGTCGATCGCCGCCAGGCTGCCCAGGAACACGGCGAAATTGAAGTTGGGCCCCGGGAATGCTTGGATCAGGGCGAGCCCGATCAGAAAGTCGCGGGGTCTCACCCAGCCCTCGGCCACCACGTACTCGCGCAGCAGCGGGACCACCACGGGCCCGCCGCCAAAGATGATGGTCCCCGCCAGGTACATGTTAGCAAACAGGTGGTACAGCAGCGGTGTCTCCGGGATCACGCTGCGAACCACCATGGCAGCGATGAAGGTCGCGAAGAAGCCCGCGATGATGGCCGTGCCCGTCTTCCACGACATGTTCAGCTGCAGCTCGCGGGGCACTATCCGCGGCTCGCTCTCGGCTGTCGACGGGGATGATGTGCTGCTGCCGGCCGGCGGCTCTGTCACAGGAAGCTCGGAGTGCGAGGATGGAGCGTGCGTGGCGGTAGCGTGCGTGGCGGTGGTGCGGGTGTCGAGCTCATGCGCGGGGTCAGAGCCCGTGGTCTTTGCTGCGACGGCGGTGGCCACGACCACAGCTTCTTCCTCGCTCGCCCGCCGTCCTGCGCGTCGCCGCTGCCGCCGACGGCTGGGGGCACTCGCGGCGTGGACCAGCGCGCCAATAGGCTTGTGCAGCCAGCGGTAGTCGAAGACGAGGGTCGCGAGGCCCGACGCGAGCATCAGCACGGGGAAGTACCAGAGCGCGTTGTACAGCAGGCCGACGGCGCCGCTGAGGAAGACGATGAGCCGAGTCATCTTGTCCGTGATGGCCTTGTGCGACAACTCGACAGCAGCAAGCGCGATGACCCCAACCGTGGCCGCGTTGAGCCCAGACAGGAGCGCGTACACGGGCAGCGGCAGCGTGTCGCTAATGTTCGACACGCCGATGGACAGGCCGTACATGCCCAGCGCGCCGGGTAGACTATTCAGTTGGGCGGTGCGTCAGTCTCAGCCGGAGCTCATGCTTTTGGGGCGGGTGTTGTGATTACCTCCAGATCAAAAAGCTGAGCACGGCCGAAATAGGCCCGTCCTGGATGAGGTTGATGCAGTACAGCATCTTGGTGCTCGCCGGCCCCGACAGCGACTGCGAGATGCTGAACAGCTCCTGGAAGACCTGCTCGTCAATCCATTTCGTCTTTTGGACAAACTTCTCGTTGAACTGGGAACGGGCAAATGCCGAATGATCAGCGGACGGTCCTCGGGTATTGGTAATAATTGCCTTGATCAACTCACAATCTTGAAGTGCACCGGTGGTCCTCCAAACGCGGTGACTCCCAGGTGCCAGTTGACGCGCAGGACCTTCCACGCCCGGAGCGCCGTTGCTCGAAGCGTCGTCGAGCCCATTTTGCTCGTTAGCGCCATCTTCCCCTCGCCCGTTTCCTTTGAGTCTTTGGGAGATGTTCAGAGACGGTTCTCACGGGGGTCATATATAGACCGAGAGCTGGATGCCTAGTGCACGTCGCACTTTTGGAGCTTGAGTCGCGGGTGCAACACCTCCCTAAACGAGTTCGTGTTGCGGCAAAAGATATTCAGGTCATACAGAACGATGACAACGTTTTTGCTTTTTATGGTGCAATTCTACGGCGCCTGACCCCTCATCTGGGCACCCCCACCTGGGCACCTTGGCGCGCTAGCTTTGCTTGGTGAAGCACCCCGGATCAAAGCCGGCGCCCCTACCCCCCGGGCGCTGTCTTGGAATAACTTTGTGTATCCGCAACTCCAAGATGGAAGGATATCGACTTGCGGTTTTAGGTTTCGAGTGTCTAGTCGCACCAACGCTCATCGCCTATAATCGCTCATAGGTGTTGATGAGGTCTCGGGTTAAAATGCTTCGCCGCTCATCAGGCCATACACAAACGCTGGGCAGACAAACGCTGGGCAGACAAACGCTGGGCAGACAAATGCTGGGCAGACAAACGCCCATGTCTATTTCGTCGAGTTGAATTGCAGAACGTGGGGCAGTGTGAGTTGAAAAAAAATGTGCCGAGTCGCCTCGCCCAATCGACAGAGATCCAATGCGTCCGCCCGCGGTTGTGTCGCTGGGCTGCAAAGTCCGTGTCTGCGTCCGCAATCGGCCGTTGACCCTCTTCGCCCGCCGCCATAATTGGGAACCATTTCCGCCACTTGTAGTAGCCTTCTATCGCTTGTTCGATCCTATAGGGTGATCTTCCGGTATAATCCCAGCGGCCACGAGGGTCTCGATATGCTGCGGCGGGATCTCGTCGGGTGACGCCCTGTACACTTGCTGCGAGACTTGGAGACAGCCGGCCTCACACTCCAGTAGCTACTTGGCGGCCGAGGGCGAGTAGTTGACTGGGGCTCCGTTAATCCAATTCTAGGCCAGTTGCACATCATTGACCCGGTCCATGACCAAGCCACAGAACTCAACGCTATTCGAATCCGCCGTGTGTAAGGCCGGTTTTGGCATCCGAGCTTCATCCTCTCACAGACCGCCATGCCAAGTTCGAAGCCGTTTCCCAGGTCGAGAATGACATATTCTCCGTTCTCTATCATGATGCGGCAGACATGAACGTAAAGGCGCCAGAACTAGTCTTCTCCGTTGGGCGGGTAGTCGACAACAATCTCTGTCCGAAAATCGTCCGATATGAGACCCAGAATGCCGTGAATCTTGTCGACGGGTTTGGTGGCCAATTTTCGGCGGGATAAGATGAGCAAGTGAGAGAGTGCAATGCACCCGCCCTGTCGTATTGTTCTTCACCAGACGCTAACTACTGGGAAGCCGCTCAAACCGTTGTCGGTGCTGGTGCTCGCCGGATTAAGCCTGTGTTGACGTGCAACGTCGCCATGAACGAGGAAAATCTTAAACAGTTGCAGAACGAGGCCATCTCTTCGAGTTCAACTTAGTACTCGCCGCAGAGAACCGTGGCCGCCGTTGCTAAGACCACCTCCTAGACAACCCACAGGCGGGAGAACCTTGGTCGAAAAGCAAGATTGAAGACGGCAAGCCATACGGCGTTCTCGATTAGCGGCAGACCGTATGCTACGAGGGTGTGCGGCTTGACGTCCTCAATGTCCGACGCCTTAGCAAATGCGGCGTTTAGACTGGATACCTGGGCCATGAACAGGTCGCTGTTGTCGCAAGCGGGTCCGAGCTAGACGATGACGCGCTCAGCCTAGGAGTATATGTTTGTCATTCGGGAGATCTGGTCGGTCTTTTCGGCGTCGTTGCTTTTGTCGATGCAGATGGTGTCGATCCAGAACAGGGTCGGGCCAAACTGGCGCTTGAGGACGGCTAGGCCAGCCAGGAGATGACTGGTCACGGAAAGGGATTTCTCATCGACCTGTATGCGTTCAGAGAAGCTCCCCGTGCCCCAGACGTAGGACAGAGCGTAGAAGGTCGGCGCGTCGGCAAGCGAATAGTGGCTAAGGCTGTAGGAAACGCCCTGCGTGGGTCCATCTGCCGCCATTTTCAGTAGTCGAATCTCTCCGCCGGCTATCAGTCGATACTCGTACTGCGCCCTTAATTCTAGCGTCGTCATTGGGGCAGGCGTGGATTTCTCTGCTCGCGGGGTTTGGGGTAAGGGGCTGCGCCTTTCTCGCTAGGGAGAATTGAAGAATCGAGGTGCTACAAGTCTGCATGAGTTCAGCATCCGGCAGTGACGGAGATCGGCCGGCTGCCTAAAGTGGAGGCGTTGGAACGGGTTGGGAGCGAGTGCCTCGCAGCCGCCAATAACCATTTCGCTCAGCTTCATCTCCCCAGTCGCCAGAATCTCTTTCTATTGTGTACCGTAGAGTGGCGGTTATTCTTTACCAACTCTCCACATGCAGCTTAGTTCAGGACGTACTTGTCACAAAGCTTGAAAAGGAAGCTAGATAGTCTGACCTTGAACTAGTATACAGCCACAGCCAATATAGGTAGTTGCCCAAAGTTCAATGATATAGGTAGGTATCTATTCGGTTTACCGGTGTAGGAGTAGCTTGCTGCAAGTATGGCCTGCAAAGCGTCATATACAACGCAAAGCATCAGAGCAAGCGCAATGAGCTTCCTAAACCCACAAAGAGTGCACCGAAAGAGGCATTTGAATCACTGGTCAAAGCACATGACTACGAAAAAACAAGTCCGCCTTGCCTATGGCTAGGCAATTTTACAACCTCTTCATTGTGCTGTCCCTTCTCATGTCTCTGCTGCACCCCCTTCCGGTTCAACCAACTACCCCTGTCCAATGAACGCCCCCTCTCCTACAGTTGCCTATTAACGGTCATTGCCCCCAACCTGCAGCAAGTCAAGCTTGATCTCCTCGCCGTCCTTCATAGTGAGGACGACGTCCTTCAGTAGCAGCGTGAAGACGTAGTCGACCGAGTATCTCGAGCGCCGCGTGGACGGTCATGAGGCTCCTTAACCGGTCGATGCTTGGCGGTGGCGGCATTTTCTTGCAGTGGTGCCAAACGACGGGGTGGGAGCGAGGTGATGGTTGAGTGTGGACGTGATGACTTATTCCTGTTGAGAGTGTGATGCTCCGTGTCTGATATTTAGAGGAAGATATGGGTTACGATGAGTTTATATAACGGCCATAGAACTCCCACGTCCGACGGGGTCACTTATAACCAACGCGTTGCACACATACGAACAACAGCACGAGTGCTACCGGCATAGCATCTCATGACGGCTTTGACGCCCCCGAATATTTCCTCGTCAAGTGGGCCATGATGGAGGCCAGTGATTAAACTCAAAAGACCGTCAGTGGGAATGAACTTGAGATTAGCACTAGAGAGATTCTAGGGTATCCAAATGCTCAACATTTAATTACCTAGCCATGCGAGCGAGAAATAGAAAATAGAAGCCTCGACATCGCGGAAAGGGACGCGCTTGTTAGCGGTCGGGGTCTAGGTCTTCACCAAGGTTACAGTCTCACCAAGGTTACAGTCTCACCAAGGTTACAGTCTACGCGTGTTCCAACAAAGACTTGTTTCCTAATGCCAGCCTCGGACTTTTATTTCTAGGCATTGGTTCTCCCGGCAACTCTCCTGGTCTCGAACTCTGCTCTCTGGATTCACCCGCCTTCCACCATCTTCCACCTGGGGCTTATCCAAGCCAGGTAGAGAACCAAAGGAGGGATGACGTAATCACACAATTTCAGCCCGGTCAGGGTGTGGCGTTGTTTACACGAGGAGAGAGGGAGTGGAGACTGCAAAATTTGGTCTCCTGCACGGATCAACCTGGTTCTTTATAAAACTGAAAATCCCAACCCGCCTCTTCCTCTTCTCTTTTTTTTCCTCATGGTAACCATTCTGGGGGCTCGCCAGATCAAGACTCGGCAGGTCCACTGGGGAGATCCTGCATTGCACATCGCGGTTGAGCTCCTCAGGCGAGTTCACGAGGGCTAGTTTCTCGTGAGCTGCGCTGGAATAATTTTTGATAACCCACCCATCTTCTACCAAATCTTTTCGCTGTGATCATCGCCTCCGGGTGGTGCCATGGAGAAGAGCCTATAGTCTTGTGAAGCCGAACTGTCTCCTGATGCTGTGACTCGCTGTAGCGCCTGTGGCACACACTGCTGGCATTCGTAGATTTCAGATTGTTATGTTGACTGCTGCTAGCCACGCGGTGCACTCCATCTCACCTGTTGACGCGTTATTCGTTACGCGATGACGTCTCTGGACTGTGGAAAGCGTTATGCTCGTGAATTAGCGCCCGGTCAACGGAATCAAAGAGGTTCAATGGAAACCATAATGACTACGACACAAATGATAATTACGTGCTCTACAAAGGGCACAAGCGTGCTGCCGATGCTCGCGAGAGGGCCAAAGGACGTTGGGCGAGATGGCATTCTACTCGAGCTGGGACAGCCCAGCCGTGTTGAAAAGCACCCTTATCCTCACATAGAAGTGGCAAGATGATTCTAGTCGATGTTTGCTTACCTTCTAATATGGCGTCGCAGTCACACCCCGGCCGTCGACGCGTGTGTTATGCTTTGCGTTGTGTGTTCTGCTAATCTGGCTTTCCACTGTAGCTACGCCCGAGATCCCGACCGTGTCTTATGGTGTCCTCTGCGCTGTAGCTTCCCGTGTTCCCGTGTTCCCGTGTTCCATGATATGAATACATCTGTCACCGGGATACATTTACATGTCCCTCGTTGCCTGCAGGAGCCAGATTTGACCGGGTTAGTTTAGAGTCTTTAAAAGGTTTCGTTTGGCAATGTCCAGGATTCCCACCTTTCTTCGTAGGATACCAGGCGCAGAATCAGCGAGGACATGAATATGATTACCTACTACCTACTTCGACTACCTTAAGCCGCGGTATGGAAACCCCAGATCAGCTTTACGCCTTGACGACTCGTTGGGAGCCATGGGCTGGACCACCAGTGAAATTTTCAGCTGGCGGTTGCCATTTTCGCCAGGCTGGTGCTCGCCTGTTGCCCCACCAGGGAATACACCGCTCCTTCCTCCGGCCCTTCGACCACGGTTCTGCTGGCAAAGATGTGTTGGATTCACCAGGGTACCGGTACTGGAATCAACAGGGCGTAACTGTACGCCGAAAGCTAGTGGTTCAAGTGATGGATTTTAGATGCGTGTTCTTCTCTCTAGCTTTCCGGCAGTGCCAGAAAGCCCCTTCTTATACTACTATTGTGGTGGCGAAGTGGGCGGCAAAGTCTCTACCTAGAACCTTCGAGGCCCTTCTGCTTGACACATTCCAACAGATGATCCTGATTTCCTCCACCAGATTTTGTGATTTCGCCTTTTGGATTTCTGCTCTCGAGGGCGAGTCGAGCACAAGGCAATCCACAGACAAGCTCAGCTCAACGAATTTGCAAGCGACTCCTTCACCCTCTGGCTCGCAATCAAATCACTGGAGGTGGTCTTGATCATCAAGGCCCGCGCGAAAATGCCAGAAATCCGATTCAAGGTCTAGGCTCGTTTTCGACACCCATGAATCAGCAAAACACGCACAATGCCACTTGCTGACTCCTACGATCTTCATATCTCTAGATTTTTTTCCATGTTCCTCGATCCCAAGACCATCGGCCGCCGCATACATAGCAATGCCCGAAGCAAGCGGTGGTGTTATAGTCGGTTTCTAGGCTCGCACCTGTCCCTTTGGTTGGCTGCTTGCATAGCAGGCAGGTTTGAATATTTGGCTCATGAGCCGTGGTTTTCAGTCCTCGGCACCAGAAGTCGGAAAGACGCTTGTCTTCCCGCCATTCGCCATCTCCGACGCCACGTTCACGGAACCATCGTGGACGAGCTAGAAGGGAGCAACCAGTTTCTGTCAGCACGAGCACAGAGCCTCGGTACATGGATGATCGGATTGGACAATATAAAAGATCTCTACAATAAGATTATCGAATAGTTTGATTTATTCCGAGATCCAAAGTCTTATATCCAGCAACCGATACACCGTTGGTCGCTGGCTCTCTCGGTTCACAGCTTCCTGCACCTCAGGATTCTGTACGAAGGCTCAGGAACAAAGTAAGAGTCACCCTCCACATTGGCCAGCATTTGAAATCCCCCGGTGCTAATTATCCAGCGTGCCAGGTGCCGTCATACACTCCACGGATCCGTTCAAGCTCGCTGGACCCCCCGCAATAGCCCCGAATCAGGCAGCTGGTGGGTTCAATCCAAACCCTTTTAGGACGTGGCGTTCTGGACTTTGCACTAGGGAGGGTGACCCTCTCTTTTTGCCTAATAATTAAGGCCTGAGCCTCGAGCGTCGGGGCAGCGAGTGAGACTCGCTAGGACCTAGACACAGCTGCTACATTGTTGCGGTTGCTGTGGCGAGTGCAGAAATATGTTGTACGAGAGGAGGGTAAGGTGGAGCGTAACATCCCGTTCACTTGTACATTTGTAACTGGCCTGCGTACAGGTTGACTGCAAAACCTGGGTAATCGGCGTGTAATGCCTTGCTCACTTCCTAAGGATAAACTACATGGTTCGTGTGCTAGGGGCCGGCTAGAATATCTTTGCTGATGCATCTACGACGTACGGTGTTTGCAACGGGTTTTCAATCGTATTAAATAACTTACTACACGTTGAAAGCTCTGGGGGAGCTCAGATATTTAAAAGTCCACGGTCAAAATTACTTGCCTGCATCATGTGCGTGGACAAAAAATTCTTACCTACATAGGTATTCCACTTCCGTCGTGAAAGGGGTACAATACGCGGTCTAATTACCCCTCCACTCCTTTTCCTGCCTTTGAAACTTGACGGAAATTCTGGTACGCCAACGACCAAGCCCTACAGGGCTGTAAGTTACCCTAGGGCTTTGCCAAGGACGCTCCGATCCTAGTCTGCCTTACCGAGTTTCTAGTTCAGTTTCAACAAGAGAAGTAGGACAAGGCATTCTCCGGCTAGGCCCTCTCGTTGCTGCCAACCCCCCCGCATTTCACCAACATTACAAGACGTAATTATCTGCCGTAATTATTGGCAGTCATCTTGTTGGCGTTTCGAAATTCAAAAACTCAACCGTCACAATGGATTTCAAAGTCCAGCCTGTACTGTCAAGTCTGTCGACGAATCTCAGATGCAGCAACGAGCTACCTCGATTGGTAGCAAAATCCTCACACCTCGCGCCGCAGCGGCAAGAAGCGGGCGTTGCGCGTCTACGAGAACATCACCAAGCCGCCTGACTCACCAAGCCGCCTGACTCGAGACAGCTGCCCCGCCCACCGGCTCTTCCTGCTGTCCCACGCTTCGAGACTCGGCTCATCGTATGACTCGACCATCTCCATCGTGGCCAACTTGGTCTCGGACGACCTGACGCTCGACCTCTATTCCACCCGACCAAAGTCCAGCTCAGGAGACGGCACCGGCAAATATTGGGGCCAACTGTTGGTGATACCTCGAGATGGACAGGATTCCAAGGACACGGATCGGGTCCAAGGTCTCAGCATCGGACGGAGCCTGAACTGCAGCTATGTTGACCCCGGCTGTCAAAGAGTGGAAAGAACACTGCGATAACCACCACAGCCCCAACTGCTCGCGGTCGTTGTTCCAGCTGTCTGTGTTTCGGCTGTCTGTGTTTCGGCTGTCTGTGTTTCGGCTGTCTGTGTTTCGGCTGTCTGTGCGGATTGGCTGGTGTATAGATACCCAACGGCATTGCTTGGTCCCGGGATCCAACAACACGCAGTATGTCGCGCTGAGCTACGTCTGGGGCCAGGCGGCCATGCTCAAGACATAGAAGGCCAATCTGAGAGAACATCGACAGGAGGGCGCATTCAGCCGGATCTGGGACAGCTTGGCACCGACAGTGCTAGACGCCATAGCGCTGGTGCCACTCATCGGCGAGAGGTATCTGTGGATTGACTCGCTGTGCATCGTGCAGAACGACTAAGCTTTTCCGCACCGTCTACCCTAGCACCTGGAACATCTGTCTCTACGACGCCTCCCAAGCCGCCCGCCTCAGCCACATGATGCCCTCCCCCAACGTCATCGGCGACCGTCTCGTCGTGTCAGCCTTTCTCTTCGACACCATCGCCACAGTATGCCCCTGGCCCGACATGGACTACGTGTCCACCATCACGTATCCCATCACCGAACAGAAACAAGCCTCAGAAACAAGCCCAGCCATACTTTCTCCCCTTCTGCGCCGCACACGTGGCCCCTATCTACGCGGCTACGGGCCAACCACGCGAGAAGGTGCTCTGGCGCACCATCATTGGCGATTTCCACGAGGAGATGCCTGCCTACCCGGCTCCCGCCCTGGCAGGTCACAGCTTCCGCACCATGCTCCTGCAAGACCTGGCCAGGTATGTGTTCAGCCAAGGGCTGGGCGCCGTTGATTTGAGTACCCTTGGTGATGGGGACCCCGACAACGCCATCTGGGGTACTGTGTCGAGCGTCGGGGCAGCCTACGCAGAGCACCTGGGCGAACTGGAGTGTCTTGATGAGCTGTGCGGATCATCGGCTGGTGCGTCATGGGGGCGCAGGTGCCGTTTATCCTAAAGTTGGCAGGAGGGAATGGCGGTGCGGGCGAGGAGTCTTTTACTTTTCTGGGGGTGACATATTTGCATAGGCTCAGGAATGGGCAGATGTTGGGCGACACGAACAAAGGAGATCTGCGGAGGGTTAGTATTGTCTAATGGACTCGAGAGTCGGTCTGAAGAGGTACATTTGCGTCCTTGGATTTCTCGCAGAAACTGACGCCGGATCGCGGAGAGCTGGGCAGGCAGACGTGTCAGAATGCATTCCGGCAGGGGATTGGACTTGTAAATACTTTACCTCACTCCAGGTGTAGAGATGAAAGACTGGGGACACCTCTGCTCTGCATTTTCGCGATATCAGTTATTTCTGCTTTTTCTCTTCCTTATTGTCTTAACCGCTGGCATCCGCTTCCACAACAAGCATGGTGTGGTGTCCGCTGGAGCATGTCGGTGATGATGGAGCAAATGTGCCCCATCTTGGCTTCGAACTCGATGGGGAATCGTCGACCTTGGCGCCGCGCTCACCCTGCAACCATGATAGTTTCAGGGCCTGAAGTTTCATGTCCTTGAAGAGCTGTTTGCGGTAAAAGTCCAAGATAGCCGAGAACACGCGACGGTTTGACTCGAGGGCCGTAACATTTTCCAGTGCCGGTGTGGGCACAAACGCGATATAGTCATTAATACCACAGTCATGGGAGACCACCCTTATCTTCTTCCTCAGAGCTCTCAACCGAGACATCCGGAAACGTCCATGCTGATTTACAATCAGAAGGACTTTTGTTTTGGTTTGGTTGAAATGTTGTTGGAACTGCTCAGTCGCATGGGCGAGTATGTTGTCGAGATAAGATTGCCAGCTCTGGAAGACTTGGATAAAGTCTTGGCCTGCCAGCCGACCGGAGAACAACCCGTACTCTGACGCCATGACTACTCTCCTGCGACGAATAGCGAGATGGTGGATGTTAAGCGTCCCGACCTTGTATGTTTGGCCACGAGGTCGCAATGGCGACGAGCCACGATTGCGGCCGAGCCGAGCGGTGAGGACCCAGAGGCACTATCGCAGTGCTTGCTGACTCCTTGTCAGTCTCAGCGTTGCCTTGATGCCACATGCACGCTCCTATGCATATCTTCTTGCACATATCTTGTTGGACACATTTGGTCGCCTACCGTTCGAACCTAAGCTGTAGGGATCACATTCAATCAAAGATGGTCTTCGAGGGGGAAAAAACGCCTTGACAGTTGGGCAAAATGCAAAAGTATTTGAGTGTGCACGGGTACAGGCACACCACCATCCCTCATTGACCTGGAAGGTCCGTGATCCAAGCCTCTCGTGGATCCAAGCCTCTCGTGGCAGTGCTCGATGGGCCGAAATCCCCCGCTCTCAGTGACCGATTCCGCCCCCAGGCTGCCCTATCCGACGGTCGCATTGCCTTCCTCGACCGCTCTAATCTCATTGACTCCTGACGGATACAGTCAAGGAATTCGTAAATTTCTGCCTGGTCTCCACCAACCAAGAGATCAATGTTTTGCTTCTCCTGCTGTATCCATCACGACGCAGATAGCAAACTGGTTAGACGCTAAGCATCGGGCCTCAGGTAGTTTTTTTTTTTTTTTTTTTGGGGGGGGGGGGAAACTGGGTGACATACAGTTGCAGCTTGGCCGGCAGATTCAGTATATAATAACCCTTGAGGGGAGTTTATCACAGTGCGTCAGCCTCCGGCCGGTCAAAAGCCACGAGCAATGCAAGCCCATGTAGCACCATCTTCTGATGTTGGTTTCGCCAAGTGACGCTGAACTAGTCGGCTCCTTCCCAGAACGCTGGGGGGCTATCCTTTGGACTCTTGATGAGCCAGGCGAGGTCGAGTCGCTGAAATGTTGTACGTATTTGGCCCGGTAGTTGAGCTCCAGTTTGTGCTTGTTGTCCTGATAGCTTTTTGACTGCTTCTTCGTTCTGTCGCTGTTGGTGTCCAAGATTATTAGCGCCATCTATGCCTCCGGGCCGCCAATGGCTGGTATGGCTGGGTCGTCTGATAGGTTATCGATCTCCTTCCAATTCGTAGACAGGCTTTTTTGGTCCAGGTATTGCGTGGCTGTTAATGAGTCGTTGGTAATCTGGCGAGCTGGTCTGACTGTCTGGTGATTGACAAATTTGACAACTGCTGTTAGCTCTGTTTTGATAGTGTCGGGCTCCAAAGTCTAACGTGGATTAAACTTGGGTTGTTTGCCTAGTTGACGTCGCTTGCTCCTAAGCTGTTGCTTGATCTGGTCATCAATCTTTCGATTGACGTCCTCGGGAAGATGCTTGGAGTATTTTTCGAGGACCTTCATTGATTCTGTGGGTAATGTGTTCGCGGTGGTTGCGATGTACCGAAGGATTTGTGTTCCAATGAGGGTTCGCGGGCTGCTGATCATTGATAATAGGTAGTAATATGGGTATAGGTATGGGGGTTTTAGCGATGGGTTGCAGTGACTAGAATAATGGTCTGTGCGTTCTGCGGGGTTATGCCAGGTTTTGCGGGTGGGTCCTAGGACTCTTCTAGAAAACTGGGCGAAAAAGGGTCCAAATGATGGTTCGGAATGTAGGGTCCCGGCAGCGGTAGGCAGAGAGTCGTAGGAACAAAAGGATGATCCTGCTGATTGCAGAAACGTTCGGTGATGTGGTAGGGCTCTCAAAGCTCTAAATATGGCCTATATGGCCTGTGCGTAGCTGACGTAATGACGTAATAGGGTGGAGCTTTGATATGTTTGTAGATGTTGGTGATGGCGCGAAATTCGACCTTGTAGTAGGAGAGTTTGTAGTCCCCTGAACCTCTAATGGGGCCACCACCAGGTGGGTGTCGGGTCCACCATCTTTTAGTGTGCTGGTCAGAGCGACCTGTAAGGAAATTTGCCATCTGGTCCGGCAGGGCACTTGGAATACAATCATGCACTGCTGCGCCACATAGACACGAGCACAAGAACCTAAGCCTTTAGCTTAGTGGAAGTTAGCGTTTAGGGACTAATCACCACAAGCACTCATCACTAAATAAATAAACCTGGGTACAGAGGAATAAAATCCTACCAAGATACCTCCCACAACGTAGAATGCTCACCAGAATTATTCTTTGAACGATATCAACACCTGCGCCGAAAACCACGTGTATTGCTGTGCTAGAATAAGCTCTAAAACGCACTTGACAATATGAGGGCATGGGCAACCATTCTTTATCCCGAAGAGGAATCAGGTATCGCTCTCGATCACGTAGCTGAACACCCAAACAAGGCCCCGGAAAACGCCACAATGATATAGGATCTCGACGATGAAGGCGGCCAGTCCCCCTCGTCAAACCTCGTCGGACCCATCCTGACTTGGCCCTCTGCCTTTTCTCGCAACCTTGGGGCAGCCTTCTCCATCGGCCGCTCGGTAAAGGTTGGCCCCATGTCATTCAACTCTCGTTTTTCCTGTGGCGACTGAACCTGATCGCCTGTGCGGTTGAAGCGATCATTATTACTGTTTCATATGCCTTCTATCGAATGGGCCTCCTCCGTCATCGTGACCTTTACACCCAGCGGATCTGGGTTCTCGCTGCTGCTCTCCTACTCTTAGGCGCGGAACCTGAGGAGTGTCCGTTCAAGTTCAGATGGCCCTTTGGGAAGGAACAGCGCAGAGCGGAAGATGAGGAGGAGGGGGCATTGATACAGTTCAACAACGGTGTGCTAGCGCCTACGAATTGCTATCGAGCCAGACTACCTCCCTGTAAGACCTACCTTAGTAACGGTAAGATGTAAGATCTACCTCGGGCGGTTGCGCGAAGTGCTATATCCTCAGTAGCGACGCGTATACTGGAGCCAGAGCGACGTGTCCCGGCTGGGTGACCGTAGGCCAGATCACAACACATCGACTAACCGACGATAGCACGTAGTGAAGCCGTTGTTGTAAGAAGAGAGACATGGGCTGATGGGATGAGGCTGCCAGTGTTCGTTACGACCGTCAAGCTCGTTGCTATCTCCATGCCATGGTCTATCCGCACCATCACGGCATTTCGTTAGTAGCCTGGGTCTCTGTTCAATTACTGCTTTACATTTCCCATCTTGAGGGGCATGGTGAAGGTAAACTGGAAGAAGTTGTACGAGAGGCCGTAAAGTGATTGGACCCACTCTCTGTTGTTCACTCATCTTGAAGAGAAGGTGAAGTTGGATTGATGGAGTTGTACAACATGAAGAGATCCAGCCAGCCCACGGAGCCCGGAGGAGGCGGACTGATGGGCCCGAGCCCAAGTCTAGTTTCCCTAATCATCCTAAGCCCCTGGCTCAGTGCCGATCTCACAAAAGCCTGCTTGTCCCGAACCAGTTGACAGAGCAGTGTGAAGCTGGAATTGCATATTCCCAATGCATCTATTGGTGCCTTCTCAGGGCTGGATTATGGCCACCTTGCTCGTGGCTGCCTAAGTAGTTGCTTTCCTCAGTGACAAGAGACACTTAAACGCCTCCCCGCGCCAGTGTATTTTTTCGAGCTCCATACCCGACGTCATTGTCTCAAAGTCAACTGTACGTGAGAAGTAACGCAGGACGTCTTTTCCTGATTCTGTACAACGACTCTTTTTACTGTTGCTCTTAGATAGAAGTCCAAGCCCTCAAAGAGGGATGCTGGAGGTAATATGCGTATATCACCTGTAGATTAGCTGGTACCACCCACTAGCTGCACCCGGAGCTAACCTAACCCGCCCCCCTCCGGCATCCCAGGTGGTGTAAGCTGCTGCAAGGGCGAGGATTGGAAATTGTGAGTGTTGCGGGGATGAGATCTTAGCTCTCGCACTGGTTGCAAGTCGGTGCCTGTGCTGGGCGAGATCTGGATTTCGGACGTGGCCTTACATCCCCAGAGTCACATGGAGTTTTGGACTCGGTTGGGTCACGGTCTGGGACCTTACTTCTCGCGGGCCGCTCCGGCTAAAGTCCCCAGAATTCAGTGAAGGAGATTGATACAAGAAAAGCAGAGCGAGACTATCCAGACCCGGAAATTCGATTGCAGGACGGCATCGCGTCCGTTCATGACTAAGGCCAAGGAGAAGAAGACTAAGAGGCATCCGTACACCCCCTTTGTTGAAGAAAGCCGAATTGTGACTACCTACTAGCAGTGAAGGAGGTCTAGTTATCCAGTTGAGAAGTGATTCTTTGGCCATAGGCACGATTTTGCCTATCTAGCCCGACAAGGTAGGCGTTCTGCAGCCGAACACGCACGAGGACCTGGAAATGCTCCAGGACGACAAGGGCGGCTATAGCCCGTTCCGTATGGACGGAGACAGCTCGGACAACGGCGAAGAGTGGTCGTCTGACGACGGTTCAAACAGCGGGTCTGACGCAGGGTGGGCGGAAATATATTCGGCACCCCTGTACGAATATCGTTAAAGATCGTGCGCTAAAATTTAGCGAGGTGAGGACTGCCGTTGCGGCGCGCCGTAGGGGGGCGAAACTGACAGTAAAAAGCAAAATAAGATACCTGCTGTAGCTTAGCGTCAGCTCGCTAATTTATAGTGCTCATCTCGCTAGATTTTAAAGTTTGCCCCACTAGAATCTTCTGTCGATTTTGTCACGACCAGGGCAAGGCATTGAGGTGAACTCAGTCCATTGGGTGCTATCGACGAAGATTCTAAACTGAGGAGGGAAAGAAGGAAAAGTCCGACAACGCGTCGCGTGCTCGCGAATAAGTTTGCATCTATCAGTGGGGTAGGTGGGGCCTCGAGGAGGCTTCTGATAGGCCCGTGGGTTCTGGGCGGCTCTGGCTGCTTCAGGGCCAGTTTGGTGGACGGGTCCTCACAGATTTCAGCGCATCATATTCGCGAATATTCGTCACCCCTGTACGAATATATCGTCGCCCACCCTGGTCTGACGCTGCCAACTCCACTCGGAACGACCCCCCACGCAAACCAACAGCAGAATCCCTGCACCGCAAACGACCGCCTCTACCGAGACGGTGACGTACACCAACAGCGCCAGGGCCGAAATCAGGCAGAGAAATCAGGCAAAGAAATCAGGCAGAGAATCCCGGCAACCAAAACACGCGAGTTACCTTTCTCACCTAATAATTCTAGTTACGATATGATCTTGGCTGTAATCTAGAAGGCAGCGGGCGTGGTCTGTAACCTCAACTTCTCCTAGAAAGCTGCTGGCGCCTTTATGGTCTTTGTGGTATTTACCATGAAGAAAAAGACCACCAATATGTTCTTTTGAGCTTCCGTCTGCAGAAAAGACGTCTAGGTAGCTATTAAGTTGCGTGTCCAAGGACTATGAAGGACAAGGATCAACTGCTTTAGATGTCACTGGGGACCTGCCTCTTATATTGATTATTGCCCATAGTACAGAAATCAAACCAGAAATGACCACCAGCACCATTTACTTTGGTTTGACGCCCCCCATCCAAGGGAGATGTAGTCACCGCCGGCCACTGCCTCCGCCCTCGCTCCAAACCCAACCGAAAATGCCGGGCGTGTCATAATTCCCATGTCAATCATTATACCCGCTACCAATAAACGCCTTGGTCGGCATCCTGCGTACCGCCACGCACGAAGGGACTACCCATGCCGCGCGCCGGCGTGTCAAAAAGGAAAAATACTGTTGGATTCACCAGGGTACCGGTACTGGACTCAACAGGGCGTGGCTGCACGCCGAAAACTGGTGGTTCAAGTGATGGATTGTAGATGTCTGTTCTTCTCTCTAGCTTTCTGGCAGTGCCAGAAAGCCCGTTCTTATACTACTATTGTGGTGGCGAAGTTGGTGGCGAAGTCTCTATCTAGAACCTTCGAGGCCCTTCTGCTTGACAAATTCCAACAAATACAAAACAAAATACAAAAATGAAAATATAGAAAAAGAATAACGTGTGTGATAAGCGAGATGAACAGACAAGCGAGTTGAACACTTTTGACGCGAAGCGCCTCCTCTCTACAAAACACCAAATTCCTCAACAAACTCAAATGTCTCTTCCTTCATACGAAGCTAGGGTGAATTTGGCCCTCAGGGCTATTCAAAACGACCCAAAACTCAGTATTCGAGCTGCAGCAACAACATATCAAGTCACGGTAAATACTATACGCAACCGACGCGACGGCAAACCTGCACGACGTGATACTCCAGCCAATTCGCGTAAGCTTACGGATTTGGAAGAGAAAACGATTGTTCAGTACATCATTGAGCTATGTGCGCGCGCATTTCATCCCCGGCTTTCGTACGTAGAAGATATGGCCAATCGATTGCTACGCGAACGCGACGCGCCCTCTGTCGGTACACGCTGGGCTCACAACTTCGTCAAGCGCCAGCCAGAACTTCGGACGCGTTTTACGCGTAAATACGACTACCAGAGGGCCAAATGCGAAGATCCAAAAGTTATTCGCGAGTGGTTTGCGCTTGTGCACAACACGAAGGCCAAGTACGGTATCCTTGACGAAGATTTGTACAATTTCGACGAGACCGGCTTTATGATGGGCATTATCATCCCCGCTATGGTAGTTACTACCTCTGATGGCCGTGGTAGGGCTAAGCAAGCCCAGCCTGGTAATCGAGAGTGGGCTACAGTCATCCAAGGAGTGAATGCTCTAGGCTGGACTATCCCACCATTCATTATCTTAGCTGGGCAATATCACCTTGCTAACTGGTATCAAGAGTGCAACCTTCCGGGTACCTGGCGTATCGCAACAACCGACAATGGCTGGACTACTAATGAGAAAGGCATGGATTGGATTCGGCACTTCGATTTCCACACAGCATCTCGTACGAAGGGAATATACCGACTGTTAATTCTCGACGGCCACGATAGCCACCACTCCGAAGAATTCGAGACTTACTGCCGGGAGCACAACATCATCACACTCTGTATGCCTCCGCACTCTTCACACCTACTTCAGCCATTGGATGTTGGTTGCTTTGGGCCGTTGAAGAAGGCGTACGGCTGTCAGATTGAGCAGCTGATGCGGATGAACATCACACATATTAGCAAGCTGGAGTTTCTTTGTGGGTTTAGAGAGGCGTTTTTTGCTTCGGTTACGGAAAGGAATATCCAGGGGGGGTTTGCTGGAGCCGGCCTTGTGCCGTACGATCCAGAGAGGGTGATATCCAAGCTGGATGTGCGTATTCGGACTCCAACACCCCCAGCTACAAGCCCAACTACATCGCTACCTTGGGTCTCCCAAACGCCACAAAACCCGAGAGAGGCTGCCTCACAGTCAGCGTTCATCAAAACTCGAATTTCCAACCATCAGGGCAGCTCTCCAACACCAATGCTGACTGCTGTGGATCGATTAGCTAAAGGTACGATGGCTATGATGCACGAGGTGGCTCTTTTGCGTACAGAGGTCTCAGCACTTCGGAAGGCCAATGAGGGGCTTAGTAAGCGACGGAGAGCCAAGAAAACACGTGTTCGGCTTGGAGGATCACTTACTGTACAAGAGGCACAGGATCTACTGGATCAGAAGGCTGTGGGTGGGCAGTTGGTCCAGGAAACACGACAAAATGGTGGTGGTGCAGGGGGGTCTCGTACGAAGATTCGATGCTGTGGCGTATGCGGCAAGCCTGGCCATAATGCACGTACGTGCAAGGAGGCTGCAGAATCGTCTGATTCATCTGTTTCCGATTCAGTTATTGTTATTTCCTAGTGTTGTGGTTGTGTAATTGAGGGTAGTTGTGGTGAGGTTGTGGAAATTGTTCAACTCGCTTGTCTGTTCATCTCGCTTATCACACACGTTAATCCTTATTTTCGTGACAATTTCGTATGTCGTAGCGGTGGAAGCCAGGCCTTCTATTACACCGCGAAACAATCACAATGCCGAGCTATAAGCGGGCTTGATGCGTATACTATACGATAGGATGAGTTGTTTCTTTTCAAGGTTCGTGTGGAGTTTGCCTTGATGGGTTCATAGAATGCAGAGCATTTGCTTCTTCAACAGGCTGAGCAGGCCATTTTTCCTACCCACTGCCCTTTCTTTCTCCTCTGCTATATTGTGTCACGCGCACTCACAGGGCAACGGGAATGGAGCATTTAATGCAGGGAGGTAAAGCTTGAATTGTCTGAAAAGGTCTTTCTTTTTGTTTCCTTTGGGGGCCAAAAGTCTCTCTTTTATAGTTATGAATAGTGGCAAAATCTGGTGATGCAGAATCAAGTGGCAGCTTCTAGGCCCTTCTTTTGCTCACTAATCCCTATTGTTGTGACACAATGATAGTAGGCTGGCTACTTGACCCTTCACCAATCCATGAGAGAGTTCTCTGCACCAGAGTGTCATTGCGGGCCAAGACCTCGGGTCGCCCTCTTGGAGTTTCTGGTTGGGAAAGGCGGTTGAACGGAATATGTAGCAAGGCAACGGCAGTCGGGGCTGGGACTCCTGCCGCTGAACATGGCCGGCACATGGAACAGTTGCTTCCCATCCTCGCCATCTCATGCGTGAAACCTACCCTGGTTGCTGAGGTTAATCAGAATGGTCAGTCACGTTGACGCCCAAAACCGGGGGCCAAGATTTACATGGTTCACTACTAAGCCGAGAATGAGCGGCGAAGAAAGGGCCACGAGTAAGCCATGGCAAAACATGGTAAAAGCCGACGCCTGGCCCTCCGAGATGTGGAACCCTTCCGGCAGGAGGGTTCCATTAATCCCATCCGTCACCGTACTTCTTGTTAGCCAACATCTTAACCTCTCTCCGCTCTGGTCAAGGTAGGCACCTACCTACCAGGTACCTACCAGGGTAGGCCACCCTTTTTCATTCTTTTCTGGAACTTGCGCATATGGGCACGGTCGCAGCTGCTCTTTCAGGATCCTTGGAGCTGAACATGGCAGCTGTGGACTGCCGACCGAAGAACACAACCCCGGGCTCCCAACGACGGGATTCCAGGCCGGATGCAGCTGCACATATCCTCCGAGAAGGACGGCATAACCTGACAAAATTCCCGACGGATTGAGCCGCAACAAATCGCGTTCAACCAATACTAGTTGACTGTGTTGAGTGTGCCGTCTGATAGTACGCTGCAAAGACGGTAGAAGGCAAGAAATCTCCGAGACGTGATCCCCTTTCTCCCCAAGTGGCAAGATCCAGCAGGCGTCGATCCTGGGCGCCTCGACAACCGCCCAAGCGCTTGTCGGTAATCCCGAGGAATCGGAGAATTTATCCTGTGAATGTCCCGAAGCTTATCGCTGTTTGAGGCCTGGGGATAGGAGATCTGATGCACCGGATCTGCACTTGCCGTTGTCAGACAGCCAGACGGATTCCCTTCCCTTTTTTGGTGTGCGACGGGGAAGGAGAAATACCTGCCGCCGACAGGGTCGGAGATTTCCGCCTGTGCCAGTGCCAGTCCAGTCCAGTCTTGCGGTGAGGGCCGGCCGCTGCCCTGCGCGTCCATGCATCCACTCAGGTTTGTGTACCAAACTCTGCTGCCGGCTGGCGCGTTGCCGCAGGGGTGAGATGGGAGATCTCGGATTCGCAAGTGCAAATGGACCAATAAAACCCCCAAGTGACCGCAGGCCATTGCATGCATTGAGCCGCCCAGACAGGGCTCTATTCTGCGGGGCTGCAGATCATGCACGCAATACTCCGTCCACATGGTCTTCCTCCAGCGGCCGCAAGCCGCTCGTTCAGGCTATTTTAACATGGAACAAGGATGGAACGTGGGCACCGACGGAGAATATCTGTCTGCTCGGGCCCGGCGTGCATGGCAGGAAAACATGCAGCGCACGACGGCTACCACCGTTGCCTCTGTGCCCCCATCCTCGCTGTGCTTTGGGTAGTGGTGGTAGTGGTGGTAGTGGTGGTGGTGGTAGTGGTAGTGGTGGTAGTGGTAGTGGTGGTACTGGTAGTGGTGGTAGTGGTAGTGGTGGTAGTGGTAGTGGTGGTACTGGTAGTGGTGGTAGTGGTAGTGGTGGTAGTGGTAGTGGTGGTAGTGGTAGTGGTGGTAGTGGTAGTGGTGGTAGTCGTAGTGATGGTAGTCGTAGTGGTAGTGATGGTAGTCGTAGTGGTAGTGATGGTAGTCGTAGTGGTAGTGGTGGTAGTGGTAGTGGTACTAGTACTGGTAGTGGTGGTACTGGGAGTGGTGGTACTGGTAGTGGTGGTACTGGTGGTGGTACTGGTGGTGGTACTGGTACTGGTGGTACTGGTGGTGGTACTGGTAGTGGTAGTAGTGGTGGGGGTTAGCAAACATCCCGGCCCCATAATTGGGCCTGCTTGTAGTCAGCTAAAAACATGTCGTTTCCCTTGTGGACCTCCCGGACCCGTTTCCTCTCGTCCTTCGAATCCCTTCCACGTACCATCCTGGCGATTGTTGTGCGGGCTTGGCTTTTCGGAGAATATGTGAAAATCACACAGTTGAACAACGAGCCTCCTCCCCTGTTCTCGGGACATCTTCTCTTTCCCTTTTTTTCTTTCCCTCCTTTCGTCACGCCCTTCTTTTAATCGTTCTTGTTGTTTGCGTTCCCTTGTGCGCGTCTGATACTACTGGAAACGGTGCTACTACGCCTGCCTCGCAAGTCAAGCCGGTCTTTACGGAAATGCAGCAAAGATGACGGAACACGATGTCGTCCGCCACCAGAACATACAAGATTCGGAGGATTCCACGGGCAGCCTGTCGCCGCTGCCGCCGGTCCTTACCAATGGCCTCGCCGCCGTGGCCATGTTTGGCTTTCTGAGCTTTTTATCGTGCGTATGGCTCTTCGGTTTTCTCACCTACAAGTTCGTCCGGTGGCAGGTTCGGCCTCGCCCAGACAAGACGGCCACCTCTCCAGTCCCGGAATCGCCCGTCGCGTCGGATGCAAATGGGTTTCTCGTCCCAGCCTCGCATTTGTGCCCTCAAAAGGACGACAAGTGGAGAGCGCCAAAGGAGGGCTTCTTCCAGCGTCTCCGAAACAACCCCCCAAACCAGTTCCTCATGCTCATCTATAACCTCCTGCTCGCCGACATCCAACAGGCAATGGCGTTTCTGCTGAACGTGACCTGGCTGTCGCGGCACGCACTCGAGGTTGAGAACTCGGTCTGCTGGGCACAAGGCTGGTTCATCTCGACGGGCGACCTGGCGTCGAGCGTCTTCATCAGCGCGATCGCCGTGCACACTTATCTGGGCGTCGTCAAGGGCTACCGATTACCGACAAGAATCTTCTACGCGGCCCTTGCCTTCTTGTGGTCGTTCATCTACGGATTGGCAATCCTCGGGGTTATCATCACTCGGAATGGCGAGGGGGTCGGGGGCCTCTATGTTCGTGCGGGTGCATGGGTACGTCGTCGTCGTCTTTTCAACGAGTAGGTGGCAAACGAGTAGGTGGCACATTGGCTGACGATTCGAACAGTGCTGGATCAACTCAGCTTACCAGGACCTCCGTTTATATCTGCACTATCTCTGGATTTTTCTGTCTCTCGCGCTTACTACGATCGTCTACATTGCAATTTTTCTTCATCTGCAGATTCACAGCAAGCACAGCCCGTCCACATGCCACTCAACCGGTTCGGCCCACAACCTGACCGGGGAGAAATTTCCGAACCCGGACCCCGCGAGCGGTTCGGCGGTGCCGTCTCTGGCGCCGAGTTCTCCACGTTCCGTGACAAGCATGTCGTTCAAGCAGCTCCCGCAGGCCCCCTCATCCGCCCGCCATCCGACTTTCCTCCTCTATCCCATCATCTACGTGCTGTGCACGGCGCCGCTTGCCGCGGGCCGCATCGCGTCCATGGCCGGGAACAACGTGCCGCTGTCGTACTTTTGCTTCGCCGGCGTCATGATTGCGAGCGCCGGGTGGCTGGACGTGGCGCTGTACTCGACCACACGGCGCGCCATTGTCTTCTCGGGTGAGGCTCCGCCGTCGCAAGACACGGGGCTAGACACGTTCGCCTTCATGCGGACCCCGGCAGACCGCAAGTTCGGCAACGTCGTCTTGGTGTCGGCCAACGACCCCAAGGGCACGAACAAGCGCTGGGCCGGGTGGAGCACCACGCCCAAGAAGAGCGCGGCGGCGCGGCTGAGGAGCCTCGGCAGCGGCAACAACTCGCGCAACGGCAGCAAGGACACGGTCAACAGCAGCATGCAGGGCTTCGGCATGGGCGACGGCGAGGTCATGGGCATGGCCATACAGTGCGAGACAACGACCACGGTCACGGTCGAGCAGGTTGTCGAGGAGAAGGAGAGAAAGGGGAGCGACGCGAGCTCTGGCTCTGGATCGATTCCCGCGGCCACGCGGCCGATACAAATACCATCTTGAGGAAGAGATGGACGCGAACCCATGTTGCTTTCGTTCCTGGTGGACAAGGTGCACATGTACGAGAGACACCGGTAATGAATGGGGGTGTGCGATAATGAGATCGACGCACTACGGTCACTCTTTTGCTGTCTAATTTGCTTTGTCTTCGCTATAGAAGAAAATTGGAGTTACTGGGTCGGGATTGATGCTGGTTTACGAAAGGGCGGGAACGAAAGGGCGGGCACGAAAGGCGGGTACGAAAGGCGGGCACGAAAGGGCGGGTACGAAAGGGCGGGTGGAAGGAGTATGGGCAAGGACAGGACGGAAATACACTAGGACGGTGTCAGATAGATACCCATATTTCTTTGCCATCGTTTCTTTTTTCACGCCTTGAGCCAGGCTGTGGCTCTCGGCCCTTATTTTCTTCTTTCTTTGTTATTTCGCAATGGGGCTTTTCTCAATTAGTGCATAGCTTCTACGTACACCTATCTTAATCTTCTACGTACACCTGTCTGAATCCTTCTTCTCTCGAGGTCCATTCGGAAGGCGTGCTTCCAGACTGCGTTGATCACCGGGCACGCGAACTTAGCTTCAACTCCAATGTCTACTACCGGTGGTTCTGTCTACTACTGGTGGTTCTGTCTACTGCTGGTGGTTCTGTCTACTACCGGTGGTTCTGTCTACTACCGGTGGTTCTGTCTACTGCCGGTGGTTCTGAATCTCACCAAAGGGGTTCTAAAAGAAACAACAGAGGGCTGGCGAACAAGTTAGGGCTTGATCTGGTCGGAGGAAAACGCACTCCATCCCCCAAAACTGCCGATGAAGAGTTCAATTAACAACTCGATCATCAATGGCAACTCTCCTCGCAGCGCAGCGCAAGGGAGTCAATCGCCTTGTTTCAACCACCGCCAATCCCCCGGACTGCGCGGATGGGGGAGGAGCCTTGCAAAAGTCTCGCAGGGCTAGGAGGGGAGGGGGGCATGGCCATGTCGCAGATCGCGGTGCAGATCGCGCAGAGCCAAGACACGCATCGTCCCCCAGCGCTGGGATGCCCCGTCGCTTTGCACTGCTTGTGCAGCTAGCGCTAGGTCGTATCCTTTTTTTGAGTTGTTTAAGCGGTTCTCTCTGGTTGCGCTGGGATCATGATGTGCGGGATCATGATGTGCGGGATCATGGATGTGCGGTATCATTAGATCCGGTGGTAATAGGGTGATAGCGGCCACGAAGGGGGCCTCGACGACTGCTTAAAAAGGGGTCGCACCGTCGTAGGGGTGTTAACTATTACTCTGCCTTTCGTGGGATTTGGGGCTTGCTCTGATATGCCAAAGCGCTTTCTGATTTCCAACTATGCTCCAGATTGGAATTCCAAGCATTTGTAGCCATTGCTGTCTATATCGTAGAAACTGTGCAGCTTTGCCAGTGCAAACACCACCGCAACACTGCTTTCTCGTCCCACGCTATTTGGTACATGTGGCACCCTGCCGCCTTGTTGTACACTGTATCAGAACGCGCCCGTGCAACCACAGAAATCCACGGTGCGCCCCGTGGGGGCGCCATTGGCCGCCCAGCCCCGCACGACTAGGAGAAACACCAGCCCGAGCCTCCGAGCAGCAACAAGCTCTTGTCCGTTTCACTTGGGAGCGACATCTCTGCCGGTGCGGGCGCTCTCCCTGACGGCCTCGATGATGCGCAGCACCTGCGCGGCCTGCGTCGCCGGCACGGGCACGTCGTCCTCGCTGCCGCTCGCGACCGCCTTGGCGAACATGCCGTAGAAGCGGCGGTACGTCTCGGGCTTGACGGTCGGGCACACGCGGTCCTCGACCTGGCCGCCGTCGCCGACGACGCTCAGGCGGCCGTACCGTGACTCGTCTTCCTTTCCGAACCCGGCGTCGGTGGCCTTGCCGCCGGCGCGTAGCTGGTCCTCCTGCGGGTCGAGCCCCGTCTTGTGGTAGCTGGCCCTGGAGCCGCGGACCCAGAAGCGCAGCTGGCGGGCCTCGACGCTGACGACGGCGCTGCGCACGTGCACGAGGGTGCCGGTGGCGGCGTAGCTCAGCACGGCCGAGATGCTGTCGGGTTGCTCGTCGGCGCCGACGCCCGACACGAGGCGGCCGTCGCGCTGGTTGACGAACTTGGCTGACACGGAGCTGGGCATGCCGAACAGCACAAACACCTGGTCCAGCAGGTGCGTGCCCAGGTCGTACAGCACGCCGCCGCCCGCGTCCATGCCCAGCGTGCCCTTCCAGGTGCTGGGGCGGTCGGGGCGCAGGCGGTCGAAGTGCGTCTCGAACTCGACGACGCGGCCGAGCGCGCCGTCGCGCAGCAGCTGCTGGATGGTCAAGAAGTCCGAGTCCCAGCGGCGGTTCTGGTAGACGCACAGAACACGGCCGACCTCGCGGGCCAGGGCGGCCAGCTCGTCGGCCTCGGCGGCCGTGGGCACGAACGGCTTCTCGACCAGCACGTGCTTGCCGGCGCGCAGCGCGTCGCGGGCCAGGCTGAAGTGCGTCTGCGGCGGCGTGCTGACGATGACGACGTCGACGGCGGCGTCGGCCAGCAGCGCTGCCGCCGACGTGTGGTGCACCAACTCGGGGAAGTCGGCCGGCGCCGAGTTGCCGGCCGCCGGCGCCCGCTGCACAATCGAGTGCAGCACCAGCGTCTCGGTCAGCGCCACGAACGGGATGTGGAACACCTTGGCCGAGAGGCTGTTGAGACAGTTTTGTCAGCCACTCGTGCAACTGCCGAGGATTGAACAGTGCAGTGAACTTGGGCTGAAGACACTGACCCATAGCCGATGATGCCGACCTTGAACTGCTTTGGTCCTGTCATTTTAGGCTTTCAATTTTCAGTGTTTACACACAGTTGACGTGAACGATTAAAGGGGAAATTCTTCTCTCGACGCGTGTAGTCGTGATCTCGGCCGGATTCGGGCTTTCTCGCCATTTTATGGAGTATGCGCTAGCAAACCCGCCGCAGCAGCGGGGTACTGTACGGATTACAGACCACTACGTAATCGGGTGACGGTGAGAGGGTCGCTGTAGAGGGCTCCACCAGGACTCCTACGATGGAGCTTGATGACGGCGAGGACCGGAAAATCTATAGTACGTAGCACCGCTGCAATCAGCGGTCTGACGGTGGACTGGCCGACGGTGGATTGCACCACGGTGGATTGGTTGAGGACCCACAGTGGATTGATTGAGGACCCACGCAGCCACGGTGGATTGATTGAGACTGAAAGCAGGATTATCCTCAGGGTTAGGGTATACCCCACACCTGGAATCGCGCTAGCTGGTGGCCTTCGGCCTGTAGTTTTTAGAGAGGCAACATTCCATACCGTTCTTTTCAGGACCCACAGCACAGCACACCCTAATTGGGCAGGCCGGCTCCACTCAAGTGTAGATCGTTATTTGCGTTGGACGGACGAGGTCCAACTTCAACACGTCCAACCTCGACGGTTTCCACAAAGACATTCCAGCCTACTACATGTGCGGCGGTTTGGACTGCTGTTTTTGGGGGGTGTGTGGCCTCAAATTTTGGCCTCAAATGTCAGCAGTTCAGGCATGTGGGAGCACAGACAAACCAGGTCTATTTCAGCCTAGTCTAGTCGCCGAGGCCTGAGCTTGCCACACACCATTCAGGGCCCTGCCTGCGCTGTTTTTTCCCCCGACCCACAGCAAGCACAATCAATCAATTAACAGCCTTGTACCGCCCTGTTACCCTACCGTGGCCCTCGAGAAATGGCTTTCGCTCCGGTAACCCTCAGGTAGTCAAGCCGTATCCCAGCGTCTATGTGAAGATGCGAATATTGATGAAATAATTATGAAACTAGTGTCGACGACGTCTATATCCCAGTCATGGGAATGCCTGGTTCCGGTGAAAGCGCGTTTGTAGCAGCCTGCACGGAGCAACCATATCAGCTCGTTAGCCACGGCCTTGGCTCTTGTATGTTGGTGTGCTGTTTTGGTGGATAGCATGTATGTATGTTTTGGGGCTTCCCTTTCTGATACAGGCGGGATAATTAGTCACCAGGGGCCGGTCCGACATCAGACTTTGCGGCATCATCTACCTGCAGCGCATTACCGATGTCCAGCTCTCCGGCACCGCGTTACGGGCTTTGGACGCCTTCAAGCAGATGTGTGGGCCCAAGGCCTTCGCCGACGTCACTCTCTTGACAGCAGGCTAGGGCCTCATCAATCACGATGAACATTTGCGAGCGTTGGCAGGAGCACGGCAAGCAGAGCTCGAAAGGACTCATCGCTTCTGGCGAGAAATCCTGGCCAAGGGCGGACGTTCTGCTGCATTGCCCCCCGGCCGCCAAGAAGCACTCGACGCCGTAGACGATATCGTACGATGCAGACAGGGCCCTGTGCTCGGCATACAGATTGAGATGGCCGTCGAGTCGATGACGTTGCGCAAGACCGGGGCTGGGCAGGTCTTGTACGAAGCCTACCGACTAGACAACGCAAGCTGGAGAAGGACGTTGCTACGGCTCGGCAGAGCTCACGAGGGCGATTCGGCAATGCCACCATCAGGACATCCAGCGCCTCCGAGGGGTGGAAGCGGAGCTGACGCGGGACCTGAAGTGAATAGCTGGGGGCTTGCGCCGTCTCGGAATCCCCGTTCGAGACGTCGTGGCCAGAGGAGCGGATCAGGCTGAGCGGCAGGCACGGGAGCTCGTACGGTTGGCAGAAGGGCTTGACGGCACTAGGCAGCGCGAGGCAAGCCGCAAACCTTGGAGGCTACGGATGCTTGGAGACTACGGATGTGGCGGCTACGGATGTGGAGGCTACGTATGCTTAGAGGCTACGGATGCTTGGAGGCTATGGATGCTAGGAGGTTCAGAAAGTGCACCTCCCTTCGATGGCGCTCGCCCAGAAGGTAGTCACCGGCAGTTCTGTGCTTAGCGCTCTTGCGAGGACAGCGTCACTTGCCCTTACGGCTGATTCTTGTTCGATAATGTAGTAGTAGCAGAGCCAAGGGAGAAAGGGGACCATTTGTTTGCCATGCCCCTAGCTAGTTGTGTTACGGAATGTTAGAACAAGTAGCTACTCGACAGATTGTGCTCTCGTTCTAACCTCCGTCTCTCCGACCTGAGCTCAGATGTAATCTCCCTATGGCTGAGAGCCGCTTCTTTCGCCGCCTCCAGCTGGCCTTCTAAGGACTTGACCCGCTGGCTATAAGCTCGATCCCGGGACTTGAGTTTTTGTTTCCCCTTCTCGTACGCCCGCCGTATGTTCTCCCGCCACTGTGTCACCAACTTCTGCCTCGCCTCGGGGCCTTGCAAGTCGCGTAGCGTTTGGCGATACGCCGAGGTCGTGGACACGTCCACGCGGCCCGCGCTGTCAGCCGTGATTTCCGACTGAAATTTGAGGCTCATCGGCAATCCTCCCGCACTCTTCGCAATGGCTTCGATCTGCCGCAGACCTGAGACCCTGTCAGGGAATATACGCGCAACCCGAGACCCCTTCTCTATCATTTCCGGCCAAAACCAGTTACAGAGCTGGGATTCCCGTTCTTCGGCAATGGGCCAGGGGACCACATCCCAGAAAGTCGTCCCTAGGATGACCCTGCCAAATCCCTCGCTCCCGCAGAGCTTACGGAACATGCGAAGACTCGCCTTAGACGAGTTCGTCATCCTCGGGCTATTCAGCGAGTGGAGATAGATGATGCCGTCCAATCCTCTCCCTTCCCCGAACCTGGCCGCAAGCCACTCCAGTATTCGTGAGACCACTTCCTCCTGGCCTAGTACTGTGTCGTCGAAGCCTGGCGTATCCACGAGGACATACTTGGTTCCGCGGTGGGAAAAGGTTGTTTCGCTCATTTCAGTTGTCTCTTAATAGGTTACACGCCCGTAAGCCGACGTGCGGTTTTGTCTTTGAGAAAGCACCGTCTTACCGGACTGAAGCCCGTGTCCAACACGGACCCCCTTTTTTTGGGTAATCCTCCGGATAAGATGGCTCTTCCTAGAGCCCGTGACCCCCATTATCGCAATGACAACTCCGTCATCCGAACCAGAGCCGGATTTGCTGCTGTGGGCGGCACCCATGGCCTAGGTAAAGGCGAATCGCAAATGTGTTTGATGGCCGATTGTGGACGGGAGGCTCGCCCTGGCGCGAACACATTAAGGCGGAAAGGTTTTTGTCTCCGATGTCCAGGCCAAGTCTTGCTTTTGCTCTTCCCCCCCGCCGCCGCCCCCCTCCTTCGAGTACGTCCTTGGCACCGGTAAACCGATCTTGGAAAACTGCCTGCCACTCGCTAAATTGTAAGCAATGACTGGTGGCATATGTTATCGAAGAGGCACTCAAAGGGATGCATGACGCATCGTCTGTCGCCAGCCCGGCATAGGTTCGCCAGCCCGGCATGAGTCCAGACACACCCATAGGCAGCACAAAGAACCAAGTACCAAATAAATCTGTCACGCTGGGCGTGTTCAACCCCAAGGCGTTACACGAGAATTTAATTCTTGGTCATCGGATGTCTAGCAGGGGGACAAGGTAGATAACACTAAGCCGCGTATTGGGCAGAGATATCATGATTCCGGCGGATGTGTTGCGCGACAGCTTCTAGGCCTCTGGCGACACATCGTCTCAGCAAATCATCCGAAAAGAAGGCCACACACCCTCGCTCTCAGCCTTCCATCTCTTTCATTATCTCCTCCCATGGCCTTCTATTTTCGCCTTATCAAGACGTAATAGTTTTCGCTGCGCCTTATGGCTCATCCTGCCATTGCTGCCGGAGGGGGGCGTGTCTCTTCTTGGCGAGATACTGATAAATGCAACGCACTATTGGCCAGCGCTTCGAGCGCACACTCATTCAGTCACAGACTTGAGACAGTAGACGCGGGGCTGATGGGTGGTATCAAGCGCCCCCACGAGAATGGGAAGAGGTGAGACGGGAGTTCTCTTCTGCTACTACTATTAACCCATCAACAATTAGGGTGGCCAAGACACTCTGCCTGCTGCGTGCTGGCCCAAGCCCGCCCAAGTGGGCTAGGCGGCGGCCGGCAGAAGGTTAAGCAATGCACAGGTGCCTAGACGTTGCCGATGGCGCGGGTGGGGGGCCAGATTCTGGCGGAAGCGATTTCAATGCGGCAAGCAGTCGTCGGAAAGAGACCTGGAGCTTAAATTGCGAGGACACCTCGCCGGGACACCTCGCCGGGCCCCTAGATAACGCTAGGCTGCGTATTGTTCCGCCCTCTTGCTCCCATCGATGTTTGTGTTCTAGGGAGGTACGGAGAAGCGGAATTCCTAGTTTCTCGACCAAGCCTAAGCAAATCTATTTTCTCGGGAATATCCTCGCGCTAGCAACCCACCATGTCCAAGTCGCTTGTACGCCATGGTGGGTCGCCTCAATTGGGAGAGATGATCCTTCCAGTCGCACTTGAGCAGCCTAGCCGAGATCGACCGCGACAAGACTCAGCGCACAGACGCCAGCAGAGGCATGGGGGGCCACCTACAATAAGGTGTGTATGTGTGTGTGGATGTTTATGTGTTTGTGTATGTGTGTATGTATGTGTATGTGTGTGTATGTGTGTATGTGCGTGTGTGTGCGTGTGTGTGTGCGTGTGTGTGCGTTTGTGTGTTTTTCATCGATGAACCTGCATATCCCAGTCTGACAGTCTCCAATAGGCCCCAGGATATTGTCATCGCCATCATGGGCGTCACGGGGTCGGGGAAATCAACTTTCATCAGCCATTTCTGTCCAGAAGCGGCCGTCGGCCATACGCTGGAGTCTTGTCGGTCACCACCCGAGCTCGGAGTCGAACAGGCATGTGCTAATATAGCTGTCTTTCTCGGCCCAGGCACGAGAAACGTCGCCATTTACCATTACCCTCGCCGGGATGGCGTCTCGGTCTACCTGGTCGATACTCCAGGGTTTGACGACACCTACAAGACGGACACCGACATACTGCGGGATATTTCGGACTGGCTCAACCGATCGTACGAAACCCGCGTCCTGCTCTCGGGCATCATCTACCTTCATCGCATTTCCGACGCGAGGGTGGGCGGATCTAGCATGCAAAACCTGCGAATGTTCAAGAAACTCGTTGGCGAGGACAACCTGAGCAACATTGTCCTCGCCAGCACAATGTGGGGCATGGTGCCAGATCTCAACGTCGCGGTTGCGCGGGAGGCGGAACTACAGAACAAGGACGATTTCTGGGGCCAAATGATCAAGAATGGGAGCCGAGTCTTTCGGCAAGACCGTGGCGCCGAGTCGGCCGCCGAGATCGTGCAGGACATCACAGCCAACCGCTAACGAACGGTCCTCGATATCCAGCGGGATATGGTCGACAGGAGCCTCTCCCTGGATCAGACTGCAGCCGGCAAGGAGGTGCAAGGCGAGATGGCCAAGCAGCGGGCCGAGTACGAGAAGAGAGTGGCAAACGTTCGTGAGGAGATGCACGAGGCCATCCGAAATCAGGACAAGGAGCACCAGACGGAACTCGAGAACCTGCAAAAGGAGCTGGGGGCAAAGCTTCGCTCTAACGAAGACGCTATAGAGAGGCTGAAGTCGGGCAAGGACGAGATCCGCCGCGAGATGGAGGCGAAGTGGGAGGAGGAGCGCCAGGCCCTCACCCGGCGATTCGAAGCCCAGCAAGCCGCCCGTGAACGGGAGCAGAAGGCTCGTGAAGAGGAGGAGCGCCGGGCCCTCATTAGGCAATTCGAAGCCCAGCAGGCTGCTCGCAAAGAAGAGCGCCAGTCCCTCGTCAGACAACAGAAAGCCCAGCAGGCTGCTCGCGAGGAGGAGCGCCGGCGTAAAGAGGAATTCCAGCGGCATATGCAGGAGGAGCTGTTTCGCCATCTCATCTATACTAACCCTTTGCTACATTCACGGTCCGCCGCCCCAGCCGGCGTTTTACACATACTACTACTTGTACTGGTAGTTTACTTCCTCTATCGTGTTTTGCGAAGGGTAGGATTGTATTTTTATTTACGGGGGTGATGGCCAAATCAACAATCGGAATAACAGGACTCCCCGATCAATTCTATATCGTGCAATGTAACTCTGCGTGAGCCGTTAGCTCCCTCCCAATTCATCGAGGTTGGTCGAGGCTGCTCAGCATAGGACGGATTTGCAGAGCATGCTTTGATCACCCAAGCTAGGATGTGACCTGATTGCGATGTGACCTGATTACGACCAGGCCTGCTGGGTTATGTGCGTAAAGGACCAAGTAATAACTAACGTTTTTGATAAGCGAGATGAATAGGGAAGCGAGCTGAACACTCTAACACAATGTGGTGATATGACACAATGTGGTGGTATGTACGCGAAAAAAAAGTTAATAAATTGTTAGTGGCTTTATCAATTTCTTGTCGTCTATTTGCGTGCAGATCACTAAATTTTGTGAGAGTGTTCAACTCGCTTGTCTGTTCAACTCACTTATCAAATACGTTGTGTTGAATACTTATAGCAGGATATTTGTTGAATGGTTTTTTTTTTTTTTTTGGTTTGAAAAATGAGTAAGTGTGTATATACTTGTCAAATACACTGCACCTTGAAAAGATTGGTGAATGGATGGATTGTAACGGTGTTGGTTATAATTGTTGCTTGTGTTCTCTCCATCTTATCTGCGGCTCTCTGGCAGAGCTAGAGAGCTTCCATTATAGCTGCGCTGGTGGCAAGGCTGGTGGTGAATGGTGGCCCACGCCAGCTGAACTGATTGCGCCAACTCAGCTCACTCGAGCTCGTTTTCAGCTCGTATGGCCACTCCTTTCGTCCTCGGTCATCTAGACCCTTCCTTCCTGACAGAGTTGGGAGGACGTGACGTCTGTTGCGTGGATATGCTCGTGCCTTATTGACTGAAGCACGGCTCGGTTAGAATTGGGGGGAAAGAAGGATAAGAACGAGGAACGTTGGAAACAAGTAAGCCAGGGAGATGCGGTGTATTTATCAAGACCTGGTGCCTAGTGACTTTATTAGTGAGGTAGCCGGTACCTAGGCTTCTTGGTCGAGGTACAAGATCGTGGTCCGAGCGAGGAATCTGGTCGGCTAGCCTCGGTGGCTCCCGCAGGGAACACGGAGCAATCACAATTCAGCAGCCCCACCACGGCACATGTATTCCAAGACAGCGTGCTTGCGCCGACTTGGCCACTGCTCTCCACCACTGCTCTCCACAGAACCGCGAAGATCCAGCTCGTCCTCTCCCTCGGCGGCGCAATCGGTGCCGGTTGATTACTCGGAGTCCCGAGATCAACTTTGGATTTTTCAAACTTTGTTGAAGAGGAGACCTAGATGGGCCCTCTCGTCAGTGTGTAAGACCAGAGGGCAATCCACTCAGTCCAGCCTAGCCGAATGCTCCCGGCGTCCACCGTGGCAGCCAAAAGCGCCGACACAGCACGAGATGATGGGCATAGGGCATGCCGCACAGGCAACAATCGGCCCTGGAATTAACACTAACAGCCGGGCATTGCGTCGAGCTCGCCAGGCGGCTAGAGACTAGGTAGTCTGTCCTGTCCTTTCGCTGAAGCTCGCGCGATATACGAGCAGGGCGATGGACGCGCAGGGATGGACACGCAGGGCGATGGACACGCCGGGCGATGGACACGCAGGACGATGGACACGCCGGGCCATGGACACGCCGGACAACAAGCAGACGGCTGCAAAGACGCAAGATTACCTAAAGGGCCGGGCATCTCAGACCCGAAGCCGCGGCCCTTCCCCCCGTCCTTTCACCCACAGCTGCTGTCCACTTCACCGGTGTCGGTCCTACTCGCCATACTCGTGGCCAATGGCTACACAAAATATGGATATGGGGTGTCGGGTTGAGCTCGAGGACGAGAATAATGTGCTTTTCCCAATCTGCGTAGACCCAAAGCAGAAATTGACACCATTGGAGATGATCGGTCCAGTGAAGCGCTCAGTTGCGCGGACGGACAGCCTGACCGCACAATATTCCGACCGATCTTGACAACGCAAACCTGTATGAAGAGGGGCTGAAATCGGCGGAATGGACACACGCGGAGCTGAGATGGGTAAAGCGGAGCTGAGATGGGCAAATCGGAGCTGAGATGGGCAAAGCGGAGACACGGATGCACTATCGTCGCTAACACACACCAAGCCCAAAGAAATCAAAGTTTGAATCTGCCGCGCACTGCCGACGTCAGGATCTTGGGAGAGAAGCGACGCTCAGCGGATGGAGGAGAAGCTAGAGTGAGAATGTGACATAGTGACACTCCCACGGTGTCTCTCTCACTTCTTCGGATCCGCCCTGTATGCCTCCTGGGCCAATCTGTCCGGCCTGCATGCCTCCTGGGGCCAATCTGTTCGGCTTCCCGGACTGGACTGGCTGTAGGGAGCATCACTATCTACCTTGCAAGGAGCTCGTGCAGATTATTTCGTTCGACCATTTCATATCTAAATCTCTCTCTCTTTGGCACCCCGGGGTCCAGAGGTGGCCAGGTGCTCTCTTCGCCAACGTTCTGGCTCCTGGTTGCTGCTCAGTGGCGTCTGCAAAGCTAGTGAGACGCTGATCTGTTTTACTAGTAGTCATAATCAGTTGACGACGGCGGGCCTGGCCGAAGGGATGCATCCCACGAGTTGTTGGCCAAGACTAAGCGGAAAAGATCCCGCAGCACGGCTGAGCTCGGCTTACAGGTTGGGTCCTGGCGTCGCGCTTCGACTTGATTCTACCCGCACAAGGCGCCCGCACAAGGCGCCCGAGTGGGGCAGGGGTCCAAGTCTACGATGGCGCCAATGCCGCCATCAAGTGCGTTTCGACAGTGCCGTCTCACCCGGCTTGGCCAGGATGGACGGCCCAGGCGACCTGGGGCCTAGATCGGCTCTGGCCCCCGGGTCGTATCTTCTCTTCCGTGGTGGCTGCCAGCGTTTGGTCGAGACCTCGGTTCTCATGCACTTGCCGCGAATCAGAGCCACCAACTTCTCGTGCAGAGTTTGCCTGTCAGGAGATGGCCTAGGCCGCCAGTGCCACGTCCGACCTCTTGCATTTGTCCAGTTAAAATCGCCGTATGGTGTGACAAGCCCCAAATATCAAAGCACCCCAGTCACCGGCATGCAGCAACCCCTCCCCACGCTCGCACTTTGTGCAGTTCGGACAGTTTGAGTTGTGGTTTCTCTTCTTCCGGCTCCTATTGGCCCAGCGGAATCGATGGTGTGGCGCCCCAGCGTTCGCGTCGCTGCATGTCTCCCAGGAATGGATGTCACCGTGGGAGAAAATGGCTCATCAAAATAGCTGCGTCTTGTCTGCCCTCCGCACCCCTTTTGTCTCGTACCGTGTCCATAATGGCTGCTGCAGCCTGCATGATGCGGTCGACTCGGGGACATGGACCACCACTATCCGAACGCCACGTCAATGACGGCTCAAAGTCCATCGCAGCGTGCGGGCAATCTTGTCTGGCACGGTCCGCAAGTCGGTCTTGTAATTACTTCGTGAGAGTACAAACATGTTTCAACCATTACGTGACGTCGATATACCGTACGGTCCGTACCTCCAGAGACGGCGCGCCACCGAGCCCCTTTTCAATTGCGCCAATGTTCTAGACTCGTCGAATTGCCAAACCAGCGACTCGCAGACCGACCAGGCCAATTAGACAGAGCGACCGAGGACCGGCAGGCACGCTGACCGGCCCCGATCGCTGACTTTGCAGCCTGAAACGAAGCGTTTTGGTCTAGACAGCAACTCGCGACAGAGTAGCAAAAAAGGGGGCCGACAAAGGCTAAAAAGAAATCGTTTCGATCAGACCCGGGCTTGAACCAGAGACATCTAGCGTGTTAGACTAGCGTGATAACCAACTACACCATCCGACCTGTAGATTCATGTTTTGAGCGGTAGGTGTCGCCGCTAAAGAGGGCGGGGCCGCCGCCACGGCGCATGGCTCGGGGTTTGAAGACCTCAGCTTGCTTGATCACGGGCCGGCCACGAAGCTTACACTCCAATCCCTGCTCAATTGTTTGCGTGGTACCTGCCAAGCCCAAGTTACGAGTTTGCTTTGCGCACTTGACTAAAAGTGAAAACTACTTTGTAAACAAAATCAGAACTCTTAACTATCTATAACCCTTTTTTCCACATCCCAGTCTAGATTCTACTGGATTTCCTGCGTTTTTGGGTAGTTGGACGGTTGTATCTGGCGCTGGGTCACTGTTTTCGGAACCGCGGGAACGATTTAACAGGGGTTGAGTGTAAGCAAGTGCTTGAGTTCCAGAATAGTTACCAAGTAGCAGAGTAAGTGTTTGTGATGGCTGGGCCCCAGAACCTTTGGTGTGGAAATGTCAGAGCTTCCTTCGCCTTCTGTCTCGGCCAGCAGCAGGTCTCTCTTCAAACCGCGTTCCCGAGGGTCTTCGGTGTGACTGGTGCGAACCAATGCCCCGAAAGGGGTCTCGGCCGTCGGTGTCCCTACCAGGAACAACAGGTTCGCGCCTCAGACAGTCGACTGTCGCCGTCTTTCTGCCGCACACACCACACCTCCTCTTGTGGACCAACGTCGAATGGACACATACAGCGAAACAGCGAAACAGGGACGGGGGTAATCTCACTGGTAGCTCGCCCAGTTCACCCACTCCAGCCACAATACCCCGGCAGGGCTTCTGCCTTTTCTCCGATAGGAACCATCATATCCCTGCCAATAGCATAGCCGCTCCCTGCACCAGAAGACGGCCGGATCCTCGCAAGCCCAAACCCCCAAGCCTGCTCGAGCCATCATCTCGCCCACACCACCAACGCCGCGCACCCTGTCCAAAATCGCATCCTCGTCGGCGGCAGCAAACAAGACAGGCTGCGGCAGCGCTAGGCCGGCGGCGCGCGCGAACCGGTTAGCGCGGGCGACGTGAACGTTGACGAGGACGGCGCCGTCGACGTTCCACGACTGTGCGTCCCCGTCGTAGGGCACAATGTGATGGCGGATGCGCGCACCGGCGCCCACGTCCTGGGACGGCGGCACGGCGTCCATGTCATCTGCGAGCGGCGAGTACCGCGACTGCGTGCCACCGCCGACGAACATGACCTCATCCGATCAGCACTAGCGGCGGCGGCGGCACCGCTGCTGGCCGCCGCGGCGGATGTTGGCGCTGCCGAGTGTCGTCATCACGGGGTCGTACGAAGACGACGAAGCCGGCAACTTGATGGTCCATAGCTCTAGCGGCAGACCACGCTAACGGCCAGACCACCTAACGGCCAGACAACACTGACGGCCAGACCTGCAGCTCGACTGTCCTCTGCTTCCTGTTGGCTGCCGACGCCCAGTCGAGCTTGTCGCGGAGCGTGCGCTCGCGGGGGTGCATGCGCGTGTCGGGGGGGGATGGCCAGGTCCGCGGGGGCTTCGAGGCGCTCTGGCGACGGGTATTCTATCGTCAACCTCTCGTCGAAGCGCAGCGCGGCGGGGTGGCGGCCGCGGCGCAGGAGCCGGAACTTACTGAGCGGGTACTACGGGATGATCTCGAGCTGGATGCCCCCGAATGCCCCCGACGTGGCTGCTGCTTGAGCCCCCTACCTGTGCCTCGATCTACTCGGGTGAGTCGTGCAGCCGGCGACGAACTGCCGCACTACCCGCGGCGCTACTGCTACGCCGTCCAGCCACCGCTGGCCCGGGGGTGCCGGCGCCCGCCCGCCGTGCACGTAGAGGTAGTCCTGCGTTGGCGTGATGCCGTCCGTGTACCAAGGGGCCTGGACCGTCTTGTTCGGCCGCTGCATCCCGACGACGGTGCTGGGACGGTACCATCGCCTAGGAACCACGGACTAGCACAGGTCCCGGATGGTTGTGCTCTTCGGGGTACAGCGCCGTTCCGCAAGGTGATTACGCAGCGTACGAAGCCCTCGGGAACACGTAGAGCCGGCTCGATCGATTCGCCTGTGGTCGAGAAACAAACATTAGCTTGCCTGGCAGAATGACGATAATAATCACCAAGATATCACCGGGGGTCAGTTTGACTTACGGCCCAACTCAACTCTGCTCACCCCTGACGGGAACTGTCTGGGTCACGAGCTCACACACGGCCCTGTAAAATATCTGACTGCCTCCGCGTCCAGGATCTGCCATCTGCGCAACGCTCCGGTGGCCTCCATTCAGGGGTATGTGTGTTTCGTTGGGCAGGTTCATGACGGCCGAGTCTTTTGGAACACCTAATAAATAATCAAGCCACTCGATCAGCTTTCGGAGAAATTCACTCGGAATCAATTATATCCCGACGAATTGAATGGATGACATTAACGCCACGGCTAGTACCTAGGTAGTCAGTCAGTCAGTCACGTACCATAATACGACCAATCCTGACCATCTTATAGATGGTGTAGATGTTGAAGCGCGAGTAGATCTCGGAGAAGTGGTGTGACTTCACGACGAGGTAGTTGTTGCGGCTCTCGAGCCTGCGGATTAGCCTTACGTTGAAGCTCACCACCATAGTGTAGCGCGCGATGCCCGCGGCGACGGCGCCTAGGTTTGCCGCCGCTGAGGACCCCCGGTGCGGCGTGGCGAGGAACACGATGCCCGTCGTTGCCTCGAAGATCGACCTGTACACCAGGCCCAGTTTGGCTTCGATCAGGGCCTAGTTGAATTATTGGTTGAGATTCTCCAGTCGGTCTTGCGGCCGGGCCGGGAACTGTTTGTTTTGTGAGACGAATCTGGGCTCACAAAATTCCCTTCTTCGTACCTCGCTCACGTGCCATTGCTCAACCCGGCTCAGGCTCGCGTGCCGTTGCTCAACCCGGCTCAGACTCGGCTCCGTCTTTGCTCAGGATTAGCTTAGGCTTGCTCACCTTCGCTCACCCTAATTACCATTTCTGGCACAGGTCGCCTTCCGCCCCCGAGCAAGATGATTACTATCGACGATATGTATCTACAGTAGTTATTTAGCCATAAAGGTACTTGCCATGCCTCACCTACCACCTAATCAAGCATCGATTGTTGGAGACAGAAAGGGAATTCTTCGCGTGGTCTTCCAAGATAAAGTCGCACACTTGATCAAAAGAAAGAACGCCAACATGAGCGCTAGAGTTCTGAACGAAAGTAAGTAACTTCTGAAAGAAAAAGCAACCATGGGGTGGATGCCCCCGCTCCACCTAAGGCAATAGAGCAAAACTTTAAACTCCAAAGCTAGAAGCAGAAAGAAGAAAGCAACCAACTACCTATCATCCTGGATGCGGTTTAGATGCTTCTCCTCACCTCTCACCCATCTTCAACACGATCCATTCACTCCTTCATTGCAGCTACGGCTGGCTGGGCTTGATGATAGTCGTCGTCCAAGTCCCCCGGAACGACTTGGAAGGCAGGCATGTCTAGGAATCCCTCTTCATACATCCCTGCTCCAAGAAGACCCGAATCGCCCGCTGATTAAGTGATTCTTGAGTGGTCTGATTTGAGATTCCATCTTTTTTGATCTCTTTATCCGAAATTTTGAGGAGAATGCCCTCTTCATTAGAAAGCAAGGAGCTGATCGAGCAACGAGGAGACCCCTGAGACCCCTAACCTCGTTGAGATGAGATGTCAAGAGTCTCATAATCAGCGTCGCACTGCAAGTGGGCCGCGCCAAGGGCCAAAGTCCGAGGCGCTAGAGGCAGGGAGTAAGCCGTCGATAGGGCCGCTAATCACTCCACTGTCGAACCAGGCAGTCGGTCGATAGGAGACGGGGTTGCTAAATCAACCAATCGTATTTCTGTCGTCTCTATCCTGCGTATCTGTGAATCCTTACACGTCGATGGAGATGCTGTACGAGGCTACGTTGATGCCTGGTTGCGTCATGGTGCATTTGTCAGATCTTTGTATGCGATCTTCCGAGGGTGCCGACAGCAGATCCAAGGAGACAGCAGATCCAAGGAGACAGCAGATCCAAGGAGACAGCAGATCCAAGGAGACAGCAGATCCAAGGAGACAGCAGATCCAAGGAGACAGCAGATCCAAGGAAACACATGTGTCCAAAGCGGCAGTTCCCCAGGCTAATTAATATTCCCGATGCTTGCTTGGTCAGAAGGGGCCATGGCGCGGCCTTGAAAAAACTCTCACAACTACCCCATCATTCAGACCTGATGCTACGTGGCGCAGGTACCCATGACCTTGGTCCCTGCCGCTCGTGATATCACTTTCCTGACATCCTTGTCACGAGAACCACAAAAGTGAGGACGAGAACCCCAAAAGTGAGGAGGCGAATCCTGGAAGAAAAGTGGTTCTTGGTACGCTATACGCGGGATAACTTGCGGTTTATAAACACAGCGTCCATTTTTGGCGGGAGGATTCGGATCTAGTCGGATTTTAGGGTACTATTGCCAAGCCCATCTCTGGGTTGGTAATCGAAATATGTCAGCCGTGACTTTGGCCAGCTTCGAAAGCGAGTCCGGGCCTCATATAAAGGTCCGGCCATGGCGCTCTCTGTTACGCCGCTCTCTAGACGGCACGCGGTCATCGACTCCTGCAGACATTGATCGACCGAGCATTCCGGAGTGAAAGTCGCAAACTCACCTGCACAACCCCGCGACACAAGCGCTCTCGTGATGCGGCTCTCTCTGATGAAACGGCCCTCTCTGATGAAATGGCTCTCTCTGATGAAACCGGCCCTCTGGGCACTTGCTCCCCTCGTGGGAACCGGCGTGTCGCTGACTGACTTCGACGACTGGGCGCACCAACGTGTGGCCCTCGAAGACGTGTCGATCCACCTTCGCTACGCTGGCAGCGGGCCGCCGCTGCTGCTCGTGCACGGAAACCCCCAGTTCAGTCTGACCTGGCGCATCATCGGGCCCATCCTTGCTGAGAAGTTCACTGTTATTGCGCCTGACAACCGCGGCGCCGGCGACTCGTCGCTGCCTCGCGACGGCAACTACAGCGCCACGGCCGGCGCGGCTGACCTCAAGGGCGTGCTCGACTTTCTCAACATCACCGAGACGTACGTCTTCTCGCACGACAAGGGCGCCGGTATGGCCCTGGCTCTGGCTGCGGCCCATCCGTCGCTGGTAAAGAGGCTCGGCGTGGCCGAGTATCCCTTGCCGGGGTTCGGGTACGAGCAGTTTTCCGGGCCAGCGCCGTACTGGGACCTGTACGCCAACTGGCAGCTGGCCTTCTTCAGCGTTCCCGACGCTGCCGAGTTCTTTATCCGCGGCCGCGAGAAGGAGATGCTCGAGTGGTACTTCTTCCATGGCAGCTACTCGGGCGTCACCGCCTTCGCCGAGGACACGGTCAACCGCTATGCCACCTCCATCTCGAAGCCGGGCTTCCTGCGCGCCATGTTCGGCCCCTTTGAGAACAGTATCATCGCCGCCGATTCCAGCTTCTTCAGGGGCGTCCTCGCCGAGAAGCCGCTCGATGTGCCACTGCTCGGTCTCGGCGGTGAGGCCAGCCTCGGTTTCTTGACCCAATTGGCTTACCAAAACATCTCGTCGAATCTCGAGGCAGACGTCGTCCCCAAGGCCGGACACTGGATTGGTGAGTTTTTCGTGCTGGTGATATAAAAGGTGACAGATAATGCAATTGCGCGTCATGGACGAAGCTGATGATTCGAGTGTCTTCTAGCCGACGAGAACCCCGTCTGGGTCGCCAACCGCATCGCCCAGTTTCTGGCAAAGGACAAATCTCCGCTTGCAGCTGTCAACCTGAGCAGCCTCGCAGACCGTGTGACACTGACGGTGGGAGCATTTGGGACGCTGGCTAATGCTCGTCTTTCGGGGGCGCTGTGAGCAGGATGCTGTGAGCAGGAGTGGTAATTCTGAGGTATTGTCGTGGTCTAGCTCGTTTGGGGGCTGCTGTGTCGTGTGCACCATCCATATTGGGACATTGGCTGATGAGCATGCGGCTACTCGTGCGGCTACTCGTTAGACGACTTTGATTGCAATCTTGGGTTGAAACATGGACCTAATTTAGTACAAGGATGGAGCATTCTCGTCCAAGTTACATGGTATTGCTCAATGTCTGCGTCTCTTTGGTGCTTCTCAATTCACAGCCAGGTCTCATTCTGTTGTTGTACGATGCCCAGCTTGCCCATGAGCACATCCTCGTCTCACTGCTTCATTACCATCGCGATACGAGAGACGAGGTCTGCCGTCTGTTGCCGGGCGGTTGCTGATTTGTTGCTCAGTCGCTAGAGAATGGCGCTGACGATCTGAGGCAGGTAGGACCTGCATCGAGGTCCTGGACGGCGCAGGCTTTGAACTTCCTGGTCGCGGCCACCAACCGGGCCGACCTTGTTGGCCGCGGGCAGAAGCGACGTCTACACCATCACGTCGCAGCTCTGCGCCGCCCGATCTGAGGCAGGTAGGGCTTGCATCGAGTACCCAGGGCGTTGACGACAGAGCCAAAGCCGTTGCTTGTCGCCAGCTCCCAGCCGAGAGGAGCCAGAACTGCCCTAGAGTAAAAATTGAGCTCGGGTTGCCGGCCCAGTGGCCTACCCGAAAGAACACGTTAGCATGATGGTGCAGCCACGGCGCTCAGATGGCTGATCTTGTGGTGCAGAGAGTGTTGTGTTACGCAATTGGGAAGAAGCTAGCTCTCTCTGTCTGTTTGCATGCCTTTTTTGTTAATTTTTTTAAATTTTTAATTTTTTTTTTTTTTTCGATACTCGATTTTCTTTTCAAAACTTTCGCTTGTCGCACGGCAAGATAGAACGAGTCAGCGGAGGCAGCGTAGCTGGTCGATGGCCGTGGGCATAGGTTTTGAGAGAAAGAAAAAGAGAGAAGGGAGACGGTTTCGAAAGTAAGGTGCTGCCGTGTGCGGGGTTAAGAAAATTCCCGGAGGGTCGTTCATACCATACCTGGATCGCGCAGCTCCAGCTCAAGTTTCCCGGCCTCGAGTTCCATGAATGGCCGTCCTACCATTGGTTGCCCAGAGCACCGAAGTAGGGTCTCTATAGATAGGTCTAGGCTAGGGCTTCCGCAGTCCTCTATGCACAACGGTTTCAGCAAGAAAGATGAAATATGTAGGTACCCAAGTACCTTCCATGGAAATAGGACGCAGGTGTAGGGGCTGAAAATTCTGCCCAACTTTAGCAGCACTTCAGCATCTTTCCTTTCCTTCTTTGCCTTTCCTTCTTTGACTACCTTAACTCTCCTAGATATCAACGTTTCTACTTTTTACCACGTTTCTTATCCAATTAAGCATACGTACGATCATTCCATTAGCCACGTCTTTAAAGTTCACCGTCTAACACGCAGTATTCGAGAAAGCCCCTCGCGGAGCCGGACTCGCGAATCTCAGGGCCTCGCTCAAGGGCGACGGCGGTGAGATCCAGCGGCAGCCGCACTACTTCTTCGCCCACTCTTCCATATGGACTGGGTTTGCCCGCCGGCACGCAGTCGGAGAATTTGACGGCATGCCGAGAGAAGGGTGGTAAGTTACCATTTTCTTTCTATCTGCTTATTTTATGTAACTCAAATCACATGGTAGGCTGGCGACGGTGCCTCGCAGCACAGCCTCCTGGTCGCCGACGGCCCGCATGCCACCTAGCTCGACTAGACGATCCATCGACGGGGAAGAGTCGGGCTTGGCCTGGGAAAACCGCGCGAACAACTTCGCCGGCCCGGACGTCGGGCACAGCAGCAGCAGCGGCAACATAATCAGCAGCAGAGCAGGGTTTGCCGGCGCCCTCGCGCCTCCCGCCTGACCTCCCATGCCCGTCGGCATGGTTCCAACACATGTCGGGCTACGGCCCACCGCCACCAGAGACCGTCTCCACAAACCGGTCGAGGATGTCGGCCACTTGGGGGTTCGCTTTGCTTCGTCATTGGGCAAAGCGAGAGTCTGGCCGAGCCGTGTATATGGCTTTGTTCCGGAGCTGGTAGATATTCGATTCCAAGACCAGCAGAAACGGCTGGAGGCAAGGACATCGTCAAGTTGAGGGGTGAAACCACTAGCGATGCCGCTCGGCGTCGTGGCTCTTTCGGTGGAAACAGTGTAATGGGGGTTGCGGCCATATATCTGCTGTAGCCTAGAGTGATAGGCAACAGGCATCGTTTCTCCTGCTGGCGTAACGGCTCATAAATAATTAGTCTGCTTTGGTCGCAAGCCTGTGCTTTGGTCGAGCATTGCTTTATTTTCCTAAGCGAGCAGGCGACTTTATGCTAGCATAGTTTCAATTTCTAGGAACATGTTTTTAGGAACATCCATTACATAAGCGTAGTCGTCATTGAACTTTGTGTTTCTTTTGTTCTGATTCCCTACGAAAGTGACGAAACTAATCCCAGGCGTCTGGTCTCGTCTTCTGCTTCATTACCTCCTCTCATATAGGAACAAGAGAGTCAGAGTTTTAATTTCTCACCAACCCTAGCATGCATGGCTAGCTGATCCTGTTGCCGTGTTCCCGGGATATTGATAAACCACGCCGTTGATTTAGTAGCGACTTCCTCGTCACCCATGACTCACGTTCCATGGCACGTATACGTGCTTTGAGAACTGCGACAACTACTTCACGTATTCGTACTACAGCACGGATCCGAACGCGCCGTCCACCACAGGTGTGTCGACGACGCCGACGGGAACGTCAATGGGAGCAGGGGGAGGAGGAGGGCAGCAGGGAGCGGCGGCTAATTCGACCAACAGCCGGGCGATGGGTGCAAGGGGGCGAGAACCGGCAGGTCTGTCGGTGACGGCTGTCGTGGTGCTCATCGTGCAGGTGGTGATGGTCGAGGGACTGAGAGGGTTAGGCGTTGTGTAGATATTCGTCTTATTTGTTCTTGTCTGAGTCATAATACCTACCTGAGGTTGCGTTTTTGAAATTGCAGATGCCCCGAAATAGCCTTGAAATTTTACTCCCCGATGGTAATTACGTGACTGAATTCCTATCTAAGCTGTCTGTCCCGGCCGCTGTGCCGTCTAGAGCCCCTGTCAGGTCATCCGAACTGGCTGCGTACAATCGGGTGCTAAAAGTGTTTCGCTACCCACCTACTGTCACATGCAACGGTGTGCAAAAATGAGGGCAAAAGAGTGCTTGTATTCGGAAGAAAAAGGAAAGATGGGCATCGCCTAGATCCCGTAGCTATGCGGCATTCGGCTCACATAGCCTAGGCCGTAGGCGGTCTAGCATACGCCACCAGCGCCCAGGGCCGGTTGAAATGTCCCTGGGCCTCGAGTTCTTGTACAATCAGGTACCAAAAGTCTTGCGCCATTTACACACTAAAAAAGCCACCAAATCCATGGTTAGCCAAAATGGCCCTCTACCTTCAGGTGAAAACTTTTCACCGTCTTTTAACCTTTTTCTTCCTTTTCAACTATAAAATGGTCGGAATTCCGAAGAGCTTCAGAATAGAGCTTTAAGAAGAAAAAAGGGCCCAAATTTGGGCTCTCCACGTCTTCGGAGCGACTGCAACCACCATTTCGGCGTAAGCGGGGGTCGGCGCAAAACCTTGCCAATGGTCTCGAAAACCCGTTCGGCTCAAAGCCTAGAAGCGGGCGCTTGAAGAAGCTCGATAACCGGGCGAATCGAAAGCTAATTCGTCATATAACGCTATCTCGAACAAACACACTTACGGCCCTCGGAACGCCCTGGGTACAATATGAACCATCTAACGGTCCGGAACATGTCGATTAGATCTTCATTCCATATTTCCTTCCCTTCTGTAACCGAATAAAGGAAAAGCACGGTTACGGCGTTCAAATACAAGAGGGGAGCTTCCTATTACTACACGGGTTTCTGGGTCTTTTAAAGAAGACTTTCGACGTCAGGATCCTTAACTGGCCGCCACAAATCCCGGATCTCTCGCCCATTAAGAAGCTACAGCACTAGATGAAGCTCAAAATAGGGGTACGAAGGGATGGGATTCAAAACGTCACGTAGATGGCGCAGGCTATTGAGGAGGTTCGGGCGGAAATTACCCCTGACGTTATAATGAAATTAGTAAATTCTATGCCTGAAAGGATAAATTCCCTGGGACAGTTGAAAATTGGCCCGATTGAGAATTGAATGAGGATCATTTTGGTACATTTTGCACTTATTTTGGTCTCAAATTGATAAAGTTATGAATTTTTGGAACAAAAGGGGGTGTGTAGGTGTCGGAAGAAGCCGCATTTGAGCCACATGTAACTAATACCCAATTTCCAAATTCTTCATACCCTTCTCTGCCTCCACCTCTTCTCCTACAATCGAAACATCGACCGAATGAGCGAAGAAAAGGATCGATCGCAACCTCACGTCTTTCTAAGGTAATTACATTCTACTCTGCTGCCTCCAGGTGACATTGCACTTTCTTTCCATTTGTGCGTCTCTCTCCTTTCAACCCTGCCAAGACCTACCTACAAAATAATCGTCTCCTTTGCCCTTCCTCTTGCGATTGCCGAGCTAACGAAGTATCGATTGCCGAGCTAACGAAGTATCTATCTGTCCGAAGACTTTGGGGGAGAACTAACATCTCCCCAACTCCATACCCAGTACCCGTATCCCCATACCCAGTACCCGTATCCCCAAACCCAGTACCCTATCCCCAAACCCAGTACCCGATCCCCGAACCCAGTACCCGTATCCGAACCGTACCCGCTACCACGGTGTTCCCCCCACCTACCTGACGAGCATGCTCGCCTTCTCCTGGCGCGCAGAGCGCCTTCAGCCTACCCGCACGTCCGACTGTGAGCGCCCCTATACCAACCGTCCTTCCAGCTCGTCCCCATATTACCAAAATGCACCCGTGCCTTCGACCACGGCAAGCGCAATCAGCGACGACATCGATGAAATGATCTGCATGGCGGAGGCTGGCACTAAGCCGGCAAAAGCACCCAGCAGCAAAGCCCGGCCCCAGAGGCGAACACCGAGAAGAAGGGCAAAGAGAAAAGCACGACCGACACCCAATTCGTCTGCGCCCGTGTCAAGAGAGGTTGGCCACCCTACCATCTTGATCAGCCATGCCTGCCTCGCTCAGGGCTTCGGATTCAAGCCTGGAGGAGAGAACTGCAACTCTCATGACCTACGTAAGTAATATTTCGTCTGCTCAAGGAGGCTTCGTGAGACGGCTTATACCCATCACCACGCAGTACGCACACACTAAAATGAACAAAGATAAGCATTTGCCGCAGTATAGCAAAAGCTAAACAGTTGAAGCTGAACAGTTAAACGGCACTGTTTTGACAGAGTCATACCGTCAGCCTGTTGAACGCGGCTCCAGCCGCAACCCTGATGACTCGGCAACTGTCTGCCTACCAAAACGGGGTGTACAATTCCAGCCAGTCTTACGGCTTGTTTAACAGCTTACCTACAGCCCCAACTTTTGCAGGCAGGTGCTCGGTTCCCGCCAAGGAGCCAGAGCAGCTTACAGTCTCCAAGCTCAAGCTACCCTACACAAGGTCCCATCGCATGCGCAGCCTGCTGTTAATGAACTGGGCTAGCAGGAGGTTGTGGCTGACTCACGGACATTGTAACCGCCATGCAAGATCAAAGTTTTCGCCCAGGGCACATAAAGAGCACCAAATGTCTCACGAACTACAATTCTGTCGGCATGGCGACCCGGTCTAAAGAGGACAGAAAATGTTGGAGGAGTCTGGTTGGAGGAGTCTAGTTGGGGAGCCTAGTTGGAGGGTTTTGTATCATGTTGTATATTATTTGCGTCAACAAACAAAGAGACGGAATAATGATGCTTTGAGCGCCTTTTACTCCGTCCGCTTATAGTGCTTTGCCTGCTACGATGTGACAGTGTTATGTGACAGTGTTATGGGCGACGTGAAATGAGGCGCAAACTTCTCGACGATGATCCGTAATCTTTATTTTCATTTTTTGACAGCCCCTATCCAATCTCCTTCACCATCTAACTCTAACTTTACCCCGCGGCCGGCGGGTGAAGATTGTGGCAAGGAAGGTTTTAATTCGAACCTTTGAAATGCAATGCTTTTGTTAGTTCTATTCTCGCTTGGCGTTCATTAATCCCTTGCCTTGTCTTCCCCTGTCTTCCCCTGTCTTCCCCTGGGCCTTGAGGAAAAATCACTGGATTACACACGCCCCCGCTCCCACGAGTTGTATGGCAAGGTTGGTGGCGGCAAGCACAATGGGTAGAGCACGCTTCAAGATTTTGACCTTTGGGGGTGGCGCTGACATCAGCGCCGTGGTCGGGGGTAGATATGGAGGTGGTGGTGGTGGCTATGGTACTATGACTCGAAGAAGACAACAGCCATGCCTGTAAATTACTTTTGGTAGAAAACGCTGTACTAACCACTGTGCCGCGCAGCTTTTCCCTGCGCACTGTGAGGACGTCAATCTCCTTCTCCATGTCCTTGATTTCGTCGTCCTTGTCGTCCAGCTCGTCCTCGTCGGCCAGCTCGTCCTGGTAGTTCTGCAGGCGGATGGCGGCGAGCTGGATCTCGAGCAGCTCGATCTGCTCGCGCAGCTGGCTCTCGACCTCGCGGCCGGCCGTCGTCATGTGCAGCCGGCTATCCCGCTCCAGCTCGACCTGCAGCTTCAGCGCGGCCGGCTCCGCGAACCGCGATAGGTGCCGGATGATGCCGAGCGCCGACTCGCGCGTGTCGTAGTGCTTGAACACGGTCGCGCCCCGCTCGCACATGGCCCGCCAGATGCCCACCTGCCGCTCCTCGTGCTGCACCCGCTTGGCCGCCGCCGCGTCCGCCCGGAACGCGTCCCACATGGTCGTCGCGATCGCCACCCGCTTGAACGCGTCCTCGCCCAGGATCGCCTTGATCACCCGCGTCCGCATATTCTCGCTGCCCGTCACCCGCCCGATCGTGATGGGGTGGAGGAAGACCAGTCCGTCCAGCAGCCGCCCCTGCCCGTACGAGTCGGCCAAGTACTTGGCGATGGACTCGAGGATGTCGACGTCGGGCCGCGCCGAGTCGTCGAGCCCCGGCGTGTCGATCAGCGTCACGCGGTGGCCGTCGAGCCGGAACGAGACGGTGTAGGGGTATTGTGTGCCTGCGTTAGGAGTGTGAGTTGTTAGTTGGTTGTGTCTGTGCACCTAGTCGAGAATCTTACACGAGTCGGCGCCGTGGCCGATGTGCAGATCCTGGCGCCCCGACGCCCTGGACGCGAACGTCGTCTTTCCCGCCCCCGTTAGCCCGATAAGTCCGATCAGGATCTCCCGTTCGTTCCCCATGACGTTCTGCCAAGTCTGGAGTCGCCACCACACGTGTTAAAGATATTCGTAATAGGTAAAGTATGGTACCTGAGCCAGGGTACCAAGCGATGTGCAGGTAATATGACTGAAACAAACTATCAGCCAGTAGATCCGGATTCGGTGCTGTAATCGTGGTGTGATGTGTAGGTAATATGATTGAAATAAACTATCAGCCAGTAGATCCGGATTCGGTGCTGTAGTCGTGGTGTGATATGAGACATGACCCAGTTTAAGCGGCAGGGCCATGAGTTATTTGGCCTAGAATTCGGATGTTGGCTTGGTTCACTGTTGAGGCTCAAGCCTGGTTGGGTTGCATTTGGGTCGCGTGTGCTGTTGGGTTAGTTCAGAAATTCAGGGGAAAGCAAGTCCAGCAACCAGCCCAACTTTGGACCGCCTGAGCTTGCGGGGTTTTCATTGGACATTTGTTGGCTTTTGGGTGGCCAGGCTGCACTTCCACAGGGCCTCATCCAGTCACGCAGCAGAGCACCACCGAAACCGTTTTGGGGCAGCCAATCACTAAACTCAGCCACTGGTTTCCGTTCAGACACGTGTGTGAGGCCCAGTGCGCTGGCTTCCGGTTACTTCGTTCCACACCCACACCGAAAGTCCGAAACCACGCATTTCGTCCAGGTCTGCCAGGTCTGCTGCACGCTTGCGCTGAATGCTGCCCAATATCGTACCATCCTGTTTTTTCCACGCCACGCCACGAAAGCTGCCAACATGTGTCGACCAGAGATAATTAAGCGTCGGAGGGAAAAGACGGAGGGAAAAGACGCTCTGGGCGCCCGTCGCCCTTCAAGCCCGTCCTCAAGTTACTATCGTCCCTTTAAGTCGTCGGATAATTGCACGAATCGAATTATACCTGCGATAGGAATCCGCCAGGACAATGCCATCGATCCAATCACCCTTCAAGTAAGGCTTGTCGCCCGTCGCTTTCCACTTTACTGCCTAGTTACTAATAGGGGTGCCGTTCGCAGGCGCCGACGAATGCAAGATGGCATGACAATTCTCCTCCTTGGGCCAACCGGATCGGGAAAATCGTCTTTTATTCACAGAGCCACGGGATCGCCAGACGTGAAGATCGGTGACGGCACTCTTCCGTGTACGTGCAGCCTTCTCGAAGAGCGAACAAGCCGACAGAGCTAACTAGCAGACCCACAGGCACAACTGAGTGCGGAGTGTTCGAGACCATTCTCGAGTCGAAACATCGTGGTGCTGTCTCCTTGTCTTTCCTAGACACGCCCGGCTTCGACGACATTCCCATCAGGGACCTCAAGATCCTGGGCGACATAGCACGCCACCTGCGCGATCTCCCTCCGGTCTGTGGCGTCCTGCACTTCCACCGCATTACCGACAGGCGTCTCATGGGCACCAGCCGCTTCAACCTCGAAATGCTGAAGACTATAACGGGCGAGGGCTTCTCGGATCGCGTCGCTTTCGTCACGACGATGTGGGACACGATTCCCGCCGACTTGCTGCCGCGGTACGAGGCCTTGGTCAGGGAGCTCAAGGAGTACCACATGAACCTGCCCGGAAGCCGCACGTTCAAGTTTGACCACGAAGACGACGACGACGGTGCCGAGAACAGCCACAGCCAGATCCTCGCGCACTTTGTTGAGTTGGACGACGCCGACGAAGACAGGCGGCAGCTCCAGCTTGTGAGCGAGCTGGACAGTCTGGGGGGCGATATCGAGTACACGACGGCAGCGCAGACTATTGTGCAGAGGGCACAGCGGGGATATCCATCATCTTTGCGATCGGTAGAACTCGGCGACACAATGGAGAGCTTGGAAAGACGGGATGTCTCGCGGTCTTCAACCCTCGTGAGCATAAACGAAGAAGGCGCAGCGGATGACCAACCGCGACAGCAGTCGTGGACGTCAATACCGTCGATGCACCACCCAATGGCGAACCAGCTCCCTCCTTGGGAGCGGGTGGGACATTCAAGACACGTCGCACTCGCTCAGGAACGCCGCGCCACGGCTTTGAGAGCATCTGAGCAACGAAATGCCGAGGTTTCTCAGCAAGACGGCATGAGAACATCGAGCGACTCGGCTCGAGAACAAGGCGCAGACGATGTGGAGCGATTTGACCAGGACACGATCGTGCCAAGTCCTGAGCCGTTACGGCAACCGCTCCGAGCCAAGACACCCCCGACCGTGCTGAGCGAGCCCGAGATGACGGCGTCTATTCTGAGCGAGCAGAAACCAGGGAAAAACGCCGCGGTGCCGCGGCAGGAAGCAGCCACATCCACAGTCAGACGGGTGTTGGTTTTGCTCTGCTTTTGTTTTCCCGGCAAGTCTGATGCATAGAACGGGCCCTGTTCTGCGCGTGTATATACTGCAAGTTTGGGCGAGGATTTCTAATGGGTGAATAACACAAATTATACTTCATACCTCGGCTACGCCGTCCACTAGTCTTGTTAAAGGTCGAGAACGGTGAGGAGATTCCCGTCTTTTGGACACGCTCGAACATCATACGAATTAAAAATAAAAACATACCTCCTTTCCGTTTTGTTTTGTTTATACGAGACCGGTGTCATTGTGGTAAATGCAAGCGTAAGGAAGGTTCTCTTTCAAATACAGAATAGTATTAGCTGGTAAATAAAGCCTATCCAGTAAGCCAGTTGGGTAGGAAATGAAAGAAACAAATACAGGACAACCCAATAGATCATTCACTAATGTAGAAGAAGAGCCCGCCCTCCCTCTCCCTCTCCCTCTCCCCCTTTCTCCATGCACTGCAATACCCAACAGGCCAACCACTCCAGGCTAACCACGTACCTCTCATACTGGTAATCCCAATAAGCCAACCGCCTCTTACACAAGCGAACCACCTCTCACACAAGTCAGCTCGATCGTCTGAGCAGTCCACTATGTCCTCCCATGCTTGCGAAAGCTGTAGCGGAGGGAAACCTCTACTGCCGCCGGTTCCTTCGGGCGAGGAGGCGCTTCAAGCTGAAGCTACCACCAACGACGGCAGCCACGATGACGGCAACTGCAATGCCTGTAACCACGCCGAGCTCTTCTGCGACGCCCTCGTAGCCGCGCCGTAAGGCGTTGGTATGAGATCTGCAGCGAACCCAATATTGAGCCGCCCGAGGAGTTTTGGGACCAGAACTGCGGATCGTCAATGCTCGACGATCCTAGCGAGGCCGGGGACTCGGACTAGCCGCGGTCGCCCAGGGCGGCGCCGCCGAATGCGCCCAAGCGCAATAAGCAAAGAACTCGACAGAATCGCCTTTCTAACGCATATTGCTAGTAAGAAATAATTCTTACAGTCATACTTCTTAGGCCAAAAGTATCAAGCTCACATTCATAATTATTCAGAGGCTATGGTGTAGATTCCACTTCGAATTAGGCCTTCTTCGCTAATTTAATGATATTACACCTCTAATTAGCGCGGCATTGAAGAGGTGGAATAGCACCACAGCACAATAAGAAACACCACAAAAAGCAGGTCTAGGGCGAGCCGTAGGTTCAGGGGAAAGATGTAAGATCGATGTTATCTGGAAAAGAAGAGGGCCCTTACTCTGTGTAGAAAAGTGACTTCAACCCCCCTGTATTTCAAGCGTGTTCCTTGTCAATTTCCCCTGCAACAAGTCCAGGCACGATGCTTTTAAATCCCGGGAGAGAGGAATTTCATCGTCATATGTACAGGCCGCCGCTCTGCAGCCGCCCTGCGCCACCCTGATTAATGTGTGCTTACTATTCCTGATTCGGGGGTTCCCGTGCCGTAAAGGGACAGCGCTAATGCTGAGAAAGGGATAGTGTAGTATTTGAGACGCGAAATATTGGTTCAGCCGCAACATCGCCACCGCCTCCTTCCACATTTCCAGTTGGTCTTCGTTCGAGGAAAGGCTGCAAAGCACGAATAATTACTATCCGATACTTACTATCCGCAAACACCACTCGCCAGGGGCCTCATCTCGAGATGAATGCAACCACGGACTCAACCACAGGATGGATGTAAGCGCCCCCTGTCTGTCTGTCTGTCTGTCTGTCTGGTTGAACGCCGTCTAATTGTGCAATTACACCCTGACACAAACTTGCATCCAGGCCCGAGCCAGACACGCGAGGAACCTTCCGGCTGGTCGTTAGCTGTCTCGCTACTCTGTCGCTTTGTGTATATACAGCGCTGCATTTGAACGTCCTTCCGGGGCATCCCGAATCGCCGGGGCATCCCGAATCGCTAGCAAAGTCAACCCCTCGGCCGTCCACCGAAGCCTCCAGCAACACGCTCTTCGCTCGATTGAAAAGAGCCCTCAACATCAAACCCAAACCCCGCCTAGCCGAGGTAAAGTCTCTGCGAGCCCCTTTCTCGACGATTTTCGTAGCAAAGACCAAATGGGTACTTCTCGGCATGTTCGCCCCCGAGTTGGTTGTTTACACGGCCTGGTCACAGTGGAGGACCGCGAGGAAACTGACAGGTATTGTCACGACGCATCTGCAGGACCAAGTAGGTCCCCCTGTAGAGTTTCCGCAAAATCCGTGCAGCCAGTCACAGCAACTAACATGTCCCCAGTATCCACCCGAAGAGCAGGACAAGCTTGAATGGACAATGACGCACAGCTACTTTGCCGTCATGGGCGGGTTTGCAGTCGAAACCAACGACCTCGGAGAAGACGCATATGTCCCCGGTTCGCCACGGCTGCACTTGAGCGCCAACGGAGTCGCGATTCTGGCCGAACTGGGCCATCTCCCCCGGCTGTCTCGAGACTTTATCCTCGACAAGAGCAAGGCCGACCACCTGGCCAAGACTCTTGTGCTGGTACAGGCTGGCTGGCTTATCGTACAGTGCATCGGTAGGGCCGCCGCGCAGGTGCCAATCACCCTGCTCGAGATCAACACGGTGGCACATGTGGCCTGCGCGGTCATTGTCTACTTTCTGTGGTGGGACAAGCCCCTCGATGTGCGGCATCCCGTGGTACTGACTGGGGAATGGAAACGGCCTCTCACCGCCATGATGTGGATGCTCGGTAACGCGCAAGAAATCAAAGCCGGCCGCACAGCTTGGACTCGGCCTCCAGAGTTTGAAAGTCTTCTGCACCTTGTCCCTCGCCACACGAACCTGCCCCTGACCGTTGAGGAGGATCGAGCAGACGGGTCGGCACAACCGCCTCGCCAAGAGGGGATGGAGATGAAGCCCCAGCCGACTACACCACCCGACAAAAATAGTTCTGCTGCCAATACCGCTCGAACCGTGACACCCTGGGACTTGACTGCCCAGCTCCATATCTCTCGCCGCGGAGCCAGCTCTGGTCAGGTCGAGACACAAATCCTACGGGCGACAAGGGACCCTCAGCTCTTTGTCGCCTCCAACGACCCTGCACGGTTGCTCAAGAACATTTCTCTCCGCGCCGGCGAAGTGATGTTCCCTTTCGGCTTTGCCCCGAACCCGTCGAGCAGCCGCTTCAAGAAGCGGAACGTTTCAAAATCAAAGGTGCCACGCTACTACAAGCCGCCAGTCAAAGTCGACATCGATCGGTGCGCCACGGCGCGGTGGGGGCTCGCGTGCAAGGCGTTGCAGGAAAACGAGGCCATCTGGACACGGTACCGGCGAGAAGCCTTGACCCGCTCGCTCGAGCCCGGCGGTCAGCACGTAATCTACGAGTACCCCGGGGCGCTGCTCGACCGTACGTTCCTCGACATGGCGGTGGACAACTGGCCGGGGCGCAGCCTGCTGCCGCACTCGACCAAGTACACTGGCTACGTCTTCTTCTCGCTGTGCGTGCTCGTGTACGGCGGCATCCACGCCAGCGCGTGGAACCACTACTTCCCGACCGACACGGAACAACTGCTACTACGCGTGTCGGCCGTCTACGTCGGCTGCTCGGGCCTGTTGTTGCTCGTGGTCAAGGCCGCCGACTGGTTCGTGGACTGGGTCCGCGACACCTTTTGGCAGGACATGGACGCCGACATGTGCGAGGGCGGCCTGTTCAGCTGCTGCGTCGATTGTGCCCTCGTCTGCAGCGGTGCTCTCCTCGCCATGGTCCCGCTCTACGCTCTCTTCGCGGCCGGCACGGCTTACGTAGTCACGCGGTTCTACCTAGTCCTCGAAGCGTTTCTCAGCCTCCGGGACCAACCCGTCGCCGTGTACCTGACGCCCAGATGGTCGCAGTATTTTGCGCATGTCTGAGCGGGTTTCTCGTTGACATTCTGGCCAGGACAGCTAGCAGCGAATATTACTATACTTACTTGCAAATTAGAGACATTTTCACCGATGTCCATATCTTTGCTCATAATTATACGAGTGCGGATGCGCTCGGGGATTGCGATCAATGATTGGTTACCGCACCAAGACAAATTGGTTACCGCACCAAGACCATGGTCGAGATGATGATTATGCCCGGTGATGTCTTGGGTAATAATGCGCGGCAAAATAAGACGTCACGTACCAGACCAAGCAGAGAGGCAGGATCATACCCGAGGTGTCTGGCCAATGCCCTCCCGTCCGATAAACTGGCGCTCACTCTACTACAACGACCAACACTGACAGCAGACAAAAGGCAGATGTCCATCAAAGTCATCAACACGGCCTGTTGTTGTTAGGATGCCGTCTGCAGATACGCCACCGCCAGGCGAGCAATCATGAGCAAGACGAGTTCAGCATCTATCAGCCCCCCCCCCCCCCCCCCCCCCAACAGTGCTGATTTCCGATATCTGGTCCTTCAGCCTGGCCGCAACAGTGAGGATCTTGTCTGCACTCTCCATGTGGCCAGTCTCTAGTCTGCTCCAGCTCCAGCCTTTGATGCAATCTCATACGTCTAGGGCGACGACGAAATCTAGGGCAACGACGAAAAGAACCAAAGGATCTTGTGCAACGGCGAGAGAGTTCGCATCACGGCCAACTTGCGAGCGGCTCTGTCGCGCTTCCGAAAGCCCGACCAGCCGCGCACTCTGTGGGCCGACTCGATCTGCATCAACCAGGAGGATGTCGGGGAACGCTTCCGGCAGGTGTCGCTCATGGCGCAGATCTACACCAAGGCCGAAACCGTCCCGGCCATTTTGGCGACGACGACGGCGGCCACGCACCCGCCGCCAGCTCCCTGATCGCCGAGATCGGCACCATGATCCAGAACACCCTCGCCACGCTGGACTATTCTCACAACTGCTTCCCGTTTCTTGGCAAGGAGCAGCATAAAAGTATCCTGGCCGATAAGCGTCTGGACTCGCTGAAGGCTCTGACGACTACCCCGTGGTCTGGCCGCGGATGGGTTGTCCAGGAAGTAGGGTTCGCCAAGAAGGTCGTCATCCTTCGGGGCAGTGCCGAAATCAGCTAGAGTATGCTGCTAATTCAGTGTCATACCTGTGTCATGCGGAGAACAGACGTCGACTAGAGGGACTTTGCAGATTTGTGTGATATACACGTGAGGATCTTCGACCAGTGATGGAAGACGAAACTGCAGAGCTTCTGCGTCAGCGGAGCGTGACAGAAGCGCCCCGATCTGTAGAACATACTGCGTCACGCCAAGCTCTTGGGCATGAAGGACGAGCGGGACCGACTCTACGCCTTTGTCCCCCTCTTCAATTCGATCGCGCGACTCAATGCCGCAGCGGTCTGGAGATCGCCCGGGCTACACAACCCCCTGTCTCAAGGCCTACTCCGACTTCGCGCACAGCCATGTCAGTGACACGAGCGACATCACGATACTTCACTCGGTCCAGCACACGGACGACACAGCCAGCGACGATACCATAGCCTCATGGGTTCCGCGCTGGAATGTCACCGTTTTCTCCACATAGCATGCATCTACCACGTTGCCAATCCCATGATCACCCCGGCCTGCCCGGACGATGCCAGCGAAGCCTGGGCGACTCTGCTGGTGTAGATCTTCATGCAGCCGTCGAGGGTGCAGCTGGCCTTTTGGAAGTTGACGCTGTCGCCCTCCTTGAGCAGGGACAGGTGGAAGCCCAGCACCCCCCGACACGGGATACTCGCGGTGAAGGACGTTCTCTTTGACCACATTCGGTTCAAGTCTGGCCCCTGAGATCCACCGAAACAATCTACACCATAGCGTCGATCTGGCAGCGCCTCAAGTACGATAACACAACCATCGTGACCACAGCCGCATCTCCTTATCCGCCAGCCCACATCACGCTGGCGTTCATGATGGCGCTGTGCACTGGCATATGGCTGTGCACTGGCATGTGGTGTGGCGACGCGGCGAGCTGGAGTGACTGGACAGCCAAGTGCGACGGCTACGTGGCCTTCTTCGGTGGCAGCGCCTGTCCCGAGCACCGCGCCGCGCCGCGGAGGCACAACTGCAGGACTTTGCCAGCTACTACACGTACAACCGGCGGATCGCGGCGACTGAGCGCGGACACTTCGGCATGGCGCCGCTGACGGCCCGCGAGGGCGACGTGTTTCGTTCATGCATGTTGGCAGCATGTTGGCGGCATGATGGAGAGAAAGCACCAGGCGGCAGGGCAGATAAACATGACTTCATGTGAGGCGATTGCGTGCTCGATTGCAGACACGGACAAGAATGTGCAGCCTGTTTTTCTTTCAACACCAATATCGATTCTTCTTCTCTCTAATCAAACATCTACTCGTATTTGGCTTGGCATTTTTCTACTTGGACGACAATGCCCCCATTCACCAATGTCCGTTGCAGTGCTGGCACTCAAAGCCCCTTCAACCTCCACTTCTAGGTCAATCCATGAAGATTTTCTGACAAGAATTTGACTGGCACCCAAAGCCCCTTCAACCTTCACTTCCAAGTCAATCCTTGAAGAGTTTCTGACAAGAATTTGAGGAGCCACCACGCATAGCAGAGCCGCGTTTTCCGTATGTCACAAAAGTCTACCCCCATGCTCACTTGCCTTCTGCTTCGGTCCTCTGGAACATCGGAGCGCCACATCCAGCAGACGGCCGCCGCAAGGATCTGGTCAATGTAGCCCCTGGGTTTAGTTACTGTGTGCCAAAACCCGGAAATACAGATAAACTGGAGATTGCCAATGTGGTGTGCGCACGTTTCGTCTGTAGAGGTCTTGGACGGTCACGCGCGTGCCGTTGAACGCAACGAAAAGGCGGGCAATATGGAACGGCTCTTGTGCCTTCCAGAAGCCGCTCGTTCCTACGACCCGCACTTCATTTCCCACGGACGTGGTGATTAGTCCAAAGCCACGCACACGGCCGCTTGCCTCTCGGCATATGACCATCCGTTCACATATACCCGCGCAGGTTCTTCTGTCTGCCCCACGCCCCTATACTGTGCTGACCAAAAAACGTCATGCTGGTCGGGGACGCAATATCGCAGCAGAACCTTCGGCGCTTCTTTCCGGTATTACGGGACGCCAGCACGGCACCTGGAACCCCCCCCCCCCCCCTGCGGCGCGGCGCGGGTACGCGTAGATTAACATTGATGGGCGTTTACCTGCCGACGAGCCCTTTTCCCACCAGTCGCTGGCCGGCAAACACATCATGCGTGGATAAAAAGGGCGCACTAAACACACCCCGGCACGGCCATATTAGCCGCCAAAACCCATGGATGGTTCGGGAGCTGGGGAACCTGGGGAATCCTAGCGGGGGAGGCGTTTTCTCACCTAGTATTGGCCTAGAGGCTCCGAGCTGTCCCCATGGGGTAGGTAGGTGCGCTTCGAGAAGTGGGATATAACTCATTGATGCACCGCGTCATGTCGTCCTAGTCGTCTTGACTCTTCAACCGCACTGCACCGCTTCCTTCTCTATCTGTGCCACCGTCACAGCCCCGACAATCCCATAATGCTGTTCACATCTCTCTTCGGCACCGTCGCCGTGTATGCGGCGGGCGCGGCTGCCCATGGCGCCGTCACCGGCTACGTGATCGCCGGCAAGAGCTACCCCGGGTGAGCATCATCATGCGTTTTGACCTCTGAAACACCGGCCCGCTGACTGTTCGCGTCGTGCAGGTACCAGGGCTTCTCGCCCGGCAACTCCAAGAACGTGATCCAGCGGCAGTGGCCCGACTACAACCCGATAATGTCGGTGACGGACGCCAAGATACGGTGCAACGGCGGGACGTCGGCGACGCTCAACGCGTCGGTGGCGCCGGGCGAGTCGGTGGCGGCCATCTGGGGCCAGTGGACGCACAGCCAGGGGCCGATCCTGGTGTGGATGTACAAGTGCGCGGGGGCGTTCGCGTCGTGCGACGGGTCGGGCGCCGGCTGGTTCAAGATCGACGAGGCCGGCTTCCACGGCGACGGCACCAAGGTGTTCCTCGACACGGAGACGCCCTCGGGCTGGGACATCGCCAAGCTTGTCGGCGGCAACAAGCAGTGGGCCAGCACCATCCCCGCCGGCCTCGCCCCCGGAAACTACCTGCTCCGCCACGAGCTCATCGCCCTGCACCAGGCCAACACCCCGCAGTTCTACCCCGAGTGCGCCCAGGTCGTCGTCACCGGCTCCGGCTCCGCCCAGCCCGACGCGTCTTACAAGACGTCCATCCCCGGCTACGCCAAGCAGTCCGACCCCAACATTAGGGTATGTAATTGCTCACGTTAACCGACACTCGTCTCGCGTGCTAACCCGCTCTCCTAGGTCAACATCAACGACCACACCCTCCCCCAGAAGTACGTCTGCCCCGGCCCGGCCGTGTACAAGGGCGCCGCCAAGACGGCGCGCGAGTTCTCCGCATAATAGAGCGGACGTCATCAGCGCAGGATCGGTCAGGCATAAGCGGCGGCCCCGGTGGTCATAAGCAGCGGCGGCCCCGGTGGTCATAAGCAGCGGCGGCCCCGGTGGTCATAAGCAGCGGCGGCCCCGGTGGTCGAGGTTTCTCTCATCACATCATGTATATAGTGTAGCTCGAGCTAGGGAAATCTGATTTTGCGCGGCATCTGCATGTCATTATTTTCAACCAATGCCATAAAATTAGTCATCTTTTTGGACCTCTCTCTGGGAAAAGCTCACTGTGGTAGGGACTCGGAGGTCTGCACGAGAGTGTTGTGTATTGGCCGTAGGCTGGAGGCTGTTTCAGCACATTCGCCTAATCATTTCCGTGCATGTTATCGCAGCTCGTAGTTACCAAGGTGCGCTTCAATTTCGTGGAAAACGGTTGCCAACACTATCAGGTGCAACCTGTCATGGATTCCAGCTGCTTACGTCCCAGTCGGTCGCAGGAAATAGACCCTGTCCGGGCGCAGCAGTGTGGCTACCTACCTAGATACAGTACCTGCTGAGCTCACGAGCCACACACCCGCGTGCTCACGCCTACTACTTGTATTTACGGGTAGTCTCTCTGTGCGGTCTCTCTTTTGTATAAACAACTGGACCTTTTCCTTCATGAAATAGCTTTTAAATTGCATACCTTTCTCAATGCACTTTCCTGGCTATTTTCCACGTAAGAGTTCTCGTCTTAGTACCTAAAAAGGTAATTACCCAAGGTAGTAACTTGGATTCGAGAGCATCGGGGCTGGGAAGGAAAGGTACCTACCTGGGTACACGTTGTACCACGCAGTTGCCCAACAAATGCAATAGATGCTTAACGGCTGCCCAATGATTGCTCTCCTCATGGCAGACGCACTCGGATATTGTTTGCGCATACAGAGCCCCGCTGTAGGAGCCAATCCCTAAACATTTACAAACGGCCTCAGTATTCTACAACTCGTCGTAAAAGGGAGGCTTTTCAGTGATGTAATAGCGATTTGAATCCCTATTTTAGAATCTAGATCCTAGATTCTTAGAAGCCCATCTAATCACCCTCTCGAAATACCTATTAAAAACCTTCATTTGCCCAGCAGAGCTAGTCATGGACGAAGCCACAAATGTCCCAACCTACATCTATCAGCCCCCCTCGAAACGAGTCGCCAACCTCAACAAAAGCCCTGCCGGTTCTTCGGAGCTTTGGTTATAGGCAGCCCATGCCGCGGGTAGAGAGAGACGGTTCTCTCTGTGACGAGTGCTTCGCTCTTGCCTCATTCTGCCTGCCTAGGGCTAGTATTACACATGAATCGATTGAGGATAGGGATGAGTACCTCTATGATGGACAGCTCCAGACACTTCAAGACCAAGCGCGAGGCCGATCTTCAGAGGCGGGGAGTGCACAGAAATGCTCCCTTCATGCTTCTCTGCAGAACATGGCAAGCTCGGGTGGGAGCTTCTTCACTCTTCAAGGCCGGGACGGCGACGGGTTCAGCCTGTGGACTTGCCACTTCGACTTCAACCTAGGCCACCAGTCTGGTGGCGGTGGGCCCAATTCAGCGAGTTTCGAATCCCCAAGGTCCATTAGCACTCAGGCGGCTGCTGGTCCTGTAACGCTCCACTTTACCGACTACGGCATGATATCGGAGTGCTGCGAGGCGATGAAAGGCGAACCGGCGCGTGAAAAACACGTCCTCGTCTGGCCAGCAAAAAGCGACACTGGAATGGGACGGCCCACGGCTAGCCAGGACGACAGCTAGGGGCCGCGGGATTCATTCAACGTGTTGTGAGTTTGGTGCCTCATAGTGGAGGACTTCTCGACGAAGCAACTCACGTTCGAAGATGTTTGCGCTGCAAGCGAGCGCTGCAAGCGCTACAAGCGTTGCGCTGCACAGTTGGAACAGTATTTTGATCTCGAAGTGGACAATTGTCTCACAGCCAGCAGAACGCTTATTGCGCAAGACTGCCATGTCCAGGGGCTTGTCCAGGTTTACTTGTAGGCAGCGGTAATCTAATTTGCGAGCGGCGTAATCTACTTGAGATAGTGCCGCTCGCCCGCTTCGAGCTTGCGCGGCAATTTACCCGGCCGCGGCCTCCGGCAGCGCCGCGCCCCTGTCTTCTCTGTCCATAATCAACGAGCCTGGAAGTGAACATCCCCCGCGACACCCAACGATAAGGCTTCCAGAGTTCTTAGCATCGTGTCGGCGATGGGGCTTAGGGAGCGTCTTGGCATGGTAGCGTATCAGCCACCCTCCTTTGCACGCCGACTCGACCAGCGCTCAAACCAATCAAGGCCGCAACCCGACACAAAATGGTTCGGCACAGTTTCCGAACTCGTCAAGGCTAACCGGGAACTATATAGATAACCGCGGACCATCCCACCACAACCTGTCTTGCGAGGCACACCGCGGCCCTGGTAACCCCCTTTTCTCGCCCAAATTAGAGCGACGCAGTCCGAGTTGATCTTCCAACCGAGCGCTGCGACTCCACGAATAGAACAAGAATCACGTAGATTGAATGGCCTGGAGCTGTCCATGCACCCGCACTCGTCGGTTTCGAGAAAATGATTCATATATCTATATCGCTCGCGTGCGTGCAGAGTCGCAGAGGATGTCAACTGCATTTCCAAACCTTTAGACAGCACTCCAACTTGGAACCCGGCAGTGCCCAAGCAGAAGACCCCAGCTCAACATGAGATTCCCGCTCCGCCTAGTCGCCGCAGGGCTCGCCGCCGCTGGCTCCGGCATGACCGAAAACTTCATCGGGTCCTGCGACGCCAGCACCGTCCAAGTCAGCGGGCGCATTCTCACAGCCAGCTGCCGCAACATTTTCGGGGCGCTCCGGTGCTCGAGGCTCGACCTCGGCCAGTGCCTCAAGAATACGTACGGGTCGCTGCAGGCGGACCCGGCCGGGACTGGGTCAGTGGTATTTACTGTACTTTGACAGCCGTCACGACTTTGCGTCTGGTCTGCAGGGTTAAGCAGAAGACTGGCTGATGACGCGAAACAGGCCACACTTTGGAGACCAGTGCGTCGAGTGCAGCAACTCCAAGACTTTGGGTGGCATCCTGCTGGGTGACAACCCGTCGCTGGTGCACTGCCAGTGCGACCCCGGCACGGGCGCGTCGCAGGCGAGCTGGCCGACAGCCATCTTTGACCTGAGTGAGCCACAACCGCGGTCGGTCGATCGAATGTGAAAATGGTGGCCTGGGCGAGGTCAAAGACGATACTGACATTGGCTTAATTACACTAGACACGGTCGTCGACAACAACAACGGGGTGCTGGAGTGCTATCGGACAAAGGGGAGCCCGTGCTAGGGATGGGAGATGGACATGATGTGGAAGCGGTTTAAAGATGGGGTTGTTTCGGATTGGGGTATAGCGAACGATCAATTCCGGCTGCAGACAGAGAGTCAGAGGCAGTAAGAAACTAGAAAATCCCGGAACTAATTCCTGGGCTCGAGTGATGAGGGGGGTGGCATGGTGCCGTGTCTTACAGACAACTCCAACGCTGGGTATGCTGTGCAGGGGAGTTGGCATTATGATCAGCTTCGTTTTTTTCGCCGCCAATGGACGGTGGTTGCTTCGGATCCTACGGGGCCAGACCAAGCGAGATGCACAGCGTCGTCAAGTCATTAACCTTTTATTTCACTTACCTAGACAGTGGCTGTGATGCCTAAGTGTCGATGCTTTTCCATTGGGCGCTTTCGTATGGATCAAGAATCTTGAGGCGCAGAGGCAGGCTAGCCAGGAGCGGGCTTGATGTGGAGTGAGCTGTTGGCTTGGCCTCAGCTGGCGGCGGCGGTTACCACTATGGATGGCGGTTGGGTGCCGCGTATTCGCTTCATGATGGCCTGGGTTGGTGTATTCGTGCCGCAGCTCGACGGCGACCAAGTAAAGTGATTATGGATGTTCAAATCCACATTGGTTGGCAGTCAGAGACCATGGGCTGGCAGCCTCGAAACAGTACGCCGCCAGGTTTGGGGCCGCCCGCAAAACAAGCGCATGTTTATCTGCAGGGAAACGAGACCATGGAGCCCGTCATCTGGCCCGAGTCACCGCGAATGGGCGGAGATGGGGTTTCATGCCACGCCAGATCCACCCGTATACGCAAATACGAGCGTACCTGACGGTTTGTGAGATTTGTGAAAAGGCCGATGCTCACAAACGTGATAATTACGCGGCGGTCCTGACCGCACTCCAGCCAGCGGCCCACCAAAGTCAACCCAAGCAACGCCCTCCACTGGGCTTGATGTTTCGGCCCAAAGGAATTGCTGTTTGGCCAAAATTTTAAAGAGAAACAGCCTTGGGCCCCAATAGAAAATATGCCCAATCTCTACCTATATAGCCGCTGCAACTCCCACTAAAAGCACGCCGACATACGTACCTCGTTACCCAGGTACCTGCCTTGCCCAACTAACATCCTCATCCAACTACTCTTACCAATTTACTGCAAGCAGCTCTCATTATATTAACCATCGTCTGATTCCACATGGCTGCCCAAACTCGTCGCGTCAACCATACGTTTTATCAATGCCCCCCAAAGGAATATGAGCCACGGGCCATCGTGACTCTTCCGGCCGACGATGGGCTCGTGTTCGAATATTCCGGTATGTGGATCTGGGAAAAGAAGATCTATCAAAGCCGTGAAGGAATCCCCATATTTCGAGACTGCCACAAGTGCCGCCGTCTCACTTACCTATGGGATGAGGGAACCAAGTGCCCATATGAAGGTTGCAGCCATGATTCGTACGAGAAAGAGGGTGCTAGGGACTGCTTCAAATGTCGCATCCTCGCCTACAAGGAAGCTATTGAAGAAAACTTCAATCCCCTCACGCAAGAAAAATCGCTGGACAAAGGCAAGCTTGTTCTGTTGGCGTCACGGGCGGGTAAGATGCTCCAGGAAGACCAATTGATACCTCATTATTGGAGGTGTTTAAACTCGCCCGAGTGCAAGCATATGAACACGTTCAGGAGGCCATTTGATGAAGCTCGCAGAGCCAAGGTCAAATGCTCGAGTTGCGGTTTTCGCTTCCACAACTCGTGCTACGTCTTCAACCGCTTCGGTATCGCCATTGGATCCGCGGACGGCACTGTGATGGTGAGAGGGGGGCCTTCCTATTTCGAATGGGTTTATCGAATCCACAAAAATTCTAGAGAGGATTGCGGTCATGTTCGGCAAGAATGGAGCTGCGACATGTGCGACAAACGGCGTTTCGAAGACGAGCCCAAGCTGGCAAAGTTGTTCAATAAAAGAGATAAGAAGAAGAGTTATGTGCTACTAGCCGGCAGGGATTACGCCGAGCAGGGTTTTGATGAACTGATCGAGGATCTAGATAAGCAGGTTGTTCTCTACAAAGAGGAGGAATCAAAGCTTCGCGAGAAGATTTCCGAACTAAGCGGGGGGCGGCCCTACAACAGCAAGGAGGCGGAAAGACGGGACGATGTTACCAAACAACTGCAGGAGGAGTGTTCAGCCCTGAACAATCTACAGGTGGTCCGACGTGTTCGAGAAGCGGAATCGGCAGAGACTAAAAATTCCAAAGCTAAACGGGGCGGGAAGAGCAATTTCTCAAAACCCTCAAAGCTTTTCTCCGGAAAGATTCCTCCGGCGGCCCCTAAGCCCCCGACCGCCAAAACTGTCCCTCCGAGACAGCCTGCAACCGATTCACAGTTTTACGGCGAAGGATACCTGTCCGACGAGTACGTCGACGAATATTCCGACGAGGATAGCCATTTAACGCCGCAGGAGATCCATAGGCGACCACATGTCAACATTGAAGTCAACGATACAGGGCGGTATTATTATCAAGAACCAGGCTACAGTTATCCCAGCGGCAGCCGTCCGCCTATGGGTGATGCAGCTTATTCTCGCGGATACGACCGCGCACCACCGCCGCCCCCCGGTTTCTCGGGAATCCCTCTTCGCCCGGCGGCCCCTTCTCGTTTCCCAGCCCCCGCTCCGCAGCCTGAGGAGCGACGGACATACGAAGAGAGGCTGAGAGATCGCACGGATCCTGCACGCCTCCCCGCACAGCCCGAGCCCAGAAGACTGTCGCCAGAAGAACAAAGCAAAGCAGAGATGGTGAAAATGAAAGAGCGTATAAATCGGAATACGGGGAGGTAGAGATGGAAAAACACGAGACCCGCAGTTGGATTTGGCTGCATTATACGACGGGAAGATAACACATCTTCGTTTTGAAGGATTCCGAGGGGAAAGGTGACGGCGGTCCCGCATAGCTTTGAGAGACCATGTTACACGCCATCTTGCTCTTCTTGGAAAGGGGTTGCTTGCTGGTCAGGACCTCCTCGCCTGTCGTTTCAGTGTGAGAATATATGCACGAGAGGAAAACAGGCATTATTGTGATTATCTCGGTAGATAGCTGGCTATTGGGCCTGGATATATATACTGCGCAGCTGGGCTGCTGTTGGTAAAATACGTGTCGGCCGTCACGTTGCTGCAATTCAAGGTGAAAATATCCAGTAGATATCGAAGGTGCCTTTGGTGCGGGGTTGGCCGAAAACCCAGTCAAATCCGTTGTCGGCCTTGATATCACCTGTAACGGGCAGGCCGGTACTTGCAACGCGCGTATCGTAATAACATAGCGCTGCATTGCAATAAAAAGTAGACCAATAGATTGGGCTTATTGAGGGCTTTTTTCTGGTTATTTTACACAGCTGTAGGTCTTGTAGTTGTAGAATTGCGGTTGAAAAAGACTTTTCCTAAATTACTGCTAACTACCTCCCCTATTTTCCAATATAGCCAACACCGCCAGTACAACTTCTCAGAAATAGGCCTCCAATAGACAGCCCACCGTTGCTCAAGAGAGCTTGTAGGGGGCATATCTCCAATACCCTCGCGCCAAATTTGAATGAACTTAACGATCGATGTTGTGTTCCGTGGAAGCTGGTAAAGCCGTGGAGGCCGGTTATTTGAAGTCGAGTTTAAGGTGACTGGTACGAGCGGAGAGAGTATTGGCTGGCCTAAAGACTACGGGAGAGGAGGTGTAATAGGTTGTGGAGGAGAGCCCTGGTCTTGATTTTGTGTGTGATGGAATTGTTACGAGGTATACCTGCCGTTAGGAGTAATAGAAATATTCCAACTAAGGTGGCTAAAATTGTCGATTTTCCGCTCAAGGCGCTCGAGGCGCTCAACGACCTCATAATATATTTGTATACTAAGGTGGTCGGTAGCTGAGAGCTATATTATTAAAGTCGGAGCTTTTCCGAGATAGCCGGTATATATTACAATCACTCGACTGTTAGGGTCGTCTGTCTGTAAGGGAGCCGGGCTCCACAGATGCTGGGGTTGGTAATTATGAAGAATGTCACGAACTCCCCTGGCACTGGGCGCAGCGCGCCCTGGTGGGGCACCGGGATCGGGAGCGGGGTAGTGGGGCCTCAGGCCACCACACGCTAGCGGGCCCGAGGGCATACGGGGAGCAGTTCGGGCCTGGCCCGAACTGGGGAAACATCATTTCCGGGCCTGCCCTCATTAGCCAGTCATAGATAGATATATACGACGACCGTGGCACCGGTCTTAGATAGTTCTTGCTTGGTTCCTCAAGCAAGCAATACACATTCACTGCACTCATACACTTTGAGTGGCATTCTAATTTGACTGTATTACCTGTGCGATAGGAGCTTGCCCTTTGTTCTATCTTCATAATTACCAACCCCAGCATCCTGGGGAGCCCGTGCTCCCTTACAGACAGACGACCGTAACAGTCGAGTGGTTTGTAATACAACGCCAAAAAAAAACCAAAGATGAGGGCGTGTGTGTGTGTGTCTGTGTAAGTGGCCGGCTTCTTGAAGGTCTTGCCTGCTGTGTAGGTGGTCCGTGCGCCCGCGACACCCATATATCGCTTTATATTTCATTCATGTTCCGCACTACTATTCCCTTAACTTTTCTCTCGTTGCACTCTTTGATGTAGTATAATTCCACGGCTCTTGGCCTCAGCTAGTAGTCGTCCCCATAAAGATGCAAACCTGGAATGTGAATGTGACCTTGAAGAGAATTTTGCCAAACTCAGAATCCCTAGCCAAAGGCAAACAAAGGACTTTTATACGTACTCTCCTAGTTTCTATTTTCACGTACGAACAAGAACTCTTGATCTCATTCATTCAGTTACGTCTATATTCCGCAATATTTGCCTTTTGAACGAATACGTGGGTAAATTTCTGCGTTGGAAGACGATATAATTAATATTGCCTGCCTCACCCGTTCTCGATGTGCCCAAACTTCAGATTCATTTGTCAGATTTTTGAGCCTTGATCTTAGAGGCATCCAAGGCGACGAAATATTCTTCCTCGAGCTTTTCGTACACCCCCATACAAAAAGTCTGTGTGCACAGGCCACCCCACTGACATCCACGATCTGACACTTCATTCTTCAACCATCCTTTTCTTACTCAACTTACTAGCTACCGAGATAAAAATAATATCAAAATGAAGCCTAAAGACAGGTTTTTGATAATTTGGTATACCAGCCCCTGGCCCGGCGCACTGCAAGGCGCCGGCGGGGCACAGACTCCAAGAGCGCCCGAATAAACTCCTCATCTATAGCTACCCACGCCTCCTTAATCCACATAATCACAAGAGCTCTTTCAGCCTCGTTATCCTTCAGGTCCTCAAATTCAGGGTGCATTTCATACACCAGGTCCTTCAAACGCTTCCAAACATGCTCGATTGGGTTCAAATCGGGGCTGTGAGGTGGCCAGTCGATCAGCTCGATACCGTGCCCTGCGAGGTACGCCTTGGAATCGCGAGAAGTGTGGATGGAAGCATTATCTTGTTGAAAAAACCTTCCCTCAGCCTCGCCGGACTGCAGGTGAGGAAGCAGACCTTCCTCCAGCGCCCAAATATAGCTCAAAGAGCTATATCCTCCTCGGGGGGAGTCTGGACCCCTCTCCATAAAGATAAGCTCCGTTTTTCCAGTCATCCAGATCGCTGCCCACACCATAAAGCCAAAAGAGGCAGCTTGTTGGGTCTTCTAGACCATGCGCTTATCAAATTTCTCGTGGTTGTAACGAAAAACCCACCCAGAACCTTTATCTGGGTCGTTCTGGATCGAGCATTCGTCGGTATAAGTTGCCTCTATAAGCTCGGTCTCTCGCGGGAGCCAGGAGCGGTAATGGCCAAATCTGCGGCGTGCATCGTTTTCTGTAAGCTTTGGCCTCTCTGGGGAACGCCAGTGCCCTATGCTGGACGCGTCGATAATGAGTCGGAGTCCGTTGATAGAGATAGAGACGCCATCTTAGCCTAAAAGACGGCGGAGAGTTTCCTACTTGATTTTGGGATCCTTTCGAACGTAACGAAGTACTTTACGCTTATCCGCAGTACTGAAATTTACCGGGTAGCTACTTCTAGGGAGCGAACCCAAGGTTTTGTGGTCTAGTAAACGTTTCAAGGTCCTGTTAGTAGTGTTGCGGTGGACGCGATGGTCGCGCGCAACCTGGGCCTTAGTTGTACCGGCCAGAACTGCCGTGACAAGGAAGAACGCAATTCTTTCAATAGCTCCTGGTTAGGGCCGCAATTTCCGCTTATTTCTGTGTCAAAAGCTCTGGAATTGAGCGCCATTGTGGAAAGTTATGGGTGGTTGAAGAAAGAGGGTGTTTTTGACGCGTCGCGAGATTTGATGGTGGGGTGGTCAATGCACACAGACTTTTTGGCAGGGATTGTAGTTGTGCCACACGCGCTTCATTGTTCCGTAGGTCAGCTGGGGCATGTGCTCAATGGGGACCAGGTCAACAAGGTAATCTTCGTCGTCGTTCTCGTCCTTATTGCCCCCCTCGCTTTCGCCGTCCCCCTCGCTTTCGCCGTCCCCCTCGCTTTCGCCGTCCCCCTCGCTTTCGCCGTCCCCCTCGCTTTCGCCGTCCCCCTCGCTTTCGCCGTCCCCCTCGCTTTCGCCGTCCCCCTCGCTTTCGCCGTCCCCCTCGCTTTCGCCGTCCCCCTCGCTTTCGCCGTCCCCCTCGCTTTCGCCGTCCCCCTCGCTTTCGCCGTCCCCCTCGCTTTCGCCGTCCCCCTCGCTTTCGCCGTCCCCCTCGCTTTCGCCGTCCCCCTCGCTTTCGCCGTCCCCCTCGCTTTCGCCGTCCCCCTCGCTTTCGCCGTCCCCCTCGCTTTCGCCGTCCCCCTCGCTTTCGCCGTCCCCCTCGCTACCCGGGTCGTCGTACTGAAAGTCGGGGAGGGGCTGTGATCTCCGGCCTCGGCGCGGCGGCGCACCTCGCATTGATAAGCCTCGTGGGCGTCTTTGCGGCGCTGTTTCTTGTCTTCCATTTTGCGCCAAATTTCGTCACATTTTTTTTAGCGTAGGCCTCTTCGTCGAGGATAATTTCGGCGCTGTCAAGATTGGAGCAAAAGTGTGAGCTCCGCTCGTTTACGAAACTGCGCTGAACAGGAGTGAGGTAGTCGCCAAAGTCGAGTAGTATGCCAGGGCCTCGCCAGTTACGTTCGGCATGCGATTGATAGTGGGTGAAGCCTATTCGGTGGAAGAATTCGAGCTGGCGTTCAACGGCGTTGAGCTCCTTGGGTGCCTGCGGAACAAATTCGTAGACTAAGCCAAAATACGTCTCGTCGCGGCTGAAGTATGACAGTGACGTCTTATCCTTGCGATCCCATGTATCCCTGTTTATTCTCGAGTTCACGATTCGAATATCCTCTCCATGAAGCTGTACCCACCCAAAGCACTTACGGATGCGCGTGTCCGAGATGGACATGGTCTCCCTATACTTTGGATGTAGCACATCGAATTTTCGAGCACGTCTGCCCTGGTCGGAAAGGGCGTGTAGGCATGACAGGACGTCGTTATAATCACGCCTCAATTTTCGGGCCGGGATGCTGACACCGGGCGGGAAGGACTGGCGAAGACCAGCGCACACCTTCTCGAGCACGGCAACTGTGCAGGCTTCGAGCTCCAATGGCCAGAGCTCCTCAACGCGCTCGTCCACTGTGGGTATATTCCATCCCATAGCATCCACTAACGGCTCCGATTCGAAGAACTAGACGGCCGGCGAGAAGTCATAGTTGTGTCAGTCATGGTATTATTACGTACGCAAGTAGGTTCAGGCAAAGAACAAATAATCTTCAGCGTAAAGTCTTGACCGTTTTCGCCGAACCTAGCGCGTGCAACAAGGCCTTCGCGACTGTTGCCCAAGTGTCCTTTTCGCTGCAGCCTTCGAGCGGCATCGGCGAGGGGGAAGTGGCGCAGCTTCGGTGCCAGGAAGTTAGACCACTAGGTGTCAGACTGTGAATTAGGAATTGCCCGCCATGGATGGCACTGTGCATCTGCACAGCTGTGCAGTTGTTGCCCGCAAAAAAAAAAGCAAGGCGAAACCGGGCAATTCAGAAAGAGACGGAGAAGGGAAAATCGAGAAATCAGGGAAACGCAATCTTTCGAGAGAATCGAACTCTTCCTGTCCCGCTTGTTCCGCACGCCCGAGTCTGTTGCACGATGCTGAGTTTCAGCCGGCACCCGCTCATAGAGTATTGCCGACGGGGTTCTGGCTGGAGGGTCAGAGGGCGGGGGATGGGCAATCGTCTTGCGCCTCCCCACTGCGACGCCAGACCGGCTCCGGGAACTTCCGGGCAGAAACGCAGCACCACCAACCCAGCGCCAGTCATGATGAAGCCGTATCGGGACCCAGATTCTTTGCCATATGTCTGAACCTGTCACAATGGCCACACCCATTCCTCTTTGCTGGTACCACAATCATCCGGGGTGTCCATTTGGTGGAAAGTCCTGTATCTCCTGGGGCCAGATTGCGATATATTGCTTTGCCAACCACCTTTTGGGAAGGGCTGCAGATGGACCAGTCTGGGCAAAACTTGGAGTCGGCGCCCCGCTCGCCGCTCCATAGATGTCCTCGTCTTTTCGGGGAAAGCTTAAGCAATGTATTCGCCTTTTCCAGCGCGGCGTTGATGTGAGGCCACATGTACTTGGTCAAGACATTATCGAGTGACCTCTCACGATATTAGCTCGAGTTCCATTGGATCCGAGTGCTGCGGGTCTGTCTTCGGAGGGTTATCCCACTCCTTGTCCACAACGTGCTTGAAGATATTGTGTAGTGTGTAGTGTGTCGTAGTTGAAATCTTCCCGGTTCTCCCAGCTCGGACTAATATGGGTCCATTCTTCTACTTTGGTGTTGGGCCCCTTTGGCAGCTTCGATGAATCAACCTTTATGAGTTGGCGGCTTAGCTCTGTTAGGATTGTTGCGTGCCCGGCCATATTGCTGATGTGCTCGTAGTTTGCCGTTGGGTCAGCGAACAGCTATCACGACGTTTCCCAAGCTTCGTTAGAAAAAAGGAACATGAGAGGGAAACAAGACGTTGTAGATAGAAGATGCCTTGTTAATTGATGTTGATGCTGCGTCTTCCACCCGTCGTGATGCGTGTATCAGGGAAACAGAGTGAGGCTAAATGCATTTTCTAGTCCCATACTACCATCTCCAACGCTATAGGCATTCTGTTTAGTATAGCTGCAGGATCTTGGGGCATCTTCTCGGCCGGGCCCCGCTTGATTCACATGAGACTCAACGGGAAGTAGCCCATGAGGCAAATATTGGTGTTAGGGGACCTCGCGGGGCCCCTAAAACCACAGCATTTCCTGCTAATCGGACCTTACTGCCACCAGAATAAAGGCCATTGCCTCCTTTTCCGCCAACATGCATAGCAAGGCAAGGCAGCTAAGGTTGGTAGGTACCTTAGGTACTTTCCGAGTAACCCGGTTCTTTGCAATTGGCTACCTTGGGGAGGCATCTCCATAGATCCTAGGTAGGTACCTTAATTACCGTGGTTATCCACCTATCGTGCCGGTTTCAACTCGGAATTGAATTGAATTTCTGAGCGCCAGCAAAGAGTAAATTGGATGACGCACACCAACACATTCAGGTGGCCATCGTGCGAACCTGCGGCGCCGTTGGGTGCGTTGGGTGTGTTGGTCCCGCTGGGTCGGTACGTTGTTGGCGAGCAGTTACCGGCAGTCTAAGAGCTAGCAAGCAACAGGACATGTGCCACAACCTCAATGAGGGACAATCTAACCCCCTAGGTGAAGCCATCAGCTCGAGCTTATTCTAAGACAAGGGATCACTGGCTGGGCCGCAAATGGCCGCGTTTTGGCCCCCTTTGATGCCGTCTCTGCCCAATGACTAGCCAGGACCGGGCTGGAGGAGGGGAGCTCCTCAGATGCCTCTTGAGGCGTGGTCTCAGAGGGAGCGCATTTCCTGCACCGACTGCATCTATCTCTATCTACGCCAATAGGTAGCAAAAGTGCTCATCTGATGGAACTAAGAAGACGTGGGGAGGGATTCAACTATAATTAGTTCATAATTATCCGAGACCACTGGAATTTGCGCCCAGGTATTAAACTAATAACCCCCGCCAGAAAACTCAGCCTTTCCAATGTCCTGCATCTCTCATAACCCCCTTCAACGAACACCAAGCTCACGGCAGTGAAATTCGCATCTCCACCTTCGTGCATTCTCGTAAACACCGAGTGAGAGGGAGGGAAGGCGGGCCTGCCTCAACTTGACACAGCCTACGCCTTAGAAACAGAGGTGAGGGGGCACTCTGGTCCCGCCATTTTATTTATTTATAAAGCCTTGCTGCCACCATTTTCTTGAAATGCGGCATCCCGTTTCAGGTAGAATTGGCGGAACTGGAACATTGACGCGGTCGGCATCTACACAGCTGTAAAGCACTGTGCAACTAGCCTAGCTGGGTGAGGATACGTTAGGCTTTGCACTGTGCTTGCCGCACGTCTCCCACATAACGCACGCACCCGCCACTCGCACAGACAGCACCTAACAACGCCCTTCTATTGTCGGCCAACGGGGAAAAAAAAAGCTTTCACGCGCCAGAGCCTTCGTGAAAACGGTCGGCTCACCGCAAGTTCGCTGCCAAATGGCACAACCCCTCTTCTCCGTCTTATCATTTTCTAATTCCGTCGTCGCCCAGTTCCACTGTCGCCTCGCAACAACCAACCTGCCTGCCACGCAGCACAGCACAGTGCACGGGGCAAAATTGGGAAGCCACCATGTCGCAGTCAGTGTTGCTGCCTCCGTTCTTGTCCAATGACCCCATGGAAGGCGACCCACCCTGCAGCTGGTCAGACTTCTTGGAGCCCAAGCTTCGTTGCTTTCCTAGACCCGATGATGCCAAACTTCCCCATCTTGAGTGTCTGGGAAACGGAATTGAAGGTTTGGTTGCGAAACTGCAGTTTGACGACGGCGGTCAGGTCTTCGCGCTGAAGATTGTTAGTCCGTCCTTTACTTTCATGATTACCTCTTCCCACGACCCCACATCGGTTGCTCCCCGCCGACCCCAGTTGCTGACCGATATTTCCACATTGGCGACATGCAGTTCTTCGATTCCGAGCCAATTGACCAATCGAGCATGGAAGCACGCGTCAAAACTATCTGGTCCCTTGAACGTGAGGCCCGCACCGTAGCCATCCTCGAGAAGGTGTGTGCCGGGCTCCGTCAATCGTCTCCGTTGCCCATCAACGTCCTAGCCCACAAAAGGTCGCCGGACGACGCCATAGAATACCTCCCTTCTCTGCTGAAGGGCGACGGGATCGAGTCTTCGACGCGCTGCCCTGGCATCAGAGAGTCCCGGTATCAGCCGCCGACACGCGCATCCGAAAATGTTCTGGCTGGATGCGAGTCAGCGCAGCCGAGATTGCATATCTGAACCGTAGCGCCGCCATCCCCGGTTGGGACCGCAAAGACTACCGCGATCACCGGGGCTCTTTGGAATTCCATCGCGAGGCGGGCCATTTTGCCCTGGTTTATGAGTACATCCCGGCTGCAAAGACCGAGATGGATCCTGTGAAACGCCAGCTTGACTTCTTCAGCCAGATAGGCTTCGGCCGTTGCCAACCCATGAATCCATGTAATTGGCAGGGTCCAGGCTTCTTGATCGACTTCGGCGATTACAACACTCCCATTGACGAGTGGTTTTCTAAGATCAACTACAGGGCCCATCGCGAGGACCCCGAGGCCATAGTCGATCCAACAGCTTACGATCGCCGAATGGACGAGTTGTGGGAAGCCGAGAAGGAAAGGAACGGCGGCAAAGGTGACTTGTTGACCGACGACGACGGCCAAAAGATATCACACACCTGGATGCCCCCGAAACAAAGCCCAGGAAACTGAAAGCAATTTGGGCCGCATATAAAGAGCAGAAGGAAGCGTACCTTCACGCCCTGGACGCTACCAAGAAGAATCGGGCCAACCTCCCTAAGCCTTGAGTATATTGTTTTATATTTTCTTCTCCCTTTCCCTTTTCCCTTTCCCCTTCTCCCTTTTTCCCTTTTCCCTTTTCCCTTTCACTTTTGTGTTATTTAGAATGTAATTAGGGGCGTGGTGAGTGCGGGAGGGGGTGAGCCACTGTGAACTAAACTCAATTCTTCCTTTTCTCAAAACCCCAGAATGAAGCACAACTTGTTTCATGTACATGTCGTCCGTGGCAAGTCATCTAGTGCACGGTTGAACACTAGTCTCTAGAATAATTCTCAGCTGCTTCCTTTTCTGCCCTACGCCAGTTCTTGGGGTAGCCCCGCGCAACACGCCATTCCTCGGCGTCATCCTCGACAGCCTTGACGAGCTCTTCTCTCCAGTTCCCATCTAGCATGTCATTCCTCCAGCCAATATCACCACCAAGCGCCCAGGACACAGCGTTCTCTGCGCGTGCGCCGTCTGGGGCGCGCAAAATACCCACTGCCACGTCCAGCATTTCGGGCCGCTCATCGACAGCGTAGAAGACAGTGGCCGAGCACCGGCTGCAGAAATACCGTTGCACATCTGGTGAGCTAGCATAGAAAGCCAGGGTTCCCAGCCCGGCATCCCCCAAACTCGCCCCTGCCGCAGCGCCGGCCGCCGCCTTCAAGGCGATGCTGTCTTCCGGAAACCGGCTGCTACCGCCGGAAGCAAAGTCGATATGCTCGACCAGTGCAAACGTCCAGTTGAAAACATCAGCGCCCGATGCCCGCCGGCACGAGTTGCAACCGTCGAGGCTGCCCAGGCTCTTGTACGTGGCGGGATCGACGAACCACGGCAGCTGGGCGGGCCTGGCTCCCGACCTTTCCACTCTGCCCTCAAAGTCGCCCGCCGCCGCCGCCGCCGCCGCAAACTCGCGCCTCGCCCTTCCCGCACGCCACACAAGATTTAAGCCACCGCAGTGGCACCGGATCGGCACGTCGCCGTCGTCTTCTGGCACCCCGTCCTCATCGCTGGCCGGCACCGGCAATTCTTTCAGGGGCGGCCAGTAATCCATGCCCGCGACCTCGCCGCTCTTCTCGCCGCGGCGGCCAAGCCAGCGCTGCGTTATGTTGCCCTGGGCAGCGACTGCAATCCCGTTCATGCGGCGCAGCCAGCACGCGGCGCCGCCGTCGCGCGTGTCGCCGACGAAGATGTGATCTTTGAACCGCACCAGGAGCGGGAAGTCCCCGGCAGCCCTCTGCTCCTTCTCCTCCTCCTCCCCACCACGTCCCTCTGCACGTCCAAGGCCACCGGCGCCAGGCCGCACGGGACCACCAAGCACGCCGGTGAACACGCCGTACGTCGGCCCTGCGTCTCCGCCTGCCTTGTCCACCTTTGCGGCGGCGCGCGTCTCCTCAAAGAACATGGGACTACCGCACGTCACGCAGAACAGCACCGCGACGCCGCTGCGCGGGAACAAGTCGTATCGCTGCAGGGCGCGCAGGGCGGCGGTGTCGGTGCTCGGCCACGGAGCATCGGACGAGTACAGGGCGCCCGTGACGTGGCGGCACGAGTCGCAGTGGCAGCACGACGCCGAGAGGGGGAGGCTGGCGCGCGGGACGGCGGCGGAGAAGGTGTGGGCGCGGCAGAGGCACTGCGCGGTGATTTGCACCGAGTCGCTGCTGGTTTCGGCGTCCATTTCTGAGTTTTTTATGTTAGATTCTTGTCTCAAAGAAATCCCTTGATTATGCCCTTTGATTCTCGCTGAATATCTCCGTGTGAACTTGTGAACTGAAATGAGCAGGCATGCGAGGAAGTATATAGGTAAGTGATTAAATGCATGAGAGACGTTGATGGGATAAGTGGTGACGTTATCCCGTAATACGGAGCAACGTTGGTCCCTACCTAATCAATCAAAAGCCAGCCTATCAATCACCTATTACGGCAAGCCTACAAAAAAATCACGTTGATCCTACCTCACTGCTCAATCTGAATTCAAACGATCATCGAGCAGGCAAGCAGCAAATGAAGTCGATTTAAGCAACGCCGGGCCCCGCACTTGGCCGACTGCACGGACGCCGCTGACGTGCGGCCCTCCCCCCTCGCACTGTGCAGTGCGCACCGCAGGAATCCGTACTGTGTGCCGTTGGCTAAGACCTCCCATCCATTCATCTACATAGTAGATCTAAAATCTCGGGCCGGAACACGGCGCAGCAACACCGGGCCGCGGAGTATAATTAGAGACTATATATAGAGTCTAGGGCTATGTTTTCTTTTGTCTACTTGAGAAGTGACTTCTGTAGTTAGATCTATCACTCAAGTGAAATAGCTTAATACACCTACGTCATTCGTGCAAGTCACTATTATTACAAACCACTCGACTGTTAGGGTCGTCTGTCTGTAAGGGAGCACGGGCTCCACAGAATGCTGGGTTGGTAATTATGAAGATAGAACAAAGGGCAAGCTCCTATCGCGCGGGTAATACAGTCAAATCGGAATGCCACTCAAAGTGTATGAGTGCAGTGAATGTGTATTGCTTGCTTGAAGAACCAAGCAAGAACTATCTAGGACCGTGGCTACGGTCGTCGTATATATCTATCTAAGGCGGACCAATCAGAGCGTTGGTCCTAGGTGATCAGTGCGGTCAGTGTGCTCAGTGCGATCAGTTCCCACTGATCGCCCTGATCATACTGATCGCGCTGACCGCCACGCTATTGGCTGCACTCCCGTGAAGCGGGGAACTACCCCGCTTCCTTGCGCCAGCCAATAGCAGGAGGCTCCGTGCAGCCTCCTGCGAGCCTGAACCAGGATCGTAACAAAAGGGCAAGCTCCTATCGCACGGGTAATACAGTCAAATCGGAATGCCACTCAAAGTGTATTGTTACAATCTGGACAACAGGTCCACGGAGCTAGGCCCGGCCTAGGATTGTGGGGGTCTGGACGGCAGGTAGGAGATGACAGGAGACAAGGAGTATCGTGCACAGATTGCGAAAGACAGGCTTTCAACACGCAACCAATGTATGCTTAACCAGATGCATTGATAGCTGCAGAACCGTTCTCCAGAGAGAGCGTGCTGCCAGCTCCTATATAGAACTATGAGCAACCAATCAGAGTTCCTGCCTTACATGCTCAGTCGTGCTCAGTCCTAGTCGCACTGATCCCCACTGAGCTCCCTGCTCAGTGCGCTCAGTGGGTCTCGGCACTGATCCTACTGAGCTCAGCCATGCTCAGTGCACCTTGGCAATGGTCCCACTGAGCACTCCCTAATTGGATGCACCTTCTCTTAGCGAGAGCCCCACCCTAAGTGCCGTTCCAGCCAATCCGCAGCGGGCGGGCAACGCCCTCTGCACCTTTGAACCAGGATCGTAACAAATACCAGTCGGCTATTTTGCGAAACTCATTCAGAAACCATTGCTTTTGAAGCTCCTTGCCTTTGAAGATAATGCCAGGAGTTAAAAGACGGCCGTCGGCAGTAACTGCCTCGATGAATGAGGTCCAATTTCGAGATTGAGGTCCTTTGAGCAGAGCTTTTTGTTTTGGATCTGCACTGCCAACCACCAAGTTGTCGAAGCCTAGGAAAAGGATTAGTCAGTTAGATCTTTAAATAAAGGCGTTTGAACTTACCGAAACCAGTTAGAATACCTCCTTCATCAACATTGACAGTATTCTCAGGCTTGATCCAACCGTACTCTTTTTCCTTTATATCAAAGTACCAATGTACTGCTTTAGGTGTGAATGAATCGAATCTGTTGGCCTATTGGCGTCTCCCAACCTTGGCTTTCAGTTCTGGGCGGCGTTGGATAAATAAATCTTGACACCCAGTTATGTCCTAGTTCTGGTTTGAGGCCTTGTTGTTTGAGCATGGCCAGAACATAAGCGCGGATCTGACTGTGTGATGGAGCGTAGCCCAAAGACTCCTGACGAAGGATCCAAGTAGATAATCTACCTTCTTCGCTCCTATTTAGAATGCTTCCAGGCTGCATCTGATCAGCTGTGGCTGTTTGACCCCGAAGCCTGTCAGAAATCGTTGCCTTAGGTATTCCCCACTTCTCACCAGCTTTGCGTACTGACATCCCATTTTCTGTGATCTCTAGGATTGCTTCAGCTACAGAATCTTCTGTGTAATCCCACTGGGGTTTTTTGCGAGGCATATCTGTAAGGTTGTGGTGTTACGATCCTGGTTCAAAGGTGCAGAGGGCGCTGCCCGCCTTCTGTGGATTGGCTGGAACAGCATTTAAGGTGGGGGGCTCTCGCTCGAAGGTGCATCCAATGAGGGAGTGCTCAGTGGGGCCATTGCCGAGACCCACTGAGCGCACTAAGCGGGGAGCTCAGTAGGATCAGTGCCGAGACCCACTGAGCGCACTGAGCGGAGAGCTCAGTAGGGATCAGTGCATCTAGGACTGAGCACGACTGAGCATGTGAGTCAGGAACTCTGATTGGTCCGCCTTAGATAGATATATACGACGACCGTAGCCACGGTCCTAGATAGTTCTTGCTTGGTTCTTCAAGCAAGCAATACACATTCACTGCACTCATACACTTTGAGTGGCATTCCGATTTGACTGTATTACCCGCGCGATAGGAGCTTGCCCTTTGTTCTATCTTCATAATTACCAACCCCAGCATTCTGTGGAGCCCGTGCTCCCTTACAGACAGACGACCCTAACAGTCGAGTGGTTTGTAATATGTGGGTAAAAGCGGAGGAAGAAAAGAGAAGAAAGCAAAGGAGATCAAAGGTCAAATTTGAAAATTTTGCAACACCAGGGTAGCACGGACCAGTACCTGAAAATCGTCAACACTTTATTGAACGTAAATTCTAGCTATTACTTTATATATAAGAGGTTACGATTTGTAAATTGCTTCAAAACTGGTTGAAAGCCATGAGGCTGAAGAGGGTGGATTTTGTATGGGGCGCAGGCAGTTTTGCTGTCCGAAAGGGTGGGGTGTCCGAAAGGGTGGGGTGTCCGAAAGGGTGGTGGGGCATGGTAGTGGTAAGTCGTTGGATCTATCTGCTCGCTGCCTACGCGAGTGGCGACCACAACGGACTGGATTGGTATAATAGATCTACGGCCTGTTAGTGGGCACCATTGTTGCGTACGCGAAAGTTGTGAAAAGTAGCTTGATTCTCTACCAATTGCTGGATCTATGGATCCGTAGTTTGACCACGGATCTGTGGATACTTACGTAGCATGTGAATCTACCGCAGATGTGGATCCTCACGTGACATGTGAATCCGTCTTAGCGAGCTATCTGGCCTGAGACAGCACATGTCTAAGTACTGTAAAGGATCACGAACTACAACTACAGGGACAGACAGGAGGCTGTTTTCCAGCGCCCCGCCAACACGTGTTGGGTCACGTGTTGAGCGAATGTGGCCCGTGCGCTGACGTGATTCCCTCACTATTTTACCTGCTGGACCAATCACAGCTCTGCATACGCATATGCTTGACTGAGCCGCATAACCCTGCTTGAGCCGCATAACCCTGGTTGATCGGTAATTCCTACATATAGTAAGAAACGGATGTTCAATGCCGCCGAGCACTAAAGAACCAAACTAGGTAGCAAATGTTTAGGGGCTTAGGGTGCATATCTATATTACCACGGACACACTAAAATAAACACAGGTAAGCAAAGAATACGGATATATCTACTAGTGATATCGGTAATAGGGTTATTATAGATATGTAAAAATACACATGAATGCACGTGAAAAAAAGGAGAAAAAAGCAAAACGCCCATCCAAACCGAGCCGCCTCGGAAACTCCGTAATCACCACATATATTAAGCAGCGACACCGGCCATGCCAATGCTATATACCCGCCCAAATGTGCCAAGCTTTCTCTATCGTCCCTCCCTTGAGATCACGGCCAAATTTTCTTTTAAACCTCTTCCCTTAGAGCTCACGCCACGCGGTCGCTGTTCCGCCCCAGGGTGCTGGGGCTGCCCAACACCGCATCGTCTTCCGCCACGTCGTTTCTCAGGAGCTTCCTGCGCGTGGCGTGCTCCTCGTCCTCGTCGTCGCTCATCAGGCCCTCGAGCTCGAACTCGCCGGCGTCGCGCAGGCGGCCCTCCTCCTCCACGCGCTCGTTGGCGCGCGCCCGGCCATTCGCGGTTGGTTTGGCGAATGTGGCCGCGTTTGCCGAGCGGTCGTACACATAGATCAGGATGTTGACAAATAGGAAGAGCACAAAGGCCAAGCTATACAAGATGAGAATGTACGCGACGTGGTCGATGCCAATCTCGGCCACGAGAGCCATCTGCTCCTCTGTCGCTCCCATGAACAGAAAGCCTGAGGCGTAGAGCAGCTGTGAGATGGATTAGTCTCCGACACACACAAGCCCCCACACAGGTCCGGCGGAAAACTTACAAAAACGGGAACGTATTGGAAGCTGTTCAACTCGGTGCCGTCCTCCGAGACGCCGGTCTTGTCCTTCAGGACAAACGAGATCTCGATGATGCGGGTGAAGCCCATGCTCATGAGCGTGTATCCAAAGATCTTGTGCGTCATGGCACTAATGGGCATAGTCTGCGGGTGAGCAGACATGGCCCAGCCGGTCACGAGGATAACGAATCCAGGAATAAAGTTGCGTTTGGGGGCCCCGTCTCTGCCCTTACTCAGCCAGACACCGGCCAAGCCCGCGCACCACCAGACGATGCCCATGGTCGTGTGCTGCCAGTCGTTCCGCACCCACGCCGTCCCCCACCGGTGCTCGGTAAACGTGTTCACGCAGCCCCAGGCGGAGATGACAACGCTGTCAAAGAACTCCTGGCTGCGCCCAGTGCGGCGCAGCCATAGCTGGCCGACGAGCAGCAGAATGGTCAACAGGATGCCATACGCAATAAAGGCGCTGCCCATGATGAAGTGGGCCAGACACTGGCCGAGATGGTCGTCCTGGCAGAAGCCCAGGGCCGTGATGCCGCCAAAGATCATCTGGGTCCACGAAACGACGGGTAACGCCTTGCCGTTGACGCTGTGCAGGATGCGGACGACAGGGCGGATACGGCGGTGAATGCCCTTTTCGAGATGCAGCTTGAGGTAGACGCCCAGGACGATCTGGGCGACGAGAAAAAAGTAGACAGTGTTGGCGAACTTGGCGTGCACGTTGGACGAGACGAACTTGCGGCCGCCGTGCATATGGCCGAGAGCGTAGCCCAGCAGCGCGATGAGCGTGCTTAGAACCTGGACCGGAACATGCCACCGGCTTTTGATGATCTGCGCGCTCCGTCAACAACCAACCCGATCACACAGCACGTACCATCGTCCCTCGGAGGGCGCCACGCAGGATACGGGAGAGGGGGTTACGCACCCCGAGGACCATGCCCAGCGGGAAGAGCAGGCCAAACGCCAGCATCTGGATGAAGATGTGAGCCCATAGTGTCGCGTCCTGTCCGTCACAGAGAGCAAGTCAGCCGAATCCCACAGAAAGGAGAAAAGCAATCCCCGGCGTCCTGCCTTGCCCGACCAGACCACCAAGACGAGGAATATCGAGCGCCAGCCCAGCCAACCGCACTGGTCCGCCCGCCCCGCCCGCCCGCCCGGACGACCCGCTCCGCCTTCACAGCCCAGGAAAACGTACAATAGGGTCTCCCGATATGGTATGCCCTTCCTCGATGCCGTCCTCTCCGTGTTCGTGAGCCGACGCCATGGGGATGAATGCGGCCGCGAGGGCTAATACGGTCGTCGTCGCGGCGGCTGCTGGGAGAGGAGGGAGTCGAGAAAGGAGGCCGTGTCGGGCGGCGGCGGGGGCGAAAGCGACGCTGCTGCCGCCGCCGCCGCCGGGCTGGCGCGACGAGTGGAGAGTCATGGTCGCGACGTTTTTTCTTCTTCGTCGTCCTGTTTCGTATCGAGCCGACCAGCTGGGGTAGGCCCCTGGCGGGCGTCAAAGGGCGGTGGCGTGTTCAGGGGCAGCCGTCGAGTCGGGTCGGGGGCGTTGTGGGTCGGGGCGTTGTGTGTCGGGGCGTTGTGTGTCAGGACACGCGGTTCTGGGCTGATGCCACTGCGACGGTGGGATGGGACAGCAGCAGGACAATCGAATGTCTGCCGCCGGAGCTGCTTGGAACGGATGAAGTAAAAATGAGCGTATGGCGTGCAGTGCAGTGCGTCGGTCGTGCGTGGTTGGCGCAGCAGGAATGGCGATCGATCCGTCCGGCCTTTTCGGAAGTCGAGTCGAGGAAAAGTGTTGCGGTGATTGCCTGCCTTGGCCCTCCTTGCCTGCCACCTGGCTTGACTCCAGGGGGCACCAGCAACAGTCGGCAGCCTGAGGCGGGAGCGTGCGTGCCGCATGATTGGCCAATGGCAGCCGTGGCCGCGGGCCTCGGGTCTCGGCATGCTGCTGGCTTGCTGGGCGGTGCCTGGAGCGATGCAGCTGCCCATTCCAGGGACGCGAGTTCATGCTTCGCCTCGTCTTTTGTTGTCAAAAAAGACGAGCTTATAACTAATAACAACCCGTACACGGTGTTAGCATTTTTAGACCTCGGGCCGTTGACATAGACACATGTGCAAGGTGTCAAGGTTCCCAATATGCATGTTCAATGTTAAGGTAAACCCCACACTGACAACTGGAACCTCGCCGCAATCTGCAATTAAACTCCCAAGCAGGCCCAAGAAGGCGGCCAGCAGCGGCGGGGCATACGCTACCAACCCTAACCCCGTTCGCCGTTATTCTTGTCGGTGGTCTGGCAAGTTTCAAAGTGGTCTCTCAACATTCTTTTTGTTACAGTTTCATTACCTCGGTACCTAAGGTATCTCAACAAAGCTAATTCGAACTCGAACTCGGCTGCCCCCTTTCGTCTGCTCACTTCCCCTCGGCGGCTAGCTTCATGTCGGTGAGCCACTCGCGGTGCATCTCATCGGCAAACACATCATCAACTAGCACCTTCCATCCGACGAGCGCCATGGCGCGGCCGCACTCGAGGGCGCGCTGGTAGGCGTCCTCAGTCCCGGCCGCCGCGGCAAAGCCCTTGGTGTGGTTCGCATCGCCCTCGGCCGTGTCGATGCCGAACGCGCCGTGGAAGCCGGGGCACTCGTAGCACACATCGCCCATGTCGGTGCTGCCGGCCAGGAAATCGGGCGGGTCGGCGTACGCCACGGACCCGGCGGGGCGCGCGGCATCGACGTAGGCCCGGCACAGCGCGGGGCTGGGCCGCACGTCGGCGTACGAGTTGAGCGGCTCGGTGCGCAACTCGCAGCCCGTGGCCAGGGCCGCACCCTCGAAGCACTTCAGCACGCGCTGCCACAGGCGCTCGGCGCCGGCGCGCGTGGCGCTGCGCACGTAGTACTCGACGCAGCACTCGGCGGGGGTCACGTTGGGCCGGTCGCCGGCGGCGCGGAACACGCCGTGGATGCGCTCGTACGGCCGCGTCTGCTGCCGCAGCATGCTGACGGCGTTGTAAGCGAGGCAGACGGCGTCGAGCGCGTTGACGCCGTCCCACGGCGCGATGGCCGCGTGTGCCTCGCGGCCGGCGAAGTAGGCGCGCATCTTGACGTTGGCTAGCATGCGCACGAACGCCACGCCGCGCACTCCTCCCTCAAGAACGTGGCCCGGCCCCGGGTGCACCATCAGGCTGGCCGCCGCGCCGGCGTACGCCCCCGCCGCGATCAGCTTGAGCTTGCCGCCGCCGCCCTCCTCGGCCGGGGTACCCAGCAGCCGCACGCGCCCCGGCAGGCCCGACGCCTTCAGCGCCGCCGCCACGCCCAGGAACGACGCCAGCGACGATGACGCGATCAGGTTGTGCCCGCACGCATGCCCGATCCCCGGCAGCGCGTCATACTCGGCGTTGAACACGACGAGGCGCCCGCCAGAGCCGAACTCGGTTGAGAAGGCTGTCGCGAGCCCGTACGCGTGCGGCCTCACGTCGAACCCGAGACTTTGCAGCGTCGCCACGAGGGCGTCGTGCGCCTGGTGCTCCTCGTACGCCAGCTCCGGGTGCGAGTGGATCTGCTTGTTGATGGCCGAGATCTCGCCGTTGCGCGCGCTGATCTCGTCGTCGATCGTCTGCGTCCAGTCTTGGGCCATGGCGTCTGTCGTGCCGTGTTTGGCTCTGTGCTTGGAAATGGAGATACGGCCGGTGATGGCTGGTGAAAGTGGTGTGGGTGAGGCTAGTGAGTCTTGTGTGTGTATGTGTGTGGGAGAGGTAGGTCCCTCAACTCGTGCTTCAGACCACGCGAGGATGTGCCGGCTTTATAGCTCGTGACACGAGAGATAAGTGCACCAGCACCTCAGTCGTCGTCGGCTCGACTAGCCAATCAAACCCAGTCAGACTCTGCTCCTGCAAGCGACGGGTGTCCCGTTTTGACCTCGCAAGGATGAGCGAGTGAGCGATTAGGTATATCGTACTGGGAGTGTTGCGTATGTCTCCCAAGGTCGTAGAGAGCTGGGCAGAGTTCCTCCACCGTTGGTGCAAGCCAGCGACGGTAACAGTGAACCGGAAAGCTAGCAGTTTGTTTGCCCCACAACCCCACCACTGCTGCGTCTCGCCCACTGCGAGGAGACGTCGAGAGGCTCGTCGTTAGCGGTCGGTAAAACGGCCAATGGTAAAGCTCTCAGGGCTGCAGCATCACCCAACCAACGGTAAACGGAGCGTGCCCGAGCCTGTGGCTTTTCCGTCGCCGACTCGACTCGATACTTGCTTTTGCACCCACGGCGCCCGCTCCCCGTCCCCTCCACTCTTTTATATATTAGAGCCGGGATGAAAATGTTGCTTACTTTTGCCGTGTTCGTTTAGGATACGTACTATAACAGCAGCTAGAGGCTAGGTCGCCATTCTTAGCTGAAACAAAAAGGAGGCAAATATTGCCAGTCATGAGTCATACCCTATCATGTAGACAAATAGCGCCCAAGACCCAAGGGCAACTAAACACCGAGCTACCTAGACCAAAAACAAGAAGACATGCAAGAAACGTATTAGCCCGGTACTCACATTTCCACCCCATACACGCCCAGACCTGGCTCCGGGACCGTGACGCAGGCGGCCTGGCAGATCTGCCGGATCCTCGCGATGCTCGCCCTGGCACCGCCGGCCTGCTCGAGGAAGACGATTTGCAGCGCGTCGTGGAGCTCCCTGTTTCTCAAGTTGCCCAAAATGCACCTCTGCTTGAAGCCGTCGGTGGTCTCGACGCCGACCCAGAAGAGCGGCCACTGCATGCGGTCCGTCTGGCCCCGGTCGCCCGTCTCGAGCGTCTTTTGTATCAGGAGCAGTGTTTCGTCGACGGTCTCGGCAATGCCAGCAGCAGTCCGGGGTGGTTTCGGGGAGGACGCGTAGTTGGTGGTCAAAGGAGAGGAAGAAGCCGCCGTCGCCGTCGCCGCAAAGCCTAGCTCGTCGCTCGTGAGGCTGCATCGGAAGTAGTAGATCCTCAGGGCATAGTAGTTCGCGACGGCCCAGTCGGCATTGGCCAGCAGCCTGTTCCTGACGCGCGTCGGCGAGCTAGCCAGGCGGAACACGGAGCTGATGGGGTACTTGCGCCGCAGCGCATCCATGCGCGTCTTGATGTCGCGGGCCCTGGCCGTCTCCACGGTGATGGGCAGGGAGGACTCGCCCGCCGTCGTCGCGTCGTTGATCTCTTGCACCAGCACCCACGTGTGGTGGATCAGCTCCAGTGCGCTCGAGTTCTGCAGGTCGTCGGTCAGCTCGTCGTCGGGGTAGTCGCCGTCCCAGTGCAGCTGCAGCGTCGCCCTGGACGTTTCGTAGAGATCGAGAAGGCCTTGAGGTGAAGTCGGCTGCGCCAGAAGCCTCGCCATGGACCCGCCGTCGCCCTGGAAGCACGATTGAACGTCGACCCAGAACAGCCAGCTCGTGAGTCGGGCCAGCAGCGCTTTCCGGTCGGCGGAGCAGATGGAGCCGGCTGACCCCGTCTGGGTTGCTGCATCTTCTTCTTCGGGCGCTGAAACCAGTATTTGGTGCAACTGGTCCTTGCGGAAGTATTCGGACATCATCCGGCTCAGCTCCCCGTACGCCATGTGGAATTTGGTCGCTCGCCTGCGTTGCTGCAGATACAAGAACCAGAACGACGCCATGACGACCAGCGGATCGGCCGTGGAGTCGGTGATCTCGCCTTCCAGGAGCTGGCGGCCCAGTCTATAATTCTCGCCTGCCCTGTCGAGCATGGGACGGAATACTTCGCTCAGCCATCCCATCTCGGCGAGGCACGCTGCCAAGAGGAGGTGCAGCACGGCCGAGCTGCGACGTGCAGTCTTCATGAGGATTGCGTGAGTCGACCATGCAGGAGACTTAGTACCGAAGCCAAAGGCGATTTCCTTTTGGTAGTAATCTAATGCTCGGTGTTCGTCCTCGCTGAGGGGACGAAGAGTGGGTAGACTGGCCAGGAGACCAATTGACTCGAGCGCCATATCAGACAAGGGCGAAGGGTGATAAAATGGAAAAGGGGCAAACATGACCTCGAGGAAGTCCCCCTCTAGCGGTAGCGGAAAAGGGGGGTTGCCCGCGATATCGGGTCCCAGGCCATGAGTGAACACGGAAGGCGGGCTGTTGTGGACGGAGCCGAATCCTGCTTGAGCCGATATCAGAGCACCATCTGTGGTAGTCTTTGGGTGGATAACCTTCGGCGGCCGTTCCCTGGCTTCCTTGGCCTTCCGGGCTTTCTGCTCCTTTCGCGGTACATATTCGCCGGCCGGCTCACACTTGAGAGAGAGACGTTCGCAGTGGAAGCAAGCGGGAGTGACCTCGTCGCATTTCACTCTTCGCTCGCGGCACGTCAAGCAACCTAGACACATGGTTGGTATTGTGTGAGGTAGTAGGTAGTGCAATCTCGGGGGAGCGGATGAGAGATGCAGTGTCGAGTAAACAAGGCATTACCTGTGTTAGTCCTCTTCCGGCGAGCCCGCACTGCCGCTGTCGGTGGAGTCGACATGGCGCCAAACTACAGATGGGTTAAACTAGGTCTAGGTCCAGGGTGGGTATGGGGTTCGACAATGGAGGATCAACAGATAGAGGTGGATCTCGAAATGTAAGAGCAAACGGGCACGCGGTGGCACAGGAGACAGTGTGTGTATGGCGTGATGAGGCTCGACTTGAGAGAGGTGAGGGAGGTCGCGAGATGTCTTGGCACCAATGTGTCGGCTGCTCCTCAGTCTCGGTCGTTAGCGACAGGCCCAAGTCAGGTAGCGACCCATTTTAAAGTCGCCGTCTCTCTTGTATTCGGCAGACAAGACGCCTTGCCTACTCGCTCTCGGCGTCGTTAGGCGGACTCCAGCATCACTCAGCTGCGGGGTCGCCAACATTGCCAGGCTCAGCCTCGTCATTGAGGAGGCTCTGGAACGGCGTCGGTAATTCTGGCCAGTAGCATCACGCCCTCGCTTATGCTGCCCACGACACACGGCTTGGGGGGAATGACGCCCGTTGGTCAAACAAAGCGATTATCTTGAGGTTTCCCGAGCATACCGATAGCAATCGAATCCGGGTTGAGACGAGATCTGTGGAGATGAGTCCGGTAACCGACCTGAGTCTCCCGTCCAAGACTGTTGAAGACTTGAAGTTGAACAAGCAAGAAATCGGAAACGGGTGGCTGACCAGAACTTTGCCAGAAACCAACTTGGAATGTATGTGTACGGATTAGACGAGGTGCAGGGGACTAGGACAGTTGACCTGCACACTGCGGATTAGACCCACAGGAGAGCGGGCACCCCACCCTGGGCCCTAATCGCCAGTCTCCACCGCCTTCCCACTGGAAATCTCGCCCCCAAGGCGCCAAGCTAGCCGGAAAATATTCCCCTCTTGTCCCGTCGAGCGACTGTACTCCGCAACAATCTCTGCCGAATCCGCGTTCGACAATCGCCAACTACCGACAAGATGGGTACGTAAGGCGACGTATTTGGAGCCTTCGGGGGGTTCTGTGTGCGAGTGGACGGGCTGTGGTCTCACGATCGACTCCCTCTGCGAATCATTGGCATTTTGGTCTCCCGGTCACCGACGCCCGGCACGACAGGTCGTCTAGACTTCGTCGCCGCGGCTGATGCTTCCGGTCGAGCCGGCCGCAAAGAGCATACTCGATCAAGTCGCTGACTTGTGATTCCCCGTCTGAAGGTATTGATCTCAACCACCACCACGTGCGGAACACGCACCGCAAGGCGCCCAAGAGGTAAGTCTGCACTTGCTGCCATTCCTTCTGTTCGCCTCGAGGCGAGCTCTCGAGAGGATTGCCTTGCTAGCAAGGCCGAGTACTAACGCCGCCCACGCCTCCCAGCGACAATGTCTACCTCAAGCTCCTGGTCAAGCTCTACCGCTTCCTGGCCCGCCGCACCGACAGCGCGTTCAACAAGGTGGTGCTCCGCCGCCTGTTCACGAGCCGCATCAACCGGCCGCCCGTGTCGCTGTCGCGCGTCGCCGCGAACCTGCTCAACGGCAACGAGAAGAAGACGGTCGTCATTGTCGGCACCGTGACCGACGACAACCGCCTGCTCGTCGTGCCCAAGGCCACCATCGCCGCCCTGCGCTTCACCGCCACCGCCCGCGCCCGCATCACCGCCGCCGGCGGCCAAGCCATCACCCTCGACCAGCTCGCCCTCGAGAAGCCCACGGGCGCCAACACCTTGCTGTTCCGCGGCCCCAAGAACTCCCGCGAGGCCGTCAAGCATTTCGGCTTCGGCCCCCACAAGCACAAAAAGCCCTACGTGCAGTCCAAGGGCCGCAAGTTCGAGAAGGCCCGTGGCCGCAGAAGGTCGCGCGGCTTCAAGGTGTAAACAGGCAGCTGCTAGCCTCCTTCTGCTGCTAGCCTCCTTGAGCTTGTGTGCATGTGCACAATGGTTTACGATTTTCCTTTGGGCTGGGGCTTGTCTGGCGTTGGGAGGGAGTTGGGCGTGTTTTGGCAACTGGGCGGGCCGGTTCCAGGCAAGAGCTGGGCTGGGAACGGGGCGGTTTACCAAAAGTCGGCCCTTTACGGGTCATCGGCAAAAAAAGTGTGTTACTACAAGGCATCGGGTGACCCGACAAAGAGACACAACTCACCTCTCTCTTGCCGTCCAACTACTCTCAAAAGACAGACGAGAGTCGTGCTACCTTGATCTTTCTTGCTGTGCTTGGCTTTACAGTGGGTGATGCGAGACTCCGGGTGTGACAGTTTTTGCCATGTTTTGTTGGCAGGCTCCAAAACAACAACAGTGAGTGGAATTGTCGTCTCCGGTATTTATCCTGATCCGCGGGGATTGACTACCCTCGTCGTAAACTCCGATACACAAACGGAAGCACCTCAAAAAAGTTCTTGATCGGCAGGCTCTCGTATTTACGAGTTTGTTGCTTTAGACGTGGATAGCGACTCTTTCTTCTGTGCTGGTGCTGTGGTAGGTAGGATACAACACTTCATGTGTCTCTGCCGACTCCCGTGATCTAATATTCCGAGTTTGGTATCCCGAGTTTGGTTGTAAACCTGCCGCAGTTTCTGGTTGCGGAAGGGATAGGGAGACTATTTGTCTCCTTGTTTGTTGATCTTTCCCCTTCTCTTACTTGTTCACAACACCAAAGAAAATGCGCAAAAAACACGGGATCTTTTGACTTTGCGGAGAAGTGTCGTAGTCGTACGTCTTACTTGTTCACTTTTGACACCAAGAAAACGTGTATCGTTGATCATACTGGCCACGCGATATTTCGGTTTTGTTTCTTTCATTTTCCTCTTTCCGACGTCTTTTGTTCAGGACGTCTCATCCAAAGAAGGTAAATAATTCTGCCCTAGTCTTGTGCACTATTATAACTAGGTGGATTTTAGGGGCAATATTCTTCACCGCATAGAGTTCGTTCTACTTTTGGGAGTCTGGGAAGGTTACGTGCCCACTCATTGACTGTCAACACTCAGCAAGATCTTCACTTGTGATTATGTATTGTACTTGTTGGACCCCCTGGAAATGCACCTCCGCGTCTTCGGGTGGTAAGACCTCACTTTTGACCCGGAAGGCCAGTTTACAAGTATCCAGAGTCCAGTACCGCTCTGTGTTGTAGAAAGTGCATTAGGGTTGCTGTGTTCGCAGCATTTACTTGCTCTTCATGCTGATGGTAAATGCCGACGTACTGCTTCGTGCCCCACAGCTGGTTTCTTTTTAAATGATCATCAGAATCTCCTTTGTTCACTTTTACGTCGCGACTTTATTGCAACTGAAAACATCCAATATCGTTCGACCACATAACCGCTCAAGCTCGTGCGGCAACAACATCGGGCCTTTTATGACTCACCCGACCCAGGGGAGTGGTAACAAAGACATGCTCGGACTGCCGCGATTAGCACCCATCAGAACTCGTGATGTAGGGTTAAATCACAATGACGGACAACCAGCCGCAGGCGGTTGTGCGTGTAAGTTGTATGTGTATTTTGAAAGATCACAAGTAGGCAGTATTGGAGGACTTTGAACCCATCCAGGTTCAAGTATATAAGCGAAACGGTTCTTAGTCTTCCGGCCACGCTTGAACTCTCGCAGCACAGCGCTTTGGTGAATCTCATCGCCTGAGCCAGAATATCTCATCGTACAACAACATCCATTACGGCAACCCCTCTGCTCAGTGCTCAAAATGCTCGACAAAATGTGGACACCACCATCCCCGAGGTAGGCAAGGTGTCATTTCAATGTCGTCTACACCCAACTTGTAACTAGGACAATGACTCCTAATTAGTTCGTCATTACAAACCATTACAAACCATGCATAATCAAAGCTTAGCCATTTCTACTGGAACAGTTTAGCTCTCAGCGTTTAACTTTACTCAGCCGCGGTAGCATTGCCAACCGTCAACCTCGGATTCGACAACAGTTTTCGACTGCGAACAGAGAGATTTCCCCCGCCTGATAGTTGTCCAAGTCCCACTCGACAGCCCGTCCGTTCTTGCTCCATATTCCTCTATTTCCCATTTTAGCTGACTTACCTAGCTGTGGAGGCGGACAAATCTCATGTTTTATTTTGACCAACATCCTAATCTATCCCTCGGGCGTCTTATGCGGGAAAGGGCCTCAAATCGGCTTAACGGCACTTCCAATGCTAGCTGATTACTTTTATCCGTTTGAAATCGACGATGCTTCAATGCCACCTCAGTGTCGCCGAGTAACACGGCGTCAAGTAAATTAGGGGTAGGGCTGACAAAACAAAACCCCGTATCAGAGGGCAACATTCTGACAAATGCCACGCACGCACCGCCGACACGGACTTCGGCAAGGCACACACACAATCCAGTCCAGCCGGCGGAGTGCGGCAATTGTTTCCTGGGGGTAGAGGGGGCGGAGCGCGGAAAGAATATTCCCCCGGGCCGAGATTAGTCGTGTGCCGTCGGGGCAGAGATGGGCCGGGCCCGCATCTAAGTTCTCAGCTACCCGGGTGCAACCCAGTAAAGCGCCCGCCGCTAGCTAACGAGAGCCACTCGAAAAGTTCCCACAACTTTTTTTTCCCTTTCTCGATCGGCACCCGCCAGTCCCGGCTTCAGCCATCGATCCGTTTTTTCTCGGCTAGATTCACGGGCTCGATGCCCCTTTCTTGACCGATAGATTGACTACGCCCCCTTTTAAGCGATTCGGGCGAGGTTTGCTCTCTATCAACTAGACGCAAGCAGTCGGCTGCGCTTTTGGATAGCGTAGAACCACGGGGGCTTATTCTTGTCCGCAGAGACAAGTAACTACACACGTACTGTACATACTATGGCGTCAATGATCTACATACAGACGGGGTGCACCCACGACACGCATGAACGGGCGAGCGGGGGAGCCTCGGCCCTACGAGTAAGGTCGACTGTCCCTCCTCACTGCCAGGCACCTACATTAGTAATGCTGTCGTCCATGGTTGTTCTCTGCGCGTCTAGCGCTGGCGCCAGGCAGGAAAAAAAAACTCGGAAAAGAGGAAGGAGGAAAGAGGAAAGAGGAAAGAGGAGACGAGGCGGATAGATAGAAAAGCTGAAACCCGGTTTTGGTGTTGCAGCTTGGCAGGCTGCAGTCCAGTCCATTCCCATCCATATAAAGGCAAGCGAGCAGAACATACATCGCCGGATCCGTCTTTATTAAATAGAAGAACCCCAAATCTACGCCGCCGGGATCTTCCTTCGTTTTATCCAAGTTTAGAATATCTGAGACATATGATATCATTTGGAACTCCTCGGGCAACATCGTGATAAGATACTATCCCACACTGCTACGGATACTACGCCAGTTATCTGCCACACGCAGCTATTCGCATACCTACCTACCACAGGTTAACACACACACACACACACCATAAAACACTATGTCATCTGCAACACCAACAGGAGACATGGAATCCGCCAAGCCCATCACGCTGAAATGCGGACTCACGCTTCCCAACCGCACAGTCAAGGCCGCCATGGTCGAGAATCTGGCGCGCGCGCCGCACTTCCTCCCCAACGAGCAGCTGCTGTCCCTGTACCGGCTGTGGGCGGACGGCGGCTGGGGGATGATCATGACAGGTACGTTGCATTGCACAAGTAGGACTACACGTGGATGCTCGGCGACTAACGAACCCTCTGCCCAGGCAACGTGCAAGTCGACACGATGCACTCTGGTGGGCCGGGCGACGTGGGCGTGGACGCGGGGCTCTCCGACGCGGAGCTAGTGGCAGCCTTCGGGGCGTGGGCGCAGTCGTGCGGCACGTCGGCGGCGTCGGTGGTGCAGCTCAGCCACCCGGGGCGGCAGTCGCCGGCAGGGGCGGGCAAGCGCGGGCTGTTCGCTAAGACGGTGGCGCCGTCGGCGGTGCCGCTGCGGCTCGGGACGGGCATCGTGGCGCGCGTGGGCGGGGCCATCGTGTTCGGGACGCCGCGGGCCATGACGCTCGACGACATCGCGGCCGTGGTGGCGCAGTTCGCCCGCGGCGCGCGCATCTGCGCCGAGGCCGGCTTTGCCGGCGTAGAGATCCACGGCGCACACGGTTATTTGCTCGCGCAGTTTCTTTCCGAGTCGGCGAACCGCCGCACCGACGCGTACGGCGGCAGCCCCGAGGCGAGGGCCAAGTTTGTTGTTGATATTGTGCGCGCCGTGCGCGAGGCCACGGCTTTCCGCAAGGGATTTTGTGTCGGAATTAAGTTGAACAGCGTCGACCACCAGTCCGCGGCCGCCCTGAGCGACTGCGTCAAGCAGCTGCGCCTCATCGAGCAAGCCGGCGTCGACTTTATCGAGATTAGCGGCGGCACATATGAGGATCCTCAGGTGTGTTGATACCCACAGTTGGACTTCGTCATGCGAGGGGCACCAGGGGAGCATGCCTAGTCTGACACGATACTAACCTGCGCTCCATCTCCCTAGATGATCCTCGGACGGCAGCCGACGGAGAAGAAGTCGGCGCGGACAGTCGCGCGCGAGGCCTTCTTCCTCGAGTTCGCGCGCGCCATCCGGTCCGAGTTCCCCGATACGCCGCTGATGGTCACGGGCGGGTTCCGGACGCGCACGGGGGTCGAAGCAGCAGTGGCGAGCGGCGACTGCGAGCTGGTCGGTATTGCCCGGCCGGCCGTCATGAACCCGGCGCTCCCCAGCAACACGCTGTTCAACCCCGAAGTCAGCGACGCCGACGCCACGCTTTTTTCGAAGAAGATCGAGCCGCCATGGCTCGCCAAGAAGCTTGGGATCATGGGCATTGGCGCCGGTTTCGAGACGGTACGTCAGCAGCCACAAAAAAGCCCCCCCTCCCCCGCACACAGATATCCTTACCCGTTTGCCTCTGATGTGCTCAAGTCTCGCTGACATGCTTGTCGGTAGATATGGTATAATGGCGAAATGAAGAGACTGGTAACAGCAAAGAAGTAACCAAATCACCGGGGGGAGGGAGGAAGCATGCGTGTACCTAAGCAGTTTGCAACGGCATCTCCTTAATCTAATGTAGTTATAGATCAACCTCAACCGCAATGATGTTTTTGGACTGGAATCCCGTGACAAACAACATGGCCTTTCGTGGCCCCTGGGCACCGCCATCACCATCGCCAGCACGGGCCGAGCCATGGGTCGCCGGGTCGATCGCCACGAGCACGGCAGCGCTCGCCGTGCGGATCCTGCTCCCGTTGTCGGCAAACAGGACACGTTGCTCCCCGCGCGTCCGTGAACCGGTGCCAGATGCCGCAGTCAGACTAGGCTTGACATAGACAACCTTGACGGGGTCCTTGGCCGTCCGCTCGCGCTGGTTCAGGGTCATCTCCATGGGCCGTGCGACGCCGGCAGTCACGAAACCGCTGCGGTCGTCGGCCAGGCCGCTGGAAAACGGGTCGGAAAAGTAGCTAGGGTTGTCAGAGATGGCATCGACTTCGATTGACTCGACTATGGTAACGTTGCTATCGTGGCCGCTCACTGCATCAGGCGAGACCTGGCCAATGTGAAGCACCCCGCTAGAGCAGCTCGTGATGAGGATTTCTCGCGGCGAGCGTCCATGGCCCAGCCCGTTGCTGTTGTGGATGTTGGAGACGGCAACTGTGGCGTGCACACCGGCCGTTGCGTCATCGCCGGGGGCGGCCAGAGAGTTGAGCTGAACATGGACGACGTCTGTCCATTTGGCACGAGCGTAAAGATCCTCGATGGCACGCATCAGTCCGTGGTCAACATAGCGGTGATCGTTTGTCATGAAGAAAGAGGTGGCACTGCTGGCGAAAATGTCGTTGGGGGTCCGGATGAGAGGATGCCAGACAGAGCGAACATGTCTGACGGTCGAGGACCCGAGAACATGGTGGAAAATCTCAATCTGCGAGCGAGCGTGCGGTGTCTGGCCGGCCTTGCGGCAGTCTGGGGCAGGGACATGGTTGACGGCAAACACGTAGACAGCTACAGTACCGTCTAGCTGATCCGTGTCAGATATCACGTCGATGCCGTGAGTGATGAAAGGGCCGTCGAAGTTCTCAAACCTGAGGCGCCGAGACCGCAAGGTCTAGGGAAGTTAGCTCAAGGGGCCTCATTGGGATGAAATGGGTTCCCGCGCTCACCTTGGGGTTAATGACGTGAATGGAACCCCGGCTCCTCTGGGCCAGCTCGGGGTCGTCAAAGTTTGTGAGAGGGGGAAACCACTTGTGCCGTGTCTCGTCGTTGTCTTCACATGCGGTAAAGAGAGTACTGCTTGGGGCGTGGTAGTGGATGTCTTCGCAGTATGCCGTGTCGGCGATGGCGGTGAGCGTGGCCGCAACGAAGAGGCTATCGTTTTCCGAACCCGGACTCGACAGGAACCCCCAGAGCATCAAGGTGCGGTAGGCCAACGGCCCGGCCAGGTAGCAGACATAGCCAGCCAAAACACCAGCCAGCGACAGCTTGAGCGACGTGTTTACCATGATGCACAGGGCGATGCAGTCTTGTATTCCAGCACAAACTTGGAGGGAATGTGGTCCCGACAGCTAAGGGAGCTCCATCTCTGCTAGGTATTTAGACCCAAGTCTAAGTCGCCTCCGCTCGACTTGAGACTCGAGGGGGCCTCGGTCCTGCGCGTAACCCCTCCCCTCACTTGCTGCCGGTCGTGCGGGGGAGCATTCCAGCGAGACGAGAGAGACAGTTGGTCCTAATATCTTGGGACATTGCGTCATCAACCAACTAGGTCTAGGACAAAGGAGAGGGGGAAGGACGTGCCAGGCCGCCATGGTGTAGATGTCAAATTAGAGTTCTGATGGCGTACGGATGGAATACGGACTTTATACCACAGCACCAACCGGGCAGTTGATCAAGGGGCTGCGGTTGCGGCCCGCTTCCTTGCAGACTTTCGCAAGGAATGTGTGTGCATCGCACAAGGACGAATTCCACGTACAGACGCAGTCCTCAGTTCGTCAACAATAAATGCTTTGACATTGTTTATTTCTGGAGGGACGGGACGGCAATTTGGGGGACCCTGACGCGGCACGGCCTAGTTACTGCTTATAGCAACGCGATACGCTGCAAGACGCCTCCCTTACTGATGGCCAGGCTTGTCTTTCCCGGACGCTTTCACCGCCCCCCCCCCCCCCCCCCCCCCCCTAACAACCCACCCCACCCCACCCCACCCTACCCCTCCCCAGTTCACCCGCAGCACCCGCAGCACTGAGCAAACAGCCTACACCACTCCCTATTCTCGACCGCCATCAAGGACAAAGGTGCGGATGGAACGGATTGCTCAAAGCTTTCTCCATAGTCGTCAGCTGATTATGTTTACCGTGACTTTGGCCCAAGCATGTGCACTGCATGCCTAAATGCCATATTTACCTTCTCGGGATCAGCATTCGAACAGCTGTCTCCTCGAACTTGGGGCAGTGGGGCTCTTGGTGTCCGCCCGACGGTCCCGCAACACTGTCCCCACCACGAACCAGGACTCAAGGTAGCTTATCTCCTCGATCGGTTTGGCCTCACTCCCAAACTAGCCAGGGATGATACTCAAAATCGGTCTCACCGAAAGGAGAATATTATCACGGATGGTAGCCAATTACCGTTTTCTCGGATCTGGAGCCAACGAGAAGGGTTCGCCAATGCTCCCCAATGTCCTAGGCTTATTTCCTCTCCATAGGCTCGCATTCGTTCCCACAAGTCAATTCGCCTAGCTTAGAAATATTTAGCTGCCAGTCTAGGGCTCACGCAACCTGTGCATCATGCGGAGCTAGGGCACAACAACAAACATGCATTCTTTCGTGTAGTGTGCACCCTCCCCACCAAGCATTTGTAGGTAGGTGCCTTAGCTTCTCAATAACTGGACTTGACCCTTTTCCGGCCCAATTGACGAGCTTGGCCTTGAAAATGCTTCAAACTACGGATTAGTCCCGTCTGCCTGCCCGGGTTGTGTGCACAGGGCACTTCACTTTCTGAATGCAATGTGGGGGTCCACATCCTGGAGCTTACTAGCGTTGCCGGCTGGCAAGCAGCCTGCCTGGTGAGCCTGGTTGGCTTTGGACCCCTTTCCTAAACGGGATAGCCTCCCAGCCTTACGCAGACAGGGCAGCCAGCGTTCCATCAAAACCCAATGTTGCCAGCACACGAGTGGCTTGACGGCGCCGAATGGTCGCATAATTCCACCCCGGCACCGCTTTGTATTGGCCTGGGCCTTACCGAAGTCGACGGTGCCGAAGCTGCTTATTTGTTCCATGACTTTGTGGCCCCCGCCCACAGCCCTGGAATTTCTGGAATCAGTGGTGCCAAGAGCGTCCCGCGCCAGCGGCTGGAGCTGAACATGCCCGCCATCCCTGCCCCTGGACCGATCCAAGCTTATTAGAAGGATTGCCAGCTCAGACATGTGTGCAGTGCAGTGCAGTGCGGTGCAGTCGGTGCAGTGCGTGCAGATTGCGCGTCATTGGCTTCCAAGACCTCAAGCACCATGGTGTTTAAGTATTGCCCTGGGTCCCGCCGCTGGGCTGGGTCGGGTCGGTGGAGAGCCTCTCATCAGAGTCTCTCTCGACTGTTGCAGGTTGCTCGCCTTCACGTCAGGCTTAGACTAGGTCTTTACGTTAGCAAAACTCACCTGAACTCACCTGGACTCACCTGGACTCACCTGAACTCGCCTGGACTCACCTGAACTCGCCTCCCTGCTTCACCATGCCTAGCTTCCTTGCCTCCCTATTGCCCGCCTGGGCAGTCAACTTGTTGCAGAAATATGAGCGAAAATCCTTGGATCCTAGTCTGCCAATCCCTCCTCCAGATGTGGCCGCGTCCCTCCCACGCCCAAATGACATTCTCAAGCATCCGTCCAAGAAAGAGTACTTTGCAAAGGTAGCTCCAGGAGGCGTCGACCAAGCTCCCCTCCCGTCTTTCGACCCAGGAGTCTTCGACAATGAGTTGCTCAAACTCAAGCTCTACGCTACCGTCGATCCCAAGAACCCCTCGCTTGTGAATGAGCCCGAGGGAAATATCAGAGAGGGGTCATATATGGGCACCCAGGTTGCCCTGACCCAGGCCTATTCTCGAATCGAGCAGACGTGAGTTCCCCCGAGACTTTGGTATGACCAGAGAGGCCATCAAAGACTGCCCGTGACATTGTTGCCTTGGGCCGCCCCGGCGGTGGCTTGGACTTGGCTGTACTTGCCCTTGAAATGGGCCGCGAGCGTCCGCTTACACGTAAGGACAGTTTTGCGTCACTGTTCGATGTCCTGGGAATCGAGTCAACTCTGCCTCGCTACATCAGTCTAGAGGAGCAGAAGAAGATGTACCGGTTCACGGCTTATCCTACCAATGCCGACGGAACATTTGCAGACTACCCGCCACATCTTGAGCATATACCCGCAGACCAGAACTTCAACCAGTTCGACATCTTCGACAAGATTGGCGTAGTCCAGACCCAAATCATCGTTACGAAACTCATCCCCGATGAGGATGGCTTTCTGGGGCGCACCAAACAGTGGCTTCTCGAAAAGGCCCGTGCCGCTGCCTTTGGGGGCGAGCCGGAAAAGGGGCTCAAGATCCAGGACGTTGTCGACTACAACAAGTTCCACCGAAAGTTTGGCACCGACATCTCGGGGGGCGGCAACATAGGATTGCTCGACGACTGGTTCAGCGACCGACGCTACGCAGACCAGCAGTTCACCGGCACCAACCCGACCACCATCACCAAGGCTTCCCCAGGGTGGATCGCCGACTTCTCAAAGGCGGCCAAGGCCGGCGGCTACCAGAAATGGGTCGACGCGCTCGCAAAGGCGGACCCGGCGTCGTTCTTCGTTCAGGACGGCAGCTACCTCCGCAGGGCCGCCGGCGTGTCGGATCCGGCAGCCGTGCTGCACAGCAAGCAACCCTCGAGCGACGACAACTGGGCCGTGGGCGCTGTCAGCCTGTTCCAGCTCTACGACGATGGGAAGCTCCACCCAGTTGCGATCTGCATCGACCACAAGGGCAGTATCGACAAGTCGGTCACCGTGTTCAACTCGCGCATGAAGCCAACCGACCCGACCAGCGGCGAGAAGGACGACTGGCCCTGGAGGTACGCCAAGACAGCCGCACAGGTGACAGACTGGCTGCGGCACGAGCTGGTGGTGCACTTGACGCTGTCGCACTTTGTCGAGGAGGCCGTCATCGTGGCGACGAACCGCAGCATCCCCATGGACCACCCCGTGTACCGGCTGCTCTCGCCGCACTGGTACAAAACGCTGTCGCTCAATGCGGCGGCTCGCGCCAGCCTTGTGCCGCAGGTCATTGTCGACATCGTGGGCCTCAGCCCGGCGCAGGCGTACAGCTTCATACGCGAGGCCTACGACACGTACGACTTTGTGGGGAGCTACGTGCCAAACGACCTCAAGCGCCGGGGATTCCCCAACACCCTCGACGGCCTCGACCACCCGCGCTACCGCAACTACACATTCGCCAAGAACGTGCTGGCCCTGTGGGAAGTGCTCCGCGCCTACACCAAGTCGATGCTGCTCCTGTCGCACCCGACGGACAAGAGCGTGGCCGGTGACAAGTACCTCCAGGACTGGGCGAAAGAGGTGCAGACGTCGGCGTTCATGCCGTCCTTCCCTGACATCAAGACGGTCGACCAGCTCGTAGACGCCGTCACCATGTGCATCCACGTCGCGTCGCCGTTCCACTCGGCCGTCAACTACCTGCAGAACTTCTACCAGGTGTTCGTGGCCGCCAAGCCGCCGGCGCTGTGCCAGGCCCCGCCGACGAGCCTCGAGCAGCTCAAGGCGTTCAAGGAGTCGGACCTCGTGGCGGCGCTGCCCATCAACCGCCAGCGCCAGTGGATGCTGGCCGCCCAGCTGCCCTGGCTGCTCAGTTTCAAGGTCGACGACGAGCGCAGCCTGATGAACTACGCCGTGAGCCAGTGGAATGTGTACAAGTACAAGAAGGCGCCGGCCGACCAGAAGGTCAAGGAGGCCAGCGAGGCCCTCTACGTCGGCCTCCAGGGCCTGCGCAAGACTTTCTTCTTCAACAGCACGGGCATGGACAAGGGCAGCATCCCGTACATGGTGCTCGACCCGGGCTTCACGGCCGTTTCCATCTTGATCTGAGGGAGGATATGGGTGCGCCTTTTGGTCCAAGAGTTTGATGCCTTCGGACCGGTCAGGTTAGCGACGGTTTTTTTTTTTTTGCTTGTTATGACTATGGAGTTCAGCACGCATCTCTCTCTGGGCGGGATGGCTGCAAACAAAATAGGTATAGGATATCTACTGAAGTTCGGTAATGAGTCATGAATGTTTTTGTCTGAGTATACTCGATCCGTGCAAGTCTTGAACGCCCTGTGCGAGGTCAATATGATCAGGGGTGCAGGGGAGGGAGCACCTGCCGCCAGCTGGCTGTCAGCCGTGAGAGATGCTCACCGCCCCACAAACCGCCCCTCTGTTCGGCATCCCACCAAGGAAAAGCAACGGCAAATCCCCCTCGAAAAAGTAAGTTCACCGCTGGACAAAAAAAAAGAGGACATAAAAAAAGAGGACATAAAAAAAGAGGACATAAAAAAAGAGGACAAAAAAAAGAAGACCAAACGCCGCTGCCGCCCGCCAAAACCACCAATACACACTCAATATCCCGACCAGCAAACCCGCACCGCATATCCACACATATATACCTGCCCACCATGGTGTCCCGCAAGAACCCCAACCAGCCGTCCAAGAACCGGCTCGCGTCGCGCGCCGGCAAGGTGCGCAAGGAGAGCGCGCGCCGCGAGGCCACGGTCGGCCTCGACAAGGTCGCAAAGGCCGACACGCGCCACGGCGCCCGCCCGGGCCTGATGCCGACCAGCGGGCCGCGCAAGCCGCTCAGCGGCAAGAAGGCGAAGAAGGTGCAGCAGCGCCTGGCGCTGGCGCTGAAGCGCAAGCAAGAGGCCGAGGGCGAGGTTGAGATGAAGGGTGTGTTTTGTTTCCACTCTGGGGTTTTAATTGTGATTATTGGGGAGGAGACTGACCTTGTGCTGTTTAGATGCCCCGGCTGCTGGCAAGACGACGGCCAAGGACGCTGTGGTGCAGATGGAGATCTCATGAAGAAGCTTCTAGCGGGCAGGCTGAGCAGGGTTGCGTGCGCAGAATCTTGGGCCCGAACACTCGATCGGTACACGACGGCAAGATCTGCGACGACGACAACGACGACGACGACGACGCCGAGACGGGACCGGGGATCAACTACACTAGACAAAAGCCTTAATTCTGGCGGGTGGGCTGTACACATACATGCAGGCAGGACGGCGGTGGCGGGACTGGTGAGGGGACCAACTTGCCGCATGGGATAGACTACACCAGAGAAACCACCTGTCTCTGGCGGTGGCGGGACTGGCAAGGGGACCAACATGCCGCATGGGATAGACTACACCAGAGAAACAACCTGTCTCTGGTGGTGGGCTGTACATATGCATGCATGACGGCGGTGGCAGGACTGGCGAAGGGGCTAGTAGGCCACATTTTCCTTTTCTTTTTTTCGGCTTATTTTCAACACTGGAAGGCGGCTGCAATGATACCCAAGACATGAACAAACATGCACAAAAGTAGAGAGGCGTCGAGGAGGTAAGATTGCCAGGTATGGTTGCTGCTTGTGTGTGCTGTCCGCCGTGGCTAATTCTGTTTGTTTGAAGACGGAAAGATAATGCATCTTGCCAGGCAGGTAGGTAAGTATCGGATGACTGACTGTCTAAAGCGCCTATAATGTTCCGAACCTCTGGGTAGGACCTTGCTGGCAGTTAGATGCCTGTATACTTGATGGAGGAGTGTTGCTTTGAGCTTGTCCCTCTGATCAACAGTTGCGCTGGTATACAGCTGGCAGATACTAATGCTCGTGTCTGCTGGAAATATGTAACCCCATTTGCCTGGATACGGTTGTTCGTGAGCCAGCGTTTCCATATTTGCCTAGCGCCTCTGACCACCACGCCGCCGCCTGCTTGTGAAGTGCCACCACTTTGACGCCTTCTCACAAGTGAGTTCTTGTCACCCGGAGTACCTACAACAAACAAACATTCGGTGGACGTGTCTATTTACACGTTCCCGGAGAACTGCAGTCCGGCACTAGCTCTTCGAAGTAGCTGGATAGTTTCTTTTATCTCAATCATTCGCAAACACTCTCTGCTTCTGTAACAGAGTCTGCCCTGGAGGCATTTGTTAATCTTCTACAGCAAACTCGGAGCTAAAATGTCATGCATGCTATGGCTGTTCCTCAAGGATGTCTCAATGACAAGGTGATGACCTCAATGTTTTCCCTATCAAAAAATAGAAACAAACTGGCCAGGTCACTAGGGTTTAGATAATAAATAATACCTAATGTGCTGCTGATATTTGTTTGGGGTGGTGCATTGCCCAGGGGCTAAGAGGTATTAGGTTGCTGACATGAAGACTTGATGTTTCCAAGTGATTATGATAGTTCACAAGCAAGTACCAAGTTCGACACCTGAAAAGCTGTGCCCCAGACAACATAATGACAGCCAAGTCCCTGCTTAACCACTTCCCCGCTGGGTAATTGGTTACAGCAACCGTTGTTGTCAATCGAATGACGTGTGGTGGGCCAACAACAAATGTCCGATGGACGATCAGGGGAATGCGTGGCGAGCCAAGGTGTTGGTTGACCCGAACTCAGCGGGCACAACATCACCCAACAGGCTCCGAAGGCGGCACACAAAACAAGGCTCCGGGCGGGCGGCCTAGCTGACAGAGAAAAAACACCCGCACGTCATTTCTTGAATTTTTATACGCGTGCCAGGAATCGAGTTGCCCTTTGACTTTCAATATGGTTCGTTACGGACCGAAAGCCAGGATTTGTAGCGCATTGTTATAGAACTGGGACTGGACGGGGCTCAGTGGTGCGTAGGGGCATCCGCGCCTCAATCTAGCTTTGGTGCATAAACGGGAGAATTCGACTCCAATCTCTGCAAAACAGAAGAGCCCGCCCAAAGTGCTGATAAATAATAAAAACCTTGGAACTTGATTCTCGTCTGTCTGCTAGAACCAACTGCACGTCGGCGGCACTATCGTGGCTGTCAAACCTCACCGTAAATGGGCATAAATGGGCACGTCAAACCCCGCCGGTCGAAAAAAAAGGTTCCCAGGCCTCAACTCAGGACCCCATCTCGCCGTTGACGGGTGGGGTGTGGTCATCGCCAAGCCCGTGGCAACCCGCAACGCTCGAACCAACCGACAGCACCAAGACACTCCAATAAGGCTTATTTAGTAGCCAAGTAACGTTCAAGGTGTTAAAAAAACTTTAGACATATTTAATCCCAAGGTACCTTGTACATAGTAAATCCCAGTGTTAAAGCCGTATACGACGACACGTAGTTGCAGACGAGAAGGGGCTGTTCACCGTGTCTGGTTACCATCTCGAAATTCGGAATGGCCGGCAACCGTTCCGCTCCGGTGATTGGCCCGTGATTTCACCCACTGCGTCGAGTCAGTCGGCCGGAATACGAGACCTGGGCCCCTCCCATATCCATCTTGAACCGTGGAAGAAGAACAAGTACGCAACCGCAATAAATGCAAGTGGCAGGAGCACCCGTAAATCCGTCTTTACGACCAAGTAGTTTACGCATCCCAACGTGTCCGCTTGTTGATCGGTCCATCATCTTGAAACAGGAATGGAGTTTGCCCCTATTTTGAAGGAAACATGAGCACCGACCGTGCTGTATCAGAAAATCGGACGCGAGGTACCTGGCCTGTGCCTGGCTGGAGTTTCTGCCCTAACAGCATCTGCCGGCCAAGCATGCGCTTCTTGGTAAAAGCTTAACTGAATGACCCTTGCCCAAGTGGGGCGACAGTTTGGCCACCTGCCCAACACAGTACGGGGACTGGGCGCCCAGGCGAGATGACGATGGCACTCTGGCGCTCCCGCAGCGGATTGGCTACCCCACCGGACCGCAGAATCATCTCAAACCCCGGTTGGCCCGGTACGTACCTGGCAGCTAAGCCCCAATTAGATGTGGCCCCAGGGGTTGGCAGAGCGCGTGTGCGACAGCTAACGGAGGCTTGGCACCTCCGCCCCTTCCAGCTTTTTCCGTGTAGCTATCCCTCCCAGGCCTGCCCTCCCCCAAAACCATCTTGCTTCTTGCAACTTTCACCACTTCTTTCCCTCGTTGTAATCATTTGCGGAGGGCTTGTTCTGTGCGACCTTTTCTTGTCCTCGAACACTTCTACCATTCTTACTCTCGTTTGACAAGATACCAACTTTTTTTTCGACCTTTGGCCGTCTGTCGTTTCGCCATCACATCAATCAACATCGCCTCCCACTGTCACTCCGCGACAGCAACACCAAACATACCAGGGAAAAGGATATTCTCGACTGGTCTGCAATTCGTCTAATCGAGATTTTATTTCGGTCGTTCCGAGAGTTTCAAGATAAGGAAATCCGCCGCATCCGAGTGAACAGCCCCCTCGAGCAGTCGTCAACGCGCTCCTCGAGTGTTTTGAGCCTCTGCGACTTGACCAACCCCCCCCCCCCCCCATCAGCTCGGCTTAGAGGAGGCTAAAAGCCACCGGAGACCGGCAAGATGCGTTACTCAAACATGTGGCTCGCTTCGTCCCTCTTGTTGGGACAGGCGTCGGCAACTCTGGACCCAATCATCATGAAGGTGGGCATCTCGAAGACAGCCAAATATCGTGACGACGGGCGCGGCCGGGCTCGGCGACCGCTCAGTGACTCTGCCTTGGACAGCTACTGACGCTCTAAATATGCAGGGTACCAAGTTTTTCTACAAGAACGGGACACAATTCTTCATGAAGGGTATCGCCTACCAGCAAGACACCGCTGCGGCGGGTGCTACGGCGACCAACACCAAGTTCGTCGACCCTCTGGCCAACGAGGCCAACTGCAAGCGTGACATCCCATTCCTCCAGAAGCTGAAGACGAATACTATCCGCACGTACGCGATTGACCCCACGGCAAATCACGACGCCTGCATGGAGCTCCTGGACGCGGCGGGCATTTACGTCATCAGCGATCTGAGCGAGCCGTCGCTTTCCATCAACCGCGACGACCCCCGCTGGAACGTGGAGCTCTACCAGCGCTACACCTCAGTCGTTGACTCGCTGAGCAAGTATAGCAACGTGATTGGCTTCTTTGCTGGCAACGAGGTCACCAACAACGCTACCAACACGGATGCTTCGGCCTTCGTCAAGGCTGCCGTGCGCGACACCAAGGCGTACATCAAGAACAATGTCAACCGATGGATGGGTGTCGGATATGCTGCCAACGACGACCCTGACATCCGTGCCGAAATCGCGTGGTACTTCAACTGCGGTAATCAGACCGAGGCCATCGACTATTGGGGTTACAACATCTACGAGTGGTGCGGCCAGAACACGTTCACGGGCTCCGGCTACTCGAAGCAGGTTGAATTCTTCAGCAACTACTCTGTCCCCGTCTTCTTCGCCGAGTACGGCTGCAACGATCTTCCCAACAAGGCCGAGAGCCGCATCTGGGAGGAGACCTCTGCTCTGTACTCTAGCGACATGACCGGCGTTATCTCCGGCGGCATTGTCTACATGTACTTTCAGGAGACCAACAACTTTGGCAAGTCTATCTAACCGTGTATATGCGACGTTCACGGGCTAACTATCAACAGGTCTCGTCAGCGTGTCCGGCAGCTCTGCGTCGGCCCTGAAGAACTACGCGACCCTGAGCTCCGTGATTGCCACTGTCAGCCCGTCATCCACCGCCATGAGCGCCTACAACCCTACCAACACGCCGCAAGCCTGCCCGGTAATCAGCAACGACTGGAGGGTCAAGGGTGGCGTCTTGCCCCCGACGCCCGATTCCAATCTCTGCGACTGCATGTTCCAGACTCTTGCGTGCGTTCCCGCGAGCAATCTGAAGGCCGAGTCCTACGGCGACATCTTTGGCTTCATCTGCGGCGCCGACCCCAAGGCATGCGCGGGCATCAACTCCAACACGACGACGGGTGTCTTCGGCGCATACTCGATGTGCAATTCCACCCAGCAGCTTGGCTATGTGCTTGACCAGTACTACAATGACCAGAAGAAGGCCTCTGACGCCTGCTCCTTCCAGGGCCAGGCCGTCCTTAACAAGGCAGCCATCACCCAGGGAGCCTGCAGTGCCAGCCTCGCCAGCGCCAGCTCAGCTAACGCCGTTGCGGCCACGGCCACGTCCGGAAATGGAGTTGGTGGTGGTGCTGCCTCGACCTCGACTAGCAGCGTTGCCGTGCCCATGCCGATGAAGAACCTCTTCACCTTGGGCGACATGGCTGTTGGTCTGTACGTGATTGTCGCCATGACTGTTGGCGCGGGCATGGTTATGTTGTAAATGGTGGAATTGGGGCCTTTTTCCTATCTTATCTACATACAAACACTTTTTGGTCTTTGTTTCCGGGCATTTGCCCACAGGTCAGACAGGCTAGCTTTTCAGGCTCTCTTTGCGTAGTTTATTCCGAGGGGCAATCTTCTTGTATCATACGATATGTCTTGTCGCCTGATTGGGAGACTGATGACTTTGAGAAATCCTGGAAAAGGGGCGCTGCGTTCCTGCGCCATGTTTTTTAAGTACTGAAAACTAATCGATCATCTTCTTTTTTGACCTTTTTGGAATCATATATACAGTAAAAACGTTGTCCAACATCTTACTTTCAATGTGCCGCACGGAAGTTGTTCATTAAAGGTTTGTTGTTCCCTCAACCGGGCATCTTAACTTTTCACCCCGACTCTCCTGTTCCTTGTTCACTTATATACGCCACTCTTCCGCTTCTTATTCCGTTCAACCCGGCCCTCGTTCCCAATGTACTCGACAAAGCATCACGTCGCGTATTGGGCAATCTGCGCCAGCGCGGCAGCCACATATTGTTGGATTCAGCACCTCAACTTTCTTCCTTTTCTCTCCTCCTTGTTCTTTTTGGTCCTGCCAGAGGGCCTCTATTATAGTTGTAAATGGTGGCAATGGTGGTGGCAAAAGCAGCCACACCAGCTGAACTAGCCACTTCATTTCAGCTCCCCTGAGCCTCTTTTCACCTCGGATGACCACACCAGAGCTCAGCTGGGATGAGCTCTATTCCACATGCAACCCTTGTCCATCTGACAATAGCCAATCCAACACATATCACGCGCTGGCGTTGAGGCTTCTCGATGGCTTCTTCCGTACGCTCCTCATCCCGTCCGCCGCGTACATGCTCAGCACCCTCTGGAGAACCCCCCAGCCCCAACCGCAAACTCGCGCGTACGCGCTTGCCATCTGGTGTCTTCTCGTGTCCCTGGGGGAAGCTGTCGGGTATATCCATCTTGAAGGCGTCGACGCAGCGCCCATTCGGGGCGCCTGCATGCTTTCTTGGCGTCCTCTGTGCTTGTATTTGTCGAGCCGATCAGGCTGAATGTAGGCTGGCACTTTGGTGTTTCGGGTTTAGGATTGTGGTTTTTGCTCACAATGATTACTGGTTGCGGCGACAGGACATCAGCCCCGTTTTCCATGTCACCAACATCGTCGCTGTCTCCCCAATGGTGGCGATAGGTGGGACTATGTTCAGTTGGCTCTCGACCTTTCTCTTCATTTATGCCCAGTTGGCCTTGGTCGCAGTGTTCCTCGCGTTGTCTACGTGGTCGACTGCGGCCTCGCCCACCTCTACGGGCCGAGCATCTCGTTCACGTCCATCTTTACCAGCCAGCTCAGAGTTTTGAAGAGCCACTTTAGCAGCTCGGTTTTTCTCGCCACGGCTGTGTCAGTGTGTCAGGTTGTCAAAGGGGCGTAACATGCAAAGCGCTATAGCTTTACGAGATCCCAGTATTGGCTTGGGTGAGAGTATTGTGGTTAGTATAAGGCCGCTTTCTTTATCATTTAGCCGTCCATAAGAAATAACGAGGCGTCCTCTTGAAATTAAATGGCATCGGTGGAAATAACTGACGCTTTTTTATTAAACACGCCATTAAACAAGGGTGCTTGGACTCGAAATAGAAAGGCATTGAAAATGTCTAGGGCCTAGCGGCATTACCAGAAACACGTTACGAGATAGTTAAGAACGTATAGTCTTGAAACCAAAAGGGATTGGGCATTGGTTTGGCCGGTGGCCGCTTCGGCCATTTTATCGCACTTCTAAAACATAAATCAACTCTCTCTCTTTCTAGAACATGAAGAAAGTGAGCAATGCTTACGATTTTCTCGGCGAGAAGAGCCTATAGACGAGAGAGAGAAAAAGTAGTCAGCCAAGTCATACTTTGTGTAACAGTAGGTAGATCACCTACATTAAGCTCGGCGTACTTGGCCTTATAAAACACCTGAATTAGCAACGTGGGAGGTTAGTTAGCCTGGTTGTGTAGGCGTGCACATCCCTGACGCTTTGAACCTCCTGTACAAATGTTGTGTAGGCGTACGTACATCCATGACGCTTTGAAGCTCCTGTACGAATGTTAGGATTGCGAATTTAGTACTTAAACAGGTGGGCAGGTAAGTACTTGCATTGAGCTCCGCGACGAGGATCTAGAACAAGTCAGCAAGTGTCTACCGACTCCAGACCGCAGGCGGCGCAGGGCAAGATTACCTCGGCTTTGGCCCCGATGGCCCGCGACTTTGCCTCCCAGAACTAAACACACAGACATGTCAACTCGAAACCGATGTGCGTCCACGGCTGAACAGAGAGTGCGGTTCGAGGTAGTCGTATAAAGATCGAGCAGTTGTGGTTTATACTAACTTGGCGAGGGTCTGGCTAGAAAGAGAAAAGGGGGTGTCAGCATCCGTGAAACAGCAAAGCTAAGAACAGAATGGAATGTGGAACAAAGATCGACATACCGGGAACTCGGGGGTGCGCGGCCGGCGGGCCTAGATTGATATGTCAGCTTCTTGGGCTCGTGCAAGTTGGAAAGGGTAGGGAGCCTTGCCGGCAATGGGCACGCGGCGACCTTGTGGCCGAAGCCACCGCAGCGGAAGTAAAATTCCGGCTCAAACTGCGCCCAGATAGTTGAGAGGTGGTGCGGAAAGCCGATCGTTGTCGTTGCGATTTTGAGTGTGGTGGGTGGAAGTGTATGCGTCATGGTGGGTGGCCCGAGAAATAAGGTACGATGATGGCATCACTGGCTCATTGCTATTAGGGGAGGCATAAAAAGAAATAGCCCAAGCGTTTCCATTTCCTTCAGAGCTTGGCGTTCCGTTTACCAACGCAACGCATACAGGGCTCCCGAGTCTGCCGCTGACGCTTCGATTTCAACCATGGAGCCCACGCGGCCTTTTGGGTACGAGAGAATGCACTACTACGATGGCGTCAGGGGGCAGTTGCCAGCAAGATCCCGATCTTTCCGCTATGAAAGCCGGGACCTCGGAGTTTCGGCGATTGGGCACGCCGCCTCTATGCCGCCGTTCGAGGGCTCAAAGCAGGGCATTTCACGGGACCGGGCGGTAGTCCGACTCGACCTCTCGACGTGCCCTGATCTTGTTGTCAACAAAGGTTTTCACTGGTAACCTCGCCACTCTGTGAGCCCCCGAGTTCCCAGCTTTCCCATGTGCGTCGTTCCAGATTGGGAAGTTTGGGCACACAATGTAAATGGCCTTTGGGATGATAAAATGATATCAAGGCCACCGTTTGTCAGTCTCGTGGCGTTGACAACGAGGACAGAAACTTCATGGAAATCTTCACAGCTCCAGGATTCATGGATAGGCGTTCTAAAATATACTGCATCCCTCGCAGAGAAATCTTCATACCTAAGTAGGTAGGGAGGGACGTATTTATAAGAGAGAAATGGGGCTTTAGGTTTCTATATTAGGCGTCCTGCTAGATATCGCCCCCCTTGAACAGAAACCTTTGGGTCGAGGCGCAAGGTACCAAGGACTTTATGCATTGCAAAAACGTAGGCAGTATATTATTGACATCACATCGTATCAACAAATCCAAGAGTGTTTAGTCAGACAAGGTAGGGCATAACAAGACAAGCAAGGCAATCAAAGAGAAGCAAGCAAGGCGTGGAGCAAAAGATGATATGCACTCGCGAGGGTCGGTCAGCCCTAGAGACTTCCATCCTCCGACGTGGGAATCCAACCTCCAAAAACCTCCCTGTGGAAGGAAAGGAAGGTTGGGAAAAACCACGCCAATATCATCCACCGCAATAAGTATAACCCATCCAGGGCATAACTACACAACCACGGCTTCCGTGCTCCAACTCTAAAGAAAGGCGCAACGGGTCATGCAACCTTCTATGAAGGGCACACAGCCTTGCCATCCTTGGCTGCAACGGGTCATGCAGCCTTGGATCCCCCGCAAGGTGTGAAGGGTCACACAGCCTTGTAAGTCTCCGCAAATGTGTAAGTGGTCATACAGCCTTGCCATCCACAGACAGGTGCATCCTCAGACCAAGCCCCAATCCTGTCCCCATTCGACAAAATCAAAGATGTATTGAGTTGGTGTGACGAAGGAGAACTCGAAACTGCACCGGTAACCATAGAATCCGGGGGGTCTGGAGTCTTCAATACTCCGTCGACTGCCATTCTCAAGTCAAGGGGAGGTGGTAGGTATCAGCATCCCGAATAAATAATTCCAAAGCCCTAACTCGCTATTATATACGCCCTAACAATTACTTTCCATGCAAGGTTTATTTATAAGAATCCATATCGTACTAGACTAATTACCATAGGATTTCTACCGACAAGCCGTCTATGATCGCAAAGGTCAAGAGTTGGCCCAGTTCAACGAGCTGGTTGGCTATGCGCAATTATGTACGCAATCATCCGAATCGCCCAACATGCTTAGCCACGCAGGTTTCTTTTATGAGCCTAAACGCCTGGATCCACAGTTCCTTTTGTTCAGGATTTCTTTCCTCCTTTGGGTCCTCGTTGCTACAGTCAACATGCCCTCTTTTCCTTGGCAATCAGGTAGGCCTTTTTGCGTGGGGTATTATCTACCAATTATTACTCAAGTACCGCACCAGCCGTCATCAGGGCTAGGGATTGGACTGGCTAAAATAAGCTACCTGCCAAGTCAGGAAGGGGTCGCTGAACGGTGCCTCCGGCGGCCCTCCGGGGGCGCCTGCGGCAGGCTGCTCGCTGCGCTCGGTATTCCACGGCTTAAGGAATCCGAGGATTATCCGATTGACCAGTCCCTGTCTTCGATTTTGACGCGGACATAAACTGGCCAATCCCTATGCGAGAAACTTTCGGCACCCTCACGGTAAAGTAGAAGAGACAGCCTCTCTACGCCACCTCGGGCTCGCAAGCTCGCCTGCGGTGGCTCCGTTTAGGTGAATTATATGTAGGTAGTTTTAAACTGTTCGCATTATTCTGCACTGTTCGGTGGGTTTCTGTTTGGGGCTCGAATTCTCGCATTGCATGAAATATTACCTCTGCCATCTCTCAAATCGCACGAGGAAAGCAACTGTTGCACGAGGAAAGCAACTGGCCCGAGAATGCTACATGCCGGGAGGTGTGGGAGAACCGAAATGCAATTGGCTGGTCTTGGCAGGGGCTGCATCCTCTGTCCTCTGCTCGCTGTAATTACCTGACTGTTACGCGCGGGTGTGGCGCAGCTCGAGTGTCTTGGCATTCATACGTAAGCCTCATTAATCATGTGGACAGCTGGGCGCCTTCTTCCTCGGCTCTATCCATCGAGTCTGCGCAAAATCAATTCGTTGCCTCTGGCCTCAAGCGCCACCAGAAGGCGGCCACGCCCAGGCCGGGCTCGAAATGGCGATGCCGGGTCTAAGTCTGGGCGCACGTCGATCCGTGGCAACCGTCTACTTGCCCGTAATAGGCCTGCTCCTCTGCGCTCTTTCTCCCCTATCAGCCTCGCTGAGCCCCACCCTCGACGATGGCGGCACCCAATTCATCTTCTATAACGGGACCATGTCGGGCTCCTTTGTCAACAACACACCCGCTGCCTCCCAGCCAAACGTGACCGTCTGCGGTGATGGTGGCGTCTACTACTTCAGCGACTTGACCGACGCGGGCCTGCGCATAGGCGCCAACCCGCCGTGGGACACGAACCCCTTCTTCTTCCAGTTTGACCGCCACGGCAGCACGTCAATATCAAGGCCCCCGGTTGAAGACCGCATTGAGGCTTTTGTACGCCCGTTTGGAGGTCCGGGTAACATCTGCTCTAGCGCCGTCGAGTGCACTAGCGACGCCATCTACAACCTGTACCTCGCCACGACGTACTACCTGTGCTACAAGGACGGCCAGCCCTGCGGGAACTCTATATTCTCCTCTCGGGCCTACGTCACGAAGCCTATGCTAAACATTACCGCGGCTTCCGTCTCGCGCGTCGGCGGCGTGCCCATAGCGGAGGATGACCCCGGGCCTTTCTACGCCGTCCGGGGCGACGAGCGGACGGCGCTCTACAACGGGACTGGCGACTACAACGACTTCAGCTTCCAGCGGCCGCAGAACTACTCTGACTCCACGCAGGGTAAGGACTGCGCCGACGGCATACACTTCGTGAATTCCTGGTCCGTCCAGCTCGCTGACCTCGACCGCAGCCCTCGCTAACAGCATATCAGGTCCTCTAAGACGGCATTCACATACGCGCTCAATTTTACCAACACTACGGCCACGGCGGAGCTGACATTCGGCTCGACTCTCGGAAACGTGACCCTCCTGTTCAGCGGCAGGCGGCAGGACGGCGACAACCCTGGCCTGGAGCCGAGCAACGTTGTGTTCGAGTATTCGGCCATCGCCCTGGCCAACCCAGCAGACTATGAACTGCCCAAGTTCACGTTCGCAAACGGGTCCGACTTTACGTGGGTATCAGATAGCGAGGGGACGTACAGCGCGAGATCTATATCGGCTGCCCGAGGCTGGGGTCCGGACTGGAGAGTCCTCGGCACGGCTGCATTGGGCGGTCTCTGTTTTCTATATCTTAGCTGAAAGCTCATGCCCATATAAAGATTCACGGAAGTGTTAGAGTCAGCCAAGCTTGGTATGATAATGATGGGGATGGGGACACGATTAATATTTGTAGAGGCAGGATGAGGCGAAACAAGTAATGCCTTTAACTAGCCACTACAATCATCGTCTAGCCACAAACAAATCATTTCACCCATGCAGTTGGCTAGGTAATAACTGGCAACTAACAAATTGATATTTTGCTATCTAATTGTTCTAAAGAGCATCTAGAATGCCAATATGACTTGATTATCACGGGGGCTCAGGTCTCTCTTGAGATGTTGGTCATTAGAGCGCGCGATGCCAAAGCAAAGCGCGACCTCCTCAAGACTATATATATCATCATCACTATCCTCTGTAGGTACCTATAAAGAAAATAAAGAAAACACAGAAGTTAGCACCCAAACGTCACAGGCGGTTTCTATCTACATGGGCGGCAACAAAACACAGACCTGAGGGGCTTCCTCCTCTCAACAAGCCCCAATTGACCCTGCCAAACAATACGAATCTTTGCAACGAACTAGAGAACAAAGTGATTAGCATCCAAACATCAAGAGGCAATCTATCTAAGGGGGGCAATATGGCCAATTAAAACGAAACACAGACCTGGGCGGGGCCTGTTCTGCTCGGACATAGCCCCGGTAAACTCTTTCGAAGATTTGGAGTTGTCAACCCTGGAAAGGTAAGTGATCAGCATCAAAACTTCACTACGTAGTCTATCTAAAAGGGGGCAACATGGTCAATTGGAAATAGCACAGACTTCGCGGGGCTTCTTTTTACGAGGAAACCCCAAGACTCGAAGGGTGGCCCAGTCTCAACCAAGTTGAGATACAATCGCCAGAGCGAACCATTCTAGTAAAGCCAGGCAGGCTCGACATCTTCGAACCTACTCATCATTTCCCGGGCCGCTGCCGTACCTAAACGAGAAAAGTGATTAGTGTCCAAACATCAAAGGCTTTTCTATCTACATTGAGGGGGTAGGGGGGGGGGGGGGGGGGGGGGAGGGCAACATGGCCAATCAGAAACAACACAGACCTGGGCAGGGGCTTCTTTTTACGAGGAAGCCCCAAGACTTGGAGGGTGGCTCAGTTCTCTGAACCTATTCCTAGGCCGAGCGACAGTCGTCAGAGCGAACCACGCTGGTGAGGCAAGGTTTGACCTCTTCAGATCGTACTCATCATTGCCGCCGCATATTCCTTCGCACCTGCAGGAAAACAAAGTGATCAGCATCGACACGTCAAAAGGCTGGTCTATCTACAGGGCGGCAATGTGGTCAATGAAACGAAAACAGATTACCTGGGCGCGGGCGCGTCTTCCTCTGCGGAGTCCGGCCCCCGAAATCAAAGTAGCGAGTGGCCCAGTTGGTATCTCAAAGAGACATTGATCGCCAGAGCGAATCTTGCGAAGCAGCAGGCTGACCAGACTCCGCCTCCTCAGACGAAGATGTCATCATTGCCTCTTGGTGTCGCCTAATTACCTGCCTGGCTGGAGGAAGAGAAGTTAGCGCAGAGACGCCACGGGCTGGTCTATCTAAATGGGCGGCAATGTGGTCAATGAAACAGAAACAGTTACCTTGGCGGGGGGCCTTCTACTTCCGTGAAGCCCCCGAGATGTCATCACGGCCAAGGGAATTCAAACTTGGATAAAGAGAAAAGTTAGCATCTAGAAAATCACGGGCTTGTCTATCTAAAGGGCGGCAGTAGGGTCAATGAAACATCGACAGATTACCTTGGTGGGGGCCACGTCCAGCGTAGCCCCGAGAGACCCCTTAGAGAGTGGACAAGTTGGCTCAGACTTCTCTTCCCGGAGGTTGGGCTCTCAGCCGTCGGAGCGAGCGAGCCTTGACGGCGAGCTCGACCTCTTCAGACCAAGATGTCCTCACGGCCACCGGGATTCGAACCTGGACAAAGAAAAAAAGTTAGCTTGAGGAAAGTCACGGAGTGTCTATCTACTAGGCGGCACTATAGTCAATGAAAAATCAACAGATTACCTTGGCGGGGGTTTCCTCCGCCAGGCACAGCCCCAAGACCCAAACTCGCATGCATTTGCGGTTCAAATTTCCGTTGCGTTACGTGGTGTTGATCATTGTCTTTGGCGAGCGAAGCCGAGGCAGCAAGCTGCAGCTCGTGTCACTGGACATTTCAACCTGAGAGATCGGGGAACAAGCAATTAAAATCTGGACTTCAAGAGCTTTCCTATCTACAAGGGCGGCAATAGTAGTCAATCAAAACAACACAGACCTGGGCGGGGCAGCCGTGGCGGAGGCTGCCCCGAAGAAGACCGGGAGTGTCGGCGTCGGCTGGCGATTCGGTTTGGCGGTTCCGGCTCTCTTTGATGGCTCAGCAATCTCATGGAGATAGTCGAGCGAGCACTGCCTTGACGGCGAGAAGCTCGTCCTCTTGTTGACTTCAGACCAAGGTCTTCATCCACCAAGAGATTTCATCACTGCCAGGAGAAATTTCGACCGACCCTAGAGGTTTTGGCAATGTAATTAGCATTTACACTTCATGAGCTGGACTATCTACTAGGGCGACAAAATGGTCAAGCAAAACGACACAGACCTGGCGGGGCTTCCATGGCGATGCGATGGTTGCCCCGAGACTGAAAGATGGAATTGCCGATTTGTCGTTCAAGATCAAAAGGCTGGAGGCATGCCGTTGTGAGCAAAGCCAGGACGGCAATGCTCGACCTCAACACTGGAGATTCATCGCTACCATCGCATGTTCCAATGGTCCTAGACATGCGTTGGGAGGAAAGTGGTCAGCATCAAAATGTCAATGTTGCTTGTTTCTATCTAAAATTGAGGGGCAATATGATCAAGCAGAACAACACAGACCTGGGCGGGGCTCCGCCGACGATAGATGCCACGAGACTAGACTAGTACGAGATCGAGCGAGATAGATAGACCGACTAAAATGAGACCCAGTGACTCAGTCTGTGTATCAGAAGACTCGGAGCGCGCGAAGCCATTACAGCCAAGCTCGACCTCTTTGTCCCTGGCTTCTTAAGACTCATCATCGCTCTATGTTGGAGTGATTAGCATCTGGATAAACTTCTTTCTCAATGGCAGGGTTTGGGGGTTTGGGGCTACAGACCGCGTTTAGACTTGTGATCCCTCCTTTTTGCTGGCCGTCGTGTCTCGTGCCACCCGCACCGTGGTATCGAGGCAGCCCCTGCAAACCTGTGACCAGTACCCAAGCATCGACGGTGCACATAATAATATTGAGGGGGAGGGCAATCTGGTCAAAGAGAAACAACACTCACAGATAGGCGAGCTTCGTCTCTGCAGGAAGATACTGTTCGGACCGCCACGAAGAGAAGCTCGCAAGAGAAGATTGGCATGACCCCCGAATGGCAGCCTCAAAGAGAGCCTCGAACTAAACAGATATGAACGTTAGCGATCTGACCTGAATGCGCGCGGCTGGAGAACGAAGAGGTCGGCGGGTGAAATATCAGTTGGAATAAGTACAAATAAAAAATCATCATGACAAAATCAGACGTGTAAAAGTGTTCATCATTTCGAGACTCGGGAGAGTGAAGAGGAGGGGGAGGGAAGGACAACTTACCTATTTTAGAGCATTTTCCGTCGTAGTTTTCGAGTCCAATTCGATACAATGTGCTTTTCTCAGAAAAACAAAGCCGGAGACCTTGGCTTTCCCCCCCGAAGCCCACAATTTCCCCCCAGAACCCAAACATGATGCAGCGGATTCAAAGCCTGCGTTGCTGGTTAACCTTGACGGCGTCGTCGGCGAGGTTTGTGGTCCCAATAGCCCACCCTCCCTCCCACAGCTATTGGTTCGACTGTTCGTCGAAGCAATGAATGAGCTAGGCTCGGTGATTGATTCTAAAGAGTAAAAGACGTCAGCAGATGCGTTCAGCGAAAAGAGGAAAGGGAAAAGGGAAGGAAGGAAATTCAGAGCCGGTGTCCCCTCGCCAACCGCCTGGCGGCCTTTACCTTGGAGTTACGCCAGTGGTAATCGAGGAAAGAGGCATTGTCATCATGAATTGGGAATGGGAATCAGGAAAAAGGGAATATGACTTTCCTGCTATTCGGCTTGCTGGCCGACCGGCTAAATGTGTGATGTGTCGACTGAGAGAGACAAGTGCTGGCTACTTGAGACCGTTTCTAAGAGGGTGGCGAGGCTAGATATATATGTTAGCGATATGTTCAAACTGCAAAGAGGGTGTCGATTTGAAACTTCTCTGTTGTCATGGTCCTCGAAGACGAAGTCGAGAAAGAAATGAGTGTTCGATCGGAACCTGGAGAAAGGATGTTAGCTGAGATGTTCAACTGGGAAAGAAAGGAAGGGAAAAGAATATGACACTTTCCTGTTGGAGGCTCTTGGCCGATGCCGGTGATGAGATCTGGAAGGACAAACTAGTCAGTAAAATGTCAAAGAAGAAGATGGAGGCGGAGTAACTTCTCAGTGTGTTAATTCAAATGCTGTGCCGAGCCAAAGAGATTCGAAGAGTCGAAGAAGCCTGCGATAATACATAATCAGCGAGGAACAATGATATGGATTGAAGAGACTTGACTTCTCAAAGACGCAATGGCGTGCCGATATTGGAGCGAGAAACCTGCAAAATACGATCAGCGAGGAACAGGAACATTGACTATGGAGTATTGACTTTCCGATTGCCATGTCGCGGCTGGCGGCCGATTGCAAGCAAGTGAAAGATGTGTCGAGACGAAAAAAAAAAAGTCAGCTCGGATCTCAAAAAGAAGAAGACCACGGTGTGGAGAAAGGGAAGAGGGAATCAGACACCGCATTTCCACCGAGCCGCGCAGCGACTGTAGCGGAAAGAGGCGGTGGATATCATCATGAGAGGGAAAAGAGTGAAGTTACTTTGGAAGGGAATGCCACTTTCCTGGTGCTGGCCTTAGCCGAAGTAGATTGATATGTGCCGCCTAGAGAAAGGATTGTCAGCGAGAAAACAATGATCAAAAGGAAATGGATGGCTTGACTCCCCGATATGCTCTGTGATTCCTCTGCTCTGGAGGCCACGATGGAAAGAGATGTCTGCGAAAAATAAAATGTCAGTAAACGAAGAATGATCAAATGGATATGAATGTTTCTACTCCCCGATATTGCAGTCCGCCGAAATGGATTGCGATTCGAGATTCCTAGGGAATGATCAGCGAAAAGCGATTGATGTGCCAGAGACGGATGTGCTTGACTCCCCGATATGTTGCTTTGCATCTGCCGTCCAAGATGGAGGCGAGGATTTCGAGACGAGATTGATATATGGAAAGATAGCGACGGTTAGCCTGGACTGCTAGCGACGAAAGGATTGGACCCAAGGAAATGACTTAGCGCTGCTGAAAGCGATGCCGGCTGCTGGCGACCGATGGTTCGAGGAGAACGGAAAGGAGTGTCTTGCTGGACTGCGAGTCCTCGCGAGCTATCCGATGAGGAATATGGAAAAGATGAAGTCGTCAGCGAATCTGAAATCGGAATGGAAGGCAGAAAATGAAAATTGAGCCGAGGAAAAGGAAGAAGGCATCAGATAGGGAAGGAGAGAAGCCGACGTACCCTTTTTTTTCATGATCGAGCCTTGTATTCGCTGCTGATATTACTGGAAGATGGTCAGCCCCGTGCGTCAAACTGAAGTAGAAAAGTGAGCAAAGGAAAAGGAAAAAGGGCGTCAGATTACGAAACGTTTTCTTCATGGTAAGTTAAGAAGAACGAAATTGTCATCACACGCAGTTACGGAGCAGAAGAAAAGAGAGAAGGCCAACGTACCGTTTTTTGATGATGGAGCCTTGCCGTCGCTGCTGGTATAACTAGAAGGAGATGGTCAGCCCCGAATTCCAAGCAGAAAATGAAAATTGAGCCGAGGAAAATGAAAAAGGGCGTCAGATTACTTTTTCTTCATGGTAAGTCAAGAGGAACGAAATTATCATTACATACAGTTACCGAGCAGAAGAAGAGAAGAAAAGAGAGGAGCCAACGTACCAGTTTTTCTTTTCTATTTTTTCATGTTCGGGCCATGTCCTCGCCGCTAGAAGCCCAGACATGACTAGAAGAAGATGGTAAGCCCCGAAATCCAAGCGGAAAATGAAAACCGAACAATTGAAGGATAGAAGGCCTCAAATTGTAATTTTTGAATCACGAGAGATCATGGCATCAAGCGGATCGAGTGAGATATTGACCTGGAGAAAAAGCAAGTTAGCAAACAAGATCAAATCTTTTTGCCGAAACGAGGATGATGGCAAAATGTTTGATGTGCCTCAGAGTAGTATCATTGTCGTCACTGGAATGACGTGCTGGAGGTTTCTGCGATTTTCAGGAACTCTCCGCGGTGCCGTTCCTAGGCTTGATAGTTGTCATCATCGGCACGAGGCTGGGTCATGATTGAAGAAAAGGAAATGTAGGAAAACGTGCCTTGAGATTGGTCGTCAATGGCGATCGGCTTGAATTGAAGGTCGGAGAAAGTCGAGTGGGATATCTGCGCTGGAAGAGAAAAGAAGTTAGCAAGCAAGAACAAAGACTGCTGGCTGGAAACGATGATGATCTCGTCTAGGTGCCTCAGTAAGATCGGTAGGTTTCATTGGAACGAGCGGTTCTAAGGGGTTCCTGAGACCTCAAACTGTTCCTTTCAATGATAATCATCATCCGCATAAGACACATGAACATGAGCCAACCACCAAATGGAAACAACGTGAGCCCCAAGCCTCGCCTAAAGAGCAAGACTAGTTTTCTCTATGCTCCATCATTAGCCAACAAGACCTAGCGCCAGCCAGCAAATCCAACGTTTCCCACAAAAGGTCCCCTCAGAAAAATTGCCATTAGATATCATCACCGAATCCACAACCAGCGCAAGGCGAGGCTGGGTTTCTTCAGATACCGGAAATTTTGAATCATCATCGGGGGCAGGCCGACTGGCGCCACAGGGAAAGGAATCAGTAGAAAGAGAAAACAGAAAACATACCTGAGTGAGACACGCGATCGAGCGTGACGATGGCTGAAAGACCGCTAAAAAGCAACAGAAAAGCTAACAAGTCAATTCAATCAATCCTACGAAGCTCCTCTAAGTAATGTTCGCGCCCCCGTGAGCGACTGCCACCAGCTCCGTCAACACGAAGGAAGAGAAGCCGTTGGAAATCAAATCTCAGATTGCTAAGCAAACATCGTCACAGAGGAGGGAGAGAAAGAAAGGACAACCTAGAGACACGCTAGCTTCCAATGACCGCAATGGCCGGGAAGCTGGTTTTTTGGGCCGGTCAGCTTGCAAGAGTGTAGAAATTACGTTTGATCCCCATCGATTCCAGCCGAAGCTGAAGAATCTAAGGACTGTTCTTTGCTTTCATCATCCCGGCCCGAGATTTAGCCAAAAACGTTATGACAATCGACAGATGTGAGGGGAGGGGAAACTCAGCTGAGGAAAGATGATAGAGAGGCGAGCGTCGGCGAGCCTGTCGAATCCTGACCGGTTTAGGAGGCTGTACCGCGTCGTGGTCGTGGTTGTCTATGGAGAGAAGAAAAGAAGTTAGAACATGGCGAAAATGTGATGGGCTCAAAGGCCGCACGAGATGATGTGATGCGAAGGCAGGAAGCAGGAGAGGAAAGGTGCAAAGTCGAGGTCGGCTGCTGATGACGCGAGACAGGAAAGCTTGCGAGCAGCGAAGACGCGAAAGGAAAGATCAAATCGAACTGATTTTCAAATGATGTTTGTGCAGCCGCAGAGGGCAGAGAAATGGTGCGAAATGGGGAAATTTGTGTGCAGACGTATCTCTCCGCCGCAGTCGACCTAGCAACGCCGAAAGGCGTACTAGGTTGAAGGAAGACGTGAGTGTATATCGATGAAGGTGAGGAAGAAAGGAAGTAAAAAGAAAAGTAAGCCCGAGGCAGGACGAATATGCCGAAGAGGACGAAGCCCGAAAGGTGTGTGGAAGGAAAGAAGAAATCCAGCCAGCACCGAAGTTCGGGAGGTGAAATAAATAGAGAGGGATGTAGAATGGGTAACTGGAAAGTGTGGGGCCTGCCTTGGAAATAAAAGGAAAGGAAAAGAAGTGTGTGAAGGCCAACCAGCCAGCCAACCAAAATCAGGTAGCGGCGCGGGCATATGGGACGAAACTGGGCAAAGGACTCGCTAAAGACTGGCCAAAACGGGGCTGCTGCTCAGCAGAGAAATATGGAGGCATGGCAGAAAGTGAAGGCACGGCAGAAAGTGAAGGCATGGCAGAAAATGAAGGCATAGGCAGTGCCGACGACGACGAAGACAAGGAAATATATATTGACTTACTTGGTAGCCAGGCGAGCAGGTCATTTCGAAGTTGGCGATGACGAAGTCGAAGATTGAAAAATGGAGGCGAGGAAAAGAATAGCTCGATGTGTGCCAGGGTTTGGGGGGGAGACCAAAGGAGGGGCAGACAGGTAGGTATCTAGGCGGGCATACAGCCACTCGCGTAGAATTCTACCCGGCACGGTGACCTGCTTGGTGATTCTTGACGTTGGTGGTGACGAAGTAGTTGGTGCTTGATGTGCAGTGGGAGTTGCCCTGCGGCAACGCCCTGGTTTGTTTTGGTCCGAAGTGAGGATGGGTGGAGGACTGTTGCGCGGGATATCTCATGCCTGCTGTGCCTCGGGCGGCCGTTTAGGGACCCTACCTACGTTTTTCAGCGCAGCTTTGCTAGTAGATTGCACTGTGCGATACTCTACTTGAATGTCCTGTGCTGGGATCGTCTACGGAGAGAGCACAGTTGTGCGGGATATCTCACGCTCAGTATCGCTTGTGCTGTCGTCGAGGCACGCTAGCTACCTACGCCTGGAGCCCTAGTTGAGAAAGCAGTAGTGTGAGAATATTAAACTGTTGCCTGTGGCAGTGAACTTGACTTCATTCACTTGATGACACCTAGACCGCACTACGGATGTGGCTAATCACAGCTACGCGGATGGATGACAATGACTACGAACGCGGCGGGGTCGACGGGGGCAGTAAGCGAGGAGGCACTTTACCTGGAGATATCTAGTTCTACGAAGCGGACGACCCGATCTCCTTTTCTTCACTGATGTTCCTTTGTTTGAAAGCCAAGATGTTCTCCATCCCTCCTCCAAAGTCATCAGAGCCTAACGAACCTTTCCTTCATAACGCTGACTGAGGGGCACAGCATAAACATCAGTGCAAATATCCAATGGGACATGGCTACTGGGCGAGGAGAGCACCGAGTAAGCGAAGAAGGCAGTTTAATTAGAGATATCTAGTTCTGTGAAGCCGATGACTCGATCTCTCTCCCCTCAAGGACTCCCCGTCTTAAAGCCAAGGTATTCTTCTTTCCTCTTCTTTACTCACAACGTACTTGACAGAAGGGATCAGCGCCACGCGAACCTCTCTTCCACAACAGTAGATATAAACCAGATCCTAGTATAAGTATTGAACGCATCGTGGCAGCTGGGGAAGGAGAAAACTGATATCCAGGAGATGCCTTCCGAGTGGACTTATTCCTGGCGTTCATGTGTTGTGTTTTATGAAGGTTGCGGGTCAACTAATCAGTTCGCGAGATGATGAGGAGGCTGCTGTGCTTCTTAGACGGTGTCGAGAACATTGGTGAACTCATATTTGTCCTCGAGCTTAGGCTCGATCTTAATGTTGTCGCCCGTGCCGAGGTCTCTTCATGTGCTTGTTGTGGAAGAGAAAGACGGGGTTTATTGTCGTCCGGGTCATGAAAAAACTGAGCCATTAGGTTTGGATCTTGTTGAATTGCTGCCAGTCTTGAAGTGAAATATCGGAGGGATGACCCCTGTTATCGATGAGAACCATTCATATTCCTTCTCTTATATAGAAAACAACGCTCCTTCAACCACCCCTGCACACCCATGCATGGCTTGTCATTCTTTGACAGAACTCCAAATCTTTGGCCTCCAGGCCAGCAACGGTAAGGGGCTGCAGGTCAAGCAACTCGGTGTGCGGTGGGAACCTCTGTAGCAGAATGCAGCCGCTGACCGGCACTCGCTTGTTGTTTTTCAGGAGACTCCACTTTTGAATGGCGATGGCCGCGCCCGACTTGAGAAGCTCAATTACGGTTCGCTTCTTAGTGATGGCCAGAGCTACGCCGTTGCAGTTGGTGACCGAGCTGAGAGGTTATCGTGGTTAGCATGTGAATCTCGAGAGTCGAGAGTAGTGATTGTGATAGCGGCTTACACATAGTGAACGCTCATGTCCTCAACAAACCTGATGCAGTGGCTGGCAAGCGGACAATCGGCAAAAGAAGAGCTCCTTGGCCTGTTCTGTTCGCGGCCGGGATAGCACGGCCTGCATCCGAAAGCTGAAAAAGGGTTCCCTAAGTCATGGAGATACTCTGTTAGCTATGATGGAGCTTTCGGCAGCTATGTCTTTGCAGATTAGGAGAAACTGACTATGTGGCGCCTTATCTTACCTTGCGGCGTTGTTAGGTTGAAGGAAGACGCGCTTTGGTGTGAAGCGGAGCATGTAAAGCTTTGCAAGCAAAGAAGGAAAGAAAGACGCAGTGGAGCGGAATGATTTTTGCGGGCAACTTTTTGGACGGCTGCGGCTTAGGTAGTCGGGAAAAGCAGCGCGGGAGATGGCAGCATTATCCCCCGCCTGCTGCTGCAAAGATGGGGCAGCCAGACAGGCCCAGGTACGACGTGCCCGAGTCAGGTCGCTGGGCGTACCTAATTGGGCACGTCATCTGAAAAGCCGCGGTGGAATTTCTAGGTGCAGCGCCAAAAGGTTATAGGTATCAGAAAAGGTGCCCCGCACACAGATCTGTGAAAGAAAACGACAAAGGTTGGAATTGCAACATTTGGCCTCCCCCTATCACATCTAGTCTTAAACAAAGTTGGCCAAGAACCTCGGCCATCATGTCCTCGGGAAGCCAAACTCCAGCCGCTCGGGAAAGCAGACGCCCTCTAGTTCTGACAGCCAAGACACGGCCGCCCTCGTCTTCGTTGTCGCCGGCTCTTGACTGCCAGGGAGATGAGCACATGCTTGCTATTGTCGGTAGAATCGACTTTCGCCGAGTCGGAATCGAACGACACGGAGCCGTCACCATTCAAGTGTATGGACGGAAAGGGGACCCTGTTTTCATCATCATCTTGCATCCTGCTCTGTCATCATCTTGGAACCTGCTCTGTCATCATCTTGGAACCTGCTCTGTCATCAACGTAAAGTATCCTTCCATCTACCACGTCAACCACAAATCGATTGCTGGCCCGCTGATCACACATCCAAGACGCCAGATTATTCCTCACTCCCAGGCCAGTCTGCCAAGCTCGACTCGACCGACATGCCACGATCGTGTATCCAATGGGCTACCTACCGCTCCGAGTGTAACATCACCCTCTTCCGAATCATCGACGGCAGACAGTCTAGAGCCGAAGGAAACTCCCGTCTCTCTCGCCCTACACCCACGACTATCCGCGCACATTCTTGTCAGCCGGCGTCAACATGGCCCAAATACTCAGGGGGCCCGACATGGCCGTGCTCCAGACCCTGACGCGTCTAGCCCGTTCCGTGCGCATGAACTCCGCCCCGGATAATGGACCTAGCAACCTCCTCCCTTCTCTTCTATTAAGCCGGGGCAACAACACACGGTAGTCAGGGGTGGCCGCCGTGCGGCCTATGCGCACGACGATAAAGCACTGCCCTAGGGCCCTCTGTATACCAGCCGCAAGATCCGCTAACTCGGTGAAAGCCCCAGAAAGTACCGCGCCTAGTGGTACGTACAGGTTCTCTTCTTTCAGATACGTTTACTTCTTCATCCTGGTCGCGCCTTTGTGTGTGCTTTTACTGAAACCACCAACCAGCCCCCTTTTTCCTTCTCTCCAAAAAAGGGGCAGGACCAGAACGATCACAGCAACAGGAACTCAATTGTTACGTATTATTCGGCCCTGCCACTGTGGCGCAGAATATAGAGCTGGGGAACTGAATTGGGCGAGGCTACAGGGTGAAAGCGAGCTTGGCCGTATTGTTGTGGGCACAGGGGCATGTAGTGGCTCAGGTGCTCGGGAGCCACACTACTGCGCCTTGACAGGGGTATGTTTACCGTGTCGCAGTCACCGTTGCCGAGGTCGGCGGTGGGGACGACTCACTCGAAAATGCAAAGCTCGCCGGCAATACGGCGGCGGCATGGGCCGAGCAAGTTCCTAGAGACGTCAGTCTGGGTGCAGAGAACATTGTGTCTATCTCCAAGCACATTGGGGGAGGTAAACCGGATGCCGGGCGCGGGATATAGCGGGAGATGACAAGTCCAGCTCACTTTTGAGCCGGGGCCGGGGAATGCTTCCGGCTCTATGGCGGCTGTTTTACGACGGGAACCAGGATGGGTCTGAGACGCCTGGTCTTCTTAGTTAGGCAGCCAACTTTCTAGCTTAGTCACAAGGCCATTTTTTCCTGAATAGTTGTGAGAAGATCCGGCGCTAAGTGTAATAAGTGATGCCAGTACGACACGAGAGTGGGAAAGCTTACCTAGTTGTATTCTCGTAGGCTATCACTAGACATGTGTCATAGAACTTTATACTTTATATGGGAGCAACTTTAATAGTACAGCGAGAAGTTTCGGGCTTATTATCTCCACCTCCAAAGAAGCTTAGGTATAAATAACATGAATGCTCTAACCTAATTCGCTCATTATGTCTATGAGATATATGATGCCTTCAGCTTTTCGGCCACCTAGGTACCTAGGTATCTAATAAACATACTAACACGTGCACTCATCTGATTACTGGAGATCCAACTAATCCCTCCATTAACCTAGGTACATTTACTCCTTGCCACCGTTTAGTTTCCCAGTTATATAGAGACATGACAGGTATTATTTACTTGCGGTGAGATCTCTACTCGCGTCCCAGCTAGAAAATATCCGGGCTCATAGCAAAGAATGCGTATCCGGCGACTATTATGGCTAGGAGTGTATGTAACCCTTTTACTCTGAGTATCTCGTTTTGCAGCTCATTTCTTACACAAATATACCTTTACCCCTTATATGAGAACTTTCGTTTTTGAGTTTTTCACATACAGACATATGGACATATAGCACACCGAAGTTTATGCGAGGCACGGCGATCTATGAAAGGTGATGAATTGCTTCAAGAGATTCTAAAATCTATCGGCCCGCAGGCGGGAAATCTATGGTGGGGGGATAGACTGGTGGTGTATGGACAATTAAGTGGTCCAGGCTAGGCCGGGCTTGGCCTGTGCCTAGTATAAAGTTTAGGTATGAAACTGTGTCTAGGAAGATTCTCATCCATCAAGTCAATATGAAGATATTTGTAAGAGTATATTACCTATCTACCTTCACGTGGTAGCTGAGTTGGTTGGTAAGTTAGGTAGGGGGGTAAGCGAACACTACTGATTTAGAACATTCTGTATAAGCAGGAGTCCCAACTAACCCTCCAACAAAAGAAAGGGTGATCTTTTTATTTACAAAACTTCAATACAATCTTTGATATCCTCTGAATCATCCGCTTCTTCCGCATCTTCTAAAACCTCTGCTGCACGCCCTACAGCTCTCTGGGCCTCACGAATAGTCTGAATATTCGCAAAGGTGGTATTTGGATCTTCTTCAACCTTCTTCTTCTTTCTGGCTCTTATTGATTCGAGAGTGTGTTCTAGACCTTCAATCTTTCGCTTCCTAATAGCCAGTTCAAAGGCCTGTTCATCCAAAGCCTTACCAATCTTTCTGAGGAAGAGCTTATCCGCTGGCATTGCTTTGATGATGCGTGCGAACTTCTTTGCCTGCTCAACGTAATCACGTGCCTTTCTAGGAGTCCTCCACTGCACCCGATCGTCTCCATAATCCTCCAGGATTGGTATACGGAGTGTGCGAACCTCTGGGGTAACTATAGTAGTTCTTAAGGGGCGTGAAGTATTAGAATTCTTGAGGAAGAGTGGGCTTCTTAGCGGTTTGTTGACATTCAAGGGCCAAAGGCCTGATGCCTTCCATCCTGACTTAGCATTACTCTTAGTAATTGCCTCTGTGCGTGAAATCTGGTAGCATTCCAGAAACGCACGTTTTCCGGCTACAGAAGAGTCGTCAAAGGCGTTAGCAAGAAGGTCCTCAAGCCGTCTGCGATAAAGTCGTTTTAGGGGGCCAAATATGGCCAAATCTAGGGGTTGGAGGACATGGGAAGTATGGGGAGGCAGATAAATAATGTGAATATTGTTTGTGAATGCCTCCCACATATAATCGGCAGTTGTGTGGCTGCCATGGCCATCAATAATAAGGAGTCATTTCTCAGAGGAGTTTGCTGGCTTGGTGAGAGAAATGAACACATTTTTTAACCATTTGAGGCTTGTCTCATCGGTAGTCCATCCTTTCTCAGTTGCTGTAAAGAACCAATCCTGAAATGGCTTCATATCCAAAGGAAACCATTGTTGTTGAACGCTTTTCCCCTTAAAAATGACCAAAGGAGGAAGGCAACGGCCAGCTGCTGAGATGCATTCGACAAAAGTGGTCCAAGTGCGGGTTCCAGGCTGTTTTTTTTGAAGCGCCTTAAAGGCACGGCTTCCAATGACAAGGCCGTTGGTTCCTCTGCCTTCCATAATACCAGATTCGTCCTTGTTCCAGCGATTCTCTGGCTTAATCGCCTTGATAGCTGGTGTTTGGAAATGGTTGAACCAAGGTCGAATTGTTGACTCTGTAGCGCAGTTGACGCGGACCGAATCGACTCTCTTGGCCCTCTGAGTCTTCAAAATTCGATTGCGGTTAAGAAAGGCACGGCACCACCCCTTTCCAAGTGGTAAGGAGTCCCCCCTTTCAGCTAGAATACGGCGTGCAAGCTCCCTGATCTGTGCATGTGTAGGGGGCAATCCTAAATCTTGTTGAAGAAGAATCCATTCGACTAAACGATCCTCTTGGGTCTGTATAAGCCTTTGCTCATCTTGATGAGCAACATTTCGAGGTAGGGAGCCATGTAGACGGCCATAAAGGGTGGAGGGTGGAACGTTCCATTTTCGCGCGACTTTGCGTAATCGATGTGTTCTGACGGCTTCCTCGCAAGCCTTGCGGAGGTCTTCTTCTGTATATGAAACCATTGTCAAGAGAAGAATAAAACGAATTGAAGATGAAGAGAATTGGAAAAGAATTGGTTGAGTTATGGGCTTTTTATATAAGAGGGTTGGTTGTGTTCCTCGCTTATCTAGAATGTTCTGGATCAGTGGCGTTCGCTTACTCCCCCACCTAACTTAATAAACCTTTCCTTCTAACCTATAACCTCGTATCCAATATCCATTTGTATCTGGCGACTAAAGATAAACAGATCCACTTCAGACTTCAAAGAGACGCTGGTGCTGCTGAATTTCTTGCAATTGAAAGGCGGGAGTAGTGTCTCGTTCTATATGAAAGGCGAGAATTACAAAGGTAAGGCTGAGGCTGGGTCTGGCCCCAAGAATAAGGCCTGTTTTCTTGCTTGATCAGCACCAATCTGTGATACCGTGACTGCTTGGTCCGCGAAGTCCTCAGTGAAAAAGTATTTATACAGGGTTTAGAGAGCGAGAATCGCGCAAACATGTTGGGTTCACGCCAAACTATCCCAGGGTAGATGATTCTCCAGGGCAGGCTTCAGCTTCGAAGACTGAAGAGCTCCAGGGCAGGCTTCAGCGTCGAAGACGGAAGAGCTGGCAGTGAATCTGGGCACACATTCCTGAAGCCAGAGACATAAAGTCCATGGATAGGCCTTTTTCACATTCATCCCAGTTCTGTGAAGAGATCTAGTTGTTCCTAGCTGCCGTGGTCTCCTTCAAATGTTGTGTGAAGTGAATTTCCATGTGTGTCCTTTTCTTACTATTTCAAATCTCCCGCCCTGGTCAGACATTCTCAACAGAATGGCTCAATGCAGGTCCCGATAGCCTCGCACCGTGGCCAGGGCTTGCCGAACCAGTCACCGCACGCTAGGATTCCGTGGCTATCGTTCCAGATGTGGTCGTCTGTCCGCGTGTTAGCAGGCGCCAGGTCAATTGTCCCATGGAGTGGTGGCTAAATGAAGGCGCTTACTGAGGTTGACCTGTGCGCGGACAAACTCTACGGAGCCGCTAGCCGAGACATTCAGGCAGTCGCAGCCCATGAGTGCACCGTTGCTCTTGGTAAGAAGCCAACAATTCTTGCAGGTCTCAGTAAAGTTTCCGTGCCAGGTGGCGTTGGGCCATAGCGGTTCAAGCACGCCAAGGTTGTTGCTGTAGCAGGGGCTGAGGTCGAGGTAGGTGCAGGTCAGATTCGCAACACCAGTGGCGGCGCTTGTGGAGTTGCCGCACGCTGCAGCCAAGTTGAAGGCCGAGCCAACTTGGCCGTAGAACTTGTCGGTATATGCGCGGATCTCTAGATATGGAGATGCAAGTCAGCATACGGCATCACGGAGAACGAGCGATGGAAAGGGAAGCAAAGCCAAAAGCATATGGATGGTTGTTTGCCTTCGCAGCTTTGCATGAAGCCGCCTTGACGCGAGGGCTGCGTGATGTTGGTGTCGCGGCGGAAGTCGAGAATCAACGGCGGGGGTGTCGTCAGTGCGACGGAGAGGAATTCGAGAATCTTCTTCAGCTCCATAATGCCGAGATGCCCGAGCTGTCTTGTATATCGGGCAGTGTCGATGGTCGGGGCTTCAGATTTGCCCTTGCGGAGCAGAGATCAGATCAAATATGGTAGTCAAGTGTCGGAGAGTGGAAACTGCCAGAGGGAGAATCGCTGCCTGGCTTCTGAATTTAGCAGGAAAAAGACCACTGTAGCAATAGGTAAGGTAGCCACTGCCATCCGGTGTTTGAATATTGGAGGGCTGCGGGCTTTTGTTTTTTTTTTTTTTTTTTGGGGGGGGGGGGGGGGGGGGGCACGGAAGTAGTTGACGCTCCACTTTGCAGCAGAGAGCTCCTGGTCTTGCTTCCCAGCATCCATTTGTTGACCATTACCTTTTCATTCTGATTAGGCGGACCGAAGTAGCCTGGGCACCTGCCTGCCGGCCGTAGTAGACGTTGGCAACATCAGGAAGCAGAAAGCAGCAAGTGTCAGGCCAGTGGAGGTCATTGAATTCCTTCCCACGACGTGCTGCCAATGGAGCCTCCCAACTTGGGACAGAGCTTAGTTCCATTTTCTTCGCTCCCGGGCTGTCGGGGTGCGCAGGGTTGGGCTGCCTTGATAGCTCTTTCCCGCTCAGCACCTCAATGCCTCATTCAAGACGCAACCCAACAAAACACTCATGTGCACTTGCCTTTGGCCCTTTTGAGCCTGGTCCGCCTGCCAGGTATTAAGTACTCTAAATTTCCCTCCCCCCCCTTGTTTTATTTCTTGGCTTTTACAAAACCCGCAGCATCTTTCCATTCCCACGAGCAGAGAGCTTGTCCACGCCACGCCACGCCACGCCAGGACACAAGCATCGCTACCTTGCTGGGCATCCCGTTTCTTGTCATTTGCATCTCTTATTTTCTCTTCGGCTCGCTCACTCTGTCCATCATGCGGGTTACTCCGATTATTGGCTTCGTGCTCCTCGGCGGTCTGGACAGCGTGCTTGGCGTGCCCGGCGTTGTAGGCCCACGGAATGCCAACATCGATCCTCCTGTCCGGCGGCCACTTCCACAGCGAATCTCATCGCTCCCTCTCCCTGCTCCGACTCGACAAGGCAGCCCACGCCCTTCCGCCACTCAACAGAGCTCTTCGCTCCCTGCTTCCACTCAACAGAGCTCTTCGCTCTCTGCTCCCACTCAGCAAGGGTCTTTGTTTCCGGGTCCTGCTCGACAGACCTTGCCGCCTAATCCAGGTCGGCCGTTGCAGAGGCCCACACAATCGGCACATCCAGTGTACCCGCCCGCGAGGCAAATAGTTCCTTGGCGAGATCCTTGGCGACGACCGCCCATCGTGACCCCTTTCATGACTCCAACTCGGGCCCCTGTCTCGGCTTCTCAGTCGACAGCTGCATTCCCTAGAAAGACGGCAGTGATGAGCCCTCGGCCAACGCCGACACCACCCTCGCCCTTTCCTCCCCCCTGGCCATACGGTGTCCCCCCGTTTGGCAACACCCCTAACCCCAAGTTCCCGAAAAAGAAGCCGTTTGAAAATCCGGCAATCACATGGTCATCCGGGATAGTCAGCTCCACCGTGTCTATGTTCCCGCATGCTTCGGCCCATGGACCCTATGCCGATGTTGTCGCGCTTCATAAAGTTGACTTGGCGGGTTTGACTCCGCCTCCTTCGGTTATTGAGACGTGCAATTGTGAGTCGGGCTCTAGGAGTAACAGCCACGGCAGGGTTCCAGCTAACAGCCAGGCAGTCATTCAGGTGGACCTGGACCTCAACGACGAGAACTCGCCGGGCAAGAACGCGTACATCCAGGCAGCCTGCCGAAACTCGAATGCGGGATCCCAAACCTACCGATGCTCCAAGCTTGGCCTCAGGAACTGCTTTTCGAATAATGACGGGACCCTGATCCCGGTGGCCGACAATGCGGGCAAGTGGTGGGAAACTTGCACGGACTACGAATTTGACGCAATCCACCGCAACATCAAGTGCGCTTGCTGGCAGTCGGACGGCAAGCCGAATATCACGGCCGTTGACATCAGTAAGAGCCCTGTCCCTTTGAGTCGGCAAACTGATGTGGGAGCTAACCAGTCGATGCACAATAGCCTCGGGGATCTGGAACGTTGGCGGAGTGCTCTACTGCGGTGGCAAGGCGAAGGCCAAGGAGCTGGGCTTGAACAATTGCGCAGAATAGATTGTGGAAGAAGGTGCTCGGTGGGACGATAGCTCCCTGTCCTGGAACTCGGTCACTCGGAGTGAGAATGGAATGGAATGGATGCTGCTTTCTCTGTTACAAGTCACCGTTACAAGTAGCCTTTAATCATCCTTATAATTAACATTATTGCCAGAGACATTATTATCAGAGCTCTGGTGCATGATCCGAGTGACACGGCATCTTCTTGACTTATTCCGTTCCTCATCCGGCGGGTCAATCACTCTTCCGCTCCTCCTTGTCCGGTGGGTCAACCACTATACCGCTCCGTCTCCGGTGGGTCAACCACGGCCGTGGTTGAGGGTTAGGGTTGGTGGTCATCCTTCGCTTATTCCCGACGCGCGGCCGTTGGTGGCCTCGTGCTTTTTGCTTTGGAAAATCCGAGATTGGCTGTTGGTTGGCTAGAGAATGCACAGACCAAAGCCGAATGGCCGCACAAGGAGGCAGTGTACCCACAATTTACAGGGCAAATTGGCACCTTTCTCAGAGCTTGACTACGAGCCCTTGCTCCCGTCCTCCCTATCGACTTCACCCACCCCCAACGGCCTGGATAGGCCACGTCTTTCGCAGAGAACACGACCACAGTGGGCCAGAAAACAAAGATTGAGATATCGCATTGAGAAGAAACCCCGGCAGCCCTTCAAGTTCCTCTTCCAAATTTCTTAGGCCGAGGTTCAATTAGAGCTTAATTACCTTCACGGCTTCACCACACGGCGGTTCCCGTCCCTGCGCTGCCTGCACCAAGCCAAGGTTGTTACCAATGGAGGACAACGCAGAAGACAGGAGCAGGGCGCTGAAGACAGCACAGAAGGTGCCCTTCCTCGAGTATCCTTCATCAAACACGGGAGGCGGCCGGAAGCGCTGTCTTATCTACTACATCACCGGCAATCCCGGCGTCGTTGACTTTTACATTCCCTTCTTCACCGCCTTGCGGCGCCTGCTAGACGAGACCGAGGCCCGGGCCGGATGTGACCGGTCTTTCCACATCTACTCGGCGAACCTGCTGGGCTTCGACGACGCCGACCATGACCCGTTTGGCTCGGCCCCCGGCACCGAGCCCTTTGTCCTCGAGGACCAAGTCCGCCACTGCTACGACCGCCTGGCCCAGGTGAACATGGCTGATCCGGCGAGCGGGCAGGCCGAGAAGAAGCCCTTTGACGAGGTCATCCTCGCCGGCCATTCGGTCGGCACCTACATCGCCGTCGAGCTCTTCCACCGCCACTACTTGCTGCGCAAAGCCATCCGGGGGGGGACTGCGGCGGCCCAGAGCGGCGGCACCGTCGACGGCTTCGCCAACGTCAACTTGAAAGCCGGCATCTTGCTCTTCGCCACCGTCACCAACATTGCCCTCTCCCCCAGCGGGAAGAGGATGAACAACCTGCGCACCTCACCGTTCCTAAACCGGAACGCCCACCGCATCGCCAGGCGCTTCCTAGACCTGGTACCAACCGGCCTACTGAACTTCATTGTCCGTCGCATAGTCGGCCACCCTCCCGACGCGGCCGCCATCGTTGTGCGCTGGCTGAAAAGCCGTGACGGGCTCTGGCAGGCGCTGCACCTCGGCAAGGACGAGATGCGCGCCATAGCCGAAGAGAATTGGAGCGAAGACATCTGGGAGATTGAAGAGGAAGCCGCAGCTTTTGATGGCGGCGAGGATTCCGTCGCGAAGAATGCGGGACCCGCCGAGGGGGCAGCCGAGACGAAGACGGCGACGGCGACGCCCGGCGGTGAGAAGTTCTATATCTTCTTCGGGAGGAAGGACGAGTGGGTTGCCGAGAAATGCCGTGATGAGTTCATCTCGCGAAGGCGCCAAAACCAAAGGGGCCGCACGCGCATCGTCATTGACGAGGGCAATATTCCGCACGACTTTTGCATCAGTGAGTGCACCACCCCTTCCACACGGGTCCCTTATCCTGTCCCCTCTCAAGGCATGGCGAGCTGACGTGTTTTGAAAACCAGAGCATAGCGAAGAGGTGGCGGAGAAGGTCAAGACTTGGATCGATGAGATCATAGCGCAGTGATGCGCCGCCGACGGCTGAGATGTAATTAGTTAGCTAGGCTCACGATGAAAAGTCGGAGGCAATGTGTTTTTGGATAACTAGTTGTTAATAAGCTTAGGAATGATGTAATTAGAGCCTGCATCGGCTGGAACGAACTCAGTAATAAGACCTGACACCAAACCACTCCTGAGTCCTGAACCGTGAGTGGCACGCATCTTTCTTTAGGTGCTCAATAAAGACTCATTTTATATGCAAGGAACGGCCTATGGCATCTCATACAAGCACGACCTTTACAGTCATACACAAAAGCAATCTGAAGATGTGTGGAGTGAGAGACCGCAAATCAATATAAGACGACTCTCATGGAATCGCTGGAGGCGCGCAGGATGCCCAACTCTTCTTGACTCCATCCAGTCTTGCGCCTAACTTTTCATATTATCAGGTACCCGCTAGGCAGGGGCAGGTAGGCACTCGAAAAGGAAGCTCGTTCCCGACCTAGAGATTACCGGCTGCGCCTCGACCCCTGCCTGAGTGTCTGTTAGCGAGACATGTTCCCGGACAAGAAAGCCCCCATTACCTCACAGGTAACCCTGAATGTTTCTGCCCAAGAGAGACAATAGGTATTAGGATCCCTAATATAAAACCGCATGGCCCTTCCTGTACATTCCTAAAAGCTCCCTTCATCGCCATTGAGATGAGAGGCAATGCCGCAATGAATGTTTGAACGCCCAGTCCAGACAAATTCCAGGATTGCCCGCCCTCTCCCTCGCATACATTCACTGGCAAAGGCTTCTGCAGGGCGAATAGATTAAGTGCCAACTTAGGCTTCAAATCATACAGGGTTTGCACTACTTATGCTGTAGATCAAGTATTTCAAGAGCCAGGGCAATTGTTGCTCGGGTACACCACCGTGCAGGGGGCTGCTGTGCCTCCAAGATGAAACGGCTGAGGAGTAGGAAATTGCAGGGCGGGCATCGGCACAAACCGCCTAATGTTGTGGATGCTGTTGGGGCAAGGCGGCCACCTAGTTCCCACCTCTCTCAGCGCTCTGAGGCCCGTTGGTTGGGGGAACTCCAGGCAGGAGCAATCCCACCTTGGCTGTCCCCCACCTTCCACTTCGGAGCTTTTGTCATGCATGTTGCGATCCACAAGAACCAGATCTAGCCAAATTCCAAACCGAGAGCAGCACAGTCGATTGGTCCCTACGGATGCTCTCCATGTATTGAATGAGCGGACATGCGCGTCGACCCCTTTTACCAGCACCCGAGTCGATGGCATCCCTCCCCGCCCATGGAAGATCCGGGCTGCCTCGTCGCCGTTCCTTCCTCGTCGTGGCTCTTGCCAGCACCAACCTCGGAGCTGGAGATGCAACAGGAGCTGGAGATGCAACAGGCCGCACGCACTTGAGTTGGGACATACCATACCTAAACATTGCTTCCGTGCCGTGCAAAGGAACAAGCTCACGGCTCTGGGCACCTGTCACTGGTGCAGTCAATCAAGAAGAGCAGGGGATGGCTTGACGCTTGGTTTCATATCTGATCTCGCCCACGACTACGCCGCAACCACCCCTCGCCGGGCCAAGCAACCCTGCGCCCCCGACGTCACACTAGACTTGCGCCGCTGATGCATTGGCTCTGAGGCCACAACGGTCCGGCATACCAGAACTCTCCTTAGTCCGAGGCGGCGGATGCTCCGCACGCGCACGTTTTCCTCTCGACCAGACGCTCTATGTATCTACATCTCGCACCCAGGCACCCCAAGACCGAAATCTTGAAGGGCAATACCGTGAGGCTGGAGTCGTAGACGTCAAGGTCTCACAGACGCGCCCATTGCCGGCTTCTCCCCAATGCGGCGGCAAGCGTTCCACCATCCTCCGGCCCGGCCGCCCCCCGTATTCAATCCGACGGTCGAGAACTGGCTGGAAGGGCTCCCGCACAGCAGCATCCGTCTCTCTTCCGTTGATCTCGGCCAGTGGAACCGAGATGGCCGCCGTGTCCGCGCCGGGGGTAGACTCCTCACCGGCGGCATCATCCTGCGCGTCTCGTCCCTCACATTCGCCGCCATCGTCGCCTTCATCGCCTTGTCCATCCTAGCAGACCAGAATGGCGTCTTTGCCCCTAACCGGCTGGTTCCGGCGCTGGTGGTGGTGCGTTCAAGTTCTCTGTCTACGCCAGATCGCCAAGAAGGGCCCCTTCGTGTGCTGACAATATCTCTTGCCCAGTGCCCCCTAGTTGTCATGTGGAATACGGCCGAGCTCATCACGCTTGGCTGCCTCCGCCGCGGCGAGGGCATCTCGCCCATAATCCACGTATGGGTGGATGGCGCTCTGTTCTTAGGGGCAGCCATCACCACTGGCTTCATGCTCGTCGATGTGGTCCTTGGCATCGGAAGTCGCGACACCTTCCCAGGAGCCGGCGCACGCGAAATAGTCGGCGCCTGCTTTCTGATTGCTGTCATGTAAGTTGCCCCCGGTCACGAACTAGCTTGCGTCCTTTGTCTGTGTTGGGGAGATTCGCTGACCACAGGTCATGAATCGCACAGGATCATCCACTCATTTTACTTCTTCTTCTTTATTTGCAACAAAATAGACAGGCGAGAGCGGGAGAAAAAGACCTTGTCACTGATGACCACTGCCCTTCTGCCCGAGGCAGAGCCGCCAGCAGTGCTGTTGATGACGCCCTATGCGGGTGCCACAAAGCGCGCCAGCCCGACTTTGATATTGGCGGAAGCCGCCCAGCTTCGTGCGGCGTCTGAAAGACCTCAGCTCGACCGCAGCTGCGGCAATGGCGAGCAGCCCCAAAGACCCTTTGGTCTATATTTTGAGACTGTGAACGAAGAGTCGACCTCTAAAGGCCGTATGGTTAGTGGTAGTTGAAAATCAATACAACGAACAAACGAAGCATGACCACAGAGCCTTTCGGCTGAGCATTCGATGACGCAAATCCCTGGCGAAAATGCGAAAAATACGGCCGCTCGGTTTGCCGGAACCAGCCAAAGAGAGCAAAGGCCAGTCGAGAAGGAACACGACTGTGATTATGAGTGATTACAGAGCAGTTGGCTGGGTAGAGGATGGGCACAGCAGGTTCCAGCTGGTCCGCCGAATATCGACGGGAATCAAGCAGCTCGCCGATTGTGGACGATCGCGAGCAAACGATGGATGCCATGGGTATCTGAGCCAAGTACGTTCGCTGCCTCTCTGCCAGCCTTCAACGCCCTCACTCAGTCCATCACCAAGTCGGGCCGCTTCTCCCTCATTGCATCCTGTACGGCCTGGAGCACTTGGTGGTGCAAGTGTCGCGGCGCAGCTACTATGCCGTAGTTTGTCGCCAGCGTTCTCCCGCCCACCTCTGTCAGGTTGATTTCCAGTCCGTCAAAGTCGGTGATCTTGCCCCCGATCTCCTCGTACAGGAGCATGGCACCGGCGTGGTCCCAGATCTTTGCCAGCTGCTTGCGGTCCGCATACGCCCAGAACATGACATCGGCGAGCCCCAGCCCAAGCACGACGTATTGTACCACCCACGGGTAGACGTCGCTGTCGGCGGGGCGCCGCGCCGAGAGGCCCAGCCGTGCCATCGCCGCGTCGTGGACCTCATCCAGCCCCGACGACGACGCCACCGTCTTGGAGCAGGACATCAGCCTCAACTCGCTGACCGCCTTATCCACCACTTCTGTCTGTGCTATCAACGGGACCCTCTGTATCGCAGGCTCCGACCCGTCGCCCTGTCTCGGGAACAGGCTCCGCACATATGTCCCGTGCCCCCGCGCGGCGAAGACGATGCAACCAGCCCCATCTGGGTCGACGGAGCTGTTCGTCACGGGCGCCTGCGTGCCGACCGCCAGGTTCGGACACGCGACGACCCCGAGCACCTGGACCTGCTTCCCGCCTGGGCCGTGCGGGGAGTAGTCCTTGAGTAAGGCGATGTTGATGGCGTACAGCTCGCCGCACACAAAGTTGGCCGTCCCGTCAATGGGGTCGAACACCCAGGTCCGCCGGCTCTTCCTGCTCCTCCTCGTCCCGAAAAATTCAGATCCATCGTCGGGCTTCTCTCCTTCTCCGTCTCCTCCACTCCCAACGCTGGCACAGCACCAGTCGATCATGTCGCACATATGCTCCTTAGACTTGGGGATTGCGCACGGCGACGACGAAGAAGCCGCTCCGGCGGTCTCGACGAGCACATCCCACACACACTGCAGCAGCGCCGGGCTCTCTCTCAGCTTGGCCGACGACTCCTCGCCCACGAAGCCGTCCCCCGGGAACGCGTCGTGGAACGTCGCCGTCAGCAGCGCCTGCACGGCAAAGTCGGCCACGGTCACGGGGCTCAGGTCCTCCTTGCTCACGGTGCCCTTGTCGGAGCGCGCCATGACGGCCTGGCTGATCTTGGCGGCTCGCTCGAGCGCTGCGAAGGCGACGCGCAGCTCGTGCGCGAACGGCGAGTCCATGTTCTCGGCCTGATGTGTGTATTTTGTAGGGGCGGGGGGCGCGAGTGCGGATGCGGATGGTTGAGCGGTAGTGCGGTGTAACTATCTACGGAAAAGGGGCTGAGTCGAGCTTTTTGTAGATTGCGAGAAATGTTGAAATTGAGCTTGAAATCGTTTTTGTGTTCTGCGCCCGACTTTGTTTCGTTTTGAAGCGTGCAGGGAGCTCCTCCGTCCGTCCGTCTGTCTCTGTGTCCCTCTCTCCGTGCCGCAGTGTACCGGGCGGCGCGGTGCCTCAGAGGTGGACCTCAAACTAGGCGGCCCCAAACAGCGGCCGTGGCCAACGGGGTTTTTAGCGGGGGGCCCGTCATCTCATTGCTCGGCAATAGTCCGGAAACTGGTTTACATTGCCTATTCGGGGGCTATCTGATTATGTTTGCATTGTGATTAGTCAAATGGTGTTTACGCTTTGGTTCAAACATAGCAGTTGGGAATTGGCAGTTGGGAATTGGCAGTTGGGATCTTCAGATTGGCTTGGTAGGTGAATCATGAATGATGAATTCCAAATGATGAACGACCCTCTCGGCCCCAATTGGACTGCACCGGCCGCGCACTGGTTCTCTGTCGACTTGATCAAGTCTTGCAAGTTCCAAGGAAGCTGGCAAGCTCGCTCAACTTTGTTGGACACTTTATACATTGCGGCCTGCGGGTGGAAGAAGGAAGTTGGGGTGAAGGCGTCGTCATGTACTTTGTGTCACTCATGAAATAATTAGCACAATAATCAAGCAGCGATGGATTACGAGTTCTGGTCGAGACAGGGGGTGGCCGGCCGCCATCTGCCCGGCCATGGCGGCGGCGATCTCGGCCACGGGAAGGATTGTGCAAATCCGCGGAAAAGTTCCGATGGTGGGCCGGCGGGCGTGGCCTTGCCTGGCTGCTTCTTGGGTCGGGATGGTTTGGCTTGCTTGGCTTTGCTTGGTCTTGGATCGCATATTTAGTATATAATCATGACTGGTGGGCATTGTCTTCAAAGACATTGTTAGTGCCGCTTTCGAAGTATACATGTCTCCGGGCTGATGGTGTTGGGGGGTCGAACTACCCATGCTCTAGATAAGCTGAAGTATTCTCCAGCCTGGCCCTGTTTGTTTGAGATCTTTTTTTTTCTTTTGCTTTGTCCATAATTATGAACAGAAACACGCCCTCCATGTAATTATGATTTAAGCCCGAACGTTTGCTTTTGCAGCCACCAAGAAAGACGCTTGATGCCATCAAGAGTTCCACCTGGGCAGACGGGAGACCGAAGACCATGTTGATCCTCTCCGACTTGTATCTGGGGCTGTTGTTACAATATAGCAGCCTGCTGTTACACGAGCAGACAAAACAGACCCCTACTGCTTAGTAGTCTGAGCAATAGCAGGTAATGGACGCAACCCTCAAAACAGCTATTGTGTTATTTCCGATATGTGGGAAAATGGGTTGGTGTCGTGACTCTTCCGTGGTTTGAAAAGCATCCAGTCGCTTTGTGGCGATTAATACTTGGGCGCTGGTGGGATAAATTTATGTATACGAGTTTTATATAGTAATTATCCCACCCGGGAAAACAAAAAGGCCGAACATTCATATGAAACAGTTCTGCTGAAATTACTCACACCTCAAAGGTTCTGTCCAGCACCTCAATATCGTGGAATAAAACATCGCTGTAAAAGGGGAAGGCCTGCTGATAACTTGTCGACATTCTAACTGGCTCTGTTAGCTGCTATATCGACTAGCAGAGCCTAGCCGTTTGACGATGAGCTTTCTGTCTCTCTTCCCGGTGGCGAGAGTCATAACCCGCCTGCCACCCCTCTCTTCGAAAAAGCTGTCCCGGATTTTGACAATATTTCCGAACTTCCACTTCGTTTGCGTGGTCTGCCTCCGCCCTTTCCATCCTATCCATAGCGTCCAAATCGTTGGCCCGCTGGTTGCTTTGTGTTTCTAGGACTATTGACAGGTGTTGAGGGCTTTTTTTTTGTAATAGAGGTTGGTATAGTCTTTTAACATGTACTTAAATCGACTCCTGCTTAATAAAGATAATGTAGGCCCTGAATGCTCTACTCTTAGCGTTCTCTTAAACATGGAGTTATATTGGTTAGAAACTCGAAATACATATAATTTCTGTAGATATAGAGCGAAGGCTAATTTGACTATATTGTTGCAAAACCTTCATTTCCTAAAAGCGCCCAGCAATTAGCCCCCACCTCAGTCATCCGAGATCTAGCTCACAAGGAGGGCTAGACAGACAGAAAATACAAAACGACAGAGGTTGCTGCTGCGGGAGAATGGGGATCCCAAATCAGTGCACTGAAGAAATAGCAGCCTAATGTCAAAGTCTGACCGAGTGGCTACATTAAATGTCAAGTCTAGCTACTATCAGGCGTGTTTGACTGAGCGCCCCAGTTATTCCAGGAAGCCCCTGACTCGTGGCGACTTGGCGTTGACACGTTCAGGGGCTGCTGACTAAGCTACTGATGGGCCTGGGAAGGGCTGTTGGCAGCTGGCAGCTGACGTCAGTCACTTGTTCCAACATGCGAAGAGCAACGGCGTTGGAAGGGGCACATGGGGCGCGTGCTGCAATTCCAAAACAAATTCGTCTTGAGGTCTTGCAGGGTGGCAATATGTTTACCGGCGACTGTTCTTTGGAGAAGCGCGAAAATTCAAGCGCTCGTGAACAATCAGATCTACTCATGCAATACAGCAGAGTCGAGTAACTTTGCGAACGGATTGCTGCCTTGGTGCCTGACGCACCAACCAGGCTGCTATCGGTTATCAGAAATTTTCGAAATTCTAAGCCCCACTAACCAGGCCTTGATTTCCCCACCTCTTTGCCTCCCGCTTTCCAGCCCACCAAAGGCGCCCGCCACCCAACACAACATCTTTCTTCGTTCGGTCATTACATTGTTGGTCGAGAACAAAGAGCAAGATCCTCTGAAACGCTCGCTAGAATTTCGCATTTCTGTGCAGTAATACGTTTTTTTACCAACGACCACAGCCTAAACGAAGAATCCCGAAAATGGCGCCGTCATCCTCCAAAGAGAAGCGCCTGGCGAAGCGGGCCGCCGAGGGCAAGGACAAGAAGACAGTCGCTTCGCGATCCAAGGCGAACTCTAAGAATGCCAGCAACACGGGGTCAGATGCCGAGGTCGAGATCGATGCTTTTGGAAACCCAGTCGTAGTCGACGAGCCCGCCACTTCTGCCGAGAAGATGGACGAGGTCAAGCGGTTGGCTGACCAGCTGGATAAGCATGGCATCTCCGATCGTGTCGTTACCGGCGTCCTCGCCTCCACCCCCGCCAGCAAAGATGTGAAAATTACCAGCACAAGTCTGGTGTTTCACGGTCGTGTGCTGATCACCGACGGAACCCTCGAGCTCAACTTTGGCCGGAGATATGGCCTGTTGGGTGAGAACGGGTGCGGTAAGAGTACCTTATTGAAGGCCATTGCCGCCCGCGAGTACCCGATTCCCGAGCACGTCGACATTTACCTGCTTAACGAAGGCGCACCCCCGAGCGACATGGGTGCTTTGGAGTGGGTCGTCAAGGAGGCCGAGAATGAGATGGAGCGTCTGGACAAGCTGGCCGAGAAGCTATTGGAGGACGAGGGCCCCGAGTCGGCCGTCCTCATGGACCTGTACGAGGTATGATATGCTCCTTGCAATCCTTTTGGACATGACGAGCCTTTCCATCAGTACTAACTCGATGTCCGCCATTTAGCACATGGAGAAGATGGACCCTTCGACATTCGCAACCCGTGCCTCTTTGATCTTGACCGGTCTGGGCTTCGATAAGATTACCATTCACAAGAAGACCAAGGACATGTCCGGTGGATGGAGAATGCGTGTTGCGCTTGCAAAGGCCCTTTTCGTCAAGCCGACACTGCTCCTCCTCGATGACCCAACTGCGCATTTGGATCTCGAGGCCTGCGTGTGGCTCGAGGAATACATGAAGAAGTGGGATCGCACGCTCATTCTCGTGTCTCACTCCCAGGATTTCCTCAATGGTGTCTGCACAACCATGATCGACATGAGGGACAAGAAGCTCCTCTACTATGGTGGTAACTACGACTCGTACGTCAAGACCCGGTCTGAGCAGGAGGCCAACCAGATGAAGGCGTACCAGAAGCAGCAAGACGAAATCACGCACATCAAGAAGTTCATTGCCAGTGCCGGTACATACGCCAACTTGGTCCGCCAGGCCAAGTCCCGTCAAAAGATCCTAGACAAGATGGAGGCTGATGGCTTCATACAGCCTGTGTCTAACGACAGGATATTCACCTTCCGGTTCGCCGAGGTCGAGAAGCTGCCGCCCCCGGTTCTGTCCTTTGACGACGTTACCTTCTCCTACTCGGGCAACCCGAAGGACGACCTGTACCGGAATCTCGACCTTGGTTTCGACATGGACTCCCGAACGGCTCTCGTGGGACCCAACGGTGTGGGCAAGTCAACTCTTCTGCGTCTCATGACCGGCAAGCTGTCGCCCACCCAAGGCTCCGTGACCAGACACACCCACTTGAAGTTGGGCCTGTACTCTCAGCACTCGGCTGAGCAGCTGGATCTGACCAAGTCGGCTCTCGATTTCGTTCGCGACAAGTACAGCCACAAGTCGCAAGACTACCAGTACTGGAGACAACAGCTTGGTCGCTATGGCCTGACTGGAGAGTCCCAGACCTCGCTGATCGGTACCCTCTCCGACGGACAGAAGAGCCGTATCGTGTTTGCCCTGCTTGCCATCGAGTCGCCCAACATGTTGCTGCTGGATGAGCCTACCAACGGTCTCGATATTCCCACAATTGACAGTTTGGCGGATGCCATCAACGCCTTCAGCGGTGGTGTTGTTGTCGTCAGTCACGACTTCAGGTAAGCCACGACTCAGCCATCCGGGTTTACACGCTTTATTTTGCTAATATTTGTTGCAGACTTCTGGACAAGATTGCCAAGCAGATTCTCGTCTGCGATAACAAGACCATCAAGGTGTGGGATGGTACGATAGCCGGGTACAAGAACCATCTCCGGAAGAAGATGATTTCGGCTGGCGCGGTTTGAAGCGGTTGCTATAGATTGCAGTCAATTACTACAAAGAATGACAGTCATGATCGAGCCCGCCCGCCCGCAGGAGAGTGGGGGATAAAAGCGAGACTGCGGAAGGGGACGATGGCCGTTCTGGGGCTTCTGGGCCAAATAAAAAGGCTCGCGACGGGCGCTCAGTTCGAGCCAGCGACAGTGGCTTCTGGGATGGACGGGATAGACTTTTATTTATATCTGCTTCTGATTCAACCCCACCATTCATTAGAGGCATGAAGATACTGAGTAATACAAAACCAGGATCTTGCGAACGTTTACAGCTATGTTTCTAGGCCGTTATCTTTTTATGTCCATGTCTAGACAAGATTGGCACGTGTAATGTAACTCAAGAGTGTTTTAAATGACTGGGCTCAACTGAATTTGAGGCTTGCCTCTCAGGCCGCACTACCTAATGTGGCTTGCCGACTGGGGCTGGTTTATTGGTAGGTATCCGTTTTTGGTCGCTTGGCAAAGGAGGATCGGGCTTACATCGTTCCGGGGTTTTGAGCCCACGGGCGGGCGGGCGGGCGGTTCCATCGGATATGTTCTGGTGTCGCACTAAAATAAACCGACAGGAGAGATGAAGAAATGGCAGGTCCACCGTGGTCACGGGTGCGCGCACGACAGGTGCTGGTACTTCAGTTACGGGCTTTAGCATGTGTTTTGTTTTTTGTTGCCCTTTTTTCCCATGTTTCTGGCTTGCTGAGCGCACTAACCAGCATGCAGCCCCGGTGGATACCCCAGCCCCAGTTACCAGTCAAAGGCAGCCGGCCGGCCCAGAGAAGGAACGGGGCTCTAGACAAAACCCACTCAGGCAAGGGAGGGGTGGTGATATCTCTGTTAGTGCGGCGGCCAGCACCACCCCTTTCCCGCGTCTCCCCCCTGTGCCTTTGCTCTCTTCATTGTTGTTCGCACGTCCTGTGCGATTGATTTGTGCCTGCCGGGCGGAATCTTGAGTCCCTCGGGATATTGTGTCGCCGCCCATAATTATCCTGGCGCGGGCACATCACATCTTTAGCGTTCGCCGTGTCCACGATTCAACAGGTGGAATTGAAGCGATACCCGAAATAATTGCAGATCACGAGTGTAAGGAAGGCTGCTGGAGTTGACTCATTGACTGTGAACTGTCAAATGTGGAATAAATACCTTCCGATTTCGATTTTGACGATCTACTTGTAAATTGGGCCCTGAGGTCCTCTTGGGCGCAAGTTGCCGCTGCCAAGGATAACTGGCTCTGGGGTTGGGATGCCAATCTCGCGATGGCCTCGAAACCCGAAAGCCCCGATGCACGATGTGGAGACGGATCGCTGAAGTTGGCTCGTCTACAAACTGCGCTTGAGATGAAAGGAGACGAACAAGAGAACTCTTCGGACCAAAATACATGTCGCATATATTGATAGACACTATCAGAGTAATATGCGATTGCCTTGAGTGCCTGTGAGAAAATGAGATTTCCCCATATTCCGACTTTCGAGGCATTTTAGGGTGTCACCGTCCTGTTGTTTGGGGGCTTGGAGGTTTGGAGCCGAACCCGAACAAGTGGGCTGCTAACAAGAATGCGGGGGTGGGCGTAACGGGGAGGGCTGACGTCTTGCGGGTAGGGTGGACTGGTGGTACTAATTTTTGCTGGATCTGGGATGCTTGGGTGGATGGATGGATCAATCTTCGCGAGAGGTGAGAAGAAGCGGGTGTCAAAGGGGCATTTGGGGGGAAAGACCACGCGCACACCAGCGCAGCAAAGCCAGATGTGGCCAAATCGATAGAGCCATCTAGCCTGGCAATCACGGCTGTCCTACGGATTTGTAACCAACACCATCCCCATCACGTCTTGTCCCTTCGCAACATCACATCACCACTGTCCCCTGCACCCCTTCGAGACCATCGCCGCCGTCGCTGCGGTTGAGCTCCTGGCCTCTAGGCGCGCTGTTTCTCTGATTGCCCATTGTCGGTGATTGCCTCGCGCTCCCCCCCAGTGCCGGCTCGACGCGGCTGCCAACAAAACAATCCCGAACGCTTAGACGAAGCCGTCCCCTCCCCCCCTTCCATTTCGTCCGGTCTCTTGCGATAACCTCGCTGTTGACGCCACCCTTAACCGGCCCACCGAGTTCGGCATCGTGTGCTGCACCCCTATTGCGCAGCGCTTCCTCCCAAGCCGCCCAAGCCGTGCTCGCATTTCGGGTTACTTTCGACGGCCCAACCCATTTAACTATTTGTTACCCTCGCCAAATCAACGCGAATTCGGCCGCGACCTACCGGAACGCCCAGCACGGCCATTAGATTGCATCTCCGTCGTCGATTTCTCCCTGTGTCGTGATCCCCGACGTGCGAAGTGCGACGCGCCACCAAACTCCTCGATGGGGCGCACATAAACTGTAGAACGTGCAAAATAACTCGCTGCGGATTGGGATTGGGACTGGAATTCGGCGAGGAGCTTGAAGCCGGGCCTGCAACATGGACCGCTTCTCGACAGCGCTGCAGCGGCCGCCTCACTTTGATGAGGACGGGAGTAATGGCGCCGCAGCTGGAGGCGAAGATCGCGGGCCGCTGCGAGGAGGACTCCGCGACATCCTAAACCCTGTGAGCTCGGCGTCGCAGGGAGCATCAGCCTATGGGCCGCCAACCGCGCCAGGGACAGCACCAACACCTTCACGGCCGCACTCGTCCTTCAATCTGCGGTCGCCAACGCATCCCGACCTCCATCTCGCCCCTCTGCCCTTTGCTGCATCGCCGCCGCCGTCGAGCGCGGGCAGCAGCAGCCAGCAGCCAGGCAGTCGCTCCATCATCAACAATCCCTTCATGTCAGCATCCGCGCCGTCGCTGCCGCCACCACCGCTGCAGGCTCCACCAACCATCGCATCGTCAGTAGCATCGTCTGGAGGCCTGGTGTCAACCTCATTAAACCTGCAACCGCCGCCGCAATCGCCATTGCACGCCCCGTCCGCCTATTATTCCACTGACATGCGCGACCGCGAGCCGTCGCGCGACAAGTTGGCTAGTAATAGCTTCTACGACCCGACCGCCGACACCAAGGCGGCTAAGGCGGAGCGAGAACGCAGGGTTTCTGACACAGGCTCCTGGCGCAACGCGACGCAGGCTTCGACACCAAAGGTTTGTCCATACCTTTCCTTCCCTAAGCTTTGGGCACCCCAATACCATTGCCCACTTTCACCATTTCCATTCTTTCCATCATCATCCGCCATTCCTCACCAATCTCCCCCAACCCCAACCCCATCACCCATCCCCGTCATCATCATCGCCGCCATCAACAGCTTGGCCGTGCTTGTTTGCATGCCCGCCGGACTATGGCCAATCCCAGCGCCCCCATTTTTTCTCTCTGCAGACGACATTGCTCCTGAGCACCCGCCTCATTGATCGCCAACCAACACGCCCATTGTGCCAAAATTTAGCACTGACTCAAAATTTACACGCCACTTTAGGCCCGTGACCATTCGTACAATTATTCCCAGACCTCCACCGAGTATTACAACGGGGCCTATACCTCGCCCGCGGCATCGAGTTTTCCGCCACGCAGCCCCATCACTCATTCCCATCCGCCCGCTGCCGGATCCATCTCCCCATCCGCACGGCCGCTCAAGATGGCTTCGCCCAGCGCCCGGCATGCACTGATGCCCAGTCCTGGTGCCAACGGCGCCAATGGTTCCATCTCGGCCGCACTGCCGTCCCTCGCGCGGACCGAGTCGCCGGCACCGCCATCCAGAGCCTCTGCCGGATCCAGTGTAAGTATTCAACGATGCAAGGGCTATGGGTTTTGCCACGGCCTCTTCGCTGACATTTATTGAAGACTCCAAACCGCACCGCTGGTGTCATGTCGTTTTCGAATATTCTCTCAAGCGCCGAGCCTGCCTCCAAACCGAGAGCGAAGTCGCCCATCGTTGTCGACTTGGACGACTCTCCCGTCAAAGTCGAAAAACCCGAGCGACCCGAGAGGATCGAAAAGGCGGAAAAGGTTGAGAAAGAGAAGAAGCAGCCGCGCAGGAGCACCACAAAGCTGCGCATCCCAGATTTTAAGACTTCCGGGTCAACACCAAAAGTCTCGAGGAGAGTGTCATCAAAACACGATACCCCTACGCTCCGCGTTCCTACCAAGCGGCAGGCCAATGGCCATACAAAACACAAGACCTTCTCTGCGGACAAGGAGAAGAAGATCAGGGAGCTGATGGAGCAGTTTGAGGCCGAAGACGTCGACGAAGACTCGTTTGATGAAGAACTACACGTCTGGAAGGCGCGTTCTCTCCGCCGCCGAGCTGAGATGAATAACCGTGACCTTAGCCAGCGCCAGCCGAGGCGGGGCGACTTCACCGAATCCGAGTCTAAGAAGTTGAAGGTGCATTCCGATCTTGGTAAGAGGCGGTTCGATGATCTCAACTACGACGAGGCTTTGCAAGAGGTCCGCGAGCGCGAACTCTTCGCTGAGAAGGAGCGCAAGAAGGACATGCAACGCAAGAGGCGCCGCGAGAAGTCGATGGCCACTACTATGGAACAGAAGGCCGCAGCTCTTGCTCGAGCATCGGCTGCCCAGGACGAGTCCGAGAGGCTGAAGTACATGCGCGAGGCGGAGCGTGCCAACAAAAAGGTCCAACAGACCAAGCTCATCCTGCAGAAGGGCATTAAAGGCCCTGCGCGCAATCTCGGCCCGATCGAGCCCAATCTAGAGGGCGGCACCATGTCAACCTTCCAAGCCGAGAGCACGGAGACGGCCAAGGGCAAGGGCAAAGGCCGCACTGGTAGTAGACTTAAGAAATCCAAGGAGCAAAAGCAGGCCGAGAAGGATTCTGCCGAAGCTGCCCAGGCTGCCCTGGATGCCGGCGAAGAATTGCCAAGCAAAGAGGAGACCAGCAAGATCCGCATCAAGCTTAGCAAGACCAAAGTTCCCAAAGATGACGGCGAAAAGGACAAGGAGAACAAGGAGCCCAAGGAGCCCAAGGAGAAGGAGAAGGAGAAGGTTGTCGAGGAGCCCAAGGATCCCCTGGAGCTCAAATTCCAGTCCAAGGGCTTCAACCAGATCTACGACCAGATCTGGCGTGACCTGGCCAGGAAAGATGTCAACAAGGTGTTCAGATTGGCGACCGACTCGTACTCGACGAAGACATCCAACCTCAAGAAAACTGCCATCCTCGCGTCCAAGGAGGCCAAGAGGTGGCAGCTGAAGACCAACAAAGGCACCAAGGATCTCCAAGCCCGGGCGAAGCGCGTTATGCGCGACATGATGGGCTTCTGGAAGCGTAACGAGCGCGAAGAGCGTGATCTCCGCAAGGCGGCTGAAAAGCAGGAACTTGAGAATGCTCGAAAGGAAGAGGCAGACCGCGAGGCTGCTCGCCAGAAGAGAAAGCTGAATTTCCTTATCTCACAGACCGAGCTGTACTCCCATTTCATTGGCAAGAAGATCAAGACCAATGAGGTGGAGCGCAGCACCGATCACCCCGATGAAGTCGCCGCCAACAAGGACACGATTCCGGAGAACGGGCTTGATATTGACGAACCAACTGGGCCCGTTGGTTCCAAAGTCACAAACTTTGAGAACCTTGACTTTGACGCCGACGACGAGTCAACTCTCCAAGCGGCTGCCATTGCCAATGCCCAGAATGCCATTGCCGAAGCTCAGAAGAAGGCGAGAGAGTTCAACAAGGGCGAGAACGATATGGATGAGGACGGCGAGATGAACTTCCAGAACCCCACTGGCATGGGTGACGTCGAGATTGAGCAGCCTAAGATGCTTAACTGCCAGCTCAAGGAATACCAGCTCAAGGGTCTCAACTGGCTGGTTAACTTGTATGAGCAGGGCATCAACGGCATTCTCGCCGATGAAATGGGTCTCGGGAAGACTGTCCAGTCCATCTCCGTCATGGCGTACCTCGCGGAAAAGTACGACATTTGGGGGCCTTTCCTCGTTGTTGCGCCAGCGTCCACCTTGCACAATTGGCAGCAGGAAATCGCCAAGTTCGTTCCACAGTTTAAGGTGCTCCCATACTGGGGTACGGCGGGCGATCGCAAGGTCCTGCGAAAGTTCTGGGATCGCAAGCACACCACATACAAGAAGGAAGCCGACTTCCATGTCATGGTGACGTCTTACCAGCTTGTCGTTTCCGATGTTGCCTACTTCCAGAAAATGAAGTGGCAGTACATGATTCTCGACGAAGCCCAGGCCATCAAGAGCTCCCAGAGCTCGCGGTGGAAGTGCCTGCTGGGCTTCCACTGCCGAAACCGCCTGCTTCTTACCGGAACGCCTATTCAGAACAACATGCAGGAACTTTGGGCCCTCCTTCATTTCATCATGCCGTCGTTGTTCGACTCTCATGACGAGTTCAGCGAGTGGTTCTCCAAGGACATCGAATCCCATGCAACGAGCAATACCAAGCTCAACGAGGATCAGCTAAAGCGTCTGCACATGATCCTCAAGCCTTTCATGCTTCGTCGTGTCAAGAAGCACGTTCAGAAAGAACTCGGTGACAAGATTGAATTGGATATATTCTGCGATCTCACGTATCGCCAGCGGGCCATGTACGCAAATTTGCGCAACCAGATCAGCATCATGGATTTGATTGAGAAGGCGACGCTGGGAGATGACGACTCGTCCAGTCTCATGAACCTTGTCATGCAGTTCCGTAAAGTTTGCAACCATCCCGATTTGTTCGAACGCGCCGACACTGCTTCGCGCTTTTCGTTCAGTTACTTTGCTGAGACGGCCTCGTTTATACGCGAAGGCACAAACGTCTCCGTCAGTTACTCCTCACGCAACTTGATCGAGTACGACCTACCAAAACTTGTCTGGAGGGACGGAGGAAGGATTCAGAAGGCTGGCCCTGACAACTCGAAGGCTGGGTTCCGGAACAAATACCTGGGCCAGATGATGAATATATGGACCCCGGACAACATCCGCGACAGCTTAGAGGGAAGCGGTAACTTTTCGTGGCTCCGTTTTGCGGACACCAGCCTGCAAGAAGTTCGCCAGGCAGCCCAAAGCGATATCTTCACTCGTGCTGTCGGCCTCGCCACAAAGGAAAACCGACTTGGCAACATGAATGTGGCCTATAGCGAGCCGGAGGATAAGAACTGGACTTCCGCGCATGCCTTGTTTCAGATCCGCGAACGACAAGACCGCAAGCCATTGGCTGATATCACCGAACAAGGCGTTTTGGGTAGTCTGATGAACGTCGCCCGGGCTACGTACGACGATCTCGGCTTCGGGCGGCTTGAGCAGGCGGGGGCCCCCAGAGCCACGGCCCCGCCCATTGATGTCGTCTGTCTTGGCCGTGGATCGGCGACTGAACGCGAGGACATCATGTTCAACAAGCCAATGCGCAAGACTTTGTTCGGACCCTCGCTCCAAGACGAGAGGGCGCTTGTCACGCAGAAGGTGCCTGTCCAATGCTACCCAACACCCGCGCTACTACCTGCTCCAGACAACGAGAAGCGGCGATTCACCAACATCACTGTTCCTTCTATGCGCCGTTTCGTCACGGACTCCGGCAAGCTTGCCAAGTTGGACAAGCTCTTAAGGGAGTTGAAGGAAGGCGGTCACCGTGTATTATTATACTTCCAGATGACGCGCATGATAGACCTTATGGAGGAGTATCTGACGTATCGGAATTACAAGTACTGCCGGCTCGATGGCTCGACGAAACTGGAAGATCGACGAGACACGGTGGCAGATTTCCAGACGAGGCCCGAGATCTTTATCTTCCTCCTCTCCACTCGCGCCGGTGGCCTAGGCATTAACCTCACGTCGGCCGATACTGTTATCTTCTACGATTCGGACTGGAATCCGACTATCGACTCGCAAGCCATGGATCGCGCCCATCGTCTCGGCCAGACCAGGCAGGTCACTGTTTACCGCATGATCACGCGCGGTACCATCGAGGAGCGGATTCGGAAGCGTGCCATGCAGAAAGAAGAGGTACAGCGTGTCGTCATCACAGGCGGGTCATCAGGATCTGGCGGCGGCGTCGACTTCTCTGGGCGTAGGGCTCCCGAGAACCGCAACCGCGATATTGCCATGTGGCTGGCGGACGACGAGCAGGCGGAGCTCATCGAACGCCGCGAGAAAGAGCTTCTCGAGAGCGGCGAGTTTGACAAGCTGCAGAAGAAGAAAGGCGGCAAGCGGAAGCGGGTGGCCGAGAGTGGCGCCGATGTCAGTTTGGACGAGATGTACCATGAAGGTGAGTTTCCTATATCCACGGCGTTTATTCGAGTTTCTCCGTGCTGACCCAAGTCTTTGTAGGAGAAGGTAATTTTGACGATAACAAAGCCTCGGGTACAGCGACTCCCGTGGTTGAACCAGGCGCTCCTGCTGGAAAGCGAAAGCGAGTGGCTGGCGGTAAGAAGGCTAAGACCACGAAGCAACGGCTGGCCATCGCCGACGGGAGGGTTGATTAATGACAACAACAAGATGGGCGCGAGGTGATAGATGTCTCCCGCCCATGACAGGTAATAGAACTATCAACTGGTGTCCAGACCCAACCTTACACAAAAAGGGGGCACGGAGAGCGAAAAGACTCTTGCATTGTAGTAGTATTAGATGTGTTCTTGTTTGCATATTGGGTATTTCCCCCTCTTGTTATTTTCTTCTTCTTTTTATTTATCTTTATTCTTGTTACAGGGTTGGGCTAAAAGACGAGCACTTTGAGGGTCATTGAACCGGTGTTCAGGCTGGGTAAACGGCACGACAGACATCAGCAAGCACGATACAAATGAGTATTATACGGGCTTCAAGATATAGAGGTTGCGTCCTTTGCTTCGCTTTAGGTACCTTCCTGAGTATCTAGGTGGTTTAGAAAGAGTTTGTGGCTTTATTTCTGCGATTTTTCATGTCAATAATAAAAGAGATGTTTAATTTCATCGTTATCCCGTGAATGCATTTAGTCAGGTCGCTCGCTCGAGTCAAATTCCACAGATGAAATGCAGCGCTGAAGTTTGTTCTAGTGTAATAGCTTGCTTATATTAAAGCTCAAAGGCATGACGCATTAACTTGACTGCCTCTCTCTTTTTCTCTCTCTCTAAAAGTCGGGCGGACAAGAACAAATATGTTAGTCGCGCACTGTAATAATTAGAGCCCGAGAACCCAATGATCTATACGCCAAGCCAACAGTTAATAAAACAGTAAATGCCACATTGAGGCAGTGCGTGGTTGGTGACGCAAAGAGAAAGATGGCCTGCTTTTCAGCCGCTGCGAGGCAGACGATAAGAAAGTCCACCAGTATCAGGTGACTTGTCCAATCGAGACCCCCGAGAGACGGAGCGGTTCCGGGCCGGAAGGTTGGGGAGTGCAAAACTGAGGCCGCTGGGTTCGGTCGCGTAGCCTGCTCCTCCTCCTCCCAAGTCTTTGCGGGCCGGCTTGCGCTCTTCCTCCCGCTCGCTGTCAAGTACTCCCCGGCGTCCGCCATCGGACAAAACACGCGCCCTCTTCGCTTGTGGCGACAACGCCGCCTCTTCTGCCTTTTCCTCGTTGTATTGCGTTAATGCTCCCGTAGCCGTATCTAAAAGGTCCAATATCATGGGTAATTTGTGTCGTGGGCCAGATTCGGCCAAGCCATCGCCCCACAACACTTTATCCTTCTCCACCTCCGTCTCGATTTCCGCGGCGGGGCCGGCAACAGGAGCAGCAATGTCATCTCCAGCTCCCGCTGCTCGGCCGCCGCCGCCGCCGCCGCTAGGCTGGCCTTCCTAGACGCCGCCCAAAATATCGACCTTTATGCCACTAGGGCCCATCTTAACAGCCTCCCGGCTACCGCCGCCATCGATCTTGGTTTCCAATGTTGATGTTGTCTCGCTCTGCTGCAACACGTTGTACAGCCATTGGGCGACGAGAAACGAGCCGACGGCCCACACCGAGACGGTGGCAGCAACGGCGCTTGCGAGGAACAGGGCGGGCACCAACAACAACAGGGCGAGTCCCGACAGGAACAGCGTGGAGACCAGCGCGGCGCCGATGGCGACGAAGAAGACGGACCCGGCGAACGCCAGGAAGACCAGCACGGGGATGATGCAGAAGATCACTTCAAAGAGGATAAATGTCTGAGTGGGTTTGCAAGATTGCAGGTCAGACACGAGCCCCAATGAAGGGATGAAAGAGCCGGAAACGGGATGAAATGCGGGGTGTAAGAGGGGCAGGCAGGGTAGTCACTACGCAGTACGCACAGCAAGCAGCGGGTGGGCCATGGCAAAGTCGAGCACATGCGTGTAGGCCCTTTGGCGCGACTCGGGCGGCACAAATCGGTCGACATGGTGCTGCGTGAAGCCGACCAGCCTGGAGGCGGCAGTGTTAGGGCCGGCCACGACCATGGTGGTTCGGGAGCGGAGTGAGTCGACGGTCCCCTAGACGAGCAGTACGACGGTTCGGTAGAAGGAGGCGGCGCGGAGGAGGAGACGGAGGGAGCGCCCGGGGATCTTTATACCGTCCAGCGTGGCGGTGTTTGGGGGGTGGTGTTGGTGGAAGGTTGTTGGAATGCTGGGATGATGGATGGATGGATTGAGGGGTTGGCGGCGCGTGGCTGACCTGAGCTGCGCTGACCAGACCTGCCTGAATATTGGACAAGAGGCGTGACGATGCGTTAAAGAAGATGGAACAATCAAAGGGAAAAGAAGTTAGGAATCTCTCAAAGCCTTGGGAAATCGAATGATTGCGTTCGAAAGTAAACATCAGAGCATTGCGGACCGGGATGGGAGGGATACAAGCGAGGCTTTGAGTTTGGCGAGGCATGCTGTGACGTAACCACCTGGCGATCGGGGGTCGCTCAGTGGAGTCAGTGCTTTAGGTTGGGCAAGGGCATTACCAGTGTCCCAGGGTTAGGGTACGTTATGGTCTTGGCTTTGCAGGCTGCTGCTACCTTCCATTCATTGGGAAGCAAAAAGGGGAACCATAACCCGTGCCTCTCTTTTCTGCTACACATGTCCTGTATCACTTAATTGCTGCTAGAACCGCACCTCGGGTTCTTATTTGCATAATGCATGCACCTCGGGGCATTTGCAACAAAGTCCCCAACAGACCTGGTCGCGAGGCTGTTGGGTTGTTCGGGGTTAGTGAATGGTCGCGTTCCTGCCCTCGGCTTCCACTGTCTGCACAGAGTCAATACCATCCGAGCATGCAAGCATTCCCCGTCAACCTCGGGCGTCGTAGGATACATCCAGGCCATACAAACGCCAGCACCTACTCGCCTTCCGGGCTTCAAGTCTAGAACAACAAAGTCCTGAACTGTAGCAATCATCCCTAGTCATCGTTAGTCATAGTCCAGCTACAATATTAGGCAGGCAACCAGCTCGGCCGTCCCCAGGATTTCCATCCCCGCATTTCACTTTGACGGTAATATAACACCAGACCGGAGCCCATATACGCCCCGGAGATTTGATGAATGGTCATGTGTGCCGTCGAGGCTCGTATATTATCCGCGCCGCCATAACAGGGCAGCTATATGTCCTTCCTCCCGTCTGCGAGTCCTTATGTTGCTGTGACAGAACCCAAACCAGCATCTAGTCTGGGGGATCAACCTGTTGAGGTCGTTATGCATATGCTGGCGCAGATGTAAACGAGTCGCCCTGTTCAACCCCATCGATAGTTAGGCAAGGAGTCGCTATAGGTAATGTATGTACATGCCTGGCAAATGGTTGGCACGCCTTGACAAACCACTGACTAAAGATTCAAGGGCACAAAGCCAACCCCATTACGCCATGGTCATGTACATGATTTGACGTCGACTGACGACGCGGCCTTGGCCATGCGCGGCCTTGGCCATGTCGCCACGAGCACAACTCCCGAGACGGAGATTATGGGCCAATGGGAGATTTCTGGGGATTTCCACGAGTCGTAATGTCAAAAGGGGGAAGCACCACACAATCAGCACGGCGGGGTACCCGAAGGCTTGTTTTGACAGGAGCGCTGCGAGATGCCGCACCTCCGGGTATTTTGCCTGACCGGTGTCTACCTGCGTACTGTGTCTATATGTCCGTACCGACGTCGTGCAAGCAAATAACGATGACCGCGAAATTACTGACAGTGCCGATCCTCGTCGGCCTTGCCCAGGCTATTATGGACCAGAGAGATCTGCCAGCACGCCATAACACCACAAGCACACGCACACCATCGGTCACAGTCGCGGTCCCTTGCGGCGCTGCTGGTAAACATCAAGTGGCGCTGCCGGTCTGGCCTTCAGTCCACTCACCATCACAACTACCTACTCACGTCATGACTAATTAATATGCTCCTTGCTGCCCCAGCTTCGACCGACTACCTATTTTCAGACTATAGCCTGATTCCCCCGGGGGGTTGCTCGTGTACAAGAGCACACACACACATGAAGCCATGTATGTGTCCGTGTAGCCACATCCTCACCTGGTCGGCGGAATCCCCCAACGTCACGACCTGGCGGCTGATGGGCCATGGTTGGCCACTCGTGGATTGCTAATGCCGCCTATATTAGGGGGGCGAGCGCTGCTGGGACTGCGAGTCGCGTCGGGCTACAAGACAGGTAGGTATATAGACTCAGCAGACGAGCCGTTGCCTTTTATCTTTGCAGTGCCATGCTTGCTTGCTTGGTTCTCTCCGTGTCCCCATCGGATCCAAACCGGGTCCAGTCTTTTGGCAAGTTCCTTGGTCCTGCGCCGAGTGGGGCAAATCACATCCTTGTGTGGCATCGCAGCCCCTTTCTAACAAGCCGTGTCCGGTACGCAGCTTAGCTAGGTAGCCACACAGGCTCACCACCAAGCAAATTCTCTGCCCGCCATGGCTCGCTCGCTGTGGACGTGGCTGGCGCTCCTGGCCCTGCAGCTGGGAGCAGCCACTGCCGACAACTCCGCCTGCACCTGCACCGGCCTTGACTACACCGATGGCGGCTCGTACCTCGTCGACGGGTCCGCCGACGGCGACTTTACCTTTACTTCGGTCTTCAGCTGTGAGCAACCTCAAGACTATACCCTAGTCATGACGAGCCAAGCCTAACACTTCGCCCCCTTAGCCTGCAGCACGCCCGACACTGTCCAGCCGATCCTCGTTGGGCCCAATAACGAGCAGTTTACGTGCGGCGCCATTGAGATGCAGATCGACGACGAGCAGCAGCGGTCGTCCTGGTCAGTGCCGCCTTGAGCTTCCCCGCTGCAATCTCCTAAACCAAGACGTCATGCGTATGCGTTGCTGACACGCCATGTCCGCAGCGGAGTGCCGTACTCGCAAATGTCGTCGGGAACCTGGACCATCGTGATCCAGGCTGACAACACCAACTTCCAGGTGATCCGCGTGTTCCAGCTGACCGTGACGACGGCCGACCACGTCACCACGACGGTGACGCCGACGGTGGTCGTGGGTGTGACGAGTACGGCGCCGGGCGTGAGTATGTTACACCACCGGGCTAGCCAGCCCCTTTTTCGTTTCCTGTCAACAACCGCCCCCCTTTTTCTTCTTTTCCTCCCACAACACCATCGCCGCCCCCGTTTCCCCCCTGCCCCCTTCCACAAAAGCACAAACAAAACAACAACCCCCTAGGCAACCACTAACAACTCCCACCCCGTAAGTAATCGAAACAACCCTCACCGAGACCTCCACCGTAATTGGCCGCGCACCAACAGTCGTAAGCCGTTGCGGTGACAGCCCGTCCGGCACGCGCACGCTCACGCAGTGGCTGCCCGCGCCCGTGACAACGATCGAGACGGTCGTCGAGCACACGCGCACGGCGGGAGTAACCACGTCGGCGTACGTGACGACCGTGGGCGTCGCGGCGTACTGTCACGGCGGGCGCGCGGCCGCTGCGCCTGTTGCTGATCGGCCTGCTCCCGCGCCGGCGCAGCCAAAGCCGAGCGGGTGCAGTGATGGCTGCCGGCCGTGGTATTCCTCTAGTGGGTGGGGGTGGCAGTCTGGTGGGCGCAGCTCGGGAGGGAGTTCGGGAGGTGGGAGCGGTGGCGGGCCGTCGGGCGGCGGGGGGCTGGGCGGAGGTGGCTCAGGGGGTGGGCGAGGAGGTGGAGGCAGCGGTGGTGCCGGTGGCGGCGCTGGTGGTGCTGGCGGAGGAAGAGGTGGTGGTGGTGGTGGCGGAGTAGGTGGTGGTGCAGGGGGTGGTGGTGGTGGCGGAGTAGGTGGTGGTGCAGGGGGTGGTACGGGAGGCGGACGAGGCGGGGGAGGCAGCGGTGGTGCTGGTGGAGGTGCTGGTGGTGGTGGAGGAGGTAAAGGTGGTGGTGGCGTAGGCGGTGGTGCCGGTGGGGGAAGTGGAGGAGGAAGGGGTGGCGGCGGCAGCGGCGGAGGAGGACTGGGTGGTGGCGGCTCAGGCGGTGGAAGCCGAGGCGGCGGCTCGGGCGGCGGCTCGGGCGGCGGCTCGGGTGGTGGAAGTCGGGGTGGAGGTGGTGGTGTAGGTGGTGGTGCCGGCGGCGGAACCGGAGGAGGTAATAGGGGCGGCGGCGGCGGTGGAAGCAGTGGCGGAGGCAACCGAGGTAAGATGAAGCCCCAACTTCACTTGTCTCTACTCTAGGGTTCGGGAACTAACCGCGAGAACTACAGGCGGCGGTGGAGGATCCGGTGGAGGATCCGGTGGAAATAGAGGCGGCGGCGGTGGTGTAGGCAGCGGGGGAGGCGGAGGCGGAGGAGGAAGCAGGGGAGGCGGTGGTGGAAGCGGCGGCGGAAGCAGAGGAGGAGGAGGTGGTGGTGGTGGAAGCGGAGGCGGCCGATGTAAGACTCTATAGGGCCTCTCCCTGTGAGATCCCCAATCTGTTCTTGATGCTGACCTACAACTTAACAGCTGGCGGCGGAGGTGGAAGTGGAGGCGGCGGCCGATGTAAGGCTCAACAAAGCCTCCCCCCTTGAAACGATCCCTCTGGTCCTCAGTACTGACATCTAACTTATAGCCGGCGGCGGCGGCGGAGGCGGCGGAGGCGGTGGTGGCGGCGGTAGAGGTACGCTCGAAACCCTTACCAGTGCTCCTTGACACGAACTTACAGACATGTAGGCGGTGGCGGCGGCGGCGGCGGTGGTGGTCGTGGTGGCCATGGCCGTCGTGCAGTCAAGGCCGAGCTTCAGCAACGCGAGGCGGTCAAGGCAGCCGCGTTTACGACGACTGTTGAAGCATCAACTACGGTCACGACAACTTCGACAGTTATCGTCCCCGGACGGACTTGGATCGAGACTGGTGAGTCAACAATTAACTACTTCTAGTTTCCATCGAGAATGCTCAGCTAACTATAAGCCCAGAATACGCCACTGCCACCTCGACTTTGTAAGTCTCCCTAAATGTGCCATTGTTGGCTATCCCGTGCAGCACGGATGCCTGGCTAACCAGACTGCAGCGTTCCTCCTGCCCAAACCATTTGCGACCAGCGAGAGTCGGCCACCGTCACAGTCTTCTCGTCTCAGCCAACGCAGACTGTGCTCGAAGTGAGCGACGTGACTTACAACACCATAGTGACAGTTTGGGTTGGGTACGTACCCCTATCTCTCTTCATTGCAGTCCATTGTACATGTCTTGATGCTAACTGCCCGGCCTATGCAGACAAACGCAGTACACGACGTACACCAACTACCAGTCGGCCTCGATCTGTTGGGCAGCCGGTGGCCAGTATGGAGCCTACTAACGCATGTTGTCTTTTGTCTTTGCGCTGTGTTTGTTGCCATAGTTTATTAACTCTACTTCACACTCCTTCCCCCTTTTAACAAGTCAGCCCTTTTCACCATCCTTTGAGCATGGGCTTGGTATTCAGGTGCATCGTCTTCCTTCCAATTTGTATTTTAAATTTACGTAGCTCTTTCGGAACCTTTAATGTTGTTATTCATTTACCTAAGAAACTGATCACGAGGAATTATCCTAGCGGATTTGGGGAAGGGGCAAATATATGGCCCAAGGACCAAAAGTGAGGCTCGTTCAAAGTAGCAGCAAAAAAGGCCAAATGAGCAACAGGCGTCAAACAAGCTTATACCGGCGTCAAACAAGCTTATACCGGCGTCAAACAAGCTCATATAGGTATAAAACGAGCCACCAACGCCAGGCCGTTAAATTTTATTCATCATGCCAAGCTCGGTGTGGCATGGCTTCCAGCAGACGGGTCCACTGGGAGAGCAGTCTGCCGCCTGAAGGATGGCCTCCGAACGCCCGAAGCGGAATGCTACGGAAGGCAGATCCAGCAGACTAGCCCCGCGGTTTTCTCCAAAAGCCGCTCGCTCTCGGAGACATTCTTGGCTAAATCCTGCCCACGCTTGTTCAAGCCGTGTGCCTGATTAAAAGATGGGGACTGATCCCTGATTCTCTGATCTCTCCTTGGCGTCCCCACACTCGCAGCCCAGGCCCAGGGCAATTGCGAGTTGTCGAGGAAAGAGCTCCCGACGGCGGATTCCACCTGCCCGGCCTGAAACATCGAAGCCGGCTGATTGGGGGAACTTTTTATCATTGATCGTACATCCTTTACCGAAACCCCCTTTCTTCAAGGTTTGATGCCAAACTTGGAGACGCCAGCGTCAACGCTAACGCTATCGATCAGTATCATGGACGAGCCTGGCCGTGTTGCCATTCTTAGCTGGGACGGCATTGAACTTGCGCCCAAATGGCCCTTGTCTTGTCAATCGCGTCAGTCAGGTGCGCTTCTGCCCAACGCCGGGTAATTCCAGCCGCCCAATATAATCCCGTGGTTGGCGTGAACCATTGATCTCGGAGAAACCGGTGCACAACATCCTCCGGCGTCTACTGCGGCATTTGCGGCAGAGACCCTTCCGCCAGAGTCAGTCAAAGCAATCTGTCGATGGTGACACGTGGATATCCCTCTGTGAGGCTGAACCTCAAGATCGCCAAGCATGACCCGTCAAACAATCCGAGTAGAGAGGGAACACGCCAGTCTAAGCGACGGAAGCTCGTCGCGCACGTTTCAGATTAGCCGCATTCCGTCTTGCCCAAGGAGGCGTTCGCTTGTCGGCCCAGTACCACCTGGCTGGTTATGCCCGCCATGGCAGACATGACGGAGCCGCCACTTGACCGCGGATTGATAGCCAAGTCCACTTTAGCTCTCCCGAGGAGCCGTTGACTCGGAGCCCCCAAGCCCTCTGCAGCGGGTGCTATCATGGAAGATCGCCCGAGATCCCTCGTGATCCTTGGCAGGGCAAATCTCGTTAGTAGTACCTCTATCAGCGCCAGCAAATCACCTCGCTCGTCCATATTAACCTTCCGATGTCTCTTAGGCACCCTTCAGCCTCCTCTGCTACATGCATCCCAAGCGGACGATTCCCGGGCTGGGCCGTCACTCACCATTATGGCCGCAGGGACCGGCCCAGTTAATTAAACAACAGTCGGCAAAAACGCTCGACTGATCCGATGTCTTGTCCAGAAAATTCTGACAGTGGATCGACAAGCACGGGGCTTTAAGTGTGGTGAGATCGCCATACGATCCAGCTCTGATAATGGCGCCATTTCCACTGTCTCTACCGCGCGTCCAGTGAAGAGGACCACGAGTGCGTGTCCGATCCTCTTCCCCGGCCGATCCCGAAACGAAACGAATATATCTCGGTGCCTATTTCCCCAGATTTTCTTCTCCACGATCTGAACCAAGGCGGAGGAAGCGAAACGTGGAGATCCCACCAGCGGCCGCACCCCCTTGCACCCATTAACACGAGCAGTCGCCATACACCTTATCTGCATCACGTTGCGACGCGACTGCGGGATGCTGCCGCTGTACCCCCTTCTCGCCCTGTTGGGCTTGGCGGGCGCCTCACCTGCCGCCCACGCTTCGCCCTTCGATAAAGCCGACGCTCTTGCCGACTGCCTGTCAAAGTCTGGCGTGCCGACAGATGCCCTTGGGACTGACGACTGGAAGCTTGATGTCGCTCCATACAACCTCCGACTCAACTTCACCCCGGTGGGGATTGCCGTGCCCACTACACCGAAACACGTTCAAGATGCAGTTGCTTGTGCCGCCAAGCTCGGTGTCAAGGCTAATGCGAAGTGCGGCGGGCACAGTTACGGGTCCTTTGGACTGGGAGGCGAGGATGGGCACTTGACAATCGAGATGGACCGGATGAACAAGGTCGTTCTGGACAACACAACCGGCATCGCCACGATCGAAGGTGGCTCACGTCTAGGCCATGTCGCATGGGAACTTTACAATCAAGGGAATAGAGCCTTTAGCCACGGGACATGTCCAGGGTGAGTCTGCAACGTGGTTACTCAATATTTTTGGCGGAGCGAGCTGACACGAGGTTAGCGTGGGTGTTGGCGGACACGCACTTCATGGAGGATACGGCGTCAGCTCGCATACCAAGGGGCTGGCCGTGGACTGGATGGTCGGGGCGACGGTTGTTCTCGCCAATTCAACCATCGTGAACTGCTCGGCGACCGAAAACCCGGATTTGTTCTGGGCACTTCGCGGTGCCGGCGGGTCGATGGGTGTCGTGACGCAATTCCGTTTCCATACGTTTGTGGTCCCTCAGAAATTGACCTTCTTCGTCGGCGCTATGCAGTGGCCGACACAGGAGAGAGCGCTGGTCGGCATGCAAGCAGTCCAGGACTTTGCCCAGAGTATGCCGCCCGAGTTGAACATGCGTCTTTTCATTGCGCCACGGTTCATCAACATCGAGGGGCTGTACTACGGTGATTCGGCGACTTTGACAGCCACCCTGGCACCACTTGTCAAGAAAATCAATGCCACGATGCAACTAGTGCAGGAGGGCGGGTGGCTGGATCAGCTCAAGCACTTTGGCAACGGTGTCACCGTTGACCAGACTCATCCGTACAACTTTGTAAGTCGGCAACTTGCTCATTTTCCGATACTCGTCCTCATTTACTGACCACTGAGAAAGCACGAGACTTTCTACTCGTCCAGTCTATACACCAACGCGCTCAACGATACGCAGCTCAAGTCCTTCGTTGGCTACTGGTTCAACGTTGCGAAGAAGAACAAGCGCGATTGGTACGTGCAAATCGACCTCCACGGCGGGAGCACGTCTGCGGTAACGAAGCTGGAGGTGGACGCCACATCGTATGCCCACCGCGATTATCTTCTCATGTATCTCTTCTACGACCGGGTCGACAGGAATGTTGCGTACCCGGCGGACGGATTTGCAACCACGCAGAACTTCATCCGCAACATCACGGACGGCATGGGAAATAGGGCGTGGGGCCAGTACATCAACTACCCAGACCCCAACATGGACCAGATCACGGCGCAAGCCAACTACTGGGGCACCCATTTGCCGAAGCTACAGGCAGTCAAGAAGGCCGTGGATCCCGGAGACGTGTTCAACTATCCACAGGGCATCTTGCCTGCATGAGCTGCGCTCCCATTCGGCCATGTCGTACCAGGATCTGGGAGCAGGATAAGGACGGCTCATCAAGTGTCATTGAACGTCATCATCAGATTGATATTTATACCCCTTGCATCTTGCATTTCGCATGACGACCGAGAGAGGCGGCAGGGAATAAACATCACAGAGTGCTATCCTTTTTCAATTTCAAGCGGCACTTTTTACTGTTCAGTGCACTTTTGATCTCCGTCGACGCAAAGAATGTTCCCCATGAATAAAAATGCGCTTTCAATGTAAAATGGCCCGAGGCACTTTTCTTATGCACTTCTGTGATTCTCAAATCAAGAGCATCCCAAAGCCATTCTCTATCAAGGTATCATTCATTACCGCATTTTCCGGACTCCCGAAACGCCATCGACAGGATTCCACGACAAGATCAGGACACAAGAGCCCGTACTATTCTCCGCGTTTTATTTTACAAGGCAAGAAAGACTACCCCAACAAGCGGCAACAAGAAGCTGCCGAGTCCCTTGGCCGTAATGGCCTCAAGCAATGAATGTCCTCCACTTGTCGGCAAAGGCGACGCCGCCGCAGTACCACTGCCTTGCGTAAATGATGTCGGCGAAGATGTCGTTGCCACTGTCGGCGATGCCGATGCCGGTGCCGAAGTACCCCCAGCCTGGACTCGAGCGGCTGCCGCCTGGACGAGGAGGTTCGACACAGCGAAGTAGGCAGGCTTCTTGGTGTAGTTGGCCGTGAAGAGACAGGCGTCGCCCTTGCCGGGAAACGTGCTCGGAATCCAACTGTATTTATCAGTAAACTGCCAGACGGTGATGCCTAGGCACTTGGGCACGGCCAAGCAGGCGTCGACGGCCGACACGTAGTCGCGCGATTGCTGCTCGAGCGCGCTCGGCGTCGCCGGCAGTTTGGTGTGGGCAATGTCGAGCTCCGAAAGCGTCACATCGAGCCCTAGCGACGTGAAGCGCTCCATGGTGGCGACGAGCGACGTCTTGTTGGGCGTCTGCCCGACATTGAAGTGCGCCTGGAAGCCCACGCCATCGATGCGCACGTTTGCACTCTGCAGAATCTTGACAATGGCCACGGCTCCGTCCGCCTTGGCCTTGATCGTCTCGAGGTTGAAGTCGTTGTAGTACAGCTTGCTGTCGGGGTCCGCCGCCGCCGCCGCCGTGAACGAGATTCCCAGGTAGTCGGTCCCCAGCGTCTGCAGGAACACGTCGTTGCGGAACGTGCCATTGTCCGCCAACGCTTCGTTCACCACGTCCCAGCTGTAGCACTGCCCCTTGAAGTGGCCCACCACGTTGGCGATGTGCGCTTGGATGGCTGCCGTCAATGTAGCCCGTGTCCAGCTCGTTGTGGAGACTTTCCGTGGTCAGCATCTCTTTGATCACGGGCTGGTATTTACAGACACCAGAGCTGGAGGTATTGGACAGCGGCTTACTAAACTGCGGCAGTTGCGAATGCCAGGTTAGTGTGTGGCAGCGGAACAGTTGTCGATTGGCCTTGGCCCGCGAAGCGACGACGTCCGAGTTGTTGTAGACGAACTGCCTCAACGTGGGCTGCACAACCTCCCACTTCTGCGAGTTCTCAGGCACGATCATGCCGAACTCGCTCTGGTTGGTGGCGATGGCCTGGTACGGGACGTCGTTGATGTTGTTGGTGTCGGTGGCCGTGCCGAAGAACAGCTTCCCCGATGCCACGAACAGCGAGTGCAACCCTTGGCCTGCAGGCGGCGACGGCGATGTCGCCTGCGCCCACGCTCTGCTCCCACCCGAGCTGGCCAGCAAGCCCGACAGCATGGCCAGGCTGGCTAATATTCTCCGCGCCATTGCTGTTTAATACGGCGAGTGTGGGTTGGGGGGGGGGGGTTCTCACAACCCCTGGTTGAGAAGCACCGTGGTCGTTTTATATTCTCCAACAAAAACCAGAAGGCCAGAGAAGGAGAGGCTTCGAGAACACGGGGACGGAGGGAATGGAAGCTCAGATCGCTATCTATCGGGTTTTATTCGACTCGGCTACCACTGCTGCTCCTCCCGTTTCCCTGTCCCGAATGCCTCGGGACCGCCGCTCGTGGGCGATCACGAGTATCAAGAGGCTAGCCAGGGCGGAGAGGGGTAAAGAGCAAATAGTTCCGGAGCTAAGGAGAGCTTCCCGCGAAGCGCTAACGAGTTGAAGTCTAGATTGGGATTGTTTTGGGAAACTCGCGCTCCTTTTCTTGCCTTGTGCTGCTGCTGCTTTCCATTTTGGGTTTGCCTGTTTTACCATGGTTGCATGCCATGGCATTAAGGACGCGTGCATTGCTACACCCCCAGACCCCATGGGAAACCGGCTGGGCTGGCGATCTTTTCACACGTTTCAGAATCATGGAGTCGAAAAAGCACGCGGCGCGGACACCTGAGCGGAAATTCCCCGGCCGTGAGACGCCGCCAAATACAACTGTAGCCGGCCTTTTGTCAATGCGCCCTCATGCAACGACGGAACCACGAAAGCATTCTCCTATGCGATTTGGGAATTCCACGAGGGCCGTCAGTCGATTGACTCCGTCTGTCTGTGTCTGCTGCTTTTTTTGCATGACTGGGTGAGGGGGGTGGTATTTACCAGCGCCCAGCCCCTAATTAGTAGTCTGTAAGTCTAGGCCTTGATCTTGTTCGTTTCGTCTCCAACGAGCCTCTAGACTAGAACAGGTGCGTGCGGTCCAAGCAGCTAGCCGCCAAGCGGGCAGCATTGCAACATTCCTTGATGTAATCAAGGTCGTAGCTAACGATCTGACGTCTGAAACCACCACTCCCAGGAAGGGACAAATTGCAGGCCAATGCCACCCAGGCTAGCCGCTTGCTGGCAGCGTTGACTATAGGTTGGTCGACATGGCAAGGCACCGGCAACGGAGCTGCCAAGCGTCAGTGTCCAGTCCCAGTTCCACGGATTCGTGCCTCCGTGATGAGCGTGCACTCGCTGCATCGTGGGATTGTGGGGAACCCTGGACGGCGCCATGTTTGGTTCTGCTGATCATCTCCCCTGCAGGTGACACTAAGTTGGGGTGGGTTGGACTTTGGACTCGACAGCCCGCTGCCATCAGGCTCGAGAGTGATTTTCCTTTCTCTTGTGTCCGTCTATGGCAGTACAGTGATGAGAAATAGCGACGAGCGATGGCATTCGCGATAGAGGCAACAGAGCACCACGACCGACATGCCATCGGGTTTAAATACCTCGGCTTTATTGCATTGGATTGAGGGTGTTGACGAGGAGTGTGGTGTCACGACGGAGTCGAGATGCTTGTCTCCTGCGCCCCTGAGCTGCAGGCGGGACGGCCGTGAACTTCCCTTCCAGGCCACCAGAGCTCCCCGATCTCCATCACCCCTCACGTTCTGAAGAGGAACTTACGGCCTGACGTGCATCCTGCACAGTATACCCGCACGCTGTATGGCAACTGGGTAACATCTCATTTTGGTCAGAGCAGGATGTTGGCTTTTTCAAGATCAAGATCAAAATACTGTTATGATAGCTAGACTCCGGTAGCACGTTATCCAGAGTTAGTATTATAACTATGAGCTGAAACAACACAATATTGGCGGTGACTCTAAGGGCGCCTTTGGTTTGGCATGTAAGCTCGGTTACGTTAACTGTTTTCCGTCCCTCTTTACTTGGGTGTGTATTTATCACCAGTAGGCGCCATGGCCAAGTAGAGGGTGTGGCCGCTCAGGGCTTCTAACTGGGAATTTTCTTTGGTTCAAGCCGGTAAGGTAGGTAGGTAGGTGAAAAGCATGTGATAAAAATCTACGACGTTGAGACTCGGGACTAGCCCCGGCCCGCCCGAACTAATGCCTTTCCTTGGGCTTCTCTTCTTTCCTTCCTCAATACGGTCCTTCTTCAACACGGTTCTTCTTACAATCCTTTCGTCGTCGCCGTCATGTTCATCGGTCGTTACCGGAGTCCCTATGTTCCCTATGGTCATTGTGATCCCTGTGGTCCCTGTGGTCCCTGTGGTCCTTTTTTGCCTTATGGTGGTGTAGTCCTTATGGTGCGGTCCTTATAGTCGTGTGGTCCTTATAGTAGTGAAGTCGCCGTAGCCTGTATAGCCCTGAAAATGAACTAGCCTGTCTTTACCGGTAGCTAATGGAATTCAGGGTACTTGTACCAACTAAAATGGCGCATATCAGGAAGTCGCCGAGCAAGAGTATCGCGAAGTACTCCGGTACGGTACCTAGCTTCCTTTTCTTCCCACTTTTCTTTCCACTTTTCTTTCCACTTTTCTTTGAACTTTCTTTCTTGGATGAATATATCCGCGAGAATCGGGTACTAACCTTACTGCTTCTTCATACGATCTCGATCTACATTGAGCCCGTCAAGACCACGCCAAAGCCAGGTCTTCTAGAATGACGCGGGTTCTCTTTTAAACTTCCATTATTATGTAGCTCTAGCCTGATTTTTACAGTTCCAGACGAACAAAATTTATGATAGAACAACACACCCTATCCCTTGTTGAATACCCACAATATTTCCTCTGTCACGAGGTCGACCGCGCCATGCTTTACACGGTTCCACGCACCGAACTCATCAAGCACCCCCAATCCATTATTCCCACCATAGAGGGCGATTACTACATCTCCGTAAAAGATCGACGACTCAAGGACGCCTACCTCGTCCACCTCTGCAGCGAGACGCAGAGGGCCGGCTAGACCACAGCTATCTTCACGCGATCCGTTTCCGAGACGCACCGCATCACTCGTCTGCTCAACACTCTCAATATCGGCACCGTGTCGCTCCAAAACGACCTTTCTCGACAGTCGCGAGTAGTTGCTTTCAATAAGCTCAATTTCAAGGAGTGCCATGCCATTGTGGCGACGGACGTCGCCGCTATCCTCTGTGATCCCATCCCTCGGGTCGACCGCATCATCCACTTTAGCCTTACATGGAGCGTGACCGCCGAGGCATACACGCGGCGATGCGTCAGCAACGCATTAGGTCTCGACGGTGATGATGATTCGAGGCATGCCATTACCTTTGTCACGCAACAGTAAGTTGAGGTACCTTTCGAGCCCTTTGCCGAATTTACCTTGGCCGGGCCGAAGTTAACATGCTTTGTCTACAGCGATGTAGAGATATACCTGCGCCTGGAGAATGCTCTTGACGTGCCCATGGCGGAATATGCTGTCGACGTGGATATGGTTATGGCCTGCAAGGGGCAGGTGGACGAAGCTGTGCGTGAGGACCCTTCGCTGAGAGACACTGGCACCAGCGCCTGACCAACTCACCTGCTGCAGACCAAGGACAGACTTCCTTGAGAAACACTGAGCGGTAATAGCGAGGACGGGGAGGAGGGCAACCTATTGAAGTAAAAGGCAGACCCGCACTCCAGGAGTGTACTGGTGCAGATTGTGGTGGAGAATGAAGCTCAAATGCCAACACAACCAGAGTGTCAAATTGCCTTCCGAAGCTTAAAGACTTTTAGGGTGGTCCTACCAACGTCCGTTTGGAGTGATGTAACAAGGCCTGATGGATATTAAAGGCACCGCACCGTCATGGTAGGCGTCTCAGAATGGTGCCCTGACAGCGCAAAGGTGATTAGCTTCAGATTGACGAGCCTCGGGATGTGACAATCGCATCCAGTTACAGGAGCATGAGACAGCGTAGACTGCTTAAAGAGGCTATTAGAGATTGAGGTTCACTAAATGACCCATTGTTATTTTGCCCCTGTTCCCCCCTTTTCTTTTCCACTTCTTCCAACAAATCATTGAATTTTTCTTTTTCAAAGGGAGAGAGCATTCCACCACATGTATGTCTTGTTACCACCATCATATCAACAGCCTAATTATTTTGATAATTCGAGAGAGATCCAAAAAAAAAAACGACAGACAAACCAAAAGCACGAAACCACTACGTAACCTTACACGGTTGTCAGACTCCTGGCTCTCGCCAGGCTACCGCCATCCGGAGAGTCAGTCTGTGGTTTGAGCGTGGCGCTAAACCGGCTCGCGGCCCGGATCTTGTCGCCGTACATGATGAAGGCAAACGGCACGAAGCCCAGCACCGCGCTGATGAGCGCCAGAAGCGTGCAGGACCAGGCAATCCCGAGCGAGCTGAGCATCTTGTCAACGCAGAGCGGGATGAGGGCGCCCGCAATGCTCCGCGTGGTTCCGCAGGCTGCGAGCGCCGACGCGGCGTAGATGTCATAGGCATCGGTGATATACTGAGAATTACCAGGTCGAGTCAGCACTTGCACATTGGTCTATCTGCACAGCTGTTGACTAGGCAGCACGGGTTCTCACGTTTATCATCGCCACAAAGATCACCTGATAAGCGAAACCATATGGGATGAGAGCCGACAGCGGCACAAACCAATGCACCGAGGCCGTCGCAGTCCAGCCGAGCCAGACCAGCGAGATAACAAATATCGGGCCGCCAACGCACGCCAGCGGGAGGCGGAGATACTCAGCTCTCTTGTCGGGGTGCTTGGCACCCAGGCGCGGGCCGATATTATCATACCAAAGAGAAAACAAGCATCCAGAAACGGTGCCGATAGCCACTGGACAGACGCGTCAGCCAGAAATTGCATCGTAAAAGCGTCACGCCACCAGAGTCCGCGAAGACTTACTGATGGAGAAAGCAACTCCCGCTATGCCAAGACTGAACTTGTAGACGCCCTGAAAAATGGTGCCGAATATCTGCACCATCCTATGTGAAGTTAGCTATATTGGGTGAGTATCGACCGAGAGTTTGAATCCACGAAAGCAGGACGTACATGTAAAACACGGCGTATGTAAATGCCATGTAAACACAAGCCAAAGCCAACAGCATCTCGCTGAAAAGCAGGCGCAAAGGCCTCGAGAGTGTTGTTTTCTGCCCAAATCAACGGTTAGCAAGCAGAATGACATGGTTAGCGATTCTCGGCACACTTGAAGCGATCGCTGACCAAACACGGGCGACTAGCAGCGGAGGCACAGAACAAAGAGCTCAGTGTGGCTTGGCTAATTAGACAGATGGATAGCCTGGCTTCTTACAAGAGATGCCCACAGACTGCCCTTCCGCACATCGCCGGCGGCGGTGAAGTTTCTCCCCTTGAACTTCTTGTTTAGCTTGGCTGCCCTTGTGCGCAGGATCTTTGTAGCAAACGTTTCAGGCAGCGCAATCACGGGAATGAAAGAAACAGACACCATAATCAGCGCGATCCTTGAGACGTTGAAGCATTAGCAAGGGAGGAAATAGCGCAATGTGCCATGAAAAGAAAACAAGACAGGAATGAAGACAATACTCGCCAGAACGTCCAGCGCCACCCCAGGGCGGGACTAACGAATCCCGTCAGCACGGGCGCAAGCAGCGGCCCTGCAAAGGTGGCGGCCGACCACGCCATGATGACCCTGCCCCTCGTGACCTCGTTGCAGAAGACGTCGGCGATGACGCCGCCGACGACGCTCAGCGGCGGCGACCCGAACGTGCCGCATAGGAAGCGGAAGAAGAGGAAGACGGCCCAGTTGCGCGCCAGCACCGCGCCCAGAGTCGCCACCCCGAACAGGGCGAACCCGCTCACCAGCACGGGCTTGCGGCCGTAGCCCTCACTCAGGGGTGCGAAGATGAGCGGCCCGAACATGAAGCCGACCAGGTACAGCGATGCCGGCAGCACCGCCTGCGGCCCGCCCGGCACGCCGAACGTGTGCTGCAGCTGCGGGAAGATGTTGGTCGTGAGAATCGACCCCATGCTGCTGTTGATGCACATGAGGATCCCCGTGAGCACTATCCGCAGCTTCTTGCCCTGTTTTCGCACGTCACATGACGGCCGGTCAGCCCTAGTCTAGAGGAAGATAGATGACAGGCATAAACTAGGCACAGAGACACGCCGCCGTGTTCCAGTCTCGAGAATGATTTGTGCGCGCAAGGGAGTTACGCTAAACACGGAGATCACCTGCCTTTGACCAGTTGTGCGGGTCGCCGGGGTCGTTGGGCTCGAAGGTGAGGATGGCGTACGTGACATTTTCAGGGGCGTCGGGGTTGCCGTCGGCGCGGACAACGGACAGGGCGATCGCTATGCCCGAGTCGCCGTCTTGCACCGAAGTGTCCTCGCTGGCACTGATACATGCATCGACACTAGCTAAGGTTTTCTCCTCTGCCCCTCGGTCCGTGGCTGTCTTTGCCGACATTGAAATGTACTCGGCTGGGTGATGGTGTGTTTCGTACTTCCGAATCAACTGCCTGCTTTGTGCTAATACGTAGGTACAGTTTTCTGGCGTCCTTCCAAAGGACAGGACAGTAACGAAGCTGAGAATGGGGAGATGATGTTCAGGAAAAGGGGCAGTGAGGGGAAGAGCTCAACAAAACCTAAAGAGGGGCTCAACTCTGGCAGGTGCCTCCAAAAATAAAGTGAAAACGGTCATAAAATGGTGTCAAGCATGTTTGCCTCGCGCTCTTTTTAAGGTTTGACGTGGCAGTTGTAACAAACGGCTCGGTTGCGCAACTCGAACTGGATCCTCCCTCCTCGTCCTCCCTAGCTCCTTCCCCGGTCAGCCGGCGGGCGCGGCCGCGCTACAGTGCCAGGAACAGAGCTTCACGGACGGCCATCGACACCGGGTGTGGTCAAAGCTAATCCGTTTTGATGATATACCCCATGGACGGAGGCTTCCGATGACGGCCCGCAACCCCTGAAGACTGGCTGCTGGTGAGCTTAGGTCAATGGCAGGGCGTCGACTAGTGGGTCCTCCAGCAACCGTCGGCTTGCTCGTCCGAGGCCAAGAGCCCATCGTCAATGTCGTATGTCAACGGAAGGGCTCAAGATGGTCAGTTGCAGCACTGGCAAGAGGTGACCCCGGTTGCCCGGTACAAGTTCTGAAAGTCGAGAAGCGCCTGCCTTGGTTGGGCACACTGCCCTGGTAGCGCAACCCGTCCGTCTAAATTCCATAACTGCATACCAGGTCCGGCGCCGATGACATCAAGGCCGCACTAGACCTGCCCCTAGGTAATTAATTACGACAACGGCCATGATTCCCACGCCTAGAAGAGGAAACCCGTGGACGCTTCAAGCCACATACTCCACCATTGCGTAATGGCATATTCCTAGTAATTAACCCGTGCCTACTGGCGACTTGTAGTTTTTGTTGCATTGTATGTATTGTACCTGCACTTGAGGTCTGAGGCTGATCCTCGTTCACTCATGTTTTAATTCCAGTTGCCATTCCCGTGCTACTCAGCTCCTGCGTGCCAGGGTTTTGCCAAATGGTTACAGTCCAAAGCAACCAAGATCCAGGAGATGGCGAGTGACTCCGCGAAACTGAACTGGCGGGGTGCTGGGGCAGCTTCAGCCAAGGCCCTGGGCCCTGCCCTGTGCAAAAAAGACTTCGCCTACTTTTCCCCCGAATTCTGGAAAAGAAAAACCGTTAAGCCCGAAAGCAAAGAACTGTCGTAGTTAAACCGGGGTGATGGATTGCAGGCTGGCCAGGCATCGAATTGGCCCTTGGGACCTTGTTTGGTGTTAGTTCAGGAATTTGCCAACGCCCGATTGGTCCCCGCGGCAACGCACGAGGTCATCTGCCCACAACGTCGATTGCGGGTATCGCAACCATGCGGGAGCTTGTTTGTCCATTACGGGGTGCCGAATGCCCCTGGCTCCGATATCGATCCGTACGTGTCGGATGCCACATGCAACTTCGTCTCCATGGTGTTCGCCCAGGGCTCGTCAGACGCTTCCGGGGAAACGCGCTGGGAACTCGTCCAATTCGGGGTCCCGCCAGCGTAACCTCATGGGTGGAAACGACATGCGCTATCGTGGTGCTCACCGAACTCCGTGTTGGAAAACTTCATAGAAGGATAGGAATGTTAAAACGCTGTCGATGAAAGGAGGGAGGTATATAAATAAGAAACCTAAACGCCACCAAGTTCCCTTCTAGAGTATCTCGTCCCAAGGCCGCCCACGCTGCAAACAAACGCCAGGCTGAGAGGTATCTTATGCAAGCAAGTCGCAGTTTCCAACAGCTCAAATGTAAAAAAAAAAAAAAAAAAACCATATTGGAATCTAGTTCCAGATGCTTCGATAACAGTTTGGGGAGCCCCTGTTCAAATCTTCCCCCCCCGACCGCTGCTCGTATCCACCAATCCCGTCCAGATCGACATAGAAAGCAAATCCAAAATACCATATCCAGCCGCCACTCGTGTTCGTCATGATCCGAATTGTCGTTTCTCATACGACTCTATATTACATCCGCCGAGATGGAAACATCAGCCGAACGGTACGGAGGGCATTGTCCAAAGTCTCCGCTTGATGCATAGCTCAGTGCAAAGCCTGGAAGAGCCGGGTCCATGTCTTTGACGCGATGTTGAAGAGAAGCCCGACCATGCCAAGCACTGCAAAGACCTGGAGAAACTCGAACCGATGCCGGGTGCGCACCTCGGTCTCGATGAACCCCTGGCGGTCCTTGGTGACGGTGTCCGAAGGGCTCGGGGGGAAGCGGCCGGTAGAGAGGTACTGCTCCATAAGAGCATCCTTCTCGTACCACCGATCCCGGAGCCATAGGTCGAACTGCTCCTGCGTCTCCAGGGGTATGTCCGCTACCCGGAACCGCCGCCAGTAAAAGTTGACCGACTTTGGCGGCTGGCCACGGAAGTAGGTACCAGAGAGAGTGAAGTAGTCCTCCCCAAACTCGCCCCGACTACCGGCGTAAACATGGTTAGTCTGCAGTCCTGCCGTACAGTGAAAAACGGGGCGTCAACTTACGGGATGCCCTCATATGCCACCGTGCAGTCGTAAACCCAATCGACGGTGCCCTTGAGCTCAGTGAGGCAAAAGTAGATACCGGTGCTTCGTGGCAGCAGAAGGTGCTCTGGATCCTTGACCCCGATCTTCTCGGCCCACTTTGCAGACTTGTTCCGCCCATTTTGGGAAGCGTTTGTGCCTTCTGGGAACAGGAGCAACCACATGGGGTTGAGATATTTCTGTCCCTCTGGCGTTGTATTTTGCATCTTGAGCTTGCTCAGGCGGTGTGCCATCCGGGGCTGGTCGACGGCCATCTTTCTGGACATGAAGATGAACCCGTAGAACATCATTCCGGCCCCCATAATAGGGATGTATTTTAGCGATTCCTTCAGGATGATGTACAGATACCCATGCATCCCTGGCGTGTTGGCGTAGCCAACCCACCACAGGTATAACCAATCTGTATATATCTGCATATATTGTAAGCTCGACTCTCACCCGCCAAGGGGAAGGCCTCCCAGACGTACCTGGTGATTCGCAATCATGATCATGCGCTCCGGAAACGTAAACTCGACCAGCCCGTCCTTTGTCTTCCGAATCTGGCCCGCGACTGAGGCATCCCCGCTGATCCGTATAGTTGTCGGTCCCCACCACTTTGTCATGGTTGTGATCGTTACTCCGAACGACTGTTTTGTAAGAGACATGTAGGCGTAGTAGAGGTCATGGTTAATCCAGTACAGCGGTGCGCCGATAAGCTGGGTGGTGTGGATTCTGGTCACGGCAACTATCAGCTAGGACGCAGAGGAACGAGAGCAGGGGTTCCATACGCAATGCAGCATGTTAAAAAGTATACTGCGAACGACAGGCCTCGGAACACCTGGGTCAGACGGCTGTTCTCTCCTTTACCGGACGGGTGGGGGTCGCGGGCGGCTGTGGTCGGGCTCTGAAGAGACGCTCCGGCGAGCACTTCGGGTGCGGGAGGGTCGACCGCCGCCTTGAGCGCCACGCGCTGACGGAGATCGGTGGACATTGTGGAGAGACGATTTGGCACGATTCGACAACGGCGATGGTTTCGGACGCGGAAGACGGGAGACGGCGATAATACTAGTGTGCACGAAATTGAAATGCTCGAGGTGAGGTAGGTGGGAGCCACGTCGACGTCGACGGAAAGGAAACGGCGGCAGAACAGGCAAGGCAGGGCAGACTTGGTCGCGTGCAGGCAGCGACGTCCAGGAACCGCAGGGCTGGCGAGGCTGGGCGGGAGTTTGCAGGGCGGCGCGATGCTTTCCTACTTGAGTGGCACAGCTGTTGGCCAGCTCATTGCTGTCTGACGGGGGCCCAGAAAAGGGCCAACAATCCGCGGACTATCCACAGTCACGATTCAAGACCCGCTTACAGATGCCAAACGTGTGCGGTTCTTGGGTGATTCGAAAAATGCAACAAGGCGGACAAGAACTTCCTCCTCGCCATCGTCACTGGCCGCAAAGAGCCATGGCGGGTGCTCTTTCTACTGCTCCCCCGCCAATGTTCTAGGCTTCAGCTCTACGGAAGCTTCGGTCCCTGAGCGGGGTACTCGTGCACCCTGGGAAGCTTAGCTCAGCCCCCTTGGGTAATCGTCACGTGGGGCCACAACGGCGGCCAGCGGCGGCGGCCGCGTGGGAAACCAATTACCTAAGCCGCCTGCGATTGGCGCCTCTCCTAGGTGGCTACCATCAGCATCGATATCGCATCGACAGCGAAAACCTACTCTAAAGATCTCTGCTAGGGGCAGCTTCCGGCAACAAGCTCTTCGAAACAGTTGCACGGTGATGTTTTCTTGAGTGTTTGGTGTGCTCTGGAAACGGCTCATAACGAGCACCCGAGGCCCAGCACTAGCTTGCCTGCGCAAAGTCGAAAGCAAGGGAGAACAACATCGTCCTTGAAGCCATTGTCGACCATGTCGGCATGCCGAGGACGAATCTTTTGGCTTGAAATTGCCATTTTTTTCCCGTCGCCCTCGCCGGAATGGCCTTGAGGTTAAGCAGCAGGGCGCGCGCCATGCCTAACTGGCACAGCAGAGGAGGAGTAGGAACGGTCGCAATTGCAGGGGCAGGACCAAGGGGAGCTCGGTGCTTCTCGGTCTCGGCGCCGCGCCGACAGATCCTCGACGTGTCGATGCTGCCCGACCGCATCGTCCCGCACTACCAGCAGACGGCGACATCGTCGCTGCTCGCGCTGCACTGGCCACAGCCGCCGCGCACGATCCTGCTCATGCCGAAGCTGCACGCACCAAAGGTGACGCTGTCGGCCATCGAGTTCGCCAAGCACGTCCACGGGAACTACCCGGGCCTGCACCTCGTCTTCGAGAGCCACGTCGCGAGGAACATCCACGAAGCCCTGCCGTTCCCCATCTACACGGCAGACCCCGGCGTCTCCACCGAGAGGTTCGCTCGAAAGATCGACCTCATCACGACCATGGGCGGGGACGGCACGATCCTGCGCGCGGCGAGCCTCTTCTCGACACACAACAGCATGCCCCCGATCCTGTCCTTTAGCATGGGCACCTTGGGGTTTCTGGGCGAATGGAAGTTCGAAGAGTATAAGCGTGCGTTCAGGGAGTGCTACATGAGCGGCTGTCCCGTCCCCGTCGAGGACCTGGTCTCTCCCCATACCCGGGCCGCCGCGGCAGCCGCCACAAATCGCCAGCCGCGGGAGTCGGGAGGTCAAGGCGACAATGGTATGGCCGTTGCGGCGCCGCCATTACCTTCTCCGTCTTGGGACAGTGTTCGAGGGAATGGGAAGTGCATGGGGCTCAACCGAACGTCCAAGATTCTGTTGAGGAACAGGCTACGCGTCGGCATATACGATAGCGAGGGCAGAAACATCAACGAGCAGCTGAACCCCACCTCGGTTTCGGAGCCCGACCTTGGCGCGCCACCGTTCTCCTCGGGCAGTGACGCTGGGGACTTGACGCCGCCACTTCGCTCGGCCGTCAGCGGTGTGGACAACGGGCGGATCCCGCCCTCTCTCCATGCCATCAACGAGATATCCATCGACCGCGGCATTCATCCCCACCTGGCAATACTCGACATCTACGTCAACGGGCATCACTTGACAGAGGCGGTTGCCGACGGCATTCTAATCAGCACCCCCACGGGATCGACGGCCTATAGTCTCAGCGCGGGTGGCTCCATCGTCCATCCATTAGTCAAGTCCATCCTAATCACGCCCATAAGCCCGCGCAGCCTGAGTTTCCGGCCGCTAGTGCTCCCGCTCCACACCAAGGTGGTTCTCCGGCTGAGCAAGAGGAACCGCGGGAGGGAGCTGCCCGTCAGCATCGACGGGAAGAGGCGGGTGGGTGTGACGATTGGCATGGAGGTCAGAGTCGAGGGGGAGAGGCTCGAGAGGACGGCAGACGGCTGGAGAGGCGGTGTTCCCTGCGTTATCCGCGCGTCATCGCGAGCGGGGGACTCTGATGGAACTGCCGAGGACGACGATTCCTGGGTGGGCGGCCTGAACGGCCTGCTCAAGTTCAACTACCCGTTGGGCGAGCATTGATACATCCAACGAGGCCAAAGGTGACCGGGAAGCCGTGTTTCCTTGACGGGCGGGTCGCCTTGGAGTGTACTGCGAGACAATGTACTATGTATGTGTGTGGTTTGTGCGTGCGGTGTGTCTGTATGTTTTGGTACGTCACCTCAGACATTGAGACAATGTGTCACTGTGTCGGCGTTTAGGTAATTAACGTAGATAGGTACTCCGTACATTACATAACGCTGGACAAGCTTGGTATCGACGAGACTCGAGCGGGTAATGGAAATTTCCACTCTTGTCATTTTGCGTTTGGGATCCGCGAGGTCCTTTCCCCGTCCCATCATGGTCGAGATTGGTTGCACACTGTGTGTGCCAAAGTGTGGGCTAGCCACCAGGAATCTCATGCACCTCCCTCCTTTCGGGAAACGCTTGCATCGGCTATCACCCCTCAGATTAAGTTCTGGTTGGTGGGCATCCGAGCAGTAAGCTCCTTTTGCAGTTGTGAATGTGATCTGTTGGCCGGATCTTGGGAGCTGCAAATGAGAGAAGCAAACTTGAGGTGCCAAGCGCCCTAGCGGCGGCCGGGCTCGGTCCCGGAGACGCAGCTATTGGGCTGGTCACTGGTGAGTTTGTAATACACACCGCTAGGTCAGAGGCGGCCTAGAAATACATAAGGTGTTTATCTCTCGTTTTTTGTCGTTTTTTCGTCCCGGTAAGAACTACTCATCGGTTGCAAAGCATGCCGCCCTGCATGTGAATGATCTCGGCATGTCCAAATCCTCGGCAACTGCAAACGTGTTCGTGCCAAGAGAAAAAAGAAAGAAAGGAAAGAAAAAAAAAAAAAAAGGGGACCCTCAGCTCTCCTTCCGCCACTTTGGAGCAAGTTAAGACGGATGAGCAATGGGCGTGTATTAATGTTAAGGGTGACCAAGGTTGACTTCACGATATTATCCGTTTGCCGCCTGATCCCCGCTTTGTCTGACACCGTATTCCCACTTGAACCCGCATGGAACTGTGGGACAGAACTTTGGAAACCCACACCTCACCCATCGCTCTTGGTTCCTCAGCACAAAAAAGCACAGACCCTACCCTACCGCTTTGGCTTCATATGTTCGTTTTTCTTTTTTTTCCCCTCTTTCTTCAGAAGCGACTCTCGCACTACATCCGCGAATTTCACTTCGGTACCTTTCTTTGCTTTTTCTCGGGTTTCACCACCTCTGTTGTGAGACCCCCTAGTCCTATTTTCCCTGGAACCGTAAGATCAGCTGTCATGTCAAATCTGGCACCACCACCACCCCACATCGAGAGGAATATCGACTATGATTGGTCGCTCGGTTGGCCTCTGCTTCAGGGCTTGAGCTAGATAGGAATCTCTCTCATAGAGAGGTGCAGACACCGACAGGCTCAGCGTGTCTGCATACTAGTCCAAGTGAAGCCGAGACAGGCGTCGAGGAGTATGACGTCCGAAATTAATTCTCATAATCCGGGACCCTAACCTCTCCCGTGAGACCGTAGCATTGATGTGGAGAGATGATGGGCGGGTAGCTGCAGCCCGAGTACCCACGAACTGGCCGAGCCGGCCGCGGGACGTGGGATCATGGAGGGAAGACTTAGGTCGGGCAGTGTGGGGGTAGTAGTACTAATAATATGTTCTCCAGATTCTTGTGATAGCTTTGCTGATGGCCAAGAGAAACCCCCAGGGGTTGTGTCTCTTTGAGCTTTTGAGTAGCTGGTTTGATTGCTCGTAATGATGCAGAATATCCAGCAAAGCATTGCTCGGAAAAGCCGGGCGGGAGACAGAGAGAGAAGAAACAAGGCACCGAAAAAAAAAACCAGCGGGAATGAGAGCGCGTGCGAGACAGACTGGAGCCCAACATCGCGGGCCTATCCTATCGCTGTTGGAACAGGATGCGTGCTTTCGAGGTGACAGAATTGCCAGTGTCTGGTGCCATCGACGAGATAAACCTCCAATTCACCGCCGACGAGGCTGGCCTTGCCTGGGTGTGACCCGTCAATCACACCAGTAAAAGTCGAATACGATCTGCCGTAAACTGGTTCATGCTTCACGCAGAGCCATAGATTGGGCTACCCCAGTCGAGATTATGCGTGAGCGTTCCATTGCATCTGAGTAAGGCGGTGCGGAAATCATCGATGTCGACATCTGATTAAAGCCTACCGGAGCTTTTGCAAAGATATTAGCGTTTGAACTTTATCGTGCATTAGTCCAGGCAGCCCTTGACAAATATTGGCCGGCGCCATGCCTTGCTCTGATGAGGATGTCAGCGACGTGGGAGGTACTTTATTGCTACCAACCCCACGGGGTCGCAGCATAGTATGCCACACCTAATTCGTTTACTTTCAGCATGGGGTGGTCTTGATGGTGGTCTTCTCCAGCTCGGCAGAATGTCAAAGGGCTGGGGCGCCGATAAAAGACGTCTGGGCCCCCTTTCAATGACGAATCGCGAGCCTAGCAGCTGATCCGATGACATATGGAATCCGCTCGAAAATCAATACCCCCCAGCCTGGTTCGGTGCCAGCGGCTTTCCTGACGCGGTTGGCGCGATATACCCTCACACTTTGGCTTGGGAGTCAGACACATCAGATGATCGTCCCCCTAGACTTTCAACAGCCGCAGCTCCCAGTACCCCTAGATACGCTTAGCCATCGACCTGGAAGAAATCGTGCCGAAATTGGCCTCTGAACCCAGAAAACTTAGAAATGAGCACTGCATTTCTTGACTTACAACCTGTTCAGGGGGTATTCCTCGAAGCCGTGGGGGGTTGTTTCAAATCCCCTAGTGCTACTGGCCAAAAGTGAGGCTAGCTACAGCAGCTCGCAATTGTCTTGTTATCTGATATGATGCAGCAACGCAACTAGGCAGACGATCTCCCACTATTTCAATGCATGCGACCACCAGAGAGAAATTCCGAATGGGTGACGGATGCGGGACACCATCTGTCAAAGACGTCTCCGGTCTCGCTCCGCAGAAAAGGAAATACCGCAGGCCGTAGCGCGCAGGTGGCTACTCAGATCCTTTAGGTTGGGGGCCAATCTCCTCTCTGCCATCATGTCGCATGTGGTTATTGGCAAAACCCTGATTCAAGATCCTCAGTAGCTGGGACACGAGTGCAGCGGAATAATCCCGCACAGGATGGGAGAGGGTGCTGGAAATGGAAACTAGTTATCTCAGAAACCGTGACATGGAGGTAATGTCTAACAAGAAAGACTTGTAGAGCAAGAGCAGGGTTCTCTGATAGCTGAGAGCCGAGCTAAAAATGGCAAAAGAGGACTCTTTCGAGCCATTCTCCGCACTGAGCCACAGGCCTGTAGGAATTTCAAACTAACTCAACGGATTTGGCTCTTGAGTACTAGGGGAGTTTTGCAATCTGGTACGTCCCAGATACACAGGAAATTTGCAGTGACAATTTGGAAAAGGCCAGTAGACAAAATAAAGGCAGCATAGAAAAGCTCGACAAGAATCAAATTGCTTATACACCCATTTGCGCATGAATAATGTCGACCCCGAAAACTGACAATCTGCCTCGTCGCTACAACCTCAAGTCTGTGTCGTGAAGAAACTTCGGGTTCCAATGATGCCGGCCAACATTGGCCGAGTCCATAACAACAAAAGGGGCGGGAGCTAGAGATCGTTATATCATCATATCGTCATATCATGAGAACTTACGAGAGAAATATTCGCGCACGGACCACTTGATGAGCTAGCCAAGAAACAAACCTAGGTATTTGTCTCCATGTCTCCCCGTTATGTCTCCCCGTTAGTGGCTAGTATAGGAAGTAAACAGGGCGGCTGGCGGCTAGGTGTTGTTACTATTCACGTCGTCGTCGTCATCGATGATAAATGCAGCTGATCCAGCAGTATACCTTGGTTGTTTGTATTTTCGAGCTGGAAAGGCCGGGTATTTTCTCTCAATATCGCCTGGGAACTCTATATCACCGAACGCAGCATCCCAGGGAGCTCGCATCGATTCCGGCAAATCCCAAGCCAGCTTCGAATTGCAAAGCCACAGGCGGACAAGATGGCGTCGAGGTCCAGTCTTATGGTCGACATAAGCGTCGCGGGCGTGGAGAAGTCCAAGGTTGTTAATAAAGACCATATCTCCAGGCTTTGTGTCGAGACGTAGACGATGTTTCGAAGCCAGTTCGGAGAGAATCGACAGTGCCTTGCGCTGGGACAATGTCAGGTCCGGGATGAACGAACCCAGCCCGGCCTCGGCAGTGACAGGATGAAGTCCCAGTCGGCCGGGATCGACGCTGACCACAACAGCACCATTGTACACCTGCAGGAGGGGTGCAAGGATATAGCGTGGCGGCGACCCAGATCTAAAATAAAGAGTGTCAGTTATACAGAGCCTCTCTTTAGGTGGTGACCAAATATGATGCAGAACCATCCGATCTTGACCGCAACGGAGGATTGACGTACATCTGAATCGGCCAATCAGATTGTTGCAGCGCCTTGAGAGATTGTGGGTATGACGACTCAAGTTCCTTGAAGATGGTCGAAGCCGATGCTACGAAGGTATCACCACCACTTTCGGCCATGGCCCTCACATGAAGGCCCAAGATGTTGACTGACATGTCCGTGTGCCAGGCCTGAACTCATTAGCAAATTTAATTCCTACCTATGGAGGTGGTTAACGAAAGATTTTGGGCTTACCAAACCAGTTGTCGTGTGGATTCCGTGTCGGAGTTCATGGGGAGTTGTCCATGTCGCTGCGTCGGTGACATGGGCTAAATCACAACTGTCAGGAAATGACGAAAACGAGCATCCGTGCTGGACATTGCCCTTACTGATCATATTCCCTCGCTTATCTTGAACTCCTCTCATGTCTGCAATGTGACTTGCAACCGCCAAGAAGATCGTAACGTTTTCTTCGGCCGTGTAACTGTTGGGGTCTAGGCCCCGGATGATGGCAAATCCAGGGCCTTGGTGGATGTCGTGGCAGGCCTGCTCCAGCTGAGCCTCGAGTGTTGGAAGGGGGAAGGTGTCGGGATTAACAGAGTCCTGATTGAGCCCGAGTTCTATAACAACCGGTGTCAGCCAAGGTTTAAACGACTTTTGGTATGACTTACTCGTGTAGGCTTCGAGGCCAGCCTCAACCTCGGCAACTCCCTTGTCGCCAATCTCAACCACATATTGGATGGGGGAGGGTAATTCCTCAGTGTCAAGAGCGGCCTTCGGTGTCCAGGCCATGGGATAAGAGTCGAGCCACGCCGTCTTTGAGGCCAGTGACACAGGTGTTCCCTGGATGAGGGCGACATTCTTGTTGTCCGTCATCTTGGCAATGTCCTAGGGGTCCTATATGTTGTTGGAGGCTGCGTATATGGCAAGAAGTATGACTATTTTGCCGGGTAGGGGGACCTGGAGAAGGCTGGAGAGACGGGATGAAAGACAATGTCGGTGCTTCGAGAGTGGACGGAACCTTCACGCTGGCGGTAGAATATCCTCGAGAACTAGGAGAGGCAGCGGGCCAAATCGATCAAGTATTCGTCGCGGTCGGCAGACATTCCTCTGGCCCGAGGTGACAAGACGAGGCTGATTGGCTTCGGCAGGCCATGTCGACGAGGGCTTTCTTTGTGCACCACTCCAATAGATGGAACCGATAGCACCTTCACCGTCAACCCACTCCCGCCCGCATCCTTCCATCCCTCCCTCCCACGAAACAACGGGGCGCTCTGACATGGAGGCGGAAGGGTTATTGTCGGCTCATGGTCCGGCATCGCAGAAACGGCATCGTGGACTTTGGCGCAACGTGGTGGCAGCGGCGGTGGTTCCGATTCGGACAGATTTCTGGTGTTGTTGAAACAGAAACAAGTTGGCGACCCCCAACCGAGTGGAAGTACAAAACAGGCGTCGCCAGAGATGGGCCAGACAGAAGACTTGGGATCGTCAATGAAGAATAATTCAATGGAGGACACAACTGTTATCGAAGGGAGAGGCTTTCTTTTTTCCCTTCTGCGTCCGGGTATGGATGTAGGGGGGCGGGCCGTAGATGGTTGATAATTACTCGACGGGAGAATTGAAGGGACGCTCCTGCCACGCCCGAGGAAGCTGACATCTCCACGAGAGCTCGCCAGCAAAGTCGAGGCCAGCACGGTGGAACCCTCTGGACGCTCTGTCTACTAGGGACCCCAGAACAGGAGTCAGGGCCCAACGGGCAAGGCCCCATTCATCATTCCACTCGCAGCTGCTTCATGAATTTGCATCCACTTTCACGCAGGGTCGAGCAATGATTTTTAGGCGTTATTGTCCAATCACGCTTGAGATTGGGCAGAGAGATCTGCCCGGTCTCCTCACGGCGGGTACCCATATTTCATCAGACCCCGAGGACGCCTGGAAAGGGGCCTGAAAGCCCCCACCACTGCCAGAGGATGTTCATCCGCCAAGTTCCCATTTGGTCTTGAGTGCCAACCGGGTTACCTAGTGCTCAGGAGATGAAGCTCGCATCCCCGTGCGGACCGCCCCGAGGAATTCTCACACCACGCATACACTAGTGGAGAGCTCGACAGGTTTGGCGGACCAGAGCCTGCTCGGAGGACCGAATGAGTTTAGTTTGTACTCAATTGGAATCAGACAGTACCAGATAGCACCGGATGAAGATACGGTACAGCACCATCCAGTTTGATGTGGCCAGTCCCAAGAGTTTTCGAGAAGGCGCTTTCAGTTCTATGATACGGAGTATCCGTACCTCCCTCCTCCCAACCTGATTCACCAAAACGTCAGCTAATAAAATGCCTTGCATGCAGTCCAAGGAGATCGCTAACAGTTTTAGCAGCAACCAGGACTAAAGTCTGTTAGCCTGTCCATCCGCCCCACTTTGGACATCACTCGCAAAAAGCCCTGTTCGTCCGCCCGTGTAGATAAAGTAAGGTACCTTGGTTAGGCGAGGACGCGATATCTCCTTAATGGGTTTGTTGCTTTGTGTAATGGTGGTTCCTCAATATTTTCTGTTCTGTTGTGTACTGGTCAACTGTTAATGTGGTGATACTGTCCAATGAGTACTTCGTAATAACAATCCGACATCGAAATAATGGTACAATATGTGTAAAGTGCACAGACCAGCAGTTACAAGACGGTATTCCATACGGTGAGCGAATGGACCCACATCCAAGCCAACAGTGCATCTGATCGCTCAACACAGTGCATCTACATACAAATATAGGAAAGGGCGAGAGTGAGCCGAATAAGGTTCTGCTGTGTATTTCACAGCTGTCAAGTGCTTGGCGCCATCCCATACACTCTATAGGGCTTCCCCCCACCGCCACCCCCCTGGTGAATGGAGGATGTTCGAGCGTTTTTTGGCTGCCACCAAACCTCAACGGGAGATACAATTCAAGCTCTGGAGCGGAATGAGGGGTGCCGACGGCCGAGTTTTCGAGTCCCCAAGGATGACCTATCCTCCCACCCCCCCCCACCCCCCCCCCCTTTCCCTTTCTCCTCCAACCCCAGGCACTTCCTCCACAAGTCCACATTGAACCTGGGAACTCCATTCCCATGTCACCCCAACTTCAACCGACATCCGAAGTCAGAACCACTTCCTGACTTGTCGATGAAACACACTTTATCGCCTGCAATCCTTGTTTTGTGTTGTGCATACCTTCCTCTTGCCTGCTACACCAACAAGAGTCGAGAGCGAGCGACCCGGCCCCCTTCAAGGTTCCTCATCTCACACGTGGGGTTCTTATTAGCCTTGCTGACGAGAGGCGGTGGTGGGTTGCGCAACTCCGGTTCTGTCCACGCTACGCCGCCGTTGTGCTCCCTGGGGCCTGGACACGACAGCTCCCATTAGAAGCGCCCAGCACACGCCGGTTTCCTTGGGGCATTCGGCCCAACGGTGGTCAGTCATCACACGTAACCGGGAATCGAGACCGGCCGTCGACGTCCGCAATCGCAATTGACTGGCTAGCACACTGCGGCCCTGCCTGCCTGCCTGTCTGCCTGCCTGTCTGCCTGCCTGCCTGCCTGCCTGCCAGCTGTCTATCCTCCCTACCTACATTACCTCTGTAGAGCGGAATAGGTACGGATATCCCACCGCCAGCCCAGAAAGAAAGCACAGGCCAGCTAGCATCTTTCAGCGCGACTTCAAGTCGCTGGTTGCTGATCGCATCCTTGCTAAGGGCGTTGCGTTGGCTTGTGTCGCCCTCGCAAGCCGCAAGTCGCTCCCGCCGCCGATTGCATCATCTTTATGTCCGCCCCGGATTCTGGGCTCAAGAACCTGGCGGGACATCTTTGACTGGGTCGCCTGTCCAAGCTCCGCCCTTCCTCATCCTGAACCCCCTCCTGAGCTGTGAGTAATTGATGGGGAAGCGACCGATGCACGGATACGTTTCTTGAGAACTGGACCAGTCCAGTGCAGCAGCTCGTGCCACTCGTCCGGCGGGTCGGCCCATTCCCATCTGGGTTTGTGCCACTGCGCCTGGTCTGCCTGCAGTGCTGCACCCTCTTCGCAGCCGTGTCTATTCGCGCTTTCTACCTCATTTGGCCCTCCCGGCTACACGAGCTCTACAGCACCCCGTGCTACCCACACTGATTGTTGGACGACCCCCCAGAGAGGGGGCTGCAAGGCTTGCTGCTTGGTTCGCTCACACTTGGCGGCGGAGTTTATTCCCTGTCTCGGGAAATCTAGAGCCACTCTCTGCGCGGGAAGGGTGCATCGTAGCCGCAGCCGTGGGTTCTTGGTGAATCGGAGTAGTTCCGCACCGGGATCGCCGCTGTCGACCCGCACAAGAGGCACGGCAAGATACAATGGATGACTGCCGTGCATATGTGAATAACCCCAGCCATCTCCCCTTCTGGTGCTTTTCTATTGCCGTTGACTTGCTGATATTTTCGGTTGGCCTTGGCGTTGTCCAACCACAGACCCGACCTTCTGTGCCACAAGGCCAGGGATTCCTGACGGATGCAGACGCTCCGATCGCAAAGAGACCTCGCAAAGAGGAGGGCCCGTATTCCGCCCAAGAGATCCGCGACCCCCTGCACGGCAGCCATCTCAACGTGCCGTCGCTGCATGTGGAGGCTGCCACATTGCGTCCGGATTCTCGCCCAGATTCTCGCTTCAGACCCGAGATTGATGCAAGTCATGAGGTGTGGCCGCAGTCGGGTCATGGCGCATTTGATCAAGCCTTGGCACGTGGCGATCGGCATCTTTGTGGCCCGTCGGACCTTGTGTCTTTTCCCCCCGGCGTCGAGCCAGTGGAGCACGGCTTGCCGTACGGGTTCATTGGAGACGTCTCCCGGCCCGATGCATGGCATTCAAGCACCGAACTCTACCGCCCGCAACCGCCGATACCTAAGCTGCTAACTCCGAGTATTCCCAATCATACACCTTTACCAATTGACAATCTTCGGGCTGACGGTGCGTGGACACCCGATCACACACACGTATATTATCACCAGGATCGCATTGGGTCTAGTCTCTCTTCGTTGACACCAGACACTGCGACTACACCTTCATCTCCGTCCTCGATCCACCGCGCCCCTAATTTTTCATTCCATACCGGTCCATTCCCGGACCAGCGGGCCAATATTTCCGACTCCTACTACAGCCAAACCTCGTGGCCACCTGCTACCGCCGGTGACTGGGCGGCGAGTCATAACTCTCACATAGAGGCGCCCCACTTCGCAGCTCTCCAACCACCAGATCCCGGCTACCGACTCATAAACCCCAGTGTCCCTTACATGTCACAACACGAATCGTTTCCAGGGGCAAGCTTTCCGTCATCGATGTCAGAGAGTAACATGACCACAGCTAGCCCAGGCCCAAAGCCACATGGAGGGCAGATTTGGGGTGGAATTGCAGAGAACCGGGAAGCAGGCCCATGGATCAAGCATGAATTTTCTGGCACCCCTGACCCAGAGCCTATACTCGCATCGGTTCCAACCGTTGAGCCCCAGAACCGCAAATATAAAATCGTTGCCGAGTCTTCCGACAAACCAGGGCCGATAATTGAGAAGCAGCGTGTTCGTATTGTCAAACACCCAAAATTTCGAGATACGTTAGAGGGCAAGAATAACCCCGCAATAAAGAAGGAGTCTTCAGATGGGCCTAGTCATGATAACGAGACTTTGCCTGCCGACAAGCCGTTAGACGACTTCCGCCAAAATCTCACTAGAAATACGGGAGCACCTGGCAACTCCCAACTCCAAGTGGGGGGAAGTTTGGCAACTGACACAACAAACACCTCAGCGGACAACTCGTGTGGGAGGAACAAGCGACGTTCATGTCAAGATGAGTTACGGAGGGACACCTTTGATGCCCGCCTTCAAGGTGCTTGCGTTAGATGTCATCAACAACGCATTCGAGTAGGAAAAGCCCAACTGTCTCGATCTCGTCGTAGGCTAATAAGAGTAGTGTGTACCCAATCCGGACGATATCAGTTTGCCCTGTTCAACTTGTCTGGCGGTCAAGCGAAATTCGAAAAAAACGATTCATGATATTGTTTGCATTCGCTTTAGGCTGCGGTTATTGGACCTATTTCGCCACGGTGGCGTACATGTCACTGAACGCTTCCTGTACACCGACATGAAGAACGTCGATATTCAAACTGGGTCACATATAACCATCTCTATGAGTCAGGGTCTTTGCAAAAAGCCGATGAAGCTCAGACTTCGAGAGTTCATTCCAAATGAAGGCGACATACTCTACCGGAAATATATTGACAACGGGGTTTGGAAAAAGCACCACACCCAACCGTTTTGGCTCAGCAACATAACCCAAACTGCAGTTGAATTCGAGGTGTACATCAAGGAAAATGCATTGGATGGGCTTCTCGAGGTTAGCAAGGATTTGGACTGGATTGTCAAAGAGACATTCACCATGATCCACAGACTGTGCTCGCACCCGGTAAGTCCACCTGAGAGCGGAAACCCGACCTCGGTGGGCGTTTGTTCTAAATCGGCTATCAACCCCAGGACGAGATTATTGCCAAGGACGAGCAGTCGAGAAACGCACAGCACGCCTTCCTGCTGCAAACTGTTCATCTCTGGTTTACGATGCGTGCGTTGCCTCTTACACCCTACCCCCCCCTTCCTAATTACATCTGGCAGTAAAATACCTGACTTCCGGTTTGTGATTCTGCAGGACACGGAACGGGTTCAGCCTGGATCGCAAGCGAAGAAAAATTGGGAATATCACCAATGCCCGAGACTAGCTCCACTGTCGTCCTCAGGGGCAAAACGCCTATCCCCCGCATGCTCGTCGCTCAGTTTGACTGCATTCGCCACGGGCACTTGTTGAAGGCAATGGCGCCGAAGTTCTTGCGTATATACGAGGCCTTAGCCTCGGAATCTAGTTCAGACTCATGGTTCACGGTCTACTTGGCGACTTTTCTAATTATTCACGAGGTGTCTTGGGCGTCATCGGATCGCCTGCGGTACGCAAGAGAGAATTCCGATGGGTTACGCCAGGTCTGACACACCCAGACCCCCTCTTAATGCCTTATCCCTTGATATATTTTCGCTAACGCTGACGACTTTTTAGGAGACCCGATATGGGCCTATAAACAGTCCACTAACTGAATACGTTGAGAGAATGCAGCACGACGGAGTCATGTTTCTGGGCCACTGGCGCTATTTCAAGCGTCTCAATGTCTGGGACGCCGACTGGGATAACCCGGACAAGACCGTTTTGGAGCAGCTACGGCCAGGCCAGTTGAAATTCATGAAGGCTACGGTCGAGCATTTGAAAAAAAGGAGTAAGTACAGTTCTCTTTTAGTTGTCAGAGCGTTATTCAAAATGCTGACCACGATGTGAAGTGGGGACGTTTCCAGAAACTCCGAGCGCCGGCTGCTGGGAGAACGAGCTCTTCTGGGTGTCTCGTTTGCTTACGCCAGTTCCGCCAGAAGACGACCTGTGGACCCCTCCAGTAATCTTTGACAGGACGAGGCCGGAAGTGGGTAGAGAACATTGAGTCGTTGCATAGCTAATGCGGTCCATTAGACATCTATGGCCAGCTTAGTTTGTTGATTAAATAACACGGATTGTGTTTTGCGCGTTCATTTAGAGCCATTGGGTGTGTTGTTTCCATTTTGTTTTAGCGTGACGAGGCATCCACCTACCATCGACTGGCTTGTCTTCACCTACGTTTTCCAATTGGCATTTCCGTTCATGTCAAGTTGGTCTTTGCACCCATGTAAGCTGATTTCGTGCGCGCATGAAATTCCTTCACTCCAACTTTCGTCCCACAATGGTCGTGGCGGTCGTGGCGATGGTGGAATTCTCTGTATTTATTGTCATATTTAGAAGAAAGGATAGACTAGCTATAGTCAGTCAGCGATACAAAAGACGCCCAGAGGACATGAGCCGCATCCAAATATTTTGATGAGTTTACACTTTCACGCACGTTACTAGTACTAGGGCAGTCCCTTAACTAAATGAGATAACCTCGTGGTTTTGATTGGTCATATTTTTGCCAGCTTAAGACTAATGCTTTGAAGCTAGTTTTTTTTACCTCGTAGTGTGTTTTGCCTGTTTCGAGCTGTGCTTGAGAAGCAATGGTTAAATCAGAACATCATTGTCATCGGCCATCCCTAAGCTCAAATTCATATTCAAGAGAAAATGAGATGTTTTAATTTGAACCTCAGCAATTGCTCAGATGACTAATTAGAATAATATGTGACTTTTTATTCGATTTCATCTGAGATCGTACCAGACGTATGAAGCAATGTAAGACACGTTGAAATGTGCTGGGTGGGTTGGCAGGGATGAGTCATCCAGCACCAATCCCCTTTGAGCTAGATGATAAGATAAGGATTTCCCCAGACCCGCCCAGACAGCTGGCGTTCCCCAGTGGGAGGGGAGCGGAGGGGGCTTTGGGTCACCAAAAGTTTTGGGACAAACAAACTGTCCTTTCGCGAAAGACGGAATTAATAAGTGCGGATACCGTTGTCTCAATTCAAACCCATAACCATACCACAAGCACTCCGAAGACACCTAGCCTATCTACACTTATCATTACGAGCTTCACTGGCGCGATTACCGCTCTAAAGAAAACGAAACATCATCCCGTGCCACGCTACACCCATCGCCACTGGTTCGCTGGTTCACCCGAGAAGGATAATACAGGCATCGCGAGTTCGGCGCCGGGCTCGAGACGACGATAGCAAACAAGCACACTTGACCACCAACCGATTGCTAGGAGGGCAACACGCCGCCGACACAGCCACCACCACCGCCACCACAAGCACCAATCCCCAACACAATAGAAGCCATGTCTGACCTGGACACATTCACGCTGCTCCATCTGCGGATTGACCCGCAGTCTAAGGCGATCGGCTCGGCAGGGGCGACAGCAGCAGGGACGACGTCGCGGACGCTAGAGGCGGAGCTGGCGGCGCTCAACGCGCTGCACCGGTCGCTGCACAGCCTAGAGGCGCCGCACGTGGTACCGCCGCCGCCGGTGCCGGTGAACCCGAAGCGTAGCGCCAACGTGACGAAGCTGCGCGAGAGCGGCAACGCCGAGTACCGCAAGCAGCGGTACGGCGAGGCCATCAAGTTCTACACGCTGGGCCTGCAGATGGCGCTGACGCGCCCCGCGTGGGAGCCGTCGCAGCTCGTGCGCGAGGAGGTGCACCAGCTGTACAGCAACCGCGCGCAGGCGCACATGCAGTTGGCCGGATGGGCAGAGGGCGCCGTCGACGCCGAGGCTAGCGTCGAGGCCAAACGCCAGGGCAACGCCAAGGCCTGGCTCCGCCGCGGCCGCTGCCTCGTCGAGATGGGCCGCCTCGAGGAGGCCCGCGACTGGGTCGGCAAGGGCCTCGAGGTCGAGGGCCAGGAGAAGGAGCTGCTGGAGCTGCTCAAGGAGGTCGAGGGCCGCATCGCCCAGGACAAGGCCAGCGGCGCCTGAGCGAGGTTGAGAGGGAAAGCAAGGGAAGAAGAGGCGACAATGAGAAAAAAAAGAGAAGGAAACATATAAAACAAGTTTAAGGGATGTCGGGGGCGAGCAAGATGTCGCCCGGTCCGGAACGGGTGAGGCGGCCCGGCTTGTTCGGAGGCGGCGATGGCAAGCCCTTTGCCTGTCTAGGATTTATGGTCTCTATTAGGTCTGTAGAAAGTACGCGAGAGGGTGGGTAGGTGATGTACAAGACGACCTGAGGGCCACATCGACCGTCGGCCAGATGGTCGTCCGTCTCTTTGTAGACCTCGCTGCCCCGTTTTGACGTGGGCGGCCGGCCAGGGATCAGCACTTTGTGCGAGGCGTTGGGTGTTGTTTTCTTTTACATATTATGGGGTTCAAAATAAGCGTGTTAATGTCTGCGTTTCTGCACCACACAACAAACACACACGGCAAGTCTCTTCTGGATAGCTCGCCTGCCTACAACGGGATAGCGTGGTGCCACACGAGAATAATGCTGCATGATGTCATCTTGGTCATAAGAAAAAAGACAAAGTAAACTCTGATACTGCTGGCTTCTGCTCGCTGCTGCTGCTCTCCTCCAAACTCTGAAATCTCGTTGCCCAAATTGTTCCCAACTCCTGCTGGGAGAGGGGGGTCGGGTTTCCAAATCATCCCACTCCGGATTGCCCAAGATCGTATATGCAAGATCCTCCATATGCGCTTGAAGATATATGTCCATATCCAGAGTGTTGTTATAGTGTCCGCCAAAACAAATAATAGTACCGTTAAGGGAAGATAGAAAACCCGTAGCGACTCCCCCAGTCATGCAAAGAAAACTCCCCCTCCTGTCTCGTTCGACTCCCAAGCTCTTCCGTGCCATAACATTCGGAGTCACAAGTTGTATCTTATAGCGATCTCCAGCTGCGGCGTTGTTGCATAGCTAGGCCGTCGCGCGTCTTTAGGCTAGTCGGCATATTATATGAAGTATTGCTCTCATCATTTCCCCGCCCCCCCCCGTACGTTGGTTGTAGGACGGTGGTGGGTGTTTCTGGAAGGCGATAGGCGGATGTATGCTCGTCCGGAGCAATCATGTCCCTGGTCTCCGGTCTTTGGATATCTTCCCTCACGCCTTCTCCTTCTCGGAAACCATGACGATGGTGGAGGAGTTGGACTTCTTCTTCTCGTTGGCGGCCGACGGCTTCCTTTTTCGCATTACGGCGTCTTGGCTGGTCATCCGCCGGTCGAGGGCGCGCTCGAGCTTGGCCCCCAGCGCCAACTTGGACATGTTGAGGATCTTCTCCTCGGTCAGCGACACCCGCTGGTCCGCAAGCGCCTTGTTCTCCATGCGGTCGAGTCCCTTCTCGATGTCCTGGATCTCGGCCTTCGCGCTGTCTGTCGTGAGGACTGTGGGCGCCATGCTGTAGGTGCTGTACCGAACTGAGGTGCGCGTCTGGTAAAGGGAAAGGAGAAGTTAGCGAAGCTCCGAGATTTGGGCTGAAGCTGAGATTGCGGTTGAAGCATTTGCTCTCGGGGAGGCAGGCTGAAGGGGCTGTGGTCGTCACTGGGTGCCCGAGCACTGCGCGTAGTGGAGCCAGGTGCATCAGGGGTTCAGGGATCATAGGTCAGTACGGCAAAAACGTACAGATGGCACCATGATAGGGCGCGAAGAGTCAACAGAGGTAGGCATCTTGGTGGGGAAAATGACGACGGCAAAGCAAGGGCTTTGTTGCTGTCTCTCTTTTTTGGTTTTGGCGGCCAGAGACAGCGATTGTCCAAGCAATGTGTTGCGACCTGAAACGCCGCAGCAGGGGAGCGGGCCAAAGAGCAAAGCGAGGGGAGCCGGCGTCGAGTCGGATGTAGACCGATTGATGTACCGAGACTCGGAAATCGCAACTCAAGTTCGCCGCGGAGTTGAGCCAGAAGTTAATGGTCGGGAATGCAGAGGTTCAAACTTTGGACGGGCTCGAAAGCTCAGATTGTCACGAAAGGAGATGAGGTGGAGAGGGAATGGATGGAAACAGGCGTGGAGCAGTGGGGAGGAAATGCAGAGGAGGCACTTCAAGTGGTGAAACGGACTGGTCAATTCTGCAGCGGGCCCTGCCATGTGGCTCTCCTGCGGCCAACCTGCTCAAAGCAGCCGAATCGCAGCGTAGCGCTGCATGTGTCCGAGAGGGCCCGCATTGGTGGGCACCGAGCAGCCCTGGGCAGGCCGTAAGCAGTGACCCCCTCCCCCAACATCCAAGGCTTCCAGTTGGTCAAACGCGACCATTTTGCCATTGGATGCTTGGATATCACGCTGGCGCCTGCCCTTTCAGGGGAGAGCACTCAGTTTGGGGCTGGGCAATACCGCCCCAGAGCCTAGACCGAATCCTTTCAAGCTCCGTCGGAATTTTGGGGTTTCTCAGGTTGCTAGCGTAGGTATCCTTGCCGAGCATCGAACGTGGAAACGCCGTGGTCTATCAGTGGGTCAGGTAAATGGCCTTTTGTCACCGCGTCACATCGCTTCGTGATGCTTGTCGTCCACACCGTATACGGCAAGATTTTCTTTTTGTTGAACTTCCCTTTCGGCCATCACCTCCGGCTGGCCTTCCGGTCACTTCAAGTGCCACGGAAACTAGGAAACGCACTGGCGGTGCTGTTATCTGTCACCCCTTCGGCCCCATCCACAAGTGCGACGGCGCAAAATAAAGTTCAGTGGCCCCAGTCTGCGCTTCATTCAAAGCGTTGTCACCAAGCCACCGAGCCACCCCAGATACCTACGGTGCAATTTTCAAGAGTCGAGGCGTCAGTGTGAGCCGGAACCTTGCATCGCCGAGCAACCCCCAATCTCTGGTAGGCCAATGTCGTCCATAGTGTGCTTGTTTATTGCTCCTCCTATTCTCTACTCCCGCTCCACGATGAATGTTCAAAGTGATGCTGTCGGGGCCTCGCCTCCCTATTTCTCGGGGGGAGCATTTCTCAAGCGCACAAGAACATGTGCGTGCCGGAAATACCACGTGCATGCTGTGCTGGGCGGGCGCAGACTCAGGTCGCTGATTGGAATTGTTGGTTGGACAAACACAGTGGACCCATGGCCCCCCACCAGTCACTGGCGTGTTGGCCTGCACTGTTTACGTAGGCCCCCAAATACTAGGTGCCTATTAAAAATATCGGAAATTTGGTCTAGGTGCGCTGTGCCTCCGCAAATATGGAAGGGAATATATTTTCCTTTTGTCCCTGCGATGGGTGCGTTCGTGTTGGTTTGCTATAACAACAAAAATGCAAGAAATGCAAGACGCGATGCGTGCCGGGCAAACTTGAACTTTCCGTCTACAGTGGTTCTTCTCCCCACAGGCTCGAGGCGGGCTCTGGAGTCTGGGCACCCCTGCAGGCAATGCGAAACACACCCCTGCCGCACGTGGCATGCGACCGACCGGGACGGGACGGTGGGGTTTTGCTGCCGTCACCTTTTTTCGGTTCAACAAAGGACGACACCATTGGAATGCACCACTACAGTGAGAGGTGCAGCTCGACGGCAGACAGACCTGAATCCTACCCTCCTGCCACTGCACGCCATTAATACACATTTGTGCCCCAATTCCGCCGTCAGTGACACGACGCACGCACAGACTGGCCACCCAATCGTGACGCTAATTTAAGGAGAGGCGAGTCGTTCTGGCTGGCTGGCTGGCTGGCTGGCTGCGGCACAGTCTAGCTGTTGGCCCGGCGCTGACGCGAACGACAAAGTTTGCATTGTTTGCCTCAGCCTCATGTCTCGTGGCGGCACCCGTCGGATAATATTTATCCTCCAAAGCCTGGGCGGAATCGGAAGAGAGGGGCGGGGTCCGTTCCGCTTCCTTTGCCGAGCCCGCAGTGTGTGAAAGCTTAGGTTGCGTCCACTTTTGGGATGGCGTCCGAGGCTCGAACGCAGTCGCCGCGACGACCAAAAGAGCTAGACTTGTAGCGCACTGAGGTAACCTTAGTCCTACATGTGAGCTAGCATCGTCGAGCGAGTAGCTCGGACGCTGGGAAACAAACTGTTCATGACATTTCTGCTATAAATCACTCTGCATTTACCAGTGAACAGCTCAAGAGTCGAACGAGTCCCGCCGTCTTACGCTTGCTGGCGGGGACATGTAAATCCGCGGATCAATCGCGGGCTGTGGAGACAGCGGGCGTTGGGGGCTAAGGGCCCGTCGAGCTGTCCCGGGAGGGTACTCGGGAACGCCTAGACCGGGCGTTGGAAATGTCGCCATGAAGTCTGCCCTTAAGCCCATGCCCGCAGGTGTGGCTGGCCCAATTGGAGACGGGGTTTCTAGCCACGGAACGGTGCTGGCAGTCCTCTCGAACTGGGGCATTTGGTCCATCGAGCCATTCCCCATGGCTCGGAGTTGATCCTGAAAGCTACGGGCCGCCTCTCGATTCCTCTCCGAGCACACAAGTCTTGCCTGGTCGTGCCATTTCTTCATCCTTTTCTTCCGCCCCGCGACTATCATAGCCGTGGAGGCTTGGCCGAGGTCGTCATAAGAAGCGCGCAAGGCTTCGGCAAACCCGTAGTTTATGACGTCGTTAATGATGCTGGCGTATAGCTTGGACAGGACGTGTATGCCGAGGCAAACCTGCTTCATCCTCATGACCTGCTGAAAGAAGAGGCGGGTCATGTATGCCTCGTCCTTTTTGTTGGCCTCGACGAACTTGGCCTTCTTTCTGAACGGGTTCACCCGCGTGAACCCCAGGCTGATCCCAGCTGGCTTCTCGATCCTTTTTCGTATGTCTACCAGCCGCTTTATCTCCTCACTAAGCTTGGCAAAAGTGTGGAGGAGGGCCGAGACATCCGAAGCGAGATCTCCGAGAAGTTCGCAGACTTGACTGATGATGGTGATAATTTCTTCCTGCATAGACATGTCAGTTGGTTCTCTTTACATTGCAGTAGCGGCGTATGCCTACGAGCTTAGCCTCCTCATTTAAATACTCGTCGATCTGCGAGGAGAGACGCTCTGCCCTTAGTTTGAAGGACATCTCTGTCTTTCTGCGCTCGTTCAACTCTCGAAACGCCTCATGGAGGTCTCTCTCCGCTTGGGCACGGAGTCTAGCCGTTTCATTGAGGGCTTTATTGCCGGCAGCGGCTTTGAACGGGCGCTTTATGGCGGCCCAAAAGGGGTTGTAGAGATATTCTTCGAGCTGCTCTGTAGCCACCATGTCAGATGAGAACGCTTGAGGCAGAGGGGAAGCCATAGAAGGGGCTGCCTAAGGAAAATTGTACCTGATAGCAATCCTTCGTGTTCTCCAGCCATTTTTTCGTAGACTTTGGACTTATCCTCCTGTCTCTGAACTGCGAAGATGATCTCATTCACCGCCACGGATATTTCGACCGAGTTTTCCTTGAGCTTTCCCTCGGTGGCCCTTCGAGCGCGTTCTGTCAATGCAACGTTTGCCACATTTGCGTCTAAGAAGTCGCTCATCAGTTCAGAAAGCCGGGACGACAGCGAAAGTGGGAAAACTAGGTTGCAATGACTCACTCTTGGCGCCATCTACTGCCTCCATAACTTTGTGTACAGTGCTTCGCCAACTATCGAAGTTTCCGGCCGTCCTCTCGCCTGCAGCGGAACAGCTGCTGACACAGTCCTGAACCCAGCTGTAAACCAAGTTTTTGGACGACTTGGTGCCACCATGGAGGAGCAAACCGCCCAACTGGTCCAACTATGGAAGCCAAAAGTTAGTCTCTCGCACTCAGACACCCGGGTCTGCTTAACCCTTACAAGACCGCCGTTCTGGCAGAGCTCCTCGGACGAGTTTGAGATGCCTAGGAGGTCCTTGTACGCTCCGAGGAAGGCGTTGCTCCCTTCATTGGCGATACGGATCAAATTGGTTGAGAGGGCAGGCCCGCTAGTGTGTTGACACAGCTATTAGCCAAGTGGTAGGACAACCCCAAGCTTGGTGCACGTGCGGTATAGGGGTAGAGGTTGAAGGGAGAAGGGAGAAGGGAGAAGGGAGAAGGGAGAAGGGAGAAGAGAGAAGGGAGAAGGGAGAAGGGAGAAGGGAGAAGGGTGAAAGGAGAAGGGAGAGGGGAGAAGGGAGAGGGGATTTACCCTGGGGCATCGGCTGGAAGGACGACTCTGGCGACATCCCGTGTCGAAGAGACGGCGAGGCAAAAGCCAAGATTGTAGAGCAGATCCGGTGCAGTCTCGAGTCTAGGGGCTAGTCCATCGTCGGACTCTCTGGTCACGTCAATTTCGACAACGCTAGGGGAGGCCATCTCGTTTGCTTGTGTTTGGTGGTGTTTTCCAAGGAAGGAGTAGAATGTCACGAGTGGATTGTCCGGGTACTGTATTAGAAGACTAACTCGGAAGGAAGGACACAGCCTTGTCACGGCTCGGACCATGTAAGGAGGTGCGGTATCCGGAACTCTCCATTGCCAAGAATTCTAGGCATATTCGCCGGGCAATCGGGTCACACTTGTCGTGTTTCCGCCAATTGTTCCCCCACTTTCGTCTTTCAGCTTTTGATGCGAGATTGTGACGACTTACAGCCCCGACCATTGCCCACCCTACCAAACCCATTCCCGCACCACCGTCAAGGAAGCACCGCCTCTCGGAGCCTCGCCATTTCGCCAAGTTTGAAGACCGAGACAACCCGTCATGGAGCCGGTTCAGTGGCAGCCGCTTCTATTTCGGTTTCCGTCCTTCAACATTGGAGTGCCACCACCCCCGCGCCGAGCTTGTCCTTCAAGTGGTGTGTACAACCAGCCTCATTCTTGCCGACGACAGCTGCGGGCCGACCAGAATTGTGCGCCTTGCTTTTATACTTCGGTATTGACAGTCAAGGGGTGCCAGTCTCGCATCCCTAGTGGTAGCTTCTGACCTGGAGCGAGCCTGATCTGGATAGCCGACTTTGAGACTCCTTGTTCGTTGTGTTTCTAGCAGGCGCCCGTAACAAACATGCCCTCAGGATACGCTCGAAGGCGGCGTGCGAAGGAAATATCCTGGCACCAAACAATCGACACCTACAATCCTTCCGTCGTTGGCGACTTGGACTTGGACCTGGATCTTGCATCTCTCGAGGGAGCCGACGACTGGCGCGCCCGCGGCTTGGTCACCAAGATAAGGAGTCTGCATGAGCAACTCAAAACATTGCAATCGGAGCGGGATACGCTACAGCTTGCTTTTGAGGCTGAGTGCGGCGAGGCTCTACGGCTAGCGGTAGAGTCGCTACAGCACTTGGTCGAGGGCGTGGCGCGTGCCGATAAGTCCATCCTGTTCTGGCACACTGCCGGTGGCACACCGCTACGGCTGGCACTCAAAGTACTCAAGCCAATCGGCATGGACCGCGACGCCGGGACTATCATGGCGAGGAAAGGTGTCGCGATCAGGAGCCAGGCGGACCACGTCAGCGAGATCTTTGAGCGATGTGGCTCCCTGTGTCAGGCCTCGCTTGTCGACGTTCAAGACCTACACCTCCGCACAAACAACTTCGTACAGACAGACATCGGCGGCGCCCAGAACGACGCCCAGGACCTCGCCCAGTCCTACGAACGTGCCAAGCAGAACCTTCAGCTCGACATCAACAAGAAGGAGCTCGACGTTGCCACGGTCCAAATCGAGGCCACCAGGACGAGCGACATGGTAGCCAACCTCGAGGAGCAGCATGATAAAGCGACGCGAGCTGCGAACAGCAGCCGGGCTGTACGTGGTCCCTGAATAATGACGCATGGTCTCGGGCTGACTGAGTTTTTCTAGTTGGGTGCCGCGGGTATAGGCGGCGGCCTCTTGCTGGGTGCCATGTGTGTGTTCTTCCCCCCAGCTGGCGCAGTGGCGGCCGGTATTGGGGCCTTCACAGCTGGAGCAGTAGGTGTCTCGTCGACGGTCGTCTCCGGTGAGCACAGCGCAGAAGCTCGCCGACTGCAGTCCGAACAGTCGAGCTATGAGATTCAGTTAAGCGGTCTGCAGGTGGAAATTCGGGGCCTGCAGCGTGAGGTGAGAACCCTGGAGAGCTCCAAGGTCGGATACGACGAAGCTGTGCGCTCCATAGGCGTGCTCGAGGCTCGCTGCGAGAACCTGAGGAGCCAGACAAACCAGTTCCTACATGAACTGAACGGTGCCCGTGTTGTCCTGGCGAGGGGAGTCGCCAAGACTGCTGGCATTGCCGCAGCCCTCAACCGATGCGAGTACGCCCGAACAAGACGCGACTTTGTCAGCAGAGTTGAGGGTATCCTAGACGACTTGCGCAGCGGCAACAGGATCACAGCACCTCAACCAAAGCTTCTCGTGGTGTCGGACCGGCTGGAAGTTCTGGGCAAGAAGACTGATCGTGTCATGGCTATCATGACGAGGAGTTTTTCCTCGTCCTAACTAAGGGCCCTGGGTTCTTGTGAGCGTTTCGATTTGGGGCCATGAATTGAGGTTGTGCTCCAAAATCACAAATGCGATTTACATGTTCATTTATTTTTCTTAGGCTCGCAGTGTCCTGAACGTAAAATCTCAAATGGTCCGCTCTGTTTTGACTCAGCTGCTTTGATGAGTAGGTAGGTAAGTAAACCCCCTAGTCTCACGAGTCACCGCAGGACAAGCCTGACTTGGTCTTAGACTCTGCAATCTGGAATGTGCCTTGGCACAGAGCCGCCAAGCTGCATTAATACATTGGCATATAACCGAATCTACGCCAAGAAAGGTACTTGAGTCCGTGTGCAGATTTCCGTTGCCGAACCCTGCACTCCGGGATGTGCCGGCCGGCGGCAACGTCTGTGCTGCGCTGTGCAGTGGCTTGCTGGCTTGATTACCTTCCCACCCACTCCCAAGAAAAGGTATCCCGGAGGAATTCCAGATCGAGGCAGAGGCGGAACCATGGGGGTGGCGTGAATTACCCGCGCGGAAGCGCGAGGATCTGGAACGTGAAACCAATACAAAAAGTCCTTTTCATATCCTCACGCTTCTTTCTCGTCCTTTCGCTCTTTTTCGCCAGGCACTCATGGCGGTACGGTTCTTGGCATCGCGTCCTCGCCCAATGCGATGCCCCTGTGGCAGGCGGCCGCAGGAGGGATTAAGCGCGCTGAATGCGCCAAGTTCCGACCGACTGTCTTGGGCCTGCCTTGGCTTGAAAAGAACCGAATGAAAAAAGGTCGATTAAGCGACCATCATTGGGGACCAGGTCCGTGGAGGATTGGTCCTCTTAGCAGGCCCGAGCCCTCTGGTATGTACAAGAAGAGATCGACGACCAGAGCAAAATCTTGACGCACACACACATCCTGTCGTTTCCGGAATCCACCCCCCTGCTTTCCCTACAAGATGGCAACACATCACCAGCCATCATCCAAAACACGTCCCCTGGCGGCGTGGCTGCTGCTGCTCCTCCCATTGAGCACGGCCGTGCACGCCCTGGCCAGCCTAGCGGTCATTTTCGAGTCGTCGACAGCGTGGCCGGCTCTCGCCGCGGCGCCGCGGGCGTGCACGACGGGCGGGTGGTCGGCGGCGGTGAAGTCGCCCTGCGGCGACAAGGAGTGCTTCTGCGCTGACGCGCAGTTCATGGCCGACACGACGGACGAGTGCCTGAGCATCCGCGTGTCCAACATCGGCGACAAGACGGCGTTTTCGGTGCAGAATTACAATGCTATCATGGCGTTCTGGGGCGGCGAGTGCGGCTTCAAGCCTCAGTTCAAGGTACGGGGACTCACAGCTTGCTCGTTGCTTATTTTTTTTTTTTATCTACGTCTTTGCGGGGCGTGTGCTGATTAATTTGTCGTTGCGTCTGCAGGAGGCCATGACCCAAAAGGTCACGTACACCAAGACCTACTCTACCGCCGTGCAGACGACACCGGCCGCCAACAAGCAGACGACCACTACCAGCGGCGCCCAAGGTGAGAAGATGGCGGTCCTCTCAATCTTTGTTTTCATCTCTTTCTCATCCCATCGGTCGACATGTCTGGTGCTCATAATCGACGGCTAACACGCAAAACCCAGGTGGCGCAGGACTAACCACAACGACAGACGCGACTTCGACAGCCACCGACACCCCCTCGTCATCGGGCGGCGGAGGAAATGGAGGAGGGGGAGGAAACTCGGATCTGAGCATCGGCGGGATAATCGGCATCGTGGCGGGCGTGGCCACAGTCATCAGCACCATTGTTGGCGTGGTAATGTGCTACCGTCGGAAGAACCAATAATGAATTAGAGCGAAGAGTGTATTGTACTCCTCGTGAATGCTTGAATACCCCTTGACGTGTACGTAACGATGGTGTCTACATCGGGCGGCTTCCTTCTATCACCCGGTATCCCTTGACATGTAAACAGCCCGGTGCCAATGTGAATGCCTTTTCTTTCCTGGCCGCCTCCAAGACGTGTTTTTGTATTTGATAATACTCGCAGTAGAGAAACATCTCTGACCCGATGTTATCTAACCGCTTCACTTGCTAGATAACCGGGTGAAGGTGGTTAGGCAACTCGGGCCATGAGCGAGTATGATTCCGGAGGCGGAATGTGCAGAGCAGCAATCAACGGCACAGAGTCCTATCTTGACCTGCCTGCCACGCCTCTCTTTCCGTCTTTTACCAAGCAAGAAGGTGTGCGACCCTCCCAGACGGCAACATGACTGCAACGGGCCCGAAAAGGGAAGTCCGAGAGCTGATGCCGCATCAGTGGAGGAGAAAAGAGGAAGGAGGGAGGGGTACAAGGCTTTTTGTCTGAGACAAGGTCAAAAAGCCTGGTTATCGTGGTGAATGCCAATGCATCAAGTGTGGTGGTGTGGCAGCCAGAAAAAAAGGGGGGGAGAGGGGACCGGCCGTAATCCAAGGGCTGACAAAATTCAACAACAAAGGAAAATAGAGTGATTCTTTTTCCTTATCGAAGACGAACAGGGTGCTCGGATCACAGCTCACACGCCAAGGCCGCCTCCAAACGAGTAGTTCGAACAAGGACGGGAAGGGATGTGGCGGAGTTGAAAAAGAAAAGATGGGGGATCTGGAGGGATTGCGGCTTGGCATCGTGTTTGGGCGTCTGGAGTGGAGGGAAGAAGAGAAATAGAAGAAAAGAAGAACAAGCAGCCAAGGACTAAGGGTGGCTTGCTTCATGCAATCCATGCCTTATCCACAATCCACGTTTTGACAACCCCCCCTTTGTCGAGGGCCCATGAACTTTTCTCTCCTAAACCTGCCCATTGGCGGTTGTCAAGACTCGTCAATGCTGATCACATGGGGTTGGGAATCCTGCCGCCTCCCTAGCCGGCAGTCAGACTGGCATACCCTGGGTCGCAGTAGGGGCGGGTAAGCATATGATCTCCGGTGCAGCCACATATGTATGCACATGTATTGAATCATGGCCCCGGTGCCGATCACTCAGAGGGGGGAGGGGGGCAGGGCGGCAGGGAGGGGAGGGAGGGAAGTCGGCGTGAAGGAGAATCAGGCCAGAACGTCGTCATCGTGCTTCAATTATCCGATGGAGAGATGGTCTGGGTCTCAGTTCTGTTCAGCTCCAGCAGCCTCTGTCTTCAGCTCGGTGAGATGGGTCAGACGCGCCCTCCGAAGGCTCGGCTCGAGGGCATGGTAGCCTGCCAGTCAGCAAGTCAAGTTTGCTTACTTGTCTCTCGTCTCAGTCTTTTACTTTACCTGACCGCCAGCCAGACGTCCAAGGTCGGATTGCGCGGACCCTGGAGAAGCTATCCTCGTCGGCATGATTAAATGCACGATAAACTGCCGGGCCTCCACTCCCCCTCAGCTCCCCTGCTCTGGTCAGCAACTGTCTCGAGAAGTTGAGAGGCTTGCGCTTCGAAGGGCTTGGCGTCTTGGCGGTGATGCCGCGATCTTGTCTTGGTGTGCTTGGCAGTCGCTTTAAGTGTGGTAAAACGATGGGCAAGCAAGGAGGGGCCCGAGAGCGTGGCTGTCTGTTGGCAGCCTGCTATGCGCGGAATTCCAATTGATGGCGCTGGTGCGGTTCTGGTGCTGGAATATCCAAGCGGCCTTACCCTATCTGTCTTGCGGCCCTGGTTGGCGATCACCCCTAGATCCGATCTTTGACAATCGACGTTTCCTCGGTGGAGCACTCGAGGCCGAGAGGCGGTTGGTGCTTCAGCGCCGTTAAGGCGATCGAATGCCTCGTATGTACAACCCGTACTCGGAACCGCACATGAGTACTTGCTTTGATTCTCCACACCTTGTTTTCACCCCTCCCTGCACCACCATCTCAATCGAGACAGAGGCGCTTGGCGCTTCAGAAGCAGATCGCATCCTCGCATGGGTAGGGTCCCATGGGTTATTACCCATTCAATGGCCCCAATGGCTCCAATGGCAACGCTATCCCAGAATTTCTGGGATTTGCCCGCTTGGGCATCAGCACGGCCATGCTGCACATCATTGAGAATTGCACCGGAACCAACCTAAGGTACGGACAGTACAGGTGCAAATCCCCAGCTGTGCATCTGCGGGCGTCCGACTCGGGCCTAGATAAGGGTCCTGCCCGGGCTGTTCTGTAGCATCTGACAGATCTTTACGCCACAAAAAATCATCTAAGCGCTGACCTCGGCTGTTTCTTGAAATGGCGCTCGTGGCGTCGCCGTGGGTTCGAGGTTGGGGGCCTAGGCCTTTGCCACCCAACACGCGGCTTGGCGGATGGTGGAGTTGGGGACGTGGAGTTGGGGACGTGGAGTTGGGGACGTGGAGTTGCAGCAGCATGTAGCTCAATGGCCGTTGGCTAGTAAACACAGCCCCTGACTAGATAGGAAAAAAAGTCTAGTCGGACCTCGTCTCGAGATGCAGTTGGCAGCTCGACGCCGATGACAAGCTTTTGATCATCGCGATGGCAATCGAGTCCCTGGTGCTGATATTTGTGCTTAGTGCGCTCAAGCCGTGGGGGGAAAAAGTGTTGTCATGTCTCAGTGCTGTGTCACGCTTGTCTCGAGCCCACGCCAGCACTGGCCACGTTTCTCCCATGCCTGGTAAACGGTACGCACGGAGGCGCCACGTGCTTTGATGAACTGCGGACAGCTCTGGTTCATGGGTTAGACAATGGCTGTCAATTATTGGAACTCGCGTCCCGACAAGGCAGCTTGGGTCCTCCCTGGCCGCCCACCACTTCCCGATCTTGCCCTGAAGGCGAGCTCTCGTGCTTTCTGTGTCCAAAAAGACCGGCCGGCTGATTTCCACGACTTCGGATGATGGTCTGGCCCATAAAGACAGACGGAAGTATGCCCTTGGCGCCTTTCGTCGCCATTGCTGTGGCTTGTGTCGCCCTGGACAACTTCCTATATAAGGGCAGTTTGTGCTGTTTATCCAACCGATGTATACCAGCCCTTGTCGACCACACCGCCTGCTCTTCATAATTATCTTGATAATCGTAGAGCACGGCTTCTCCAACTTGCTAGCGGATACCGGATCCCAGCAGATCCAGCTCGATTCTGACTGTGGCAGGTGAAGACGATACCATACTCTGTGTGCTGCCCCCGCCCCCCCCCCCTCGCACCACTCGGAGTGGTCTTGGTTCAGATCTTTCAAAGATATCTCCTGAGAGTCTTTGCACTCGCCGTCGTGAGTCATCACATCGCGCTAATCAAATGCTCTGATGGATCAGGGTGCTGAATCAAGACCGAGCAGACGAGATAATATTAGCCGCCCTTTCCAGTCAAAGATCACCAGCGTGGAAACCTGGCATCGTGTCGCTACCCGATTGCCACAGACGGTCAAGACTCACTCTGCGTGAGCTGGGTTCGTCCTGGCGCCGAGTTGTCAGCACCCGTCGACCGCAGTCGCTTGCAATTGCCGGTGACGAGGTATCAGCCAGACCCCGGCTTTCATCCCTCGTATGGTCCCTTGAGAACGACTGGGATCCAATTTCCAGAGACACCCACTCGAGGTGGGAGATATTAGTCTCCACGAGTCCTAGGACCCTGAGCGAAGAAACCAGAGTCAGCTCAGCTCCTCTCAAGTGTCTGCGCCGAAAGCAAATATGTGCACCTGGTCTTACCTCCACCACCACCACCTGTACCCTTGCACGAGGGAAATCGACATGGTGGTGCATTACGCGTTTTGCAGATCAGCTCCGGTCGATACGGCCGGCTCGCAGCTACCATGCGACAATCTGACCTACGACCATACCCAGGCTGTTGACTACAACAACCCATGCGCCACAGGAGGTTGCCTGGCCTCGCCTGACTGCTCCTCTGGAGCCTGCCGTCTTGAGCAGCTCAATGGGCGGTGGATATGTTGCCAATGCAATCGGGGCGCTAACGAGTACCGCTGGTGCCGCCATCGCAGGCGCGGGAGCCCAGACACATTCTGTTACCACGTCTGCTGCGCAGGTTGTCGGGAAGATTCACGGTCTAGTCGCCGAATATAAGTGCGATGCACGTGTGGTGTCGAAGCCGACAAGAATTGGGGCAGGCGGGTCACTAAACACTCAGAAGGAGAAAATAGCGAGAAGTTGGGTTGGTGGCTCTATTTAACAGAGAGCAGGAAGGCGGGATGTTTGAAGCGTGGAGGCCGGGCTCGGATACGCTCAGTTCCGGTGATAGCGGCGCCTCAGCCCCCTCACACCCCAGTCGCTCTTTTCCTGCACCTATCATTGGTCTCCTTCTTGGCACTTGTTTTGCGTCCATTATTTCCTGCTCTTGTCCTTGTTTCTTTACCCTGATAACTCTTCTTGATTCTGGCCATGAATGTCGGGTGCTGGGTCTTGCTGACGTCAGGCCAATACCTGCTGAGGTGCTCACTTCAGCTACCCTCATTTGGCATAACCGCATGCGGGATACCGGGAGAGCATGTTCTCGCGGCCACATATCGTCACCCTTGCGCTAAAGGTTGACGAGTTCATTTCCCATACGACTTGGAATAAAACAGAGATAGCTGGCTGCGAATCTGAATTGGCAGCCAGATTCTGTCTGCAAGACAGCTGTGCAGTGCTGTATTGCTGCATTGCTGGGGAAATATTCGGGCCTCTTTTTTTCTTTCTTTTTTTCTTCTTTTGTGGAGTTGGTTGTTCGCGCCCTGGGCGCCTTTTTGTGTAACTTTTAGTTGGATTTCTCCAAGAAGGGTCGAGAGGACTGGTGTGGATGGTTTGGACGGAAACTGACCGGATCGTACCACAAACCTGTCTCAGATCCTCAATATTTTCTTGGTCTAAGACTAAAATCGGCGAGCTGCAGATTCGGAGTACGTACAATATTCAGCTGTCGTTTTGTGCATGTGTAGCCGGCTTATTGATCGGACATGGAGAAGAGGGAGTCGGGAAAGTGTTGACAGGCGACAGCTAGTCGTACCATTCCGCGCTGCCGGGTGCGGTTATGAGTTACAGTCATTTTGTTGTCCGGGACAGTGCCATCTTCTGGGATTTGTACTCTCATTCCCGCCCTCTTTGTCTGGATGCTGGATTTTGCCGGTCGAATATCGCTGCCGGATTAGTCGAGAAAACAGAGGAAGCAGTCCGGGAACTTAAGCCGGACCCGTCACATGTGCACTGTCCGGGAACATCTGCGACGGCTGCTGCATCGTCGGAACACTCGACGTTTTGAGCCCAGCAAGGAGTAGAAATCTCGTTGACAGGGTTGCTTATGCCGTGTGAGGGGGCCGCTTTGGGGGATATCGGAGTGATGCTGCAGCCTCTTCTATCCATGTTGGCCTCGGTATTATGCAGTCCGCGGTTGGTGGCTTGCAGTTTTGTCAGACTCGAAGGCAAAATGGGGCCTGAAGGACGAGGTTTGGTTGGGCGAGAGTGTAGTCACTGCGGCGATGCCAACTAAAGCCCCATAAATTTTGCTCGGGAGATGGAATCTGGGTTGGCGATGTTGTGGCTTTTTGTCTGCGAAGAAATGCAGACTTGGCGAATTTGAACTCGCGAATGAGCCTTGTTCGCGGGAGAGCCGCGGATGGGTGTGTGCCACCTCCCACTAGTATGCGTGCGACCAGGAATGGATGCAACTAGGCGTAATAGGATGCAGACCGTGGGCAGGCTTGCACAGGTGTTACCAAGATTAGTTTTGGGTCAGACAGGTGCCTCATTGTCCTCGCCTTCCCAGGTCGGATTTCATGAGGTAATTACGATATCGAGAGCGCAGTGTATTATTACCTCATGGAAAGTCCCGAATTACTGATTCTGTATGAGACCCATGTATTTTCCTGCCACACTCTTTCCCAGAACTGGTTTACAAAAAATCACGAGATCACCTAGGTGCGCAGCCTTGGGCGGGAAGGTACCACCGAGTTGAGAACCACCTCAAAACGAGGGCTAGGGCTAGGGCGGGCCTGTGCAACAGCCCTACAGCCCCAGATTGATAATCTGATTTCGGTGGATTTGCGGCATTCTGCCCTGGCGTTCTTATTTGCGACCTCCACTGCAGTGTTTGGATTCGCTCTGATGTTCACGGTGAAGAAGACAAGGCTGCCAACCTCCGTTTGCCGAGAAGCATAGCTTTGATTCAAGACTAGGAAGCTCCTCCCGGAGTCCGTCCCTTCCATTCTGATTTGTGGGCACCTACATAATCGGAGGAGGGAAACTTACTACACCAACCTACCTTGGTATTGGTATGTGATGTGGAGATGGCGCTTTGGCTTGTATTCTGCGTTGTGGAACAAGACTGTCAACTCATGAGACTGCCTACCTTTGATTCTCTTGAAGACTCGTCTCTTACAGCACGCGTGATGGTAGGTAGAGATACTTGCAAACCAGCCCTAGGCCATGGCACACAAGCGGCAAATACGGCATTCTTGACCGCGTCCGGCCGGCTGGGTTCAGCGACACCTCTCCCTAGCGTCATCGACATGAGACAAAGTCTCTAGATACGGCGTCATCCAGATTGGTGTAGCATGAGCTCGTCACACGTGGCTTGCTTCTTGCATACTTTTACAGTGCATCATGCAGGTCTTGAAGCTATCACGGCAGTTCAAGTTCGCCTTGTTTTGAGGTGTCCCTTACTGCCGGAAAAAAGGAGTCTGTCTCGCCCATCGGATCGATGGGGCTAGACACCCACTCCGCGGCCAATGACAGTGGAGGAAATCCAGCCACGATCGGCCTGGTGCGGTGCCGAAGATTTTCGGACATTCTAGGGAAGAATAACTCAATAAGAGACATCACCAGGGTTCCGGGCCTGAAGGTTGTCTGTGGCATTTCGTGATGAACATGGCATCGTATTCTCGTCATGGGAATAACTTAAGCCCGTCCGTCATCCTGAGGCGAGTAACGTTGCCAGACAAATGACGGACGGGCCACCGCGTCCGGAGTTGAAGCAACTCTTATATAAACTCAGCGTTCTCGACTTCCGTCCCAGCAGACGACATCCTCATTGAATAACAACGAAGTCTTTGTTGAAGGAACTTGCTTTACGAGCTGCTAGGCTCTTACCCTCTCTCAGATCCCACGCCCGCTTCCCTGGCTGTCTTCGTTTTACTATATCTAGCCATGTGCCAAGTGTACGTCACCATTTACCCTTGCGGCCACGAGGAACGAAAATACAGCTTTTGCCGAGCAGCCAAGACCGGCAAAGGAGGAGAGAGGTGCCCCTGTACTGCCGCCAGTGAGTACAGACGAACCGCAACTGCGGGCTGCTACCTGGGCGGATGCGACTATCTTAACGCCGGGAGAGGAAACTGGACGTGCTGCAAGTGCGAAAATCCAAACTCTGGTATTCCGAGGTGCGACCACTTGGTGCCTTGTCCAGACATCTTCAACGTCACCAGAGAGCGGTATGAGCCCCAGGAGAAGATGATGAATTGCGGCCACGACTGCTGTCAAAACTGCCAGAAGGAGCGTAAGTCACCCCCAACAGAGACTAGGCGCTGCGACTATTGAGACGGAGTTTCAAGCCCTAACAAAGACCAGCATTGGATCCCTTCGAACATCGAAACGATAATACCTGGCTCTACCCAAACCCGGATCTGTCGTCGAGCCCGGAATCGTGGATGTCGCCCTCTGCTCTCCCAGAAGCAATCCCCCAAGGAGCAATGGCCTTGGCGGGACTGGCCCTGGGCGCGACAGCACCTGAGGGCAGTGCCTGGGACGAGCAGACGCTAGGAGTGAGGCTGCCTCGCGGGGTGGCGTCATTTGGGGTGCCGCCGAGCGCGAGGGGAGGAGCCCCGCCTCCGAAACTGCACCTGAATCTCGACAACCCGCGAAACGCGGCCCTTGTCCACGCGCTGCGGCAGCCTGGCGCTGTTCCGCCTGACTACAACAGCCTGACAGTGCCCTATCTCTTGACCATGAAGGACTCGAGCCCCGAGACCGTGCTGCCAGCCGACTACGGCAGGCTAGACTATCTCAACTCTCTCGACACACAAGACCAAGCCGCCACCACTACTACACCGAGAACCAAGATGGCCGGCCCTGGCCAGCGAAAGCCGAGCCACCCAAAGCGGCGAGATACGGGGCAGGTCTCGGGCGGTGCGGAATCCTCGGCGCCTAGTAGAATAGAGAGTAAGGGCAAGTCTCGGCAGGGCGGCCGTGGCGCCATGGCCGTTGCCAAGTCCGGGCCGGCTTCGTCAAAGCATACGGGAACTGGTGGAAGCTTTCTAGGCATCTCGCTGGATGTTCGTTCTCGAGGGCGGCATGGTCGACGCAGCGAGGCCCGGGGCAAGGACGGGGAGGAGAACGGTGACGAGGGCCGGGCCGTGCACAAGAAGCCTCGCACCAAGTAGCCCTAGACCTAGCCTCCTAGGTTGGCTAGCTCCTCGTTCTTTCACCTTGTTCTGTTTCTTTCTTTTCTTTCTTTTCTTTCTTTTCTTTCTTTTCTTTCTTTCATTCTTTCATTCTTTCATTCTTTCATTCTTTCATTCTTTCATTCTCGTTCTGCCATGTCGCACAGCAGCCACAAATGTTCATCTGTCCAATCTTCTACCAGAGCCGAACAAGGCCCACTATCGAGCTCCATTTCATCCCAAAAATGAGCTCGCACAGCCCCAAAAGTAAGAAGAAGGATAAAAATCCCATTCATCAAGATGACGGCGAGGCCCGGCGGCTTAGGCTGGAGGAAGAGGCACAGTCCCCGCGGCTGCAAACAAACCGCTGCTGGCCATGTTCCAATTGCCGGACACGACGAAGTGAGAAGTGATTATTGCAATCCAGCAACGGCAACACGAAGGTTTGCTGGCCTGAATCGTTCCCCTATCCGAAAAGTCGAAATGCTCTCATCGCTTCCATCAATTCGGTTCAACAGGGCGTGTGGCTCAGTTGGTAGAGCGTTCGCTTAGCAAGTGTTATAGAGCGTGCGAAAGGTCCTGGGTTCGATTCCCAGCCCGTCCAGATTTACTTCCTTTCTTTTTGTGTCTTTTTGCCATGACCTTAGCTTTCGTTTCTCTCTTCTCGTATTCTTGGGGCAACCTGTTTGCTTTTAGCATTGTGAAATTAAACTCTTGTTTAACGTTGTCTTAGTGGCTGACATCTAATCATGGGTGGAGTGGGCTTCAGCGTCGAGGACTCGAGATATGGAGATTTGGTGATGGCCGAAGCTAATTAGATCCAGGTGACAGTCAAGTGAGTCTAGGTTTATATAAAGCAAACTATTGTTGCTGCTATTTCTTGTCTTTGAAGCTAGTTGGGGCTAGAGTTTGATTTTAGTCAAGAAAGGAGACATAACAAAAGGGCAAGTCTGTTTCGTGCTATCAGGCCACAAAGTGCTCTCTTCATGCTAATTACCTATCCTAGTCGCACTATCTTCTCCGTTCTCGGCTCGGCTCCTTCTACTTCTCCACACAACATATCAAGACCCCGGTATTTACACCAGACTGGCAGACAGACACCTATCCCTCCCACACCGGCGGGCCGGGCGGCGTGTAGCTCGTCGGAACGGGGTAGTTAGCAAAGATGAGCCCCGGGTCGGTGGCCTTGTACGCGCCGGGGAAGGCCACCTTATTGGTCGGCGTGCCGCTGCCGCCGTCGGTGACCTTGACCTGCGCGCAGGCCAGGTAGAACTGAGCGCCGCCCGGCGACTGGGCCTGGTGCAGCGCGATGCTCTCGACGCGCACCAGGTAGGTGCCCGAGGGCAGGCTCTTGGGCACGGTGAAGCTAACCACCTTTTTCACTATTGCGGTGGTGGGCTAGTCAGCATGCATTGTTTCTCGGACAAGCCACTGTCTCTATCAGTAGCGAAGAGGATTTGACTTGCTGTACGTCGGCCAGGTCAGCGCCTTCTGGCCGGCCGTCTGGACCGCGTCGATGCTCGCCACCTTGAACCACACGTTGCCCGCGGCCTCCCACGTGTTGACATTGCTGTCGTCGGGCACGCGCGCCATGTAGAACTGCACCGGGCCTGGATGCGTGACGCCCTGGTCGGCGACGAAGCCTAGGTCACCACCCGCCGCGATGGTCGCCGTGCCCGTGCCGGCCTTCATCTGGAAGCAGCGGATGTCGGGCGTGCTGACGCTTGTCACGCCATGGTCGTCCTGGTAGTTCTTGGTTTGCCGGATCGACGTCCACTCTTTGGCCTCCTGCTCGCCGTTGATGACGAGCTTGGAGAAGCGGTCTTTGTAAATGAAACCCGTGTTAGATTCCTGGCTGATAGTCGCGAGGCGAGTGGGGTCAGTTTGGTAGCTTACAGTGAGCCTGGGCTGTTGCCGCGAGGATCAGCGCGGACGAGAGCAAGCGCATGTTTGCGTATTTTGCTTGTTGTATCCAGCTGAAGTGCCCGTCCGACCAGGATACCACTTAGCGAGAGAAAGAATAGTAGGTATGTGAGATATACCAACTACCTCATTATCTACCGGGCGCCTCTTATACAACCCCGGATAATGGCGAGAACTAGCCGTCATGTGGCCGGCCATAGTACTATCCGCACAAAAGGATTCATTTGCAAGGGTCACTAACCAAGTGCCGAGCCACCGGCACGACCTAAATTAGCCGGTTAACCCAACTGACGAGCCCCGAACGGGTTCCCCAGATTGTTCCCCAGATTGTTCCCTAGATTGTTCCCCTGATAATGCTCTCCACACTCTGCAGGGTGGGAAACCTTGGTCAAGTCTGCGCCGCATTGGTGTTATATTCGCTCTTCTACTATTGTGGTGGCGTGCTATGGAATCGCTAGCAAGTAGCTAGCCGGTGCTGCCTCTGATCAGCACCTGAAACCACACTTGTTTCCCGCAACCACCAGCAACCCACTTCAGAGTTCGGGCAAGCCGACAAAATCAGGACTGACGTGTTGTGTCGCCAGCAAAACACCCGATTTGACATGGTGAATCTCGAACTTGATCATGCCAGAACCCAGAACCATCTCGAGGGTTAGGTCCCTGACACGGTAGAGTGTCCGACCACCGACCCCAAGGTACCCTCTAACTTGCTTCTCTTCCAATATAGACGATGGGAGAGCTCCGAAATTTATCGTAACTGAAGGGGCATAGAGGACTCCTACGGCGAGAAGTCAGCGAGGTTCACTCGGGCCCGGCTTCGAACTCCCATCACTTAATTAAACCTAGAACAAAGACTTACTCGTGTCCCTCTGGCTCTTCGGCGGCTCGTTATACCGGCATGTCCGGAGTTTAACTTTCGAGGTCCCGTATCGACTGCTGAGGGTGCAAGCCATTGGGACTTTGATTCGGTATTCTCTGTCGGTGACTTGGCCCTAAAGTAAACATTCGTAAGCAGAGTCAGGTGGGGAAGTTCTTGTAACAACACAACTCTTGGAGGGAATAACTAGGTCACGTGCCATTGTAGCAAACCAAGTGACCCTATCTAGGTTGCGAACAAGACCGTCGAATTCATCGAGGTTGTTAAAGGCTGGATCGTGTTTCGAGCTGTTGTAGATTTCGGTGAGTACTACTCCATAGTGACAAGGCAGGACTTGGTGAACAATACCCTCCATCCCGAAGCAGACGGCGCCTTTTGCAATTGCTGCCCATCTGTGTGTGTGTGAAAGACACGTCAGTCACTCGAGCTCTAGATCGTGGGCATCTGAGCAGAAGAGACACAAGGACACTCACGGCTCCTTTGGACTGCAGATAAAAAGAGGAGGCTTCTGCTCATCGCACCAGGCCATGAGCTGCTGGAAGAGATACATTGACTCTCCGAATCCGCCGACAAGGATCACGCCCTGGGAATTATCATCAGCCAGGGTAGAAGTCAAACACTCAACTATCGCCGACTCTGCTTACTGCTACCGGCTTGCTGGGCTCCAGTTTTGTGGCATCCCGCGAAACATCCTTCACGAGGTCGAGCACTTTGTCGACGACGGGGTTGAAGATGGACACCATGTCCTCGCTGATTACCAACCACCGACTGTCAGCACCTAAAAACTACACAGCGGCTACCACGTGGAGATGCGAGTCAGGGCAGACACTACTCACTGCGAGAGCGTGATGTACTCATTATCAATGTTGTGTTCGGGAATGGGAACTAGCTCCCGGATGCCGTGCTCGACGACCTCGTCGTCGAGGTAGTCGTTGGACCCAAAGTTCGTCTTGACGCTGTCGAGCAACTGCATGAGCCGGCTGCCGCGGCCGCCGTGGTAGCCGCTCAGCAGGTGGGCCTGCTTGCCCAGCCGCTGCTTGACGAGGTTGAGGAACCGCTGGTCGAGCGACGTCGCGCCGCAGAGCCCGCCCCGCGGCCGCGTCGTCTCGGACACCTTGAGGTAGGGCGTCACTTGGTCAGTCGAGTACGACACCAGGTCCTGTGTTTTCCCGTGTCAGTTCTTTCAAGGATGGTTTAGTTAGTGTCTGCTGGACTTTACCATTGTGCCTCCTCCTGCGTCGCAGATAATGACTTGCTTTCCGACCTGCCATCCGGAGCCGTCGCTGGAGCCGCCCGTAGACAACGCCGAGACTGAGTTGACCTCCTTGAGGGCGTACGACGCTGCGGCCTCTGGCTCCGTGACGGGCTCGATGATGTCCTGGGGGCGGCTGCCAAAGCCGGCCGTCTTGGCTGCCAAAGCCGGCCGCCTTGGCCGCCATTAGGGTGTTGTGCTGGGCCGCCGGGGACCACATGGCGGGCATGGTGATGATGAACTTGATCTTGAGCGTGTCCAGCGTCCGGTGGAACCTCTTCGCCAGCGCTTGCATGACCTCGGCGTGCACCAGGCGGAGGTAGTCCGAGGCCATGTCGGTGGCAGATTTCCCATCCCGGAGGCACGATTCCATGGCCGGATTGCCGGGGTCCAGGGTCACGGCCAGCTGCTCGTCGTTGTATGCCTCGCTGCCGGCCTCGGGGTCGAGAAAGAGCTTGAAACCGCCGAACCAGGGGGTGCCGGCGCGCAGCTGCCAGCCCCATCTATTCTCGCCGGATGGCCCATAGCTAATTTCCGTGGGAACTTTAGGCCGGCTCTGGTTGCCCGATCCAGGCCACTGCACGATGACGGTGACGCGAGTGGGATCGGGGTCTGCGGAATGCGTGAAGGCGACCCCTTTGTTAAACAGAGCCTGGTCAGTCCACAGCCATGAAGCAAATTAGTAGATCGCTCACCTGTGTACGTCGTTACAAAGTCGACTACCGACGGCAAGAACAAGAATTGGTTAGCGAAAATGGTGCTCGAATCACCCTCCACACTTGACGGGCTAATAACCCACCTCCAACTACGACGAATGCTTTCGTCTCAACAGTCTTGTCGGTACCCATGGTGTGAGCTGGACTTTTTGGTCGACAGTGAAAGGATTTGTGAGTGTCTTAGCTGCATGATAGCTGCATGATAGCTGCATGATGGGTCTCGGTCTCCCAAACCGGCTATATAAGCAAGGCAGAAAAGGGGACGAGCATAGCCTTCGGAAAGAAAAGTGTGAGTTCTTGAATTTGACTGAACGTATAATAAGCTTTTGGCTTAAAAACTTGGTGTCGTCGAGACCGGAACCTCTGAAAAGGGTTGTTTGTGTGAAAAAAGGTTCAGGAAAAGTGATTTTATCTCGGCATCCCCATCTCAGTTTCATACCCCGGAATCGTATAATTAACTCAACTCAAATCGCCCCTGGTGAAGGTTCTCGGCAACCCCGGGTCTTGCTGGGAATCCCCGAGTCTTAACTCTCCCTATTAAACGTCTATATTAGAACCGGGATGTCCGGAACCGAAACCCTCTGAAATGCAGATTTTGCAAAAGGCAAAGATGCTGCAAGGCGGCTTTTGGCAGGGTATGAGCCCTGTTAAATCCCAAGCCATCTCTCCCCCTACGATTCCTCTTCCCCATCCAAGTCTTTTCTTTCTCTTCCAGTCATAACTTTAGTAATCGCAGAATGCTAGAAACCTAGGTAGATTTGGATATCCAACAATCGCCAGCATCATGCAACATCCGGACCAGCCCACCACCGGCGACGTCCCGTCGGATGCCGCCCCAAGCCGTACCGAGTCCATCGGGTTCTCCGTGTTTGGGCTAAGCGGCAGATGGCCGGGACCGCCAACACTCAACGACGGCACTGAAGCCGCCGCGGAGAAAATGAAGGGCCGTCGGGGCTCGCGGGGCCACATGAGCATGGAACATAAAGCCTTGATCCTCAGGCTTCGAGACCAGATCTCGAGGCTCCAAGACCAGAACTTGAAGCTCAGCAACAGAGTGCAGGCTCTCGAACAGGGGCAGGACTTCCGGTCCTTCTACACCGTGACCGGCACCCCGCACGACAAGATGCAGAAGCGTCTCACCCGGGTGCGGGCCGAGATCCAGGGCTGGAGCCGCATGGCGCACAAGGACCTCGTCGCCCGCAACGCCACCGTCTCGCTCCTAGGCGCCCTCGAGGCCCAGCTGCCCGGCTTTGCCGCGGCAAGACGGCACGTCTGCCACCCCGACGCGACGCCGCAGACACTGCAGGACGCCAACGTCGCCCTCGCCGACGTCTTCGCCGCCATTGCGTCGGGCATCGTCGTCGAGCACGCCGTCGTGAACCCGCTGGCCATGCGCACCGACACGTTCCGCCGCGCCGTTGACTCCGACGTCTACAGGGCCATGTCCAGCCACACTTCGACTACAGGTATTGCTCAATACCCACGTCAAGTCACTTCCCTTCTCTCTATTTCTCTATTATTCCTGCGTCATTGCTTAGTCAAACCCTCCCTACCTACGTATAAACACACCAACAAAAAGACTGACAAGCAAAACAGTAAACCAGAGAGCAGCCAGGATTTGGGAGGCAACCTGTCTGAAGATGTACAGCTGATCGACCACCATCCCCAGCAACTTTGGGTCCCTCGACGATAAAGTCGCCGCCTACCAAAACCACATAGACTCCATCCTGTCGGCCATCTCGCAGACCCTGAAGCCGGCATTCGACATACTCGGTCTGGACCTCGACGACGCGCGAATGCAGCGAAAGCTCCGCGACGCAGTCAGGGAAGCGGCCGCGATCGGAAAAGAGTTCGGCGAGCTGCAGTCGGGGCTGGTGCTGATGGACCAGACCTGGCTCCGGCGGCACGCCTCCCTCTTGGACGACACAGGGTGCATTTCGCCTTCGGACATGGGGTCGCGGATCGAGTTCAAGTTCGACCCTGTCGAAGAGGGCAAGAAGCTAGTGCGGGCCAAGGCCGCCGTGGTGCTGTTCCCCGGGCTGCTCAAGTACGGCACCGACGGCGGCGACAATTGGGACACGTGGACCGTGTGGATTCCTGCCCGGGTCCAGCTCACCGACGTGGAGACTGAGCAGCTCCCCGTCGCCATCACGCAGCCGTCGCCGCCACAATCCGTCAAACCTAGTATTCCTCGTGGCAATAGTGAGGAGATGAAGTGGACAGCGGTGACGACGACTGCCAGCAACAGACCAGGGCCAAATCTCCCAGTGAACCCGACCCCTTATCCAGTCCCACGACCTCAGCCAATTCCAGAGGACGAGCACACCCATCCGGGCCCGAATCCAAACGAGGGTACGGCAAAGTGTGATACGAGCAAACAATTCCCTCTGCAGCCGGGCCCGGCCCACGTGGTCAGCAGCAACAGACATAGTTTCATCCCTCCTCCATTCTTCCACGGCGCTCACATGGCTGGGGAAATGGCAAGCTTGTCCTTGGACCCGGCTCGGCCGTTTGGTTCGCAGCAGAGACAGCGGATACCGCATTTTAGTACAGACGCCGACGCCGAAGCTAATGACCATAGTGTTGAGTGATCTGTTACATAGGTAGGTATCTGGCAGCTGTACAGTCCTAATCCAACCCCCCGTGATTGTCAGCAGATGACTTTTTAAGACTTGAAAGCCTTATTGCCAACCAACAACCTTTTGAGAATGAAGATTATAATTAGCAAATAAACCGGCCAGGAAAAGCATTTAACACCTATGCATTTCTAAGGGGGACATAATTAGGCCTTTGGGATTTAATAATAAGGATTCTGATAACTATTACTTGCCTTTGCGTAAAACCTAAAGGGCGAGCCGTAAGTAAAATACTGCTTGCGATGGGAGGCAGCTTGTGATCGGAGGCAGGAAGAGGCGCGCGAGAATGTTGCAGCGCTCCAAGTTTTGAACGGAATGCTAATAATCTGTCGTAATTTTTCGAAAGGGAAGTGGATGGAGCTAACAATTTATTAGGGAAGCAAGTAGGTTTTGGTGGTGGGGGAACAAACGTTCAGGAATTGGATTGTAAGTTGTTATAGTCTTTATGCTATTATCAGCTCTGATCAGACCTAAGGCCGCCGTGGCAGACTTTCTATGTGCACTCTTGCAATCTTGCTTTTAGACTCTAGAAATTAGCTAGCACAAGCCATAGGTATTTGAGCATGAGGAACTCGTAGATATTCAAGGGAGCTTCTAGACGGTCCTAGTAGAGATTTTGATCTCCTTGTATCTAGACCTAGACCTATTAGAAAAGCAAGTACGGGTCTGATCCAACAATATATTCCCTCATCCCTGTGATATCCATGACGGAATTCATTGACTGTTTGATTGTCTTTGGTCTTGAAATTGCATGAGCTAGGAAGCCCCTTCGTCCTCATTGATGCCAGTTATCTTGGTCCTTGGAGATCAAGGATTCAAGATCGCAAGGGAGAATCTTGAAAAAAGCCCAGCTTCTTCACGTTAGAAGGCATTTGATTGCTAATCAACGGCCCTGGAGGGCTGGAAGCAATACAAAATACGCCCGAATACCGAACGCGGTGAGAACTAACAGTTCCCAGATTCCTCGTTTTGTCCCTTGTTGGTTCCCGAACCCTGACATGTCCCTGGGATACGCTTGGCGCTTGGCTCCCTTTAAGCGTGATTTTCGAATAATTGCAGGCTTTGATTGGCCGAATCACATGCTGGCATGAGCTAAGGTCCAAAGGGATGTCAAACCGCAAGTGGGCGGGCGTCAAGCGATCGGCTTTGTCACCCTGTCTGGCAGGCGAGAATATGGGATGCAGCTCCGGGTCGTCTGACTGTGCGATCGGATGTAGATTAGCTGCTGGGTTTGAAAGGAAGTGCTGATCGCCGTTTGTTCGGTTGTACTAGTAATTACGCATTCGGCTCACTACGTCATTCTTTCGGACGTCGTGGTTCGAGGCACGTGATTTTGCACCGGTTTTGTTTGCCCATTACAAGAGTAGGGATACAGGTGTGGGGGCAGGACTTGACGATAACCTCGCATGCAGAGCGTAATTCGTCAAGACCAACAGACAGGACTCCCATAACCACGGCACGACCCAACACAGTATCAAAATCTCCAAGCTGGACAACAAATAGAAAGTGAAAAGCACTCAGTCGGCAGGTACTTGTTGTCTATTGCCCCCATGATCACGCAGTCTGCAGCGCTCTATCCTTTTCAAAACACGAAGCCCGTCAAGACCCCTTGGAAAAAGAGACAACCGCCCATTTACCGTTCCACGCCCATTTTCTCGCCCCAGAGTCGCCGCCTCCACCCTCCGTCTGGCGCAGCTTCTCGTCCTCACCGGGCTTCAGGCCAACCACGACATCGCCCTTGCAGGTTCTCAGGGCTAGGATGTTGAGTCCCGAGCCAGGGCCAAGCGGTCCGATGGCCTCGGTGAAGGCGGTTGTTGGGTCCCAGCTTGCCTGTCCAATTTTTTAGCCGCAGTCCTACCACCCACCCACAGGTCCCAACTGGCCAGTCCTATAACCTTGACTCAAGAGTGGGGGAAGACTTACATCGCCTACGAGCTTTCTATAGTTCAAGTCGCCCTTGAAGATGACCAGCTCGCTCTCCTTGAGGTCCTCAACCAAGTCTGGGGCTTCGTGCGGCAGCCTCCAGTAGCTGCCAGGGTACGTCCAGACGCGGTTGGGCCGGAGCACGAGCTGGCCTTGGCCATGGAAGCCGCTCCATTCCTGGAAGAGGAACGACAGCTCGTCGGCCTCGGCGTCGGTTAGCGGCTCGGGCGTCTTGTCCTGAAGCAAGTCCTCCTCGGAAGGCGTCTCGTAGAAGTGGCGCGGGCCAGCGATGGCCGAAAGGAGGGCGCCGAAGTCGGCCGGGACCACGTCGGACACGAACCAGGGGATCGACTTTGGGTGGAGCACGACAGTGGTGGCGAGGCCGGCCGACAACAGGTAGCCGGCCAAGATGAGGTCGACGTAGAGCTCGAAGCCGGCATTGTCTAGCACAATGTCGACGCGGCGCTCCTTCTTGGGCCCGTCCTTCTTGGCCGCCAGCAGCAGGTCGTACGCGGCCGCGAGGTCGTTGACCAGGATGTTCTTCTCGGCCGTCTTGCGCGCTTCGGACCCCTGCAGCTTCTGGATGTCCTCGTACGTCAGGTTCGTCAGGAGCGACAGGTCCGTGGCATTCCCCCAGAGACAGATCTCGCACATCTCCATGAACAGGATCTTCTCAGCCTCTTCGTCGAGCTTCTTGTCCTTGCTGGCGCGGAGCTGGCCGACGAGGTCCTTGTACCGGGCCGCAAGCTCGAGGACGGCGGGGCGCGACGAGCGGAACGTCTTGATCTTCTGGCGGGCGAACACGTCGTAGTTCTTCCAGTGGGTGGACAGGCTGAACGATGTGTTGACCCGTCTAACTCCAGCGCATCAGCGTGCTGCATCGAGGCGAAATCCCCCAGACAAGAAGCCAACGCACCGGAACATGTAGCATTCGGAGTACAGCCATGGCACGTTCAGCCAGGTGGGGTTGCCCAGCTGTTCGAGCTGATTGTTGTAGATGGCCACATCTTCGTTGCCATCGTCTCGAATTGGCCTGCATCGCCGAATATTACACCTCTTCGTCAGCCAATCCGTCCTGCAAGCCGGGTGGCCGGGTCTGTGTTTGGGAGGTGAGGGGTGACCAACGCTAGTGCCCGATCGTGCTGGACCTCGTACTTGAGCTTGGCCAGCTCCTCGACGATTCTCTTGCCCTCTGCGCTCTTCTCGGCGTCATCGCAGTGGGAGACGGATCGGTAGGCGTCGTCGATAATTTGTGTCTGGAAATGGCGGCGTCAGCGTCAAGTCGTCTGGCGCTATCGGCGCATTCTCGATGCTCACCAGGATAACGGGCCATCGTTGTCTGGCTGTGGGGTAGGCAAACGATGTCGGGTCGCCCGTCGAGTACCCAGCTGGGCTGACTGTTAGCCTTCAATGGCTGGCTGGTGGTGCAATTCTGGAGGTTCCATACGAATCTTTGTCTCGTATTCCATATTCGAAAGCTCGTCTGGTTTGCGCCTGGCTATTAGGTGAGTAGGTAGGTTCGTCCAAACAGACAATATAAATGGTAGAGGTACGGATATCCCGCTATCTTATCCTCCCATGGTGGGGTAAAGGGTTGGTGGGGTTAGTGGTCCGCGGAGGGGAAGTCCATAGAAGCTGGCAGCCTTGTCGCGACGCAACAAAAGGGGAACCTCAGCCCTGTAAGCTGGGCAGGGCTTCCCCGTGCTAGCCGAACCCGCAAGTGAGATCAAAACCACCTACAAGGCGACGATGATGCTTCGTTATCATAAACATGCACGGATATACATGCATTCCAAAGCCAGCTAGTTACCTTATCTAGGGTACGGATACTTAAGGTAGATGACTGGAAAACTTGGCCGTTCCAAGGCAAGAGCAAACTTTCCCAAGTGGTATCATCTCCAGCTTGTGCAAACAAGTCAAATCCAAAACGCCATCCAGTGTCATAATTCATGGCCCTATGTTCCTCCTCTTCTCCACTAAGCGTTCGCTGGGTCATTCAGTAACCCTTGGCCGTGACAGCTCCGACAGCCAGCGTCTCGATTCTTCCGGCATAGAGCCGCATCACATGGCAGACGGGGTCACCCCATATTACCTCTCGGAGCTGCTCGTCAGTCGCGATTTGTGCCACTACGCCCTCGTTGAGCCGCTCCTCGACCGTCTTCTTTCCCTTCAGCCTCGCGTTGGGATCGCCACACCGCAGCACAACGATGCGGCCCGCGCTGCTCAAAGTGCTAGGCGGAACCTTCCAGACTGGGCCGGGGGTTGCAATGTTTTTCGGCGTGCCTGTTGTTGATTTTGTCCAGCTTGCTCTTTTGCTGGATCTGGTAGATACCGGCGGCATTTTGGATCCCGTGTCCTTCGGTCGTTTTTTCCTGGCATCCGTGCTACACGGCTCCTTCTTGTTGGTCCCGACAGTCGGCGCAGGTGCAGCAAATAGCTCCAGAAGGCTCCGCACATATGCCTTGTCTGCCCTCGCGACGGGGTCTCCCTCGTTTATGAAGCTCAAGAATAGACTCTTCTTCAGATGCGGGCGGCTATCGTAGTCCTCCGGTTTGGTGAGAGGCATCAGGCTCACCGGTGGGGTGCCGAATATAATGCAGTGGACTCGCTTGAAACATCCTGTCAGGATGTTCAGTTCGCTCTCCGCGGCTTTGGACGTGGCAAGCATGTGGCTGTAAAGGAGGGCCGCAACAGCACCCCCGGCGCTGTGGCCTGTAATAAGCAGCGAGTACGAGGCACGTCCGGGATCCTCTTCGAGTAGTTGACGTAGGCGCCGCGCGACGGGTGAGATCATTTTCCGAGCGGCGCTCAGAAATCCGGCATGACATAAATTGCCGGGATCATCCTTGAATCCGCGTCAGCAACCATCTAGGCCATGATGCCACCATCGCCGGAAGTGAGCGTATGCTTACCAGAAAACCAGCAGGCGACGCCGGTGCCGTGTTGAGGTTGACAGCCCAGTCCATAAAGGTCGCTGTGCCGCGAATGGCAAAGACGATGGTGTTCATGTAGTCCATAGGAACCGACTTGATCACCATGGCTTTGCTGCCTGTTCGCCAATCTGCGTCAACGTGCGCGTCTCTCTCGGCACCCGTGAGTCTTTCATATACGCGCTCCGAATACCGGGCGGCCAGGCAGAGAAGCGGGTATGTTGGGATATACAGTCGTAAGGGAGGTAGGTTCATTGGCAGCTTAGAGTTCGAGTAGAGATCAACCTTGGCAAAGAAACTGCCCGACATGACCGACGCAGCTACAGCTGTTGTTTGTCCCTTTGGTTGGCCTTTTGCCAGGTTCTTCTTTCCGGGCTTCAGCAGCCCTTTATCTCCTACATTCATATCCGTTGGCAGTTGCTGCTCGTAGCCTGGCTGCCAGGTGAAGAGGTCGCCTTCGTTCCCGGCATACCGCTCACAGTCAATCAGTGTCACGACGTCGTTGAATCGGCTCGATATTTGGTCCGCCATGGCAGCGCTTTGGTTTAGAAGCTGGCTGCTGTAGCCATGCCATCGAGGAAGGCCGTCGTCAAAAATCGGGGGAAAGTTGGAGTTTGGGCAAATCTCCTTAGCCAGGTCCACCACCGACCCGAGGTTCAGTTTGCTGGCAGTTCGGCCGTTTGCAGGCGGGCCAAGATAATAGTGGTGCTGGTTCACAATGATGGGCGGCGAATAGACTGCCGGCTGGTGGAACAGAGCTGGGGGGTGTGGCGTCCATCCTACAGGCGGAGGAAGAAGGCCGGCTGACTGGAAGGGTGCTTGTGGTTGGGATGCATCGCCAGGAAACCAGCTTCGAGACACATGTGTTGGAGGTGCTGTTGGCAAAGGGTTCTGGGGAAACACCCCCCTATGGCTGCTGGGTGCAAGTGTTGGCGACTCCTTCTTCGCTTTGTTAGACCGACTGAAGAGCCCCATCGTGAAGTTGATCCAAGTGAGTGGTGTTGCGGCTCCGGCTCCGGCTCCGGCTCCTGCCGCGGCAGCATCAGTATCAGCTGAGAAGTCGAACAAGTCAAGTTACGAGCCCCTCTCCGCGCTTAAGTCTGGCGGACGACCATGCAAACGGGACAATGGACGTGAGACAGTGGGCGCGGGTGGCTCAGTTTGAGAATGAATCTGCAAGGAACAGGAAAGGGCATCGACGGAGGATCGATGAAGATAAAGGCAGCGAGGTCATGAGAGCAGGGCTGTCAGGAGTCGGGGCTGGTTCAGAGCAGTCTCGGTTGCTTAGGTAGGCATGGCAGCACTCGGTCACCCCCTCTGGACAGGCGAGGCTTGGCTGTTTGTTTTTCTCATCCAGTGTTCCTTTTCCCACCATTTGGTCACCGGCGGGCTAGAACCTTAATCAGGGCAGGCAAGGCAAGTGCATGGAAGTGCAAGTGAAGGCGGTTGTGCCTGGGGTGCCTCGCCGTTCTCTGCAGTGGAGGTGCTCTAAGCATCCTAGTCATCAGGTCGCCTCGCGTTCCCATTCGCTATCGCAAAGGTGCTCCGCCTCCAATTACGGTGCGCAGTGGCGGCTTCAACGCACATTCGTTACTAACCGTGACTCGTGAGGGGTCTCATGCGCTGATAGCCGCCCGCCCATTGCGGCTGCAGGCTGGGATTCGCGCAGAAACTCGATTTTCTTGGGTATCCGTAGGTTGCTGCGGTACCTCGGCATATACTGTATGTACCATTTAAGTACTTGAAGTACTTGGCGGGGTCAGATAACAAAAGAGCTCTCTCGACAGCTTCCATCGGAAGCAGGTTCACGAGCTGCATATGTGCATCTGTCCATAATCTATGTCGGTCGCCGTTCCATCACGGTACAGAAAGCTCGAGTCCAACCAATCCGCAGGATGAGTCAACTGGTTAGAGCTCATGGACGCTTTGCGTGGCCAGCTGCCCACTCAAAAGCCTAAAACAAAGCATCGTGCACGCACCTAGAAAGCCTCGTTTTGCGAGTTGATGCCATTCGGCAGTCAATTAACCGTTCGAGCGTCGTAGAGGTGTTTGACTTCGAAGGCTCTCTTCACTATTAATCAGATAGATTGAAGCAGGCGAGAGGAAGAGGGGAAAAAAAAAAACCCCCCCTCGAAAAGGGGTGGGATTATACCATTATGGCTCCTTTCGCTTGTGGTGAGTTGTCGAGACAATTTCCAATCGCGATTCAAGATGGCCTGGCGAGATGGTAGGGGGTTCTAGATATCGCGACGAGGCAGAAAGGAGAGCAGCGATGTAGGTAAGGGATGGGAGTGGGAGTCCATGTTCCGTCTAGATAAGACTGAAGGTCTCCAAGTCTTATGAGCGCATTTACCTTTCCGGCGAAACATAACACGAGGAGATCGTTCTTCGTCTGATGGTGAGGAAACATCGGAGACACAGCAGCCGCAGTTACCATTCACAAATGCACTCCGAAGCCGGATTTTGGAAATGATGACCTGGCAGGTAGCCGAAGCTGTAACGTATAATTGCCCAGTGCGACCGAAGAAATCATGGCAGCCGTGGGCCCCGGGCTGAGTATATAAAATTCAGTGAGCTGCCATCCAAACGGTTTTGGTTGCTCTGAGGTATGTTTCCGTAAGCGGAAGTTGAGATGTTGAAGAGCGATCTCCGCGAACACTTCCATCACGCGTTCGAATGGCGAATAACTCGAGGGCGGGACAGTGGGGCTGCCGTGGACAGCTGCTGCACAGCTGCAGGTCATGGTACCCCTGCGGAGTCCGTGCCCCCTACTCGAGGCTGGCTTTCCACTCGAGCTTGGAAGGCTCACTGGAGGGGAGCTCCAAGCCGCGGGCAGCAGCGGCAGGCCACCTAAACGGCTAAACAATTTCGCGACATCTGGAACAGGACCATTTCATGCGTGAATGAGCAGGAGCTCCTCAACGACGACACGCGGCCTGTCCTCAACCACAGCGTGCTCGAGATGCATCCAGAGACGAAATGGACTTTGTAAGTGCGCTCGCTGCTGCAGGGCCCCTTGCGCCGCGGGAATGGGCAATGGACAATGGGCAATGACGGACGTGGTGCGTTCGGATGCGTATGTATGCGGGTGCTAACAACGGTCTCGTCTGCTGCAGTGGTCGCGCCTCATAGCCCACACGCCGCTGTCGTCGGTCAGCTCGCGCAAGGACTTCGCTCAGGATCCCGCCCGGCGCCTGCACCGCTTCGAGAAGGAGTACAGCCAGCTTCTGGTGAGTTCTGCATTCCTGTGTTCTGCATCCCGTCTTCTGTCCTGTGTCCTATACCGCCTTGGCCTCCCAAGGGCCTCGAGTCAGGGCCACTCGCTGCTGCCCTGCCCACGGCTTACACTCGTCGCTAACACTGGATCGTCGAAGCAAACATGGCGCAACTCGTCCAACCTCGCCCACGACGTCGATGCCGCCGAGCACATCGAGATTCGCCTTCAGGAGCTGACCAGGATCCTCGGCGACGAGTCCCAGCGCCCGCTTCCCCATCCGTGCATCGCCTTCGCTGCCGCAAAGCAGATCTACATGCCCGTCGCCAAAATCGCGACAAGCTCCTTCAATGAGTGGATCGTCAAGGAGGCCGTGCTCTTCTTCGCTACTCTGGTCGACGGCGAAGAGGAGCCCTTTGCGGAAAATGAAGTCTTCTCGGCCAGCTTGACCAACTTGCTTGTGCGCATAACTGGCGCCAACAGCATCCGCCTGGGCGTCGATACAGAGATCCGTGTCGTAGAGCTTGCCTTCAACATTACCACCAAGATAAGACTTAATCCCGACATTCTGCCTGCCTGGTTCAAATCGCGCCAGGACGGGCCCCAGGAGAAGGAGCCGGAGGACCATGATAAGTTCACTGGGAGAACGCAGAAGCAGGACTTCCCCTTGTTCTACCTGCTTATGGATCACATCCACCATGACGGCAAAGTGGGCGACTTTGCAAGAACAGGCCTCCTCTACGTCATTGAGGCGGCGTCAAACTCGGTTCTGCTGGAGCAATGGATAGTCGAGAGTGACCTGTCGACACTCATGGCCACAGGTCTAGGTGCTCTGTATAGTCAGCTGAGTCGGAAGCTCGTCATCGATCATCCAGCAAACGATCTCCCGCCCATCCTTGCCTTTTCCGACTACCAGCACCCCAAGTCCAGCTACGAAGTTATCAGCTCCTGTACCTTTGAGCTCCAATCGCACCTGGACACATTCCTGTCCCACCTCTTGTTTTGGCAGGATGTCTTGAATCACTGTAGATCTATCGAGGTCAAGTCTACTCTGCTCGAGCATTTTCAGGTCATTTTCTTGCAGCAATTACTGTAGGTCCGCGCACCTAGTCTTGACACGGTCCGTTTTTGCTCACCGAGATGCAGATACCCCTCGTTACTCGAGTCCTCCGATATAGACGGAGGCTCTTCGGTAGCTGTTTTGACATATCTCCGGCGCATACTAGAGTCGCTCGAGCACCCTGACATGATAAACCTCATACTCCACTACCTCCTCGCCTTGCCAGATATTGTGGCCGCTGTCCCTTCAGATGCGCTTGATGTGGTGAGCGCAGCGCGGAAGCGCAAGTCGCTTGATCTCGCAACCATGATGGCATCCAAGGGCGAGGCTGCTGCAGACCCATTGCTTTTCAATCTAGTCGATCTCATCCTTGCGTGTCTCCGGTCCCATAGTCACCAGACAATTTATGTCACTCTCCAACTTGTTTCGGTGATTCTTAAGAAGCACCACCGATACGCCGTCACCACCTTGCTCTACACAGAGGGCGTCATGGGCCCGTCGACGCATCGAATATGGGGCGCCCACCAACAGGAGATCGATTATATCATGTCCCTTGCAGGGACTATTGGCGGCCAGGACAATTTCAACGAGGTCTACGAAAACATTCAGAAGGACACCCTAGTGAAGTTGGAGAACCACCCATGTTCTATCAAGTTAGTCACGCCAAAGACCTCAACCAATAATCACAAGCTGCCCGCCATTCCCGATAGCCTTCCTAGCGCTCCAAGAGATGTGCGTTCTCACACTCTTCGCCCTGATGACCCGCTGCTCAACATCATCCTCGACCGGCTCCAGACGTTTTTTGTCAACCCGGTCGAAACAAATCTTGCACTGACAGAAACCATATCCGATCTCTCAGTATGCGGCTTCATGCATCTCGAGGGCTGGTTTCTGCGACATCCTAACAACTACACCTTTGAAGAGGACGACGAAGGACCGCCGCTGCCTGAGCCACCACTTGACCCAGAGTCTCCGGAATATATCGAATACAAACAGGGGCAGTCGATGAAAGAGTGCCGCAGGCGTCCGAAATGGGTCCAGGCAAAACTACCACGTCTGCTCATAATCCTTCACACACTATGCGAGCAAGTGGTGTCCTACAGACACACGGTTCCGCGCTTTGATGACCTCCTTCAACAGCGCCGTGAGGCTTTCCAGATCGCCGACTCGGCAGTTCCCATCCCTTTTCCTACGCGGACTAAGAATCCCCTCTCCCACTCTCCGGCTCGTACCAGTTCGCCTGTCATAGAGCGTGCGGTCGTCGAAGAGAATCGTAACACATCTCGAGAACGGCCTTCCGGCCTGGAAGGCTTCGCGCAGCGCATTTTCTCGGAGCTTAGCACGCCGAGTCGCTCAGGAAGTCCGCGTGGCCGGAAGGAGACGAAGCGAAGCTCGTCGGACCGATCAACGCCTGTGCCATTTGCCGGCCGCGATAGCCCTGTCAGCAACTTCGATACGCCGCTACGGGGCTCCGCACAAAGCGGCCTTGGTATCAGATCGTTCTCACCGGGTAGCATGTCGAACGGGCCGCCGTGGGAAAACAGAGGGCGGGATGATGCAGTTGCCAACCAAGCGAAAGCATTCCAGGCCATTGATCAGAGTATCCTGGCGAGACGAGTGGGCATCCCAACCATCAGACCCCAGGATGGCGAGAGGGTTGCCCCGATTCCGCTGGATTTCAGTAAAACGCAGCAGCAACAGCTATCTGCTAGATCAATAGTTGATGGCGACGGAGCCCCACCAACACACCGGAGCACTGGAGGTGATGACGGGCAGAGCGAGTCGGTCCCGGTATCCGAGGATGGCACAACAGAATCGACGCCTGTTGAAGAGATAACCGTGTCTGTCTCGCACGTCCTCACCAACGTCATCGTCTTTCAGTCATTCCTCCTCGAACTCGCTAGCATAGTGCAGGTGCGAGCAGGGCTTTTCGACGAAGTACGCCATCTTTAATGTAATGCAACGGTGCTTAACTGCGCCGCGGGCTTGGCCAGGCTAGCGACCGGTTGTTCATGCATACCAGATAGAGCTGTGGGCTTCTCCACATAGACGTTAGGTTACGTTTCTTTTCTGTTATTTTCTTTTAGTCTTATAGTTTATTTGTGTTGGTCTTTGGCTGGCTGGGATTGGAGCCCGACTTGCATGGCCTGGCGTCATAGGGTTATAGTTGTACCTACCAACGCTCGAAATCCAACGTCTTAGGTGTTCGCCGTCACGAATGGTACATGAATTATCAGTATAGAGGTGTGGAATAAATAAGCTCTTGGCATCACGTTCCAGTTGCGACTTGACTGAGCAGATTCTGCAGTTCAATTTCCTCTTATTGCCGAGTTATTTATAAAATTAAGCTCCCAATCTCATGCTTCAGACCACTACGTGACGCATTGAGAGTAGGAAATTTCCAAGTACTAGGTTCATATTATAACATGATTAGGTTGGTATATGATAATATAAATACAAATTGCTTGAGATCTCTATCTCCGTCATCTCTGTCCGCCCGGCACCCACCAGTCTAGCTTTTTTTTTTTCGTGAACTAGACTGGGCTGACTTAGAGGGCGGCAAGAGCGCCGAGGACAAGCATGCCTAAGGAGCCGATGGAGCTGGCAACGGCGGCGCCAGCAGTGAAGCTGGTCGTGGTGGAGCTCTTGGTCGTCGTCGGCTGGAGCGTGAAGGGGCCGGCCGAGGTGGTCGTGGTGTTGGAGTGCGGCGCGGCCGAGGATGTGACCTGCGCAGTCGTGCTCGTCGACAAGACGACGGCGTCCTCGGTGCTGCTGGTGCTGGGAGCTTCCGTGGAGGACGACGAGTCCTCCGTAGTAGTGGTAGCGGCCGTGGAGGAGGTAGTAGCGGTGTCGTCGCTGCCTCCGGCAAGCACGGCAACGCAGAGCGCGTCGACGGCGGGGAGGACTTTAGCTGTTTTATGGAGGAAGGTTTCTCTGGTTAGTTGATGTTTCTTCTTTCTTTTCCGTTCTGGGTAAGTGAAGTGAGGGAACAGCATACCTAGAGCAACATCGATTCCGCAGCCGGCCACGACACAGCTTGTGGCGCCCGAGACGAACTTATCCTTGGCCTCGCAGATGCACTTGAAATCGGTGTTCGAGCAGCCGGCAGCCTTGGCACCGTCGGCGATGCAGTCCGTGGAGCACGCGGGGAAGGCGGAGAGGTCCTGGGCGGAAACTAGAGCCGCGAGGGCGGTGACGAGGACGGCGGAGTACTTCATCTTGAGGGTTGTGAGGGTTGGCTGGTCTGAGAGGAAGTGGCTGGAGAAGTAACGAATGGTTTATTTCTGGCAACTATAACTGAGCCAGTGTGTGGGGATCAGGATGGAATAAATAAGAAAGCGTGAGGCATGTCATCCAGGGGAAGGAGCATTGCCTTTTATCCAGGCAGCTCCACAGCTATTTGGGCAGGCAGAAATTACATGGTGCTAGTTTGGTGTATCAGGAAGGCCGATGAACCATTCATCTAGTCTCTCTCCTGCATTGACAGAAGCAGGGAAGCAAGTGTTTGTGTCTACCTAGTTCTAGGTCAGACTCGTCAGTAGCGTTGCTCGAGCAGGCTTGGTGCGAAGTCCTGTGGCAACGGCGGATCTAGGTGATGCTCTGTCTGGGCAGTCTGTCCGCGGCCCTTGTCCCGTCCTGTCTGTCTGTACTCTGTCAGCAATGGGACTGCACGATCGATGGATCTTACCCATCTTGGATGTTTGCTTACCATCCATAGCTGGGCTAGCTGTAGACCTTTTCCCGGAAACTGGATTGGCCCCGCTTTGGCTCCAAAGTTGGGGAAGTGGGACAATGTCGCATCACGACAGATTGAGGTGTCTGGCGAGGACAACCTCGGCACTGCCTCCTTCACATTGCCACACACACGTGCAAGGCCGCCCAAAGGCTCGGGCCTAGGAGGGTTACTGTACACTCATCAGTGCTTGCAATGTCTTGGATTTGTAGCTCAGCTTGGGTAGTACGTACAGCGGTCCAATGTATTAGGCAGTGTACGGATCCGTATGATGGGATGGGTATGACGGTGCTGACGAGGCTGACCAGAGAATTCCCGAGCTGAACCTGCGCATCTGTCATTGCCGTCGTGCCGTCGTAGGTCTTGAAGTCTCGTCTCAACTGCTGTGTTTTCTCGTACCCGTTGCAAAGAAAACACGCCAACACGCGTGTTCATTGGGCCCAGTGGCTCATTTTGGCAAGTCCTGCGTGGTTGTGTGGAGCAGGTATTGACAATCCTTCGCCTCTTCACCAGACCTAGCTTACAGCCAAGCTCGCAAGCTCCGCAAGGCCGGGCATGACATGGCCCAGGGGTAAATCACATTTTGTGGGGTAACGCGATCCAATGACAAGCTCAGCCCAGCCCAGACGCCAAGCGCACGCACCTGACAGTTAGTTCCCCAGAGCGTTCCCCAGAAGCATTCCCCAGATTTTTGCGCGATGTGTTTCAAGTGGAGCCCAAGGCGGAATTGCAATGCTTTAAAAACTCGACACCAGCGGGTTGCCTCCACTTATCTAGCCGCGAGCGAATATAATTCATGCACTTTTACACTGGTCCCATTCCGGTGTGTACCCTTGTCACGATCACAAGCTCGAGGGCGCTCATGCTCAACCCAAGCATCATGGAGTGTAGAAATATGCCTCACGAGTCTATCTACTCGATCAAACTAGAGAAGATATTTGAATCAAAAGGGGATAGGGCTTTGAATTAGATTCTCATTATGTCTCAAGACAAAAGCGCGCGGGAGTCGCAAAAAGAGTCACGGTATGTATATATAAAAAAAGGAGAAAAAAAGAATTTTAAGAGAAAGACCAATAGTCGTTATATATGGGAGTGAGCTGCTTACTTTTGTCCTTGACGTATATTTACGTCGCATTCCCGCACAAGGCAGGTAGGTCTTACTCCAACGTTCTAATGTTGGAGATCTTTTTAATAGCGCCTTCTCTCTTGTTGAAAATAGCAAGAGTATGAAATACATTGAGATATATGTACTGTAGGTTCATTTTGGTGTGTGCATAGTGATAGGTATAAGAAATTTCATTTGGTAGTAGATCCAACTGTGGAAGTCGCTCTTAGAGTAGACGAAAGAAAACATCTACTGCTAATTATCTTCTGCAAGTCTTCCAAAAGTAAAGACTGATATGTTGCTCTATGACACACTTTGGGTATCAGAGAGCGTACATAGCCAAGGTACGGATACATATGCGCAGAAATCTCTTAAATTTAACATAATGTTACTTGCTGTTATTGAAGTAGCAAGGTGACATTAGGACTAGAAGCATAAGAGCGACCAGCAACAACTTCGCACTTTTATCATGTCAATTTAGTGTGTCGCACATAGGTATCTTCAAGATCCGATGAGTCGATGTTACCGAGCAAGTCACTGGAATGGGAGGCTAGCATCAGTGCGGAAACGAAAAGATACCATAGTGCTAGTGATGCAGAGTGCATATCGTAGTAGTCATAAGTGAAGTCAGAAACTTTTTGCATTCTCCATTCGGCAATCTAATCTACCTAGAACTGCGGCACTGGAACACACTTCGGCCAAATGCACATTGAATGGTCTAGAATAGACAGACACGACAAAGAGCCCGAGAGCACAAGTCAACGACCATAGAATCACCAAGATACGAGAAAGCGTCCCAATACATCAAGCTGGGCTTACAGCATCCCGGAGGCTCGCACCGCTTCCACTTCCAGACCGCATGCTACTGCGTTCCGAAGCGAATCCCGATCCCGAACCAGAACCAGATCCGGACCCAAACCCGGACCCGGACCCCAAGCCGTCACCCCGCTGGTGTGAGAAATGAAAGCCTGTAGGTCCGCGAGTCATGGTGCCTGGCGCTCCATAGACGCTGCGGTGAGCGTGAGCGTGGCCCGGCGGCGCGGTGGTTGCCATGACCGTATGACCGTTGCTCTCGCGCTCGTCCGACTCTGTGGACTGGGTGAAGCCTGAAACATTGCTAAGCATCGAAGAAGAACGACCTCTAGTCTTCTGCTGTGGTGCGGTGCTTTGGTTGGTAGCGAGCAGGTTGGGAAAGGATGAGACATGCGGCGGCGGAAGAATAGAGCTAGATTGGGGCGGCATTGTTGCGGACGGCCAGATGGACTGGGCGTTGAACTGCGTCGCCGACACGTTCCAGGGACCAGACGCATACTGGTTCGACGGGGAGCCTGGGTCGTACGCAGCATCATCCTGGAAGCTGGACAAGTATGCCTGCATCTGGTTCGCCATCTCGTGAACTTGGGCCTGTTTCCCAATGTTGACGACACGTAGAGAATTGATGCGATCTCTGAGAAGCTGCTCTGAGCGCGCCATGTCGGACTCGAGAGCAGCACGCTCCTGTCGGCGACGCTCAGCCTCACCCAAACCCCTGGCGTTTGCATCCGTAATGCGGTTGTGCTCGTCGTCGACTTTGGCGATGCGGGTGGCAATCTTGTTTCGTTTCGCTTGCAAACTAGCTTGCTCCTCCTCCAAGCACTTGGTATCCTTGTCAATCGTCGCCTTGAAGACCTTGAATGCTGAACGGGCCTTGTCGAACTGGGGTTTTTCGGCTGCCCAAGCACTTTGCTTAGAACGGTATTGGTTGAGAAGTTCCTCCGGCACACTCTCCAGTTCTTTAAGCTCGGCGTCAAGTTCCGCAATGGATTCCTCGGCCCGTTTCTCCTGGATGTTATTCTGCGCAACCTTTTGCCTGAACTTCTCATCGTCGCCTCCTGCCGATTGAGCTGCCGCAGCAAGCTTCTCGATCTCCTTCTTCGTGGCGTTTATCTTGCGGTTGTTGTCCTTGCGGACAGCCTTGAGGCGAGCCTTCTCGTCAGCCAGCTTGGCTTCGGCCGCAGCGATGGAAGCTCTGAGGGTCGTCGCCGGTGAATCATGGCGGTTATGGGCTCGCTGATTTCCGGGTGTTTTTGATACGACTTCGAGGTCCTTGCTCTTGGCCTGTATGGTCCTCACGCTCGTAGAGAAAAGAATCTCACCAGTTCGAGTGCTGATAAACTCGCATTCGTAATTCGACAACGGCGTGAGTCCATATATGTCGCCCGTCCAGCGTGTGCCTTGCTGATCTTCCTCCTCGCCGTCCTCAATCGGAGTGATGCGCGTCGGTTGCCATACGGCGTTGTTCACCATGACGTAAAATGGCTTGGCGTAGTCCACACCCGACTTGCTCTCGTCCTCGGGGACATCCATTGAATCTGGAAAGTGGCTTGTGTTGAAGCAGACCTCATCACAACCGACATAGCAGATCCATATTTGCTTAGGCTGTTTGTTGAACGGCGCATTGCCCAGGTTGTGAATATCAGTGGCATCGGATCCGGCGGATTCGGCGGCCGCATGAGAAAGTTCATACTCTTTAACCATGACAATTTTCGTACTTGCGAGGGCCGCCCAGAGGGGCTGCCGAATTCGGACCTGTGCACTCTGCTTGCGCCTCTTCTTCGTGGTAATCGTGACCGCACTCGTTTGCAGATGAGCATCGCTGTCTGCTGCCATAATGGCGGCATCTGAGGAACCTTCGCTCGGGAAGGAAACCGACTTGCCCGCCTCGGGGTCCAACATGCTCTGGGACTGCATGTCGCGCCTCTCGCGTCGTAGATACCACTCTCGGATATAGCGGACCAGCCCTTGAGTGAGAATATGGATGGCCAGGATGCTCCTGACCCACCCGTAGGGTCCCTTCTTGTCGAAAGACCGAACGGACGGGCTGAAGCTGTCCTCGGGGCGAAGGGAGAACAAGCTATTCGATCCAAATATCGAGCCCAGGTGTGACAGGCCAGTCCACCGTGCATGACGCGTCCATTGGGAGATGCCCACAATGGCGACGCAGAGGAGGATGTTGTTTGTCGTGCCCTCTCTCGAGCTGCCTCCCCCTCCTAGCGTCAACGAGATGACGACCTGGGCAAGATCCAAGATAAACCGCTGCATTGGTGCCCAGAGAAACAGCCATATTCCCAGCATAATCACGTCCATGCAGATCAATGTCGTTAGCGAGGGCGTCCCTTGATTGCCGTCGAAGATTTCAGCAATGCTGAGGCCGGAGCTCGTGGTGACCGGAGGGACGAAGGTGAGAAGTGTGAAGAGCATGTAGATAGTAGCCAAAGCGGCCGGCGACACTTGCATGAGGATGATGAGAATGGCGATGGTGTCGTGGATCGGACACGATCGGAGCACCGTGAGGGCCAAGTCCAAGGGACCCGGGTCGCGATGGACGTTGTTGTTCTTCGCATCGTTGACGTCGATCCGGCGGTGCGCCTCCTCGGGAACGGAGTGCGCGGGAGGGATCAGCAGGGAGTCGGTCGAGGAAGACCCCGAGTAGGTGCCTAGCGACTCTCTCCGCAGCAGCTCGGCCGCCTTGTGCTCGGGGGGCATGTCGTCGAGATGCGGCGCGAAACCATTGGCGGCGGCGGGCGCGGATGGGACGGGCGGTGCGACGGCATTGTCGACAGCAGGTCTGGGGCTGCCATCGAGCTGAACCTGGCTCTTCTGCTTGACGACGCGCCTCCCAGGGCCTACCAGGCCATTTTCGTGTCTGGTGTCGCGCTGGTTGCTCGCTCCCTGCTGTCGCTTTGCTAAATTTGTCGCCCGAGGCATACGCTTCTGCTGACCCAGAATCTTGTTCTGAGCCAGCCCAGCACCTGCTGAAGAGGGTTGCGGGGGGCGGCTGCACGAGCAAAGACTCTTTCCTCCAGCCAAACCTAACCAAGCCTCCTTCTCCTCCTCCTCGGCCGCAATCCCGGGGGAGTGGCAAAGTTACGCGGCCTGCGTCACCGCCAGCCCACAATCGCACAATAGGGAAAACCGAAAAGCCGACAAGTTCGTCATGCGCCGGGTATTGAATTTCGAGTTCGTGGGTTGGGGGGGATAGTTGCACGATCCAAACGGTTAGGCTCCTATTTCCAGGGTTGGAGAGAGTTAAAAGGAGAAAAGCGGATTTTGGATTTGGAGGCTGAGGTTTTCGGGATGGAGCATGCCAAGCTGATAACTGAAGTAACTAAACTAGGCGGTACATGCGGTGGGGCATTTATATCAGTACAGAGCGGATTCTTGTTGGAGCAGTGCTTCGCAGTCTGATGTTGGGCAAAACTGCGAAACAGGGGTCGGTGGAGCTCAAATAGGACTTGGTATCCTCAAGTTTTCTCAGGCGTGGTCTGGCCAATATTAGCAGGAAATAGGTAGTCCCATTCCCGCTACGATAGTAACTCAAGATACGGAGTGGTACATAGGTGCTGTCCAGTGCTCGTACAAGTGCAAGGGAGACCAAGGCCGAGTGGCTGCTTGAATATTGTGCTGGAAATCCAAGCAGAGTCCGGAGCGGAGTAACCGCCAACGCTTGGCGCTGACTAGTACTCGCATTTTCTCTCCTGAATCACCTTGTGGTCTGAATCCAGCACAACGGCTGACAGCTGATAGCATGGGGACCGTTATTTTCCCCGTTGTTGTGTATTTTTCTTTCTCTTTTCTGTTATAGCCTAACACTCATTGAATATTGTGTGGACTGGCTCTTCTGATGTTGCTTAATCTTTTCTATTCACAAAGGGAGGGAGGGCCGGCTAAGACCAAGTTAGCATGAATCCGGGCTGACTGATGATTGGGGTCCTCACCAGCTGGATGGGCACAGACAATGCTGACTGACTGACTACCTCCCAGAGAGATTGCAATTGTCAGTGCGTATCCCGTCAACAATGAGCTATCCGGTTGTTGAAGAAATATCGGTACCACACCACAGCAAAAAGAGGCCTATCACCCTTTTGGGCAATGATATAGCGGAAGAGGGGATTCAGGCCGCACCCCGCGTTCTGCGCGCACAGAACCTGGTAATGACTTGGTATTGATGTTCTCCCACAGGTAAATATCCGATCCCGTCTTCCCATTTATAGGTTCTTGTCGTGCGAATGGAGAGCACGAGCATGCTAAGTTTCACTAGGTAGTCGATCTGTCGTCGGACGGGGCTTTGAGCAATGCATCACGCCCCACGTGCCCCAAGGCCAGTGAGCGCCGATATGGAAGGTGGGTGCGGGGAAAGCTCACGCCTTATTTGATGCAAAATAATGCTTGACAGGCTGCCCAGAGCTGCACGAATTGACCTGTATACGACGCAAAACTAGCATCCATTAACATCACCAATCGATCACGCCCTTTTGAGTGAAGCGTGGCGGTGTGTTCAGGTACAGTGGGCGCTGCGGCACATGCAGCGGTCCATCAAAGAGGGTGCAAGGCAATTACGATGCCGATCATCGCGTGCTTTCTAGCCCTCGTCACCCCTCACTAACAAGCCCGCCCCTCCTGCCGAACATTGAAGCCTGCCCCAAAAATGCTTTACCTCCGACCATCAGCATGGAAATCAAGCAGCGGCCAAGCTGAAATTAATTTGTTTCACCGGCTCGAAGCACGATGCGGTCAGGTGGCGCTGAGTGTGGCCGCCACCACGACATCAGCGTCGTCCTGCAGCCACCGGTACAGGCGGTAGATGCTTATTTCTCCAAACTTCCGGTACTAGTGTTTGCTGCAAGTACAGGCAGACATATGGTACATTCACGGAGTACGTACCCACATGCCTGCCTACCTAACCTCACACGACACATAGAACCAAGGCGGTCACGCCCGGAGTTGGTTCTGTCTATTTTCCCTGATAACAGAGTTGGATCGCACAGAATGGCGAGATTGACGGCGGGTGACCAAACCGAGAGTTACACGCACTGCAGCGGAAGCATCCCTCTCCACCTACCTTCCACCTCCACGATTGCCAAGCATTTCACGGGAAGGGAGGCGGTCTCCTTGCCGGCATTTGAGCCCACGCCTCCTGCTGGATTGGCCAGTTTCTAAGATGCAATTTACAGCGTCGTACGGAGTACGGAGCATGGAGTGTCACGTACCTACAGAAAGTTTTGAACATTTCTCCACTGCTTCTGGCCCCGCTGCAGGAATTACCCCACATCTATGGCACCATTTCAAGAGAGGCAAGCCGGAGCCATAGAGTCACCTTAGCGGCTTTGCTGCCCTGTTGGCTGTCTCCCTCTTCAACGTGAGTGGAGGTTGGTCGGGCCGTCCTTGGAGGGGCCCTAAGTAAAACTTTGGACGATCTCTTGGCCGCTGCCCCGCGCAGGTTTCCCCCTTCTCCCCACCACGCACTTGAGCTAGCGGAGCATGCCATGTCCACGACTAGTTCCCTGCGAGTGAGGCTTTTGCTGAACAGCCGATTCTAGTCCCGCCCGCCTTCCGTGAGATGCCGAGTGATATATCTCCGTACCCCGTTGCCATCTTCCGAAGAATGACTAGGTGACTCGGGCCTCACTCAAATGCCCAGAGTTGGGCAGTTGAAGGGTTCTTGAACTGTTGTTGAGATAGTGGCAGATCATGGCATCACACACATCTGTCGACGCTATTCCTTGCCTCAGTCGGCATGTGTCTCTCGAAGCCCGTGACGCAAAGCTGCCTGACGCAGCCCATTCAATGTCTCAAGCCTAGATCACATCGACACCTAAGAAGGGGCTTCCTCCGGGACCGTAGGCGTTATCTCACCCTTGACCTATATCGCAAGAAACTTAATGCGAGTGGCGGCAGGTGTTTACAATCAGTACTGCACAGAAAACTATTCATCCGTGCCAATCACAGTCTTCTTCTTCTTCTTGAGACCCGCTGAGCCGTGTTGTGATCCCGACTCCAGCCGCAGTCAGATCATAGACACACGAGTGGTTGCTACGTCGCGCTGGATAGAATGGCATTCGCTGGCCGGGTTTATTTCGGGCTGTTGAGGCTTTGACCGGTGATCTCACTCATTGCAACGCTTGCGTCGAGACAGTGTCTCTTTCTTCAAGTCTCTTTCTCTCCCCAGAGCTACTCCGTACCTCGGTATGCACCGTGGAAAGTTGAACAGGCCGTGAGTAAGCAACTCGGGAGACAAGGTAGGTATCGAGTATCGACACCCCGACCCCCTCGCTCCGGAGCTTGACCTTGGCACAGCTCCTCCCGACTCCCGACCTTCCGCCTTCGGTTGGCCGGATAGGTACGTCCGGTACCCGTTGCTAATAGCACCCTACTCGTGGCAAAACCGTGCGCTAAAAACTAAGTTATCTTGAGATGTTGTATGTTCGGTCTATATGCAAAACAAAAAGAGAAAAATAGAGGGAAAAAGGGTCCGAAGAGAGCACATAAAACAAAAGAACCTCACACCTAGACTTTGTGCGCTCCTTTCAAGCTTCCCATGTCCTCCACTGCATCTTCCCGATCCCACGTTTCCTTCTCGAGCCTCTCTACAGCCGCGATAAGGTCCCATATCCGTCCTCTCGCCCTCGCCGTCTCTTCCACTTGCAGTTTGTACGTCTCCGCGAACAGATCCAGCATGAAAGGCGGCATGCTGGCCTTCCTCGCCGCCTTGTAGTCGTAGATGACGATGTCCTCCTCCAGTCTCGCAGCAATCCTTCGGTGCTGGTGCGACAGGATGACACAGTCGAGCATGAAGGCGCTCGGCGCTGCGTCCCTCTCCGGCTTCGTCCGCAGCTTGTGGTAGACTGAGATGTTGTCTGGGTAGACCATTGGCTGCATTAGGTTGGATTTTCAGTCAGTCAGCGGGTGCCTGAGATACCTAGACACCTAAACGGCATCGTCCCTCCCCTTACTCGGTACTAGTAGTCACGGTACACTTGTACACAGGGGAGCGGGTTTCAGGCATGCACCCACAAATTTGAAGTTGGCCTTGAGACTGCGCATGATCAGCCCCGTCGCCTTGGGAGACATGAGCTCAGACCACTCCGACCGGTGAGCCGGGTCGACATGGACAGCGAAGTTGGTGATCCAGTTGACTCTGGCCGACTCAGCGTAGCGGTAGTAGTTGACGTTGTTGACGTGCCCCTGACCGGCAAAGCAAGTGGTTAGCGAAAATGGCTCGGCCTGTTGTTTATACCAAGTGTCGGTAAAGGGGTCAGTCAGTCACTTACAAAGCTGTCCATCTCCCCCCAGGCAATCTTATGCCGGTCGAGCCCGCGCCGGCCGCCCGTCAGGAAACCTTCGCTCCCGGCAAGCAAGTCTCTCCACTCAAGGGCGATCGCACGGGCGACAGCCGCCGCCCGCGATATCTGCTGGTTGTCACAGCCGAAGCTGATGCACTTGCCGACGCGAGCACGGAGCTCGGTGATCCATCTCGAGGGCGGCGGCGGCGGCGGCAGGGATGACGAGCTGCTGTCTGTCGCCCTGCTGGAGCTCAGACGGACTGCGAACGGCAGTGATGAAAGAAACTGCGATCTAGAGGCTGGAGGAGAAGGGCGACAGACAAGAAATCGCAAGGCACTACTGCCAGGGCGGGCCACTAGGTGATTCGGGCTTGAGTGAGCCATGATGTTCGAGTGAACTGTCTGCGTATGCTACTACTGTACTGAGAGGATGCGAACTGTTTCTCTCTTGATCTAGGGGGCTTGCTTCTCCCTTTATTGAGTGCGAGCCATCACCGAGAGCTCACGGCGCACACAACTCAAGACGGAAGTAGCGCGGGGAGACGGGCGACGGGCGGTTTGTCAACTACGGCCGTTGATGGCACGCTTGAATGGCAGCGGAGCCCTTACGTGCCTAATGTTAGCGCCCGCCCGCCCGCCGTCGCCCGCTTGGCTTTTGAGAGCATCAGCTACTTCGTCCGAATATCGAGAACAAAAAGAACTAGGGGCCGCGGCGTAAACTTTACGATATTTAGTCAGTTTACGAGATTTAGGTAAGGTAGTCAAAGCCGAGGGAATGCTCTATTTCCGGCCGTTTGACAGAATAGACGACGGCCCGGGGGAGTTTTGGAGCCGCCATCCACTGCAGGTCGTTAGCCCACTGTAGTGCACCGATAAGATAGCGGGCTGCCTGCCCACCTCCGAGGAATGCCATACGGATATCTCGGCCTCTCATCAACTAAACCACGACGGAAGATCGCGACAGCTCACTCAGGCAGTGCAATGTCGCCACCACTCAACCCCGAGTTGAGGAGGCAGGTCATTACCATCTACAAAGGCAGGCATTGATTCACTTTTTCACATACCATCTCACTCATGTCTTCCCTCTTTGGATCCTCGAGAGCTCATACCCCTGAACCTGTCTGCTCACACCAGACACTCAACCTGACAAAACATCTGGAATATGCTCTAATTTACATACCAACGACAACACACAGAGCTGCTCAACCTCGGCAAGGACTACCCGCAGGGATTCGACTACTTCCGGCCGCGGCTGCACCGGGCCTTTATGGCCAACGCGCACCTCGAGGACGCGGAGCAGATCCGCCAGGGGATCGCTCGGGCCGAGTTTGTGCGAAAAGGTGTGTGCTGTGTGTTTACATTTCCAGTTGTTTCGTGACGACAATCAACAGATGCGTTTTTTCTTTCTTTCTCCTTTTTGCACACACAAGGCTGACATAATTCCACCGGCGCGTTGTGCAGAGATCGAGGCATTGTAGGTGTTTTGCTTAACCCCCCTTTTTTTTTCCTTTATTTCTTTGCCCTCTTGTAAACGTCTCTGCACCTTCCAGCATTACCCACGACAGTGCCCCATTTCCCTCAGCCCACCCACATGCTCCGCCATGAAGTGTGGGCGTGGCGCAACATGAAAATAGAAGATGAGTCAAGCACCGCGCGCGATTCGTATTCTCTTTCAGACTGCCGCAGCACCAAGCACGTGTCCGTCGTAAAGAGTTCGATTCAATATCCTAGAAGAACTCGTATATATATGCAATGGGGGGGCCGTCGGGAGTACCCAAGATTGGGGAGGTTGCGATAAGCAAAATGAGACAAAAGGAGGCGAAAAGAGCAACCCATGATCCAATCCATCAATCGTCCATCCACCCATGCATAAGGAAACAAGAGACCAGAACATCTATATCGTGCGCGCAAAGCCACGGCGAGAAGAGCCCGGGAAATATGCCCGGGTGTAAAAAGGGGCAAGACGGGGGGTGTGGCTTTGTGAAAGGAGAAAGAAGGAAAACAAAAAAATATCCCCATCCTTCTCAATACAGCTTCCCCCTCACCCACCAGACCAAAACAAGGAGGATGGAAACGAAGCGAAAATAGAGATATTCCACGCGTCTATACCTCCCCTTTCCAACCCATTTTCTTCTTCCCCTGGCTATCCCATCTGGCTCTAGGAACCCTGCAAGTTGCGGCTGCGCAAAGCAAAAAAACCCAACTTGACTCCATCCTGGTTGCTGACTCGTTTTGGGGTATATAGATACTATCTTAAACGATATCGGGCGTTAAGGAAGAGGTATGATGGAGCATAAAAATGATAATTCAGCGTTCCGGGTGTTGGCTGTATAACCAAAAAAGACTTGCTGTTGTGATGGGGGGGGGGGGGGGGGGGAATTGTTTGGCGAGTGGCGTTTCTGGTTTTGGCGTGGTCATCTTGGAAACCGTGGACCTAGGGGAGGCTGGATGCTTCCCAATATTATGTAAAAGTCGAGACAGCCGAGAATAGATCACGCGGGTACCCGTTTTCGTGCCCACCACGCACCAACCTCGAGACACTCGCCCCAGCTGGTCCCATTCCCTTTGACCAGGTCGTTCATCATCTTGCCGACCCAGCCATCCCACTCGTCCTGGCTCTTGCCGCTAACCTCACGGAGGACGTGCTCCAAGTTCTGTATCATCTGCACCACCGTCAGGAGCGCCGTCCTCCGCAACGCCGCCGCCCCGGGGTCTAACGCCTTTCGCGTGGGCGCCCCGCTGTTCCCCGCTCCACGCCCCTTCGTCTCGATGTAGCTCTTCCCGTCCTTGGTGACGACACCGCCGACGCCCTCGCGCTCCCAGCGCACCTCAGATAGCGGTACGGCAAGCCGGCGGCTCCCCATCCCCGTCAGGACCTCGGCTTCTTGTACCAGTAACGGACCGAGGAGGGTGCAGGGCACAGGGGATAGGGAGCGCATCTCGAGCGCACGAGAAACCCAACCGTTGTACTCTACTAGGAAGTTATTGAGCGGCGAGCTGAGCGGCGTATTGGCCGTCATGACATATGAGCCGAGATGGGCGGCTTCCGTATCATCGTCCTCGCCGCTGCTATCCTCGCCGTCGTCTTCAGCGGTAGGGAAACCCGGGGTGGAGGGTGGTTCAGGCACGTGTGGCCGCAGCATGCGTAGAGTGTGGTCGCTTTCCCAGCATTCAATTGTGCCTCCAGGCGCCAGAATGCGGAGATACTCGTCCATCAGCGACTGTTGCATCGTCAATGTCGTCGCGAGCGACATGTCCTTAACCATGACGAGGTCAAACTCGCCGTCCGAAAATGGCCACGGACACCTCCGCATGTCGTGTTGAACAAACCGCCACTTCATGTCTTTGTCGGGTCGGGCGTCGGACATGGCGGCGGCATTTGCACCTCCGGCCGGAGACGACGATGCCCGGTTGCCTGCACCAGAACCGCTCGTGGTGCCAGCACCACTTGCGCCGGGCGCAATAGGAGTAATGTCGATGCCTGTGAACGAGATGTTGGTGTGCAACCCCTGTCTCTCGTAGTACCGATAGCACATCATGCTCCAGAATCCCGAACCGCAGCCGACTTCGAGAACTCGAGTGGGGGGTTTCGCAACGAATGCGGGCGTACATATTGGCCCCCCGAAAAGCTGCATCAGCAGCAGTGTCCGTAGGCTCTGGCGGTGGAGTTCTTCGAGGTCGACGGGCAGGGGGTACGGCAGTGTCAGATCCGAAATGTAGGTGCGGCCATTCCGGACGACGAACGGCTTGCTCTGCTGCGCCGTCAGATCTGCATTGTAGGCGGGTTCGCTTGAGAGCATGGTGCGCGTGGTGGTTCCCGAGATGCTAGAGACGCTCTCGGCACGAGAGAAGGCGGTATTCCCCAAGACCTTGGAGCCCGCGCCGCTTTCGGGGAACATGGCCGCATGTTGGAGGGCGCGGCGATCCTGGTAGGCGGTAGTACCGGAGAGGGCGTGGTTGGCAGGGTTGCCAAAGGGCGTGGAAATGGCGGTCGCGCCGGCGGAGGCCGGGGTTCGGGCAGATGTGGGTTCCGAGAGGCTGCCACTGGTCAGGTATTTGTTGGAGGTAGCGTCGTGGGTGTCGAGACGGGGCGTCGCCGGCAGTTGCTTGTTCTGATAGTATCGGACAGGCGCAGGCATCCGTTCCCGCTGCTGATCGTGCCGCGAGACTTGGGCTTCGGCAAAGGGCGCTGCACGACTAGCCGCGTTCACTGATGTCACAGCGACAGAAGCTGCGGAGGCGGGAGCAGCAGCCGCAGCAGCAGACGAGTGTGCGAGGGTGGGTGGTGCGGCGTCGAGTCCGAGACCGCTGCTGGCCTCAACGACGGGTTGGTGCAGCCACGGGGCGACGTTGTGTTGCGGCGACGACGGGACCTCGGTGCGCGTGCTGCTCGAAGTGCTGGCGCTCGAGGTTCTAATGTGGCCGTGGATGCGCGATCGTTTCTTTTGGGTCGCTCCTGACGTGGAGTTGGAACGAGTCGGTCGGGATGGTGGATGCGGCTCTACTTGGTAGGCGGATAAAGGGGCCCTGGCCGCAGCATATCCTGAGAGGAACTCCATTCTGGCGGGCCCCTGACGAGATGGGCCAAACTTTTTTTAATGCCCACCCGCAAGGGTTCAGTCCCACCTGCTGTGGGCCCCGCGCCCGCGCGTGCGCCGCTGTGCGTTCCGCGGCGCCTTGCGATACCTGGCTGTTGCGCTGAGGTGATGCGCTACGCCCAACGCGCTAGGCTCGCCTTTTACCGCTACGTTTGCACCAAGCGCCGCAATCTGTAGACCTCCCGGCTTCAAGCTTCCAGGTCGTCTTGCGTAGTGCGTCTGTCGGACTCAGCACAACACCACCCGCTGGTTGCTAGTCGACATCCAGCAACTTACGCCAGAATATTAAAGCACTGAAAAACGACCCCCACCCTGATTGGTCTGAGCTGTTTGAGAATTGGTATCTTGCGGCTGCTCGTCTTTGTTGCGGCTATTCAAACTCGGATCGAAGTAACCAGACCTTCCTCATTCATGTGAAAATGGAAGCCAGCGCGGCAGTATTCGGGTCCCAGTCACCTTTTTGATCTTCGTCCTTCTGAAAAGAGACACCGACCGGAGTTGATCAGATCAATGGGATGCACACCTGCTTGTCGGGTCGGTTTGTGGAAGGGCCCGTTTCGTCTCCTGGTGCTCCGTAGTAGGCAGTTCTCGATCCCCTGTCCCTGGCCGTCTTCGTTAGGTGCCCCTGAACCAGGCGGATGATGGGTCGTTTTTCTTTTCTTCTTTCCCAAGTCTCGGATCGCCTGTCACCTCAGCCTTTCAGGCTGGCGCGGTGGATAGTTCCCTGACCGGCAAGCAAGCTGAAACGTCGCCCTGGGAGTGGGACTGCCTGGAGAAAAAAGACGCCACGAAGGAAAGGTCGAAGATGTGCCGGAGCGTCACACCGCCGGCCTTCGCTTGATGATCGAATGGTCGCTGGCCAGTGTTTCTCGTCGTGCGACCCCTCCTATACAATAAGAGCCGAACCCTCAATTACCAGCAATTTGGTTACCGTTGTTGTTGCTAGAGCGCACAGCTGCTCTGGGAGTTCAGCCGTTTAACACACTTTTTGGAACTAGATTGCCACGTCTCATGGTTAGTTTAAGGGAGTCCTCGACAGCTGTAACTGGCGGGACCGTTGGACGGTGTTCTCTGGCATGGCGCCGTTCTTTTGTCAGATGGATCTCAAGTCTTCGCAGCGCCGCAAACTGCGCTATCGCCAAAGTCGGCAAGTGTTCCACTTGAGCAGATCGAGATCGGGATCCTCGATCGTGGGCTGTCGCCGCCGCCTCGTAGTGGGGTAGGCCGGCAGGACTTGATGGAAGTGCTCCGGGGCGAGAGACCAAGAATCAAGAATACACGAACCAAGCCAAACTCTTGTCGGTGGTCAGCTGAGCCTAGTCAGTGGGATTGGTCGAAAGAAGCTGTAGTTGTGACAACGAGGCTCCTCAAGCAACTGAGGGTGTTTGTGCGAAGTTGGCGGGGATGCAATGGATGTCTTGCAGTCGGATGGTCCAGTAACCAAGGCAGGGCAAGACAACGGAGTAGGCTAGACCTAGATGGAGCCAGCCAGCATTCAAGATAGATATACGAAACACAGCTGCTGATTGCACGGCCTTGCTTCGATTATTATCTTCCCTATCGACCGCAGACCTCTCTCCGTGGCCCCATGACAGGTTTAGCTCCCCTGTGTATTCTGGCTCTTCCTGCTGGCCCTCACTCACCTTCTCGCCCCTGAAGGCCCGAAGGGGTGGGGGACGACGACGAAAATGGAGCAGCTGCATTCACTGTGTTCCTGTCCCAGTTCCCCGCAGCGTGTCCCCCGCCAGGGATTGGCTGCCTCGAGGTCCAAGTCCGGATTCGTGGAGTCTCGGGAGACGAACTCCTTAATCCCAGCGGCCGTCAAGGATGGTTCTATGCTCGCTCATTGGATCAGTTTTAAGAGGGTGGAGGGGGGAGGTCATTGCTGTTGCAGCGCATTCGCTGGCCGGTTTTATGAGCCCTTTGCCAATGGCTGACCAGACCAGCTTCTCAATGAACTGGGAGAGTGCCACTACTTGCTGGGCGCGGCACCTCTATACATGGATGCAACCTGATTATTTTTGTCTTTTGTCCCGACCTGGGCGGCGGGGACGCATTCCTTCCGCTCCTACGTTCTAAGATGGAACTCCCCCAGATCCCATACGAGAACACTGCGGGAGACGGGCGCTAGCTATGGTACGGAGTAGGTATGGGCGGGCTGCCAGCTTGTGTTTGACCACAAGCGAGCCACTCCGTACTTCGTATCGTTACTGTACTATGTGTTCAAAGAATGCAAACATGACGACTGGCTGTCCATCAATTGCTTCTTCCCTAGCGAGGCAATTAAGGCTGAATTGGCTCTTCTAGTTCTTCTTCTGAGCTTGGTTCTTGGACGCCGTCGGGAATACCCAGTACGCTCGACATGTGCCCGGTGGTAGATAGCCAGCCCACTTTGCGATTTCATGCGCCTGCGCCACGAGATGGGAGAAGCTGGCTACTAACCCAGCAAGACAGGACCCGGATATTCTTTGTTCTCGGCGACAGGATCCGCACCACCGAGCCATTGCGGACTGAAAGAACTCGGTAGATCAGGTCGGCGACGACAACTTCCAACTCATGCAAACGCGGTATACATGCCTGCAGTATTCCGGGTGAAGCAGCAGTTTGTTTCCTGCAACTCCCTCCACTCTGTGGGGGCAGTTGAGGGTCAGCTGCAGATCCAGGACGCCGACCAGACTTGCTGCGCCGTTGCAGTGGCTTGAACGCCCAGCAAATATTTGCGCAAGACATTCGGGTCACCATGCTTTATCTTGTCTTGCTGCTGTGATAAGAGCTCAACAGGACGAGCACGCGTTGTGCTGCTCCTCTATCCTGCAGCATAGCAGCAGCTTTGAGCCAAGACATCGACGGGATGCCCGGTTGGGAGTGCGCCTCCCACAGATAGACGAGGGTGGAACCCTCCGTACGCATATGATGGAAACCGTTCTGCCCAATTGGTGCTATCGAGTTGAGCGAGAATGGCATGACAGAATTGTAGGTTCGTTTCTGTGAACCAAGTCAAATGTGGACAGGCAACCAGCCGCCCCAACCAACTCACACCTGGCGTGTGAGGTAATAAGTTAAACTAAGGTGACCATGTCAATATCTACAGTTCATACCTTACCTACCTCAGCTACCCGTATCTAAGGAAGTTATACCAAAGCTGAAAAGCCGAGAAACATGGAACTAATCAGAAGCCATCGCCAACTGCAACGAATCGTTTCCAGATGTCAGGTATAACACCAGGGGCTGTTGCTATTTACAGCGCAGGAGGGTCGAAAAATACCCACATCCATCCTGCAGTGTACATTGGCCCACCTGTCCTGTGGTCCGAGATCACTTGAGAAAGTTTCTATCTGAGATCGAGAAGCACGTATTGGTGTCAATCCCGGCATACAGGTGCGAAGAAGGTTTATGGCATTTTTCAGAGTCTGTCATCCATAGAGTAACTTATGGCTTCCAACTTTCCACGCTCACCTCACATTGGAGGGCGGTGACCGAAAATAGTTGTTTTGGATATATACTCCATACTTCAGGTACTGTAGGTACTAGGAGGTGGTTCATAGTGTATGTCAGGCGGGGCGATAGTGAAAAGCGAAACCAGCCGCCCAAGTCAGCTGGCCTGAGAATCCACAGTAGACCCAGACCCAACAGGCTCAGCCTTGCTGACGAGAAAACAAGCACTAGGCCGCGAACCTAAGCACTAAAACTTCGTGAGACTGAGCAGAGCCCGAAAAGTCACGTGGTGAATTTAGGTAAGCAGGGCGGCGACGGATGCTATCTTTGCACAACTCCATCGAAGCGGGCCAAGACAAAGGAGGTTTGGACACATCGACCGACGCATTGACGCCACTGTCCATCGCAGACCATATCCTTCACTCGAGTATCCATTGACAGACTCTCCAGTATTCCCAGCAAGAGGTTGTGCACATTCATTTCATAGGTGAGGTTGACACGGCGGGCGGCAATGGCTACGCTTTGCTCGCTGCGCGCTCCCCAATGCGCTCGCTGGCTGCCCCGGCCCATTCAATCCATTCACTACACTACACAGTCTACACTACACAGTCTACACTACACCATACTACACTACACTACACTACACTGCGTATCTGCAACTTACTTGACCTTACCTTGCCTGTGTCCTGGCCTTCTTTGTCTGACGCCATACTCGCGTCTCCCCCTTGACCTTCCCCTCCCAACCCGTCGCCCGCCCCGCCCGTGTCCGCCAACTTCAAGCGCCGAAGATACAGAACTGACTCACGCGTTGCGTTGCTCGTGCTAGGCTTGTAATCTCAAAAAAGATAGAAAGAAAAAAAAAGCTTCACATCAAGCATCTTTTTCTCCCAACGCCGCGTCGTGCATTCCGCCCCGTCGCCCCTTCAGCCGCCGAAGCGCCCGAGCATCGTCGTCCCCCATCCAGCGCCATCGGACGAGCCTTTCTTCCCCCTCGCCAATCTCTGCCCAAGCGAAGACCACCCTGCCACCGCACAACACCGTTGCTCGCCCTCCGTTTCGGCCCTGCTCAGCATCGGATGGCCCTCTGACTGCCGCAAACCAAAAGACGCATCGTGGCAGTCCCTGTACACTGCACCCATGCCCGAAGAAGATCTTGCTGTGCTTGCTGTGCTGCTCCATGCGAACCTTGCTTCCCCCGGTACCGACTGCGCTGCGCTCCCGACCAATATCTTGACCTTCCTCGACCGCGACCCCCGGCGGCCGCAACTCGGAACTTGTCTCCGTCCTCGGTTCCGCTCCAGCTGCGCTCCGCTCTCGCGCACGACGCCTGCTATCCCGTCGCCGCCTCTAGATGGCAGATGGTCACCGACATCTGCTGCAGCCGTTCTCGATCCCGAACCCGCTCTCAGTGCAGTACGGCGGCTCGAACAACCCCGTTGCTAACGGCTTCTTTCTGAACTCCCTCCTGAGCCATTTTGCTGCCGACCCCACCACTGCCTCCAAACCGGACGCCCAAGGCCAAAACACTCGAGGCATGTACGGTCAGAACCACCAGCAGGGCCACAACTCCAGGCTCAATGGGGCTCCGGGGCGGCAGGCCATGCCCATGCTCTATAGCTTCCAGCAGCAGCAGCCAGGCCACCCCCACCAGCCCCATGGACAGCACCACCAGGTCATCCAGCAGGACCACCCGGGTCATGGCGGCGGCAGCAGCATGATCGGTCATTCTGTATTCTCGAGCGGCGTCCTTTCCAACACTAGCCCATTCTCTGGAGGCAACATGCAGAATGGCCATTCGTCAACAACGAGGGGCGGCCAAGCTCAGCAGATCAACGAGCACTGGGCAGAGCAGCTACGGCTACACAAGGAGGCGGAGCGGGCAAATACTACAATGATGGAGCAGCATCAACCTAACTACTTTGCGCGGCTGAAGGCGTCTGAAAATAGGGGGATTGGCGGCGCGCCTCTCCCCGCCGGGAACTCGACGCTTACTGCGGACGGCGAGGACGATAGGAGGAGACCTTGGAGCGTGGAAAAGTCCAATGTTAGGCAAGAGTGGCATCAGATGGACCTGAGCGGCCAGGGCTTGCGCATTCTCTCTCCCCCGCTCTTCAGCTACACCTTCCTCAAGGAGCTCTACATCGCTTCAAACAGATTGACATATCTGCCCGCCGAAATTGGAAAGCTCCGCAACCTGCAGCATCTAGAGGCGTCGAACAACCTGCTCTCCGAGCTCCCTCCAGAGATTGGCATGTGCACTAATCTGAAGACGCTGCTACTCTTTGAAAACCAAATCCACGAGCTCCCTTTCGAACTAGGATCTCTGTACCGTCTAGAAACGCTTGGCATCAATGGCAACCCTCTAAATCCGGCTCTGAAGGAGGAAATAGTGGAACGCGGTACCAAGAGCTTGATCAACACACTTCTTGAACAAGCGCCAGGTGAGTCGCAATGTAATCTGGTGTCGAAGAGGTTTCTAAATTTTTATTTACAGTACCGCTCCCTCCTGCTCCCCGGAAGCCGATCGTTGTACAAGAGGACGTGTCGCAAAACTTGGAACGCGTCAAGTTGTTGACGTGGAATATTTTGTGCGACAAATACGCGACGACGACGCTGTATGGCTACACTCCGACGGGTGCTCTATCGTGGGAATACCGAAAGGATCGGATCATCCAGGAAATACGTGAGAGAGATGCCGACATCTTGTGTCTCCAGGAAATTGCGACAGACGTCTTCCGCGACTTTTTCAGCCCCGAGCTCGCGCAGGATGACTACAAGGGCATCCAGTGGCCGAGACCTAAAGCGAAGACGATGTCGGAGAAGGATGCGCAGGCTGTTGATGGATGCGCCGTCTTTTACAAGGCCTCCAAGTGGATACTGCTTGACAAGCAGCTCTTGGACTACGCAAATATTGCCATCAATCGTCCGGACATGAAGAACCAGCATGATATTTTCAACCGGGTCATGCCCAAGGACAACATTGGTGTCATTTGCTTTTTTGAGAGCAGGCAAACCGGAGCGCGCATCATTGTGGCAAACACGCATCTGGCATGGGAGCCAACACTGGCCGATGTCAAGCTAGTCCAGACGGCAATCCTCATGGAACACCTGACAAAGTTGGCAGAGAAATATGCCCGGTGGCAACCCCTCAAGGACAAAAGGATGATTCAGGTACCATCCTCTATGACCGAGGACGGGGTCGAACCGAGGCCCGACTTGCCGGATCCGGCACCGTCACAAGAATACCGGAACAACACCGATATCCCCCTTCTTGTGTGTGGCGACTACAATTCCACGTACGACAGCAGCGTTTACGAGCTCTTGTCCATGGGACGCGTTTCGCCCAACCATAGCGACTTCAACAAGTACCAGTACGGGAACTTCACGCGTGACGGGATAGAGCACCCCTTCAGCATGCGGTCTGCCTACGTCCACCTGAACGGCACGCCGGACGAGTTGCCCTTTACCAACTACGTGCCGGGCTTTGCCGAGGTGATTGATTACATTTGGTACTCGACAAACACGATGGAGGTGGTGGAGCTCCTTGGGCCCCCGGACCAGCAGCATCTCAAGCGCGTGCCCGGCTTCCCAAATTACCACTTCCCTGCCGACCACATCCAAATTAGCGCCGAGTTTGTGATCAAGGCAAGGAAAGACAAAAAGATGCTGACGGAGCCCGATTTTGGATCAGGTAGCAATGACCGAAGAAACTAATTATCTCTTATCGATAGCGACAATCTCCTCTGGGCAGGTTGGTTTTGCGTTTGGAAGGCGGCAAAGGTCACAAGGTGTTCTGGATTTGAAAGCACATTGAACTGGGTTGGTTCGCGCCGGGGTCGCATCCATTTTGATGCGTTCCCCGGCCTCGTGAGCGGTTACATGTCTGGGTGGTTTTGAGAGCGTGAATGAGGAGATATATGGCGGGCTCAAAAAAAAGGAAATACTCAATGTGTGGGCGAGAAAGGGCGCGAGCTGTTGTGTTAAACTTTTCTTTTTTTCTCTCTTTTTTCACAGCCTCTTTTTTGCACAGCCTTTCCCTATGCCGGCCGACTGGTACCAGCTGCCGTTGCCTGGGAAAGGTTGGGACAGATGAGAAATGGCTGGGGTGCGGAACATGTAGGAATATATCGCTGTTTTTCTCTCTTATATGTTTTGTTTTTTTGCCTTCTTGATGGCGGTTCTTGGTTCACTCTCAGGGTCGAAATCTTTACTTCTTCCCTCACCTTCACGCTCACGTACCTCACGTATCATGCATGGTATCTCGACTAGCTCCTGTGGATGGATGCACTAGCGTTTCTCGGCTACGCTACCCCGACTCCCGAGACATCGAAATTCACTGTCGCGGAAGCTGGCAGCACACATATGGGTCGTTTCTAGCATCCAAAGACGGGGAGGGGATTCTCTTTGCTTACCCTGGAAGAGAGCAACGGATGACGCTCTAGAAATCGGGCCGCCGATGGTCCATCTGTCCTCCTCAGAGGCCGGGGCCGGGGCCGGGATATTGGTTCCGAGAGACACATGAAGAGAGAGGACATGAAACGATTGGAATGCATGGTCTGCTTGCTGGCCGATAGCGGGAACATCATCATCTTGTGCTTATGCGTTACCGAACGTATTTCTGTAGCGGACATTTTGTATTTTGAGTGGCGGGGTTTTGGCTTCCAGGCAGTGTGTATGCGTGTGCATTGTTTTAATTTCTTTTGGATTCATGGTACTTAGACATAGCAAACTTAGACGCAGACGGCGTGACTGTCTCTAGGAGGTTGTTTGGTAAACCATTGGGGAACTAGTTTCTCCTTTCTATAACATCAAGTCAACTTGCCTGCCGTGATGTGATATGAGATGTGCATATGCTTGCTTGTGAAAAGCAATGGGTAACAAGCAGGCTTCGGAGCACTTTTTCATCGAGTGATACAGGAACTTTGAGCAAACCTTAAACTAGACTAAACAACTAAAGTCAACCAATAACACTAGCGGTCTCGGGTTCAGTCTCAATTGTTCCCACGAAATAGTAAGGAAACAAAGCAAGCATCCCTTCGTTCATATCATAAGTCATTAAGAGCTAAGCCGTCATCGTCATCTCCGACATGGTCCTTGTAGTAGCCACCTCCCCTGCCCCACGGCATTGACACGGACACCCTGTTCCTGGCATCCAGCTCGCCCAACACGTCGAGATCTGCAACTGGCAGGTAGAGGCTCGCGATGGCACCGATCTTGATCATGACCGAGTCAAGCCATGTTCTCTCACCATGTCCCGCCGCCACATGATTGCCATTCCAGAGCGGCTGTTGATTGTTGTTGTCGCCGTCGCTGTGGGTGTGGCTTCCGTCAAAGAGGCGATCCATGTCCGAGTCGACAGTAAGGCCATAGCCCCCGCGAAGATGATCTGCTGGCCGCCACGCCCCTGTTCTCCTCCTCCTAGTCATCCTACTCCGCATCCTCACCATCCCGCCTCCGCCTCCTCCTTCAGCTCCAGTCGCAAAAGAAGTCAAGCCAACGCGAAAACGACACCACCCGGTTCCCGCACCAGTACTGGCACCACCAGACCCAACAGCAGCAGCAGCAGCAGCAGCAGCATCAAGCCTTAGCGGCCAGGGCAGCCATCTTCTTGCGGTAGATCTTGGCAATGACGTCCGGGTTGGGCCCAAAGGACCCAGCGGCCAGGACATCGCGCTTCTGCACGCGTACAAAGTGCACGCCGGGAGCGCGCTCGCGCACCGCCGCCGTGATGCGCTCGAACTCGTCCTCGGAGATGCCCGCCCCGCCGAAGAAGATGGCCACGGGCGCCCGCCGCTTGCTCGCCTCGGCCTCGGTGCTGTTGACCCCCACCCCCGACGACGGCGTCGTCTCAAGCTCGCCGGCGCAGATGGCGGGCAGCTCGCTCAGCGCGGAGTCGATGTCGAAGCAGGCGTGGACCACTAAGTGTTTGCGGTGGTTAGTCTATGTTTGTGTGTGGTTCATGGGTGTGTGTATTTGTGTATGTGTGTGCATATGTGCGTATATGTGTGGGGTGTACATGTGTGTAAGAGTATCATGGTGTTGTCTACATCAGCTCAAGCGGGTAGGTATGTGTGTGGGTTGGCATATGGGTCATATGATGCCAATATTTGTTGTGAGTAATAGCATGTTGGGTTATTGTGAGGAGCGACCATTGGAACTTTTGCAATACTCGCAAGAGAGAGAAGACCAGGTGGGAGGAGTGTTTGTTGACATGCGTAGATGTAGCACCATGTGACAGGACAGAAAGCGCAAACGTACCTTCGTAGTCGGGCAGAAGCTTCTCGTGAACAGACTGAGCAATCTTGGGGTCGCGGCCGTAGGTGGCAACTGGAGTGGGAGAGGTGGCGTCCATTTTGACTAGTGGTGGATAGTAGCGGTGGTGGTTTGGGTATATATACGTATAAGTCTGGAGGTATGTATAAATATAGACTGACCCAAAGATGTATGTCGACGGAGACGGTGGGGTGAAAGGGTAAGTGCTTACTGGTAACAGACACGGGACACAAAAGAGCCGGAGGGCTGAAAGGGTGGGGGGTGAAGAAGGAAGGGGCTCTTTGATGTTGGTGGAACGGGCAGTGAGGCAAACGCTAGCGTCTTGTTGGCTAGAAGTATGGAGTTTGTCGAGATCAGGCCAAAATGTCGTGTCTGGTAGCTTGAGATGCTCCCCTATCAAGCTAGCTATCGAGCAACATACTTATACCCCTTTCCTCGGGCAACGGTCTCTACGACTTGCCGATGTTCCCTATTGCTAGGCCTAGAGGATTGATGAAATTGGCCTATTGGACCCCCTTTTTCGGGGAGTCGTCATCCGAGAAAGAGACTTCGAGTCCGTCGAACTCTGTCGAGCTGTGCCTTCTTTTCCGAGATCGCCAGTTAGCATTGCCGACGCCAGAATACTTAATCACCGAAGCCATGCAGGGGGGAAAAGCCAGGTTGAAGCAAAAAGACTCGGCCCGGGTGAGAGAGGTGGCCCGTCTATTCTCCACGGTTGCTTGGCTTGGAGGTTTGCTAACCAGCAACGTCTTTCGGGTGCATCGCACGTATTCGTGTATTCATGCCACGCCTGCATCGGCCACGGCATGACGCAGCGAAGGCCGTCTTTACTTGCGCGACGCCGGCCGTGTAGGTTCATGCTTGTTTACCACCGCGGGGAAGAAGTTGTGGGGGAATCCCGTGGGCGTCCGATCACTCGGCTCAGCCCCTATCTCCCTCCCTTCTTGCCTATCATTTCATCCCCGTTGTGCTGTCCCGTGCAAATCATTGTCACTGCCCCGTGTAACAGGCCAGGCAGGCTCAGGCTGTGATACTCCGTATGTGTGAGTGCGCGCGCGCCCGTGTGTGCTTGCTTGCGAGAGAGCCACGCGTTGTCAGTCGTACATACGGATATCCACCGGAGCTGCAGCCGTCCCTCTCTGGGCGTCCAAAGTTAGGTTCCAGGCCCACAGCATGCAGCACAGCAAGGAAACGAGCAAAAGAGGGGGTCGTGTGTGTTCGTCGACACGAAACCTTGTGTTGCTGTGTTTTTTAATTCCGGTGTCAATGCAAAAAAAGCAAAACGGGCCAAGCAGGAGAGTTGAGGGTGAGGCGGGAAGGCCAGGCACTTTAACTTAGTTCTACAGCCGGGACGATCTGTGGGGAACCCGGACCTACCTCAGCTACAGAGGAGGTTGACATTCCTCACCTCTCCTCTCCTCAGCACCAAACTCTCTATGCCTTTTTTGCTTCGACCTTCTCGGCCAGCCCGCATCGTGCAACTGATGTGTCCACTGATGTGCGTGTAGCGTGTAGCTACTATCAGTAGCCATGCCCCGTCCTGAGCTGCGCCACGGATCGACCCGGTGTCCGGCTGGTACCCGGTCTCTCCTTCCTCGGGTCGGGTACCTAGGTGACCGTAAAACTTACCCGCGCTGCCTCTTTGCCAGTCTATTACCCGTACCCAATCCGTCATGTGCCCGTGGTCAACGGTCCAGAGCAAAGGGTGGGGGGAAAAGAAAAGAGAGGAGGGAAAGACCATTGGTGCAAACATTCTCTAGGTATGGAATACACACCCATCCAAGAGGGTGCCCCTTTTCTCTCTAGCTGTCGCTCTGCTTCCAAGCCCAACTGGGACGTATCAAGCCCGAATTCCAATCCACACGCCGCATTGTGTAGTTAGTAGTGGCATTTCCGTTGCCTTCGATATGCTTAACGTAGGGACATTGCTGTTCGACAAGGCTACCTGTGAGGCGTATTAGCTGTCGACTTCGAAGTCTGTGGATGCTCGTGCCTGCGCCGCTGCTTATTGAGGTGAAAATCGCCCCCATTTCTCTCAAAAATAGTTCTAATGTTCAAGCTACAATCTTCTTCGACAGCACTTGCGTCTCCAAATTCCGGGTTCGTTTGACGACGACGGGACTACCTATCGTTGTTTATCATACGTGGGCTCCTCACCAAGGGACTTCGGCTCAGACTGGTCTCGCCGACTACTTGATCTGTTCCTTGCCTCGGGAATATTACCAATGCGTCACTTGGGAAAGGAGCTGACGAGCATTAAGGCTAATATATATATTTCTGTAGAATGTCTTTGTACTATGACAGTCAATACTACTGGCCAGCTCTACCAGCCGCCATCACTCTACTAATGCTCCTTCGCATTGCTCTTGCAAGCCCCGATGCCAAGAAGTCGTTTTTCCACCAAAAAAATTGCTGCGACTATCCACCCAACACAAGACGAAATACAAACGAAAAACAAAATGGTAGTTCCCAAATAGTAGCCAACATCATGTCGAACACACCATTAAACCAGTATTTTTCCCCAGAATACCTCTCCAAGTTCGCCTTGACAATTATGAAAATGACCGCCTCCAGTGGCCGCAAAGATCCGAAGAAACCCTCGGAAATGGTGCGATGTAAAAGAAAACTCGTAAAAAGATACGACAAAAAAAAGAAAAGAGAAAACGAAGTTGCTCCAGTAAATATGCTCATAGCTCGCTACGCGAGATTATAGTTAGGACAAAGGAAAATACTCATGGACGAGGCTGTTAAAAGCCGCATGGAACTGGCTGGGTTGGAAAAAAGGAAGTCGGCGTGATACGTCGGAATTGGGTGACGTAGACTTTAGAGGAGTCAGGCGGCGGCGGGTTGAATATGAGGACCAACACCATCCTCTTTCCAAACTCCGCCACCAGTTCCACCATTACTACCTAGGTAGTGTATTAAAGTCGAGCTCGGTCCCCATTGAGTTTATCCTCACGGAGCCCATCGAGTTCAAATCCGAGTTGGCTCGTTGAATGGCGTGAAAATCTCCCACGGTCCGAATCTGTTGTGGGCCCATAGCAAAGCTGTTTGCGCGTTGCGGTTGAGGCCTTGCTATCATATTGTTACCGTTGACAGCCTGGCCCAACTGGCCCATGCCAGCGCCTATTTCACCACCTAGCCCTTGACCGAGACGCATTTGTGATGGAAGAGATATGTTCGGTGGAGGGCTGATATTTGCTCCGGTCAGGCCCTGCATCTGGGAACCGAGATTCTGAAACGGAGATATCGGTGCACGTTGTGGATGCTGCTGGTGCGAGTGCTGCACATGTGGTAGATGCTGAGTTTGCTGTGAATATTGCGAGTGATGTGGTTGCTGGCCATTTAGACCCCCATGCGTGCCTATAGGAGGCGGCGCGTGGCTCATTGGACTTATCACCATCTCGGGCATCGAGGTGTAGTCCGCTGGCAAGCCGTGCGTCGGATCGAGGCCAGGAGACATGATCGCAGGGGAGCTGGCAAACGGAGAGTTCATGTCGTTATTGCTGGGAGGGGCGCCACTTGAACTCCCAGAATCCGTGCTCATGTCTTCCATGCGCGAAACAGCGTACTTGTTGTCATAGTCGTCATTCGAGAAGACAGAAGGCCGTGCCATGCCAGCAGTTCCAAATCCATCAAAGATGTCAATGTCAATACTACAGGCTGTGCTCTCCGGTGCATTCTGGAGCATCGGGCTTGCCAGTCTTGGAAGGGCATCGTGGACCTTGCTGAGCAGCAATGGAAGGTAGGAATAGTCGCCGGTACGAAGGGTCGTGACGACAGCCATGATTTGGTGGAGGTGCTCGCGAGGCCCTACGTCGATAGAGACCCTCGAAGCTGGCTTCAGCGCCAAAACTTCGCTCAAAGAACAGGTGACGCTGAGGAGTTTCTCGACCAAGCTAAGACCGTGGAGGCCCAAGTTTCCTGGGAGGTGGGAAACCATAGGGAGCAAGTCGCGGGTGATGTCCATAGGGTATGGGTATGGAGCATCGTTTCCACTGCCGCTTGCTACGCTCAGCTGCCATGCTGTATTCTTGAGCCAGGCTTGGTTTATCTGCAGCTCCGATAGCTGTGCTTGTGCGTTGCTCGAATGTGCGGGCGTCTCTGGAAGCTGCTTCTGCAGAGCCGACAGGTATGAAGGAGAGCACTCCTTTCGTGTCTTATTCCAGAGTGGAACCAAGACTTCGTCGTATGGTCGGAATAGATTCACTTGACTGATAAAGTTGCCCAACTGGTGAGAAAGAGGGTCGGTATGATCGTCATCGGCGGTCGGAAGATTGATGTTTGCATCGAGGGTCAAGGGACGCTGGCGCTGCAAAGCGTAGGCTCTGAGAAATGACAGTCAGTATCCAGAAGCAAGGTGATGCAGGGTAAATGGGGGGTATAATAACTCACCTTTCCGTAACGAAAAGCAACCAGTACAGGCGCCTGCGTCTCGATTTCTCGATGGGGTCGTACTGCAGGTATGTGCCTTCGTCGTTCATTCCGATCATGTGCGCCAATGTCGTGGCCTCGCGCAGATGAAACCATGCTTTGTCGTGCAAGTCGAGACCGAAGAAGCACCCAAACAAGAAGTAGCTCGTGCACAGACTATTAAGAGTCGGGGAATCCAGGTAGTCGTAGCCCTTACGGACGCGAATTGTCTCCTCCATCAACAATGTGCTCGACACTATATTAGCTCCCATCTCGATGCTGTAGGGATCACCACCGGGTATTGACATGCCCGGCTGAAGCAGGACGAATGCACACAGCGACGTGAGGAGGCAGTAGGTATCGAGACTCTGGTCCATGTACATGGCCTGTTGCTCGAGGCGCTGGCGGTGCAGGATAGGCATCGTCGGATACATGTGGGCGAAGAAGAAGTCGACGCAGTCTTTGACCATGTCGCTCGCGAGCAGTCCCGGAGTGGGAGCCAGCGTCGGGCTGCAGGGAGGACTGCCGATGCCATTTATGCGGTTGTGCACCCGGTTTGAGAGGCTATTCTGGCCCTGTTTCTCGCGGAGTTCGCTGATGACCTTGGCGCGCGAGCCCTTGGGACCCTTCTTCTGGGGGATCGCATTGTAGGTGCAGGATAGTTGAGAGGCCGAGCAATTGCGGCACGGATTTATCCCGTCGCATTTAACTTTGCGGCGGTGACAGGCGTCGCACGCCCGCTTCACGGCCGTCGCCATATTTTCGACACCTTCACCGTCGTGACGGTGACCGTGGTACCCGTGGGCCGGTCAGACAGAAATATAGACGCAGACGCGGCGACAGCGAGCCAGTGTCACGACACCGACATCCACAGCCCTTTTAGACGAATACCCAACCGTCGGAATGGGTATGGGGCGACGATGCGCGATCGTGGAGACTCCAGAAAGTCAATTCAACGCAGTCTGGGGTTGAATCGGGCCGTTGCACAAGGTAGGCGTGGGGATGGCACTTCTCCGGACTTTGGGCCAGGTGCCGGTGGGCGAAAAACAGGCCGTCCCTCGTGAGAATCCACTACTGATGCTGCTGTTGCTGCTGCGATGCGACCGAGTACAATCCCCCGGCGTTTGCGACGCCTGATTCGATTCTGTACAGGACGTTGTCGTGAGGTGAGGTGTTTGCCGTCGTCCGACGAAAGCGCGAGACGGGACAATGCGATGAGCGGCAGGTGCAGCGAGAGAACAGTGGAAAAGGTCGCAGAAAAGGCGAGGATCAACTTGGGACTAGGCAAAGGCACGGGGAAATGAGGAGATGGGATGGGGGCGGGACCGGGCAAGTGGGCTGGGTGTTCGAAAAGGGAAGGAGAAACGGGCCCCCGTTTGCAGGGTTGATGGTTTCCACGAAGGGATTCGCTGGCAGCTGGCTGGGCTTGGCCTTGAGCGGACTTTAGTTGCGCGCCTTGGATAACGGGCCGGAGAGGCCAGCTTGAGAGCGCCAAATGTCTCTCGAACAGCTGAAAGCTCTTCGGGTTGCGCTCAACCAGCGTGATTTGGCGCCGTTATCCATATCATATCACCTGGCAGGCAGCTCTGGCATCAACGTCGCTGAGCCTGAGCCTTCCGGCGTATCTTTTGCGCATTCTTTTGCTTTCCAGGTACAACCGACCAGGCGGGCATCAGCGCATGATGGGTAATCTTGTCGCCCTCCCGCGGGCTGCGGCCACATTATTCGGTGCACACCCACCACACAGACGTCTATTACACAAACGCCGCAGACCGATAAAAGATGGCTGAGCAAAGCACCTCTGGGTGCCACCATTGGTCCTGCTGATCCAGCCCAGCGGCGACGGCCCTGGGGCTTCGTAAAGCTGACAGTTCCCCTTCTGGGGAACAAGTCCAGGAGGCCACGCGGATTTTTGTAATCGGAGAGCGCCATCTTGCTGTCTATATGGGACTCAATGGGCAAGACTCCCGCCCAGTTGGTCACTGTGGCATGACGGGCACAATATCATGAAAGCCCAGGTGTATTCAGCACCGCGTGCAACGCGCAGATCGACGTTGAGGCTCTTGAGACATCGCTGGGCCTAGACCAAAGGGTCGAAAAGTAATATTCTCGTTGCGGGTCAACATCGCCTTATTGGTTTCAGCTAAATGAAATGTGTTCACTCGTGTCCCAGCTCTCGCTACTCTGGTATTGACTACGAAAATTTCAGGGCAAAAGGGTTCTGTTAGTCAACACCTGCAGCTTTGTGTTACCTGCCCTCGCGAGCTAAGCCTCTGAGGCAAGCAAATACCTACCTCAGGTATGTATGTACATACAGTACTGTTCCGGAGAACATTACTAACTTCATCTGTACCCAATGAGCATACAACACATCGTACGGACACCTAGGTAGACGGGCAGTTGGTCAGTAGAAAAACTGTCATGACTTGTCCACCGTTTAAACCCCGAATTTCGGACTGGGCAGTCAGCTTCACAAAGGAGCAACCCAATCATGGGACGCATGAGGCCATTTTTGGTCCAGTCCTGCTGCCGAACCTGCCTCGTCGCATTGTCCCACAAGAAATCTCCAAAATCCACATCCGATCATGCGAGACACAATTGAGTTCGTCTCAGGAAACGAACCCAAACATGAGCTGAACCTTGCCAGCTAGGTATTGTCTTGGCTACCTAAATTTATCAAGTTATTTTCGTAGTTTGTTTCCCTATCAGTACCATCCCTGTGAGCAGTAGCTTGCTCTGTTTCTTGCCGTCTTAGGTGGTCGGGTAGGTTGGCAGGTGAGAAACCAAACGCTGCACCGAGCATCATGCAAGCAAATCCGCCAGTGCGGCAGATTCTGCTCCTTGAAATACTTCGGCACGCCTAGCGGCGGCTTGGCTTAGCTCAGCTCACCCCCACCCACCCAAGTCCCAGAACCCGACTTGCGTTTGGTTGACCTCACAGGAATGTCCCACCGGTTTTGTGAGTTTTCAGTCGACCGCAATTGAGTTTGGGCACACATAAGGCCATCCGAATTGACGGGTCGAGCCAGGAGCAATAAACTCAAAGTCAAGCCCGGCAACATCCTGAGAACGTGGTAGGTATCACTCCCCCATCTTTCTCCCTTGGAACGTAGCAGGTCATCGGGTTGTCGCGGCGGTGTGGCCTGAGCTGCCACGACCCCTCTCGGAGGTGAAAGGCAAAGCCGCCGCCACCTCGTCACGGCCCTCAAAATCTTCGCATGGAGATTCTTGACACTGGCAGGCGATGCGAGCCGGCCGTCTGCCGTCTGCCGTCCACCGTCTACTATCCTCCTCCGTTTTTGTGATCAGACGGACCCAAAAATACCCAAAGCAAAACGCCGCCGCAACTTCATAGGCGGAAAGCTGGGGTTAACCCGGTTCGCTTGGAATGCGGAGTGGACGAGCCAGGGCTCCCAATGGACGCCATCCTGTCTCAGACCCCTAACTCTCTCCCCACAGTCGGTCCGAAAAGGCTGTTCGCCGTATCCCATTTCTTCGCCGTTGCCGTTTTCTCTCCGCTCTTTAACAAAGCTCGCTCATTCCATTACGATAGAAACACAATACTCTGGCGCGCTCTAATTCCCGGGTTGCTGCGTGAACCCATCTTTTCACGACAGTGTATTTTCTTTCACCCCCTTTGCGCAGCCGCAACATCGTGGGAACTGAACTTGGCCGCTCAGCATGGTCCCGGTCCACATTTCCCTTCCGTTTCGGCCTTTTCATCCATAACCCTGACCCATTTCTGATCAATCGTATCAATATCATCTCATGGCACGGCCGGGCCAAAAGTCTACACTCTCTTGTACTTAACAATGGAACCTGCCCTTACAGAGTACATAGTATGGACGTAAGAACATTCCAGGTTGCTTGTAAACATAGACGCACTCACTAGAATTTTAGGTTCTCAGTGCTATCTCTAGCGCTCAGGTCCCTCCGCGTTAGTGCCTTGGTCCTTAGCAACTGTATCCATGGATGTAGTCGCGCATCGTACAGTATCCGTAGTAGCAGCACAAAAGGACCAGACGGAAGCCAAACTACGTCGCTACCAGGTAGCTAGCCCCCGCTAATGTATTTGTGCCAAAACTGGGGGGGAAAAACGCCCTGTTGGTTGAGTCTGGAGCAATCCTGCTTCCCTAGCAAGCAGCTTTGCTTTGCGAGAGTGAGATTTGTGAGTCCTTGGACAACACAGCTCTTGAAAGGGTTTGTAGGGGGGGTGGGGAAAGGTAGGAATCGAATCATCGAACAAACAGACTATCAGATGGGACAGGGTCGTTAGGGTGGATGTCTAGGAACCACAACTGCGTGATAGTGACGGCCCACATATTCTGCGCATCCACAACGGCATCGGCACCCCACAAAGATCAAGTCAGCTTAGACAAGGTTTAAAAGAAAAATCCGGGGGAAGGTTCGAATGTAGAAGTATTGGCCTAGCCTCGGAAATAAAATAACGAGAGCATGACATGGACTAACACTCCTTCCACTTATTGCCCTCGTCGACTGCCAGACATCATTCGATATCAGCTATCGTTTCCCTTATTTACCTTTAGTGTCTTCTGAATAGGAATGTTCGCGAGACTGGCGGCAGTACCTCACTAAGATGCACGAGAAATAAGAAACTAAGGTTGCGGATAATGCCTACCAAAAATTAAGTCAGGTCTGTCTGGAAATCGTCAACATAGATAGCTTGGTATCTAGTCCTCCTGGCCTTGGCCCAAAAATGGCTGCAATCGCTGCGAGATCTCTTCCCACGACTCTATGCTATCTGCTAGGTTCTTCACTGCTTGAACCACCTCGTCTTCCGAACCTCGAAGCTAGTCATGCTGTCCCGCTCCTTGAGGGTGATGGAACCATCTGCCAGTGTGTCAAAGTCAATAGTGATGCCCAGCGGCGTGCCCAGCTCGTCATTTCGTGCATATCTCTTGCCGATAGATGCACTAGACGAATCAAGGTTCCTGGAGGTTGATCCCCAAGGAACGCAGCCGAGCAGAGAGTTTGCGGACAAGGGGCATGAATTGGGGTTGAGCGGAGAGAGGAACAATCAGCACTTCTATTGGTGCCACAGAAAGGGGCAATGATAATACCGAAAAGAATCTGTCAGTAAAGGTAGCCTCACACAAAAGTCCGACGTAGCGTACTGCTCTTGCAGCATCGTGGGGCCGATGCCAATAAACCTGTTCAAGGAGACTGTACAGAATCCGGCCAATACCGAATGATGGTTCAATGACATTCGGGGTGTATTTGCGCGTGTTCGAAGTACGAGTCACTTTGGAGATAGCCAGAAGATTGCTCGAGAGCTCCACGGAAGTGCTGCCGTCAGACAAGACGGGCGTATTGATGGTCACAGCCCCGGTTTCTCTGAGCTGAGTGGCTAACTGCTCAAGGGAGGCTGATCGAGACCCTCAACGCTTGTTTGCATGGCCTTCGCATCGCGCTTGAAACGTGGGTCGACAAGCTTCTTGTCCAATGCCGCCTCCTATTCCTTCACCTTGACAGGCTCGGACAGGGCTTGTTCAACGACCAAAGGAGTGCCCGTGTACTTTGAGTGTACTGCCAAGTCGTATGCGCTCCGATCAGCACATCCAACGCACTCGATCCAGCCGTAGCTCGTCAGGAGCTCGGCATCCCAGCAGTCACATGCATAGTGCGCCATTTCATTGTCCATATGCTGCCTAAACCGAACTTTTAAGGGGTCGATTCCGATCTTGAGGAGAAACAGCATGACTCTTCCCAGGAAGTAGCCCAGGGTTTCGTTGTCAACCACCTTGGATTTGACCACTTCTCCTACGGTCAGCGTCTGAGGCGTCGTGTTTCCAGCAAGCTGCTTCTCCTTATCAAGGAGAGGCAACTTGACGTTGCAGACTTCGGAAAACCGGGCGTGCTGCTTGTTTTCGGGTTCGACAAAATGCTCTATCTCAGCCACCAGGAACTCCCTGACTTGGAGAAGCCCAGACCTGGGCGAGATCTCGTTTTTATAGGCCTTTCCAACGCTGGTAGACGCGAACAGCATCGAGCCCTGGTTTAGTCGAGGAGCTTTTTGAAGTTCAAGAACTGACTCTGGGCCGTCTCGGGACGGAGGCAGATAGGTGTAGCTGAACTAGGGCCAATCGTAGATTTAAACATCAAGTTGAAAGGGATTGGCGGGTTGGCCTCGCCGTTGCCGTCTGGATTTCGAATATCGAGCCGTGTGATCAACTCACCAAGTTGGGGGCCATCGTAATTGCCAATCTGCAATACGCCAAATTGTGGAGTTATTCACTAGATACAAAATGGTAGAAGGAGCAGGCAGACAGAACTAGACAAACCAACACTGACCTTGGCAAGGATGTCATTATATTCGGAAATGGCTGCATCACCCAACTTGGGAGAGTCCTTGGAAGGCCCGTTTAGCCCCCACGAGAGTCGCGATTCCAGGACATTCTCAACGAGGTGATCGGCTCTTAGGTATTCACCCTTGGCGGGGCCCTTGCACATCAAGTCGGCGAACTTGTCGACATGACCACTTGTCTTGAGGACAAACTCGGGTGTTAGTACGCTGCAGTCTAGCTCCAGAAAGTTTTCCTCGAGAACAAAGTGCTTCCTCCAGGCATCGACAATATTTGTCTGCAAGGCAGTTCCAAGCAGTCCGTAGTCGTAGAGACCACGGTTGTCGCCCTTGAAGTTGGGCGAAAGACGGTAGATCTCGAAGACCTCGCTGAAGAAGAGCCGTGGTTTCAAGACTGCTTCAAGCAGCGACCTGTCGAGTCTACTACCGTTCAAGGTCGTCATAGAAGCCATGATCAAGGCGTAGTAGAATGGAACAAGGCAGGAACGCAGGGTGCTGATTAGCGCCGGAAATATCCGAAGAGCTCCAAGTTGAGGCGGGGTTACAGGAGCTAGGACGTACCAAAGGAGGTGGAGATCGGGGAAGTGGGCGGCTCTAAAACCATCCCCGCAACGGAAGACATGGAAGCGTTAGGGACTCGGTTAGCTAAGCAGCCCAACTGACGATTATGTAAGGAGGTACCTACTCAGTACCAAGCCACTAACGCGGAGGTATCCGAGCGCTAGAATATAGCAGTGAGCCCCTGGAATTCTACACGTGTGGTGAGCAGGCAGTATTTTCAGGCTCCCATGTCCTTACGTCCTCCGCAAGGGCAGTACAAGAGACCTCAAGAGGGTGTTTTTCATCCCTTCCACAAAGACTTTGGGAGGGGCTAACTAGTTTGGCTTCCGTTTGTGCTGGCTACTACTGCACGATGCACGATGCCCAACTAGCTCTGGGGCGTTTCTTGTCGGGCCGATGATGTTTGGGGTTTTGTGTGCGGGGAGTCTTCTCACCTCCAGCTTCCAGGTTTTTTGTTTTCTCCGCACATTCAAGTTAGCATGGAAGTTAGTCACCCTGTAGGTCCCGCAAGAGCATCCCATGTCTTTGCGCTCGCCCACACACACAACACATGGCTGCCCGCGCGTGTTTCTTGGGAAGAAGCGGGGGAAAACGTCTGGAAGGGCTCCACGTCTACATCAACGACCGGAATGGGGATATGTTGTCGCGAGCCCCAAGCGGGGGGGCTGTTTCCCTTCTTTACACACACCTCCGCGCGCTTGCACCGCTACGCGCATGGCCAAGTCGGTCCTTTGCTGCTCGGTTGGGGGGTGGGAGCATGAAGAAGCTCGGATGCCGGCTTGAGGGGGGTCTCAACCCGATTTCGCACTAGGTCTGGAGCGATCATCGCTTCTCCTGCCTGGGCTGGGCTGACTTGCACGTGTATGGATGTACTGTACCTCAACCACGATGGCCTGCCCGAGACAACGCGTCGTTTCGTGGTTGCACATGCTGTCGGGTGCTCAGATCGACAAGGCAAACTCCTCGCTTGCACAGAGGAAGATCCCCGGCTGTAGATCAAGGGGCATCGAGTCTCAGAGAACCCGGGGATTCGTCAACAACCTCCTCGAGACTCTGATAATAACCGAAACGGAGCAGCCTGGTCGCGTTGGATAGGGGCTCCTACGCCAGTCTAGGGGCAGCATTGTTCTCCTGTTCCTGTTGGGTGTGATCCTCCAAAAATCAAGATGGTAAATTAGAAAGCTAGTACAATAATCAATAATATATGGATAACGAAGCAAACCACCTTTCCCCCGTAAGAAACAGCCCGTGCATTATAACTCGTCTTCCCTAGGTATCTTGGGGAGGTACTTGACCCAGGGCGCGCAGTTACCCGCATTACCCTCTCTCCCGAGGTCCTGGGCTGGCACAAATTCTCCGCTCTGCAGGCTCCCCTTGACGAAATAGACGTACCACGCCTCATGCAAGACATCTCTCCGCCCAGTGCACCGGAGCACCACCCTGCCGCCGCTGAACTTCTCCAGCGCGGTCTGGATATCTACTAAAGGGTAGTGCCGGCGACTATGCGGCACAATGCCGGCCCTTTCTAGCGCGGAGTACGTGTCCAGCATGCGGAATAGAGCCGAGGCACGCGTGAAGTAGTCAACGACCTCCATCCCTGGGGTATGCAGCTCGCCGTAGCATGCAGGCGCAAGTGTGTTGATACAGGTGGCGTGTTTATTGAACTCGTGCTGCCAGAGCCGCGAGTTTGACCCACTGCAACCAAAAACTCTAGTGTTAGCCCTATTCAACGAGAAGATATATCTCAACGTCCCCTCTCCATATCAGAGGCTATTCCACCATTGCCGAAAATGACCCAGGGGGGGGGGAGATGAGCACGTACGACGCAGCAAGCCAGAACCGGTTCATGAACTCAATGAGGTCGTCTTGCCCGTAGTGCTCGAGCACGGCCGTGATGTTGTTGAACTGTGGTGTCATATGGCAGAACTGGTCGTAGGTACCGTCGCAGAGATCGGGCCTAGTGTTGATACACCCCCAGGGGTTGTTCGTCAGCACGGATCTTTTGTTTCCTATTTCCTGTTCCTGGCCAACTCCCCACGACTGTCCCCTGAACCTGCCAACCGTTACCGCCACTTCATAGCGGCAGTAATAATGTAGCAGACACAAGTCTCTTGTCATGCGTCGGAGATGAGGTCCCAAGCCAAAAAATAATCCAGTGTACCCACCATAGCCCATGCAGTGTCCAGTCCGTCTCAGCGCCGCCAGCGTGCGTCTTTTGGTCCCAGAACTGCGTCAACAGCATGCGCCCGCCGGGGTAGACGAAGCAGCACGAGTCGTCCGCGATGGGGGTGCTGTTGTGGCAGCTCATCGGGCCGTCGAGGGGGCATGACGGCGCGCCGCTGAGGGGGTAGTAGGGTTGAACATCGCTAGGCGGTAGCGGCGCGCTGGTGCTGTCGACGAGTGCGGCTGGGATCTGCGACAGCAGGTTGCTGGCGTACGAGAACAGCCCGCGCAGCGACAAGGCCTGCGTCATCGTTTCGTTGTATTCCTAGTCGCAGCGCTCAATCGGTGCAAGGACGGCAGTGCGGTAGTTTAGATCCTGATGCAGCGCACGAGGATGGGATGGAAATCGGGGAGCTCGTGGTTGTTGAGGAGAGCTGGTGCCCTCTGAACGGATAAGCCTCGATAAGGCAACCGATTGTCTGTCTCCACTAACCCCCTGCTTAAGGCTGAGACTGGCGCTGCCTGGGGATCCTGGTTGGCTGGATCTGGGGAAGCTTGGAGCACGGGACCCCGGTTTTCCCAAACGCTAAGCAGCCTCGCCAGGAACCAACCGCTGCAAACTACGAGGTTACACCCATGACATGAGTCAAAAATTGAAGGCTGACTGCGAAAAAGAAACTCTAAAATAGTTGATCCAAATGCTGAGATAAACTTGATGCCATGCTCTATTTCCTTTCCTAGAAGCAGGCAGCGAAGCAAAGCGCAAGCAGTAACTAAACAGTGCACCAAACCCCGCCAAACATCTGTGGTTTCAGCGCTGCATCGTACAGTTTTGGAGAGGACCAACCTCAACGATATGGAAATTTGAGCTCTACTATTAGAGTGGAGGCGATGATACAACATGCCACTCCATAAAAAGGCCACTCCATCAATCCTGTCTTGCTATAGATTTTCTCTTCTAGCAGTAGAGGGAGGCAAAGGACCATGGCCCCTTGAAAGCAAGCCGCAGTTACTCAACCCGACAAACCAGGCCCGAAGGATACCTCACCGTCCAACATATATCCCATAGGCAGGTAGACAAAGCCACCATGGCGCCGGGCCCCGTTCGCGGCTCGTTTTCGGAGCCGCTGGTCGTGGAGCCTCTGCTAGGATCGCCACACAAGCAGACCTTCATCCTGCTCCACGGGCGCGGCTCTAGCGCGGCCAAATTTGGACCAACGCTGCAGCAGACGCCTTTCCTGCTCCCTTTGCCTCTGCCCGAGAACGGACAACAACAGCCCAGCAGCGGCAGCGGCAGCGGCAGCGGCAGCGGCAGCAAGTGTGACGCAGAAGACGGCGCCGGCCAACACAGAGACATCACGATCCTGGCGGCAGCCTTTCCGCACGCGCGCTTCGTCTTCCCCACGGCGCCCCGAGGCCGCGCCACGATCTACAAGCGCAGCCTCGTGCGGCAGTGGTTTGACAGCTGGCACGTAGACTCGCCGCGGCCGTGCACGAGGGGATGACGGTCGGCGGGCTGCAGCAGACGGTCGGCTACCTGCACGGGCTGGTGCGGCGGGAGATGGCTTTGGTGGGCGGCGCGCAGAACGTGGTGCTCGTGGGACTGAGTCAGGGGTGTGTGGCCAGCCTGGTGGCGCTGCTGCTGTGGGACGGGGAGCCGCTGGCCGCCGCGGTCGGCATGTGCGGCTGGCTGCCGTTCGTGTCGCATCTTCTGAGCCCACAGGACGCAGAGAGGTCTGGTGTGGGCCCCGGGGAGGGAGTGGCTACAGACTGTAGTGATGACGATGAGGAGGAGCAAGAATTGGAGACGGGAGAGTCTGGGGGTGGTAGGGTTGATGAATATGATGAACGCAACAATGACGATAACACTGACGAGAAAGATGAAGATGAGGAGGACGAGGAGGATGACGAGGACGACGAGGACGACGATGACGAAGATGGAAGACATGAGGATCATGGGGCTTGCTGGGAAGACGACTTTGATCCATTTGCCCACTCCGACAATGAAGGCGGTTTATCCATGCCGCCTGCAAAGGTGTTAGACCCAGCAATAGCAGCCGTCCGGACTCTTCAAGAGAAGTTGGAGCTTGGTGGCCAAATTCCAGAACGCCGTCCACGGTCCTTTGATACTCCGCTGTTCCTTGGACACGGCGACAAGGACGAGAAAGTTCATGTGAGTCTTGGCCGAGGCGCGGCAGAATGCCTGAACGGGTTGGGACTTGATGCGGCATGGAATGAGTACAGGGGTCTCGGACACTGGTACTCTGATGCGATGCTTGCAGATCTGGTCTGCTTCCTGAAGAACAAATCTCGTTGGGAAGAAGGTGAAAAAAAGCAGCCTTGATGGCATTACTCGATTAGTGCATTACAGGAGATACTAAATACTTTGATGCTCTTTCGTCCGCCGCCTTTTGTCTCCCTGGTCCTTCCCTCCATGGTAGACCCGGCCTCTTCACATACAGCCATGAGTGCGAGGAAATCCGAATGCAAATACCCATCGAGGACGCCTCCCTTTTACAAGCCACAGCTGCTGAGAGGCACCTCGGTGACAATGGCATCGACGCGGCCCAGAGCCCACGCCCGCCCGCTCGTCAGGTCATTCATGGCGTCGAAGCCAATGTTCAGCCCCTGGGTCGTGAAGTCAATGGCCAGGATGTAGATTGTCTTGCCCCGGTACGTCGCCTGCCAGCAAGTACCGCAGTTGGTCGAATTCCACTCGCTGATTGTCTGGACACCACCAATGTATGGGAAGCTGGGCACATCAGCTTGTGTCTCCCACCCGTACTTCCACATGACGCCGTTCTCGCCGTCCGAGCACATCAGCTCCTCGAGCGTCCGGTTGGCCTCGTCGTAACCCGCATCGTAAGTGACTTTAAATAGCAGACACCAAAAGTTAGCACACTTTGTTCTTGCAGGTAGTGGCCTTGCACAGCTAGGTAGCTATGCAACGTACTGGTGATGGCGGATACTGCAGAAGCAAGAGAGCAAATTCCGGCGGAGATCTTGGAGAAAAGCATGGTAACTGGTGGGCGTCTGTGTGTGCTGGTGATTGTATGGTCTTTGCTTGGTATGGTTGAGGAAGATGACGCGTCGGACGTGACTGTTGTTTGGCTGAGAGCTCCTGAATATGAGTACTTTGACGATGATGAATGTTGATACGAGCAAGACAGTAAGTATGGGATTAGCTTGTGGTTGTTGGTTGTGCAAAGAACGGAAGAGAAAATTTGAGAAGAGTCGGGTCAAAGGCACGCCATTTTATCCCCAAAGTTTTCCGCTCTCTCCTTCTTGCTCTTTTTGCTGTGTTCTTGGGGCATCCTTCTTCTTTCGGAATTGCTTGCCACACTGGCCCCTTCCGACCTACCAAGGAATTTGAAGCTAGAAGGAAAGAGCGCTCGTCATACACTGCCCGATCGGCAAGTGATATCTTTTTAGGCTCTGCAAGAAAGTGAAGGTCAAGCAGTTCCTTCGTTGTGCCTTCTCCTAGTGCTTCTTGACATTTAAGACAGCGGCATCCGACAAGTTGAGAGCCAGAATTACAATCACTGTCAAGTTCTGCTTGACATCTAGCACAGCCCCTATTCACGCTCTAGGCATCGAAAGACGCCGCCAATAAAACTTCCTGATTCAACCAACCTCGGCCGTGAGCCCAAGCGCTGAAGTCATCAAACTCATATGACAAGAAAATAAGATGAGAGAATACGGAACAAGGAGGCGGCCTCAATCCCAGAACACACTACAGTCTCCGAAGACTTTGAGTCAGTTATTCATGCTCATAATAATCCAAGCTGGCTTGCGCAAAAGGCAAGTCTCAACAATGCATGGCACGATTATGAGATAGTCATTATCCAGGTGAGCGTCTTTTGAAACCACGACAAATAATATTGCACTTTGAATGAACTGTCGGCAGTAGAAACACACAAATCAACTCATACGCACAGTATCACACATTATCCAGCGATCTAGCTTGCCTTGAGGAGCCCATCACCTTCTCATTCCGCCTGAAATGGGAATTCTGCTCAAGAGAAAACACTCAAGTGCAGTTGACAGGGCCAAAGAGACCACTCCATGTGCACGGCTAACCAACACGTAAAATATTAGCCACGACATCTCACCACAAACAAAGATCAGCGACAGAGAGAGCAACATACATTCCCAGTAGCAGTGCAGTTGTGCCCGGGGAAGATGGGCCCGATCCCGCCGCCATATGCGCAGTTGACCTGCAAGCCGGCAAGCCCCGCCGGCGTCACGATGGTGCACTGGTTTGTCACGGTGCTACACGTCCCTTGAGCCGGGGCAGTCTGGCGCGAGTCGATTGCCGCCGCTGACACGGGGGCCGGGGCTCCCATCGCGAGTCCCAGCAGGAGAGAGGAGGCGAGGATGAAGAGCTGCATTTTTGCTTTTGTGCGTTTGGATGGGTGCGAGACTGGTATAGTGCGGACGGTATTTGAGAGCTCACACCGGAAGAGACGAAATTGAGATGGAGAAATGGAAGTTTGGCCAATAAATATACCTGTTCTATGTGACACAGATGCTCTCACGTACTGTGGCCGACACCCTTAGCCCGCAGTGGCATGTCGTAACTGCCTGCACTCGACCTAATTAGAAATCGACTCGTCACCTAGAGAGGCACAGATATGTTGACTTGGCCGAAACAAACTTACGATGTGACCTATGGGATGAACGGTGAGTGGGGAGGTAAGCTTACTTGCGTCAACACTTGGTGTGTTTCCTGGACCTGAGTAAGCAGATTCCAATACTTACGTTTGTGAGTGACATTGGGGAGGCTAATAATCCGGATTGGCTGGAATTGCCATGCCCTCTCCTGTCTCTAACTGAGCAAGAGGGTAAATACCGCATAGACGGTGCTCTGATGCTACTCGCAAATAGTCAGATAATCAAATATTGATTTCATAATTTCTCTCACCCTCCTTTGTTTTTATATACAGCCAGTCTCCAGAAACCTGTTACCGTAGTTATATACAAGACACTGTGTGACTCCGATGCCATGCCGTTGCCCTAATTGTTTGGAGCGATCCTGTAAACCCATTACCTGTACCTTTATCCCAAAACCATTAATTATACAAGATTATCGGATGGAAATATCTGCACTCTCTCTCCTTCATCGTCAGTCCTTGTGTTGACTCCGCCGATACTGAGGCTCGGAGGTCGGCATCTCAACCGGCCCCACCCAGCCGTTACCCGTCTCTGTCATCGGGGACACCACCGAGTAGTCGGCTCCGGCACTGCTGGCGGCGGCGGTACTGCCATTCAGCATCGTGCTGGTCGGGGTGGATGCAGCGTCGTAGTGGACCGTGACATATCCTTTCGGAATGACCGACCTGGTGGCGGCGAGCTCAGCCCGGCCCCGCGCCGAGTCTTTTCCAGGACTACCCCAGAGTTCCTTGTGGTCCATCTCTTGCGGAAGCTCAACAAAGTCGGTGGGTTGGGTGTTGTCGCCGCGGGGTGTCACGTGCATCCGCGGCCACTTTGATGACCGGCCAGGCGGCGGCTCGTACACTACAGGAGCCGCGAGCTGACGTTCGGCTGCGCGCTGGCCCTGCCGGTAGATCATGCTGCCCAGGAGGCCGAGGAGCACGACACCGGCTACCGCCGCACCGGCACCGATGCCGCCCCTCGCGGCGGCGCTGAGTCCATCCGTGCTGCTTGCCTCGCTGGAGCTGGGCTGCGCCGCGTTGCCGTCCGAGCCGAGGGCGCTGGTGCTGGTGGGTTCGACGCTCTGAGAGGGCCTGGTCCCGGTGACTACCAAGGTAGAAGCGGGATCTTCTGGTGAAGCAGTGGAAGGGCCGGTGGGAGTAGAAGCCGAGGTGGATGATGATGTTTGCTGAGAAGCTGTTGAGGATGACGGCGGCAGTATGTCGTCAGCCGGCACAGGGTACTGAAATCGCGGCGTATAGTCTGGATTGCTGACGCCATCCTCGATCTGAATCTCGTAGAAGTCTGTGGGCAAGTCCGAGGGCGGGTTGAAGACGAAGCTGTCGGGCGGGGGGCCGGCATAGCCGGTGACGACGACGAGGACGCGTTGCAGGTTCTCATCAAGGCCATTCATGAGGGTGATGTTGACGGGACCTCGGTTGCCCGTCCATTTGAGGGGGATCGGCTTGCCCCTCGGCGTCTCGTAGTTGCCGTTGAGGAAGACAAGCTGCTGCTGGGCACGAGCGGCTGTCGGGAAGAAGGCTACCAGAAGCGTCAAGACCAGCACAACTGGCAGCGCCGTTGCCATTCGCATCGTCATCATGGCAGCTGCTGAGGCTGCTGACGTCGCTGGCACGGACTTGGCCCGGCAACGCAAGGACATGGTCGCGAGGTTAAAGCCCACCATCCAAGGTAAGAAGTTCCGTGAGGATTGTGCAAGGGCAACCTAGCGGGCCAAAAGAGGCAAGGTGCGATGTGAAGTGAGAAGTTAGAGATCGGGCACGGCAGACGTCGTTGGTCCTGGGCCGCCAGCTGCAAGCATCAAGACCCTCCTGATCGATCGTAAGGGAGAAAAAAAGGAATCAGGCCCCAGCAGGCGAGAACCATCCTCCCGGCTTGGGTCCCGCGCCTCAGCTGGGGCGTTGCCAATGTGCCAATGGCAGACAGCAATTTCGTTCAGGGGCCGACATTGTATGTGAAGCCCGCGCCGCACGCTAGCCGAGTCTTGATCGTGGGTCAGCAGCGGAGCAGTGAGCACTAGGCGATAAAGGGGAAGACGGCCGGATAGCCTTGCCAAGCTCGCGCCCATTGCAGGGGCTTGGCTCTGCATCCCGATAAGGAAGGATCACTAACGGTGCAGGGAAGGGCAACCGACCTAAAGTCTATTCTTGCCTCGAATTTAGCTTCAAAACCTCTGCTGTTCACGATACTCCATAGTCCCCTTAGCGAAGCGCCGCCCCTCTTTTTATGGGCTGCATCTTCGGCGAATAAACTCCTTCAGAGGCTACGAACGTAAGGTAAATGGCGAAGACAAGACACTAACCTATCCTCTTGTTTCACCAAGGAAGCGAAAAGCCCAATCGCTGTGAGGCTAGAATAGCCACGAGGTTGCCAAGCAAGCATGTTGCAATAGATTGCCTGCTCTTGCAGCACGCTAACTCTTGAAATTGGAGCACTTCCTCGTCGTTGAGGTCGAGGACAAAAGAGTGTTGCGCGCGTTATCGTCGTCTCGTGCTCGCTCGTGGGGTCGTCCCTTCCGGACTGAAACAAGAAGCTTTGATGGCAGAAAACAATGGGAAAAGGGACTCGGACAGGATGCCACTGGCCAGTCTGCATGTAGGTTCTGCCGGTGGCAATGAGTCCCATGGCGGGGCTGCTAGCTTGTTCATTTTAGCTCATTCTGTCAAGTGCCTTTACTTGTGCGTTTTTGAAGAGGCAGGAATGCCAGTGGGAACAAGAATTTCCAGGACGGTGACGTATCCTCAGCTTCTGGACCCCTTCGCTTTCTAGAGCAGGGCCTGAGAGCGCCACTTGACGGGCGTGATCTGAGTCTGGGTTGTCCCATTCAAGCAAAGCCCAAAATGGATAAATAAATACTAGAAGATGATAAAAAAATCATTCAGTTATTGTGGCATGAATGTGGCGATGTGAGGCTTGAGTGGCGATACTGGCTGGCAACTTACACTCATTACCTTGTTTACCGGAGGCCCAGTCTACAGACCAGAGTTTAATCATCACGGACATTGGCTAGCTGTCACGCGCATTCACAGGGCAACGGAAATGAAGCATTTGATGCAGGGAGGTAAGGCTTGAATTGTCTGAAAAGGTCTAATCTCTTATTTCCTTTGGCAGGGCCAAAAGTCTCTTCTTTATAGTTATGAATAGTGGCAAAAGCTGGTGGCGAAGAATCACATAGCAGCTTCTAGATCTTTCTTGCTCGCTAATTCCAATATTGTGACACCAGCCTAATTGCTGTCCCTGTTTCAGCACGAATGTTCCATTTTCACGTCAGATAATCATAGGCGGAAGATTGATTAGTTTAACTCCCTCACCTTAGGTAATTGGAAAGACTGAAGACATCTGACATGATAATGCACCGGTTCAATATTGAGATTAAATCGTTTCATCCTAAAAACCCGATTGATAACTAACGCATCGACGGGGAATATTCTCCATGGGTACGTTTCATCAGCACGGTAAAGCTGTTTGATGGCAGTCCGATAATGGAAGTTGAACAAGTCTGAATGTCCAGCTAGCGGAGACGGTTTCTGGAGGTCTGAAAGCGTGAGGTTCGCTCGGCTTTGAACCAGTTGACTGTGTGGAGCATTATCTGGATGAAATTTCTTACCCGGTCTTGCGCTTGGACGTTTTCACGTCAAATGCTTTGGGGCGGGACACGTCACCAGGCCCAGTGTCAAGGTGAAGTCTATGTAAACATGAGGTTCGCTATATTGAAAACGCTATTCTCCTTAGTTTGGGCGAAAGCCGGAATCATCCATCGCTTATTGAGGTCTACTCATGCAATTATACCGCTGTATTCCGGGTACCCAGAGGAAACAAAACCAGCCCTGACCGCCTCGAGGACACGGGAATGGATCGTTGCTAGCGCAGCGATCAGGCCGAAATTCTCTGTCAGATCCCGACCGGCCGTCAGGACTATCGCCTTTCCATTCAAATCCGTAACCTTGCCTCCCGTCTCTTCAAAGACCATCATACCTCCAGCATGGTCCCAGGAGTGAGCTGGAGCATTGTTTGGCAGCGGTGTGCGTAAAACAACGTCACTGAAGCCGAGAGCCAGAGAAATGTACCGCAGTTGGGTGCTGTAGATGTGGATTGGATCCCAAGGTGCACCTAACTCGGCTGCAATCTTGTGTCGATTTGCAAACTGCGGTGAGGTGGTCTTGGTATTTTCGCAGAACCGCAGCTGGCCCAAGTCGTTGACAGCATCACGTTGCCCCAGCGGCTTTGGCTCGAGGAGTTTGCCTTCCGACAATGGCCTGATTTGAGCGCCCTCGCCTCTGACTGCTGAGACCAGATAGCCGGGGCCACCGGTAAATGTGTCGCTCTCAGAAATCCTGCCGGAGTCTAGAGTGACGTGGGGGCAACCGAAAGCCGCCACCTTCTCATGTCCGTCCACTAGAAAAACTAAGCATACGACATACTGTCCCTGGTTTAAGAAGCCCTTGGTCCCATCGACAGGATCAATCATCCACACACGGCCTTCGGGGCCCCTGTAGGGCTTGGCGCCCGCGTCGATGCATACAAGCATCTGGGTGATAGACTGGGGGGGGGGGGCGCAACAGAGCTTCGGCATCGGGATCATCGAGATGGGTCTCGTCGACCAAGTCCCAGATTTTGAGTACGAGCTCGGGCTTCGTGCGCAACAGAGATGTATCCTCCTCTCCGACAATCTTGTCGTACGGAAAGCTGTGCTTTATTGCTGCAACGAGGAGAGCCTGTGCGGCAAAATCGGCCAAGGAGACGGGTGTCTTGTCACTTTTTGCGATAAGCATTTTCCTTTGCCGCTCAAAGGTCATATAGACTGGGTATACGGTGTTGCGTTTTCGCCAGACGGCAAACGGATAGCCTCGGTCTCGGCGGACAGAACTGTCAAGCTCTGGGATGTCGAGTCAAGACAGGAGATCCAGACGTTGACTGGCCACAGCGACTGGATCTACGCCGCGGCCTTCTCCCCCGACGGGTCCCTTCTGGCTTCAGGCGGGGCAGACAAGTCAATTCGGATCTGGGACATATCCTCTACACAACCCGAGATCTATCCAGAGCACCAAGGCCCTGTCCATTCAGTAGCCATGTGTCCCAAGGGAAAGCCCCTAGCGTCGGCCGCACATGACGAGCTGACAATACGAATCTGGGATTCCGCATCATGCCTATCGGCAAGAGAGCTCAAGGGTCATTGCGACTGGATCCACAGCATGCCATTCTCGCCCAACGGGCTGCTCTTGGCGTCCTGCTCGAATGACGAGACTATCAGGATCTGGGACACGCTATCAGGGGGACTAGTCCGGCTGCTTTGCGGGCACGAAAAAGGCATCCGCGCCGTCACATTTTCCGCCGACGGAACACATCTCGCATCTGCCTCGGACGACAAGACGGTCAGAATCTGGAACTTGACCCTAGAACTAGACAACGGCCCCGACGGTCAAAAGACGGTCATGACGGCCTGTGGCTACTCGGAACTAGCTCGGGCCGTGGCGTTCTCTCCAGATGGCGCAATGCTGGCTACAAGCTCTGACGATCTGACCATCATCTTGTGGAGACTGGATCTGTGCAGCGACCCGCAAGTAATCAGAGTGCTCCGGGGTCACCGAATATCTGTTCGAGCCGTTTCATTCTCTCCGCCGTCGGGCCACTTGCTGGCGTCGGCGTCCCCAGACGGCGACGTGAAGATATGGGACACCACTACGGGGGCCATCTTGCAGAGCCTGCGTATCCGTGCATACATCAACTCTATAACATTCTCACCACAGGGTCCGTATCTGCGGACTAACAGGGGCTTGCTGCCTATTGGGCACTATAACCCGGATTCTGGCGAGCCCCAATCTGCCGACGTCTTTCTCGACGGGGACTGGATTACGAGGAGGGGGGAGAGGCTCTTGTGGCTTCCCCTGCGGTTTCGGTCGACGTCTTCCTCATATTGGAGAAACGTGTTTTTCCTAGGTCATTCCTCTGGGTTTGTGACGTCCATGGAGTTCGACTTGACCTGCCCCTAGCCGTCGGTCGGTTCGGGTTAGTCTTCTACTTAATTCGCACATTTCGAGAGAGATACGAATAGTTATGAGTTGCGATTGGCGTGGGTGGACAGCTAAATCAGTGAGTGCATTGTCAGAGAACCGGATGCAAAGTAGGTGTTAATATGGTAAATGCAGCAACAGGTCAATGTTTTACGCACGTGTTGGCCCTGAGCTACCACTGCTCCAGGGTGAGCCATAGTGAGCCATCAGGCCTGCACAGCCGCGCGGCTCAGAGTTACCCTCTGCCAAAAGTGGAAACACCTTCCGAGAACGGCCCAAATTCGGGGCACATATTGGGTGTCACGGGCACGCCTGCCGGATTCAAACTCAACCCTTTCCATTCCTTTTACTCGTCAATCATGATGGTGGAGTGGCCTCAAAGGGCGGATCATATGAATCCCTCTCAGCACCGTCTGGCCAGCCAGAGGAACAGCACAGCCAATAGGCTAGATGTCTTTGATTGTGAAGAAATGGAAGACGTAAACGTCAATCGCCATAGTCTTCTCACCGCAAGCAGGAACGGGACACCTCTAGTTAAGAGCGGCAGGCAGATATCCTGAACTCTCAGGAATCACATTAATCTTGGAATTCATTGCTAGGCATTCAGGGGCTGAGGGAAATAATGGAAGTTCATGCAGACATTTAAGATATAACTACTTTATTATTAAGCTGTAAGCAAAATTTTAAGGATGGTAAGGTAGAGTAGATAGCTAATAGTATTTGCAATCTCTCAAGCGCGATACAATGCCTTTGACATGGGACTTCCTCACAGATGAGGGGCTGCTGATTGAAACTTCGCGGTCGGTGCTGGCGACACTTTTCGAATATCCTCCAAAATCATGCCAATGGTCTTGCGGTCATTTGCGTCAGCCATGCTGAGCTTTTCCGCGGCGTGTACCCTTACTAGCTTTCCGTTCTCCAGCTTATAGAAGGCGCAAAAGTTGCCGAGCGCGGTGACGCCAAACAGCGGTTGTCCACGAGACCACCACTTTGCCAAATACTTGACGGCCCCGTCCAGCTGCGCAAACGCCTTATCCCATTCTTCCTTGCCTGAACCGGCGCTCTTAAACTCAGCCGCGAGGAACGGGAGACCGAAGGCGTTAAAGTTCTCGGGCCAGGTCGACAGGGACTGCGACAGAACGAGGTCGCTGCGCCCACTCTCCTCGTTCTCATTGAACCACGGTAATTCCTTGAGTGGATGTCTTGTCAGTTAATATGATGCGGTTTGGCGCGGGGAGGATTGGCTTACCGGGCCGAACAACCAGCTATCCTTGCTGTTAGGAGGGAAGAAGTTGGCGAAGACGTCGACCTAGAGCATCGAGGTGAAGACCTCGTAGCCCTGACCTAGCTTGAGATACTGAACAAGACGATCGCTGGCCATGTCGTAGACGAGAGATAGACGTGATAGTAGGAGCAGCGTTTGTGTTGTGCTGTTGTGGCACGGCGGGCTGCCGCACCATAAGATTAAGTAGACGTTTCGAATCTTGGCGAGGGCTTTTGTACCTGTCACGAGCTTGCACGGCAGCACCAACAATACTTCATCAATGAAACTGGGCCCTTTGGATTGCTTTAAGCCATCCACCAAGCCGAATGAGAGCGAGCTGAACCCCTAGGCCTGTTAGTATTGCTAAGCTGATGCATATGTGGGTGCACCTCTCAATCTCTAGTGGCTATTCCCGTCTCCGGCACAACTGTGCCGTTTCTCGCTAGATAGCAATAGCTGATGCATCATGCAGCTATCTTCGAAGGGCACTAGTGGTTGCCGAACGATGGCTGAACGCACTGGGCAGAGGATCGTCCACATTCAGCTGGCCACATTCCATGGTAAGCGCCCAAGAACATCTAAATGAACTGATGTGGCTGATGAGGTTACATTCGGGTTTAGTTGGCGGGGTTCCATTGCTCCCGTGCATCATGAGGCTGGCTGAAAGCCAATCGTGGACAGGCACCCAGCTGTCAGCCGGAAAAGGACCGGAAAGGGATCAATAGTTAATTCAACAGTTATCCCCATTAGGTTCGGGACGGCTACCCACTCAAAAAATCCACGGACGAGTTTCCAGTATTGAGTCTGTGGCTTGCAAGATAGGGGCTGAGAGGGCACATCTTAGTGCATTCCCGTTCCCTAACCGGCCTTGGGGTTGCATACCGCATTGTATCAGCTGACCTATCTGTGGCGTAGTCGCAATATAGGATGTGTCAATGCAACCTCTTCCTTCGTCGTTGACAATGTGCTCCAGGCATTAGCCTCCTTTAGGCTTTGGAGCGTGAGATTGGGGATGAAAAGAGCCATTCATGACGATAGTCGCTCCGAATCCCAAGCTAAATTCAGTAAGACGGCGATGTCCGTCCGTGTGCGCCCGCCATGGTCAATGATGGAGGCCAAGACCGTAGCGTCACTCTAATCTTGACTGTGTGGTCTAGGAGCGTGTACAGGAGGTGCGCAAGGGCAGATCGTGGACAGAAGTCACCCATGACTCTTCGAGATGTAATTATAAAACAGACGGCACGTTCTGCGTCTCAACTTGAAGGAGTCCAGTAGCACCAGGTCGAAACATGAGTGTCTCAGAACACCTTTTTTCTCGATTTTACCTGCATTGCCACGGGTCCGGTACGCGCACGCGCGTTGTGTCTTCATCATGGGTCAGGCACTGGCGTCAATGATCAAGTCCATCGATGGAGGCGACCAGTCGGCGCAGGAGACCAGGGAAGCCTTGGATTCTCTGTTCGAGCTGGGGAAAAGCCGAAATGACGCTGCCTGGGCACAGGCTACCTCCAACGCCATCTCAGTATATGCGAACATCAACCAAGTCTTGCTGCGGCGGCAGTCTATTGTTGCCAGCGCATCCACCAACACCGATGGTATTGTGCAGGGCATTAATAAGGCAGTGGGCAAGCTCATGTCGGGGCAAGTGCTGGATGGGTAAGTCATCATGCGTGCTTATGCCTTCCTTTTGAGGGAACCTATGTTAATTGATCCGTTGCAGCGTGACCGACATCCTTAGCAGTGCCTTGAATGTAGTACTAGGATCGTCATCTGGCCAAGTCTCTCAAAATTACACCTACGCCCTCATCGCGACAGAGCTCGGCGCCCTGCTCAGGATCGACATCGACGTGTACTCCTTTGAGCTCCGTTCCCAGGGTCTCCAGTCCAAAGCGAAGAATATGACAGCCATCACGAGCCTCGTCTCTTCCGTCGACATTACCAAGTTACAGCTAAACGACCTTCGCGCCATCGTCTCTATGACGTTTGGAAATTCGCCCCTGGAGCGACAGCAGCAGATCTACAGCGTCATCCTAGCTGCGTACAAGGAGGCCGTCAAGCCGGGAGTGGCAGAGGCGGGCGGTGTGCTCCCATCAGATGCACAGGAGAGAGTCAAGGCGCTCTTCGTACCGAGCCAGTACGAGGCTTCCATGAAGCAGCGCGGCGTTCCTCTCGTTGCAGCGCCCAGCCAGCCAGCCCGAGAAACTCCCAAAATAGGCCGTCTCGATCTGAAGGACGCCCTGCAGAAGCACCGAAGCTCGGCCGTCGTAGGTAAACTCGCGGTGTTGAAGATGGAGGATGGAGGAGATTCTCCGAAAGACCCTGCCACACCCGCCACAGATCCAACACAGTGGACTGATCTAATACTCTGGGTCAGCGTAATCAAGCAGGTGGATGTTGACTGGATCAGCCGATTCTCCAGCGCGGTGGCTGGCTTCAACGAGCCCGACGTGTTCGAGTTCGTTGAGATCGTGGGTGGCAAGTCGGGCTCTGCCATCAGCTTTCGGTGCAGGGCCAACAGCGTAGCCGGCCTGTTTGACCTCTCGCTCCGGTACTGCTACGAAACCGTCCTGCCAACCGTCAACACCTACAGGGGCCTGGTCGAGGCATACATCGCGAACGTGGCGCTGCAGTACACGCACCCGTCAGAGAGTGGCAGTGGTTTAGTGACGGTCATCAGCTTCAAGCGGAACCAGATCCATAACAACTCTTCTAATGACATCACGTTTGTGGCGGCCAAGACTGGCAGAGAGCTGGGCACAATCAAGAAAGGCGAGAAGGCCACGTTGACGGGCGATACGCACCACATCGTGGCACCGAGCCATCAGAAAGGTGGAGAGGCACCGGAAACAGATCAATGGGTTACGTATCAGACATTCGAGAGGTCGGATATCATTATTGAAGCGACGATGGCTGTGACGGACCTCGAGGGCGGAGGGTACCGGCTGACTGGGTACACGACGCATGATAGGATCTTCAACATTGACTACAGCGAGGAGTGGCAGGGGGTGGACGCGTAGGAGCTGGCTGGGTGGACCAGCTAGTCTTTGTCAAGGCGTCCATGCCGATTTAATAGCTCATAATTCATATACGACAGATGTTAACAGTAGTATTTTAAAGACTGCACCCGGTGGCCTGGATGAGGCATTCCCGGCGGTCGCCATACAATTCGAGAGCAAGTCGAAGATTTTCCTTCATTGCCTTGAACGGCCAGTGCAAGTATCAGTTTTTCCCCTCGGTAATTCGGTATTTTTGCTAGCCTGCTTAAACAACTCGACCTCATCAGGCGGCCATTGTAGTTGTTTGCAAGAGGAGGCTAGCCGCCGAGGAGCACCAACTCGCCTTGCAGAGAGCCTGATGGGTGCGTGGCGCAGCACTGCCACGTTATCGACTCCCAGGCCACTCTGTACCCTCAAGAAGGCAGCGGTGCTCGACATGTCTGGGCAAGCCTCTTTCCTCCAATCTCACGGCAACCACTGCAGAAGGCTATCGTTCAGATTGCAGGCCGCATCATTGACGTCTACAAGTACTACATTCGGACCGCCCGCGATGCCCCATCCGATTTCGGGACAATTCTTGTCGAGACATCAACCCTCAAGACTCTCTTCGAGAACCTCGAATTCTTGACAGAACACCAAGATGGCATCTCAGCAGCGGCCAGTAAGCTCGCAGATGATGGCAGATCTATCAAGAGCCGTCTGCAATCTATTGGCGAGCTCGAGAAGCTCCTCTCCTCTCCAGCCATCGCCCGCGGGCAGGTACAGAGAAAAAGGGAGAAGGCAAAGCTTGTGGTTGCCTCGATCGCATGGCCGTTGAAAGAAGCCAGAGCCAAGAAGCTGCTTGACGAAATAGGACAGTGCAAAGAGACTATTAATTTAGTCTTAACCGCCGAAATTACGTAAATGTACCCGAACTCCACTGTCACGATGAGACGTACGACCGAATTTTTCTCGGCATTGACGAAGACGACCGGCTTTTCGTATCTCATGTCCTCTAGTGGATCTGCTTCGACATTAAAGCACGGGACGATCTGGTTTACGATTCTGAACCCATGATCTATCCAGTAGTCCTTGACGCTGTTTATCTCAGCATCAGCAAGGAAAACCAATCCCACAAATATGTCTACGACGAGGATGCTCTACGCGAGCTCTGCCGCTGCCTCGTTACGGTCACAACGTTCCTGTACCCCGAGGACAGCGAAGACGAATCCTCACGCAGCATAGCCACGGTTTCTTTTGCCCATTGCACAGTGCTCGCGTATCTTGAGTCACAAAGAATTAAAATGGGTCCAATTGCAATGTGTCCAATTGCAATGTTTGCGCTCGCAAAGACATTTTAGACGACAATTTGGCACGCGTAGTGTTCAAAGAAGCCCTGCGTCAGGGCCCGAGAACCCTATCCGAAAACTCTCGACATTTGTATAGAATAAGGCCAATCGAGGACATGAACTCTTGGTGCAAGTCAGCAGCAATTTGGATATTGGAGAACCCGGCATGGACGGAAGCGATACTTTGCGACCACGGCTTATGTGAGCCCGTGTTCGGACTCCTTCGGCCCACTAGACCCGGTTACCCAAATTAATTTTGCGAGGCTATGGCACCACCTATTGTTAATGAAACACGGGCCCATGCGCTAAGGGAGCCAATGCACGACAACTACGAGAAGTCGGCGAAGTCGGCGAAGTCGGCGATTTTATTAAATCTTTTGTAGCATCGCAATGACCGCGGTCCGTTATTCTGCTTCGCGGAAGCTTTAATACGACGCGACCCAGATCGAGATATTTTTCTCAATCAAATAAGCGTATCCAGAAAACCCACCCATGAAGTTCGGAACGTCGCGTTTGAGTCTGCAGCTGCCTGGTGGAAGTCCTGACAATCGCGACATCCTCGCCGTGCTAATTAATAGCTTTCACCCCCCTCGGCGAAAATATCCAAGGTAAACCGCAAGGAACTAAAGCCTTTTAAATCTTGAAAGTCCCCCGCTAAATCCCCCGCTATTGAATATTCAAGACTTAGACTATGGTAACTAACTAACTGAAAATTTGAGCAGTATTGTTTGTTTCCTATATAACTCAAACTTGTGATACACAAAATGAAACAAGGATCCCCATTTAAATCTGCCCCATATAGTCGTAATCAACGAAAAATATACCAAGCCAGACAACAAACTAAGACAAAAACAAATCACGGGCCAACATAATTCTTTGGGTGCGTCGCTGATAGTGCTGCATCGTTTGTCAGCCACAATCCATCTCAGGGGGGCAACTTTGAAACTTACCGTCTGGACAGGTCGACTCGCAGTCCCTCCACCTCTTGGAGCAGCGGTAGCAAAAGGCCGTCTGGCACTTGGCACACACCATGTGGAGGCAGCCGATGGTGCGCTCGATCAGGTGGCCGCAGCCGGGGCACGTCTTCCAGCCCTTGTCGAGCCCCAGCTTCTTGACGGCCTCGGTCTCGGTGTCCTCCTTGCAGAAGGCGCCCGGGTGATCAGGGCGATTGCAGTGGCGGCAGGTCCTGGCGGCGCACCGCTGGCAAGTGGCAATGTCGCCGATGACGAAGCGCGGCGACACAAAGGCAGCACACTTTGCCGCGCTGCAGTACGTCGGGTTCGGCGTCGTCAGCTCGAGCACCATGTCTTCGTACTGCGTCTTCTCGCCCACCGGCAGCGAGAGGCAGTCGCCCACGGCCAGTCGCTGCTCGGCGCCACAGCACTGGAAAGGCGTCTTGGACGCCAGCGCCGCCCGGAACCCTGCCGCTAAGCACGCGTCGCAGAAGCCATGGCCGCACGACGGCGGCCGCACCAGATCCTCGGGCAGCAGCTCGTCGCCGCACACCACGCATCCCTCCATGTTCGCCGCCTTCCACTCCGAAAACAACCCTTCATCATTCCGGTCCTCAAGGTCGAACTGCTCCTGCAACCGCCGCGCTGCTGCCAGGCTCGCTTCCTCGCCCTCCTCTTGCAACCGCCGCGCCGCCGTCAGGCTCGCTTCCTCGCCCTCCTCCGCCTCCGCGGCTCGGAGCGCGTGGCACAGATCTATCGACAGTTGCTGCTGCTCGTGGTCCTGCAGGGCTCGGCTCACGCCCGCTGACGACGCCTCCTCGACATCGTCCCAGAACATCCAGCTCTCGCTGCCGACACCGCTGGCTTTGGTGCTCTTACTAGCACCGACACCACCAGCCGCCGTCATATCGTCACTGTCGCGATGGCCCGGTCCCGAAGACACGGCCGCATTGAACGACACGATCGCGTCGTCCATCTGCTGTGTCAGGCGGTACGCGAGCTCAAAGTCGTTGTCATCGGCCGTACCATGCGCGATGCTGTAGGCCAACAGCCGGTCACGCTGCATCTGCACGTCACGGAACTCGGCACGCGCCAGCGCCAGCGCCAGCGCCATGTCTGCCTCGACCGTATCGCTTGCTTGCGTGTCGTGGGGCATACTCTGTGAATATAAGGGCGGGGTGTCATATGGCGGTGGTGTATCTGCGGTTAGGGTCTCGGCTGCTGGTGTCTCTGCTGCAGCTGTCTCTGATTTGGTTGTCTTTGGCGGTGGTGGTGGCGATGAGTCTACAGCTGCCGTCTCTTTTGCAGTTGTTGCCTCTTCTGTTCGCTCTTCTGCAGGTGAGACGGATGAGAGAGAGGGTGACAGAGAGGGAATCGACGGTGCGAGTAGCGGTTTGTTCGAGGTCAGCTCTTCGCCCGCGAAGATGATAGAGTGCTTATAGGTTGCCGCTGCCGCTGGCTCGGTGCTCTCCAGGAGAGAAGAAAAGGGATTGCTGCGTGCTGCGAAGCTGGCCACTGGGCTAGGAGAGCTGGAGCTGGCTGGAATTGGGGGCGAAGCGGGCACATGTGCCGCATCTTGCCGAGACCTCTGAGGACTCAACGCCAGGATGGGCATCGAAGCGCGAGGAGGGGGCGCGAAGACATCGTCTTTTGTTTCCAGCGTGAGGCATAGCGGCGACTGGTATAGCGGAGCGTCTTTAAGTTCATGTTGGAGACCGTCAACGTCATGAGACGTTCCTCTGCCGCTGCTGAGCCAAGTCAGGAGACCAGACTGCCGGGCCGGCGTTGTGCTGGTCGTCTTTGTCGACGAGGTCGCGGCCGACCACCGCCGAAGCCGAGGGGTACTGGTGGTACTAGTGGTGTCGACCACTGACCACGTGCTGCTGCCGTTGCTGGATACAGGCGTCGAGGCGTCGCTCTCAGACTTGACCCTGACGCAAGCATTGTCTAGTACTGATGCCGAGGACGTGGAAGGAAGCAGTACAGGAACTACAGGCTCGGCAGGAGCTGTTTGGGCAGCTGGCCGGTTTCCTCCCCAGCGACCCGTTGTCATCAAGCTCCCGAGTCCTGTGGCGCCTTTGATTCCAGACACCATAGATGCGATGCGCTGTCCGTATCTGGTCTTCCTGCTGGAGAGTTGGTCGTCTGGGTCTTTGTTCCACGCTGTTGCCGAGCTTGGGGCCAGAGTCAAAGAGGCGAATATGTTTTCCGGCTGTATGGCTGCGATAAATGGCCGCAAGGGAGCTGGTTCGGCCAGCTTAGGGATCCACGGAACAACCCTTCGTCTGTCGGCTTCCGGAAGCGCCTTCGGCTGTAACGGGAAGTCAATGTTGAGAGTCGAAGACGCCACTGGCGTGGTAGACACGTCTTTCCACGGTTGTGGGGCGGTCCTGGACCTGGTGCGTGCAGATGCAACAGAAGGCGCAGTCCTCGGGAGCGGCGCCGGTGGTCTGGTTGATGGGCCTGGTTCGTATCCCGTCTCAACAACAATGGGTAGATTGGTGAAGGGGTTGATGTCGGATTCGTCGTCGTGAAGGTACCCACTGCTGTGGCCTGGGTAGAGCGAGCGCTGTCGAGAACTCCGAAGGCCGGTCGCTGTCCCCATGCGATGGACAATGTCGTCGCCAGGTGTTGCATCGGCGATGCTGCTAGTGAGCTCCCGGCATAGCACCATGTCGCGCTCCAGCTCGGCCAATAGGTCTACATCGTCGTCGGCGGCCTTCCCCTTACCTTTGCCCTCGTCCTTGCTGAGACGTGCTGACTGCTGAACGAGCAGATCGGCGTATGCGGACAAGGCTGCAACCATGACCGTCTTCTTCTCGTCTTCCATGGCTTGCACTGGGTTGTTGTGATGGAATTCCACAAGCAAATGTTAGAGTTGGACGGATGCTTAAAGGCATCAGCAGCGGGATGCGAGGCCGACAAGTTTTGAGATGATGTAAGGTTGTTGGGCGGAGTTGAAGGTGCCCGGGCAGAGGTTGGACGCTAGGTACCTTAAGGTAGCCAGCCAGCCAGCCAGCCATCAAGCAAGCCACCGTGGCTGGCCCAAACATGTCAATCATAGACAAGCCAATCGCCCCTCGGCACGTGTCGATACGCTGGCCGTAGGCCTCATCTTGACATGGAAAATTATGTTTCAGGCTTGTTTGGTTGGCTGTTCAATTTGCTAGAAAATTTTAACTTTGTCCTTTTATTCTGAGACCTACTTATTTATTTTAGGTTGCCATCTTGGGCCGGTTGCGGGCCACAGTATTTAATTGATTTATTAGCTGAAACAGGATTGAAATAGGGCTTTGGCATTCTATACCGGACCTATGGTATTGGTATTCTGCTGAGACTCTCCATCATTCCCTCTATCCATCTTCTGCATTCGAGTACCTACTACGCTAGTTCATGTGTCTATTTCCGATACTGCGCATGTACACATGTACACGTCTATACTGTTGAATCAATATCATCCGAGCAAGCCACTCCAAGAAAGCTGCATCCCTTCCGTCCAATGCAATAATGCATAACCAATCCGATCTCCCACTCCTGCTCCAGATTGCCGTACCACCAAGATGCGTTAAACCGGCCATAACCTCTGCTTTAATACTTTATACGAATAACATGAGTGAATTTCAATGACGTAAAACGCTAAAGAGTCTTGCTAATTACCTTTAAGCTCCCGAGCGGGATGCACCCTCATCCGCGCATAGCCTCGAGCTCAAAACACGCCTTCTTGATCATATCCGTGACAGCGTCCAGATTCTCATCCGTCGAGAATATGTTGTAGTGGTGGCCCGGGATATCGTGCACCTGCTTGATCAGGTCGCGGTGGTGCTGGTCCCAGCCGAGCTGGCGGTCGTTGCGACACACGTCGACACGGGCAACGCCGCCGGGCTCGGCGACGGGGACTCTTTCCTGGGCGCGGAGCAGGATCGTAGGTGGCGGAGGGGGAGGCAGGGAGCCCGCAGTCGTCGAAGGCGTTGTTGGCGAGGTGCCATTGTGCCCATTGCCCGCGCCGTTCTGGCCGCCGTCGTCCCGCCACGTGGGCAGCTTCCAGGCACCCAGCATTCTGTACGCCTCGGAAAAGCAGCGCATGACGGCGTCGCGAGTCTCCTGCCGCGTATTCTCGTTCCACTCCACAACGTGCAGCACGACTCGGACGTCGCCGGCAGACAGGAGGCTGAGCGGGCAAACCGAGTCGATCATGATGATGCCGAGCAGGTCGAGCGCGCCGCGTCTTCCCGCCTCGGCCAAGACGAGACGCGACACCTCGAGTGACAGCAGGCCGCCGAGCGACCAGCCGCCGATGATGACCTTGCTTCCGGGCGGGATGACCGTCTTTATCAGCTTGAGGTAGTAGCTGGCCATCTCGTGAATGCCGCCCTCCCAGCGCTCGTCGGTGCCATAATGCGGGTTGGCAATGCCGTATACTGGCCGGTACAGGTCGCCAAGACAGTAGTAGCCAAATGTAGTGCCGCCGCCGTCATGGATGAGGACCAGTGGCGTGGGAGAGTCGGTGGACGTAATGCCGACTGTTTCGAGGCCTGCGCGTGGGTCTGCTATGGGACCCTGGATAAGACTCGGGTTCTCCTTAAACATGATGAGGGCGGGCTCAAGGCTAGCTCAAGGCTGTACTGATTGAGAGTCAGAAAATACGTTCCATGATATCTGAAGAAAAGAAAGACACGGGTGTGCAGGACGCCCAACGCGTTGCTGTGGGCGGCAGTGGCATAAAATAAAAAAGCCAGCAGCCGCGATTGTCTTACCAACTCGCTCAGCACTAGAGACATTCACTAATAGGCTTGTCGTTGGAGCGCAAATGGTGAGGGCGTGGCGACGGGTCAGTAGGTGTGTGAAGACGTATCGTCGTATCGACTCCCTTCAAACTCGGATGAAGGTAAGGTGAAGTTTTGTGGGGTGGGCAAAATGAGCCAAAAGTGAAGACTAAACAGGTTTCTAAATTAATTATCGAGCTAGCAGGTTTCCCGCGCGTACGTGACCCTTTGCCGTAATGTAGCACTGGGCGGTCGGTTCAAAGTTGATATTCCCGTCGGTTGGTGTGGATGGACTTTGGCCGTAATCGAGGATTGCGAGGTAGTGCAGTGCTGTGACGTTGTCTGCTCGGGGCGACCCAATTCTGACAGTGCCCCGATTACGGCGCCAACTCTAAGTTAGCACGTGACAAGGGAGGAGGATGTCAGATTCCCGTAGGAACTACTGTAGCTGGCTTAACCAAAATTTATGGTGATAAATGGATGGACAAAAAATAGAAGGAGGATATATTTGAAGCTCATTCATGAATTCTGCAGTATTGAGACAGAGAGTATCCAATCTCATTAATCTTGGCTGTACCATACTAATGAGCGAGACTGGGTTGAAGTTCAATATAGGGTTAGGGTTGCAGACGGTTTAAACGTGGCTGTTTGATAACAGACAAACTAGTCCCCCCAAGCCTGAGAAGAGACAGTGAAATTAAAGAGAAACCCAGTGCATAGGAAGGCAAGAGATATCCGACGGCAAGCAAAAGAGAAAAATATCCGTGCCAAGAACTCCAAAAGACTGTCCAACTTTGATAAATGGCCAATGTGCGCGACGTAGCCATCCGGACGAACGAGAACATAGCCCGGCTCCGTGAAGCCGAACTGTGAATAAACATGCCGGCGAACAAAAGAAGGTGGTGTGGTGTGGTGTTCCGCCGCATAAAAGCTTGAGGTGCGTTTTCTTGAGATCTGCTCCAGACTTCTCCAGTACGATGCCGTCCGGCAGGCCGTCACCGCCCCGGATGGGGCCCTTGAAGCCCGCTACGGTGCCAACAACTGGGCTACAGCGGTACCTAATACCGAATCCGGACAGAAATCTGAATACCATACCCCTGCGGCGTGTGCTTGAGAGAAACCATGGCAGAATCCACCCAAGGACGAAATTGCGCAGCATTATGAACCAAGTACTGTCCGTCGTTATGGAGCTGAAAATCGAATCAGTACCACGTAAGAGTCGTTTGCCGATGGGGTGTCATTCGGCATTGTAACTGTCGAGGAGGACTCCGGCATCGGCAGTTTTACCCTGCAGGGCCAGCGCTCCCCTTCTTCTTGTTGCTATATTGTGACCACCTTGATTAGGTGTACCTGTCTTCTCTTACAGTAGTGAAATATCTGCTAAGTCAGGTGACCAGCTTTTAGACCAACCCCCTTTTAGACCACGCACTAAAATCGCCACCCCACCACATCATAAAATTCAATTGCTCACAGCTTCGTCAATTAGATAGCTACATTAATGCAGCTTGCAGTGTCAGATTCCTCTTCTTCTGAAATTTCAGAATCTATAAGATTCTCCCCAGCAGCTAATCTTTGTGCGCGGCGGATCTCCTCAATACCAGCAAAGGCCTTATTGGGGTCGATTTCCACCCTCCTTCTCTTCCGGCCTCTCGCACGTTCGAGGTCTTCCTAGGCCGCTTGCAATTGTTGTTGAATGGTAGCCAATTGGAAGGCCATGTTATCGAATTCTTTGTAGGCTTTCCGCATAAAAAGTCGTTCGCTGGTAGTACGTTTAGTACCACGTAGAAAACGCTCCCCCTGAGCCAAGAAATCCTTGGCCTTTTTAGGGGTAAACCACAAAGGCCGGCCCTCCGAATTCTTGCCCAGAATGGGGTTATTGAACGACTCAAGGCCTGCAGAAGGTGTGGGGGCTACCGTACTAATGCAGCCATTGGAATTCTTAATAACGAGGCTGTTGCTTAGGGGCTTCCTTAGGGAGACTGGCCACAACCCTGAGGCCTTCCAACCAGCCTTGATATTTGACTCCGTCATTCCGTAGATTCTGGCACGCCTATAGCATTCTAAAAAGGCTCGTTTTGCAGCTACAGAGTCGCTGGTTAGGCCAGAAAGCAAGTCATTCAGCTGTGCCCTGTACTTAGCCTTCAGCGGGCCGAAAACGGCTACATCCACGGGCTGGAGAACGTGAGAGGTGTGGGCTGGCAGAAATAATAACTGTACGTTGTTGGTAAAAGCCAGCCACATAAATTCCTCAGTGGTATGACTGCCGTGGCCATCCAAAATAAGGAGGCGTTTCTCCTTGGGGTTGGCCGGCCGAGTGGCCGGAAGAAAGACTTCGCGGAGCCATTCGACAACAGTGTCATCGTCAGTCCACCCGTTTTTGGTTGGTTTGAAGGCCCAACCTTCGAATGGGGTCAAATCGCGTGGGTACCACTATTGCTAGAGGCTCCCACCCTTGAAAATAACCAGTGGGTTCAAAGACCGGCCGTCGGCCGAAACACACTCTAGAATGGTCGTCCAAATTCGGTCTCCAGACTTCCTCTTTTGTAAAAGCTTTCTAGATTTGGAGCCTACAACCAGACCGTTATCTCCAATGCCATTAGCTATGCCAGTTTCGTCCATATTGTACCTGTTCTCCGGCAGGATAGCCTTAACCCCTAGAAACTCCAGGGAGTCAAACCAGGGCCGAATAATGGCCTCGCAGGCTCGGTCAGCACGGTTTGCGTGGATTCTCGGTGGCCTCTTGGTAGAAATGGAAGGATTTCGGTTCAAAAAGCGGCGGCACCAGTACTTTCCCAGGTGGGTTGGGGGGTTGCCAATGACCCCCTGGAAGAGAACCCATTCTGCGAGACGTTCTTCCAGTGCCGGAGAAAGCTTCTGATTGATTATTTGGGAGTAGGTGGCTGGATTGCTGCCTTTGGATCGATAATATAAAGTGTTGTGGGGGATGCTGTGGTTTTTGGCCGCATCGCGGAGTTTGCCAGTTTTAGCATACTCTGCAAGGGCGTTCTGCAAATCGAACTCGGTATATGGCTTCATTTGAAAATTCTCAAGCTATTGAAAAGAAAAGGAAACGGATTCGAATCAAATTCGTGAGTTGTGGGCGATTGAAATAGAAGAGTTGGGTGGCAAGGGTTAGTCATCCTTCTAGAACCTTGTGGTCTAAAAGGGGGTTGGTCTAAAAGCTGGTCACCTGACTTATAGAGATGCCTTTCCAAGCGTAGTTACGGCGTACCGCTATCTAGCTATAGTTGTGGGATACCGCCGGGAAATGAGAGTCAGTCAGAAGCTGGGTCACGCCTATCAATCTTACCGATAATAGCAAAATCCGTCAACTCGGAGAGGATGACGTAACCTGATTTCTTCGCCCAATTAGATTCTTAATCCCATCGGCAACCCACTGTCCGTTACCAAGACTCTGTGATGCGGCTGGACCTCCTTATCGCCGCGCAACCACCTACTGCGCGCGGGACTCGTTATCAGCACCTTGAACCGCACACCCGCCTCGGCCCCGTTGACCAAGTCCTCGAGCATGCCCATGACTGCCCAGTATTCGCTGCTCCACTCATCCATCTCGAGCCGGCCGACGTCGTCGACGATGCATATGACGTTGTAGTGACAGGGTATCTGGCGGACGACGAGTTTGAACATGAGGCAGAGCTCCGCAACCGGGATGCAGGTGTGGTTGCGGCCCTCAAGCGCGGCCAGGTCCAGGTCGTCGAGACAGGCCTTGGGCCAGGCTCGGAGGAGCTGGGCGATGAGGCTGCGCATCAGGCCCCGCGGGCCCCGGAGGGCGTCCTTGACGGCAACGTGCTGCCCGCAGAAGAAGGACAGCGTGACGGTCGTGTGGGGTGCCTCGTTGAACTTGTGCACCAGCTGCGCGCAAAAGTACGAAATGGGCGACGTCTTGCCGTAGATGCGCTCCAGGCGGGCCTCGACGTAGACAAGGTCGGGTACGTCGGCACTCATCCACCGCTGGAAGCTGGTGTCGAGGAAAATGGCCGCCCCGGCGGACGTGGACTTGGCGTCGAACTCCTGCCCCTGCTGCCGGACGAAGCTGACGTCCTGCGCCGCGTGCCCGCGCTGCACGTCGAGTACCCACTGCAGCTGCACGAGCTTGGTGTCGGGCGTGGTCAGCGACCCCAGAACCGAGGCTGAAGCCGAAGAGCTCACTCGCCTAGGATTGGTACTTGTAGCTGCATGCTCTTCCCGTTTCTCCTCCCCCTCCTCCTCGCTTCGCTTATAGTAGTTGAACACTACCCCAACTACCGTTAGCGTATAGAGAGACGTCATGTGTGCCGAATTGTTAGGTACTCACTTTCCACCGCGTCCGACAGCATCTTGGCCATGCCGTCCTGGCTGGCGAGCGCGTAGTAGACCATGTCGACAATGTTTTGCTGCAGCGCGTCCATGCCCTGGAACTGCTCGTGGAGGCCGATGACGCCCTGGTGGATATCCTCGACGTGCTCCTTTGTGATCTTGGCCGCCTCGTTCGTGAACTGGTCGCTGAGCGCCCTCGCACGCATGTCCACTCGCCTCGTGTCGTTCCGGATGGAGTCTAGCAGCCGCCCTGCTTGCGAGGACCGGAGCGGGGCGGCGAGCTTGGCCAACTTCTCCGGGACGAGAATTTTGATGAGATGGGGGATTGCATCGAACAGGGTGATGCGCAGCTGGTCTAGGGCGTCGCAGAGCCTGGCATCGGCCGGCCCAATCTCCGAGGCGTTTCCAGCGATGGCGATGGTATAGGTTACGTCTTCAAAGGCGTTGACAATGTCTCCTCTGATTTTCTCCCGACCTTTGGCTAGCTGCGCAGATTCTCCGTCAGATGAAGATCGATCCGGCCAAGACGACGCGGGGCTCATTGGGCAGTCTCTTACGTGCAGGACGAGAGCCAGCCCGCCGTGGAGGAAGCTCAACTCGTCCGGGATCGCTTGCAGGACGGGCTCAAACAAGTTTGACATGTTGGTCAAGACCATTCTCCCCTTTACCCACAACGTCTTATCGCGTTCCATTCGCTTGGCGACGGCGTCATCGGCGTCCTGCAGCTTCTTAAGCACGTCAGACCACTCGCAGTTCCTGACGTCGAAATTGATCTCGGGCTCGCGGCTCAATTGATCTAGGTCGCGACTATACTTGTTCAAGGCCGTCATGAAATCTCTGAACAGGATAAAGGAGGTAAGCTTCGCGATTGCGATATCCATCGCCCGAAGCTCGACTGATTTTTATCTTACTGTCTCCTGTCCCCCGGCTGTTGAAGGCTCGCTCGCGACGAAGCCCTTGGGTGTGGCGGCTTCACAACAAACGCGTCGTGCATCTCCTCCATCTCTTCTTTCCTGTCGTGGAAGTACTTGTTGACGATGCTGCTTGGCTCCGCATCCAGGGGTGACATCCTGTTTGTCCGGCCTAAATATGTCGGCGAGGCTCGGGAGATGCTGAGTACGTACCTTAGGCAGGCTAAGGGGACGGAAGGTGGATGACGGATTGAGCGCGAAAAACGGCCCTCCTTGTTCATCCTCAAGGCTCACGGTCTCACCCATCCCTCCTTGGAAAGGCCTGGGGTAAGGCTTTCATATCGGTTCCCCCTCCCACACGTTGATATGCAGTCAGGCCGAGCCAGTTGGCGGGGTAGCCCGGCTCTGGTGTCTGCCTTGTTTGGCGTCCAAAAATCCGAGAGGGTGTTGGCGTCATTGAGCACATTGGCTGAAAATAGAGAGAAAATCCCATGTCTGGGGCGCGGTTCGCCTAGCTCGCCTGGTCTGCATGATTTGCCTCGTTTGCATGGGCTTGCCTGGTTCGCATGGGTTCGTCTGGTTCGCCTTGTTTGTCTGGACTCGCTCCCAAGAGGTCAACTTGTGCATCTGATTCTGACGTGTCTAGCATCAGGCTAGACCCGTCGTCCAGAGCCCTCGCTCGCGTCGTTTCCGGAACGTCGGAACCAGCATCCTCAAAGATGGAATCGAGTCTCACTACCGAAACGGCCAAGTTCGGAATTGACGAAGCGGCGGTGGGTGCCAGCACCGGTGATCCGGAGCCCGTGAAGCAGCTCAAAATTATCCCCAAGGTTCGGAAATGCGGCGTTGTGCACTTCAAGAACCGTTTCGGCGCCTACGACAGCCTGTATGCCGTCGACGTGCTGGAGTCGGAGTCGACTGAGATTGGCCGGCAGATGCAAGCCGAGCTCAGGTTCCGACAAAACACGACGCGGAGGCGCACTGCAAAGGAAAAGGTCAAGGCCGCCAACGCGAAGCTGGCAGCAGCAAAAGCGTCACCGGCAGAAGCAGGAGCACTAGCAGGAGCACCGGCAGCACCGCAGAGTTCGGGAAATATGCTGGTGCTGCGGATCCGGGTCCAGTCCCCGGCCATTCTCCGCATCATGTCCCAGATCATGACAGGCGGCGAGGCCGACTGGGCCGCAAAGCCACACACCTTCATGCGGCCCTTTGACGCCCTGATCTTCTACCACGCGAGAGTCTGTGAACGGCTGGCCACGCTCCAGGAGCGATGGGGTTCTCCCGAGCATCTTGACGCTGTCGGGACGCCATCCAGCATGGCCGTGTCCGAACAAGACAGCTCTGGCGGAAGGATTGCCGTGGACGACTGCCCTGCAGCACTCGCCGAGCTGCGCGCCTACGTCAAGTTCATGAGCGAGGAGGTGATACCGCTCTACACCAAGTTCGACAAGCTCCAGGCCGTGGACGGAGAGGCATCGACCAAGGTGCGCTTCCACGACCTTTGGTATCTCTTCCGCGTCGGCGAGCTCGTCTTCCGGCCCGTGGGGACGGGTGCCAGCAAGGAGTTCAATAATACCGCGCTAGGCAACCGGACGTGGCGGTGCTATGGGACGCGGCTGGCCTGGCCCAAATACCGCGTCATAGCAGACGAGCACCGCAGCCTCATCGACGACGACTACGATGACAGTGAGCAAGCGTCGTTTGGCGTGCACTGCTACTACATCGACTACACGGGCGACGAGTTCTGCGTCGTGATCGAGACGTTTGATATCGCCCCCTTCCGGGGCGAGAAGCTTGTCAAGTCGCTGCGCGTGTTCCCCTACCGCTTCGCTACCGACTACGAGAAGCAGTACCGCGCGACCATCGACAACGGCCACCGCTTCCTCGAGAGCACCAAGACGAAGCACGCGTCGTACAACGGGTGGACCACGGCCTTGACGCCCCGGGGCGAGCCGACGACCGACGTCGAGGGCAACAGCCAGCATCGTCCCGAATTTATCGCCAGCGAGGTCATTGTAGACTTTGGCGAGGCCTTGCAGGCGTGCCCGGCGTGGAGGCCCGAAGCCACCCTCGTGCGGTCCGAAGAGGCCGACCCGCAGGAGGCCGAGGACGACTTCACCATCTGCTGGTGGTCCGACGCCGGCAGGACACGTCTCGTGCGCGAGACGAACGAGGTTATTATCCTGCGCTTGGGTGTGGCCATTTTTGAGCGCAACAACAACCTGTCGGCCGAGAATGCGTCGGCCGACAGGTTTCTGATCAGGGTCCGCGAAAACGACAGGAATGGCAAAGTCACCACCGAGGCCCATCTCAACACGGACGATGCCGACCCCCGCGCGTGCGACCTCCCGTTGCTCCCCTCGCGCATCTTTGCCTACGTGCTGCGCGACCGCAAATTCGCGCAGCTGACGGTTCAGCAGCTGAAACCGGTCACGAAATCGAACGATGCCTTCGACTACCTCAAGATCAACCCGCGCCATAGAGACCTCATCCAGTCCCTGGTCGAGGAGCACTTTGAGAAAAAGGCGAGCGACCGGCAGGACGGCGTCGACATTGGCAACATCGACGTCATAAAGGGCAAGGGCAAGGGGCTGTTTATCCTGCTGTACGGCGAGCCGGGGGTCGGCAAGACGGCCACGGCTGAGGCCATCGCCGCTGCGAACGGCAAACCCCTGTTCCCCATCACCTGCGGCGACCTCGGCCTGACACCGGCGACAGTTGAAAAGGCCCTCTTGAGGATATTCCGTCTTGCTGATACGTGGAATTGTGTGCTGTTGCTGGATGAGGTCGACACTTTCTTCTCGCAGAGGGCCCAGGGGGATGAGACTCTGGCCAAGAATGCCTTGGTTTCGGGTGAGTTTGCCGGTCTGCATCAGTTGACAACACTGGCACACAGACTCACAAATACCTGATAACTAACGCTATTTTCTTTTTATTTTTTTTTCCTTCCTAGTCTTTCTACGGGTCCTCGAGTACTACGACGGCCTACTCTTCCTCACCACCAACCGGCCGGGGGCGCTCGACGAGGCCTTCAAGTCGCGCATCCACCTCAAGCTGCACTACCCGCGACTGGGACAGAAGCAGACCATGGAGATCTGGGACATGAACATGACGCGGCTCCAGAAGATCGAGAAGGAGCGGTGCCGCAAGAACCCGGCCGCCCGTCCTTTGCAAATCACCAGGAAGAGTATACTGCGCTTCGCGGAGGAAGTGTTCCGCAAGCAGAAGCGGCAAAACCCGAGCTCGGCGGTGGTGCTGTGGAACGGGCGCCAGATCCGCAACGCCTTCCAGGTGGCGTCGTCGCTGGCGCATTACGAGGCGCGGCGCGACGAGACGCCGCCCAAGTTGACGGTCGCCCATTTCCGCACGATCCACGCCGTCACCGAGGACTTTGACCAGTTCATACACAACACCAAGGGCAAGAACGACAGCATGCTGGCGTTTGAACGTGGCGAGAGGGACGACGACTTTGTCGCGCGGAAACGCCGGTACGAGGAAGAAGACGATCACTACCACGATGACGACGACGACGACGACGACGACGGCGACGACGACGACGACGACGACAACGACAACAACAACGACAACAAAAACGACAACAAAAACGACAACGACAGCAACGACGATGATGACGACGATGGCGAGGACGATGATGACCACTCAGAAGCCCCTGACAACAAGAAACGCAAATTATACGGTGAAGGGCGGCACAGTCCCCCTCGGCCCGACCTGCGGCTCACCACCATCGGCACCGAGGCACGCCGGTCGCTGAGCCCCAACATTGCAGCGGCGACGGAAGCAGCAGCTCGGGGACGGTCGAGGGCCAGCAGCGGCATCTTTGGCTCCGCCGGTCTGAGTCAAGTGGCAGGCAGCACTAGCGCGCGGCAGCAGCGGCGACCACCTCCCGCGTCGCCTCGGCAGCGGCCGCAGCAGCAGCGGACGACCCAGTGGCGCGGCGCGCCGTCCATCGAGGTGATTCCGAGCCGTGACGGCGCCGGCGCCAGCGACGCGTACCTCTCGCTGGGCTACGCCAGGAACAACGCCGACGGCTGGGGGAGAAGCAGTCAACACGGTGGGCGGCATAGGCCCGACTCAAGTGGGCAGAGCAGGAGGCCCAAGAGGTCTAAGCGCGATTCGGATGACGACGACGAAGCGTATGAGTGATGGGTTAAGCAAAAGCTGATTCGGTGTGATAAGATAATTACTGGCACTGTGATTTTCCTATGTGTTATTAGTATGCATCCTGGAAGTTCCTAGTGATAAGTATCAGGGTATCTCTTTTAGTATTTCGTGAACAATGTATCCTTTCCCTTGTTTCCGTCCATAACCTCATTTCGGAGCTAAGAACACACCATCTTGTCGCCAACACCATTTTAGTCGCGCGCAGAGTTAGACAATTGCCCGGGTCGTTTGCCTCTCGCGATAGTTTGCCTCTCACGATAGTTTGCCTCTCGCGATAGTTTGCCTCTCGCGATAGTTATCGAATATTTGGCACCCATGTGCAATCAATCGCAACGAGGTCGAGTCCAGGCCTGTTTCCGATTATCTTTCGGTGAATTCATTGCACTTGGCATCGTCTTCAGCTCGCCACATTCCCACGTAGTGCTGCGCTACGATGCTCTCTAACCCGGCCTTCTGGTGTAGGAATTACCGATCAGGGCCATGCGGCTCAATCAGGGCCATGCGGCTACAGAGCTGTGATTGGTCAAACCTGTAAAACAGTGGGGAGTCATAGTCAGCGCACGGGCCACACGCGCCATGCACGTGGCCGCGGGGCATCAAAACCACCCGCTTCCTGTCCCCGTAATTCGTGTTCCTTCTATGCAGATATATAGCAGAATACAACCACCACAACCCCCATCCTTTCGCACGGTTACTATAGTGACTAGTGCGAATGTGTAGGAATTACCGATCAACCAGGAGCTGTGATTGGCCCAGCAGGTGGAATAGTGGGGCGATTACGTCAGCACACGGGCCACACACCCCTAACACGTGATTTGCCACGTGTTGGCGGGCACTGGAAATCAGCCCCTCCATGTCCCCGTAGTTCGCGATCCTTGACAGTAGAGTAATGAGAGAACAGTACAATCAACACACAACACCCTACCTTTTGTTATAGTTACTGCAGTGACTACCGTACGAATGACCTTGTCATTCCAACATCTGTCCTGGTCGTGTTATTTCTATACGGAGGTGGAAAAAGAGAAGCAAATTGAAATTTCTTAATATAAGAAATAAAGAAAAAGCGAGGTTAAGAATAAAATGCTGGATTTCGTTCAAAGCCGTTAAAGGCCTGGCCACGGACCGAGGCCGCTAGGGGCTCCCCTCGTGCTCCACTGATTGAGCCCCACCCAGGTGCATAGCGTCACGAACCAGTGAACCCCAACCCGCCCGCCCGCCAGATGAAATGGGTGCACATCCCGCTTCTAGAGTACACTACACGTATAGAGTATTAATGGAGATCGTGACAGGAATGTTTGCTCTGCCGGTGCAGTGTGGCCACTCTCGTGCCTGCCCCCGCTCTCACATGCAGTGGATGGCGTGGTGGACTCGATGAGTGGTGACTGACTATGAGTCTTCGGGCTGGCGCATGGTTCGCTCCTGCCATGCCCGGCCTCTGTGACTCAACCCTCGAAGTGGGGCTGGCGGTGGGTCTCTGGGCCCCACACCAAAATTTGCATTCGTGCACGGACCAACTACACCCTCTATATATACGTGTGCCGTCTCCCACCTTCTGGTCTTCTTTTTCTTTTCTTCTTTAGCTCTCTTTGCCTTTTGGCTTAGATCAAGTGTAGTATCTGTTCTTTTCAGTTTAATCTCTGAAACTACTCTACGGAGTAGAATCTTGATTATCCTAATTTTTGTCTCTCGGTTGACCTCCCGCTGGGCTTGCCTATGGAGGTCTTCCACTGTGTCCCTGGTATTACACTGCCTCCAGGCGATGCGAACCCTTTTTTTTCATTGCAGTCTCGGGCTCTGGCTTGGGATGCGAAGAAGAAAATCTGCTGCATTTCGCTTCATTTTGCTCTCGACACTTATTTTTGAGAATCTCGCAGCGTAGTAATTTGCAAATTGAACGCGGGCTGTACGCAGCAGTCGCGACCCGTGAACTCGGTTTTGTGGACGACGGCGCGTCCTCGACTGTACCCGACGCGAAACCTGAGATGTTTGACGCGTTCATTTTCTGGTTGTGGAAGTATGAGACTTGGATTTGTATCTGTTGGCCAAAATTTCCCAAAATTCTTCTTTTTTTTTTTTTTCCGCGTCAACGCGCGCACCTTCAACCCTCACTCACATCTTCTTCTGCGCTGCTAAATCGCCGACGACAGCTTCAACTTCGACCGTGATAGGCATATAACCAATTGCGAATCTGGTCAATAATCACCACCACCATTGCGACCACCACACCACCCTTGCCGGATATGCCGGGCCTCGCCAATTCCCGCCACGCACCTTGGCGGCAATCGTATCACCAAAGCTCACGGTCTCGTGATTTCCCCCCGCCTCCGCTCCAACCACCCCCGCTGACCATCACTCCTGCCCCGACGGGCGGCGGCCGCAGCATCGGCGTCGTCGTCGGCGGCAGCGGCAGCGGCAGCGGCAGCAGCGGGCAACAGACCTCGTCGCTTGCCTCCTCCCCGTCCCCGGCAACGCACGAGCTCGTGCGGTACACCAAGATCGTCCGGCGGCTGCAGTGGAAACTGCCGTTCCTCGCTACAGGCTACTACCAGGCCGTAGCGCGGGGCGGTGCTAAGGACCCCGCCGCGCAGCAGGCCCAGGCCGCAGTCGTGCAGGCGGCAGAGGCCGAGCTGATGTTCAAGCTCGATTTCTTCGAGTACTACATGTTGATAGAACGCGCCCTAGTGCATTTGCTGGGCGTGTTCGGCATCACAATCTCGCGGGGCGGCATCTCGGTACCGCCGCGGGCGCCCTCAAAAGGGCTGTCTTCGAGCGTCTGGGGCGGAAATGGCAGGAACTCGAGGAGCACAGACGACAGAATGGACAACAACAGGGCAAGTCACGCGCCAAACAGTGGTGGATACCCCGGCAGCGCTAGCAATAACCATAGCGGACAAGGCAGTCCCGGCCCGTGGGGCCACCGGTACCACGCCAACGTCCTCGAGGCGCTGGACGACAAGGAGAACCCGCTGCACGAGGTTCTCGGCACGGGCGAGGTACGACGCCAGCTCGGGCGAGCCAAGGACCTGCGGAACCGGTGGAAGACGGCGGGAGACGATGTGGACACCATGAAGGTGTCGGTGCCGCTCGAGGTGTACGACCTGGACCGGATGCTGACGACCGTGTTTGAGGGCTTTGACGCGGCGTTTGTGATCGCCGAGCGCTTCGTGGGCGGCGACAGCGAAGGCGACGAGGGCGACGATAGCATGGACATCGTGAGCGATGGAGGCGGCGACGGCGGTGGCGGCGTCGACTGGACGGCGACAGACGAGGAGCAGTGGGAGTTCATGGTTGATGCCATGGACTGGGAAGCAGTCTGAACTCTCTGGAAAGAACTAACTAGCCACCTATAGCGTTCTTGTTCATCCTTTTTTACAAGCAGCGTAGATAGGTAGGTGTATGGCCTAAATGTGTATAGGTACGTTTGTATGTATATAAAAGACGGCATCTGGAGTTTTTTAACCATCCTGGCCGAGCTCTTTGAGAGGTAAGAGACGCTGTAATTCACCATGCGGATCTGACTTGTTATATACCCAGCTGTTTGATGTATTTGATCAATGCAATTTTTGCAAAAGGAGCATCTCGACCTCTCTAGAGAACATGCCTTGAGACAGGGTTCCTCTTCATCCACCTGCGCTACCGTACTCGCCATCTTTTCACGGTAGCCAGTTACTAGAATCACCTCGTGAATCAAGTGGCGACAGCCATAGTTCATCTGGAGCCCCCTATTAATCTTGAGGACACAGCAAGATAACTACGACCATCGGAACGCAACGTCGGCTTCCATATCCGTACCTCCGGGCGGGAGTTCAATTTGAAAGCTCCTACAAAAGCAACAACTATACGAGCCAAACCAAAACCCAAACCAACCGACACCTCCTATCCTACCCTCCGAAGCGTGCCCAAACGGACCGGACGGGGGAAAACACGCAACCCTTCCCCAGCCAGGCCAAAAATCCTTAATCCGTGGGCATGTCGACAAGAAGCGAAAATAAAGCTGAAAGCTCGATGCAATATTCACAAGAGCGCGCTCGCTGTCCGCCCTATTATTCTAAATGCGCCAAGTAAAGCCCCCTCAAACTTCCCTCGCCCCCCTGCGCAACAACATTAACAATGGCATTCGTGGTATCATTAACTTCCCTCTCGTGACTCCCAGTGCAAAACATCCGCCATCCAAGGAGATTGTGTCGCTCATGACTCGCTTGTGCGGTCTTTCAGCTTCTTGGTTGACTTGGCGGCCCCGATGTGGGTGTTGTGCACCTAAAATCTTGTCAGTCTCGTGATATCAACAGCGGGTTGACTCCTGAAGTACTCACCTTCGTAGCAAACCGCAAACTCGTAATCGTCTCCTTCAGATGCGCCTCTAGGGGGCTGACCATGACAAACATGAGCGTCTTGGAGTTCCCGCCGAGAGAGTACTGGAGGAGGTGGGTCAACTTCGAGTTGCGGTAGGGTATGTGCGCCGAGCCGCGGCCCAGGGCTTCAATCACATCGCCGAGACAGGCCAAGCTCTTGTTGATGCTTTGGGTTTCCTTCATACGGTCGCCCTCAGCTCCAGAATGCTTGAGTCGTTCGGATCCCGCGAGATCGACCAGATTCAGTGTGCCCTCGCAGCGCTCGTCGGTCGCCGAGTTCTCGCCCACCAACTTGAGGATGAAGACAGAGTGCGAACGCGACGACCTCTCGTTGGCCTTGGTTGCCGCTACGCTGCGATTGTTCTGGGCCTGTCGAAGCATCGTCTCTACCTTGTCAGGCGAGTCCAACGCGACCGACTTGCAATTAAGCACGGCCGTCTGCTTGCGAGAATCGTCGTGCCGAATCTCCAGCCGCTTTTTGGAGTCCGTTGAAGGCGTGAGAAGGTCGTGCAGCTCCTCGTTATATACTTCCACAAAGCTGCCCTCCATTGTGTACGACCAGGACTTCTCCTTCAACTTGGTTATTGTCTCGTAGATCATGTGGGTGGCTCTGGGAATCATGCCGTCGGTAGAGGACATCGTATACGTCTTTCCAGAGCCGGTTTGGCCATAGCAGAAGATGCAGACATTGTAGCCATCGAGGGCGCTCTGTACGAGCTGCGAGATCTCGCCAAACACCTCCTCGTTGTGTACCACCGGCGAGAACACGCGGTCAAACTCGAAGGGTATAACCTTGCGGGTATTGTTGCCCAGACTACTCTTCTCCTCGGGCCCCGTGATGTCGATTTGGGTTGATGTCTTGAGGTCGGGGAACATGACCTTGGCTTCCTCTCCTTCTGTCGGGTCGAGAACTGGGCGAACGCGGCACATGACGCGAATATTTCCCTTCAGCTCCTGGTATTTGTTAAAGAGCATCCGGCGTTCGGTCTCTTCCTTGATCAACTTCTGACGTGCCTCCTCGGCCGCCCGCAACGCCTCTTGAAGACGAGCCTCCATGCTCGCGAAGGAGTCGGATTGCTGCTTGCTGTCTGATTCAAGGAAGTCGATCTGTGCCCGAAGAGCGCGATTTCGGTCCTCCAACGTCATGCTCGTGGTGGACATCTCAGCCGCTTGGAGTTGGAGGTTTGTCTTAACAGTCTGCTCCCGGTCAAGATCTGACCTCAGAGCTTCCATCTGCGAGCGCAAGTCCTGAATTTCGCGATCCTTGTCCAACATTGCGAGCCTCGCATCTTGCTGTTCCATTCCAAGCTTTGTTCGCAATTCCAGAAGATCCCTGGACCTTTGGCTCCGCTCGTCCTCCAGCTCAACCCTGTAATGCCTCTCTATTGCCTCCAAGGCTTCGCGATGGGTCCGCTGCAGTCTGTCCGTCTCATCCTTGAGCGCCCTCCTGAGCTCATCGAGCTCAAGTCTGTGGTCCCGCGCTTGGTCCTGGAATTCGTGTTTCCGGGTTCTCTGGTCTTCCTCCAAAGCCCGAAGAAGTGATTGTACCTGCGCTTGTAAAGTGGTTGCTTCTGTCTTCAGCAGGGTGTTTTGTTCAGCCAACAGCTTATTCTCCTCGCCCAGTTCCTGCTTCTTGCGATCGGCGCCCTCGGCTGCACCATCGCAGTCAGCATCTGAAAATACAAGACCTCGATGTAAGACATACCTCTTGTCTTTATGAGTTCAACCACCTCCTCCAGTGCCTTCTTGTCAGTCAGAGAATTGTTCATGGCCTCCTTCATCACCTTGAACTGCGATTCCACCTGGAGAAGTCGATCGTCGACGTTCCATGCTGTAAAAGAGGTTGTGTTAGAGTCCTTGGTTAAGAATATTGGTTTAACAGGAGAAAGGGACTTGGTAGGCGAAGCCGGAGTCTTGTTATAGGCCGACTTGACTAGCGTCTCGAGTTTCTCCACCTCCCGAACAAGGCACGCACTCGAAGGACGTGGTGTTTTCGGCGGCCACTCGATCGGCACCGGCTCAGAATTGACAGGCCCCACTTGATCGGGCCCGGCCGTTTCCTCTCTCTGACTTGGAAGGAGGAAGATGCCGTCTTGGTTGGTTTTGGGCTGGGACAGACGATATGGAAACGGCCCCTCTTGCTCCGAGATCACTTGACCTCCCTTATGATTAGCATCTGCCTCGCCATCTTGGAGCGACAGACTTCCTAAACGTGTGCTGAGTCCAAACATGACTCCCTCTTCCTGCTGTTTCACATGCGGCGCTTGAGACTGTTTGGAGACAGTCCTTCGCAACTTTTTGGACCGCAGCTTCCTAGTCGGGGTCTTTAAAGGAGTCGAAGCGCTCGTACCATTGGACTGCTGGGTTGATTCTCCTTCAAAATCGATGACATTGTTACCCATCGCTGTGGCCGGTCTCGAGCGCGTGTTCCCTCGTTGACGAGCGTTGATAGACTGGGACTGACTGAAGCCCATCGAGGTCGGCGGTCGTGACGGCGGGCGGCTCCCGGGCCCCATACTCTTTGTAAAATTGCCCACGGTTGTCGGTCGCAACGATGCCGAGGCGCTCGAGATCTGCCTGGGGAGCACGATTCCGGTTGCGCTGACAGGAGGCTTGACCTAGAAGCACAGGAGTCAGAACAATCTGGACGCAACAGAAATGCTAGCTCAATAGCCAACCGCACCCCTCCCGAGCGAGCGCAGGATTCACTGAAGGACCGTGCATTGAGAACCGGCCGCCGCGGCGAAGATGCGCCTCCCAAGTGGGCCATGGCAAAGGAATGAGCTCGACCAGTTTCCCAAATCGCGTATCGGATCCTCCAGGTCGGGGCTCCGGGCGGCTTATTGACGGCTTGGTTTCGGAATGTGGCGGGCGCGAAGAGAAGGGATCTGGGTACCTACATTTGCATTGCTCAGGTTGGCGATCGTGTTACCCTTGAGCCCGATTCGCGCGCTGGCTGGGGGTGCTGAAGGAAGTTGCGGCCTGGATGCTCCGGTGGGCTCGCCTGCCATTTCCATCAGTGTTTTTCGCTTCGGGTCCCGGTCTGGTTGCGACACTAGCCATTTCCATCCACGTCAGCACCCTGAGGAGCGGGAGATGGAGCAAAGGTACATACTGTTTCCGGTGTATGCGCGTTTGATTCCTTGTTGCGGGGGGGGCATTGTCGATGTATGCACTCGCGAGTTGCTCTGCGAGTCGGTGATCTCTTGGAGGCATGTTGCTGCGGCATGATAGCCGTTCGGGAGCCGGAGACCCGACTTGAAGTTCTAACGCACCCGAGTCTGGTCAGCATGCGACGGCGCCTCTGCGGCAACGGAAGCTGGGAATCAACTTACCACGTTCTCATGGCCCTCCATGGTGAAGGCGCGCAGGCGAGGAAGCACAATGTGGAGTAGAAGATAGGACGCAAGGAGCGGTGCTCCAGGAGCGGATGCAGTTGTCGGCGACGTGGTGGCGGCCGTTCCGAGCACAACTACCTTAGGTATTATGCTCTCTCCTCAATTGGCGTAGCGCACAAAGCATCAAGGTGCAAGTCGGGGCTTGTGTTTACTTCACCCAGGCAACGGGTCCAGGAGGGTGGAGCCATTAGCCAATGACTTGTCGCGACAAGCTAGGGACGGATACGGATAGCGGGGCTCAGCCTGGAAACCCACCCCCTCAGTGTCCGCTAACTTAAACCACCACAGAGGACCAGACTTACACTTTTAAGGCTGAAAACCCACCGTCCTCGTAATGGAATACAAAATGAACTGTATGACCGGGCAGGAGGCGCCAAACTTTTAACGATGAGAGCCCGATGTTTCAGGATTGTCGGGATATTTGTGCTAAAGATTAGACACCTGAGGCATGTAAACAATGTCAATCCCTGAGTCTTGCTCTGGGCGGACTGCGACAGGACAGGGAAAGAGGTATTATGTTTCCCCATCCTCTTCCATCAACAAGGACAGGTCAGCGATTATGTATCAACACTGCACTACATTCGATAAGAATTTCCCGAAATCAAAAGAGCACGATACCATCATGCCTACGTTCGAACCCGGCCCTTACTAGTAACAATGACGCATGCCCGAGGGTTAGGGTTACTTCGAGGACCCCAACGGTGCGTCGCACGTGCCCGCCCGCCATTTTCACATGTAAAATGAGTACCAGGGCCCTGCAGTTCTCCAACGAGCGATCAAAAACAAGGGTCCCGCGATGAATTATGACACCACATCGACACGGAACCCCGAAGTGTTGAAAGGCAACCCCGGAGCGCCAATATTCTCAGATCCGACTGTCCAGCCAACCCGACGTTTTCTGATTATCGATATCGGGGCTGCTTGGCGCATTGACCAAATAATGTTTTAGCAGACCGTTGCAAATGTTGCAGTAAAACCTGGAACCTCCAACGGGATCTTTGCGCCAACAACTCCAACTTCCCGTCACATTATCACAACCTATCCACTAGTCGCCTGGTAGCCCCATTTTGCTTTGTCAGTGAAGTACCAGTTTCGCAGAAATACCAACCGATCAACATGGAGAAGTTCTCGCAGTTCCGCGACAAAGGTAATTAACGTCCTGAGTTCTTCCGCCTTGCCAGCTTGCGATTTCATTAACATTCCCTTGTCCCAGGCTCCGGCATCTCGCCGTTCATGCCCACGACGACGCCGGCCTCGACGGTAGCCTCGGCCATGCACGCCTTTATCTTCCTCTTCCGCCTGCCCTTCTTCGTCGGCTACGTGACGCTGTACTTCCTGTTCCTGCACCACCTGCCGCTGCCCGTGGTGGCGCGCAAGCTGCTGCTGTGGGGGATCATGGGCATCCCAGGCATCTGGTGGGTGGATCTGCAGTTGGACGGGGTAAAACGAGGGGCGCTGTCGCAGCAGCCGGCGTCGCGGGTGCCGCACGCGCGGTCCGTGGTGGCGGCCAACTTCACGTCGCCTCTCGACGGGCTGTACCTGGCCGCCGTGTTCGACCCCGTCTTCACCGTCAGCTACCCGGGCACGCGCAAGGTGCGGCGCGTCGGGCTGCTGCGCGCCGTGAGCATGGCGCTGTCGCGCGCACAGCAGTTCGCCACCCCCCCGCCCGACCCCGCCGAGCTGACGGACCTGCGCGCCCTGCTGGATCGCTACCCAGGCCGCGTCATCGCCGTGTTCCCCGAGTGCGGCACCACCAACGGCAAGGGCATCCTACCGCTCAGCCCGAGCCTGCTGACGACCCCCGCCGACGTCGCCATCTTCCCCGTCAGCCTGAGGTACACGCCGCCGGACGTGGCGACGCCCGTGCCCGGCCCCGCCGCGTGGGTCGCCTTCTTCTGGAAGCTGCTGTCGCGCCCGACGCACTGCATCCGCGTGCGCATCGCCGAGGGCATGTACAACACGTCGCAGGCGGCCAACGTTGTGTCGCAAGGCTCGTCGTCCTCGTCTTCCGCATCCGGCCGTCTGGCGCCCGCCGCGGCCGGCTGGGAGGAGGATGCGACGGCCGAGGAGCGGCGCGTGCTGGACCGCGTGGCCGAGGCGCTAGCGCGGCTAGGGCGAGCCAAGCGTGTCGGGTTGACATTACAAGACAAGAAGGCTTTCGTTCAGGCGTGGGGCAAGCGGCGGAGGTGAAATAGAAAGGTATAGACAGTCAAATCACGAAGGTGTGCTGTGCCTCGCGAGGTTTGAACGAAGTAACAACGAGATGGGTGACCGAGCCTCCTTCTAGGCTCTTGCATTGTCAGTCTAGTGTTTTACATGCGTTTCCTATCATGTTGCTAAGGGGTGCATTTTCGGGCGTGGATCCAATGGGCGGTTTACTCCATTAGATCGAGTACAAATTGACTTCTTCCGGGCCCTACAGCGGCGGCTCGTTTCCCTACCTACCTTGCCTAGCTGGCAGGGAGAAGAGACGCTAAGCTGCATATGCTGTTCCTTCAAAAGTGGGGATAGCTGTGAATAAAGAAGTTACAAAGATTTGTTTTGTAATGACAGATATTTATGCTGGCTGGGCCAACACGCAAAGTGCATACCAAAATCTTCCGGTAAGCGCCCATACTTTTTTCCATGCCGAACAAAGGAAACGAACTTTGAGAGAATAAACCGACAGGGCCCAGAATATGTACAGCCAAGTTATCTTATCAAGCACCCAACGTGCATCCCACCCGCCGCGGCATGGTAGGGCCGTTTAGAGCACACCATCCGTCACGCACCCGTGGCTGGCATCGCTGACGAGCGTGGCATACTTAACGAGGGTGCCTTTGGTCGCTCTGGCTGGAGGGGCCTTCCACTCCTTCCTCCTCCTGTCGAGCTCCTCCTGTGCAACCTCGAGGTCGAGGGCCCGCTTCTCCGCGTCAATGGTGATCTTGTCGCCATCCCGGACCAGTCCGATGGGACCACCCTCCATGGCCTCGGGGACGATGTGGCCAATCAAGAAGCCGTGGCTGCCGCCCGAGAAGCGCCCGTCCGTGATCAGGGCAACGTCCTTGCCGAGACCGGCGCCCATGATGGCGCCGCTGGGCTTCAGCATCTCGGGCATGCCGGGGCCGCCCTTGGGGCCCGCGTAACGGATTACCACTACCGTCTTCTCGCCCTTCTTGATCTCGCCGCGCTCGAGAGCCTCAATGAAGGCGTCCTCGAAGTCGTAACACTTGGCGTTACCCTCAAACCGCAGGCCCTCCTTGCCTGTGATCTTGCCGACGGAGCCACCGGGGGCGAGAGACCCGCGCAGGATCTGAATGTGGCCGCTGGCCTTGATTGGGTTGCTCAGGGGGCGGATGATGAGCTGGTCGCTGGGGAAGTCGGGGAAAGACTCGACGTTCTCCTTCATCGTCTTGCCGGTGACAGTGATGCCCGACCCGTCAATGATGCCCTCCTTGAGCAGGAACTTCAACAAGCCGGGTGTGCCACCAATCTTGAACAGGTCCTCCATAACATACTTGCCCGACGGCTTGAGGTCGGCCAGGAAAGGCGTGCTGTCCGAAATAGCCTGGAAGTCATCAATGGTAAGCTTGATGCCAACACTGTTGGCAATGGCAATAAGATGCAGCACTGCGTTGGTGCTACCGCCAAGGATTGTCACGACTCTCATAGCATTTTCGAACGACTTCTTTGTGAGAATATCAGTTGGCCGGATGTCCTCCCGAAGCAGGTTCTTGATGGCCTCGCCGACGTTGTCGCACTCGGCTAGCTTGGTCGGGTCCTCGGCCGGGAAACTACTGCTACCAGGTAGCGTCATTCCGAGCGTCTCGATTGCCGACGCCATGGTGTTGGCCGTGTACATGCCACCGCACGCGCCGCCTCCAGGGCAGGCATTCCGGATGATGTCGAAGCGCTGCTTCTCGTTGATATCGCCAGCGATGTACTGGCCGTAGGCCTGGAAGGCGCTAACAATATCGATGGGCTCGCCAGCCTGGCTGCAACCCGGCTTGATGGTGCCACCATACACCATGATGCTGGGCCGGTTGACACGGCCCATGGCGATCAGCACACCGGGCATGTTCTTGTCGCAGCCCGGCAGAGAAATGTTGGCATCGTACCACTGCCCCTGCATAACCGTCTCAATGCTGTCGGCAATAATCTCGCGGCTTTGTAGGCTGTAGCGCATGCCCGTGGTGCCCATGCTAATGCCGTCGGAGACGCCAATGGTATTGAAGCGCATGGGAACGAGGCCGGCCCGCGCCACACTCTCGCGCACGCGGGCCGAGAGGTCGAGCAGGTGCATATTGCAAGGGTTGCCTTCATACCACACAGACGAGATGCCCACCTGAGCCTTGGACATGTCCTCCTCCGTCATGCCGGTGGCGTATAGCATGGCCTGCGAGGCACCCTGCGACTTGTGCTGCGTGATGGTGGACGACACCTTGTTGAGCTGGTTGTCGGCATAGCGCCGGGGGGTGGTAGAGATAAGACGGCTAGATCAAGGAGCTTCAGCGGGCATCTCCCAAGGCTATGGAGGCATTCTCGGGGCAGAAACATACTGCTGGGTCCTCAATGGCAGCAGGCGGCTGGTTGCCAGAGCTCTGGGAGCTCTGGCCAGCGCTAGTGACGGCGAGATCATGATGAATCGTGTGCCACGGAAAGGGCAATCGTGAGGGGTTCTGCTTCAAAACTGGCTCAATTGCATCTGCGATACGAAAATGGAGTAACACTCGTCAATTGACCTACTTCCACCACGTCTTTGAAGGTGTGAGTCGAACTTTTTGGGCGATGTCGGCCGACAAATTTCCTCTGACCGCTGAATCTCGGTCAACCGAGCGCAAACGAGCAGGGGGTCCCCGCAGTAGCTCCCCGCCCTTGACTATCGAATTGCAAGCTCTCTGATTGGTCGTCGTCGGGCAATCATTCGTTCTCCAGAGCTTCGGGAACATGGAGACAGCTCTTGTTACAGATATCGTATCAACTACCGGCGCCGTTTTATTCATCCAAGCATCTAATAAACGTCTTTAACCTCCCAGAAACACCGCCCAATCATCCTCCAAATCCTTCCCCTCAAACTGAACAGGAATATGGGCGTAAAATGCCTAGCGTCGCCCAGTCGTGCTTCTATCAATGAACCCGATGTCTTCGCTTTGCTCCCGATGGAGGCACTCATCGCCGACGGAACGGGAGGATGCAAGCATTCTTTCATCAACTCCAAGTCACTGACCTGTATATTGCAAAGTGCCTGCCTGTCACAATCCATTCGCCAGCCGTGCGCCCTTCTCGCACGGCATTGGGTAAGCTAGTTGCCCATTTGCTCAACACCCCCGGATTAAGGCTTGGGCGCCGTCTCATTGGCGTCCTTAGACCCGGGCTTGCCATCTTCTTTCACCCTTCGGTCCAATATCTCATCCACGATGCCAAACTCCTTGGCTTCCTCGGCCGTCAGATGCTTGTCCCGCTCCATCATGTCATTGATGGCCTGCATGTCAAACTTCTCGTGGCCGAAGGACTTGTTGATGTGGCCCTTGACGATCTTGTTGATCTGCTCCCGTAACCTCTGGATTTGGTTCGCATATATCAATATGTCGGCCGCCTGTCCTCTAGTGCCTCCCAGCGGTTGGTGGACCATGATGGAGCTGTGCGGCAGCGCGTACCTCTTGCCGGGCTCGCCGCCGATGAGGAGAATAGCAGCCATGGAAGCTGCGGCGCCGACACAGACTGTCGAGACTGGAGACTTGATATAGGTCATGGTGTCGTAGATGGCCAGCCCCGAGCTTACCTCTCCTCCTGGTGAGTTGATATACATGGTGATGGGCTTGTCAGGATTGTCCGACTCGAGCCACAGAAGCTGAGCTACAATTGACGCTGACGTGATATCGTCAATTGGCCCGTTCAGGCACACTATCCGTTCCTGACCAGGTCAGAAGGGGACGGGCGGGGTTATGGAAGAGCATGAGGTTGACGACATACCTGTAGCAGCTTGGAGAATATGTCGGCTTCGCATTTTGGTCAGCATCAGTGCAGCCCCTTGACCTAGAGTTCAACGGGAGAATTCAACGCACATGTTCGCCATCCGCCTGCCTAATAATGGTCAGTACAAGACAATCAGTGGAACTGTAGGGTCAGAGGCTCAGAGATCTACGTACTGTAACCTCCGTGATGAGAGGCATAATTGCGCCCGAGGGCCGGAGTGAGCTTGCAGGCCCACCAAATTGTGTGAAGCGCCGGCATTGAGCTAGGCCGACCCTCCTGAGAATACCCATTGCTGCTGTTCTTTGGGTATTCATTATCGCGGCGCGGTGTAGGGAGAGCCTCGGCCTTTGATCAATGGCTACAAGACGTTCGAAGACAGAGGCAGTCTAAATGGGATGTTGCGTAAAGTACCTACCTTGGTGGTATGCACGTGTGGGGGAGCCGGTGGCAGTAAGGTCAGGTAACAGCGGAATTTACTAGTCGCTTGGCGATACCTGGAGCAGCCCCACCACCATCGGGACGGGAGCAGGGGTCCTGTCCTGTCGCAAACGCGCTCCCCAGTCGGCCAAAAATGCCCCGAACACTGAAAGGCTCGAGGGATTCAGACTCCCGTCCGTACTTATCGCTCCAACTTCCAGAGTTGCAATGGGTATAAGCTACGAAGTGGACAACTTCCATTCGTCAGAGCCATGAAATTGCTGGGGAGCGCATTCCGCAGTCGAAGCTGGCCTAGGGTTTGCCATTCTCGAATATGGCGACCCTCGATGGTGCGAAACTCGTCCGGCATCAAAGCTGCATACAGCACCGCCAGCGCCGGCACCTGCACCGGCATCGGCCTCGGCCCTAATTCCAGCGCCAAAGAATCTGCCTTGACTCCAGGCGGGCTAGAGGCTGACTTTACCAAGAAGACAGTCATGACAGCTATTGGCGAATTGCCACTATCCCCCCTTATGGACCCGGCATTCCACGAGGCCCGGCAAAGGTTCACGAAACCAAAGCCAAAATTGCCCTCGTTTCCCCTAACCAAGTTCCAACGGCACCTAGCTCGGAATCCCTACGGTAGGACTCACTCTCCGTCTTTCATCCTTATTGCTCTCCAAACTCTCCCAAGGGCCGCTGCTGACATCGACCGCAGCCATAGCTTTAGCATCCCCCGTTCGGGAATGTCCTATAACTGCCACCAAAGTTCCGAGATTCTTCCTCCAAGGATTCAACCTCTTGAAACCAAACGAGACGACAAAAGCTTGGTTTGTCCCACGAGATCTTGAAAAGAAAGAGAAACGGGTGCCCGCTGAAAGCGAAGAGGCCGAGGCCGACGAAGAGGCTAGTCAACCGCCCGCTGAAAGCAACGAGATCGAGACCGAAGAAGCAAAGACTGGTCTACCACCAGCTGCAGAAGGGAAACAGCATTCCACCACCGCTACCGCCGACAGTCGCAGAGTTGGGATTGCCACGGGTTCTGGTAGCTACATCCTCGCTCACCAGGAACTACTCAAGAAATTTCTTGTAGCGGGCTCGAAATTTCGCGACGGCCACAAGAAGTTGTTCCGTGGCGGTGCCTCTGTCAGATACAAGAAGGCCTTGAATGGCGCTGTCTGGCGCAAGGATATGCACACCTTCCTCCTCGAGCTGATGAGGCGTCGTCTTGCCGAGGAACTCATCTCTTTGGCGACCATGGTCGAGAAAGATCATCGGCAATATATCGTCAAGTGTGCGAGCTATGGCGCCGCGAAGGAGGAAAAGCACCGAGGCTGTCTCTTGTATCTTGGCCCGCCGCACGCGGATTCTGCCGAGGAAGCCAACCCAGAAGCGATACAGTCTTCTCCCGCTCCGGCAGCCGTTTCGCCGTCTGTGCCAGAGCCCCCTGCGCGGTTCTCTACGATGGCTGTCGAGGGTGCGCGAAACTACGGCCGCACGCTCGCGGTTCACGATTTACGCCCTGTTCTCGGCCCGGAGCACTTAAACCGCTTGAGGCAAGGGTCGGCGCTCTTTCGCGACGGCGAGCTGTTCCTGCTAGCCAGGCAGCGCTCTCTGCCAACGCAGCTGAAGTTGTTAAAAATACAAAACTACTTGCCGCGGGAGGCATCTTAGATGCAAAATGCCCCGGTGGCTCTTCGTGCTCTTCGGTTAGGGTCTAGAGGTTACAGCTTGACAGCCTCCTAGAGGGGTGGGCACGTCGTTTACCCGCCTCAAGCCAAAAGGTCACGGCAGCTATGATACCGCGGCGATCCCGAGCCGCGATGCTGGTGCGAATGAGCTTTGGTTTCTCTGCATTACATTGTCAAACTACAAAGATCGAACGACAGCGGGGTTAAACGGCCGCCAAGCTCCAGATGCACAGCCTCTTGCGAAATTACAATGAGGTTGCTGGGAAGGTGGTGTAAGCTCAAGCTACCATGCGCCCCGAGGCTCAGCCTTGCGTGATTCCCCGGTTACAAGCGACCAAGGCCGCCGAGAAGATCTGCAGATGCCTGGTTACCATCTGCAGGCATTTCTGGATCTGGATTGGTTTCTTCTTAATCTGGCATATCTTCTCGGTCAACCCCAGCAGAGGTCAGATTTCTTCGAGGAACCCACCTAGGCTGCGTCATCAGCATAGCTCACACCTCACAAACTGGGCGCTGGGCAGGAGATAAGAAGATGGGGCTCAACATGGGACCCCCATTTAGAATGGTTAAATTGTTCCAGGTTTTGTTTAAGCAGCGTGTCGGTTCTCGCTGTCGCAACGTTCGGCGGTTTTTTTGGCTTGTACATAGCGCGTCACATCGGCAGCAGGCAATGCCATGGCAATGCAGAGAGCCGAAATGGACGCCCGGAAGGCACAGTCTATAGATGATCAAGTACCAGAACATCCAACAGAACAAGAAAACTGTCCCCAAATTCCCAATGACGCAGACAGTGGGAATAACCTCATTCAAGATCAAGAAGAGCCCAGACAGTTGTGCGACTCTTCTCAAGCCCGGCCCGACCAGCATGGGGTTATTCGAAGACATCGCTGGACCCGAGGTATAGGAACCGCCGCGCAGACAGCCGCGCTTGTCGCTTTTGTTCTGTCTTGTGTCTCTCTCTGGTCCACGATTACTTCTGCCTCGGACGCCAGGCTGTCAGTGCTCCTGGCCCAGTGGACATCGTTGAAAGATTTCCTCGAGTACTGTGAGTCTGTAAGTGATATGCTACGGATGCCCCTTGTCATCTACTGAAGACTCGAGTTGACACGGAACACAGCATGATATACAGGCCCCGGCATGCACCTCGGCCCAGAATGCAACGCTTGCTCCGCCTCCAGGTTTGAATCCAGGCCCGAATCCAGGCTTGAACTGGCGTCGGTCAATATGGGAATCCAGGAACACCGCTAGAGGAGAAATCAAGCCGGAAGATAAATCGATGAATCTCGTTTTCGGGGCCGCCTACCCTGTCGTTTGTCTACTCGCGCTCTTAAGGCGCGTCAACTGGAGGAACGCTGTGCGCAGGCTCCGTGCCGGCCTACAGCGGCTCGCCTTTTCGGCACACGGGGAGCACTACTACGAGAAGCGATACATTGCGCAGACTTCAACCGCGCTGCCATCTCTGGTGGCCATCAGCAGCGGTGCCGACTGCTACTGGCAGACCACAGGGGTGTCCACAAGCATTCGTCTTCGGAAACCAGGGGGCAGACGCCGGCGAGGCGGTGGCCGGTCTGAACGAACGGTGAGGCACAGAGCGGGTAGGGGAGGCGCCGAACACCATCGTGCTGACGACGGGCTGTACGACACGAGCAGCGACGAGCTATTTGTCCGTCAGTCTGAGGGTAAACGCTCCAGGGCATGGGTCCTTCGGAGGCGAGTAGCGGCGAGGCAAGGAGGGTCTGATTCGCTCTAAGCCGGTCGGAAGACCATGCTGATATCATAGAGAGCGGATGAGCCGAACAACAGTCTAACTACGAGTGGAGACAATTATCAAGAAGAGACAACAACAGATATCAAGCTAATAGTCATGGCTGGGGAGTGAAGGGTAGGGACAGGTACGTGAGGGTAGGACCTTCAAGTTGTTGGAACGGTTGGCACACTTGTGTTTCTTCAGTTCAGCTCCTATGGCCCATAACGGGGAAAATAGGGGTTCTTTCGCCTTTTGCCTGTGATCAACCCAACGAGGAAATGGCAGGCAGATACTCTACAGCGAGAAACAGAGGCAGCGGCAGAGACCACAAAGTAGATTACAGGGTTAGGGTTAAGCATGTCAACCGTCGTTTCACTGGGCTGCTCTGATTGGCTCCTCTTAATTGGTGCCTAGGGTCCAGACGCGTCTCCACGCGTCTCCCAAACCGGGCCCTCTCGAGGCCTTCATCGATCTTGACTCTACGCCGCAGACCCTGGAGCAATTAACTGGCAACAAAACACGCCGCCGTCACCATGAAACGACAAGACTTCAACCGCATCGACGCCAAGAGGCGTAATGTCGTCGACCACCGCAAGAAGCAGTTTGCAGACCCGACGTACAAGGAAGCGCAGTATCCCCACCGCCTGAACTTCTACGCGACCCCGCCGACAGCAGACATCACGCTCGAGCAATTTGAGCAATGGGCTATCGACAGACTGCGCAGTATGGTCGCTCTCTCTTACCCTCTCTGATATCAGTGATAACGCATTCTAACATCACGTCTACCATACAGTCCTCGCCGAGCTCGAGGCATGCTCCTTCCGCAACAAGACCCTCTCCGAGACGGCACTGCACATGAAGCCGCTGCTCGACAAGTACATGCCCCTTGACGCCAACAGCTCCTCTTCTACCCAGCTCGTTGCGCAACGCCAGAAAGACCACTACAGCCACTTTATCCTGCGGCTGGCATTCTCGTCCACCGAAGACCTTCGGCGGCGCTTTTCGCGTGTAGAGACGATGCTGTTCCGGCTGCGATTGAGCGCCGACGACATGCGCGAGCGGGCCGCCTTCGTGCAGGGCCTAAACCTCGACTGGGACCCAGTGCCAGAAGATGAGCTGCGCCAGTTTGCGGCCGAGCTTGCGGCCGTGTCGTTTGGCTACGGCAAGAAGGCCCAGCAGGCACGAGACGAGGAGACGTGGTGCAAGGTAGACTGGGGGCGCGTCCCTGATCTCGTCGAGAGCCGAAGAGTCTTCTTGAGGGCCGGTAAGGCGTACGTTCCGTTTCGGGAACAGCAGAGCATGGTGGTAGCCGAGTTCACGACGCGGCTAGAACGGGCATTGGAGGTAATCAATTTGACTCCCCTCCTCTCTACTCTGAGGAATCGACCTTTCAGCTTGTCCAAGAGGTGTTCTGGCTGACAAAAATCAATGTTTCCAGCTCACGGCTCGCGCACTGCCTCGTCTAGATGAGGATGACCGCCTCACTCCCATCCTGAACCACCTGTCCAAGAACTTTGTCGCGCCCGACTCTAACTACAGTGGCGGCAGCACCGCCGTGGAAGGCGCCGAGATCACGGCGCGTAACATGGACAACTTAGTACAGCACTTCCCCATGTGCATGTCGAGCATGCACCGGATATTGCGCCGGGATGCCAAACTCAAGCACTTCGGCCGTTTGCAATACTCGCTCTTCCTCAAGGGTATCGGGCTCAGTCTCGAAGAGTGCCTCCTCTTCTGGCGGCAGGGCTTCAGCAAATTGACAGACGACGAGTTCAACAAGGAGTACCGATACAACGTACGCCACGTGTACGGAGATGTGGGCGGCGACTCCAACAGGCGAGGTGGCGGATACAGCCCGTACAGCTGCCAGAAAATTCTCACGGAGCACCCGCCAGGCCCCGGCGAGACCCACGGCTGCCCGTACCGTCATTTCAACATGGAAAACCTCACTTCTCTGCTGCAGTCCTCTGGTATCTCGGACAGGGCCGTGTTGCAGGGCGTAAAGGAGGACAAGGATAACCAGAAGTTCCACATGGCGTGTAACCGGTATGTCAACCTTCTTTTCCCCATCCTTGTTGTCTTAGTTCTTGTCATCCGGTCTGGATTCATACAGCCAATCACTATTACCGCCCCTCTTGTGGTGGTGGTTGGCTGCCTGGTTGGTTGGCCGGCCCCTTCTGGACTGCATCGCCGATATCCTTATAAAAGACATTCCTTGTTATTCTCCCTCGGATCCCGGCTCTCTTTACCACCCTCCCCCCGGACGCTATGCGCCTCGTTTATGGACACATTGGCACCTCGAGGGCGGGGGAAATAAGCAGAATTTACCGTGCACGCATGCTGACCTCGTTCGTGTAACAGCGTTTTCGAACACGTACACAAGACGGAGCTGAAACGGGCCCGAGATGACGGCGTCCTAACGGCATCCCAGCTTGAGACCATTGTACACCCCAACGAATACTTCAAGCGCAGCTACTTGCTCAAGCATATGGGCAAGCAGCAAAGTGGTGGTGACGTGAAGATGGACGGGTGACATGCGGCGTGATACTCCCTTAACCTATCGCTCCTCGGAGTTTTCCTTCTCGGCTTCCCTTTTCGGCTTGTTGTTGGAAGGAGCAACCACGTCACACAGGCGCCAAAGGCGCACACACCCTTTCCCACTCGTCCATGCGCACGCTTATTGATCTCTTTGGTCGTTTTTGGGAAGGGATGAGCATTATCATCTGGCGTCCCTTTTCTCACGGTGTACCACTGTCGCTTTCACATGGGAGCGCAGGAGAGACGTGAATGGCCCGTTATTTATGCAGCATTTTTGTATGGAATAGTTTCTGTTTTCTGTTTTTCTAGAGTTTGGAAATACCGGCCACGGCGGTGGAGCGTTGGGATCATAACGGAGGAAGAAATTTAGGTGCTTTGGAATTGAGGCATGGTACGAAAGTTAAATGTTCGGAATACTCTTATGCAAGTAATGAGATATCGCGCCCTTCTGGGGGGAACCCACCACTCTGATATGGTTGTTTGTTGTTTTTGGTGATATCGCTGTGCTACTTCTTCCCCTTTTCCATCAGGTTCGTCTAGCTTCTCAGGGCGTTGTCATTAAGACAGAAGAGAGCCTTTTTTGCATCATTGTTTTCCCTCTCAGTCTCTTAGGAGGGAGAGGGAGTACTCTACTGTACTATGTACCTCCTGACCCTCCCTCCTCTTACAACGACCCAACCTAACAGATTGGGGCGCGTTTGATGTTTCGGCAGCACCCGAGAAAAGCTTTCTGTTTTTAACCGCGTTGGCGACAAAAAAGACGTTGCATGCATGCATGCATGCATGTATGCAAATGCCAAGTTGGGCGCAAGTTGTGTTGCAACCTTACATACCTACGTAGTTTTGCTGCTGTAAGGTGGAGGCGCGAAAGCTGGCCTTCACTTTTCCTTGGATCTGAGGTGAGCGAGAAGCCCGATGAGCCAGCGATTTCTCAGATTCCCGCTCAGCATCTATGCTCCCGTGAGCCCCGCCCCGCCAGGAAGAACGCCTGCCCGGAGCAAATCCTCCGGACCATTTGCTCCGCGCTCCCCCTTTTACCCTTCCCCGCTCGGTTTGGCCAAGTTTTGTTTCGATCTTCTTCTTTGCTTGTGTTTCCCCCATGTCATTGTGTTTCGTCAGTCTTATTACTTCATTGCAGCGAGAAGTGGCACAGATGGAAGCGCCCGGCCCACCGATGAGGCTATTCGCAAATTTGGGAAGTTCTTCTTTCTCGTTCTTTCTCTGCTCCCCCCCTGTCCGGAGCTTTTGCTCCTCTCTCTTTTTCTTGACGGAGAATGATGATGGTCTCTTTCCGTTGGTCTTCCAAGCCTCGGGAGTTTGTCTGCAACGGCTTGGATACGTAATAGGCTTCTCCGGGGATCACCGCAAAGACCTGATGATGTCGGGCAGCAGCGTCCGAGACTGTAAACAAATGACCGCGGCGGCTGGCATCGGTTAGCAGCCGTCTCCGTGCACTAGAGGGACGATCTAGATGAACGCTCATCCGTCTTTGGTTCCGTCATAGTTGTCTAATACCTACTTCCACATGCAAAGCCAGGGTTGTGTCTGCTTACCTTACCTACGTATGTAAATCTGCAAAGCCGCCCTCCAGGGTCTCGCTCAGTTTTAGGGCGAATTCCCGCAGGGGAGCTTTCCAACGACCCTGCGTGATTTCTCATTGTCCATTCTCTTCTAGCTACGTACGGCGGTCCTGGAAAAGAAAAATAAGGGTATCATACCCTCGGGGAAAGGGGTCCGATGCGATAATTTCATGATTAGTACAGTAGCAGTAGCTCTCCACATCTTTCACGCAGGCATGCAATCTCACCTTACCTCCCTCTCCCCGCTACGTCAAGCAGGGAGAAGCTGTCTCGGAGCTCGAAGCTTATGACATGCATGGAGGACCCTGCTGGGTATCAAATCCCTATACGCATGTAGTTGGGCACAGAACAGAGTGAGATGAATTCGTTAAGCACACTTATGACTCTACGCGTGAAGGTAGCAATGTACGTTAACGCGAAAATGTCTAAAGCTCCATCCCCCGCCCAAGCTATATCCCCGCCGGCAGTGTCAACGGGATGCAGGGTGAGGTCATCGGAGTGGAGGACAAGAGGGGAGGAGAGACATACAAAGCTGCGCTACTGCAGTAAGTACTATGGCAAACTTTACCGTAGTTACGTTAGGGACAATTCCCATTCCCGCTGTGACGCGGTTTGTGCCGATTTCGTTGTCTGTCCCGTCTCTTGTGTCTTGTCATGTCTGTCTGTCTGGTTGAGCGTTCCACCGGCCCACAGCTCTGGCATGTAGGAACTGGATGACGCGATGCACAGCCCAAAGGGCATAATGCTATAATTGTCTTAGAGTGAGTTATTATCAATATCCGTGTCTCTTCGCCCAGCAGGGAGGTGTCATCCGGGACTAGGTCGGGGACTGTGTCGCATGGCCCGCCTGCATGCGAGCCCATCTGGGGGATGGTGTCGTGGACCTTTTTTGTTGATGAGGTGGCCCCCTTCGAACCTGCAGCGTGCATCGGGGGGAGGGGCGTGATTTGTCGACTGTGCATAGTTCCTGCTCACTTGTCTGTATGTCTGCCTTCATAGGGGCTGCCAAGTAGATGCTCATGACCAAAGGGCCGAAGTTGTTGAGAGAGGTCAAGGCCGCCCGCCGCAGCTCCCATTGTGTCTTGTCTGGTCAGCGATTTCCGAGCCGATGGGCCGCCCTCCTTGCTGATGGTGTGAAAACAAACCAGCAGTAACCGTTCAAAGGCAAGAAGTAGTGAAACTTGGCCTCCTCTGATAACCTATGTTCAAACGCTAGGCCTTTTTAAAATTAGAAAATGGTGGTGAATATCTGTTCAAAAGTGCCTCTCTGAGACTGATTTCTTTTTAACGTGGATATCGATTCCCCGCATGCCGGCCTTGTCCAAAGTATTTTGGTGCGTTTCATGTCTTCAATGTGGATACGCAAAGACGGATACAGCGGTTATCAACCGTGCGTCAATTCGGCAGTCAAGCCTACCCCCTGGCCTCCCTCTGACGTCCTCCCTACCACTGTAACACGTTGAAAAATATTCCGGAGGCCTTTTGAACAACAAAGACAACGATAAGCCAGATTTATGATGTCGCTGTGCAGGCCGAGGGGACCCTTGATCAGCAGCCCCTTTCCCTCTTTCGAGGAGCGGAAGCCCACGATATCCCATTAGCTCTTGATTGGCTTCCTTCACGGCTCACAGGCAGCGCCAAGCGCGTGCCCGTCACCGTTCGCTTTTGTGTTGGGCAACAATCTTGGGTGCGATTGATTGCCTCGGAAGAGCAGATCTTTCCTTGTTCGATGCACAGACAGGAACGAAACGACGAGTTGGAGGGTCTACGGGCTCGTGTCCACAGAGCTGTGCATGTAACCTAACCTCTTCAGCTCATTAATTGCAGCTGGTGTGGGAGAGTGCTTGGTAGGCTCTCGGCATCTAAGGTTCCAGATGAAACTGCCGAGCTTTGTTCAGCTGGTCTAGGGTTCTCCAGGTTTCTGTGTGCGTTCTCCATTGACAAAGAAGCCAACCACAGTTCTGTCAAATGCGCATGTATCTGTATACGTTGAGAGATGAGTAACCAACTGTTTGGGAGGGCTGTCTGTGCGTCCCAACTTACACAATTACACATAACTTGATATTTTTAGGCACAAAGATGATGATAGATGCGAAGCAATTTGTTCAGGTATGGTAATAGTTTGTTTCATGGGCTTGTCGTAAAAGATTGCTGCAGATAGCGCAATTCTATCATAATTTCCAAACTGCTTGGTCGTGATCATTCCGGTACTTATCCAAAGACTAGACGCCTCGCTCAAAATCAAATAAGTTCCTTGCATGCAATTCTTCGAAGAGCACAGGTAGGCCGTCTCGGGACATAATCTTTGAGAGAAACATAAAAGAGAAAATGGTGAACCCTTCGTTAACGGCAAGCCCCACATGCCCTAACTACCTTCCGCGCAGCCCCGCCATGACGAGTTCAGGCGGAAGCAGGTCGACGTCAGATCTTGGCAAGGACAGGGACCTATCGAGGCCCAGCAGTTGAGCGGCATGTGGGTGTCGCTTTTGCAGGCCAAAAACGCAGGATGATGAATAAGGTAAAAAAAAAAAAGCTGCGCGTGCGCTTCTGCCCAGCCTGGCGCGTTGATTCAAATGCTAATATGGCAGTCGCGTCTGGCAACTGTTGCAGCACATCCAGCAGTGTTGTTGAAATTCGATATGTCCAGACTAGGGTATTTGCGGAACGAGCGGGAGTACGGGCCAAGCCCTGCGGCCACATGCTCCATGGCCGGAGTTGCCGTATCTGCGACAGCCGCAGGGCGCGAGGGCACGAGGGCGCGAGGGCGCTTCCCGACCGGCCTCGGTGCCACAAGACTTTAAACCTTCTAGTCGACTGATGGTACGTTGTGTGCATGGGCCGCGTGTTGTTCGGCGCGTCTCCAATACCGTACGCTGACAGATTGACACTCGAGGGGGTGGAGATGGGGTGTGGTAGGGCGGGCTGTGCAGCTGCTCCGTAGTCTCCAAGTGGTTGCTGAGTCCTGTTCGGATCGACAGGTTCCATATGTTCGGGGACTGCCAATGCAGATGGCTGTGCCCAAGCGCCGTGTTTGTCACGGCCATGACCTTAGAGGCATGGCCGAAGAGCAGGGTTTTTCTGCGCTGTTCATGTCGCGGGATGTCCAATCTATGAAAAGATCCGTTTGGAAATTTGGCGTTGCCACGATGCAACCGAGCAATCGCCCTCCGATGATGCGGGAAAAGGAGCGAAAGGCGGTAACGCACGGCGCAGCTAGAAGTGCGGTGTCGTCGTTTTGATATCGTGGAGAGAACAACGGTTGTCCCCTCTCCTCTCAAACTCTAACGACGAGTTGAAATCGCTGGCGACGTATCTGTGTTGCTGACCTGGCTCCCGGGCACTTATCGATCCATGCATGTATTTCGTGTATCGGGATTGGTGACGACATGCGCCTTCACTTATAGCCCACCATCTTGGCGCACCGCTTGCAATAGTAGATATTAGTCCCAATCTGGACCATTCCGGAGAGTCTTGGGTCGTCTGTCGACGTCATCTCTTCGGCCCGGGCGCATCTCAAACAGCGAAGTATGGAGACTTGAACGGGGCGTTGTGTTGAGTCCATAGACAGGTCCGAGTCTGATGACGAATATGTCGAAGATGAAGATGAGGAGCTGTAGGCAACCTTGGGGCGGTAGGAAGCCATGGCGAAACTGAGGGTCCGGCAGCGAAACGCTCACATACACAGACAACTCGAGGCGAAACAGGTTGTTTTGGTGTAAGTCTGGAGCGCAGTTGAAGGTCGAAAACGTATGTACTGGTGTGCGGCTACACTGCTTTATTAAGGGAGAGCTTGGTGGGTACCTAGGTCACGTTGGGCAGGTGTTGGCTGTGGGACGGATGGGCTGGCCAGACCAAGCTTTTTTATGGCCTTGCGTCAGTCAGGACTTAGGAGCGCCCCAAACTCGCCAAGGAGCGCCTTGGACGTTGTGTGCACCAAGGTGGTACATGTACCTGAGTTCAAGGAGAGTTACGGGGGTACATTCATACAACTCTGGCCAGGGAACTTGTGTCCGAGGTTGCCATGGAATGGCCTGTGAGCGAGCGGGAGCGGGCGGGTGGGAACACACTACCCAAAGTCAAAGTACGGACAAAGTACAGCTCGGCCTGCAATACCTGCTTGAGGTACTTGAATGTCACCTCGAATTAGTCGAGACTCCTAAACAAAAGGTGGGTCTGATCCCAAGCCCCACCAGAAAAAAGGTTCGCGTGCGCGGCGTAAGTGCGCGTCGAGATCGAGATTTGAAGTCCAGATCAGTGTCTGTTGGACAGGGTGGGTTTTGGCAAGTGCAATAAACGAGTCACCCGTTACTTGGTACTTTGGTGAGCTATGGGGGCAATAGCGAGAAGAATTCGGATAAACCCCCGGTTGTCTTTACTGGAGCCTTTTATGTATTAGCAAATAAAGTTTAATGCTAGGACTCAAGAAGGTATACTCACAATAGTCAAGATGGGTTTTTTTCTGTTCGGGAGGGAGACTCGTGGACATAAGGTGGTTCCGTCGGTGCGGAGTTCCTTTGGAGCACCTTCAGTAAATGCATATTCTCAAGAGTTCCAGGAAAGAACCAGAGGCGGTCTAGAAACATTCATACCGACCCTTGTCTTTAGCCCAGACCAGACCCGTGTTAACTTCCATCCTCCTTCGGATATTAGGAAGGCGATCGTCCAACTTTGCAGCCTTGCCAGGAGCTTCAAGAGTCTTAAAAACCAACCCAAAGGCTCAGTCGGGCTCAGAGAACAATCTCAACCCCTCAGACGAGATTTGACTCTGTTTCATTTCACCCCTGATGGCAAAACCTCCAACTGGAGTTGGGGAACATTTTGCCATCTGCAGCCACTTTATTCCCCGTAATTACAGGCTACTCCCTACAGGCGGGAACGTTCGCGCACTCCGGCCCGAAAGCAGGCGTTTTAGCAAGACATTTTTAGGTTGATCCCTATCCGCGCTGCGATACAAATCTCGCACTTGTTTCATACCAGGTAGAGGCGTTCCGACAAGCACGTTGTAATTACGGATTGTCCCGTACCTGTAGATTGGAGCTGTGTCTTTGTACACACACACTGCACCCTCTGTGGTGATTGATAGGTGAAGATCGAGGGCACCACCAGCTAACCACAAGACAGGAGGTAATTAACCACCTTACCTTTCCACTTTGGAAAGAGAATCAGCTTGGCCTGTTTGGTGTTTCGGTGTAAAAACTCGAGATGCTAGAAACGCCTCAATAGCACAACTGCTAATCAGGGGGAAACACAACATCTCAGACCTGCCTGAAGTTTGCTGAGACATATCATCGGCCTGTCTTCAGTCAGCCACACATTTTGGATTCACGGCAGACAACGGCTTCTTCCGACAGCTGAGAGTCTTGTCAGAGGGATCGGCTGCTAGGTGAAAGCTTCCGGCCGAGGGCACAATCTCTCCGCCGATGCCCAAAATTGCCTGTTCCGTGCTCGCTGACAGAGCCCTCACAGCTTCCGAGCTGCGGCAGGGTTGTCCTGACTCCGATGATATGGCATATCGTACCACTCCGCTTCCACTATTCCGTAACCTCTCTAAGGTGTTCCGTGTCGAACCTAATAACCTACCACCTGATGTTCGTCCACAATGCTTCTACCGCCGCTCGGTGATTAAACACTTACACGGGACTTATCGAGAAAGCAACGCGCATACGCCTTTTACCACATGCCTAACTTAGATATCTAGGGACCTAGACTTACCTCGGGCCCCTGTCTCATGCAATGGGGTTTGGTTCATGCACATGTGTCCTTTCCCCGCTCATTGATAACGACTCTTTCCGACTGCTAGTCAGTCAGCGATTCTGTCCCTGAGGTCTTATTGCAACTGAGCCGGATCGTCGCAGTGCGTCAATCGATCCAATGTCGCTGCCATCGAACTTCTCCCGCTCTCGGATTTCTGGAGGCCTGCAGATCACTCAGGTGATGTGCATACTTACACACGCACATACAATTCATGACCTCTCAGCGTGACAGCAGCAGCTAAGGAGACGAGCCCGAAAGCTGTCGGGTATCAACCTCAACACCAGAGAATATATTGGAAAAGACGCGAAGGATGTACGGAGCGGCGAGCGAGCCTCATCATCCTAAGACAACACGTCGCCGTGACTCAAACCTGACCCAGAGCGGTAATCAAGATACATATCAGGAGGTTTCCGCATGTTCGGCCCCGCAGTGGCTTGGGAAGTGAACGTAAATTATGCTACTTTGAGTTTATTTCTCGACCGCGTGGACATAGCAGCGCCCGCCCTGCCGCGGGGTAAACTGTAAACAATCATGCCCATCCTGACCGTGTACATACATACAGACAATATCCCACCGCTTGCCCTTGCGCGCCTTCCTAGATGCAGCTACAGTAGATAAGAAGCTCAAAGTTACACAAGCACGGGGCAGAGTATGTCCAATGAGACAGGATCTCGACACTGCACACACCCTTTCTGCATCCAGGTATTTTATTTAGCTCGACGCGCAAGACGCTGTGGTTGGCCTCTGGGTGGTGCTCATCAATACCCATTTCAGAAGGCCGAGGGGCCCCTCTCGCACGAAACGAAGCTTGGCGCCCCTTGGAGCAGCCTGGAGTTTAAAGTCCGGCCTATAGCTAGCCCAGCTTTCGAGAAGGACCTCCATACCGCCTGCCCGTAAGGTCAGCACCGTAGCTCGGGAAGGAACCCCCTCGTTCTAGCGTGCTTTTCGGGGTGGTCTTGGCTGGGCTTGTTCCGGGGAGGAGGAGGGGCAAAAAGGGCATCAATCGAGATGGATAACCAACTAACCTGGAAGTTATATAAGGTGGGTAAAACCTATGACCAGCTATGGCAATGATGAGATGGGCATACAGTAAAGCGCATGAAAACGAAAACGCTTGGGAGTCTGGGAACATCGAGATCTACACCAGGTTCGACGATGGCTGCCAATTATAAACTCTACGACAGTCGTTTCAACCCACGGAATACCATACCTAAAAACACCACCATCAAGAGCCAGATCCACCTGAACGCCTAGGGATCGGCGGTTGGGTGTCCGTTGGGACTCGGCGCACTTTGCCCGAGTCCTACCTATTCCCTCTTGGTTGCTTGTGACCCGGGCACGGCTACCCGCTACTACCTACTCGAGTAGTACCATACGTAGCAACAAGATAGGCTTTCTTGACTCCGGGGAGTAATTTCCTAACGGGGTGCGGCCCAGCCAAGCACATGCATGGCTGCTTATTAGCAAGGGAAAATGTAAGAGCCTGGCCGTAAGCTGCCCTACCTACATACATACCAGGCGCGGCTTAGCAGCAGTCGATCGATCTAGATCAGAGGATTGATCGGTATTCGACAATGCTCTCCCACTTTTGCGATCTCTATCTCAACCCCCTCAAACATGACGCCTTGCCCACTTGTCGTTCTGCCGCACCGCCGAAGTAGGCCGACTTGCTTTTGTCGCTGGCTATATACACGTAATGACACACATAAATCGCCCACGTGCCTATTGTACACCTTAGGCGAGTGCTCTGTCAATGAAGGTTACGCGCAAGTGGTGGCTGTGGCGTGTGGCGTCTGGTGTCTGTGCAAATGTTTCGCCCCCTTCTTTCCCGCATCATGATCGTGTTGCATTACAAGCCGCCGCACGCACCAAAACACCATTGCTTAATCTACTTCCGATCGAGAGGACGGAGTGTACAGCACAAAGGCCTAAGTGATCTTTATTATTTTTGAACTTGACGTCCAAGCCCAAGTTCAAACAACTTAGGCCGGGCCGTTGAAGAGAGGCTGTGCCCGGCACAACATTGGACAGTATGAGTCTGTCTACAACAACCTGATACCCTAATGGGTGTTTCCGGTTATTGCCCGTGACACTTCATGGGTTCAGGGGCTTGTTACAACACTAGGGAAAGGAAACCAGTTACTGAATAAATAAATAGATTTGGGTATCAGACTCTCATGCCCTGACATAAGTCGAGGCATCAAAAACAAAAACAATAACAGCAAGAAGTAGGACCATTCTTCTGTGTCCGCACCGCGTTCTCCCTTTCTCCAATGCTTCCTCGATGCTCACTCGCCCACTCGTAAGCTATCTCTTTCGTCGAATCCACCAATCTCATTCAACAAGCTGGCATGGCTCGCTCGCTTCTGGCTCCGCCTGGCTTCCCGCCCTTGTGCCCCGTGGTAGCCAGTTAAGATAAGAATAAGAAAATACCAAGAAATCCCATACGCGCGGGATAGACGGTTGATTTCTTTTCAAGGAAAAAATATTTTAAAATATCCCAGATCTGTGTATCTTGGTTCCCACAGGCTTCAGTGTGTTTAAACGCCATCACAGAATACCCGGTTTGTCTCTCCGAAAAGGAGAAACACCGCATTCGAGTAGAAAAAAATGAGAAACCGAGCGGAAAGGACAGAGAAAAATTAGGTTCAAACCTCCCATGTGGCGAACTGTCTAGACATAGACAACAAAACATAAGATGTACAACGTGAAATGCAAAGGTGAGGATGTGATCCCAGCGCTCAGATGGGCTCCAACTCTGCCTACCATTCCTTCTCGGTTTTTCAATGTCTCCAAGAAGCAACCAACTTCCGGCAGAAAGAAAGGAGTTTGAGAAAATGAAGCCGTCAGGTCCAGGGGCGTTCCCCAGATGGTGAGATGTATAGATGTGTTCGCCCCGGGCGCTTGGACAATGAAATTTGGGTATACAGCGTAGTCGTATTGATGTGACGGATGAGTGAAAGATCCGCAGATTGAATAGTGAAGATAATACTCTCAGCCCCCGGGGGGTTCCCCGTTTGTAGGCGCCTCTGATTGTTGACTTCAAGCCTTGCCTCGCCACAATTGCTTGCTACGCTGTCTACTCGAGATGGCGATATAATGACGGAAAGGAGGCGCACCGGTCAACGTCTGAAATCCCTAGAAGTAGCAACGGCGTGCTGCGAACTACTGGAAACATGGCTACCTAATGTGCCTTGGGCAGAAGAAGGATCGTTCGTCGTAGGCCCGGATTCACTGCCCGAGTCTTTTTGGTTGGCGAGGGGGCTAGTACTTATGAAAGAGGCAGCAACTCGGCTCGCCTACTGAGGTTATGCTGTCTTGACAAAAAGCGGGTGAAAACTCGATATGGTCCAAGCCAACTAGAAGTGTAAATCGGCAAGAGTTCTGTTTAAACGGCGCTGCCGTCTTGTCTCCTGCGCGAAATCGTAGGGAAAAAGAGGTCCGTGTAGGGTTCTCACATGACCACACAGCACCCGCATCCGTCCTTCTTTTGAAGTGGCTCCTCTGGTGGTGCCGGCACCCTAATCGCTGGGGTCGGCTGGGGTGGGGGCTGTTGTACTGGTGTTCTTGGGCTGGGCAAAGGGCTCATGGCTGGCAAGTCGGTGATCTTGGGCATTGTCGAATACGAGCCGGCCCTTCCAGGCATATTTGGGCTCCTCGACTCCGTCTTAAGGGGCCAATCAGCCTGGTCGTCATTCTGATCGTACCTCTGGTCGTCTCTGTCGGCCTCCTCCGTCGAGGCCTCAAATTCTGGGGGCTTTAAGAAGCCTTCGTCGGTGAGTGGCCTAAACTCTTTGTCGTAGACATTCCCAAATTTCCCTTCCCGCTCCCACCTCTCCTGCTGTAACCGTCTGGCTACAGTCGGCAGTAATTGCTGGTCGGGTGGCAGGCGGGGATCCGGTCTGTATGCCGAGACCATCCAAGGAGGTTCCCCCTCCATCTGCTTGCTACTCGAGCCAAGAGATAGCTCGCGTTCTCCGGACCTTGTCGATGGTCGCGTTGTCCCTCCCCCACTGCTAGTAGAGTCCTTGCTGGGACCGCCACGGGTTCGTGGTCGGCCTGCGGGACCGGTTGCTGGCTTGATGGCGGACGGTTTCCTAGGTGCTGTAATAGCTGATCCCTTCTTGGGTGACGCATCGTTCCTCTTATTCGGTTGGGCGGTGGTGTGAGAGGGTCCGTTGGTCGTTGCTCTTGCAATCGGATTTCCTGTGCTGCCACTCCTTGCCCGCGTCCTTGGCAGACTCAGCCCGTCATCTTCGCCAGGGCTGTGGTCCCGTTTTCGGACCAAAAGCGTGTCCCGTTCGAGATGCTCACTTGGTATGGGTACAGGGCTTGCCTTGGCAACCGGAATCCGTGACAGACCCTTGCCCACCCCATTAGAAACAAAGTAGCCCTCTTCGGCAGCCTCCTCGGGCAGTCTCAGGTCCCAGCTGGGAACCGAGGCCGCGTCCGGGGTCCTTGGTTCAACTGCGGCCGCTGAGTTCTTCCTAGATTGTGCCGTCATCTGATCCACGGCACCGGCAGCCCGTCCCTGCCCATTAGATTTATCTTGGCTCTGGTCTCGCCTCGCTCGGTTTTGACTCTTGGATCTCGCCCTCTCTCTTGTTTTGGGCAGGAAAAACCCTGCGGCCTGCAGCTCCTCACTCTCTATCTTTGCTAACTTGTCTCTGTGGATCCATTTTGAGTTGTCTTCGTTGTTGTCACCTGGAAAGAGATCGCTAGCTCCTTTCTTGCGAGCTTCATCGGGCCGATCGCCCTTTCCAGCGCCATATAGGTCCAGCAAGCTATCGGCGGGGCTTTCGTTGTCTTTGACGGCCCCTCGAGGCTTGATGTCCTTGTGATGGGATTGCGATACATAGCTTGGTTCGAAGTTTCTGGGCTTCATTTCGGAGCCAGTCTCGCCGTTGGTGTGCTTGCGCGAAACGAGTTCTAGGCTCGCAGAGTTGTTGTACAGACTTGAATTCCCATTCTGAGGCGTCATAGGAGGTCGACTAGACGGATTAGAATTTTCGTCGTTTGCGGGCCCTTTGTTGTCTTGTATAGGCTTCTGCGCGTAGAAAGACAGGATTAGCATTGGCGGGTCTTGAGGGGGGTGCTTGGAGGGTTTTAACCACTGGTGTTCGAGACACCGCGCTTAGGGACCAGCGTGGGTAGATGGGCAAAGGAAATGGCGCTAATGTTAAGGCAAGAGCGTTCTGGTTGCAACAAGAAATCGAACGCGTCTCGGGACGGGCAGTGGGGTAATCTGATGGAAGGCGAGATTCGCCCAGCATCTCACCTCTGTTTGGCCCGTCATGGGGACATCCCACGGGTAGCCAGTCCCATGGGAGCTTGTAGGCCGCGTGAAGGTTGTCGCGGTCTGTGACACAGCTGCCATACTCTCATCTGGCAGCCCGCACACGCCGCGGTCACTGCCTCCAGGTAGACAAATATGCGGCGATTGCGCGGGGTTGGCGGTCGGGCAATTAGTAGAAATCGCGGGTTCGAAGCCAATATCCCAATCGACGCAGGCGGCAGCAGGCCGACGATTGCGCGTAAGACTACGCAGTCCTAGGTTGTTGTTGTTGGAGAAACTGTAATAGTCGGGCTTCGGTTTACCGTGCAGCACACTTCCTATCGCGATTTCCTTTCGACCCGCGCCTTATATACAGCTTCAATATCCAGCCTCTTGAGTCCTGGGCAGCCAAAACCGCCCACGGGTCTGTCAAGGACTCAGCAGACTTGCCCTCATCCAGTCCGTCATGTGCAAATGGTGGTGGGAGTTCTCGGGGCGGCGTAGATGGCGGTGTCGGGGGTAGTCCGGCCGAGGGTGGGCAGATTAGGTCGCGGAACGTCGTCAACGACGGGCTGCTGGAGGCGCGGATCGCGGGTATCAGGCCTCTCCCAAAAAAAGCAAAGAACCTTGTTGACGAACGAGGTGCCGGGGCATACCTTGGTGGCTTTTTTGGAAGGGGGTTGGCGCCTGCGGGTCTCGGATTTTTCTTTCTCCCCCCCTTTACTGCTACCTCCAACCTGCGTCGGGTCTAGTATGACTGTCGCCTCAACTGCACCTCCTTAAGCGTGCTAAGGACGAGATGAGCAGACACGGCGTTTAGATCTTCGTCCTAATTAGACGTTGAAGACGGATCTGGCATGTCATCAACGTGGGAGAGCGGTCGGCGTTGCTTCACCTCGCTCGTCCTGGGCCTTTTACGTGAGGGGCGGAGAGGGTCCGAGAGCCGGCTAACTCCTTCTCTACGCTGATTGCCTACAGACAACGCCTTACTTTATTGCAATGTTCGGGGATTGCACAATAAAAAGGGCTAGATGACAACAGCAGCAACGATAATAAACATCGCTAGGAAAGATGAGATCGTTGTGCGCCGACCAATGTCAGGCTTGCGATGCAGTGGCTGGGCCAAGCACCATGAGTGGCTGTTCTAGACCTTCCATAGCTCCCAAGGGGGCAAGTAAATTTCAGGGTTGCATTACAAACTGCTGGCGACGAAAAGGGGTCCCGTTAACCCAGCCCCTTTGCTATTGGCTAATGACCCGAGAGCATGCTTTCCCATTGGCTGGCGGATCATCCCTTTACACTGACGAAAAGGGCATATCTGTAACGAGACATACACAGGTGACAGGCACAGGTGATCAGGTCAAAAGGCACTGCTAATATCCCATATACCCTTTGCCAGCCTCAAGAGCGAAATCCAGCGACTAACCAGTGTGGCTTTAAGCCCACCAACGTACGATACTGTGCAATTTAGTGTAATTGCCCAAGCGATCAGATGAGATGACCCTCTCTCCAAGACTACAAGAATTTTGGCCACAGAAACTCATCCTCTAACGTGCTGCCGGCGAGCGCCTCGAACTAAAATCTTCATTCTAGACCTAAACGACTGGTGAAGACTTCATCTTCCGACGCCCTCTTGACTCTCAACTTACTACAGCAGGTGGAACTGTGATATGACATTAGGTAATGTATTTGGTACCGTAAGTGTCTTATTTGCACCTTTCTTAGGCTGCCTAATCCGTTTCTACAGTACCTCTGAAATATAAATACCAACTGAAGTCGGGTATAGATAGAAAGTTCCAGTTTCTAATGCTAAGGAGCTTACAGCCTATCCATCCAGAATAGGAGACGCATCTCTATTTACTCTTCACGACCGCCTACAGTTGGCCATCCACATAGCACTTCACATTCCTACTTTGGCGTGCCCGCCCGAGGCAAGCCTGGGGATCAACAGCTGTGAGTTATCCCCAGACTAGAACCTAGTCCTGGCCCTCGTCACATACCGATATACCCGCACCTACAAGTATCGATGAAGTTCTAGCGCTTGATGATGGGAACGTATCTTACCATGGTAGCTAGGCATTCTCAGCAATTTCCGCCTTCGAAGCTGCAGCCAGAAGCGGGCTTTTGAAGACAATGGCTATGTCGTCTGTATCATTACGAAAGACTCGCCGTACCAGATTTGTTTGCATTAGCGACACCCATAATGCCACAATTAAGCTGCCAAAAGGCGACGTCTTGATCCACGCTGGAGACTTGACAAACCAAGGGAGCTACTCAGAAGTACGGTTATCCCATGTTTCTCGCTTTGCCCTTGTTGGCCAACATATAGACAAGGGGATTGCTTAGAGTGCCAGCCAGGCTAACTGTTAGATTTGAAGCTATCCAAGGCTACCCAATGGCTAGAGAGCGCAGATTTCGAGGTCAAGATTGTCATTGCCGGTACCAAGGATCTATTCAGCTTATGAGAACAGCGGAACACCCACGCTGACCGGCTGCAGGGAATCACGATATCACCTTGGATGAAGATTTCTACTCACAACATGGACAAACTTCCATAACAAACACCTTCAGGATCCAGTCGAATGTTCGTCACTACTCACATCCAGCCGCACAATCACATACCTTCGCCACAGTTCGGCAACTATCCGGCTCAGTAATCCGGCCGGGCCTAGGACCGAGTTTACGGTTTTCGGGTCTCCGTATAGCCCCCGGAATGGTCTTTGGGCATTTGGCTATGACCAAGACAGTGCTACTTCCGGAGCGCAAACGGTTGACACGATCGGAAAAAGCGCGTCAGAAATCTGGGCTGCTATCCCGAGAAATACTGACATACTTATCACTCACACGCCGCCTCGCAACCATTGCAATGGCGGTTCTGACCGCAATAACCAATTAGGCTGCGAAGAACTGCGGAAAGTAATTGGGCGCACTCGCCCTCGACTTCATGTATGTGGCCATATTCATCGGGCCCGAGGCGCTGAACGAGTGACGTGGAAGTTAGGCAACCCCGACTACGAAGATGGCACATGTGCTGAAGTTGCTGGCGTGGAATACTGGGAAGACCCAAGCCCTGGTAGCCGGTCTGCAAAGATCAGTCTTGTTGACCTGACGGATCGCGGCGTAAAGAGGTCTCCGGATCCTTGGCTGGCATCAAACGCAGCGGGACTTGCTGAAGAAAATCCATCGGACAACTTCAACTCGCCACACCAGGCTGGAGGAGGCCTAATTTGCCCGGCACTCTCCGGGTCGGAGTCGCAGCCCGCTACAAGGCCAAGCGATCAGGCCGGGCAGGACGGCGATCTTGGGACCAGGTCCAACCAAAGCCCCGGCTGTAGCCCGGGTACCGGCCCTCTGGGTTCCCAGGGAGCAGGTTCAGTCCAGGGTAACCCGGCGGAACCACCGGATCGGATGAGCCGGCGGGAGACTTGCATTGTCAACTGCGCCATTATGGCCAGTAACTGGCCACACGCGGGGGGGCGGCGATTCAATAAACCAATTGTTGTCGATTTGGATTTGCCGGTCTGGAGATGAAAAGGCTCAGTTCTCCCTTTTTCAACAAGCTACATTGGGGATTGGCTACCGGTCAGGAGAGGAATCCGGTCAGCTGACCCCCTATCGCCATATGGGAGGTAAATGCTGATGTGTTGGCAACGCCCAAGTCGATGCCCTGATCGGTCGTCCACTGAGACCACTGCCGATGCGAACCCCGGTCTCCTCTATTGTCGGTTTCTCTTGCCGAAACTCAAGTACGGGCTGCAGGTACAAACCATATCCTGAGCTCAACTTCTGCTTCAGCCCCTGAGCTACGAGGTCGCGTGCTGCTCGGAGAGCCTATTACCTACCAGTCTCCCTTCACGGCAAGCGCGGACCAGAAGTTGGCCACGTCTAGATGATGCGTAACTTGAGACGTGGCGATTTACCTATCTACGATATCGTTTCTGCATGCTGCGCCGAAAGACGGCAAATTCTTTCTACGATGACACTGCCTGGGTGAGCATGATGTCTTTTGCGGAATATCCCTGGTTCCCCGCCACTGGACCAATTGAATTTGACAAATTGTCCATCGGCGTATGGTTGTACGTACTCTCGCTGCTGCGGTTTCGCATTGCGTAGGTGCAACGAGGGAATTGCTTCCTCCACGACCTCTCTCTCTCTCTCACTAGCGTCGTGAGTTAGCCGCATACAAAAGCGCCAATTGCTTTCTCACGCCATAGCGACGCAGCTATAAAGCGCGGAACTCACCCCTGTTTCATACTTGCGCTTCGGATGCACTCCAAAAGGAAAGGAAGGTACCTCCCCACTTCGTTGGCGTGGAGATGCTTCTACGAAGGTGCAGTATTTACAACATCGCCTGGCAAGAAAGGCCTGAGCTTCAGCCCCGTTATCGAAACGCCGGACTAAGGCAGGTAATTTAGCTCCGGCTCGGCTCAGGCTAGGCCAGGCCTCTTGGCTCAATTTTCTGAGGAAGCCGATGGTTTACCCGTGGGATCGCCGATGCCAGAAGTGTCTGAGCCACTTAGCTTACTGCACCGCCATTTGTCTGGAGGAGACACGAACATGCAGTGTCAGACGTCTTAGGAGTTTCTTTGGTCAGCAGCGGCCCGCAGCCCGCTAATATCCTGCTGCCGGCTTGTGAGACTGAGGGGTCCTCACGTTGATCCTCGACGAAAAAAAGGCACAAAACAAGTTAGTCAACTGATGGAAGACCATCGACGCAGCTTTTTTAAGCCAATGAGGGGAGCAAAGAACGGTGCCTTTGCGACTTCGGTCTATCCCTTTACATCGAAAAAGCGTTATGGATATTGCCTGGATACATCTTCAACTCGTCCAGGCCCACTCCAAGAGGCTTATCTATCCCAGCATGCCGAGTAACTGGACCCCAGTGCGGATACATGAACAACCTTTCCAGAACTTTGTAAAAATTATAACATATCGAAGGCCACACGATGCCTACCGATAGTATGCACAAGTATATCACAAGAGTCCAAGGCGCTTCGGGATTCGTTGTCAGCCAGTCGTCCCCGCCTTCTTCAATGAAACACAACTGTTCATCCACAACTTAGATATTGTGGGAAGAGAACAAAACGTTGAAAAGAGTCGGGGAATGTAGGTGGCTCAACAACTGTCCCGGCGACACCACGATTGGCTGTAAAATATCCAGTATCCTGCAGGAGACGAGAGAGAGTTGCGCCATTTTGCCTTGATGTCAAGCTCGACCTGCCAATGACGCTCGCATCCAAGACCAAACCCCCTCTCATGCAGAGATGCCTTGGACGGCATAAACATGAGACGAAAAGGCCATGAAAGAAGCAAGAACTTGTCGCTTATGTCTTCAGTGACGACAACTTGGGGGCAATAAACTCTTACCAGGTCTTTCCTTGGTAGAAAGGCACAGCCCAGGGGGAAACCCTCGTCACCAGCTTTGACCGTTTTTCCAGTTTTCTTGATAGCTTGAAAGATGCAAATCTCAAAGCCCAAGGTGCAACGGAACATGTGTGTGTAACCAGGGCACCTACTACTGAGGTCACAAAAAGGCCGGGCGGTCATTGACATTTGCGCGAAGGCAAGCACGACGCATTGCTTACCAAACGAACAAACAAGTTGCACTGCGTGTTTCTTACCCAAGGCAGTCAATGAGGATGAACCAACGGCTCCCGCTCACCGCTACCAAGCTTAGGCTGGTGGTGTACGGCATATTCGCCAAATATTGATGGCGCTTCGATCAGGGCTCCTCTTTGACCTGGCAGCCGCTCCAGCCTACCCGATTACTACCCCTCTTCGCTACGTACGGCCAAGAACGCCGCCCTAAACGCAACTTCCTCCACATTTTGTGGTATCACCCCACGAAAGGCATGTTGCTCACGAGATGGTGGGGTCTCAGGTCGATTAGCCCCGCGGGACAAGTTGGTTTCGAAACGAGACGGGGACCATGAGAGATGACATGCATCGAATAATTAATCTGGTATTAGTCCAAACTCCAAACAGAACAGAAGGTCCCTGCCATCCTTGAGGGAGTGGGAGTGGACGTTTCGTTGAAGGTAAGTAGGTGCAGGCGTTGTGCATCCCATCCCCAAGGAGGAGGGGTAATTATCGGTTTGGCGGGGTAACTCAATGCTTCTCGATCCTGACTCGCTGGGTGCTAGGGTCTCCTGAGCGTTGCAGATGGAAACATCAAGCGACACTCAATCGAGGCACGGCTTGGCCTTAGGTAGGGGGATCTTGGAGTGGAGAGACAGATCTCCGTCTCGCACCAGCTCGGTTCGTCTACAAAGGCTTGCAGGAATTGCATCTCGGGAGACGATGCTCAAACACGCAGGCGGAGGAGGAATGAATGAACGTTCACCTACCACAAGGCTCCCAAATCCGTCATCGACTGGCAGCTGCGAGACTGGTCCCTCTCAACACACTGCCGTCTTCTGCAGAATGTCAGATTTCACGTCTTTCGATTGGAAGTCGACCTTTCTCCACCGCTCAACCTACTGCTGTTTGTGATTGGACATCACCTCGCATACCCACTGGGTCAAAGTTGACCGCAGAGGAGACGCAGAGAGAGGGCCCGCTTTCTTGGCCGTTTACTGGCCAGAGGCGACCCTCCATCCCGTGCCCCGCTAGCCTTCTGTGAGGAGACCGGAGGAGGTCCAGGTGCTTCCTACATTTGGATCGTGGGACAAGAAACCAAAGCTGTGCAGAAGCTCGGGGGCTCACCGCGATCAACGGACCCCAACAGAGGCCCTTGGGAAAAGGGTGTGTTGGGTGCCTTGAGGCTACCTTGTCCAGAGGCAATCAATCTACCGCGAGATATTGAATGGCACACTCCCGTTCGACTCTTGCGCAGTTGGTACCTGCTTTTTGGCCCAAGTAGAGGCCGCAGGCAGTAGGAGGAGCAATGTTTGGCATCAAACCCTAAAGTATGGAGAGCACTCACATTCGCCGTTCCAAGGCTGCTTATTTTTCGTCTATCCGTACTCGGATTCGAAACCCCAAAGCCGCATCCGCCTTTCTAGTTTGCCATGGCTCTTCATACTCAGCGGCGGCCGACTCTCTCAGAAAAGACAAGGGTTGCATGATGGGCAACCGGCCTCGGAACCGCCTGCGATTGAGGGTTAAGTCTTAGCCCTTCCGGACCTGTGTCATCTGATTGAGGAGTTGGCATGTCCTCGGTGTCTGTTGCTGCGAGCAGTTGCAGCGCCCAGGGCGAATGAATGGTGAAATGGGCAGGCGGCCTCGCGAGCGGTTTTAGTGCAGTAATAGCTCGCATCGCTCGCTTCGTGCAGGATGTAGATGATGAAAAGGGAATGGTTCAAGAGTCCACACCACATAGTCGAGGCCAAGTCGCCACGCATCTGCTGCGCTTCACTGCGTTGGCCCGGCGCCCACAACCGCCCGTGTCCAATATTCGAGGCTGCAGAGGACGGCAACTGCGATCTGAATATGATCAGGACTGCGACGGTTCGGTTAGTGTCATTGCTGCTGCTGTAGAGCTCATAGCCCGGAGGCCAAGAGTGCAGCTACAGCTAATTTGGCTGACTAAATTAGAGTATGAACAGCCATCAAAAGTCGAGGTTAACTCCGAAAATTAACCTGGAATGGTGCCATAAACAATGGAACCTATATCGCTATAAGCTATTCTGGGCGGTGAGGAGCTTCCGCAGCAGAAACAGATATGAGGGACGTACTCTCACAAGAAGCTTTAACCACTTGACAGAAGAGTGAGGGCAACTCTAAGACCGCAAACTGGGTTTGCGCCGTCCGTCATCCCGTTATCTGTCTCTGACAACCCATCCTGCCATCCACCCCGACGATTATACCTCATTTGTGACGATCAGAGCCAGTCTTGCCGATGTGCCAGGCCGGCGGAGCCCTTGGCCATAGATCTTCATGCCATGCGACTGCCGGTGTGGGCAGACCAAAACAGAGCCCCTCGACACCGGAAGGGGCCCCGATACGTAGACCCCAAACTCACCGCCACTATTCCGCGAAGGAGTTACCTTAGTTCTATCCGCGCTTGTGTTCACGGGACGTTGCTTGTGGCGCTGCAGGGAGCCCCTCTTGGCCCCTCCACATCCGAATTGGCGTTCCAGTGTGAATCGTCGCCAGTTTTGGATTCTGCTCGCTGTGTAACTCTCCGGGCACATGATCTGACATAATCACTAATCCTATATGGAACCGGTTTGAGAAGGTTCTTGTGATTGCCCGCACAATAATGCCTCTTCTCGATGACTCGAGCGAGAATGTAGCAAGCACGAATACCGTGTTTTTTTTTTCAATAATGAGTAATAAGAGGTACGTACCCAAGTTGCCACAAGTCGACGAAAACTCGGGAGGAGCAGCAGACCCGTTTTTTCGGCCTTCGCCACCACCACTAGCCACGTTCTCCGCGAAAACGGGGCGCTGTCCGAAAGGCCGCCAATTGCGGTCGTGTTGAAAGACCGCCGGAAGACCGATCTTGAGGACTCCCCGAAACCAGGTTCCCTAGCTGGGCCGCGGAAAAGCCACTAACAAAAAGTCTACTAACCATATTACAGACGGACAGCTTGATAATCGTCTCCTGCCGCCCATTATGGAAATTTTATTTCATTTTCTTCTTTACTTCCCTTTCCTTGGATATTAGGTGATTGATTTCCATTCATGCCGCTAGTTTAGTCAAGGTGGTTCAGGACTCCAAATTCCTGCAAAGCCGTTTGTCAGTTGGTAGGGTGCTTGCAGAGGAGAAATTCGGAGAGGCCGCTCGTCCTGGGATTTTGACGAATTCCCGCCGCGTCCACGACATTCCCAGTTACTTGATAAATACAAACTCAGCCGACAGTAAAGACCTGGGTCGTAATCCGAGCAGCGCTGATAATCCTCGTACGCATACCTATCTAACCTGCACTAGGCTTGTCGCGCGAGCTGAGCCGAGCTGAGCAGCCCCAAAGATCAAGGGCTGAGGCCATTTGCAAGCAGTAGCAAGCAAAGCCTCAGTGAGAGGAGATACCTACTACGCAAGTATCGGCGACACGCGAAGCCGAGAGAGGACAGAATCCGACAGAAGAGAAGGGACGGCCGCGACAAACCTAGGCCCACGCAGAGCTAGGATACCGATACCAGAAGCCATCTGAAAGAGGGAAAGCGTGATCTTGTACGGGCCAGTCAGGCAGCGCATTTACGCTTGTCAATGACCCACAGCACACTCAACTCCACAGCGGCCCCCTCACAAGGCCCGCACTAGAGGCCACTGGCCAGCCAGACCTACCAGACCTGCCAGGCCTGCCAGGGTCGGCACCTCAAGGCTTCTCGTGCAGCGTTCCCGCCGCTGCCCCCCGCCCTTCGATCCCTCCCCTTGGACGGGGGCCGTGTCAGCCATCATCAGTGCCATTCAAAGGTCCCCCTCATCCGTCGTGGCCGTGTGGCCGCTGCCCGACAAACCAACCCGCCCTGCGCAGGTGACTTCGTCACCCATTCATCCCCCGTCACCTTCACGACAACAGCATCCACGTCTTCAAAGCCAGGTCGAGTCTTTAGGCTGGCCCTGACCATCTTAGACCCTTTTTCTCGTTTTGCCTGACGTATTCCGTAGGTAGCTAAGGTACATACCCAGCGCTTGGCTCTCCACTGTTTCGCTTGTCCGCGACACCGAGGGACAACAAACAAACTATTCAATCTCAGCAAAGGAGAGCTCCAGCTCCACCATTCTCCTCAAACCTCCAGGTCCCTCCCCCCAAGTCGCCACGAGTATTCCTTGATTTAACGCTCCCTATCTCAACGCTTACTTCTCCCCGGTCGCTGTTTACGCCGCCTTTATTCTGCCCACTATACAACAGAGCACCGCCTTCGGCTTGAGAGCGCCAACGTTCGTTCTTGACATCGCCGCCGCCGCACGCGCCTCCCGGCAAAACCACCATCCCTTCTTCCTTCCCGGTGCCGCGCAAACGCCGCTCATGCAATAGCCGCCCTGTGTCAACAGCCACTTGCTGCTGCCTTGACGACTTCTCGCCCGGGCACTAAAACGCTCGCTCTTCTATTTCTTCGTGTTGGACACGCCCTTGCCAGACAGACGGCCAGCACCCGTCCCCGTCCCGTCGAAATCCACACACCATGAATAGTCTTCTGCCGGACCCATGGATGGCCCTTGGCCTCGACAGGACCGCCGACAAGTCGGAGGTCCGGGCCGCGTACAAGAGACTTGTTCTCAAATGCCACCCCGACAAGGTGCAAGACCCGATTCTCAAGGCGCAAAAACACGACGAATTCCAAAAAGTCCAGCAGGCATATGAGCTGCTCAACGACGATGTCGAGAGGAGCAAATATGAGGAGCAGGTTAGGCTTATGGAGCAGCGTGTCAGACAACAAGCCAACATGAAGAACATGCCCAATTCGTCAGCGTCACGCACGTCACCGAGAAATGCTTCCTTCGATGTCAGGAACGCCGAGCCTACTCGATTCCGTACATCAACAGGCTCGACCAAGGTGTATACGTACTCATCGCCCCACACGCGCTCGCATGATGACGTACCTTCTTCCCGCATCCATCCTGTGTTTGAAGAAATGGAAAGGAAGGCTCGGCGTACAGCCAGCTATGACGAGAAGGAGAAGCCTTCGAGGCGCGAGGAAGAGAGGCGCGAAAGGCGTAGACGAGAAGAAGAAGAAATGAGAGCAAAAGACAAGGAACGGGAAAGGGAACGAGAGAGGGAACGTGAAAAGGAGAGAGAGCGGGAGGCTAAGGCCGAGAAAAAGAAGCTCGAAAAAGAGCAGCGTGACCGATACAAGAAGCAGCAGGATCGGGAGCGGGCCCGCGAGTCGGATGAGAAAGCCCACCGACATAAGCCCTATGTTGAGCCCTACGGTGGTGGGTTTCCTGCTCAAGAAGAAGAGACATACTTGTCGACATCAGCGAGGCCAGAAAAGAAGAGATCCTCCAGCAAGAAGCACAGCGAGAATCGGGACCGGGACCGTGAGCGCGAGCGCGAGCGCGAACGCGATAAGTCGTCGTCGCGTCCTCCTCAACCCCCGCTTCTCGAGACGGTTTTGCCTCATGAGCAAAGCTTTAGCCACGCACGCAGCTATATCGCAGTCGCGGGAGGCTCAGCTCCTTCGCAACAGTTCTGGAAGTCAAAGTCTCAGTCACCACTCGAACCGATCTTCTCGGCCCCTACGCCGCCACCTGCCGCTGTTGCCGCTGAATTCCTCGAAGAAGATATTCTCAGGCGCTCTACTGCCCGTGCCGCCGGTCGACGCTCATCTCATGACACCCCCAAAAAGGAGACCTATGTCATAAACGTGACCCCAACTTCGAGACCGATTCCAAGCCTTGCAAAGACTCACAGCACACCTCCGATCGTCCCAGGATCACCTCCTCGTGTATCCGTAAGCCGGTCGAACACCATTCCTCCCGAGGCCTATGTTGCTCGCACCCCCATGCCAACGCCTACCCTCTCACGGGGCCAAACCTGGACTGCTGGGACCGGAGCCGCAACCAGCCCAGATGATCACTACAACCACTATGGAGGCGAATCTGACGAAGAACCACCACGTCCCCGCCGAAGCCGGCGCGCAAGATCCCCCAGACAGCAAACGCACTACAGGGTCGACGGTGAAAGGGCATACAAACTTGATCAAAACTATCCAGAAGGCCGATCCCCGTCTTCGAGGAGGTACATGCCTGAAGTTGACTCTCGTTCTTCGCCGTTAACAGCATCTTACCCTGGGTCACCTTTTCTCAAGGTGAAAGAGGCCAGAGGCTTTATGCCGGCCGACATAAGTTTTTCCGAGTACCACTACCCTTCGATAAGTCATCATGATCAGTTTGTCCCTGCATCATAAGGACACCAGATGGGCGGTCGCGTGAAGGTTTTCGCTTCTTCTTTTAGAGGCAGACATGGTCTCGCAACTTCGGTTGCGAGACCCTTGACAAAGACGCTCATCGTGTCCTTAAGAAGCGGGGTCTCAGCGGCAGGCACGCTTTCTTTACCATCTGACCATAAATGCACTCCGGGCAGTTTTGCGTTCGCCACTGTACTTTCGCCAGTTTATAATATTAATCCGCCCAGGAGCAGCCAACAATTCGACGACATCACTACCTTTTGTCAAGTCCGTGGCTTCTCCTTGGCGTTTCTCCCATGAAACCGGCATCTCGTTCGCTTTTTTTGCCTCAAACAAAATGAAAAGATATTCATGGAACACATATTCTATGTCTTAAAGCTTGCGTGGCTGAGCTCTATCTCGCTTTTCAACGAGACCTGGCAGCTCCACAGCGGGTAGCGATGGCTGGCAAACAGACAGGATGGGACACCGACTAGGCTGTCACTCGGGCTAGCTTTTGCTAGACTGACGCGAGTCGAGGAGGGATCGTATCCCCCATGGCCAGCACAGTGAGAGCTGGCATGGTCTTTGGCAAATGAGCGTTGCCATCCTGTCGATGATTGGTCACGCCGCGATTCACTTTTCATTTTTTTTGCGGGGTTTTCTCATGTTTCTCGGGTTCCTTTTTCTCTTGGATTCTTCTTTTATTTCGCGTCTTTCTGGGAACTGATTGGATTCCTATCTAATTACTCTTTTGAGTGAGCGCGTGACCTTCAGGTCTTTCCTGCTACATTTTTTCATTTTTATTTGGGAAGGTCATAGGTCTCTTCACCCCTGGTGTATTTATGGCGGGTGAATCAACCATATACGTACAAAGGTTTGCATAGTTAAGGAGGCGGGGTTTTAGTTGACTCGGTCGTTCACTATCTCTCTATTTAGTAGGGTCTTTTACCCTTGTGGCGTTTTCTTTTTTTTTACGGTTTTCTCGGTGTGTGCACAGATCATAGCCCCGGAGTTTGGATTTTTCTTTCTTTCTGATTTTCTCGTTTCTAGCCTGTCGTTCGCCGCCTTTAGGAAGGGAAGGAGAGTCAACAGGCGGATATGTTAGGACTTGTCAAGCCGACAGACATGTTACACCTGGTTTCTGGGTTCGCTGTTTTTTTTACAAACTTGCTCACACTCTCTCGAATCGACTCCCATCTCGCGTGCTTGGAAATGATGATGTTTTTTTATGACCTTTTCCACTTATTTTTTTCGGCTCTTCACTTGTTCTTTATTCTTTAGTTCCATTTCCAGCAGAACACGACACTCTATGACGACGATGATGACACCAGTTGAAAGAGATAACGAGACACAGAGAAGAGAGAAGAGAGGGTAGTGATGCGGCCAAGTTTTTTTTAGTTTTTTTTTATTTAACCGAAAAAAAAAGAGGCTGGAGGATGAACGGGGTGGGTTCCTCAGGATAAATCCAGGGCAATACATTCTCAAATCTAGTTTTGGTTTCACAGAAACTCGCAGAGGGAAAGATCGGCTCTCGCACGTGGGAACTTGGTTTTTAACTTCTTCGCTTGCTTACCCTTTTCTTCTTTTCTATTGCTACATACAGCATAGATGCTGCGGCCAGGCAGCTAATTAGGTAGCCCTTTCATTTTAGCTCTACTGTTTTGGTACGAATTGCAAACGATCAATGAATAACCCAATCATGTCGACCTTCTGTACGTGATGCGGCGCCAGAGGGCAGGCAGCATACCCTGACGAGGGATGTATATACATATATGTATGTGTATGCGGGTAACTCGCTTTATACTCTATTTTCGCTATGTAAGAGTGGATTTGTATGTGCTGAGCAGAAAATACAAATGGTGTCATTCCCAGACAGGGGGGGATCGCATCTATGCATCTGACTGTACCTAATATCCAATGTAGAAAGCAGTGCTTGTCATTCTCATTCATTCACTTGGCTAGAATTTGCCCTATACTTGATCCAGACGAGAAGGTGTATTAATATCAAACACCAAGGTAGTTTATAAGCGAGACAGGTCTCCAGATTTTGTCGTCTGGTCTTTTCGACCTTGAAGTTCGCAGCGTGAACGCTGACCTATTTGGCAGCATGTCATACAAGCACGTAGAGCGAACAAATCTATAGCCAAACAGACAGTGTGGTTAGATTACCTCCGTAGAATTGCAGCACGAGAGAACAAGGGCTACTTACCACGCTCAGCCCCAGAATCATGCTACACCAAAAACACACGTTGTTTAGGGTTTTCTTGCCCCGTACTAAACGAGTGCGCTGTAGCATGACTATGGGAAGCTGGAGCATCTGGCAAATGAAACCATAGCCACGCAGCTTCTTCGTGATACAGGCCAGAACGATCTCGTGACCGATGGCGCTAATAAGAAAGGTGATAACGGTCGCATTTGCCTTGCCAATGTGCGGACGGCTGGCGCTATACACATGGCGGCGCAGGAAACTGTAGACGGGTATATTCCACTCGCGTGAAAACTCCATCCAGTCGGTGCTGTTCCACCAATCGCTGTAGAAGTGGCGGTCCGCAAAATGGGTAATCTCGGCGAACGCGCCGAGAACATATTCAAAGATGACGAGAAAGACAAGCAGAAACGTCAACATGAATGGAAATAGCAGCCACGAAATGGTCTCGGCGAGAACGAGTAGCGCTTCCAGCGCAGTCAAAGGAGACTCTGCCGTTCGAAATGTCGGGTCTAATCGCTGGGATGCATCAAACAAAGCCGGAAGGATGAATTCCTCTGAGATGACCGTGAGCAAAAAGATGCAGCCAAATGTGGCGGCTATCTTGGACACGAGATTCTGCCAGTCAATGGCCTCGGTGCGCGGGTACTCGAGTTCGTAGCAAAGAGTCGGGCAGCACAGGTAGTCGAGGTAATTCGACCATGTTAGGTTGGCCGGGTATGTGACGTTACCCATAGGGCTCGTTAGCTCGCGGGCTAGATCCTCTCGCAACTGCGCAATCTCGTCACTTTCCGGACCATCCCCATCACCCTTCCCGCGGGCTTCAGCCCTCTTAGGGCTGGCTACTGTGCCCATGGGATTCTCCGAGGTCGGGTAGAGGTAGGCCGGTGCGCGTGAGGCCGTCAATGGGTCGTCAAGAGCGTGCAGGCGCTTTTCGGTCTCGCTGAGATGGCCGTTGTAGAAGGCGTACGAGTGCATCTTCATGAGCAGCACCATGGTGTGAAGTAGCAGGAACACTTGGGCAGTCCAGCCCCAGTCCAAGAGAAATGGGACGGCTATCCAGAGAGCCAGCCAGGCTACCTGGTATATGCTCATTATGGCTGTACCGCCCTTCGCCCATGTCCAGGCACCACCGGCGGGGGCGGAGCGGAAAGCCCTGTGCATCGGCAGCGCGACGGCAGTGCTGGCAACCATGAGAAAATCAGCGATGGCCAGGTGCCAGAGCTTGAAAGTGAAGAGGCCCCATATCTGGACCCGGAGAGGATGGCCCGTATCTTTGATGTTGCGCAACATGCTGGTTATGGCCATGATGGCCAGGCCAATCCAGAACAGGTTGAAGAAGCCATGAAAATCGCGATAATCGCTATTTGGATCGAAGTGAGATACGCGACTCGCGAACTCGATGGTTGGGAAGAGGCGGCGGCGCTGCTCCGCGCGCACTTGCTTCCGCACCGTCGAAATGGACTTGACAGAGGGTGGGGCATCGAGCGGTACGGGTGTCGAGCGGCCGCTGATAGGACCCGGGTAAGCATTTGTGTATACGCCGAGGACCTCGGATGGAGAGAGAGAAGGTTGAGAGTCTTACCTAGTCGTGCCGGTGGCGTGTCCATTTTCGGGAGCATCGAGAAAGCCGCTGATCTCGGAAATGTTGCTGATATGCGACAGTTGGGAGTGGATTGGCTTACGGGGCCGGGGGCGTATAACGTTGTCGCTCACCCCGTCAGATACATCAGCCGATGTCGAAGCCATGGGCGGCAGCAGTCCAGCTAGCAAGCGCCCAGATCTCTCCTTGTCCTTGTCCAAAACAAGATAGGCTCAGATCGATGTGGATGTTGGAAAATATGGCTTGCCGTGGGACGGCGCTGACCCGATGTTATTAGCTGCAGCTGACAAAAACCCAAAGGGAAGCTTCGATCAGGGACCGCAAAGAGGTAACCGCCCATCAATTGGGAATCGGTTAGTGAGAAGAGAACCCGAACAAGAAAAGAGGAAATCCTTCACGGCCAAATTCACACAATTAAAGAGGGTATCAAGTCTGCGCCGACCATCTCTTCGCTCAACTGTAGTCTCTGGTAGGGCATCGAAGATTGCGTAGGATGGCTGAGCGCACTACCTAAAACCAACAGTGGGGGTTTGCCGAAGCCAACAGCAGTCGATGGTTCGTAGCTAAGGTAATCCAGCCTCGGCAGACGTTCAACACCCCGACTACGTCACTGCCACGTGACCCGGAACAGCGTATGCACTCCTCTGTATTCGTCGCCTCAGTGGTGGTGGGGTTCCGGGCCAGTATTATACACGAACTCAGGTCCAGGCCTGTTGTTATCCGACATCTGACCTCAGAGGCATGGCATCCTATCTCTTTTCACCTATCTCCAGCTGTCTGCAGTAATAAGCCTCACCCAAAATTCTTAGTAAATAGGCGAAATGTCAGCGCTGACGAGCCCAATCTCCCGTACAGCGAGGTGAGGTGACAGCCGAAGTCCTTGTCTAATTCATCGCTTGGATTGCTCGAAACAGACGCGAATTTGATCTTGGTCGTTGAATTAAGACCAATCGAAGGGTTGGATGTCTCTATTCAGAGAACAAGCACGGCACGCTCACAGCTGGTGCAAAGCTTCGCATGCTATTAAGGGAGCAGCCGAACCCATCCTAGGGGCCGTCCGTCTCAATCGGCATGTGCCTTTGTCTCTTATCTAGATCGCTGCTGCAGACCTCCCTTCTGCCTTATGAGTTCAGGTCGGCACATCGTTATTGGGACCTTGCCCAGATAAAACTCCGATAATTAGAATGCCGTTGAGAATAATCTAGCCGCCCCGTGGCTTGGCTGGGAGATAGGGCAGACTTTGATGAATTGTGCCTGCTCGAGGCTGGTGAACCTATGGAGTGCCCTCTAAAGAGAATGGGGGTTTCACTGAGGGGCGGCTTCGTGACTGTCTTTGTTTTGCTTGCCACAGTCGCAGTGGACGACCAATGGTGATCGCCACTTGGGCATCGTGGGCACAGCGGGGTCAGATTATATTGAGTGACAGGCTTGTTCTTTGCGTGCGGCTTTTCATGCCCACGCCTCTTCTGTGCATGTCAGTCATCATTTTGGATCTCACCGCGCACACAGCCTCGCCTGCTTTCTGTTCACTCTCGGCGACTAGGATGGCTTTTGACTTCGTCCGAGGATAAGACCAGGGTGTTGAGCCGATGACGGAGCTGCCGCAACTCTCCAACTTCCTAAGGCTTCTACGTATAGGGGTCCCCTTGTTTGTTGACGGAAGAAACGCCTCTCATGTGTTGCAATGCTCATTGGGTTTTCGGGTTTGGCACACTGGCTTTCCATGCTTCGGGCGTGCTCTCCTGGCGTTGGTGAACCTGCATCTTTAATCGGGGTAATGGGTTGCGAAGTGGGTTTCCAGAACCTCGTCCGAAACCTTTTCTGATACTAAACTCACCGCTGCCATGGAGCCCGCTTCCAGGCGGCTCTAGGCTCACAGAGTGTTGTTTCTACCTTAACATTCATGTAGAGTATCCTGTCGGTCTCTTGTTATGCAAACCTTAGCGGTGACTTCCTTCTGGATTGATGCCATGTTCAATAATAGACATGCGTATTCATGTGCATAGCTGCTTTTTTACTCAGGTAAATATCTCTGCACATGGAAACTCAAAGCCCCTTGACAGAAAGTGGATTGCCTCAGTAACTGTAAATAAATAAAAATGATATATGGTTGAGTTTTGGGGATGTGATTACCTTTGAGTCTGGCCGAAAGCCTACTGGGTCTCTGGGAATAACAGCGTAAGGCGGCACTGAGGGCCGCGGTGGTGACGGGTCTATGCCTGGCTGCGGCAGAGACTGGTCCCGAAATCAACGTTACCTCTGGGCGCGCAGCGGAGGCAGGGTAACCAGGACAGCTAGGCACCTCATGTACGCGTCTGTATTCGGAGTACAGAGTCATATCTGATCAGTACGCAATGCGACTGTCCTACGGTGATGATTGGTAAAAGTGGAACACGAAGACGACCGACAGCATACTGGAAATCACACTCGGCAACTCCCAGTCTCCTCGAAGGCTGTCCTAGGCAGACACGGCAAACTGAAGCAGAAACCATCAACGACCAACAGCCTTGTCTTGGGATGCCCAGTGGCCGCAGGCCAACACGACTCGAGGTCTCGCGCTATGGATTTTTGAGGGATAGACTTGCAAACTAGAAGTCACCGCAACACCGAAAACAAGAATCACTTCAATTGTTCTCCGGACCGATAGACTGAGCTCCGGGCCAGTTACCTAAACCAACGGCCTCCATCAGGAAGCTTCCCGGCAGCACCCAAAGTTAAGGTATTCAGCGTTAGTTGGTTTCCGATTGGCCCAGTGCAGCTGGTACCTACAGTGCTAGTAGATAAGGCGTTTTTGTCTGCTTGTATGGCCATACGCACCTTGGGTAAAGTGTGCATTGGATGTACGGATATGTATCCATCTGTACGGAGTATAATGCATACCTTTTCTACCACCTCAGTGGGGTCGGATTCTGGGGGTCTGTCCTGCGGGCGCTGTTCCGTGCTATCTGTCCACCAAACCAAAGTGGCCATCACACGTACTAAGAAGAGGTATGTATCCGTATCCGTCATGTATGTATCCGCACATACATATATACTATACAGTGCTACCTGACGCTGTATGTTGATACACCAACACACTTCCTTGTCGTCCAGGTTCTACCAAGGGTTGACCCCCCTGCGTTCCACTAATGTAGGCACTTGGGGGCAGGGCAAGGTGCTCCCGCTGTGGTCGCTGGGGTCGCTGGGACCTACTAAGACTGCTAGGCTAGCCCCACCTGCTACCCACCACATCACACTCGCCCGAGCAACACCGCAGCAGCCGCCCACCACAGCGTCCGCTGTTCGCCATCCCTGTGATCCTAACTCTGGCCTGCGCTGACAGACGCCTTCAGCGTGCGCCCACAACTATGTCCTCGAGGCCACCCCCATCCGTCTCTTCGTCTTTCACGCCCTTCTCGTTACTGGACATCCCAGATGATGCCGGCGACAGCCATGCGCACTCGGCCAGCGATGCAGCGGCAGCGATAGCTGCGGCTCAATTCCTCAACAAGCGCAATGTTCAGGCAAACTCGGCCGTTGACCTCGCCCTCGCTGCTGCTCCTCTCTCTGCTCCCGGTTTGACCTTGACTCCGAGCTCGACAACGACTACGGCATCTTCAACTCCTCAACTTCCAGCAAGCCAGATCCGATTTCACTTTCAGTTCGACACCATCGCCCCATCGCCCCCGCCCCCACCTCCCCCCCCGCCGCACTCATCTTCGCCCGAGGCGGCCTCGAGGCCAGGCCCTTCACAACCCCACCCGCAGAGTCCCTCGGGAGGCACCGCCGCCCTCCGCGTCCAGACGGACCTCAGCCAACTGACGCCCACTTGGGCAGACAATTCAACCTCTAATAACACCCTCTCGACATCCTCCAAGTCGTCAAAGAGACCAACGTTGAGTCTACAACACAAAACCTCAGCCTCATCGCTCCGCCCAATCTCTAGGACTCCGAGTGTCAAGACCGGCAGCATTGCAACCATCTTTGGCTCACATTCGGGTGCCAGCTCGACTGTTGGGAGTCCTATCATATCCGCCATGGGCGACGTTACTCCTTTGCCCTCGCCATTGCTATCGAGTGACTCACCAGGACCCTGGAAGCTGCGCCGGCGGACTTCGCGCGACACGCCCTCTCTCCAGCCAGCTCCCGGGGACAGCTCACTGAGTATGAGCGCTGAGCACTCCCCAACCGCGCCGGCGAGTACTCCGAGTAAGAAGAAAGGATACTACGCGGGTCTGTCCTCTGGATCTCGGCCAAGTCTTGGGCCCAGCTCAGGATCTGGGTCTGGACAGATCGAGAGTGCTGGCGGAAACGACGTTGGCGCGCGCACTCAGCCGGTGCACACAAGGAATAGGAGTATTAGCGACTACGTACCGGACCCAATGTTGGTTCCGAAGCGCATGGTGACGGTGTCGGGTTCTCATATCAAAGCGGATATGCAGACTGTGCCAGCGAGCTACGAGGGTCAAATGCGCCGAGAGCCTCACCTGTCCGAAGCGAGAGGGCTGACGCCCGTCGACAAGCCACCCACGCCCCCGCCTAGCGAATCTTCCCTGAGTGCCAATGATTCGTCCTCGGCCACTGGGTCCAGTAGTACCGTCACTAACTTGTCTCGACATGAGTATTTTGAGGCATACGACAGGCACGATAGGAAGCGCCGCCGTTGGAGATCCGTGAAAATGCTCGGCCAGGGTACCTTCAGCCGCGTCATGCTCGCTACAAGTCAGATTTCGTCGTTAGTTTCCGATGACGAGGAATACCGTTCAAAGAGTGGCTCTCAGACACCAGAGCCGCTGCCCTCACACGAACGTCGCACCTTGGTAGCTGTCAAAATTTGCGAACATGGCCCTCGTGGGGGCGCGTCAGAGGACAGGATTGAAATGAGCCTCAAGCGCGAGTTGGAGATTATGCAGAGCATCCATCACCCCTCCTTGATCCACCTCAAAGCCTGGAACATTGAGCCTTCACGAGCAATTCTCATGCTCAGCTACTGTCCCGGTGGTGATCTATTTGACCTTGCTAGCGGACATAAAGAGCTCCTAAGTCCTGGGATATTACGAAGGATTTATGCCGAACTGGTGGGGGCAGTAAGGTATCTTCACGGCATGAAGATTGTACACAGGGACATCAAGCTTGAGAGTGAGTTTCTTTTAGCCAGTTCTCAGTTGGGCCGTTGGTCTCTTGACCTTGTCTTCTAACCCCTTCTCAGACGTCCTGGTCAATCTTCCGCCCACTGAGCTGCAATCTGCCGGGGCAGACTGGACGACCTACCCCTATTCTCTCATCACACTTACAGACCTAGGACTGGCACGCCGCGTCGCTGACAATGAGAAGCTGGAAACGAGATGCGGGTCAGATGATTACGCGGCCCCAGAGGTGATTATGGGTCAACCATACGACGGCCACGCAACAGACGCATGGTCTCTAGGCGTACTTCTTTACGCGCTCTTGGAATCCAGGCTCCCTTTCGATCCCCACCCAGCCGTCGGCGACCTTGTGATGCAAGTGCGGATGAGGAGCCGGACCAGCCACCGAATTGCCCGGGTTGAATGGCGATGGATTGAGTATGGCGTCCGAGACGGAGAAGAAGGCCACGGCGATCATGAAGCAGACCTGGCCCGCTTTGATGCCAAGGGGCTCAGGGGCGCGATGGAGGTCGTCGAAGGCCTTCTCAAGAGGTCTCGAAGTAGATGGTCCCTGGCCCAGATTGCCGAGACAGAATGGGTCAGGGGCGCTATTCAGCTCGAGGGCGGTATCAAATTCAGAGAAGAAGAGGCAGCTAGTGAGGTATGACGTTAGAGGAAGAACGCCGAGGAAGGGTTCCTCGTATTAACGAAGCAGCAACGAAGAAAATGGTCGCACGTAACAGCGTTTTTTTTTTTCAGCTAACACCGACCATGAACGGGGGCTTCTCAGATCGGTTTAGGGAAGTCAGAGGCAGCCGGACCGCGCCAACTGTAATAAACAAACAGCGATTTTTGTTTTATTTTTGTTTACTTTCCATCTTCTTTTCTTCTGGTTTTGATGTCTGTTTTATTCAGATTTTGCCACGCTTGGATGGGCTCTGCTTCTCACGGTATGGTAGGGCGCCTTCGAGGATCAATGGAGGTGTGGGAGGTAAAGATTCCTTTCAAGGTTTGGAAACAGTGTAAAATAGTCCATGATACAGCCATTCGGGAAGGGAAATAAAAAAAAGACAAACGGGGTGGTTGAAAGAGACCAGCAATGGTATTGGGAGTTTGCACCCAGAGACTCTTGAACCGAACCGAGGACAACTAGTATATCCAGGTAGGTATATACCAACCTAATCCTGCCGTGTCACTCCGTGCTTACTATGGTACCAATGGGACTAGAAGCATCGAAAGAAGATAAGACGCGAGAGAGAAAAAATACCCATATAGCGCATCCTCAATCGACATAAGACAAGGCCGGGCTGTGCAACCAAATGACTCGGTCGCGGAACATCACTCTCTCGGTACTTCGGACAGTAACTAACTTGGCTTCTACATTACGATAGCTATAAACACAACTAAGCAAAGAGCATTTCATCTCATAAAGGCCGATGAGGACAAGATCTCATGTCACCAGAACCATATCATAACTCAAGACGGGTGCAGAGGAACAGTTATCGTTAGAAGATAATTAATTGCAAAATCTAATTCCGTGTTGTATTCATGCCCTATAAAAGACCATGGATAACACCTCCCACCCGTGCCTTAACTTAATTAAGAGTACAGAGCAATGAGGCCTGTGAAGGAATCATGGAATAAGATATTGATGCATGCAGGTGGGTAAAAAAAGTGTCAAAGCTAAACCCGTCCAACTCCATCCGAAGCACTTTTCGTAAATCCCAGTCATGTTCATCGTTTAGTCAACCTCCTCCATCGCGCTGTCGCCAGTCTCGGCGGCAGGCACGTCAGCCGTGGCAGGGGTCGCCTCATCGGCTTCCGGCTCCTCATCGAGGTTCAGGCCGAGGGAAACGAGCTTGTGAATCCGTTCAGCGAAACCAGCGGGCTCATCGATCGTAAAGCCCGAGACAAGCAGCGAAGTCTCGAACAGAAGCTGCACAATCGACTTGACCGTCTTGTCACCCTCACCGTCGGTCTCAACCTTCTTCTTGAGCTCCTTGATAATAGGGCTCTTGGGCGAGATCTCAAACGTCTTCTTGGACGACATGTAGCTGCTCATGGAAGTGTCACGGAGGGCCTGTGCCTTCATAATACGCTCCATGTTCGCAGACCAGCCGAACTGACCAGTGCGGATCGCGCAGGGGGACCCAACGAGCTTGTGCGAGACAACGACCTTCTCTACCTTGTCTCCGAGCACGTTCTTGAGGGCTTTGGCGAGCTCCTCGTACTCCTTCTCCTCAGCCTCCCGCTCCTTCTTCTCCTCCTCAGTCTCCTCGAGCTCGAAGTCCTTGGTGATATCCACAAGCTTCTTGCCATCGAACTCCTTGAGCTGAGTCATGGCATACTCGTCAATAGGGTCGACAAGGAAGAGAACCTCGAAGCCCTTGTCCTTAAGCGAGTCAAGGAATGGCGACTTAGAGACGGCCTTGAGCGACTCGCCAGTGATGTAGTACATGTTCTTCTGGTGCTCGGGCATGCGGGTGACGTAGTCAGCAAGCGAGGTCTGCTCATCGCCCGACTTGGTGGAGTTGAAGCGGAGGAGCTTGGCAAGAACGCCACGGTTCTGGGAATCCTCGTGGATTCCAAGCTTGATGTTCTTGGAGAAGGCGCTATAGAACTTGTCAAACTGCTCCTTGTCTTCGGAGATCTCGGTGAAGAGCTCAAGAGCCTTCTTGACGATGTTCTTCTTGATAACCTTCATGATCTTGTTCTGCTGAAGAGTCTCACGAGACAGGTTCAGCGGGAGATCCTCGGAATCGATAACACCCTTGACGAAGCTGAGCCACTCAGGGATGAGGTCGGTGGCATCATCCGTGATGAAGACACGGCGGACATAGAGCTTGATGTTGTTCTTGGTCTTCTTTGTCTCGAACAAGTCGAAGGGAGCGCGCTTGGGCACGAAGAGAATAGCCCGGAACTCGAGCTGACCCTCCACAGAGAAGTGCTTAACCGCAAGGTGGTCCTCCCAGTCGTTGGAGAGAGACTTGTAAAAGGCCGCATACTCCTCCTGGGTGATATCCTGCGGGTTACGAGTCCAGATGGGCTTCTGTTACGCGAATCCAGTTAGTAATAGCTCTACAGCAACTCCGCCCTTATGTCTCTCGCGGGGAAACTGACCTGCTTGTTCAACTCTTCTTGCTCAATCTTAGTCTCCTTGACCTTCTTGGTCTTCTTGGCTTTCTCCTTGTCCTCTTCGTCGTCATCGACCTCCTCAATCTTGGGCTTCTTGTCGTCAGCCTCCTCGACCTCCTCGGCGTCCTCGTCGGGAACCTCAGTCTCGGTCTCCTTCTTGACGTGGAGGTAGATGGGGTACGAGATGAACTCGGAGTGCTTCTTGATAACCTCCTTGATCTTGCTCTCGTTGAGGAAGTCGGTTTGCTCATCCTTCAGCTGCAGGATCATCTTGGAACCACGGCCGAGCGGCTCGCCATCCGTATCAGGCTTGATGTTGAAGGTGCCACCAGCGCTCGACTCCCAGATATACTGCTCGTCGTCATTATGCTTGGAGATGACTGTGACCTTGTCGGCGACAAGGTATGCGGAGTAGAAACCGACACCGAACTGTCCAATCATGGAGATATCTGCACCAGCAGTCAGAGCCTCCATGAACTGCTTGGTACCGGAACGGGCAATGGTTCCGAGGTTGTTGACGAGGTCCTAGAGACATGTTAGTACAGGGAATGCTGGAGACATCAATTCTTGTAGGGTAAACTCACAGCCTTGGTCATGCCAATACCGGTATCTCGGATGGTGAGGGTCTTGTTCTCCTTGTCGGGGATGATGTCGATACGGAGGTCCTTGCACGAGTCCAGCTTGCTGGGGTCGGACAGGGCCTCGTACCGGATCTTGTCGAGCGCATCGGAGGCGTTGGAGACAAGCTCCCGGAGGAAGATCTCCTTGTTGGAATAGACAGTGTTGATAATCAACCCCAAAAGCTGAGAGATCTCAGCCTGGAATTCGAAAGTCTCGGCCATCTTGACTTCGAGGCTTGGTTGTCTGAAGGAACAATGGTATCAGTACTCGGGATCTTGGAGTAGTGAATTCTCGATGCTAAGCGCTGGAGAGATCTGCACAGTGGGGGAGCTGACGCAAACGAAGAATAGAACGGGCGATTTGCACAAGCAAAGTCAAATTTTTGGGGGGGGGGGGGGGGGGGGGGGGGGGGGAAACAGGACGAGATTCAGGAAAGGGTTTTTGAATGGCGTAGTATTAACGCAAGAAGCAAGAATGCCTTGCGATTGGGGAGTGGAAGTCGCTAGCACAGGGCGTGCTTGACGAGGCTGAATAGACGGCGGCGGGGAGGTGCAACACGAAAATCGCAAAGGTTCAGGTCTAACAGCGAGGAAGTGACTTACCAATTATGTGGTGTGAGTAGGTACGATCTACGCCTTGTAGATTTCTTGGATGAGGCTTGAAGGTAGTATAGCGAAGATGGTTGAGGATGGAGAGGAGAAGAGTTGAAGAAGGTGCGAGGGGAGCTGTGGCAGCTAAAATGTCTTTGTGGACACCCTGGGCTGTGCCCGAGAAACAGATTCGATGGGATTCTATCGGCCAAAATTCTACCAGCTTCTTCTCATTCGCTTGCTTCCGCCTCCACAGCAACCATAAATCGGCTGTAATTGGCCAGAGTAGGGACCCGCTTAGGCAGAGCACCCCACTTGAGGCTGCCAAAGCTCAACCCCAAACGAAGCCTCCAGGAGCCTGGAAGCTTGCACTGCCGTTCTGGGCCAGCAAAAATTGGACAGAGGCACATTACGCAGTGCAAGACTTGATTCACTTAGTTGATCTGGGCCTTCTGTATATTTTCTCGCAGCCTGGTGATGCGCCTGCTTCGTTTGTTTCTGGCAGCTGCGGGGCTAACGAACAGCGGAAGCCTCCAGAAGTCTCCAGGCACTTTTTGCAAGGCTGAAACGAGGCTAGATCCCTGCAAACGGCAGCTTTTAGTACCAGCCCACTCACCTCTCTAGGTCATCCTCTGAGAGCAAACACTAACAAACGCTCAACCAACAACCTTACTGGAAGGTTCGACTGTCATCGTATTACACCAACTGACCATGGGCTTCTTAACACTCATCGAACGAAATACCTTATTTTCAAGTCGACCGGAAACCACCCGTCTAACGTTGATTGGATTCCAATTCATTTCAAGTGTTAGTTAAAGGTATAAGTTAACCAGATTCCCAACTTCGCGGGGAATCGGGGGTTCTCGCCTTGCGAAGAAGACGACCGGCCACTTTCGCCCACTTGACTGACACCTTTACGAACACGTCTTGGTCCACTTTCTCCACACTGCCATTGAAACTCTTCTCCTTCCTGTGTCGCTTTGCAGGTCTCTCTTCTTGCCCAATTCGCCGTCTGTAGGTGGTACGACGGTGTACATCAGAGACGTAGCTATTGATCAAAGGGCCTGTGTCATGATCAGCCCTGCTTGTTTGATGCCTTTCAGTACATGAAAATAAGACGAGTGCTTACCGGCCTAGCCCACCACACTCAGTGATCTGTGGAAGCCGGCCAAGTCCATGTCAGAAACAATTCGTTTTTCGATGGAGGGACTCAGGGATATCTTGGACAGGAAGCATACTTTCCTAGTTGGATCTTGAGATTGCTAGGGCAAGTGCCCGTACTGGATTCATGGTTAGCCTTATATACCCCTACACTCCTCCTGAAGCTGCGCTTGATATGAAGCTCAAGCTGAGGCTAAAGAGGAGAGGGCCTAGCTGACGGCCGTACAAAACCTGTCTCCGGGGATCTAGGCCAGTGCTAACTGCGAGGAGGCTGTGGTGCGCAAAATTCCGATGAGTATTCGATTTGGCAATGCAACTGGAGTAGGGAACCTCACAGTAGGCAAAGTGAAGACATTGTCTCGGTCAAGAGCGCCTGGCCGGGTGAGAGGAATTCTGGGTCGAAGAAGCTCCCGCCCCCGAGGTTGCTAAGGCCGAGGGAGAAGAATGAGTCAATCACGGCTCGAGGTGGTAGGGAGAGGAGTTCCATACGAGATTGCTCTCTCGTGACCCCAAGATCCCAGCAGCATGGCCCCGGCTAGAATGCCGCCGATTATTCGGGCGACCATGAGCAGCACTCCTAGTTTCGAGGTCAGCAGGGTTACCTGATGGCGGCGTCGTGGCGTATACCTCTGGATAATGGAGTGAGGCCACAGAGTATGGTCGTGAAAGTGATCATCGGGTTCAGATGTCCGCCGGTGGCCGGAGAGACTGCATAGATGAACGTGGCTAGGAGAAGGGTGTTGAAAATGCCAACATAGCCGGCGACATGGTTGGTTTTATAGCTCAGCAGTGTCAAGCCAAACTGGCCAGAGATATAAATCATTGACGCCGTGGCAAGCACTCGACCATCTGGATATTCATCGGCGTCGTTAGCAAGGCCGTTCATGGATGGGGGTTAAATAGAAAACCAACAGTTGAACGCCAAATGACAGGATTTGCCCATCCTTCGGTGAAGTACTCACGCAGTCGGTACCAGGGCAAATCAGAGGCTTCGGTAACGTTCCCGACTGCACCGGCAAATGACTCGTCGAAGGCGCCGTCGAAGGCAGCATTATTGGTACGAGTGTTGAGCCTGACAGGCTCCGAAAGCTCTCTCCTCGTTTCATCTCCGTCAGTATCAGGTACTGTATGGGTGCTCGCCGCATCAGCCTCGAGCCTCTTGGACGTATTTGTCGAGGTTACTGCCATTATTACGTTGAACCTTCGAGATAGAGGGCGAGCATCCAGCGCCGGAGAGGAGTCTACAGTCATATTATATGCCCGATAGCAGCCATCATTTTGTAATATCTTCGAGCTGCTTCTTCAACCATATGCATCTTGGCCTGAGTAAGCAATTGATCCAGGGTATTATTATGCGACTTCAACAACCCCAGACCTATTTACTCATTATGAATGGCTGCGCCTTGGAGCAATCTGGCTCGACCAAGGAAAAGTTCGCATTAGGTATTTGTTGCCAGCCTCCTGTAACCTCGAAGCTGAATTTATTGAGGGATACAAGTCACAGCCTGAGGACCCCTGACTAGATGTCTTGATGTTTACTGGGAAGTGGCGCGGCACACCAGCCACAACAAACCAGCCACATACAACTGGGAAAAGATTTCAAGTATAGTCAAATGTAATAAGTAATTAACTGTAATAGGATTCGGATATCCGGGACTGAGTTAACGCCGTCGATATTTCAGTCGGTGTGTAGGTAGTGATATCGATTCCCCCCAAGCGGTTGACAAAGAAAAGCGAACACTCAAAATCAATGGTCCGTGCGAGTGGCGCTGCACTACCATACACTACCAATGTTCCATGGTATTCAGTGGAAGCAAGCCCATGGACTTGAGCACTATTTCAATACGCCGGATTTATCGCCGATTGAGAATTGCTGGAGGGCTGTAAAGCAGTATATCCGTGCCAATCTTCGAATTGGAGCAAATATCATGGACCTGGCGGTTGAAGGATGGAGCCGACTGACCAAGCGAAAATTAATGGGTACGTGAATTCCATGGTAAGGCGGATGCAAGATTTGTTAGAGGGCGAGGGTCTTTTGACTGGGTGGTAAGATTGCAGTACATAACGGTACCTATATTTATACATATATTTGGCCTAAATAAAAGTACTACGAAGTAGTTTGTTCGCTTTTTTTGTCAGCTGCTTGGCCCCCTCCTTATTGCGTCACCTGGGCTCAGTTACGACATCCCGCTCTGGGAGCTCCCCGCAGCTGAGTGCGCTTTTCCGGAGGTATGGGATGGTATGTATTTCAGGGCCCCTCCGCCCTCCACTGCCCCTCATTTTCAACTTTATTGAACTTTCCCGCCATCAACCAAACAAACAAACAGCCTTCTCACCCCAATCACACCAAAACTCAACTGCAAATCCAGTCAGAATGACGGTCCCAGAAATTGACGGTCTCCAAATCGTGGTCGATGCCGAGGGCCAGGGTCGCGAGACGGAGCGCGGTAAGCATATTTCTCAGCCTCTCCACTGGTCCCCATATTCCTGCGAAACCTATCTATTCTTCTACATGCCCGACCGTTACACCTGTGGCGGAATACTTTCCCCACTGATTGCCCCAAATTTTATACATACAAATTAACTAACTGTGCGTGGTAAATTAAAGGCGATACCGTGGATGTCCATTACACTGGTTTCCTCGGCGTTGGCGAGGGCAACACCGAGAAGGGCAAGCAGTTCGACTCGAGTATACCCCGCAAGAGGCCTCTGAAGTTCACCGTCGGTACCGGCCAGGTTATCAAGGGCTGGGATGAGGGCCTACTGGGCATGAAGAAGGGCGAGAAGCGCACCCTCTACATCTCCCCCTTCCTCGGGTACGGCAACAAGGATGTCGGCGAAGGCCTCATCCCCCCCAACTCGACTCTCATCTTCGAGACGGAGCTGGTGGGCATTGAGGGCGAGTAAAGTAGCAGCAGCAGCTGAACAGACACTGTTGCCACGGCGCGTCTAGATGCGGGGAATGCTTCTCTTTTGCTTCTGATCTATGGTGGAGCGGAATTCGCGAAATCCTTGACGTATACCAGCTCGATGTTCACCCTGAGGGGTCATATCGTACCCAAAACTCAAAAAGAAAAGTTGGGAGAGGAAATAAACTCCCGGCCCTCTTGTGGCACAACCCACAGACGGTCATTAACACACGCTCGCTAGATGTCAGAGGAGAATTTATTATATTCTGGCACACCGCCTCCCCGCCTGTGATATACATGGATCACACTCGCGGAGCAGAGTTGTGCCCCAGTAATGCCTAGCCATCAGCCATGCTTGCGCGCAAAATCTATTAGCCTGTTTGCCGTCACCCCTTTGAATGGGTATGGACAGCGGCCTCCTCCCTTGCTATTATACAGCTCCCTAGCTGTCGGTATGTTCTATCCGCATACAGCAGCCCGAAACCGTTATCTTGAAACTTGTCTCCGCGATTGGACCTTTTGGCCCTCTCACCCTCTAAAATGTCAAGTACCTCGCCCAGTACGATGACATGGTCCCGGACTTTGACGAGCCCCCGCGACGGCTGATCTAGAAGCCTACATCGCAGGACGTAGAGAACACCTGGGCCGCGGAGAACGGGCGGGTCGTCAGCACCCTCTTGCTCTTGTATCGCCACCTGGCACTGGCATTCCTCCGCCAACTTCTCAAAGACGTGTAGGCCGCCGGCGTTGCCCCGTGCTAGCCAGTCAGCGACCCTCGCGCCCGAGGCATCGTCGGCGAGAACATGAATATTGAATCGACGGCTTGCCTCGACGGCGTCGAACGTCCGGCTCGGCGTCGAGATGTTGAAGCTCACTACCGGGGTCGGGCTCAGAGCCAGCGAAGTGAACGACGACATGGTCATGGCGCGCGGCGCTGGCGGCTCCGTTCCGGACCCGGGAAATGTCGACGTGCAGGCGACCACCGAGTGCGCGAGCAGGCGCATCAGCCCACGCACATGCTCGGACATGGACGGCAGCGGAGGAACATCTAAGTTGGCATCTCCATCGGCCAGAGCGGCAAACGAGGAAGACAACATCGAAGTCCGCGGGCAGGTGTTAAGCTTGCGCGAGGCCAATACTTGGAACGAGCGCAGCCGGCGCGGCGAGGTATGGAAGCACCGGCGGGAGGAAACCGTCTCTACGAGGGAAAAGGATTTTAGTCAGACTACTAGATTCAACAGGCCTGCCTGTGTTCCACTCGCGATTGAGAGCTCTTGGGTAAGGCAGATTCCACGTGTGCCTATAAAGGCCAACGATGAACGTACCTCGACAACGCGGTGTCCTTCTCTCAAGAGAAGCAAGACATAGCTGTTGGGTTCTCCCGACAAAATTTGGCGGGCGCATCGTCATTATCAAGGCGTGCGCTGAGCCATACTGGGCATGCTTAGAGAAAGAGAAAAGAACAAGCGCGGACTCGGCAGCCAAGCCTAGGACGCCGAGACTGCTCATCTCGGCCCCATGAAAGGCCAATTGAGAAGCTACTTCGACAAGCAAGTCGCACCTATGCCTGTTTCTTTTCGTCTCTCGGTCTAGAATACAGGCTCCAAACATTTTGATGGGGTTCTACAGGTTTCCTTCGAGCGGGAATAATTAGTGGGCCTCTCGACAGCAACGATAAACCGATAAGGAATTGCGCGCGGCTGCTCCATGTCGACCGCCGTATCAAAATTTTCGATTGGGACCACGGGCCGCAGACCACGGCGTCCCATCATTTCAAGGTCTGCCCGTGATGGACTCCCCGGCGCCGATTCTTTTTTGAAAAAAGAAACGCCGGCTTAACCAACCACGCCAGCTGCTCCTTTTCAGACAATATAACGTGAAGAAAACGAACGGAGACTCTACTCTACAGTCGATCGAATTCCTTAACAACTGAGAAAGAGGGCAAAAAGAAAAAAGAGGGAGATCGACCACCCCTTTGCCGTCCTCGTAACCAAACACCATGAACGGCCGCACAATGGGGAGGCTCTCGACGGGCCTGCTCCTCCGCCGGCCGACGTGCCTCGCATCTGCCACCGGCAACACCACCACCACCACATCACAGACAGCAGCGCAGCAGCGAAGCAGCGGCGGCAGCCACCAACAAGTGCGGCACGCGACGTACGTGACGCGGCCGCGGCGGCCGTACCAGTTCACGCAGCTGGTGCAGCTGAGCGACGGGAGCACGTTTGCGGTGCGAACGACGGCGCCGGGGGCGCTGCTCAAGACGTCCAAGGACACGCGCAACCACCTGCTGTGGCAGCCGTCGGAGAAGTCGCTGCGCAACGTCGAGGTGGACGAGGCGGGCAAGCTGGCCGCGTTCCGCGACCGCTTCGGCCGCGGCTGGGACTTGGAGGCGACCCAGGAGGAAGAGGACAAGGCAGCAGCAGCGGCGGCGGCGGCATCGGCAGCAGCAGCGCCTCCTGTTGCAGATGGTGCAGAACAACAACAACAACAACAACAACAAGAGCAAGCGCCGCTAGAGGCTGAAGAAGAAGCGCCGCCGGACGATGCCTTTGACTCGCTGGTCGATCTAATTAGCGGCTATGCGGCAAAGGACGCCCAGAAGATGACCGGCATGAGCGCGAAGGAGGACGCCAAGGTCGCAAAGAAGAAATAAACACCTTTTGCAGTTTTGTACGTTCGATCCAGCAACGAAATCTGCGTAGTTGTCCCTGAATAAACTACTGGGACAGTGTATCTATTTGTAAAGCTAAACCACACCCCGAAAAGAAAACTTGCATGTTTGTCTTATGAGACCAATACCTCGAGACAAGGAACAGGCGCAATATGTATAGATGATAGGCGGCGACTGACGCGACGGCGTGCGGCGGGACAATGTGCTCGGGCATAGTAATGAGACTACCTACGCAAGATTCTGTACAACACTCCTAGCATTATGTAGTTGAGAAAAGGACACAGGCCGGCGACACTGGACAGAAAAATTATGTGTGATTGCCTCAACTTTATTTCTTTTTTTTTAATACACACTTTCCTCTCCGGAACATCTAACATAATACTTTGAGAAGGTCTATTTGACTAGCCTTCTTTGAAGGGTCATCTTTCCTTCATGGATGCGGAAGCTGAGGTCTAGTTCCTGTTGTTGGTACGATCAGCCAGATAGGGGGGCCGTGGTAGTCGTCTTACAAACTCCTAATCTGAGTCTTCGTCAATCCTGGCCCGGGCCCGATCAACCGCCGTGTCTCCAGCAGGCTTATTCGTCTGGATCACAGGAGGTCGATAGAAAACGGTTTCGTCGTCTTCCGCATCCAATTGCATAAGGAACGTCTCCCACTTCTCAATTAGCTAGACATGTAATGTTAGCAAAACCAATGAACCAGGAACAGGGCTTTGCTGAAGAAAACGGGAAGGTCGACCTACCTCCTTCTGTGCCTCAACAGCCCCCTCCAAAAATGTTTCAACGCCTGATTTGAAATCCTCGACCTTCTCTCTCTCAAACCGATCCAGCTCGGACCGCATCAGCCGGCCCATGTCCTCAAACAACAAACGCGCCTGGTGCACTTTCCGTTCCGCGTCTGCCACCTCGGCGCTGACCTGATTGAGTCGATCCTGCTGGCTCTTTCCTTGGCGAAGGAGCTTGTCCTGGGATGCCTTACGCTTCTGGAGCTCTGACTCGGCCGTATGCCAGCTGTAAAAGGCCTTTTGGCGCTGCGTAAACGCTTGCTTGACGCTTCCAATCAGTCGGATATACTCCTCGATAATAATACCGAAGGTGAGCACGTCCTGCTGCGCTTGGCGATCATAAACGTCGCGGATCATGATTTGAAGATCCGAGAGCGCGTCCAGCGGCCCCGATAGGGTCGGAGAGAGCTCTACCGTCGATAGCGCGTGCAACGAAGCCGAGAAGTCGCCTGCTGCTTCTGCCATGGCCTTGCGCTGAACCACCATACCATCAATGGCCTTGAGAAGTGCCTTGAGTTGGTTTTCTAGCGCGTCTAGGTAGACCTTGCGCTCGTGGAACCACTGGATAAGACGCGTCAGTACTAGACGTTGACAAAAACGAACAATGACGAAAAGGAATTGCTCACATCATCCTGCTCTACGAACTTGTTCGTGCTTCCAACATTGATGCCAAACGAGCTGAGCATGCTCTTGCTCTCGCCGAGGCTAGGCTCCTTTCTTTCCTTGTGCTTGACGTCGATGTTGAACGCTTCGCTTTCCAAGAAAAGTTTGAGGTCTGCATCATGCTGCAGCGTCGGATGTGCCGCCGTCTTGTTGAGCATCTTCTCGAGGGCTGCGCGCCGGGCTTCGACGAAATTGCTCTCGAACCGGCCCACCGCCTGCTTCTCAGGCGGCGGCGGCACCACCACCCCGGGGTTGTTGGCGTGTAGAGTGTTGTAGAGCCATAAGAAATCGCGGTATCTCCTCTTGACCTCAAATTCGCCTTGCTTGTATGCCTTCGAGGTAGTCTAGGTCCAGGGACCATCGGTGTTAACTACGATTGACTTTCTCAGTCTCCCTCGACAGGAACCGCTTCATACCTTTGTCCTGACCGAGTAGACGATGTGACTGCTTGTCAAGTCGCCGACTTTGTGGGGGTCTCCAACACTAATCTGAAAGCTCGGCTTGGCAGCCTGCTCAAGGCTAACGCTTGGCTGCATCGTGCTGCGGATGGGGCTGGGTTGGGCTGCTTGGACGGGCGGCGGCTGCCTCGGGCCGGCGGACTGCTGATCAAAGCCGTCGTCGTCATCTATGCGGTGAGGATCGGGCGGGCTGGATCTCTTCGCGGCGGCACCGGCACCGGCGGGCATCGTCGTCCGCAGGGGCAGCTGTTCCTTGACGGGCGGGACGGGCGGAGCCAGCGGTGGGAGCGAGCCATCGGCGCCTGTAGTGCTGGCGCCTAGAGGTCCCAGGGGATCATCTTCAACGGCTTGAAGGCGTGTAGGTTGCGCGACGAGGCGACGAGGCGTCAGGCGCGAGGGCCTACCAGACGCTGCCGTCGTCGATGTTGACGGTGCAGACGTTCCGCCAGGCCCTGTACCATCATCGCCTTGTGAAGACGAACCGATCTGCGATGCGCCCGCGCCAATTTCAGCCCAGGGATCCTCCATAATGAAGAGTCAGGTATCTGGGCGGTAGTGGTTTTTCTCGGCGGGAATAGAGGCGTTGAAAGGGCGAAGGCGGCAGTTGATCGATGGGTAGATATCCGGGACGTGACGAAGCTCCTCCCTCCTGTTCTTCGCAGGTTCAAGTGTCTTGCTCTGCGGGCACTGTGCTTTGACACAGTAATGCGGCCTCGTTCCTGGTAGGAAGCGCTTGGACCAAGCAAGGGCTTCCCTGCGATCCAAATTGTGGGGAAGCTGCCTCAAGCTTCAACTCCTCTTTTGGTTCGAGGTGTGCAACGGATTCAATGGCGATTGACACAGCATTTAAATTCGAATTTTGGCATGGGTAGGAGGGAAGTAAAAAAAAAACCCCCCAGTATACTATTTACCTATCTGATAGTATACCGAAACACATTATACCTTACAAAAGTGCCCAAGTACAGTACATAATACCAAACAACAAGCAGAGCTATTTCTTGCTTCTCGTTCAAATGGTCGGCATCGAGGGTGCCTAGTATATCGCAATACTCCGTAGCACCAGAGAATGATTTTAAACAACCGCAGGTTCCATAACCTAGAACTCCATCAGTTGCTTTTACCAGAACCCCAGCCCGATAACCTAGCCATCAAATGCCTCCCTCAATCACCATAGGCCGCTTAGCGCTCAGGGTCATAGCAACCGCCCGCAACCACCAAGTTCATCCGCGTGAACTGTACCTTCATCACTGGCGTCTTCTTCGTTGCGAAGGCGCTGATCTGGTCCGGGGTGATCTGCACTTCCTTCGTCTTCTTCTTGCCAGTTGTGCCAGTACCAGCACCCACACCGGCTGCCGCAGTGCTAGCGCCAGCCATCGGCGCTGCTTGGCCGCCGACAGTGATGTTCCGTCCATCTGAAGATCCGGCCACTGCGATAGTATCACCGGCCACAGTCGCTCCGTCGGGCTGTTGACCCGCCTGAGGAGGGCCAACAATGAGAGGGTTTGCCTTCGCAGGGTCGTTTGGCAGCTCGACATCCCAGATACGGACCGTACCATCCAGGCCACCTGAAACGAGGACGCTCGACTCAGCACTGAATTGCATAGACGGTATACCGCCCTTTCCATGGCCACGGCAGCGCTTGATACGTGAGCCCTTTTCGATATCCCAAAGGATAATGTTGCCTCCCGTGTCAGCACTGGCCAAGATCTTGCCGTTCGGTGAGCACTGTAAAAAACTGATATAGTCCGTGTGGCCAGTGAAGACTCTAACGCAGTTTCCGGTAGTTACCGACCACATGCGAATCGACTTGTCCATCTCATCCGAGGCCGAGAAGACATAAGTTCCGTTGGAATGCCAGGCAATGGCAGAAATGCTGGTATCGTGGCCGACCATGATGCGTAGTGCCGACGCACGGTCTTGAGCAAACACTCTGACAGTCTTGTCCCATCCTGCAGTAGCAAAGTAGTGGCCGTGAGGACCCCATAGAACCCGAAAAACCGGTCCGTCGTGTGCTTTGTACACACAGAGACACGCCCACACATCAAGCGACCAGAGCCGGACTTGACCGTCTGCGGAGCTTGAAAGAAGGAGCTTTGTGCTTGTGTCTGGCTTCGTAGTTCCGCCTTCTCCGTAGACATTACGGTCTAGATTGGTAATTGAATCCGAGAAGGAGACGCCATAAACCGGACCAGAATGTCCGATGAGCTTTCGGTTATTGACTACGAGGTTCTTCTCGTGCTCCAACGAAGACTTCAGCGGCTTACCATCCATAGACCAGACACGGATATATGAGTCCATAGTCCCGATTGCAACCAGTTGGTGATCGTTCGAGAAGTCTATGGACGAAACACTAGACAAAGGGTTATGTTGTTAGCATACCGGAGGAAAGGTTCAGAGTGAAAGGGATGAGTTTGCCATTATCATACCTGCCCAAAGTATTGTGGAATGTGAACATGCACGCTGACACAGGAACGCCAACGCCCCCGGTTCGGCCCTCGATCTGAAAGCGGTCTCGGTTTTCGCGGACCTTCTGCATCTCCATGACGACGTCTCTCGCACGAGAGGCCGGAAGTGGCAAGTCAGCTCGTGCGGGCACATCCGCACTATCCTCACGCTTGATCTTGCGGTCGAACTCTTCAACGAGTGTGGGACGACCGTCTGCTGGCGGGCGTCCTTGGTCTTCTTCCTCGAGCTCTGCACGGACGTCATCTCTCAATTCGGCCTCCATCGGCAACGGTCCTAGCTTCAACGGTGCCCCAGCATCGAGTATATCTTTGTTGGAGACGCCTGTAAAGACGCCGGGGATGCCTTCTTGGGCATCGATTTCGTCAAGATCGAGGTTCTGAGCTCTCCGGAGGATGGCCTCGAAGCTGTAGGGTTCGATCGGACCCCGTGCACTCACGTCAACATGGCAGTACGTCTGGAGAATGTAGGTAACCGTAGCGCCGCCAGAGTCTGCCTCCCGCTCGAGGAAGTGGAAAAGATTTCCCGACAAAGACTGGTTGAGCGGAATACGGTATTTGTTCTCCCGGTAAAGCCTGGTGGTCTGGTTCTCCCGCAGGTGCTGGGGAAGCGATATTTTGGCCAGCAGATCGAGGGTATCTTTGTGTGCAGCCTCGAACTGGGGCTTGAGGGCACCAAGGAGTTGCTTGGCCTCGTCATTGTACCCTTGGTTAATGAGCTCGATGTACGAGTATATGAACAGGGGCCAGAGAAGCTTTCGCAGCTCAAACTGAGGAGAATGTCAAATTCAGTGCGTAAGACGAAGATGATTCTATATTGGAACATACCTTGTATATGTCGAGATTATTCTCGACCCAGTCTCGGAGCAATGCGAATGCCTTCAGGTACTTCTTCGGACCCGGGTCATCGTTGCGTTGAGCTGGTCTGCCATCTGGTCCCAAATGTGCTGTTTCTTGCCGGAAAACGGCCTCCGTTTTGGTGAACCCTTTTTTTTTCAGGTAATCCGTCACCTTATCGGGGTCATTATCAGAGAAATAATCTTCCATGGTAGGATTGGAGGGTGCTTGAGGAGGGGGGGGCTTCCGACTAGAAGGGCGGAAGCGTTTACTACGCCCCATCTTGACTGATCGCGAAGGAGGGGATTGAGAAGCACCTTCAGAATGGCAGAGATCTACGTCGCCGTAACACTTGTGATCTCTCTGCGCAAGCAAATATGAGGGAATAACGCGAAGAGGGAGACGTGGAAGGAATGATCGCAGACAAGTGAAGAGATGGTTGACAGGAACTGCCTTGTCCCGAGAGGAAGAAATTGAGATAAATTTATGTGAAGGGTAAGGAATAGCATCGATTGCCGGGCGACAGCAGAAAAGAATGGGAGGTAAGTAGGAAGGGTGAGGTGGGGAAAGATACGGTAGTGCGTGAATCAGCCGGGTGAATGTTGTCGGTAGGCAGCGAGCGATGGCCTTTGTCTTCTAGATGAAGGCAGCTTGAAAGGCAACATGCGTACTTTGCCTACCTACAATTGACTGTCGTCGGGCTTCAATATCCAAGCTGGGCGCGCTCATTTTATTGAGATATTCTGGGAGTGCAGACAAGGCGAAAAGAATAACTGAAAAACAACTGTCTCACGAACAATCACACTTTGGACTCACAATCTGATTCAGGTTCTGCGCAGAAGGCGGCGCGCTTGCTGTGTTTGTGGTTGCCCCAGCTACCGGTGCACTCCCACCAGTCGCTCCTGTTCCTCCAGCTGATTGAGGTTGCCCGCCATAGGAACCACCAGCTGGGCCTTGGCCAGCATTCTGGGACGTTGGGTTAGACATATTACGAAGACAGTGGATGCCGGTCCCGATAGTACAATGGGTCGCTTCTCTTCAACTTATGCTCCTCACAACTGCGCGCGAAGGAAGGAGCTCAGACACAATCGTGTCTTTCTGGCCTCATAGACAACCGCGTTTCCATAAAACGTGAGTCTACCTTCTTGGCTGAGTGTGTGAGATACAATCTGGTTTCGTGTTGTGATTTTTGGTGGTGTTGTAGGACAAAACGAATGGAGTGGTTTTCGCTCGAGGTCATGTGAGCTTGCTCAAATCGTAGTGCGGCTCAAGACAGCTTCGCGACGAGGTGACAAGGTGAAGTGGTCAGCCATTCGGCATTTTCCGTTGACAGGGTTCAGGCTTGGCAGCAGGCATCAGCAGCAGGGCTCATTGCCCCGCAGCATGCATGGCCCCACATAAGCGGGGTGGGTCTTGCTTCTTCAACTCGGTTCCGCAAGAGCTATGACAGGGACGATCGGTTTGACGGGGCAGGAAAGACGACGTCCAATGCTATTCAGCATCTGTCCCACCGCAGATTTTGTTTTCCTCAGCCGTTGGTGGCGCCTTAGAGCCTAGATCTGAGCTTCTCTGTCCTCTTGGAGCCAAGAACAGAGCGAATCATTCTATCTACAGCGAAATTCATCCCTAGCTCGTCACCCGACAAACAAACCACCCTATACCTACGATCCTGGGGCGCAAACATAATGGAGGCTCCAACACAACCACCAGCCAGTGATGGAGCTGGAGTAGCGATTGGGGGAAACCAAGTGGACATTCACAAGCCATTTACCAAGGCGGAGCGCATTCAACAGCTGGGCGAAATTGACAAGGTCTGCCTGATCTCCCTCCTCTATCGTCGTCGACACTCCTAACCCCCCTGTCTAACACCCTCTCTAGGACATCGCATCCCTCCTTGTGCACGCCAGCGAAGCAATGAAAGCCGTCGCCAAAATCCCCGCGGCGCAACAACCCCCCCCGGGCGCCGCCAACAACAACGATGACGACGACGGAGCCGCCGACGCCGTCGCCAATTTCACGGCCGCGCAGACCGAATTCATCGACAAGCTCGACCGGATCGACAAGCTTCTTAAGCGGCAGATCTACGCGCTCGAGGAGGCGGGCATCATCACGCTCCGGACGTCGGCCGAGCCGGCCATAATCGAGACCGCGGGCGCGGGCGCCGAGGGGCGTGTTAAGATCATCCCCTCGCGCCTCGAGCCCGACGGCATGGGCAAGTGGGGCAAGTTCGACGTCGGGTTCCTCAACATGTCTGGCAACACGGTCGAGCGCGACATGGAAGGCGAGCTGTGGTCCAAGGCCAAGGAGCACCTGGCGGCGGCTGTGGCCGAGAAGACTGCGGACCGCATGCAAGAGTAACGTTTAAGGACATGACAGGAGATCGCAAAATTACTAGAAGGTAGGTAAGGAAGGTTTTACTACTAAAAGAAAATGGGGGTTTTTTCGGTGTTACGTTGGGAACGAAACGTATTGGCTAGGGGCGTTTGTTAGGGTAATTGGCTTTATTTGCTGGGAAAAGGTGAAGGTTTGCATAAATACCACAGGGGTCTCGCAAACACGAGTATCGGGTGCCGATTTGAGGGGCCTGAGAAGGTTGAAAGCCTGTATGATATTGTTATATCTTCTCATCCATTAGGCCTCGCTAAGCGTGCACGGAGCTGGGTCACGATTTCTGGCAGAAGCAGCAAAAGAATATCAGTGTATTCTTGTTAATAGCAGGTAAAAAAAAAGCGAAGAGCGATAATGCATCTAAATCTGTCCAGACGGGGTTCCTTTAAAATCTACCTAACCGAAAATTGCAGAAGATGAAGAAAACCGGGCCATGAGGAGCCTAGCCAAGCCAAAACCAAATATCTCGAGGGCCCCGTGGGCGCATATCAAATCCCCACCCCTATTTTCTTTTCTTTTGCTCTTGGGAAGGCCAACTCCTTAGAATGCATCGCCGTCCATGCCGGAGCCAGGGAAAACCGTTGGTATCTTCACGAGTAGCTTCTTAGCTCGGGGCAGGCTTCTTCTTGCAGAGGCGGTCGTAGCCCCCGCCGCCGATGGTGCCGTTAGAAAGAACAAAGGCCGAGGCGTCGATGCTAGGTAGATCATTTTCGGTCAGCAACGCCGTCTTTAAAATATGATAACCAATTATTTAGGATAGAGGTGTTTCTTACACGGCGTCGAACAAGACGCAGTTGAGATGCTCTTCGGTAGTGCCAATTTCAGCTGTGTTTGCACAAGTGCGAGAACGCGTCAACATGTTGTTGCCTTTTTATTCTTCTTTCCGCCATAACGCCTCTATGTCCCCCTTCTCGAGTCCGACATCTGCCCTAGGACACAAATAAAGTGCTAATTGTTAAAGTTTTTGTAACGTACCATACCACACGAAGAACGAGTTGCAGTCCGCGGCGCTGTTACAGGTGAACTGGCACTTGAAAGCTCCAAACGGGTCGCTCTCGTGGTTGTAGGACATGTACTGCACATATTTGCCAGTCAACATGCCTCGTTACATGTTTTTTTCTGAGGATTCCTGCCGTCTCTCTTCCCGCTTTGGTTCCGTTCCTGTTCACCCCTCGCCCTATATCAGGCCCACTGCCGTTTGTTACAGACAATGGAACTGGCATAGTGGAAGGAAGAAGAGAGAGAGAGGGGAGAGAGAGAGAAAAGAAAGGAGAAAAAAGAAAAGGAACCTTACGTGCGGGCCAGAGACAAATTGGTCGGCATACCAGTCCGGCTTCACCGCGTACGACACCCAGTCCTCAGCCGGCTTGATGTACGTGAAGTCGTTAATAGGGAAGCCGTCCGGGCGCTGCTCCGAGGCCGACGGGCCCGTAGTACAAGTTCGCGGCTGGACTTCCGAGGAAACGCTCGCCCGGACGAGGGTCGTACCGCTAGACGACGAGGTCGTAGCGGCCACGAAGGCCACGGCCGCCCAGAAAAGGTACATCGCTTTCGCAAGACTGAAAGCTATTTTCTTTTGCGAGTGTCGGGTTTTTTCCCCTCTGTCCCTGGGGTACCAGAGCGAGGTTAGGTGATGGAGCGACAGGAGAGGAGATAGGGCGTGATGGGGAATGATGGTGATAGGTTGTAGGTGAAGAGAGGGAGACTGGCCGGCTCTTGAGTAAGGAAGAGTAAGTCCTCTCGACGATGGATATAGGAAAGTCGAGTATGGTTGCGTATCAAAATGCCTTAGATACCCAGGTACCTAGAAGCGAAAGTCGAAGACGTCTCTAGAAGCTGTAGGGCGGATCGTCTGCGCTATTGGGGACGAAAAGGCGGGAAAGAGCGGACGGTCCTGACCTCACAGACCGCCAGATACCTTGCACGTGGGCCTTTCTTACAGTGAATCTACTGAGATAAAAGGATCCGATCCCCCTTTAAATTCAACTGTACTTTATAGTCCTACCATTTCTCCGTGGACTGTGACAATCTCTGGGATTCGTCTCATCGAGTTGGTCGCCACCAGGCAGGTCAAACCCCCCAACTCCAGGTATTTTACATGGTACGGATATATCAACATGCCATCTGTTGGGAGAGACATCCGGGAATCGGAGAAAAAAACCTACCAAGTCGAGTCGTAGATGCCACCTTACAACGAATAAACCACACCCTCCCCTTTTTTTCTATGTTTCCTGCATGTTATGCCGCGCCACCCAACACCCCGGACTGTTCGGATCTTGCAGCACAAGCTGCGGGTGGCTTTCTTGCGATCCCATAGCACCTAGATAGTACCTCGTGGCGAATAAAAGATGTCATGCCAGGGTGTCAGTAGCTACCTATATTGCAATGATGCTACCCCTTAGTAACCGAACTGGAGCAAGGGCCCGTCTCTGTTGGCTATATCCTGGCTGACTGGTTCTTTCGCCGACTTTGCATCCTAATTTTTGACTCTGTCGGTTCTATTTCATCTCTAGACGTTGGCATAATCTCCCCATACATCAAGTCAACCAAGACAACTCAAGGGGAAAAAAAGCCCCTGAATGGGCCGGCTAGGTAGGTAACTAGTGACGGAACGACCGCCCTCTCAGACAGCTGGACAACACTGCGGTGCCACTGCATTCCACAGAGCACAGGAGCGTGACACAATCGACGGGTTACAATTTTGATCGTGCATGAGAAGGAGGCAGCCATCCAGAAGCTAGGAAAAAGTACATGTCTTTTTCTTCGTATGCGGGGCCTTGCTAACGGAGTTGCATCATCTCTTGTTAGGAACCCGAAAGCCACCTCAAGCCCATGCGACCGCGTTTTCATCTCGGGCGATGAAAGAATATTTATACAAGGCCAAGGAGAAAGGCTATTAGGTACAAGCTGAGTTCGTAGTCTCCCCTCGACCACCCTCGTGATGAACATTCTCCTGCCAATCTCCATCATTGACCTACATACACCAAGGAAGGCCGAAACAGCACGACTCCGTCATAGGGTTACAACCTCCCTAGGCTGGCCATCAACCAACCTACATATCTCAACTAACAAAATCACTCAAGCTAGCCTCAACGTTGGTGAGTCTCTATCACACCAAGAAGCTCTTGCGGCCCTCAACCAGGCCTTCGGATAGCTTCGTGACGGCTGACCACGTCGGGGAAAACTTCAGGCCCTCGTCCAGCGCAGGGATTGTGCCACGTGTATTTGCATCGCTCCAAATACAGATGACAGTTCCGTCAAGACCAGAATCTCTCTGCTTCAAGTCTTCGTTGGCGACCAAGTTTGAGTCGGCTCCCGTACCCTGGCTACCGGAGTCAAGCGAATCCGAGGCGCGGCTGTCACCGTCCTTCCACTCAAAATCGACGATCCATGGATCCGCCCAGTATCTGTGCCAAAGCCTGATATAGCTCACGCCACCCTCTGGATACACGCCGAAGCGATCATCCCACCCAGAGCCGCCTTCGACAGTAAAGCTGGACACCGGCTTCTTGAACTCGACGAAGCACGCCTTGGTATTTGTGGCGTTGATTTCGATGCGAGCGCTGTTTCCGGAATTGCGCGTAACGTTGATCGATACTAGGTCCGAGTAGCCCGTTTCCGGAGGAATACCGACTGGCAACTCGCCGCTTAGATTTGGTGCCACGTCCGATCCGTCATAGCAGCAACTTGGCAGTCTTAACCGTACGGATGGGCCGCAGCTGATGTCTTTGCCTGACGCGGATGGCATCTCGGCAATTATGGGACGGACATACTCCTCAATGCCAGTGTAGCACACCTCGTTGTTGCCAGTATCCAGATTGATACGCTGTATGAAGTATGTCTTGTACCGGTTGTTGGCAGAAAAGGGAAAGGCGGCGAGGTTGTATATCAGAGTTGCAACAAATACAACGAGCAAGAAAACAGGCACATGATGCGTTATGCGATGAATGAATGGGGTCAGAGGAAGAAGAAGCAAGACTGTGAAGGCGAAAACGATCAAGTAGGGAAGTAAAAGACTACTGCCATCTGGCCCAGTCTGGTGAACGGCATCCGTGAGCAACAATCCAGTTTGCCCAACCAGGATGATTGTGAAGGGGCCGAGCAGTAGAAACTGCAAGAACCAAGCCCATGAAGGCAGACTCCCTGACCAGGCTTGCTCATGTTCGAAGGGCCTGTGGCCGCTATCTTCGAGTTTACGAGCTCCATTCACCAAGGCCGATATGGATCGACGATAGGTCGTCGCGAAAGTCGTTCGAACATGCTCGCTTGTGGCATTACCACCTACAAGAGGCGTCCTCTCTGTCGGCCCCTCTCGGTCCGAGGCTTCGTCGTCCTCCTCTTCTTGCTCAGCAGGAATTGACGTGGGAGCCGAGGAAGCTGAAGCGGTAGACTCTCTGGCTGTTGGAGGGCGCAGCGATTCATGACGCGGTATGGCCGGGAGTTGTGATGGTAATATGCACTCAGAGTGAGGTACGGCTTGGAGGAGGTCTCTCGTTTCATGATCGTCCCGAACTTGCCGGCCCCAGGCAGTCTTTTTCGGCAGCGCAAAAAGCTCGCAGAGGGTGATGAAAGTCGTCAGGAACACAGCTGACTGGAGGAAGACAAATATATATCCTGCTCCAATCCTCTGTCGGTCCTCGGATACAGTGACGGCAACTAAAACTGCCCAACCGATTACGAACAGCCAGATGTTGACATAGCCACGGTGGAGCGCACTGGGCCTTGCAAAATTTGCACCTCGCATAATGGCCCAGAAAGTGAAATAAAAGAGCGAAACAATCATGGCCCAACTTTTCACTTTGTCAGCAAGGGTTCCTGGCAGCCTGTGGATAAACGAGAAGCACTTACACTGAATACCGGGCTCGGTAGATGATCAGAGGGTTTACCTTCCTCATCAAAAGTGCCACGCCAAGCGACAAAGCACCCGACACTACCAGGGCAAAGGGGAAGCGGAAGAAGCCTCTCCAACCACCAACTGTCACAGGTTCGTAGTCAGGTTGATCGTATGTCCTGACACTCGCCGTGAAGAAGTAGTACTTGTCCAGCTTGTGAAGGATGTAGGTGAGTAGAATCAGTATCAGCGGAGTAGCGACCAATACCGTAAGCGACCACGCGAACATCCCTCGCAAGCTGAAGAGCACGAAGCCCTTGCCAAAGATATCAAACCATACTCCATCACTTGGGTTGCCGTTGGGAACTTTGCCACGGGCTCCGTCGGGTCTGGGACCGACAAAAGTGTCTCCCGTGTCGCTGGAAAGGGCGGTCGACGTCTGGACGGAAGCCGACAGCATATGCCAAAGGCTGTTTCTGGACGTGTGCTTAGCATCATCTTGGTTGGTGTGATATCTTGCCCGGGGCTTGAAGAATGCCAAGTCAAGTCCCCGCTGGCCGTATATGTCATGCAGAACCGAGTAGTCCGTGCCGCTCTTAATGAAGCCGAGCCCAAATGCATCAGACCCGATTACTGTGCCAAAGGGGTCCGACGACTTGGAGTAAGCGTTGGTCACTTCTTGGTCAGTCGATCGGAATAGAATTGCTCGGCCTCCCGCGCCGGCACCCTCGAGGTTCAGAAATGTGTGGATGAATGGCAGCAATGGGCTCTGTCCAAGGGCCCGGGCACCATATAGGTAATCCTCTTCGCCATTGTTGAACAAGACCACTACACCCCTGTCGGGCTGTTGTCCAGGTTGCGTGAAGTACTTGACAAGTTGCAGGCAAGTGACCACACCCATTCCATCGTCCGTGGCGCCGAAGCCAGTCGAGACACTTGGATGAAGTCAGTCAATTTTCTTCTGTAGAGCACATGACACCGAAATCTCTGCAGATCGGGGCAGAGAGCTCTTACGAATCGTAATGAGCATTGACCAGCGTGAGGCCTTTCTTATTGCGCCGGGCTGGTTGAATGCTATTGGCATTCCACCAGTTCCCCTCATCATCCTGTTTGCCCCTGATGTAGACAAGGATGTTCTGGCCTTCGAAATAGGCCGCCGTCACGCCCGGAGTGTCACGACCAGGGATGGCGCCCGAGCCCATAAGAAAAGAGCTGTTCGAGGTCATGTCATTGAACACAGTGACTGCGGCCTTTGCATCGTCCGATTCGGCACTAAGATTGCCAGGTTAGCCCCGACAAGATGACACCAAACTAGCAAACAGCCACAAACCCATTAATTGCCCAAGACACGCCATTTCCGTCCAAGATAGACTCGACCCGCTGGAGGATGAAGTTGCGGACCTCGTCATTGAAGTGACTGTTGTATGGATGGTATCCGCGGGTTATGATTGTGAGATCGAGCCAAGCCTCGGTGAGATTGACGCCTTGGAACGGGGATTCGCTTGGCGCCTGCGGGGGGTCCTCATTGATGAGAACAATGGGGATCAGGAGGGCCAGGTAGATGAGCGTGGTCCAGAAGGTAACCGGGCCGGGCCGGAACGAGATGGGATTGAGCATGTCGGGCTACCTGAACTCGGACACCGCCGTGTAATGGGACGGAGCTGGGATGGAGGCGGGACAGTGACCGAGCTGAACTTGAAGCGGACGAGGCGCCTCGCCGTGGCGGGTGCTGCTGCTCACAAGCAAAGTAGAGAATGCCCCGAGAACATGAATGAAGCATCCGCGATTGCGAAGCTATAGCTAAATGTGACAGAAGAGTATTGTGACTAGTCCATAAGAATCAGGCGAGGGACCCAAGGGCCTAGGGAGGTTAGGTATGGAGGGGAGAGCTCGAAGGCTGCCTGTTCTCGCGGCACGAACTAGTATGATTTCGAAGCCAAGCCCAGACCCCATTCAACAATCGGCAGTCGGGAATCCACGCTGCAAGACCCTCAGGTTGCCACTTCCGCTGCAGCCCTGGGTTGACTTAATTGCAGCGATTGTCAGTTCAGCGACTTTCAGTGACGGTTGAAAGGGCAAGAGCGGGCTGACGTCGTCGTCTCATGCAGGCATACCGGTACATGTACATGCAGGATGCATGCTCTAGCTTCTAGGTTGGCATGGGCCAGGAGATTGGTGGCCCAAGCTCTTCTCTATGAACATTCGTCGGCCCACTTTGGACTCGAAAAAGAAAAACTAGAGAACTTCAAAAAATGCGCATGACAGCCTGATATAGAAACTGCCAAGGGACTTGTCTTTTTGCATCATACTATACATTTCTAATTGCATGCATTGCAGCCGCCTTTTGTTAACTTGGTCCCAAACTCAGGCAGTGCCGAAATATCTACTGAAGGGGGCCGGAATTTCTACACGAAGATTCGTTCACGACTAGAAGGGCACGAGCAACGCACAGAGTATCCTTACAAAAACCAAAACTCACAACATAGCACAGCCAGATACACTAAACGTCATTTTCAATTATACAGCAAATCTAGCAACAGAGAACCCGGGGTTTCCTAGTCGTACAGTTAGTGCCAAACACCCCCTGTTCGGAACAGCCTAAGCATCCAATAGACAATGAATCATCAACGCTCGATTGTGCTGTGGAAAAGGTGAGTCTGGCCAAATTGATGAGGTGCGCACTCTCAGATCATGTAGGTACCCTCTGATCAAGTAAGCACTCTATCGGTCAGTAATAAGCCCAATACAAAACTCCACATTAGAAAACCCACACAGCCCCTAGAGGCCGGGAGGCGGGGGAGGGGGCAAGTCCATCGGGGGTGGCGGTGGGGGCAAATCTCCGGGAGGTGGTGGCGGCGGAATAGCGTTGGCGTACTGTTGGATCAACGCATTTAGTCCGCCGGGAAGGCCCGGGGGGGCTTGGCCCGGAGGGGGAGGGGGAGGCAATCCAGGCGGTGGTCCGCCCATTCCTGGAGGAGCGCCATAGCTTCCGTAAGTTGCAAATCCACTACCATAAGCTGGTTGGGCTCCTGGAGGAGGGGGGGGGGCATGATGCCAAGGAGCCGTCCCTGGTGCCGAAGAACCTCCACCATAGTTGCTGTGGCCACCGTGACCGCCTCCGCCACCGCTACCATAGTAAGTATCACCGCCATCGCGGCTATCACCTCCGCGAGGACCACGGTCGCGCTCGCGGTCTTTAGCCCACGGCGCGGGTCCACCGGACGGACCAGCTGGAGGACCGTCATTGTCCCGATCATTGTTCCGGCTACGCCAAGGAGCAGCGCCGCCGGTAGGTCCAGTGGCAGGACCGCGTGCCCAAGGTCGAGCATCGCTTTGGCCACCGCCATTACCGTTACCCTCGAAAGATCCTGGACCCGCTTCGATGCGAGCAGGGGCAGCACCGGTGCCTCCGAGCTCTTGCATAAGTTGCTAGAATATGAGTTAGCACCTGACAACTAGTATCAATGGGTGTGGGATGTTTCTCACCTCGTACTCGCGGTCGACGGCATCACCGCCTCCGTTTCCGGCGCCAATGCGTCCAGCGGAACGGCCAGCAGCGGGGCCGTCGTTGCGCCAGTTGCCGCCTGCCTTTCTGTCTGGACAGTCCCGAGCCATGTGCCCTGCGTTACCGCAGACGCGGCAAATAATGTTCGCCGTGAAATTCTGCTTCTCGGGGCAGTCATACTTGCGATGACCTATCTGACCACAGTTCTGGCATGCCTGGTTCTCATCATCGCGCAAAGTACCGTTCAGGGCCGCGAGCTCGCGGAGTTGGTTGCGCTTGAGTTCATTCTGACCTTCTGGGATTGACGCGGCCTTGAAGCTGTCAGCGGGAATTCAAAGATTAGGGGATCAAGCGGATGAGTTACCGTTTCAATAACGTTATGGATCAACTTCTTCGCCTTGTTGACCTTGTCCTCGGTGTCTGCCATGATTAAGCAGTGCAATTCTTCTTCTTGGTTGCTCGAGTGGGCGGCATCGGAGCGGCCTTTGCCCTCCTTGACGGAGCCTTTTCCACGAATGGCAATCTTGGCGCCGGATTCGGACTCCATCTTTTTGAGGGTGTTACCACGAGGCCCGATAAGTAATCCAACTTTATTAATGAAGAGCTGGGTGTTAGTAATTGGGCCAGATCGAGTAGAGCAATGACTGAGTTAGATTTCAGCCAGACGAGCCCGCAAGACATCACGGGAGGATGCGGACTAAAGCCTGGCAGAGTACCAATGGGGGAGAGGGGGGAGGGGAGGGGGAGAAGGGAGGGGGGTTTGTTAGAAAGGTCAGAGGGTTAGCAATCATACTGAAGTTAATCTCTGGATAGTCGTTGACTGGCACATAGACTTTCTCTTGCGTCTTTGTTGGACGCCGGTAGTCCTGGGGCGGATGATAGTTGGGGATCGTCTTCATGGCCTTTTCGATTAGCTTGTGACGCTCGTCTTCGAGTCGCTTGCGATACCGGTATTCACGCGTGTTAACACGACGTCCGTGATTGTCGTACTGGGGGGCAGGAGAGGGCGATCTGAATTACACGTCAGTACCTGGGATGAGCAAAGAGGGAAAGGATTACAACATACCTATCTCCGTCAGCAGGGACAACATCATCAATTTTCAGCTTTTGCGTTATCTCTTCAATTCGCAGATGTAGAGTGTACGCCTCTAGCTGCTCGTTCGTCATGTTGGCAACAATCGCGGTGGGAAGACCCATCAGGCCAGCGGCCTTGTTCTCGGTCGCATCGCCCCAACGGTTTCGCTTCTTGCGCGGCTTGGGACCATCGTGTTCGGTTCCTGAGGATGCGGTTAGCACTATAGGTTTGGAGAGGAGAAGGAAGGGGATAATGATGTACTTACTCTCGGGACTGCGACCACGCTTCATGTCGCGGTCTCCTCCATTTGAAAATCTATTATTTGACGAAGGAGCAGGCGGCGGGGAGAATGCGCCCTTGTCGGATCCGTCCGAATCGCCGCCAAAGCGACGCGCCTTTCCCAGAGGGATGTTGTTGGATCCAGTGATCCCTTGGTTTCTCCAAGCCATCTTGGAGGATTTTTGCTGAACGTCTCTGCTTAGTGCGCCGACGAGAATGATCTTATTTTACTATGGCGGAAGGTGAGGACGGGAAAGAGTTAGGTTGGTGGAGGAGAAGGCCTCTAATGCAAGGTCAGGTTCTCGGGGAAAATGATGATGTTGCCTAACCGATTTTGGATGTGGGTCAGTGCGAGTACACGTGACCTTTGGTCACCCCACCTGCAAACAGGCAAGCAACGGCTGCCTTTCACTGACAAACGCGACTTAAATCTCATGTGATCCTGCGCCTTCCACGCATACGGAAACCCTTAGTAGCCACGTACCAGTCCTTTTGGGCTTGAATATCCCAATTAACAAAATGTCATTGCTCAGTTTACTGCATAATCTACAGCCCTAACTCCATAAATGCCAACCCGTTCTTCTGCTCATCATCTCTTGGCAGCATTTGCCATGGTCTCCTGAACCCAAACTCTACTGCGCTCGGCCGCCTTCTCCAGTTGTTCCTCTGTGTAGTTCTTGTGGTCGAGGGCGCTATGGTGGTAGGGCACGTGCCTTCCCTTTTCTATTCCAGGCCGAAGCAGCAATCTCTCGAGCCAGTTATTGAGATGAGGAAACTCGTCAATATCCAAACCCGCCCAGCCTATGTGTGCGAATGATCCTTGGTCAGAAAAGGACAAAATCGACACCCCGTAATCGGGAGGGGGGAATGGTACGGAAACCACTCACGGTAAGAAGCAACCCAGCCCCAGCAGGATATGTCGGCGATGGTGCATCGGTCGCCCACGAGATAGCCCGATTTAGACGTGCTCAGCTGCTTCTGAAGGACCCCGTACAGGCGGCGAGTCTCATTCTGGTACCGGTTGATGCCGTACTGGATCTTTTCGGGGGCGTACCCTGTCAAACATGATTCGTGGTCAGTTCACTTGCGGCTTTACATGCTACTTCTCTCCACCGGCACCGAGTAATTGGAGAATAATAGCGATGCTCACGCGTGAAGTGGTTCGATTGGCTACGCTTGAGATGTCAGAATCTTCTCAACAAGATCGTCACAGCAGTCAACTCACCCTTGCATGGGACCGAGTCCCCCCATTTGCCAGAAGAGCTGTTTTTTTTTGCCGTCAGAAGATTTGTCTTTCCCATTTGGTCTGTGTTTGGAAAATACACACCCAGTTGTTCGTTTCGTAGTACTCTCTCGATCCCCGAGGGTACGAGACCTTGTGCTCCGGGTCATATCGGTCGACCAGATACTGCATGATAGATCCGCTCTCGAAGATGCGGATCGGAGATCCATCCGTAAAGGTGTCGGTGATGACCGGGATGCGTCCATTAGGGTTGATTTCCAGAAACCAAGGTTCCTGACACATTGCGGCAAACACGTTAATATTGTCTTGGCCATTCACCGCGCCTTCTCCGCCTTGCTGGTAACTGGAGAGGTCTGCACGTGCAAACAAACGCGGCACATACCTTTTGCGTATGCTTGTCGAGCTCGATAGCCGTTACCTTTTCCCTCAAGACCTAAATTAGCTGCGTGCCACAAGGGGCCATAGCGGTAGACGAGAGGGCTCAAAGCAGCTTGCCTTGTACGGCAGACCCAACTCCTCGAGGAGCATGGAGATCTTGATGCCATTCGGCGTCTGCGATGTGTACAAATGGATATCAGATTTGTCGGCCATATTAGTTTACGTTCAGTCCGGTTCCTGCAAAGTGCGTCTTGCAAGTCAAGTCAGAGGATGGAGCTGGAAAATGGTGACGTAGTTTTATCACTCGTGAGCGAGGACAGCGAGGTCTTTAAGTAGTAAATAAGACGCGGGGCTAAGGAAGTAGAACCCACAGTGCCTCAAGCCGAATATCAGCAGAGAGGCTAGCAGTGTTCACTTATTTCCGCACTTTTTGACTTTCCTTGGTTGTATACGCGACGTCGGTTGGATTAATAAGCTAGCTTATACGCACTTGGTGATCCAGTCTCCTTTTTGCAATGCTTAAAAATACGTGGTTTCGCCAGAGTCTTGCAGTGTCGAGCCTTCCCAATGCGGGGTTTGGGATACGTCTACGGGATAAATATCCACTTTGGTGTAAGAGAACGATTGCTATATTTAGATGGAGGCCATGCACTTGTGAACTTGATGGAGGCAGAAGCTGGCAGCACTTGCATTATAGGCACATGACAAAATGGGGTAGTTACAAAGCGATGAAGCTGGCCCTTCCCTGTGTTGTAGCTTAGTAACCACTGGTATTATAGCTGTACCCAGAACCAAAACATGCAGCCTGTGTTGCACAGTTTCTATTTCTAAGAAGGCAGATTTGGTGACCGATACAACTTCAAAATGACAAATTAAGGGGGTTTGGTATGAATAACCTGACTAAAAATACAACACGGTATGGATACGATCATTTCCATCTCTAGTTGGGAATAAATTAAGATTACGGCTAAGGGATTGGTATCTGCCTTATTTATTTATTCATGTATGTACAATACCCAGCAAATTTGCTTCCACACTAATCCAGGGGCAGGTTGTTCCTTTCTTCAAATGCCGTTGTCGGAATCAACCTTGAGACTGCGCGAAGGCGGCCGTCATTCTTGATACTCCACCTCTCGCTGCCAACAGCCTTCGTGGCGTAAAAGAAGCTGTCCGGGTCGTACTTCGACTTGATGGCCAAGAGCGCAGGGTAATTGAGTTGGAAGAATTCTCTCTAGAAGTTCGGCTGCTGGAAGTCAGCCTCGTTCATGTACGCGCCGGAGCTAGGGGTCACCTTCTCGATGAACTGCATGATGTCATCGGTCATAAACTTCTGGTTCGCAGCCATCTTCCAGTCGGCAGGGGGCCGAAGAACGTGTTGTAGTGGTCGCAGTAGCTGGCAGACTCGGTGGCGGCTGAGGTAAACTGCACACTCAGCGTGTTCAGCTTGGCCAGGAACGGCGCTATGATGGCCTCTAACTGGGCCGCCGTCTTGTTGTATGCGGTCAGGAGCGCGATCATGAAGAAGGACGAGGTGAATTAGTACACAACCATGGTGCCGTTGGCTACCATGGCCGGGAGCGGCGTGGAATGCGTCGATGCCGGCATAGAAGGTGTCGGTTGGGTTGTTGGAAATGAAGAAGGAGACTGTTGCGGCGCCGACGGTGCCGGGAACGTCTTGATGGTCAAGCTGACAACAACGCCAACAGTCGGGCACTCGCCACCGACGTTGACCTAACCCTTGGCCTTGGCAGCTGCAAGAATCTCGTAGCCCTGGACACCGGCGCCGATCTTGACGGCAGTGTCTCTGTAGTTCTTGTCGTTCCGCGTCTTGAAGTTCATCGTCTCGAGGTGTTGGGTCTAGACGGAGATAGCGCCGGCTCCTGTCAACCGGCCAAGGTAGCCGTACCCGGTGTTGCGGATAACAAAATGTATGTTCTTGGCCTTGGCAAACTTGATAGTGGCGTTCACATCATTGGCGGACGACACATCAACAGCATATCGGACGTAGTTGCCGAGCGTGCAAGGCTTGGGCGCTGCAGTAAAGGGGTCGAGGCTCTGGTTGGCAAAGAACGGGGCCATAACTGATGCCTAGTCGTTCATGCTGCAGAAACAGAGTCAGCGGCCAGCCGGTTGGGCAGAATAGGTAGGCGAAGCTTACTGGATGTCCGGGGGCTGCCACTAAGACTTGAGATAGGTACAAGCGGCCTCGTCGAAGCTTTTCCATGGCCCGCCTCAGTCAACGGGGTTGTGGCGATGAGCCTACCACTAACTGTCTGGTTGAGTTGGCTCCATTCTCTGCTTGACGGCCAGCATGTGTCGTCCAGGAAGCATTTGCACTTCGAGTTATCGTTGGAAGAGGCGAGCGCACCTGCAGCAAAGAGGCCGAGGGACAAAGCGGCCACCTTCATGGCGGGCTGTGTTGTGTTGATAGGGGGCGAGCAAAGAAGGCGATCAGAAACAAGCGGCTGAACGCTGACTCTGCTCGGCTCGACAGAACAGAACCTAGAAGAGAGGAGAGTGAGTAGAACAAACTCGGGTTATCTGGTGCGGGTGATGTCTTTTATATTCAGTTTTACCAAGCTCTGCCCGCCCGCTCTCTCTCTCTCTCTCTCCGCCATGTCCAACTATTCCGTTTTCTTTGTGTCCTGGCCATGCCAGTAGCCTTTTTGGGCTCTGCAACCCGAGACTGTGGAACCCCTGGTCTGATTCGACTGAGGTCGTGTTACCGGCTTGTTGGGAAATCATCAAGCCGAGGATGGAGGGCTGCGAGTGGTATTCTCGGCAAGCTAGCCGCGGCATGGTAAATTTGTCCCTTTCTTTTCTTTCCACGTGCAATCCCCTCGGGTTCCGGGAGCGGCTATCGACTGTCAAGGTAGTATTTAGCTTAGCATATAGGAGTGACGCAGGAGGAATAAACAGGTTGGAGCATTCGTAGTTATGATCGCGACGTGTAAGACAATTGCGAGGACCTGGGAAATACCGTTCAGCGAGCCATCCCAGCGTGGTGGTCGTCTGTCAACTCGGGGACGGCCAGGGGCACCTTGTGGTCAGCCCAAACAAAATTTCACTGCATATATATCATGCGAACGACGCCCTATGCATTGAGCGTTCGGCTTGCACTTCACCGGGTATGTACTGCACATGGATGTAGGTACCTTCCACACGCCTCCCAGCCTGCTCGAACGCCTTACTTGTCTCGCTCCACATGAAACGGCCTAGGCCCTCATGCGTGATTAAAGTAATTTATGGGAGAATATGCATGGTACCTCGGGGGGATTCTGCGACCGTTGTGCTCCGCTTCTACTTTTCTATCTTATTTCACGGCCGAGCTTGAAACGTTCGCCACTAGTCTAGAGCTGAAATGAATAAGCCATCGGTTGCTAGGTGGATATCAGCAGAGCAAGGCAAATTGTGAGACCTAGGGTATGTGTTTCCGAGATTGTTACACATAAGAGATATATTCACGGCGTTGACCATCTGTTAGCCTTCGTAACTCACCAGGTACCTACAACCCAATCCCTGAATGTTTGTTGACGGTGGACTTCCCAAGATTCGAAAGGCCTCAATACCAATTTATTGACTTCGAAGCTATTCTTGGGGCCCCTATCCTTACCCCTATTACCAACGCTTGCCTTTCTATACGTAAATAATATAATTATACACGAATTAGAGAGAGTGGACAACTGATTAAACTGTGCAGCCATCTCGCTCAAGGGCTTTCTGCTCCGAAACTGGGGTCGTTGTCGTCATGTCACTCGCAGAAAATCGTGTCGAGCATGGTGCCCGGCCCCTCAGACTGCGTGACCGCCAAACTGGGATCGTTATCGTCATGCCAGTCGGAGAAAAGCGTGTCTAACATGATGCCCGGCCCCTCGGACTGCGATCCTGGGTTCGACAGATCCCGGTAGCTGAAGTGACCTGGCCGGAACTTGGCTTGCTCGCTCAGCGGGGGAACCGCAGGGAGCGATTCGGAGTCGGTGTTGGAGTCGGTGCCGGAGTCGGTGTCGGTGCCGGTACCGGTGTAGAGCATACAGTCGCTAAGCTCGCCCTGGTTTCGCCTCTTGTGCATCGCGTAGCGCCAGGTAGGGTTGGCGCCCCGACAATCCTTCTCCTGTAGGTGATGTCGCTTCATCGAATCTTCCTCTACTGTCGCCATCGTTGTCGGCGGCGCTGCCTGATCCCAGTCGATGAAGCCGTCAGGGTCGACTTCCTTTTGGATTTCATTTTGGTGCTCGAGGCGCGTCCTTGCCAAGTCCTCATCGACGGCTTTGGCGACAAGATCCCAATCCACCCGAGCCCAATCAAACTGTTCTACAGAAGCCGAAGTCGAGACGAGAGGCACGGCAGCGTCGGCTCTTCTTTGCTCGGCATTGTTCTGGGCCCCGGGAGACCCTCTTCCTTGCTGCGAACATCTTGCTCCATTAGCCCCCGTCGAGACGGTTGTGGCACCAGTCTTCTTCTGATAACAAGGCTTCGCTTGAAGCACAATTGGCATGCTGTTCTTCTCGCTCGGGATGGCCCGGCTACTTGGGTTCTGTAGAGGAGAGACCCGAGGGGCTGGTCTTCTTTGCGCAAGTTGCGCTTGAGGCGGATCTACCATGCTGTGACCTCCTTCCACTGCTCCTGGGCTGGCGATAGGAGACGCGCCGTTATATGTTGCTTGCTGCCGAGCAGGTTGCTGCTGAGGCGGGTTGTGGAAAGGGAAGGCATCGCGGGCCACGTCTCTACCGGAGCCAAAAGTCTGGTTGAAGTTTGGGGTGCCATTCGGGGTCCTATGAATTTCGGCTCTGGGCACAGAATTCCCCGGGAGAGATGATATCAGAAACCCTCTGGGCGCGGGGGGGACTGCCCGGTGTGATGTGGGAGGCACTTGAAGATTTCTGGGAGGGGGTGACATACGAGGCCCCCCGGGAGGAACCGCCGCATATGATCCGAGAAGAGGGGACATATGAGGTCCTGCGGGAGGAGTCGTCGCATATAGTCCGAGAGGAGGAACCACCTGAAGCTCTTTTGGACAAAACGTCGAATACGGCCCGGAAGGAGAACCCATCTGAGGCTCCCCTGGACGAAACATCGGATACGGCGCGGGATAAGGAACTGCCATATGTGCTGTAGGCAACATTTGGTAAGCTGTGGGAGGGTAAGGCATCTGAGGTACATCCGGAGGAAACATCGAATACGATCCGGGATGGCGCGGCCAGTGAGTTCCAATTGAAGACGGCCAGCGGTTTCCAGGCGCAGGTACTTGGGGCTGATTGAAGTTACCCGCCTCATAGGGGGACTGTGAGGGATGATTGTTGGCCATACCGTGCGGCTGGTTTCTGGCTGACCTCATGCCGCTGTAGTATTGTCTGTCGGCCGGCCGAGGTCCTCGTTCTCTGGGATGAGGGCGGTGCGGGACAGGAGTCTGCGAGAGGCACAGAATGTCGGCTAGACGTTGAGGCGGGCTGGCCGGACGCTGATACTCCGCGATGCTTTTGCATGGAGATACGCTGCTCGGCCTGTTGCTCGGAGAGGTGTTGGCGAGACTGGCTGTCGAAGTACCGATTGAGCGCGAGTGTGACAGTGAGGGAGAGGATGAGGGCGAGGACGAGGGCGGAAACGAGCGATGTTTAATTAGGAACGCCATTTTGCTTATGGTTTACGATTCTCCGGGACAAGTAGGGAAATGAAATCGGGATCGTGTTTGGCTTTGGAAAACCTAAACTCTCCCGGAAGCATGATGTTCTGGAAGAAGGTGGAGGGGCTGGTGGAAAAGAAACGCGAGAACCGAGAACTGAGTGGTAAAGCGGGTGCTCCGGCAACGCGGTACACTTGGTACCACAATAATGAACTGAACGAGGTTGAGTTCATTCTGAGAATAATCTGATGGCGGACGAAAGTGAAGTGATGTTGATAGGGGGGGTTGTTTCTGGTACCAATGCTTTGAACCAAAGAGCCAGCCTGAAACCCTGCCTGCCACCGTTCAAGGAATCTCGAGTCGAAGATTACGGCCCTACTCAGTTAACTACGACATATATATTTACCACTTGGCACCCCTTTGTCGTCCTTGCTTTCTCCATCTCCTAACAGTACACAAACAAGAGCACCCTCTTTCAGGGCCTGAACGACGAATCCCTAACAGCTGCTCCAGGAGTCCATTGTAACAGCCAACTTGACATCCAGCACCAACCCCGCATAAGTTTAAGTTAGAAGCCCCCCGGTTATGGAGAAGGGGCGTCTCGCAAGCCCCCAATCTGCCAAAGCTTGCCGCTGTCTTCAGAGAAAGGGGTCCAGCATGGAAACCACTAGCTAACAACACAGCAAGTAGAATTCCGCAAGTCATACATATCCAACTTTAAAATTCCCAACGACCCCCAGCGAACCAAAACACTCCACCCGTCGTTGAGTTTACAGGGAGGGAACTGTTTGGAAGAAACCGAAGTGTCTCGTCCCAACTATGGCACGTCGTCAAAGTAGACGAGAACTCCCGTCACATATCCGGGCCGTTAGCGCGAGCGGCTCCCGTTCTAACGGGTTTACAAACGGTCTCGCCTTGTTCACCGGCCCTGTAGATAGTATAAAATATTCCACTGTTGGGCACGTTTTCATCCCCGTTTTCGGAGCATATATAGGACGCTTTCGGTACTGTACCTAGGTCACTCGAAAGAACTCAGTATCCGCCAACGGCTTCTATACTTCGGTGAAGTCTCGCAAGCTTGTAAACCAATCAAGTGAGGTGTACCTGGAGCTTAACATAAAGGTTACCGTGTGCCTGTTGAGCTTTATTTGTCTTGCCCCTTGACTAATCACTGTAGCGCCGTACGACCTGGACAGGCGATGTCTTGTTCTAGATTCCATTAGGTAAAGTATCTACCCGGCCCTTCGAACAAGCCATAGTCTGGATCCATCCCACGTCAATGGCCAAAATACACTCAACCTCTGGGTTCAACTCCCGGGTAAGGTAGAAGTTTCGACGCGCCTCTAGAACCCAGACAAGATTTTAGCATGCTTTATAAAAAAATTATCTTTTAGCAAACGACCAACTCAGCAACTCAAAAATACACACGAGGTTTTGTTTCCGCATCGGCCCCAAGATCAACCTCCCGCACATGCTCTCACCTTTATCCCTCCCCCCCAAAACGGGAGTGCCACACAAAGTCTATTCTTTGCTTCACTACTACAGAAAAACCCGTCTCTGCACCCGTGCCATCCGAACTCACTGTTGTAGAGGACACTGACTCGAAGACAGTCTGGCGCGGTACCTTGGATACAACTCTGTACCTGCATTTGACAACTAGGGCAGTTTTCGCTCTGTTTATTTTTTTTGTTCGAGGTCTCCTATAAAAAAAAAAGGACCACAGCCGAGGTGATTGTAACAAATATGTATATAGGTACCCAAAGCCACAACGCATGTGGTATACTTTTCCCCTCTTTATCCGTGTGTCCGTCTCTCCCTCCAATGTCAGGGCCATCCGTATTTTTATAATTCCAAAGAAAAGGAAACGCCGAGGTCAGTCTCAACCACTGCGCTTCACCTTGTGCCATGTCTTCACAGACGCCGGCCACGGAACATCCCCCGTGAAAGACCGATAGACAGACATGGGGGAAAGGAATTACAACTGCAGCTAGAAACATAACAACGGAGGATGGAAATACGCCTCGGAACGCCTGCCCTGATACTCGACCTTATGATGCGATGCGACCACCATAGGAACCAATAATAACCAAAAATAAAACAGAAAACAAAAAGGAGAAAGCGCACCTCCAAATCGCAAAGGAACATAACCTCACTGAGACGGGGGTTGGGCAGGCGGTGGGGCAGGCGGAGGCGCTTCTTCATCTACCACAGGCGGAACAGGCCGCCCTCCGTCCACCATGATGAGCTCCTCAAGCCTCTTGTCCTTGTCATCGCCATACTCAACGCGCTTCCACGTTGTTATTCTGCTTTCATTCATGTCAAAGTCAAAGATGCGCATCTTACGGTGGTAACCGCCGTAGCCTGCGTAGCCGCCAAACCCTGTGGCGCCGCCGTAGCACATCCACATGGCAGGCTTCCCGTCCTCTTTCTGCGACAAGGCGCAGTATTCGTTTACGTGATCGCTACAACACGGGTGGTCAGCTCATTGTTGGAACGGGGGAGAGGATGGGGGCAGGACAAGAAAAACACCTACTGTCCACAGCTGACCATGACTACACCCTCTTCCACCATGGCGTCGTGGAAATGCGAATTATACACAGGCGCCGTCGAGGGCTCTTTCCACTCCCTCCACATTGTGATATTGGGGCCTCTGTATTCTGGTAAGGGTATGTGGATGAAGGCAACATCCATGTGACCGTGCGTGTATTCCTTGTGCGGTTTCTTTAGCCGTTGGGCTGTGCTCTTGAACCAATCGATCTGATTCTTCTTGACCCAGTCATAGCCTGGAAACTTTCGCTCATTTGGTGAGTACGCGTGCGTGTCGAGGAGGTAGACCGTGATGGCCGAATGATCCGAGCCTTTACGGGCTAGGATCTCGATGTAATAATTCCCTACCCCGTCAATGTCCTCCGGGCCGGCCCGGGATAGTGAGTAAGGGAGGGTTTCAATCAGATCCATCTGAGCAGCCCGAGACATAGACCCTTCGTCATCGTGGTTCCCAAAGATAGAGACGTATGGAATCTTGTGCTCGATGAGCAGCTGCGCATATTTGAAGATTGCCTGCCAAAACACACATGTCAGCCACGCCGGTTCGTTCAGTAGAAATTTACTATAACCCACCGATTGTGTATCTGGCGCAGTGTCTCCGTTAACCTGATCACCACTGAGAACGACCAGGTTAGGGCGCTCTTCGGCCAGCATTTTGGTGACGAAATCGAGCGTCCTGGGGTCGGCCTCGCACTTGCCCCCGTTCCAGTCCTCAGGAAGGGCATCGCGGCAATCGCCGAGGCCGGTGCTCAGATGTAAGTCAGCAAGTTGCATGATCTTGAACCGACCACTTGGGTTGATGCGCAGCGTTGGCCTGAAGGCGGCATGCTCAGCACCCCTCCGTATCGTAATGTGGGCTGCAGGAACATCGGAACCTGCATCGAGGAGTAGCGGTGTGCGTGTGATGGTCCAGTCGTTCCGCGCCTCTACCGCGTCATCGCCGAATAAGACATCGACGCCTGTGACGGTGGTGCTCGAATCCGTCGCACTCCTCTTGCTCGACCGCTTGACCCACAAGCCAGCAGGTCTTGACTCCCAGAGCTCGCCCTTATTTTCCTTGTCGTTTGTGTTTGGGTTGAGCCGACCCACCGTCACGTCCACAAGCACCTTGTCGTCGCTCGTCAGGTCCTCCTCCCTCTTGCGGCTGATGTGAAGGTACGCGCTCGAGAAGGTGCCTTTGCCAAGGTAGAGATCTTTCTCGACACGGTGCCAAACAGCGGGGTCCAGCTTGCAGTTCGAGAAGATGTTGTAGCTCGAACATGTTGTTATGGTGAGGTCGGTGATGATGAGTCCGGCATGGTGGGTCGGGAGGTATTCGTGGATTGCGTTGGGAAGCACGCGAAAATTGCGATCCAGAAAGAAGATGACCACGAACGTGAGGAGGGCGGCCGTGGACACCTGGATTACGGTGCGAACCTGCAGGCCAGCGACCACGTTTAGCCAAGCTAAACTACTGAAAAGGGAGGGGATGCCAGGGCGGGCGAGCCATGGCCAGATTGAAGCTCCGCGAGGGAGCGGGGAGGTGGTGGGGGATCTCGACTCACAATGCGTCGCGTCATCTTGATCAAGGTCACCCTCAGGGCTAACCACCCCGGCAGTGAATCACCGGGAGTATTCCTACGTCGGCCTGGGTGGGCTCGTAGATAGGTGGCAGAGACTGAGCCGGCTGTGGTTTATGAACGAGACTCGCGGTCGCGGCTCAATGCCCATCTTATAGCATGTCGGTAGGCAATCCTCGCGTTGCTGTGATGGATAGAGCTCGTCGTGGGTTAGCGTCGATGCCTGACGTGGTCGCGGTAGAGCTGCAAGATGAATTCGAGCCTTGGAGCCGTCGGCGACGTAGAGGCGGATATGAAGTTAAGAACCTTGTGAAAATTGCGGACACTTTGGATGTTCGACCTAGGTTTAGTGAGATCATGGGGCGCAAATCCGGGGAATTGAAAGGAACGTTAACAGCTTGCCAAGAATTGTAGACCCCTTTGGGCCTAGCACCCTGGCGAGGAGAACTATGAAAGAAATATCCTACATGGTAAAGCTACGGTAATTTAGGCGTTAGTACGTAACAAATGGGAGATACAGGGGTAATATCTGTGCTGTGGAGAGAAAAGGATTACGTGAAAATACACTGTGGTACGAGGCGTTGCACGAGGCTCCCGACGTCTTCAAACACTCCGACTAGATTCAATAAGGTCTACCCCTGCCGTTCACTATGTTTCCGACCGTGTCACAGGGATTCGTGTTCTGCTGTGACAGGAAGACCAGACACGGTCGTGGGGAAGAACTCGGGCCAGGCTCTCAGACACCGACAAGTAATTCTTACCGGTAAGCAATTATTTAGACTGCAAAAAGGGGAGAGCAATATCATTCCCGCCTGAACACTCGACTGCCTAATTTCACGCCGCATCACGCCACGGGATAAGATGCTTTAGCAAATATATTCACCAATAAAGGTAAGATGGTTTCTTCGCTTTGCGCACTATTTACCTAATCGTTTATTTACCGCTCTCCTTCTCCTTTTCCGGCCCAGGTGGCGTGGAAATAATATCAGGGGTATCTCGACAACAGAACGCTCGATCAACAACAACAACAACAACAGCTCAGCAGATATGTACCCAACGCCAAGCTAACAAAAACCAGAGCCCTTGTGAACAACACTTCATCCCAGCCAGCGGGTCCGAATTGCCAACTCTTTGCTGTCGTCCCTCCTCGAAAAAGAAATACCAGGCGGGACGGAGAAGTCCAGCGTATTTCGTCAACGGGGTTGACAAGAATTGCAACAGACCAGCACATTTGCCCCTTTATTACCAAGTTCCCGTCACCCTCCTCGTCGTGTCTCGTGTTTCATGTCCAGGAAGAACAATAATAAGAAAAAAAACCCAAACATTAAGCCAAACGCTCCCTTGTTGCAACTCTGCATCGGGAAACACCATTAGGAACTAGCGCACGTCGTTAAAACATAAAGTCTTTGTCGCTAGGTTCGAGCTCAGGCCTTGGGGGATCCGCTCGCGCTGGATTCATGTCCCCAGATATGTCTCAGACAAAAAGAAAATGTTTCAAAAGAATTAGAGACCCTCTTCGCTCCTGTCGATGGGGAATTTGAAGATAAATGGTCTGCAAAATGCCGTCCAGTTTTACCGGCGAGTTTGCTGTGTTTGCCGTTTTTGTGCATTAAGATAGGTGGCGGGAAAGCGTAATCGTAAAACAGATTAGCGCCGTAGTATTCGTAGAGGATATCCGATGGGATGGGCTCGCGCCCTCTCTTTCTTCTCTTTCCCACGCATTCTTCGTTCTTCCACTTTTTCTCATTCATAAATCTGAGGGCCGGCTGGGCAATAGAACCTCCACTATTTGGCGACAGGAGATATTTCCGGAAAGTTGAAACTGACAAAATCGAAAGTCGACATAGGGGTTAGAGATAGGGCGACCAAGCCATTTCATCAGATGCTGGCAACGCGAGCTCTTCCATCCGGTACTCGCGCATAGCAGACCATCAGCTTGAAGCTTGTACCCCATTCCTCGCACTCGGCGAGTAAGGCTTTGTCACTCCACATATTAGCGCCCGATCTGGAGCCGGGAGCAGCAGTGGCAACTGCAGCACTTTCGTAGCACCGGCTATACCACCAGCGGCCAACCTTTGCCACCATCTTGGTGATATTTTCATCTGCAACCGGGCTTTCGTCGCTTATCATTTCGGGAAGGCTGCGGTTGTCCCTCCTAGTCTTGCTCTTCTCCCTTACTCTGCCAGCTTCAGTCGAAACCCTCTTTTTGTTGTTGGCAGCTTCACTACCAGACGACCGCGCGATGGCGCTCGCAACGGGGACACCGACACGGCATGTCTTGACGTCAGTGAAGGCTTTTCTGCCCAGCTGACGTAATATCAGATCCGATGTCGAGCTGATATTAGTATCGGGTGCTCTCGCGTGAATTCGTTCCTTCAGGCGGCGAACTGCACGTCGTCCGCGGTTACCCATGTTATTCAAATCGACATCTAGAACAGACAACTCGATGAAGCCGCCCGGCTTCAGTACTCGCCGCGCCTCCGATATTATGTTGCGATATTGTACTTCGGGAGCTGCAGCCGGGAAGCGGAAGACTACCGCAGTGAAGCTTTGAGGGCCGAACGGGAACCTATCCATGTGGGACAGATATTCGACCTGGTGATGATTTGGAGGGCTGAGTGGGAATGCAGGGGAACTACGATGGTCGGCCGGAAGGGGGGCGCGGGGTGACAAGTTGAAAAACGTTGCTGCTGGATATGTTTCCGCTGCATAGAAAGACCAGTCGTCATTGCCAAGCCCGTCGACTACAAGGATGGAGGGACGCTTGAGCGAGCCCACAACGGCAACAAGTTCATCCCTGACGGGGCTGAAGAGGACGTGTCCGAAAGTAAGCCACTTGCTGACAGTCATTGAGCCCACTCGCAGGTTAACCTGGGATAAGGGCGAGCCATCCTCAGACCCCTGGCTGCTAGCACTCGCATCTGAACGTCGAATTTGATCCTCGGAGGAATTCCTGTGTTGCTCTGCTGCCGGGAACTCGAGCTCGACTTGCCATCTCGATTCAGAGTTGAAGGTTGGATCATCGCGGCTATTTTTGAAGCGGAGTTCATTGATCGGTGATGCTGGAGTAGGATCAAGATCAAAAGCCCGCTTGACCTCCTCAGCCATGTCTGCACTGTAGATGCTTGATGTCGGCGGTTCCATGCCCGCACGCAACATTTGGACCATGCTCTGCAAAGGGGGAGGGCTGAGAGTTGGCGACTCAAGAGGTGGCTCAATTAATTTTCCGTGGCCTGATCCGTAACTTTCTAGATGAAATGCCTTGCCTGCTGACGATCGTTGCGAATGTGGCGCACGCAGTGTTTCGTCGCCCAGGAGGTCATTGTACTCATCCCAGATTTCGTCTTCGGCGAGGGGGGCGTTGGGCTCTGGTACCACCGCCGTAGCAGAAGCGAATGTGAGCAATCCGCCAGAACTACTTGATGTCGTTGTCACAGTGCACTGAGAGTTCTTCCGAGGCGAAAATGAGAGGAACTCTTGCCCCGGGCGGCTAGGATCCAACGGCAACTCCTTAGATGGCCCGTATACAGAGGTCGAAAATGTAGTGCCGCTTGTTGTCGACTCGTCCTGCGTAAGATCGGGGGTGGAAGGCTTAGGAGGACTGGGCCCCTTAGCCACAAAATCCGTGTCAGGAACGTCAACCCTTGGCGGAGGCGTCTGCACACTGAGTCTGTGGAACGGCCTCGAGAAACTCTTTGGTGATATTTGTTCGGCTCGAGCGCTTACCACCTTGGGAATACGGCCGACCTGAGGTAACCGACTGGGACGGCCCGAGGGCAGCCTCAAAGCGGCTGGCTGTTCGGCAGGTTGCTGGACAGACAGGGCTGCAGGTGCGGTTGTGGCCTGTACTTGAGATGTCAAGGGTGCAGATGACTTGAGGGGTGACGTATATGCACGCTTTGGCGGTATGAATGACTGAGCCTGCGTTCCATCTGGGCTCACCATTTGGCGCGGGGCTGGGACGTGCCTCAAAGATGGTCTCCTCTGTTCTGCATGCTTTGTGGGGGAAATAAGAGGCGGCTCCAGACCAGCAGCCTCACGACAAACCTGCTCCAGATCTGGTGTGTCCGCATCCTCTTGCTCAGAGGAATCCATCATAGTGTAAAACGCAGTAGGCCTGCTCTGGACAACAGTCACAGCCGCCGCGACGGTCTTTGTCGCATCTCTTTTCTTCGTTTCGACGGCGGGTTGACTTTGAGATCGGCCGAAGAAATTCCACTTTCTCGGAGATCGGGCTCGCTTCGTAAGCTTCTTGGGGTGAGGGAGAGCTGAAGAAGTTTCGGGTTCCCTATTAATCCGAGGCGCTTCCGAGGGGGGGTCGAAAATCGAGTCGTCAGACATGATACTCGTATCCAAACTAGTCATTGATGGTGATATGACTTGAGGTCGAGTAACAATGGGCTTCGGGAGTCTCGGAGTGTCCTGTTCTCCTGATTTGAGGCGTTGCATGGATCTCCTAAAGGCCAAGGTGGACTTCATAGCAAGGGCCTCGGAGTCGCTGCTATCAGATGGTCGGCGAGTGCCAAGCGAAGGGGTCTGGGTTGCGTTGCGTGGAAAAGGCGAGGGCCACAAAGTGTGGCGAGGATCTTCGCGCGACGAAAGCGAGACTTGGGAGCTAGTCCTGGACTCGATACTGGGGCGTCGTTGGGTTATACTCTGGTTGCTTTCTGTGCGGCTTAGGTCAGAGCTCGCATTCTTGTTCTCGATAATCTCCCCGCCAGCTATGACCACGGGGGCCATCCGTTCTAACAAGAAAGAGTCATGAGGCTGGCTGCTGCTCAGACTTTCTTGCGACGACATGGTTCCAGGGATTGCGCGGGCACCGCTGCTTCTCCGGCGTGCTGCCCCCAGCCGCCCGTAGCCTTCATGGCCAGTCCCGGCTGCAGGACCTTTCCTCGAGGACTTGTCCTTCTTCTCTTGTTGTGCGTCCTCAGTGGCTGCCTTTGTCCTACGTCCAAAAATTGGAAAGCGTGACTTGAAAGTTGACACATTAGGGCTTGGCGTGCGAGAAGCAACCCTTGACTCGATCTTGGAACTGCCAATAACTTCCTCGGAGGTTGCGGACTTGGGGGCCGGGGTTGGCTCCCTACCGACAGGCCGCCGCGGGGCGAGGGCGTTGCGCTCAGGGAGTGAGGAAGACAGGGTGGGCCGGCTGGCGGCCCCTAGGGCCCCTGGGGCCACGAGGCCGCTCTGCCGCCTCTCGGACAAAGACGTTGATGAGAGATTGCTATGAATGATGGGTATGGGTATGCCAAATTGGGACTGGAGATCTGGTGTTCCATCTCGACTGGGCCGGCGAGGTGGTGCAGCTTTGAGCGACGCGACAGGTTGGGAGGCTGGTACCTGCCGAGGGCGAGCATATGAAGTGGCTTTCACCGCAGGAGGCGATGTCATTAATGGTTGGGCAGGCTCGCGGGCAGCCTTGGACGGAGATTCATCCTCATCTCGGCTCCCTTTGAACTTGTGCGACGACTTCCGGGGTGGGGGGCTGGGCGGAAGCGGCGACAGCCTCTTCTTCTTCTTTTTCTGATCCTTCTTGTCTCCGTCACGGACCGTCGAGTTGGAGGACGACGACGTCAAGGATTCCCTGACAGCTGCCAGGCCATGAGGATCGGCGGCGCTTAGAGAGCCTACCTCATTCGATATGCTCCCGGTTCTTCTTCGGGTGATAGGTGGTCTAGCAAAGACCGGGTCGACCCGGGCTGCTGGTGGTGCGGGGATGCGCAAGGGGGCGACCAGGCCCGGAGATTGCGACGACATCGAGGTGGGCGTGGTATCGCGGCTGTATGGACTGGGGCCGGGAGACTCCGAAAAGCGCGTGGACGGGCTACCACTAAAGCCACTAATTTGGCTGCTTGTACCCGAAAACAAGGGCGTAGGGGGAGGCAAGTCGTAAGTTGATATCGGATAGGGCACCTCAGGGCTAGGACTCTCAATCTGCGCAACAGTTGTAACGTCTCGATATCGATCCAGCTCGGGGTATATTGTCACGGCATTCCCTGTTGCCTTCCCAACTTCAACTCTGTGCGCTCCCCAGATCTCCATGGGGCTGCGGGTCAGATACCGGTCGAAGCGGGGGCTGGTGGGAATGTCCAGCGGCGTTTGCGAACGAGCGTTTGACGACGACGAGTGGCTGGCTTCGCTCGAACCATCTTGCGAGTCATTTCGAGTGTTGGCCCTTTCTTTCGATAGTCCTGACTGTTTCCGCCGAAGCACATTCCGTCGTTTCGAGCTACTTGCGGCAGGAAGCTTGCTAGACGGGGAGGTAGACGCTTCTGGTATATTTACCACAGGCATGCCCAGGCTTCCGGCGTCAGTGGAAGCCCGAGACGGGATCTGGCGGTCGAACAGCGGCCGTCCGGGTTGGATTTGAGAGGGTGGCGATCGATGGGGGGGAGACTGTGGTAACCTGCTAGACATCTTCGGCTGTGGGATCGTCCGGGATGGCTGTCGACTTGCTTCGGCGGTCCTTCTGGTCCGGAGAGTCAGGCTCGGGGGGAAGTCGTTCTTCGAGGGTCCAAGATATGCCGTCCCACTGTCTCCGATCCCAGCAACAGCGCCGAGGAACCGACCAGAATCCTCGGGCCTCGACCTATGGAATGCCATTTTGATATCCTGTGTCCCTTGAATGGAGCCCGAGTACCACGACCATAATAGTCCACAGAACCCTGATCACAACATGGAGGCGGTGCAAGAATGACAAACGGTGCCTGGTATGGTGGTAAGCGGCGAGATCCAGCTGTGGCGGCAGTAACGGGAGTACCCTTCGCTGTGTTGCGCAACACCTGGGCTACTACGAGTTAATTAAGTGCTGACCCGTTGCGGACCCGTGGCGGGATACCTTCGGGAGCTATGTATGACCCCAGGTATACGAGAGCTCAAGCAATGTCCATGGTGGTCAGCGAGCCAGGATACAAGATATTATTGCCCGGCTCCTGCGTCCTGGTGGTCCAGCCCGGAGGATGTCAAAGAAAATATTGCCCGTGAGGGAGAGGAATATAGAGATAGAGAAAAAAGGCCGGGAGAAAAAAATAAAGAGACGAAATCTGTAGAGCCTCCTGGACCGCAAGAACAAAATGTGACTACTAGTAGCCAGTGGTAGGAATCTCCAGAAAGGGTGATGGTCGACCTGGAAGGAGGGGCCGCTAGCCTCGTGGATGGTGGGTGTAAGCTCTGCGTGCGGGTGAGAGGGAGGGCGGACCGATATGGATTGGTGGGGGTGGGTAACAAGCGCCGACACAGTCGACAGAACGTATGGTACAGAACAAGCGGGCCCGTAAATGTAGGTCCTAGACTTGAAATCTTTGTGGGTAGGCTGCCGAAGCCTGGCCAAGCGTCCCGCGCGGGAATTCAAGGGAAGGAAGCCGTATATTGGAGATGCTGACAAGAGCGGCGTGAAAGCCAGGGGTAGGTGAGACAAGAGGAGACGGTATCGAAATAGTAAAGAAGAGCAACAGAAAGCACGAAGTAAGTCGAGAGACGAAGGGGAAAGGGGGTTGGGGAGGAGGGGCGAAGTAGTCAAGATATCAATGTTGCGGCAACAGAATACCTGTCCAAACACAAGAGGGGCACCAAGCAAGATGGTAGTAATAGTAACTTAGCGATTTTGGTTTTGGACCGCTTTTCTCTCTCGAATACACAGATCCATGTGCACCAACGGGACGGTGTCGGCAATGGCGTCTATCTATCATGCCCTCCCTGCACTGCAGCCAGCGCGGAGGCCAAGGGAGACCGGGGGCACACGCTCGTCCCGGTCGTCCAGAAGATCGGGGCTAACGGGTGCGAACTGCGGAGGAATCTGTTGTGAGGGAGGCGGTAAGTTCTCCCTCCGCAGTGATAGGTACACCTGTACATACACTCATACATGCCCTGCCTTACCGTTTTAGTCTATGCAAGCCTGTGCTATCTTTGACCTGAGTGGCGTCGTTAGGGTCTGCAGAAAAGACTGCTGTCTGGACGTATGTACATGTGTTGCGTGTTGCCCAAGGCCCAAGGCCGCATTGCGGCCTCGACCACGCAGCGACACATCATGCCTCCAAGTCAGGTGGCTCGCAGGGCAGGGCTCTCAAAATGCTCTTGGCCACCTCAGAGACAGGCTGGCTGGATTGGGCAGAAAGAAGCTGCAGGTGGCAGATCAGACAGAGCAGTCTACCACTGACATCCATTGACTCACCGCAGGGACTCAGCAACGCAGGCGAGGGGAACGTCGATGAGCCCACCTGCTAGCAGGTTTCTAGGACTTGAACCCAGACGGCCGCTGACGAGCCTAGGACGGCCGAGGCGAGCAAAGCAGCCAAGGAACCTGGAATCCGGCACCGTTGACATGTTTGGCTCAATCCGACTGGGACTTGTCGACTAGCTGGGAAGGTGGACCGGACCACAGAACAGATCTTTCTTGACCTTGTGCTTCTCTCAACCCGGACCCACTCAAGGGTGACAAGCGGCAAGCGCGACGCGATAGACCGACCGACCGACCTAAGAGCACGGACAAGCGCGGTGGGGCAGGGCGAAAGCCCCATCCCATGAAAGGTTGCGGTTGGGACTCGCAAAGGCCATTGCCCGGCTGAAGCGGGGGCGTTGGGGCTGCCGTCGTCCTTCGCCTGCTGCTGACCTAGCAGCGACAAAAAAGCGGGCTGTCCCATGGCTTGAAAAACCGTCTGGCTGCCAGCGACTGCGCCGCTGCATGCAAACCTAGACGACAGCCCTGGGACATGCATACAGCGATGCCCTATTAGCACACGGAAGGCGTATTTTGCCGTGTCATTGGGCGGAAGACCCCCGAAGCCCACGACCCGCCTTGTCTGCATTGGGTCTACTCTAGCACCTTCAGGGCTTCGCGGCCGGTCAACGACGCGGATTCCTGAACGCCCCTTCTCTTGCCCCCCAACAGGGTCTGCCATTTGGTGGAGCCCCGATTCCACGCCATCGATTGCATAGGCTATCAGAGCGAAGGGGCGGTGCTCGGCGGCCGAGCACGGGTTTCTGATAATGGCTTTCTTCTGTATTATTATCATGGGTTGAGAAGGTGAGAGCGGTTGGAAACGGGAGACGGGAAACGGGAAATGTGGAAACACGCTCAACTCGAGCTGGCTCTGGGGAAGCGGCGGCGCAGACTTGAGAGTGTGGATGGATGTCTCGGGTAACTGCGGGCATCCCCATTGCGCACCTCTCAAGTAAGAAGTTTATCATCCCGCAAGCCATTACCTTCAACTTGCTTCGTAAAGCCTACGAGGAGGGGAGGAGGAAGTGTCCTTACCTTAGCACTTCCCTACCTTAGTAGTTGGTAACCTAAGATAAGTCACCACTGCTAAAAATCTGGCGTTCCTAAACATGGTATTGTATGGACGAGTACAGTACGGTAGAGTATCGATACCTCATGTTGCGGTGCGCCGCCACTCATACCCGAATAATCCGTGTCCACTTCCAAGTCTCACCTGTCCTTGGAGGAAAGGTCCGCTGCGGCGCGAGACTCTTGGCGGCGATCCCTCCAAGGCTCTCCGCAGACGGGATGGGCCCGCACTTGATGGCTGTTAGTCGTGCTCCCGCAGTACCCTGGCGCCTTTTCCGTAAGGTAAGGTAGGGAGTTATTTTGGCCTGCCTCGAGCTTCGTCAACGACCCCCACCTTGTGGAATCGTCAGCGCCTCGACTTTATACTAGTAGTATACCTCCTTCGCCCGAGCTAGGGCGCACAGCAACTCGCTAAGATGGTGTTGCAATATCTGCCAGTGTCCTAGCAAAAGGGACAATGAGAGCTTCGTCCTCTTCTCGCCCCGTAAACCGCCCAACGCCGTGTTTGGGGGACCCCGCATGTTGCATCTCTCATTCGTCACCGAGGGAATTTGCCCCGCAAAGAGTTTGATATTCGCGCCCTCTGAATTTTGTGATTCGTCAAGATGCAAAGATTTCTGTCCAATAAGCTCTCAGAGCAGGCTCCTGAAAGGAGTCATCAGCGGCGACCCACGAATTCTCGAATTACACGCGGGGGGAAGGGGTTCCGGAACGCCTCCTCTGTTTGTCTCGGGCACATTCTTCTCGACGGCCAGAAGAGAGCGTTGGAACAGTTACTTCGACGCTTGGCTTCTGCGTGGCTTCTACAGCCCTTCAGCCCTTCAGCCCTTCAGCCCTTTAAAAAAAAGATGCCTTTCCCGACGTCGTGTTAGGACTTCGTTACGAAAACCGATTTACATTCATGTTTGCGAGGTTGTATTGCAGCGCGAAGTTATGTATGTCTCGCCCGGATATGCGAACCGTCTGCAAGAGCAGCTCCTTGGCTCACAGAGGGTGTGAACGGCCGCGGCACCGGCTTGTCGCCGAGAGGTTCGTCTTTGCCTGTCCGGCCATTCGACCCTCAGTTTCCTAAACTCTGACGGATTCAGTTCTCAGCAGTCGACTGAAACCCGCCGACCCTCCCTCTCTCCCCTCTTTGTAAGTGGGGGTTCGCTGGCCAATGTGTGGTTTGCAAATTGAATCTCGAAAGCGCCCAGCCGCGTCGACCGCTGTCTTTGGGCGACATCGGCATCGGGGATATGTTGCAAAACAGTTCTTGGTGCTGGCTGGGACTAGGCTCTCCGTCAGCCCGTTCCTTGGAAGGGGTGAGCTCTGTACACTGTCTCTCAACCGATATGTTCACCCGAGGAGTGAAACAGTTTTGCCTGCCCTTTCCCCGTCCCTGGTTTACAACTCTGTCCTCTGCAGGTGCCGAAAGTCCGAGTGCCGACCAAGAAAAACCAAGTCCCGTTTGTGGAGATAGCTACATCCCTATGCAAGATGGCAAAGGGAGCTGAAAGTAGGTTCTAGTGATAGGGATGCGCTGGCGCTCCCAGACGATCTCTCTAGTCTAAATCTCTGGGGCCCTAGCGATGGGATTTGCTCCAGCCTCAACGCCAGCAAGCGAGACAGATCCGTCATCGCGTCCGATCGCATGCCCTGCACTTGCGTGCAGCAGACGTTGCTGGGCCCTGCTTTGCTGCAAGAGACAGGCATTGTGCCTGGGGTTTAGACCAGAGTGTCATCAGCCCGTGAGGGGACCAACCGAAGTCCGGTGCAGCGGGGTCTCCGGGTCTCGGTCGCCCCGCTCCGTTGTTCACTCCGCCACAGATGTGGCTGCAGGCCTTCCGCAAGCCGATCTGACTAGGGTGAGGCTGGTGACGTGGCAGGTGCCAAGTGTAGGAGGCCACAATGCCTAGGTCGTTGCCTCTCTTGTTTTCTACATGAAATCGGAGCGAGAGTTGTGAAGCAGAGCCCTAAAAGGCCAGCAGCTCAGGTTATTCCATACTGGCCAGGTAAGATAACTACCAGTTGTATGTATTGCACGTGCAATACTTACTTGGCACAGTACTAAATGAGGCATACCGTTTCGATATTACAACCTCGAAGGTACCTTAGTGTAGCAGGCAGGTGTCCACGCACTAATAGTACGATCCCTCGCGTTCCTGAAGATGTTGAATCACGTCAGACAATGCGACATGAGCTTTTGAGCATCAAGGCCTGCAAGGCCACGGTTGTTCCAACAAAATCGATGCCCTTCCTGGAAGTCTTTTTTGAGGAGGACAAGAGAGACTTCTCAAGACGGCATAGCGCCCCTGCCTATCCCTGCGGCCCTCCAATCGTATGCCGCCAAGCCCGTCACGACAAGGGCTGCTCCCAGTCGAGCAGGGCTCTTGCGAGTTTAACTGGCTAGCCATGTGAGACCGCAGCGGCACGATCTGTCCCTCGTTGGAGTCCTCAACGGTAACGTGATTACGAGATGGTGTGAAGGGATCGCCAAACCTCGCCTCGTTCAACACCGAGCTTGGCCTCCTTTTGCCTACCACTCTCTTTTGGCTTCTCCGACTGACATGGCATAACTGTATGTCTGCCTTTCTGCAATATGCAGGCTTCGTCCTTCTTTTGCTACGATATGCGGACGGACTGGCGTCACGACTAGCACTTCTATAAGTTCCTTTTTTTACTCACCTGCAGCAGCCCAGCCTGTTGGAGGCAACAGCGTCTGCAGTCTGCCATTGCAGGTGGCGAACCAAACCCTCGTCCCTCGTCCCGCCTGTCTGGGCCCCAGGGCCAATTCCTTCCTGCTGGATTGCTTAGCGCGCCCTCTCGCTGCAAGAGTCAGGTGCTTTGCGTCAAGAGGCCGAGCGAGAGTCATGGGGATCAACTCCAGTCCAGTAATCCTGCCTCCCAAACCTGCAGTCATCTTGCTGTTCTCCTCCTCTCTGGGCGTGCGTGCATTTGCGTGCAGATGGGAGAGGTCGAGACATGGCCAGATAGGCATGCAAGGGCTCAGCCGGACAGGCGTCCTCGTCGATGGGGGTTTGGTGCTGCGTTGTTGTTCCTACAAGGAGGTTGGATGATTCTCTGCATGCAGGTCCCAGAATCCTGCTTCTCAACTCCTTGAGCCTCCATTTCGAAGTATTATCCGCGCTTAGGTCTGCCCTCAAAACACCTGCGAACTAACCCCGTCACCTCTCACAATGTCTTACCTGCAGAGCTTGCTTTATCAATCCGGTCGGCAAGGCAGAACTCCCTTAGGCTGCCGCTACGAGTGGCTGTTTGGCCTGGAATTGGGCTTGCCCAAGTGGGACCAGTCTCGTCCAGAATGGCGAATGGTTCTTCGACTTTGAAGACTCGCTGCTATCGTAGACTGTCCCCTCTACCCACTCCCTAAGTACATGCCGCCTTTAAAGGCCATCCGACCCGGTTCTGCGGCGTCGTTAGATCGTCAAGATGGCAGCTGACCATACTAGCGGCTACGCCTCTCTGTTTTCCCATTGAATCAAAATCCCATCATTCCTCTGCTCCAGGTAGGATCGCCGAACCGAGTCCATGAGTTCTCAGTCATGGTTAACCATGCTGCAACACCAGGCCCGTTGGAGAGCGGCCGGCCCTAGATGAAGCCATCTCTCAGCCTATCGGGCACCTTTGTAGCCCGGGTTATCTTGCTAGCCCCTCACTCCGGCTGGCTGAGAGTGCAAAGCTATCGAAAGGTGTAAGTATTGTGTTTCGGGCAGGTCTTTTGGCTTCGCCCAATACGCAACGGCTATGGGCACGGTAAGTTTCTGTCTTCCACAAACTTGATTGTCTTGGCACATTGGCAAGTCCCAGTCGGGGTCATGGGCGACCATGGCGCGGTATCTTTTGAGCTGAACTTTTGCCAACAGAAGTCTAATCTCAGTTGTTATTCGGGCAAGCAATATCTGTTGGTGATGTTCGCAGCAGAGAAATGTGCTCCGAGGTCATGTCTGGTTTATGGGTCTGGTGTTCTCCAGTGCCGACACCCCTTCTCTGGGGCTATCCAATCCGCACCGCGGGTCTTGACCTCACCTCCCTAGATGAATGTTTGTTTCTCTACACCCATCGCCAACGAAGCAGCATCACAGGAAGCCCCTTTGCGTTATTTTCCATTGTCAGCTAGCCTCTGCCCGACGATCCTCGACTACTTTGGTGGATCATTCGAGCTTTCAGTCTCTCTCCGCGTATCACTATGTCCTGCTAGACCCAGGCTAACATTCCCCGAGACACGGTTTGGCTCCTTGCGCCGGCCCCGTCGGCCCTCTTCGGTGAGACAAATGAACATTGCGATACTGGTTTTGGCAAATATAGTTAACCCCCTCCAGCTGGTAGCTTCTTTCTCTATTCGTTGGCTAACATCGGACCGCTGCTTGTCGCGGTAGGCAGCGAGCTGTGTCATAGTCCGTCGCGGATACATCGGAGATTGCGCCGTGATCCAGCGTTTGTTGGTAGGTGGGGATGAAAACAGGACCGCGTACTGTTTTTCGGCACTCGTTTGTGTGTTTGGGAAACTGGCGTGGGTGAAGATTGTATCTCTATTTCTTTCTCGGCTATTAGCCACTTAGACGGGTTGCAATGTCAGTGTCGCTCCTGGCTCGATATTTTATCGAACATATGCTTGCGTTATTCAAAAGGCCGTCTGTCCGTGGTATCCCCTATAATAACGGATTTTGGTAGCACATACATAAGAGGCAACATCCCGTGCTTGAACGAAATTCATCAGTCAGAACATACACAATAGCTTGAGGCTAGTTGATACCACTCATAGCCCCTTTTCTCGCCGTACTAGTTGTCTCTGCATTAAAGCCCCGGGCTATGGAGGATCAGCGGCGGCAAATCCAAATCAGTCAACTTCTTCGCTGTGGGACTCCCTCATGCATGGGCCAGTGTATTCATGGCTGGGCCGTGGTTCGTTCTCTCCGTGTTTGTCATATGAACTGGACGACGGGCAGCGAGACCCCCTATTTGAGACTGAAATCGAGAAGCGGGCAAAGAATGCCCCCGTAATTAGCAGGATATAATACACCATGTACGTCTTGTCACCCTGCAAGAGATACTGGCATCCATTAAAGCTTATGGAGAAATTTACTGCTGCCTGTGGTGAAAGTCGTGCCCGCAAATCCTGATTGTGAGTCTACTGGCTGTGAAAATAAAACGACCCGGCATTCATACGGGTAAGTCTTGCCACGCGTCCCAGTATTGGCCATTTTTCTCTAGCAGGCGGAGATCATCATCGTTATATCGCTAGATTGTCAGGTTACACTCGCTAGAGATACATGGAAGGAGTTGCCCACTAAGAGGGAGACAAGACAGTTACCTACCTTAGTTACCAGGGGCCTTGAGTTGAACGCAAGTTTGTTTGTCTGCTTGGTTACAGCATGCGAAGGTAGGAATTCAAGTGATATCTAACTAGTCTAGATAGACTATAGCTCTTGTTTCTTGAAGATGTGGATGTAGTAGCTCTTTAAAGGTTTCCTTTGTCCATTCTCGAACAGTTTGTCATCTACTGGACTCAAGATTACTACGTAGCAGAATCCACCGACACAGAGCGGGAAACAGGCGCAAGGCAAGACTATCAAAGTGAATAATAGGTATTATCGCTACCTTGACTCGAACCTCTATCGAGCAGAGAAATGAGAATAAAGAGAACACTGCCCGAGAGAAAACAAACTAGGCGGATTTTCGTCCTCTCGCCTAACCTCCCTGAACGCCCCTCATTATGTGGCACTAGTTTTTGTAGTTGCTCGTGTAAAGCTTCATTCATTTTTGTTTCCGCCTCCGCCTTTCCGTCGTACCTGAGCCCGCCCGCATGTCTTCCGGTCTTCCGTCGTCAATAAATAATACTAAAAGGGCATATTTATTTTACAAATAATCTCTTTCCTTTCCCCTTGATTTTGAAATTTGTTTCCCTTCTTCGCCGTGTCCACTCTCCGGACCAGGCTCGTTATCCACGTAACGTGCAGATCCAGACGAGAGTGAAGTCATACAAGTCCGGATGGTTCATCGTCGAGACCGTGAAAGAAAAGAGGTGTCAAGAGTTGAAAAGATTTTGCCATTGGAAAGCAAGAATGACCTGAATCCAAGGTCCGAGAATTACGTCAATATCGAGCGTATTCCTCCGCAGAAAATCCCAGAGACCAAAACCCAGTCCTCGCTACTTAGAGGCTGCGAACCGTTGAGCCCGCGCTTCCATCTTAGCTTTCTCGGCCGGGTTGATGTCAGGCGTCGGTTTTCCCTGGCCTTTCTTCTGTCCGTCTGCACGTGCGCCGCGGCCATTGCTGCCCTCCTTGGGGGCGTTTCCGCCAGCGCCGTTCCGGTCGCCACGTCGGTTCTTGTTTCGTCCACCCCGGACGCCGCCGCTCTGGTTGGTAGGAGGAGCTGCAACTGGCGCGCCGCTGGATCGTCGTTTATTCACCCGCTTCTCCTCCACCTCTTGCTTGTCCTCATCAGCACGGTCGCGACCACGCTTGCGGGGACGGTCCGGAAGGGCACTGTCAATTGCTGAGATTTGGTCATTAGCCACGCCAAAGCGATTGGCCCGTGCTGCCTTTTTGGCCTCGTTGGTTTCCGCATCGGCGGTAATGCCGAAGCGTGCTGCGCGCGCTGCGCGCTTCTCTGCCTCGGTCTTAGCATTGGTGGGCGGCAGGTGCTGTGAAAATGGTGCCTCGGTTGGTTTCGCGGCTTCGTCTTTCTCAGCGCCGGCTTCGAAAGCTGCAGTGACAGGGGCAGCAGTGGTAGCCTCAGCTGTCTTCGACTCTGGGGCAGGGGCATTGACGGCCGAGTCAGCAGCTTTGGCGGTGGTCTTGGTCGCAGAGGTTGATGTTGACGTCGCAGGGGTGCTCTTGGCAACCACTGGCGAGGTAGAGGTGCGAGCAGCGGTAGAGGAAGCGGCAGGGGCAGCCACAGCGGGCGCATCGTCCGCCTTCTTAGTGTTCACATCATGTTTCTTGTCCTTGCTAAAGCCGGGATAGTCATCGTCGTCATAGTCAATCTCATCTTCAGCGGCAACATCCTTCTTGTCTAGGTAGACATCGACAACGAAGTCAGTATCAGCGAGAGCCATGGTTGTTGTCAGGGGCATCTTTTGATGTGGGTTTCGAAAAAGGAAGCGATAGTGATGTGAAAGTCAAGTGAGGTTTCGAAGAGAAAATGATTCGATATCGATGGCTTCTTCAAAACACAGAAGAGACACGAAGTGCGAGGATTCTGAGTGTGTGAAGCGCATCAAGGAAGAGGAGTCCTTATATATATGAGAAACTAACCGGCGGGAGCTTCCTCAGATTTAGGTTGCTCTTTATCATTGTCCTGGAGGCGAACAATAAGGTCGGCCTTATTGCCAACTTGTGTGAGGCCGCGCTCGTTCAATAGCTTCTTGAGCTCCGGCACCTTCATGCTATTGTAGTAGGCCATTGTGAATTGAATGGGCCTACCCGTCGCCCCGGCGCAAGACAATAGGTGCGAAGAACAATAGGAACGAAAAAAGCGGGTCGCGTCGCGGCCTGGGTGCTCTGGGAGGTCTGAAAGATCTGGGGGGTTCTGGGAGGTCTATGTGGTCGGCGAAGGTTGAGATGTCGCAGTCGTTGTCGCAATCAAGAAAACGAGGGTCGCAAGCGAAAAAAGCCCGATGGCCGTTTCTTTGAAGTCGCGGCGCGGCAGGAAACGCGACTGTGCCTGACTTGGGCCCCTGCACTCCACTAAGGTAGCCAACTGCTGCGCCAAGCCTTGTCTACATGCATAGCATATCATTCGTCATCAATATTCTATATCATAAGTATTAGAGAACACGGTGCTGCACGCTTTGGGAATGGCGCCCTCCCCCAACTCCCCTCATTTAGTTTAGCGCGGCCATTGCATCTTGGCAGCTTGGACCCGCTAATCTCGGCACCCCAAAACACTAATCGCTCTGCACCACCAGTTCCTTCCATCACCAATAACGCAAGCGAAGCAATTGCTCTACAACACCTTTTCCTTCCGTCGTCAACAAGCAAACGAGTTCTACTCCTTGAAGTCGCCCTGGGTGTACCAACATTCTATCTCCATCATCAGCCATCCGCCCATATGGATAGCACAATCACCACCCAGCTCGATTGGCTCCCTCAATCGGCTGACTCTCTACCCGGCAACGCCTCCAGAGACGGCATCCCCCAACTCCCCCACACCATCCGTGAGCTTACCCGTCTCTGGTGTCAATAAGATTATCGCCGAAATTCGCAATCGCATCTGTGGCCGAGTCGAGGTCGAAGAGGAGTGGTGGTGCATCAGCCTCAGTCGTGACGAGTTCAAGGCTTTCGAGGCGCGTTTAGAAGCTGAAGGGGATTACCGCTGGCCAAATTAGATAGACTATCCCTTTGTCCCTCTGTCTCTCTACCCCTCTTCGTCCAGCTGCCACTTGTCCAGCGTTACATTGGCTATCCTCTGATTAGGTACGACTACTTCCCTCAGCTCGCCAAGTTCGTCTTGCGAATGGCGGGCACTATCCACGAAGGCGTTGTCGAAGCATTCAAAAGCCTAGTTATGGAGCAGTTGATCGATATACGGCGAGGTAACGACCAAGTCGCTGCCGGTTTTGCTCGGGGCGTACGCGGAGCAGGAAGCCCCAAGATTGAGAGTGATGATAGTTCCCATTACCCAGACGGGTCGTTTGCGCACGAAGATACGGGGGTAGCATGTGTTATCTTGGAGGCCTCCCATTCACAAGAACGACAAGATTTGCCATTCCTTGCAGATGATTACATCCTAGGTTCAAATTGGCGGACCCAAGTCGTTATTGGGGTTGACCTTGAATACCGGGAGAAGGGAAAAGAAGCCAGGGTCACTGTGTGGCGACCAAGATATATTGAGGAAGATGGGGAAGCCGTACTTGAAGCAGCTGAGACGGAAACAGGTATCTTTCGGGCAGTGGATGATAGTTTAGTCGATGGGGAACGGATCCTTCGTATCGGGCTCAAAGATTTTTGGTACTGGCCTAATTGCCTCAGAATCGATGACATCCCCGGGGAGATTACTATTTCGTTTTCTCAACTTTATGAAATAGTGCAGGAGGCTGAGGCTAGAGCGGAGCGCTGGGATCGTGAGCGCAGGAAGATGCAGCATGAGAATCATCTGCAGCGGCCAAGGGTTCGGCCACCACCGCAACAACTCACAGAATCAGACGAGGAGCGGTTTGAGGCAGCCGAGAAAAGAGTCAAGAGGAAGCTTAGCGACTAGGGCAGCGATTATATCCCTGACTAGGATTCTATTTTGGGGTAGGTGGTAAAGATAGAGCTTGTAGAATATTTAGATCCGTGGATCCTAGGTTCTGGGCGCCACCCCCATATATATGTTTTAAGCTATAGTCTGCGCGCTCCTCAATACGTACCCATAGCCATATCCTTTTCCTGCTCTATCCTTCTTCCTTTCTGTACCTTTGAATCCAGGCTTGTTGGTTGCGAAGTCCTCTATCTAGGTTCGAAACGGGGCGGTATATACCCAGATCCCGGATGCCCCTAGAACGGATGAACTCCGCCGGAGGGCGGGTTGTAGGCGCCTGTGGGCTGTAGGCGCTATTATCGAGCAAATGTAGCATAACCATGATTAATTATGTTGTGCTGTCTCTTGAAGCACCCACCTAGATACTCTTTCGACCGTGACAGAGATGCGCTAGAAAGGCTGCTATGACACAGGTACACAGACGGTACTTGTAAGAGACTTGTGCACTTGGTGTTAAAGCCGCCGAAAATGGCAGCATGCGCCAGCCAAATTCAGCGGCCAGAACACTGTGGAGTAATACTGCATCACTAGGTAATCCGCCCATTGTGGCGACAATTACTTAAGTAAAGGAAAGCCCACACCTCAAACATGAAAGGTCGCACGTCTACCGACGGAATTCCGTATTAAAGCCATTGCAAAGAGAGATTCTAGACCATTTACAAACTCTCTCTGCGGTCTTGTAGTAATAATCTAGCAGAGCAATCAGAAAGCGGTTTGGCACTACATGATATGTCGTAAACACGTACATTCCAGTCATAACAAAGCCAAACGTCCGTACCAAGTGGCCCTCTAGGTGCTCCAGACATCTAACGTTTGTACATGTATATGCATTCATACATAAGTTAGGTAGGTACCTAACCTAGAGAAAGAAGAACACCGAATCCATCCATCCCACGCAATCAATCGACAACAAAACACCTTTAAAAAGTCCACCCGACGCCACCGCTGGTTTCTGTCTAAATGCCACCCATTCCATCCATGCCACCGAAGTGAAAAGACAAAGAAAAGAGAATCCCCCATTTATAGTTATTATGCCCTTTAATCTTCTCTACGTCTCTTATAAATGAACAGGTGAGACGAGATAGGTGGTGCCTGTCCCAAAAGAAATCCCCACCAAAAAAAGAAGAAAAGGCCAGCTATAAATGAAGGTCCAAGGAACCTTTAAAGTGCAGAATGTTGGGTATAATGAAGAAGGCAAAAGTTGAAATCCGCCGACCCCCCCCCTCCCAAACTCCCTTAATCTGAATGCGTCAAAACTTGGCGCTTTGAGGACGACTTGGTAGTCCGGCAATATTAATTGAGGCGCCTTCCTCTACCACACTCGAACTCTGCTCAGTGATTCGTCGCAGCATGGTGTCCACAAGTCTCTTCACTCGCGCCCTACCCTTATCCTTTCCGTGCTTTTCACCGTCCATTTGGCCTTGGTGACAGTGCTTCTCCTAGTTCATTATCAACCCCGGGATCTCGGAAGTGACCATCTTCATGATCCAGTCAGCCTGCTGGACGCTCTTGCACTGAAAGCACCATTTTGTGACTTTGCCAGCTAGTGCCCCTTGGGCAGGTGCTACACCGACATTGCCTTCTTCGTCGCGCAGATTCTCCCACACGCTGCACATAATCCCTTTCGTACCCAACATGCTGAAACACTTCGAGCCCAGCACCGCATCGAGCAAAATAAGCGGCTTCTCGTCGCTCTTCTTGGTCGCGTGGGTAACTATTATGCGCTTCTCCATACCGTGATACAGCGCCAGTTCTTGACGGACACCCGGCGGTGGGCGGCTGATGTTTAGGACGCAATCCCCCTTATCGGCCCAGCGGTTGTTCTGGACATTCAAGTGACATCGGATGTCGAGGGGTCGCTCATCTGGAGAGAAGGGCTTCGCTAGTCCATTGATCCAGCGGCTCTGGCTTCCTGAGCCAGATAGAGAGATAGAAAGGCTTCGCGGTGGAGTCGACGAACCACCTCCACCGCTTGACGAGCCACTCGATGTGTACAAACTGCCGGGACCGATCCCCCCTGCAACGGAGCCTGGGCGCGAATGCTTGTCGACTGTCGACTCATCGATGTTGAAAGATGTGTTACCTCCGCCCGTTAGACGCCTGAGAAAGCTGGTGGCCGAGATACCGGTCGAGGCGCTGGCTTGGGACAGACTCGGAGCACGAGTAGAGGCACGGTAGCTGTTCTTACGTCCAAACCAACTCCGCCGGCGGCTAGAACTGTCGTCATCTGCACTGCCCTCGGTGGCCATATTCTGCTGTTGCCCAAAGGAGCGGACACGTGCCTCCTCGCTGAGCTGAATGTATCTGGCGTTATTCATACGACTCTGGTGCACTGCTTCGTAGAGAATTTGGGCCTCGGCCTGAGATGCTGCCCGGAGGCGGAACATTCCGCTATCGATTTTTAGGCGCGATGCCTGGGATGCCGGACTGCGGACCTCGAGATCAAGCGCCGTACTCCTGCGGATCATTACCACCGGAGTAAGAACTAAGCAAACGAGGGGCACGATACCGCCCGCATCCTTGTTTCTGTTGTCGACCTCTGATGTCCCTGAAGACTGGAGTGGGTATGGTTGCTGATTCGAGAGCGGTTCGTTGAGGCCATGCATCTCCAAGCTTCCCGGGTGGACTATAACAGAACAAGGCTCGGAGCTAATATCCTTCCAGATTCCTTTCTTGCTGGACCAATATGAGACTGAGGCGATAAACTTTTGCAAAGGCCGTCCTGTTTGTTTCCCGTCTTGACCAGGCATGCCCATCTGAGAAGCCGAATTGGACGGAGTTATACTACTATCCGAAATTGCCGATTCAACCACGACCGGGATAGTCACCTTAATACTATAACCAGGAATGGTATCGGGCACTTCGTCTTCGTCTAGCTCGTCGCTAGAAGATTGAGATGACTCGGAATCATCGCTTGGCGGGTTTGAGCTGTCCGAAGACACGTCAGATGGATGGTATTCGTGTTTAAGTGGAGATGAAGTTCGCCGCTTCACTCGAGATACAGTTTTGTTCTCTACTGGAGGAGCAAGGTGGCTCGGACCGTTGGGTGTGAGATTACGATGTATCGGTGGAGGGGGTGCGCCATCTTCACGATATGGAGTTGAGTTTGGAGACGCCCTTTTCGGGGACTTCGGGAGACTGTGGCCTGCGCTTTCCCAAGATGGGGTTGGATCGTCACCCGATGGCTCCAAGGTCAGGCGAGTTTGTTGGGAGTGACTATCGCGGGTTGGTGTCCTTTCTGACTGTAGAGGTGAAGCTAGTGGCGGAGGTATTTCTATAGAAGACACGCTGGACCTCTGCCGTGCATGATAGCGAGCTGGAGTCTTGGGCTTTTCAGTGCTTGGAGAGCTGGAAAGCCGTTTGGAGAGCCTCCGCTCACCAACGGGAATGTCGATCAGATCAGCTTTGGCCGGTGTCATGTCCAATGGAGACAGGGCCGATTTCCAATGTGATGCCGGCGGCAGTGGGCTACTACCCAAAATATCGAGCCAGTCCGTAATCTGCTCGTCGTTATTCGTAGAGAGATTGACGAGTTCAAACCATTCATTCCCATTATGCATACCTCGAACCATTACCACCAAGGACCGAACATTGTCGCCTCTTCGGGCAGATATGAATTGCTTGGGGACAGGAGGGAATAGTAGCCACGATTGGGTACCGTTTCCAATCTCTCTGATGAGAACGTCGCCCTTGTCGGCGGGAACATCCAGGTTGTCTCTTTGAATCAGCTCCACCTGGCATTCCAGTCGTTGGCCGCTCGAGTGGTCAAGATCGAGTGCAAACGAGTCTTTAGCTGCGACTTGACGGATCTGGTCAACGACAACATTATCGATTGGAGCAAGACTTCGAAGATCACGAGAGCGGGTGGTGTCTGTATTGCTGGCGTCTTCATCCGTCATGCGGGCAATCTCTTCGCGATGCCTTTTACGGGCTTTCTCCTGGAGGCCCTCATATAGCGATAGAAGGTCGTTGACCTCGTTGGTTTCTATGACGGTGGAGGTAGCCTGCGAAATCCAAATCAGCATCGAATTGAGAGCCATGACTGTGACACTGGTTGGGGAGAGTATGTTTACCTTGAGAAACTTTGTCATCCACTTCACCCGAATCAGAGGCCGCTTGAGTAGGTATGCGACATCAACTCGTTCGCCGTTTTCTCCCAGCACGTCACCTTCCTCATTGCGGGGAAGTGCGTTTAGAAGAGAATCTTCGTCCTCCGGCTTCCCAGACGCAGGCGCAAGATTAACAACCAAGTCCTGGAAACCAAGCCGCCAGACGTCCAGATAGTTATCATAAACGGAAGATACCGCTTCAAGCCAGGTAAGAAGATGATAGATATTCGAGAGCGGGACACGCCGATGGAAGTTTCTCAGCTTCTCAAGAGCAACACCCATATTGACCACTGACTTGGCCATGAGATCATCCTTGGTGCTATCAGTTTCGGCTTGGTTAAAAATCCGAGCAACGCCGCGGCCAACGTCGTGGACAACATGTGTCAGTAGCACTGGGACCACACCGTCAACAAGAGCCTTCAATTCCCTCTCATAAAAATGCTCATCGTCAGCAAACTCGTCGAGCAATTCGTCGATCTTGCCATTATCCAACTTGCTCGGCTTTCGGTGGAGACTTCTGGCTGATTTGATGCTCTTTGACCGTCTGGGAGGAGCAAGCTGTCCATCGTCTGGCAAGGAGAGCACGGAAACGAGATCTGAATGCTTAGTAAGGCGACGTTTGAGGCTCGATTTCTGACTCCTGTTTCGGGATAGGTCGGTGGATTTCGTAAAAGCTGTTGCCTGAGTAACTGTGGTGTGGGATATATTTGACGCCGTGTCGGAACATGTCCAGCTGCTCGACTCCTCTGACACAATTGTGGATAGTTCATGAACCCCGGTGGTAGGCGGCCGCTTCTTACGAATGGGATCCAAGCCAATAGATGCTGAGGATTGGCTCGAGTCAATCGTGGAAGGATCAGGAGATGGCGTTCTCTGAGACTGGTCCGGTGAGCGACGACGAGCGTCTGGACGCTCCCAATCTTCCTCTTCGGGCTCTGATTCCACAGAATACTCAGCCTCACAGCTTGGGTAAATCATAGGCGGTAATTTGTAACCACCGGATTCGCCTCTAAATGCTTCTTTCAGCGCCTCTCGAAAGGGTTTCTTGCCGCCAGGCCTGAAAGGAGATGAAGCACTCTTGGTTGCCCGTCTTCTCTTGAGTCCCGAAGCGGGAGTAGCTGGTGACTTCCCTTTTTTCGGTGTTTCATCAGTGTCTTCTTGCTGAGGGTCAACATTTTCTTGAGGCTCGAGCACTCTGCAAGTTGGAGGTTGGTTCGTTTCTTTTTGCCGCTGGACCGATGAGGACCGTCTCTGATTAGCCTCGCCTTGCTCGTTTTCAGCCGGTTGCGGTTTAGACGACGGGTCAACAAAAGGATCGACGGTGCCGTTCAACCAAGATTCGATGCTTGCTGGCTGGTTTACGGCCGGTCGGGGCGGGTCAACCTTGTCGTGGATGATGTCTTTAGCCCCACTCACGACTTTCTTGAACACTTTTGGCACCGCCTTGAAGCTCTGATTTCTTTGCGCCTTCGGCCTCTTTGCGCCGTTCTTCGCATCAGCTCCCAGAGGTAAATCCAATTCGCTAAAGGCCGAGTACCCAACCGGAATATCAGCGAGGGACTTGTTCCCTAGAACCGTGGGCGGTATTCTTTCAGAGTCTTCGTCTGATATCTCGTGCCGGGGGGTAAGATTCTCCACTCCAGATCCCGAATACCGGTCGTCAGAGGCATGTTCTGCCCGGGCAGCTGCTCTGGGGCTCCGGCTCTGTCTTGATCTATGACGAGAAGGGTCTCTTTTTCTTGTCGGGGTGCCAACCTCAGTTTCTGGCTCCTCAATGACCTCAATGAAACCATCTGAAGAGTCTAGTCTGGTGCTTGTAACTCTCGCACTCCTCTCGACGGATGTCCGCCTGGATGAGGCTGGCTGGACGGTTATCTCGTCCATCGAGGCTCGGCGGCTCGGACGGATTCGAAAGTCTTCTTGAGAAGCACTGTCAACAGGCCGGACTCGGATTCCATCAAGGGGCTCTTTATTTCGGATCGGATATACTCGAATTCCATCATCGGTCTCCATTTTCGGCTTCTTTGGGGCCATTGGTCTCACACGAATCCCGTCTTCCGGAATAATTGTTTTCGCAGGTTTAACTCGAATGCCATTGCCGTCAGGTTTGCTTGACTTCAGTGGCTTTACTCGAATGCCATCATCTGCGGGTAGTGTTGGTCGGGCCGGGACATCTCGGTCGGAAGAAACTTCGGTAGGGGGATCTTCCTCGACAGTTACCGTTGCGCCTGAATCGGCATGATGGTAATGCCTCACGCGAGGGGCGTCTGGCGTTTCTATTCTGCTCGCCCAGTCCTTGATCTTGCTCTGGACTGGTGGATTCTGTGCTGTACGTTGGAGGAAATCTTTTGGTATCGGCGTTGGACTCCCTTCCGCTTTCGGTTTCGCAATACCTATCTTATGAGGGCCTTGCTTCTTCCCGCGCTTCATCCAATTGTCATCACTTACGATTCTCTTCTTCGGGCGCTCCTTAACCCGTGGGTCCTTGGCTATCATATCCGGCCGGTCTCCATCAGACTTATCTTGCCGCACGTCCTCCATGTTCCCGCGTGGGTTGCCGTTCTCAACCTTGGCCTTATTCTTCTTGGACTTGAGCCGTAGTTTGATTCTCACCCGGTCTTCCTCAGTAACAGTGGCGTCATCGAGCTGGGCGCCGACTTCAGTCGGCTCGCTTGCGACATCCTCGGCGTGTGGCACACCACCGCCCTGCGGCTTCATGGCGGAAATGCTCACCTTCTGCCATGCCTTTACCCGGTCGGTCACCGCGCCGGGTTGCTGGAGCCTCCGTACTGCTGCAGCTCGCATTTCTTGGCGCAACTCCTCCCGCACACCGGCTGCGTCCAGAGCCACGCTTTTTCGACGCTGCTTTGAAGGTGACCGCTGGCCAGCCACGCGCGCCGGCGAGGGGCGGCCTAGCAGGAATTCGGCCAGCAAATTTGGTTCCATTGACTTTTTCCGTTGCGAGCTCTGGCCGGCGGTGCCGGGAGGTGCGCTCTTCGGGGTGACACCGCCGGCATGCGCTGAAGCCCGCCTGTTGGCAGGTGTTGTCGCGGCAGCGCCATTCTTGACAGCCGAACCGCGCCGTGGCGTTGCCGGGTCTGGCGAAGAGGATTCGCGTGGTTTTTGCGGTGACATGGTTCTGCCAGGGAGGTCAAGAAATGTTAGCAAGCCCGCATTCTGCGTTCTGTAGCCCAGCCACGCATGCGAATGACATGGGGTTGAAGCTGTCTGCCGAAACAAAAGACAATGGGACGGCAAGGATGTTTTCCAGGCAGGCCAGACAAACACCAATCAGACGTTGCAGGCATCGGGAGTTTAGGGGAAGATGTTCGGAGGAAATGTCAACAAACACAATCACAGGGAAACCGCACCAACTCACCTCGGTGAGCCGCCTGCATGCTGTTGATGCGCCGCGTTATTGGAATCCGAATATGGTCCGCCCTACCCGACGATCTAGGGCACGAGGGGCCGATTCGGGGAAAGGTAAATAATATCTCTTCGGCTCATGAGCCAGAGCTAGGCTGGGAAGACCACTAGGGGAAGCGTTGGCGCAGTAGAGAATCCCCGTGCCAGGACGTTGATCGGTTGTGGGGTTAGGGTGCCGCTGCTCAAGTTGGAGACGAGACCAGTGTAAAAAGCTTCTGCGAGGTTGCCGGTCGCACGGGATGCAGCTGAACTCCAAACAAGCGGCCAACCACCTGGATACAATGCACCAAGTACACTGACTGACTGACGTATGCGGGGTGGTCGGAACTGAGACGGGAGGCTGCACTTGACTTCAAAAAAGACAAAATGTGGTTAAAACAATGTAATTCCTGTTTGCCGTGCTTGCAGAGCAGAATGCTACAGCAGCAAGCCAGTAAGTCGCTTCCCAGAGTCGGCACGCAGTTGCGTCGCGGGAAAAATATGAGGTGGTGGGAGGCTCTTGCCTCTGCTGCGAAAGATGCAGAACACCACAGCTGTTGGACCAATGACGATAAACAATATTCTCAGACATAAACAATGAAATCGAGTGTTGCACCCCCAGTTCAGTTGGGAACCCAGCCACACCCTTGCGGCCAAGCTCCGGCTCGCTTCCTACGAAGGAGCAAGGAAGGGCCAGGACCGGGAGGGCCAATGGGAAAGGACCGCGCCTGGCTCGCCAGCTCTAGTGGGGTTGCTCTTTCGGATTGAGCTAGACCAGGCCTGTCAGCTGGGCGTGGTCAGCACCCTAGTCCGCTGAGGAGCAGATCTGACGGAGGGGTGCAACCCGCAGCACGATACCTACGTACTTTTCCTATCAGGTAGAATTCTGCCCGTCACCTACTAAGGTATGTGCCGTGTGCTGAAAACCCAAGTGAGCGATCACGGGCATGGATCTTTCCTCCCGTCCCCTGCGCGGTCAATTCAGCTACTAGATAGACTTCGACCAAAAGCTCACATGCAGCGTGGGTGGGTGGCACTTGAAACCGCTGCACTGCTCCCGATAGCGATCCCGCTGGCTGGTTTTGCGGATGACCTCCGATTTCCAGATTGGCACTGGCACTCTGATGCAGGTGGCTCCGGGAAAACTAGAGTTCGAAAATTGTTCACTAACCCTCGAAAAGCCTACCTTACCTGAGTTTACTTACAAGATATAGATACTGACCGCACAACTTTGTCACAGTTAACTTGCGATAGCAGTCGGAAAACTCAGTGCAGCCTTATCAACGGAGCGCCAGCGCACCGTTCGTGCCGTAGCATCACCGAGAGGAGAGCCTTAGCCTCTTCGGAGGAAAAACCTCCTTCGCTGGCAATCCTTGTTTCCCAAACACATGCATCCCAGCCACGCCTCTGGCCTACCGCTTACCGCGCCCCACCCCCGGAGCCAGCTTTCGGAGGCCGGACAATAACCTACATTCGGGTGGTCAGAGTAAGACCCTGTATTCTAGATTCGGCTCGTCAGATATAGGTATGTACGTGCTAGGATTTGAGTTATAAGGTAGGTAGGACTTTGCATAGCAAAAACAAAGCAGGTTTGCACTACGTTTCAAGGTATAGGTATGTATAGTAAAACAAGGCACCTGGAGGTAGGATGGATAAAGCAGGTTTAAGCACTCAGCAGAGACTTGTCAATGTAGCGCGAACGCACTCTACGACGGTCAGGAGCAGGTTCAAGGAGATTGTCACGCTGGATGGGCAGATATGTAATGCATACCTAAGGTACCAGCCTTAGCAAACCGCACACGGGAGCCAGCCCGGGAAAACAAAACAAAAGATACAACACCACTCGTCTCAACACCGATCAGTCAGAAGCCATCTAATATCACATAAGTATCTCACCGTGCTTCCTAGACCATCCTGACATTTCTCTCTTTGTCTCTTTCTCTTTCCATGTCCCTGTCCCTGTCCCTGAGTTTGCTCCCAAAAGTTCATGACCAGCTTGTCTGTCGCCGCATTCATTTCTTCCCTCGTCATTGGTTGTTCTGGATGAGTTCTTCCCACCGCCCCGCCCATATTGTCACCGGACTAAGGCGGTATCGGCCCTCGTTGTCCTTAATTCTATGTCACTACAGGGTTATGTTCCCAAGCTAGTGTTGCGGGAACGTTGACTTGGTGCGCGGGGCCGGTGGGAGGTTGAGCGGTAACGGGTGGTGGTCTAGTTCCAAATCTCGGTGGCCACTTACACCTAGTCACTTATGCGGAACCAATACCTAGGGACGATGCCTGGGAACGAGAGTCGAGCTATAGCTGAGTACTATGTTAGGTATAGCGTTTCCTACCGCCCTACTTTGGGGGTTTCCTAACTATATATGACTAGCACCTAACTGCTTGTCCGTGGCGGGCTACAGGCCGTATAAAAGTGGTCTAAGAGGTGGTCGTAGTGGCGCTGCAGCCCCTACTTAGGGACCGGACCGCTTCAGTGGTACTAGGTTCAGATAATTACTACGCAGTCGCACCGTAATTGCACCTCGCCGCCGTCGCCAACGTCAACATGCTTCCAAATGCGGTAATTTTCACCCAAGGCCATAGAATTCGCCCAAATCGTTCATTTCTACAATAAAATACGAAGCTGCCCTACCTACGCTGGAAGTCGGATGAAAAAAAAGTACCTAGGAGGATGCTATGCTCAATATTGACAGGGAATATGTTATATATAAATGACAGCGAAAAAGGAGAAAAACAATCCTGCCACAACGCCATAATCTGTATGCAATCCGCCCACGATCCTCCAGTATCAATAATGCATGTCTGATTCCTCATCTTCAACTGGGAGTACAAACCGAACCCTCTTCTGCACCTTCGCAGGCGGTACGCTGGATGCCACAGCTTTCGTAGTAGATCCCATATTCCCTTCTCCAGTGACACTATCCCCGAGCTCACTGTTAATATTCTCTTCCGTCTCTTCCTCAATCGACCACACGTCAGGGCTAGGCTCGCGCCACGAACGAGGCGACAGGTAAGACGACGACACCGCTCTAGACCGCCCTCTTCGACTGCCGGTCCCGTGCCCGATTCGCGGGCTAGGCCGTGCCGCAGATTGTCTCTGGCCCGAGCCACGTGGGCTGGAAGGCGATGCCAGTGACGATGAGCTATCTGTGTAGCCGTTGCCACGCTTGGCTTGGACCCTCGGCTTTCCGACTGCAAGACCCTTCAATAGAAGAGGAAAGCGGAATGAATGTATCCGTGCTTTGGCAGCCGCCTGCACATCGTCGTCAAAATCCTCGGGTGTGGGGGATAGATCGTGGTCCAAATCAGGAGTGGACGAAGGCCTAGGTGGTGTAGGTGATCGCGGTGGAGGGCGACTAAGCCCGTCGAGACTCGACGGGCTGACACTCCTCACAATAGGAGGCGGGTGTTTGGCGTCCTCGATCCCGGCATCGAAATCCATCTCGAAATCCATTCCATCGTCTCCCTCCCCGTAAGGTGATGGGGCTGGCGTCAGGAAGAAAGTAAGGGGATCCTCATCCATCTTGGACAAATCTAAATCCTCAATCTCGGAATCATCCCCGTCGACGCTGGGCTGTAAACGCAGTTGGGTTAGCGGCCATGAGTCTCGTAAAGCTCGAGACGGGGGCTGAGCCGCGGATCGAGTAGAAACAGGCATCTTGGCCGTTGTCTCTCAAAGAAGGCAAGTTCGAGATGGGCGACAAGCCCGGGCTAGTGATTGCTTCTCGTATAGCAGTAGCAGTAGCAGTAGTGTGTGTCGTTGGTTAAGTAACACTAGTTCGTGTGAAGAACAGCAACAAAAATGGCCGGAGGGACAAAGAACGGACGGTTAGGCAGCTTGGCAAGCAGGCAAGGGAAAAAGGGAAGCCGCTCATCGACAGGGGGATGAAGGCCACCTGCCGGCCTGGCCGGCTCAGTGAGTTCCTATCGAAAAACGAGTGTGAGAATACGGTAAAGCGAGATCCCCGTGATACAACGGGGCTGCATAATAGCAAAAGGTAGGTAGGATATCCAGGCAGGAGCAGCCGAAGAAGGCCACGCCGAAGATATATGTTGATAGGCTGCCACCTTGGGGCCGACATGTACTTATTGAGGCGGCCTTGACTGCTGAAATTTGAGGCCACACGCCCGCCAAAAACAGCAGTCCAGACTGCGGCACATGTTGTCAAGCTGGAATATGGCTGGCGTGGCCGCCGTCAGGCTAGTCACCGGTCAGCTCCGGGCAATATGACTTGTCGCCCTGTGAGGTGCAAGATGGTGGTCATCCGCAGCCCGGTGCTCAGCTCCAAGGGGGCCCAAATGTGGGGCGTTGACAAGGCGCCTCCCCTCCAAAAGGGGTGCACTCTTGGGTTTGGGTGGCAGTGGGCCAATCATTCCCTGCTGCGCCAACATCCCATTCCCTGTTTCGGCCATTCTCAGGATCGGATCGGGAGAACTTCCGGGAATGCCAACCCGACGCCAGGACAATGGCGGCATCACGAGCACTGAAGATGAGGGCAAGACTGCAGGTTTATGGGAATGAGTGTGGTAAGAATCCGCAGTAAAGGCCGGCACCAGGGCATCGGAAACCGGAATAGGATACGAAAGCATTTGAAAGCACAAGGATTTCCACCATGGCCATGCTGGGCGAGTGCACTTCGCACCTACATACGCGTGACAGGCTCTCCTTCACTGAACCGAGACATGACCAAGCTAGGCATACCACCTCTTTGGACAAAGTGGAAGGCGTATGACTGTGCGCCACACCATTACAATTACCTAGAGAGACTGTTGTCTTCTACCGAGGGAGCCGGATGCTGCCTGGGGCGAGAGCGGGAGTCGCGTCCCGGGGCCGGAGGCAGGGGACGCGACGGCAAATACGTCAGGGCTGTCGTGTGTGAGAGAGAGAGTCAGAAGCATGCGGTAACGGGGAAGATATGTTAACCCTTCGACGTGCTCATGCGCCCAGAAGCTCAACATGCCTCGTACCTGCATATCTTCATGCGACACGATGCCATCTGACAGATTTCAATCATTGTCTCCGGTCTGGAAACGACGACTCACAGGGCGAATCGCGTCGAATATAAAGGATCGAATTGAATCGATATAGAACAGGCTGCCGCGGAGTCACACAGCCAGCTAGCCAGCTCTCTCCGCGTCTCAGCCTCAGGGTTCTTAGAGCAAGAACGTCTTGCATGACTTGGGCGACGATCCTGTCGGGCTTAGAAGGCTCTTAGCAATGAATGTGTAGGTTGGGTTCAACTCAACTGCGTATCCGTATTTTGCGCAGAAAAATATGTAAGGTGCAAGCTTCCCACTCTCTGCTTCGTGCACGCGGGAGGGAGGCACCCATTTGAGTTTTCTTGGCAAACAGCCTCCCGCGTCCTAACCCCCGCCCTAACCCCGGCCATAACTGCCCAGGTTGAACCCTAGACCAAACCGAAGCAGGGTCCGACCCAAACAGCTTCCTCCCGCTACCTAACAAGGTATTGTATGTACGGCAAGATCCCAGGCTGGCTTCTGCTCTCCACCCCGCTCTATCACTCCCCAACCTTGGGTGCCCTACCTACGTACAGACTACATACCTTACCTTATCTTATATATCGGCTTGAGTCCCGGCCTGTGACTGCCTCGGCCCTCCGCTACCTACCTACCACCTTACCTCGGTACCAGGCCCTGATCCCCAACTGGAGGATTAGGCTGCCCAGATTCAGAAAATACCCTACTGCCAAAAAGGCACGCAGCTACTTTGCTATCCCATCTGTAGATGAAAGCAGGGGCCCAGATAACAACTAGCCTACATAGCTACGGCGCCTACCTACGGTGCCTACCTACACCTAGGTACCTACCCGGGCACTTGCTTCCAGGCCCTTTGTTAGGCGTCAGCGGTCGATTCGAAGCGCCTTGAGCTCAGCTGGTGAATCTTGTTCCAGAGCACGGCTAAGCCACTGTCATCACCATGTCATTGGCGAGTCCTCCGGTTGCGCCGTCTGGCTCAGTTCATGCCCGGATAGTTACACTGAACGTCCGGTATGCGACCAAGTCTCCTGTTCCGGGCGAGGAGCCGTGGTCAGTTCGGGCCCCCAAGCTCTGCGCCCAATTCGCATTCATTGCGTCGGGCCATACCTCCGTGTTTCTCTGCCTCCAGGAAGTCCTGTATTCGCAGCTCATTGATATACAATCCTACCTGGGTCCGTCCTGGAGCCACATAGGACAGGGTCGGGACGATGGAAGACTGGCTGGAGAGTTTTCCCCAATATTCTTTCGAGCCGACACTTGGGATTGCGTGCGTAACCAGACGTTCTGGCTGTCTCCGACCACGGACGTTCCATCTCGAGGGTGGGATGCTGCCTTGAACAGGATTGTTACCACAGGGTCGTTCCGCAACAAGGAAACCGGGACAGCTGTCGCGATTATGAGCACACACTTGGACCATCAAGGACAGATTGCGAGGGAGGAAAGCGCCCGTCTTCTGCTCACACTAGCCCGAGACTGGACTGATAACAGAGGCGACGGCCGTTCCCGGGCGCCGCTGTTCCTTGGCGGCGACTTTAATAGCACTCCGAGCGGCAAGGCCTACACGGCCCTGACCTTGCCGGGCTCGGGAATGAGTGATATATCGGAACTTGTGCCTCAGAGCTTAAAATATGGAAACCCAGATATCACCTACACATCCTTTGGCGAATCTTGGGAGAGACCGAGGAAGATCGACTTCCTCTTCGTACAAGAACGACTGAACCTCAAGTTTGTGGCATTTGGGATCCTGTCTAACAAGTTCGATGATGGCGTTTACTTGTCAGACCATAGGCCAGTGGTTGCAGACTTGGAGATTCCCATCAAAGACGACGACACCTTGCACTGAGGCGCCCTCCTCCCTCCCCGCTATCCCTCTATTCAGATATTGCGCGACATCGACCGACTTATCCGTTCCGTCAGCAGACATATCCCATCATGTTCTTGGGCATTATTCTATCTACTAGCTGTTATTTCGAGCATTCGTCGTCCAAAGGCCAGCAGAGTGGTCCTGGCAAAAACAGCTAGAACTTCTTCGGAGTGAATTTTTGTTCGACGAAAGCCAGCTTGCATACGCACTCGCCAAGGCGACAATGTTCAGTCACACAAGACCTCCATCGCGAAAGGACACTTTATCGACCATGGGGGCCGTGCTGTTGGTCATGTGGGGACGCAACACCTTAAGAAGCAAATACACAGAGACGTGTTACCCGTATCCATGTCTGGAAAGTTCACTTTCTGCAGGTTTCCGTGCGGTTTTTTTTTTTTTTTTTTTAAAAAAAAAAAAAAAAAAAAAAAGGAATAGAGACCTTGGAAAGCCCTTGTCTTGGAGAGAGGTCAACGTCTGAAAACACATCCATTCAGGATCCTGTCGCTGAGAGGCTATCCTAGAATTGATCTTCATTCTGCTTCGCCCCATCGAAAAGTGAGGCAAAACAGCGGTGTGGGTCCAGCCAGTGGCAGCAAATCTTCGCCCACGAGCAGACTGTCCTGCTCGGTTCTGCCCAGCTCTGCCCGGAGTAAGGGCAAGTCCTCTCCCTTGATGGCCGTTTACTTCCTGGTGACACTCCTACGGGTTTGTATTCCCCTTCGTGGACGGAGGCGATGGCCTGTTGCTTTTGGGCTAAATAGATCTCCTACGAGTCACCGGCACACGATTTGAGCCACCACAATCCGGGGCGGGCCACGATCCCGGCTTTAACCTCTTCGGGGCTTCCTTGTAGGTCAGGGTTCCGGTGACTGGCCCGGCGTCTTGGTTATCTCACATGGAAACTAGACCGAGTATGCACAGTAATACTTATCTTTCGCCTCCTCTGTTCAACAGATCCAGGGCAGAACTACAACGTCACGTAAGATTGGTAAAATGTCTCCATTGCATCGTCCAAGGTATCACGGGACTGCTTGGGAGTCTTGCGTCAGTGGGCTAGCTGCGTTCCTTTTCCCGAGTCCTCGTCCGAGTAATGATTCGAGTCGTCGAACTAGTTCCATACGAACATCCTGCCTACAGCAGACACCCCTGCGCGCATCCCGCAATCAATGCGTTGAATGCGGAGTAGCCTACGCTAAGCCGTCTCTTGACTGTGTTGGATCGCCAAAGAGAGGTATCCGTGCCACAAACTTGACTCACTTCGTCGAGCAATTGGTGCTTCTGAGAGACCTGTTTATGGCTGTCTGCTCCATGCTATCATCCTACACAATAGCCACGGGATCGGACGCTTGATACGGCAATACCATTATGACATGCAGCTTCTCGCGCAGTTGCGACGGTGTGGAGCAGCCAGAAGCTCTAGCGATCAAGTCTCTGCCAATCAGCCTGCATGATACTCAACATCTTCTGGCCTCTGTTTCGTCGCGGGATAAATGTTTCTGTGGAGATTCCCCCCTCCCCCCCCCAACTTTCGGACCTGAACGTAGCTTATAACCGGTTGGGAGGGTATAACTGAGGCACCATTGGCGGCGACTGCGCAACTCTCGTCAAGTGAGGCCAATGAGACAGAAGCGAAAATGAAACCGAAACAATCTCGTTCACGCAAGAATGCTTGAGAGTCGTCCCATGTCGGGAAAGAAGACCTATCCCGAATATTCGATCGAACCCGTCGCTTCATTCAGGACGCGACGCCAAATCCATACAGAAACCACCCGTTGTGAATATAGCGCAATAATGGCAAGCGGCACATCGACCGATACAACAGGATTCAGAAAGACGGACCAGAGATAGCGGACTGTCAATAAATTTCCCAAATGGGATTACTGCGTTTCTCAACTGTGCAGAAGAAAATGCAGCAATATTGTGTGATGCACTTGTACGATAATCGCCTCAGAAGCCTCAATAGCTCCGGCGACGGGTGCGGCGATCGAGGCTGATGACTCGAATGCCGTGAGGAGCCAGGACGCAGACGCAGAGGGAAAACTTGGCTTGACTTTCCTTGCGGTTCCGCCCTATGAAAGGAGTCAGGCGGCTTTAGCTTGCAGAGGTCTGCATTCCAGGCCCGACGGCTCCAATGAGCTTCGCATACTGCGCATGCCGTTGATGGGGAAAAGGTGTGCTGGCTCGTTGCCTATCTGCCGTCCGTTGCCTAGGTGCGGACGGCTGCCTCTTGTTCGACAGGACAGTCGGGTGGTTCGCAATCTTAACTGTGCCCATTCCGTTGTTTTCTCGAGTCTTCATCACGATTCTAGTAGCATCATCTCCTCGTTCATAACGACGACAAGAACCGCTCACCGCGTCCAACGGTCCATCAAGTTGCTGCCACAGTTCTGTGCGACCTGTTTCCAAGGCCCGCACGGCTTCCAAGACCATCATCGCCTCACTACGAATTATTGGTACCCAAAGACGAGAGTCAGGCACTAATCTGGCCAACGAAAGGGCAGAGCGGAAAGACTGGTCAGCAATCTGGTCGTGTGTCTCCCAATCCTGGCACCGCTTCGTTGCGGAGTGTCTCGGCTGCCGTTACTCGACCTCTTCTTTTTTTTGTCCCCCTTCTGCTGCCGGGCCTGCACTGCTGCACCTGCACGCTGTTGTCCAGCTCTCTGCCTCTTCAGGCTTGCTTGGCTTCCAAGCTCCACCAACAAATCCAAGCACACCCGCCCAGTTGGCCTTACGGAAGGATTCAACCACACATAGCCTCCCAAGTCGCCCAAACGTGCCATAGGCTTGCAGGCTCTCTCGAATCGCCACAGCACCCGACGGTAGGAGTGGACCTTGTCGACAACTCACCTCACCTCCACTGCTGCTCACTCATCTCCAGCGAGCCATCGAGGCCTAGTGAAATCTGGCTTCTGCTTGCACGACGCCAGCCTCTGCCAGGGACTTTGACGGGCAGATCTTCCTAGCACCCAGGATCTGACCGAGAAAGGTTAGGTGGTGGTGCTCGAGACGATCCGCTTCCAGGGCCTTTGTGCTTGTCCCCCGTCCGTCCGTCCCCCCGTCCCCCACGATCAGAGCGGGCCCACAAGGCCACTCGGCCGCCAGGGCCCAGCCGGCAACCCACCTCACCCTCCTACCGTGCGACGTAGGCAGTGAAGACTCTAGCTCCGTTAGTCGGCGTCCTCTAGGTTGTTGGTGTCAACGCTGAAGAAAGCCGTCTCAACCGAGCCCAGGCCGCCAGAGGCTGGCTAGATGTGACGGGAGGGTGTCAACCCGTCGCCTGGTCGTTTCCCGCCCGCTCGTGTGTTGTGTTTGCTGCGGTCGCTTTTTTATCGATAAAGCGTGCTGCGTTGCTGGACACCCATCCTGGTGACAGCCGTCCAACACCCCTGTCCCGGCTGGGCCTCGCATGGTTGTCAGTGCTGCTCGAACAGCCAGAAATAAAGGTCGTTCTGCGAATCCTTGGCCCCGACGAAGAAAACAGCGGGTCTCCCTGCCGCCCATCCCCAATATCCCTCCCTCCACTCACAGAAGGCACCCCCCCCCCCCGCAGTGAATAAAACTCGTCACTGCCCAGGCATCCCACCACCTTTTTGAGTTTATTAAACAATTCGTCCCTCCTTCGTCTTGGTGCTGCCCTCCCGCCACCATCCCAGCTCGACACGGGCGTCCGAAGTCAAAACGTTTATCCTCCGCTACACCATACGTACACTCTCTCGTCCATCGGACCATCCCCACTTGCAGGTTGAGATCAATCCACCGCCGCCGTTGGATTCTTGAGCGACTACAACGGTTGACCGCCTGCTACCACCACTACCGCCATCTCCACTGAGATCCCCAATCGTGGCCGCCTCGAACCCGAGGCTTCACTGCCTCTTGTGCCGCGGGGCATCCATTCGGCTTCAAGTCGCTTGAATACGTTCCTGCGGGCTTTTGCTCGTCTCGGCAATGTCTACGATTAGTCGACCAACACATATTGCGTGCGTCGAAGACGCCGACGAGTCGGGGAACCCCATTGAGAAGACAGCTCGCTACGCAGCTTCAAGCTACGCCGCGTCAGTCGTGAGCCCGACCAAGGAGAAGTCGAACACAAGCCGTACCAGGAGAGAATATCCGAGGAGAGACTCGTCCTCTCCCATCACGAGTGGCCTCACCGACTCGGACTCGACCTTGCACCCCCGAGGAGACTCGCTTCGGAAGGCGACAAAGGACCGCAACAGGTCCGATTCCAACAAAAAAGTCATCATGGCTTCCAAGGCGCGCCCTCCCGTAAAACACTCCAAGACAACACCGAGCCTTCCGAGGAGAGACGCTGAGGCGACCTATTATGGCGTAAACCCAACCGTCACCACCGCAAGCTCGCAACCCCGTGCCCAGACCTCTAATCCCAGGCCTTCCAGCTATTACGGCGGCGCATCACGCCCGCCCCTGGCAAATGCCAGGTTCCACTACAGCAACTCTTACCAACAGCCCCCGACTTTACCTACCTCATATCCACCATCAAATAGGTGGGCTAGCCCAGTGCCTTATCCGCCGCCCTCTCCGTCACCTGTAGTGATGCAACAGCCGCCCGAATTTTTCACGCGGACCCTGCCAGAGCGCTTCTCCACTGCTCGGCCAGCGTCGGCGATGGGCTTTCGACCTCCTCTGCAGGTCGAATACGATGCCTACGACGACGTTGTGGATCGGAGGCCGCTAACCAGGCGGCCGTCAACACACCGGAATGGATCCAGGAATGACGACGACATGAGGACGATGCCTCCTCCGCGAAGGCCTGCATCTGCTCGCCCAACCGCTCTAGCTATCCGCCCTCCGCCGCCGACTCCCGCGCCATATAGGCCATCCAACGTGTTCGACGACGACGACTACATAACCCCGGATCATGCACTGTTTCATGACATCTCTCCCGGGCAAAAGTCTGAATTTCCCGCTCCCATTCTAAAGGTTCGGTCAAGGCGACCAAGCATTGGTGCCTCGTACAGGACCTATGATTCCGGGGGCTTCCGAACCGAAGTCGCGGGCGGAAATAGCCGGCGCAACTCGTACTATGCAAACCAGTCGGCGTCTTCTGGAAGCGGCTACGAAGACAAACTCCACCAGGCTTCCATCTACCAAGACCATGTCACGGGCGGGCCAGCAGTGCCATTGACTGCCGAGACCCTACGCAAGGCTGGCAAAAACGGAGGCAGCAGCAGGTCCACGAGGTCGTCGGCCAGTCGCGACGAGAGCGAGTACAGGGAGTCGGCAACTACCAGGACGACGCGGTCAAGCGCCAACGACGAAGACGTGACGATCCGGGTCAAGGGGAGCACGGTTCTCAAGGTGGGCGGCGCAGAGATGCAATGCCGGGATGGGGCCGAGATCAACATCATCTCCCGAGGGCCTACTCCCTTCCGGTCGAGCAGCGATCAGTCAAGCTACATGGGCCACGAAGACCGCCGAACCCGAATCGAGCGTCCTCCGACCCGAACTCGGACGAACTCGCAGGCCGGGTCGTACTCACGTACAATACCAGGAGGGTATGACCGGTATAGCATCATCCCTCCCTATCCTGCATATCCTACCTATCCCCCAACCGAGGGGTTCTTTTGAACGGATTTAGCGACACAAACGACGACCTCGTGTTTATGGAAGACGATACGACAACATTGACGAAGCTGATGACAAACTCGGTCACTCTGGGCGAGGACGACGATATCGACTAGTGTGCATAATTTTATTTTTCCTGGTTATCGCAAAGCGAGCGTTGACATTTCCTTGTCGGATTTCCGTGTCCTTTTTTCATTTTCATTTTTTTATATTCTCATCAATACCTTCTGTGAATACCCTTGTGGACGGTCCACGAACAGTGGGCAAGGGGGATCTGGACTTGGATACACCTTCAGTTCTTCGTTTCGATCTGTATTCTATGCTTCTAGCATGGCGGCCTTGTTGCTGGCTCAAGTCAGTTGGCGGAAAAAGTCATACCCCTAAAATTGGCATGGAAAACAGCATCGAATGCTTAATACCAACACCTTTGCAAGGTTTATCCTTTTTTTTGTGTGTTCGGGCCGGAAGGTTGCTTTTGACTTTCTGCCTGTGCATTATGTACAGCATGGTTCATTCGAGCGAGCTTTCTTATCGATGGGCTTCTGCCAAGGACGACCATGGCTGGTCCAGTCTGTTGGATATTTATACATTGGAGGATTTTTCTTCTTCTTTCCATTCTCCTCCTTTTTCTCCCTTCGCCAGGGCAAGATTGACTTCAACCAGACTCTGTTGGCATCCTCTACTTTCCTCTACTGTTACTATTCTTTCCGTTACTTCAGATGTTGACAGCCAAGCTGTGCGATAAAGCCTTGTCTTCTCAGCTGAGGCCTTTTTTTCGCATTTGCAATGGCGTAAGAGTTGGATTCGCTGCTGCTACCAAGGGACACGAAACAACGATAGAATTTGTTCGGCAATGAAGTTCACACTTCTTGTGGAGGGGAGGGCATGGGAAACCAATCTGCCCATGCGTTTATGCTCTTTGCAATGGCGTGGGAGGAGTGGAGGATTGGCATGCCATCTCTCTGGTTTCCCCTCGATATCGACCTTGCTTTGTTTGGCCCCGGCTGTCTACTACTTGCTTCCTTTTCTCATCGAGAGACTGGGTCGGCTGCTGGAGAGAGAAGACTCGGCTACACTGGCTTGGATGGGGGGAATACCCGAAACCAGAGACGGCATGCTATTATTATACGTTGCGGAGACTCATTGTCGATATAGCTATATCTATAATTGGTCGTGGTCGGTCCCGGATGGAGGAGCAGGCGAGTCCCAATTTATGTCTAGTTGCAGGATATATATCCCAGAGATATTTCCCAGCTCATTTCAGATACACAAATCCACTGGAGTCTCGTTATATCCCACTTGAAACCCTCAAAGTTCCAAGCCAGCGCATGAAAGAAGACAGTGAATTATATCGACAAGGGAAAGTATAGTCTTGTCGTCTCCTTTTTTTTTTTACCTGAGAGACCTTAAGACTCAAACAGACAGGTAGGGTATAAGCCAGATAGCATAGCAGCTGTTCGTGCAGAACCCACTGACAACTTTGAAGTCTAGGGAGTTGTCCGACCCATTTTCTGTTTTACATGCCTACCTGCCTGACACGGAATTTTAGGCAGCTTCCAAACCACTCTTGCGCCATCAAATAGGGGTATCTGTAAGGCCGCTGTCTGCTCTGGCGGCTACGGAGTACGCGGGTAATGAGCACCTACGCATATCTTTCCTCAGCGCGTCGTGATACGGTTTCGAAACACAACACCTTTTCTAGGGGGTAGCTGTAGAACGCGATACCCTATAGAATTTTTTTTACGGCGTAGGAATTGGGGGGGATTTTTCTTCCCATAATATGAGGTTCCTCCCTCTTCGCCTGGGGCCCTGCCTGTCTGTCTTGCCTATTCCGTGCTCGGGACTATACTAAGTGCTCTGTATAGATTCGTGGGCGTGCTGTAACAACATTATGTACAGAGTACTATACGCAAATAAGGAAGGACACTTCCTTACGAATCAATTTTGCCCGTCCAAGTGCAGAACTTGTAGGCCGTCCGTACCACCAAATAAATAATCACATGCGGACAGCGGCAGAGGTGGCGACCCAGTTATTTGGTTCACTCTCACCGAAAAAAAAATTCGACAGCGAAAAGGTTTCGGGTGTCACACCCCGCTTCTTGACGGCACTTTGATTGGAGTGGCGACGAGAGTTCTGCTGCTTCTCAAATATTTTTTTCTTTTTTCTTTTGCTTGGCCGCTTTGTAGACCAGGACCAAAATGTCCGAATGTGTTACATGTAGAAAGTCGGCATCACGTAAGCTCTTGGTCTGATCAAGGCTTGAACATGCCCAATTTGTGTAAGACACGGCTCGATGGAAGATGAAGCACCCACCTCCGCTGTACAGCGAAAAGGCGAAGCGAGAATTCGATAGTGGGGAAGGAGCGGGTACTGTGTGGGGCTTGCTACGATTACCCCACCACTGCGAGCCGGGAGTTCGGGGTCGATGGGGGAAGAAGGCTTGGCGACCAGGATCGATTAATTGGCTGCAGATTTATTTGTGGGTCATGGTTTTCTCCGTGGGTTGTCGTTGCCGTTGCCCTGCCGTTGCCTGGTGATGTGAAGGACGATTTTCCTTTGTTTACCGGACGTCATACCATCCTTCCTCGCCGCCCCCAGCCCCTCTCCCGAGCCCCGACGCACAAGCCACCAACGCCAGCCCCCTTGGTTTCTGGGTTAACGGCACAACACGGGAACACCAGACAAACCTCCACTGCACCACACCGGCAACGTTGCCTGCTCTTTGATCCGCTCTCAGTATCCGAATTCCGAAGAGTTATCACTCATTCCAGTCGACACGAACAGTTTCACATACCACATCACATACCGGTCCTCTCGAAGTTACAATCTCTGGCCGTCAAAGGGCCATTTCAGCAAGCTTGGCTTGGCCAGCCGACAGCACTCCGCATTCCAGTGCGGCGGCACCTCAACCATGGCGCCCGCGATCGCTGCCGTGAACGCTTTCTTGACATCCGCCTTCAAGACCCACACCGCTCGCCAGCCCGACGTCGGTTCATTGGGACCGCTGCGTGCACGCTCGCTTCTCCTCGCGCGGGATGACGCCGACAATGTAGACCCGAGCAGGGGCATAATTCCTCCACACCAAATCAACAACAATGCGGTATTCGCGGTATTCGCGCTTCTCGGGGTCGCTTTCGTGGTCGGGGGGATCTGGTTCTTCTTCTGGGCCAAGAACGGCGGCTTCCACTTCAGAAAGGACGACTGGGACGACTACAAGTCGACAGTCCTTCGCCGCAGGGGCCCCAACGGCACCCTCCTCTCGGGCGCCACGCCTAGCACGGCCCTCGGCGGCGGGAGCGTTTACAAGGACGTGGACGACAATAGCACCGAGGACGCGACCACGGTGGTGAGCGGGACGACTAACATGACGGGCATCACCGGGGGCGTGTCGGACATCTACGGGCGCGAGAAGCGGCGCAAGAAGCGCGAGCAAAAGGAGCGCGAGAAGGAGCGCCGGCGCGAGGAGAAGGAGCGCGAGAAGGAGGAGCGCAAGCACGGCAAGTCGAGCCGCAAGGTCGGCGCCGACGGCATCCTGATCGACGAGGAGGCCGAGTCCGAGGCCAAGAAGCACCTCCGCAGCTACCGTCACGAGAAACCCGCCCGCGTCGGCGGCATCAACAAGCAGAGCGAGGCCAGCACGTGGGACGGCTCGACCAACCCGAGCCAGTCGACCGCCAGCGGGAGCGGCGTCGGCTCCACCGACACGGGCAGCACCGTGACGTCGGAACTCATCAGCCACCGCGAGCGCACGCCCACCAGCACGCCCACCAAGAAGGACGCCGAGCGCAGCAGTGGCGCCGCCAGCGGCATCAGAAAGGTGTATTCGACCGCGGACAAGAACGCGAGCCGCGAGAACGAGCGGCTGCGTTCCGAGGCCCGGAGGCTGCGGCGCGAGGAGAAGGAGCAACGCGCCGCCGCCGCCGCCGCCGCCGTCACGCAGCGACGCGACTTTAGCTGGCAGCGGGCCGACGACGTGTCTCTCCGCCCCATCGACGAGGCGACCGAGAGCATGGTCAGCGGCACCTCCCGCACCAGCGCGCCGCGGGCCACCCGCGTCCCGGGCAGCTGGACCGAGAGCGACGTCGGCACGGGCAGCGAGGTCGGCACCAAGGTCTACCAGCACCCCGTCCACATCCCCGTGCCGTCGTCGTCTTCCACGGCCACCAGCGACTTTGCATATCAAGAGGAGAAGCGCAAGAAGCGCGCCGGCGCAGGGTATAGGCGGACCCGCGGGGGAGATTCCGAGAGCGGTGTCTGAGCGAAACGGAACGGGGTTTGGATGTAGTATGTTATCTGTTCGATTGGAACATCTTGCCTTGATGGGTGCCTATGGAGTACTAGTAGCCAAGGTCGCTATGGGAGGGGGGAAGTATTGCCTTGTTCTCCTTTTCTGTGTATGAAAGGCGGTAGCTTGGAACAGCCAGATTGGGGGGGCTCTGAGATTGGGACACTTGCAGGCGTTATATCACGGCATCCCATGGACATCATTTTCATGTCAACGATGCCGGTTATTAGACGACAGCAACATGCAACCTGTCTACGACGCATCGATACGCAGAAATATGAATCAATACATCATCTGTTCCAATGCCTTGATGCCTGGGGGGTTGGGTGGACACAGGACGATTTCCGATCATTGACAAGCCTGGTCGTATACAGCTCTGAGCCATTCAGTGTTATTCAAGAGCCATCCCCAGCTCCAATACCGACTCCAGCAGATACCTGTAGAAGATTTTCGTATGTCCGGAGATTTCGTCCAGATCTCATCCTGATTTCATCGAGCTGAGACTGTCAAGGCCATGCGAGCCCTCCACGGGTATTTCACCCAACCAGCTGCTGGGATATTTCCTTGCTTCAGTCTCATAAGACTTGGGAAGGTAAATCCACGAAAAACATATCTCAAGCTAACGCAAGGTAAGAACTACTAGGTTCAGGAGCTAAATAGGTAGGCAATTGCAAACTCCTGTGTCGTGTTGTTTTCGATGCATAATACATGTCCGTTCCATTGTTGCTCTCTTTCGCCCTTGCTCGCATACAAAATGTAATCGCCGAGACTAAGTAGAAGAAGGGCATCCAGAAGAAAAAAGTATTATTGTACAGTACCCAGTTCGGATCGTAACTCCCTCGAAACAGAGTGAGGTCTATTTTAATCCAGCGATAGGCTAGGCCAGGCCTTGCAGGGCTGGGCTGACAACCATCGATGCATCATTCCCTCAGCCCCGTTCACCTCTCAGCTTCTGCTGACCAGAGCCGCTGCCAAGATTCAAGTGCTGCTGCGCGGTATATGTTTGTACAGAACCGTTCGTAGGAATGGTGGTGGGCTGCAGCTGCAGCTGCAAAGAAACAAGGGCCAGAAATGGCGTCCCGACGGGCAGCAACTCGAAACAATGGCCAAGGGCCACCTAACCTCTAGGCCGTTAGTTACAGGCCGTCGACCTTGGTTGGCTGCGGGCAGTGGCAGGGAGCACAAGCGCGGACAGACACAGATGCTGCTTCAAGTCAACAGATCGGTGCGTTGGCATTTATAAGTTTTCTTTCTGAAACCGTTCGGACCTTTGTGCGCTGGGGACTTCTCAGGGAAGGCTCGAAGGACGAGTTTATGCGGCCCGGACCAAGAATGCTTGATAACAGCTGGCATCGTCAATTGTTGATTAGAAAACCGCATCTTCACCTATGTAATTAGCCCTTTGCGTGTCATCCAGGCTGGCTGGGAAGGAATTGAATGTCGCCGAGCGATCAGCCAGATAAGGGCATCGTGTCCAATGAAATGAAAGTTGGAACTGTAAGGGAACCTCAATTCCGTCCCTCGGCAGGTTGTGAACTTTAGCCCTGCGCGGGAGAAGTATAGAGGTATTGATGCCCTTATTCGACATGTCCAGCAGGCTTGAGCCTTGCCCACCCGCCTAGGCTCTCGGAGGGGTCTCGAGGTCTCAAAATCTCCAACCGTTCCGCCGCCAGCATCATCCCTACCCCTGCGACCCCCCCAAAGATCTGGGCCCGTTTACGCCCTTCCCCCGCCACTCTGATAATGCACAATCAGCTAGCGCTGGTTTTAACTCGATCATTAGTTAGTGCACAAACGCAGGCACCGATTTGCGAAGCGGGCAGTGTGAAAGCATGACAGCGGCATCCCAGAGGTTGCGACCTGTTCCGGACCAAACCCGAACTGACCTGGGCACCATCGCCTAGGTACGTAAACCTGGAACACCACCTGCTCTCTCTCTCTCGACTCTTGACCTTGGTAATTACTCGAACCGCTGGGAGACAATCAAAATTTATGCCCTCGTCTCATCTTCTTTTGTCTTTTTCTCCCTTTGGTCAAGCATTTCTTCGAACAAGCTTTGAGCCGGCTCCAATTAATGACACCCGCTCCATCCGTTACGTTGTTGTCAGCGACGCCCCCCAGCCCCCCAGCAAGCAGGCAAGCGTGACGCACACCGACGTCCCTAATCCCACCTAGCCAACCAACGATTGATTGTACGAATCGCAAACAGCCACAGCCGTCTACGTCTACTTCGACATAATCCATTCTCCACTCGACAATTTGGCTAACCAGACAGTCATTCATTCCTTCGAATTCCTTTCCTTGCTACTCCCTGGTAACACTTGCGAGGCCAGGCGGGGAGACTTCGCCGTGGCGTGATACGGAGAAGGGGCAGCAACCGCTGATGCCGGAGGGCTTGGCGGTGACGCCAGCGATAGCGACGATCGTCATCGAACCGCCATCCCGATAATACCGAGTGTCCTGAGAAGCACCCGCACACATACACGCACCATGTCCGACTACAGCCCCGGCATGGACGGCATCATCATCGCCCTGTTATCGTCTTTCGGGTCGGCGATCCTGATCGCTATCCTCTTCTTCGTATTCTACTTCTTCAGATACACAGCGTCGGGCCGCATATTTCTCGACCGCATCGGTCGCCCCGGAGAGTACGATGACGAGCAAGCATTCGCGCGGGAGGAGGCCGAGGCCCTCGAGACAATGGACGATATGCAAAGGACGGAATATCTCAGGGCCAAAGGTACGCCTAGTGTCTGAACGGCCTGGTCACATCTAGCTCGGTGTCCCTGCTATCTACTTTTACTGACCTCTATTATGATGGCAGCCTTCATCACCGCAAATCCCCCCGAGTCCCTCCAGACCGACATATCTCTGTCACAATACCTTGCTATCCAGGAGAAGGGAGTGGCAGCTTGGGAGTTCGAGCCGGAGCTGGAAATCGCCAACTGTTTCGTCGAGGCGCGGACTGAAATAGAGTTCTTTGACTCTGAGTGCACCGTCATGAGCAACCTCCCTGTTCCCAAGCAGAACGAGGTTTACTATTGGGAGACAAAGGTTTACGATAAGCCCGAGACTACTCTGATGAGCATAGGCATGGCTACCAAGCCTTATCCGTTGTTCCGGCTACCAGGTATGAGTCTTCTACTGCGGGATGTTTTTGGTCGAGGCTGACGCTGGCATATCCAGGCTATCACAAGTATTCGGTTGCATATCTGTCCAACGGCACCAGACGTTTCAACCAGCCTTTCAACCCGACCCCCTATGGACCACAAATCGTGCAGGGCGATGTTATTGGCGTCGGCTACCGCCCGCGAACCGGTACCATATTCTTCACAAGGAACGGCAAGAAGCTGGAAGACGTCGTCCACGGCCTGAAATCACAGAATTTCTTCCCCGCCATCGGCGCAAACGGGCCGAGCATTGCACATGTCAATTTTGGACAGGCTGGCTTCGTCTTCATCGAAGCAAACGTCAAGAAGTGGGGCCTTGCTCCAATGACTGGCTCCCTAGCACCGCCTCCGCCATACGGCTCGGAACAGGGCAGCATTCTTCTTGAGGCGGGAAGAAAGGATAGTTACACGGGCTCGCAAGGTCGCAGTCATAGGTACAGCCATTCTGTCCAGACATACGCGAGGCAGAACCCAAATGTGCTGGATCCAGGTCACAACCGGACAAGGTCGGGGAATTTCAGAGTGCTTTCCCCAACTAGCCCGGGACCGCTCCGCAGCCCTACAGACATCTCCCTCGCCCAACTGGTGCCCACAGATGACACCGGCGAGGCTAGCACTAGTGCTGCGGCGGCGGCATCGGCGGCGCAGGCTGGCGAGAGCCAGACGAACGTCGGACTTGGGTTGCACGATCCTCACAATCCACCACCTCCAGAGTACACCAGCCCTGAACCTTCAGATGCTGGTGACAATAGCAGGAGAAGTAGCTTCGACGACGAGAACGCACCTCTGATTCGTCTTACCAGGAGCCGAGGCGGTTCTTCTGCAACAGTGAGGGCAGGTTCGAGTAGCAACAGGACCACATCGCAAGGGCCCCCGAGTCCGCCGATACCTAGCTACCAGGATGCTCTACAACAAGGAGCAGGGCGTGACAGGAGCGACAGCACCAGGACCGCGAGATCATCCAGATGATAAATCGATGCTGGAGTTATATTAATTAGAGCCTTGGAGCTCGTGATTGCCATTGACCCTCCAGGGTGGTGGGCTTCGAAGACTTTGAACGCGAGCCGGTGCCAATGCCAAAATATGACGGGCACCGGTTCCCTAGAATTCTGTCACAGGAACGGGACTCAAGACCGACCCTACTCTCATATCTACTACAAACCTATCACTTGACGAAATATTTGCTTTTCTTTCTGTTCTTCTTTGGCTACACAAGCGGGGGTATGAGGGAGCATTCGGGATGGCTGGTCGGCGGGTCATGTATGTCGTTTTGTTTTCCATGCGAGGGGTTTGTCTAAAGTAAGGTAGTACGATACCCAATATGAAGAAAGGGAGCAGTGGGGAAGGTTGCCGTTCTCTCTCGTTCGTATTTCAGATGGAATACCCTTTCTAGTTCCTGACGATCGCCGCTACACATTAGCGAGAAGATGGGCAAAACAGCACCAGCTTAAAGAGCTTTTCTCTCCTGGGGTGATTAAATGGCCACGCGTACAAAAACAAACAGAAATTGCACAATGGAGATAGAGATGAAAGACTTGGGCGATGGGGGCAGAGAAAAAAGGGAGTTTGATCTTTTTACGTCCACGAAGCTTGCCTCTTACATAACTATATTAAGTATTATCTTTATTCTTGGCTTTATCGACTCCTCACAATCGTTTCAAAAAGGCAATAATCCCCCGGAGCAAAGTAAAAAGTGTCGTTATCCGGGAGAAAATGGTCACGGGCGGTGCCGCAGAGAAAAATCAAGTTGTTCATTGCTACTTTGTATGCCACTTCGGAACCTAACCTAAGGCGTAAAGGGTGGGAAGTGGGATAGTCTTGCTTCTTCCTATTTACCTCTTATTTGATGCGGTCCTTGCTTATCGCTACATTCTTATGGTGGCCTGTTTACTGATTTGTTAACCTACTGGGCTTCCGAACTGTTTAGCTCACTGCGTGCCTACTGTATTGTGTTTGTCTGTTTGTTCGTTTGCTCGTTTGTGCTCACAAGCCTCCGTGCTGTGAAAATACGTAGATAGATAGTTATGGCCGGTCGAGATATCTGTTAAACACCTTGTAGATATAGTTATGATGGAGAGCCGGAGGAAGACAAAGGCTTTAAATCTCTATGCAGCAGATTCTGCTCCTATCTCTTGGCCAGGACGTTGAAAGAATTATGATCCAAGTGAAGTGAAATGTGGTTGGTCGGTAAGCAGACAATAGAGGAGAAGAGCACACTCAAAACAGGGGATGAACATCTCGTCAGCACATGGCACTTATTACTTACCCTCGGTGTGCCGATAGCAGATAATCTACGCTAGCCCATGTCCATCTCGCATTCTATCCCGCAGTCGCTAATGATATTCGTAATACCTGCTGTACAGTGGCTAGGCCGATGCCCGTACTGTTGTGAGATACATTTTAGCGCCCAGTTACATAGCTAAGGCGTACTAAGACTTGGTTTCTGGCTTGCGAGCTACCCAAAAGCTCGCTTTATACACCATCTGGAGCATCGAGTCCTTGTCATGTATGTATGGCGCCTCAATGCCAGTCTCCCGCGAGACCACTTCGAACCCGGCAGAGGTCACTAATGCCATGACCTCGTCATCAGTGAGCTCGAAGCGACCAGGGTCAGCTATGCCACCAGTACTGTTATCGCTGTCGCTCTCGTCGTTGGAACGGTTAGTGAGGGTGTTTTCAAAGTGCCACAGCAGCGGACCCAAGTTCACTAAAATGCCGCCGGGCTTCAAACAGTGAAAGATTGCATCCAGGTACCGCAGCAAGTTCGGAGCAGTATCGAGGAAAAAGACGGTGGCAACCGCATCATAGGATACGGCATGGCTGTGGTCGTTGTAGAGGCACAGGAAATCTGCGGCAACCATAGACATGGTCCCTATCGTGCCCTGTAGCTGTGCGCGTGCTATCTCGGTCCCGCAGTGGATATCCGGAACTGCATATCCTCGCAGATGGTTTTCTCTAGTCAGGTGATTTGAGAAGGAATGGACCCAGGGGTAGATGGTGTGCTGGCCTGCGCCCTCACACGAGTTAAGTATGTACGACGAAGCCAGCAGTTGGTGGTATGAAATCTCGTTGCCCTCAACAGCAAATCCTTCAAGACACAACTCAAAAACGAGGCGGCCTAGTCCGGCACCGGGTATGAGGACTTTGAACGGGTTCTCAGACTTTGGCTCTCTAGACGCCTTCTCAGCAACTAGTGCACGTATGACTGGGCCGTAGCATGCATCTCGCTCCGAGGCGCCCTCAGCCGTCCAGTCACGGTAGAACTGCCGGACCGTGGTACGGGCTTTATCAATATCAGCGGCTTTAGCCCATCCAGACCAGTGAGGAGTAGTAGATGACTGTTGGCCAGGCTTTGATTGATGATCAGGGGGCAGCACCATAGGTTGCCCGGTCTTGACTATTGCGCGGCAAATCTCGGCGTTGGACTCAATGGCGGCGTCGACCTTATCCAATGTCTTGAGATAGTTGAATGGAGGCCCCGCCAGCATTTCCCACTGGTACCTGGGTAGGGCATAAAAGGCTTGTCTCCGCTGATGTGTGATTTGGAAGTGTGCCGACTTTGCATACTGCCTAGCCCAGGAGTTAGCAACAGGAAGCACGCTCGGGGCTTGCCAGGTATTCATTGTAGAACAGCTATTAAACCGAAAAGAAGCGAGACAGAACAAAGCATGGCTATGCCGACAAAGTGATAATGATGGAGGAAAGGTGCAGGAGCTGAAGGAGGTATGGTCGTGAGAGCTGGAGCACTGGGATGCCTGGCATATCAAGTGAACCAGCCATGAGAGATGACTCTGGTTTTCCATAATTTGCTTGCGCCGCAAGGGTCTGCGAGCGTTGCTAAACAAGTAGCCGCTTGAACTCTTCGTGTTTGGGAATGTTTTGAAGATTGTAAAGACCAAAGAGGCAAGCTGGACAAGTGGAGGCTGAAGCTTCGTATGAAGGAGGGGGGTAAGGAGGGGCGAGAGAGGAGGGCGATCGAGAACGGGAGTCACTGACAGAAACGAGTCCAGGGCACAGCAAATAACTTTGAGCTCCTCGGGATCTTCGGTCGCAGTCTTGATGCCTTCCCACATCGCCTCTTCATCTATTTCCGATTTCATTTTGGTAGGTAGACTCGGTAGGCTGCAAGGTGAAGCTGTGTTGAAGCTGGCAGAACTGAATCCAAGGTAAGGATTGAAGGCGATGTGTGGATGCACATCTCCACAGTCGGTAAGGCTAGTAGCGAGCTGTAATTACGAATACAGGGCGCGTGATTGTCATTGCTCAGGGGGTCGAAAGGTTGCGGAAAGCGCCCAAGCTGACCTGCGCCTGCCATGCCTAAGGTACCTAGGTAGGTATTCGTATGTACCTATCTTTACCCAAGCTTCCAAACATCAAGAGAAAAACCGAATCGTTGCAAAATTTTGGCAATGGGTAAGAATACCTACCTACCTAGGTATTTAATGTTCGGCAAGACTCAGTCCATAGAATGCCCGGCCAGGGCATGTAGTCCCCTCCTCGCTCGTGGGGTTTACATCAAATCCTTTTAACTGAGTTTCTGCTTGGCTTTTATTAGGCAGAGCTGTATGGGCCTTGCCCAAACGCTCGCGTGGTACGGTAACTTGGGCGCCGGATAAACTGCGGGGCTGGGCAGCACCAAGAGAGACCTGAAGGAAAGGAATGCCAGGACAGCGCTGGATGCCCGCCCGTACGAGGCTCAAATCTCATTACTTCAAGGACATGGATCTGTTTAACGCGACTAGGTGACTCCTAAAGCGACTCGACTTCACCATAATCATACAGCAGGACCAAACCTGAGTGGAAATTTAGCAATAATTTTGAGAACTTCTTGCGCAAATAAAAAAGAAAACAGACAATGGACGAGCTCACCCAATTGTCAATCCCCCTGCCGCGGTCGTTGGACACGCGCATCTATATCAGCTTAACGATCAAAGCAAAAGCCATCACCCTCTTTCTCACCACAGCCTCGGCTGACGAAGCTGGTACACCCACTCCGTTGGGCTCATTCGTTTTTGCTCTGCCTGATGTGCGTTTTTCCTTTTTTGTATCTGTAATTGCTCTGGTTTCATGACAACTAAATCTCAAGTGCAGAAATACAATCCAACACAGCCCTTGTCAACACCGCTTTGTACCGTGGAGCCAACACTTGAGCTCACGACACGGCTAGCCAAGATTGTAGCCAAGAAGACACAACTTCCTACGTACGTGGGCAACTCGATAAGCTTTGCCAACGCCGGCCTTGGGGCACCATGGAAGAGGAGATGGAGGCCTTCAAACAGGTGGCCCAAATTGTCCTGTCCAAGTTGCAACCCATCATCAAGGCCGTGGGCGCCGTTGGCCCTTAAGCAGTCGCCGCTCCGGTCCTTACGGATGCTGCTTGCTTCTCAACCGGATCTAAGTTCGGCCTCAAATTTTGAGGTCGGCGAACAGCGCCTAGTCCCGAGCGCGTCTTGTCTGATTACATGATACGTAGCTCCTGCGGCACTAGCGAGTTTGTCGCTCAACTCTGCTCTCTGCCCTCTGCTCTATTTGCAATACGCCCCATTGTGTGAGGGTAATAATAGGTGGCCTAGCTTTGATGGCGCAGCGGCTCAGTCAACAACAGGAGAACCCGAGCCGGAGGCCGTAACCGGAGACCGCCCAACGGCTTTGTGGACAGAACTTTTGTATATTCGGGGATTCTCTCGGCCGCCGAAACCTTGTGAAAGGGAGTCGGCTTTACCGTCGATAAACAAGGATATAGTAGTCTAAAGAGAGTCACCAGGCGGTGCCGAATTGCTTTCCTTGATATTCCAACCGGTGTGCTCCTGACAGGCAGTCGTCGCAGGCGGCAAGAAGGCCACATAGTTGTTATACAGTCAGTCAAGCTAAGTGAAGCGGAGATACGTTTATTCCTGCATCCCGAAAATCCAAGCATGGGTCTTACAGAAACGTTGTGTCATGTGCTGTTTGACGACACTTTGGTTGCGTACGTCCCAAACTGTCATTCGTTTTTGGGGGCTTTTTTGGGTTCCGACTTGTTTACCTGGGAATTCAGCTCTTTTCCATTTATTCCCTTCAATTTAATCTGCTGTTCAAGACCAAGTGCCTGGCGCCCGACCTCCTGAGCCGAAATGGGCGCTTTCTGGGTAGCAGCAACCGATCCTCGATGGTGGGGAGAATGATCCGAATCACTGAGCAACATCCGCTGGGGTGGATGGTATTGTCCTTTGCCTCATGGTTGGCCGGTTGGGCTTCAATGCTCCACTTGTTGTCAAATGCCCCACTATCCCGCTACGCTGCCATCGACCAGGCCCTCACCCACGACCCCTCCTCGCTTCAAGAACCTTGCGGCGCAAATTAGTAGCAAGAAAAGCCAACTCGACCGTTTGAAACACCCCACATTACCGACTTCACAACCTGATCAAGCCTCGACCGACAGCCAAAGCTCCAGAACCCCAAAGGTGAGCAACTGAAAAAGAGCCGTCTTATATTCCATAGGCCTGCGCTCCAAATTCACGAGCGCTGTCGTTCCTGTTCGTTCCCCGGCTTTCTCTCTCTTGTGCGACCAAGGGTTCCTCAAAGCCTGACGATCGAGGTAAAGCAAAGCTAACTGGGCCTACCCCCACTTCTTAGTCGACACGATATCCGACGACCATCGTCCACCAAAAGAAAGGCTTTGCGCCCTGTCGACCAGCACCTCTAGGTTCGCGTGGGTTTTTTCAACTGTAACAGACGGTCGCCGCGCTTGAGTTTGTCTCTGCGTCTTCACTGCATCAACGACGCCGAAGCAGCGATACTCGCCACCGCATTTACGATTCCCAGTCCTGCGGCTCGCACGTCGCTCGACCCCAGCCATGGACTGGCAACCCAACCAAGAGTCCTTGAAGACACTGGCGACGTGTCTCAAGGATTCTCTGAGTGGCTTTAACAAGGCTGCCCAGAAACAAGCCGAGATTGTAAGATGTGATGGTCCCGCGCCCCCGCGATCATGGGCTAACTCGTCTTTCCTGCAAAGATGCTCGGGCAAGCAAAGTCGTCGCCCGATATCAACAACTATCTGGCCTTTATATTCTCGAGCTCCACGCCGCCCCAGGACCTAGCGCTGACCGCCGCTGACTGGCATATTGTCCGCTCCGCAGCTGCCATCATGCTCAAGAACAATATCAAGACCAATTTCAAGCAGATTTCCGATCCCGGCCTCGCTCTTATCAAGCTGGCAGTCCCCCTAGGAATCCAGGACAAGAACTCGCAAGTTCGGAATTACGCGGGAAATATTGCAACAGAGCTCATCAACCGGGGAGGCCTGTTCAGCTGGCCCGAGCTACTGCCCGAGCTCCTGAAGATGCTCAGCAACGAGACGGGCCAGGTTTCAAACGAGGCTCAAGAGGGCGCCATGGCGGCGATGGCAAAGATTTGCGAAGACAACACGAAATTGTTGGAGAGGGAGCACAATGGCCAGCGACCCCTCAACTTCCTCCTGCCCAAGTTAATCGAGGCAACTAAAAGCCCCCTGCCCAAGGTCCGGGCACAGGCCCTGACAGCTATCAACGTTTTCACCCCCAGAAAATCGCAAGCTATGCTGAACTCCATCGATGACCTCCTGCAGCATTTGTTCTATCTTTCTGAGGACCCCGTAACCGATATTCGGCGCCAGGTCTGCCGCGCCTTTGTCCGTCTCGTAGAGACCCGCCCGGACAAACTTCTGCCCCATATCGGCGGGCTGGTGGACTACATAATCAACCAGCAGAAGAGCGAGGATGAGGAGCTTGCCTGTGAAGCTGCTGAATTCTGGCTGTCGGTCGGGGAACACGAGAACCTGTGGCAGGCGCTCCAGCCCTATGTGGAACAAATCATTCCTGTCCTGCTACAGTGCATGGTGTACAGCCCAGAGGATATTGCTCTTCTCGGAGGTGCATCCGACGATGAAGATGAAGAAGACAGAGAAGAGGATCTCAAACCCCAGTTTGCCAAGAAGAACCTGAAGCGTAATATTAACCAGGAGGCATCGGCGGATCCGGCTCAGAATGAGAACGCTTTCGAAAAGCTCGCAAACATGGATGCCGATCTGGAGGAAGGCGAGCTCGACTTGGAGGACGGCGGCGATGAGAACCCGGACGAGAAATGGACACTCCGAAAGTGCTCGGCTGCGGCACTCGACGTGTTCGCCAATGACTTCGGCGGTCCAGTATTCACGTCTATATTGCCTTACCTGCAGACAAACCTCAAGCACCAAGATTGGCCGCCCAGAGAAGCTGCCGTTCTTGCCCTCGGCGCTGTTGCTGAAGGCTGTATGGATGTGGTCGTTCCGCACCTACCGGAGCTCGTGCCGTATCTCATTAGCCTTCTTGAGGACCCGGAGCCGGTAGTTCGGCAGATCACCTGCTGGACGCTTGGCCGGTACTCAGCATGGGCAGCAAACCTGGCAGATCCGACAGAAAAGAATACTTTTTTCATGCCCTTGATGGACGGCATCCTCAGGAAAATGCTCGACAAGAACAAGAAAGTCCAAGAGGCGGGAGCTTCCGCGATGGCGAACCTAGAGGAGAAGGCGGGGAAGCACCTTGAGCCATTCTGCGGGCCCATCATTCAGCAATACGTTCAATGCTTTGCAAGGTACAAGGACCGAAATAGGTGGATTCTCTATGACTGCGTACAGACCTTGGCGGAGCACATCGGGCCCGTGCTAGCTCGGCCTGAGCTTTGCGGGGAGCTGATGCCTGCTCTGATCAACCGGTGGCGTCAAGTTACAGATCAGTCACGGGAGCTCTTCCCGCTTCTCGAGTGCTTGTCTTATGTGGCCATGGCCCTGGGCGACGCATTCTCTCCCTATGCAGAGCCCATCTTTGCGCGGTGCGTCAACATCATTCACCAGAACTTGGAGCAGTCTATAGCCGCGACCAACAACTCCAATTTCGATACGCCCGAGAAAGACTTCTTGGTGACTAGCCTGGATCTTCTGAGCGCCATCATCCAGGCTCTTGGCGAAGAGAAGGCACTTAAGTTGGTCAGCAGTAGCCAGCCTTCCTTCTTCGAGCTGTTGAGTTTCTGCATGGACGACCCTGCCGATGAGGTTCAGCAGTCTGCCTATGCTCTCCTTGGAGACTCCGCGAAGTACTGTTTTACCCAGCTAAAGCAGTTCCTACCCTCGATGATCCCTATTTTGCTCCGACGCCTGGATTTGGACCATATCCTGGACGAGGAGGTTGACAATGGGTTTGGCGTTGTCAACAACGCCTGCTGGAGCGCGGGCGAGATTGCCGTGCAATACAAGAAAGAGATGGCACCATATGCTATTGAGCTATTGAAGCTCCTCGTTGAAATCAACAGCAATCCACGGATTCCCAGGGGGGTTGTCGAGAACGCCGCTATCGCGCTAGGAAGGCTAGGAATCGATAACTACGAGGTACTCGCTCCGCATCTGCCAACGTTTGCTGAAGACTTTTTGAATGCGATGGAAGACATCGACCCATCTGAAGAGAAGGCTACCGCTTTCAAGGGGTTCAGCCTAGTTGTGGCCCAGAACCCACGGGCGATCGAAAATGTTCTTCTACAGTTCTTTGTCGCGATCGCGAGATACCGGGACCTGAAGTTGCGGACGCCGGTCAAGCAAGACCTGCACGACGTATTTCAGAACGTGAGTCACAACCTCCAATAATGTTATTCGGGACACTTTCGGTCCAATGCTAATATTCTTTGCCAGGTTCTCAACATATACCAGCAACTCATTCCCCAGTTCAATGAGTTTATTGGGCAGATGAAGCCCCATGATCGGGAAGCGCTGAAGATGCACTACGCCATATAGTGTCGTTTCAGCTTGAAATTGAAATCCAATGTCCTGGCTCTGACTCGGGCTACCGAGTTACGGTTCATCTTTGCACACTCCCGTAGATAGCTGTCCATTTTTGAAATCAATAATGACCTGTGCCTTGTTTAGAGGCTACCCACCACCTCCATACAACCAGCGACAGAAATGATGCCAACGGCAGGCGTCCCCTTCTCACGCATCGACTTTCTGCAAGTTCAACACCAGCCGAGCAAGCGGGCTCGTGAGGAAGTGACACTGAATGACGAAACTATTGCCACACCGTGCACCAAAATTTAAGGAAATCTTTTTTTCGGAGGAGAGGAGAGAGGGTGAACCAGGCTTGGCAGGGAGATCCTGATGGAGCCAACCCCGTTGTCCATCTATTCTACTGGTTATAAGCGAATTGATAGCGAGGGGAAATCCGGTTACATGGTTTGGCCCGCTGGTTGATAGAGGTGGTGTACAACCTGTGTTGAGTGGCCAAGCAACTGGGAATGAAGGCAATGCAACACACTGAAACTATGCAATGGGAGATCTACGGCCTCCGAAGGCCCGAGCTAAAGTGAATTAGAAAGCCCTATCACTCTGCAATAAACGTACTTAGGGAGAGTATGTATAGTAGTCTTGTATTTTTGCTCAAGGTGAGCCTGCTCATGGGAAGAATGTAAAGAAAGAAAATGAGATTTGTCAGAACCAAAAAGAGAAGTATCCCAGTCACATCACTTGAGATATAAAATACATATATTCGAGGAGAATAAAATTGGAAAATAATCGAGCAATAGCCAATTAAAGACGTGTCGTGGAGGATTCTGCGGCTCAACCAGCAACCCGGGGGGCATAAGGTTGTGCCTTATTTATTTATCAGTGGTACTAAACTTGGTCGAGTTTCTCCATTTTTGGTCTCGTCACCTATTTTCGACCTCTGAGAGAATATACAGCACCTTACATAACACCACCATTTCACATCAAGAAACACTCCAGCACGGCTTGAGAGCTTTGTCAGTGAATTCCTTCAACTCCTAGGCCTTGCTCTAAATGCCGTCAAGCTTGCCTGTCCTTCATATACGGCCGATCAAGACATATAGGTTATTCTAAACGATTCTAAGACAATCCTTTCTGTACCTTAGTTAGATTTATCACCACGTACATACCAAAATGAACACAGTTGAGCATTTACCGCAGTACAGCAAAAAGCCCAACAAGTGAACGGGACTACTCCGATAGAGTCATACCAGCCGACCCACGAACCTTATCACCACCACCATGCAAGATCAAAGCTTTCGCCCGGGGCACATAAAACGCATCAAATAAGACAATCCTTTATTATACTGACTCCCGGGGTATGACAGTCTCTAAGACCCTAGGTATCAGCCATAACGTATTCACAATCTCCTTGATAGGAGGCTGGGGCTGTTACTAGGGCCCTTGAGATTTTCTGAGAAAGCCTTGGAAGTCACAAGCAACAAACATGATGTGCACATAGGTGCCGAGTAGGGATTGTACTCAAGAGATGACGCAAAATTGTTTCGCCGCTACGAGATAACCAACATCAGAGTTGTTATGGCTGCTCCTTACAGACTCAGGTTCCACACAAATATCATTTACTTGCTACCTATTGTCGAACTAAAGTTAAGCATGGCACGACATGTAAAAGGGAGTCTGGTTGTCCTCGACGGCCTTTCTCCTAGATAAGTGGGTTCTGTTAGAGACTACGATACATACGACCATACCCAGTGAAGAATTCGGGATCCCGTCCGCTCTCCCCTTGACAAACCATTGAGGGCCAGATCAGTAGTTGGGTCGGTGACGACCAGCGAATCCCTGGTGTTGTATGTTTTTTGGGGGTTTCTTTTTTGGTTGGCATATAATTTTAAGGTTTTATTTACCTCTTTGTTTACCGCCCCCTGAACAGCTAACCTTAACCGTCGTGAAGTTACGTGAGTGATATAGCTTACACTTTAGTGACCATATCCCGCATTAGAATGTAAAACATTAGGAACAAGATGTACCGCGGTGTAATGCAATATTATCCAAGTGAATAACACTGGTGGACTCGTATCGCTAGGCATGTTCATTCGGGTTCTTTCTCCTCTTCTGGAGGCTAGAGCAGTTATTTTCGCTTTGTTTATTTTATTTCAAATCATTCTATGATGTCTCTCTAGACTGAAGAGGGCCTCTAATTACATGTCGAGAATGAAGTGTGGACATTGAAGGGGGTCCGTGGCGTGGGGTATTATATGGGGTGTTCCATCATGGAAACTCGGGTAAGGCCAGAAGTTTTACCCGCTGCCTGGCAAGAGGATCCACGAAATGCTTGAATATTCCACTTCACCCTGAGCGAACTACTAGTAATGCCACAAATTACCAATCAGCAAGAGAGTTTGACGGCCAACCGGTCAAGATTTCGCACTAGTCTTGGGTAGCTAACGTCTTCTCTCCGGTGTCGCGGCCCGCGCTCGGCTTTCTGGGCCCCTCCCCAGTGGGCAACGAGCATCTCCACACGCTTGTAATGAACCCACGACCAGAGTATCGCGAAAGAGAGGCTAGTAAGCCTCTTGTGTCGCATTCAAGTACGTTAGGCAGGGGCCAAGATGGTGGCTAGTAGACGCTCAGTTGGGGGAAACCATAGCAAAGCCCAAGAACCTCGTTATTAGCATAACTAAAGGAACCAAGCTATCTTCAATTGCCTTAGCTCTACGGGGAACGGATAGAGGTGCAATGAGCCCTTGCCGGGCTAATCTTCTGATAGAGTCCACTTTCCGGCCATGAGCTTCTTTCAACGCTCGGCACGGCCCCTCCAGTCTCGCACTAGCTGCCGAAAGCTACACTGCCCTCAGTACGTGCCTGCCGGGGTTCATGATTTGTAGCGAGCGGGACTATAGAAGAATGTCTAACGAAAGAGGCTTCGCGCCCTGAGCCTGAGGTAGATCTATGAGACTTCTCGGCCAACAGCCTAGTCTGTTTCAAAAAACGCACGTTAGAACTGTTGCTAGAGTCTTCCTGCCTCCTTGGACTTGGTTGGGCGCAAATAGACCAAATCAACGACATGATCATCTCATAGCATCAAAAAGATGAAGGGCCCAGGCTTCACCGCAACGCAACGTTGCCGTTCTGTTAGCAGTAGTAGCCAGGGCGGACGCCAACCGCCACCCGGGAAAGCGCCGAAAAGGAAGGACGAGGATAGAGCCAAGCCAAGTAGTAAGAAGTCTAAAGACGCCTAATCCGCCAGAGCGGTGAGCGTGTGGCTGTTCAAATGTGCGGCTTTCTGCACGTCAGGACGAACCGCGTTTGGGGGGAAGGAGGAGATCCGTAAGAGCCTAGATGGAACCAGTTAGAAAAGCAATGAGAAGGGAAAGCGACAAAAAGAAGGCGAGATAGAAACCACCCCCACACCACCCGGCCCGCCGGGACTCCATTCAAACTCAATCTGAGGTCTGCGCACCGCCTCAATCGCCGCCGGATGTGGACGTCTTGTTGCATCGTGCAGGGGAAAGTTGCCCTTTGGGAAGGAGAGAAGCCCAGTAGTGTCATGCTGCTCGGCGCAGCCCGAAGCCGCCCACAGACCACTTTTGACTGTCATGTGGACGGCGAACGTCTACTGGGCTGACTGGCTTTGGGTGACTGATTGGTGATGAAAGAAGACGTGAGATTGTGTCGTTGGCCACTCTACCCGTCTCTGGTTGCGGTTATGGTTGCGGTTCCGGCTGCTGATCCAAGTATCATCAAGCAAGATCAGAGTATCCGCTTGCGTATGCCGCATGAAGGATGATGGATAGGCATTTTCTTCTCGTCTTTACCAAATTAACGTGCTGGGCTCGCGGTCGAGAGCCCCCGGCACTTCGGGAGATACTACCGAGCAAGAACGACAAAAGCCGCCCCGAAACGGGGAAACCAGGACAGAAGTCGCTTGCACAGCCGAGATTTTGGGGGTGGCTGAGAGAGAAGGAAAAAGGTCCCTTGGTGAACACGAAGAAATTAAATCTATGCACTTTTTACTTTTTTGGCCGTCCGTAGTGGTCAGCGAATATGGGCCTCGTTGTGTATCTGCCAACACATATTGAACACAGAGCCAACCACCCGCACTTAGACGGCTAACCCCCTGCACACGCGCGCGTTTCGCCCTCTCGGAGTCTTGCAAGCGAAGCAAAGTTAAAAAGGCAGGTAACACAAGCCTCGGCAGCTACGGGACTTTGACGGGGCAATTCTTTTTAAACAGAATCGAGAAAGATGAAGTCTTTTATTATCATCATTTTTATTTTCTTGGTTTTTTTCGGTTTTTAGCCCTAAAATACCATGACAGAGACTAGGCAAAAACAATGAGACTACCCCCCCGTAAAGGAAAGCCACATATAGACGTGAACAGTTGTCAGGAGGCCGGCCAAAGGTCCGCGGAGATGCTCTCCTAAACCACGTTGAACAAGCGCGACCTGACGTTTCTAGCTGGTTACTAGACATATCTGCCCTTTTGAGCTTTGGACACGCGTTGTTGTGGCAAAATGCGCCTCACCAGAATAGAACAGTCCAACGGAGCAAAAAACAAGTGTTGACCGTTGCGTCAATTTCCGACGGCCATTCCCTTCTTTTTACCCCATCAGGCCAGCCAGCCAGCCAAACGTTGCCGAGGCGTTCACTAGAGCTATGCATCATGTATCCGTCTGCAGGAAGGCAATGCCGTTGAAGCACGATATGTATGCAGGACTGGAAACCGGAAATGAAAAAAAAAAAAGGAATTAACATTAGGTATCTGCCATCCCGGCTTTCATATTCATGCATTTTTTTTTTCGTCTGCTGTCGCTACCATCGCCGTCGCCATCGCCGCCCTTGTTCGTCGTCCCACTAGGGAACAGACAGACAGGTTAGACAGCCCTATTTTCAGAGCGCCGCCCCTACCACCCCGCATGTTACCTAACGGTGCCCAAGGGGCTGGGAATTCGGTTAGTATCCAATTAGGCCGGTTGACAGAAACCTTTTCTTTTTCCATTTTGCGAAAGCGCGCGTTACCAAGCGACACGAGCTCCAGTCGGCCCGGCCAAGTGGGAGCTCCCCCCCCAGGCCTTCAAGGACTGGATGACGGCGACCCATACCATGCCCCGGCCGGATCCCGTGTGGAAGGCACAACCTGCATGTATGGCCCTGTGGTGCCTGTGCCTTTACAGCATGTATGTGCCTGTGCATCGAGAAGAAGGGGCTAGAAAACTACACCGTAGCACACAGCCTACCTGCCCGCCTGCCTTACTGAGTAGGCAATGGAAGGCATGTACCGACCAAGCTTGAAGTTAATGCTGTGGCCCTGTCCGTTCCTTCTAGAAGACCACCAAAAGAAGGCGGCTCATTGCAGGCGATCGTTGTACGTCACGTTTGTAATCCTTTTTTCCCTCCTTTTTATTCATGTCCGATGCCGGGGGAGGACGCTGCGACCTGATTCCAAATTGCCGGGTCCCAAGGTTTGGGTCATGTTATCTATCCTCTGCTGTGACAAGAACAAGAAAAAAACACTCTCCACGAGACGTGTCCTGCCACAAATCGCACAGCACGTCACATGGCATGCATTCCATATCCCTAAAAATAGTTTGCACCTCCCTGGCTTATGTAAACGAAATGACCGACCCGGCTTTTGGGCGGCTCATAAGTGTATGTACCTATCCCCGAGCGGCCCGCGGGGACCTGCCTCACTCGCTGGCTGGTGAGGATCGCCTTATGGCTGTATGTATGGAGTAGATCGTCGTTGACAAGGGTGGATGAGGGGGGATCGCTGACGACGGAGATCTCTCTGACATGGAAGCGCACTGCGGTCCGAGGGATCCGGGGGGGCATTTTTGTCACGATTTATATCCCGATTTGTCTTTTTCGGTATAATTATTATTCATCCGGCCTCTGTTGTTGGTTCTCTTTTAGCCTTTTGCTTCTTCTATACGGTTGCTTCCATGCACCCCCGGTAAATGGGCTGTGTAAGTGTTGGAACTCGCCAACAAGCATTGACACGAAAAAGACGACAACAACAACAACAACAACATCAAACATACCTCGCTTGCTCGAGGTATCTGGCGCATAAAGGGGTCAAAACACATGACAGCTCTCTTTGACGGGTGAAGGAGTCCGGGGTAGGATAGGGCTATCACTTCTCACCTCAGATATGCTCCGGGCTTGTGTATATGGAACTAACCACTAACTGACTACACACACGTCCCCGCCGTTACGTGTTGCCTGTCTAGGTAGGTGGATAGGGGCATATAAGTCAGCCAAACTGCCGCTCGGCATATTTGGCGGCGGATGAGGGCGATGATGTAAGGCACTCCGTTCTTGGAGAAGAACTTGGGCGGACGGGCTAATAAGGATGTGATCCGAGAGACAAGAGCCTACAGTTGAGTTACCGAGGCAGTGTCTTTTTTGTTGACCGACTTACCTCTCTGGGCGAAGCCGTTTTTTCTTGAGTGCTTTACTTTACTTACTCCGTATTTCATTTTCATTTTCACTTTCCTTTGTGGACCGCTTGGAACCCGCCTGCATGCTTTAATGCTACCCCAGGTAGTTTGCACGTCCGACGTGGCAATTGGCTGGTATATCGTGGAGTGCCTCCGCCACATCAACTGCATCTGAGGTCTTTGTGGGGACTTGCCTGAATGACGATGCCGAGGAAGCAAAGGAAAGAAAGAAAACGAAAGAAAAGAAAGAAAGCAACGAGATGGACGCACTTGTTCAACCGCCGGTTTGTTGTGATATTACACAGAGACAAGAACACAGCCAGGGCTCTCGGACTGACTGACCAAGTAACCACATCGTCGGCATTTCAAGTGAAGAAAACACAGAACGCCCAAAAAGAAGGCACCAGCGGAAAGGAAGCCTTGCCTTGGGAGCGGGTAGCTGCAGAGGCTGGGATCGGAAGAATAGTTCAAGCACCTAGCCGTGCGCCGTGATGAGATCGGCCAAGAATCTCCAGCTCTGGTGCTTGGTGAAGCACGCGTTGGGGGCACCTCTGGGAGACGTAGATACATTAATTGCCTAGTGTATATACGTTTTTATATTATGTCTGTGTTCCATGCCTACTCACTACGAAAGCAAGCTGGCTAGAAAGCTTGGTGACACCCCGTCCAAGGGTTTCTATCCTCACCGCGATTTGGCGTCAGACGAGCTTTATTAAAGCAGGCAACTAGAACTAACGAAGCCCGGAGCATATAGTGAACGCCCTCTAATGCTGTGCTAGGGTTGCCATGCATATTCCGGGGATAGAGACGAGGGAAACTGAGAAAATGTATTGGAGAAGGCAACGCCCCTATTGTTTCGCCTCTCTTTCTGGGGATACAAAGCAGCCATCATAACCCTAGAACCCTAGAGAAAGACCATGGCCGGGAGAGATCATCCACGTACAGAAGATATCGGCGTTGATATGCTGTCCCGGTAGTGACCGTCGAGTAAACTTTGCTGTATGCGATCTCGGAGCATAGTGTTGCGGTGCGCATTGCGATGATGTGATAGTGGGGAGTGGGTAGTGGAGTGGAGGCAGAGCAGTGAGGTCGGAGAGACTTCAAGCCTTTTGTTTGGCTCTCGGATTCCATTAATATTGATCACATGGATCGTAATAGCAGTCCGAATTGGGAATAACAGAACACTCCTATAATTAGAACAAAGAGAAGTCTACTCGGGAGGGAGTGGCACCCGACTAAGGCGTGTAGGTCGTCCTAGGGAAACTAGTGTGGCGGTCCACTCTCGGAACCTAGGAGTTTAACCAAGTTCCCATGCCGCTCATCTTCTGTGTCCCACCATGGCATCTGTAGACAAAGTAACGAGCGAGGATCGGAAAGGGCTGAGGATTGGGCAACAGAGATGGAAGTGGATGGCAGGCCATGTCGTGGCCCAGATGGCGCTCTGGGCTGGGATTGCTAATCACGGAGACTTGGAAAGAGGGCCTTTCTCGAGGGGAGGGTGCTACACTGATTAGTGACTTCATCTGTGTGGTTGTATCAACTGCAGCACATGGTTGACTTTGGTCTGGTTGAATGTGTATTTGCACCAAGTTATTGAATACACAGTTCAGCTGCCGATGAACTTGTCCTAGAAGCATCTCACCGGTACTGAAGAGAGCTGTCCATAGTTCCAAAAAGGGCCACCTAGTTGCATACCAGGCGCTGTAGCAAGGGAGGAAGCCGGACTGTTGTGGTCCGATGCTGGAGCGGCCACGCGAGGTAGTACGCCTTAGAATGTCTGATGATGCGTAGCGCATTGGGCGGGAATATTCGTGGCTCACTCGCCAGGCACCTTGCGGGAGTTGGTCTACGGAGAGCTTTGCATAGAGCAGGTAAGGTAGCAAGGGTATGAAGGCGTGAAGGCGCCCATGTGAACCCAACCTAGCATTTTCTAGATTCCGAAAACGCGATCTGCTGCATGTCCAGCCGGATGCTCCTGTCCGCTGGTTGTCTGTCGCCCACGATAGGCGACAGTGCGAAGCGCGCAGCCCGTGTAGTACGTGCAGCTCGCGCGCGATGGATTCGGTCGATGGGGCGAGGGGCTCGGAGCAGTGGACGGCGACGGATGGGTGAAGCAGCTGTGGGGTGAGCACTCTGTGCAGGTGATGGCCATGACAGGACCTTTTCATCGGACCAATGCGCGCCTCCGCGACTCGGCCCATCGCTGGGCCATCGTCGACGCAGCGCTACCAGCAACAACCTCGGCTTGGTCGAATCTCGACTGTGACTGAACCCGCACATGTTTGCCCGGCCGTTCAGGGCCCACGATTCATCTAAACGTCTACCGCCTCGGCGAGGTGGAGATAGTAGCACATGGGCCTTGGTGATGACTTATGAGACGACGAACAGTGAAAGCTCGGCATGCTCTATAGACGATTGGCTGGTGACGTCGTCATCCCGAGAGTCTGGCACGGCGTGCTGTCCTTGCAGCAAACGGCGAAATGGGCTTACTCACCTAGGTACCTAGGAGTGTCGACCTTTCCATGTCTAGTTGTGGGCACTAGGCAGTGCAGCTGTTTGTAGTCTAAACCTGCTCCGGTGTAGACGGCCATGGGCATCGCTTTGCCGGAAGTCGCGGGCGGAGGGTGGAACGTTGTATTTGCGGGGCCTTGATGCGAGTCATGGCCAGCTTGCCTAAGAGTTCTTGGTCCGTCTCCGGAAGAGAAAAGCAAAGACCGCACTCATTCTCTCGGTTTGGATAGGCGGGAATTGCTCGGCCGAATATGTGTGGCAATGATGCTGGTTGTGCGTTTGCTAAAACTAATGAAGTCCAGTAATCCCAGGAAGCTAGTGCCAGGTGACGCTAGCATCTTAGGTAGTCCTGGCATAACCAGGGATGTGGTGGCCTGTCGACGGAAGGGAGAAGGTTAACTTTAAGAATAGAAACACGCTATCCCTAAAGAAGGCAGCCTGTAGAATGCTTGTGGAATGTGCGAATGTCGTCGGATGAGCAGCAGATAGGAACGTGGTGCCGTGACGTCCCGGGGAGTAACCCTGGGCCCGTCTCGGAATACCATGGTAGGGAAGACCTAGCGAATTCGCTCAGGCCGCAGGGCAGCCGATAAAACCTCTGTCCTCTTCAACCTCCCTCTCATTCTTTACAACTTATCCATCCCACACACACATGTACTGAGCCCTGCTGGGCACAGGAGAGCTCAGACCCTTTGAAATTATGAATGACCAGAGGCTGGAGAAAATGCTGGAGCCTGCCCACCTATCGGGCAGATTACAGAACGCCGCGAAAGCGCGTCAAGCGGGCTGGTGGGGCGCACCTTATAGAAGGTCCTGCTGTGCACAACACCAGCAAGCACCCCGGAGTCTGTCTTCGATGCGGCCTCCCATCCTCTTCCTATTGACTAATGTTTGCTTGCACTCGAACCAAATGACCGAGAATATCAGCTTGTCCCTTGTTTCAATCCAGGGGCAGGTGCTCTGGAGGAAACGCTGGTGACGGTGACGGTGACGGTGACGAGGAGAAAATTGCGGAAACCAGGAACAAAGAAAGAGGAGGAGGGGATGGAGAAATGATGCGGGCAGTGCAGGGGCATGAGACGGGAGGCAGGCGGCCAAAAATGGACACGAGAAACGGCTGTTTCATCCAACCAAACCCAGCAGTTGACAGATAAACCCCCGATCCACCTCGCAGCGTCGACCAGGGTCCTGCACGACACCGAGCACCGAGCACGGGTTTTGGAGACAACCCCAAATCCCCTGCCCATTCGGACGCGAGCACGGCTCGAAGGCCGGGGTCGAGGCGGGGCGGAGCTCCCATCCGACTGAGAGCCCTTCGGCCTATTTGCGGTCACGGTTTTCGTTCTTTGGTGAGCTTCATCTACCATACTTTACTACAGTTGGTGTCAATGACCGGTGAGGGTTTTTAATTATGGAGGTAAGTAAATGGCGACCATCAACTTTCATGTTCATTTTCGGCAGGATTTTCTTGTGAAAGTGGGGGTGAAAATAGCTCACTGTGGGTGTGGTGTGCACCGATTTTAAGCTCAGGGCTCCTCACCGTCTGTTTGGCGGTGGGATCGATGACATAATTCGAGGCCTACATGGATTATTGAAATGGAAGCCCTCTTTGGCCTGACCATGTCGACCTTAAAAACTCCGAGCCTCGAGAGTCAAGACCGGCGACGATAGATGCCGCAAGCCAGGCCAGAGTTTCCGCATGGGCCTGACTACCCGATGTGGCAACGGCCCGCTCCTAGCCAATTGCAATCCCACTCGATTTTGTTCCCGTTTCGTATCGCCTAGCGTTACTTTAGTACTGGTCTTGGTAGCTCTTCATTCTCACGGCCCAGGATATCAAAGGGACCCTGCCGGACGAGACTCCGGTTATCCCAGACCATGCTCCGTGCTCCGTACTCCGCAGGAGTTAGGTACTACTGGGCCAGACCCCGTTGGACACGCGAGCTGCTGCCTACCTACCTATACGGTCAACCTAGATATTAGGAAGATGTGTATTTATTTACCTACATGCGGCATGGCTGCCATGTGTGACGAAGACGGAAAAGAATCGTTGAAGTAGACAGCTGTCATGACATGCGACAAAATATCCCGCCGAGCCCCTCCGGCCCGTGGGCAGGAAGGCGGACTGCCGGTGGCCCATCCTTTAGACTTTGGAGCAGTGGAAGATGCAAAGAGGCGCCTCGGTGAGAGCCCTCAGACCATCATGTGTCAACAATGCACGGGGATACAGGCGAACAAATGAGGGCAAAGCACAAACAGTGTGCATACCGCTTGGCGATGGAACTGAGGATGCGTGCCACCACACCAAACCAAACCAATCAGCCACCCGCCTCGCTTCTCAGCGTCTTCAAAGGCCTCGGGCCTTCCACGAAGTCAGATGGGAGCTCTTAGCATAGTATACACTGCAGGAGTTGAAGGCCCCCAAGAGGCAAAATATCGAAATGCAACAGCGCCATCCCCGCCCCCTCCTGACAATCACAGAAGCATCCCACCAACTGTCGCCGCTTCAGGCAGTTAAATTACTAGATAAGGCTCAGAGTAATAAGCCGTCCTCGCCGTGCAGCAGCTGCGCCAACGCAGTACCCAAGAGGAATCTTATTCAATGCCTGGGGGAAGGATGGACGTCGACGTCACCGCTGTATATTTTGTGTGGGCCAATCGATGCTGATAAAAGCAGCAAGATCTAACCTCTATGGCCATGGGTAGGCGTTAACTACAAGCGAATATGCGAGTTGTTTGCCATTATCGAAACACTGGGAGAGCAGACAGAAACAGATGCACAGGGACAGGGACAAACGTGCAACCGCTCTTGTCACGGTCTGCTCGGAAATGTGGGTCTCGTCAGTCTCATGCAGGAAGGTGTCCCCGATCGCAGGTGTGGCCTTTTTTGTGGGCAGATAAAATCCGTAGATGGCAAAGGGGAGAGGTTGAGAATTGGAGGTTGATGGATCGTGGTCAGTCAGCAGCAGCCAACCGTGACCTTTTGCCCACCCGTCTATGGGCCAGCAGGGGAAGAGAGTGGAGGGGGGGCTCCGCCTCAATCGGTGTTCAGATGCATGGCGGCGCTAAACCAATACAGAACTAACCAGCCTCTTGCGCTTGGGATGAAGTGGTCATCCACGGCACGTTTCCTGCCGGCCCTGTTGCCAAGACCAACGGGCCTGCCAGTATTCCGTATAACACTCATCCGCATCCACCATCTCGCTTTGCAGACGAACCCACCAGAGACCCAGAGAACACAGGCTGTGTGAAAAGACACCATGGCCCAACCAAGAGCTTCTCGCGCGGCTGGGGCGGGTGGGAAATCGCGACGAAGCCCAGCGGGTCTGGCTTTGAAGGGCCGACGTCCAGTTAACGACCCTGCCTGAAGTACAGTACTAGCATCCGTCCGTACCCTCCTACCTTAGCTCCCGTTCTCCTATGTATAAGAGATCACGCCTCCTAGCCCCAAGGGTCCCTTTGTTTAGACAGCCCGAAGATACGTCCTCCATTTTGGCAAACTTGCCTTCCATACCAGCCTATCTACCTAAGGTAACCCACCTACCTAGCTAAGGTAAGATAGTCATGCTGGGGGGCCTTGTAGAAGCGGGAGGAAGCTGGTCTGAACGGTGCAAACAGAAGAGACCCAAGCACGTTCGCCCTAGGGGTGTAGAGAATGTACGGTCATGCTTTACGACGGCGTATATATGTATATACATGCCCACACCCAAAATCCGTCCATACGTCGGATTGGTTCGTCAGTCACCTCACAGGCGCTTTCAAGGCAGCTTAGCTGAGAGCACGCGCGTCAGCATGGAGAGACTGGCATGGCGCGGAGAACAGTAAGAACCCGATGGTCATACACGACGTCTCCCTTATAACGTGAGGTGCCTAAGCATGTAGTACCCTACCGTCCGTCGAAGTGCACGAGATCCTGCAAGTAGGTCGAAGCAAGACTCTCCAGCTCTACCTGCACTTGGGCTCCAGTCTCAAGGGTTTAATTCCCTAGGTAAAGTAGTGCAGAACTATTGCAGCGCTGTATACATTGCAAGGTGCGTACCTATGTATGTAATGCACACAACCTCAAGGCTAATGCCTGCCCTAGGCAGTACCTTAGTGTATTGGACCCGTACTGCCCCATACTATGTTACATGACCGGATGTGCCCAGCCTTAGGGGCTCTCTCGTCCCATGGAGACACCTTCCTTAGTCTCTAGCTTTATTTTGTGCGAGACCGGGCGGTGAACTCAGGTTGTTGACCTGACCCTCAATAGAATCGCCGACAGTGCACGGTAAAATGCACTTCTGCGGGTCTGTAACGTCCCCAGCTCAAGATGGCCTTTTGCTCGCGCCTCTACATTAGCGGCCCGCCACAATGCCACTCTTTACAGCGCATCTCTCCATTTGTCACTTCCCGTCAGGCCAAGCCCCGCTGTCCCAGGACGTTGGGCTCGCCGCCCTCTCACCGTCAGCGCGAAGAGAGGGGGGGAAGCTGGCGTCTTTCATTATTCTTTTTATCGCTAGTTCTAGCCTGAAGGGGAATAGGCTCTTCCCCTCCCCTCGTGGTGTTTGGTGGTGTCAGCACATGATGTTGCGTTTTGCAGGGTCTTGGCCTGCCTTCTTTCCGCATGGGGCAAAATCGAAGTGCCCTGGTTCGCCTCGTTGACAGCGACTGGTTGCTCCTGCCTGGCTGTGCGTTTTAGTGTGCAGAGTGCGATGTCTTGGGTGCTATTTAACATTGCAGCTCCCCCCCCCAACGGGGGTTTTCTCTTGATCTCCCAAATACATCATCATCGCCTGATTCAGCCCTGTAGCTGCTGCTGCTGCACCACTCACGTTCGCTTTTGCAACTCACCCAAGGAAGTCCTCGTCGACTCCTGTCATTCGCTTGTTTCTTTTTTTGTTTTTTTCTGTGTGTTTGGAGACTAGAGACAAAAACCAACACTCCTCCCCCCCGCCGAAGCCTTTGTATCACTCGCCGCTCGCTCCAGTGATATTCTATTAACATCCACATCTATCCGCCTTCCACCGGTTCAACCGAAGTAGATGTTCCACTACAAGGCCTAGATTACCGCCCCACACTCTCGTTTGAGTCTTTTAGTCTTTTTCCGACGCAGGAAAGTATATCACGATCGCTACTGTTGGGCAAGGGGACGGAGAAAGAGGGAAGATCGAGGAATCGAGAGAAGGAAGCTGTCACCGCCTGGGCATCCAAGTCGCATCCCAGAGTGCTTCCCCCAGGCTCACTTCACCGCCTTCTGGCCTTTGAGCTCTTGCCTAGAGCCCGGCCCGAGGTTTATCGTCAAGTTGACAGATTTTGTGCCCCCCGATATATATTGCCGGTCTTGAGCCAGGCCTCAGACGCCTCTCCCTGGCGCAACATACCACGTTCGCTACCTCTCAACGGAGTTCACTGTGACTCTATTTCACGTTAGCATCCTGACAACTTCCCAATTCTGACAATCTTGAGGCTTACGTGCTTTAGTTCTTTCGTTAATTACATTACCATTAATTCCAATGGCTGGTCCCGGTGGCGGTCCTCCACGCCGGAGGTGAGCACTACTAATCTAAGGTTCATGATGAGGCATAGCTAACTCTTCCTAGTCACACGAAGTCTCGGAAGGGATGCGAAACCTGGTAGGTTTGCCTGGCGATTAGGTCAAGAAATCCTTGGGTGGTTTTGAATCTAACTTGTCTACAGCAAGCGCCGCCATATCAGGTGTGACGAGAACTTCCCGCAGTGGTATGCGTCTCACTTGCCTATCCCCTTAAGCCCCATCGTTAACCTTTTTCTCAGCCGTAACTGTACGAAGCACAAGATCCGCTGCCCGTACAATGACATGCCTGTCACTGAAGACCGAGCCGGGTCCCCCGACAAGCCGGATCTCATGTGGACTCCCGAGATTGAGGCAACGATTGATCAGTGGCAACGTACCGGAATTTTCCCGTTTCCTAGCCTGAACATCTATCCAGCCCCGGCCCCTCAGAGCCTGACGGTTGAGGACCTGAGGTTGATTCATCATGTCGCCTCGATCAGCCATGAGATGATTGAGATTGGTGCCAATGGCTTCACCCTGTGGACCCGGCAGATTCCAACGTAAGGGTGTACTGGTATCTATTATTGCAATGTTTGGACAGGTTGCTAATTGGTGAACCAGGATTATCAAGATTGGTGCGACACACCAATACGTGCTCCATTCCCTGCTGGCCTTCTCTGCAATGCACATCGCTTTCCTCACCGACTGCCCATTGGTCGGCAACATTGCCTACGAGCATCGCGGTATTGCATTGAAGGGCCTCCAGGAAGCAATTGGCACTTTCTCGAAGGAATCTTCCGACGCTATCCTCGCCGCATCCCTCGTCCTCTCGTGGCAAGCTACAGATTGGTAAGCAATAAAATGCAACTAGCCGGGCCGCATCTGACTGGGGCTAACTTGGTTACAGGCGGAGCTGGACCCAGCTGATGCAAGGAACCTCATCGGTATGTCACGAGAACCCCTGACGGGAATGATTTTTCAGAGGCTAATGTGAACAAAGGTTATTGAGGCCATGGATCCTTGGAAGGACGAGTCTCAGTTTGGCGACTTCATTGCCGAGAGCAGCACGTTTCCGACCGCTCCCCCGTCGCCCGCGCCTGATCACAAACCCAGCCAGCCATCCAAGGAGGATCTCGATGCGTTCCAGCGAACCCTGCAGCAGTTGCAGAAGGTCGAGATACACCTCAAGCAGAACCGGGAAGACATAAAGTCTGTTGTTCAGTTGATCAGTTTCCTGAAGGGCGCTCGCAAAGTCAGCCCAACGTTATCGGTCGCCCAACAGTTCGAGCGCCTGCGACCTTTGCGCACGTGGCTATTCTGGTTGCCAGTCATGTACCTTCAGCAGACCCAGGGTTCTCCAAGCTCCTTGGTAATCATCGCCCACTACTATACGGTGGCTCTTCTAATGGAACGTCTCTTTCCTGAGATTGGCGCCGCATACTTCGGGAGCTTGACAATTGGCCCGGTGGAAGAGATTGCCCGTCGGCTTTTTTCGAATAACGTATCGGGTCAGCTAGAAGGAGATCTGCAGACGCCTCTCACTCTCATGGAGTTCCCGATTGATACCGTCAGCGAATTCCGCTCTCGCATGGGATGGGTCCGGCCCACTCGTACTCAGTCGTTCCCGCAGTTCGATCCGCCCAACTTCTACATGGATGGGGGGTCGCCCATGGCTATGCCACCAACGACGGCATCCGAGTATCTGCCTTACGGGGGCAATCTGGCTTTCAGCTACAGCACCGAGGATTTGTCGATCATGGCGTCGGAGGCTGGCCCAAACAGCGCCATCAGCCCGCTCCAGCTGTCATCGCCCTTCGCTCATCAGTATCTCAGCATTCCAAGCCCATCCTACGGAGGGTACAGCCCTGCTTCGAGCACCTTTGGCGACTTTGGCGAGGCATCCTCGATTGTTTACAGCGATGCTGAAGAGTTCGACGCGGGCTTTTCTGCCAACACATCTATGCTAGGCGGTGCCAATGCTTATGGAGTCGGGTTCGTTACTCCAACCCAGACCGTGTGGATCTAGATCTCTGGTCACCACACCGTCTGCCCGGCTTTCGAAAGAGGCAAACGTGATTGACCATGGCGACCAGGAAATCCTCGTTGCTAAGCAGAATCCCCGATCGCCATTCGATCGAGGATCCGAGTGCACTGCAGCCTTCGCTCTCAAATCCTGTTCCCTCGCCATTTTGGGGTCCTGACCATGCTTCTATGCTTCCCCACCCGGAATCGCCATTACCATCAATGGTCCTGCCGTCTGTTATGGGCTATCAACAAACGGAATGCAATGCCTCTGCGCCTCCGGCTGACCAAGATGAGGGAAAGACACCGATGGCTTAGCACGGCCATCTCATCTCAAATATCTGCTTTTTCGACCTTTGACGAATTTCCTTACCGCCTGCTTGCTGCTTTCTGAACTTTCGACACAGACGCAATTGTATCAGTCACTCCTTTGGACGGTCACATACTTCGACTCGGCGACAGCCCCTCCAGGCATTATTATGCTTGATACACTCCTTTATGACTGCGACGAACCCATCCTAATAACTTTTCCTATTACATCCACGCTCCTTTGTCCGGCAAACACGGATTTTGATACCCACTCATGACGCTCCTTTTAACAATACCCGGCTGGTTCCACAACAAACTATAGACATTCATTTTCTGGATCATTCGGATATATATACCCAACTGATAGACACTCCTTTGACGAACAACCCATGACGAAACTTTTCTCGGCATAGACACTCCTTACGGACGCGAATTTTGGATGATCACGATACCCAACTGCATAGCGACTGTTGTTTTTATTTGGCTTATTTTTGTTCTGTTTCATGTTTTTATTGGAAGGAGTCAATCTGGGTAAAAACGAGGGCTTTTTTTGTAATTTCTTTGTTTTCTTTGCTTTACGGTGTCCACTCGGTTGCATTGGGCGGCGTTGGCCTATCTTCAGCATTTTGAACTTATAGTTTCGCCATTTCTTTATCATATGAAGCCCATCTTTTGTGTCGAGGTCGGTTGGTCGCGACCTGACCTCGGCCACACAGTGGAAAGCGTTGTTGTCTATGAGCAAGGCAAGATTGCTCTGGATTTGGGCAAGATCAAAATGGACGAGAAGTGAATACGTAAGTGCCGGGCTTCTGTAGGGAGGGCACGTCGTTTGCTAGGATGTTGTCGATCTCGTTAACCTTGTCTTCTCTTGTGAAGAAGGGTATAGTAATGGGTGGACTCACAGTATAATCAAGCACGGCTAAGGATTTCTAATACTAATAATAATGAAATTCAACCCTGATTTTCTGATGCTTTGATAAGACATTGTTTGGTATTCCTCTGCTTGTGCGTGGTGTTGCAAGCGTCTCATACTCCCTCCGTGCAGAAGACTATTCGAAGTCGCAACGCGATTGCCGAACCACGATTGGTTAGAGAGTCTTGTTGGTCAATGTCTTCTATTTCGCGTAAAAAATTAGACGCCCGTTAAGGTATCTATCAAGTGACATGCAGGCGGAGCTGGGAATCCGTTTCTGGGCACATTCTACGTTTTACGGCAAGATGACTTATTTGAAAGAGGTTATCGCAAGCCGGTGGAGGTATACGAGATTCCTCGATGCGACGATGCGACGGCCCATCCCCATTTCAGCTCCCCTGCTTGGCGGTTACTTAGCTTCAGGTGATGGGGGCAGTGCGCGCGTCGCTGTGCGTATGGGGGGAAAGGGGGGCGGCTGTGTAGCTGTCTGTTATGAGATCAGTCCCGCAGCGAGGCGCGGTCACGTTCAGCTTTCGGGGGGGCATTAACTAGGTAGGTAGTTTTCTTCCCCCGTCCGTCCAAAACAAAATGATCCCAAGGTTTTCATCTGTCAATAATTTTCGTATCCCGGAGTTCATTGGGTATTTATTACACAAATGTAGTACGCGGCTAACTAAAATGGCTTCATTGTTGTCTTGATTGGAGAATCTAATCGTCAAATCCGTCAACTCTCAGCCGCCGGGTCTCTGCCCCATGCTTCGCCCGCTATCCGGCGCCCTTCATGGCGGCTAGGGCTGAGATGGTTCGAACAGACGGGCTGTGGGTTGGTAGTAGTCGTAGTGTATAGTGTGCGTACGCGTCTGTAGTTGGGTAGCAGTGTATTTGCTGTCCCAGAGCCAATAAGCCAGCTGAGGCATAAACAGATGGCGGCTGCATCCTGGTCCATACCATACTCGCAATGCGGCAGTACGTATGTGTCGTCCCGGATTAGTCCCAAAACTGCTGAAACACGGATTTCCTTCCCATCGATCAACCGCCATCTCACAGCTTCGCCTTCCCCGCCGACATGAGCTCACCCCGAGCCCACATGGCACCGCCATCGATTTCGACAGTGGCACCGTTGACGTGACCCCCGGCACGGCTTGTGAGGTAAATGACAACGCCGGCGATGTCGTCGGGCTGACCAAGGCGCAGCATAGGGTTCGTCTTTGCAATCTCGTCCACGCCGCCGGCCTCTTTGAGGAGCCCGATGGACATCTTGCTGGGAAAGAAGCCTGGGCAGATGCTATTGACAGTGATGTGCCGCGGCCCCAGCTCGACGGCCAGGTTGCGCCCAAGATGGATCACAGCTGCCTTGGATGCGCTGTAGCCGTATGTTCCGTTCTTGCCGAGCGTGCCTACGCTCAGCCCGGCCACACTCGCCGTGATTACTACCCGGCTTGGGTCGGCCACGCTGGCTCGAGACTCGAGCAAAGGGGCGAACTCGCGGATCACGTTGAACACTTTGTCCGCCCGTGGTGATTAGTTTATGTCTCGAAAGAAATCCACCTTTTAAAGTTGATATGTGTGGGTTCTTGTTTTTTCCGGCGAAAGGGGGAGAAGTTGCGGTAGACAATCAGACGGCTTGGGGTAATAATACCACAGCCCACAGGCACTACTAGAAAAGAAAAGAAAAGTACCATCGTTGAGAAGAAGGAAAGGGATACATACCACCTCGCACATTCAGGTCCATGACTTTTGCAAACGCGCTGTCCGGATGGGTATCAAAGTACTCGCCCCATGTGGCGCCAGCATTGGCGAGCAGGATGTCGACGTGCTTGGTATGCTTCCCCACCTCAGCGACGAGGTGCTTGACGCCGTCGAGGGTCGCGCTATCTGCGGGAACCGAGATGGCGCAGGCCCCGGGGGCTAAGTTGGGGAGCGCATTCAGGACCTTGCACGCAGCTTCGCAGGCGTTGGCCTTGCGGGACGAGATGAAGACCTTGCTGGCGCCGGCTTGGAGGAGGCTGCGACGGGAAGGGCCCGGGGTCAGCTAGAGAGCCCAGTCTATTCTTCCTTTTCTTGTTTATCTCTGCTCATCATACTCAAATGCCATAAGGCTGGGTAGTCACATAGCTTAAGGGCACGAGGAATAAGATGCTTACGCAGAAGCGGCGGTCAGCCCCAGGCCTCGAGAGCCGCCTGTAACGACGGCGACTTTGCCCTTCAGAGAGAATAGGGACGGGAAATCAGTGAGCTGCGCGTCAGCCATGGTAGATCACCAATAGCTAATTGAGCGGGCACGACGGGATAAAAATACTAGACGTGGTCGAAGTGATAAGTGACCAAGAACAGACGGGAAAAGGGGGGAGACAGACGTGTTTCTGGCAATGACATCAAGTTGCTGGCTGGTACTTTCCGTCCCCTTGGGAACTAAGCCAAGGATCCCCACGCTTTACATTCCTAGCGCACATCCCAACCTCTATGTACAATTTGCGGGGCAGCCGAGGTTCACCAAGGTGCTCACCACCACAGCTGCGGGGATACAAAACATGCCATATCCGGCCCCAAGAGACTTGGGTTCCGCTCATTTCGCGCTATATTATAAATAAACAGTACAGCCATCACAATCTTTCCAGACAACCCCGGGTTCGACCTCTGCCCTACTAACACATCTTAGAGTAAACCCGAAGTGGACTTCATCAAATCTTTTTGTAGTCATCCCTTGAGAATCCTAAGTAAAAACTCTTGAATGCAAGCCAGCTTCATACTCCCATGCTCGTACAAGTAGTTACAGTCTTGAAAAGGAGAAAAAAGAACGCTGTAATACGGAGAATTTCCGAAACCAAGCCTGCGATAACCGCCTGCAGATAGATAAGATGTACAAAGGCGTTTCAAGACAACCGTAAAGCAACAGGCGCCTAGATCTGAACCAAGGGCTGTTCTTCTGGAAACCTGTTTCGGACCTCTGGGATTCTACCTCGATCTTGCTCGTTTTCCTGACCAGTGCCGGCTTCTTGTAGCCCGTTCTGCGAGGCGGTTGCCTCTGCAGCGGCAGTGGCGGCGGCGGCGGCGGCGGCGGCAGCTTCCTCTGCCTCTCTCCGCTCTCGTTCCGCGCGTTCTTGGGCCTCGAGGTTGGCTATATGGCGCTCCGCAACACCGGGCGCAATGCTCGCTAGAAACAAAAGGCCTGCCCTCTCAACACGCCGCACCTGGTCCATTAGCCAATTCGTGTTTGCATGTCTATGGTTAGCTACTAATCTGGCGGCTGCTTGGGCGGGGTCCGGATCTGCCGCATGAGGTGTCGTGGCTGGAACTGCAGCCACACCATCTCCATCCCGAAGAGGACCCGGGGCCGGCGCTGATGTAGGGTCCGGCCGCCGATTAGGATCAGCCAAAGGAATCAATCCTTCTAGATGCTGCCTAAACGGCTCCCATGCTTGATTTACCATCCCGTTGAGCAGTCCCGTGTTCAGCACGAAGACGCCAATGGCGATGGCCACCATTGTAAGCCAGCGAGACCAGCTCGGGTCATTAGACGTAAACCACCAGACAAAGACAACCAACCTAACGATCAGCCAGATGTGAGGCCACGCCGCCGCCATTAGCGCCCCAGCGCCAGGGTTGTTAGGATGTGCCGGCATCTGTCGAAATCCTGGTGGCAGACCTCGTTGGAGGCGAACAGCTGCGCGATGTTCTCGAGCCTGCTGCATCTGGCCGTGTGCTTGCAAAGGTCTTTGGATAGGATTCTGCTGGGGCTGTGGATGGTGATGGTGTTGGGGTTGGTGCTGGTGCTGGTGCTGGTGCTGGTGCTGGTGCTGGTGCTGGGGTTGCGGCTGATGTATCTGCACCTGAGCGGGCCAGGGCTGTACGACCGGTGGCGTTACCCTCACCGGAAGATATGGGAGACGTAATGCGGGTGTTGTATAAATCTCTGAGGGGCCGTTGATCAGAAGACCCCTTGGGCCGGACGGAGATGAGATGATATATACTTCTGGCTGGCCTTGGGACGGCTGGGAGTGCGCTTGGCTCTGGCTTTGTGTAAAGGTAGCGGGCATGAAGCCGGGTCCATGACCTATTGATCTCACCGAAGGGTCGGGGGTAGCGGTCCTGCTCGCATGCCTCGAAATGTTGGGATAGAGTGGTGTTGTAACCCCGGGTTGGATAGGCTGGATCGGGCCATTGATATTAGCCAGGCTAGCCATACTCGCCAAGGAGGCTCCCGAGGCACTACGGTGCATGGCATCGGTCATGCTTTGCGTAGCCTGTGTCGCGTCTGCCCCGCGAATGATGTTCTGAACATCTGAGGCAGAAAGGGGTCCACGCCCAGCAGGATTGGATGTTGGTCCGCTTACGGCCTGAAAATGGTTGCTATGGGGACCGGCAAAGGTTTCGTTTACCGTCACTCTAAAGTGTTGGCCATTCGGACTAACAAGCTCGCGTGTAGTTGTTTGCATTGTTGGCACTGTAGCAGGGCTGTTTCTCCCTCCGGTGTAGTCGGCGGCATTTCCTTGGGCGTTGTTGTCCTGAGCATCGGGGAAACCCATCGCCGCCCTTTCCCTCCGTTGCTGAGCAAGAATCTGGATCCGGTAGTTAGATTCGCGTTGCAGCTGGTTCATCCACTGAACCATGGTCTGATGGTGCTGTTGCTGGTATTGCTGGTGTTGCTGAATCACGTGCGCCATTCCAGGCGGGGCAGCATATCCAGGAGGAACGGCATACCCAGGAGGAGCAGCATATCCTGGCATCTGGTTCGGCCAGCCTGGGGTCCCGCTACGGAGATTGTGTGCTCGGTGATGCTGATGGGTATGGGTTGGAGGCAATCTAGGCGCAGGGCTCTGGTCGCGGGTGGGCGTTGGCTGCGTGGGGGCATGAATAGGTGCTGCTGGAGAGGGGCTTTGTGTTGGTGCAGGGGAGTTGTCGGCACCTGTGTCTCTCAGCACCAAATGGAGGGTTTGGTGATCGCCAGTGCGGAGCTATCGTAGACCTGGTTAGCAAGTTGTCGGCTGTTGCCATGGCTTGAGTGTGATGCAAAAGGACACACCATTTCCAACCCAAACACGTCTTGTAGGGTGTCGGCTTCGCGCGCGAGTAGCCTCCCCCTGTGAATCAAACGTTGGTGTTCATCCGCTGGCCGCGATGGCAGCATTTCGCGGATCTTCTCTTTCAACTGGCGCACTGTAGTCGTTGCTGGGACGCCGGAGAAGCTGAGGGTGCCGACACCAACCGAAGGCGACATGATCTGAAGATTAACCAAGGGCGATTCCGCTTGGGCGGATGATTGCGCAACCGTCACCTCGTTTTCGACCATCTTGAACAGCTGCACACAGAGTCAGAGGCGCGATTAGTTGATGGTGTCGGAGGCCTGCAGTTTGCGCTCTGCGATGTTGAACAGCCTTGTGCCTTTTCAAAGATGACGGAGATGGCGCATGCCTAGGGGAGAGAGACCTATGGCTCCCAAACGGAACCTGCTAGTGTAGAAGGGGAGGTAGGTGCTTCGGAAAATGTGCTAAAACACGTGTGTCGTCCGTGGCAAAGACGTGATGGACGGGATCGGGATTCGTGTTAATTCAGAAAGGTCGGGCCAGATGGGATGCTGTTTCCGACGCTCCTTTGGTCAGCCTCCAAAATTCCACGTTGTCATTCAGAACGCGGCAGAGTATAGTAGGGGTAGTACATCCGTACAACCTACAAGAGGTACCTTACACCATTTACAGGGGTCCTTCCCAGGTTCGGACTGCCGAGATGGCAGGTATCTATAAGAATTGGAATACGGATAATAGCATTCAGAAAACTTAATGCTAATTTTCTTCAAAGTCCCTCTGAGCTCGCCATTTGAACTAGGAAATTAGAAGCAGAAATCTTTAACAGGCCGTAGCTAAGATTGTTACGGAGTACTCCATACCTATAGGTGTCTAAACCCCAGTATCCCAGGGGTTTGGGCGGACTGCAGGCGCCGTTCCGTGATTGGCTGGCAGCTCTCCCACCTCCCTCAGGCGACTGGCGGAAAACTGCGTCATAAGAAGCCAAATCTTTGATCTTATCGGCTGAGTAGTTACGGAACAGCACCGCAATTTGCGCGCCCTTCCCTCTCCCCTTACATTTTATCGCATTTTATACCCGTATCTCGTCTCCAGGGGAGGGTTCTACGCGCTTTTCCTGCCTCTAAACGTAATGACGCGAGTCTACTCCTAAACTGAACTCTGTTTTCCGCCCTCGATCCGACAGCTCTGCACGAGAAAGAGCAACATCCCCTCCCCCCAAAACACCATGGCTTCATTGCAGATCAGCGCTGTCTCGAGCAGAGGCACATTTTCGCACTTGGCAATCAAACAGCGGTCACCAATATGCGCATGCCAGTACAAATATCTTGCGTCACAACGCTGGCGTCCGGCGCAGCGCTCGTTCGGCCAACGTGATTTCTCCCAGAAATCACAGAGCCGACCGAAGACATCGTCCGGGCCGCAGAACGACAATTTCCATTGGTATCCGATACCCGTGGGCTTGGGTGTCGCCTTTCTGGGCTTGGTGCAATTCTATAAGGTTTCTACCCGAGAGCAGGAGAAGGAGGTGGCAGAGAATGGGAAGATAGAACCGCAACCCAAGAAGAGGCCGCGCATTCGGCCGGATGGTCCTTGGTATGTGCCTATTATCCTCTCTAATCCTATCAATTGCACATGTTGTTGACGCATACGTTCAGGCAGGTCCAGGTCATGTCCACGCTGCCACTGAAGGCTATTTCCCGAATATGGGGCAAATTTAACGAATTGGTTATTCCCTACTATCTCAGAGTTCCTGGGTTCCGGTTGTATTCGTTTATCTTTGGGGTCAAGTATGTCGGTTGAATCTTATAGTGCTTGGTTTGTTTGCTTATTTGGTATTAGCTTGGACGAGATCGAAGAAACCGACCTTCATAAATTCCCGAACTTGGCAGCCTTTTTCTACCGAACGCTTAAGCCGGGTGTGCGTCCACTGGACCCCAACCCAAATGCGCTAATATCTCCCGCCGATGGGCGTGTCTTACAGTTCGGTCAAATAGAAGGAGGCGACATCGAGCAAGTCAAGGGCATGACGTACACCGTCGAGGCGCTGCTTGGCCAACGTAGCCCGACGCCCAGCATCTCGAGCCAGAGCCGTCCAGAAAAGGGAAATCCTGTGACTGTGGAGCGAGAGCTTGGGGGGGATGAGGAGTTGGTGAGGAAGGACGAAGAGTTTGCGCGCGTTAATGGCATCTCATACACCCTTCCGGACTTGCTCTCTGGCACTAAAAAATCCAGCAAGCTCGACACGCCGAAGGATGAGTCGATGACCCCGTCTGCCGCCGCCGTGTCCGAAGTCTCCGCGGAACTCGCGCTTGGCGAAAAGCCGTGGTACACCCTCATGTCTGACGACAACCGCACATCGCTGTACTACGCCGTCATCTATCTAGCCCCTGGCGACTACCACCGTTTCCACTCGCCCACGAACTGGGTTGTGGAGCGCCGCCGTCACTTTGCCGGAGAGCTTTACAGCGTCTCGCCCTATCTGCAGCGTACGCTACCCGGCCTCTTCACTTTGAATGAGCGCATTGTGCTGCTTGGGCGCTGGCGGTGGGGCTTCTTTAGTTACGTGCCCGTTGGCGCTACCAACGTTGGCTCTATAAAAATCAACTTCGATCGAGAGCTGCGGACAAACAGCCTGACAACGGATACGGCAGCCGACCGTGCGGCCGAAGATGCAGCCCAACGAGGGGAACCCTATTTAGGATATGCGGAGGCAACGTATGAGTCCTCTAGTGCCGTATTGGGTGGTCATGCACTCCAGCGAGGTGAGGAGATGGGTGGCTTCCAGTTGGGTAGCACCATTGTGCTGGTCTTTGAGGCACCCGCTGCCGAGTATGACGAGTTGGGCCAGATCCGAAAGGGTTGGTCATGGAACGTCGTCAAGGGCCAGAAGCTCAAGGTTGGGCAAATGGTTGGCCGTGTCGAGTCCTAAACATCACTTGCCAGGTGTTGTTGTTCTCCGATACCACTTGTTGATTTTACTGTCATATATGTATACTTAAGTTGACTCCTAGGTGTTTGATATAGATGTAAGCACTCCTTGTTTAAATTAAGCTTTGTATTTGCAACAGCACCGCCATCAATGTCAGTGTCATGCCTTCACCAGTGCCGTATATATCTTGGCGTGGGAAAAATTAAAAACAAGACCCGTTTATGTCTCTATGTGGATATATGCCAATGCTACACGAGAAAACGCCTCCCAATGCAAGCTCCCGTGAAGAGATCTCAACGTGAAGCAGAAAGGAGAAAAACAAGAGACCTTACCCATCTAGCCACCTTTTTAACACCCATATTTTGATCGCTAGCTTTTCCTCTGTCCTTTTGGTGGCTTCCTAGGCTTTTGGGCTTCCTTTAAACCCCAAACACCTTGTACTTCTCCTCGAGAGGCGCAAACGTCTTCTCTCCAGGCTCGCCCGCTCTGCCGCCAAACACAAGCTGGGCGTTTAGCTTCCAAGAAGCCGGCAGCTTCCACTCCTCGGTGACCTTGGCGTCGACGATGGGGTTGTAGTGCTGCAGGTTGGCTCCGAGACCCTCGGCCTCAAGCGCCACCCACAGGATGTACTCGAGCATGCCAGCGCTCTGCGCAGCCCACGGGGGGAATCTGTTTTCGCGGGGGAGATGAACATCAGTATTAATGTTTCGTGATGCATAAGTGGTGATATGGCAGTAACATGTTATGAAATCATTTCTTACCTGTCGGCGTAGGGCGGGAACTTGGCCTGCATAACCTCGACGGCTGACATATCTTCGAAGAACATAATCTAGGAACTCGCAGAACCGGTGTTAACAAAGATACTTCAAGAAGAAACAACACCTCACAATCTGCCAGCCTGAGAGCCAGAGGAGAAGAGAAGGTGACGGGGGGTAGGTGGGCGGCGAATAGGAGACAACATACGGTTCCCGCAGCGGCCTTAAACATGGCAAGCCTGGTTGCAGTGGCCTCAAAGCGGTCCTCCGGAAGCATGCCCTTCAGGACATCGTGGGTTATCTCCCAGAATTTGTTGTGATCATTATTGAAAAGCACTACCACGCGGTTGCTCTGGGAATTGTAACTGCTGGGGACGTGTTGCAGAGCCTCCTTGACGATCTCCTGGACATGGTCTTCGGTGATGGTCAGATCCTTGTTCAGCGCGTAGATGGTGCGGCGGTTCTTGATAAGGTCCAAGACCGTGTTAGCGCTCAGGTTGGACGACATGGTGGCTGTTGTCGTTGAGTATCGCTGTTGCTGATTTGCGACAAGGGAGGAAGGTGATGGAGAAGAGGTTGCGCTTCGAAGGGGCGAGGAAGTTACTCTGGCGGTTGCTAGTTTAAGTAGTCTTTGCATAGCACACTGGGCGAAGCCACAAGATTACCCTGTTGAGAAGTGGATGAGACTGAAGTGGAGGGAGAGGCCAAGTGGGTAGATTATCTGCCTAGTATATAATAATCAACACCGTGTTATCTCCATCTCGCAATTTCGACACAGGGACGGCACTACAGATCTTGGGGACGGCACTTGCTGGCGCGCGTCCGCTCGGAATTGGGCGACGAGAATGCGGCGCTTTCGGAGTTGGTCGCGACAATCCCATGTCAGAAAATCTAACCAGCTTTGTCAACCAGGACAGGCCTGACTCAAGTTTTTCTGGGCGAGATATGTAAGCCAGTGCCCATATGAATAAGGAAATGACCAATCGGTAGACAGCATGCGTCCAGAATAGGTAGGGAAACCTTCTGTCCCTGGGTGAAAAGCCCACAACCGACAAAAAGCGTTTGTCAGATGCGCTGTAATTCTCCACGTGGGAGCGTCAACCCTTGCCTTCCCGCGCGGTAACATACAGGGGTCGTGGTCCTCGAGGATATCGACGGCGGCAAGATGGGTCGAAACCCGGCGCGCCGCCAGCTTCTGTGCAATTCGATGGAATTTAGTTCAGAGACAACTCAAGTCAATGTCACTTAATTCCTAGAACTCCGCCGCCGTTATTATTTTTAATGCCGGGAAAAGATCCAATGGATGTGGATGTGTAGGAGAGCGAGCGGGGCAGGATGTCGCTGGGAGCTGCGGAACCCCCCGACCTATCCGCCTACTGGCTGGGAGCGCAGTTACCTTACTCAGTATCAGACTATCAGTATGCAAGAAGCTTAGTAGGGAAGGGAAGCAAGGGAGGTAAGTCAGAGAGCTTGCCTAATCACGGATACCAGTATCGGCAGTGGTTGCTATCGTTTCAACTACATAATTCCGATGTATTGCGTTATGGCTCTCATGATGGGCGATTGTCAGGCTTCTTCGTCTGGAATTGACATGGGGTTTGCGGAATACCGTCGGTACCGTAGTCAGAGGCTCGCCTCCTTTCCCGTTCAGGACCGACATGTATAATAAAGGACCATCGCAAAAGGTCAAAAGCGACGGTCGAGGAAAATGGTAAAGTAGTATCAATGCATGTTACAAGGTCGAAAAACTCGATCTCCGAAATGCGATATATACCCTTTTGCTCTGAAACTATCTACGCCTACACCAGTCAAACCGAAAGGAATACCAAAACCACCTGCCACAGATGTCAAAAATATGTGCTAGGAAATAAAGCCAAAATATTTGACTGCGCCTGTCTAATGCGCTGCCAGAACCAATGCCGTAAAAAGCCAGAAACGCCCATTCACGCCGAAAGTGCTTGCGCCTGTTGAAACACCATCTAGTGATCTTCCCTGTCCGTCCTAAACCTTCAGAATCCCAGCCCATTGTAACTGAGATATAGGGCCCCTGTAGATATGATCGAAACCCCAGAATAAGTCATCCTTTTTTCCATGACCGATAAAGACTACCATGTTTCAGCGATGTACTGCCCAGCTTCTTTCTTAAGGTCCCAAAATTGCTTGGCCTCGTCGTGCTCTAGGTTGCCTTTGTCCATTGCAACCTCAATCAGGGCTTTCTCGACACCCTCGCCCATGCCCCTGGTGCTGCCACAAACGAAAACGCGCCCGTCAACGGAATTAATGATGTACCAGACAAGGTCAGCTTGGTGCTTGACTTCTTCCTGGACGTAGCGACCCTCACCACGTCGACTCTGGACAACCTTCTTCACTTCATCCTCATGCACGCCCCATTCGCCGCTGTACAGCTCGTCGACAAGCGAATCGCGGATACCCTGAAGAACCCAGACCTTATTTGCACAGTTCGCTGTCTTGAGACGGCGTTGAACAAAGCCTCGGAAAGGCGCGATGCCGACTCCGGCTCCAATCAGGAGCATGGGCCCGTCCGACACAAACTGTTTGGCAAGGGGGTTGGCCATCAAGCCCTTGAACACGGGAATATAGATCTCAATATCCTTTTCGCCCCTTTTCTGGGCTTCCAGAAACTTGAGAGCCTGTCGTTGGAAGAAGCCCGACCCAACACCTGGACGCCTGCCTGACCGCCAGTCAGCCGCCTCATGAACAGTGACAGCTATCTCAATCAAGCGGTGTCGCTTGCCGTCGCGTGTCAAAAACGACTCGTGGGGATCGTTCGACAGAGAGTAGAAGCGCGGCATTAGGGTCTGTAGGAATGAGAGAACAAAATCCAGAGGCGGCTTGGCGCTGGGAAAGGCATTTAGAATCTGGATAAGAGAAACGTGTGGGCCCGTCCTGAAGTCGCAGAAGACGCCCTGCCCCTCAGCTGAGCATAGGTACAGTAAAATCTTGCGCTCAATCTTGTCGGTTGCGTATTCGGCGAGGACGCGGAGAAGCTGCTTCGTTGGTGGGTATGACTGAAAGTCGGAGCACCAGGTCAATAAATCCCGGCGTGTCGTAACCAGTTCTCGGGCTTGATCACTGCCCCAAACGGTAGGCCATCTTCCTGTTGTTGTCCGCAGTAGCACGGGTTTGTCGCGTAGGAAACGGGGTATAAGGAGGAGATCGAGGACCTCATCAACTGCTGAAGCCTCGTTGGGTGCCGATACGCCAATTGCTCCGCCAACCTTGAAGTCGGTATCTTCGCCCTCGGGGTAGCCAGTGACATCCAGATCAAAGTGGAATGTACGCTTCTCGGCGCCTTGTCCTGTCAGCTCGCGTGTGTTGTGGATGCGGGCAGGGAAGACGTGATGCGGCGGGTGCGGTTGGACAAAGGATGGCGGCTGTATTTCTGTGTCGAGATCCTCCATGCTCAGGCCCTGCATCGTCTTCTCGATGTCGGAGACAATGCGTATGTTGCGATCCGCATTGGTAGGTGACTCGTTTGGAGACGGCGGGTTGGACGGTCGCCGCAGGGGTTGTAGGAATACGGTTTGTTCCGGTAGATCGCAGAAGTTGCTCAAGGCAGTCGGGATTTGGTCAATCTTGAGCAGCAGCGATCTGTATGCGTCATTGTCGGGAAACTCGATGTCCTCGTACTGAGTGCCATCATTTTTGGAACCCAGGCTGAGGCAGCAGCCACCACCGCAGCACCTTCTAATCAGTTGCGTTGTGGTCTCGCCCGTGATGCGCTGCACGTCAGCCGGGCTTTGCGCGATCAATCGCGTTGATGCGCGGCGAGGCCGGGGCTCTTTTTGGCGGGGTTCTTCAATTTCTATCTCGTCGGCCGACTCCGAATATGTAAGCGACGGGGCGGCTGACGGCGCTGAGCGAGGCTCTTCGGGTACGCTCCCTGCCGTCTTCAAGACAAGCAAGCGGTCAAGCTGCGAGACCATTGTATCGTTGTGAGGTGTGCTCTATTTTGCGAAGAGTGGCGGGGTAAAGATGAGGAAGTAGAGCAGCCGGCAGCGAGATAAGGAAAAGCTGGTAGATGTCAACGGTAATGTCGAAGGAGAAAAGTGGCGGGTGTGCTATAGATGCATGGCCGAATTTAACAAGGAACCGGCTTTCGTCGAGACGCGAACCGAGGCTCAGGGTCTGCAGAAAACGGATATGCTGATGTAGAGATATGGGAACTGTAAGCTGTTCAAAGTTATAGGCAAACCACAACGGAATTTGATGGGCTCAAAGTTGAGCTGGTTAGGCAGAGAGAAAGGGAGAATCCTCAGGGCCACAGATGGGAAATTGGTGATCTTTAACTAATCCCTTGTCATCGGGCTGGACTTTCGAGGTCAGCGATTCGGACGCGGCAGAGGGTGGGCGATGCACAGTGCGTAGAACCCAGGGGAAGGACCCGCCCGACAAGGGCTGCCGCCGTTTTACCGCCTGCTGCAGATCGGGCGGGGCAAAAAAAAGGAAGGGCATCTCCTCCGTCCGTATGGACACACCAACCCACCAGCAACAGACTTAATTCAAGACTAAAATAAATACTGTAACATAGATTCCATAAAGCCCGATACTTCTCTATGCTTAGTTACCCACATGATATCTCAGCCTGTCTCATTAAATGCGCATGTTCTTTTTCCTAAACTGCCATCCAGCCTCAGTTGGCTTAGGTCCATTCTCTCATCAGCAGTCAGGGTCAAATGACCAGAAACGACAAATTTCAGTGCACAATGTGGTGATGTATGGTGCACTGAGTATGAGAGCCTTGCGCTTCGTAGCTTGCGGTGTTACTTCCTGGAATTACCGGTCAATTACTGGGGATGTAAACTAGCTATCAGGCCAGTATCAAATAAGTATGGGAAGACCTCAGCCGAGGGCAATTTTATGTGGTGCCATCTTCGGTCTATTTGCGTTTCTCCTCCCCAGCAGAGTCAGTTAAATGTGTGAGAGAATACGCAAAGTTCTTTGCCCAGTCACAAAACAATCGGCCGATCTAGAACAAAACCGGCAGCTTGGAGAAACATTCTGGTCTTGCGACGATGGGACCAAACAATGGCAATGTCACTATACAATACATAGAGCAGCCCACAACACCCAAAGTACCGGCACCCGGGAACATCGCGGCCATGCCAAAAGACTCTGAACGTCATGGTGAGACCACATTGTCAAGTGGCATTAAAGTCAGCCTAATTCGCCGAGGTCAATTAAGTCAGTCAGCGAATGTATGTTGCATATGGGTGACTGCTGCTGAGCAACTGCGAAAGACGAGATGCTCAATTGGGAACCTGCCCTTCAACGAGAGATGAACAAATCCTCCGAACTCGGCACCCATTTCTTCTTTGTGGCAATTGAGCCGGGTAGTCTAGAGTTAGCACTGTGCTGAGGCTTACACAAACGCAGATCTAATCAATCAAATTTTATCAATCAGCCCCACAATGTCTCTTCCTTCGGGACGGATCAGATAACCATCCCTGTTCGATGTGGGTCTCTTTTCGGTTTTCATACGCCCTCCTGTTTCTTCGACTATGCCAACTAACATTTCCGAGGACCTGTCAATCTCGGCGGGCAGTCCCCGAAGCAAGAGCAAGGAGCGCGTTGTCTCGCAGTATCGGGGGCCATGTATTCCGTATTTTAAACTTTAGTTTCCTTAGTGAACTGGGGAATCACGGCAGTTTGTTGTGGATTTATTGCAGAAGCTGTCAGGCAGTTAGTTTCTGGGGCAAAGCCAGCCAAATTCCATTCGGGCCTCTAAATAACGGCAGAGTCTAGTCCGTAGCTAGAAATAACTTGCCGATAATCGGCTCATGAACAAATAATGCTCAGCTATGCTCGGCCGGGTCAAGCAATTTTTCTGATGGTAACGCGTCATTACGGTTCAATTTTGTTGGCGCACTGAGCCGCCTTCGCCCGTAGACCGTTTCTGAGTTGTTAACGTTGCCCTTTAATACCAGTAACTTCCCGCTGGAAGTGCGGGATTTTTTTATTTTTTTTTTGGAACGGAGCCTGGCACAAATCCGGCCTACATGTAAATTCAAAGCAGCCTGTCGAGTTTCTCGGATAATGCTCTTTCGAATATTTATCCCCCCAAGTATCTTGGCGGCTGCTTGCCCCCATCGTGTCGAGTGCAAGGTCGAGTTCGTCCGTTGAGCAAGACTTCGGCAATATGGCGATTCCGAAGCTACGTCCCTCACTGGTCCAGTCACAAGGGTGCGTTGGGCACGCGTGGGTTCGCAGTCATTTGGCACCTAGACGACTAGGGGATCACGCAAAAAGACCGGCACTGACGACATTTCGATACTATACTAGGTCCAGACGTGGTTGATCTTGAGTCTACTGCGTAGGTAGCCAATGCCTCATTCCACTGGCTTGCCAAGCCAAAAGAGGTATCGCGACCGGGATTAGTAAGCAAAGACAAGTGCTCGTCCTTCCTACATTTTGCCGATTATAATTTGCTGTTTTGGTTCATGCAACCCAGGCACGACGAATCAAATCTGTGCCGGAAATGCTCCCTTTCGTGATGGACTAAAGACGGTTCGCTCGTCGACAAGGCCAACTGATGTTATTCTGAGAGGGTTTCTGATGTCCAGCACGGGGCACTTCTATCTAACGTGATCAAAAGCTAGCTATAATGCCCTTACTTAACACATAGATTATCTTCTTTCTCTCCTGGGCGGTATGATTCATAATGTCGTGATCGTTAAAGAAGCCAAGTAGAGAGGACGAGAAAACAAGAAGATGGAACCAAGCAAAAACTAAAGGCAAAGAATGAGGCATTGACAATGGTGAATGGTAGGTAAATGATGAATGGTAAATGATGGGGGCAAGAAAATTCGAGGCTAGAAGTCCTGAAATTTTCTCAAATTTGTCTTGGTTTTCTCCTTCCACGTGTTTTGTGGTATGGAAAATGACCAAGAAACGACATCACCCAAGGGTATTTTGAACGAGCCAGAGAGCGGAGTCACATCGAGACCGAGAAAGAGATATAGAGATCTGAAAAAAAAAGTTTTCGCTATTCGAACGTAGAAACAACAAGGAAATATACCTCGGAGGCGGCTCTCTGAACGTCCAAATCTCTTCTCCCCCCCCCCCCCCCCCCCCCCAAAAAAAAAAAAAAAAAAAAAAAAAAAAAGAGAAGGGTTGGTCAAAGAGCCACGGATCTCTGCCGCGTAGAGGCGAGAGCTCGAGGTATCAACGTATATTTTGGGACATAGTTCGCTGGCCTTTAACCAGACACGTCCACGACATGCTTCCTCGTGGCATTGCACAAGGCGTTAAACGTTATGGGTTCGCTTTGGCCGAATGCATAGAACTGCTGACGGCGTCAGTCGAGAATATAATCTATCGGCGACGATGATTATTGTTGTGGTGCCTGCTGCTACGATGATGCGGCTGCTGCTCCGTTCCTTGGCGGTTCTTGTCGGTCCAGCACTTGTCAACGGCTGCCGTGACAGCGCTAAAGTCATCGGGGACAATGCGACCTATAAAGAAGACTTTGATGTTGTGCTCCACCGTCACAAGCTTGGAATAGTTGACGCGAGACTCTTTCGCAAGACTCTCAGTTCCGTAGTATAACTCCAATTGCACGGGATCAAACCCCAGCTGTGGCTCTCCCTCGAGCATCCGGGGCCTGGCTCGAACATCATAAACAACGCCATGTTTCTGGGGTTTTACACCCCGTTTAGTACATGCCCTGCGTTCATACGTCAAGATTGGACTGCCAACATGTTAGCTGGGTTACGAAACACTTACAGAAGTGAAAATACTCACATGCAGGTGCAATGCCCTTCGTCATTTGCGACTACAATGAAGCGCCGGAAACCGTGATAGAATCTTTGCCCCATGACAGAACGTACTTCAACATCTGTCATATTCTCATTTCGGCCGGCACCTAGAGGCTCTGTCCAAAGAACTTTAAATACCTAGCGAGAGTCAGTGTTAGAAAGTACCTTTGTTGAAGGAGTAGATGCCGCAACTGACCTCTCCCGGTGCGAATTTGGAGGACGGCTCCACTACATAACCTAGTTTGGGCCATTAGTTTATGAAAATATTGTCGAATATATCATTACTCACGGTCGTCCAACTCCGCCTCCTGCCAAAATCCAGGGTTGCCAGTAGTAGGGTTCGCTGCATATCGATAGGTATTGGCGACCCCGCCAACTGGACTGGACGCTCTGGGTGTTGTTTGGCCGGTGTCTTCTTCGTATCCTGGATATGTTCCATAGTCGTAGGATGTCGCCATCGAGGAAGACTCTTCATGGGTGTAGGCACCGCCAACTTCATACCCGCTAGGCTGTTCCGCATCATATTCGGACTCGGTTGTAGATTCCTGGTCTGCAGAGGGTTCCTGGGTTGCTAGGGCATACGTTAGCGACAAGCAGAAAACTGACAGGTACATGATAGTTGAAACTCTCAAGACACGAACTATTATATGAAGAGGCAGATGCCTGGTCTTCAATTATTGCTTCTTTTGCCGTGTAGCTCCCCGGCTGAGGGTCTTCTGGGGTTGACTGCTGGGCGTCAGTGTGGCTGGTCTGGGGGTATTGTTCCCCGTGATAAGGGTACTTTATTTCGTCGCCACCGACTGAGAGTTGCACCGGGTATGGTTCGTCGACATGCGCTGTGTGAAGTTAGAGATGAAATTGCCTGGAGCATGAGAAAGTACCATACCGCTGCCGTAGTTATCCTGATACCCTATAGAGGATTGAGGGAGAGCAGCAGAGCCGGTCTCAAACCCGGAGGCACTTTCAGGGAGCCCATACGGGGACTCTGGATACTGAAAACCCGTTGAGTACTCGCTGGATGGCTCCAAATTCCCGGAGCCAGACGTGACGGTGGGCTTCGCTCTTGGTTGCTGTGAATGTGAATAGAAGGGATCAGGAGATAAATCGACATATTGGTCACTGCCCTGACCCTTTCCAGGCTTTGAGCGAGGTTTCTTGGGCAAGAGTCCCTTGTCCTTTGTCCCATCTCTATTCTTTTCTCGATTGTTTTTCGGCCTGGGCTTGGTGGACGCATCAAGAGAATTTCCTTTGCTCCTTGACGAGGATGTGGCTTGGTCCTGCCAGGGGGCGGCTGCATATGCCTGGGTTGAATCTGCGGGGAGCATTAGCGCAGGACGCACCAGTGCGAAGACCCAGAGTAGCCATACCTCCTGCAATGGTCGGCCCATATGTGTAAGCCTCGTTTCCGCCATGGGCTGCGTCCTGGGTGAACGATGCATCCTGATCGTATGGATCGTGTATGGAAACGCCAGAAAACCCGGCGGTAAGATCGTTGACTGTATTCCCGCGCGGGGTCGTCTGCGAATAGTCATATTCTACCACGTTGCCTAGAGATAGAACCGGCACTCAGTAAGGAACTGAGGCGTGGACATGGAAAGAAGAAAAGCCCGTACCTTGGGGGTCGAGCCTCTGCCTAAAATACTGCTGGTGCTCCTGTGACCAGGTCCATTCGGTCCAGCCGGCGCCGGGCCGCTGATTTGGTCTCCTAGAACTCATCTCGATGGTTCATTGTGAAGGGCAGAAAGATGTGGGATTGGAACGGGGACGGCTTGGGCAGAGAAGCGACATCAGACACGGGTAGAAACGGCGGCGGACGGTTACGGGCCAAGCACGTCCAACTAGTAAAATGTTTGACGAGCACCGAAACGCCCAGACACAGACGTAGGGCCGTCAGGAGAAGCTATTGCAGACTAGTTATTCTTCTTAAGGGGCTTGGCCTTCTGCCTACGCAGAGCCGCAAACTAGACACCAGTGTTGGCTGACCCGCAAAGGAGGGGTGGACTGAGAGCGGAATCCCGAGCTGTTGCTGGCCCGTCTGGAGGATATTAAATGCAAGTTCAATTGGTGGGGGGACGCTCGTGACACAAGACCCCGACCATAATTCGCGACGCAAACTAAACGTCGCCGCCGGCTGATGGCGGGGACTGGAGCGAACGTGGCCGGTCGAAGCTCGATGGCCGCCTGGCTGAGTGGGGCCGAACGGCGCTGGGACAGTGGCTGAACGAGAGGGTCTGCCCGTCTGGCTGTATGTCGGTCGATTCGATCGGGACGGATCGCGAGTGTAGGATGGAAGCGCGGGCTGGGCTGGGCTGGGCTGGCTGCTCTCCAAGTGGCTGGCTCTGCTGTTCTTATCTTCGCCCCAGAGTAAGACGCTCCAATGTCGACGGGCCCCGGTCCACCTTCTTCAAGCGAAAGGTTGGCTCCTCTACTAAGACTCATATGCTTGTGGCGGCTCAGGCGGTCGACAAGTGGGTAGGCTCGTTGTAAGTTTAGCCCAGTGTCCACGGCAGCCCGCACATGTTCGTGCAGCCAGGGCCCACGAAAAAGGCTCCAGACCGGCGAGCGTTAGTACCACAGCCCCTGCCTTGGCCAGTCAAACTCACATCAAGTCAACTTTGAAGCAGCTACCCGACAGGAAGGTGCGAGCCGAGGGCAAAAGGGCGGAGGCTGACTGACAAGGGTCAATGTCACGGGTGCTGCTTGGTGGCCTCGAAATGGCCTGTCGGGAGCCAAAATACACTTTCCGGATTGAGACGAGTGCATGCATGCACCCCCCTCTTGCCTTGTGTATGGACGAACTTGGCCGCGTGCCTCAACACTGTGGGGTTTGATGTGGCCGATGCATTTACCAGGAGCGTGGGGAGATGGAGGCATCACCTTGTCACTTGTGGTGAGGGAGTAACTCTGCATCCACCCGCTCTTGTTGCGCGAGAGATTGTGACGGAGTAGATTCTGTATTGATACACGACATCTATCAAATATCCCGGTATCGTTCTAACAGGTGCTGCTGACGAGGGCAAGTGAAACAGGTATCTTAAGTACATAAGGTACTTAAGTAACCCATTCACATGAGACTTGATGGTGGAAGGTGGAAGGTGGAAGGTGAGAAGTGGAAAGGTGGCAAGGTGAAAGAAAGCAAAGAAAGGGACCTTCCTTAGGTACGGAGTACTGCATCTCGGGTTATTTAATCCTGGCATGGTCCCTTCCGAGGCATGGCTACAGATTACAGAATACCCAGGTACAGTACTCTACGAGGTAAGCAGTAACTCAGACCTTGGCGAATACTGCTCTTTTGGTTGTCAAAGAACATGGAAAGAAACAATACAAGCTTCATGACTCCAACTTGAGCATCAAGGCACCAAATTCACGAATGTATTTTTCTGAGAACTGTGCAAAGTCCTGCCTCATTTTCTGCACCGTTTTCATAATTTCCTTAATTTGGCTTCCTCCAACAATTAGTTAGGGGGCCCCAATAACCGCCACTCTAGTCCTGAGGCGGCGAGGCCAAACCGGTTCAGGGCTGGGTTCTCCCAGTGGCCCGGGCTACCTGCCTTTCCAGGCCCACAACCCCAATCCCTCAAGGTTAGCTTGACACCAGGCCGTTTACACACTTCTTCTACTAGTGTACAACACGCTCTACGTGCCGGCTATTCGTAACCTCAAGACTCTTAGGTTGTCGCTTCACGGATTGCCCTTCTCTAGAACCAACTCCGGCACGTCATTGGCGCCTGCAGGAGAATGTGCGGTCATGGCCATCGAGAATGTTGACAAGGAACGGACGCGCTGCATTTAAGCCAGATGGCGACCGCAACATTCCCGACGGCCCCCGCCCCGACCAGACATGGCACGAATGGGTTCGGCCGTGACCAGACAGCGAGCAGCCCGGGCTTGGCTCCACTACCAGAAGCCCGAAAATCAACATCTCCACCCGTTGCCGCCGCCACTGACTCGGCCCACCCGACAACCGCGAGCCCGGGCCCTATCAGAAACTCGGTTGCTCCACCGACCTCCACCATTCCTCCTCTACACCCAACCCACGGGACCACCGGTTTGATACCCGGCTCGCGCAGCCGCGATGGCACCTCGAGCTCTGTGCCCGTTTCTGAGTCCGATTCAGCTTCGTGGTCAAGGGAGGAGTCGCTCATTAGCTCCGAGGATGACTACCTACCGCCTCCGCCCGCACTAGGGCGCATCCCTTTGGTGTCATCCGCTGCCCTGACCGTTCGAGCTTGGGGCGGTGGTGCTGGCCCACCATTCACATGGCGTCCCACAGCCAGTAGGCATTCGCAGGCCCAGCGAACCGCCCCTGCAGCTTCTCCAGAATCTCGGTCCGAAAATCCAGACGAGGCGGTGACAAGCCTGCCCGCCGAAGCACGGGGCCGGATTTTGTTGATAAAGGTGGAGGATCAACGCGGAAGAATTAAACACTTGCGAACCAACATGGCTGAGAAACGGGAGGGAGTGCGGAAGCTCCGTCGACAAAAGGCCGAGGCCGACAATGCTTTTATGCAACTAATAAGACCGCACCTGGCCAAAAGGATGACAACGGCCCCTACCGACTTAATGGGCGAGCGATTCCATGAGATGCAGAGCATCCGCGATGACTACTATTCCGCTGAATCTGCATACGAGGCGTTGGAGAAAAAACTAGATGGGGAAGAAGACAAGTTGCAGGCGCTGGAGATGGAGTTTTTCCGTCTTTTGTACTACCAAGTTGGCGTGAGTCCCCCCGACGCTACGTCTGTGCAGTATGGGGGGCAACAGGACGAGGATGAGGGCGAGGAAAAACATGCGGCGACGGCGGCTGCAGAGGATCCGGATAACGATTCGGATGACCAAGAGGAGAATGATACATCGGAAGATGATGATGGCAAGGACAGCGACCCGGCATCAGCATCAAGAATCTCCCTATTGGGCATATCTGGCGACCGTGAAGACGATATACACCCCTTATACCAAGAGTTGCTTGACACCGTTGCAGACCGCGAAGACGCCGGCGAGGCATATGACGAGCTGCAGATGCGGCATGATAAAATACTGTATGACCTCGAGATGAAGCTCCATCGCGACCGCGTACGCAACAACCAGGGCAACTTCATGAGCGAGGACGACCTGAAGCTGCTGAGGTTATCACTTGCACAGGTGCCCACGGACGCGAAAGACTTTAGGGCCAAGTTCGGGGTCGGTATTGAAGACGACGACATTGACTTCCTTCGGGGCTTTGAGCACGAAGAAGTCCAGTTGCGGAGGAAGCTAGAACAAGCATCGGATGACGTCGAGCAGCTGAGAAAGCTATGCACAGAAAAAGGTGTGATGCGTAAGAACGCATCGTACAATGAGGAATTTGCCATTTTCTCAGGAAGCAACCGGACTTCTCTGTTGCCCGACGGCAATATGTCGATTGAGCCGCACTCAAGAGTGACGGGCGATCTAGCTCACCCAAAGTTTCCGATCTTGGTCTCAAACCCTTCGCACGTTCTCGACCTCCTCTCCCCAAAGGCGGCCATGGACAGGGCCATGAGGCTGCCCAAGGACTATCCGGCAAACGCTCGGCGTAGAGCAGAGTGCATGAAGGAGCTAGGCATCACCAATCTTATGAAAAAGGTCGAGAGCAAACCAGACTACATTAACCAGTGGCTCATCCACAGATTACGCACGTCTCCGATGGAAGCCGAACTCATGTTTACCATTGCCGAGGAGAGCTTCAAGATTGTCAACCTGCGCAGGTGGCAAGAGGAAGTCCTTTCGTACTGGCGACGAGACGAGGCTGCCCAGCTTTCACCTCTTGACTTTCAGGGCCCGCAGACGGCAAAGGACGAGCTGGGGATCATCGACAATGTCAAGTCTCTTGTGAATTCGGTTATTGAGGCGTCGACTCGGCCAAAGAGCGAAGTTGGCGGTGACCACCACCACCTCCATCATCGTCAAGACCATGATGTCCGATCAGTTCTGAGTTTTTCCTAATCGCCACTATTACTTTTCAAGCTTTCACATTTCATTTTGGCCGTTCCATTTTATACATTGCCCTGTTCCTGGTTTAATATTTTTATCCTGTACTTGGTGTCTCACGCCTTGAGACAATTTCTACAATTCAACAGGCGCAGAGGGCTTGGGTTTGGTCTTGGTCTTAGTAAAATGGGCTCCGGATGAATCGGCGCTGGGAAAATTGCATTAACGGGAACTAGCTTGCTGAGGATTTTCTCGGTCTTTAATGTTGGATTTTGTTATGTGTTGGAAAAATTTAGGTCACCCCTATCATCCATGGCATGGCATGGTTTTGTATAGCGTACCCTGGGCTCTCTCTCGTCTGGCTTGGGCTTGGGCTCGGATTTTGGTTTATTGCCAGAGGCAACAGTCTTTTTCGTGCCGAGTACATTGCTCCGGCTACAAAATTGTAGTGCTAGGTTTTTATTTTAGACGTCACCGCAGAGAACGCAACAAGTGTGTTAATTTAATAGCCTCGTGCCAACTGCATATTGCGATACCCAACACATCTCGGGGTGGGTGGGTTAAAGGGGGAGTGTAAGGGGAAAAAGGGGGTTCAATTGATGACACATTTTTATGTGTCCGTTTCAGCATCCCACGTACCCAGACCGGTTTGACGTTTGGCAGGAGATGGACTGTGAGTTTCCCCAATCATCTACGCCGGTTTAAGAGTTCTGTGGGACACTTGCGACGGATACACCAGAACCACCACTTACAGTTACCTGTGGAGCTGCGAGCACCGCAGAAACAAGCGAAACCGCGATTTGGAATTTCAAGAAAAAGGCTGCATTCCAACATCAGATCAAAACCTTCTCACGGCTTGACGGCCCGAGCCATTAGTTCCAGATGCTGATGGTTGCCGGATTTCGCGCGAAGAATTCACACACACCCACACCCAACACCACCCGCAGTTGCATGCGTGGCACCTTTTGGCGTCAAAAGCTGCTGCAACATGCAACACGTCGGCGGTCCCGCCATTGGGCGGCTTGCTTTTAGTTGCTTCAGTCTTTTGAGCAGCTTGGAGTTGCCACACAACTTGGTAGGCCGCAGAACACGGCAAATAGTAGGTGCACGTATTTCAGCTGTTTTTTTATTACTTATGGAACCACTGGAAGAGATGGGATGGGGACACTCGCTACTAGTACCATTTCGAGAAGACGTGATGCTCATCGCTCAAAGGAGAAAGAACAAGACGCCTCTGTTTACCCTCTCTGTGTCTACGGGTGCGTATGTACATACGGGTCCTCGTCTCCCAGGCTCTATACCCCAGTCTCACTCTAGCTTTGGCGGAACCACAGCCTCACCGTAACTCGTCCTCCAGCGAAAACACTAGGAGCACGGAATCTGTCTTGCTGCACCCGAGGATTTTGATACATACACGGCTTTCCCGGTTCTCGCGTCGCACCAAATCTGCAGACAATCTTGCCATAACGAAACCTAACTACTGTTATTCTCGCAGTAGCATTGCCGTAGCTGTCTCAGCAGAGGCCACAATGCCGCAGAGATGGTAGAGCATCACGCAATCGGCCATGGTGGTTGTGAGCTGGACAAAAAAGCCCAGGCCATGTTTGTGTACTTACTTTCATTTCGATGCTCAACGAAAAGCCGTTTGCACTTTGCAGAGGCAATTTCTCTCCGCAACACGCGAAAATACGAGGTCTGCACGAGCCATATCATATTGCTTAAGTAATAATATTTAGCGGCTGGAGCGGCTCACGCGCGGCAATTTATGAGGGATCATCATCCCTCAGCCCTGCCAGTACCGACAACCACGTCAACACCGCAAGCCATTGAAGTCAACCCCCAAAACTGTCTTGGTGGGGTTGTCTTCCACCTCACCACCATTCCGACAGCCGACAGGTGTGAGCTATGTAATGAACATCACCAGCAGTGGTGGTTCTGTTCCTGGTAACAACCCTTGTTGCCTGGATCCAATGCGAGCCAGATTGGCGGGACAAAAACTTGGCCGGCTCGAGACGAAGAGGTTCCTGAGAATGAAGCCGTGCAGCCCCTGTTAATATTTCCCTCTTGATTCTGCCGACGATACTGATTGGAGTGCTCGGACAAAGGATGGGGTCTGATAATTGCCTTGAATGTGCTCTTCTCCAAGAGCACAAGAAGATGGAAACGATACACCAAGCTCTATTACATCGTGTGCCTACTACTTAGAAGTTCCTGTTTTCATGTTCCATTTTGCCCCCCTGCCGGGTTCGTTCCTAGGCCGTTGCATACTAGTAACGTCTTTGCTTCCTAGAATTACACCTTCACGCTTCTGCTATTTTTCTTTGTCTACACTGTCTCTCTTTGTACCTTTCCACCCTCTTCCTCAGCTTGTTTCCCAAGCCCGAGCCTAACTCATGGGGCTAAAAACATAAAAAAATGCATTGATACTCTCCTGGTCTACTCTGTTTATGTAGCTATGCCGCCGTTTCGTTTCTTTGGAAGGAGGGAGGGCTCTTATCCCTTGAAACTCTAGTCCCTTTGACATCGTCCTGCTTATCCTCCTCGTGCGTCTGGGATGTCCTTCGATTATTCTCACCGCCTGCTGTCCCCCGGAAACTGTCAAACACCCAGCGCAGCCCGCTACTCACCCATTTCTGCCCCGGCTGGCTCGCTGGATTTTTGTCGCTTTTCTTCTTGCTACCATTGTTGCTATTGCTGCTGCGAGAGAGGAAAGCCCCGGGACGAGGTCGCTGTTTCGATGTCTCTTTTGGTGCGAGTCCCGGGACGAGGGGTGAAGCATCGTCGAGGCACTCAACCCCCACCGTTATCTTTTGTGGACATAATGCGCCCACGCCACTAGACCAGACCGAAGCTTTGCATGTCTGCACACGAGGGTTAACTTGGCCCCCGTCGGCAGTTTCATTTTGTTCTTTGGGGGCATGTTCTTCCGGCACCCCGCTGGATGGATGTGTTGCTGTCGCGGAACATGATGGGGTCTGTGTCCAGCGTTCTTCAAGGCCGACAAGCCGGGGATCCTCTTCAGCTGGGGCACGAACGACAACGAGTGGGCCGATTACTTCTTTGCCCTTGTCTTTGCTGCCGGTGCCATCGATGTCTGCGAACCATGAAGGCGCATCTATGACCATGCTCTCCCCCTCCCACTCTCTCTTGTCCCTGTCGTGATCTTCTTGCCTTTGTATTCTCTCCCAGCATCGTCCGTCGATTCCATTCTCTGGCCTATCCAAACGTTGCCCTTTCTTCCCATCCTCTTCTAGAGGAACCTCACACTCGCTTGCCAAGTCTCCATGTATCAATGCCTCGACCATAGCCTCTATTTCTACTGCGCCGCCATCGAAAGAAATGCCTTCACATTCGTTGCCGTGTTCCTTAGAAACCTCTAGACCCAGGCCTATCGTCTCAAGCGCCACGCCGGCACCTTCTACGTTTTGTTCGTTTTCTCCGCTACTGCCGCCCGTCTCCGAATGACTACCTTTGCGCATCTTGAACTTCAATGCAAAGAGCCTCTGCTTTATTCCTTTTTTCTTGGTGCTCTTCTCCTCTCTTTCTTGGCCTTGATGGTCGTGGTGATCTTTGTCGTCTTCAGAAACAAGCGTCCCTCGGCGCCGTCCGAAAAGAGGAATCCGGGCCAGTGCAAAGCGCGACGACAGCTGGCGTCTTCCCCTGATGCTGCTACTATCTCCTTCGTCTTGCTGGTCCTCCTGATCATGGGCGTAAGAGGTTCTAGGCGCAATTGGATTAGCTACTGCTGCTGCTGCTCCCGCCATTCCTGCCGCCGCTGTTGCTGCCGACGACAACGATACTGTCTCGTTCTGATCTGGGTCAGGCTTAGAAACATTTAACGGGAGGAATTGTGAGAGAGGGTCAGACGTGATGTCGTTGCTGCGTCTTCTTTTCTTGTTGCGGTAAATTGCGCCCCGTGTAGGCTCGCGATATCTGCTGCTCCCCAGCCTGTCTTGGTAGTAGTATTGGCGGCGATGGCTCAACACTCTGCAGCTCGCCATGATGGTTTTTGCTGCCAGCCGGGCCTGCCGTGCGCGTTCAGCTTCGTCCTCGCTGCTAGATAACGAGGCGCTACTGCTGTTGCTCTTCCATCTCCATGAATCTTTTGGGCCCGGCAGCGTTCGGGGAAAGGGACCGTCGTAGTTGTTGACATCCAGCGTAGCCCTATATTGTTGCATGTGTTGTTGATCGGGACCCGTGAATGTTTCTGGCCAGGGGCCCGGCACATCCAAAAGCCGGGCGCGAGCGCGGTTCTCCCCGTCTCCTCTTGCCATTCCTCCAACAACAGATTCCTTCGCCTGGACCAAAGGATGACGGCGGCGGTGATAGCCTAAAGCGAGCCCTTCTATTGTCGAGTTTCGTATTATCCCTCTCTTGTGCACATCCGCTCCTTGTTTTGTTGCACCCTTGCACCGCTTGCACCCCCTATCTTGTTCTTCCGTTGGATGTAACGTGTATGCCGGGTTCTTCGTTCTCCCTCGCCGGTACTCGGTAGGGTTGTGACTCTTGACAGACTTGTGGGGAAGAACTCGGTCGTGTGTGCATATGTGTAGATGTATATGTCTAATCGAAAGCGTACTCTCTTTGAAGTTTGTTGGCTAAATATCTTTGAACTCCTTTTCCTCCCTCCTTGGGGGGGACGGGAAGACGGACCGCATATGATGGGGCCACGTCGCGGGTGCGGGTGTTACCTAACAATTGTTTTCCCCCTGGCTAGCCAGGTTGTTTTGGGAACAGGGACGAACGAGGTACCCAACTGTGGAAGGAAATGTTGGAGTGAGCCTGGGCAAGAGTGCTGGGAACTGTACGGCCAGTTAGATAGGTAGATGGGTGGATGGAAACTATGGATGGAAGTTCGAGTGTTAATTAGTTACGGTATGCGCTTAGAGATGATATTGGTGGTGACTGCCTTCTCCATCGATTGGTAGATAGACCCGTGGCGGCTTCCCTTTAAGGACTGCCTCACCTGTCTGGTAAACCAAGAATTGAAGGTAAAGTACTAGTAGTCCAGCCTAAACACTCGGACTTCGAGAAAAAAACGTGCTTGCAGCCTGTGATGTGATGTGTATTGGCTAGCAAATGTGGCATCGGTATGTGCCGGACCATTTATATCAAACATTGGACAAACCCCAATACCACTTATTCCGCAAGTATGATATAACATATGATATAGTAGTAGCACGCTGGTACGGGGCTTATCAGGTTCCTGTTAGTTGAACTCGAGGAGACTGAAAACAACCGCCCTGCCTAGTACTAGGTACTTAGATCGTTGCCACGCGGCTTCGCTTTGAATTGAATTTTTTACATGTGGTTAAGTACAAACCAACCCTCGAACGCCATGATGCCAAAACCCATGACCGCTTCTACTGCATCGCATCAATCCTCATCATCGTCGTCTTGCACTGTGGCTGCTTTCGCCTTGCCCTTGTTGCTTGCACTACCATCGCCGCTCTCTGGGACAGACCCTTGGCGGCTCTCTGATTCCGTGCCAGTTACCCCCACAGGCCCGTCACTACCCTCCCCTCTATCGTCCTGAGTACCCGGGGTGTTCGCTCGCTGGAATCCGAATATGCCTCCTTGAGCCTGGTCACCCAAAAGTTGAGCCTGCCCCCGCCAGTTAGGCGCAAGAGGAGTAGGAGCCGTGACTAGCGGTACTCTTGAATCGGAAATGGGAGGTCTCTGTGCATCAAGCCCCTGGGATGACTCTGGAGGATTACTGGACGCCACAGGTCTGTCTGTCTGGGCTGTGCCCGGAACTTCAGCCGTGGGGTTGGTGGCTGGTGTTGGTTGGAGACTATTCTGCACCTGTGGAGTACCAGACTGCAAAATGTCGCGAATAGGGTAAGATGACGCTTGCGGATTCGGCGGCGGCGGATCTACTGGCGGAGCGCCTCCATCTAACCGCTGAAGAGGGAGAACTGACCACCCAGGGGGGATCACGAGTCCATCAGGCAGGTCTGAACTACCAGATGGGATGGCGTTGCCGTAGTGAGCGCCGCCATGCCTAGTGACCGGTTGTGTGGGCCTCGGCGCAAATGGATGAGGGAATTGCTGCGTAGGGAACATAAAAGGATGTTGTGGCATCTGTTGCTGCTGCTGCTGCTGCTGGGGATGGGGCAGAGCCCCCAGTCCCGGACCAACACCTAGAGCCGCTGCCTGTTGCATTAACTGCTGATAGGCTTGCGATTGCTGTTGCATCTGCTGTAGACGGCCAAGCTCGTTTAGCACAAACTGGAGAGTTTGCACTTCGTGTGCAGTGTTGTTCAGGGTTTGCCTGTCCATCTGAACGCGCTGCGCAACGTCCAACAATTGAGCTCTGATCTGCTCGAGGCTGGGAGGTTGGTTGCTGTTAGGTTGCTGTGTAGTACCCACGGGTGTTGTTGTAGGGGGGTTGGGGGCATTAGCTGGCATGCCCAGCCGTTGAGCCATATCTTGAATATCATTGACACCACCCTGGGCAAACCCGAGTCTAATAGGCCCCAGGTTAAACATCCTAACAGCCGGGTTCTGATTATTCTCCTGGTTATTCGGTGCTCCCCCCTGAGCAGCTTGCCCACCAGCAGGCTGGCCATTTGGGGGTAGCTGAGGCTGCCGGTTCTGGCCGGCAGGAAAGTTAAGCCCCAGCCGGAAGACCATGGCGTCGCCATTTCTAGCGGGCTGGTTTGTGTCTCTGGCGACGGGGCGTCGGCAGGTTGGGCATACTTGCTGACGTTCTAGCCAGCTCTTGAGACACCCAAAATGCAGGATATGACCACAGGGGAGCTTCTTTGCGCGGGTTCGTTCGACTTGACTGGCATCCGCAGGATTCCAAGGTCGCATTTCTTCTCTGCAAATGATGCAGGTATCTTCGCGACCCAGCTCCTCGGCCGTAGCATCCGGGTACTGATCCATATCCTTCAATGCTTGACGGTAGCGAATGAGAGCGCTGAGCCTTTTCAAGAACGACCTCGTCGTTACAAACCAATCGCGGATAATGTGGATCGGCAATCCGTAGAATGTAAACAGGACGCAGAAGAATGCCGTGTAGATTCCAAGCTTGACAAAGTCTTGGAATAATGTTAGTAAATCGGTAAGAGTGGCTTCGTCTCGGGAACACGACGAGTCTCACCTGCGATCAAATCCAATGTCAAAACCCACTGGCCCTTGGCTTCCCAGCCGGGTACTTCGATATCCATCTCATCCACGTCGTCCTCACTTGGGAGCTCCTCAGGATCGGTGTCAAGGGCGGTTCCAGTCTCTCTTCGCCTCAGAATGGCAGCTCTCTCGTCCCTGACCTGGAGTCGGCGGTCTTCCAGACGTTGGCGGGTCTGAATCTTGACAACACGCTGCTCCACAAGCGAAACGATGTAGCGGAGGCCCGTCTGGAACGAGCACACTGTCAGGACAGCGAACTCAAATAAGAACATGACCATCATGGTGGGTCGCGCCTGTTGCACCACTGTGTTGACGGCATAACCGAGTAGCCAAAGATCGTAGGCAATGCTGAGGAGCAGTGAGACGCTGAGACGGGTGTGGAAGAGGCGAGGGTTCGCGGGGGGTTGTTGCTCAAGCACCTCGACACGGCCCTCGCCGATCCATCCCCAAACTTTGCCCGTAACGAGAGCCGTAAACATGACAAGGAAGAAGGCTCCGACCTCTTCGCGGAAGATGGTCATTGCCAGGCAGGTCTCGGTAACCGCGAACCAGGCCTTCTCGTAGAGTTGCTCGATCTCGACGGGTCGGAGGGGGCCGAAGAAAAGGCGCTGGAGTCCATACATGAAGGTGCCATAGACAACGAATACCAAGTTCACAATCGACTGCAAAGATATAGAACGTTAGCGGATGGCGCGGAGGATATGGGATGGCGGATAGTGAGGGTCGTGGCGATGCGGACGGTAAAGACTAACCATCAAAGAGATACTGCTCTGGGCCAAATGAACCATGGACGAGTAGAAATTGGCGCGCTGGTGGAAGGCGGACACGATGACGGCGCCAGCGAGCGCCGCCGAGGCCTAATGAAGCCATGTTAGCTACGGTCAAAAGCTCGTAGGAGCTTCACCCTACGAGGCCGGGCTGACAGAAGGATGGGGAGCATTTGCGACTGGCTTACCCCGACGTACCACCCTAGCCGCATCTTTGATGAACGGCAATGCGTATACAGGTGGGAAAATGTCGAGTCTGTTGATGGGCGAGCTAGCTGGCCATGTTGTTACTATGGTTTAAGGGGGCTATCACGACCCAGAAACGAAGCGGTTTGGTGGCCAATTGATGCCACGTTATAGTAATAACGGCGTACCGAGCTGCGATGCACAGGGCACACTGGATGACGCAGGTAGTGCGGTAAAGCTGCGTCAGCCACAGGATTTGGTTGGCTCGCTCCCTAGAACACCGGAAGCTCGGTAACTTACGCTGTAATTACCGTAATGCATTACATGGTGCGGATCGTGCAGGGAACGGAATACTCCGTATAGTACGGAGTCTGCTAGTGTGTATCCGTACTCGGGCCGTTACTAGTATGGGCTTGCTAAACGGAGCTTACAAACGTACAACCCACCACGAAAGGCGACTTCACTCCTGGACAGCATCCAATCGTGACCTGGGTTGCCTTCCATACAAACTTCCATATCATTTTCTAAATCCACAGCCCTTTGAAGGCTCTTGGGTTTATTTACTCGAGACGAAGAAGATGGAAACAACTTCAAGATACTACCTTAGTCACTAGCCACCAGACTACTCCGTACCTATCTTACCAACCCTCCTGTGCCCTCGATAACTAAGTCGTCTAGGTACCTTGAGCATATCAGTACCACGGCCATGGGATCGCTACCGGCGATTGTTACGCCAGCTTTGCTTGCCTCGATTCAGAGTCATCCTCAGCTACCAAAGCATACATGGTATTTGGTTGCAGCAACCACGCTGTCTCAGTTGAACCGGCCTGATGAGATTGCCAAAGTTTATGAATACGCCACGACTCGGGGTCCAGAGCTTGTGGATTCCATACCCAGCCATGATGAGAGGCTGGTAATTTCCCGACGCATGCGTGAGGCACTGGTAAAGGCCGCGGCTGTAGGCGGCGTTCCCAAGGTACTTACTTCCATTCAAAACAAAATAAGACCCCTGAATTGCAACGGCTTCAGTGACACACAGTCTTCGCGAGAGTTCCTGTCTAGTATCTACGGTTGAGGAGATGAAAGGCTCTTTCGTTTGTCTGCTGACCGCTTCACTCCCCACCTCACCAGACTATCAATGCACTGCTCGAGCTGAAGAAGGTGACACCGCCCGATATGCTAGATGAGCCACAGGCATCACCCTCTCCTACCGGGCGATCATTCGACATCTATAAAACGCCAACAACCGAGATCCTGCAACGTGGCCAGCGTTTCTTCGACGATATCTACGGCAAGATATCCAAGAGGATTATGGGCCAGATGGATCGCTCAGGCACCGAGGATCTTGGACTGGCGGCACGGCTCCTGTACGGTTATATCCTGAGCAACACGAGCGTTCTCAATGCCGTCGAGACTTCGTTTGTCATGATCGCCGCCCTCATCCCTCAAGACGTAGTAGCCCTCCCCATAAAAAACCGCCCACGACCTTTCCCGCTAATTCACCGAACAGGTTAATCCCCAACTAAAAGGTCATTTGAGGGGGGCTCGCAATGGCGGCGCCGCAGTTGAAGAAGTCAAAGCCGTGCGCAATATCGTGGTCGACATATGCGTAGCCTCAGGTATGACCATGCTTGATGATAACTCTCCTGCAGGATTTGGATGGAGAAGCCAGGTTGCCGACATATAATACCTAAAATTCAACCCCAAGTTATTCAACCGACAGAGAACAATCCATGGAACGATCTTAGTAACACGGTGAAGCGTGTGCTTGCATTCCCAGGTTGACGCAGACTTAGCCTCGACCTGGGAGATACCGTGCCGTCACATCTGGAGCATGAGAAGCTAGCAGCTTCACGAGACTCGAACCAAGCGTCTTGGTTCTTCATACAACCGCCCGTCCCAACCGCTCCTATCAACAGGAACAATGCACTATTCCCAAGGACATCCGCATAGCTTCTCACCTTAGACGACCCACCTTTCTCGTCCTTCAAGATTACGCCTTCTGAGCCAAGCAGCTCCAGTAATGACGAGTTATTTGATATCATTGCAAATGTGACTTGCATGTATGTTATTGTACTGCAACTTCTGAGGGAGAGCGAGCATGGCTACCCTATCCGTTCAACCATGGAACCACCTGTCCGCGCTGTTCTTTCACTTCCCGGAAGAAATCGCCCAATACAACACAACGATGCGCAGTAACTATTGCCGGGGGCAAGCGCATGGCGCCCAGAGAGCGTGACTGGCCTCCTTGCGCTGGAAAAAAAAGTTCCGAGACAGCCGAATAGTCTTAGTTCTGGCTACGACCGCCAGATTGTCACTACTAGTTTCACAGACGGCTGGACGATGATGAGACGGGGTCGAGTTCGCCCGTCTATTGTCCCCGAGAAAGGGGCCATTGGATCCAATCAACCGACCTGGATCCGACAGCTGAACCTGAATGCGGCATTCCCGGGAAAAATAGGGTGCCGTTTCAATTCTAATAGTATTCCGTATTGGTTAAGAAAAGGAACGGACCCCACAACTTAGAAGTCGGTACAGAAGTATCAATGACCTTTTGGTCGTTCGCTGGGGCTAGGAAGAATGAAAGTTAATCAAGGGTTTCTGCCTTGCAGACAGCCCAACTGCTTAGGGCGCTTTGCCTTGGAGTGCCAAGCATCACGAAAGATTATGAGGCGTCACACGTGTGCATGGGTGGCTGTGCACGAGCACCGCACCGGGTGCTTCGTACGTTACCGAGAGAGAGCCAGAGTGAAAGAGGGGAGAGGGCAGTGCGGCTGAGCCAGGTAGGCGAGGTTTATAATACCCTCCAGCGACGCCCACGCACGCATTCTTTCGTTCTCCTTTTTCTTGCTCCTTCAGTGACGGCCTACCAGGTCTGGTCTTCGTTCCCTCGGAGAGCCCTCCTCAGCACGGCCACCACCAGCCAACGTTTCCGCACACCTGGGTCCTCGAACCCGCGGTCGAGAACCCACTCCCGGTCAATGCTATCGCAGTCCCTCTCCCAGATGGATTCGACCTCGAGCCCTTGGGCCGCGAGCGCCTCCGCGTCGAAGAAGCCCCGCATTTTCTCCCGGCCCGTATGAAACCCAGCCACGATCAGGGCCCTGGCGTCCGGGCCATCGCCGAGGAACCACGCCACCGACTGCCGCAGGTTGTCGTGCTGCCAGGGCATCCAGAGACAGTCGGCAACGAAGACGCGGTCGAAGGCGTGCCGGTTCTCCCGCGCCAGCGGCGTGTCGTCGAGCTCGCCCCAGCCGTGGCCCTCGGCCTCGATGCCACCTCCGCCGCTGGAGACATCCAGCGCAGCGATCTGTCCGGACGGCGATAGCGACGGTTGCGTGTTGGCCGCTACGTTGTGTCGCAACACCTCCATGTTAACTGGCGCAGGGTAGTCGGTCACGACGACGCGGCGGGCCCCGAGCAGCGCCGCCATCAGAGAGGGAAGGGCAGTGCCGGCGCCGAGCTCGATGGTGCTTAGCCCGGCGACGTTGAATTTGGACAGTGGCGCCGTCCGCACCGGCTTGTCACTGTGCTGTGCCGGTGCCGCAAGTGCAGCGGTATGCGGGGCAGAGGCCGCATCCAACTTGAGGGTCCCAGCCTCGACAAGCTCGGCCAGCAGCAGCGACGAATTCCACAGGTAATGGCCAAACAGACTACGGTCCTCGTCGGCCGTAGGGTCCGCTAGCTTGATGTGCAGGGGCTTGGGGAGGTGGGGTGACGTGTATATCAAGCCGTGGCTGGGATCGCCGTGCTGGTTCGTGATATCATCGGGAAATATTACACCGAGTGCCGAGGCCATGATGTCCTCGGGCTCCGTTTCCGGGACGTTCGTCGTAAGGCGGGCTACAAGAGCCATCTCGTGTTTTCCCCTGAGGGTTGCGAAGCAAAGGGGGGATGGAGTGGTATATCCGTGTGCGTGTCTGTGCACCGGCACTGAGATAGGCGCCGCTCTATACCACCAGACCGTGTCGATCGACTACCAGCACATCAAGCTACCTATCATAGAAAGCAAGAAGAAGGGGATAGGATGGGGGGCGGGCTTGACACTTGGACGGGGAGAGATGAAGAGCGAACCAGCGATGACGAATTCCGACAAAACATACAGAAAACAAAAGCAATGCCTCTCCAGCAACACTCAATCAATACCGAGGGTTACACGAATTATTTACCAAGAATTCCTTGGTAATGACTCGATGTAATCTGACGCTTTTAGAGAAATGTGTCAGCACGTCTTGTCTTGGTGGGGTGGTGTTTTTTTAGGGTTCGTGGGTCTTGTGGGAGCTCCTACCCTTGTGATCCCAGAGGGGGACGACCGGATAAAATGGACAGCACAGTGACCGCTATACGTTGGTTAGCGTGACACTCAGGTCCCCCCAACTCTCGCACTAAAGAACTAATCGCCTGGTATAGTCACGAGCTTACATTCTTTCATTTTGCCCTTTTACCAGTGCTTGGAGTCGCTTCTCTAATTTTGCAAAGACGTGATTTGGAATATACGAATAGTGGCGAGTGCGCTAGCTGCCCCCCAATCAACATTAGCGTTGACGCACATATTTTCACAAGAGACATACAAAGCTTTCCGTAGGTAGATATTTGTCTGACACTGGTAACGGCAAACGAAGATATGAGGTACCTTATTTGTGACAAGCTCTATTATATTGGTACAAGAAGGGCAGGATACGAGAAACGAATAGAAACGACGCGAACAGTGAAAAATTGGCTAGAACCAATTCCAACCAAAACAAACAGAAAAACACACAAAGATGGCGACCATCGACCAAGTGTGCTGTGGGTATATTCATTCATTTTGTCCGTCCCATTTCCCGTTTCCCATTTCTGACCTATAGTCCTTTCCCGCTCGCTCGCCATCTCGACATTTAGTGAGGCATGAGAAGAAAAAAAGTATTACAAACGATTCAGAAAAAACCAGACAGAACATGACACACGAATCCAAAGAAGTACAGTGAACAATTAAAATTGAACTTTTTTTTTCTTTATATCAGACATAGAAATCCGACTGTGACTGTGAAAGGCATCCCATTCAAGCCATAACAAGATTGTGTTGTTGTAGAGGAACCTTTGGGTGGGCGGGGCGGCTAGGGGTGATAAGACACCGAAATAGCGACAGAGAAGAAGTAAAGTATAACAAACAGAGAGAGAGGAAAGAAGTTGAAACAGGGTATCGGTAGGATGTGAAGAGAGGAAGGAAGATTAATAAAAAAGAAAAGAAAAAAAAAAGTTCAAAAAAGGGTTCCCATACCCTCGCCCAGCGCCAGAGTATTCCCATCCGGGCCCATTCCCCCGAGGTTTATGTGTGTTCATGTTCATTCCATCATTAGAAAGACCCAGATATTATAAAAAGGAAAGGATAAAAAAACACCGCGACACGCCTTTTCATTAAACACATTTCCGTTTTGATGATTATTAAAATCCCGTGTGGTTCCGCTTTATTATTTCTTTGGTTGCCGAAGAAGGTGAGAAGCGAGAAGCGAGAGAGGGATTCGAGATTTTATTTTCGAGCTGAGTTGGTTGGAGGTGTGGGTATCTTAGGAGAAAGATGGGCATGTGTGTGTGTGCGAGGTTGCTTTATTGTGCGGGGATCTCGGTGCTGCGCTGAAGCATCTGCTTCAGGTCGTCCTCTGTCGGGTCGTCCGAGATCCAGGGCCCTTTCTCCTCGTCGGTGGCGCCGAGGAAGCCCTCTGCGCGCTTGAGTGTCTGGACGTCAAGGTCGGTAACGTATGACTTGCCGTCGGACAGCTTCACGCGCACTTCATGCTCGGTGGACAGCATCATGTCGTCCTTGGCGAGGCGCCGCGGTCCGTCAAAGACGGCCATAACGCGCTTCTTCATTGTCATCTGGCCCTTGTCAAAGCCCCACGAGGAGGGGTAGTCGCGGCGGTTCTTGCGGCCTCGGGTCTTCGTGGGTAGGGGAACCCCGCCGCGCGAGTGGGTGAGCCCACGCGACTTTTGCACCCCGTTTGCCGGGTTGCCCTTGGTCCTCTTTGTCGGGGAGACGGCCGATGACTTGAGACAGCGTCTGTAGTCGTCGTCGGCCATGTCATCATCATCGATCATGTCTTCGTCGTCGTCGACGTCGTCGATGTTGGCGGTGGTGGTGGTGGTGGTGGGCAGGTGATTCTTCTCGAGCGTGTTGTGCACGTCGCGGTCGTTCTCGACCTCGGCCAGCCGCTGGGCGTTGATTGCCTCGGCCGGGTCTTCCTGTTGCACAATGCGCAGCACGCAGTCGTCGAGATGCTCGTAAAAGTCCTGCGCATTGCCGAACGTCTGCGAGCAAGTCGAGCACTTGCCTGTGGCATCCGGCGCATAGCCCGTAAGCTTCTTGTTGCCAGCGCCGCCGCTTACCCCAGCCGTCGTCTTCTTGCGGCTGTTGGGAGGCGACTGCTCGACGCCATGGACTGCTGTCAGGTGGCGCTTAAATACGTCTGCCCGGTTAAAAGACTTCTCGGCAGCAGAGCCGGAGCCTGGGCAAAACCCGCAAACCATGGTCCCTTTGTAATGGGTAAGGGTGTGGCGGTTCTTGTCATATCTAAATTGTATCCAGGTTAGCTACCCGCCGGTCGCGTGCAATGCATGCATGTGTATGCATCGCTTCTTGGTCTCGAGAGCAACTCACTTCCTCGCAAAACCCTTGATGTGGTACTCGCACGTTGCAATTGGGCACTTTTCGGGTCTCTCGGACTGGTGCGTGAGCATGTGGGCCTTCAAGTCCTTGAAGGTCTTGGCGCAGTCGGGGTGGGGGCATCGTTGCTTCTCCTTGGACTCGTCGCCGCTATAGGTCTGGTCTGCCGAGTAGCTGGAGTGGAAAGACACGAGGCTTGGCCGCCTTTGCGCGTCGGCCGGAGGCTGGAAGGGCGAGTAGGGGTGGTAGTTGTTGTGGAGGAAGGGAGATGTGCTGCCGGTCCGGAGCTGCGGCGAGGCCGAAAGGGCGGGCGACGTGGGGTATGCCGGAGTGGGCGCCGCGTACGACTGTTCGAAGCCGGGCATGGCCATTGGCCTCACGTCTGGGTGTATCAGCGAGGGATCTGCGAGGGCGAAGAGACGCGAGTCAGCAAAACACGATTCGGGGCTAGGCGAGCTCTTGGCGGCTCGGGAAATCGAGACAGGAAAACCAACACGAATTTCCAAGGGGAGGAACAAAATGCCCGCTAGACTGAGAAAAGAAAGGAGAAGAAAGAAGACGCGAGGTGCCGGGACGCGCCGTTGGACTGGGCCTCGGATCGTCCAAGCAACTTGAAGGACTGCTCCACGCCGGGGCGGGTGGAGAAGAAAAAGAAGAAGTGGAGGAGGCAGCAGGCGACGCAAACACTAGGCCGCTAGAGGCCGCCGAAGATGCCGTGGTCGACGTCGCGGTCGACGCCGGAGAGGGAGCCGGAGCGACGGCCGAGGCCTGGGCAAGACGCGTATCAAGCGCCAGGCCAAGGCCAAGGCTGGATGGCTTCGGCACGACGGTGGAGTAGGAATCGCAAGAGGAAGAAACCGTAGAAGAAACGGAGCCACGCGGAGTATGGCGCGGGCGGGAAAGATGACATCTAGGGATTTGCGACAACTCACCAACAAATCCTGGACCTTTGCCGCTGGGGAAGTCGAAGGCTGGGTTGAAGCCGTCAATTGGGTTTGGGGCGAACGAGTACTCGGTGCCGGGGAAATAGTCGTTTTGATCGACAATCCCGGGAGTAACGCCGAGCCCCTGGGGCGCCGCCCACTCGGCCATCGGCGCGAGCTGGCCGTGGTTGGATAGTGGGGAGCCCATGTTGGACGACGATGCACTGTCAATACTCAGGTTGGATGACGGCACGCGCATGTCGCTGTCGTCGGCGTACATGACTGGGGAGTGCTTGCCGCCGTTGCCGTACATGTACGGGGCCTCGGCGGCGTACATGGCCCCGTTATCGTAGCCCATTGTAGCCGCGTACTCGTGCGCTGGTCGAGGGTAGGAGCTGTACGATTCTGGCGAGAGCTCGAGGTCCATTTGCGCTGACGGGTAGGCGCCCTGCTGCTGCTGCTGCTGCTGCTGCTGGGGGGGTTCGGGGTAGTGCATGATGGGGTCGATGTTGTCGATAGCGTCTTGCCTTGCCGAGGAAGAAGCAAAGCAGATATGAGCGGGGAGGGTGTGTTTGATGGTGGCAAGTGGTAGCGGTAGTGACTTGGTGATATCCGAGCCACGGCCTCACGCTGGGTCGTGTAAAATTGCGCGTTAGCCAAAGCCGCCCCCAGGCAGGCAGCTCGTCGACTCATACTCTAAACAGCCACTAACCTTTGTAAAAGCACATGCCAGTATAGTCAGTCAGGCGGGCAAGTAACGAGTGTCCTTTCCTGTCCTGTCCTGTCACCTGGGTAGGCAGCCGTGCACAAGAGCTTAAGGCTGTCCCGACTTAGACGCGAGACTCGAGATAGATGAAAGCGAAGGCGGGGGCGAGCCGGTTTCGAGCGAGCGAGGTAGAGGGTGGAAGGGCCCGTGTAAGGAGGTAAAGGCAGGTGTAGATAAGCAGTACCCGTGGGTAGGTAGGACTGAAGGCAGGTAAGGTAGGTATGTAGGTAGTCAAAAGTAAGACGCGCTCAGGTGGCGTGTATAACCTCCGAGTGTTTTCGTTCGATTCGTCCAGTTAAATTATCCTGCGTCTCTAGTTTGGTCGGTCTGTCTCTTGCTGTCAATGGGCGAGGGAGGGATGTTGCAGCGAGGCGTGGTGATGGCCGTTGTGGTGGTCGTGGAAACGAGAGTCAGGAAAGCAAGCAAGCAACCAAAACCGGAGCTTGTTGTTTGGGTATTAGATTCAATCCTATCCAGGCGGACAACGGTAACGAGAGCGTATAGCCAAGCATCACAATCATGACTGTTCGGGGAAGGGGGCGTGAGGTTTCTATTATACCCGGCTTGCACATCTCGCGGACTGGCCCTGGTGGAGGGCTCGATCTCTGTAGGGCTCCCGGTGCAGAGGGGCGGTGGTGGTACATACATTGCATGGGCTGGTACATGGGGTCTCGACAGGGGGCCCCGTGTATCGAGTGCAGGGGGTGCAGGGTCGTAGTGGACAGCAGCTTGGCGACTGGGGCTGCGTAGGAAGTTTGGGCTCCATCGACAGGGGGTCGGCGTGCAGCCATGTACATCGGTACAAAGCCATTGGCGCCCTCACGAAAACGAAGCCCCGTTCAGAGGGCAAAGGGCTTTTTGGTGGTGGCACCCGACTCTTGTTTGGTTGGTGGGTGGACAAAGTAGGTAAAGGGTAGGTGTGGGTGGCATGGCAGGGGCAGCGACCAGGCGGAGACCACTGCACTGCAAGCACCAAGCCCTCTTCTCTGCTTGCTTTCAAGAGTTCGATAGCTCCAGGAAACATCCATACCACCAGCAACTGACAACAGACAGCAGACAGCGTTGCGTTGCGTTGCCCATGGTGTAGACTAGCTTACCTACCTTAGTTACGCTCTGGCTTTACTCGCTCACCGGAACGGATACACTAGGTAAGGTGAGTAGTTAACCCACAAGTGAGTGCTATGGCAAGTGGCTAATGTACGGTGGACAACCGACACCGCCGTTAGGGAGAGACAGCTGGACATATGACAGTTGGAGATGACAGCTAGGGTACCTCTTAGTGTGTAGGTTGTTTCGTCCGCACTGCACGGCCGGCATGTCCTGTCTGCCATCCATCCGAAGTAGGCCGCTTGCCCTGGGCTCACTCACGAGAGTCTCCGTATCCATGGATGGATGGATGGTATGTCCTTCGACACAGATGCCATGCCAGGCGCGCCAGCCCGAAGGAGGAGACGAGGCGCGAGACAACCAAACCACGACGAGCCCGCTTCTCCACCAGTCTTGCTTGTCTTTTAGCTACCGAAACAGTCTCGGGGGCATGCTTTTCCCCCCTCCCCCACCCCCCCGTCGACCAGTTTTCGTTCTGGACCCTCTTCAGTTGAATATTGGCAGCTGGACGAAGCGGGATCCCTGTCTCCGTCTCCAATGCCCCATCGCTCGCTCGGCCGCCTTTTGCTCTTTTGCATGTGCGGTCATGTGTGTGCAAGCCCAGGGGCGTCTTTTTTATTATTTTATTATTGCTATATTTCTTTTATCTTTGCATCGCGACGGGCCGGATGCCAGTCTAATGACATGCGAGCAACAATTCCTCGAGCAATGGAGTGGGAGCGAGACACGGAACCCGAGCCTTTCTCGCTGCCCGTGTCTCTCTCTCTCTTCTTTTGTGACCTTTTGTCTCTCGATTACCTGATGGCCAGTCAGATGCAACCGGCCTGGCCGCAGCAACGCCAAGCGCCGATTCACTGATGCGCGGGCTTCATAGGAGTCGCTGCCACTGGTCCCCTACCTGCGCAGTCGCTGGCTTGGGATGCATCGACAGAGGGCCCAGAAGCCGGCCAGCGCAGGCTTGATTCAATCCCCACTTGAGAAGCGCCCACCCACCGACGCCCTGGCCTTAGGCCTGAGGCGTTGCGAATACTTGCTAGTAATAACACCAATATTTGCTGCTGGTGTCGGTCTTGAAACTTTTGGCCTCAGTGGCCGGGTGAATCATCAGGCTTGGGCTTTAGCGCCACCAGCCGAGGAGCTAGATACAGGTGAGATGGTCTCAAGGGCTAATAGTAATGGATGTACGGAGGTATGTATGTACCGGAGTACATATAGCACAGTAGTGTACTCTGCCTTTTAGCTTGCGTCCATGTGGAGACATGTCAAGACTGTCTCGCGGACCAAACGCTAGATATGGGAGGATCAAGCGGAAGCAGAAGCAAACCCCTCATCGATGCTCGAGCGAGACCCTTCTCTCGGCCCAGATCCTAGATCAGTCGTGGTACCTCGCGAAACATTGGGGTCTAGGTAGCTAGCGGTGGCCACAAGCGTCGATACTGTTGTTTGGGTGTTGTCGGACTGAACACCTACCATCTAGGAGCGAAGCGAAGAGGTGCATCATCAAGATGCGTCAAGCAAAGCAGTCATCCATCGCGACTATCCGTATTGTGGAGGCTCTGGCCGTGCCGCAATGCCCTCGTGTCATGGTCGTATGCCAGATTCACAACGGGTTAAAAGGAGAAGAGTTATTTTTATTCATTCTCGGCAGGTTGTGCTGTGCACGATGTGCTGCGCACTCCCGACACGGTGGGTTGAGGGAAAGCCTGCCGCCCGCAGCGCCGCCCCAGTTCCTGGGCGCACGCATCATGCTGCCCAACCCCCCACCACATTTTTTTTGCTGCTGGTGGCTCGACCCTCTGCCCTCTCTCTCCAAGCCCACTCTCGGCTGTCCAATGACAGCGCCCAAAAAGATGATGTGCAAATACCCAATGCGTGCGACGACCGATGCGCCATTGCACCAGAAATATCTGCACAGCCTTCATTCCCGCATTAGGACGACTACACTTCCGCTGCGATGAGACAGTGACCAGCATCAGATGCATCATCACCAGCATCGGCTTCTGGCATACGCAGTGATGCGTGCAACTTCTTTTCGACAGCAAAAAAGGCAACTGACTGGAATGAGGGCGGGACATGCACATGGAGCAAAATACTGTGTACAGCCGCTAGGCAGCGGGCAACAGACACTCCCTCCAGTCAGACTCCCGGGTCTGTCGGAATACTGACCGCCGCCAACAAAAAGGGGTGATACTCCGCGGTCTACGCAGTACGACGCAAGTATCGCCGCCAAAAGCGGTTGCTAATTCCTAGCGTGTTCGTAATGGGATGTGCATGTTAATCCACATTGTCATTCACTTCTAGACTTTGGAGAGTAAGACGGGCAGTGGCCGCCCCATCGCCAGTCAGCATCTTGTTTCCAAGCCGCTCACTAAGGAGGCAAAGGAAAGGGGCGCCTTGGTGAGCGTCGTGCTTATTACTGCTAGTACGTACCTAGTGGGTGTTCAACAACCGGTCTACCGTCCAGTCTACCGTCCATTGGCTTCCATGCCAAAATCTGACAGTGACCCGACTCCCGAGAGCTGGTGGGCTGCCGACGAAAGTAGACTCAAGCGTCTTGTGTTCAAATTAAGGGGCACCTTACCAATGTAAATACTCCGTACGAATACACGTGCCCTAGGGAGTTTAGACAAGGCCGAACCTTAGAACCTTGCCATCAAGTGCCCGAAACGAACGAACGAGCGCATTCTGTCCGATCGCTTTGCCGGAGCGAGGAACGTAGAATACATGGAAAAGAAATAAGGGAGCCGAAGATGAGTTATGGTGTAATTTGCGGAGTCTGTAAACATGTGTCCCTTGTGGCTCCTGCAATTATTCACTCATCGTGACTCCAGGCCGTCGCTGTGCGGAACGATCAGCATGGAAGGGTTCCAACTCCGGCTCCCCAGAGGGCCTTGCTTACAGGTCCATACGTCCAGTTGGTCCGCGGCGAGTTGCACGTGCACTTTACGTACGGACTCGGGACGGCGATCATGAAAAGGCCAGGGTTTCACCGACCCACGCTAGGATGCTAGGATGCTAGGATGCTAGGCTCTTGATTAGAGTGGTTCATGGTTTCCTCACGGGATGTTTCCTGCTGTCAAACTTGTCAAGGCTTAGGTATTTAGGGGAGCCATGCAGATTCGCAGAATGTCACCAGTACCCGCAGTTTGTGTTTCGACGACGATGAGCTTCGTGGGAGGGCCCCTGCTGATCTATCGCACACTCGAATGATTAATTGTCCCAGCCAGCCAGTCGGGCAACGCATATCGTCTGCTGTGTGCTGTGGCCCAGGAGGACCACAGACCGTCAGCGGAAGT